CAGACATCTGAATCGCGCCCACCTTGGCGGGATGCTCATCGCAGGGTACAAGGATCCAGCTGAATCCACTAGCGGTCCTAACCGAACTGACAGGCAGGGGCGACACTCTGGTTTCGGCTGTTCAGACAGGGTCTTCTGATTCGGGTGATCTTCCACCTGAAGATCATATCCCCAACATGGATGAAGTCACGAGTATGCATCAGCTCGCAAGCTAGGTCTCTTTCGGACAACACCTCTACAAGGTACTCGAAACTTGCTTTTACACCAGGGGCACAGAACTATTGGCATTGGACATGGGTTTCAAACCATGTCAGAATTCGTATGTATGACTGCCGGCTTATTATATCATTATACGACATTACAGCCTTACAATCGCACTTAATGGCAAGGAACAATTGCCGGATCTACTGCTACCTTGAAACGGTGCAACAAGCAGCTCGGGTCACTACTCCAGCGCAGATCACTACCGTTGTCTTCAGCCATCCCTACGTGGCGCAGCAGCGGCTTACCTTCCAATGGCAAGGTACCGTCCGGAAGTGTATCAAGCTATCACAGGAAGAAATGGAACACGAGACAGAAATAGGTGGGAGATCGACGAAGATTGTTGTATGTGATTTTCGTCTTTGCTTTCTCCCGATGGGTATCATATTCTCTCCGCTCAGTCGGAAAAAATCCGAGACAGAAACGGGTTGCAACTGCCGCTCTGCGATCGGAGTGTGTACCCAAGATCAAACGCCGGCTTCGGCAGTGCTCGTCGCACCAAGATCTTCACGAGCCATACCGTTGAACATCGCACGTGGCTTTCGATAATAGAGGGAGGGTCCGGCCGGTAACTTCGGGACATAGCAGCATACAGTTCGTTTCACCTCCGTGCGATACTAGCCTGGCAGGCCTGGCCTTATCACGAATCATTCAATGCTCAATGCCGATCGCAGTTCGAGTCAGAGAAGTGCTTGGAACAGACTAGACCATGGCCACTGGAGCTTATTTATTTCAGACACGATTTGGAATAGTGGGTAGGCCATCACATCTTCTGAGCGACCAGCAACACGCGGCAGAATTTTGAATGCTGGGACAAACCGAGTAGCGGAGCGGACCGTAGATAGCTGCTAACACTCGGGCTACCGGCGCTTCGTCTATGAATGGAAATATGCAATACGGAGAAAGCACTGACTGATGGAGATACATGAACCCCTGAAGAAATTTCTACGGTGCCACCGGCAACACAGAAATATGCTGACGTGGGACTGATGCAGGCACCGCGGCGAGGGCGGTAAATCATTATCATGCTGGCGTTGATCACCTACTCCATGTCAAACGCGGGTCTGCTCCATATGACCAACCCAACTTCCAAGTACACTGCACTAACAGTCGAGTTTCTTAGCTGGATACAGGCAGAATAAGGCTGCACTTGTCAGCCTTTGGCATCGTTCCGTGAAACATAGGAACAATAGTTTACACAGATCTATCAGAGTATCTCTTGCTCTCTTCTCTTCGTACTCAAACATTTGCAACGTTAAGATGGGCGTCAGAGATTAGACTCACTTAATTTCGGCATTGGTTCTTAGCGCGGTAGCACATCCTCTATTCCCTGCCATCTTTAACGGATCTTTGTTTTGGCGTGGCAAGGCAGCAGCTGTTGTTTGGCTCCGACAAGATGAGCAATCGGCCGAGTCCAGCACTTCAGACAAGTGCCCCTGGCAGTCGTGTTGTGGGGACCGGAAAACAACAGCCATGACCTCGAATGCTCACACCCTCTACCCCCCCTGCAGTTTGAAGCACAGCGAGTCATGAACCACCCCATTTCTTTCGAACTCCAAGTTGATGGTACTTCCAATGAAGCTTCTTCGAGACGTAGAATGGTTTCAGCGTGTTGCGACTATACAGAGCGGAATTTCGAGCCCATCGTTCAGTTACTTCTGACAAACATCCCTTATCAAATACATATGGGAGGGCAGAAACAGCTTTGAGTTTGTTAATGGTACTGCATTGACGCCAGCGGTAGAACCCGTTAGTTAAGAACTACTCCCGTCGTTCGTTCACATCGTTTGAGTATCACATTCTATGTACGGTCAAGACGGAGTTCATGACTGTATTTGTCCGTCCGATGGGTACTGTACCAGTAGTGCCTATCACGTTATTTGACTTCTCAACAAAACACCCTAAAGCAACCGAGTAGCAACTATGCGAGTCAAGACATGCTGCACGCAAAAGGTCTACGGAAAGAATAAAATTATGCATCACCACGGGAAAATTATATAATAATGTGCGGGAAAAGGTGCACTACCTTAGACTGACTTGCAGCATGAGAGAAACAAGCTCACGATGTTTTCCTCTACCATGGTCGTGGGGTCGCTGCTACTAGGCACGTCAGCATGGGGAACCTCTTTCACTCGTGGGGATAACTCTCCCCAGAAACAGGTTAATCCATTATCGACGTGACCGGTTATTACATACTCCAGGGCTTATTAAGGGGCTGAAGGCGATCCTGGCAGCATGGTGCCATTGTGCAGCTTGTCACCTTGTGTCGGCTTTAATGATCCACGCGATATAGGCAAGGTTTCAAATCTATATACCCCAGGGCCAGTCCAGCTCGACATGCTCGATCGCTTGACACCTGTTATTAGCTGAGCTTCAAGCTTGGCAATATTCTCTCAACCTCCCTCACCGACTTGACCCGTTAAGCAGCTGCGTGCCGCTCCGCAATTAGTTTACAGGCCTTCCTTGTTTCTTCTGGCGACCTCCCACTTTTCCACTACCAAATGTGACAAATGACAGAAGTTAGTTGGATATACTCCCCAAATCTTAGCAGCTGATCACAAAACAGCCCTGACACATGGGTATCCTGATACGAGAAATTCAGAGAGGAAGAAGAATAAGACATTGTAGCGAGAAAAAAAGCAACGTTTCGTTTATATCCGGTGGACAACTTACACCAGAGAATCCTTCATGACACGCTCGCCATACCCGCTGTCGTGAAAGCTAAGTAACTTTCTCAACATGCATGGTATCCTGGTCGCGGATCTTCTCAATTGGAGAAATACATCCTCAGCGTTACACTGCAGGGTGACTAAGCGCCTCGCGGTTAGCTCTCACGCTGGCCATTATAGGTGCTTTTTGCGAAGCCTGGTTGCTGTCCGCCTCACGATTGATATCTCATACAAAATACGGAGTTGCTGGTATATGTTTATTCGTATCGCTACCTGTCTCTTTGTTGATGTCAATATTGATCCTTGTTGACTAGGGGTTTCCTTGTCGACGAGGCATCACGCAGCAATACAAGTGCGGAGCCCTGAAATTACATCTCGTCACCAACACTTTGCTGCAAGATTTGTTTGGTTTTCATTGGGGATCTAAGACTAGAGACCAAGTCTGGACTTGTTTCTACCTAATATATTTGCTTTTTCTAACGTTTGTGGGGGAAAATCAGAAGCGGGTGGCTGATTCGAATCGAGTACGTACTTTTTCAGACCAAGCATCATGGAGCAGTGTCGAGTGTTGTACTGTGGTCATCACTTGAGTTATCGGTTATGATATTCCATCGGTTGCTCTTCTGAGTCACATCGCGAGCTCTCTAGCTCTTATGCCGAGCTGCCAGTTAGCAAGCCAAATCCACCAGAGGTCGATCATTCCACAGTTTCGACGTTTGACAGTTTGGCTCGACGCCACCGGGACACAACTTTCCCGGTTTTCTGTCAACTCTGTTTTTCTTTTTATCTGGAGACTATCGGCAGTTGGCTTAAGCATCTGCAACCAATCTAATGGGCTACCCCGGGTTAAGCATTATATGAAAGTGAACCATATTCCTTTCTTTTGTTGCTCAGCTCGAAACGAATGTTCCACCAGCGCCCAGTTCAATGTCTTTCGTAAATTTAGGGGCTGGCGAGCTGGGCAGGCACTTTAGCACACTTTCTTGGGACCCAAGACAGGCTCCAAATCTTACAGTCTGCTCTTGGCATCTCGGTTATACCTGACCTCCTCGGAGTTGATCCCTTCAAGCTCGCTGGCCCGGGGCCTCAGAAGACCTCCTTGACGAATCTCGACGCTGCGTTTGTAGAATTCAATTTGCACTGGACAAGCTATCACTGATTTAGCCAAGTGAGCGAGCAGGCCTGTCGTTGATCACTCTTACCCTCATCCTGCCATGCAACATCGTCAGCCATCACACGCTGGGGTTGAGTAGATACTGAGACATGTCTCCTGCGTGTCTGACCCCCCCCCCCCCCCCCCCCCCCCCCGGCTCCGAAGCAGCGCTTCACCGGATGCTCTTCCTGGTTCAGTCAACGGTATTCACAAGAGAATGAAACAAGACCATCCCAAAGCAGAGTCCCATTTTCCTCATTCCGGACACTGCATGTTTCTCTTGTGCATCCGAATCTAGCATGAGTATGAACACACATAACCAGTTATGGCGTACACATCGCCGCGGTTGACTACTTCCGCATCCTCCCTACCTCGAAACGAAACATGGGCCCTGGCAGACAGGCCTTGGTACTTGGAGCGCCGCACAACGAAGGTAGAGTTCACGCCCTGGTCTCTGTCACCTTCCACAACGATGCGGCACAGCTGTAGATCTCGGCTTCTGCGGCTTAAGATAGGTCATGATTTGAGACATGGCTTTTTGCTACTGCAGAATCGTACGACGTTCCATGAATCCTTATCTGAAAAAGTGGTCTAGTGATGAGCGTTGAGCCGTTGTCATCACAGTACAACCCACACTGCATGTAGCGATAGTTGCACGTTGAAAGCTCGACATCAAGGTTTTGGTGCATGTTTCATACCCATAGCTGTCATTGACGCACTGTTTCTCTTGATCGACAAATTGCACACCTTAAATGTCACTCTGAATCCTTGATAGGAATGCCAGTTTCATAGTCTTATGTTGATGCCATTCATAGTCTCACTCCTGAGGAGGCTAAGTAAATTCATCTGTGGAAGCCAGGCTAAGTTTCTTACCCGTCCATCCTAAACAGCACCACTTGATCTCGATCCTGTTCTTCTCAAGGCCCCCCTCCATTGACTGTCAACTCCTCCAATTTCTCTTTGAGCTCGTCAGTTGGCTTGAGAGTGCCATTTGTTTCAGCATGGCCGTTGATGAGCTCAGCAGGTGTTGCCCCGTTCGTCAGACCCTTTCTGATGGCAAGGACGCTGTCAACGATGACAGCATCGATGCCTTGCTTTACCTGACGCTGTAACGACTGTTAGCAAAGTGATGTGTATAGATGTTCTGAAACGCTCACCTGAACCATAATAGGATCGTTGTTTAGGACGCCATAGCTGAAGCATACAATACCGTTCTCCTTCACGATCTTGATCAAACGAGGGCTGTTGATAAAAGGCTCTGCAGCAGCCACGATGCCCAACAAGTTCCAGCGACTCGCGAATCGAATGGCCTCCTGAAGGGACGATGCCCGAACATCGCATACATCGCAACAGCCTGCGTCTGTCAGGAAGAGAATTGGGATGGAAGGCTGCTTGTAGCTTAGGCAAAGGCAGATGTCGGGGTTGAAAGAGCTGAAGATGATGTGACGCTCTCCAGCAAGGTCATAGACCTTGGAAAGGACTGTATCGCAGAACGAGTTTAGCTCAACTGCATATGTATCCATCTCGTGCTCTTCACTCTCGTGCAGCATAGGGTACTTCATCTCGATGTTGAAGCCCACATGCTCAGGAAGCTCCCGGAAGAGGTCTTCCAGGGTGGCAAAGGGAGCCTGGATAAAGTTTCCTCTCGTGTTACCCTTGAAGCCCTTATCTTTGAAGTCCTTTGTGTGCTTCATGCGCTCGTCCAAGTCATCAAGACCGCTACCAGCAAATCCCATAGATTGCGAGCGCTTCGGTGCCAGACTGTTGCTGCGGGCTCGGAAATCACCCGAATCGCCTGTGGGCATAGGCTTCTTCTTAGTTTGCTGCTTAGTTTCTCGATTCTTGTCGGAGTTGATGTGCAGGAATTGCTCTAGTGTCAAAGTGTGGACAGGAGCATCGATGCCTGTTTCACTGACAAGGAAGTCGTGGTAAATGACTGGAACATGATCCTTGGTCAACTGAACATCAAACTCGACATAGTGAGCTCCCAAGTTTGCCGCTGCGATGAACGATGGCAAAGTGTTCTCTCCAAGCTGGAGAGACTTGTTGCTTGTCAAGTTTTTACCGAGTCCTCGATGGCCGATCAGCATCGTCGACTCTAGTTTCTTCCAGTATGTCTGCCGCGAGTTGATTTCCATTTTGGGATGATGGAAAGGGGTAATGACCAGGAAGTTGAAGTTGACAGTGCCAATGACATCAAAGCTACTTGACATGATGGGAACACAGACGTCTCCCTGAAGATTCACGCGGCGAGAACCTAGCGTTGGCTTCACGGACGACAGTAGTGCTACTGCACGTCCAACCTTGTTCTTGTCATTGCCCGAGTACGTTGGAACAATATCGAAGAGAAGCTTAACCTTGGCCGCATCCGTTGTCGTAAAAACAATAGGCTCAGTAGCGATGCTATCATGGACCGGGAGGTCGATAATAGTGGGTTCACCCTGGGCGCCCGTAGCAGATACAACGATTGATAGGGCGGTGTCAAGTTGTGTGTTGTGAGCTTCAGTAAGTGGAACACGGTCCAAACTGACTGGCTCAACATTCTTTCGCATGTCCATCGAACCAAGACTCACAAGAACAAGACTCTCATTAGTCAGGTACCGATGACCAAAACTCTTGATGGCGTCGGGGGCACGAGGCACGCTGGTTGTTCCGTTGCCGTTTGAGCGACGCTCGTCAATGGATGACACATCCGAGGGGGTTGGCTGCAACGTGTCGACGGGTCTGGTAGGAGGAGATTCAACTTCAGCTGCGTCAGTTTCGAGCAACCTTGCAATGTCCATATGACCCCTCAACGCAGCATGCTCTCTCGCTGTCCAGCCAGACGAGTCCAGAAGAGTGGCATCCGCTCCAGCTTCAACCAAAAGCTCGGCTACGTTGTACCTGCCATCGACAGCGGCAACGTGGAGAGGGGTCCATGAGTAGGTACTCTCCGTGGCCTGAAGGTCTGCCTTTTGGTCCTGGGTTCCCTTCAATATGATTCGAGCACATTCTTCATGTCCGAATCTAGCTGCAACGTGAAGAGCAGTCTCGTCGGTTTTATCTTTCCAGTTGATATCAACACCAGCATCTATGAGAAGCTGCACAATGGTACTGTAGTTAGACTTTGTAGCAATGGCCAGTACAGCCCCCGATTTGGCGATGGACTTCCGGATGTCGGCCTTGTATTTGCTGCTTCCCTCCCAGTTCTCGCCCTTCAAGAGAGCTTTGGTTGTAAGGGGATGGCCTCCCACGACACTGAGATGGAGAGGCGCATAACCGTCGTTGTCCTGCCACTCAGGTGTATCAAGTCCATCCTTGACGTGGAATTGGTTCCACTCCTGCATCTTGAACATGATAATTTGGCACACAACTACAATTCCAAACTGGGCTGCATAGTGGAGCGGCATGCGCCCAAAGGAATCGCGGCTCTTAAGTGCGACCCTTTGCTCCGGACGGAGCTGCTCCAGTAAGAAGATGAAGAGTTGAACGGCCTCGTCGTCTTTATCCAGGAGTAGGACCTCGTTCTGATTCAATGATTTCACGGCTGTGGAGGTTGTTACACCAGGTTGCAGATGCTTGTTGCTGAATTGTGAGCCCGCGGGCACAGGGTGGGATTTGGGATCTTTCTCTGCATTGCCGGATTTTGTACGACCAATGTGAATGACTAAACGATGGATACAGTTGCGGCTGTTGATGTCATCTGGTTCGTCAAGACTCTTCAGATTAGCGAGGAGGAAAGTGATACATTCTTTCGAGCGGGAGGAGATGGATCGCTGTAAAAGACCCAACAGAAGCGGTTGAGCACCATCTTCGGCAGCGTTGCTCTCTTTGAGGCCAGTTTCAAGAGAAGAAACATCGTCATTTCGTACGGCTTGGTCGAGGGCATCAAGTTGAGCTTGGGGTAAACTCAGCATACCCTTGGCTGAAGCCCGCCCGAGCGAACGGGTCGAATGCTCGGACATTGTATCATTGAAGGTCTGGGCCTCTGCAAGCACAGACATCCACTTGTTGATATCATTGAGAAGTCTCGCGGTGTTGGCTTCCTTTGCGAAAGGCTTCACATCGACCTTTGTTGTGATATAAGGGCGTTGAGTCACAAGGTCCGGGACCTTCTTGTCAAGTTTCTTGGTGATTTTTACAAAACCCCTACGGTTAATCTCACCAAACCATTGCAGATTTCGAAACTGACTTCTCAGCTCAAGAAGAGCACCCATGACTTCCTCAACTTCGTCCTGGTCCAGGGTAGCTACAACATCGGAGGTTCGTCCATATCGGTTCTGGAGGAGGTTCAGCCGGCGGCAGAACTCTGCGAGTTTCTTGTTGTAGAAAAAGTCGACATCTTCGAGGTTTCGATCAAGAGCGAAAAAGAATTCTGCGTCGGGAGTTAGGGGAGACGCTCAGTGTGCGACACCAAGAGTCGTTAAAGCCGCCCACCTGCAGGATCCACCTTGTCTCCATTCTTTGCTTTCTCTGCTGCCGCTTTCACAAGCTTCTTAAGGCCCTTGTAGTTGATGTACGAGGCCGCCCACTCGGGGACCTGGTTTCGTGGTAGGCTGGATAGGTAGTGAGTTGAGGTTGATCAGGGGAATTGGAGCGAGGACTCACTTTCTTCCGAACTTCATGCTGTGTAGATCTCTAATCGATGTAACAAAGTAGGAAAAAGAATCGGTCTGCAAGAGATGCGACCGTAGTGCAGAAAGGTCGATCTAAGAGGCTTTGGGGAAGCGAAGCACACCGCGTTTCGGCCTCGGGGTCAATTTATAGTTGTTCAAACAAAGCAAACTTCCACCCGCGGGCGCAATGGCGGAGAAGGTGTCGATTGATAAAGTCTTTTTTTCAGAGTCGATGTCTCGCGGATGTACCGTACTCTCTAAACCGATGTTCGATCGCACAGCCAGTGACGTCAAAGCAACTTGCGCGCGCGCGATCAATCACTTTTAAGAGCCGACAGTGATTCAGTGTGGTTGGTGGTGTACAGGTATGACAACCCCAATTCTCATGTAGCGCGTATGGCAGAAGACGACAATGGAGGAGAGAAGGAATGAGGAAAAGAAAGAGAGGAATGACGACGCCGATGGAGATATATGATGGAGAACTGGATCCAGTTAACAAACAGATTTTGCTAAATACCCAAGCCCGGTTCTTGGTTCTGCACGATGGAACAAAAAAAGAACAAGACCAGGTCCGATTCATGAAACAACATTCGTGGATCTGGTGGGGGAGGTGGAAGATACTAAAGCTACAGTGGAAGGTACCTACTAACCTGACTACACTGACGATTTGGGGTAACTCAATGTACCACCTAGACGAGTAGGCAAGCCCAGGCTGTGCCACCTGAGGAGGAAGTGACGGGCCCAGCTTGTTGGAGTCGAGCCCAGGCCCGCCAATCCAATTGGGCCCGTGGACCCTGTACGGCCCCGTGACTGGACGGCACGATTCAGGGCGCAATCCACTAAACAGGTCGCATCGTGACCCTCTTGGAAATCTGTCAGGACCAACATGGGTTGGATACAGTGCCAGACACTCGCAGACCGCCATTGATGGCTATTGTCTAGGAAAGTGCCAAAGTGCCGAATACTGTGCTGTCAAACACCATCGCCCCAGTTCCTAGTCAACTCATGACCAGGGGTTTACCCACGATTACGAACGGAAACTCTTAGTGGCGCCGCCCTTTTGACACATACCTACCGTCAAGAAGCAGAAACTTGGGGCGGATGCCGAGGTAAGGAAGGGTCAATGGCATGCAATGCTTATGATAAGAGGCATGTCTACTACGTATGTGCAGATAGGTAGGTTAGTAGGTAGATGTGCATGAATTCATTGTAATATTTGTATAATCTTGATAACGTGTACAAAATATCTCATTCATGTGTCTTATGCTGCATGTAAGTGCTCCGAGTCCGTCATCCTAGGTACAGTACAAAAAAAGGAATGCGTGTAAGTGAAGCATCTATGTACTAATGTTTACATGCGACTGATCGCTATCCGCCCCTAGCCCAAACTCGCTCTCTCCAGATATCCCACCTGCCGATCTGCCACTGGCCATGTACTTAACCTCGTTGGCCTCGCGTTCGATGGCTTACGTTCCGCTGCATTCACCCGCTTAACCGCCGCCTTTCTGGTCACGGGCACTTCTGGCTCGTCTCGTAGAAACACCTCAAGCTCTTCACCAGCCTGCGGTTTCGACATAGTCTGCCTTGATGCTTTGATCTTTTCTTCAACTGTGTTGCTCACAGAGTGGGCATTGGCGGAGTTTTGAAAAGACTTGCACTCTGCAATGCCTTTCCCCACTTGTGTTGAAAGAGGAAGCTGTGCAAAAGCGTTCATGATCTCCTCGTTCAACCCCACTGTATCTCTTGCTGCCGTGCTCCCAATGTGCAAAGCCATTGACCGACGGAAGGCAGAAGAAAAGTCGGGATAGAGCAGTTTACTCTCAATGGAGCGCGTTGTCTTCCCAACCAAGTCTTGCTCCTTCCACAGAGCCTCAATCTGAAGCAGCCTTCTTTCCGAGGCGCTCACAAGATCAGCTGTGGTGGAATCATCGACCATTGCCCTTGAATCTTGCAGGTCGAGTTGGGAGGTCGAATCAGCCATTGCCAGGTGACTTAAGAACCGACTGAATCCATGCCTAGATATAGAGAGATTGTCAAGAGCAGACTTAGACACCTCGCCACTCGAGCCTTGCAAGCCAGCCAAGTCGAGCAGAACACGCACTCGGCCGATAAGGTAGGATGTGTCCTGATCTCTACCGAGCAACATTGAAGGCCATGTTTTGGCACAGTCTGTGAAACCTTGAATAATGCGCACGGCAGATCTCCAGTCAAGAGCCACAATGCACTCGTCAAATAACTGCCTAATGACATGCGTGTTCAGGACGATCTTAGCCTTCATGCATGACACAAAGAACATGGCAGCCTGGTCAAAGAGCTTCATATGCAGAAGTCCTCGGATAGCAGCCTCGATGAGAGACTTGTCCAATGGTGCATGCTCCCAGAAATAATCACCGGTCTGTGTCCATGTCCGTGTCTGTATGTGTGTCTTGTTACGTCCGTTTCTGGAAGGGTCACCGTCGTCGGCTAACCTGCGTCTTATCTTGGCCCCCGTCTCAGCATCAATGCCAGCAAGACATGCAAGGCTGCGCAAGAACCGTCCGTAGTTGCCCGAGGTCTTGTAGTGGTTCAAGATAGCCACGAAAGTCGATGGCGTTGGTCTAAGCCGCCGGTAATAGTAATAAGAATTGACCACTGGCTCGGATAGGTACTTGTAACCTTGCTTGTCGAAAGCAACGATTAATGTGTTGTAAGTGTGCATGTCGGCCGGGTAGGCGGATACAAGGAGGTTGTAGCATACACGGCCGACCTTTTCCTTGAGGCTGAGTGGTGAACTAACCACCTCCCGAAGGCGTTGGTTGAGATCGATCCGGTTCTTTCTCACCCGCTCAGGATCAGACTCTACAAGATACTTGTAGGAAGGGCTACTGTGGGCGAGTTCCATAGCCTCATCAAAGCTAGGGCTTGGCGTGTTGGACTTGTCGCAAGCATCGGCTCGTTTGAGCAATTGCTGGGTAAGGTGGCTAAGCGTGCGTCCGGCATTATGAAGTTGCTGAGTATTCAATGGCCTTCTATGACGGATTCGTCTATCAGCCTCCTCGCGGATGATGACTTTTTCGAGATGTTCGTAATCTGTGCGCCGAAGAGCATACATTGTCGCCTGGTCGGGGCATTCGTATTGATCGGCATGTACTCGGTTCAGAAATTCGTCGACTCGGATGGTGGCAGGCTTGTAGATTTCCTTCATAAATGGTCGGTTCGCGTATAGTTCTTTGATAGAGTCCCACACGTAATTCATTTGGCGGAGAGACACTTCATCTTGGGCGGGATCGATGCCAGTCATGGTTTGGCTCCTTTCGAGGTTTCGAAGTTTCAGCTGGGCCAAGTCACGTCTCGTTTCCTCCAATTGCCGGTCCAATTCCTGTCTCCGGTCCTCTTTTCGTACGGCATCGACAATGGCGGCGGTTGCGAACATGGAGCTGTAGCATGCTGTAAAGATATCGGCAAAAGTGACTTTGCGTGGTCGAGCTGCGGTCGTCACTCGCCGGCCGATCGTGCCCACGACCGTCTCGCAGGCGCGACATCCACAGCGATGAGCCTGGCCGGCTCTCGACCACAAAGCCTGCATCTTGGATGGTGCTCTGACGTTCAGGACATCGCTCTCTAGCGATTGAGGGTCAAGGTTGACGGCAATCACTCAGTTGAGGTGTTTCATGGGGCCATTGGAAGCCGAGAAATTAGCCAGTCACAGATGGTTCGATTAGCCAAGTCACGTGCAATGACGCCCGGTTGACTGTGGTGCAGTTTAGACGCTATTCTCACACCCCACCACCCAAAATCCACTGGCACCCAAGCTCATCGCTACCATCCATAGCTTTTAAATCAACTGTATTCTGCATCGAAAATCGTGCTACAGTCTAGATACGCTTTACGGACAAGGCTCGCAACATACCATAACATCTTCTCATACATCTAATCATGTTTGCTTTGTATCTAACAGCCGACTTGCAAGGGTATGTACTAGACAAGTTTTTTACCCAATTCAAGCGAGCTTTACTGACGTGAGGGGCAATCTCAATATCACAGGGTCACCAACTTGCGCCCAGACGATACTCAAGATAACCCTTTTTGGTACATGTTCAAGGTTCAGTGTACTTCTTGCCGAGAGACACATTCGAACTATGTTGGGGTCAACCGTTTTGTAGGTACTCATTTGCCTGAAGCCTCGATATATACTGACAACCCCGGCTTAGGAGACCAACGATATGAGTGGAAGCCGAGGCGAGGCCAACTTCGTCTGGAAATGCAAGAACTGCAAGGTAAGTGTCGTGACTTCAAGGTGTCTGAATTCGGCTAACATGATGTCAAGCGAGAGTCATCGGCGTCTATCAAGTCTGGACCTGCGGCTTATGAACAGACGGAGCCAGCCAAGCCTCAGAAGATCCTCGAGTTTGACTGCAGAGGTCTCGAATTCGTCGAGTTCAAGGCAGAGGTATGTGAGCCATTCGTTATAAGTAAGGGGATGCTAATGTGTGACAGGGCGAATGGCTCGCTGAGGGTGCTGAGACAGGGACCAAGTTTAAGGCTATCGAGTTGGAGGAAGGCGAGTGGTTCGAGTACGATGAGAAGTCCAACGAGGAAGTGAGCATCAACGATGTCAAGTGGGAAGTTCGTCGCTCTTAAGACTCAGTGTACTTGGGCTTGTAGTGAGCATATCGGTTGGGCTACCTGTGTGTTTTCGAGTGAGTAAGCGACGAGTAAGAGCTCGGTTTACCGGAGTAGAAAAACTAGACAAATGTGATCTTTTTATAAGAGACTGAGTGACTATCCACATGATTTTGTTTTGGTTTGAACTACCGGAGGAAGATGTAAGTGATTCCTTGATGCTGGTCAGTCGAGAGGCTCAAATAGATATTGAATCACCCAATCACACTACTAGCACATATCTAATCAGACCCACTTCCCGCATCGGGTGGAGGTCTGTGTCCAAAAAGGTTCCCAGCTCGAACAGCTCTGAGTTTGAACCTCGATTTCATCTTGACAGACTAAAAGACTGCAGACGATCCTCATATTTCAACAAAATGGCAGTATCGGAGCTTCCAGGGACCATAGATTTCCTCACGGATGCAGCGCATCTTCTGCGCACCACCGCCCCAGAAACTTCTGCTCATCTTATGAGCCGTCGCGGACAGCTTCTTCAGCAATATGGGATAGCAATTTCCGACATTCAACAGCAACACACATGCGGAGGCTGTGGGCTCATCATGATCCCGGGCCAAGAAGCCACATTGAGAATCGATGCACGAAGAAGTGTTCGAAAAAGGACCAAGGGCGCAAAAGCAGAAGCAGGTGTCGGTTCAACCCCTTACCACACACCAGCAACTGAAGGGCCCTGCAAGACTTTTCACTGCGACAACTGTCAACGAGATACGAAGATTCCTCTTCCGGCCCCAGGACCTGCTGTAAGACGGAAGAAGGTAGCGCAGTCCAAGGCAAAGAAGGTTTCTTCTGCACCTGTTGAGCAGCCCAAACAAACGACGAATGCCAGCAGCAAGAAACGGGCCAAAAGTCGAAAAGTTGGTCTCCAAGCCTTGCTTTCAGGGCAGAAGCAACAAACAACGAATCCGCTCAGTCTCTCACATTTCATGAAGTGAGATAAAATTACCAACAAGCAGCCCAACACTATGTCTTATCGCATCTTCATGTGTCTGTCTCTCTGCCTTTGCTGGGCACAGTGCAAGTCAGTGGTCGGACGAATCGAGGCCCGCCTCTCGTACCTAAGGGTACAGAAGTTGATTGAGTCATTTCAGGCCACTCACTCACTGTCCACCCGCGTCCCGAACATTCTAGCGCCCACCCTCCAACCCTGGACCCCATGACATAACCGGGTTAATTGCCCCTCCAAAAATTTCCTGACAACCCCTCCATCACAGTCAGGTTCAACCACCAAATAACAAGCAACGACAAAACAAACTAAACAAAAATGAGTACCGACGAAGTTAACAAGCTGACTCCCGATGAGTTCTTCCAGACCATCGGCGACAAGGTCAAGAACTTTGCGCCTGCTGCTGAAGGTGTCGAAGATGCCGACGATGAGCGCGCCGTTGAGGAGATTGAGTCTCTATGCATGAACTGCGGCAAGAATGTGAGTCGGACTATCACCACAAGTCGCATAGGAAAGTCATTGACAAAATGGTTAAGGGTATGACCAGACTTCTTCTCACCATGATCCCCTACTTCCGCGAGGTCGTTATCATGTCCTTCTCCTGCGAACACTGCAACCTCCAGAACAACGAAATCCAGGCGGCCGGTAGCTTCCAACCCAAAGGAACCCACTACGAATTGCGCTTGACAAACCTGGCCGACTTCTCGCGACAGGTTGTCAAGTCTGATACTTCCACCGTCAAGTTCATCGAGCTGGATCTCGAGATTCCTGCCGGTCGTGGCCAGCTCACAAACGTTGAGGGCCTTTTGACTACTGTCATTGATGATCTCGAGATGGGACAAGAGGCGCGAAAGGAGCAGGTTCCTGAGCTTTACCCCAAGATTGCCGAAATCATCGCCAAGGGTCGCGCCATGTTGAACGGCGAGTCTTTCCCCTTCCGTGTCTGGCTCGATGACCCTGCTGGCAACTCCTTCATCGCACCCGATCTTAAGGATGGTGTTGGTAAGTGGGAGAAGCACGAGTATGCCCGAACTCCTGAGCAGAACGCCGCTCTCGGTATCTCTGATTCCGATGCCAACGCCCGGGAAGCGCTGAACCCTGGCTTGACTGCCGATGGCGATGTCATCCCCAATGAGGTTTATAGCTTCCCCGCAACATGCCCTGGCTGCATGCGCCCCTGTACCACTCATATGAAGATGGTTGATATTCCCCACTTCAAGCAAGTCGTCCTCATGTCTACCGTTTGCGACGATTGTGGCTACCGCTCCAACGATGTCAAGACTGGTGGTGAGATCCCTGAGAAGGGCGAGAAGATCGTCCTTGATGTTAAGTCCAGCACCGATTTGGGCCGTGATATCCTCAAGAGCGAGACCTGTGGTCTTGAGTGCCCGGAGCTGAAGCTCCAGGTCAACCCTGGCACACTTGGTGGTCGCTTCACCACTGTTGAGGGTCTATTGACTCAGGTCCGTGGTGACCTTCACTCCCAGATCTTCGAGGGCGTTGGCCAGGGTGGTGACTCCCTCGCTAGCAACGAGAAGTCCGAATGGACTGCCTTCTTCGATGGTCTTGATGCCGCCATCAGGGGCGAGAAGACTTTCACCATCATCCTTACCGACCCCTTCGCGAGCAGCTATGTCCAGCCTCTCGTTGACCCCCCTGCCCCTGACCCCGCAATTCACCGTGAGAGCTATACTCGTACAGACGAGGAGGAGGAAGAGCTCGGTCTCAAGGATATGAAGCTCGAGAACTATGGCGAAAACGATGAGGAGGAGAAGAAGGATGGTGAGGAGGAGAAGACAGAGGACGCTGCCGAGAGGTAGCATTTGATATAGTTCCTCTTTTCTGTTTTCTTGTTTAAAAGTTAAGCCTATAGATGAAGCAATGATCTCAAAGTTTATGATTTAGTATACCCTTTTTAAGCACAAGATGCCCATACCGTCGAAATCCTAAATGTGATTATTGCAGTTAGACTAGTATCAAGCACACTGCATATAACTAGCAATGCCAACTAATATGAGTATGGCTTACTCGTGATATCTTATTGGTGATATGTTACACTACCAGTTACGTATAAAGCTATAGATTTCCTCATACTTCGGCAATCCACTGGCTCTTTATGGGAATCTCAATCCAAAATATGACTGGCACCTCTTCGAAAACCGCTTCACACGCATGAATCTAGAACCTTGCCTCAGATGAGCCCAGTGCCAGTTGCCTCAACAAAGCGTATCCTTTTTTTTTATCTTTTTTTTTTTTAGCAATCTTCCGGCCTGAGTGAGATGTTAAGTGGTATTGAGATGAGTACAGCACAGTGACTAAAACAATGGCCGGGTGTGAAGTAACCAGCAATAGAATACTGTATCTGTGACATACAACAGAAATGAAGAACATGGTCAAGATGTAGTACGCAGGCACTATAAGACTTAACAAGCCAAATTGTGGAAGTATCTTACAATGTATGCATCGGTAAACGACTAACATCTACTCAGCATAATAGTGAATCTGGTTCAATTCAGGAACATGATCTCGAATCGTGTAGATCAATACAAATATTCGTGGAAGTGGACGGAAGTCGTATTTATAGCGCAGCAGGCCTTGTTCTTTTCTCTTCATCCAAACGCAGTTAGTTGTCCATTGAATGAGGAAAATAAAACCGTCAGCACAGATAAAACTCGTGTACAATACTCAAAAAAAATGGCAAAAGATAATTGCTTTGCCGTCAGCAAGACTCGAACTTGCGTTTTCAGTGCTTCGAAAGAGCCACAAACTGATGTACTGACCCCTATACGATGACGGCTTATCGGGATTTGATACAAAGATTGGCTCAAGATCTGGGTTATATATCTCAAAATGAGATGCGCCTCAAAAGTGGCTGGATGCCCTTCACTTACAACACCACATCACTATTCCCAACCAACTTGGCCACATACTTACACCGAGCTGTTATTCTCTGTAGCTTTGAGAGCTACAGATTTAGTGTTTCAGCGGACACTAATTGTCGAACTACACATTTGACATCTGCGCATTGAGCATGCAAGTCACAGTAGCTCAGGCACTAGTAAAGGCTTTGCTTCCAGAGCATTAGAATTAAGGTCCTCAAATAAGGGACATTGTCTAAACAACTATACAGAAAATTGAAATGACGTCTGTGTGTACCGGGTATAATCACACAGCTCATCCCATTCTAGCATCATGCACTCCATCTCCACCAGGTCTAGGCTCCTAGATCCATGCCATTCCACCTCCCAACCTTGGACCATGACCTCTATCAGGATCCAGAAAGACAAAGGAAAAGCAAGATCAAGACAAGCGAGAAAGGTCATTCTAGTACCTTCTTTTCTGTACAACTCCAGATTATTGAGTATCGAAAAAACATAAACATTGCCAAACTAGCCTTCCTTCCTGCGCCTATAGTATGCAGTGAAGTGACAACTCTGGTTGAAAAGGAAAAATATGCAAGTAGAGCATGAAGGTAACTGAGATCGTTGAGAAAGAGCCTCGTGATCATTTCCAAGGTCTGTAGTCTCTTTTTGTGTTGGCTGGTCTTTATGTGTTGCAGTCCATCGGGTACATCGCCAATTCACGTAGGTATCGGAAGTGACGATCTACAGAATCCAGTGACCCTCCTAGAAAAATGATGGCTTCGTGAGCACACGATATTCCACGTAGTCTTCGCCATCAATGTTGATGATTGTCCCTTGAGATACCAGTTTCCCTGTAAACGGTCCGGTGGCCTTGCGTTCGTATTTGATTCCACCGAACATCTTTGCATCATCGGCACTGGTTCTTATGCGAAGACTTTCCTGGCGTGCCCAAACCTTGTTGAGACGTTGCACTTCCTCCCTTTCATGGAATTGTTGGCGGCCATTGACGTCTAGACCAGGAATGGTGGCGGCTGCAGCGGCAGTCGCCTGAGCTGCTGCCACCGCTGCCCGCTCACGGTTTACAGCTTGAAGATGAGCACGCTCCTGCGCAAGCTCAACGCGAGAGATCTCACGCTCGGCTAAAGCCGAAGTTCGTTCAAGTGCGTTGCTGTTCTGTGATGCCTTGCTCGTGGCTGCACGCGAAACTGCGGGGGGCTGAGAGGTGTCGTACTCGACAGGGTATTGGCGTGTCGGGCGTGCTTCAGCCCTAGCCGCCTCGACGCGGCGACTCTGGCGAAGTTCATGTCCACCAGAGTATCGTCCATTCTGACCAGTTTCTTCGGTGTAGTCATCTGGACGGCGAGGCAGGGCTGGCGCAATAGACAAAGGAGCAGGGGTTTTGTGGTTTGTCCCAGCAATCCTCGCTTGGGCTTCGTTTACAGCGCGGGTCTCGTTTGCCGTGATCTCCTCAGGTGCCTCTCCATGATCAATCTGCCATTGTCGTACGCGGCAATACTCCTTCACCTCGTTCCGCGCCAAAGACCGCAGATGCGGCTCAAAGGCGACTTCTTCGTAAGGTATCCAAAGAGCACCAGCCCCCTGAGGGAAGTTCGCTTCGCATACGCGCCCGTCCCGGGTTTCTCGTACTAGCTTGACGCGAAACATGTCATTCTGCCCCAAAATCCCGTAAACTGCGTGGCGATCATTGGGGTTTGACGCATCAGACTTTTCCCAATGACCTATAAGAATGCGCGTAGGTCGAGTCCCTGGGAGAGGATCAACAACATTTCGTACAGGCTGAGGACCACCAGGCGCTGGTTGAATTGGGGTGTGTTCAATCGTGGGGCCGTTTGAAGGAACAGTAATGACTGGTGCGAACTCTCCACCAGTTCTTCTCCTCTTTGGATCGCGATCTCGCTGCAGGTGTTCGGGGAGATCAACACCATATGCAATTTGAGGTGGATTCTGGGCATTCTCAGCAGCAGGATTTAACTTGGCTCGGCGACACGCTTCTCTGACTGCTTCTGCCTCTGCGGCGACTTTCTCTGCCTGGGTCTCTTCGATCCCTGTCTTTTCTGATCGTATTTTTACATACTCCTTGATTTGAGTATGGTCCAGTCCAACAAGGTGGTCTAAAAACACAATTCGCTCGAAGGTCACCCAGCTGCCTCCAGGGCCTGGTGGCAAGGGATATATATCCGGCAGAGGTTCGCCATCTATGGTGTTGGCTTGTATCCTAGTCCGTAGACGTTCACGCACGTCCATGAAGCCGATAACGGCATGATTGAGATCTTTGGGGGTAGTTGAATCTCTCCAATAGCCGATTACAACACCCTTGATACCTCCTGAGCTAGATCGGGACGCCTTAGCTTTTGTAGTAGTTGACGAAGGTTGTCGTTCGTCTGCAAGTATTTTGCGTTCGCTCAGGTCATGAAAAATGGAGTTTCGCTTCCGTTTTGGATAATGAGAAACGATGGGCTCATCGTCAGCATCTGCCATAATCTCGTCATCAGGTTCAGATGCTGGCCGAAGGGGAGATGACTTCCGCATGCCGTTAGTGCGTGCTCCCACTATGATCTCGTCTTCAAGCTCGTTAAAGTCGGCGCCAGAGGGAGAATGAACAGTGCTTGCTGGATCACTAAGCTCGCTTTCTGCCTCCCCGTCCCCGATTGAGATTTTGCGACCGTTGCCCAGTCTGTAAATTGAGTTAGTTATTGCCTGTTGGATAATGTTGCAATCTGGAACGGAGACATCATAAGAGACATGTTTGAATGAACCAATACTCTCTACACTTAGATAGAAAGGATGAAAGCGGATGATCACTCGATCTAATAGAGGATGATGTGCTAGAATAGATAACAAGTTTGAACTGAAGTTACCGTATCCTTAAGAGATTGTGTGGTTGAGGTTTGTCGAGGTGGTAGAGACCTGACGTGGTTGCAGAGGGTTGCAAGGGTATAAAATAGCCAGTACGATAGTAAGAGATGACAGTGTTGTAGGGGTAAGGGATGTGAGACCGAAATACAAAGGGAAGAAGAACTGGTATACCTCATGTTTCCGCCTTCTGGGGTGGAAGGGTGGTTCATGGTTAAACTGATTGAGTCTATGCTCGAGGGTGGATGGGGCAGGGTCCTCTTTTTTGGAGAAGGTCGAGGGAATGATGATACAGTGAAAACCCAGTGAGAATGCTGTTGTGTGTTGAAGGGGAGAGCGCATACAGGCTGCATAAACAAGATGAAAGTATGGGGAATGCAAGAAGGTTTGAGCTAGGATAGAATAAGATGTAAGACAAGGAAATCGCTGCTGCCAGTTGTCATGAAGCAGGCAAGTTGTAGTGCAGTGCAGCGCAGTTACAGCTACAGCTACAGTGACAGCTACAGTTGCAACCGTGAATCAGCCTGCTCATGTTGGGCAACATTTCGACACCGCTTGGCATCAAATATTCCTTTCTTCCTTGATTTGTCGGTGCTGATTCAAAGTCACCGACCGTCTCGTTGAGGAATCAAGATGAGATACAGTCAGGCCAGATGCGGTCAACAACAACTGCCCTGGTGTTGACAAATCGGGCAATGCCAACCAACTTAGGCCGTAACCCTTGCCAGAAGCCACGCCACTCATTCACTGGCTCAATCACTTGACTGGCTGGGAACGCGAAAGACATCATGGCGAAGCAATTGAATGCGACATGATGTTGTGATGGGATAAGGAAAGATGGCCAAGAGCCGAGAAGGTGACAGAATGAGAGATAGACAATACGAACTGAGATAATTACTTGCCTTGGTGATGGGCTTCTAGCCGAACTCGCTGTAGGAAGAACTGGTGATTTTCTCTTAAAACTGCTTGCCGAGGGCATGGGGCTGGTCGGAGTCGCAGTCACAGTCGCAGTCGCGGGTGATGGCACGCGTTCCTTAACAACTGGAGCTGGAGCTGAAGCTGAAATAGACGGTAATGGTGATCGCTGCATCTTAGGTGTTGATGTGACTTGGGGCGCTGAAGTCAAGGACACGCCATTTGTAGCATTGTCAGGCGCGCTCTCAGGAACTGGGCTCTTGACAACTATAGCACGCACAGAGTCAGGCGTAGGAGCACGAATTGGTGAAGCAACCCTCGAGGTGGAAGTCTTGGGAACAGCCGACGATGAGGGCGCGGGCGATATGGGTTCAGATGGCGCAGCTGGCCTAGGCTTGTCGCCGTCGCCGTTGATGTCCATGACGCGACTTCAATAACGCTTGGTCTAGCGATGTTGATTCGTGATATGACTATCGTCGAGTTGATTAAGCGGGCAAAAAAATATAGGCAAGTTGATTGATAGTTGGAGAAGAGAGAAAAATTGGAGAGATTATGGAGATGGCGCGTTTTCGAAAACAGAGTTTCAGGTAGTTTAGTTGTAGGAGGAGGACTTTCGCGTCGAGAATTGCAACTCTCCAACTGGTATGGTATTACCTTGGGTTAGATAGGGAAAACTAGCACGGCTACCTTTTGGGTACTAGATAAATAAGGTCAGGTAAGAATAAAGTTGAAAGTGGATGGCGTGGGAGTAGAAAAGAAAGCAAGGAATGGAGAATCAAGAACCGACACCCTGGTTGGGTTAAAGATCTGGATTCTGGAATCTACCTAGAGCTGGGGAGGGGGGAAAGGGAGACAGGGCTAATAAAGGGCAAAAAGCGCAACTCACTCAACTTGACAAGATAGGAAGTTGATGGGTAATTGAAAGGAAAAGAAATGAGAGAGTGAGAGAGCAAGGTAAGGAAGGGGACAGAGAGTTTAGAAGGATAGCTGATGGGTTACTTACGAGATAGCTGCGCGACTGATGTTAGAGTTAAGAATTTTAAGTTGGCTGAGTCTCAAGTGGCAAGGAGAAGGTTTGAACTTTGAAGTACTCGGTAGGTTGAAGATAATCAGCCGGGGAATGGTGATAGGAAAGGGACACAAAGTGTTGAAGAACAATGAGTGAGTGAGTGAACGAATGAATAGGTCAGGCCAATGTCCCCTACGGATACCTAGAGTCAAAATGGGGGTGCCTGTGGGGCTCGAGAAAAAGCTAAGGCGAAAGTCAACTACGTCGTATTAATTGCCAGGTAGCCAAGACCCCATTGAAGGAGAAGTTTATGTGGAAGCCGAAGAAGAAAAGAGTGGGCTTTTGTAGATATATTCCTGACTAAGAGTTTAGACATCCAAAAAGGGAAGGGAGGGAAATGAATGAATGAAAAGAGAGGTTAGGTGAGTGCATTTGATGATGCTGATGATGATGCGCTTCTGACACTGGCGGAGAAGATACCTCCACTGACAGCGAGAGTGTGTTTTAGTTGACAAGGGAGAAAAGTTCACAGTGGTCAGTCCCCTAAGAGATTGGCTATTTGACTCTGGAGCTTGGGCTTCACCCCTCTTCCTCTTTTCCTTCCACGTCCACTTCCACATACTCATTCAATACGCCAACTAAGGTTTCCGTGCTTTCGCTATTCAGAGATTTGCAGCATCAACCTGGCCGGCTCTGATTGGCTTATTTAGTTTATCAACCTTGATTCAATATCACGCTTGATTGACCTGGAGCAGTAACAGGAACGAACCAAAGAGGCCACGCTATGGGTTCATTATTAATTACGTCTGTGCGGTACTCTGTATCCGTCGAGTACTTAAGCAAATGGTTACTGATAAGTTGCCCACTCATGATATATATAATTTTGAACACATGCCATTGGTATCTCCCCATCCTTCTCCTTCTCGAGCCACATTCTCATTCTCTAATTGTGTTTTCTCTCAATATTCTGCTTTTCTTCGGAACTATCTCTGCTAACTCTCCTTTCCTACTGTTGGCAATGGCTATGATCAGTCATGAAACATCTCATAGGTGGACGCTCTAAGCCAACTCATGCAATACTAGACGCACGCCCGCAAATTCTCTCTAAGCACGCCTATAGGTTCATGGGCCTCTCAGAACCTCAGATAAGGTGTTGGCAACATGCGCATCCGTACCTTGTATTCTGGTGAACTTTGTCCTCTTGTTTTTTTCCTCACATGTCGCGTCCTTATTTGACTGAGCCTTTTTTTACTTTACTTTATTTTACTTTCCCCTCACTTTGTCGCTGCTCATCATTCGTAGAGTTGTGATTGTCACTGACACCGCCTTCTCAACACCAATGCGCTGATCAATAGACATCTAACCATAAAGGCGGAGTCCCACACGGCCAGAAGTGCCAAGGATACGAGATTCCAAATTGACCTTCGACGAATACGGATACAATATGATACAATACCTCACTATTCTACCACTAGTCGTGGACCCGAATCACCCTCTCTTCTGTGACTGATCAACTCAGCCAGCCCAACTCAGAGAGAGGCGGTACATCTACAGCACAACGCACCACAACACTGCCCCCCTAGCAGCAGCGCCAAGAGTTTGATAGCAGCCATGATGCCACGATTTGAATCGATAGTCGCAAGCCCACCTAAGCCAATGGGCCCTGTTCCACATCAGGTTGTCTGTCAGTTTAGTTCCATAGGTATTGTAAGTTCAGCTTTGCTTCTTTGTTTTTTGGCCTATAACTCAAAGCTTCAACCTGATGTATATATACTCAACTCAGCAGTTGTCGCGCTGTGAAACCGAAACTTGTAGTTGTGGCAGCGTCTCAAAAGTCAAAGCATCAGAGAACTTTCCAAGTCTCCTGTTGCAACGCCAGAGCAGAAGAACCTAGGCATGTGGTGCTGGAATAGTGCCAGTACATTATGATTATGATGACATATGCTCCCCTTTCGGGCCAATCAGGTAATAGCGCTGTGTTCCAGCCCAGAACCGTGGCCAATAGAAAGAAACCAAATTTTGTGAGGGAAAATCTGCAATCTCGCAACTTCATGGTTCCAAAACCATCCCGCGCTTATACGCACGCCCTATCTAAAAGCAGATGCACGCCCTCGGTCTTTGCCTGTCTATCCGTGCTAATTATCCGGCTTCTTATTTGGGAGTTTTTGACTGTTTCTTGTCTTTTGAGTACTATCTCTCTTTGTTAGTTGCGAATGATCAAGTGAGATGAGCTGAGCTGTCTCTGACTTTGGCAAACTCATTCACTGGATAACACAGCTAACTCAGCGAGCAACTCAAATACCACACACAGCACTTGTGTCAGGAACACTACACCGCGAAACTGCCGAGGTTGAGAACTAGAACGGCCGTCAACTCAACTGAACTCGTCGGTGTTATAAAGTACTGCGATACTTTAGGGCTATGCCGGATAAATGACTCCATGTCGCTATAACGCCCGCGCCGAGTCTCTGAACAGGATTGCATCGTTGTACTTGCTTACACAAGTTCATGTGAATTCTCGCCAGCGGTTTCTTTCGGTTTCGCCGAACATATCCGTACTTAACAAATTATATCCATCCTGCCAAGTGCTGACTGACCAGAATATGTGGCAATCCTGTCAGACCAGCTTTACCAATGGTGTAACAGTATCGAAGGCAGATACCTCTGTCTCCCCGAGGACGCGCTCACGGCCATGACGCGCAATGCGAAACCAATATCAGCATCTGCGGCGATATTTCTGAAAATACTTTGTGAAACCTGAATGCTTATTTCATGACTCGGTTGTCGTCAGACTCTCACGCCGAAATTCCTGGACAAGGGGGTTACAGCAAACCTCAGAAGTACCTAGCCACAATCAATAGAACTAGTAGTATTGACTTCACTAAATCAACAAATGAATATTAATAAAATTAGAGACAGCCGCATGAGATATCTCTGAGATTTCGACAGTTCACCCATAAACTGATCAAAGATATATAAGACAATACTGAAATTACTGTTGTCCCCCGTATTCTTCTTCAATCCCGAGGCTGGATTCGTAATAACGTAACTAGATCCCCACGATCGGCCCATCTCTTGACCTTTTTGCCCGCATGCCCACCAAGTCCCGACAGTTCAACAATCCCTGCAACCTTTTTCTAATTTAAATTAAACAATCCCTGGATTTTTACGTTTTTCTTTCGATCAAAAAAGAGGAGCCCGGTAATTATTATACCGCAGCGTTGGCTCATTTTCCCTGGCCTCTTCGCAAAATGTACGCGATGAGTTATTGTGCTTCACAAACTATCAATCAACTCGTGCTGCCTAGGAATGATAGCGTCAATTATGCTCCTATATTCTTTAAACTCATCGTGCTTATCTGGTTCCCAGAGAGTTTCCGTCGTTTATGCATACAATTTCCTCATAAACTCTTGTAACGTGGATTGGTTGAAGTCAACTACTGTCTAGCTACCTTCCACAGAAGTGTCTGAGTGTTCATAACATGATGCACCTGTGTGGACAACTAATAGGCACCTTTCTCGGCTACTGGAACAAAGATATTCTGTAGATCTTTTAAGACGGGGGCTTGTATCCCGAGATTCGACGCCAATCGAATGGAAATGTGTTGAGTTCGTCATGTTTGTGAAACGTCTCCCGGGTAGCACTCAGCCGCGACTGGTTGGACTCAGAGGCAAGTGAATCAACGGATGCTCATAGCCGACTGTTGTCTTGAATGTAATTATTTGATCTGCACATTGTCTTGCTTCTGGACCATCAGCAGCATGAACTCTGAGATAATGATACCGCCCCAAGCCTCAACACCAGAATCATACACGTCGGATCATCACCACTGAGCCTTTTCGTCATTACCTATTCAATATACTCGTAATTCAACGTCAATTCATATCTACTGTCATCGCAGTAGCTCCTTCGTACTCCGTCTATCAAACACATTTTATCGTCCTCGTCCTTGTCCACCACGGCCTCTACCTCTACCTCGTCCCCGACCACCACCGCGGCCATTTTTCTTGCCGCCTCTCTGGCCACCTCTGTTATCGAATCTCTCAAACAATCTCTCCTCACCAAACGCTCCCTCGCCGAATCTCATAAAGTTGACAAGTCCTCGATCCACAATCGCAACGAGCACGTTGCGGTGTCCGTGCTTTAACCGCTGATACATACGGCCAGGGCCCTTCCAGGCCTCGTCGGGCGGATCGTGGGGGGTTGATTCCATGAGAGCCTCGATTTCCTCGAGTGTTGGCACGCATGTCTCACCGGCGTCAACCACAGCAATGCGGAAGTTAGGAGGCGGCGGGTTCTTCTTCGAGAACGGAACGCCACCTGATTTCCAAACGTGAAATAACACCCGGTATGGGTCTTGAGGAGGGTGTACCACTGGAGGTGTAGGCAGCGGCTTGTGGCGGGGAAGGAGAGCGAGCTGGTCGTAGATAGGTCTGTAGGCGCGGTAAAGTCCTGGCTGAACAAGAGGGCCTGAAGGATTTCGTCTTGCAGGTTGTGTGTCTGAGCCGAAGAACGAGAACAGCCATTGCCATAGGGTTTCAGACTGAGGTGTTGGTGTGTGTGGTTTGTAGAGAGGAGCGCGCAGAACGTAGAAACCTGCTCGCTTCAGGTGCGCGTAGACCTGGTATTGCGGTAATGTGAGCTTGCCTCTGTCACCCTCATTGCCGATAAAAAGTGAGTATGCTGCTTCTAGACTCAAAGGCAGTCCGGCGTCGTAGTCGTCGAGTCCCATATCCGTCTTTGGTGTATCATCTGTGCTGGAAAGTATATCCTCCAGTTGCCGATTTGGCCACCATAAATCCATAGTCCCTCTCTCAACCAGGTATATAGCCTCCTCGGGCAAAAGCCAGAGCTTTCCCGCGCCCAGATGCTCAATCTTGCTCGGTATCGCCCTTCCAATGTCCTTCTGCCAGGTACCATGCCCATGCTCAACTAGGACAACTCTGTCACGTAGCCACAGCCCCTCGTGCTCACCGGCCTGTTCCAGCTCGGCCCAGCACTCAGGAAAACACCATCCTCGCAGCCAAGAATCTTCGCGATGTATTCTCGTGTAGCCTAGAACATTATCCATGACCTGACGACTCGCCTCGAGAAGACCATCCTGCGCGCGGGTACCATGTGACTCAAAATCCTTCTCGCCTTTGCGGATAGCTTTACTTGACACACCGTGCTTGTCGAACATGGATAGAAAGAGCTTGTAGTCTGGCGCGTCATCGTCGGCATCTTCTGTCGCAGCTCCATTGGTGCCTCCAACTGGCTGGGCCAAGGTATGGGGATTATCGTCGTCGTCAAACGCCATGGTTGAGATTGCTGGATGAAGAGCTTTTCTGGAGCTTGATTTGATATTATATCGCTCTGGACTACGCCATATAATGGCCTCGGAGGGGTAAATAATATTTCGGCGCCAATTGATGTGCAGTGATGTTGAAAGATAATTTGTGCAAGGTTATGAAGCTCTGGTAATGATATTTTCTACCCCACCATTTGCATAGCCATCATAGTTCGAAAACGCTGGACTTACTTCAACAACGAATCATCATCGCTAACTTGGCCGAGTGGTTAAGGCGCTGTGTTTAGGTTCTTATCAGAAACCAAACCCGCAGTGGGAAACCGCGGAGGTTCGAACCCTCCAGTTAGCATTCAGCGATTCAATTCATTTTTTGCTTTTTACACGATATCCTCCCATTGATTATAATAATCACTTGTGGTTGCCTACCCTCCTCATGCGATTAACCGCGGGTTCTGGCATGTGTTCTTCGGACTGACTTCAAATCGCCTGAGACCAGTGACATCCTGGTATTCCCCCACTACATAGTCTCTATCCTTCTTCCCTTTGGCAGTTCTGTGTGAAAGTATATGGATGATTTAATCGTCCTCGCGTCTCTTCATGGTATCTCCATGTTTCGGAACTGCCTCTCACATGTATCACCTACTCGATCTCGGGACCAACACTCTCAGAGGCATAGGACTGCGGACTTGTGTAGGTAATCCATAATTGTCAATATATTCTCATTCACATCACTACTACATGTTAACATTTCGATCGTGCACTTGCCCACTGCCTGTGCTCATTCCCCGTCCTTGTGCCCCCCGAACGCCATTAAATATGCCCTTTATTACAAGAGCACTGTCCCATCTTTGCCGGATCGCCCAAAATACAAACACCAGTGGGTATACTTCAGCTGGAGGGCAACCTTGATTTTACCCAGCTCCGTTCTCTCCAGGCCCCCATACCGTGTTGCTATGCCACCGAATCTTAATATCGGAGTACCATCACGCTCGATCTTAGGATGGGAGATATTTCTCCCGACGCGGCTTCAGTTTGCAGCTCGTTGGCGCAGCCAGCGTTGTGTCGTTTCTGGGTGGGTGTGGCGCATAACAAAAATATTACTTAAAAACAACCCTTAACTTCATCGTTTATCACTCAATGAATGGCTTCTTCTGGCCTCCCACCATGCAAAGTCCCAATGCTCGTAATGAATCGCGGTCGTTGGCCAGAATGACAGTTGGTGCGGGGAGCATGGGATTGTTGGGGTCGACGTGTGAAGCATCCTTTGCGGCTTGTTCGATGGCATCCATTTCTTCCTTACAGGCTTGCTGATCGAGGGGGCAGATGACAATCGGTTGTCGTATGGTTACATCTCGGGCACCACTAAGATTGACCTGGAACTATTAGCGTAAACGAGATCTAAAGACCTCAAGGGCCATACCTTAATAACCAAGTAGAATTCGATTTTGTACAGCGTTGAAGTTGTGGTAAAAGATGTAACTTCGTAAGTAGGAAATTGAGGTTTGCCTCGCTTGACAACGCCTTCTTGATCTCGCAGATCTTTGGAGGGAAATACTAGCCCAACGTTTGTGGCATATCCTGCTTCGGGCATCTTCGTCTTGACCACTTGTACTTGTCTTGAAATCTTGTTGATCTTTTTTGAGGGCTCATCGCCTTCGGGGTTATATGTGATTTCCTCCTCGACAGTCAAGGTGATCTTGTCAATCGTGACGCGCTTTGCCTTACTTAACCAGTCGAGGTTTGGTGAGAGCTTGATATATACTGTAATGGGATCGCTGGGCCCGTAGCTCCACCGTGGTAGATTGATGCCGAGATGCACGATGTTGTCGTTGGTGACGAGCTTAGATTCTGGCTTATTGTACATGCCAAAGGTGGAGAGTGTATCGTAACGCTGCAACGGTATGGGAAATGTGTATTTGTACTGGTTGCTGTGGCCTTGCTGGACCGTGACGACGAGCTCGTAATATGTTTCGGCGGTTCGGCTGGGCAGCTGGAGGGACGCGGGCGGGATACGTCTATTTGATTCCTCACCACCGCGACCGTAGGGTATGAAGAGAACAAACGGCAGATCCATGGCAATTATCCTCTCAGCTTCCTTTCCGGAAGAGCAGCGGAAGAGAAGTTGCTCCTTGCCAACCAGGTCCGTCGTCTCGCGGCGAGGGGCGCCCAAGTGTCGCTTCGTGAGGCTGTCGGCATCGGGGTGTATTGTTTCTCGGCGCTGGAGACATATTCGAACGAGAGATACGGGGACGGGCATGGAAAAGCCCTGGCCAGGGCGAATCTCGACTTTTCCTTCAATGCGCGGCTACAAGAACCCGCCATGTCAGCATGATGAAGCCCGGCGCACTGCAAGCTGGGCGAGGGTGAGGGCGAGGTGAGGCAAGGGCGTAAGCAAAAAAAGGAAGCGCAGGAATTGACATACCAGAGTCGCGGAGATACCAGGATAACCCACGAGAAAGCTGCTGTTTGGAGGACCCGAGACCCTCACACTCGCGGGGCCTGACATGATTGTGTATTTTTGTTGATGGAGCGTAAGGTTTGTGAGGCACTGGAGCCGAGTATCCTAGTGAGGTACGGTACCTTACTACCTAGAGCGGCGGTGTCGAGTGGGGGGAGATGACGGCGACAAGGCGAGAGCGGGAGCGGAGGGGGCGGCTGGCTGAGCCCCGATGGCGACGATAGCGTCGGGCTACGCCAGAGCCAGGTTTGAGAGAGTGTCGCGATGCCAGAATTGGTGGTGAAGGTTGAGAAAATATGCGATTTAGTGGTGTTGCTCATGAATCCAAGCGTTGCTGGGCGCTCGAGGTCTCGCTACTGCAGTGTATAGGTAGTAGTGTAGTGTCGGGTGTGATGGAGGGGAAAGCTTAGACTAAGTTAGTTATGGAGATGAGCCTGGGCAAAACTGCGAAAAGTGGCGGGTGCTCAGATCGGTCCTAGGCTCCAGCTGCAGTACCACTAACGTCCAAAGTACATATGTCCCGTCCCGTATTACTCTAATAGCTGCACTATTCCCAGCGGGCGGGTAGATGTGTTTCTGAAGAAGTGCATCAAACGTTAGGTTGCCAAGATCAGGGTGGGGGGAGTTGATAGGCAGTGCTTTGGTAAACAATTCGAAGCTCAAGCTGAGTTGCAGAGGAGATCGACCAGGCGCAATGTTGTCGAAGATGGTGGAAGAATTATCAGGGATGACGTCTAAGAGAGGGAGAGAGGGAGAGAGAGAGAGAGAGATGTGCCAGGCTCGGACTTTGGGTCTGACCAAGAAGCCAGAACAAGCAGGTCGGTTATGAAAGTGTTTATAGCTGAAAAAGAATGTATGAAGCTGGCCTAGGTCTAGGTCTCCAGGTTCAGGAGGATGGGATGGCAGCCTCCCTCCAACGTGGAGTGCAGAGTGGAGTTTTATGCAGGTAAAGGAAGGGCAAAGAAAGGAACTAGAGCTGAAGCTGAAGCTGAGACCTTGATAGAAACTACGAGAGTCGCCCTGTCGTTGATGCCAAGCAAAGGAATAAGTCAAGTTAGCTTTGCTAGCAAGGTAGTAGAAATGGTCAAAAACAAGACGACCGGATTTTGCTCGGACAATTACTTCATTTAATGTTATTGACCCGCATAGTCAACTAAGCGCCGTTCATTCATTCATTCATCCTTTCTTTCCCAGCGTAATCACTAGGGCCAGGGTCTGTCCTGTCAGCATTCAAAAAGCGCTTTCACCAAATCAGAATATTCCTTCAATCCCATCTCACGCGTGGCAAGGCAGCCTTGAGGGATCTTGAGGCTGACTGCAGTCAATAGCGGAAAATGGGGGTTTGAGACACAGAACAGACAATATTGATTTTCGAATTCTCATACTTACAATAAATGTAAATGCCATGTAAATTCATATCCGTGTTATACCAAACTCAATCTTGTCTAAGCTGCTGGTCCATATCCGTATTTATTGCTTTTATTAAGCTTAAGCTGCAGGATGGTTGCTGCAGCACCGGGCTTGGGTTATGCTGTTATTGGATCATTGATCGTTGATCGATCATTGGATCATCGGATCCATGTGATCGGTTATAAAATGAATATTACCTGCGTGTAACCGTAACCGAGCCTCGTTTTCGCCATGGACATCTTGTCTTACAAGATACATATGAATTTTGCCGAGATACAGGCAATATACCCCGCGTTGTGTAATAACTCTTTACCTTCAATTGAAGCTCCATTCTGTATGCACTTATAGTCTCTTAATACCTAAAATTGCCAAGCATTGACTTTAACTAGGATCGTGGCTGCCGGAAATAAAACAAGGCTTTCTCCACTGTCGTAGATCCAGATCTACATTCTACAGCCAGGGCAGGTACAGGTACCAAGGTAGCCACTGTGGCTGGAACCCAGTGGCCTTATCAACTCCATCATGTTGTATATACTTGTCTGAAACATTCATTCCCCATCGTAAGTCCTATTAAAGAATTACAGGTCACGAATTCAAAACAATAGACAAAATATAAGATCAAAGGCCGTACAAGTCTGCTCTATATCGCAATCCTCCCTCATTCCGAACTTGTTTACAGCTTCATCATCATCTGAGAAACGTCCTATCTACAACCTCCCTCACGACGAAGCCGTTTTCTGCCTTTTTCGTGGACGCAATACCCTTGTAGGAGCCGGAGTCTTTGCTTGAGATTTAGTCCTTGAGCTAAGAATCACTTCTTTTGGCTCCTCTCCTGCTCTCAAGAACACTCGTCTTGACCCCTTTTTGTCGTCAATGGTTAAGAAGCTCATGCCTGGGTCTTCGATCGAGTCCACGTCAACGACTCTTGTGCCATTCTTGTTCTGCTGTTCGAAGATAATCGTCGGGCGATTCATGTTGAGAGCCTCTTTTGGGACCTTCGCACCTTGCACCCTCTTGTGTCGTTCCCAACGTCGCTGACCTGGCATGCGATCCGTCCCTATAACGTCTCGGCGATCTTCGCCAAACCAGAATGTGGACGCTCCGGGAGTTCCTGAAAAATAACACACTTGGAATGGAAGCATTCCAGACAGACGCGTTTCTCTCTGGCCTTTGTAGCGTTCTGCCATTGTTTTTTCGCTGATATCTTTGCCGTCTGTCTCAGCTTCTTTCAACCACTCATCCAACGGTCCACTCTGGTCATCAGAAGATTGAATCAGGACCAAGACTGGAACTATACCGCCCAACTCTCGACGATCGTCTGGGTAGACTGGTTTATCTCCCACGAGTGACTCTCCGTTATGTCTACAGACATCGACGCGCATCTCGTAGATCTTGGCGACTGCAGATGACGTTGCTGTGTTAATTGGGGTGTGTGTTTGCGCCGGGTATGTCTTTCGATCAATACCTATATAATCCAAGTCGGTATTGTGCAGACAGGGATGAGTTGCTCCGCTGTCAAGCTGCATGTTGAAGCACACACGGGGTGCTGCCTTGTCGTTGTCTTCGTCCTCAACAAAACAGGTATCTCTCTCCTCTGATTCCTCTTCTCTCATTTTTGTCTGATACAGGAGGACCTTTCCGCTCTTCCTACGATTAGGATCATCTAGTCTTTTGGATATGCGACTATGGAAGCCCTTTACGCGCCGAAATCCCATGTGGATATTCCACCCGAAAGCTTGGTACCCCGTCAACATACCGCAGTGTTCCGAGGGCTGCGCCCACGTCGCCGCCATGAGCTGTTCGGGTTGATAGTTGCCCCTTGGTGCAAGAGGAGGCTCATACCATAGCCAGCCTTCACCGTACAGGCTATGGTATCGTTCCATTCTCTCGTCTCGATCGAGAGTGAAAGATTCATACGAAGGGCAGAAATCTGCTACCCGACCCGCGTATAGGAGTGTCCATTTGTCCCAGCACTTGATCGTCCCAGTGCGGTAAGCTTCTATGGCGGCGCGGATATTGATATCGCCAGCTGGGCATTCGCTTCGGTCAAGAGATGTTGTAAGAAGTCTTATTCGCTCTTGAACTCGTTGTCTTTGGGTCGACTGAAGCTCGTCACTGTAAGGTTAGAATTGAGTTTTTTGCGCTGTAGTGGGCTCACTTACACAGGCATCGTGTTCTCATCCGTCTCTTCCATTTCTTCGAATTTTCGACGGACATTTTCCAGCTGTCGTTCGAGACCAGATAAATCTGCCAGTGGCTGAGATTTGCGTGTCTTCTCGACAATAGCTTCCCACTGGAGGACAGATCGCTCCGCTTCTTCAATCCGGCTAAGATTATTCCCAAGTGAGTCGCCGATGGCCAAGGGCGGTTTCCAGTCTGGAGGGATAACTCTCCTGGTCCTTCTTGGAGGCCCAACGGTGATGGAAGACAATTGCACAGATGTTTCAGACGAATTGGATTCAATCCCCGTCAGCTCTCTCGGGGAGTCTTGTCGACCATGTGCTGAAGCTATTGTTGATGGCACTTCTCCAGCGTGATGCCCTTCTTGCGGAGATTCCGTCTCGTGGTTTCCTTGGAGCCGCTGGCTTCGCCTGACCCTGCGGTTGATCTCTATGTTAGCTGGATCTCGCCCGGGACGCCATTCAAGAAGCGACACATCATCTGCGGTTTGGCGCGACTTGATACTGGCACCAGGAGCTTTCTTGGTGTTTGTTATGTGTTCATCCGCCATGCTTGCAGAAGTGCCTTGCTATTGATTAAGCTGATGGAAGAATGAACGGGTAACAGCTGACTCTCAGCTCATTTCATCAATATTTTACGTCGACATTGAGGATTTAACTCGCTAAGCTTAGTTTGATCTTCCTTTGTCCTCTTCCAGCAAGTAATGCCACCATCGTGGATTGTGGCGTCTTGTTGGCAAACAAAGAAACACCAAACTGCAAAGTCAAACACTCCCTTCACTCACGCGCCGCAAGTGATTGTGCCTAGACGCAATGACCATCTCGCAAGTATATTTTTGGCAAAATGAGTGAGAGATCTCTGTACCTATTGCGGAGCGGACACGCCGACCTCTTTGTTATGCCTATTGTGAATGAAATCCTGGCAAGTGTCAATGCCCAATATGGTTCCTGAATGCGTTCTTTGTCTGTTTCTTGGTATGAGAAAAGGCTTTGAGCTTGTACAGATCAAATGAATAGGCCCGCCAGCGATCTCTTCTTTCATTATTATTCCTCCCACTCTTTCTGGTTCTCTATTTTCCTTCTGTTCTTTTGCAACTTCCTCTGAATACTGATCATAGACCTCTGTCTTGACAATTGTCATTACTAGTCTACTGGCCCTACGATACATCTGACACATATTGGAACTGGTCATTCATACAAAATGGAAGAGCCAGTGGATAACGACAACATTCCGCGGATCCCTGGGTTGAACCTGGTTCGTGATACGTCTTCAGCGGCTGCGCCGACCACTTCTGAAGGGCAACGTATTAGCCGTCGATCTGACAGGATTCAGAAGCTCTTAGGTATGGGAAATAATACAACAGTTCCTGAATCGGTACACTGATCTTCTTTAGAAACGATTCTTCTGACTTTCCGATACGAGTTCGAGAGTCTCCCTGTTGAAGCTCAACAAGCATACTCGCGGTTCCAACAGAACCAAAATTATGTCGAGTTTGGTGCCGCTCTAAAGCTGTTACTTCTAGAAGAGCGTCTCGGCACATTCATGAAAGGGTCTCCTGCATTCTTACATGCTGCCGTCGATTTGTTCGCTAGCAGATATCCTCACTTGGGCCTCCGGGAACTTCTTGACGGTATGACAAGTTCTGATTATAGAAACGCCGTATGCTAACTTTGCGTTAAAGGGGTAGAAGGTCGCACCAAGGCAGGCCCGTCGAGGCCAAGATCATCTCGCCAGTCTTCCAGGTCTCCACGTCGTGCGAAAAAGGAAGCATTGCGCAAAACCGAGGACCAGCAAGCTGGCGAGCCTTTGACCGGTAAGTCGTTCAGAACTGTTGCGGAAAGAGTTAAAACTAACATGTTTCCAGTCCCCTCTAACGCAGCCTTGGCTAGAACCCTTACCGTGAGTGCGCGAAGCCGTCAGCGAGGTGGTGGGCAGCAAGAGTCACTATCTTGGACCAGACTCGAGCCACGTCCTTTCGCACAACCTCCCCAAGACACCGCTGGCTCTTCGGCTGCGGTTCCTCCCGTCAATGTTGAGCCTACCGAGTTCACCGAAACTCGGGAGCAGCAACAAGGTCAACCTGCCACTACTAGGATGCCGTTGATACCAGGTTTTACGATTAGTACTCGGACTAGCACTGGAGCACCTGGAACTGAAGAGTCTCGCCGAGCCCAAAATGAGGCTTGGCTCAAAAACTACATCAAGTCCCGCGGTGGTCTCAAGCTTGACTTCCACCGTTATCCCTATAAGGGATGGAAAATTGAGCAGCCCAGAATCCTTCTCCATCGAGCCAAGAACTTTCTTGCTGATGAGGACACTGACCGGACTTTGAACTGGGGCGAGAAATTTGCAGAGTTGACCGAGTATTTCTCATACCTCCTTTACAATTGGCAGGGCGAAGATTGGGGCGCCGAGCTCCACGAAGTTATTGATATGCTTCATACGCACTGGATCTTCGAGCAGTATCACTATGGCACGGCTAAGTTGAACCTCAGTTTCAATGACGTGTGGCCGAAGCAGAATAAGAGACGGCCTTCAATTCCGAGTGCTGAGTTTGCTACTGATGGTTCAGGAGACGACGACATGAGCGAGCGAACTTTGCTTCTCAACCCAATCCAGCCTGCCATTGATGTACACTACAAACTGCCTGAAAATATTCTCAAGAAGTATGTCAGCGTATACACATCAGAAGTTCCATACTTTTGGGGCTTTGCACCTGATCCTCAATCTCCACCCCACGAACTGGTCAAGATCGAGAACAACGCTTTTGAGAAAAGCCTCTTCTCGGGGATGGCAGCTACAGACAAGAACATCAAGAAGGCCGAGGCCGATTTCAAGAAAGAAGGCGACAAAGAGCATTTCAGCACCAACGCATTCAATGCATTTGCCACGCTCAGGGGAACTCAACGAGCAGCTCTTCAGCAAACTCTTCGCTTTATGGATAACGCAGAAAACCTTGAAGTCTGCAATGTCTTCCGTACACTTGTTCTTCCTTCACCCAAGATCCCGGAGAAGCCGGACGCGGGTATCATTCTCCCTGTCATGCAGGTAGCTGAGGTTCCTAAGGGGGAGTCTCGTGACCCTTTTGGTTTCACCTTGGCACTCAAATCGTTCACTGACTGGGAGCGTTACTGGGCAGATCTTGTGCGTGAGCATTCTGTCAAAGAGTGCCATGGCCATAAACGATGGCTTGAGCGTAAGGCGCCTATCATGGATCTGCCTCAAAACTGGAGAGGACCGATTAATCATGATTACTTGGACCACGAGATGAAGAAGTCTTTGACACTTTTGAGAAGGTGTCAAACCCTACGGGAACGAATCTCGCTCCAGAAGGAAAGAAATCGGCGTCCCTTCTTGTCCAATGTTTTCCACTTCTTGCTTGAAGGAATCTCGGGCATGCGATGGGAGAAAACGGAAATAGAGTTCCAAGGGGAAGACTTCGTGCCTGGCACCAAACAATTGGCTCATATTCGACCTAAGGAAGAAGACTTCTTGAGACTTCTAGGCGACTACTCTATTGATTCATCCACGATACACCACAGCACCAGAGCTGAATATACCAGCCCTCGCTCCAAGATTTTCGAACAAAGAGTTATGAGAATTCTGTATGGAGAGGGTATAACGGATGTCCCATGGTATTCTTTCGACGACTTCCTGGAGGAGCTCAATCGAGATTGCTATGGCCCTGTGAAGCACTGGAGATTCTCCAGTGACGAAGCGGAGTATGAATTGGATTTACTGGAGAAGAAAAACATTATTGAGTGAGTTCCCCATGTCCCGACTCTCCACAAATTTGGCACTAACGTAGTTGAAGACGAGACGAAGATGGGGGCGTGAGCCGTGCCAGAGCTGATGTTCATCCTGAACATCGTGTCAGGTGGCTCGACACAGATTGGGACCTAGATGCATTCTTGCGTGGCTTGGAACTCGGAGGTGAAGAAAACTCGGGCAATACTAATCCCAGTAAGGACGTTGAGTCGGACGTTGATACCATGTCAACCAAGATCAGCATCCCCGACTCCAATGATTTTGGAGATTACATGTTCGGACTACCCAATATCGAGAAACTCCGCACCTGGGAAGAGGTCGTTGACGGCGACAACGGGGCTATTTTAGAAGATCTTCCGAGAACCCAACAGTTCTTCAGACGCCTCTGTTTCCGACTTGGAAAAACCATTCATGACCTGAGCAAAAAGCGGGAGGTGTACAGGCGCCAACTTACTCGCGACCAGCGTGAGCGTAACCGCCAGTTTGTCCACGAGGTCACGCGCCTATGGCACCTAGATGCCGAGCAGAAAGCGTTTATCAAGAGTGAGGATCCCCCACTAGAGGAGAAAGATATCGTTGAGATGGCAACGCAAGAGAAGATTGCACCTTGTGGAGAGGATTATATGGATGTGATTCGCAAGGGGATCATTCGCGAAGCATATGAAAACAAGAGCATGCTGTTTCCAAACCGCATCTATCGTCACGTAGGCGATAAAGGTAAGATGATAGAGGCGCCCCGTCGTCGTGAGCCGGTCTGGTCTTTTGCGCACCCTGAACGAAAGGGTAAGGCGCCGCGATACTGGGACATCAACCGCTGGCCTGTTCATCTGCAGAGCGAGGAGACAGCCGCCAGTATCAGATCCTCTGGACCTCAAGGTCCCCCAAGTCGGAGGAGGAAATCGACCAAGAAGCCAAAAGTCTCATTCTCCTCCCCTTCTCCCCCAGGGGCTGAGCTGCAGCCTCAAGGTGAACAAGAGACACAGTCCAAACCAAAGGCACCTTCACCTGACGTTACTGAAGAGATGGATACAGAGGTGGATACATCTGGCTCCCAAGTTCAAACTATCCCAGGGCTTGGCAAGAATTTTGCTGTCACATTTGACGACTTGGCAGACTCTCGTCGTACCTTTACACCTGGTCCTCCACGATACTTCCTCGGCGATACGCCTCTGCAGAAGCAGGCTATTGAGAACTTTGTTAAATCAGGTAAGTTATACCCTCCATCTCGAGATATACCATGCTAATATCTTGTTCTAGGTATTGAATCGGCGGAACCGCGCACATGGCGGCAACGCTTCGGGGGTCTCTTCGGCCGCAGAGAGGTTCCAGATGATCCTACGGCTCTGCCAGAAGTCGATCCTCGTAATATCCCCAAGAGTAGACCTCGAACTGAGTCGTCTGAGGAGTCAGAGGATGAGTCTTCTGAGAAGGAAATGCCAGATGCTGACGACGGCGACGAGGATGACGACGACAGAGATATTGAAATGGAGGAAGTTGAAGCACAGCTCTACAGTGAGAGCGAAGCTGGTCCATCCTCAGCATCACTCTTCACCCGTGCGGAAGCACCTTCACCAATGGTACCGGCATTCCCACGCGGGACAAACCCTGGCTTCGAGTCACCTCCAGTGCCTGGGACGTCTGCAGAGGAAGCTAGCGATGAAGAGGCACCAGCCATGACCGTGCGAGCAGTCGAGGAGTCGGGGTCTAGACGATCTCGGCCTTGAAGACCTAGTATGGGGGGAGGAGACTAAGCCCAAGGCGCCTCTACACCCCGGTCAAGAGGAGGAAGATGCAGCCTATGACACAGAATCAGAGGTGTAATTAATTTCGTTGTTCTGAATGGTCGGCAGGATTTACTGGTTTGCTTTCATGTTAGTCTCTGGTAAGGGTATCGGGTGTCTTGGTTAGTAGACTCTTTAATTGGGTAGTCAGTTTTTGTATCTTTTGCTCAACATTGCTAGTTTTCACCAAGTCTTCTTCACCACACGTAGGATAGATAATGAGGAACGGAGATATCTTGTTTTGCAAAAAAACGCAACGTGAAGGATGAAATTTCTTTTCATTCAGACCTTAAGCCATTATCTCTCATAGCATCAGATCTGACGTGTCCTAACCGGCCAACCTATGCAATGAAACACAAGGGATCGTGACTCCGCGGCACCAGTTTCCAGCTCCAATCATAAAACTTTCCCACTCTAGTATCGCTTACCCTCCCGCAGAGTATCGGCGTACTCGTCCAGAGGGCTCTTGATGAGCTTGGTCTCCTTCCAGAGACTGGGGGTGAGGAAACCGTAGGTGTTGGAGACAGCCACGAATGTAGCCTTGAGGGTGTTCTCGAGGGTCTTTGTGGAACCGGCGGAGGAGGTGTAGGCGTCCTCGACACCGGCGAGCTGGAGGAATCGCTTGACAGCGGGAGAGGCAACGAGGCCAGTACCACGGGGAGCGGGGATGAGCTATTGCACTTGTCAGTTACTTTCGTCCCTTTTTCTACCCGGGGGTTTCCCCCTGTTTTTGTTTCTTCGTTATACGTACGCGGACGGTGACGGAACCGCACTTGCCGGACTCCTTGCAGGGCAGGGAGTGAGGCTGTCCAAGGTTGGTACCCCAGTAACCTCGTCGGACGGGGATGACGCTGAGCTTAGCGATGATGATGGCGGCACGGATGGCGGTAGCAACCTCCTTGGAGGTCTTGATACCGAGACCGACGTGGCCCTCGGAGTCACCAATGATGACAATGGCCTTGAATCGGGTTCGCTGACCGGCACGGGTCTGCTTCTGGACGGGCTTGATCTGTAGTTTGTGGAAAGGCACAAGTTAGCAAGCCGTTTTGTTTTCTCCACCAATAGTGCCCTTTTTTTTTCTTTTTTCGCTTGCGCTTCCTCGTGTGAAGCTATTCGCAAAGCTAAAATTCAAGGGAATCTCTTGTTTCGCACCTTCATGACCTCATCCTTGAGCTTGGGCAGGAAGTTGTCGACAATCTGGTACTCCTTGATGGGCAGAGAGTGCAGGTAGATCTCCTCCATGCTGTTGATCTTGCCGGCCTTAACCAATCGACCGAGCTTGGTGACGGGCTGCCACTCCTTCTCCTCGTTCTTGCCGCGACCACGACCACGGCCACGTCCACGTCCACGACCGCGGTCACCGCCTCGGGATCCGAAACCACCGCCGCGAGAGCTTGCTCCTCGGTCAGCCATTGTGAAGAGATGTGTTGATTGCGCTGGTGGGTGCGAGGGGGAGAGAGAAATGGTCTGCGCAAGAGCAAAGTGTTGGTGTTGTCCGGCGATGCTGGTAACTTTTTCGCTGGCGGGGTTCTCTCACACTTGGGAATTTTTGGGGAATGTGCCCGTTAGCGAGCCCTAATGCGTGGGTCTGCCTTGATTGTTAGGCCGCTATTCTGACATGAGAATAGTGGGGTCGATTCTTTGTCGCCCTTCACCTGGGCGCTCACCGAAATGTGCAGGGGTTAACACCGTATATCTCGGTCAGATCAGTCAATCCACCCCGCCTATGATTGATCGGCGAACTTCAATATCCTGGTCTCGAAAATACGCAGTACATCTTGTTGGAACTTGTAGGTCATCGAGACTAAAAATTGGTCAACTTATCAGTCAATTGCTTCGCATATATACTCAACAACTACGCAGCAAGTGTACAAGTGTGGGGATTCTAGGGGGACAACCAATAACCGTTTTTCGCACCCGTTGACAGGAAACATGAGCGAATGCTGACACTTAAAAAAAACACAGAGAGGAATGGGGGAATGCATGTTCTTCGTACACGCCTGGCAACTCCAGGCCATCATTAATGAGGGTATCGCAGCTCAACTACCTTGTATTCCGCCTTCTTTCAGACCAAACAACAAGCCACATTACTCCTTCGTTGTCTTGATAATCAAGTTCTCTGAAGGCTTCACTCGCTGAGCCCACTCGCTGTGATATCAGTTAGCGCAATTCTGTATCGTGGACCTTCTAAACAAGGTACTTACGTCCAGCTACCGTCGTAGACCTTCCTTGTCTCGGGAGATCCAACACCGGCCTCCTCAAGAGCAGCGTCGATGACACAGGCAGTCACACCAGTACCGCAACTTGAGATAATGGGGCGCGCGGAGTCAATGCCCTTCTCCGCAAACACCTTTTTCAGTTGATCCTTAGGGAGGAAAGCCTTGGTCTGAGGGTCAAGAACGGCACTGATGGGGATGTTGATAGATCCAGGCATGTGTCCTGAGGAGAGGCCTTCACGGGGCTCAGGATCTTCGCCAGTGAAACGCCCTTGAGATCGAGCATCAATAATCTGCACACCCTCAGCGCCCTCCTTGTTGTGATCATGTACAACTTCCTTGACGTCTTCAAAACTTGCAACACGGTTCTCCTCCATCTGGGGGATCTGATATGGGCCACACTCAACGGTGTAAAGTTCTCCTGTCTCGGTGGGTAGGCCTTCTTCCACCCACAGCTTGAAGTTGTTTAACACGTGAACCTTCTTGTGACCAAAAACCTGCAATGTCCAACCCACACGAGGAGCACTGAAAATACCAAGCTCCTTAGTGTCGTATACAACCACTGTGTCTTCTTTTCGGATACCAAGTTCGCTCATGGCGGCAGCGAAACCTTTGGCGTTAGGAAGCATGTGAGGATATGGGTTGCGCTTGTCAATGACCTTGTCGAGGTCGAAGAAGCGAGCTTTGGGAATTCTCTGTTCGCGGAATGTTTGGATACCGGATCGGTCATCGTTGGGAAGAAACCATGATGCGCAGAGAGGGATGACTCGAGGATCGGGGCTGATCGGCGACGGAGGGTTCTTCTTGAGGGCTTCGTGAAGCTCTTTCGGGGAGACGAGGTAGGATGAGAGGTTTCGGCGGGTGAGGAGGACAGGCCGGAAAACCTGGGAACCCCATTGAGGAATGCCAGCCCTTGTCGAGCGGCAGAATGCGACAGACGCCATCCTGAGTATGGGTTGTGTCGGTTTGTGGGGAGGAAGGGAGAGTTTCGTAGGTTCAGGGACTTGACGTAGGGCAAGTTCCTGAGAGGCTGATAAGAGTCAGAGCCAGACGAACTGTGCAACAACGGGCCAGTTGTATTACAAAAAGAAAAAAGAGACAGTTAGCAAGAGGCTTAACTGTCTGTCTGCGTCCGCATCAGTCAACGGGGAAAAGAGTTCGGAGGTTTAGTGGTAGAGTTTGACGTAACTCGCGAGGTGAGGTTGATGACGAGAGGTTAACGACCAATCGAGTCAACTTTGAATGGATGATAGCAGTGCGGGCGAGGTTGGCGAAATCCTCTGCCCAGGGAGCTTGGACCACCTCCATCAGTCATACCTAACGGGTGGGTTTCATTATGACGGAGGCGTCTTCAGCGGGTTGCAGCTTGTTCAGTGGGTGGCTTCCAGTGGATGAGGTCACTGAAGCGCCAACCGATAGACGCCCGCCTACCCTTATAGTCAATGGATCCATCCATTTCATGGGACCCTCTCTTGTTAACGGCCAACCTCAGCTCATGTGCCTCCCCGCGTCTGCGTTAGTGCTTCAAACCTTGAACCTTCTTCCCTACCAGAGGGTTGCACGGGCATTTTGAGTCTGGATCTGTCTTTTTTACGGATACCCTAGATCTTGATCTCTCTTTTCACCGATCTTGTGACTCAGCATCTCGCAGAACACCATGAAAGTCACCATCAAGGAGTGGAATACGGTCGCTACCTGGCGCTGGGACATACCAGAGGACGATGTTTGTGGTATATGCCAGGTCCACTTTGACGGGACGTGTCCAACATGTAAATACCCAGGCGACGATTGCAGCCTGTGTAAGTAAACATCAAATCATCGTGTCTTGATGAACGAACTCTACTGACGCAATCTCAGTGTCGGGCAAATGCGGCCACAACTTTCACATGGTTCGAGTTAACCTTATGTATTTCTATCGTGTGTATTACTGACTCAGTTTGTGTTTTTGATGTTTAGCACTGCATTTCTGAATGGATCAAGCAAGAGTCATCGAGGGGGCAGTGTCCCATGTGTCGTCAACGTACGGGCCCCCAGCCTAATTTTCCTGCTGGCGATGCTGTAGCTGACGTGATGTACAGGTTTTGAATGGACTGAGCAAGTAAACGAGACGATTCCGCAGGCCGAGTAAGGGTGCTCATACGTTATGTTATGCAAGGAGTCAGGCGTTTTCCAGGCAGACAGAGTTACGGTGCTTAGGTGTCGGGCATACTCGTTAGCAAAGTGAACAAATTTGTTTCAGGTCCTTACTGGTCTATCCACCACACTTGAGAGTTGTACTTCAAGCCACGCACAGCTTGGTGCAGTGGGAGGTAGCCCTCAGCCTCACTCAAGCTGACTGCCTCATTCATCACTCAACCCTTGATAGCCTTTTTGTTCCCGCCGAGTTTTTGCGAGTCTTGAAGTTTAACCTGTAGTCGATTTTGAGGTACCTATGTTGATAATATGTTTGTTCTGTTTTGTATTGTCTTCTCTATCTCGAGTTTCGTTGAGTTTCTCGTCATACGATTGGTCAGTCAACTAATTGTCTTCAACATCAGCAAGTTTACTATCTTCATCACGAATTCATGGCTCCAGTAGGAACAATGACTCGCCAAATATGCGAAAACCTTGTTCGCCCAAGCCCCTCCCTTGGTGAGATTCGATGCGACTTTGAGGCTCTTCAGTTGCATTTTCAAAGGGGAGCAGTTGCCTTGTTCGCCATCTCAGCTAATGTAGTTCGCAACCAACTACATTTGCGCGGCTGCGCAACAGGCGTCCAGGCTTAAATATGCCTGAGCCCCCAACATTTCGCCTTCGCTTTCGCTTCTCGTCAATTCCCGGCATCTATTTGCGAGCGAGATCTTATTTCCTGTCCGTTTAATCTAAGAATTAGTTCAAAGACTTATAGTCTTTCATAACTACCTAGTGATCCTTCTCGCCACGGACATACCCGTTAGAACAGCAAGCCCCAATAGAACTGCGCCTCATATCAACCAAGACGGCCTCTATCTACACCAGCGTCCAATACAACGTTTCAATGTTCACACATCCGACGCCAGAACCAAACATCAATACCCAATCCCGAACCCAGAATGGCTTCCGTAACAGGCCGGTGGCCAATAACCACCGGGCAGTGCAAGGGAATCTAAGCACACTCAACACCAATCTTTTCCCACAGTATGAATACTATCCCCTGTATGGATATACTTCGCCATCTCCATTTCCCATGAGTTCCTCGTCAAATGGATACTCAAGCTTCGACTCAACCCCTGTCAATCAGCACAACTTCAATGCTGGGCCTATTTTCTCAGCTGTTGGCGAATGGCCATGGACGGATATCAATGGGGGTGCATACTCGCAAGTACTCATGCCCACGGGTCGAAGCGAGGCCAATGGGTTGACCATGCGAAGACTACGAACTTGGGTATGGTTCATTCTTAGGGCCAGAGTAGTACTTCGCAATGCACGCCGGAAAAATGGGCGACGGCATAAGGCTTTGGATTGCCCATCATGGTCTGCTGGAACCAATAATGCCAACCATCCGGGGTCATCGCTGAGTCTGTCTGACTGGGATGACACGGCCTTCAATCTCATGGTCACTGACGACCAGGTCTATCTACGCGGCTCGATTGGTCTCTCCAGTACTATGTTCCCGGACAATGTCCTGGGCATAATGACAGGTGATGGAAATTCCCTGCTCCCGGAACAAACGAATATACCTCGACAAGCCACAGTTTTGTCCGAAGAAGAGGTGCTCCCGTACCCAGGGCTGGGGTCTGCGATAGGGCCCGGCGAAGCAACGCCATCTGAGAGTGTGTCGAGTCAGCATCAGCCTGAGGTCATTTCTTCCAGTCGCTCCAGAAAGCGTCCAGTCGATTGTCTAGACCTCGGCGATTCATCAGCTGAAGAGACTGAGCACAAGCCGAGAAACAAGAAACGATCGGTAAAGGCTTCAAACTCAAACTCACCACTATTTGCGTGTCCATTCTACAAGCATGACCCAGAACGGTATGAAGCCGCGAGAAGCTGCTGCGGACCCGGGTGGTCAACGGTTCATAGACTCAAGTAAGCAATCCTCGTCTGAAAACACGAGAGTTGACTAACGCGACCCTAGGGAACATATCTTCCGAAGCCACAAGCTCCCAGAACACCAATGTCGTCGCTGTCTCGAGGTTTTCGAAGGAGAAGTCGCTCTCTACGAACACTCGAGGTCCCCTGATGGTTGCAAGGTCCAAACTTGCAATTCTCAGGAGGAAGGCATCGACGCAGGTCAAGAGAAGCTGCTGCACGTCAGGGCCAAGAAACGCAGAAACACGGAATCCCATCAGAAAAAGGTTGAGGAGGATAGATGGAACGAGGTCTACAGGATCATATTTCCAGATGAGGACCAGGTGCCCTCACCATGTAAGTGCTCAGCCACTTACATCACATCAGCTCAACGCTAATATGATTTAGACTACAATCGCTTGCAGAAACTTAGTGTTGATGAGTTTGGAAGAAAGATGGTTGCTGAGTTCGATAAACGCATATTGGCTGAGCTAGACTCCGCGACTATGCAACCGATCTCGTTGACTACTATTGCAAAAGCCACTCGTAGTGTGGTGTTGAAGAGTATAGAGTCTTGTCGGCAGGATAACGAGGATTCTGACAGCCAACACTCACAATTGACTGCTTCTCAAACTCAAAATCTTCGGTCATCTCTAGGAGTTGGATCACACTTACATGGCGTCAACAACGATCTTTTCAGAGGGCTTGATAGCGAGAAAACCTTGACACAGATGATACCAACGTCTGACATGGGACTTGGTCCGATCATGGTTAAAAGTCTCCCGCCAATCTTGGACCGCATAGGAACAAAGTGTGATATAACTAACGCTCCTGTCGATACGAATAATCACAGCAGTGCCGCGGGCGAGCAATCCTCCAACCCTTCCAAAGAGCTTGACAATGGTCGCGGTTCTCGCTTTATTTCCCGTCAGCCAAAGACTCTGGACCTGACTGCTAAGCAGTCATCTCGTCCTTCGTCTTCTAATCACTCAGAATATGGCTCCGATGAAGATGATTCGGCGGACAGCACCCACCCATCGCCTAGCACCGACCAGGAGTCTTCGGCATCAGCTGTTGCGGATGCAGAGAGCAGATCGAATGAAATACTTGATACACTGATGTCTAAACTCCAGGAGTGGCTAGAGATTAGACTGCGACAACATGGGATGCAGGATGCTGAGCAGGGTTCAAATCACGAGTCTACATCAGCAATAATCTTCCTTGGTCACTCTGGTGCATCTTCTTTGGGCACTCGAATACCGAAACGTCGGAGGAATGATTCTAATGATGAGCTTAGCGATGATGATGATGGAAAAGAACTAGACCATAATCAGAAGGAAGGGAAATCGGGCGGTACCGTCGAGTCCCGATATGTCTGTCCCTTCTTCAAACACAATCGTGAGAGATATCAGACATCTCAGTGGAAAAGCTGCTGTTGGCCAGGCTGGGTCTCTGCTCACCGAGTCAAGTAAGTCGGCTGTGCATCCGGGACTTATTACTACCTATGAAGAGTCATGCTAACAATACGTCTAGGGAGCACCTTTACCGGCGCCACATGTTCCCAAAATTCCGCTGCAACAGGTGTAGACAAGATCTCAAGTCATCCGCTCGCCTCAATGAGCACCAGAGAGCCGATATCATCTGCCAGAGACAGAGTGAAGAGCCTGAGGAAGAGGGTATCGACGAGGAAAAAGAAAAGCTACTGCGTGCCAGGAAGAGAAAAAATGGAAAGTCTCGACAGATGGGAGAAGAGGGAAAATGGGTCGAGATTTACAAGATCCTTTTCCCTCATGATGACCCAGTACCTTCACCATGTAAGTTGATGACCCGGAGAATACAAGCTATTGGTCTAACATATCTCCAGATCCTGAACTTTGTCCTGTCCAACCAGGCCGAGAAGGCGAACACCTTGGAGCCAATGTCTTGGACAGTTTCGAGAACTTCGCACGACGAGAATTCTCGAGACGCATGCGACCTCGCATGGAAAGCCTAGTTGACGGCATACTTGAGGAAACACTCACATCCCAAGCCATCACGGATATCGCCAACAATGTCCTGCAAGGCATAATGGAATCTTTCCGCGCAAGCCAAGACCAGTCAAATTGTCAGCCCGAAGCTCAAGGATCGCCTCCGAGGAGCCCCAGTCCTGAGAGGATGCCCTCTGATAGCTCTTCGCATGCACCTCAGGACAATGGTGACTTTTACATACAAGGCAGCACGTTTACGGACTTCGATATTGACTTGGCCGAAATCTTGAACTGCAAGGATGGCTATCAAGCAATGGATTTTACATATTGGCCAACTGGAGTTGAAGTCATAGACGCTTTTCAGCCCACGGGTGTTTAGATGGGGAACTACTAACGAACCAATGTCAAAGTCATCATGGAGGGTCTTGCTACCAGAAAAGTGTGTAGAGCATAAACCGAAGCTCATAACTAATGTATTCAAAACCTTGGCCAAAAGGGGGAATCATCAATGGAACTTTCGTGATGTGTCGTGAACCGTTCTGAATTTGTTAATATTTCGAGCCTTTAGACTCTTTCTGTAATCATGCTCTACCAACGACCTTTATGATCCAATACTTGAAACACTGCGGCTCCTAGGGAGCCCCGTCTTGACATTACAAACCAATCCCTCTCCTCTCTAAGACTCCGGGACGTAGACACCATCCTTACACAAAACAACCACCTTCTTGAAGAAACGACGCCATTCAAGAGGATCACCCTTAACCTTGACGAAGCGCACATCAAGAACCTCTGTGCTGTCAGGCAGAGGCTGGCGATCGATTTGAATCTCACCGTGCAGACTTTGCTGACGACCATCCAGGGTTTTGACCTTGATCATGGCCACATGATTTCCAGTGGGGTTGGGCGAAGGGGTTGCTACGGGTACGTTGAGATGATGGAGAGCGTCGCTGAGCATCTGGATGATGTGTGCAGGAGGGACGGCCGAGAAGAAGCGGGTGAGAGCCTCTGGCGGACAAATGTCGCGGAAACGGCGGGCTTGTTGAGTCAAAGACAAAGATGGGCCTGGGGTTTGGGAGAACTGAGACATGGATGGTTCATCAGCAAGTGTATCGAGCATCGCACGACGAGCATCATGGGCGTGATGTGGAAGTGATGATGCGGGTGAGGCCACTGAGCGAAGTGGTGGTCGCTCCCAATCCCATTCCTTATCAGCGATGGGTGTCTCGGGCTGAGTAGAAGAGAACTTCCCCACGTTCAGACCAGTGTCGAGGTCCATGTGGTCGCTAGAGGAAGGCTGCGATGTCGGTTGATGGCTAAAGTCGATACGGAGATTCTCCAACATCTGTGTTGCCAGATTGATGGGGTCTGTGACTCGACCATCGGCACTAAGGAGGGCATTATGTCTCGTATACCATGGATGCTGGCGTACTTGAGTAAAGGTAAATCGTTTTGAAGAGTCGATACTCATCATTCCTCGTAGCAATGAGAGTGCTGTTGCGGGAATCCTCCCCCATAGAGCGTCGGTGCTGCGGCCAGATGTTCGCACATATTCTTGAAATTCCCAGCTACCTTGCGAGGGCTCGTCCCAAGGTGTGTTGCCGATGAGTAGGACGAACAGAATGACACCGCATGACCACACGTCGACCAGATCCGGAGAGTACTTGGCAGCGTTTGGTGCCTTCTTGTCTGCTCGTCCACAGGCAAGAATCTCAGGGGCGATATAAGGAGGACTGCCACATAGGGTTGAGCTCTGTTTCCGTTGACCCTTGTACTCAAACATGGTGGCCATTCCAAAGTCAGCAAGCTTCAGAGATCCGTCCTGAGAGAGGAGAATGTTCTCCGGTTTGAGATCACGATGTGCCACGCCCTTGGAGTGCATGAAGCTCACACCACCGATGAGCTGGACAAAATACACCTGGGCAATGTCCTCACGAACACCAACATCGGCCTCGATCTTGTCAAAGAGGTCACCACCTTCTGCGTACTCCATGGCAATCCATCGCCATATGTCATCTTCTCCTGAAGCAAACCACTCGATGATGTTGGGATGCTGGCCAATATGTGAATGGAGCGAGACCTCCATGGCGAGTTGCTTGGTAGATATACGGCCATGTTTGACAGCGTAGCCCTTGTGGATGAGCTTTACAGCAAATATTGGCGATGGAGCGTCAAGAGGGATTGCTTTCTTGATGCTGTGTACGTGTTAGTGAGGGACAGAGCATGTGTTGTGGAACGACTCACGAGGCATATGCTCCTCGACCCACGGTCTTGGACACAATTCGGAAGGGGAGGTCAGTTGGTAGGGGATCTAGTTGTGACTGATTAGGAGATCGAGACGTCAGCTATGGAACTATTTGCTGAAGTAATAATATGAGAAGTTGATCTCCAGTGTCATGGTGGACAAAGCGTCATCAACGTAGACATTCACGATCTGTACTGCATGGTCCAGAACAAGTTGCCACAAGAGAAAAGCTTGAAAGACAGCAATGGTATAGGGGGAAACACAGAACGTTCAACTTACCATTTTGTAGACTATGATTGGACTTCAGAAATGGTGTTGCTATTCTTCTCAACGACAATAACCAATCGATGGGTCTTAGGGTAGAGTCATGATACAATGATGTAGACGACCAGCGCGTTATTATCTCGCGTCTGTCTCATTAATCGCGTAAAGTGCTTTTCCTTTTCCTTTTTGTTGCTGTGAGACCCTAAGTCCCCTAACAAAGTGGCCCTTAGCGCCCTGTGCATCCCTCTCTTACAGCGCCTTATCCCCCTCCGGTTTCAGTGCAAGTGCCCTCTATTTGACTTCATTGGTTGTGATCCAATGAATTCATTCCTTCGAACCAAAGAAATCGTCCTTAGCAGTTATTGCCTGGACCCTAGTCGCGCCGGTTGCTGCGGTAAACAATTGGAGCCTTGATGTTGCTTTGATCATCAGAAACCATTCACCTCCATTCAATTCTGTCGTAGTCCAAAACAATCAAATCATACAGTACAGAGTTTCACCTGTCTTGTACTGAACCCAATTCCAAGACCCTTTTCTTCCCCTTTTCATATTTTTTCTCTTCAAGAAAACGCCACCAAACCGTTTGCTCTCAGCCTTCTTTGTCACCCTCAATCGCCCCTGCATCCGCTCAACCTCACCTCTTGCCAGTTGCGGAATCTTTGTCTGTATTTGTACATAAACAATTCCCTGCCCGCTACCTACCAACCCTATAATCACATCTTCTCTTCTGGTGATTTCTTGGTTGAGCATCTCTTCATATCAATCTCTTCTGTACGAAAGAAAGAAAAAAGCATCACCACCAGCATCTAGCAATGGATTACAATATGGAAGACAGCCAGAACTCTGCTCCTGGCAACCAGGCTGCCAAGCTTAACGCTGGCAGCAAGGGACCTGACTCTCAGAGCACTACCAAGAGGTAATTAATCGCCTTGAGACATTGCTTGAATATGGAGAATTAATCTGGCTTTGTACAGACTCCAGACTGAGTTGATGCAGCTCATGACTTCGCCCGCTCCCGGCGTCTCTGCCTTCCCTTCTGCAGACGGCAACCTCCTATCATGGACTGCCACCATCGAGGGTCCTGACGATACCCCCTACGCTGGCCTGACCTTCAAGCTCAGCTTCGCCTTCCCCTCCAACTACCCCTACGCCGCCCCCACCGTGCTCTTCAAGACACCGATCTACCACCCCAACGTCGACTTCTCAGGCCGCATCTGCCTGGACATTCTCAAGGACAAGTGGACTGCTGCTTACAACATCCAGACTGTTCTGTTGAGTCTGCAAAGCTTGCTCGGCGAGCCCAACAAGTATGTACAACCTCAAGCCCCCACTACTAAGCACATAACTAACATGTGATCTAGCGCGTCTCCTTTGAACGGTGAGGCCGCTGAGTTGTGGGACAAGGACACTGAAGAGTTCCAAAAGAAGGTGTTGGCACGTCACGTAGATGTTGAGGACGAGTAATTAGTTTCTACTGTGATTTCGCTGCTTTGATACTTGAATAAGGGAACAGGAGTACCGGGTGTACGGGAATTTGGTTTGATGACTTGTTAGGATTGCAGGATTGCATGGCATTTCCACGGCTGAAGGTACAGCAACGGGAGGGAACATTGATAGGGTCAGAAACAAGTAGACCATTTGTCGATAGCAGACCCTCTAATCGACGGTTCATAACTTCCATAGTCACCACGTCAGAACGTAAATGATTTTTTTTCGCCCTCATAAAAAAAGGTCTCGACCAGAGACCACTTCACGCCGAGGCACCGATTGTCGTTTGGTTTGACTTCAAGCTTTGATCACATTTTTTCCCTCTGTGTATTTTCAGCGTCAAAAGCCAGAATGCCGATTGCAACTCCAAATGCCATGCCACCCTAGAACCTGTCCCAAGAGAGAGAAACTTTTTGTATTTATTCCTCAACAACAACCGTGGGGAGGCCCTTGGGGTCCTTGACGTTCACAGCCTGAACGTAGCTGTAGAGCTTCTCCTTGGCACCCTCCTCGTCATTTCGTCGTCGGGAAATTCGCACTCGGATTCGGTAGTCGACACCCTTGATACCCTGCTCCCAGACCTTCTTGTTGAGCTGGGGGTCGATGCGGACATCGGAGGTACCCTATCGTGGTGGTTAGCACGTGTGATTCCATACAAGCAATAACGCTGCTTCTTCCAGTTGCTTCGCGTTCGGGGTAGCAGGCTGATGGGGTGGGTGGGCAGTCGTACCATGGACTTTGTGGCAAAGGCCTTGATCTCCTTGATGGCGCGGGGAGCCCTCTTCTTGAAGGAGACACCATGGAGCTTTAAAACCCATTAGCATTTTCGATCCTGATAATCAAGCTCCATTTCTCGAGCTATTCTTTGGCGAAGCAACATACTCGCTTGTGCATGTGGATGGTGTACTCGCGGGCGACGACATCCGCAATGGCGGAGCGCTGAGTCTTGCCGGAGGGCTTCTTGGACGACATGGCTGAGGTATGAATGTTAGTCCTTCGGTCGATGACGATGAAGTCGAAATGAAATGCTCGTAGTCTCAAGAAGAAGTAAGACTGCGAGGGAGGAGATGTTGTCGGGGTGTTTATCGTACCTGCGGCTCGTCTCTACAATCGGTCGTTGAGAAGGTGTGTGATGTTCGAAATGATCGATTTCCCGAAATCTTTGTGCGTGAGCAGCCCTCGAATTTCGGTGGGTGGGGAGGATAGCGAGCCAATCGAGCGCAGCCCTGATGCTCCACCCAAAATTCACGTGATGCGACAGGAACGACCCACCTGGCAATCTCGGCTTAACTCAACTCGGCCTAGGGGTCTTTTGGGTCTTGGGTCTTTTGGAGGTCCACGTCAAGTCTAAGCCTGCGGCTGTTTATCGCGAAGCCTCCCATCCAATCTCGGCCGTTGCTGCATAAACGATTTCATCATTCCAAGTCCGAGCAATTGACATCAAAGCACCGCAAATCTCACCATCCTTTGCGCATAAGCGTCGCCTTTCTCTCACTCTGGGACTGCCTTGCTTAGGAGCGTGCTGCGGTTGCTGCGAATCGACTCAGCGGCTTATTCGCGGACATAATAAGGGGAATTTCGCGTATTGCAGCCCTTCCTTAATTCTCGGCGGTACCTCTGCGCGCCAAACCGAACGAACGCCTCTTTCATTTTAACATTTGCTCTCGTTCTGTACACCCATAAAACGCCATGATGGCCGAACACGAACCCGTCACTACGAGGGCATCGCCTTCTCCTCAACCCGACATGACGAGAAACCGACTGCCTACGCTCTTCGAGGTCTTGAGTCGCCGCACTCTGCCGCCTGTTGATCTCTTTTCTTTTTATATCTACATGCGCGATCAGCAACGATCGGTGGATTACCTCGACTTCTGGTAGGTTCATGCGGAGCTATGTTGCCGCGGGCGTTTGACTAACATCAACAGGCTCGATGTTGCTCAGCACATGTCACTATGCCGACATTATGTCCGCGAACTTCGACGATCCGTCCTTATCGGCACTCCTGAGGCGCAGTCCAAGAGATCTTCAGCTATTCTCGAAAACATTGGTGATCTAGAACCCAGAGCGGCGGGTCCGTCTATGTATGCAACCGAGAAGGAAAAGAACCAAGATGCGCAGATGTCTGCTTTCCTTAGAGAGGATCAAAGCCACGACTCACCTCAGAGCACCTCCGCGCCTGTACGACCTAGTCCTCAGTTCAGCAACTCTCACGACATCACTACCGAATCCAACTCGCCCGCTCACACCGTTGCGCGACAGGACATCCGAGCCTCAGCAGAGAAGATTCTCTACACCTTCCTTCTACCTGGAGCTGAGCGAGAGATCACCCTTCCTGGTTCTATCACCCAGGAGGTCACTACCTCAATCGAAGAGTATGGTCGTGATGACCCTGAGGTATTCGATGTTGCCAAGGATTACGTCTTCCAGGCTATGGAGCGAGATGCTTTCCCTGGTTTTCTGCGAATGAAGGCCCTTGGTAATCTCATTCCACCTACTCTCATTATGCGACTCATTCTCGGCCTTATTGCCATGTTTGCCGCCCTCTGGGCCTCGTTTGTTCTCATTTTCCTTGACTACTCGCGTGCAACCAGATGCTGGGTAAGCTCTTGCTCATGTTACTCTACCCTCGTTTAAACATACTAACTCCACGTAGCTCATCCTCCCATTCACCGTCGGTGTTTATTTCCTTGCGTCTTACCAATACTCGCTGGACCCTATTATGGCCCTTGTTGGTTACAGCGAGTACACCCCGTTCAACTTCTCTCGCATCCGCGAACCCTATGTCCGCAAGCTCATCGCCAAGCGCGCCATCATGGTCTTGGCAGTGACTGTTCTTATCGATACCGCGCTCTGCGTGCTCTTCATCCTTGTCCCAGGAAAGCGCCTCTAAGCAACTACTATCTTCTTCTTCTCCGATCGCGGCCACTTAATGCCGGCCATTACTGGCCTTTCTGATATCTCATTACCAGAAGAAGCCATTTCCGCGGGATTTACATTGGACATCATATCAATATTCACGACCATAATGATCAGGGGCCTTTGATTAGGCAGCGATATTCAGCCCAGTCTCGCGATTGAGCACGGGCGTTGCTTTCTGGAGGATTGGCGTACGGAAATCTACTGTTTATCAACCAAGGCTTCTTTGTAATTTAGCTATTCCCGGTCTAGACTACGATGCGTGTTTTCGTCTCTGTTCTAGCCATGCGTTTTTCTTTCTCACTTCTGGCCATTGTTAGGTCAGCTGGATTTGCACCTCAGGGTCGGCAGCAACTTTGTACGGATTTAGGGCTAATAAAATAAAATGGCGTCGATTCGTCTATTATGTCATGGTTCTTCGTGATACATGTTTTGATGAGCCGTGGTTTTTAACTCTCCCACGACTCTTGAAGGTGCTTTGTGTCCTCATAGCTTGCGCTTGCTCGCACGCTTCTTTTCTTCCTCAGACTCGTCGACATCCATGCTGTCGTTGTCGACCAGGTTACCTACATCCATAACAGAACGCTTGTTAAACCCTCTCCTCCCCGCCGTGTCACGGGTCATGCTTGGTAATTCGTATTTACGTGGTCCATTTCCGTCTTGATGCTCGTTCATCAACTTTTGCAGCTTCTCGTCCGCCATCCGCTGTTCACGCTGTCGTGCCGCGGCTGTCGTTCGAATCTCGTTGATCTGAAGCTCGAGGGCGCTGAGGGTGGTGGTGCAGCGGTCAGACCATATCTTGAGGGGATCGATCAGGCCGGGCACCGCGCCGGGAGCCAGGTCACGTAGAGGTGCAACGCTAGAGACCTGCACAGTAGCGCGGGCTGGGTCAAGTGTAGCATGGAGCAGACCGGCATAGACAGCTGAGATCACCAGCTTCTCGACCTCGCGTGGGCCAGGAAGCTCCAGCGCATCCTGCAGTGCGGCATACGATAGGTTCTTTCGGTCGCGAGCCAGCGAGAGAAGCGAGAGCTGGCGCAGTTTAGTTGCCTGAGCTTCGTTCAGCTCTGGTAAGCCCGCTGTGCTTCGGTATGTAGAGTATGTGCCCCAGGCAAATATTTGGAGGAGCGCGCTATGTGAGGTCAACTCGGATTTAGCGAGTTTTTCGATGGCGGGTGTTTGCATGAGTTCGGCGAAGAGGAATGTGTTTGGTGCTGATGTAGCTCTGATTACAAGGTCGGCAGCAGCGCGGTCAGAGGTGGCGGATTTAGAGAGTGCTAGGAAGGGCTGGTGATTATAGTCAGTATATATATATACAGCGCGTCTTTGGAGGTTATACATACCTCGAGAGCGTTGAGGGCCTTTGTCTGCTCCATGGTGGATTGTGTTTGAGGCTACAGCCTCGTATAGTAGTTGAAGGTTATATCAAGCTCAGTATCTGTACGCACGATACAACGTGAAGTTAGCCAAAGTGACGAGCGATACCTGTGCGCCCCTAGCTTTATGCTACCTTTGATTCGAATTCAAAGCGACGAGGAAGTAGGAGTTATAGAATATCGTAAGTTGGTGAAGTGAGATGTAGATAAAGTTGAAGATCGAGTGAGTTGTGGAGCTACAGTACACTTCAATGTGAGGTTGGAGAGCAGGCAGCATGTGGTAGGCGCGGGGCCTATGAGATACAATGTGGGGTCAATTGACCGTGGGGTCCTTCTGGAACAGGAAGCGGGCTACCCTATAACATTAACATCACATTACTGGTGGATGATAAACTCTCACAACTATTATACACTCACTCACATGGCTTTTTTGGTAGTCTGTTATAAATTATTATTGTCTTGTTTAAATCATTGATTCGTCTTATGCATGGCCTGCAGCTTGCCTTTGCCAAGCAGGTAAAGTGAGACGTAACGTGAAGACAATGGCTCATATGGTTGAAATACAACAGAGTTTGGTTACAATGGATATTCCTGACCACTAATTAATACAGACAGAAGCTCGGGTTTGATGTGAAGCCTTACATTCATATCAGTAAATGATTCATAGGACTGTAAACTTTGTTTGTTGTTCGGGAAGTTGATTGAAGACCGCTTACGTAGTACACTGTAAACGGATTACCGACTCTCAACGTCCAAGCCACCAACAAAATAGACTACACACTTTATCGCCGCCAATGATAGTTCAGCCACAAGTATAATATTATTACTGCAGATGGGCTGTCGTGTTTGTATGCTGACGGCATGCGCAATCTTTAGTGATAGCTGTAAGATTCAATTTAAGTATTTCACGCTTGGTAATTATGGTGTTTTACAAGCGAATAAGATGCAATCATTCAGAAGTACAGTATGCTAACAAAGCTCATGGTGATCAAATGAGAAAATTGACGACATTTTGGTTCATTATCTCGTTCTTAGACAAGCGCAACTCCCGAATAAGCGGCCGGTAAGTCTAGTTCCGATAGTCTACCAAATATGAAAGCCAATTGGACAGTTTGAGTGATGATGGTTGCGCTTTGAAGCGATCGACACTTGGGCCTTTAAGGACACGAGATAATAATTAAGTGCCATAAAAAGGCCAGCTGATGGACGGAGCCATTGCTCAATCAGTCCCCTTTTAACCCGTCACCCCGTGCGGACTGAGGCGAGAAAACGGACCAGGGATAATAATAGATGAAGTATAAACATCAGTGACTTGCGCCCCCCCAAGGCTGTAGTTACACGGCCATCTCACAGTTCTCACTCGTTGCTCACTGCTCACTGCTCTCACCCATTTATTCACAGAATCTCTTTGATCTGCAATCATCGATAGCCAATCGATCCTGGTTTCTTCCAGAGCGGAGTTTTTACTCGCCCCTCAGCGTCTCAGGTCTTAGCTTTTTAGGCCCCAAGCTCCTTTCATCTTGTCTTGTTCGCTTCTGACAAGACCGCAAGAGGGGAGACACTGGTTTTGGTGGGAATTTCTGTCTCTCTTGAAACACCCCTGCAAACAAGAATTCTGGTGCTTCAACAGTCACATATTTGTATTAAATCCACCAACGAGAGCTGTCATTTGCTACTTGGGTATTTCCGGAAACCGACCCCAAACTGGTCTTCTACCGTAGCAGCCGCTTAAGCCAAGACTCGCTCCGAATCTGATGGGTTTCTCTGCCTCTGAAGAACTTTGGTGTTTCACTTGCTATTAACAAACAGTGAGTGTTTCCCCTGAATCTTGAACCCTTGGAAGGGATCTCTAGGTAGATAAAAACGCCGAGACGCCTTCGAGTGGAATCTTGTTCATGTCATGTCCTTCTGTTCCGGCACTGGTGTCTTTGTCCTTATCTTCTTTTCTCGTACCCAAGTGGTCGTTCGTTTTTGTTTCCCCTTCGTCTTACCAAGTTAACACCGAAATACCCGACAGTCATACGTACATCGATTGAAGCCGGTCTTCGTGGTCTTAGTGGCGCATTCATTATCAACCAGCATCCATCCGCATCAGCCCCATTTCCTTTTTTGATCGATTACTTCCGTGTCTTTATCTCTCTTCATCTTTTCATTCTGCCGAGCTACTGCTCGTTTTATTATTCTCCGTGCCGGCATCTACACGAAATCGAAATGACCGTGGCTGGACGCTTGAACTAGAGCCCGTTCATTCCATTATTAGCAACCAACCACCAGACCAGTCTAACCGCGAGAGTGAGACAAGTGCCCCAGTGCCGTGCTTCCCACTTGCCGCCGCTATTTACAATCTACAACACCAAATTTCTTGGCTTCTGGGTCGCAACATATTCACGATCCTCGAGACGAGGCTCATAGGCCACTGTCTGTCGCGATGGCCCCCCCTTACATCCAAGTCCCTTCGAGGGATAACGACAGTGTCGCACTCTCCGTACCTAAGAGCGCTGGCGCCGCCCATCTTGCTACAACGACACTACGCGTGGACGGCATGACGTGAGTTGAATCGCATCCTATCCTCGAAATCTTCCGGGCATCCCGAGACCCAGTTATGGATGGATCCGTGCTCAGTCTCTACGGATCCGACTTTACAAATAGATACACAGGGCAATGATTGAGAATATAAATAACTAACGCTGGTTCCTTCTACAGATGCGGCGCATGTACTTCTGCTGTTGAAGCTGGCTTCAAGGGTGTTGATGGTGTCGGAAACGTCTCAGTCAGTTTGGTTATGGAACGCGCGGTCATTATGCACAACCCCCAAGTCATCTCTGCCGACGAGGTCAAGGAGATCATCGAAGATCGAGGCTTCGACGCTGAGGTTCTCACCACCGACCTCCCCAGCCCTGTCGGCAAGCGCTTTGCCGATCGCAACCTTCACGAAGAGGACGACTTTATTACGACAACCATTGCCATTGAGGGCATGACCTGCGGAGCCTGCACCTCTGCCATCGAGGGTGGTTTCCAGGATGTTCCCGGCGTCAAAACCTTCAGCATTTCCTTGCTCTCCGAACGAGCCGTTATCGAGCACGATCCCGATCTTCTCACAGCCGAGCAAATTGCCGAGATTATCGACGACCGCGGTTTTGAAGCTACAATTATCGACTCGGGCAAGGTGGCAACCGACAGATCTGGGAAGGATTCCGAAAACATGAGCAACATCGCCATTACGACAGTTGCTATCGAAGGCATGACATGTGGTGCTTGCACATCAGCTGTCGAGGGTGGATTCAAGGGTGTCAACGGCGTCCTCAAGTTCAACATCAGTCTTCTCGCGGAAAGAGCCGTAATCACACACGATGTCACAAAGCTTTTGCCAAACCAAATAGCGGAAATAATCGACGATCGAGGCTTTGATGCGCAAGTTCTTTCCACAGTACCCACCAGCGACCTTCGAGGCGGGTCGTCGTCTACTGCGCAGTTCAAAGTATTTGGCGTCCCCGATGCGGCTGCAGCAGAAGCTTTGGAGGCTGCCTTGGCGGCCACGCATGGCGTCGATTCAGTTTCGTTGAGCCTTGCCTCTTCACGCCTCAGCGTCACTCACCAACCTGGTCTTATTGGCCTACGCGCCATCGTCGAGGCCGTAGAGGCACAGGGATACAACGCTCTTGTCGCTGATAACCAAGATAACGATGCGCAACTCGAGTCCCTCGCCAAGACCCGCGAGATCGGTGAGTGGCGGACAGCTTTCAGAACATCGCTGGCGTTCGCCATTCCCGTTCTCATTCTCGGCATGATCTTGCCCATGTGTGCGCCATCTCTCGATTTCGGAAAATTCGAATTGGTTCCCGGTCTGTTCCTTGGCGATGTCATTTGTTTGGTCCTTACGATTCCTGTGCAGTTCGGCATTGGAAAGCGGTTTTACATCTCAGCCTACAAGTCGCTCAAGCATCGCTCCCCGACAATGGATGTTCTCGTTGTGCTTGGTACATCCTGTGCCTTCTCTTTCAGTATTCTGGTAATGGTAGTTTCACTACTTATGCCTCCTCATACCAGGCCCAGCACTATTTTCGATACCAGCACTATGCTTATCACATTCGTCACTCTGGGTCGTTACCTTGAGAACAGCGCCAAGGGCCGAACTTCCAGGGCTCTCTCTCGTCTTATGTCTCTTGCGCCCTCTATGGCTACCATCTATGTGGATCCTATTGCGGCCGAGAAGGCGGCCGAGGCTTGGGACAAGGACCCGTCTACCCCAAAGACCCCAAGAACCCCAGGACGAGGTGGTTCAGCCCAGGAAGAGAAGTATATACCTACCGAGCTTTTGCAACTTGGCGATGTTGTTATTGTTCGACCTGGCGATAAGCTCCCCGCCGATGGTGTCCTTGTCCGCGGTGAGACCTTTGTCGATGAGAGTATGGTGACGGGCGAGGCGATGCCCGTACAGAAGCGAGTAGGCGATAACGTCATGGGCGGTACTGTCAATGGCGACGGTCGAGTTGACTTCCGAGTCACTCGTGCTGGCCGCGACACTCAGCTCAGCTCAATTGTTAAGCTAGTCCAGGATGCGCAGACTACTCGTGCACCTATTCAGCGGCTCGCCGACACTCTCGCCGGATACTTCGTCCCTGCTATTCTCATTCTTGGTCTGTCAACGTTTCTCTGCTGGATGGTACTTAGCCACGTGCTTCCGAACCCACCCAAAATCTTCTTGCAGAACTCCAGTGGCGGTAAGATCATGGTTTGCGTTAAGCTTTGCATCTCCGTCATCGTCTTTGCCTGTCCCTGCGCCCTTGGTCTTGCCACGCCAACTGCCGTCATGGTCGGTACTGGCGTTGGTGCCGAGAATGGTATTCTGATCAAGGGAGGCGCTGTTCTTGAGAGGACCACCAAGGTGACGCAGATTGTGCTTGATAAGACTGGTACCATCACCCATGGTAAGATGAGCGTTGTCGAATCAGACCTCGAGCCTGCGTGGCAAAGCAAGGAGTGGCGCCGTCGACTGTGGTGGGCCATTGTCGGTCTTGCTGAGATGGGCAGTGAACACCCCGTTGGCAAGGCTATTCTTGCCGGAGCCCGTCAAGAACTCGATGTTGCGGTTGATGGTGTCATTGAAGGTAGCATTGGCGACTTCAAGGTCGCTGTCGGCAAAGGTATCAATGCCTTGGTCGAGCCTGCTTCAGCCGTTGATCGTACGCGCTATCGAGTATTGATAGGCAACGTTGCCTATCTGCAAAAGAATGGTATCGATGTTCCTGAGGATGTTATTGAGTCTTCAGAGCGTATCGATGCTGGTGGCAGTAAGGCCAATGGCAAGAAACCTGCCACCGGCACAACTCATATCTTTGTAGCCATCGATGGCGCATACAGCGGTCATATTGCCTTGGCTGATTCTATCAAGGACGGTGCAGCAGCAGCCATCTCCGTCCTACACCAAATGGGCGTCAAGACAGCCATCGTTACTGGCGACCAGAGATCTACTGCACTTAGCGTAGCCGCTGCTGTCGGCATCTCCCCCGAGAATGTCTACGCTGGCGTGAGCCCTGACCAGAAGCAAGCCATCATCAAGCAGATTCAAGCTGAAGGTGAGGTTGTTGCCATGGTTGGTGACGGCATCAACGACTCACCTGCGCTTGCAACTGCCGATATTGGTATCGCTATGGCCAGCGGTACTGATGTAGCCATGGAAGCCGCTGATTTGGTGCTCATGAGGCCAACAGACCTGATGGACATCCCTTCAGCGCTGGACCTCGCACGCTGCATTTTCCGTCGCATCAAGCTGAACCTAGCCTGGGCATGCATGTACAACGTCATCGGTCTTCCCATTGCCATGGGCTTCTTCCTCCCCGTTGGCTTCCACATGCACCCCATGATGGCCGGCTTTGCTATGGCGTGTAGTAGTGTCAGCGTTGTCGTGAGTAGTCTTCTGCTTAAATTCTGGAAGCGCCCACGCTGGATGGATGAAGCTGCTGCGGAACAACGTGGTGGTCTCCGCTGGATGAGCGGAACAGGCATCCTTGGCTGGATACGGGAGATACTGGGTAAGAGGAGAGTTAAGAAGGAGGAGGGCTATGTACCGTTGGCCAATTTAGATTCGGAGGCCTAAGATTTACTTTGTTAAGCAGTGGAGTTATGATGGGGTAGATATGCCGTGTTGGAGTTACACATCGAATATATCCGGAGCGAAGATGATATCATATTAGCGTACTTGGACCTTTACTATATGTGTCAGTAACATCGCATGGTGCGTTCTTCTTACAATTGTCAAAACCTACTACGTCGGTTCCGTGAGGGCTTTGGTAATGTGCGGCCTTTCTTCTAGTTAGTTGTTGCGGGCTACTCGTATGTTTGCACGTCCACCAATGTTTTATATGTAAGGTGAGATGTCTAAACTCGTTCGATGACGCCACTTGATCGTCTTCCATGTTCAACAATGGGGCAGTTGAATATTATATGACAAAGACTAAAGTTCATAAAAGAGCGTTTACTCAGGTTGGGGGCTTCGATGGCATTTACAGTGTTGCAGTCTCCCCTTGCAGGACGTCGATCAATCTTATGAACCAGCGGTGGGAAGCAGACGGAATGCGATTTAATGAGCAAGGAAGGAAGAATGAACGAACGATGATGCATGAAAACAGACACGGACATGACACAGGCATTGAGTCTCAAATTCCCGTCGTGTAAGTTTGGTAAAATGAACAAAGAGAAATGTCGGGCCTTGGTAAACTCTGATACTGCGCTAGAGTTGACAATAAAGCCACGGGATTAATGACTTTTTCATTCAATAAAGTTATTGATAGGAGTGGAGCGAAGAGTTTCTGCTTTGATTCCTGAGATGCTAAGTCATAATACGAGACTCGGGAAAACAGAAGGATTCTGATGCTGACACCATGAACGTAGGGGACTTTTGTAAGGGCAGTCTCTTCCTTCTGAGGCTGAGACAGGAGACATTCTTCAGCCAGACCCTGCAATTCAAATAACGTCAATGACACGGCAGTTGAGAATAGGGCAACTAGACACTGAATAAAAAAGAGACGAGAATTCAGGGGTTGTTTGTTTGCCTGTCACGATTTTTTAACACCGCCAAGAACAAACTATCGAATCGGCCGTCTGTTGTCTATTTGACACGCTAATAATCTTTTGGCTGAATGGAGCCCAGAGGATATGAAAAATGGACAGCAGCGCCCATCACTACTATTGGGCATTTGCCAAGAATGCTCAAACCTGTTCAAGGCGTCTGAGTTTGAAACGACGCGCCATCTTTGACAATGTACGGATACAACGGCTTTGGTGGGCTTTGGCTGGACTTTATGTCTCCTTTTCCTAGAGGCGTCGTAAGATAGCGGTAGGGTACGGAGTAGGCGCTATAGGTAATAGTCGTGTGACAATACGTGGATAGTCTTTTGCTTCTTTTTCTCATAAGGGATTAGGTGCTTGTAGAACACGAGCTGACATGCCTGAAGAAGGCTGGTAAGGTCCCATTCGTATTGCTCTACAGAGTCATGTACGAGATCCAATTATGAGCTGGGTTGGCCGGCTTAGCCATAAAGCTTGAGATACTGTACTCGTCACTCCAGATACCGTCAAGTGTGTGCGAATGTATATCCCGAAATGTAGAAAAGCTGTATAGCCTCGACCCGTTGTCCTGCTTGGCCTACGTAACCCGAGTCTGCGTAATTCTTTCTCGACAGACAGACAATACCCGGCTCTTGGCTCGTTTCACGACAACGCGGCTCAACACGTACATGTGCGGGTTTAAACCCCAACTTAAAGTAGGGAAATGACGTGCCGTTCTCGCTTGTAATACCTGTAGAGATTGAGTTATGTCCACATGAGATCCGTGCTGTAGGGCGGGCTCTCAAGAATACTACGAGAGTGCCTGTTTGTAGATACAAACCCTGGGTCGTGTTGATTACGCTGGAGTCTTTAATATCCACCGCGTTCGGCATCTAATAGAAAGACGAGTGTTTCATGGTTGATAACCTAGAAAAGTCTAGAGTTTGGGTTAAGATTCGCTTCGGAGGTGACAAGTCGTGAAAGGGAACCTCTAACGCCTCTTTCATTAGCCTTGATCGTCTGCCCTATGGCCGTCCAATCGAGAGACCTGCTAGAATCGTCAACACGAGACGTTATGATTGGTCTTGAGTGTTGTATGTCCTGTCCAGACTCGATCAATGAATGCCCCGCCCCCTTTTTTGATTACAGTTGATGAACCCCCTGGAGCGGACATGGCATGGGCAAGGCAGCGTTGTCGAAAAAGGGTGAACTGATTCGATCGGAAATTCTTGAGTCCTTTTTATCATGAACCCCCTTGTAGAAGCGTATTTTGTTAGCTGAATTGAGTTTATGGTGGTTCGCTCTTGAGGCGAGACAAGATTGATCTATAACGGTTGTATAGTGGAACAAGCTCTCCGGCGTATGCTTCAACGGCCGGGCATGATTCAAGCACTAACAGGTAGTCGCTATTGATTGATAGTGATCAACATAATTTCCCAACCAAAGGATGTAAAAAGGTAAAAAGCCCACCTGCACTCTTCCATTATCGGGATTGCCCCAGCGTATGCGAGTAGGTTCCCGCCAATGCTGACAGTTGTTCACTAAATCTTGACACAGCCCGCCACAGTTATAGGCAGGTACTTTGGTGGACTGTACCTCCAGCCGCAATCCACAGCGTGGGGATTTCCTGTTCCAGTGTAAGCCGGTAACAGGCCCCCCCAAAGCCCCCGCCATCAATCACTGAACTCCGAACCTCCCCGTAGATACCATAGGTAGATATTAGCTTGGCTTCCGTGGCTTCCAGGTACAGATAACTCAAGTACAGTAAGCCTGTGATCCTTTTTTGGGCTTGTCTCCCTAAAACCTTCCTCCCTTTTTCTTCCCGTCACTTCCAACTCTTTTTCTCCGTCTCGTCTGCTTTTATTTAACCCTTTGGTCCCTCCTTTTTCGAGCCCCCTCTCTTCTCGAAAATTACGAATAACCTAACATCATTTCTTCCTCTTCTCTTTTTTTTCTGTGTCGCTTTCCTACCTTGTTAGTTACAAATCACCCGCGCCTTATTTTGCTAGTCTCCATCTTCATCTCCCTGTCTGGGTCCAATCGCTCGCTTCCGTCCAATATCCATCCAACCATACATATTACGCGCCTCCGCCCCCTTCTCCCTTCCGTTGGCCCCTGTATTTTCTTCGCTTCCATCTCCGTGTTACGTTTCCACTTTGCAACTACATCAACCTTTTGACCACGGCCACGACTCGGACATATTTCTGTCTGCATTGCACTTTCGTTGGCAATCGACTGCGCTTACGGATTAAAACAGTCAATTTCTTCGTCCTTGACTGGGCTTTGGGTTATGCTTGAGACCCGACGATAACGACTTAACTCCTTCCAGCAAACCAATCTACCAACGAGCGCATCCCCGCGAAGCCCGGCGCATCTGTTATAATGTCTTCTCGTCCCAACAACGAGGAGCCTATGCCCCTCCTCTCCGCCGAGGAGAGAGAGCGTGATATGAAGGGCGAGCTTGATGTCGAGGGCGATGCTGGTCGATCAGAGCCTCCCAAGACCAACAACCTCGAGCACGAGTACTCTATCCCCAGCACCGTCAAGTTCGCATGGCTCGGTACCTACTTCTTTTTCTCTCTGCTCTTGACTCTTTACAACAAGCTTGTTCTGGGAATGGTAAGTTGTCGAATTCAACCCGTCAAGGCGATTTGCCGCTGACTTGCGCTTCCTTTAGTTCCACTTCCCTTGGCTTTTGACTTTCCTCCATGCCTCCTTCGCCAGCGGCGGCACCTACATCATGATGCAGTTGGGTTACTTCAAGCTCTCACGATTGGGACGCCGTGAGAATCTCGCCCTCGTCGCTTTCAGCGCCCTGTTCACTGCCAACATCGCCGTCTCCAACCTGTCTCTGGCCATGGTTTCCGTTCCCTTCTACCAGACCATGCGCATGCTGTGCCCGATCTTCACCATTCTCATCTACCGCGTTTACTACGGCCGAACCTACAGCTACATGACATACCTGTCTCTTCTGCCCCTCATCATCGGTGCTGCCATGACCACACTGGGTGAGATGAGCTTCACTGATGCTGGTTTCCTCCTCACCATTCTCGGTGTCGTTCTCGCCGCTCTCAAGGTATGTTTGCAAAAATAATTACGGATTTAGAACCAATACTGACCATTTGCAGACTGTCGTCACCAACCGATTTATGACTGGCTCTCTCGCTCTTCCCCCGATTGAGTTTCTCCTCCGTATGTCTCCTCTGGCTGCTCTCCAGGCTTTGGCTTGCGCCACTGCCACTGGTGAAGTCAGTGGCTTCCACAAGCTTATCACCTCCGGAGACGTTGCTCTCCCCCCCGCTTTCGCCTCGCTTTTCGGTAACGGTTTCCTCGCTCTGCTCCTCAACATCTCATCTTTCAACACCAACAAGCTTGCCGGTGCTCTGACCATGACTGTTTGCGGTAACCTCAAGCAGTGCTTGACTGTTGCCCTCGGCATTTTCCTCTTCGATGTGACCGTCGACCTGCTTAACGGTGCGGGTATGGGCGTCACTATGCTTGGTGCTGCCATCTACAGCAAGGCTGAGCTCGACAACAAGAACCGCAAGAGCCAACAGGCTGCTGCTGCTGCCGCCGCTTACAAGCCTGTTGAGCAGCAGTCTCGGTAAAATGGGTGTGCTGTTGAGAGACTGTTCTCGCTTTTAATATATGAAATTTTATAGACGACCGGGCGAGTGAAGAGGGGGCAAAGGCGAACTACTTCTTTTTTGGCGTCTTGCTATGCTTCTTGAGATTTCTGCTGGGTGTGTAGTAGGCATTGGCATCTAGCAAAGCTCTGTTATTTGACATGCTACTGCTCCCATGGTTTCGTCCAATGAAGTAAGAAAGGGGGGGATTGGAGACTGAGGAATGTTATTTTACTATCATGATCATGGGCTATGGGTTTTTGAAAATACACAGGCCCAGGACCCCTGCGGCCTTTTCTGTACAACTTTTGTTGTTGGTTCAATGTTGTTGAATAGGGTTTGCATTTCCAGAGTTAGAATATATACTCTATATTAATGCCTGCTTTTTGATACTTGTATTTGCCATCTGTATCATATCCGCGAAGAAAGTGAAGAAAAGGAAAGCTTTTTATTCATTTATGAACTCCGTCCCCAATGAGGTGGATAAAGGCTGCAAGCCTACTTGGATAGTTGTCCAGTCTCATTTATAAAACCCGGCATTAACCCTTGTGATATTGGCAATCTCGGAACAAAAACCACCGAAAAGTGAACTCATTTAACGCCGTGCTATGCGAACAGATAGGAAAATAAGATGCCGAATCAAATATCCTCATATGACGAAGTGCGCATGATCGCAGCATCAGGGATCTTTTTTTTCTGAAGGGCCCAGATACCCTGCCGAATATCGTCAAATGATGCATTGGCTTGTAGTCCCAGCGTCTCCGCCAGTACTTCGAGATCACTGGGCGGGAGCGCAGGTCTATCCAAGCTGTCACCTAGCACAGGCGCCGTAACGACACGGTTGATACTTGTGCCCTTGGCCTTGCTGAGCATGCCGAAACGGATGCCCACTTCTGTTACAGTGACCATGATACTCACTATGATGAGAATGATGATAATCCATGTAATGTAACTCATCTTTGTGTCGGCCACGGAATCGGAGAGAATTTCAGCAAGATCAAGGAAGACACGGCATCGCTCGTTGAGAACCTTGATACGAGGGTCGATCTCAAGATATTCACGAATGGCGGCGTAGAGGGGATGTAGAGTTGGCTCAGACTCCCAAAAGAAGTTGGGAACATCGAGAATGTTAGATGCTAGGCAATAGTTAGAATCTGAAAGTGTCGAAACGTACAAAAAATGGACTTACAAAGATTGATATCGACACGGCTCTTGAAGAGCTTGCCAAGCATACGGACAATTTCAGTGCGGGTCATGTTGAGCTCTCCTGTCAGAGCGAGCGTCTTAGGAATATGCTGCGCATCTAACATGGTCTCACTCATACGCTCCTCAAAGGAACACAAGCGCGTGCTCTGGGCAATGGCATGACTGATTGTGAGCTTGATCATGTGGTCAGACCGCGGCAGCAGAGTGATCATATCGTTGAAGATACGTGGACGCTTTATGTCGGCGCTGTATTCAAAGTGGAACTCCTCCGTCTCGTAGTCTTCCTGGTCGAGAGGTCGAGTGAGAAGGCTAGTGGCACCGTTCTCTTCGGCATCAGCATCGGCAAAAGTCATATCGGCAAGGATATCCTTCTCTTGATTCTCGGTGAAGTTCCAGAAGACAACTACTCCGTATGAGTAGACGAACATCTCCGCGAATTTCTTTGCGTCAGGAGCAAGGCGATTCATTGAGGTGTCGTCATCGTCATGGCGGAAGGGGTTGCTGCGTTCGGGAGTCGATGGACGTTCGGTAAAGTGTGATGGCATTTCATGGCCACGGTCAGGGCTAGGATGCTCGTACGCATCGTCCTCAAAGTATCCCTCGTGGTGGTCGCGTTGCTCGCTACGCTCAATCTCTAGATCGAGCACCGTCTTGCCGGTTCCGGGGGTCTTTAGAATAGGTCGACTTCGTACACGGTAGCCATCGGTCCCGTTGAGCAACGGCAGGGCATAAATGACGTAGAGACAATCGTCGTAGATCTTCGTCTTGGCCTCATGTCTCTCTCGCAGGAACTCGGCAGTAGGTTTGATCTTGTAGGCCTGCGCAGTGCAGTAGGCTGTCAATCTGCTGACCTTATCTGTTCTTTGCATCTTGGACAGCCTCTCAGCAAAACTCTTGCCGCGAATTCCACCCCGTTTCTTAAGAACATCCAGCTCTTCATCTTTAAGCGGGCGATTCTCGTCATTGTGTACGAGCCGCGCGAGTACCGATTCGCTCTCAATTTCCTCATCGACGTCGTCGTCATTGTCGTCTGTTTCCGGAAGGAGGACCAGTTTCTCGCTTATCTTGGTCGTTCTGGAAGGTATTTGCTGGCCAGTACGAGATTGGGCATTCGGTAGACCGCCAGAAGAGACCCGGCGACTAAGCGCACTACCTGAAGGGCCTGGATGGCGTCCCGGGGGAGCGGATGGTAGAGGGGGACCGCGTGGCTGGCCTGATGGGATCTGCGAATTGTACTGAAGAACATTATCCACGGTCATGAATCGCATTGGCGCGTGCGAACCAGGGGCGCCTTGGGCGGTATCCTGTCGTTGAAGAGCCTTTCTCTGAGATGGCCTTTGTCTCGCGTCCGTAACCTGGATGGCATTAGCATTATTCGCCGACGCGCAGACAGATGGTGATTAGTACCAGGACGGAAGGACGTTGCTTGGACGTCATGATGGCTTCTAAGGGACCAAGACCCTAATGCGACCGAGGATGTTGGTTTATACGAGGTGAGAGAAACAATTAAGAGCAATTGGGTTGGCCGTCGCGGCAGGATATGCACAAAATTCAAAGTCGAAGTCGGTTGACAAGGGTCGAGTCTTCAAAGTTCGAAGATTCGAATGATTCTGATCCGATGGGGTTCGCAGCTCGGGCCAATTGCTTTGGGCATCGCTTTGCGTGCGCTGATGACCTCATACAGCCCCACAAAACTACAGCGTATCAATAGGCGCTGGAAACATAAACTTTTTTCTGCTTGTGATGTCTAGGTAGGCTTGTTGCTATATCTCACCAGTAGAAGCACGAGGCGTATACATGTGTTGTTTACTTGAGGTATGTACGGATATATCTGAGTTCACTACCTGAAGTGCTACCTTTTGCCGTACTATTGTCAACAGATGACCAAGCCAGCGAAACGTCTTTGAACCATAGTGTTCTTGGCTTGTTATTCCATATCGGGCTTCGCCCTTTTTAACTATGTCTTGGAGTTCCATTCGACGGCGCAATCCGCCCGTGATCTGCCAGATAAGCTAATAACATCCGATACAACCTGGTATTTGTTTATAGTAGAGGTATATTTACACGAGGAAATCGGACTAGAGGGTGGATTCGAGACGCTTTGATCTAGCCATTGACTACCTTGAGTATTACACTAGCTTGGCGATTCAAGAATCCACACTCTCGTCTGTTGTGATCGCTTACGATAATCTGGAGAGCTGTTTGACCCAGATCTGCAGGGAGGGGAACTACTTACTGTAAAGTAAGGTGGTAAGGAAGCTAAAATAGCAGTAAACAAACAACATATGAGCATGTGCAGGTTGAACCCTCATATTTCTACTCGCTCTTTGGATATCTCAACAGGAATACCACCTCGAAAAGGACAATTCACAGCGCATGAATAGCTGCTAATTGTTGCAATAGCCTCTGGCCCGCATAAGACCTGACGACATTGAACACATGAGAAGTCTTGACAAGGACGAGGTAGAGATATAAAAGCGGACCATGAGCCGCAACACCACCAATTAGGACTAGGGACGGAAAGCGTTGCTGGGCGGTTGCTGGTTGTTTTGTTTACTACGGCAAATCCAACGCCCCCGCCATCGGTGCCTTGATATTATAGGATCCTCTCTTGCTGGGGCATAAACTCCCAATGACTTTATTGTGACAGTCATGGCATTTGCATTGGCACTAGCAATTCTTTGATCTTACAACGCCCTTTTGATTTTGGTGTTTGTTTGCATTTCCATACCCATCTTCATATTCATATCCATTTCTCTCTCCTGCACATAATTCTGCTTGCTTGAGCTGATCTGATCGGTGTGTCTTGCTTGAGTCTCCCGATTCCAGACCCGACTACGCTACGCTCTTCTTGCTTTGCAACGCCTTCATTCCTACTGACGACAATGCGTTAATGTCGCCGACTTAAGCCGGATTTTACTACGTTCCTAAGCAGAGACAGTGACAAGAGTTCGCAGCGTGGCTGGCGACTCCCCTCCAAGAGTTAAAAATGTCGTCCCGTACTCATTATTTCCAAACACAACACCAAACGCCAGGTCAAGCGCCATCACCAACTCAGCCGCTGCCTCATCAACACCTACGCCCTCTCCGACAGTCGCGCACCCTCGACTTTGCTTCCAATATCTCACCATCTCTCGTCAACCGCTTCCCATCGACAACATCATCATCAGCTTCATCAGGCTATTCCCACGCCTCAGACCACAGCCTCAACAGCCAATATACGTCTGCCTCTAGTTCAGCTGGCTACGGTGCTACAGTGCATGGCCACAAGCGAGCCCAGAGCGATGTCAGAGCAAGGGCGAAGACCTTCGAGACTGGGGAAAACATGACCTCAAATAAAGGCCCAGATAGTCTCTACAGCTCGGCTCGACACTCTCTCCGACCGCTCCCACAAGCTCCCGCTGCGACACGTCCCGAGACACCACCGCATGCACTACCTCGCCATGATCGCGGTAAGAGCGTCGACATTGGCAGGTTGTCGATAGCACACCTGGACGGTTACTCCTCGCCGACAAGGACCTCACCGACCAAAGCCTCACCAACAAAGAACTCGCCAAGGAACTCGCCAAACACCTCACCTACGAAAACTGCATCACCTTCTCGCCCACTGCCGATGCGCCCAAATTCCATGCTTCTTGCTCGATCCGACTCATTTCTCCCCCAAGAAGCCGCACTGGCTCCTCCATCACCTCTCCATCTGCATAGTACGCATATCGCGCGAGATGAGCTAGAAGGACTGGGCAAGTCCTCTACAAGCCAACTAAGAACACTCTCGCGTCTTGTATCATCTGATTCTCCGGAAGACTTTGCTATCACTTCGCCGGCCCAAGAAGTTGTTGGCTTGCGTGGTCGGCGCAGGCTACAACGAGCCGATAAGAGCAATGGCGGCCAAAGCCAAAAGGCCACTGGCTATAGCTGGGAAGGCCGCAATTGGATGGACAAGCAGCGCCAATTCCTCCAAGCCTACGAGTACCTTTGTCATATCGGTGAAGCCAAGGAATGGATAGAGGACGTTATCCACAAATCTATACCACCTATTGTTCAGCTCGAGGAAGCACTTCGAGATGGTGTTACTCTCGCAGAAGTAGTCGAAGCTCTTAACCCCGATAGACGCTACCGAATCTTCCAGCATCCCAAACTCCAATATCGGCACTCCGACAATATTGCTATCTTCTTTCGTTACCTCGATGAAGTGGAACTGCCCGACTTGTTCCGCTTTGAGCTGATCGATCTGTACGAGAAAAAGAACATTCCCAAAGTCATCTACTGTATTCATGCTCTGAGTTGGCTTCTATTCCGCAAGGGAATAGTCGACTTCAGAATAGGCAACCTCGTTGGCCAGCTTGAATTCGAGCACCACGAACTCGAAGCCATGCAAAAGGGTCTCGATAAGCTCGGCGTGACTATGCCTAGTTTCGGCAACATGAGCGCCGACTTTGGTGTTCCCGAACCCGAGCCAGAGCCCGAGGAGACCGAGGAGGAAAGGATAGAGCGCGAGCTCAGAGAGAACGAGGAGTCTATCGTCGACATGCAAGCTCAAATCCGAGGTGCTCTACTTCGTGTTCAACTTGGCGACACTATGCAGAGGCTTTGGGACGAGGAGGAGTGGTTGATTGATCTGCAATGCCGAATTCGGGGTGACTTCACTCGACAAATCATGGACTATCGACTACAGATGAAGACCTTTGCTGTCAAACTGCAGAGCTCAGCACGAGGATTCTTGGTCCGAAGAAGAGTTAACCGACGCGAACAGATCTTGGAAGCGCTCGAGCCTGATATTTTGGAGTTGCAAACCATGATTAGGGCCAACAAGGCTCGAAATGAGGTACGAAACCTGACTTCTCAGCTTGCGAAATGTAGAGGACCCGTCCGGGAGATCCAGGCAATCTCCAGGGGCTTTTTGGCCCGCAAGAGCCACGTCGCGCAGTACCAAGAGACGAAGGAGTCGTCTGGTATTGTCGAGAAACTGCAAGCAGCAGTTCGTGGAGCAATGCTGCGAGGCAAATTTGAGCAGGACCTCGAAGACTTGGAATCGCAAACCCCTGCCATTGTTGACTTGCAAGCAGCAGCGAGGGCATTGCTGACTAGAGATCAGGTCAACCGCGAGCAGCAGCACCTACGATCGTTTGGTCCTCAATGGAAGAAGCTCCAGGCTTTTGCCCGTGGATTCCGCGCTCGTCAGGACGACATGGCTCTACGATCCGAACTCAGCAAGCATACTCCTGATATTGAGCAGCTCCAGGCTCTTGCACGAGGACTTCGTGTTCGCCAAAACGACCAGGCACTGAGGTCAGAACTCAGTGAACACGCTCCGGCTGTAGAGCGGCTTCAGGCTTTCGCGCGCGGACTTCGCGCTCGTCAAGATGACAAGGCACTAAGATCCGAACTTGATAAGCATACTACTGATGTTGAACAACTTCAGGCCTTTGTTCGTGCAGCAGCCGTGAGGAGAGATGTGGCCAAAACTCTTGACGCTCTTAAGGAGAACGAACCTGCAGTTGTTGACCTGCAGGCCCTTATCAGGGCTATGCTTGAACGTCAAAGAGTCGCTATCATCCTAGAGCAGCTCGAGGAACAAGAGGCCCAGGTCACCGACCTTCAAGGCAATGCCCGAGGTTTCTTGTACCGCCAACAGCACCAAGCGTTCCTCGAGGAGCTCGATTCTCACACTCCACAAATCGTGGAGCTCCAAAGTATCCTTCGGGCCATGATGGAGCGTGCTAGAGTCGAGGATATCATTGCAGAATTGGAGCAAGAGGAGGAGTCAGTTGTGGCCGTCCAAACCGCGGCCAGAGGTTTCATGGTCAGGGCTCGCTTCGAGGAGAAGAAGCGCTTCTACAACGAGAATATGCAAAAGGTCATCAAGATCCAGAGCTTTGTCCGTGCCAAGGTTCAAGGAGAGGCTTACAAGAGCTTGACCACTGGCAAGAACCCTCCTGTTAGCGCTGTCAAGAACTTTGTCCATCTTCTCAATGACAGCGACTTTGACTTCAACGAAGAAATCGAGTTTGAGCGCATCCGCAAGACTGTAGTCCAGCAGGTACGACAGAACGAGATGCTTGAGAACTACATTGATCAACTCGATATCAAGATCGCACTTCTGGTCAAGAACAAAATCACACTCGACGAAGTCGTGAGACATCAACACAACTACGGAGGTAACTCGATGCATTTCATCGCCAACAGCTCCATGTCGTCAGCCAACCAGTTTGATCTCAAGGCACTCAACAAGAGTTCGCGCAAGAAGCTCGAATCTTACCAGCAACTATTCTTCAACTTGCAAACTCAGCCACAATACCTTGCCCGACTCTTCAAACGCATCCGCGAGCAAGGAACTGCCGAGAAGGAGTGCAAACGCATTGAGCTGTTGATGATGAGCCTCTTCGGTTACGCTCAGAAGCGCCGCGAGGAGTACTATCTCCTCAAGTTGATCGCTCGATCCATTCGTGAGGAGATTTCCGGTGCACGAGATGTTCAAGACTTTATCCGGGGCAATTTCTTCTGGTCCAAGCTTCTCAGCAACTACACTCGCTCGCCCCGAGATCGTAAGTACCTTCGAGATGTCCTGGGCCCTATGATCCGAGACAACATCGTCGAAGACCCTGCTTTGGATCTCGAGAGTGACCCTATGCAAATATACCGATCAGCTATCAACAACACCGAACTGGCCACAGGTCGGCCCGATCAGAGGCCTCTAGATGTCCCTCGAGAAGTCGCTATCCGCGATCCTGAGACCCGCCGCCTATTCATCGACCACTTGCGTGACCTGCGAGAGATCTGTGATCAGTTCTTCCTTGCCCTCGAGGATTGGCTCCACAAGATGCCCTATGGTCTTCGATTTGTCTGCTCCCAGATCTTCGAAGGTCTAAGACAACAATTCAAGCGAGAACCTCCAGAGAACCTGCTCCAGGTAGTCGCCAACTGGCTTTGGCGATTCTATTTGCAACCAGCAGTTATTGCTCCCGAGAACGTTGGTGTGATTGAGAAGACCCTGAGCCCTCTACAAAAACGAAACCTCAGCGAGGTCGCCAAGGTCATCAGCCAGATTGCATCTGGTCGACCTTTTGGTGGCGAGAACGTTTACTTGCAGCCCTTGAACGCCTTTGTTGCCGAGTCCGTTGAGCGCCTTCTTCAGATCACCAGTGATCTGATTGCCGTCCCAGATGCTGAGAGGACATTTGATATCGACGAGTTCAACGACCTTTACGCCAAGAACAAGCCAACTCTGTACATCAAGATGACAGATGTCTTCTCAATCCACAACTTGGTGGCTGCCGAGCTTCAGACCATGTGCCCCAGCCGGGAAGACATCCTACGTGAAATCATGCACGATCTGGGTAGTGCCAAGAACAACGAGAACGAGATGAACGCCGCAGGCTCTTCGGATATTCACATGTTCTTGACGCCTAAGCTCCACGATGTTGACGACCCTGAGGCTGACGTCAAGTCGCTCTTCATGGAGACAAAGCGATGCGTGCTGTATATTATTCGTGTGCAGACTGGCGCCAACCTCCTGGAAATTCTCGTCAAGCCTATCAGTCCTGAAGATGACCACAAGTGGCGCACGCTTCTTCGTGATGAGTTCTCAGTAGGAAGCAACACTCGTGGTGCTTATTCCGACTCCAACATGATTGATGTGACACGCATGTCGTATCAAGAACTCAAGCGCACAGCTCTAGAGAATATCATGCGACTCGAGAAGCTTGGCCGTATCACCAAACACAACTACTACCAGGATGTCCTCAACGCCATTGCTCTTGATATCCGTACCAAGAGCCGCAGAAGGGTCCAGCGACAGCGCGAGTTGGAGGGTGTCCGTATGACATTGAGCAACTTGCACGACAAGGCCAAGTATCTCGAGCAGCAGCGCAAGAGCTACGACGATTACATCGAGTCAGCGATGTCCACTCTGCAGAACAAGAAGGGGTAAGCAAACTTAGAGACCTACAGTGATACAATTACTAACAGTTTGACAGTCGCAAGCGATTCTTGCTCCCTTTCACCAAGCAATACAACCACCAACGTGAATTGGAGCGCAGCGGCCGTGTACCCAAATTCGGCAGCTTCAAGTACAGTTGCCGCGCTCTCTCAGAGAAGGGTGTGCTGGTGTCGTGGAGTGGTATCACCGATTTTGAGAAGGTCAACTTGACCCTCTCATGTGACGAGGTGGGTGTCTTCAGCCTTGAAGGCTCGCGAGGACACATCCAGATCCCTGGAGCCAGTGCTTTGATACCCATTGAGGACCTCCTGCAAGCTCAGTTCGAGGCACACCAGTTTATGACCCTGTTCGAGGGCAATCTTAAGCTCAACGTTAATCTGCTGCTGCATCTCCTTTACAAGAAGTTCTACCGAACTCAATAAGAGGCAGGACCATAATGTATTCTTCTACCGGCTACCCCCTGGAGGGATGGCTCGAGCACCACTTATAAGGGCGATATATGTCACACGATACCTATGTTCCAAGGAAGAAGGGGGATGACTGGATAAGCATTGCAACCGGCGCGATGGGATAAGGGGTGTTTGTGTCAAAGACAGCAACAGGTGTTTTTCAGGTTGATTTGTATGGGAGAAAGCGTTGCGACGCACAGGGTGCATTGCTGCAACAACGGTAAAATATGGTAGCTCATGACGGAACTTAGGGCATTGGGAGTGACTGTAGGAAAGGGGAGTGCTTTTTTTGTATTTGCTTCTACTACGGCTTCATGATTGCAGGCGAGCGAGCATGCGAGCTCAATACGGGGGGTTGAATTGTTAGGATATCAGTTTGATTGGCATAATCCACGAAATGTCATTAAAGTTCATGATTTATACCATCTATGTATTGTAATAATTACCAAAAGTATACAATGACTTCAAGTTTCAACCTGTTGGTGTTCGCTTCATGCCCTCGTGATCCTAGAGTTGTGTCCTTATGGGAAGAGGTTATCGGACCCGGCTCTCGGGGAGGCCAAGTCATGATTGGTTGCCTAATATTAGTTCCACGGATACTTGCGTAAACGCAGAGAGCTAGGCCTAGGCTAACAGGGCCTCCTGGTTCGAGGCCAACAGACTGAGAAGCAAGCTGATAAGCAAACAAGCGTGAGAGTTGCTGGGGTTCGTTCACCTGTTGAAATGAGGAAGTAGATGCACTTACTAGGGGATAGATGAATGAGGCGAAGACGAGGAGGTTTCAAGGTTTCATCAGGGTCCAGACGCCAGGTAGCCAAACTCACTGACAGACAAGACGGAACGGGAAGTGCACGGAACATCAGAATGGAATTAATCTATCACCAATGGTCGCGTGAGCTCTGGTAGTTGCTTGCCGAAAACTCACGTCGAGCCAGGGGTACTTGTGAGCGGTAAAGGCAAAGGCTAGGGCTGGTTGGTGGCCGGTTATTAGTTACAAGAATGAAAGATAAGCATGACTTCGGTCAAGGTTTTGGGAAAACCCAACAAACAAGTTAGCAACGATGCGAGTACTACGGTACATTACATGATATTTGTTTAATGCATAGACTTGGCGTAAGGACTCGGATCGAATCACGAGTTGCGGGCTTCCGCAGAGTGTAGCTGACATCGAAGCGAGGGACTGAGCCGTCTCATTCGGTGGCCGACACTTGTCCAGAGGCTTGTTCTGTCGAGAAAGAAGCGAGTTGAATACTACCTACTGGTGTAATTCAGCAGGCAGTTATAACGACTGACTCGGCAATCAATGCAACCATATAAAAACGTGACCAAGAATGTCAAGTTTACATGCGTGGCAGATAATGAGTTGTTCCCAAAGTTGTGCGACACGGGCTAGTTTCATTTTCGGGCTACTGGTGGCGGGTTGATGGGAAGTGTCCAGCCGGAGACCGGTATGTGCATAAGGTGACGATCAGCAGCACTTCAGATAAAGCCTCTCAGCTCTGTCTTAGATCTTGTAAGTTTGACCCGGTCCGGAGCAAGAGATCGCTGTAAGTGATGCCCAACTCCGCAAATGAGATACGTAAGGGCGAGAGGTCAAAGGATCGGAACATGAAACGACATTTCGATGTCGACATCGGTAGTTGAAAAGAGGTGATTGTCTCCATTATGGAGCAATTCCAATCAATCGGCCCCAGATGGGCCAAAAGTTGCAGTGCTTGGTTCATAATGGCCGGATTGTCGGGAAAGAGTTTGACGACCCCAGATTGCACCATCACAAGCTGACAAGGCGTTATCACACTAGAAAAAGGTGCTTGGGGTGCATTGATAAAAATCGACGCCTTCCTTGACTTGCCTGGGGACTGAGCATATCCCGTAATGATTCAGCAATAAGACTCGAATTAATGTAAGAATGATGCGTTACAGCCATACTTCCTTGAATTCACTTGCTTTGTCAGTCTTATCTCCTCGTTCTTTCATTATGCTTCGTGTCTCATCTCTTGGCCAGGCGCCCATGGTCAGACGAGCGAGCGCTGTTTAGTCGCGGAGGGAGGGGAAAAGAGAATACGAAGTGCGTGTCAGAATGAGAGCGGACATTGCGGATGCGTACAGACGCAGGCCGTGGCGGACGGCGGACGGCGGAATGGCGACCTGGTGAATGCAACGGGAGGGGATTATCGACTTGTGGATCGCGTGAGGGTTGTGAGGATTGCCTATACAGTAATCTGACACGGTGTAGAGAGGGTGTAAGATGTGGCTTCGTACAGTGCTGCGAACGATATCCATGCACCGTATAGACATTTTTTGGAGGTTGAGTATTTCAAAGCCTTGGAGGTGAACGGAGGTGCAGATAAAGGATGCAGGGACCGGTTAATGGGGTAAGAGGGCCAGTGCGTCGTCACAACCCCGATGATGGTGTTCCATGAGCAATAGACACCCACTAGAGCCGAACCTGGTTGTTCAGAGATGGTGGGACGAAGCGCATCCTCATCACAGCGCCTTGCATATTGCGTTGCACGTTGCATTGTCGGGCTTGCACGAAACGGGGGATGGTAATAGAGAAGCTTCGACAGCCGCATGTGGGGAAGAAGAAGACGGCAACAGGTTTAATCCAATATTGTACCGTACGTCGGTCGTTATGTGCGTTGTAACTGCTGTATTACGATGAGGCTGTTGATCGAAGCGCCAAGATGTGGTTAACGAGGAGTGCGGTGCGTGTGACCTGTTGAACGTGCGGCCTTTGCCATGGTCTTCGATCAAGAGAAGGTCTGATCCTTTGTTCAACGTAGTATGTGTTTATGGTTGATGAACCACCTTCAGATATAATATTCTGGGCTGGTCTTCTGATCAGATCTGACTCAAGACGGGTTGTGTGTTATGCGGATAAAGGAACTGTCAAGTTGATATAAATTTCCAAATGGTACGATTAAAAGTTATTTACTGCTGGGTACCTATCATGACGATGATGATGCACTTCGCATCGGATGGCTTCAAGCTTTGGATCTGCGTGGCTGGCGGAAGGTCCTGCCCACGCTGCCCAGCAAGGTGAAAGCAGTGGAAGGAGGACCTGAGCTGGGATACCTAAATCTTGAGCTGTCAATCTTTGTGGGCTTGGCCAGGGATGGATTGGGCAAGAAAGTCATGGACCAATGGTCGTTAGCTCCTGGCCAAATCGAGTAGTCGCATCGAACCCCTGCGCAGCCAAGAAGGTGCACTCAAGCTCCTCTTCCCTGGTATATGCATAAAGTAAGAGCTGGTTTCCGTGCTGCCGGGGAAAGGAAAGAATCAACCTAGCGGGTAGGTAGATTGGTAAGTTGTTGGGCTACAGTGTATGTGAAGAGTACCTAATAAGCTCGATGTGTCATATGATTTGTGACGGGGATATCGAAAGAAATTTGAGTGATACTACGTGTGCAATGTGTCCTCATATGCAGTGATATCGTTTGTTTCCTTTGCAGCAACTTGTGTCGTACAAGTATGCACTTAAAATATTCTCCCTACGGTTTGTCCATTTCAATGGCCATGTATGTAATCTTTTTATTCACCTACACTTTAAAAAGAACATGCAATTTCATTGTAACATTCTTGCAATTGCACACGAACCCTCAGGCAAGGAATATGCGCTATGTTTGTAGTGGCATTAACCCAAGAGGTTTTCTTAGACGGATATCTACATACCGCCGCATGTCCCAGACAGAATTGGAAACGAAAAGAACAACAATAAGCAAGGGTTGTTGAGCATGTGATTATGACTGTCATTTCGCATGCTGGTCGGAACAATACGTTAACCATGGGAAGAAGAAAAAATGGTGGTGTATGAGCCTGGCATTCATCATATCTGTTGCTTGTTGGTACGGAGAAGCACAGCGAGGCAGAACGACAGCTTAAAATTCCAGAAGAAAGAAGGCTTCGTCATAACTAAAAAAGGTTATATAATAACAACCAATGCATGTTGATCATGAACCTCGTGACCCATATACACGTTAATGAATCTCGAGGTCAAAGAGGTTGGCCTCAAGATTAAGGTCGACAATACTCGCTTTATTGCATACATTATCTCAGTCTTGTCTCATGTTCTCGAACAACGACGCACACGCCCCCTCCAAAGAGTCCTGGTCTCCTCGGGTCTACCTAGCGCGGTCGTCTTCTTGCGTGATGGCATGTCTGACACCGGTTATTGGAATAACCCCTGGCTACCTACCTACTAACCTAACCTCCGTGGACCTACGGCCAAGCCCAGCGCCGTCGAGAGCCGCCTCCACAAATGAAGGACCCTAGATACACCCCAGCTTCTTAGCATTATTAACCTTCTCCAGGCAAAAAAAGGCCAGCCAGAGAAGATAATCAATATATATGCCAAATAAGACAAGACAAGACAATTGTTTCCACTTGCCGTTGATTGCAAAAACTGTGGCGCCTATCACCTCACCGGTTGCTTTCCCCATTCTGGCTCCTCTGCCTCTTCTAGTCGAGGGATTCGTGTGCTCACCTTATTTCTTACCGACTCATTCCCATAAACCCTCGCGTAGATCAATTTATTGCCTATCTTCCTCCTCTTTAACCCCTGTATCGTATAAATCTGCGCTTCTCTTGGATACGGAGAGCCCCTAGTTCAGTCTGTTCATGTCTTTGGCCTGCTCTGCCGCTTGTGCCGTCCCGTACGCCATTCGCTCATTGATCATTTGAACCATCAATCTGAATCATAGCCCTAACAGGGATACTACAAGACCTTACACTGAGTAGGCAGACCTCCTAGAGTTGGTTAAATGCATTGGCTCGGCTTTCACTTGGGTCTAAGTGATTCTCCACCTCCGCCTGCTTACACCAGCACTTTTGGTTGTTTCTACCTACCTATATATTATCCAGACCACCCACCTTCTCTCAACCTTCACATTCAACTTGACTCTCATCATACTCTCATCACTCTCTCCCTTCACAAACGTTTTTAAACATACCAGTCCTTAACCTTCGACACCTTGAAGCCTAGTAATCAATCATACAGTGGTAGCTCCAAACACTCTGCAAAACGCTTCATCAAGCCAAACTCATCATGGCTCCCGATCTCAACTCTCTTCCCCCCTCCACGGGGGAGACCTCAGCATCTTCCGCCCCTCAGCTCTCTGCTGAAGCTGATAGACCTAACATCCTCTTCATTATGGCCGATCAATTGGCTGCCCCTCAACTAAAGATGTACAACCCTAACTCCCAGATCAAGACGCCCAACCTCGACCGTCTTGCTTCAACCTCAGTCCAATTCGACTCTGCTTACTGCCCTTCACCACTCTGCGCCCCTTCCCGCATGAGTCTGATCAGTGGCCAACTTCCCATGAAGATTGGGGCTTACGACAATGCTGCCCAGATTGGCTCTGATGTTCCAACGTATGCCCACTACCTACGCTCCAAGGGCTACCACACTTCTCTTGCTGGCAAGATGCACTTTATTGGTGACCAACTCCACGGTTATGAGCAGCGACTGACCAGCGACATTTACCCTGGTGATTTCGGCTGGGCTGTGAACTGGGACGAGCCCGATACACGCCTTGAGTGGTACCATAACGCCAGCTCCATTCTTCAGGCTGGTCCCTGTGGCCGAAGCAACCAACTTGACTACGATGAGGAGGTCATGTTCAAGAGCACTCAATACCTCTGGGACCACGTCCGAGAAGGTCCCAAGAAGCGACCTTTTGCCTTGACTGTCTCTCTTACCCACCCACATGACCCTTACACCATTACCAAGAAGTATTGGAACATGTACGAAGATGTCGACATCAACTTGCCTGAAGTCAAGATGAAGAAGGAGGACCTTGACGCCCACAGCCAGCGTCTTCTCAAGGTCTGTGATCTTTGGGACCAGGACTTTACTGAGGAGCAGATCAAGCGTGCTAAGCGAGCATACTATGGCTCAGTGAGCTATGTTGACGACTGCATCGGTCGTCTTCTCGAGACACTTGAGGATGCAGGCCTAGCCGAAAACACCATTGTTATTTTCAGCGGCGATCATGGTGACATGCTGGGTGAGCGTGGACTCTGGTACAAGATGAGCTACTTCGAGTCATCCGTCCGCGTCCCTATGTTGATCAATTACCCCCAGCGATTCACCCCCCACCGAGTTACCCAGAACGTATCAACTCTTGATCTTCTACCCACTATCTGCGACTTAGTTGGCACCAAGCCATCTCCTTACTTGCCTATGGACGGAATCAGCATGCTACCTCATCTTGAAGGCCGTGAGGGTCACGACACTGTTATTGCCGAATACACTGGCGAGGGTACTATCCGCCCGATGATGATGATCCGAAGGGGCGACTGGAAGTACATCACTTGCCCAGCCGACGAGCCTCAACTGTACAACCTTGCGCGTGACCCCAAGGAGCTGGACAACCTTGCCCGTTTCAGAAAGATCGCACCACAGACACCCGAGGAAGAAGAGGCCAAAGAGGCTTTCACCAAGTTCGAGGCCGAAGCACACGCTCGATGGGACTTTGATGATATTACCGAAAAAGTCATCTTGTCTCAGCGCACACGAAGAGTCGTGTGGGACGCCCTCAAGGAGGGTGAGTTTACCAGCTGGGACTTCAACCCCGATGATGACGGTAGAAAGAAGTAAGTGGAAACCCAACCCCAATCAACTGCTACGGCAGTCGATGAGCTCGACAAGTCACATTACCACACCATTACAATGCTCAAGTCATGCTAACACCATTGCCGCAGATACATCCGCTCCACCATCCCACTTGACGATCTGGAGCGCCGAGCTCGCTACCCTTTTGTTGACGCCAATGGGTACGAAAGCAAAGCCGTTTCACATGTTCGCAGCAGCTAGATCTGACCTGCAAAGGTCTTATGAGATATGACCAGGGGACTTTGTTTGGATTAGGCATTCGGGTTGAGCGGTTATCCTTGATGTTTACTATGCCACGTCAAGCGTTGGAATTTTATGGCCCTTCTTTTTTCGCATCAAGCATAGCCAGCTACGGGGATTTTGTTTTTAATTTGGTCAAAAAGCATTGAAGGTGAATTGAAGTTTTACTTTAATGGATACTAAGAAATCTCTGTGATCACTTGAACATACTGTGAAGTCTAGTCTCTATCACACTAGACTGATAACATGAGAGCCTGGGTGGAACATAGCAGGTAAATTGGTGTTTCGGGGAGCTTAGAAGCTTTCATCGTTAGTGCTCTCTATATGTTTTACTCCCAAATTCCCAAACTACAAGCGCATTCGAGACACGGCAGATCACGATCAGTCGTCATGTAGCCACTCCGCCACTCCATTGATTATGCAACTAACATGTCTCTCTCATTGCAATGATAGGAAAACACCTCTACAATAGCGGAATATCGGTCTCCGGGCCCGATGCGGCCGATCGCACCGTCAGATCGAACGTTGTTACGAACTTTGCGACGAGCATGTAAGAGAACTTGTGCGTAAGCGCAGATTGTGTGATTTTGGCGCTGATGTCGCAAATGGCCCATGACGCTTGTGGAATTTCAGTGGAATCTGGGGTGAGTGGAGGGAGGCCCGCTTATACAGGGTCTAGGTGTTATTTTACAAGATTTAGAGGGTGTTGATAGAAGGAAGCTTTATGCCTGATATTTAGGGATGGGAGCTTAATTGTTAGCAGCTACATATTGCAAGGGCGGGCAGGAAATGTATATAAAACTGGGCCTCTATTTACATCGTTTTGCTACCCTAAGGTGTGGAAGGGTTGGTTTGAATCTTTGAGGATGAGAATTACATAAATATGTGTTACTAGTATGAAAGATAATTAAATACACGTCTTATTGTTAAATGTATTAAGATACAATCTCTGTCTGCGATACTATAACATTGCTGATGTTGATAGTTTACTACGTACCTAGGTTTGGCTGTTGCCCTCACACCGAGCTCGGTGAGCACACTTTGACGCGCTTTGTTCTGGAAGCTTTCAATTGCCCCGCGTCGACCCCAAATTTCCCCCATCCAACTACTTTACCTTATCAATCAGTAGATACACGATATCACTATAATTCGGTATCCTAGATTGCTTCGACTATCAATTAGCATTTTTGAGAGTCTTTTACATATTACTATTCGGCTACTAAGTCTCAACCACCAAAAACACAGCCACGATCAACACCGCGCCTTCGCATCGAGGTCATTGCCAATGGCTACTCTCAACCTGGAAGATGACGAGCTAAAGACTCTCGAACAAACGCTGAGCAAGGTCGCGCAGCTATCTAGCAGCGTTCAGAGCTTCAGACAGGATCTTCTGAAGAGCAACCCTCTGCCGCCTCCGTAAGCTGCATTCACCGCAATGCGCCATCGAGTCGCAATAGCTAAACGTGGTCTGGTTAGGAAATCAATTCAAGCCTCTGCGAAAATTCTCCAGAAGAACCTTAGATCGCTTCTTGAAAGCACGAACGAGAACGCAGACTTGTTCAACCGGATGGCCATCCATCCCTCGACAAATTACCCCGGCCGACTTCAGGAGAACGTTCTCCTTCAACTCCTGCGAAAGAAATTCGAGCCCGAAGTAGAGGAGCTCGTCAGCCAAGGGCTGGAAACCGCCCGACTCGCGACGCCAGCTGGCCTCGAAGACCTAGAGAACATATGGAGGGAACTACGAGCTTGGCTTACGGAACGTGTGGGTTATTTCGCCACCAACGAGAATAACGATGTCTACACAGCGGAGGAGCGCGCAAATGGAATTGAGAATGTGCGAACAGGTCTAAAGAGGGATGTTGACGAAGGTGACGACGATGATGATGAAGAAGAAGAAGAAGAAGAGGAGGAAGAAGTCGTACCGGCCCCAGTGGTGAAGGTGAGAGGACCGGAGCCAGAGACGTTGCTCTGGTTTTCAGCAAGGGGAGACTTTGAGGTAGCGCGAAACGTCGAGTATAAGCGCAAGACGGATGTCTACAAGGGTCTTCAAGGTGTCAACATACCGCCCAGTGAAAAAGAGCAACAACAACCACCACCACCACAGGAAGGATTTGTTCCTTCGTGAGTATGACCTGTGTTGGTTGGTCACGGTTTGGATGATGGTGGTTAGCAGCTTCCACTGGCAAGCTATTAGGGTCGAGGCGTTTGGGCAGTATCATGGGCGAGTGGCTTGATAACAAGATACCCAGTTAGTTGCAAGATAAGCTGACGGCTGTTTACGGATAGAGTGTGATGCATTGGGATAAGCAGTAGCTTAGTCGAAGAGGCCTGGTATATGTATAATATAAGCCTTGCCAACTTCTTCGACTTGAATTGATTCATATAAATTCATCGCAAGTATGGCACAGTCCAGGTCCGTAGATCCTGTTCTCTGAGCAGTTCTTTCAAGTGCATGGGAGTACAACTGTAGTATCACTTGAGCTGCATATATACTGCGGCACGTCGCAAACTCAATTGAACTAGCGCCAGGGTTCAACTGTTATTCTAAGCTTACATTGTGGTCATTTTCAACATCTAATAGTTCTTGGTCTAGAGCCTCTTCATGCCAAGACCCTTTCAAGCTGATCCCAATTCAGTTGCGGCCGAAGGTCGCTCATCTCCAAACATCATTCGTCGTCATTTAGCCAGTGTCTCAAAAGTGTCGTCACCCGAATGCCCGTGGCGCCAGAAGCTATGCCTTCCCCCGCGTCTTTGACAGCGCATGGCTGATGTTAGTGCTCACGAGACACAGAGCTGTATAAAATAATGAGACATCCAATAGCCTTTAGCAATCTTTGTAGTGCTGTGGTTTTTCCGGCAATGTCTCGGAACTAGAGTAGGGATGGGTTATTTATTATGTAGTTGTGGACGGGAGCTGCCCTGAAGCTTCCTTTCTTTCGATCATTCACCCAACAAGTATTCATGAGATAAGGCATCGCGATGATGTCCTCATATCAATTGTGCTGCCACGGCGCTGGCATGCACCCAAATACATACGCTCACCTTCCAGAATCATCTGAGCCTCATATGGATATAATACCGGGGAATGAAACGATGCTACGTTCAATGCCAGATTTGGCGATTGAGAAGAACGGAAACAAACCCACGTTTTTGTCGCTACCGCTTGAGATTCGGCTTCAGATCTACCATTGGCTTCACCTCATGTGTCCTGTTCGCCACGCGCAGCTTGCACCATGGTATCCGACTCCGGTGCATTGTCAATACATTCTCCAGCGAGTAGACCCAGCAGCTTCGTCTGAAGATACGACATCGGAACGTGACAAAACACCACACCATGGGCTTCTTTCGCCATACCGTCCTCTATCAGGGCTTCCGACGGGCCTCCTTAGAACAAATCTCCAAATCTACCGCGAGGCAAGAATGATACCTTTTAAACAGAACGAGTTCGTCTTCGTAAACTGGTTCGCCTCAGGTCTCTGGGCCGCACGCGCCTTCACTCGAGCCCTCGCCCCATGGCAACGAGCCGCCTTACGCTACGTCCGGCTGGAAGTGCTTGCAAGGGACGTAGTAGTCGGAGGCGCTGGCCGCGAGGAATGGCGCGTGCTATGCACAGAGTGGGCATCCGGCGTTAGAGGGTTGCGCATGAAGATGGTTCTCGGGGCGAGCATGTCGGCGGTGACGGAGCCGGCGTTCGGAAGCGGAGCGGGGCGCAGAGCGGAGGCGGCGCGGCGATGGGTCGGGGAGGGGCTCGGGCTGATGACCCGGCTGGAGAGGGTGGAGATGGAAGTTGTGGCGAGGGAGATGAGCGATGCGGAGAAGATGGAGTGGTGCGAAGTGCTGCAGGAGGAACTGAGGGAGGGAGGGCTTGAGAGGGTTGAGGTTGTGTGTACGGAAAAGGTGCAGGAGAAGATGGAGTGGATTAAGAGTGATGTTGGATGGAGGAGTCGAGAGAGAGGAGCTACAAGCTCTACCGCAGATGAATCTACAGGGGATGTATCAAGCGAAGGAAACGTATGAGGTTCTTTTAAGGTATAGGTACTTGTGTTTGTGTTCGTATTTGTATTTGCACATGTTTAATCCAATCTGTTTATCACGATCGAGTCTGGATGCGTAGCTAATCCACCACAACAAGCGAGCCTAGGCTATCCGAGGCATAGCAGACCGAGAATACCCATGATCAACCACCGTAGCATGTCGATTAAATCATAAAATAGGTAATGGTACTGATAAGCAAAATGAGGTGTAGTAAGCATACCTCGCAGTCGGGATAATACAAAGCCATGTGACTTCGCGCGATTCTCGCCAAACCGTGCCGCCGCATGAGTCACGTAACACGCTCTATTGTTTCTGTGAGAGCGATAACGGGGGACACTTTGTTCTACTGCTGTACTGGTTTTAGTAATACCAATACCCACATACTCGCCAGTTTCTCTTATAAATGTGCTTTTGCATCGAGCCAAGCCAAGACTTTTCGTGCCTTATTGGCTGTGTTTCTCATCCTCACCCCAATTGACTGGCGATTATCCTAACCCCGCCCCTCCGACAGACCTCCACCACCGAACTACCTTAGTTATCGGGTGTCTGAACTCTGAAAGCGACGTTTGAAGAAGGAGAAAACATTCCTTCGCTTACGTATAAACAAAACACTCCGAGACTCATCACGAAACTGCCCCAATTATTCCTTCCATCTGCCTTCTGCAACAATGGAGGCCAGGTGTCAATGCGGCTCCGTGAGCTTCAAGACTCCTCTTCCTCAGCCTCTTGCTCTCTACATCTGTCACTGCGATGCCTGTAGGCGACAGACAGGCTCGGCTTTTGGTACTTCGGCCATCTTTCCTCGGTTTGAGTTGCCGGACTCGGATCTATTGAGTGTTTATAGGTAGGAGAAGCAACTACCAGGTTGAGGGAAGGATTGAACTATTGAACTAATTGGCTTCAATGATAGTCGACCTACAGCGTCAGGACATCAACTTTACTGGTATGAGTTCACCACTATGTAGGTGTCAACATGCTAAATTCCTCTGAATAGTTACTTTTGCCGCAAATGCGGAACTCGTCTCATTCACTCCACGCCTGTACGTAACAGCAACCTCCCCTCACTCACCGAGTACTCACCAGGAAATAGTCCAAAAACGTCATATCCGTCAAAGGAGGCTGCCTCGATGGGCTGGACTGGAAACGTGCGGTTCACATCTGGACCAAGACGGCCATGGTGCCCATCCCCGAAGGGTCTGAAACGCACTCAGAGGAGTCCGGATATACGGACTACGGGTCGACCCAGGAGGAGCTGGACCAGCCTGGAGATCTGGTGGGGAGTGCTGGGTGCAACGTGCCTGTCGCCGAGAGGTATTCTTCAGGCGCCGCCGAGGCGAATGGGGATGCTGGTGTGACTGGTGATACGTAAGAGGGCTGACTGGTTGATGGATGACGTGGATTTCGAGTTTTGAAGTTGAAACACGTCAGTGTGTTTGTTGTTGGGAAATGTAAATGGGGGTAATAGCATGGGAATAGGCGCAATAAACGACCAATATGGCAGTTTGGGTTGATATGGGGGAGAAAATAATAAAATTGTGTTGCGTATTAAAATCTATTGACCTCATGCGGCCTCAGTAAGCTGTCGAGTGTTTAAACGTGTGGTGTTTTATAAAATGACATGCAGTCCATACCACCCCTGCACAATTAACAGCAATTTGCGGATATAACTTAAAGATACGCGCTGACAGATCGTGAACTTTGTCTTAGATACAGTATCCGTATGGAGATTTATGATTTATAGAGCGTGCAGAACCCAGTCAAAATTCCATTAAAGTCTGTCAACTCGAAACAGTGACACTTTCTGTCAGCCTCGGGTAGTGCTCTTCTCCGTAATGAAAGGGGCATTTGTTGAAGAAAAAGAGACAAAGAGAAAAAGGTCCCGGGTGGACTCGACTCTTTCTCTTTTGGCACTTTCGGCCGATACACTCAAAAGCATGTAGCGAGGCAAGGGCCCCCCCCCCTCCCCCGAAACATGGGACGAACTAGGGGTGCTTCAGTTGCGTCTCGCTATTGACGGAGAATTCTGGGCGTTCCCTTTCTTTGATTTGATGGAGTGTCGCGACGGGAGAAGCCGATTGTGATGGATTTTACTGTACCTGCATGTATCGTGGTTGTCAATATGGTCTTATGGTGGTCTTTTCATTATGTGAATATGAGGCTATCGTATCAATTCAGCGCTTAACAAAACGTGTCGAGAATGATTTTTTTATCTTGTCGTTCTTGTCTTTATGAACGATGTTGACCATGGCCAAGTCCTATCTAACGGTAGTGCCATAGTTAGCCCCCTTTTAGTCTCCATCTTGATAGAAAGATGCTGCCAAGTCTGAAATCCGAAGAGCCGAGATCAGGCATTTCTACAGAGTTGAGTCTCAAGTCTCGACAGCAGTTCTCAGTCATGTTATATAATATCTTGAATAAAGTTATCGCCTAAAAAGCCCAAATGTTAAATGTCGATCAAAAACCCTAGTCATCAACAATTGATGCTCAATCAACTGCATCTATCCGTACCTAGCATCTCCATCACATGGATCTAAACCACCACGATATATACCCCTGAACCCTAGTCTAGCCCCCCCATCCTAGCCTCAACCGTCACAGTCTCCGTTTGAGCCTCAGAGTCTGGAATCGTAATGCGAAACCCCCTGCTTCGCCTCTAACGGCTCTAACGGTGTGTGCGGCGGCACGGTGAGCCTAAAGTATGGGCCAAGGGAAAGGAAATGCATGGCAATGCATGGCAATGCAAAACTCCGTAGAATCATCCCACTTCCCTTCGCTTTCCCGCCCTTTCTCTTCCTCTGCTCCCCCATTTTTCGATTCGATTTTAATTCTCCTGTGCGTTGTTTCTTGTTTAATACTTTTCTTCTCGTCGTGACATCAGTCGATCCCCTCGTTCATTCACTGATTGACTTGACTTGCGTTGCCGGGCTTTGGTCTCGGTATACTCTTGTCACGGCTTCTTTATTCTTATTATTCTTCTACTGCCCCGGGCAACCATTCTTTTTTCCCTTGTCCCTGATGTTGGGCTAGGTGCCTCTTAATACTGTCTCCAAACTCAACTACTACGACTGCTTCGCTGTCGTCGAGATTTTAAAAATCCGTCACTCGCTCATCACAACTGAACTATAACATCATCATCAACGGCTGGACTGTTGCACCGCTCTTTAACTCAAGCCAAGTTCCAAATCAGAAACCCACATTCAATTTAAAGGATTAAATCATCATGAAGTTGCTGCTTTGGCTTACAGCCGCCCATGTAGCGCAGGTGAGTACTTCAGACTATCATCCACACAAGCAACTCTAAAGTCTAACGCCATCTCAAATAGGCCGCGGGAAGACATGGGATCATGAAGAAGAGACAGGTGGTTGAAGAAGGAATTGTCTCGGCAGCCAAATTCGAAGGGTAAATCTACAGAACCTAATTAAGCCAGACACTTGCTAACACATCTCCAGACTGCGGCTGTCTTATATCACTGAAATCGTTACTCAGAAAGTGACTGAGACGCAGATGCAGACCGTTATTCAGACGGTCGCGGGTACTCCTGTTGCTGTCGCTGCTGAAGCCGTCACCGTCACCGTTAATGCTCCTGCTGTGACAGTCACCGAGACCAAGACTGAAGTCGTCAATCAAGTCAACACTCAATATGTCACTCAGGTTCAGGTTGAGACTCAATATGTTACCCAGGTCGACACCCACATCATCACCGAAGTGGCTGCGGCTCCTGTAAGTCATTCATTCCATTGTATATCCTAGTATCATGTGCTAACTAGCTCATAGCCTGCTGTGACTGTCACAGAAACTGTCACAAAACCTGTAAGTCTAACATCATCACCGCTTTCGACTTGTACTAACTCATGATATAGGAGCTGGTTACCATCATTGAGATGCAGCCCCTTACGGTTACCGTCGCTGGACCAGGACCTGTAGGTCGCTCATCCTGGACTAAAACTCAAACGCTAACTCTGCAAAGGACCCCATTACCATCATCCACACCGTACAGGCTCCCCTTGAGACCGACGATTCTATCGGAACAAAGTTCAACCCAGGCGTCACCACGATTCCCATCCCTGAAAGCCGACTGCCAAAGACAACACTCCAAGCGGACCCCTTTGCTCCAGTGGGACCTGTCATGACAACAGTAATCACTCCTCAGGTGCCTGCCCCGACAAATGCTATCCCTCCTGAGCAGCCCGCCGAAAAGCCAGTCACGACAAGCGCTGTCATTCCTGGAGCACCTATCGAGGGCCCTATCACGACAACAACCATCGTCCCTAAGGAGCCCGTTCAAGAGCCCTCTACGATCCAAACCAGCGCTCTCGAGAAACCCAGTAGTGAATCGTCTACCCAGAAGCCACCCGCCGAAACTTCTTCAACTCAGGCAGAGCCTGCTTTGACCCAGTCAGAGCCTGCCGAGTCCGCTCCTACCATGTCACCTTCGATGGAGCTTGGCAACATGGGGCCCGATACCACGGGAGCTATTGCGGCGCCAATTCTAGACGGATCCGACCCGACAACCACTGCCGCAGCAGAAGGACCCTCAAAGACTCGTATCCCAATCGATCTGTCCGACCCGTCAAAGCTCAGCAGCGTGCTCGACTTAGGCAACCTGGGCGGAGGAGAAGGAGGGCTCAAGGCTCGTGCGACGGGTACTCCTTGAGTAATTCAGAAATATGATGGAGGTGACGATGTAAGCAATATGCTTTGGGACGGACTCTGGGGTTTCTTTCGAAGAGCATTCGTGCTCGTAATGTTGTAGCTAGTCTTATAATAATGTGAGCAAGTCTCCAGAGCATGTTAAATTGCGCATCTGTCTATGGTCTGGGTATCATGATGCCATGCTTTGTACCTATTCGCGTTGTAAAACACAAATTTCGAAAATTTCTTATTTCTCAGCTCCTGCAGCCCTCGAGGCCAGCTTCATCTTCTTGGCCTGTCTTTTGCTGATCTGCTGAGACTCCTCCTCGCCATTTTTACGCTTTTGGTTCCGATTTTGTGCTTTGTTCTTGTTCTTCTTCCCTGCCAATGTCTTGCCATCCTCATCATCTGCTCCTGTCGCTTCCTCCGCAACTCCGACGATGTTGATAACACCCCTGAACCCATTTCTCTTGAGGCCTTCGTTCACAACCACTGACCGCGGTGCCTCTCCAAGGCCCTGCATACCCTTTTCGTTGCCTAGCCCCCATACGCTAAGCAAGTTGACCACGTCCGCAGGCGCTCGTAGGGACAGCACATCCTTGGCTTCACTGCTGATCATCAAGCCTCTGCCGCGTGTCGCTCGGATGAGACTGGTAACGTTTGAGATGAAGTTGGCGCGGCCTCGGGTATCGGCGGACAGAGCTTGGCTGTAGCAGACCTCAAAGCGAATGCCGCGCGAAACAGCAGCCATGCACGGTTTCGGTTTAAAGTGAAATTGCAAGTGCTGCGTGAAATCCATCGATATTATAGGGACATCGAGTGTGAGGCAGGCATTCTGAAAAGCCTTATCCGTCAGTGGGCGAGCCGCGATGATGTCGTATGTCGAGGTGAGGAATGGGATCCGGTAGTTATTAGCCGACGGATCTGACAGTGGAAGAGTCGCGCGGTGAAGAATATTTGGGAGCTTGGAGGTTGACGAAGGTGGTATGGTCGGGAATGGTGCGGTGAGGTTAGGAGGAAGTGGCAACGTGAGGGTGTGGTTGAGCGCGACAGTAGAGTATCCGAGTGACGAGGAGAGGGTGAGGGTTTGTAAAAGCTGGTCCTGCGTCGTGGATGGCGACCAGGCTATGTTGAGGTCGTAAAGCATGGCGAATAGCTTGGTTGAAGGGTTTGCGCTACGAGCTAGCAGGGCATTGCACGCGCGTGATTTGAATATTGAAGAATATGCGGGCGATCCTTGGATATTGGTGCTTGGTGTCGGGCTACAAGCATTACTGCGCAAGCCTTGTGGTTGTGGTTGTGATGGACGCGACAAGTGATGCTCGCGATGTTGAGTTGGAGCTAACTTTTTTTCTCCGGCTTGAGTTTCCCCACGACCCTCATGACGCAGAAGTGTCTGTCTGTCGGAAAAAGCTGTGGCCCGTGCATTGCAAGCCGCCGAACTAAATGCCAACAGCCCCTACCGTTCGTCATTACTTTATTCTTGTGCCTGAAGTATCAACAAACTCTCTAAGATGCATGCTATGTATTGCAAAGTCGGGAGTCTTCTCTTCTCATATGACAAGTAAGATTCGATCTGATATCTCGACTTTTGATAAATAAATAAAAAACCATACAACGCTTTGAAGCATTTCCTACCGACATAGAGTGCATTGATAATTGGCACCTGACCTGACTTAAAGCTTGCCAAGAGCTGCGCCGCCTAAACTACGACAACGCGCGCCACTTCAAATCAACCTCAAACTCCTGGGCCAGCCATTAACTTCCTTTCAACATACTACATCACACTCGACTATATCACTCACCAACTGTCGTCTCCTATATCAGACAACGTCAGATACCAATTACATACCACTTCCTTCTGCGACTTCACATAAACACTCACAATGTTCTTCTTCTTTGTGTGCGGTGAGCACACCTTCCGCAAGGAAGTTTCAGGCTACGAGGGCATGGTATGCCAATGTCACCACTGTGGTAACATGGCAGCTCATGTCCAGAAGAGCAACCCTTGGTTCACATTCTGTTGGATTGTATGGCTTCTTGCTCCCATTCTGTCTTCACAATCAGCTAACAACAATTGCAGCCTTTGATTCCTTTGTCTATCTCCGGTTACACCGATGTCGCATGCCGAATCTGCAACTTCCACCAGCCTCTCGAGAACCGTCCAGACGTCAAGGCCATGGCAAATGGTGGAGCACCGCCTCAACAGCATTACGGCCCTCCTCAGGGTGCACCTCAAGGACAGCAACCTATGCGCTACGGTTAAGATGATATTGTGCGAACTTCTAATCCAGAAGTCATCCACATACGCAGGCAAATTTACAATCCTACTACATACATTTCGACATTGGCTTCTCTGGTTTTTATTATTTTTAAGGAGGCGATGCAGCCTGGTGTTTAGGCGAATTGGGATACCTAGCGAAGGGGTAATGGCTGGGATCGTTTTGATGCCGACAGTCACCCATTTCCACTTCACTTGGCCAAGATGGAAGAACGGTTGTGACTCTTTTGCCCTGCTGTGTTAGCAAAGGGGCAAACAACAGGTAAATTGAAATATTCGCAGGTCTGAGCGAAGTGTTTTCTGCTTGTGAAATATCCTGCTTCAGTATTTCTATACACGGCAAGCTTGGACAGCCACTGCTTGTGAAACATTTAAACATATACTCATCTGAGTGCACCGTGTTGCCACTATTATAGTGTCAAGAGAATGGATCTACACACTATTCCTCTCCAGGACGCCCAAGCTTGTTGGTTGTCATCTGTGACCATCTGGGATCATATGCCACTCTAACTTCAATCCAAGCACGTACGACCAAAGCTCGAAGAGAACACGGGATCCCGTCCGCTCTCCCTTAGTCAAGCTTCGAAGCGCCGGATTAGTAGTTGGGTCGGTGACGACCAGCGAATCCCCGGTGTTGTATGTTCTCTTTTGCAGTCTGCTTCAATTTCCACCTTTTTGCTAGTCGAGGTAGGTAGTGGAGATGGTGAATTTTTTTATACCGAGGTATACTTCCCTATAACCAAACACAAATGTCGTTTGTAAAATTGTACTAGGAAGGCTTCGAAAGAATTAATAATAAATATGCATACAATCAACTGAGACATTTCTCTTATTGATCATCAACAATAATTCCATGTTTTCACCTAGAAGCGCGTTAACCATGCAAGACATAGCTAGCAGCACGCGTTATGGGCAAGGGGGGGACGTCCCGGTTGCGGGGCAAGCATTCACGATTCACGGTTGGCAGCTGCGATCTGCACCCTTACCAGCTCTAGCGGGTCGTTGCCCAGCAACGTCGCCAAACACGGCCGCTCAGAAAAGACCCTCGACCACATGGGGGACCTGAAATAAACAAAATCATTGACATGATGTTTCTTGCATAAACTCCTATTTACTTCTTCTTCTTTTCTACATACTAACCATACCCACCAACAACACAGCAAAATCTTTGATCATGGAGTCGCCACCCAAGAGAATGACCCGGGCCAGAGCTGCGGCCAAGGCCACTGAGCCCTCCGTGAAAACCACAAAGATCGTCACAGCTGCTGCGCGAGCAAAGAGCACAGCGACGGCGGGCACAAAGAGCACAACCGCCAAGAGAAAAACAAGAGCAGATGAGAATGAGGAAGATGAGGAGGAGCAACGCGAGTCTGCCGCTGTGAGGAGAACGCGTGGTAGACCAAGAAAGGCAGAAGAGCAAGAGTCCGAAGCCAAGTCAGAAGGACCAGCAAAACCCATACGGGGCCGTGTATTGAAGAAGACAGCTACAGAGCCTCCTAAGGAGACTGCTGCACCTGCCAAACCTACAAGAGGACGGCCTCGGAAGGCAGTCGCTGCTGCAGACGAACCTGCCCCGGCGGCGCCTGTAAAGAAAACTACTGCTACCCGCACCCGCACAGCCGCCGCTACCACCACCACAACAAGAACGACAAAGACAATGGGTGCCTCCAAGCCTGCTATTAGAAAAGCCGTCAAGTTCCAAGAACCTGACAAGGAAAATATTGAGCCCACCGAGGAGGCCACAGAACCTGCTCGGCCTGGAATCAGAGGGCGACCAGCCAAGCGTGGAGGAGCAGCTGGAAGTCGAACAACTAGAGCGGCGGTAAGATCCGCTGAGTCGACAAACGTTAAGCCATTAAGTCCTAAGAAGATTACCCAGATACCCGTTTCGAGGGACGAAGATTCCGAGGATGAACTTGCTGGCGACATGCCGCCTGTCAAACCCATGATGAAGAGCCCGATCAAACCCCCATCCAACGTCGCAAAGAAGCAACCCGAGCCAACCGAACAACCTACCGAATCAATAACTGGCACGGAGAGCATTAGCAATCCACCCAGCCTTGGCGCAACTGTTTTGACATCTCCTGCCAAGAGGTTACCTCCTTCGGCTCTTAAGGACACCATGAAATCACCAGCTCGCCGTATTGGCCCTATCACCCTACCCGGATCAACAATGAAGAAGGCCCAGGACAGCAACACCGAAGCTGAGGATGGGACTTCCTCTAAGACTTCTCTCCTTATGTCTGCGGCTAAGCGACCTCAGTCCCCTATCAAGGGTATGAACTTTGGAGCATCTCTCAAGCCCCAACAATCCCAATCAGCGATGAAGGCTTCTCTGCTTCTTTCGCCAGCGAAACATGCCATGCCTGGATTGAAGCCAATCACTGAGCCGCGGCCCAGAGATGCTGCTGCCCTGGGCGAGCCACCGCTTATGAAGCCCTTGGTCCTGGGTACTCCAACACGTGCTACTTCCACCCGCTCATCAGCCAAGCTTATGCTGGAGGAGCAAGCTGGAATGGATTTTGATACTGTTGATGACGACGTCTTCAACGAACCAATGGAAAACTTGCAGTTCCCTGGTCGACTATCAGCTGTCCTTCCTCGCTATGCTGATCCTGCCTTGAAGAAGGATATGGGGATCGTTGAGGCTGAGGAGGTTGTTCCGGTGAATGAGGCTCAGATCGAGCCAGAAGCTATTGTGAATATTCAGGAAGAGATTGAGGCTGAGGTCGAGCCAGTCGAAGATGAGGCAGAACTTACCGACCAAGAGGATAGCATGCTTGTCGACGACGAAAATGTCGAGGCAGATGACATCCCTCACGAGTCTGAGCCTGAACACTCAACTTCAACTCAGTCTCCAGTGCAGGAACAGAACCCAATGTTTCAGCTCAGAGACAAAGACCTACAGCCGACTGAGGACATGGACTCGGATTCAGATGAGGAGCATGTTCCCACCTCTAAGGTGGCTCCTACGACGCCAACTCCATTCGTTCGCAACACACCGAAAACTTCTCGGGCTTCGATAGGTGGTTTCAGCGCACTCGCTGATCGACTCGGTTCTTGGAAGGCCAGCACTCCTGTCAAGATGGCCCCTCTCACAAGTAACAAGGCCTCCAGCAAGTTTACTGTTCTTCAAGAGAACGCTGCCACTCCTCGCTCCAATGCTTCGCCAGCGTCAACGCACTACTTCGAAGATGAGATGACTGTACGAGCAGGCATGGAGGACTTGCAAGCGGACAAGACAGCAGAGATCGAAGAGCCCACCTTTGATGACATGGAAGTAACTGAGGAGGACGTCGAATTGGCCAATGAGGCCAACGAGATGTCATTGATGGAACCTGAGATTCTTGAGGACATTGTCAACACCGAAGCTTTTGACGACACTCTCTCGGAAGCTAGCCAGGAGTACGGTGATGAGAACGAAGTCCCCTCTTCTATGGGTCCGGTGACCCCTGTTCGCCCAGTCATGAAGACTTTCAACACCACCACAAAGGTTCCTTTGAAGCCCGCAGATGACTCTTCTCCTTCTCCTTTGAAGAAGCGCAGCTTCAGCGCATCTCGAGTTGCGCCCAAGCGCCCTGCAGGCCCGACGAGGAGTGCCAGTGTTATCTCCTACTCTCCGGGTAAGGGAAGAAAGAGCATGCCAGCTACTATTGTTGAGGTGCCCTCCGCTCCCTCAACTCCTGCTCCGGTAACCCCTTCGAAGTCGGACCTTTGGTCTTCTTTGGGTACACCCGCACGAACCCCTCGACGTGACGTTGACCCTGCTCTGCTTCGCGGAGCTGTTGTCTTCGTTGATGTGTACACCAGCGAAGGAGCTGATGCCAGTAGCATCTTCGTGGAGCTGCTTACTCAAATGGGGGCCAAGTGCATGAAGACATGGAGCTGGAACCCCAGCGGTGCTGGAAATGACGTGACGTCTAGTAAGGTTGGAATCACTCATGTTGTCTTCAAGGATGGCAGCAAGCGCACACTGGAGAAGGTCCGTGAGAGCAACGGAATCGTCCAGTGTGTGGGAGTCAGCTGGGTGCTTGAGTAAGTTTTAATATTTTACCAATTTTTTCGAAGCCGAGCTAACCATGAATAGTTGTGAACGTGAGAACGACTGGGTCGAGGAAAGTCCCTACAAGATCGACACGAGCAATGTTCCTCGTGGTGGAGCTCGTCGCCGCAAGAGTATGGAACCCAAGGCTCTGGCCAACATGAACGGTACTCTTGTCACTAGTCCTGTCAAGGGGGGTACACGTACAGCTCCTGCCACGCCCATCAACCGTCGTGAGAGCTCGCAGTGGATGTTCACTCCTTCGGACCAAGATGAAGACGAGGAGATGGAAGATCTTGAATGGTCCGAGGCCATTTTGACTCCTGTTCCTAAGACACCAGCCCCTGAGGCTGTTGCGCGCTACGCCGCCAATCTTGTTCCCGAGACGCCCTCTGCCTATGAGGATGACGAAGACGATCTGGACGATTCTCCCACTAAGGACGCTATCCTGACGCGAACATGTCCTCCCAAATCAAACGCCTTCCGTGACCTGGGCGCTGGCATAATCAGCCAAACCAAGGACGACGGTGTTCTCATGCGCCTCATGGCGGCGCGACGCAAGAGTCTGCAGTTTGCTCCCAAGATCGGCAGCCCTCTGGCTAGAGCTTGGCAGTAAAGTCAGAGAAAAAGGAATAAAGTGGGCAGGGGATAATTGTGCATTGGAAGGATTCGGTATGGAGTTTATGGTTCATAGATTTGCCAGCATAGGGCATGACATACAATCACTCGTTTTGTCATGGGAAAGGATACCACGGGATAGACAGGACCTTTGGTTTGGCGTTTGGTGGATTGACTGATAGTGTACACACGGTTTTGTGTCGGTTTATTAATAATCCCACCATGGCGATTTATTGTCATTTCTTTCGACTCATGTTTTGTGATGGCTGGAAATATAGGACATGTATGTGGGAGTGTTTGAGTCGTCTCTCGTGGATCATGCCTTGTTACTCCTTTCTCGTGTGTTCTCCCGTATTGATTGCCCCGTCTAGCCCCAGCTTCTGGTGGGTATGTCCATTCATTGTGCGCCTTAGCTTAGGCCTTGACGAACGCCCTCATAGCTTTGACAGCATCACCCTCATTGCTCTTGAGCAGCTCCGTGGCCTTTGGCTTTGGCAGGTCAAGCTCGTCAACGAGAAGAGCAACATCAGCAGCGTCGACTTTGACGTTCTTGTTGGATGCGGCAGTGGCAGAAGCTTTCTTCGCGCCGAGGCTCTTGATGGCTTTGTTCGCAGCTTCGGCGTCGACGTTTTGCGGCGTGGATGAGGGAGAGTCGGCGGAGTCGAGGTTCTCGAGGGCCGAGGCGGCCTTGCGGTCCTCAGCAGACTTTGCGGTTTGAGAGGGGGTTTCGTCGGTCATGGTTATTTGTGGTGATGGGTGAGTGAGGTTGAAGACGGCGGTGGTTTGAGTTGGAGTTGTAAAGAGTGGAGAGGTGAATGGAAGTTAAGCAAGCTCTGGTGGGGTTTGGAGGGGCAGGTTAGGTAGTTGTGATGTGGGGAGTACATAGTAGGTATTGTTGGAGCAGAGCTTGGCTGTCTGAGCATTAGAATAAGAATGATAGCCAAGATATAATATTAATTGATACTAGATAGCTGAGCTCAAATAAGAAATATCAATGTTGCTACATTTGCACGTACTTGACCAGGCTCAAGATATATCAATTAAGCTTTACTCAACCAATAACTAAGTGAGACACACCGCCAGTAAACTACCATTCTCATAATCATGCCTTCCCCAATCATCATAACAATATTATCCTTCGCAAAGGTGGCATCAAATTTATGTAATTAAATATATTCAGCGGAAAATGGTTCGACTTTCAATATCATCCACGCCACACGAAAGCTCATTTGTGCAAAAATACTGTGGCTTCCAGCGGCTACGCCACATTTTTCTTTGTTAATTGACTTTTGACAAGCTTCGTTTTTTGTCCAGGGTGTGTGTGTACATGTGTCTTAACCATTGGATCTTTCTTTGTTCTCTGTGACTCACTCTCTCTTATTATTAACGGCAACAACTCCACTACCAAATACTCATCAGACTTACTTTACAAGTGGTCCTCGTCGAGTCAAATTCCTTAAGTCAATCGCTTTTGCGTGGTCAACCCCGCCAATTCCGGACTACTCATCTCATCCCGCCTCTTACACACAAACCACACTTTCAATATGGCTTCATCTTCGTCTTCCGCCTGGGAGCCTTCGTCTTGGCGCTCAAAGCCCATTAAGCAAGCGCCTGACTATCCTGAACAAGAGCCCCTCGACAAAGCCGTCGAGGAACTCACCAATCTGCCTCCTCTGGTGCACCCCAATGAGATCATCGCTCTCAAGGCCCATCTTCGCGATGTGGCACAGGGCAATGCCTTTCTCCTCCAGGGTGGTGATTGTGCGGAACTCTTCGACTACTGTCGCCAGGGCCCCATCGAGAGCAAGATCAAGCTCCTGCTGCAGATGAGTGTCGTTCTCATCTGGGGAACCAACAAGCGAGTTGTGCGCATTGGCCGTATGGCTGGGCAGTATGCGAAGCCGCGATCTAGTCCCACCGAGATGGTCGATGGAAAGGAAGTCCCCAGCTTCAAGGGCGACATCATCAACGGCTACCGTCTCGAGGACAGGACGATTGATCCTAACCGTCTCGTCAAGGCCTATCACCATTCTGCTGCCACCCTCAACTACATCCGCGCCGCTCTCGCCTCGGGCATTGCTGATCTTCACCGGCCGCTTGACTGGGGTCTTGGCCATGTGCGGGATCCGGAACTCAAGGAGAAGTACTCGACCATCGCCTCTAGTATCCAACAGACGCTGCGCTTCCTACAGGTCATCAACGCTCGACCTGGCGAGCTCGACTCAGTTGAGCTCTTCACTAGTCATGAGGGTCTTCTCCTTGACTATGAGCAGCCTCTGACTCGTCTTTTGGAGAAGCCTACTGCCAGAACCACAAGCCCCTCGCCGCCGGGTGACAACAGTGAAAAGAAGGAGTACTACGATACCTCTGCGCACTTCATCTGGATTGGCGACCGTACCCGTCAAATCGACCATGCTCACGTTGAGTTCTTCCGCGGCATCGCCAACCCCATTGGTATCAAAGTTGGTCCCACGACACCAGCCTCCGACCTTCTATCCCTCCTGCGCACCCTCAACCCCTCATGTGAGCCGGGAAAGATCACCCTCATCACACGCTACGGCGCCGGAAAGGTGCGCGATCTTCTCCCCACGCACATCCGTGCGGTTGAGGACTCTGAGTACCGCCGATGCGTTGTCTGGCAATGCGACCCCATGCACGGCAACACCCTGTCCACACCCACTGGCATCAAGACACGTCGTTTCGGCGACATCTATCGTGAGCTTGAGGAGACACTGCGCATTCACAAGGAGGAGGGTAGCAACCTAGGTGGTATGCACCTCGAGCTCACTGGCGATGCTGTCACAGAGTGTATGGGTGGTAGTGAGGGTCTGGACGAGGATGATTTGTCGACAAACTATACTAGTTTCTGCGACCCTAGACTCAACGAGAAGCAGGCCCTTGAGCTAGCGTTCTTGGTAGCGGACCATTTCTCAAGAGAGCATAAGAAGCTATGAGAAATATGGAAAAGTCGATATTTAAAAGTTTGATATGAATGGGATGGATATTTGCGAGCAAAACAGGGAAACTGTAAATGGGAAGACACGCCTGGTGACTACGAGGAATAAAAACTACGAGCGCCATACTTATCAAGAAACATGTGAAGTCTATTTGGCGGACATTAAGCACAAAGACATGATACCAAATGGTCTTCTATTCAGTATGATCTTTGATCTCTGAACTCTAAGCACGTGCTTATGTTTGTTCAGTACTATGATACCCCATCCAAATTGTCAAAACAGATGTTAATTCATATCGTGTCCATCAGATTATTGTGCTGCCGTTACGTAACTGTCATATCTTGTATCTTATCGCTCCATCGCCGCTATGGCGATCCCGTCAAGCCAGGGTGATAGTCTGCGCTGCTTCGAAAGCGTCACCCTTGTCAAGCTTTTGCCAGCCCTTAACGGAACCGGGCTCAACACAGAGCATGTTCTTCCAGCCATCCTTGGGAGAAAAGTCCTTGATGCTGGCAGACTTATCGACCCAAGGGTTCCAGACAACAACCTGGTCGAGGTTGTCGCGGACAATGCGGAAACGAGGGCTTCCGGACTCGGAGATAACAACGGGGTGCCCGGGACCCTTGGCCGGGGTGTAGACGGAGTCGGTCTCGGCGGAAAAGGTGATGGCTCCGGACTGGGTTTCCTCTGAGCTGGAAACCTTGGAGAAGTAGGTAGAGTCCTCGAGACCAGTGACCTCTGTGGAGGAAATGTCCTGAAAGATATTAGTCATTGTATTCTAAATATGGGAACGACGAGGAGCTTACGCTGATCTTGAAGTAAGTGTGAAGAAGAGTCTGGAAGTCGAACGCGGCATCACCGTCGTTGGTGACAACAATGGTGGTGTTGAGACTTTCAGGGTCAAGCGACACACTGTAGATAAGGGCAAACTTGTATGGCCAGAGAGCCTTAAAGTCTTCGCTGATGCTTTCAGAAGAGAGGCCGAAGTCGAGCTTGACGCTGGAGCTGGAGCCCTCGCTGGTGGACTTTCCGAGGAACTCCCATCGCGAGTTACGGGCAAAACCGTGCTGGGGGAGCTTGGCTACGGGCTCGTGATCGGGAGCAGTGCCGAAGACCTGCAGAGTTACGAGATCAGTGAATGTATTATATGAGTGCTGACCAGGATTCATACTGGGAAGACAATGGGAATACCTCCTCGAACAGCAGCACTGCCGTCGAGAGCCGCATCCTCGCTGACCCAGAGCTTCTCGGCGCCTGAAGCGTCCCTCCAGCTGATCACGGTAGCGCCATGAAGGAGAACCTCTACGCTTTCGCCGGTGGGAAGAATGGCCTTGACGCGGGAGTTGTCGTGGGTGATGTCGACAGTAGGCTGAGGAGGAGCGGCGGGGGTTGAGGCAAGTGCCGAGGGCTTATTGGGACGGTCGACCATTGTGAAGGATTATCTGGAGAGTTGAGGATTTGTAGGTTAAAAGATGTGAGGAAGATGGAGCTTGTAGAAGTGAGAGGTAGACTGTAGGTAGTGGCGGACGTTGAGGTGGGGTTGAAAGGGTCCGAGTCGAGTGGGGGTGGTTGAGAAGGAAAGAAAGAGACAAAAAGTCAGAGGCAGACAAAAATAAAAGTATTTAAGACAAGTCAATGGAAGAATAGGCTAAGTTACGGCAGATGCTCTCTAAAGGTGTTTAACGCGTTTCTGCTCCCTGCAATACGATTCGCCTTTTTTAAACAATGTTGCAGCTGTGAGATGCTTCCAGTTCTGGGAGGAGGTGATACAGAGGTACCCATGTAGAAGATGGCGGGGTAGCTCAAGCAGGCCAATAGGATCCAAGTATCAAGCTGTTTGATGGAGACCTGCTACTAAAGTTAGAGCTGTTACCGGCCACACTCAGAGCTGAAACACGTCTCAGATTCTGGCTTGTGATACATCACGTCTTCCAGTATTTACCCAGTATTCCATTGGCGAGGCAGTGCCTATTATGCCTAGAATTAGGCATAATAGTTTATGATATTATTTCTTCAAAGCGTCCGTCATAAGTCCGCTTTAACCGATTGTGAGCATGAAAGTATTTAGACTCTAGCCTTTGAAACAGTTTCATCATACAATGTGCAACGGACAGCTGAAGCACTCAAAGTTACACAAGACTAATGGTTCGAACATGCTCTAGTCATAAAAGAGTCTCGTTGAACCGGGTATCTATTTGATATATGTTTCAAAAACTAGAAATGACCAGCAGCTAACCCCATCTATATCTTTCAGCCGCTCACGGGGGGTATATATCATGCCTCTCAGCTAGGTTACTAACCGTACTAGCTACCACCACACAACCTCATCAGCCCAACTAACACTCATATCAGCTCTCTCGACGTTGGTTTTCTTCATCGTGCGATGTAAACATGGCAGCATTAGGGTGTTCACCACTGTTGCCGCTCAGGCTTCCACTTCGATGCTCGACATGAGCCTTCTCATCAATCTCCTCCACGGCAATGAGAAGCTTTCCGTTGTTATCGTATCGTCGGGGTTCTATCTTAGCCTGTTTGACAACATCGAGAGCACCCTTGAATCCGTGTCCAACCTTTTGGAAGATGGTGTCCATCTCCTCTAGCGATCGATATGCTGTCTCGGGGAAGAAGAAGTAAACAGAAGGAACCATGATGGCGTTGATAACGGCAAAGATAATATATGTGTTCGACCCAATGTTCTGGAAAGCTGGAGGGGTTATCATAACAACCAACCAGTTGAAGATCCAGTTACTCGACGTCGCCAGAGCGTTAGCAGGAGCACGGATTCGAAGAGGTGTGATCTCGGCAGGGTACAACCATGTCATTCCAAGCCAGCCAACGGCGAAGAAGGAGTTAAAGACGAAGAGGAAAACAATGCCCACAATCTGGCACGCCCTAGCATCGCTAGAACCAACACCGGCAAGAATAGCCATTGATGCACATTGACCGGCAGCACCAAAAATCATGAGTTTTCGGCGTCCGACACGTTCGACCAGCCAAATCGCGGGGAGAGAGGCTAAGAAGTACTCGGTACCATTCAGAGCCGCCATGAGGAGAGGCATATGACCTGTCATACCGAGTCCGGAGTAGATACTTGCGGCGTAGTAAGTGATCAGGTTAATGCCGGAAATCTGTTTTGCCAATGTCAGTATTTACAAATTGATACGGGGGCAGTCTGATTTACCTGTTGGAACATTTGGTTGACATAGGCGATGACAGTACGGTGGAGGTTCTTATTGTGGTTTCGAGAGAATAGGTCTGAGAATGTGCCCTTGCTCATCTCGGTTGCAGTCTCTTTGATAGCCCTGAATTCATTGTCGACGTCTTTACTCTGCACATCCTGATCGGCGATGGCAGCGATAACTTCCCTTGCATCCTCATCACGTCCCTTGAGCACCAGCCAGCGAGGAGATTCAGGCAGGTTCATAACAGTTCCCATGATGACGAGACAAAAGACAATCTGGAAGGCCATTGGGAATCGCCAGCAGGCAGAGGTATCTTGGGCAAAGTACATGCCATAATCTACCCAGTACGATATTGTGATACCAAGCGTAATGAGAGCGCCCTCTATCATGACGAGTTTTCCGCGCTTGTGAGCAGAGCAGGTTTCGGACTGCCACATAGGGACAGTAGAAGTGTTGCCGCCATTACCAAGCCCAGTGATGATTCTTCCAATAATAAAGTGTTCCAGAGAGTATGCGGAAGCCTGAAGAGCAGCCCCAATGACCATGATAGTAGTGCCGAGCATAATCATCTTTCTGCGACCAAGTTTGTTTCCAATAAAGATGGTGATGAGGGCGCCAAAGAAGCAGCCCAGGTTGTAAGAAGACACTGCGATACCCTGGTAATTGGAGCGGTCCTTTCTAACAGCTGCAGATACGCTGGGGTCCTCGCTATGCATATCAGGAAACTGATCCATGAAGGGGGCCATTGTCAGGATGCCACCCATAACACCTTGGTCTATGATTGTTGTCAGTCTTGCTATGTGATTCGGTTCTCACACACAAGTCATCTAGTATGAATTTGGTGTAAAGAGGTAATCTTTACCGTAACCGAAGAGCAGGAAGTCAGTTCCTGCAATCGTGCTGATGGCATAATTGAGTGCCTGGCCTCGAAGGCCGAAGTACTTCTTGAACATGGTGGAGTGAAGAAAACACAGAAGAATTGAACCTCAAGAATAGCCTGGCGGAGCCTGGGATAGAGAATTTCGAAACGGTGATGCGGAGGCCGATGAGGTTTATAAAGAAATAAAGCCCTTGGATCTCGCGTATCGTAACGTAGAGTCATGTCGAGCAGGACTTGGTACTGGGTCTACTGCCGCTGACGATATCCACCCAGGCCGAAGGCACTGGCGTCTCATACTGGCTTAACCTGACCCATCTGCCCATCCATGGTTGTCTTGGTCTTGGCTGTGCAACGGGTCCATCGGGCAAAAGACGGTGATCCTCACGACTTGTACTGTGTGGACAGTAAAACATACTGAGATCCGCAGTTGTGTATACCTATCGGGCTATCGCTAGCATGGCATGACCCCTGCATACTCTGATATATAAAGTTTTCCAGAATCCAGGCAAGTGAGCTGTTGACTGAAGGTTGAGATTTGGAATTGCATATGCGTATCGGAGAAATATAGGTGCTGTATAGACTGAGTTTGTGCTGTCCAAGAGTTGACATGTTATTCTCCGGGCTGGCAATTCGCATCGGGGGTCATACCACTCGTCTCCACAGAATTAATCTGTGATATGGGGGAAAAACATGGGGGAATTCCGCGATGGCTGGAGCGTGGGGAATGCGACGTCATAGCATGACTCCTGGTCAAGGGCGTCAGATTCTGGGAGCATCCTTTTAGCGATCTTCTTAATCTTTTCAGTATGTAGCCATTGACTGTTAAGCTTCTTCGAGGCATCCGGAGTAGTTCATATATAGGAAGAAGGGCTTTGGCTTTGGCCATGGTTTGCGAATTGTTTTGTAGATTCGCCCTGTGGAGGTAAGGAGGGAATCTTTGTGATCAGCGGAAGAAAGCAAGCGAACAAAGCAGCCAAGACTCTCGATCAAGATGAGAGATTCCAGGACCCGACCTAGCATCATGAGGCCAGGATATCGATCAAGGTCGTGCCTCCACGTGACCCCTCTAATGCTCAAGGAAGGAGGAAGGTACTGTTAGAATAACATCCTTCCTACCAATGTCTTGGTCAATGCTAGTATCGCTTAGCAATGAGGCTCTATTTTGATAAGACATGCATCCAGACTCTTTCTTCCAGTTCTAACAAACTCGATCAGTCAAAACAAGAATATACAGGGTTCCATCGATATTTCATCCAAAATCACATACAACACAGTACATCACAGTATACCGTCGCTCCAAAATTGACCGTCAAGAATGGGGCCCAACCATAAAAAAAAACATGCGATACCATGCTTCAGTCCCTGTCGAGTTTACGCCAAGAATCAAACTGCAATGCCTTGACCCCTTTAAGTATTCGCTACAATCGCAAAATTTCCAATCAAACATGGTAAAAATTTTTATAGAAAAGCCTCATCCTAACTCAGTCACCGTCTAGTTGTGGTTGGCAAAAGAACCTAACATCTGTGATGGGGCCATTCAATATCAACCCCAGAAACACCCCGGATATTGACCTGCTTGACGTCATGCGAGATCTGACGGGCCGAATAACACGAGACAACATCGCGATGACTACTTGGGACACATTGTACATGTATAGTAATTAATATGTTTGGGTTACCTACACGGGCTAACAACACTTGCCCGGAATTGGCAAAGATATCTACAATCATGATGGTCAGATTTAGCGCAATGTTACTTACGCCTTGATTTATTGTCCGATTCAACTGCCGGCATGAGTATGCGCGTATAGAAGCCATTGAGGGCTTCTAAGCTCGTTTGTACTTGATGGAGAACAATTTGTTTCCTCATTTGTTTGTACGATATGTCATTATATCTTCTTGGCTGGTTGACGAATCGGACAATTTCACGATCTACTTATCTACTTGAGTAGTGATTGGGCGCAAGACAAGATCTCACGACGAACAACCAACTATGGCATTTTTATGCCAAAACGGCCGTTTCCATATGCGCTGTCCTTGATATACACTTGTAAGTACAACACTTCAGAGATAAAGCCCAATGGTCTCGTGTCACCTCAAGCCAAGAAACCCGCGCATCATTACCATTTTGGTGCTCTGCTGTGGACATGAGTCGCCTGACGTGTGTATCTCGCCGGCTGCTTTTCCTTGATACTTCTAATGAGAAATGGGGTCTTGATGGAACATGATCGAGGCATGAATCAAGAGACTGAGACTAGTCGTCGGCAGAAACGGCGGTGGCATTAACTTATAACCCTGACATCGTCGCGGGCAGTTGTTGAAGTACTCATGTTGTACAGCTATACCAGATCAGAACCTCATCTCTCTTGTTTGCATCAACAAGCACATCACACAGTACTAATTAAAAGATCTTGTCATCCTGATATCGAACCTTATTCAAGACCAGACCCTCTTCCCCATGGCACCGGGACGTCAGGCACACCACCCACATCTCTCTCCTCCGGGTTACTCTTTTGGGACAATCCGAGATCTTAACGATCCTCCACATTATCTTTGTGCGGAGTACGGAGTAGTGCTTTGGTGTTGAACGGTCTCCTAGGCATCACTTCAGACTTGATATAGTTTGGTTTCATTATTGTATGTTCGTTCCTTTGATTGGTTGGTTTTCGCATCTATGTGATGGTATTTTTGTATGTATCCGTATCGCTTCATTGATGAATGTTACGCCGCAGCAGCCAAGTCAGATAAATCTGTACAGGGAGGTATTGTATTACAAGCAGTTCTCCAAGAAAAGAAAGAAAAAGACAATCCCTTGCACGCCTCAAACAATGCTCCCGTTCTTAAGTCATACCTCAATGTCTTCCTCGTCGCTCTGCTTCGAAGAGCTCTCTCTTCATGTCCATCAACATGTCTTCAAGTTGGTATACCTCTTCGCGAGATAATGCTGCTACTCGAAGTTGTTGCAGTCCACCACGGAGTGTGTCCACGATCGAAACTGGTTTGGTCGTTTCCGCTGGCTCTTGTTCCTCTTCTTCGTGACGTTCAGGAACTTCTTCCGGTGCATCCTGTTCTTGGTCCTGAGTCTGGACCTCTTCAGGCAATTCACCGTCCACTGACATTACTTCCGCAGACTCTTCGATTACTTCATCAGGAATTTCGAGTTCCGGTTCCTGGCTTTGCGAGGCAGCATGGGATTCAGTCACCAATTGGGACATTAGTTCCTCGTCTGTGTCTCCGTCATCGCGCGTGTCGGTCGGTTTTGATGTTGTCAGAGGCGCCTGCACCACAGAGGACCGTTTGGATTTCTTGGACGGCGAGGCTTGTACTTCTCGGTTTCGCAAGTCTTTACCCTTTTGCCCTGCATTTCTTCTAGACGAACGTCGAACAGTTGGGACAGGCGAGGCCGTTTCTTGAGACGTCGACTGACTGTCCTCACCGTGTTCTTGTCCTGATGGAACGGCCGGTCGTCTCTTCTTGCTACGCGTCTCGGCGAACACACCACTTCGCTTCCTTTTCCTCTTGCTCCCAGTCAAATTTGTATCTTGACTCTCAGAATTCTCTGATCCTGCATCAGCAGGCGTGGAGGGAACGATTGCTGGCGGTGAGGGTTGCGTCGTCGGACCCTGTTCACCTTCAGAAGATGATTCTCCTTGAACCTCGATACATTTTTCGGGGGACACGCCATTCTTCTTCTCCGGAGAAGTCGAAACCGAGTTGAACTTATCAAACGGAAGTTGGCATCGCCTCGATTCGAGCTCTACCACAAATCTCATGAGACTACTCTCATCGCCTTCGCTAAGTGCAAAGGAGGACTCATGATTCTGGCTAAGGGCTGTCTTGCCAGCAGTTTCATTTGTCTTATCGCATGAAACATCGCCAGGGCTAGTCTTAGCATCCACAAATTCGTCGTCTCCTGATTTGGCTGTCTCTTGACTGTGTCTAGGAGGTGACTCAACTTGCGGAGAGTTATTCGTTGTGTCGTGAGGCGGTAGTTCGGCATTGTCTTCCTCCATCTCATCCACATCCTGGGTCTGTGGCGCCTCTGGCAATACACTTACGTCTTCCTCCATCACCATATCCTGGTCAGCGAGACTAGAGGGAATGATCTCTTCTTTTCTTGAAGGCTCGTTCCTCCTTCTACGTCTCTTAGACCGTGTATTCTGGCTCGAGGCATTCCTAGAAGGAGTCTGCGCTTCAGGCTGAACCTCAGTGGCCTGCTGACTGACGACAGGTGATCCAGGCGGTGAAGAAAATTGCCAGCTCTCAATCGAGTCCCTAGCCTTTGATCGAGTCTGTATCTCGGACAATAGCGGGTTGCGCCTGGGGTCTGGTGGTGATGAAGGCGGGTCATTGAAGCCCTCGAGATGCAGAGCTGAGCCTCGTCGAGGAGTTGGTGTCAAAGTGATAAACTCATCATAGGAGCCTGGTCGCTCAGGAGTAGTTTCGCCATTCAGGGGTTTCTTAGCCTCCGGTTCCATGGACTTCTCTTTGGCACCTTGCGACCGAGTTCGGGGACTGGATCGGATACCAGGATAAAGACCCGCATTCTCTTGTTGTCGTTGGCGGATCTCCCTTTGTCGTTCTGTGAGATGTTGAGACTCTTCGACCAACGGCGATGAAACGATCGGTGCGAACTGGATTTGAGAGTTGTCATGGCGGAGACGAGGGGTAGTAGTCCGTTTGGCCGACTTCGTCTTGACCGACTCAGGAGTGGCTTCTCTGCGGCGCTTTCGTGTCACTGGGCCCCTTAGGCTCATCTTCGATATGGATAGTGCTGGTGAAGCTGCGTGCTCGGCTCCCTGCCCCGACGATTTGGCAGATGAGAGCGCGACGAAGCTCAGATCTTCTTGTGAATCGATGAAATTCTGTGCTTGAGCTCCAAACTCGCCGCTTGACTCTTCCATGCCAGGAAAAGAGACGTCAACCATTGGCCGCAGAGAAGCTATAATTGACTTGAGACTTTCGGAACAGTCTAAGTTATCTTCGTTCTTTACCAATACATTCCATGTCTCCGCCATCTTGTTCACGTTGTGACGGTGCTTACTCTTGAAGCCAGCGGCAATAAGAGGTTCGAGAGCGTTAATATCCTTGTCCTCTAATCGTCCAAGTGTCAACAATTGCGCACAGATGCTATCCCAAAGAGCTCGCACCTATGGATAGTTAGCAGCTAGTACGCTCCCTGTGTGGTAAGACTTACTGATTCGGATACAGGAGAATCGCTGCGCAGTATTTTGTGCGCCTTGTCGTCCTGAATCCAGGGAACGAGTCCAGTCTGTAGCTTTGATAGTGTTTTGATGCCACTTTGAGAAAAGGATCCAGTGATGAACGCATCAACAGCCCTGAAGTAAGCTGCCATCTTTTCATTGTCACAATCGGTTTCGGTTTCATAGAAGAACTTCATACTTTCGCTTTGAAGCTGGTACAGATACTGGAATGGGTCGAAGGAAGGGGATCGTGATGCAGTAGGCGGTGCACCCCAAAGTCGTCGCCTGGCAGCTTCGACAGCCTGACGGTCACGAGGAAGCTTTGCAACCTTGAATAGCGCTACCGCCACCGACAAAGCCATCCCATTCGATCTTTCAGAACCTTCAAAGAAGTTATCGGTAACAACCTTAGCTAGAGGCTCCACAAGGCCAAGTGCTCGGCCTGCATCTCCACACTCCTGGACAATATGGCTCGATAAAAGGTTGAAGAGAGAAAACCATTGTTCTTCTGGGAGGAGAGGATGCGAGACAAGCCCTCGCTCAAGAAGGGAAACGATTTCCCGGTACTCGGGCCCGAGCAGTCTCTCGCTGCTGGGAGGATGGGAACTGGATGAAACAGGGCTTTGGTCCAAAAGAGTCCGGATGTTCTGGGCAGCGAGGATCCATGGGCCGTAAGTTGAAAGAGTGTCCCGAGGCAGAAGTCTGAGCATTTCCCTAGACAGCTCAACTCGGGCTCCAGTGGGCTTTTCATGGAAGAACGGTTCAAATACGGCCAGAAAGCACTCAGCAAGGTCTCCGTTATCATCTAGACCTGGTGGTTTAGAACAAAGCATATTAAAGAGGTGGAAAAGTGGCATCTGAGCAGTGCTGTTCAACTTATCCACCCGGTCAAGTCGGCTGCCAGATGTTGAAGCGGGTTCGAAGGTGTTAGCAAGAGACATAGACAGTCTTTTCTCAGTGAAAACTAGTGGGCCAAGATTGCGAAAGAGGACGTCGACGTAATGCTGTACACTTAACAGAAACCTTTTGCCAGAGGACTCGGATGCTTCAGGTACCCCTTGTGACCAGATCTTAGACAAAAGATCGAACGACTGAGCGATAAACCGTACGGTTTCGTCGTTCACTTTGATATCCTTCGACGAGGCAACAGCAACAGACCCAACTAAAGCCTGCCAAAGTCTGTAAGCCAAGCTTTCGGTATTGGCCAAATCATTGAATTTCTTCTCCAGAATCGGACCAACGACTTTGAAGATTCTCTCAGAGTTCCGACGCGTCCACCTTGAATCGATTGAGGGCAGCTCTTCTGGGCTGATCAGGGGCATATCCCTAATTCGATCGTCTTTCCAGCTCCTCGGAGTTGATGTGTCTAGGAGTCCGGCCACAATGCGCGATGCTTGCGTCGCGGGGTCGTTAGTCAAGCCAAGTTCCGCATCGACATTGATAAGCTGTTCCATAACAGGTTGAAGAATGAGATCCCAGGCAGCATCCATCCAGAGGACATCGTGATTGGGTCGGAAGGCGTAGTAGTATAGATTGCAAATGCCACCCATTACTATTTTCCGTAACTTGACCGCCTCCTCTGGTTGTTTCGAACCGATCTTGCGCCGTAGTTGGCTCATTAATGGTTGTGCCAATGTACCCAGAGACTTGGGTGACATCTTGTTGCTGGTGATAGAAAGATAGACATATTTATTCCAGGCATAGTTGGCCTCCTGTTTGGTTTGCGCATCAGGCGAATTAAAAGAATTCTGTGCGATCTCGAACCATGGTTTAAAGTATTGCCATCGACTGATAGGACATTGCAAGAAAAGTGATACCACGCCCCATATCTGCGGGACAGTGGACGAGTTCTGCTTATCTCTGAGCATGCTGTCGAGTTTTGACATGTAGAACTCAATGTAGACCTTCTCAGTATCAGAGGCTTGCAGAATCTCAGTCACTTTGCGCATGGCAAGCTTCTCGTTTCGGAGCGCAAAACTAGCTTCTGTGCCCAATGTGATGGCTTGCGCTCGAATGTCTCGGATCGTACTAAGCATATCCGTAAACATGTCCTCCAACCAGTCTGTGTGAACGGCCATATGGTTCCGAGATTGTTTTATGAGTCGCTTGTAGATCTGAATACGGCCCATGATGATGCTCTTGCCAGTCAAATGATCTTCGATGTTGTGCAAAGATGTGATTAGCCGACCGACTCGATCCAAAGACATGACTTTAGAAGAGAAGGACTGGAAAGCAACTACTTGCATAAGGTGACGGGCGAGGTCCTTGGCGAGTGCTGGGTCGGAAAAGCATCGAATGCAATGGTCTATTATAAACACGCCGAAATCGGATGTGAGTGTCGAGGCAATGGCTGGAAAATGTAGGAATGTTGTTAAGAGGCTGAGAGCATGGTTTACGAGGGAAGAGTCGGGGGTCCCCTTTTCGTTTTTGGATTTGATATCGCGTTCGATAAAGGACATGAACAGGCTCATCTTATTTTGCAAAGCAACCCGGTCCGGCAGGTTGTTGGATGCCTTGAGAGCACGAGAGAGCATCATATATGCATCGAGCCGTGAGTCCCGGTCGGGGCCGGCGAGCTGTTTTATTGTTGAATCCAGCATTTCGGCAATACCAGCTCGCTTCGATAGGCCGTTGAGCTGGCCATTGAGGGGTGATGCGAGAGGATTAGGAGATGGCGACGGCTTAAGAATGCCCTTGGCGGGCCTTGAAGATGAGGCTGAAGGTGTAGTGATCGGCGATGATCTGAAGAACCTTGATATGTCGCGGTAATCTGGAGGATCTTTGTATTCGGTATGGCTAGACCATTCGACCTTTTTTCTTGAACGTCTTGAAGTTGAACCCGAGTTGGTTGCCCCGGTCGACGAGGGGGTATTAGCGCCTGGTGGTGTGTGAAGGCTCAGTCTTGGGTCGAATAGACGACCATCGGAGGCTTTCATGGGAGCTTTTTTGTCTGGGAGAGATTCTCGAGGAGGAGTTGGCGGTCGAGCAGGAAGTTCGTCGAGGGTGGTGGAGGCCTGGGCTGAAGATGCCATGGCTGCCAGGCAGCGTTGGCGATCTAGACAGCGATAAAGTGGCCGAAGAACCGCTAATAAAAACGCATGCGAATACTCCGTATAAGGCGAAAACGATTGGAACGATCGATCAAAAGAGCGGTGGGCAAGAACTCGAAGCACGCGATCCTTAGTATAGACAGAAAAGAAAACGAACAGTTACTAAGACTAAGCTTAAGCTGGTGGGAATGCGATCGTACAAGTCGAGTCCATGGCAAGTAAATGCTTGACCGGTCCGCGCTTCCTTTCTCCGGGCCAACGCGCGCGGCGAACGCGATCTGGGATGGTTGAAGCGCGAATCAATTAAAACTTGCAGGGTCCGTTGGCGACGCAGACAGGGATGTCGTGTCACCTTAGGTAAGTCGGTGGGGAGCATGGGGCTAGGTACTCGCTACAGGGCAAGCACGAGCGCTGCAGGCGAATCTTCAAGTACCTGGGACCCTGTATTTTAGGAATGCCATTCCGCAATAGGCCTCAGTCAAGCTACAACTTGAACTGAGGCAACTGACCCCCTTCATTTTTGAGTTCGAACATTAAAGAAAGAAATAGTTGCACGAATTCATTAGATGCCAACCATTCCCAGGTAAGTTAAGTATCAATATCTAGTAGGTAGTAGTCATTACCATATCCACCGTAGACACTTGCCTGTACTCATATCTTAAAATCCAATAATACATTCTGTTAGTGGCTGATATCCAATTTCTATCGTCTTCTCCTCCCCGCTCATCTTAAACCAGACTCACCATCACCATCAACACACATCCACATACACACATCATGGCTACCCAACAGTTACCCACTGGTTCTGAGAAGGAAAAGGCTGTAAAGGAACTGGTCGAAGCCCTCACTGAGGACCTCGACAATGAACAATTTCTCCCCGATGGTAAGTATCCCACTCTAACGATCGGGTATTGAAGAATGGATGCTAAGGCCAGATGCAGATCGCGCCTTGGCTCTAGAAAAACTGAAGATATATACTCGAGACCCCAGGAATGCCAATGCTCTCTACACTGAAGAGGTCAGAATCTATTGCCCAGAGCAGGGTAAATCTTTACATGTGATGTCGTTGCTAACTATCGATTTGTTACAGGGCATCCATATGGTTCTTCGTCATGCCTATGATAGCCCATCTACCAAGACCTCTCATGCTGCGATGCGAGTACTTGCTAACGCTATGCTCCTCGTCCCCCTTACTCGGAAAATATTTGTCGAGAAGAAATTTGCCCCAAGAGCCTGCCAAAAGCTAGAGGGTGAGGATTTTGATGGCGAGTTTCTCAACTCTCGCGTCTTACTGATCTCAACATATGATCCTAACCTCGATCTTAATGATCTCCTTGACAACTGGAATCTGGCAGATCGCATCATCGACAACCTAGCCCGACATGCCAAGAAGATGGACTCAAAGCAGGTCAACGGTGATCCTATGCAAGACATGGCACTCATTGAAACCCTAAAGCTAGTATTCAACGTTACCCATCATCGTCCTGAAAAGGCCTCTCTATTCACTCCTGCGATACCACATCTCGCAGCTCTGCTTTTCAAGGACGATGTTTCCCGGACAGCTCCACTTAACCCTCCAGTCGGTTTCATTATCAACGGCTTCCTCAATCTTGATATATCAGAGCCAAAGAGTCAGGAATTTATCCACCCAGAGGAAGATCCTGAGAAGGTAGTGGTTCGGTTGATTGCTATCCTGGATGCTGCGATTAGAACTACTCCGGATAACGAACTAGATGCTTCCGTGTCACCACTCATTGGCCTTATCAAAACGATTCACGAGCATGCCCCCGACTCCAGCAAGAGCCTCATTCGTGAAAAGCTCATACCAACAGATGAAGACCGAAAGGACGTATTGGGCAAAGGAGATAACTTGTCTGCGAAATTGCTCAAAAACTACAATAATGCTTTGGCCCCAAACACGCGCAACATGATCCAGCATCTCTTCTTCGACCTGTCAGAGAAGGATGCTTCCAAGTTTGTAGAGAACGTTGGTTATGGCCTGGCATCAGGTTTCCTTTTCCAAAACAACATACCTGTCCCTGCTTCAGTTTCAGGGGAGAATGACGAGGCGACCAGCTCCAAGAAGCCAGTCAATCCTATCACTGGCCAATTCATTGAGGACGAGAAGCCAGTCGATATGCCTGAAATGACAGAGGAAGAAAAGGAACGTGAAGCTGAAAGACTCTTTGTGCTGTTTGAACGGTAGGTTTCCTTTTAAACTGTCAGCCCATTGCACAATACTAACCAGGCCTTAGATTGAAAGCGACAGGTGTTGTTGATATTCAGAATCCGGTAGAGGCGGCTGTCAGGGAGGGTCGTTACAGGGAACTGAAAGAGGATGAAGTTGAAGAGATTGAATGAGTAAATTTTCACCAACTCTCATTCGTGTAAAAAGGCATGAAGAGGCTGGCTGGATAGTTTTGTTCGGCTCGTGAGCTCAACTAAACGAACCCTTGCATATAGATGAGAACAAAGGCAAGCAATTACAACTGAGGAGCCTCCACTGGCACACTGCTTTACAGTTGCCTAGAGATAAAGAATCCATTCAGGTCATGTTATCTACCCTGTGATTCAGTGCATGAGTGTTAAATATTAAGTATATTCGGAGTGATCCTCAGTATATTCTTTCATCAATTTCAACTAAGCATCTCTTTTTCACATCAATCAATTTGAATCAACTCAAGCCTTCAGCCTGCTTCCTTTTCCCTTCTCACGGGCGCTAAGTGTATAAGATTTCGTCTCATCTCAGGCACTGCTCTCCCACAAAACTCAACTTCTGCCACTCAAACATCTGCCAGCTGCAACCACCCGCACAACACTTGACTTTCTTCCACCTCAGAACAAACAGATTCCACAACCAACCTTGTGTTTCTATTTTCCCTAGAGCTTCGAATGTGCCAAGGCTCTGGTGGGTGATAATTCTGTTGTTTATAATTCTGAGACCTAACAAACATCCAGAACCCAGCTGTGCAAACACATCGTGTTTTCCTTCAACTCTTTCTTTTTCAAGATAACACAAATATCCCGCTGTCGGCTCTTCTCATACTCAGCTCATTTCCTCGCCGAAAATGCCGACTGCTAAGCCGACACGTACTGTCTTCTACGGTCGCGACAAGGCACTACCTGAGGATTCTGTTGGGTGAGTCCGAACCGCGTGTTTCACAAAGGTTTTTGCTGACTTACTATACTAGCCCTCGTGAGAGTATCGAAAACGAAGAGCCTTTTGTGAAGGTGGTCTCTGATATTCAGGACTTTGACGACTATGAGAGCTTTGACGAAGATCTCCGCTCTGTAACTCCTGAAAATGCCGAGGAGAAGACTGCACGAGAGAAGCGACCTGTCTCCCATGACGAGGAAAGCAGTGAGGAGGACTCGAAGGCGAAAGTGAAACCTTCTCCTAAGCGCCAGCGACGCTCTGCTGCCGAAGAATCTGTTATGCCCCGCCGCTCCAAGCGTGTCGCATCTGCTGCCCCTTCCGTCAAGGATGAGGCTTCTCCCACCAAAACTGCCGTCAAGAGAGGCCCTGGGCGTCCTCCCGCTGGGATACAACGCAAAGGAGAGGAGGTTATGAACTCAAAGAGAGGTAGGGGACGGCCTACCACCAAGCGCCAGGTGACTAGCCCTGACAGCGACACTGAATGGGAAGTTGAGGAGATCGTGGAGTCGCGGATTGATACTACGACGAAAAAGCAAGTTTACCTCGTCAAGTGGAAGGGGTACAGTAGCAAACACAACACCTGGGAGCCGAGGAAAAACTTGGGCAATTGCTTGAAGCTCGTCAGGAAGTTTGAGGAGCGTCAGATGGCCTAGGTTGCCGGTTATGGGCACCGCACGATTGCAAAAACAGGGGCAGTGGGAAAAGGAATGGTTTTGGAATGGGTACATGGGTCACACTATTCCGTTCGGAATCAGAAGCAATATGCGAGCTTCCTATCAGCGTATTTGATCTTTTCAAAAGTAGTTTGCATTTACAGGGACTGAAATACTGTCGATAGCCCTACAATCGTCCCTGCAAGAGGAAGTAGACTTCTTACCAGGTTTAAGACTCCCCATTTTCCGATTAACTTTGCCACATCCTCCTGTGAAGCCTCCAAAGTTCCAGCAGCCGCCTTGAACAGAAGGTCGTTGGTGGAGCTCATGAAGATAAGTGTGAATGGTACAATAGCGACTGTTAGAGCTCCACCGGCTGCCAACCCCTTCCATTTCCGGCTCTCTTGGTAAGCCGAATATGAAGCGTATGCATAGGCGAGTGCTGTTGTTACGGCGACTTTGGGCATGAGAGCGATTCCACGGTTGAAGATCTCTTGCCAGACGGTTACGCTATTAGGTGCTGAAAGTTGAAGAACTGCTGGAATTCCAGCCAGCGACATAGATGCTATACATCCTAAGGACTATTGTTAGTTGATATGCGGATTCATAAGGGTTTATGGATCTTGCCTGATGCCCAAGCTGAGCCGGTAATGCCAGTGGCAGTGGCCAGGAGGGACGGGAGAGGCAGTGAGATAGGCATCTTGGATGAATGTCTGGATTGAGAATTGAGTTTATTTGTTTTCTTATTTCTTCGTGCTACCAATGCTGATTATTGATAGAGACCCGATGATAACTTCATAAATGTTATCCTGTTGACGTTGAACGTCATATATAATGCCGTGAAGAGTGGGGACTATTCCGGACCGGACACCATCACGGACTTCTGACATGTCCGGCCGCGTCCTCCAATATCTCCGCATCATCGAGGTCCCCAGCGGACGAGACCGATTGGTCAATGGGCATCTTGTATAGCTGTATTCCGTAGTTATTTGGTCATCAGCCTGTTAGACATCCTTCCCCTTGCGTACAAAGAACCCATGCAGGGTCACTTCTTGAGTGCGGTCCCTGACATCGGTCTCGGTCCATGCCGTAGCAAATTCCATGCCACACTTCTTGAGAACCTTTTGGCTTGCGCTGTGGCTGTCTACTGTGATGGCCGACACGCATTCTTCTTTGACATCGCCATCGCCATCACCCCGAATGGTGTTTTTGTCCACCGATATCTCAACCTCGTTCCTTGGCAACGACCACCACTGACCGAGGAATCCTTTCAGAAACTCAGATGCATATCCCTTGCCCCAATGCGCCTTGAGAAATTGGTATCCAACTGCTGGCCAGCCAAGTTCACCTGACCACATGCCAGTACCTCCCATCCCGATGGGCTCGCCAGTCTCAGGGAGACAGACAACCCAGTCATATCCCTTGACGTCGTTTGGAGGCATTCGAAGCGCGTGGCTCTTCTTGGTCTGTTCGATATCTTTGTCCGCGCAGCCTTGCGACGACCATATCATGCCTTCAGGTTCTGAACGAAGCGCGTTGAGAAACTCCAAATCGTCCTCAGTCATGGGCCTCATGCTAAGTCGCTCCGTCCGAAACGGTTTTCTGTCTCCATTGGGAGGGAGAGGATAGAAAGGGAGTGTTGTCTTGACTGTCACGTAGTCAAGAGGAGGTCTGTGATCCAACTCCATGGTTGTAGGGTAAGATGTGCGAGAACGACACAGTGAGTAAGTATAAGTGTTTGGAAACCTCTGTAAGTGTAAGAAATTCTGTACTCTGCTTATGTCTTATCATTTATTGCTTTCATCTCTCCGCGATCGTTCAACAAGGCATAATATTATGAGTCACGGGTTATCTCCATCGCGAATTACGAGTCAACCTACGCTGGTACAACAAAAGTCCCCGCCGGTTTCCGACAAAAGCCATATTCGCAAGACAATGACAAACGGAACCTTTACAGATTCAATAAGGGTAAACTCAGCCTTGGAATACATGCTGACTATGCACGGAACTTGATGGGTAGAGAAAACCAGGGTCATTATACGCCGTACACACTGGCTTTTCTTTTCTGACAGGGCAGAATGGGACGCATTTACTTGTCACACAAAAAGTCTAAACGTCACTAACTCAACGTTGGTGTGGGGCCGGACCGGCACTTCTTCTGCAACAGACATTATTAAACTCCAACGTATATCGTATATCAAAACGCCCAAAAGCCAGGAGTGTTCGCAGTACGCGTGCTTCACTTTACTATAGAAAGCCTTGTCTCAGACTTCATAGCCCTCGATACCTCAGCATGAGTGCCCGCGAAGGCCGTTCGGCCAAGGTACTCAGCTGCTCCAATTGTCGCACACGCAAGATTAAATGCGACAAGATACAACCTCTTTGCGGCCAGTGTTCCCGCTTTGGACTCGACTGTGTGTTTCCGTCGAGGAAGCCCACTCGACGTGCACCAAGACCGCGCCAGAGTGAACTCCTCGACAGGATCAGTCGCCTTGAGAGCATCGTCAACCAGGCAGACCCCGCCAAGCTGAAGCAGTTGGATGAGGGCGATATTGAGGCCTTACCAGAGAAGAATTTGCTATCAGCCACGTTAGATGATCGCTGTGATGAGTCGCAAGCTGCTGCCGCTCAGATTGCCAATTTAGAAGTTGGCGAGCAGTATCTCAGCTCAGGCTTCTGGGGGAACTTGTGTGCAGAGGTTGAGGGTATCCGACAAGCACTGAACCAACCGTCTGAGGATGACGATGATGACGAAGAGGGCGACAGTCCAGAGTCATTAGATACCGGCTCAACAGGTCCTTCCGGCTTCTTACTCGGAAACTCTGATTACAGCTCACGGCAACCTCTGGTACATCCTCCTCCGAACATGATGATACGTCTCTGGACCATTTACATTCGCAACGTCGACCCTCTCATGAAAATCATACATCGCCCTACTATTAACAATCACTTTCAAGCCTATATCAATTCACCAACAACACACACCTTTAGTCCTGAAATCAACGCTGTGATATTCGCCATCTACTTCTGCGCAGCAGTTTGCTTAACGCCAGAGTCCTGTTGGAAACAGCTGGGCGAGAGCAAAGAGGCTCTGACAAGGCGATACCGCGTTGCTGTCGAACGCGCTCTTGCCGAAGCAGACTATCTGAGCTCTACCAGCCTCGAGACTCTTCAAGCCCTGACCCTCTACACCAGCATGATACGGGTACATCTACACGACCGTACATCTTGGGTGCTTAATGCTCTCATTATCCGGATCGCCCAAGGACAAAATCTTCATCGCGACGGCGATGGCCATCGTTTCACTCCGTTTGTTGCCGAAATGAGAAGGCGTCTGTGGCATTTCATCGTTGTCCTTGATATCCGCGGATCGGAAGACAGAGGTAGCGATGCAACACTTACTCGGGCAACATTTGACACCATCGAGCCAACATCGATTGACGATGATGACTTTGGACCCGACTCGACTTCTCTAACTCCAAAGTCGACGCCTGCCGAGAATGTCATCTGCCTGTGTACAGCCATGTGTTCCGGCATCTTCGGTTTCATATCACACCCCCACTACAGTGTGAAAGGTGAGCCGGAGAACTTTCTATATACAGAAGACGAACTTATCTCCCATATCCGCCAACTCGAAACAACCTTCATCCATACTGCCCGACCCTCCCACATCGCCTCCGTCTACGCCTCTGAAATTGCTCGCATCGTTATTCTCAAGTTATGGCTCAACATCCAATACCCTTTCAACGGTGGGCCGGCTCCCGACCGACCCCGCGTATCAAAAGAAACCATGCTCCGTACTGCAATCTCAATTATTGAGCTGCGTGAGCGCATGACCAAAAACCAGTGGGAAGATCGCTGGGCTTGGTGGACAGACACCTATGTGCAGTGGCATCCTCTAGCAGTCGCGTTAGCTGAGCTTTGCGTGCAGACTGAGGGAGAGTTGGTGGACAAGGCCTGGGTTGTCGTGGAGCGGACCTTTCCTTCATCACGAGAGCACATTGCAGATACAGCCAAGGGCTCACTCTGGCGACCTATCAAGAAATTGCTCAAGAAGGCGCGGGCTGCGAGAACGGAAGCGGTGTTAAAACGTATGGATTTTAATGCCGGCATGAGTCTGGATGCTACATCATTCATGCCCCCAGTTATGGATGCCATGACCCAATCACTGCAGTACGACACAACTCAACAAATGATACCAACATCAGGACCAGGCCTGACGCAACAATACGATACGTGCAGTATGGATCCTTCGATATTGTTCGATCCGCCAGAGGTTTTGAACCTCGACTTTGGTTTGGGGCTAGAGCAAGGTGTACCTATGGAATGGTCATATTGGACAGAATTTTTCAACGATACACAATTAGATAAATCTCCAGGAAGCGGAACAGGCGAGTCATCTTCTTAACAGTCCACAATCGATAGTCATTGCTAGTTTTTAAACTTAATCAATTGTGCATCACACCAGCCAGCATCTTGCATGCTCGGAATTTTTTGGTTCATTCGTTGCCCGTTTTATTTGGCAAAGTCAGTTGATATTTCCATGATCCGTTGTAACACCCGCATAGCCCCAACCGTCCTCTAAACCGAAATCATTTAAGCGAAAGTGGAAGGTCGCTTTGCGCTGAACACCTTCTTGGCGCTCTCCTTGGTGATACGGTGGGGGAGAGGGAAGCTCAGGCCCTTCTGAGTGAGCTGGCGGATGTAAGGTCGCTTGATGTCCTCAGTCTTCTCGAGCTCGACAACGCGGAGGATCTAAAGGACACATTAGTGGCTGCAGGGCAGGTTGATAGCTGATTGAGTTCGACGTACGTGGATGGACCTGAAGCGGGCACGGTGGCGGGCAGCCATGTCGGAGTAGAGAGACTCGACGGCATCTGTTCGGGACAGCTCACGGTACTCCTTGTACATGTTGTGCGTGCCGGAACGAGAGTCATATCGGATCCAGATACCGAAGTTCTTGACCTTGAGGGGGTGCTTCTCGCGGATCTAATTGGTCTGAGTTAGTTTCTCATTCTTATTCTCCTTCCGAGTCTGGATCGTTGGTACGTACGTTCTTGACGCTGACGATCTCACCAGTGGCCTTCTTGACCTTCTTGAGACCGCGCAAGAAGTACCAGTATCGGGACTTGGCGACCGTCTCGTTGGGAGCGAAGATGGTCATGCGGTAGAGGGCGGGGGTAGGGTTAGCCTCGGTGGGCAAGTGGCGCCCGATGACCTCGTATTCCTGAAGACGGCCTGGAGACATTGTCAGTACAAGAAGTTCCAGTTGCTAACTATGAGAATGTCGCGAGCTTGAGGATGTCGCTAGCCGGGGGATGAAAGTCGAAGATCGAGGGTGTTGTGCGTGAGAATGCCGATTGTTATGTCGAAATTCGAAATCGGCGTTTCGAATTAGAATTTGCCATGCCCCGCTCCAACCAGCAATCGAAAGTTGTGCGAGCAGCTATCGAGGTTGTCGTAGTCCCCAAGGGCCTTGGTCTTTCGTTCTCGCTCTCTCCCAGCCAAGTCGAAGAATATCGAAATTGTGTTGTCGTCGTAATTATCCTCCGGCGAGCGACATCCTCAGGATCCGAGCGCATAAAACAGAAATTGCTTACCCATCTGTAATGCTTGTCAGTGGTTGTTCTTAAGTGAGTCTGTTGTTGGTGTTGTTGGCTTACTGTGACGTTGGTCAATTCCGACTGCGAAGGTTAGTGAAGATGGCCGAAGTTGAAAAACTGCAGGCGATAATTTTTTGTGCGAAGGTGTGGGAGGGCAAGAGACTGGGTCGTAGCTTCCTGGAGGGCTTGGGCCCCAACAGCGATTGGTCAACAGCGACCCACCTGCAGCCGAACGTCACGTGCAGGCTTGCTCGAGTTTGTTGCCAAGAGGTGGGTCTGATGGCCAATCAGAGGCGTAGACAGCTGATCTCAAAAGAAGTTGAGATGGAAGGCGTGAGGGTGACTTCAACGACGGAGTGAGAGACCAATATCGACTTTACTGATTAAATCCGTGATAATACCATCAATCAAACTCGAGACTGATCAGGGTCTCACACTACAATAGCCTACGCATATTTCTATCCCATACTTTCCACCGATGCTTAGTTGAACTGCACTCCCAGCTCTCACTAAGGACACTGCGTGTGTCTAACACCAATAATCATGAACACCATCTTTGACCAATTTGCCGAGGCACATACTCTACGAAATGGCTACAAACTTGCACAGACGCTATCGCCTGTTCCTCCTCCAGACGACCCTCATCGACTGATGGCTGTATGGCGCAGTACGAATTCTCACAGTGTCAAAGGCGACATCAAGCACTTTATCAAGTCCAGCACATCTCACCGACGGAAACTGGATCATGATGAAACAACAGGCTGGGTCGAGGTGTATACCTCGTATTGGAAAGCCATTGCTGAGATCTTGGCGGGAGAGAGCGGAAAGGTAAGAAACCCTCTTGTTCTTTACCGTATCTTGCTAATTATCAGCAAAGTCTACATGGACCAAAGTGTACGAGGCATGGAAGGAACTGACCTCAACACTTATCCGCGGATATAACGCACATGGGTTCGAAGCGTGGACTATACCCTCCCTCTATATGGTGGGCAAGTACTTGCGACTGTTTGCCATCAAATCCGATGAAGAGCGCAGAGCCAAAGCCTTCGACAACGGCCCCGGAGCTTCATTGATATCGGACGACTTCGACCCTGAAACCGACAAGCAACTCCAACTAAGAGACTGCGAAGGACACCTCAAGCGTATCTTTTCGCTTTGTTTGAACGACAGGTACCAGCGCCGTTTTCCAGGCACATTTACTATGGCTGATCACATACAGAGCACCACTTGAGGAATCACGGAAATGGGGAATCTACTTTGTTATCAATCTCCTCTTCAAGACTTACTTCAAGCTCAACTCAGCCTCCCTATCGAGGACCATTCTTAAGACGCTTGCTGTGTACAACGACAAGGGAGACATGCCTCCTCTGGAGATGTTCCCCAAGTCTCAGCGAGTGACTTTCAAGTTCTACGAGGGCGTTCTTCTCTTCCTCGAGGAGAATTACATTAAGGTCAGGAAATCCGCCGTTATTCCGTCACATGTGCTGTGCTAATAAGGTTAGGCCGAATCACACCTCAATGAAGCATGGCAGCTATGTCGCAAAGACGCTTTCCCTCAATCTGAGTAAGTTTGGGACCAATAACACCTGTAATGTGTATACTGATTTGGTGGTAGACGAATTCTTACCTACCTTATCCCCTGCCGTCTTCTTACTAGCCACGTTCTCCCTACAAAGGCACTTCTCAAAAACTATCCTCGACTACAAGAGCTCTTCCTCCCTCTAGCCAACTGCATCAAATCCGGCAATCTGCAGGCTTTCGACGAAGCCCTGCAGCATGGTGAAGCTGAATTTGTCAAGCGACGCATTTACCTGACACTTGAAAGGGGCCGAGACATTGCCTTGCGTAACCTACTACGTAAGGTCTTCCTCGCCGGTGGCTTCGACGAGCCGAAGGAGGGCGAAACAGCCCAAGTCCGACGCACAAGAGTACCTGTATCCGAGTTCCAGGCTGCAATTAGTATGGGCAGCGGTCATTTGATCGATCCGGATGAAGTTGAGTGCATGCTCGCCAACATGATTTACAAGGTGAGTCGCCAGATCCTTCGTGTTGATAAGGCGCTGGCCACTTCGTGGCACCAACTTTCCTTATTGGTAGAATAGAGTGGAGAGTGGTAGTCGGCATCCGCGTGGCAGTCATTTGCCTATATATTCGTCACGATCAGGTTGCCTTTGACGAGTGTCTGCCTGGGGCATTCACGATGCTTATCCACGCCCCCTCCATCTCAGCCTTACAAAGACTTGAGTCACTTTACTGACATGCTTGTTTAGGATCTTATGAAAGGTTATATCGCACGAGAGCGGGGGATTGTGGTGTTGTCTAAAAAGGGAGCTTTCCCCGGCACAGGATTGTGAGACCAAAGGGCGAGGCCATTGGGCGAGACACGGTCTGGCGGGTGTTTAAGAAGCGTGAAAGTTTAGCCTTATTTCTCTAGGCTCGTTATCACTTACTATGAACGCTCTAGTAGCATGAGGTAGAGTGGCTAGATATCGCAACTGTCAGGATGACGCCGGCACCAACAAATCACAAATTAGCTTCAGCGTTTTCCATTTTAACGTTTGCTTTTTCTCAGCCCAAACTCATCGCTGCGGTGTCTTGACCTCCTTGCTTCGTTATGGTTATCTTTGCGCCATATTCACGCTCAAGCACAGCAGCGTGAACTACCCTTGCGTCTCGCGACTTCACACTTTCACCCACGTCCTTGCCAGCCCCCAACTGTTGATGCTTCAGACAAAACCTCCATACTTGCATGTATTTGTTTACTTTTGATGGCTTGTTGACACCCTAGCTCAGAGGTTTTGTCGAATCCCAAGCAGCGATGGTCTCCCCGCAGTGCACACTCGCAGTTTGCATGGTTCGCTTTCTTTTTCTCGCCTGTTATATCGCAATTATTCCCCCAACGTGACTCACGGCCGGGGATCTCTTCCGTTAGTAGCGACTTGCGTTTCACAATGCGACTGGGTCGGCTCGGCAAACCTTGTTGGGGGTTAAGTTTGGTGTTATCATCGGAACTTCTGGACCTCACTAAATAAACAATAACAAACACAACGCAAGGTGAGACATGGGATGTTTTTCAAAAATTGCTCTGTTCAAAATAGCTCGTGAAAAATGAGCGTCGTGAATAATAATAATACATGTTTTTTGCCTGTTCATCGCAGATGACAGTCTTGGTATCTTGAGTACAAAATCATCGTGAAAACTAAACCGAACAACTCGCTCTGTGCGAGACCGTACCTCCGAAAACCACTTTGCTCCAAAATGTAATACCCTCTAGGGGCCAGTAAGAAGAATAATCGTACAAGTAAAAAAGGAGTTCACGCCAAATTGAACCGTTGAAACTCCGTTGATAAAGCAAGAAATAGGAGAAATGGCACCTCAACTCCACCCGCCGGTATTTTCTTCATTTTATGATATTGATCAGTACTGTAAAGTTGAGCCCTGTATGAAGGGTAAGGAAAATCGTGCTTCATTAAAGATAAGTATGAGGGCCACTGGTTGAGGGGATGGGTATTAAGAGAAGTGGCGGTTCGAACGAGGGGTGTTTCTGAAGTCTTGTTAGTATCGAATACCTGCTCGTGCATAGATATCAATACTCACTGTGCAGTTGAGATGTCGTCGACGTGGTTGCAAAGAGCAACAAATAGGTCAAAAAAGAGTTGAGTGCCACCGTTGAACATCTCGAGTTGCATGGTGCCACTTCGCTTGAAGGTGCTTCGTGAGCGGATGATGAGAGCGAGGTAGTGAGCTCGTAGCTTAGAGTCTGTATCGGGAGTGTTGGCGTAGGCATATCTGGCTGAGGCGAGGATGGTGCTGCACTGGATTCCAGATTCTATCAAAGCTTGTAAGTAAGAGGATCTAAAGATGTGGACGTGAATACATACGAAGTCCTTGCTTTCGTAGTGACATCTTCTTCAGCTCGTCAAGACCATACTTCTCAGCTGCACAGTAGATGACTGTGTCTTTGAGAAGGTCACCATCTACACCACGGTGGTAGACCGTGCTCTCGACAGCAGCACGCTGTTCTTCGCTAGCAGCCTCGAGTTCATAAGAGTTTCGACGCTTGTTGTGAACAAGACGAGGAGTGTAGTCGCCTTTGTAGAGGTACTCAAGAACAGAGCTGAAGATCTCGGGCTCCTCGTCGGGAAGAGAAATGCGTTTGCTAGCGACGTCCATGTATCCGTTACGTAGAGCGTTATTGAAGAAGGGACTGCTAGAAAGCACATCTTCGTGAGCGGCGAAGAGACGCTGTTCACTACCAACGACAAGAGTAACGATGGGTGAAGCCATATTGCTGAGTTCCGTGTAAGTGACAAGTGGATACGAGGTAGAAGTGAATGAGAAACTTACTTTTCCATCATAGTATCGCCACTAGCACTAGCCATGGAAGTCATTGTTGGTCGACGATGGCGAGACTCGTGTTTTCTCTTGGTGACGCCGCTATCTTTGCTGAATGAAGAACTGGATTTGCTGGCCTTGTGGCTTTTTGAGAAACTCTTGGTGGAGCTCTCGTGTCGTCTGGAGGAGGAGAACATGTTGATAGTTTTAGGTGTGATTTCGAGTGAAAGTCGGTTTGTATTAAAAATGATGGGATGGTTGCTCCGTTTTATACTCGTTGGGTTGATAACGTGGTGGATGGCAGAGCAGGCAGAGGCAGAGGACGAGGCAACAACAAAAGAATGAGGCAAACGACGATAGAGATGTGCAAAAAGACACCAGAAGAATCTCGTTGATTATTTGGGAAAATTGAAACCTACCTCAGGTTCAAATAGTGACAGAATACGTGATCACTCTTCCTGATTCGACTCAGTATACAGGAAAACTACAAAAATACGAGACGCGACGCCATCTTTATAACCTACGAAGCATGCCCCGTGCGAAATGGGAGCCTAATGCAGTGGTACCCCCGCTGATGAGCAATCCTCTGCCTCATTTGCATTAAGGCGAGTCAGCCCCGGTGGTGAGAATTCACTTCCGACGCGTGGGCGTCCGCGTAGCGAGCTAGAAAGGAGAACGCGTTGGGTGCACCATATCACGTGACGCTCCAGAGTGGTATAATCGCTACCAGTTCACAGTAATGACAGGGAATGTCTCTAATGAGGTGAGAGTCACAAAGGAAAAGGGGCTGGGAGGAGAAAAGCTTTGACCGAAGAGGTAAGGGGCCCTTGTTAGCGGTTTGGCTTATGCCTTTAATTGAAGCTTCCCAAAGCCTCGGAGTGTACATCCTGTTATCCTACAAATTACAGCGGACGTTGGGCTGTGGCGTGGGCGTGGTTCGTCCACTGGAATTATAAATTGTGGGGATCTCGAGCGCTGTATGGGGAACCTCAAGGCAGAAGCCCTCTAATGCCTGGGACTGCATGATAACGAATGCTTAGCAATGGAGCCGCGAGGCTCTGGAAAACTGATCGAGCCTCGTCATTTTTTGCATCATCTGAATCGTAAGCTTCTGGAGAATCAATTGAGCTCAATTGAACTCTATAAAGAAACGTTTGGAAGGTATGTGGCTGATACAGCTCGTCGTCGTCTATCTAATCCTCACGACTTCACATCATGGCTTCTCGCCTCCGAGCAAACCCTCTCCCCCAAACAACTTTTTTTCCTTTTGACCCCATGCTGTTTTAATGATGGTGGACCTTTAGCCTCTAGCCTTGGTCCGCGGGTATGATTTAACCAGGGGCACCAAGGTAAGGTACCTGGCATAATCGTGCATACCTCCACACTCGAGACAGTCTGCTGGGTTCTAGTGACCCTTAGTGCGAGGCTCGGATGAGAAACCTCCCTGAGGTTTGAGGGCATCGACGGTGATGTTACCCGTTATACGGGATCAGGCCCCTTGAGCGTGACGGCATTTCTCAGTCACACACGCTCAGTATCCCTGTAGACCACGGCTGCAGATGACCGACATGTCCCGAATTCACGGCAGAGAGCTCGAGACGTTGAACATTCGCCCCCATTACATGACCAAGTTTCAAGTCAATCCTTTCCCTGCATTGTTCAGAGTCTCTCCTTTTCTTAACAAGTCACATTGCCGTGCCCGTGTTACAGCCGTTGAGATGGAGTGTGCAAGTGCTTGTTTGCCCGCTACTCTCACCATGGCTTCGTTGTGAAGTGCCCCGCGTACCTTTTGTCGCTCCACCGGGAGACCAACTTGTTGGCATCGCTGAAGCAGCTCGTCGCCATGATTGGCAGGCACAAGCTCATCCTTTCCTGCTTCTACTATGTATACTCCAGGTGGCGTCTCTGGAAACCTCTTGGCTATCATGCCGAGATTCGCCCAGCTGTCTAGGTGGTTCCAGAGAAATGGCCAGAGATACTGGTACGGAAGCCACTTTTGAGGGTATAACGCTTGTAGCATAGCCCGAACGTTTGTAAAGGGTGTTTCCAAGATAAGGCCGTCCACTGTGATGCCAGGAGGATATTGTCCTTTGGCAGCTAGGTTAGTTGCAAAACCACAGCCAATACTTTGTCCCCAAAGCAGAACAGTTGGCTTTTCTTGATCGGTCTCCTCAGACCTGCTTTCATGCAACTGAGCTATCCAACGTAATGCCGCCTGCGAATCAAGGTCAATTCCTGGCTCTGATGGACGGTCGTGGGATGTCCAGTAGCCTCGATAACTCAGGCAAACCATGGTATAGCTGATCGATATCTCATTCTCATGAGCTCGACGTATGATCCAAGAAAGATCTGGTAGCCTGGGTGGTAACGAAGATCCATTTCCTGGGTTTGGATGAGCGACTGCAGGATTTAAGATTGATGGCATTAACTAACCTTGAAAGTAGAGAACGTAGACAGGAGTTTTTGTCTCGTTTGCACTCTGTTTAGAGAATGGTGGCACATCTGCTACACACAATGCAATCTCCGTACCATCCAGCGACTTGATCCTCTCCTCTCTCCACTGCACTCGCCCACAGCCACGGGAGACCTCGTCGATTGTCATACTGCGCGAATTGGGCGGCAAGAAAGGATTATAGATGATGGTGTTCTGGAACAAGACCATCATTGCACACTTCCAACACCACAGAGCAACAAATAGACCAGTGAACAACAACGGCGGCATAAGGAAAGGCGCAAGATGCAGGGTCCTCATGCAGCCTGGGACAGGCCTCACAACCGCAAATCTCTCTCGGGTGGACCATATTCGCGACCGAGTCCTCATGCAAACGACTCGAGAGCGCGTGGCTGAGATGGCGACAGCGCGCAAGGCCATCACAGGCGGCGATCAGAGAAGCACTCGACAGGGGAGGAAGAAACGTGGGATGTTGTAGTTAGGCGCAAGGAATCCAAGTCTATGACATGTTCGCTCGCGACTGGATTTGAGGGAAATGCAACTGTGCGGATTGGGGTGTGATGGGCAGATTGAGGGACGGGTAATAGTGAGATGTATCTGACGGGAGTGTACGGAGTATAGGTACTATGTACAATTTTGAAGGCTATAAGACGTTTAGATGTCTCTCCTAATCCTTTCTTGGAGATTACAATTCAATACTGGATTTAAAAGAATTGTTTCAGATCTACTTAAATCAAACTTGTCTCCATCTAAGGCATCTTTCAAGCGTCCCATACGATACGTTTGGTGGGCTGATCACTGATATCATAGGTCGCCCATACAGCGGCCTTTCCGCCCCGCCAAACTCTGTCCTACTGCAGGCACCTCAGGAACCGACGCCTTGATCTGAAGAGCAACCGCAGTACAAGGCAGTCGACAATTTCTCAGCTTTAATCAGCACTTTCCCACCTCCGTATTAATCGTTCTCCTCTGCTTCTACTTCCATTCTCTCCACTGTACCAACCCTTCTCCCGCCCGACTCAATTTGCAACGTCGTCCTTCCCACTAGACTCAAAACTCGCTTACAAACTCCATCTGCCCCGCCATCACCAAGTTACCAGCCATCTACGCAAATACTACCTACATCGTCGCCTTTCTTGGACTCAACAACCACAATCACAATCACAACCATGCCTGGCTCTACCGATAAAGAAAACGACGGCCACGCGCACATCGAAGTGCCCGAAGGCGATGACAAGCCATCTCCCCGCGCCGAGGGCGAGTCCAGTCCTGGCCTCAGGAATAGCAAGGGCTGGGATGGCAAGCTTCGCGTCCCAAAGTCTGCTGCCATGGCGAACCCAGAGGCTCTTTCTGATTCTGACTACTCGGATGAAGAGAATGTCATGAAGGGCGAGAAAATCGATGCTGACGAGGGTATGTGCCTACTACATATGCAAAGACGGACAGTCTTGACTAACATGCTCGCTATGTAGATCTTCTCGACGACGAAGACCCAGAGACCGACGAAATCATGTGTTCCCACTCTCGAATCGCCTCAATTTCTTCGCTACGCCTTGAGCGCTTCAAGAATGTCGTCCGGGTCTGTCTCCGCCAGAACAGCATTGAGCACATAGATGGTCTGTCCGGCTTAGCCGCAACTCTGGAGGATCTTGACCTCTACGACAACCTCATTTCCCGTATTCGCGGCCTCGAAGAGTTGACAAATCTCACGAGCCTCGATCTGAGCTTCAACAAAGTCAAGCATATCAAGAATATTAATCATCTGACGAAGCTCAAGGAGCTATATCTTGTCGCCAATAAAATCAGTAAAATCGAGGGGCTGGAGGGACTTGACAAACTGACGTCGCTGGAGCTCGGATCGAATCGTATCCGCGAAATCGAGAACCTCGACTCTCTCAAGGCTGTTGAGGAACTTTGGCTGGCAAAGAACAAGATCTCCCAGCTCGGCGGTCTTGGTGGCATGCCAAATCTACGTCTCCTCAGTATCCAGTCCAACCGTATAAGCGATCTTTCACCACTTAAGGACGTCCCTACACTCGAGGAGCTTTATATCTCACACAACATGCTGGAGTCTTTGGAGGGGCTAGAGCACAACCCCAAGCTGCACGTATTGGATATCTCGAATAACAAAATCACCAGCATTAAGGGTCTTGAGTTACTCAGTGAGTTGGAGGAGTTGTGGGCTAGCTACAATCTCATCGGCGACTATAAGGAGGTTGCCAAATATCTCGCCGACAAGAAGAGTCTGACTACTGTGTATTTCGAGGGAAACCCGCTGCAATTACAGGAACCAGTAGCGTATAGGAACAGGATCCGATTAACGTTGCCTCAAGTCAAGCAGATTGATGCCAGTAAGTTTCTTTCTCTAACTCAATCTTACTTTGAAGTAACCCTGACTAACTCATTTGCAGCATTTGTGAGAACATAAGAATACAATCTTTTTGAAAGCGTCGACATAGAAAGCATGGCGTTTGGGAGAAGGTGTTTGTTTTTCCATACCTGAGACGGCATCAATGAGACATAGAAATAAATAAACCGTTCAGTTATAGATGAAACTTCTTGTGAGTTACGGATTTTGACAAGTTTGAAGAGGCAATAGACTATTGAAGACTGTGAAGTCCCTCGCCCTGCTAACTTGGTCTAAAGTTATATCACGTAGCAAACAAGTCATTAACCCGAGACAATATTCACGTTACGCAAGTGTTCCTTGTTTGTAGAAGGGTTAACTGTCTTTTGTATTCTATGATAGCGGATCATCACGTCCTTTCGGTTCTACAAAATGCAGCCCATTGTCATTAAACGCCTGAAATCCCAAAACATACATGTTTCCCATGCTTCTCTTTCTTTTTACTCGTCATATATACCTCATGTCATTATTTAAGCGAAGATCCAGAGCTTCTCAGTAGGGAAGTACTGCAGAGAGTTAGCTTTTGTTTCAGCAATAACAGGAGCCGCGTTGGGACTTACGTTGGTGGGCTTGTTGAACTTGAGGTTGAGGTTCATTCTGGCGACACGCTTCATGTCCTCCTCGTCGATGTCCCAGCCGACACAGCCGAAGTTCTGCTGCATGTACTCGGGGTTGGTGCTCTTGGGGATGACGGCAAGACCTTGCTGGGTGGCCCAGCGGAGGAGGACCTGGGCGGGGGTCTTGTTGTACTTGGAGGCGAGGCCAGTGAAAACCTCGTGCTCCATGAGAGGAGAAGCGGACTTGGCAATGTCCATGTCGAGCTCCATGAAGCCAGTAGGGCCGAAGGTGGAGTAGGCAGTCACAGCAATACCCTCAGCCTTGGCAAGGCGGACAAGGTCGGTCTGCTGGTGGTAGGGGTGAAGCTCGATCTGCAGAGTAGCAGGTCGGATCTTGGCGATCTTGAGCAGGTCGTAGATGGTCTGAGACTGGAAGTTGGAGATACCGATGGACTTGGCAAGGCCCTTCTCAACGAGGCCCTCCATGGCGCCCCAGGTCTCCTCGTTGGTGGCCTTGCTCCAGCGGATCTCGGTGCCGGCGTCGTCGTAGTGCCAGCCGGGAGGGTAGCGGACCTCGGGGTCGACGTACTCGAGAGCGACGGGGAAGTGGATGAGGAAGAGGTCAAAGTAGTCGACCTGCCAGTCGGCGAGCTGGCGGCGGGTGATGGGCTCGACGTTCTCCTTGTCATGGTATGTCTGCCAGAGCTTGGAGACGATGAAGAGGTCCTCTCGCTTCACGATGCCTTCCTTGATGGCGCGGGCAACACCCTCACCACAGGCCTTCTCATTGCCGTAATCTGTTGAAATATGAAATTAGAATACTGCGAAGTTGGATTTTCCGGGTAAAAGAGAGCACAGTGAAGCTATCGCCTTGTGGGGCTAGAGGTCTGAAGTGGTGTAAAGGTGGTGTAAGAGTGGTGGAGGGGTAGTTTTGCAGGGGTAATGTGGCTGTTTTCTCGGTGCAATTGGCATAAAGACAACAGGGAAAATGAGGGGCAATATGCAGGGATTCAATCTGGGGTGTTGTAATGGGAAGAAGGAAGACATACCGCAAGCACCATCGAGAAGACGGTATCCAGCCTTGATAGCCTCGTAGACAACCTCTGCGCAGTTGTCATTGACCTTCCAGAGGCCGAAGCCAATCTGGGGCATGTCGAAGCCGCTGTTGAGCTTGATGTTGGGGACGTTGGCCATTGTGACGGTTGTTGTGGTGTTGTGGTGTTGAAGAAAAGAGATTGGGTTGATACAATGGAAATAGGAGGGGAGGAGAAGCAGGAAATGACTACAGAAGAGGGGGATGGGCTTATTTATGCTAAGAAGAATGCATGTTGCCTGTTGTCCTTTCCATCCATCCAGAATCGTATGCCCTCATGGGTGAGGCATGATGGATTGCAAGGGGTCATGGCATGGTACGGTATGGTAGATATGGTATGGTATGGTATTTGATAGCGCGACGCCTTCTCGTACCAAAGTCAGCGGTGATCATATGGATGAATATTTCGGTTATGTCTTCTTTTCTGCCTCTCCGGGCCATAGAATATCACTCCTTCTGGCATCATGGGGACTGACTGTCTGGGGTGTGTAACCCCCAAGACCCAAGAGGCGTGTAACGGCGGCAAATCTCTCCATGCCCCATCTCGCATCCCCCATCATGCGACAGATGGAAAGCGAAATGGTCGTACTCAGCCTAACTCAGCCCCAGTTTCTTCTACCTCCAGATACTTAATGCCGCCTTTAGTGGGGGCATCTGGGAATTCATCCGGCGGTTGGTGGGCAAAATGGAGGAAAGATACCATCATGCTACGTAGTATGTTCATAGGGTGTCTTTTTTTCTCCGATTTTTCCTTTTCGCTATCTATATTTACTAGGGAGGGTGTTTAAATTGGAAATAACACTCTGGTTCAATGTGATCTATATCGCTTATCGCTGTAGTTAGGATGTTGTTGGATGGGAGCTGTCGAGGTGCCGTCATGGGAGGTACCGTAGATTACCACCTACGGATGACATACTGTAGTACACATTCTACCGGTGGATATCCGTACTACAGTATCAAACAAAAACGAAACTGAGCAGGCCATGAAATCTTCCAGCTAAAACCCCCAATATGGTAAAGACCAAGTAAAGACCGAAGCTCCCCGAGCATCCAGTCGGTTTAGAGTATCATCTACGACCCCGCAATCCAAGCCACACCACGAACCCCAGAAAAGAGAAAGAAAGAGGTGGGAGGTTGGGATGAAGAGAGGAAGAGAGGAAGAACTAGAGAAGCAATTCTTTCTCCCAAGTCGGATTCTGTGCCGCACAAAGTTGTACATGTTTGTTTCATGATGCAGGTCCCCTGGTCTCAGAAGGGAGCTGATTGTGACGCCTATTTGTGCGTTTATTATGTTTAAGCTGAGATGGGGGGTCCAGTCGCTCCAGTGCCGCGGCTGGCCTGAAGCCAAGCAGAGGCTAACTGGCTCTAACGGCTGCAAGACGTAGTCCTACATGTGTCAAAGACGGGTGTTACTCGAGCGGAAGAGTCAACATCACCTCAAGGTCAAGGTCAAGGTCAAGGTCAAGGTCAAGGTCGACTCCAGCTCCTTCAACACCGAACAGACTACCGCATGACCACTCTGTTTTTCTCATATCATGTCAGTGACGTGGTCAATTGCTCGGCTTCGGCCTAATTCTAGGCTCCCTAGTCTATGAAATGGAATTTGCCAAACGCTGTGGATTTTGCGCGGGTGAATAGACATTTTCATCCATATCATGATAAGTACGGAGTAAAATAAACAGACAGATCCAGAGCCTCTCAGCCTCTAAGGTTCCTTCCGGTAGAAACCAGGGACCATCTATTTAGCCTAAAACCCAGCGCCCCACGGCTGAGCTGCCCGTCGTCCCACAGAAGCGGATAATCTCCAGGCACATGTGAAGAAGCTCCACTCACAATGTTGCTCTGTAAACACCCCCATGTCGATCAGGTCCCATGATGGAAAACAGCCTGGGGACAACCATGACATGGTCAAGACAAACTCCAATGGCATCCAATTCATTGTTGGCCGACAAGTCGACGATGCTGTTCTCCGGCGATGGTTTGAACAGCTTCGATTTCCATGCGACAAAGACTACACCTCGAGGAAATGGCTCCGGCGCATTTTCTCGTTGCCATGATTGACTTACACTAACAATAGCCTCGACGGGTTCAATCATGACAAGAAATTTTCCAACTTCAAAGAACCCCTTTCATATCCTCGCACAGTCGCGTCAGTGTCCATGGCCTCAAGCGACCAGAATAGAGCCGTGTTGGTGCTCGGGGCGTCACAAGGCTTGCTCTTCAGACAAAGAAATCTCCTAAACACCATGACGGAACCACCGCGCCTCTTTGTCCCAGGACACCCAAATTCAGACTCGATCCTCTCACAATACCGCCATCAATGCTCCTTTGAAACCTTGATCTTCTCCCTTGTTGCGACATGAAGCACGAAGAGAGTCTCTGGCTGAGCGAAGTCTGCACACCAGAGCCTTTGGCCTTTGTCCAGTCGAACAAGCTTATTACCAGCGAGTCCTCCGCCCATCGCATCTCATGTTTTCCAATAATTCCAATACTCGACAAGAAAAATACCAATTCGAAAAAGTTTGCCCAGTATGTTAGGCAAAGATATCAGGGTCAGGACCATTAAGCTGCCCTTCAACGAACGTCAGCAAGGAAGAGATGAGGTTAAGATCTCAGAACGAAATATCCTCGCCGTCCAATCAGCTATCATTCGAGGAGACACATCCGTGACCCTCTACAACTGGGACGGTATTCCTATGCAAAAATGGCTCGACATACAAGGTCACCTCAGTGACATCGAACAAGTTGAGATCCAACATTTCGACATATTTGGGCCCTCTGGACCCAAAGATCCTCACGGGCTCCTAGCGAATGACATCCTGGACACCGTGCATTACGAGACGTGGGCTGGCCTAGATTTCAAATTCGACAAAATTCTTGCCCAAGGTGGCCACGGATTCGTGTCGCTATGGAATGTCACTTTCGACGACGGATCCAGCAGGAAAGTGGTCATCAAGAAGGGTGTGAGTTCTTGCTTTTCCGCCGAAAGCGAGATGGAGTTCCACTTGCGGTACAACCGCGCCGAACACACAACGCAGGTCGTTGATCTACATCGCGAGGCCCAGAAGATACATGCAGCAATGCGCAAGGCGGATCCGTTGGCCAGGAGGGAGTTCACAAGGGGTGCCCAATGGAACGCCAAAAGGCTGAATTGTGCTGTTTTCGAGTATGCTCCATATGGCGATGTATACCGCTTCATGGAGAATGTCAGCGAAAAGAAGGCGCAGTTCACAAATCAAGTTCTTTGGGGGATATGGGAGTGCTGTAAGATACACTGTTCCAGTCGGTACCTCTTCTTTACTAACACATCTTTAGTTGTAATGGGTATGGCTACGATCGCATATACACCAAGCTTGACACACCTCAAACTCTCTTTCGAACGAGAGTTTGAGAGAGCTAGATCCCAAGACAAATTATGGGACTTTCTCAACCACATTGAACAAGCATGGCGTATTGAGCACGATGTTCATCTCGATATGGAAGCACTCAATGGTAAGCACTTAGCCGAATCGACTCGAGCTTGTAGCTAACATCTATGTTCACAGTGCTTGTAGGCACCTGTCTTTCGCACACAACTCAGCCTGTGTTCAAGGTAAATCTCCATGCCCCTTATCGAAGATTCATGTATTGACCAAAACCTAGATTCATGACTTGGGCGCTTGGAGCTTTAGTATGTCGACCCTCTGGAAGAAACTGAAAGAGAGAGATGTTTGGAGAATGAGAGGCCCCGTCAAAATTCATGGGTTAACGCCGGTATGTATTCAATTTGTTTGCCTAACTACAGGATGAAGCCCTGACAAATTCTAGGAGCAAATGACAAGAGAGTGGGATGATATTCCACTGAGAATGAACGGAGAAGACGTACAACAAAACTTTGCTGGCGAAGATTTCACAAAGGGAAGCATTTGTGCCGGCCGTTTCGGAATGTGGACCAATATCTTTCTCATCGCCAGAGTTGTAAGTCCTCATCCCTTTTAGCCTGAAATATCCTCTAACATTTTACAGATGGAATCTATCATGACCGGAGTGTTTGCCAGATATCCCTTTCAATGCGGCCCTCACATGAATAGGCATGGTAGAGCTGCTACGCAAACATATGGATGGCAGCTTATGGACCCGGAGTACTCCCACATCGACGAAGAGCTTCGAGAAATCATTTGCCGATGCCTAAACGAGCGGCCTCAAGACCGACCCAGCGTTGTTCAACTAATAAGGGAGGTTGAGAGGCGAAAGGCAAAGGGTTTCAGTCAACCTGAAGAAGCAGTCAAGAAATGGTGGACCGACTTATTGCACCCCAATGAGGAACTGCGTCTCCCAGCACAGCGCAAATCGAAGACTAGCCCTGTTCAACAAGCTGTGGCAGATAGGATGGGACCTTCCAGTCTCATACAGAGGGCCATCCGTGATCCTACAGCCCGAGTACGAAAATCGGTCAAAGTGCAAGCTGCTGGCCATGGCAAACAGCCTAAGGCGGGTGCGTCAAAGTCCAAGGCTCCTCAGCGCCGTCGAAGCGGGGACAGAGATCAAGGAGATGCAGTTCCAAACCCACGACGAGCCGACGGTCTTGTGAGGCCCATTCGAGGTCGTGGCAAAGTTCCTCAAGCGGAACCGCACAAAGAGGACCCTATAATATCTCGATCCCCCAGTGCGGGCTTCGTAAACCAGAAGGCCAAGCGTTCTATCCGTCCGGGGATAGAAATTCGACCCTCTCCTCCTTATCCAGACTCTCGTCCTTATTTCTCGGCCGTTGGCCAAAACTCGCCGCCTGCTTTCCTAGCCAATAGGGCATTTGACAAGGCTCCTCCACGGGCTGGTCAATACGGCAGTGGCAGCGTAGACTCAGACGGACCTCCTGTCACAGCGATACCGATTCGGGGCAGTTCTTCCATGGATATTGACGATGAGGATAGGGTGCAAGACCTGCAGCAGGCAGCAGTCGACAAATTCTGGGCACGGCGTCTTCGTGAAACTCCCCCTGCTCCTACTGCTGGGAATGGTGATCCTTACAACCCACAACAACCAGCCGCCAAACCTAATTCTCCGTGGTGGCCTCCCACGCATGCTCTTCCTACTCCTCGCCCTCGCGCCAGAGTGCGTGAATCCTCTAAATCGCCCCAGTTCAAGTCTGTTAGCATCAGCCGTGTTACTCAGGGCACTACCAAGCACGTGAGGTTTAACGTGAATACCAAGCCTATTGTAACGAGTAAGATCAACAAACGGCCTACAAAGGACAAGAAGGGTGGTTACAAAACAGGTCCAAAGAAGTCCAAGATCCTCGAGTCGTGGGTCAAGAAGGCATTGCCTGCTATGCCCGTGGCTATTCAGAACCTTGTGACTCGTGCCAGGCACCTTGATGAGCAACTCAGGGAGGGCGATGTGCCTGTTTATGCCTATATTAAGTGAAGTAGTGGATAGGAAGGCGTTTTGTTTGGGTCATGGCTCTTTTGCTATGATATGGGTTGTCAGGGTATGAAAAGTGCAGGCGTTTTGTCCTATTTGTGTGTGGCTTCCGGTGTTAGTGGTTTTGTTAATATTTCAGACTTGAATTTCACTTATCATTTAACGTTTCTTCAAAGCAATAGATATTAGAACTTATTGTTCCTGGGTATCACTAACTCCTGACCTATCCACTGTGATTCTAACATACAAAACCCAACATTAGACTCTTCCAAAGTACATAACAAAAGAAACAAATTTAGTTGGTGTCATAGTTGGCATAACGGCACTCGCAAGCTCCAGGGGCAGATGTTACATCACCCACGTTACCACCCTCACTATCCACACAAGTAGGTGATCCACCATCGAATGTCTTACGCTGCACAATCTCAACATTTCCCGGCCAATCTGCAAACTTGCTACTGTCAGATCCATCGCCGCCCTGCGTCCACAGAGTAGCCTCAAGGAGCGTATCGGCAAATGTACATTTAGCTGCGCGGTTGCTTGACGAGAGGTCATCGTCCGGGACAACCGTCTTGTCCGTAGAGAAGGAAAATTGAAGACGCTCCTTGGACGTGTCCTTGTCTAACATCTTGAGCGTGAGGTTTGCGAAGGATGGCGCAAAGGGGTTCTCTGTAGACGAAATGTTGTATGAGTCGTCACCGTTGGGGGAGATTATCCAGAAGAATGTCGCTGAAGATCCCTTTGTGTACGGGTAGCAGCGCCATGTTGATGGGTTAGAGGTGCATTCTGTAGATGTGTTCTGGAGATCTGCTCTAAAGGCAAATGAACCAGCCGGGAACTTGGGTGTAGGCTCTGGAGCTGACGACTCTTGTGCTGGACGTTGATGGCTGTGTTGGGTTAGTTTTCGCAGTCTGATACTGATATCTTTGTCTTGGACTTGACTTACTCATCGTTCAACCCAATCGACAGACCAATACCCAGGGCAATCGCAACGACAGCCAAACTCGCCAGCCCAATCACCAACAGACAATAGCCCCTGCGCTTATCAATCCCGCAGAACCTCCTCTCTCTATAACTCCCCTCGTAAGCACTATCATGCTCGATGAACCTGCCTTTGGTCTCAGCGTAGGCGTAGCTCGGCGGGGAGTAGTGCGCCACGGGCGGGGCGTAGTAAACTCTCGGGCGAGGTATATAAGCCGGCGGAAGACCGTTGTTGCGGAGAGCGCGGCGAGGGGACTTTCTGGGAATGCGGAGGGGAGGAGGAGTTGGAGGGTCTGGGGATGAGGGCGTGGATGCTATTTCGTTCTCATCGATGGAGGGGAGATAGGGACGGGAGATGGAATTGAAGGAGCCGGTTCTGGGGTTGTGTCCTCTGATCATAATTGTAGATAGGTAGATACCTTTGGTATAGAGTTGTGGTGGTTATGGTTTCGTGGCTGAAAGAGGTTGTTGATGAAGTTGAGGCTGATCAGGTCGATAGCACCTCAATTGTAGATAATTGACGGAAGAAAACAAGAGGTTAATGGAAGAAAGTGTTCAAAGACTCAATTACCAGGCTGTGAGTATGTTATGTTTCCTTGGGTGCAGGATAGAGACAACCTCCATAAGTTCAGCTGAGCCGAACCTGTGTAATACGATGGTTACGCAATCAGGCTCTCTCTGTAAGTGAATATAACGACAAAGGATTCTTTATGAGCATCTAACGAGACAATATCTCGAAAGAAAGAAAAGAGAAGAAACCGTAGACTTATTAATTCTTTAGAAAAGTAAAAAGTCAGACACCAAAAGAACATGACCTTATCTCAACCCGCATCATCATCATCATCATCCATTTCCATCCCTCCTCTTCAACCAAACTATCGATTTCCAACCGGGGTTCGTTTCTGCCCTTTGGGTTTTTCGCCTCCCCCTCCAAGTTCCCCCAAACGCTCGAGAAATTCAATTAACAATTCTGAGCCCGCCACGCGGGATCGTCCTCTTCCGAAGGGAGACACAGGCTTTCTTAGCGTATCCTGCGCGACGCTAATATCTCTGTCGTTGCTGGTTCGTGATTGGGGTCTTCGTTTTCCCCCTGGGAAAAGTGGCGTGGAGAGCTGCGAAGCTTCGGCTTGGGGCTTGTGGAATATTGGTTTGGCGTGTGGATCAACGTTGAGGGTGAGGGGGGTTATCGTCTATAGAATCTAGAATTCCATACTTTCTCCTGCTCAAAAAGGGTCGGCAGTATAACCGATAATGTTTGTATTTGCTGCCATAGTTTATTTATCCTTGACAAATTGACACTCTCCCCCACCTGATCCGTAATTCTATCCCTCTACAGTGTCACTCTTGACTTCATATCAATAACTGCTCTATTGGTAATAGACCATCTATGCAGATCCTGACTCCTCAAATGCGCATACAATTGTTATTCGCTCACTTCATCCTATGCAAAACTTCCACCAACTAACCTCCTCGGGGTATTGCTCTTCTCGACCACACCATTCAACCCTTCAGCTATCCTTCGATTATTCCTGACCCTCGGCGACCTTCTCAGCATATGTCGGGGCCTCAAGCGCCTCGCCCTTGTCTGTCCAAACTGCCGCCAGCTCTGTCTCGATCTCATCTCGTCGCTTCTTCCACTCATCAACTTGTGCCAACCGCTCACGAAGGTCTTGCAGCTCCTTCTCAACCTGCATCTTCTCGCGCTCCGTGCCAATTCTCTCAAATTCCCATTCGTCTCCCCGGTCACCCATACCAAGGACTAGGTTGTATGTATGGTACTTCTTGAGCGAGGCTCGGGTTGAGATGGTGATAAGTGCTGTGTAATGTTAACTTAATGCTCTCGGACGAATCTTGAACAAGTAACTTACTGATGCCTCTCTCCTTGCATGTTTCGTAAAGCAAACCCTCCACATCACTCGAGACAGCGCTGGTACCTTCATCCACAATGGCGTACTGGGGCTCGTGATAAAGCAGGCGGGCGAAACCCATGCGCTGCTTCTCGCCTCCACTAAGTACGTCTTTCCATTCCTTTCTCGTATCCCATCCACCCTCTCTGTCAGGGAGGTACCCCAGTCGGGCAGCTTCCAGAACATTGTTGAGGTCATCCTCAGATTTGCGCTTCTCCTTCATGTCCACGTGGCCATCTGGATAGATCACTTGGTCACGCAGTGTTCCTGGGCTCAAGTACGGTCGTTGCGGAAGGAACATGATGCCATCTTGGCCAATATCCTTCGGGCGGCTGACTAGTCCTCGGTAGACTGGCCATAAGCCAGCGAGGATCCTGGAAATGGCGGTTTTGCCGACGCCGTTTGATCCAGATATCTGACAGCTGTTAATAACCATGTACACCACGTCAGACGTAAACTTACCAATAGATGTTCGCCCCTGCGCACGACAATGGATAATGACTCGAGCAACTCTTCACCCCCTTGAGGCCACAGACCGGGAGCTACGACCGGCACATGTTCAAACCTGACACCGTCGAATCCTTTCTGAATGGTTCCTGAAACATCAGACATGGAGTAGAGCTCGCTTTGTCCTGCACGAACATGATAAGCATCGGCATGTACCCTGTGTAGTGTCGAAATGAGGGTGTACACGCGACTGGTGTAGCCTGCCAATTCCGAGAGATCCTTGATCGAGTACATCATTCTACCACCTGCATCTGCAAGTGAGAGCATGAGCCTCTTGTTGGTAATAAACTCCTTCATGCGGTTACGCTCTCGGCCTCCTCGTACTCCATGCTCAGACATCTCAGCTCTGCCGCCGACACCACCCCACGCTGGCAAAAAGACGGGAAGTGACGCCAAGAGATATCCGTAAGCACTCCAGCTATACTTGAGGATGAAATCTTCCAGGATGTTGTAGCGAATCTTCAGCATGTAGATGCCTTCCATCCAAGACTTGAGTGATTTGAACTCGCGGTTCAGGAATGTCTTTTCGGTTTCTGCACCTCCATAGAATGCAACCTCTTCAGCATTGGCGATAAGTCTGGCGTGTAAGCTTCGGAAGTCGCCTTCTTTGCGGCCTTCAACCGCCTTCAATTTGCCAAATGGTGGTGAAAGTTTTCTGAGGATGCTAGCGGTTAAGAAGTAGTTGCTCAACAGGCCAGTAAGGGCGAGAGGGCCCAAAGACCGGTAGAGCTGATAATTAAATACACACAAGTCGACAAATGGTTTTCCAAGCGATGAGTAAATGTTGGCTGCCGCAGCACAGAACAAAGTCAGATCTTGTGTGATGAATTGATCCGCACTTTGACCAATGCCTCCATCCAAATTGGAAAGCTTATAATAGTTAAGATTATCGTTCAGATATAAATCGTGTATATATCGCGTAAGCCGTGTGCGGAAGGCGATGGAGACCTTAGACTCGAGATACTTGATCATAGCGTTGGTGTAAGAGGCAAACCCTCCAAGGCCGCACCACTAGTATGTGTGAGTGAATGACTATTAGTATGTATGACAAGACACTTACCTTGAGGATACCCCAGAGGAATGCTTTCCCGTTCCCTGCGACCAAATCGCGTACAATCTCGCCATCTAGGCGGGCAACAACCAGCGAGAGATATGTTCTCAGCATCAAAAACACACCGTGACTGAGCAGTAAACCGGCTTCTTTGCTGGACCATCTGGGGATCATAATGCTCATCAAACTTAGAAACTGGTGCAAAAAGGCAATGTTGAGGCCTGGCTTCGTTTGCGCCGCTGGTACAGTTCCCTCCCGCAACCCTGACACGCGCGGAGGGTTTAAGAACAGGCGACGGTGAGCGTCGAACGTGAGTGGCTTGGTTGTGTTGATAACAACTTTTGTGGTACTGTCCTTGTATGGGACGTATATGGTTCGCGATCCATCTTTGTTGTGAAGCCATGAGTTGGTGCGCACGAGTTTCCGACCTTGCTCTCGCTCATGCCGTCGATTCTTCCACCATCGACGTCCTCCAACTCCGCCGAGGATAATTGAAATCGCCAGTGCCAATGTCGCGAGTAGACGAGTTGTGCGAGTCGTTCCGCGCAATCTTGTCTTGATCTTGCTTGTCCATTTGTCGAGGAAGGCGGCTAGCTGCTCCTCGGCAGCAGTATGCCGCAGTGTGGATTGACCAGCCATTACAGGCAGTATGTGAAGGTGAGTTGAGGTACAGAATGTGGTGATGACGTTGAATGGTGTATGGGTACTAAGTAGGTGTTGACGTTGGAGAGGCTTCCCCACAACAACCACAACAACCGAGTCTCTTGAGAGGCTCAAAAACGCTTCCTTTACCTGTCCATTAGCGATGATCTGTCGCGTAAAACGTGTGAAGGTTTAGCTTGTAGTGATGGGAAAATGTGGTTGTTTGAAACTCCTAGCTACTACGTAGTAAGCCGAATTATGGTTGAGGCTCAGTCATGAGCATGTGAAATACGGGTATCCGAGGCAAGTGGCACATGAGACGGCTTGCGCCTGCTGCGACCTCCGACGGATGCGGCGAGCGGGAATGACGCCACACCTTGCAATCACATGATGGAAGAAGCGGGAAAAGCTGGGGAAATACGGGGAAGCATCTGTCCAGATGGGCTACGTCTCTGATTGGTGCGTGAGTTTTATGTGGGTCGTCGCTGGCTACCCTGTAGGGACGATGTAAGTGAACAATAAGCGGCCAAAATCTTACATTGGGTGGTCATTGGAGCCAAATGACTACTCGAAAGTGGACACTGTCACACTTCACATGATAGTGTTGATCTTCAGAGCTTACTGGGATCTTCTTTATTGCGGTTCCCTTGAACATGATCATTTTTCTTTCCGTAGGTGTGTGACCGTCATAGATAAGGACCCATGGGGTCATATCAACACCACAATATATAAATACTGCAAAACCAAGTAACACCAACCGGGGCATGCACCGAAAAGAGCCTATAATTCCATAACTTTATTCATATTCAACATTAGATTTAATACGATACGAAAACCAACGCCGATCTGAGATGCGATAGAGTTGCCAGGGTTCACACGACTCAGCTCCAACCCAAAAGGCGCTAATTCAAGGGGCCAACTTTTCCTCACTACCACATGCAGTTCAATGCTAATGATGACAAGCTCCCTCGATCCATTGTACCCACGACTAACTGGACTCACTGTGGGAGCAAGTGGATAGTTTACGATCAATGCGATTCAAGAAACCCGCACTAAAGGAAGCCATGCATAAACTCATGGCTAACCTACCTTGAATCAGCAAACAAAGATCAAATATCGATATAGGAGGTATGTACAAACGCAAGGGTCCATCCATCTAGCAGAACGGTGACAGGAGGTCTCTGTAACCGGCCAAAGCGGGTATGTAAGTCTCTCAAGTGGTCGAGGCCAAAGGACCCACGATGCATGGAGGCATCACTGATCCGGGCGCCAACGCGGCCAATCATGCCACCCTGACAGGGATATCTCTCCCGGCCTGGTAGGGATGATGGCTCTTTTCCGTGTCTCAGTCGCGAAAGAGACCTTGGAATTGGAAACTGGAGATGGAAATGGAGATGGCTATTGGAAACAAGGAGGTCGTTTTGATGTGATCGGAGAGACGATACTGGGAAGAAGAGCTTGGTATCCGTACTCCGCTCCGTAGGGTAATGCCGATTCTATCTCCTCAGCTTACCAGGGAAGGATTCAGGGCCAAGCCAATCATTGGACATGGTCTAGGTAGTAGCCGGAATGATGTATTAGATACTCTTAAACCCACGGATAACAACATCCAATATCAATTCTCGAAACTTGCCATGGCTCATTTAAACGAAAACTCGTACTCATCTTCAACAAACAGCCGGCGCCGCTTGCCACGAGGATACGCGAAAGAGCATGCATCTTATCCCGTACGTCAGTGGTCATGTAGCACACGGGTGTGAGTGACATGGTGGCAGCCTCTACGCTCGCTCCCAGGTTCCGTGCAGTCGAGGTAATAGGGAAGATGCTCAAAAGACTGGGGGGTAGAGAGTGAGAGCTTGGGGCAACGAAACCATCGAAACCGAGAGTGAGTAATCACAGCTTTGAGCTGGGTTGTTGATGCAGACTGAAGAGAAGCCCCTCAGCACTGGGAGATCGGGGACATGGTTTAGAGCAAAGTAGTATCCATCCCTTTCATGTTGGTGGACATTTGTGTATCCCGTATTCAAGAGCATTACTACTGTATGAGGTGTTTACACTCCAAGGTGCATACAATGTCAAAATAACGACTGTCAACTCGTCATGCCACTCTCACATATTGAACTGGATAATGTATCCCTTGCTTTGCATGTTCTGATTTCTCTCATCGAATTAATTGAGTCGACGTAAGGTAATGTAGGTACAATACCTACATAAGCCAGGACAGGGGTCCTTAGGCGCCCAGGTGGGTAGCAAAATAACCGGCACACTGAAGCTCTTTTGCCATATGAAGTTAGCACAAAGACAAAATAAACTCGTCATATCTCAATGTAATTTCGACCAAGCTTTTCTGTCAACTAAATCTGATGTGCGGGTTTTATTGCGACCCACCTGGCGCCGCACCGAGCCATGGGCGGGCCTTAGCCAGCCATGACCAGCCATAGGACAGGGTGGTTAAGATGAGCTTGGCGGGCACCATCATTAGCGGAGATTGAGAGACCAGGGATGGATCTATTGCACTATCGCGAGGTGCTTGTGATGGAGCTCTTCCAACTGTGCTGAGACTGTTTGAATAGCACTGACAAACAGTGTTAATACACCATCACCAGACAGTATACGATACTCCTCTAGCATCTTGAATACTCCCGGAGGGTTAATCTCGAGTCAAAAAAACTCCACTCACACCACCACTACCACCCACCCCAGTCAAGCCCACCTCGGTCGGCCACTCTCGTCTAGGCTCGATCTATCACTGGACAGGTCCTCACTCTCACTCTCGCAGTCTCCCGTCGTCCCCAGTGACCAGTGACCACTGACCAGCCCCAGTCCAGGCGACCCTGCCGCTCACTCCAGTCACTGTTTCCAGCGGATGTCCCCCCCGGGCTTCCAGCACATCTTTTTCGCCCACTTGCCCATTGTCGCTGCAACTCCACCAAAACTCCAGCCTTTCCCAAATCCAACCCAATCCAATCCATTCACATTCAACCTTGCCATTTTTTTTAGTTGCCCTTTCTCATCTGTAATAAACTACCCAAGCCATCCCAGGAACACAGCGAACCCCCCCTGCGCGCACCAGGCTTGTTCTGTTCTCCCAATCTCCTCTCCTCCAGCCAAACTACCAAGACCCAGTTCACAGCTTAAAGGCAATCATTTCGCTTGCGCGCCAGAGTGCCAGGACCTGTCTTTTTCAGCCTCCGATCCGTCCGCCTTCGTCTTCGCCTTACCTCTGTGCTGTGTCGTCTCGGTCCTCCGCCCGTTCTCCGTCTTTCCTCATTCTCACCGAGCTCCATCCACGACCGACGCAAATCCCGATCAGGTTTTACTGTCTATTGAGGCTGTCTCCCAGGTCGAGACAAGTCATTCATTCGTTCTTTTACTTTCGCGACCCTTTTGGTCTATTCTACAGTTTCGCTTCCCTATTCGATTCTTGGTGCCGTTCGGATCCTAGCCTCCCCTGCCGTGGCCCAAACGCGCCGTAATTTCCCACCTTCGCCCTTTTACTTTCTACGCCCACCGACCCCATCAACTGTTTCAACACTCACCATACCGAACTGCTTCGTTTATTCTCACGACTTCGGCCTCGATAGGCCATTTTCCAGAGTTAGGGGCGATCGATTAAGCTGGTTTTCTTTGATTATATTCAACAACGTGAGTACTTGCAATTCCGTTCCTCGCGCGTCCTTGCCCACACCTCGCGCGATTGCTGGGGCAATACAACATCGGGCAAGAGACGATTGCCAAGCTTGTTGCGCATTGGGGGCAGCTGCACTGAACTTGGCCGTCTCCTGTATCAAATATCGCAGCATGTTGATGCTTTTGAAACTGGTGCTCCAGCTTCCAGCTCCCTGCTTCATGATCGCTTCTTGACGTTTGACTTGACAGAAACAACAGCTGACCAGCTCTTAGGAAATCAGCAAACATGTCGGAAAGACTTCAATCCACAAACCCGGCTGACGAAATCCAACCCCAAACGACCTCTGAGATGTCCAACCAGGGCCAGTTGTCTCCAGAGGAGGGATCGAGCTCCAAAAAAGGACGTGGTCTACTTAAGGTTCCCTCGAGACCATCATCACAGCGTAACCAATCGTCTCCAACAACGACCGGGTTGAGTGGGGCAACAGTGAGCGATCCCCGGAACAGCATCGGAAGCCGATCGAAAGACTCCAAGGGTAGTCTCCGGGCGCGACGAAGGAACGGAAGCACGTCAAGCAACAGGACTGGCGGCGAGACTGAGCCTACAAACACAGCTGCAAACACCCAGCCAAACTCTCCTGTCGCCCCAGCCCAGAAGAAGAAGAGCCGTGGTGGTCTGTTCGCTTTCCTTGGATGCTGTGGCACACCCGAAGGTCCAGCTGATAACGGGGACAACAACGAAAACGTACACAAGCTTGACGTCCTGCCTCCGCGCCCAACATCCGCCAGATCGCGAACCAACACTCCCCAGGAGCAGTCCAAGACGGCTGCCGAGAAGGAGCCTCAAGTCCCCGTATCTGCACCAGAGCCCAAGGACGAAGCAACTTCATCAGGCACCGCCAACAACGAAATCGCAGCGACAGAGCGAGAAAACAGGGAATCGAAGCAATCTGTTCCCCCTGCCGTCACTGTGGAGCCCCCTAAGCCCACATTCGCAGAAGACGAGCCCAAGGTGGCAGACAAACCGGCTGATAACGGTGACGTGGATATGCAGGATGTTGCCACTGAAGAGCCAGAAGAGGCACCCATAACTTCTGTAGCCGATGCACCAACTCAAGCGACGATACCTCCTCCTCCCCCAGGCCCAGGTCCAGCAGTTGTGGCACCCAGCCAATTCACGGATGCTGGCCCATCGGCACCTGAGCCCCAGAAGTGGCTATTGCCTCCTATCGCACCAGAGCATAAGGGTCGGAAATGCCTCGTTCTTGATTTGGATGAGACTCTGGTCCACAGTTCTTTCAAGGTATGTATTAACGATAACTGAATTCTAGGACATGAGCTAATTAGTACAGCAGATCCTTCACCAAGCCGACTTCACGATTCCCGTCGAAATTGAGGGTAACTACCACAATGTGTACGTGATTAAGCGACCCGGTGTCGATGAGTTCATGAAGCGAGTCGGCGAACTCTATGAGGTTGTAGTCTTTACAGCGTCTGTTTCCAAGGTATGTTTACTTAATCATAGTTGACATTGAGTTCAACTAACACTTCATAGTACGGAGATCCCTTATTGGACCAGCTTGATATTCACAAGGTCGTTCATCACAGGCTGTTCCGCGAGAGCTGCTACAACCACCAAGGAAACTATGTCAAAGACTTGTCCCAAGTTGGTCGAGACCTAAAGGACACCATTATTATCGATAACTCGCCTACCTCATACATCTTCCACCCACAGCACGCTGTCCCCATCAGCAGTTGGTTCTCTGATGCCCACGACAACGAGCTCCTAGACTTGATACCAGTTCTCGAAGATTTGGCAGGGCCCAATGTGGCCGATGTCAGCCTTGTTCTCGATGTCACCCTCTGAAGCATGAACGTTTCCTAACAACCTTTTTACTTTGTCAAAACACTTTTCAACGATTCGAACTACATCCCTTGATCTGCAGATTTGCCATCATAGCGGAAGGCGTTTGGTTGAGAGCTTTCGATTCCTGGTGTAGATGTACTATTGTCTAATCATACATATAATCGAGCGGTTGGAACGAAACGGACCTCACCAGCACGCTGAAACTTCCTTTATACAAAAGATACCTGGCGGTCTTTGGTCGGCATTATTACGGAGGCCTCTTTAAGCTGGCATTGCCATTACATCTCACAGATTCGAAGCAAAAAAAGATGGATCAGCATCACGAGAGACGCGGGACACATGGGCTCTTCATCTTCACGTACGGAGACGGTGGCGGGTAGGATGTCGTGTGCAGTATACGCTGGGCTGAGAAAATAAGGACAGGCTCGCCGTGGAGGAAATGAAACCTGTCGCACCATCTCGTGGGGATTAAAAAGAGCTGGAGGAGGAATGGGCAAGTGTATGGCTGAAGTGCCATCGACGCGCTAATGTTTTTATTTTTCTGTTGGTTTGATTCCCTTTGTCTTATGGTTTCTGTCATTTCGACTGCTTCTCTTACTTCTTGTTGTTCTTTTTGATTATACACCACCCCCTGATACATTCATATCGAGTCTGCGAGCGGACTCGGAAGCGAGCAAGAGAGCGTTTGTTGTTGATATCCAATCCGCCTGACGATAGGGTCAACAGGTGTAGAGGCTACAGACATCTCTCCCCATACATAGTCTCACTAAATTGTAAAATTTCTTTACGAAGACGGACGTCGAATCTGAACAATCACATTAATGCTTTGGAAATCGTTGTCGTACCGGGCTTGAAGTGGTAAAACTATCGCATGTTGATACTCGTCAGTGGAGCTTATGCCGTGTGTTGTGTGGAGAGCTGTAGTCCCTGTAGTCCCTGTATCTCAGCTTTAGTGGACGCCACCGGAAAATCATAGCCCCGCCTCCCTCCTTTCTGGTGAAGGTGGCCTCAACTCCCTGACTCTCCATTTTACGGGGGCTAGTTGCACAACACCCAAACCCAATCCATTAATTTAGACCCCGTCTCTCGATCTTTAGCTTCCACATCGACCACTATCCTCTCCTTTTTCTATCTCTCTCTCTATTTCGTGCCTTCTTGGAACCCTGCAGTGATTCCTTTGTCCAATCTCCTCGCCCAGGTTTAATTCTCCAACAATGGTATGTTTTTAACCACCACGGATACCTCCAAAGTTGAGAGCAATTCGCGATTGAGCTGCGGAGCTAGTGTCGCATTGCGACTGAGCTCTCTGACGACGTGGATCTATCTCGTCAAAAAGCTCAAGCATGAGGAAACATCAATTTGCTAACATGGCCTTTCTCTAGTCTTCTCCTCGTCCTTCTTCCCCCGTCAACGGCGGCGCTGCTGCCAGCGGTGCCAACATCGGCCGACCCTCGTCCCCTTCTATCCCTGGTGGTCCCCGTACTGCTATCCGACGACGCGCTGCCGCCGACCAGAAGGAGAAGATCGCCAATGCCCGACCAAGCAGCACTCGCGCCGCTGGCGCTGGTGGTTCCAGCAGCACCATGCTGCGTACGTTGCCCCTGATATTCTCGTGACATCCGAGACAGGCGCCATTGAACAATTGTGCTAACGTGCTATGCAGGACTCTACACCGATGAGTCTCCCGGTCTGAAGGTCGACCCCGTTGTCGTCCTTGTTCTGTCGCTTGTCTTTATCTTCAGCGTTGTCGCTCTTCACAGTACGCCCTCCCCTCAAACCCCTCCCTGGGGTGATGTATCCAATGTGCTTGTTCTAACCCTAAATTCCAGTTATCGCCAAGATCACCCGAAAGTTCTCCAGCTAAACAGCCGACAAACAACGACGAAAGGGGGAAACTCAAAGAGGAGGGGAAATGACGGGGACGCTTTTTTTATTATCACACGTGGCCGATGCACATCACATATCAGTGATCGTGAAACGATGCTACCGTCTGCAATGGGGTTAATACGGCCACACTGGAAATTTTGTTTGTTGAATTGCGGTTTATGAGGGGAGCCTTTGTATTATATCTCGGGAAAAAGGGTCCGAACCGGCAATCTGGACTTTGACTGTTTTGACGCATGAACTTTGAACAACCTGTGCCAGACGCGAATGTGAAGATGGAGAGATGTCTCCTGGCTCTGAGATGGACAACTTCTCATGCCAATTGCTTAACTACACGTGGGACACTCAGACCAGAAGGGCACGAGCCTCGAGGGAGAGATGGTGAATGCCATTGACCATCTGTCCCTTTGTTCCATTAATATCGATATATAAGGGAGAACATTCCAGTCTTACACCGATATACTAGTGGATATGGTTTCGTTCAGTAGTCCCAATCGCAAGGGAAACTGTGATATATTACCTGAGCTGTGTTTGGTTTGTTACAATAGTAGGAGGGTTCAAACAATCCTAAAATCAAGAGTTCCATTAACAAGTCTGTAGTAATGGGCCAGTACAAAGGCATATCAAATTCTTGGAAATATTGACAATGTCATGTAAGATTATCAGAGTTAATCATGGTTTTGTAACATACACTAACAACAGACTGAGGAGCTGTTAGATGAACAGTATCACATCTTTGGACAATGCTATCAGTTGCTATATTTCTAAAAGGGAGCCATTGGTTGGTATTAAGAAAACGTAAAAAGTACAAGCAACTATTAGAAGCAACCTTTGTTCTCTTGAGTTTAAGTACAAGTTGCTTCAAGGTGATTTCTGGACGCATACTCTACATGGTCTAGATACCAAATGGCACACTAAGACAATTATTACAAGTATATTCATTTTGCAGATGCCTGCTATATCTCTAATGCTGCTCCGCGAGAAATACATTAGCTTCATAATCTTGGTAAGCTATTCACTTGGACTTACCTGTATGAGCAAATGAAGAAAGGATAATGACCGGACTCGATTTAGATGGCTTAATCAAGCATGAAAGCCTTTATGAGGCCGTGGGATAGGGAAGAGAAGAAGAATTACATGATCTGATGTCAAGTGAATGTCGCTGATAGGGCGATGATCACTCAAAGGGAGGCAAGTTTGCCTCAGTGCCTTGATTGAAGGCATTCATTTCAAGAATGATTCGAAGGAGACAATCGGCCTGTCTTTGTGACACTTCCCTTTCTTCTCGTTGTTGCCTAACAACTTCACCCAACAACTGGTTAGTCTCTCTTGACAGTGCATTGATTTGCCGAAGTTCCGCTAACATCTGTTGGAACATTGCATCGCCAGGACTTTGCGAGGCAGCTGCTGGCTGAGGGAGATCCTGGACTTCCGGAGGGCTTTGACCAGAAGGGTGAAGCTGGACTTGAGCATCAGTCTGGGCAGATGCCAAAGTTGGACCTTGACTGATTTGAGCACGAGGTGCGACTTTAGGCTTCACCTCAACGCCGCTTTCCATAGCGCTCCTGGCCGCAGTCGCAAGTCGATACCAGCTCTCAGCCTGGCCTGATGAGCGATAGGTACTCATGAGTGATGTGGGACTTACCGGCTGATCGTTCGCGATGCGAAGTGCTGCAGCCTGGAGGCGAGCTCCATGATGGTGAAGATGGTCAGAGAGCTTACTAGTCAGTCTAGTCGTTAAGCAAGGGAAAATGAGTTGACTCACTTGCTGACATTTTTTCTTGGTATCGCGAGCACATGGGTAACAAGCTGTGGTACTATCCTCTGATGATAAATGTTAGTGCCGGCTTTGATGAAGGGGTATTCGACATCACTGACTTGCTTGAGATAAACACAAATTCTCTGGCCCGTTGTCGATCATCTTGGTAAAGCAGCGTTGGCATGGCTGGTCTTTTGGGTTACCTCTCATTTTGCCTGGCCTTGATCGCTTCGAAGTATGAGTGCCACCAGGCTCCTGGTTGTCTTCCTCGAAGTCGCTCTGTAAGTTTTCAACTAGGCGGGACTCTACGACATAGGAGCCCTGAGGGGGGAGTTCGCGTTAGTATGAAATATGTCGCAAGCCGATATTGACTTACGGAACTGATGGTCCTTTTTCTTTTGCTCTTTTGAGGAGAAAGAGGAGGGTTCATCATGCAGATATAAGGATCGAATTTGCAAGATCAATAATGAAAAGGCTCGCGAGAAGTAAATAGCAGGAAAAGTATTTACTATGAATAATAGGGGAGTTCCTCGATATAATAAGGCAGGAGGTTAGAAGTTAGAGAGAAGAGAAGGCAGGGGAGGTTTTAAGGCCAAGGGGTGAAATAAGAGTACTCTACCCTACCTTATAGAAAGCAAAATAGACCTCTTGACCGTAATTCACTGACTACATGGTAAAAGCTTATCACTACCGAATAGTAAATAGGGTGCCATAGTGCTGCTTCGGGTAAGAGATCTTATGAACGGCAGCTGGTACCATCTGCCAAGTATGAGAAGGATTATTCAAAATAAGTAAAAGAAATGTTAATATGATCTCTTAGGCCACATATATAACCATCACGGCAACCCGTAGAAACCAATTCCCTATTGTACTGCAGAATTCATGACTCAAGTTAGTGCATAACATGGGTGTCCTCGCATATCGTGTTTGTTTAATTCACATCGCCATCTCAACTCCTTGACGGACCTGATGCATCACCCTTATTCATCATCAGACTCTCTTCCATCGCCCGCCTTAGTTCCTCATCGTGTTCGTCTCCCGTACCCGCTCCTGCTGTGTCCTTACCCTTGGCTATCTTCTGCCTATATTCTTCTTCAGCCAAACTCTGCTTTTTGACATACTCCAGCACGATATCCTCTTCTGTTCGTTGACTGCTTTCATTTTCCATAGCTTCTTTCGACGCTGCTATCGCACGCTCATAATCGTCATCGCTTTCCTGCCTCGGCGGCAGTGCTGGAGGAGCTTGCTTCTTGGAAGCTTCAATGGCACGTTGCAGCTCTTCGTCATCTTCGTTATTGGTGGAATCGGCAGGTTGGTGGGATTGGGTCGCGTCGAGCTCTGAAGCACCAGAGTACAGAGGCGTTGGCGCATCATTACTTAAACTCTGCTGAATCGCTTGCTCAACCAAATTCTGATACTCTTCGTCGGTGATCTGATACTCGGCATCCTCAAAAATAGAGGGATCCTTCAAAGGAAGAGGTGCGGCCTCGTCTGTTCCCGTCCTTTCACGGACAACCTTGATACTCTCTCGGATAGCTGCTTCCACTTGAGCATCTTCCTCGGTGTTGCCGCGCGAAGTCTCTTGCACGGAAGCCTGAATGGCCCTCTCAAGTTCCAAGTCTTCAGAAGAGCTCATTTGTAAACTTGAGTCATCACTCGACTTCGATTGTGGAGTCGGAGGATCCACGAACCCTTTCTTCCATGCATCCCTGTCGGCATGTAGCTTCTTTCTCTCGTCGAAAGACATGTTCTTCGTATGTTGCCATCCTGTTTGCGGGCGCTCGAGTCCAATCTCGGAGCTGTTCTGGCGCGGTTCTTCTGGGCGTTTTCCTGCAACCTTTTCCTTCTTTTTGAACTGTTGGAAGTTCTTGAGGTCAGACTTGAAACTGTTCCATCGTTGTACAACATCGTCCCTTTCACCATGTGCTGCTTGTTGCATCTCACGCTGGCCTTGGGCAGCTCGTGACGAGATAATGTAGTTCTGCACGCTCTTGGAAAAGTACTTGGAGACCTCAGCGTTAACTCCCTGCATGGTGTAGGCAGGAATGGCCCAGAAACCTGCGAGTCATTAGCAATGCGTTCGTAACTCTCTCTCGACAAACTTACCAGCTGCGGGTTTTGTTATCACGCCACCAATACCCTTAGCAAACCCTTTAACCAAACCCTGAACTCCGTCCTTTTCAGCGCCTTTCAGGGGTTGCGTCACAAGACCAGTTATGCCATCAAAGACGCCATAACCAAACTCCTTGCCTGCCACAACAACTCCAGAACCGACTCCCGTTACCTTTTCAACTGGGCGAACAGTGTCGTCGTTGTAGAGCTTGGGCATGTTTCTGAACCCTCTGGCTAGTCCAAGACAGAAATTCATGGGTGTCCTGGCACCCGTGGTCACAACACGACCAACTCCCCTACCAGTTCCGACAGCTGCATCCATATAGTTGACCGGGGACCCGCCTCGGGCTTGGTTGACCGCTGCCTGTTTGATTTGATCTTTCCAAGATTTCTCTTTTGCTGAACCCTGAGCACTTGATTGCCCTGGAGACCAAGGGCGAGAGACGCTGGATGCAGAGTCACTCAGCGTATTCTGAGATGTATTAGAGTGCGCCATAGGAGTTGCTGTGTCTGCGTTGCTCGACATAGATGCCGATCTCTTCTCGGACTCGGTGCCATGAAGCGTGGCTAACGAGGTCTGACTTTCCGATGCTGGAAGGTTTCCAGTGTTATGTCCTGCCTGTTCTTGCGTAGGGGCTTTCTTCTTGGGCTGCGACATGCTCTTGAAAAGCTCTCTGGGCATGTCGGCAATTGCCATTCCGATGCCTCCTATATCAGTAACAAGCGAAAAGGCACAAGCCGAAATTGGGTCCGTCGGTTGTTCCTCCGTGTTATACTCCGTCATTCGATATCTTAAATTGTCAGCTCAAATTCTTTAGCCCGAAGGATTCTTGACTTACAGCTTCAAATCAGACCACTGAAGCAAGCCGTGTTCAACCAAGATCGCAGCTGCAAAAGCACTCAACCTTACTTGGGTTTTTCTTACACGCCAAGCAGCGGCTCGACTTGGTGCCAGAGTGCAGCGCAACTTGTCGACGTCGAGATGATCGTGGAAGCTTTTCCCACCAACATCGGTTCCTTTCTCTTCTCTAATCTTCTGACCCAGAATCTTGGCCTGCTCCAAGGTCTCGGGTTTGATGCAAAACTTGAGAGCTTCAGCTAGTTTCTCTGCGGTCAGTTGCTTGTATGGAATTGGGTCAGGGCCCGCATTCGCTTTGGCTATCATGGCACCCCAGAATGGCTGGTCACCAAAGAACGGAACCACCAGCGTTGGTTTTCCAGCCTTGATACCAGCAGCGGTGGTGCCAGCACCACCGTGATGTACTACACAGGAGACGTGTTCAAACAGCCAGTCATGGGGAACATTGCCCAGCATGAATACACCATCTGGTTTACCAAGATCGTCAGCGCCAAGACCACCCCATCCCTTGGAGACCAATGCTCTCACGCCCGAGAGCTTAACTGCCTCGAATATCATCTCGGTCATGGCATTGGGGTCATCGACCACAATGGAGCCAAAGCCGATATAGACCGGAGGCGGGCCATCACGAAGAAACGCCGCCAGTTCTGGATCAGGCGTGTATGACGAAGCAAGGTTGAGAAAGTAAAAGCCAGCAATATCAATGTGTCTTCCCCAATCGTTGGGCTTCGGGATCAATGCTGGAGACCTATCTCAAGTTAGACACATCCACATAACTGTTCATAAGTACTAACCAGCAGTATGTCCAGGAAATTTTGAGCCTTGCGAGTAGACCCGGTGCCCAGATCAGTGAGAGTGGTGGGAGATCAAGCGCCTTCTCTCGGAATCTGTTGATGACATCTCCTAGACCCTGCCATGTCATCATTTCCACCAGAGTATATGACATGTAGTTAGTCATCACATCATCGGTGTTTGATGACTGAATGTTGGCCAGAGGATGGGGAAAGGCTCTTGTAGGTGACCAGGGCATGCTAAGGTGATGGTTAGTATTGAATAGGCTGAGTTATTGCATTAAAGTCAAGACTCACGTAAACATCATGTGCACTGGAATGCCCATCTTCTCAGCGATATGAACATGAGCAAAGCTGGGAGGATTGGCGATGATAGCATCGGCGACAAAAGGCTCTTGCCCGGACGCCGCTAAAGAGATATCCAGTGGAGCGTTTGAGGCATGTGGTTTGGGAGGCGGACCAAGGCCATTGCCTCCTTCGATACAAGACCGCCAGCAGCCCATAAGAATCTCTTGGATTCCTTTTCTCCTCTTACTAACTTCACCACTTGTGATAGCATCAAAGCCAGGCATAAGACCGGGGTACTTGACCATGAAAGCCATCAACTCGGCAGGGTCACCTCCGATGCTGAAGAACTCGAGGCCATTTTCCTCAACAAAGGTTTGAAAAGTAGGGTGTGTGGCAATTCGCACTCTGTGTCCATATGTCTCTTTCAGCACCTTACCTAGGGCAACAAACGGCTGTACATCACCGCGAGATCCTACGATTTGTACCACGACATTGAGTCTCGGTGGCGGGGTCTGTCCGGGTCGGCCTCCAAGGTTTGGTGGGATATATGCAGGGGGGAGATCTGGCCGTTCCGGCTCGGGCTGAAGTTGGTCTTGTAGAGTTGGCGCAAGAAGATCTGTAAGTCTTCTGGTCTTGGCATTGATATTGATATTGACTCGACCATCACCTATTAACATGAGTTAGTCTTGGCGCATTTCTGCTAGTAAAGGACAAAAGGCACCTGTTACTTCTGCACCAGCGTCAAATCCAGGCTGTGAGAAATGAACTTGATTATGGTTCTCTCCGTAAGGAGGCGGAGCGCCCTCATCAGCACCAGGGGTAAGGTCTGGTAGTTGAAGATCGGCTGAGGTTGTAGGGTCCTTGTTATCGCCATCGCGGGGTTGTTGTCGGTGCTGCCGACCCGCAGCAGCTTTTTCGTCAACAATGCCTGCCATAGCAGTTTATTGTGTGAGTTTTGGTAGTAAAGAATTAACTTGATTTGTGCATTGGTACAGCAAACAGTGAACGGAATGTTGTATGGAGATATAAGTAATGGGTGTATAGAGAGGCATCCAAAGAGTTGGCGGCTACCTATGGTGGGGAAAGGAAGTTGAAACGAACGACGTCAGCGCATGCGCATCAGGGACGAATCATGCAGCGGGGTCTTTAAGCTCTAAGCCACAAGAGACACTCTGAGCTCATATTGCCTGTTTAGGCAAGTTGATCGATCAGTCTCGGACGCGTATACGATAATAGTGATCAACTGAAAGGTTGGGAGCTGCTTAGGTTGTTTAATTACGCGAGTGTGCAACGTGAGAATGACGTGGCTGAGTAAACTGTCTTGAATCGCAGCGGTTCATTAATCATGACTCCAAGACAGGCTCTTGACATGGTCGCAAAAGCTGAGTGCAATACGACGGAAACAAGACACTGACTACCAGTTATGAGTGCTTTTTATCGTCACTCGTGATAGAGTATATACTTTGGTTTTTGAAGCGCCTCTTCCAACCATCAGACAACGTGGCCGAGTGGTTAAGGCGATGCCCTGCTATCTTTCGAGACATCATAGGCATTGTGTTCGCACGCGTAGGTTCGAATCCTGCCGTTGTCGATCATTTTTTGAGATTCTGTAATTATCATCTCCAAGTGATTTTTTAATATCCTATATGATTTCATCCTCATTTTCATTTTTCATCTTGCTTTAAAGATAAAGCTGTGGGGACGGCCCGCCGGCTATTCCCGCTCTTCGGAACAATGTTTTTGTGAGGGATGAATGTGCGCTTTATCTATTATTGTTTACTTATTTATGTGAAGTCTGGTAGCACCTTTGAAAAAGAGATCCAGCTGTCCCAATAAAATCAACAGAAATATCAACGATAGAGGTCTCTACACAGACCGAAAAGCAACAGTATCTTTCAATAACGTTACCCACCATATCAACCACCTTGTTATTATTTACTTACCCTAGAGAATTAAGCAAGTCATTCGATTATATCACTTTGTATATCTCTCGTAATTACAGTAGAGCACGTACCTCTTACCAGGTATTTTTGTAGATGCATAATGCAGACTTTTCTTTTTATATTTTTGTAACCTGTCCTGTTTCCAACGAGCCGCTAATGGTGTGCTCAACATTTTTAGTGGTTATGGATCTGGGCGTTGAAAAAGACACTGTAGAGCGTAAGGCTGCCAACCAAGAACCATGGAATGCACCATAAATGTCTTGTTTCATGTTTTGAAACTCACTCGCCTATCCACCAATAAACACTCCTGTGCCTCAATCATGTTTCCCTTCTGATCCTACGCGGGAGCCTCACTAATTAATGCTCTCCACTCGCCGGACGGACAATGCATACGGAAGGCCCAGGTATAATTATTCCGAACAAGAGAGATTGTTAATGATCGTTATGGACTTAATGACTTTTATTTACTTGAGAATTACCTGGTCATATGGCAGGGGACCTTCAGGTATAGAAAATTTACACTTGTATTTACATCCTGGCTTGGTATTCTTGTTAATAGCTCAGATCTTATTATGACACGAGTTATCACGATCTGACTATAGATTGATAAGCCATAAGATCTCATAATCTCATGATCATTCCAGAAAATGGCGCAGCGAAATTACAGGGGGGGCATTGATAAAGTTATTACGGCGCCATAGTTTCATTTAATATCCCACGCGCGCGGGAACGTTTATAGGCGATGAACCCGAAGCCGGCCGCTCGGCACCTGAGAAGTGACAGGATATTTTTTTACCCAGTTTAATCTACTCCAAATGCAGCATGCTAACGATAACAAGCCTTGTTTTGGCAGTTGGCGATAGGAACTGACCGAGAAGGGATGGTTACCGAGATGAAGGAGACCGTTGATGGGAATACCCACAAAGAGCACGACACGACTAGATACCTGCTATCTCGATATGGAGTTTGCGGAAGGTGGTTGTTGGTTCCTTGTTTACGTAGTAGGGAAGAATTCTAGAAAAAATGAGACCTTAAGAGCTTGCATGACGTGACTGACTGGCAGAGAATGAAACAGGCTGGCCTTGTTGGTCTTGGTTTAAACTGTCTGCGCCTCTTTTGCAACGTCATGTCTGTCGTTAACTAAATTAGTTCACGCGTACGGTGAGAACGAAAACTGTTAAAAAAACTTTAAAAATGCACTGATCTTTTCATGTCCTAGCCTCTAGTCTCGAGGCTTACAAAACAATAAAGACAAGACAGGGGGTGGATGTCCGAGTGGGATAGTCGAAAAGCTTGGAGTTACCGAGCAGAGTGACATTTAGAGTACGTACTTTTATCCCAGTAGCCTTGCTTGAACTTGTGAGAAATCGTACCCATGACGTGAAACTACGAGGATTGTTCGCGTAAATGGGAGAATCCGAGCAGAAAAAAGAAGCACAGGCGCCTTAAGTGTAACAGTGACTTATGTGAGCATTGGTGATCTAAGACAAGACCCAGCTACGGATACCTCCATATGTCACCCTTGCCTAGGTGTACTAGGTATGTAGTTTTTTGCACTAACTTAGAAGCACCTGGCGTTGTGTTCTTTCTTCTAAGCTTAAATTTACCATGGCCAAACAAATATTCATGCTTAAAACCACAAGAGGCAGCTCGTTGTTTACTGATTCCGGTCCGCGAGCTGCCTATTCTGTCATGCTTCGCATTAACAACACCAGGGCGTCAATGCCCGATTCAGTAACAGGTTCCCGCGTTTTAAGCTCAACGCCTTCTGGATACTACAGTGCAATTAAACCATGGATTCCATTGCCAAGGAGAGTACTATTGGCAGTTCGAGCGCAAGTCTCCATCGTCTCCATCGTCTCCAGTGTCTCCAGTGTCTCCAGTTTCGCTTGTGATAGCGGACGAATTCTTGGCCGATGTATCTAGATGGTACGGAGTAGATGCCAAGATATCGGTACGCGTACAAGTCATTACATGTGGGATGAGAACAGAGCGGACAGTGTCAATGCCAGTGTCGGTATCAGATACTCTTGTGTTAGAAGTATCATACTCGAACCACAGCGAATCCTCAAAGGAATGCAATCCTTCATCAACTCCGAGTGTTTCTCCTCCCATCGCATTCCTGCTTCAACCCAACACTCCATATATATCCTCCACACCTGTTGCTGAAACGAATCAGATATATTGAAAGCTGGCACAGGCGCAATTTCGACGGTGGAGACCAAGTACACACAGACAGTGGCACCGATTGATTAGGTGCCTTTTGGCTTTTGGCTTTTGTATGGTTGCAATGTTGCATCGCATGACCTACAGCTGTCATTGGTCCTACCGCCGTGTTAGTGCGACAGGCTGGCGACAGTCTAAACGGACGGAGATGGAATCTTGACCTTGAATTCTCCATCCCCAGGGCAAGGCACTCGGTCCAAGACCCCCCTTGGCCCTGGAAACGTAGTGGTCCAGCAGGTTGCTGCGTCGTATGTAGTATCCAGCCTCAAGAAAACAGGATGGCGTTGAACTTTAAAAGAGCCGCTTCGCCCTCTGACCAACGTTTCTTATTCCCCAGGCTCTACAAATACTACATTCTTTCTCCCACTTTATACACTCGTTCTTTTTACACACCACATTCACTCCTCAACATTCACCATGCGTAGCCAAATCCTCGCCAGCGCCCTCATCTCGGGTGCCATGGCTGCTCGTCCTTTCCTCGAGCAGCCCGACACTGGTCTCGAACTGGTTCTCGGAGACCTCCCCAAGGGCAAGCTCCCCGAGCTTGACCAGATGATCGGTCTCCCCGACTTCGAGTGGGCGGCTGAGAACTACCTCCCCATCGAGAACTACACCTACTACCGCAACGGTGCTGCCGGCGAGTGGTCCTACCGCAACAACCTCGAGGTCTTCCAGCGATACCGCTTCAAGCCCCGTGTCATGGTCGACATCACCAACGTCGAGAGCACTCTGCCCACTACCATCCTGGGCCACAACTTCTCTGCTCCTTTCTTCATCAGCCCTTGCGCCAAGGGTGGCAACGCTCACCCCGATGCTGAGAAGAACTTTGTCAAGGGTGCCGCCGCTGGTGACATCCTTTACATGCCCGCCCTCTACGCCTCTCTCTCCATCGAGGAGATCGCCAAGTCCAAGGCCGAGGGCCAGGTCGTCTTCCAGCAGCTTTACCTGTCCTCCAACGACACTGAGACACAGGAGCTCCTCGACCGCTCCGAGAAGGCTGGTGCCGCTGCCATCATCTTCACCGTCGACTCTGCCGCCGACGGCAACCGACACCGCGCTGCCCGTTTCGGTGTTGGCTCCGCTGACTCCTCGTACTCCTACATCACCTGGGACTACTACAAGAAGCTCCAGAAGATGACCAAGCTCCCCGTCATCATCAAGGGCATTGGTTCCGCCCAGGACGCCAAGCTTGCTGTCAAGCACGGTGCTCCCGCTATCATTCTCTCCAACCACGGTGGTCGCCAGCTCGACAGCAGCCCCTCCGGTCTCGAGGTCGCTCTTGAGATCCACGAGGAGGCCCCCGAGGTCTTCAAGCAGATCGAGGTCCTTGCCGACGGTGGTGTCCGCTACGGCGCTGACGTCCTCAAGCTTCTGTCCCTCGGTGTCAAGGCTGTTGGTCTCGGCCGTCCTTTCATGTACTCCAACGTCTTCGGCGTTGATGGTGTCAAGAAGGTCATCGATATCCTCAAGCACGAGATTGCCATTGATGCTGGTAACCTCGGTGTCGCCGATATCCAGAAGATCAACCCCAGCTTCGTAAGTCAAATCGTTCATCCCATGATCTGATCAGTTACTAATATTCATATCTAGGTCAAGTGGAAGTTCAACAACTGGGGCCAGTAAATGTTACATAGCGCAGGCGTTGGGCAGTGATGACCGTACATAGATAACTCATTCACATGTTGATATTTTTATGATATAAATCAAAGAACATATATCAGTTTTTACAATTGCCTTGTCCACTCCCGCGAAATATACATACTAGCAATCCAGATATACCGACATTATCATGCGCTTGGTCACAGCGTATTTGGCAGTTTATAGCAAAACTAAACCTTGTGTTCCGAGAAATTCATTCAAACAGAAAAACTCCAAAAAGAATCGACAACGGCAGGATTCGAACCTACGCGTGCGAACACAATGCCTATGATGTCTCAGAAGAGATAGCAGGGCATCGCCTTAACCACTCGGCCACGTTGTCTTGTTCTGATGTGGGGAAACATGCACTTATGTGCATATAAGTACTTCACAATATTGAGAATCATCGATAGCCTAGCTGTATTACCCATCTCAGAGACTAGTAGATATTCGACTACTAATTCTTTTATACGAATGCTATCTCAAAGCAGGCATGTCAGTGCTTTCATTGTTCTTTACGAAAAGTCATAGAGAAGACATGATATGATAAACCTGACCATACTTGTAGACGGATATCCGTGACCGGCCCCGACATTCCCAGCACTTCCATGCAAGACATGCATAATGCACATGTAGGCTCAACTCTGAAACGCAAAAGGCGTCTTCTCTGCATCGTGATAACAGTTTCCCCGCCTCAGCTCAAGTATCTCAAACCTGGCTTTTCATACGTAAGACAGCATCTACCGGTAACTTACAATCAGCGAAAGAAATCAACTAGCCTGCCTTTACTCAGACTTACTCAGTCAGTAAACTTAAGTTAAAGTGAACTCATCTACGTCTCTTAACATCCATCCCGGCCCCGATCCGGCCCTCTCCCGACTTCAGCCGCAGCGGTCGCCCGGACCCACGATGTTCCCTGCTTCATAAAAAGCAAACAGGGAAAGTTATAAGCCGAGCTGAGTGCTGCAAGACGTGTCCACCAGTCTCATCGGCAAAAGAGCTCCAGCTTCTTGCATGTCCCGCTGCCCCGAGGTCCAATAGCTTCATGACTCAGGTGGAATAGATGGCTTTCAGCTCTAATGTTTTGCAGTTATCGACATGGATCATGCATCTACGATCTCGGGTGTGCCCGTGGGGGGCGGGTGGCCCCTCGTTCTTGTCATAGGTATGTGTTGTTGTGTTATATGAGCTTGAGTTATAAATACCTACCCTTATTCCGATACGATATTTGTGTATATATCTTTCTTGTGATTTGGCTCTTGCTACTGGGTACTTGTGTTTACCTTGGACATATATGTGCCTTCAGCTCACTAAGCTTCATGTTCCCTGAGTCTTGATCATTTCGTCTTTGTCAACCACCACGATAGCTGGACATACTCCTCCCATTCCTGTCAATAATATCCCGAGTCCCTTGGTAAAGGATAACTCTCGTCAACTGTTATCAAAGTAACAGGGATATATAATTCTCAACGCGCCAACAACTTCCTCCTTGTTGCCCACCATGCCTGGCTCGATCAAGTCTATCAAGCGCAGGGCTACGGCCAAGTCGGCAGCCAAGCGTATTGGCAGGATGTTCAAACGCACAAACAGTGACGATCCTGAGGCAATCACTTCCACCGAACCCAAAGATTCCTTCGAAGGGACCAGACCTTCGATATCCTCTCGATACTCAACATCCTCGCGTATGACCGTAAGGGAAGATGGCGAGTCACCTTCGCCTTCAACCAAGGACCAATTCCGACCTTTTGCGTCACTGTTTGATCCCAGACGCCAGAAAGGGTCGGATATGGTTTCCCGCCCGCCTCTGGTTTCAGCCAATTCAGAACCCGTGCCTGGAGCTGTTGAGCCTGCGGAGGCTACTAAGTTAATTGAGGTTGCAAAACCCGTCGAGCATGAAGCACTCACTTCATCGGTACGTAACGGACCGGAAATAGATGAAAAGCAGCTAGAGCCTGCCCAACAACCGGATAAGATTGAAAAGAAGCCTGAAACGAAGATCGAGCAGGCGATAGAGAAGCAACTCCGGCCTGAATCTCCACCCAGACTAGCAGCCAGACCTTTACCATATCCCCCAGCAGTACAAGCTACCACAGAACGGCCCGAGTCCCCAATTCTCCCTGCAAAAGAGTTTAGGGAGAAACCGATACTGAATTCATCCCTCACTCTTGAGCCTGAGCCCGAAACTGAATCAAAGGCCGAGGCCAAGCTGGAGCCGGCCAAGAAGCCGATCATTCCATCCCCAACTGTGGAAGACGTAGCCGAAGAGCTCAGGCCGAATGCCTTCCACTCCAAGAGCCCTGTTCCACCTCGTCCCACAGTGGAAGATGAGCCAGAGACTATTGCAGAGCCCGTGAAAGAAGCCAGCGCAGAGGCTGAGTCAAAGGTCGCGTCAAAGGTCGCGCATGATGGGAGACATAGGACAGAACTAAAAAATATTCCATCCAAGCCTCAGCCAAAGGAAAAGAAGCCAAATGTTGAGGCCAAATCTCCATCAAAAGACGAGTCTAAGACTGTCCCTATTGTTCCCAAGGCTACACGCAAGTCTAAAGAAGTCAAGCCATTACCTCGAGTCACAGCCACTCCGAGTAACTCAACGGCACCGAAGAAACCTTCTGTCCCAGCAACATTATCCCCTGTTCATGGCACTTCCGCCCTCAGCATATCGTTTCAACTTACACGAACCGTATTCGTACCCGATACTGCCCCAGCTCCTTACACAGCTCGTCCCCCTATCACAGCCCAGACTCCGATGATTGCCACGGCCCCCAAAGTCGCCAGATCCATGTTTGCTTGGACTGTACCAGAGCCTGCCTCGGCCCCTATCATCGCCGCAGCTCCACAGCGAGCATATTGACCGTTTTGGACCGTATTACTGCGTAGTTTCTCACTTGAATACCTTGGGTTTAAATAGGAATCCTTTCTTTTGTATTATGCGTTATGTCTGTTATGATGGAATGAGAATGAAAACGGCAATAGAATCTTTTTGGTAGTGAGAAGAAACGGTCGGTATTGTTATAAAAGTGATATAAGCTACCTACCTAGTCATAACTAGTTATTCTCTGATCTTTAAGCAAGCATGGGATTCTATAATAGCACACAGTTTGGTCCTTCACACTTCCAAAATACCTTCAGCAATCAAACTCCTAATAAACGAAACCACTCTCTTGATAGCAACAGGCGGTATTCTCCCGCACTCGTCAAACGAAGGATCAAATGATGCAACAGTCAAAGATACAGGCTTGGTCTTGCTAGAAACCATCCTCAGACACTTGACCAGATCCTCTTCTAGCAAACCACCTGCGGCAGAGAACTTATTCACTTCCCCAACCGAAATATCAAGTGCATCGAGGTCCAAATGCACCATCGTTTCTCCTAGCTTCTTCTTGGCGAGGGCCTCGCTCAGTTCCACCTCGAAATCCACATGCTTATCCTCGTTTCCCCAAATAACAGAGAAACCAGCTTCTTTGACCCGTGAGCGCTCGAGATCAGTGACGTCGCGCATACCGCAGTGTACGAAATCACGCGTGAGATCTAAAACCTTGAATCCGGGGATGCTACCCAGAAGAGTCTTCCAGCACAACCCCGCCATCATGGCAACACCCATTGAGTCAAAATACCCGCTGGTGAGAACATCAGGCGTGTTGAAGTCATCATGGGCATCGAACCAGACACAAGAAGGTACGCTACCAAGGGCTGTAGCAATGCCAGCTTGTACACCAACCGTAGTTGAGCAGTTACCAGCCAAGATGATTGGAAACGAACCTTCTTGGACTACTTGCGCTACAGTCTTTGAAGTGCGACGCAACAGTTCAAAAACGCGGCTTATATCGCCATCAAGTTCGTCAACCGGATCGAGCTCTATTTGGTGGACAGTTACGCCCTGCTTGCAAATGGCATCGACAAAGCCAGCTTTGAGCAGTGCGGTTGGTCCACCGCCAACAGCAACATCTCGAAGACCAATATGATAAGGAGACGATATGACTGTGACAGATTTTGCGGGAGCCATATTTGCTTTGGATAAAGCCGATTGTTGTAATATCTTGATATACGATAGGGAGTGTAAAGTATGACTTCTTATGAGTGACCAATGTAGTCTTGTAGCGGCAATAGCACATATAAAATAGTACTAGGTAAAACCCCACGAAAAGATACCGGTTATCTTGAAGGACAATCAAAATAATCAGAAAAAAGACCAGAGAGGTAACCTGGAACCCCCCTCTTATACATGTAGTTTTGACAACTTCGGCATTACCAACTTTCCTCCAAGGTTGAAGCGCCAGAGATGTGATGCACGACTCACCAGGATGTAGTCCAATAACCAGCCAGGCATTGCTCAATACTCACGGGTCTGATCTGTCTTACTGTGAAGCGAGGTCCTAGGTTGAGTCAGAACTGGTAGAGACCGTTTGGTGGCGTCTCTGGCAGTCACTTGTCTACGAAAGGGCGCGCGCGCAGTTTTGACAATCCCAGCTAATGGGCTACTAAACCTTTTTGTCGATGATCATAAATCCAAATGCTTAAAAAGCCAATGGTTTGGTACTGTTTATCCCAACATTTGTGGTTATTCAAAGATCGTCAAATTCAAGTCTACGGGTTTCCCACTGATACCAAACACCCCGAACCAAGTAGTCAATACAACATGTTCCTGAATCCTCCGTGGAGGAATCTATCCAGTTCAAACCCCATTAACCCAAAAGCGCCAGGCGAAAATACACCACGTAGTAAAACATCCCACTATGCATACTCCAGCGCATCGCCTCCTCGGCGTTCTCCAAATAGATAAGCTGCCTCGAGACAGAACCGGCCATGGCCTCGCTCCATGCGCCGTTCACTGCCATAGCAAATCAGTACGGCATCGACGATACCGCTCAATATACCTTCCATGGCGCCCATAACAGAATATCCAATGAAACTAGCCATCATTCCAACAACGTAGGCGTAGGCGGAACCGCGGTAGCCCACTCCGTCGGGCAGTTGAATACGAAGCTGCTTAGCAGTAATCACCCATCCAGCGAAACCAAGCCCAGTAGCCATAATGAGTCGGGTTGCTACAAGAAGCAATTTAGCAAGTCGATAAGGCAAAAGCCCATTAGGCTGTCCACGATTACGCAAAACTCGAGGGGTCAGTGTTGTCGTTGGGATTGCTGGCGACACAAGTTCCATCTGGTCCAGACCCCTAGCTGAACTTGCTAGGTTCTGGGAGTGTATGGCAGAATAAGTGATAGTTAGAGGGTTCATTAACGCAATAACAGGCGTTGGAATCCAAAACGAGGCGATGTTCGTGACAATAGCACCGAGTTTCCTGGGTAGGAAGATCAGCGGCGCTCTGATCAGCAAAGACAGAAGAGTTGACTCGCAGAGACTTCCAAAGATGGTCGTGAGCGCATGGTTCAAAGCAGCCAAAACAATTTCTCGGGAGGGCGTAGCAGGGCCAGCGTTTCGGTGAAAGTACCACTGAGATACTGTTGCAGCCGTAGTAGCACGATGGACAGCGTTGATCACCGAAACTACCCACATGTATGACAATATGAAGGCAGCGCCGAGCCACCAGCTGGAGACCTGAATCACGAATTTCACGAGGCTTTTGGAAAAGTGTCCACCCATGAAAACCCTTGTGAACATGGCAAGCCATGCCCAAGTCCAAACAACAATCAAGGCCAAGCATCCAAATCCAACGAACAGCAGTGCTGAGTTCTGGGCCAAAATTCGGCTGGCAAATTGAAGGATCTCAATGGCCTGTTGGATAGAACGTCGCCCTCGCACTACCAGCCAAACCCACAGCAGGCATGAGGCGGCAGGGACGAAAGAGGCCCATCTCATGACCGAATCCTGGAAGCTGCCTCCGTGCGTTCGTCCCTTGAAAGACGACACAAATGAATAAATCGAGAATGAAAACAGAATGGCCGGCACTGCGACCAAGATGACGCTGACCAAAGGCCGCACAAAAGAGCGGAGGGCCGCCAACCAGATGAACGACACGAATACAGCTACTACTGTATCAACCGCAAGCATGTGGAATGACTTTTGCAGCGCAGTATAGATGGTGTCGCCAACAGGGCTTTTTCGTGGTGACGTGTGAAGCCATACTAGGAAGAATGTCGAGAACAGACCAGCAACACTGATAAGGAAAATCCAAGCAAAGAAGGGGTCGTGTCGGAATATTTCGCCTTCGATGTATTGAAATGTTGTTTGCACATTTTCCTCTTCCGGAGGAGCATCTCGTCGCATGCTCATATCAGTTTCGGTCATGGACTCTCGCCTAATAAAAGGTGTTCGTTCTGCATCTGTTCCTTTAAATTGCTGGAAAGCTGGGGGGCTACTCTCTCGTGGGGTTTCTCCTCCTAGAAGCGAAGCCGGGGGATCCTCGTCGGGGTCTTCTTGCGATTCGAGTCCGATGTCGACCATCTTACCCTTACTATCTCTTCCACGGCTGCTATCTTGATCGTCGCTTGAACGGGGATCTTCTTCGACTTCTTCCACTAGAGTGTCCCTTGCCAGGCCGGGGCGATGGGTGCTTCTTGTTCCATTCCAACTGCTTCGAATACCACGGCGATTACTCATATCTCGATACGGATCTTCCTGGTTCAAACTGTCTTCCAAGGATCCGCGGCTGTGAGCGTCTGACTCGACGCTATCGGCAAGTTTACTCGCGGCTGCCACTCGTCTTGACCTTTGAAGGGCAAACATGTCGGCGGCCTCTCTGTCCCTCTCTTCCTCATCGTCCTCTTCCCGAAATTCATCCAAAGTGCTGTGAAATAGTGGTGCATCCTGAGCAGCCGATATGCGCGACGCGAATGCTAGCTGACCAAATCGAGAGCCAGCGCCGGTTTGTTGATATGGGTTGCCTCCATTGCCTCGACCCAAGAAAGATCTACTTGGTCCATTGCTCCGTCCTGTATCGCGCTGATTCCGTGAAGGCCGCGATGTCCAGTCGGATTGTCGCGGAGGGTTGTCGTTGTTATCGGCCTGGCCGAAGTTGGATAGCCTCGACTGTGACTGGGCCAAGAACCTCGATGCATCTAAAGTTCCAAGTCAGTATGCATGCAAGGCCTCCAAGAGATATATCATTCATTATACATACACTCCGAAAACATCGCGCCCTTTCGACACCGTCCACCTTACGTGTACGTAAGCACGTCAGGACCAGTTGTATTGTATCTAAATGTTCGATGTGGGTGTAAATACGGTAATAGGCAGCCAAAGGTGCCTGTCGTGTAAGCGTGTTGAATGACGAGTGTTCGGCTTGTCGTTACAATAGCTGGGGGCAGTTGATTGCAAAAGAGAAGTGGTGAGGGGATAAAAGCTGGTAGTTAACGTAAAGGCAAAAAAATCACGAGTGAGTTGCAGATGAAAGAATGGCTGGATGTAGAGTTCAGAGACCTAGCTTCAGGTAGGTACTCAGAGGTCATGAGGCGAGGCCTGACGGCAGATGGCAGATGGACGGACCTTATCAGCGAATGAGTCGCTGACCGATTGCGTCCCGGAGTGCCTAGGCAGATCCGCTGAAGGACCCTTGTTAGTGGAGGTACTTTAAGGGACAAGGCCCTGCTGGGCAGGCGGTCAGTGGCCTGGAGAAACAAGGCGCCACAGGCAGCCGTGGGGCACACGACATGGATCTCAAGTACTGGTTGCAGTGAAAGAGCGGCTGAGATACCTTCATGTGAGGTACAGATAAAGATGCACCAGTGCTCGCTCACTTTGTTAATGAATACTAAGTAGACCTGGCTGTTATACTGCCATAAAGAAGCCCGATAGACTGACTGTTCTTGTAAATGAGTAATCCATCGCTCATACATTATCATGACGACTATAGAGTATCTGTACAAACTTTCTTGACTCGCAGCTCACTGAACTAGACAGCCAGGGTCTGGTCTTGTGACACTTGATGATCTCTTCAGTCTTGCTCTTCACCTAGATCATCCATGGTAACTAACATATGACTCCTATAACAAATAAAGACCCCGGATCAAACGACTCTATCTTAAACACGATATACTGCTTCCTATACTCAGTACTATGAACAAGATAAGGCCTCGACTTATCAACTGACCCCAAAGTCCTAACCAGGACCGGCCTTATCGCTTCATGTCTTGCGTCACCGATACCAAGGAGCCTCCTAAACCCCATTTGGAGGCGATCCTCCAAGCACGAGGTACATTTCTGCTGATGCTGGCCTGAATCAAAGAGGGCCCTTTTGGCTTATGAACTGGATCTGATTCGATTTGCTTAACTGTGGAGTCTTCTTATTGAGGTTTGGTTGTGTTGTGTCGTACAGCACAAGTACACCGAGTGGCTCGTGACAGCTCAGCCAGACGCTCAAAACCACGACCTTGACTTGCCCGTTTTGTCCCTTAAACATCTGACCTCTATCTCCCCTCCCCAGAGGTCTACAGAACTGTCATAGCTTGCCATATTTCCCCATTGTTCGAATTGTTTCCGCTGAAATTGCTGTATTTGTTTCATTGCACATCAAATTTAGATATTCTGGTCCATCTCCAGTCTAACCTGGCCCACCTCGCAACCACCTCGATATCTAGAAACCACTCAAGCTTGCATTAACCCCAAAATTCTGTTACTTACAACCATTCATCTTTGTCACCCAGTGCTCTTCACGAGACACCAGCATCGCCAAATATTTTACCTCTCTAATTCCTTACGTTTGATTGTACCTCGGTTTTCGCCTCGCACCACCACGAAGGACAGCTTGCACGTGTTACACTCCCATTAGCTCGGGCAAACCTCTATCGACGAGCTTCCCCTCGACGAACCCTTTCTCTTTACCAAACTCCCACCGATCTACTCAATCTCTTCCCATGTCGACTACACCGTGGGACTATATCGCAAAACTCGTCTGCATCGGCGACTCAGGATGCGGCAAGTCCAGTCTTACCATTCGCCTCTGTGAAGGTCGCTTTTCGCCTCATCACGACGTCACTATTGGCGTTGAATTCGGTTCTCGAATCGTCCCTGTTGGCCCTCCCCACTCGAAACCCGGCGCCCTCGCTTCCTCAGATCCCGAAAATAAAGACCAAGAGACCTCTGATGGTCTCCCCGAACCTCCTCGAGATGACTCCAACACGCCCCAGAAGCATATGAAGCTTAGTCTCTGGGACACAGCTGGCCAGGAGACCTACAAGTCTGTCACCCGCTCTTACTTCCGCGGCGCAAGCGGTGCCTTGCTTGTCTTCGACCTGTCCCGCAAGCAGACATTTCAGCACGTCACCGACTGGCTCAACGATCTACGACAGATAGCTGAGCCCGACATCGTGGTAATCCTCGTGGGCAACAAGGCCGATCTGACACAGCAGGAAGACAACAAGCGGGAGGTCACCCGTGAGGAGGCAGAGGAGTGGGCCCGGCGCAACGGGATTATGGAATACGTTGAGACAAGCGCCAAGAGCGGTGAGAACGTCGAGAAGGCTTTTATGCGTGTCTCAGAGAGGATATACAACAATATTCAGGCGGGCAAATATGATCTCAATGACAGGAGATCCGGTGTCAAGGGTGCAGGGGCTGGTGGAAACCGCCAGGTCAAGCTATCGGGCGATGCCAGCAAGTCAACGGGAGGTGGCTGCTGTTGAGAGGATAATTTGCTATAACAAGAGGAGGGAGGGTACAATAATCTACAGACACACGACGCATCATGATACCCAGTCAGCCAGCAAACGTCGTCATCATGGAACAAGTGTATGAAAAGCTCAATATGGATTGTATAATAATGCATAATACATCGTCGGCCTCGTCAGGCCACCTTTATTAAGAACGCAACAGAAATGACACTCATATTGCATTACCGACGCAAAGTTCAGTGCGTGACTGTATGATCTCTTCTGCTGACTCTGTTTCGTCTTTTCTTTTGCTCATGCTTCGCTGTCCGAACGAACCTTTGCGAACCATTTTTCCATAAAGTCACCATTTCTATATCCACCCAGTACATTGCCGAAAACTGAATAATACAAACATGCCTGCATGACAATCCATCAGACAACTCCTCTTTACCACAGCGAGTTATCAAAAGTAAAGAGATTGTTCATATTGACAATTTGACCAACTCTTTAGTCAGTGATTCGCCAGTTGTCGAACCACTTCATGTACTTGTACTGCTTGTGGTTGCCAGTCATTCCCCAGCAGATGGGGATGAAGTAGATGTAGAGACCAATGATGACGGTATAAAGGACGCCGTAAACAATGCTCTTGATGGTGTTGTTGCGGTTGCGAGTGAACCAGTCAACAAGGAAGCCAAAGTTGAGGATGGCGAAGTAAAGGGCAGGGTAGTAGTGGTGCACGTAAGTGACACGAGCCATGATAACAAAAGGAAGATAGTGAAGGAACCAACCGGCCAAGGGATAGATAGCCGAGTAGTGAATATGGTCGATCTCATTCTGGTTGAGGTCGTTGAAACCTCGTTGCCATCTAAGGACGTACCAGAGAATGACTAGGCCAGCAACACCCAGGGAGACAGTGGAGCCCAGGTAGATGAGAGGGTTGCCGAGAAGGAAGTACTTGACGATGTCGTCAGCCCAACCGCACATACGGAGACCAACGTGCAGGAAAGGCCACTGCCACCACTTGGAAGCAAGGTCATCCTGCTTATCAGGGTCAGGAACCAGAGCGTTGTTGGATGTCATCATGGCAACGTTCAGGTGGACGAAGTCATGGAAGAAGGGAGACCTGTAAACGCCAGCCTCAGCAGGAGGAACTATGAAATGTTAGTATAGAATTGAGAGTAAGTTTCTGACAATAACCTACGCTTGTCGTTCCAATGAGCTTCGACGTTCCAGTGAGTGTAGGCATCGCGGGGGTTGTTCTCCTTGGTGCAAGTAACCTCAATTTGCTTAAAACCCCACTGAGGAAGGTTAACATTGCCAGCTCGTAGGTAGCAGCCAAGAACCTCATGCTTGAGACGGAAAGCAGTAGTGAGAGTCCTGATCTTGCTGCGGTCACGGGAAGCAGTATCGCGAATGACCTCAACCTTCCAGTGATCCTTCTCATCGCCAACAGTCAGGTTACCGTAGCTGGAGACTTCCTTGTGACCTCGAGAAACAGGGGCAGCAATGTCGTGGGAGTGCAGATTGCGACCGGTCTGGGCATGGATGAGTCGGATAACAGAGTTGTCGCCAATGAATCGGAGATCGCCCTCGGGGTTGTAGTCCTCCTCTCGGCGGTTGGGGTAGAAGAACCAGTCGTTGTTGGTATCCTTGTGGTGGTAGCAGGTAACCTGCTGCTGCTTGGAGCCCTCGGGGTAGGTCTGGACGTGGGAGTGAAGAAGACCGCCACCGTATCCCATGTTCTTGATAGTGGCGCGGGAACCGAGAGCAATCTCTAGGGGGCTGTCCTTTCCGACCTGTGTACCCTTAAGGTTGGCCTGGAAAAGAGAGCTCATCTGGGCATCACCAGGACCAGTACGGTCAAGAATGGCAAAGTGCAGGGCGAAAGAGAGGAGGTAAATCAGGAAGGGAATAACGATAAGGCCGACAACACGGGTAACAACGTGGGCACCAAGAGTCGTCTATCGATTATTAGCTATAGAACGAATGCCGAATTCGAGATTACTTACGACGGGCATCTTGGTGTCACCAAACTTGCGCCAAAGGTCCTCAATGGTGTAGAGACCGACAAGAGCAGTGACAAAGAGACCAACAAGCTTGACACTGCAGACACAGCCAATGCTGAGACCAGTCATGAAGAGCCAAAAGAACCACTCAGGGTCGAAACTGTTGTTGCGTTGGTTGTGGAACTTAGACCAGCAGAAGACGGTGGCGACAGTACCGCACAGCAGCATGGAGTCGAGCAGGATGAAACGGCTGATGGTGGTGTAGGAGTTTTCGCAGAGAACCATCAGAGTTACGAGCCAGACAGCAGGACGTCTAAGCTTGAGCTCCCGAGCAGTGAAGTAGGCCAAGGGGATGCAAAGAATACCGAAAGCTGCGTTGAAGACACGCATGATGGTGTAGTTAACTTCTTCGGGGTACTTTTCGCCGGACTTGAACTCGAAGGTACCGTTGTATCCAGCGAGGACTCCAGAGAGACCAACAAGCATCTTGCCAAGAGGAGGGTGAACATCGAAGTAGTACTCATGCTTGATATAGTAAGAACCGAACTTGCCGAAGCTAAAGAGGAATTAGAAAAATGTTGGCACAGGAGAAGTCAACGTGACGTACTGAGCCTCGTCCCAAGTAACAATGTTGCTGATACCAATCTTGTATAATCGTGTGAAGAGAGCCAGCATGGTGAAGATCAGAGGGGCAATGACAACCTCCCAACGGTCGAGGGCTTGGAGGAAGGAGGGCTCCTACGAGGGCAGTCAGTGATGTCGCATTTCAATTGTCTGGAGAAGAGATATTATACCTTCTTAACCAACTTCTTGTTGTCCTCGGGCTGAGGAGTTGGGGGCTGGAGTCCAGCTTGTCCAGCAATGGGACGCTGTCTGAGACCATCGCCCAGATCAGCGCCTGAGGCGACGGCGGCCTTGTCGGCAGCCATGATTATTTGATCGTATAGGATATCGGCTCGGAGTTGGAATCGTGAAGTTTGTAGATTGTATGTTTGATGGAAAGCAAAAGGGTGAAGCTGACTAGGTTGTTAAGCTCGACAGGAGGGAGAGGAAAAAAGATTGGACGAGCTGTCGAGACTCAAGGGAGGAACACCGGCTTCAACGAAGCAGCCGTTGCCAATTCAGATAAGAAGCCTAAATGGCGAAGACCTGTGCTATAAACGACAACACAGGTTTGAAAAGGAAAAAGGAGCAGGGGAGAAAAAAAAGATAAAAAGACTATCTCGAGGCCAAAGAAACTGGCGTTGTGGTGGTTCTAAGAATATTACACAACACGAGCTGAATGGATGTCCCCTGAAATGCCACATATGCTCTACGGCCAGGGGCCAGTTCTTTACGCTAGACAGCTGCTCCCGTACGTTTCCCCTTGGCGCCAGGTCCAAGCCAGTCGATAGCACCCCACTTCAGCCTGGTCCAGCCCTCCAGCTCCTATATCCATTTTCGATAGCGTCGTTGCACTGAATGTTTTAGGGGCAATCAGCAGCAAGGATCGACCAGAGAAGTGGCGTCGACTACGAGCTTCACCATCTCACTCGCCACATGTAGTTATCGAGTTGAAAAACGAACAATCAATAAACATGGTCGCGTGGCCCAATGGCAAGGCGTCTGACTACGAATCAGAAGATTCTGGGTTCGATCCCCAGCGTGATCAATCTTTTGTCTCGAGCTTTCTCGAGCTTCCCTTTTTGATCTGTCAAAGATTAACTAGTTGGCTGTTTCAAATTTGCTATTGTTTCAACCAAGGGTGAACGTCGTCTCAATCCACTCGAGATTGATAAACGTGGAGAGGCATGCAACTTTGTGACAGGGCCGAGATATCCATGGGGGACATGATTCCAAGACCAACAAGGATATGGCTCGCAAATAACGTGACGGCCTTGCATAATATTTAAGTCTGTCCATAATAATAAGATCTATTTTCACAGTTTGTAATGGCATACTTTGAATGAAGGTACAATGTCTGGGTGCAATTTTTGAAAAGACTCCACGGTCCGGTCTGATGGCGTCTCCCATTATATGTATGCATCAGACAGATACAAGGCGGTCCTTCGAGCTCGCTGAAAGACTCTCCTGCATGTCTCAATATTTGAATTGGTGAACAGGAGATTTAGGACTCTTTAGACTAGGTAGTGTATACAACTACAGTAGATAGAATACCCTGGAGTGTTGTTGAGCCTAGAGATATACGGGAAAATGAAGCCAGTAGCATTCAGTAAGTGCGTACTATTCGAGTCATATTCCCATATAAATGCCTTCCTTCTTGGCAAGTCGTCAAGCCTTCAGCTATTATTTCCTTCTCCAGAAAAGCAGATAGCGGTGACCCTGACCAGCCCTGTGCCGTACTTCGACATGTGATAGTAGAGATTGAAACTTGACCGCCGATTGTAAAATCGATGTTGCTGTTACGTTTCCCGCCGTGTCGGTAGACTCTGGTACCATTACTCCCATCGCTTGTGCCGTGTGTCGTTCAATTTCCCCACAATGGGTATTTTTATACCCGAATCCTCGTCTGATCCTGGTTGCAACAACATGCGGTTTGGTCTGTTCCCGCAATCGGAGCTGACCAGTAACAGAAGAACTGGGCTTGTGGTAACAGCAACCGCATGCATGCAATCCTAGACTACTGTATGCAATATTTGAATTGACTCTGAATGACTATATTTGAAACTGTATTGAACGCAAGCTTATTACCTAAGTAAGTATGCAGTATGCTTTATTGTACGTACATGCACACATATTGGCCGTTCGTGAACCATGGTCACCAGATTTCGCAGTCACATGCCAAAAACAACTCCTTGGCCCAGTCTCGTTTTTGTTTCTCTACCCCTTCCTCCTCCTCCACCATTCGCATGCTTCGCTTGCCGTTCGCTATTCGGAAAACTCCACTACATGTCATTCGCAACCAAACCACCTTTGTCATCCACTCTGGTCTAGAGCTAAACTGCTACCGTAGAGCTAAGACGCCGTAGAGCCTTTGGCTTCCCCAGTCTCTCGTCATCCCATTGCCCTGAGACCTGAGACCTGAGGCGCCTGGACCCGCGCCGTTAACTTACTCCTCCTCAGACGGTGATATTACAGGATTCGAACTTGTCAAAACCTCTCTTCAGCGCCATTCTCTACCCTCCTTCCCCTCCTGTTACATCGGCTTCGGCGCAATCAATATCCAGCTTTACTCATACTTTAGTGCGCCCGTACGGTATCTTGGATCGCCGCTCAGGCCCTCACCACCTCCCAACTTTAACATTTAAGCATCCGCTACCCACCTGCTTGATGTCTTCCCTTGTCTCCGAGTTTCTTATCAACCCTGTCCTGCGCCAAGCTCGTCGATTTTCCGAAATCTCGCGATCTACCTTCGCTGGCGATGGAGGTGATTCGACTGAACACGCCGACGCAGTGAGCGATTCTGGTCTCCCCGATAGTCCCGTCTCTGCGCCCGTACTTGTACATCGACCGGAGTCGGCACCTGTGCCGATCATCGACTCTCCCCTCACACGACCCCTCAGCGTCTCAACCTTAGAAACAAGAGTCGAAGAAATCGAACCGTTACCAATCATGTCTCGAGAATCTCCTCCTCGCGACAATATCGGAATTGCCCTGAGTCCCCTCAGCTCCCGCCGAATTCCGGAAGATGATGGCATGCGCGAGTTGCGATCCCGCATACACACAATCAATGCAAGAGATATACCCCAGGACGACAAGGCACGCCTAATTCACGATGTTCTATTGGAAGGATACAATTCTTCCAAGACCGTCCCGATCGTAAAGAAGATTTTGGAAAGTGGTGGTGGCTTAGACCAAGTTCTCTCCCAATCTCCAGCTTCGAGGCCGTTGAAGTTCTGGCAGAACCAGCCAGAGGAGGAGACATTTATCTTGAGCGAGGAGGACAAGACACCAACATTCGTGCCTATAAAGCTGCCGAAACGACATGGAAGCGAAACCCCCGTGGAACCTTATGAGGTGACACCGGAAACGGAACAGCCTCTTGGATGCCAACACTACGAACGGAATGTCAAACTGCAATGCTTCACTTGTAAGAAATGGTATACATGCCGTTTCTGCCACGATGCGAACGAAGACCATAATCTCGTTCGTACAGAGACCCGAAACATGCTCTGTATGCTTTGCACAACACCACAAAAGGCTTCCGATATGTGTATTAACTGTGGCGAGGAATCCGCTCACTATTACTGTAATATTTGCCATTTGTGGGAAAATCGTCAGAGCAAACCCATCTACCATTGTAACGATTGTGGCATATGCCGTCGAGGCATGGGCCTTGGCAAGGATTTCTTCCATTGCAAGGTGAGAACACAATGATTGTTGTATGTAGCCTGGATTGCTAACAGTTCGTAGACATGTCGCGCGTGTATTTCTACCTCCATTGAGGGCTCACATAAGTGCATCGAGAGGTCGACAGACTGCGACTGTCCTATCTGTGGTGAATACCTCTTCACTTCTCCACGGCCCGTGGTTTTTATGCCTTGCGGCCATAGTATCCACAAGAAATGCTACGAACAGCACATGAAGGTGTCCTACAAATGCCCGATTTGTAACAAGAGTCTTACCAACATGGAGACTCAATTTCGAAATTTGGATGTCGCTATCCAGACTCAACCTATGCCTCCGGAATTCCGCGATACGACTGCCGTCATACTGTGCAACGACTGCTCTGGGAAAAGCACGGTTCGATATCACTGGTTGGGTCTGAAATGTTCCATATGCCGGTCGTATAACACAGTGGAGTTGAATATCATCGGAGGCTCTTCAGCACAGCCGCCTGTGAGTGACGAACGACCGCCTGTTGTGGCAACCGGGCGTGATGCTTCTGGCTCTGTAAGTGGAAACAGAGGAGCGGTTCCAGCGGGGAACAGACGTAGACACTCATCTCATGGTGTCGAAGCTCAAATTCGTGCGCCTGACAGAGTTGCGCGATCGGTATCGCCTGTCAATATGGGATTGGATTCGATAATGGCACATCTACCACCAGACGAAGAGTCTGAAGACGACATCCTGGGAATCTGGAGGATGCGAAACCGTGGCAACAATGCATCAGATAACGACGACGATTCTGAGTTGGATGACCTCAGCGATGGCTTGTCTGACGTGGAGGAAGACGATGACGACGAAGAAGAAGACGAAAATGAAATAGTCCTTTTTGGACACCGATGAGTGATCCTAACATAACAGGCTGATGTCGTTGTCATGATATAAAATCTACAATATGGGCGGGTTTGTTTGTTTCGGCATGGCGTTTGGGGGTTGACTGCATTGGATTGGACTGGAGACACCAGTTGGAGGGTGCTCAACCATATGTGTATGGTGTATGATAGTATGAAGGCTTGCATCTCGGGCGCTTAGTGGTTTATGTGATATTTTACATTTAAATAGGCTGTAACTGACACAAGTAGCCTGACAGTTTTGGATAGTTGAAAGTGAATGCATAAAATATTATTGCAGACTCGTAATCGGGATTACATCTATCAAGTGAATTGCTATTCCCCGCGAACGCCTACCGAAACAATATCACAACACTGAAAATCAAACCATAAACACACATTCGTAGTTCAGCGCCTTCTTGCTGCTACAGCAGGTTGTTCCACCCGCTGGGCCTCTTGTCTGAGTTCCTTGATAACTTGCTAAACATGGCAAGGTACTGATTAGCACGCCTATTTAGCGATGTCAAGAAATTTGATAACGTACCGCTAACGCCTCTGGGTTTACTCCGCGCTCGATCATAGAGATGCAGATGGACAAGGTGCGGCGATCAAGATGGCAGTTCTGTAACAGCATAAGTTAGCGGTCAAGTCATCGCACACACACTGCACTATAGCGAGGTCATCGTACGAGAATCGTAGATATCTCATGCAGGATATCTACTGCTTGTTGCGCGGCGGCGTGTTTGTCTGGTTCGGGCATGATGGCGGTTGAAGGGTGTTTTGATATGGAGTGTGAAGAGAGGGAAGTGGAGGTGGATGTTGATCATGGCGGGGAGACGCGGGACACGGTTTGGCCTAGGTTGAGGTGTACATCATGACAACCATAATCCATTGTGTAAGGTGCCTACTACCTAGGCAGAAAAGCTGCAAGGTCAAGGTATAGTAAATGTTGTCTGCTAATATTCGAAGCCTAAATAATAAAATGGATCTTCTGCCGAATCTTTAGGTGCATGTTATGTCGCATCAAATTATTCTTTAACTACAGCGTTTCGTAACAATCTGTGAACTACCTACACATATGTAAAACATTCTTGATGTTTGTGAAATATTAACAGAATAAGTCGTCATTTCCAGATATAATTATCGTTCTCAAAACAGCATTATCGCACATCAACGGTCATTACAGCATAAACATCAACCAACCCTTAAGACTTCATCGCTTCCACAAACAACCCTCTCATACCCTTGAGCAGAACCACCAACTCCCTTGTCTCATTCAGCTTATCCAACACCTTCTCAACCTTCTCCCTCTCAATCTTAGGCCGGCAGTGCTTCACATCGTAGTCGCGTGAGCTTGTCACCAGCTCAAACCAGGCCTCGCGCTCCCAATCCTTTTCGTCAATGTGCGTGTACACAAATTTGAGTCGGTCGTCGTGGCCAGCGCCCTCGATCTTGAGGCACAGGTTGGTGATCCAGAAGTCCAGCTCTGGCACGTTGAACCGAGACTGAGCTTGCTGCTGTTGGGAGTACTCGCGCTGTGCGGCAAGTCGTGCTTCGATTTCGGCTTGGGTTTGTGCGATTTCGGCCTTCAGGCTATCGCGCGTGGAGAGGTGGTTGTCGCGTTGGGAGGCGAGAGAATTGATGGCGCTCTCCATTTCACGGGTTTCAGCCTCTTCCTTCTCGATAGTTTGCTGATGTGTTGAGGTCTTGACTTGAATGATTTCGACGTCTCGCTTCTTCATACGTTGATCCTCTGGTGTAGCGATTAGCTGGTGTTCTAGGCGCTGTTTAAACTAAATAGTCATACCTTGAAGTTCGGCAACGTTCATGCGAAATTGGTTGCGCTCTTCGAGTACGCGCTTACGGCCTTCCTCAATGAAGGCATCGAATCGGGCCGTGAACTTTGCCATGCGATCGCGCAGGTCGTCAAAGCCAAAGTTGATGTTGGGCAGCTGGTTTGCGATGGAGGGGCCAACGGGCGCCATGCTCTGGCGCATGCTCGCAGATAGAGAGGACTGGAAGTCGGTAGCCATTTTGATTTGGTATTCGTAGCGAACAGGTGATTATTCAATGCTTGCGCTTCTGGTTATTGTCGTGTAGCCAGGGTGAGTAATCGTGATAGAGGGTAAACTGGCATGAACTGTCATGCATGTATTTACACCGCGAAATTGCGTTGCTCGGCCGACTGGGAAGTGTGGCTCAAGTCACCTGCACCGCCACGTGGGGCCGTCGAAAGCTTTAATTCACGTCGCATCGCATCACTCAGAGCATCTCTTACAAACTTATACCTTGCTCACCGCCATCGCTCGTCCACTAATGCTTTGTTGCCTGTGCTCCCAATATCCTTATAATACTACAACAGGTGACCTAGGATGCCTTTTTAGTGCTTCACAAACCATCAACTCCCGCTCGAGACTCTCTTGCGCCTACACCAGCCCATCTCGCGATGAAGAAAGGAACATCGACCAAAATTCTAACACATTGGAAATCGATACTTGGGCCAAATGGCTGAGACCAGGCGACTTACGGACCTAATACACGGTCACGTAGGAAGTCTTACTTATTTACCAGCTGAAGATGCGACACCGCAGCTTGGCACTTTTCATACCAGTCGCATAACATCTGATGGTGAGTTTCTGGATAATCATTTTGCGCGCCCAACGATATTAACATATTCTCTTCAGCACCGCACTTCAAAGTTGTTGGGTCATCAGCAGAGCTATATCCCCCTTCAAAATCTCCTTCCCCAGAAGTCTCTTCCAACCTTTGGCAAGAACGTAGAGTTCAGAAGCGATGGCTTCTTCAGGCGCATCCCGAGGCTTTCATGGGCAACTCTGCCCTTGCCGGGCTCCTTCATGAGAACATGGACCGCTACTCAAAGATCGAGGGCGAAGCCAGCGACCGACCATTACTTTCTATCGGACAAATGACAAATGTGTCTGACCATTGGAGAATTGCCGGGTCGCCAATGCTGGCGGTTGCGACAGGAGAATCAGGAGAGTTGCTTAGACTGGCTCGGATCGATCAATCAAAGTGGATATGGGATGACGACAAGCACACAACTCTTCAGCCTTCTGTTATCGACCCGGATGATCCTGATGAGGAGGTCATCTGGGCGAGTGATGGTCTGCCAATTTCCCAAGTCAAATTTGCAACCAGCCTCTCGAGATACGATGCCGTTCGCTGGCTTATTGTCCAAAAGCAAACATCGACCACGATCCTTCACCCTGAGTACCACAAAGTTCCAGTGGCACAGTCCTCTACGTCCAGTCTCAGCATTCAACCTCGACTGTCACGGATAGACCCGAACCCAATTCTGACCATTCCGCATCAGATGACAGGTGGCAATGCCCAACTAGATGTCGCATTTAACCCGAGCTCTAAAGGACAGCAACCTCAAGTCGCCATCGTCGATGAGTGCGGATATTGGTCCATATGGGATATTTTGGGAAACAAATCGAAAACACGAATGTCCTCTTTTAAATGCGGACACATCTCAGATGGGCTTTTGGACAAGCTTCCCATTTCAACGGAGCATCCGGCTGAGAAACACGGCATGTTGTTCGTCGGCACCGCCAAAGTAGACCGATTCTGGGAGGATGAAACACAGAGTGCTGATGAGCTTGGAGGATTGGCAAAGCGATCGAGCCATTTATTGATATGGAACAGGGAGAAGTACGAAGTCATTGATCTTGTCTCGCACATAGCTCTACCTCAGCTGTCGCTTCTAGCTCGCCCAAAGTCCAAACCTGATGCGATCCTTGATATCAAAGTCAGCCCAGCCAACCAAAACCATGTAATTGTCTTGACTATGCGGAACCTTTACTGGATCGACCTGTTTGCGGTTAGCAAGCAAGAGGATGCATCACCAAAGCCGACCATCCTTATCTCTTGCCCTCGTTTGCTAGATAGAGAAGCACTGCGCATGACGACCTGTCTTACCTCTGAAGGCGGGCAAGAGGCTGTTATGGTGTTTGTCTTTTCTCCAACCCATAGACAACTGCAAACCTACTGGTTCGCGCATGGAAAGGAAAGCGGCCTTCCTTATTGGCACCGTGACGTTTTCACTCTTCCTCAGAATAGCAATGCTGCGGATGGAGATATCCAATCGCTCGAAATTCACCCAGTTGAGCTCAGAAAAGACAAAGACGCTACGACTGGTGTAGCAACTGACTATCTCCGTGCTGGTGTTCAGTTCTATCAAGGAAGCATTTTGAGTAAAAGTCTAGGCGTGCAGTACTGCATCTGCGTGTCCGTTAAAGACCGGAATATGCAGATTACGTTGCCGACTGGGCGAGTTAATCGATTCAAGCTAGGTCAAGCACAGCGTTGGAGGAAGAAGCGCAAACAATTTCTTCGACACATGGGCACAGCCTTTGTGCTTCCTGAAGGCATGGCCGAGGACAACATCAATGAAGCTGTGAAGCGCCATCCTCGAACAAATGAGCTTAGTGTCACCGACAACAAAGCATTAGCAGCTTTCGGACCTATGCGCTTGAAGCTGGACGTCGTGTGTCGGTCTCTTCAACAAGCCCTTCTCGCTATTGCGGACAGCATTCACGACATTCCGCCTACCTTGCTTTTAGCTATTCAGGAGAGCATTGCTGAGGGCATGGCCGAAGGAAGACTCCCCCTCAAGACCTGGAAAGAAATCGGCAACGAGCTTGATCCGACAATATTTGAAAACGTTGACAACGCCGCACAGCCAGATATGCTTGACTTATTTCTTGGCGATGATGGGCAAACGGTCGTCACACAGCTTGGAAGACAGACTTCGCAGGAGTGGATTCGAGAACTTGTCAGCTTGTCACATCTCAACCAAACATACGTGGATTTGTGGCTAGACCCTTTGGAAGGGAGACTGCCTAATGAAGAGGAGGAACTAAGGAGAGGATGGATTGCAGACTTGGCCAAGGACATGTTTCTGGCAACAGCTGGTGTCATGGTTCAGGATATGCCTCTTCTGGGATCAGCAAATCAGGGCGGGATTAAACAAACTCAGCCCACGCAATCGAGTGCAATACGGATTAAGTCGTCTCAGTCTTCGCAAGCTGGAATTCCTTCTTCGCCTCCTAGCATAATTTCGAACAGCACAGACGATGCGGCCGTCAGACGACTACAACTCCTCGCACCATCACTACGACCGGACAGAATGGAGTCTGCCAAAGTGTCAGGTGTTTTATCACACTGGCCGACGGAACGTGGACTTACTACAGATGATTACATTTCTAGCGTCGCTATTGCTAGCGATAAGATGTTTGACGACGCAAGAATGAGACTGCAGAGGATTGAAAACAAGCGCAAGGCTCATGCGGACAAATACAAGCTGCCTTCCAGTATGAGACCAGGCGGCCAGCCTAGATCAAGCCAAGTTACACCAGCGAGCTTTCCCAGACCACAGCCATCGCAGATGCGTTCTCAGAGAGAAGAGCCAGTCGAGCTACCACCGATGCCGATGCCGGTGGCACCCGCCCCTGCACAAATTATGTCGAGCCAGCAAGGAGTACCTGGATCGTCCCAGACTCAAGAACTTTTCGGTCCTTCGATTGCCATGAGCCAGCCTGTGTCTGGCATATTTGGTGATAGGAAGAAGGCTAAAAAGAACAAGAGGAAGAGCGGATTTAGATGAAGCAAGCGAAGCAAAGGATTTGGACACAGTTTTCAGGACATCAACACTATACATGAAATATTAATTGGTAGTAATTAAAAAAAATATCAAGCTTTTTTACGTCTAATTTCTAGTTACGATTGCTATCTAAACTGTGTGACCTTTGACCTGATAGTATTGATTTTCATGATATCCCAACATCTCAGATACTTATAGAGGGGCCAAGTACTAAAACGTCATTCGGCTCGCTATTGGGCACACTCGACTTACAAGCTACAACTTACAACCACATCAACTGATCTGATCACGAACCTAAAGCCAGAGCCATAAATACCGAAATTTGGTAATTACTTTGAACCCATACACATAATAACTGCTCAGATCAAATATACGCATCATGTCCCACTGCCACGACGAACATTCTGGCCACGGCCACGACCACCATGAGCACGATCATTCGGACGACATCACTCCAGCCATGCAGTTCTCTCTCTACAGTCAAATCAACTTTGATCACATTGTGACTTTGAATGAATCTCAGCGAGATATCGGGCAGACGATCGTCAAGAAGACGTGGCAAGAGAGACTTAGCATTGAGCCCGAGTTGGCCAGCGATGTTGATGAGCAGCTTCTTATGACCGTTCCGTAAGTACAGACCAAGTCTTTGTAATATCAAATGATGTGTACTTATCATCATTAGTTTCACGGCACAAATCAAGCTTCACTCTATTCTCATCCGCACATCCCCTTCAGCCTCAGCTCCCAAAACCCTTCATCTCTTCATCAACCGCGACGACCTCGACTTTGCAGCTGCCGAGGAGTCAGACCCCATCCAAACGCTCGAGCTTTCTCAGACGAGTGATCTGCAAGAAATCCCCGTGAAGCGCGCGCTGTTTGGCAAAGTACAACAGCTGGTGCTTTTCTTCGCCGACAACTTTGGCGATGGCGACGAGGACGTGACTCGCATCTCGTACCTTGGCTTCAAGGGCGAGTGGACGCAGCTTGGAAGAGCTCCCGCCAATATTATCTACGAGGCTGCTGCTAATCCGGGGGATCATAAGCTGAAGGGGACAAATGTGAATCAGATGGGGAGCGGCATTGGAGGGAGGGGACCTGGAGCTTAAAGGAGACAAACCACAACAAATGACTTCACAAAACCAAATAAATTAACAACACTCAATTACCCACTTTAGTACTAGTTACTAGGAATGACATACCTGATTGAGTTGTTAAACCAAACTTTTTTTAAGTGATATTCCAGTTCACAGCAATTCGTAGTGCAAGCCTTAGCCGGGAATTCTCCGGGTCCTGCAAAAGCTCTGGAGTATCTCAACCTCCACCAAAATCTTTCACCCACTATCAACCGATCCGATCCCTCGACCTCAGATTCTCACCCACGGCGGCCCAATTTCTCCTCTCGGCAGCGCCAATTGTCGTCGTCGACTCGCCGCTGTCCTCCCGAAAAAAGATGCCTCCCCGCCTACCAATTCGGCTGGCCCTCCCCCGGCCCTGCGCCGTCGCCGCCCGGCCTCTACTCCTCCCGCTCACGGCGACTCGTGGTGTCAAGAATGGATGGACCACGGCCCCTCCTCGTAACAAGCACAAGCGATTCAACCAGCCTTCTTCCGGTCTCCCTTCTCTCACATCCGGCCCCGCTGCTGCTCTGAAGCGCCGAGAGAATACCACGCCTCTGCGCTCAGGCGTCCTCGCTATTAAGAAGGGCATGACGAGTGTCTTCGTTGGAAAGATCCGTGTACCTTGTACTGTGCTGCAACTCGACCAGGTCCAGGTCATCGCCAACAAGACCCGAGAGAAGAACGGTTACTGGGCTGTGCAGATTGGATCAGGCTCCCGTGAGGGTCGAAATGTCACCAGTCCGCTGCTGGGTTACTACGAGGCCAAGGGCATTGCACCCAAGGCTGACCTTGCCGAATTCAAGGTCAAGGGCGAAGCTGGACTGCTGCCCGTTGGTGTTCAACTTCTCCCCGATTGGTTCAAGAAGGGCCAATACGTCGACGTCAAGGGCCGATCGCGAGGCCAGGGTTTCGCTGGTGGTATGAAGCGCCACGGCTTCTCCGGCCAGGAAGCATCCCACGGTAACTCCAAGAACCACCGAACGATCGGTACAACGGGTCCCTCGCAGGGCAGCGGTAGTCGAGTCATGCCCGGCAAGAAGATGCCTGGTCGCATGGGTAACGAATTCGTGACGGTTCAGAACCTCAAGGTCATGATGGTGGACAACGATCTGGGCATTGTGCTAGTCAGTGGGCCCATTGCTGGTCCTAAGGGTCGTGTCGTCCGTATTCAGGACGCCAAGAAGCGAAAGGCCCCCCCTCAACCTCATCGTGAGGCAGCTCTCGAGACCCTACTAGAGCGGAACCCTGATCACGAGGCGAAGCTTCAGACGGCGCGGGAGAAGCATCTTCAGCTGAAGAGCCAGAGAGAAGCGGCGCAGCTAAATGTTTAATGGTTGCACCATGGAATGTAAGAGGAACTTTGTACTACGTATGACAAAAGGGGAGAGATCATAAGCGGGCTTTTTTGTATTATACACACACCATCTACTACTGTACAGATTCGACTACAACCGGAGTACCCAGGGTTATCAAATTCGTTTTTTCACACCAACGCTTTGCCTTCCATATTCCCTTTAACATGTCTCACTTGTATTCAACCTGCTTTCGGAATCCTCTTGTAGGAGCATCCTCGTCCACAGGAGGTAGGTCTTCAACCGCATTTGCTCCCGTGAGCGCTTTGAAGGGATCACCACTATCCAGAAGATCCAACCTCGTACCATCCTCCATAGTGAGACTCCACTCCGTAGTCGAGAAGAATCCCTTGCTGGTAGGTCTGTTGCTAGCGAAGCGCATAACGCCCTCGCCCTTGGTACCGCGCACAGAGAACCAAATGTCGATGCGGCCGTGCAGCTGGTTCATCTCACCGTGGATCCAGGGGATCTGACGTCGGAAGTAGATCTCGTCTCCGAGAAGAGCGCGGGCCTCGGCATTGGTGCGCAGAGCGTAGAGGGTTGATGAGACGACGGGGGACGACATCTTTTGGTAGTTGAAGATGGCGACAGACGAAGCGGCCACGATGACGAGGAAGATGGGGAAGGTTCGGCGCCAGCGGAAAGTAATATCAGCGACATCTGGAAGTTCACAAAATATTAGTCCCGTTTTTCAATTTGCTCTATCATACATGAATTGCATACCTGGAAGCTCTCTATCTGCCCTCCTCGACATCAAGGGCCCATCACCAGCCTTGGGCGCAGGAGTAATCCATCTCCTCTGCGCGGGTCTCAAGCTGACAGTCCTTGTCTTGAGGACAGCCGCCAGTCTTCGTCCAAAGACGCGGGGTAGTGCTAATTGTTGCGACATTGTGGTTCTGGCGCTTTTCTTCCTTGTGATCAATCGCACGGCGGTTGATCAGCTGAGACTCAACTGGACTGAATATCGGCGAAATTTTGCTGCCGGGTGCCGACAAGTAGCAACGAAGTAGAAAGGTGGGGCAAGGGACGTTGTGGCGTCATAAGGCTGAGCGTCACTTCAACTTCGTGGCCGTTTAGGCCATGACCCATGTGACAACGTCTTACATCACCATCTATGCCAGTTGAACTACAACTGTGTTTCTATTCCTGTCAAGTAGACATTTTGTATTGAAATCTAGGGTTTTCTTCGGCCTTATACTCGCTGCCATGCCAAATTACCAGGGCACAACTGCCCGTTTGAGGCGCACATTTCACTATCCAGAGGAAGATTCCACAGACTCGCAGCCTGAAGCTCTGGATGAACAAGGTACAACTTGAGATTTTAAATAAACTGTACAAATATCTAACATCGCTACCAGAACAAGAAGACTACATTGCTCAGCTTGCCATCGAGAATGCTGCTAGAGACGTCCAGTTCCGTCGCTTTCTTCTCGCCATTCCCCTTCTCGCAACCATCCCCTATCTTCCCGCCTTAATAAACCCCCCTACATCACTTCTCGCCCTCCTCAGCCTAACCTCTCTCTTTTCAACGGCATATCTTCTGCACCATCAACCCCCCACATCGTCGGGCATTCCTTTTCTTGACGACTGGGCACGGCCCAAGACTCCACGGCCCACACGCCCACCGTCGCTGTCAACACGTGAATCTTCAGGTGTGTTTGATGATGACGACGACGATGAGGATGAAGAAGATTATGAGCCTTACGTGCCTCGCGGGAGACCACGACAGCGCAGAAGTTCGTTTAGTTACGTCGAAAGACGATCCCCTCTCGAAACTTATCTACCCTACCTGAATTTGGGCTTGGGGGTTATTTTGATTTTAATGGCTTGGGCGATAGGCAGAGTAAAAAGTGAAGCCGTATGGCCCGGAATGGGATACTTACCCTTGGTGGTGTATGGCATTATTTTGGTATCCAAGATGGTCATGGGTAGTGTTGATCCTGAGAAGGAATTATCATCACTCAAGTATGATTACAAAGGTGCTTAAACAACCTTGTGTAAAGCAACTACTAATTGTAAATGCATGGTTACTATCAAAGCAGCTCTATATAGCTAATATCGGTTTTCCTCTATCTATCCATACCAACCGTCGCAATCGTTATCCGGGCATATCTCATTAATCCCATCTACATGTCTATCGAATCATTGAATCGCAAAATTCCATGAGTCTTAAGCACCCCATCAACGCCCTTAGGCGGTCGGGGAAAAGGGTCAGTCATAGGGCTTGCGTCCGGTGAGTCTGACGATTTGTCCGTCACCAACGCGAGTCCATGAGACTTGATAGCATCCACAAGAGCCGGTACCATATCCTATTGGCGGTTAGTCACAAGCACATATCGGTAATAGGCCCAAGCGGCATAACATACCAAGAGTCGAGAATAACATATTAGTCCCATAAAGTTATTACTCTGAGCGATTCTCACCACCTCCTTGATAGAAGCACTTCGCCTTCCACTGCTCAGAGCCAAGCCGGTAGCTCCCGAGGTCTCCTCTCGCCCAAGATCATTGCACAAGAAGACAGGGAAGTTCGGTTGCTTCCAATTCAAAGCGGTACAGAGTCGAGGGTTGTAGCTGCTAAACACAATCGATCGCACAATATCAGGGGCTTGTGCGCGTTGTGTCCGGGCATGGTCGAACACGATGTTGAGGATAGAATCGACATAGATGTTGACATCCAAGGCAGGGCCAAGAGAGAAGGCCTTCTCTTCTTCGGCCGTCGGGTATAAAACCTGAAGGTTGACGTGCATACCAGGGTTTAGGAGCGCGAGGGCTTCTTGGAGGGTTACACCGGCCGTGGCAAGAATGTGATAAACCTCTGCAATGCTCTCATATGACTTGCTTATCAAGCTGGGAAGATCTGCACGGCTATTGCTCCTGATAGTCATAGATGTAAACTGTTCCAGAGTCAACCGGCAAACAGGAATATCAAGTCCGCCGCAGGCTATTGTCCACATGGGCCAGAGAACAGGGACGCCATCACTGGTGTGTTGAACAAAAAGCCTCACATAATCGCCTGAGAGACTCGATCCGGTGACAATGGCACTGGTTGGCTGATTGAATTGGCTTGTTGCTTTCCAGTAAGTTTCAAAGTCGGTGATTTCCAGAGGTTTTCCTTGGAACGGCTTGATAACCTGTACAGTAAAGCTTATCTGACCAATGGCACGAAGGCGAGGATCGAAAAGAGGCAGACAGCAACCTGAAGTGCCTTGCAATCCCTTGAACATACTTGGTAGAGCGACAGTCTTGGCAATAACCTTTGCGCCATAGGTGGGGAACACGTCGATGTCTAGACTGAAAGTATCCAAGTTGTCAACCTGGAAGGAAACAATGCGAGTATCTTCCTGGAACGGCAGAATAACGTTCTTGGGGATAAGGTCCGAAACTTTGGAAGATATTGTAAGGCGAGCCGCGGGGTATTTGCCGTCTTGGAAGAAGATGAGGGGCTGCTCGTCGAAATCACCGAAGGAGATCTGAACGACAGTCTTGGTATCGAGAAAGTTGTGGCCGTATCTGCGAAGCGGGATGATCGGAGGAGGAAGCTCGAGTTCGGGGATCGCATCAGGGTCGAGCGACATAGGCAAGGGTGCGGTGCTCGAGTCCATGGGGCCTAAAGCAGGTTGTACTATAAAGGGGCTCGCCCGGGGTCGTGTGTTAAAGGGCGTCAGTAGTTTCATACACGCAAGGTGTCCCTCCCACGCAGCATAGTACATTGCTGGAAGATCTTTCTCATCCACAATACTTGCGTCAACCCCAACCTTGAGCAGTGCTTGAAGACAGTCGACATTGCCTTCACTTGCAGAATGAACCAAAGGTGTCCATCCATAGAGCTTATCGATTTGATCCAGGTCGGCACCAAATTCCTTAAGGAGGAGGAGGAGCTCCGATGTTTGGCCTGCTCTTGCTACGAGATGCTGAGGGTACAGGCCTTCAGCGTCCGGTAGAATTTGGGCACCGTGTTTCAGTAGCATTTCGACCACAGCCACAGAGCCATGTTCGCAAGCTAGGTTCAGGGGAACATGGTCCGCGTCAGAGACCGGATCGATACGTGCGGATCTAGCGAGAAGAAGTTCAATACAGTCGAGGTGGCAGTGGATGATGGAATGGATCAAGGGGGTGAAGTTATCGTGGTCGGTTAGATCGATTGTTTTTTGATTTGCTACGTAGTTGTCAGCCAGGTATACCAATACATGAATATTCTTCACCAACTTACCATCCAAAAGGACCTTGAGCATCTCCAATCTCCCGTGGAGACTGGCATAATGCAGTGGAACTCGGCCATAGACATCTGTCCTGTCCACAACGACATTGACAGATAACCCCCATTCCAAGACATGCTGCTTTCCATAGATGGCAGCTTGGTGCAAGCAGTTTCTCTCATTGATGTCATCGTAAGAGTGAAGATCGACAAGACCCGTGTCAAGAAGCACTCGTAAGGACTCTTCCGGGGCTTCGGAAATGGCTGCTAAGAAGGTGCGCGTGATCCTCTCCATCAACGAGCTATCGCCATCTCCAGTTTCATTTGCAGAGCGCATCCGTAGGAGAAGGTCCTTCAACGACTCGATGTTCCCTGTGATGACAGTATCAAGAAGTAAAGTGTCCGCGTCCCCTTCATCAGTACCAACGAAATGCTGCGAAGTCACAACATGGCCAGACTGGAAGTTGACCTGAATTCCATCGGACCAGGCACCCAACTCCTGTAAGCTTGTAGTGGCCTGGTCAGACAGCTCGCTTATAACTGTAGCATTGAAGAATGGCTGTACTTCAACGGCTCTTGACAGGTAAAGCTCCTTCGTCTTGGATTTAGATGTCTTGTCCCATTTTTTAAGAATTTTTGAGAAAGCCGTGCCGTTGATCTCAACAAATTGCTGGAGCTTGTTCAGGTCGGTAGCAAACTGCTGGAAGCCCTCCTCGAGAGTAGTAAACTTGGCCGAACGTCGAGAGACACCTTGCCGGGACTGTAGTACTTTCTTCTTGTCTAGAAGTGTCTTGAGGCGAATTTTGAGCTACCAGATGTTAGGTTGTTACCTCAAGAACGTAGTGGTCTTGGGCTATATTTGCCACGCACCTCGGCTTCTTTCTGTAGATAAAAGGCATTGACTTTGTCGAGCTCTCGTTCCTGTTCATCGTTTAGCAACCATGTCGGAATATTCATGGCGGAGTTATAACACAATAGTCGGCTTACCAGTTGGAAGAAGAAGGTCGCCTTGTTGGCTTGAAGAGCGGCCTGGGAGTCCACGGGGGTGGCTGAGCGGAGAACATCGTTCTGTGAGGTCAAGGTAGGGGTAGCAGAAAGCTTCTTGATGAGCTACATGTCAGTATGTTAGTGGGATGGTTTCCAAGAATTGGCCAAAGTGCAAACAGTTTAGGAAACGTGCTCGGGCTCGTGTATAGCAGGACGAATAGAGAATCAAGGAATCGGCCTTGTTCAGCCACCGTCACACTGCGCAAGACTCCATGCCACAAGATGACGGTGATCTACAGCTGGAGCAGGGCAGAGGTTCGGGGGATAGACAAACTCAGACACGGCAGTGGGCTAATAAGGACAAGGGTACGGGCGCAAATAAAGAAACAAAACAGCTTCATCCAGAGCTACGCAATGCAGAACGAGTAGCTGAGAGGAAAGTCGGAAGGGCCTTGGAAAAAGTGATAGAGTGGACCAGGCGCCATAGGAGATGACAGCGGAGACAATAGATGGAGGCCCGGGGCTCTCGGTAGCGGGAACGGAAAGGTCAACGGGGGCGGGAATGACATGGGCATACCTTTTTCAGGGCCTTGTAGTTAACAAAGCTGGCAGCATATTCAGGCACCTCGAGCTGACGCTTCTGGATCTGCTTGCCAAACTTCCTATAAGAGAATGGGAGTCAGCTACGGGCTCAAGGTGTATGGTCATGACGGTAGAGCTTCTGTTAGTTCGAGAGGTGCTTCCAGCGCTGAGTGGATTCTCCAAGAGTTACTGAGCCGCTACCGGCTGGGCAAACTCTAGACAAAAGAATAGGAAATAAGAGGTAAGGAACATGTATAGCTTACATATTGCGGCGTGGGCGCCCTCGGGAGCTCTTAGCAACTTAGAGAGCGGCAGGCGAGGGAGCGGGTGAGTAAGAAGGATGATTGACAGGCGAGTCTGTTTGGAGGGAGATTGAGCAAGGACAGAGGATGTGTGGCTGGATATGCGAGTTTCAGTGTCAGTTACAGCGTCTGTGTGCCTTTTGTGAGTATGTGCAACAGTAGTGTTGAGGGGGAGGATGGGCAGGGAGGCAACGAAATAGAATCCAGCAGCGGAGACATGACCAGGAAGAGAAGACAAGACAAGACAAGGTCTCAGAGCAGCTCCATAAAGTCATTAAACATGGATGTCATCCAATGCGAATTCAGACCAAGCTCAGCCCAGCCAGAGTCGTAGAGAAAAGCAGAATCAGGTGGAGTAATGGATAATAGTCGAGTGTGAGTCTGGGACCCTGTGGATGTGCTTTTGTTTCTTCACAGCATCCGCAACCACTTGTTTCCAAGTTATTCCACTTCTCATTCCCTCCATGGCACACGCTTGCCATGTACAGGTGTAGAACGGCACGGTAAACGCCCGGTTTCTCAGGGTCTTGACTCCATCACCCGACAGCCCGGTTTCCTTAGTAGACGACGTGCGAGATCGACTCCTGGAGGGCACGTGGGGGGGTATCTTCAACGTCTATGCCATCGACTTTTGGCTGGCTGGAGGCGTGCAATGGCCCGAACGGCTGAGGGAAAAGCATTGACGTATGCACAGAGCACAACTGCAGATATGGGTACGGATATGGGTATGGGTGGGTAAGGGTTCGTTGTAGATTTATGAAGGCGAGGGTAGGATTGAATCGGATTCAATTGGATATTGAGGGTCATCACTCACCAAAAGCCGAGGCACTTGCTCTTCAAGATCTCAGACCGACAACGTCAGAGCAAATAAAGTATTCCTTGGTTGAGTTATACACCTCACGCAAGAGGAATAGATCTGTTAAAGACCGCCGTCGAGTTTTGAGGTGGAACGGGGTCAAATGAGACGAGGCTGGCTCAGTGCTGAGTTTAAGATATGTTGAGTCGAGTTGAGCTTAATCGAGTCGAATGAACGTGACGTGGATCTGGAGGCGCTGTCAAAAACGGCAAGAGAGTTCGTTTCATCAACAAGAGTTTTTTTTTTAGTTTTTTTTGTCAACAGTGAATTTCTCAACTTATTTGTTCAGAATTCCTTTCAGAAACACAAACAACGCAAAGACGATGAGGAGTGTTTTTTATTCGGACAAAAGGTCGTGACAAGGAGTGACGGGATCTGAGCCAAAAGCCTGCCCCTCTATCCTCTATGGTGGACGTCCACTTTGACGCTTCTCGAGCTCAGCCCAGTGAGTGGCTCTTGTACAAGACGGTCAACTACAGTCTAGTTCTACAGCGCTCGGGTAGAAGAAGCGGGGACATGCAATGACAGATGCATCAATAAGATATCTGGTCTAAGCAGTAAATGGCCTCGTGCCCTGAATTGTCCCCTTTTTTCCCTCTTACTGTCTCCTCTTTCTCGGAGAAACAACTCTATCATGGCTTCTACCTTTTGCCCATAGTTGCACGACGTTGCTAGCGACGGCGGGGCAGTCCAGAGCTTCAAGGCAGCATTCTATACCGTTCAGGTAGTCCGCTAACTGAATAACGCTCACCCTGCACCAGCGGAAGATAGGCCATTAATAGGCACAAAGTCCCCGAATAAACATCCGCTAATCTCGACCCATTGGTTGCAAGATCCGCACATCCAATCGCCGTCCCGTATCCGACCCCGTGCTCGAGCGACAGGCGGTCCGGCTCACAGCTCCGGGTGATATCTCCATCTTTAACTTAGTTGTCGACTGCAGTCTGCATTCTGCAATGCAATGCATGAAACAAAGCCTGTCGAGTGTTTCTCCGCGTGTGGTCTTGCAACTCATCATCGGTCCAATGGCATGCCTTAATTCCATTGCTAAGGTCATCAAGAAACGTCATGAGCAAGGGACTCAAGAGCCTCTGGAGTCTGGTCTACATCTCTCACCGGCAGAAATACGCAGGGCTTGCTCTGGTGTTTCCTTTCTTAGGTATAATGTCTAATTATGTCATTATTACTTCATCGTCGACTACTTGCACGACTCGAGACACTTCCTTTGATTTATGATTTCCGAGTAAGGAATAACCAACTCTTCAAGCTTGATCCTCCAAGTCAACGCTACCACCACCATTAATAATCTGAGGCAGCCTGTTCATGGCAGTCCTTTATACAGGCCAAGTAGCCATCATCTTCTGTCTGCTAAGCAGGCTCCAGGCCTCTTATTGTGTTTTTTTTTAATCGAATTTGTACTACAGATGTCACAGGTCACAATATCAATGTGAAGGCTTGAAACAACATGAAAAGACAGCAAGAAAAGGCTATACTATGCCAGCTACTGAACCGTCGGGGACCACGGTCCGGTGCTAACCCAATAAACAGGCCACCCATATTTAGAATATATTTTGATCGTGTGGTCACGCCTCCCATCTCCAGGACTATATCACGACCGTACACATGATCTCCGTCAATCAAATCCCAACTAGTTCTTCTTCGCGTCTGCCGCTTGTGATTCACTCAGGCTGTCAGCCATAGCCTCGGCAGTCGCCTTCTTCAGGCGCTCGCTGTCATCAGACTTGTCCTCCTTGGGCTTCTGATGTGTCTCTCTCTCATCTTCGCTATCTCCCAGGCTAAAAGGATCATTCTCTACGATGGGGCTTGGCTCAACCGCTGACATGGGCTGCCACTTGCTTCCTCTTGCACCGCTTGCAGGAGCCGCATCCTTGGGCGGTACCCGTGGTGATGAGTCGTACATGTTGATTTCTTCCGTCTCCTCCTTGAAGCCGACTCGTCGGCCATTATTGGGCTTTGGTGAGGTTGATGGAGGCGGAGGCTTGAACATGCCTGTGTTGGCCATTGGGCGGTTCATGGGAGCTGGGGATTGTTAACAAATACTTCAATGCATACCAAGGGCTTGCACTCACTTCCGTCGGAAGAAAACTTCATGCCAGCAAAGTCATCACTGAGCACTTGGGGATCCGCATCATATCGATCGTAGTCACCACTGGGTCGGCTAGATTCTCCGGGACGACGGTAAGGTTGCCCTTGTCCTTGTCGTTGCGTCTGCTCTTCACTTTCATCAAAGTTCTCCTCGATCTTCTTCTTCAGGTTGGTGATCCATCCGTTGACCTTTTCCTGTGTCTCGAAAAATCCTTTGCGGAGATTATCACGGATAACAGGGAGGTCGTCGTCAATAAAGCTGTGCTCGCGGTCGTCGCCCCATTGATCCTGGCCATGCTGGCCCTGTCTTTGCCGTTCATCATTGCCACCGCGGTTGGCGGTCCGAGACTCGTAGGAACCAACGTTGTCAAAGTGCTCGGCAAGCTGGCGGGCGTATAACTCATCGGCCTCCAGTTGCGACATCTGGGATCGGTTTTGGGGCCTCGGGGGCTGAGGAGGTGGGACTTCATCCGCGGGTTCGTTCTGAGCAGCATCAGGGTCCGTCATTTCTATGCGCATGTCAGTGATATCCCTTTCGTGATTATTTGTGTAAGCCTACCTAACAAGGCATTGAACGCGGGCTCCACGCGACCACCACTAGCTCTCAGTACAGCTTTGATAACGCTCAGCTCTACGCCAGGGAATGCCTCCTTAAGGATTCCCTCATTCTTTTGAGCTTCGGACATGGGCCGAGGGGGCTTAGGGGGTGCTGTCTCGTTCTTTGGGGCTTGTGCCTGAGCAGGTGCCTGGGAGGTATTGGTCGCAGCAGCGGTTGTGGTGTTACCATCGTCGCTTCCTAGAATGCCTGATTCTTGCACATCGTCGTCGTCGAGATCAAAAGGTCGAGCAGTAGTGGGCGACTCAGGTCCACTTTCAGTGGCCTTGTTCTTCATAGAAAAGCGTGTTAGCGGTGATGCTCTAGTGGCAGCCATAGTAAGACAGCTCTCGATAGGAGTCGAAGTATACCGTTTCTCCAGGGGCAGACATCTTGTTCGCACTTCTCTTAAGTCTCAGTTCAAAGTCTCATGCGCATATAGACGAAATACGATTGCAAGTTGTCGAAAGTGCAAGTAATTACCAGGGAAATTGGGGGATTTCGCTTCAGCCTGGCCTTGCTTGTGATATTAAGGTTGAGGCGCGAGGGGTCAATCAGCCTACACGAAGCTGATGACGTTGACCCACTCGCCACAAGGCACCCTGAATCACGCTGTTCCCCTGATTGGTTGCAGCGGAAGGGCAGGCCATGAGTCTAGGGTAGGTAGCTGCAACACATCTTGGTAAACTTCAACTTGAATGGACGCTTCGTGAAACATATTCACCACAAAGTGAGGTTGGTTCGAGTTATATCTGTGTATCATTACGCGTACGAGTGCGTAAAGACCTCACTCTCCTTCTTATTCAAATTGTATATTTGTCCATGGAAAATAGTGACAATCCATTATACGATGGCTGACTTGGACTTGGATGCTTCTTTCATCCCAGCTCTTCACAAACCAGCTGCTTTACTCCCAATCGCGAAACACCGCGACAGCCTCTTGTATGTTATCGAAAAACATCCCGTGACCATTGTTATCGGTCAAACTGGCTCTGGAAAAACAACACAAATCCCTCAATTCCTGGAACAAGCAGGATGGTGTTCAGAAGGAAAGATCATTGGCGTCACTCAGGTGAGTAAACATGAAAATATTTACAGCTCAAAACAAATACTAACATCTTACCAGCCTCGCCGTGTCGCGGCAACTACAGTCGCGGTAAGGGTCGCAGAAGAGATTGGCTGTGAGCTAGGCAAAGAAGTGGGATACTCAATACGATTCGAAGATGTGACCTCGGCCTCGACGCGAATAAAGTTTCTCACAGACGGCCTCCTCATCAGAGAGGCGCTTGTTGACCCATTACTGACGCGCTATTCTGTCATCATGGTCGATGAGGCACATGAGAGGTCCATTAGCACAGATGTCCTGCTTGGCCTGCTCAAGAAGATCATTCGGAAGCGACCCGAGTTGCGCATCATTATCAGTAGTGCTACTCTACAAGCAAAAGAATTCCTGGAATTCTTCACAAGGAGCAGCGATGACCAGGTCAAAGACAAGCAAGACAAAAAAGATGAAACCGGAGCCATTGTTAGTCTTGAAGGCAGAACATACCCTATAGATATCCTCTATCTGGAGTCACCAGCGGAGAATTATGTTGAAAAGGCCATTGATGTTGTTTTCGACATACACACTCAAGAGGGAGAAGGAGATATCTTGGTCTTTTTGACCGGCAGAGAGGAAATTGATAATGCAATACAGGCAGTGAGTGAGCGATTGATGGATCTCAATCCGAAATACGGACCACTGATGCCGTTGCCGTTATATGCTGGCCTGTCGACCGAGCAGCAAATGTACGTGTTTGACAAGCCACCTGAGGGCACTCGAAAAGTTGTCTTCTCCACAAACATTGCCGAAGCATCAGTCACAATCGATGGAATTGTCTTTGTGGTGGATAGCGGGTTCGTGAAGCTGAGAGCTTATGACCCGAGGACAGGTATCGAGTCACTCACTGCTACACCGGTTTCTAAGGCAGCTGCATCTCAACGTGCCGGTCGAGCTGGCCGAACAAAGCCTGGAAAGTGTTTCCGGCTCTATACTGAGCAAAGCTATCAATCGCTTCAGAACGCTAATATTCCTGAGTTGCAAAGGTCAAACCTTGCACCAGTGATTCTACAGCTCAAGGCTCTTGGGATAGACAATATCGTACGATTCGATTTTCTCTCTCCCCCGCCATCTGAGCTCATGGCCAAGGCACTCGAGTTGTTATATGCTTTAGGGGCCTTGGATGAGTATGCTAAGCTGACTCGACCCTTGGGCTCGAGAATGGCCGAGCTGGCAGTCGAACCCATGATGGCCAAAACGCTACTAGCAGCGCCGTCATTTGGATGTCTCAGCGAGATGCTGACAATCGCAGCTATGACAAGTCTTGGCGGTAGTGTATGGTTCTCTCACGAAGGCGAGCGAAAGAAGATGGAAACATCACGCAGGAAGTTCGCTGTGGATGAGGGTGACCACTTGACTCTTCTGAACGCCTACCAGGCTTTTGTCACCAAGGGGCGGAAAGAGGCAAAATTCTGTCATGAGAACCACCTCAACTTCAAGTCCATGAGTCGAGCGGTCAGTATTAGAGCACAACTAAAGCGGTATCTTGAGCGATTCAACATCAATGTGGATGAAACCCTTGCCGGTCCGGTATCGTCGGAGGCCAACGTCAAAAAAGCAGAGCAAATCCGACGTTGTCTTACATCTGGTTACTTTGCACACGCGGCAAGGATGCAGCCAGATGGAACGTTTCGAAATGTTGAGGGCAATATGGTGTTGCATGCGCATCCAAGTTCACTCATGTTCAATCGCAAAGCAGATTGGGTTATCTTCCACGAAGCGATGGAGACGGGAAGCAAGATCTTCATCCGGGAAGTCACTAAGATCGAGAAGGGTTGGCTTTTGGAGTATGCGCCCGAGTTTTACAAGATCACCACTGACCGCCGCGGATGAGAAGACAACTACGGATAGGCTAGGATAGATGCGGATATGACATAAGGAGAGGAAGCCATCGATATATGAAACCACCAGGTCAGGGTAGCTGGGTTGGGGGATGAATGGCTGTTTCATAGCTTCGCCTGCCTAGCTTGCCAAGGAGGGCAATGTTGGTTAAGGTGAGGTATTAAGTATTTCCCCACAGCCGAAATATCAATTTGCTTGATTGATGAATTATTAAGGTGACATGACTGGAGTACCTTGGTCCTGGCATGAACTACTATCGGGATTTCCATGAATCTCAAGCTGTCAGCTTGTTAATCAAGCACTGACCTGACCTGACTGACCGCCATCAGACGAAACTCAAAATGAACTATTCTCGTATGGCAATAATACGGCCAATGTTACTGAGATGAGGCCAAACAAGCTTTGGAAAAAATAAATAACATTGTGGATATGCAAAACCAAGGCCAAGCGAGGTGACAACGGCGATAGTATCGTTTCGATAATGTAAGGGAGCAGTATTGCCCACTCCGGGCATAACGTTGATTAACCAAGTTTACCTTCCGGTTTCCCCGGCGGATCTATAAGATATGCCGTGCGATGGCTCACCACGGAGGAGCCGGTTCAAAATTACAGAGGGCTCCATATTGACGTCGTCCGACAATTGGTCCATCTGCGCAATCTGAGCCCATTCAGGTTTTTCTCTCGCCGAATGCTTGTGCGTGTGTACGTAGGCATACTGAATACTACTAGTAATAAGCAAAAAAAGCACAGATCTGAGGGCAGGACGCATAACATAATTAGCACTAGCAGACTGCGGATGAACAGCAAGGAAGGTAAGGGCATTGCACGCGAGAATTGAAATTATGACCCACGATAGGCTGATAATCTAATGCGAGAACAGCATGTCTGCTGTGGGAACGATCCAGCTTTTGCAGTGATGTCGATTAGGCGATGCATCTCGATATGAGAAAGTTGACGATCTCGAGCAACCACCTGAAGCTAATGGGGGAAACAGGGGTCGAACCTTGGAAACTAACAGTGTGGTAAAGAACAAGCTTTACTGTGTTTTTCCTTTGTGAATTCCCCGTCGCTTTCAGGCGGGTTGGGTTGTCTTGCCCAGTCGACCAGTCTCGCCCAGCCAGCCGGTAACGGGAGACGACAACACGTCTTCGGCCATATCACGGCGGACAGTGTCTCAGAGTCTCAGATGAGTTCGCCCAAAGCCGCGTTGGAGCCTGTCAATGGAGGCCCGATCAGGTTCTATTGAACTCTCAGCCAGTCTAGGAATCGCGTACCTGCAGCCTGCAGCCTGCAGCCAGCAGTTTGCAGTTTACAGCTTGCAGCAGCTCTGCAACCACCTCAGTCGACTTGACTAACGTTAGCACCAACTGCCCCTGGCGCCATCTGCGGATAGGCGGGGAGGGCTTTTCCCCCTTTCTTTACTTTCCTTTTCAGGGCTTGGTCTTGTTCAAGCAAAGCATTTCCAGGGCACCTGTTGGCTGGCCTTCAACCTCGACCTCCACTTGAATGCCGGGGTTAGCCTGACTACTGGACTCGTGCCTTGCATGAAGCGCTCATAACTTAATGCATCCGCCGATCTGACTGGTCAGGGGCACTATGTGCATCGCCGTTAGTCGATTTGTGCGAGATTGTGCCTGGTTGTGCATCCACAGATGCAACTCTGAAGCTTCTTTTGACTGTTGATGCTTGATGTGACTGGTGGTTAGGTGCGGGCGCTAACGGAGTGGCGAGGCCAAAAGAGACTTTTTGGAAATTAAACGGTTGATGTTATCTTCATTGGATCTTGTCTTGATTGATCTCACGGCATGGCACGGTATGAGAAAGATAACGTGGTAGAGTTCTACGCTTGATAGATCATTGTTGTTGTTGCTTGTGATAATGCGGTCAACGCCTATAGCAACCCACAACTGGATTGGATCCTTGTGCATCGTGCAAGGCCTCCATGACAAGCTTGCTTTAGGGGCTCTCTGACCAACCTGAAGGTCTCGACGCTGAGCTTTGCATGGATCCCAGCAGGATGCTCTGAGAACCGAGAAAGCTGTTCCAAGGTCCACCTTAATCTCTCTTGGAGCAGTCCTTGGAAGGGGTTAGGGAATTACCAGGATCTAGCAACTGAATCATTGGTTACTCTTGGTATCGCTCCATCTCGCTCCGTCTGAATCCCCTAGCTCGAGCAAGAAGCAGGGCTCGATGTCTGGGATGGGCGGGATCCATGTGCTGCGCTGGCGCGAGGCCCCTGCAACAGTTCAAGGCCTTTGTCTGCTGTGAGAACAGTGAGTATTGTCGCTGTGAGCAGGCTCTGCAGGGCACCTCAGCCCGTAGCGACACCTAATAACGCTCCCAGCTTCTGAGGCTGTCTTTGGTGGAGGTTACTTACTCCTGTGCCTCTCCCGTTGTGCTCCACCCGTCGAGGCTCCACCACCTCCTCTTCCTCTTTACCTTACTCTCCTTCTTTCTTCCATTCGTCGTTCCTTTCTTTCGTTCTCCAACTGTTCATCGGCCGACGACGACAGCATCATTCTGCATTTCTGCCAAAGCTGTTTGCCAGCGGGCTAGTCACTCTTTTACACTGCTTAATCTAGAGTCTTCGTTGTATCCAACAAGCTCAATTCCTTCGTTTCGTTCCGGTCTAATTGGCTTTGCCGTTTAATGACCTATATACACTCTTTTTTACACAACATCACAGCCGCTCACTAGCTTTCACTTTCGCTCGCTGGCTTTTGGCTCTTGTTCAGTCTCGCTGTTCTCGACCTCACAGTGCTCAATATCTGCTTTTCCGCTTCACGCCATCATTCGACGAAACGACTTCAGATCCCTTCGATTCCCGTATCAACATTGGAGAACGACAATACTAGACGTGTACCAGCTATCTACCGAAGTCACCAATCGCATCGCAGCTTAATGCTTCTGATAGTTGTGCTTGGAGTTTAATATTCGACAATTCTTAATATTCTTTTACGCCTCGCGGAGGAAACAAAACAATCTCGACGATCACCATCTCTTTGTTGTTTGGGGCTATTTAGTGCATGCGCAAGCAGTACAACGACATCATGGGTCTTGCTCACTATGACGGCCAAGGCCTTCGGTCTCGCGCCGACCAGAAGACAGCATCGTCCTCATCATCTATCTTTCGTCGACTCGTCGCACGAGAGAGCTGCGAGGACGAGCACAATTGCGAACCATCTGGCTCAAATAGCCTTGTGATTCCTATTGTCGTCGCTATTATGTATGCTACCAACCGCGCTTGTGTTTATGAAATGGTTTAGTTCCTCCGTTCGTGTCTTGCTGACAGTTAAACCTAGTGTTCCTATTGTTCTTATCGCCGCGTTTTTATACTACCTTCATCGTAGAAACATGAAGAAGCAGTTGCTGGAGGACGCTCACGATCCTCACAAGAGCCTGGACTTTGGCCTGGGAGAGGCAGCCGCTGCGAAGAAGTCTGCCCGCCGAAGTCTCTTTATGGGCGGAGGAGGCGAGAAGGGTGTCGGTCACAAACCCAGTCAACTGTCAATGGATATGAACCTCTCATCGCCTTACCTGTTGCCCCCCGGCCTACAGGAATCGCGAGAGTCGCTCAACTCTCTGGCTAAGACTTTGGGCCCTGATAACCAGGACCCTTACCAGTATGTTGCGACCATCACGCAAAGCGAGACCGGCTCACTGCGGTCCTTCAATCCCAAGGATTCCCACTCGCACAATACTAAATTTAACAGTCCTCGTAACTCTGGCAAACCCATGAGCTTGAAGATGCCACCATCTCGCATGAACTCACTGCCTGAGACGCCAGTATCAGCAACCGAATCCAGGGTCGACCCATTCGGCACACCCAAGATGCCCGCTCAAACCCACCAGCCTAAGTCTCCATTTGATTCCGAAAAGGACGGATTCCAGCCCACTGCCATGATTCCTGAGATTGGAGTCATTTCAGACTTTGATGAGAAGCGTGATGGCTCTTCTGTTCAGCTTCCTCCCGCCGTGAGGTCCAAGACTCCTGACTTTGAGCTGCCAAACTTCTCTTCCGAGCCTGCCACCGACTTCCCTCTACCTCCCACTCGCGAGCATGAAGCGACTGGTCTGGGTCTGAACTTTTCTCTTCCTCAGCCCAAGTCCCCCACTGTCATCTCTCCTGACGTTCCTAACACTGCTCCTCTCCCCCACGACCGACACTCTGATGGTTCCAACTACCAGTCATACACCCCTGCGGCTGACATTTCAAGCTACTATGAGGACCATGAGGATGATGATCGCGGTCGCACCATGCAACGAACATCATTCGTTGAGGATGGACCTCAGCCCAGGGGTCTAGGAGTTCCCCAACAGGACAACAAGCGACTCTCAGTTGGATTCCGCCCTCTTCCTCCTAATGAGATTACCGACTCTGAGGATCCCGAGTACCGCGCCAACCGTATCCGTTCTTTCTACAAGGAGTACTTTGAAGATACCAAGGAGGCACCACCACCCATGCCTCCTATGCCTGCCATGGCCCAAGGCAGAGCCGGTGGCAACCAGTACTACGAGGACTACGACCAGGGCTACATGGGCGCTGACGCACCTTACTTCGACCCTGAGACCAACACCTTCGTCATGCCTTACGCCCAGCCTGTCACTCGCCGTGCCATGACACCTCCTCCCGCCGGTCGCCGTCCTGGTCCTGGTCGCCCCGGACCTCGCCCTCGTGGTCCCAACGGCTCTATAGGTGGCATGAGCTACCAGAGCGGACCAGGTGGACGATCCCGTGCTGGCTCTTCTGTTGGCCCTCGACCCGACTCTTCAGCGTCGGCCAGAGTACGACAACCTCCCAAGAAGAGACTCCCGCCACCTGCACCTCTGACAACTCTTCCCAACCCCTCCAAGCTCAAGGATGACAACTTCGCGATGATCAACGCCGCCGACTTTGCTCCTCCTAGCAACATCCGAGACACAGCAGCCGGCCGATCTCAAAGCCCATTCGGCGAGAGACGACCTTACTCGCCCTCTATCCCAGTGGCTCAGACTCTCGTCTCCCCCTTCGAGGAGCTCACCGTTCTGCCCAGCCCGTAAGTTATACCGCTTTACATATACATGCACAATCTCTAACATGCAATAGTCATTCTCTCCGCAAGTCCAGTACCTTCACTGGTCTCGACTTCGCTCCCCCCAAGAAGTTCAAGGACTCCGACAACATGAGCGACGCGGGCAGCATCAGGAGTAACCGCAGCGGTATGTCTCAGGCTCAACTCGGAGCCATCCGCAACGGAGCTGGCCGTGTTAGCCGTCTGCCTGGAGACCAAGTTTTTACTCAACAAGCGTTGCAAGATACGCTCAAGCCGTCATGGGGAATCCGGCCTTGATGAAGAGGAATAAAAAGAAAAGCAACGCAGCAGCGCGGTCGGTAGATTGGCCGATGTATTGGTCATTTCGGACGTGTCAAATCATCTCTTAGCGTTGTCCCTTTGGCATTGCATTACTCACAGCGTGCGCCGGTCTTGTCAACTTTGCACATTTTTCACTTCGAGGGCGTATTTTAGGGTCATGATGTCTTGCGATATTAACTTTCATACTGGGAACGTGCAGGCTTGCATATTATAGAAGGTCTTGGAAACCACACGACAAACTAGATGACGACTGCCGGCTCGACGACGTTCAGCCGTTGTATATAGGTCAATTGGATCTGGCGTTGATCACTTCAACATGGCCATCTTTGTTTCTATTAAATGTGCGCTTTTTTGCGAATGAGTGATTTTTGTTCAAGTGACATGTGACATCTAGCAGTGCTACATAATCGGACGATGGATTGCCGTTATCTCAAAAAGGCAGCTGGACTGTCATGTGTTGGTCCCTTCGTATTATGGCCGTACTGCAACACCACAGACGTGCTGCTTGTCGTTTGTATCGTAAAGTAGATGACATGGAAGATCAGACAAGCATGGCAAATAGCGATGTGCAGATGCGAAAGAAGATTTTCAAATCGTGGATACCCAAGATCAGCGGCCTCACCGTCGAGTCTAATCAAGGCTGTGTTCCTGGCGGCGATATAATGACACGCGATCACGTTTCTATTTTTGGCCACATGCTGTGCTTGGCTGTGGAGGCCAACGCCATTCATATCCACGCGGGGACAGTGAAAGACTTGTTAGCTTAGCTGCTGTTAGTGGATTCGATGAATGACTGGTGTTGAACATTGAGCGACACAGATCTGAACACTCCGATGAGACTGTTAATTGGACATGTTTTGCTTGTCAAAGTCTCCCGCTGTCTGGATCATGAAAGTGTAGGGATTCTTCCCAGTGATGGCGAGTAAGTCAAGCCAATGTACCAACCAACCAGCCAGCCATCCATATGCAATTGCATTGGACTTTTACATCATCTCAATGAGAGGGTTCCATGTCTTAAATTGAGCATTCCAATCGAGAGTGAAGCTTTTTAGTTGAGATTGCAACCAGGACGCACCCTTCCACGTGAACATACATGGATGTTTGCCCTGGAAGCGGACGTCGCGTAGCATCGCATCGACTTTTCAGGACATGGCGCCGAGATTACATATATGCTCTCAGTTAAGATTGATGGCACGTGAGGCTGCAAGAGTCCAAGTTATGAATGCCCAAGCCGAGGATATAGACTTAAGCTTGGTCAAGAGTAGTAGGTCGCAGGTGTTATGTACAGTTGAATATGCTCCTTCTCCTTCTGTCTATAGGGAATGACATTCCATTGCAGCAGCGACGAAATTAAAGGGTTCCTGGAACGCCATACTTACCACTTAAATACCAACCAACACGTGAAGGGTCAAATCCTCCCCTCATTCTCCGCCAACCAGACAATTAAGCAATGATTGTCTATCAAGCATTTGATAATAATAAACGATCATCGACAGGCATTCTTCCATGTTAGAAGCTGGCGGCGAATACAAAAGATGAAGGGATCGGCTTAATTACTTGGCTTTATCATCATGACGTGTTGAACCCCGTGGTGAAACGACGATTGTGATGTCCCTGCTTCGTAGATTGTTGTTGGTGATATGTTTTCTTGTCATTTGGATATGCTGCATGAGAAATTAGAGTCCCTACTGCCGATGCAAGGGAGAAGATAGTGGCTTAAACCTTGCGCAGTTGTCACAGTTGAATGTAAATAATTAAACCAATTTTTATTTATTTATTTATGGTCGCGACAATTTGACCAGAATCTAGACACTCTGACCTGACACAGACGGAGTTTCTGGTGGTGTTATTCCGTTGATCGTCCCGAGCAGACAATCATAGCCTCGATTGGGGCTCGTATATCGTCTTGGGGGCTCCACGCCAAGATGGAGATAAGTGCTGCAGGTTGGACTATCGTATCTACAGTGCAGTAGCTGGTGATGGCGATGGTGGCTGTGGCTGGGGAGAAATAGAATCATCCAATGCCAATGGATGTTTAGGTTTTGGCTTTGAATGTGAATGGCTGTGGCCAAGGAAAGGCCCGATGTTTGATTCAACTATCGCGTGCCACACTCATTTCAGCCGGCAATGGCTGAAGTCTGCAGTCTGACCTTTTTGCACGGATAATTCGAGGTTTGCCCCCTTTGCGTTCTTCCAGCTCTTTTCTCTCTTTCATAATTACTAGACTATCATATTCTCTATCTCGTACTGCTGCTCCCTGACCTGTCTTCACTCTTGGCCAAAAACGAGTGTACCAGGGATAGCGTAACTACGCCTCCCGAGAGCAAACCGGCACCCGTCTTCCCCTAGGTGCCGTTCTCATCCAGGAATTGTCCTCTAGCACGGCAAACGGTTCACGCTATATTGGAGTTTAACTATATTTTCGCATATAGCTCAACGTCAACGGGACGTGAATTGAGCAGGGACAAACTTTGCCACGGCGGTTGGTGAACATAAAGGTATGTTGCGTTACTTTCAGGTCCCCATCCCCATCCCCGTTACGTTACGTTGCATTACGTCGAATCTCAAAAGATCAACAAGAGCCTTGGTAGAGAGGGAATTGGGCCAGAGCTTCGTTCAGGCCCTGGCACACACCCGGACCTGTAGCAAAGTTAGCAACTGTTAGGCGGTCGACCCAGTGGAGCAACGGGGCCTCCACCCTGGCCCGACCTCTAGCGGCCGCTAAGACCTTTCAGTTCCAGTGGCTTTTGTGGTCTGTGGTCTTTGCTCTTGCTCTTGCTTTTGCCCTCTGAGCTTGTCTTTTCTCGTCTCCAACTCGCTCACTCATCCCCAGACCCAACCTCATTTTCGCTTCTCTTCTCATACATCAACAGCCGTAATTATCTTTTATTCGGACCTTGACGTGCTATCAGCGAATTTCCCAATTTTCGCGCATCCCCAAACAGATCGACAGTTGATCAACAGTTCCAAAGGTACGTCGTGTCACGATGCATCGCATCCCGCCCCAAAGTGATCTTGGTTCTCCTGTCGCTTGACATTCAGTACCAATACCTCAATCCTATCCTCCCTCGAACCCCATATTTGCCTGTGAGGTCCCGGTCTGGAAGAAATTGCTTCGCCAATACTCTCTCCTCCCATTCCGACCTCGTCGCGTCCAATCCGTTCATGACCCCCTTGTGTTGATTGACTTGAGCCATTGCTGCACCACCTCTCTTGCTCATGTGCTTGTCATTCTATCTTAATCTGAACCCCTTCAAGTCTCAACTCGAGTTGACATCTTGCTAATATGTTCCTCAATCTTAGGCAACTGCCTACCTTGAGCGTACCCAACTTGGTCATGTCGACGCCGGGTCAGGCCCAGCCCACTGGGCAACCTTCGGCTGCTAACCCATCTGCGCCCGCCAGCGACAACAACAGCGACGCCGCTACCCAGCCTTCATCCCCTGCTGAGCAATCGTCTCCTGCGGAAGCAGCTGCGACCTCAGACCCCGCTGCTTCGAACCCAGCTTCAAGCCAACCTGCTGCCACACAGAACCAACCGACCTCAGCAGCAGACCAACAATCAGAGCAACCGACGAATGAAGCTTCTGGTGAAGCCAGTCCTAGCACAGCTCCCGCTCCCGCGCCAACATCGGAAGACCCATCACCCTCATCTGATGACCCCTCGCCTAGTTCGACAAAGCCCAGCAAAACTACTCAAGCAAATCCAACTACCGAGGCAGCAGCTCCCTCCTCGAATGACGACGAACAGAGCACCACCGATGATAGTGAGGCTTCACCTACGGAGATCACTACGTCCGAAGTCTTGTCGACTGTTATCACTGTGACCGGCAGCCAGGGACCTGAAACAAGCATTGTTTTGGTAACCGCTGTTCGTACTCAAAGAGTTACTGCAACTGAGGCCTCCGCCTCTGCAACTAGTACTGACGATGCCGATGCCATTGGCGGTAGTGGTAGCGGAAATGGAAGCACTGGCTTGAGTCAGAAGAGCAAGGTCGCCATCGGTGTTGCTGTACCAATTGCTGCTATCGCGATCCTCGCCCTCCTGGGTCTATTCTGGTGGAAGAAGCGCAAAACTCGACGACAAGCCGAGGAGGAGCGACGCAAGGAAGTTGAGGACTACGCCTACAACCCTAACGCCGACCCTACAATCCCTGCTGTTGGAATGGCAGACGGCGGTTATGAGATGAGAGAGGATGGATCTTCAGGTTACCGTGGCTGGGGTAACACCACTCTGGGTTCGACTGGCCGCAAAGCGTCTACTACTTTATCTGGCGGATTTACAGGAGCCTATTCTGACATCACTTCGCCAACTCGGGGAAATATGTCAGATGGTCGATCCGGCGAGCCGCTTATGGATGGCTCACACTCTCCAGAAGGCGAAATCATGGGTGCAATGGGTCCTTCAGCCGCTAACAACCGTGGTGCTGATGTGCACCGTGGACCTTCCAATGCTTCCTCTTCTTACAGTGCTGCTGGCCGATCCGATGCTTCAGACCCCATGGGAGCGGCATATGGCGGTGGTGGCGCATACTACGACCAATACTCCCAAAACCCATACAACGAAGCAGGACCCCAACAGGCCATTATTCGAGACAACCCGGCGCGACGAAACACACGAATCGAAAACCCTGCCCACTATCCACAACAGAGTGCAGGTATCTCACAAAACTTCTAAGCCATCACCATTATCCTCCTGTGCTACCAAACCCGGTCGCTACGATTTCCTATGTATTTAGAAAGATACCCACATCCTTCCGATATTTCGCTAGGAGGTGGAATGTTCACTTGAACGGCGTTTCACACTTCCGGCGTGTTATTTTGACTCTTTCAAAACTGGCCATCTATTTCGAATCGGCTACAAGTTAATCACTCACTTTTTGGAACCTCGAGCACATGCTCAAGTTTCTCTTTTCTTTTTCCACTTCCACTTTACAACGGAGCGTTTCTAGCTCCTTTTCTTTCTTCTCAATTGGCTTCAAAGGCAACGACAGGGTGGCGTCCCTTCGAATACGTTAACATCATGAGGTGGAATCTGTACATATGAGTATTGGAAGAGCTGTCTTACGCTCTGCCAGGATGACCGGAAGGGCTATCTATTACAGCCCTGTAATACTATGTTGTAGAAGACGTGTGAAAAGGTGTGGCGGAGATGGGCAGTTCATGTCAGATGACTTGTATTGGGGACTTTTGTATGGTCTTTAAGAAGTTCAAGAAGCTGAACGATATTGTAGCAAGGATTTATAGAGGTACATAGGAAGGGAGTTAACGAAATATCATAATAAATCTAGTATAACATGAACTCCTTCGCATGACGTGTGATACAGAGCCCTTCTACAAGAACATCTTTGAGTTCAGTTTACAGGAAATTTCTTGCTTGCGCTATTCCTTGAACTTTCTGATATATCAAGACCGATTTTCAATGAATATGTCCTGCTAGCAACGCTCGATACTCACACTCTTGGATAGAATTCTTAGTACTCACGGTGCGTAACCCGAATTTGTGGTCGCGAAAACATATTATAAGCGGTCTGGTGTTCATATGACCTGATAGTCTCAATTCTCTAAGTAAGTACTGAAGCTGTGTACGGTCTACTAACTTAGTAGCTGGTTGAGCGATGCCTACGTAGCATGTCGTCGCCCCGTAATCCTGACGGACAAAGACTTGAGAACTCACTCATGAAAGCAGTCAAAGCAATGATATCTCAATAAACGCCAAGCACGGGATCGGTGCTGGAAACTCGATCCCTTCCAAACTCCTCGCTCAAGATGTTGATTAATTGGGCAAAATTTGCCCCGAAACACGCAATCAAGTCGAAGCATTTGCTTGACTTTCCAATGCTTACTGGGCCCCAGGGGGTTCCAAGATGATTTGCTCCTTACGGCGTTTCTTCTCTGCCCATTCTCGGCTGGCGATTCTCGAACGCTCCGCCGCCTGTTCGCGGGCTAAGCGAAGTGCCTCTTCGCGCATTCGCTTCTCACGCTCTCTATCTCGTGTATAACTGGTATTGTCACGTTGGAAAATTTCCTTGCCACGGTGTCTAAGTTGGGATGCTTCCTCAGTAGTGAGTGTTGCACGCTTTCCAGCGCCACTTCCAGTGGACGCTGAAGTCCCCCGACTAGGGTCTTCTCGTGATGTAGTGGTTGAAAGACGGCCGCGACTCTGTGGTGCTTTGTTTTCTGATGAAGGGGCTACTCGTGGACCTATACTGGACAGTTGATTGGTCTTAGTTGCAGGTGCTTGCTTTGCTGTACCATCTTGTGAAAGCTTTCCCTGTCGAGCAAGACTGGTAATCGTTTCTCGTGGGATGCTAGCCGGTGTCACACTATTCCGCATAGGTCTTGCTTTGAACTCTCGCTTCTTCTGTTCCTCTTCTGCTTGTGCCCTGAGGCGTGCCTCGCGCTCCTCGCGTTTGCGGCGAGAGATGACTTCCCCTGGAAGCTCGAAAGTTGGTTTGGTGAGCGGCTTACTAGACTTCGGTCTCGGCGGAGGTACATAAGCTTTCTGAGCGTTAGCCTGTTGTGCTCGGCGAGCTTCCCGCTGTTCCTTCAACCGACGAGATACAGCCTCTCCAGGAAGCTCGAAGTTGGGCACAGTAGTGGGTCTTGTGGATTTGACTGGTGTCTTTGGGGATGCAGATTGAGAGATTGGTAACTTCTCGCGTGAGAATTGGACTTTGGGTTTGGGAGAAATATCCAGATCATCTTGTTTCTTCTCTCGAAACACCAACGAGGTTGCTCGGCGAATTGAGATTTGTGGCTTCTCAGGTTGCTTGATGCGCACCGTGGCAGACATGCCTACCATCGATGCCCTCTTAGAGATCGCCGGTCTCTTGCTTGCAGATGGCAACTCAAGATGGTTGGTACTAGGAGCAGCCTTCTCGTCCAAAGTGATGCGTCGAGTTTGCGTAAAGGCATTGACAGCTTCGAGCTCATCCTCAAGTTTATCAAGTTCTTCAAAAGAATCCTCGATTCGAGGCACCGAAAAGGAACCATTTCTTGAAGATCCCGCACAGCTGCTGCCCCTTTCACTAATCAGAGTGAGCGAAGGAGACACAGCCTGTTCAACCACCTCAACCATTTCAGAGACCTTGAGCGGAACAGTCTGATGGAGCTCATATGCTGGAGGTGGAGGTAATGACATATTAGTGTGGTTGGTGGGAGTCTGAGAAGGGTCAAGGCCCAAAGCCTGATATTCCTCAGGTATCAAGGGAGTGGCTATGAAATCGAAGAGGTTAGCTTCAGGACCTCCATCCGGGTGGTCAGGAGAAAAGTCTTGCGGCATGCGTGATAGCAAGGTGCAGCCGTAAACCTGGGTCTCAAGGTCGTTGCGATCGTTCTCGCCGTTGCTTAAAGAACCACGGTCTTTGACATTGTTGACTGACGCGGGTAAAAATATCAACCACTCGAACTGACCTGTTAGATGGTGCAGGTATGGGCTTTCGCTTTGCGGTTTGGCGTTGAACAAAGGGTGGGCTTCGTGAATGTTCGCTTTCCGAGTTGTGTCAGTATATAGCATAAAAAACAGGCGAGTACAATGTGCAATTTAAGATTGGAGATGGCCATGACAACTGTACCATACTAACATTTTGGTGACACGACGTCGGCAGTTGAAGGAGATTGTTCGCCAGTAGCATCTAGACTGCCAGCGGATACGATAGATTCTTCTAAGACCACCTCGAGGGGTTTGAAGGTGTCAGATCCGCTAGATGAGCGTCGTGGCCCACGAGACGAGGATGTTCTTCCGGGTAGTTTGATAGAAGTGGACTTGAGATACAACTTCTGATTCTGATTATGCTTAGGCGAGTTGCAAGCAAGATTCCTGTTATTGACTTGACTGGCAGAAAGCTCTTGAAGTCCTCGAGATGACGGTGACGAAGAAGGGATCGAGGAGGGACGTAGAGCAGAATTGGGTTCCATGAAGTGCCAACCGGCCAATGACCCAGGAGAGACCAGGGCCTCGTTAGTGGCACGGTAGACTTGGGTAGCCATGTTGTCTTCTGGACAATGAGCTTCCAATGCTTCTTGGACGGGCTACTTGATGGACCCGAGGGAGACCCCTAAAGCTGAGAGCCAGGCTAGAAAGCCGGGGCTATGAGAGGCTCAGAGACAACGACTTAGACTAAGGCGCCACCAGGCTTGAGGATGATAGCCAGGGACCTGAAGCGCAATCTAAAAAAACAACAGGGATAAAGATTATCACAACGGCCAACAGCGGGGCCGTGTCTGGGTTTGGAGTCTAGACTGGAGTAAAGTAATGAGATGCCGATCGCAAAAGGTGATGGAAGCGATGCAAACGGAAGACCAAAATATTTAGCAATGGTGAGTGAGAAGAGATGTTGATGTTGATGAGGAGGGGAGATAAAATTGCCCAAAACGAAGTCAATAAAAACAAACAACATGTACCAACCACGGCAACCGCGAAGCTGCATGCGCATGCCTACCATATCTACTACCTTACCTTAGGTAGCTTGCGACTTCCCGCTCCATTATTTCACGGTTTATGAATATCTGCAGTCCAATATTAGCTCCTTCTATTTAAAGAATTAAAATTCGCAAACGCTTTAAAATTACTTCTTACCTCTCTGCCTTTAACCGTGATTGACTCCTGACTTTCAACCTTAACAAGCTAACAAGCTCACAAGCTTTGGCTGTTGTCGCTATGAAGCTAATAATCATACCTCATTGGCCCACCCAACTCCATCTTCCAGAGCAGGAGTCCCATTGTTGTGCATGTCATTCGAAGTGCATATGCCGATAAGTGCTGCATAGGATCCACGACCCGCATAAATATGCTCGATGATATGTCACACATAATAAGCGGCCATGTCAACGTTTGACGATGTAAATATCAACTTGCTCAGTAAAACAGGAACTCGCTGGAAGCCGAATGAAAGGCATCAATCAACTAGATGTTGTACTACAGAAAGAGTTGTACCGCCTTTCACACCCCCCGCCAAAAGTTTAAGTAATAGCCGTCCCACTGAGCTACCGCGAGTGAGTCTTACGACTATAGGCTGGTATCGTCTTTAGGTATCTTGAAGACCAAAATACCCAAAAGATACCTGCCATCTTAATTACCCTGAGTCGATATCTTATCTAGGAACAAGTCTTAACATCGTCGTGAGCTGACTCCTTGTGCGAGCAATCAACTTCCTTAGTTCGGGCTTTTGAATCCATGCATATCTCGTCTCGGGATGAAATTCTAGTCTGGCATAGTTAGCCAATAACCTGCCAGATCTCCATTTGACTGCACGACCGTCACCAAGCCTCATGATGCTGACGATAGCCATTAGGGGCGTCGGCACTGGCTCTGACCATGGTTTGGCGAGCCTATGCGTTCCAGATCCTAAAGGCATTCCGGAAAATTCGTCAGGGTGGTGTGGATTCCGCCAGATCAGTGGACAAATAAGTGTCGTGGCCAGCATGTATGCCGTGCCAGAGGTCTGGCGGTGAAGACCCCGGGTCGTAACGAGATGTACATTAATATTCTGCGTTATTTCGAGTAGAATCCTAAATTGCATTTCATGATTCCTCTTCCTCAGCGGCAGCCTCAGCGGCTTCTGCCTGAGCCTGTAGCGCTGGTGCATGTTCTGTTGGAATCCGGACTAGTGTTTGAGGGAGTGGCCCTGTCGAATCTTCAGGTGCTTGTGTAGGATCTGCTGCCGTCTTGGCCAGTTTCGCTGTCATTTTTGTTAGAAAGGAATCAAGATATATAGCTCTCAAAGACATACAGGAAGCCATGTTGATGGCACGCAGCACATTATGCCAGTTTCCAACAACCGCAGCAATTGCTACCCAGTATCAGCACTAGCACATGTAATCTCTAGCTCTTCTTTACCTTCTGTTCCATCAGAGAGTGTCGAAAGCCTCTGCTCCAAAGCTTCCATCTGAGTTGCAACCGCCGCACTGAGCTCCCGGAGCTCTTTGAGGTTTTCGAGTTCGGCCTTTTTTTCTTCAATGCGAGCTAACAAGGCTGGCGATTGTCCGGCTGATGAGGAAGAGGCGCTCGGGGCGCGCATATGCGAGGAGATCGGTCTTGTTGGATATGACATGATGGTATTCGCAGGGTGCAATAAAGCTCAGGAATGTTGCACGACGTCGTTGCTTGAAAACGCGTTTCCGCCCAATGATGGTGGGGTCGAACGTGGGGTTCCATCGCGGTCGTGAGTACCTATGGTAACCGGGCAACCTGTCGCCTCGCGCTATGACAAAAGCAGCATTAGTAAATAGATACAACCAAAAATTCCCTAAATACAGACTGAGACTTAACAACAATCCTTGACTCTACAAAGACACGCTTGCCACGCTCGACTAATCCTGCAGGAAACACACAAAAGCTGTTCTATTATCACAATTCACCACATTATGAACTATGGCTAGACTGAACGAACCCCCCGTGTCTACGGACAGTCTCGAAACGCGTATGTCTGAGCTTGACGTCTTGATTGCAATCGTCTTGATATGAGCTAACCATGCCCTGTCATGTAGTTCGAAAGAAGCTTCTACGTCAGAACCGCGACCTTGCCAAATCAAACAACATACGTGCGCTCCGTATTCGAGAGCTTGAGAATGATTGCGCTTGCATGTTGTCCGAGAACCTCGAACTGCGCGGCCGAATCATAGAGCTCGAAAAGGAGCTTGAAGACAATGACACGAGACGAATTGCCGACCATGCCCTTGCAATCAAGGCCAAACTGGAGTCACAGCTTACAGAATGGGGTACCCTTCTCGCCGGTCTTGGTCTGGAACCCCCCATGAAGCGACACTCGCCGCGACCAAGAAAATCAACAAAGCCCAGGCTGAGCTTCAGTTCTGCTCGACCAAGCCCCTCGCAACGGCGTTTGCGTGATATTGCCCGCGAGATTGAGGAACTAGGACATATTTCGGAGACCAAGTCTTATCCGAGACAGTCCATGAAGTAGGTCATTCACCATTACAAACAGAGGCTTTCTAACAGTCCACAGTCCCCAGCAAATACTGGCACTTCGTTCAGAGGCTAGCAATGATGATGTTCATGATACATCTCAGTCACCCGAGCTTGGCCCTCCTCCCGTATCACATTTTATCGAGGAGGAAGAAGAAGATCCAGTCAAGATTGATTCACCTACCCGTTCACGTCCTACACAAATACCAACACCCACAGTACAAGAAAGCCCAAAATCGAGACTTGCGCCACCCGAAACTTTCACATCGCCACAAGCGAACAAGACCTTACCTAGACCTTCGCCGGAAAAGAAGAAAAAGGAGGAAATCACGAAGCCGAAAGAAACGACACCAATCGAGACGAAACCCCTAGCGACCAGATCAATTGAGACCAACACTCAGCACCTAGTCATTGAAACTCCAGTACCTCAAGCGCAGCCGGTCAAGATAGGATCAAAGAGAAAGCTTGCTGCTAGAGATGATATGGTCACCAGCAGGCCATCAAGGACAAACAATGAAAACGAGAACTCCCAAGCCGCCATCGAAAAATCTGCCAGTGGTGAGAAGGCTGGAGGGCGAGTAGTAAAGGAGCTTACTGGTGTCCGAAAGGATGTTCGTGACAAGGCCAATGCAACAGGTGCAAGGAAGCCTCTCGCAGCCAAGAGCACAAACGGCGATATGACTTCACCAAAGAAGATTTCCAAACCGATTGCCATAGATGAGGTCACTGCGGCCAAAGCAGATCTTGTGAGATCCAAGGCTTCTCAGGATCGGCCAAAGTCTAAGTCCAGGTCTTTGGCCCCAATCACTATCGAAACTGTCCTCGCTCCCCAGCCATCTGCTCCAGAGGTCGTGGAGATGCCACCTAACCTGGGAACCCCACTCACCGATTCAGCTCTCCTGTTACCGAACTCGCCAGATTCTGCCGCTCCGGTAGATACAGGACGAGGGGGTACCCCTCCCCCTGGCGACGTCAACGCAAGCCGAGAGCCCCCGAGACCCAGTCGACGAAATAGGACCGCAGTCAGCTATGCAGAGCCCAACCTCAGAGATAAGATGCGAAGACCCACTAAGGATATGCTTGATGCTGTTGCAGGCGAAGGCAAATACGCCCGACGCTCCAGCGTTGCTGAGCAAGCACCAGATACAGCCAGAGTGAAGCGTGAGAGCGGTGCTGAAGACTTGTGGAAGAAGTTGCCCAGTGCCGACGGAACAAACGCAGAGCATGAGCCTGGCAGTATTCCCGCCAGCCCACTGGCCGGAAAGGGATCACCTGCTGATAACTCTAAAACATTGAGCATCCGAAGCGGCAGACGCACGTCTATGATGATACACGATATCGTTACCAGCAGTGAAACATCGCACGAGTATGGAGAGATCAAGGACGAGTCGGCATCTGACACCACTGGACTGAGCGAAGTTGATGTTTACGAATTTACGCCCTCATCGCCACAAACTGAAGATCAGACTGCTGCTGAAATCAAGAAGAAGACCGCCAACCGCCGACCATCACGGCGTGTGTCATCTGCTGTCCACAGCGAGGAAGATCCGGGGGTTAGGGAACGTGCCTCATCAAGGCGGAGGAGTATGATGTTGTAATGATGCATATTGTGAAAGCGGGAGTTTGGTGTAGTATTCGGGCGTTTTTGTCCTTTCTTGTTTTGTTCAAAAGGAGTCTGCTGCTTGTTAGCGCCGACACTGCTTGATGTGAATCATCCAGACTGGCTTCATGCCCAATATACCTCTACATAGCGATGGATAGTAATTCGTATTTTTCAATAATTGGATTTACAGTTATAATATTTCTTATGGAGCACACAAGCACTTGATACTAAACGCAGTAATAGTGCCAATTGATGCTTTGTCGAATATAAGAACCCCTCTTCGTCAGAGGAGGCCCTGCGTATTTGCTCAGAGTGTGTGACTGGGTATAGGTAAGTTCTGCCGATGCTCTTAAATACGTCGCTGAATGTAACTCCCCCTATCTATATGAATTTCATGATGATCCACCCGCCGAAGGTTCAACCGGTTTCGTGTATGTCACTTTCTCAACCGCCACGTTCTCGTTGCCCTTATCGTCCTTTCGTAATTGGTAGACGTATAGGGTGAGTGAGATTCCTTGGACCTAGGGTAGGGTCAGTAAACCAGACTTGACAAAGACAATTGGCAAAACACATACATCCATCAGACAGAAGCTTGGCGTAGGCTCTTCGCCCTCTTGGTTCCATCCCTCCATAAATGCGCCAGTTGCACTGCCTGGGTTTACGAAGAACTTGTCCATATACTCGAAGGCGTCAAAGCGGTGAGTACCACCCCAGCATAGGACATCCACATCCAATTTGTTCGCCTCAGCCAGAAGAAGATCGGGCTCATTGGAGACAAGTGTGAATCCCTCAAGGAATCCAATACGGAGGCTTCCGTGTGTAACGACCTGGGTCAATGGGAGGGAGGTAGCCTCGACGTCATAGCGGCCTTTCACGATCTTGAGGTCGGGAGAGACGGATCGCAGGTACTCGTACGTGTGCTTATCGGTCAAGTTTCCGAGGCAAAGCGTCTGGCTGATCTTTCCGGGGGAGAGGAGCTTCTTAAACTACAGATACAGAGGTGGTGTTAGCGATGCGCGCGACCTTGAGAGCACCGCGCGTGGAATTGTACCTTGGCGGGAATGTCAAGCGCCCTATCGGGGATATGGAGGTCCCCTATGACGAGAATGAGAAAAGCCATGGTGTCTCTCTAACGATGGAAGAGAAACGAAGCTATAGACGTATTTGCGATTGAGTGACGAGAGGCGCGAACTGCTAACACAGCCCGACATCAGTTCTCCGAGGGGCACAGCTACAGTGCGGTACGTAGGCGCTCGGATACAACGGTAAGCTGGCGCCACATCCTCATAACGGGGAGGTTGGCGGAATGTGGCTTAGCTTAAACTATTTAGCCACGCAGGTGGGTCAGAGAACAAGAGGAAATCTTCATCAAGGTGAGAAATCGAGAAGGAATCTTCGTAGAGGTAACAAAAATAAATAGGAAAATTTCCCAAGTTGACATAAATATCAAGGCACTTAGACTATCTTCGGTCCACACAGATCTGACGGAGTCTTTATGTCCACCGCGTTAACGAGAGCTTGCTTTCCTTTCCTTTTTTTTTTTCTGATTCGTCTGCCACCCCACATTCTTATCGGCTCAGCGGGGTGCGATAAGCAAGTAAAAATTTGGGAATTTTTGGCTGGGGTCTTTGCTTTCTCGAACAGAACAATCCAGTTGGTGGTTGCGGATTGAATTGCTCAAAATCAAGATGGCGACTATTTCTCTGGCCGAAAAGCTGGACAAGATCAAGTCCCCTGGTCTGCAAAGCCAAAAGAGGGTACGTTTTACTTTGCGCTCTTCTCTAAAGCGCCCATGATCGAGTCGTTTCCACTAACATCTTTTGCCCAGACTGTCGTTGTACTACACGCTGTCGAGTCGACTCTCAAAGAGCAAAACACGGCTCCCACGTCCACAGGATACTTCGCTGCTCTCCTCGCCCTTCTCCAGCAGGCAAACAGCAATGACACAGTGAACCCCGAATTGGCGACTCCAGTCGTCTACCTTCTCGACGTTGTTACACCTTATGCTCCACAGCCTCTACTCCGATCAAAGTTCACACAAATTCTTACTCTCCTCGCCCCCGTACTTCTATTGCAGGATGCAGAGGCCCCTCTGTTGCGATCGTCCATAGGATGTCTCGAATCTCTTCTTCTGGCGCAAGATGCTGCATCTTGGGAGCTTTCTGTGTCCCAGATCGGCCCTCGACGAGCTGTCGCGGGACTCTTGAACATGTCCCTTGACCAACGACCAAAGGTGCGAAAGAGGTCGCAGGACGCTTTGAAGACGGTTCTTCGAAACCCGCCGCCCAGCCCTTCGCTGGATCACCCTGCTGCCGATATGTGCGCCCAGACTGCTACCAAGAACCTCGAGAACCTCGTCGGCAAGGTTGCGCAGGCGCAGAAGGGAAAGAAGGCGGACGCCACACACGACCCTGCCATGATCCACGCCCTTCAGCTCGTGAAGACTGTTGCCTACGCGAGTGGTGGCTGGCCTAGCAAGAAGATTGAGTCTCTGTGCGAGCTGCTATTGGGCATTGCCAAGAGCGGAAACGAGTACATGACTATGGCTTCTTTTGAGATCTTCGAGATGATCTTCGAGGGCATGACTGATGAGCTTTCGTCAGCCAAGCTCCCGCGACTGATGGAGATTATTTCTGAACTGCGACCGGCTGCAACTGATACCCAGCTTGTTCCCCCTTGGCTCGCTATTCTATCCCGAGGATACGATGTTTCTGGGCAAGTCGTGCCTGACGAGACCTTCCAGAACCTCCCTCACCTGTTTGAGATGGTAGCACAGTTCCTGGAGGCACCCTCCGAGAACATTCGAATTTCCGCCTCCGAATGCTTGGTCTCTTTCATGGCCAACTGTATCCCTCGACAGGTCATACTTGAGCCTTCAATCTACGACGAGAAGATTCTCGAGAAGCTCGCCAAGTCAGCAGAGTCTCTTCTGACCGTTCAGTTCCAAGCTGCCTGGCTACAGACTTTCAGCGTTCTCGGTGCCATGTTCGATACTTTGAGGTGGAGGTCTTATCCTATTATGATGAACGTTACCAAGACGATCGGCGAAATTCGAGAGAACGGATCCTTCCGAAACAAGAAGGAGGCCGACGAGGTCATTGGCAAGGCGATCCGAGCAATGGGACCTGAGGCTGTTCTCTCAATCCTTCCTCTGAACCTCGCAAAGCCGGCAAAGGGCCAGCCAGGTCGCGCTTGGATGTTCCCCATTCTACGTGACTACACCAGCAACACAAATCTGGCTCACTTCAAGAGTGAGATGGTTCCTCTAAGCGAGGTGATGTTCCAAAGGGTTCTTGACCACGGAGAGGCCGAGAAGACGATGGAGATCAAGATCTACGAGACAGTGGTTCAACAGATCTGGTCTACTCTTCCTGGGTACTGTGATCTTCCTCTGGACCTTACCAGTGCTTTTGACCAAGGCTTGGCGGAGATTCTAGCCAACCTCCTGTACAAGCAGGTCGAGTTGCGACTGGATGTCTGCAGAGCACTCAAGACCCTGATCGAGTCCAACCAGGCCATTGCTGATATTGAGGACCAGGAAGAGGACCTTGTGCTTCAGAGCCGAGTCAGTCGTGCTGATGCTAAGAAGAACCTCGAATATCTTTCTAATTTCGCAGGCAACATGCTCGCTGTCTTGTTCAACGTCTACACGCAAACCCTCCCCCAAAGCCGAGGCCCTATCCTGCAGACAATCAACACATTCCTTAGCATCACACCCAACGCTGAGTTGATGGAGACTTTCGACCGTGTGAGCAAGATGCTTGCTGCTGAGTTGCAACAGGAGAAGCCAGCAGAGAAGAAGAACCAGAACCAGAAGGCCAAGGACCACATGCCTTCGACAGCTCAGACTTTGATGGATCTTGTTATCACAATGTCGGTCTATCTTCCCCGAGAGAGCTTTGCTGCTCTTTTCGAGATCGCCGCTGTTATCATCAACAAAGAGGAGGAGCCTCAACTTCAGAAGAAGGCATACAAGCTCATTCCTCGCCTTGCAGATTCTGAAATTGGTAAGGCTGCTCTCAAAGAGAGAAGTGCTGAGCTCCAGCATCTCATCATCTCTAGCACCGAGAAGGTCTCAGCTCCTGCTCGACGAGAGCGCCTCGCTTCCATCATCGCTCTCCTCCCCTTCATTCCCGACACCTCTCTTCACTTCATCCCTTCAGTGCTCAGCGAAGTTGTCATTTCTTGCAAAGAGAACAACGAACGTGCACGTGAAACAGCATATGACCTCCTGGTTCTCATGGGGTACCGTATGACTGAGGCCAACGGTGCACCCATCGACAACAGCAAGGTTCCTCATATGCCCGACAACGCCCCTGCAGGAACCGCGAATATCGAGGAGTTCATCACCATGGTTAGCGCCGGTCTAGCTGGTAGCACACCTCACATGATCTCTGCTTCTATTACTGCGATTAGCCGACTTCTACATGAGTTCCGAAGCAACTTGAGCGAAGCTACTCTCTCCGACCTGGTTCAGACTATGGACTTGTTCCTCACCTCTAACAACCGAGAGATCGTCAAGAGCTGCTTGGGTTTCGTCAAGGTCTGCGTAATTGGGCTTCCTGTCGAACTTATGCTTCCTCGCCTCTCTACCCTTGTGCCTAACCTCATTGTGTGGAGCCACGAGCACAAGGGCCACTTCAAGGCCAAGGTAAAGCACATTCTCGAGCGTATGGTCCGTCGCTTTGGCTACGACAACATTCACCAGAACTGTCCCGATGACGATAAGAAGTTGATCGTCAACATCCGCAAGACCAAGGAGCGCTCAAAGAAGAAGAAGGACGCTGCCAAGGGTGAGAACGATGGCGAAGACAGTGAAGACGATGAGGAGGGCCAGCCCAAGCGCCAGTTCGAGAACGAGTACGACCAGGCTCTTTACAGCAGCGATTCCGACGACGATGGCGATTCCGACAACGAGACTGCCAGGCCCAGTAAGAAGGCCCAGAAGGGTGGCAAGACCTACATTGTGGAAGACGACGATGAACCCCTCGATCTTCTCGACAAGAAGGCTCTGGCCAATATCTCCTCCACCAAGCCCGTCAAGATGCGCAAGCCCACACGCTCCAAGGCCAAGTACGATCTCGACGGCAAGCTCATCCTCGGCAAGGACAGTGATGACGAGGGCGCCATGGATGTTGACGAGCCTAACCCCGAAGCTTCTGGCGTGGGTGCCTATGTTGCCGCTCTCAAGGGCAAGGATGTGGCCAAGCGCGGCCGCGGAGGCAAGCTCAAGTTCTCTAACCGTCGCTCAAAGGATGATGATGAGGATTTCGAGATGGACGACAACGATGCTGCCGCCGTCAAGAGCAGGATCAGCCCTGGACGAGACCGCGGTAGCCGTGGAAACTTCCGCGGAAGGGATGGAGGCCGTGGACGGGGAGGCCGCGGAGGGGGCCGCGGAGGAAACAGTGGAAGAGGAGGCATCTCTGCCGGACGAAGAGGATTGGGTATCGACAAGAGACATGGACAGGGTGGCGTGGGAAAGCCTAGGAGAGGACGCAACTAAATGCTATAGTTATACCCATTCGATGCGTCATGAGGTTCGGTCAGGCAATCATTTTTATATTCAAGTTCGTTTTTAGATCATGGGATGTTTTAGGGTAAATAAAAGTCAAGCAAGTTTGATCTCACGCAATGTTTTCATGTGCCGTGTTTGTTGAGTGAATAGCAAGTCCGCATAATTTTAGCCATTCAGCATATGTAATTCCAGTAGTCAGATATTGCCTCCCATAGGGGTATCATTCGATCATGCCATCGTTCAAAGTTCATTCCATTACCATCGCTTTTGCCAGACTGCAATTTTCACAAAGGAACCTCCAACGCCTGCATGCCAAAGTACAACGCGCTCAGATATCTTCATATAGACTCTAACATGAGGAAAATAGACAGGTTCGCTCATACTCCACAATTATCCTCTTGTGCTTTACTCAAGCACAATCACATCATCCAGTCGTCGTGAGTGCAGGGGCGGAGGCCGCCGGCGGTCTTCTGTTATGGGGAGATCCTCTCGGTAGTATCGGTGTGCTGGCTCCCGCTGTTGAAAGTTTTCAGGTACTCGTTCGTCGTAACGACTAAATTGTGTAAGCAGCTGTCGAATTCAGGTGACCAGATTCTGCTTACATCTCGCGAAATTGTTCATATCTCGGCGCAATGGGCTCATTCAGGATCGGGCGAGATTCCGGGCCGGGTGGATTATATCGAACGACACGGGGTTCCGGCTCAAAATATCTTTTTACGCCATCGTGAGGTCTTGATGGCGCCGAGGCATGATATGGCACAGCCCGATATTCCGTTGAAACAGGGTGTTGTCGACCTTCCAAGGGCACACGGTTGATGGGAATCATTTCGGCTCCTCCATTGCTATGGTTTCCTTGTAGCAGTTGAGCACCTTCCTGCCAAGGGATGGCCTGGTGTCCTGTGGGGATTCTATATGGCTCCGGGGCGGGCCGCCTGTGTTCAGGGGCCCTTTCATCACGGACAAACGCTGGATGATCTACAGTTGAACGGACTGGAACTCGTTCATAAAAACCACCGCGATCTTCCATAACAATTGGGGTATCACGGTCTCCAGGCCCTTGTACCTCATTGTATGGCCGACGACTTACCAAGATCCTGGCAGGGTTCTGCGTTCCACGCGACCTTGTATCGTAGCGATGTAGAGGTACACTAGGATTTCCGTGCGATCTTGTATCATAACGATGCAGAGGAGCAGTAGGGATAGCCGGTCCGTGTTGAGGATCTGCCCCAGAGAATTGATAGAGCCTGTCTCCGAAGGCCATTGGTTCGCCCGCTATGGATCGCGAGATCTGCATGGGCTCGCCTCTCGCATCAATACCTCGGGATGGGGAAGACATGACAACTGGATGCTGCATACTAGTACTCATGGGCGGCTCATTCCCGAAACCTTGTCCCCGGGGCGGTACCGCACGCACAAAGGACGGTTTCATAGTGCTAGGAGATGCAGGCTCAATTGATCGCACCAACATGTCCTGTAAACGATCGTTCACCATGGACACAGGAGGGTGTGAAGTGGGTGGTACCTCATAAAACGGAGACTTTACCTTGCGGGCAACTTGCGGCCCAGCGCTTTCAAAATGGCCAGTTGAAAGATACTGAGGCTTTCCAACATACCCGTTCTCATAAGGTGTAGGCCCAGCACCCCCTGAGACAAGCCTGAACTGAGAAGCAGCAGGCAGTGTTTCACCTATTGGGATCAAAGTTGTAGGCGGTGGACCTTGTGTGTATTGAGGAGTTGGTGGCACTGGGGAAGATAGGGAGGGCGGGTTTTCAACATTGCGGTTTCGATCAATGGCATTCTGCCAGGCTTGGTGATATCTCTTGAATCCGCGTTGTCCTTTCTTTTCGGCCGAATTCTTACGCTTGGATTTCTTAACCTTCCCTCTCTGCGTAGGGGTGGCAGGAGCCTTTGCGGCCGATGTGAGCCTAGGGGATTGGCGGCGACCAGGGCCAACTTGACCAGAAATATTCTGTACAGGTCTGCTGAGAATAGGATTCAAGGGTTGATACACAACCTCTTCAACGGACGAGTCGGACTCATGGCCTGAGTCGTCACCATCCGAGTCGGAAATCACGACGACCTCCCGCAAGATCTCATCCAGTTGGTCTCGGCCGCTTTCCTCATCACCTCGCCACTTGACGAGTGTGTCCAAACACAGTGTCTCAACAACTTTGCGAGCATTCTGCCAGCTGGTTTCCCTTAGCAAGGTATCATACCGCGTATGGGTATGTCGAATGTGAGCAAGGACTGCTAGTTGAACCCTTCGAGCGAGGGTAATGTCTTCCGAGAGGCCTACTTTTTCCTTCTCGCTTTTGCCGGTCGGGTCCTATGATCATAAATATTCGTGGCCTGCAACACAAGGTTAAGAGATGGAGGACAAACCCGTCTGAATGCATGTTCGATAATCATTTGACGATCGGTATTTGGGATTCTGGGGAACAGGTCGCGTAGGGCAGCGTCCACCTGGGCATCGTATTCCTCCTGTGACTCAGGGATAGGCTCAGGAGCGCCACGAAGTACAGGCATGTCATATTCCCTTGCTTGTCCAAGACTAGCCCGGGCTTCCTCGACAATCGTTTCTCTGACGTGATGCCCAACCCGATGGACCTGGTGTGCTAATGTGTTTGCCACAGACGGTTCCTTTGCGTTCTTCAGCTCAACAAAGTTAGTAAGCGACACTTTTCAAACATGCCGTACTTATTTATTGCATACCGAGACGATAAATATCATAGCATCCTTCTCGCGGGATAGTTCTTTGCATGCTTGAGTTAGTTCAGGGTTGCCAGCAGGGACAAACTCGAAACCAGGAGGGGGTGTTTTTTTGGTAGTGATCTATATATGGTGGTGAGTGTTATGATAACCTTGGCGCGCAAAAAGTCGCATTTTACCTGAAATTCAAGCTTCTTCTTCTTGTCTTTATTTTCGACAAACTCGAAATATGAGTGATGCTTGGTCGTCTTTGGTAAAGCTGGCTTGGCAACAAAGCCTGCGGGCACAGGCGCCGTATGATCATACTGGGATCGTTGGGCTCGTCTATGCCTCTCTTTGGGGCCACCTGCCACAGCTGCGGGCAGGTTTCGCTTTTCTCGGCCCATTTTGTACGGCTATAGTCAGCTTAACATAGTGGCGAGTATAATAAGTTCAGTGAACACAGGAAGGCTTTATGGAAAGCGAAATAGTAATACAGAAGAGATCTTCTGGTGCTGAGCAGCAAGACGAAGCAAAGTGCTCTCAGAGCACGGTCCTCTTTGGAGTATATGTGCAAGGGCGGTATCTGATATCCAGTAACCTCAGAGCTGGGAGGTACAAGATAGGAAAGAAAGAATCGTCGCGATGCGATATGATGCGATGCGATACGATACGTAGTAATGCGATGCGCTGCGCTGGACCACAAACAACTAAATGAAACGGCAGAGTTGCTGTTTCAACCTTTCACAAGTCGCATCAAGGCACAAACACGGTATATACAAACCGATAACGCGTCCCAGGTGACACTATGACCGGGCGAGGAATAACGGAAGTCAGACAGCTCAGGCGCGAATGCAGTGCAGTTGGGCGCGCACGGTAGTAAGGCGTAAGGCTCCGACGAGGTTCAGCATATGCAGACGCAGATGCAGACGAATGGGGCCGTTTGATGGATGGCCTCAAGAAGGCTGATACGACCATGAGGCTGGAGCAGGGATCCAATCACGTGTCAGAAGCGGATATCAATCACGTGTCCTTTGACACGTGCATAGTCACATGATACTGAATTTCACGTTGCCAAGTGTTGGTTGAGGCGCAATAGGCACGAGCCAGAATCTATTTTCAACGTAGATGAGCTTGAACTTTGCATTCAATCGACTTAGTATAAACCAGTGGCTATGCTTTTGCGATTCGTGGTCTGTGAGTGGCTTAGGAGAAATCTTCAGGTGTTCAAGGAACATCAAGCGGTAAGTTTTATACATTACCGATTACCAACACACCGCACCATGAACTTGTATGGGCTATGCTTGGTTTTTAACCGTGAAGGGCTATTCCTACTGTAATCCTCCCATTGGGTCTCTGAAGGGTTTTATACGACTGCAGCCATGCTGAACATGGATACTATAGCATAGCATAACAGTGGCTTTTGCTAACACTGCATCAAGAACTTCAAGCCGAAACTTTAATAAGTGCAACTGTCAAGTAAGGAATGGCAAGTAATTAGAAAAAAATCGAACTCTTGTTTCAAACTGAGCCCCTAAGCCCCTAATAGTCAGTCAGTCGATCAACTAGAAATTCGAGACTCACGGGGCTTGGTTCCTAGCGAAAGCTTGTTTAGGAGCCCCCGTAACTTCGGGATGTGGGATCAGTTACGGGAACCGCTCGACTAGAAAAAAAGGGTTACTTAGGGTATAATCGGCAAGCCCGGGCAATTAACCGGGAGGACAAATTTACTTACATAAATAGGCTATAAGACTAACCTTTCTACTTTAAATATTATTTCTAGCCTATAATCTTATATAATTAATAAATTAGTAAGTAATTAATACTCTTATAAGTAAATTTAGGTAACCTAATATATTAAATTAATAAGGAGGTCTATAAATTACTAAATAAAGGTAAGATATTAAGTAAAATCCCTATTTTTTAATATTTTTTACTATTTTTCCCCCTAGGTATAAATATACCTAAATAACTATTTATAATAATTATAAAAAATAACTTTAAAATAACCTTAATATTATATTTAGTATATATTCTTTATAGCTAGGTATTAATAATAACTTTATTTATTAAATTATTATTAATAACTTTAATAACTTTTAGCTATATTATATAGCTATTATTTTAATATTCCTATAAGCCTATAAATATTAATATTATTATTAACTTTAATATATAAATAATTCTCTTACCTAGCGGTTATATATTAATAAACTAGTTAACTCTTAAGAGTATATAAAATAGCTTTTTATAGTATTTAATATAATATTTAGTAATCTATTTTATATATAAAAGGTATAGTTTTTTAAGCTTTTTTATTAATTAAGAATTAATATAGAGATAATAAATAATCAGTATTAATTATTTAAGCTAAAATTAATAATCTTTTTATAGATATTAACCTATAGTAAGTTATAAAGGAATATTATATATTACTTTAAAATTAGTTAAAATATTATATTAATAATCTTTACTTATTTTATTAATTTTATATAGTAATTATATATAAAATTTATTTATATACTAAAAGAAACCTATATTAATCCTTAAGTTAAACTATAAAGTAAATTTATATAATTTAATAGTATTATTAAAGTAATAAATAAAATATATATATTAATATTTATTCCTTTTATTAAATAGTAAAGATTTTAATTAAGGAAGTTAATAATATTATAAAATATACTTACCGTAGTTAACTTTAAAGGCCGCTTTTTATATATATTTATAAATACTAAAGGCTTTATTAATAATATAATATTAATAAGATATATCTATAATAATAGCTTTAATATACCGCCAGGTCGTTTTTATTTAATTAATACTAGCTTTAAGTTATAGTAAGGTATTCTAATTTTATATTTATAAATATAATATTACCTATAAAATTAAGGTAATATTAATAAGTAACTAAATAATAAAAAAAAGCTATATAATTTTTATTATACCTAGCTTTATATAATTATAAAGTAAATATTTAGTTATTATAAAAGGAAGTAAAAGATTATAAAGAATAATATACTTAAGTATTTATTTAATAATTAAATTAAGATTATATATATTATAAGTAGGCTTTATAACTTCTTTATATTATAAAGTAAGGAGTTAGGATTAGTAATTAAAAAGGAAAAGCTTATAAAGAGAGAATACCGTATTTTAATAAAGGCTTATAGCTATATTAATATTATTATAATAAGGAAATCTAATTTAATAATAAAAAATCTAATTATAAAATAGCTTTAATTAACTTATTAAGATTATCTTTAGCTTTTTAATAAATCTAAAGATAATAATTTTAATAAATAAATAAATAAAAAAAAAAAAAAGGATTTTAATAATATTAAAGGGAAAAATAATATTAAGAAATAAATTATTATAGTAATATAGTTATAAGGCTATAAAATAAAAAGCTAGACCTATATAAAATATTTTAAACTAATTATAGGCTTTAAAAATTTAAAATTACCCTTTATTATATTAAATTAAGTAAAAAGCTTTTATAGATTATACCCTATAATAACTCTAGCTAAATTAATTTCTTTCTAATCTTTATAATACTATAAAATTATATATAATATAGCTTTTTTAACCTTATATATAATAATATATATTTATATTAATATATTTATAAATACCTTTTTTATTTCTTTATTATTAAAGGAATTCTATATTAATATATTTTTTATATCTTATTATAGCTAATTTATTACCTTAATTATAAATTATATACCTTATTTTTTTATAAAAAGCTAAGTATAATCCTAGATTATACCTTATAAATCTTTTATTTTAATAGGCCTTATAGTTAATATATAATTATAAATAATTAACTAACTAGCTATAAATAATACCTTTAAGTTATTAAAATTATTATTACCTTTTTTTATAGTTTTTATTTTTTTTTATTAAGGGAAAGGAATTAAATTATTAAGCAGTATAGATATATTTAAGGCCTATTTTACTTTATTTATTATAAATATAGTTAATACCTTTAAAAAGTTTAAAAAAAGTAACTTAACCTTATTATCTTTCTTTATAATAAATCTTATTAATATTATAATTATATATAATATAGCTACCTTAATAAAGTTATTATTATTTTCTTTATAGTTAATAACTTACTTATTTAATAAAGGTATTTTTTTAGTATATAACTATAATATAGTTTTATAAATAATAAAAACTACTTTATTACTAACCTTAATAATAAATTAATTTATTAAAAGGTTATTAAAAAATATTTTAAAATATATATTAATTATAATAACCTTATTTACTTATAAACTATTTTTTATTACCTTTATACCTATCCTTAGGTAAAAGTTCTTTATATCCTTTTTTTATAACTTATTAATTATTATTCTTTTTTATAAATTATTATAACCTTTTTTAATATATTTATTAAGATTATACTATATATAATACTTATCTTTAATACTAATTTATTAACTTTTAAGTTATTAAAAGTTTTATATAATCTTTAAGAATATAACTTAAAAGTTAATAATAAAAGATTTAAATATAGGCTTAATAATAACCTTTTTTTTACTATTTAGCTTTTAAAATTACCTTATTATTAATAATTTATTTATAAAAAGGAAGTATTAATTTTAAGTCTATTAATTTAAAAAGGCTTATAAAAAGGGGGCCTATAATATAGTATTAAGCTATAATAACGGCGGTAATAACCTTAATTAAGTTAATAAAGGGGTTTAGGTTAAAAGCTATAATATTATAATTAACGGTATTATTAAAAGCTTTAAATTAGTAATTAAAATTAATATTAATAAAAAGACTTTAATTTTAAGATTATAGTTTATTATTATACTAATCTCCCTGCCTAAAAAGCTATATTAAATTTATCTTTAAAGGTAGTAAAGGCCCCTTATAGAATAGGAAAAGTACCCCTTAGGTATAACCTCGCCGACCTATATATATAAATATAGCCCTTAAATTTAATTATTAATTTCACCGGGCTTGCCGATCAGGCCCTTAGTAAAACAAGCCTGGCACGGAGCATAACATGATGTTTTGAATTGGTAGTGATAGTTACGGCAAATGCCGTGTCGTCTTGTGTCATTGTCCATCATCGTCAGGGGCAGTGGAGAAGATAATCAGGGCGGCAGTTGAGCCAGGCAAGGCATAGAAATCTATTTTTGTCATGTCTGCCGATCGCGGAGTTTTGTCATGAAGAAGTTCAGAACCAACAGTTAGATTGGTTGGGGAGTGGCAAAAAGTAGCCGGGAATTTTGAGGCTTGAATGGATTAGCACAAATCCGTAGATACGGTCATCAGCGGCTCTTAACACCCCGACAATTGATCGGTGCTGGGCCGGCTGGGACCCGACGACGGCCTGACGGCGTTTCATAGATTCCGACATCATTCCTTGTGCCGTGACTTGAGCAGGAAAGGGAAGCAATAAGGATGATCATAAAGCTTACTTGAACACACAGCCCCGTGGATGGCCATTCATGTTACTGTGTGAGTTGACAAGATTGTGCCAGCGTGGCACAGTAATAAACATCCAACTCACGAAGCGAGAGCGAACAAATTAGCGAGCGACGTTCAGAAGAGCAAAAGAGGGAGCCCAGCGGCGGGAATGGATCCTTATGGACTGTGCTTGGTGGTGGGATATGAGGGCGGTGGCAGTGCAATCGATAAATAAAATCTGGAAATGATGGTGATGATCATCCCCGCAATATCTACGGTAAGGCTCAAGACCTTGTCTATTCACTTCTTCTAGAAATGAGATGAGGGAGTTTGAGGGAAATGAAAGATATTGACCATCCCCCACCAGACGAGATGAGTACAATGCTTTGGAGAGCTGGAAAACGAGCAATTCGATGCTCAAGTAAATATCGTAATAGTGGACTGGTAAAGCATAATTCCTACTGACCAACCAGCTCAGAAGCATGATTCCATTGTTTTTGTACAGCCACACTCGGGATGTACGGATGACAAGTTTCACTACCCGCCAATGCCAATCAGTAAAACTGGCCCGCATTGTTTACTTTACGACGGAGCAAGTTAATTACAGAGCAAACCTTCAACGCTGACTGGCATTCCAGCCAGACTACAGTGTCCGTACTGCTTTGCCGTTCAACCCGTTGTAGCAGCCGCCGAAACAAACGAACAAACGAATGGCAAGTAGCTGCTCTTTATCACATCGACCTTCTCCCTTCAAGGTTATCTAGACGATTGGACGGAGGAATTGTTTAGCCGTGGTTTATCTGCATCATACCTCAAACATGAGGGTTCTGTCGCTTGAAATGCAGGCAACAGAATAATTAACCTGAGGCTTGACCAGATTGAGCCCAGGCCACGAAGCCTCTAAGGAAGACAGTCGTAAGCTCGTAGCTGCAGGTGCAGGCTGGTGCAGGTAAAGTTGACGATGGTGGCCTTCATCTGATAGCGTCCGCCGCAAGAATACATACGAAAAAGAGCAATAAAGCGAGCCATGGGACTTTTTACCAGCTGTGAAGAGCTGGCCCTGCTGGCGCTATGCCTTAATCACCGGTCTCACTGGTCTCACTGCCCTTCCTGGCGCAAAAACTGTCCCAAAGGGGCAGTTGAGCGTCGTCATCCTCAGGCCGCAGACGTCTCTTGCTCGTTCGTTTCGCTTTCGCTGGTGGACTCCGCACTTCTCGGGGAGCGAAGCAGGGATAGAGGGAGCAGTCACTGTCTCTGAGAGGTTCGGTCGTCAATGCCAGCTTCTGATTCGCCCTATGAGTTGCAGCTCTGCCTCAATCTGTTATCCACATCCTTGGCCCCTTGGCATCCATCCTTGGCTTGCACCACCCAAGAAAAGAGCTGACGCGTCCTCCGTCCTCACTAGTCGGCTCCCTGGCCGCCGATCCTAGCAAGTTTTGACAACGGTCGGCGTTACCTAACCTTGCAATCGGTAGGTTGTTGGTCCAGCGGCTTAGAGCGCTCTTTGGAGTTATTTCAGGGGGTCGAGTCCCAGGAGTTAGGGGAGTCGAGTAGGGTTATAGTGGGCTCTGCAAGTGGGCTACAGTGGCTTCCTCGTCCCTGACATGCAATGTCGGGGATCTTGTTGTCGGACCCGGTTGGCAAAGGTACGTACCTCCTTCCAAGACACCCACCCCCATTCATAGAACACGGTCCCCCCAGTTCCCGATTTTCCTACCTGGTTCCAACTTTCCCCTTCCCAACTTCCAAACCTTCGCTTCTGTTACAGAACTCACATCCGTCAACAATCAACATTCATCGATTATCTCGAGAACAAACCAAACACTTCATCTCGCACTCGACGCTTGGTACTTTTTGACACCTGGGCGACGAACTCAATCTTGCTCATCACTCATAACGAAACGATCCTCGGTATCGCCGATTGATACCACTGACACAACATGTCGGCTCCAGGCCAGAATAACGTCGATATCGACGCCCTCCTCGATCTTACCGACTACGACAACTTTCAGTCCCCTGCTGCTTCATTATCACCATCAGGAAACTCAAAGGCTAGCTTCACAAGTCCTATTTCCGCTGCCGTCGCTGCTCCTATTACCACAACTGCACAGAGCCTTAGTGGTCCTAGTCACAACTATGACATGTACCGACAACAGACAGGCTTTGTCCCTGGCGCTATCGCCAACACCATGGCAGTAAACCAGACAAACAACACTGGTTACCAAGACTTCCGCAGTCTGGACTACCTCTCCACATTCAGTCCCGAGGCCGACCCATTCGACTTCAACGCCTCTCCTTCGCAGGCTACACTTGGTACTTCCGACATGGACATGGACTTTGACTCTCAGATGGAGTCGCAGCAGTTCTTCACTGTCGATCCCAGCAGCATTGAGCAAGAGGTTGATGGTCTACCTTCGCCTCCGGTTCTGCCCACTCAGACCAACAACGTCGGCCGCCTTTACCCTGGTGCTCACTCTCATGCCGCCCTCGCCAAGGCTCAAGCTCAGCAGCGACAGCAGCAACACATCATCCAGCAACAACAGCAGGCACATCGACAGAGTTCTCAGCCCAAGTCTCGTGGCAAGGCTCCTCAGCCTACTGACCCCATTGTTGAGCAGAAGATTACTCAGCTCCTGAACTCCATGCGAGCCAAGCCTTCAATGCCTGAGAGCCAGGCCACAAGCCCTATGGCCAACCTTCCTCGATCCAAGAAGGACGAAGAGGAGATGGACGAGGATGAGCGCCTTCTTGCCAGTGAGGAGGGTAAGAAGCTAAGCAGCAAGGAACGACGACAGCTTCGCAACAAGGTCTCCGCACGCGCTTTCCGTTCCCGCAGAAAGGGTAAGTCACCTAAACCATTAATCAATTCGTACATCATGCTAACTCGTTTGCAGAATACATCACTCAGCTTGAGGCCGAAATTGCCAACAAGGTCAGCGAGAATGGTGACCTTCGAACCCAGAACCGAGCTCTCATGGACGAGAACAAGCGTCTGAGCGATCTCACTCGCATGCTTCTCTCTTCACCTTCGTTCTCCAACTTCCTCGACAACCTCAGCAGCAACCCTGCTGCTGTCCAACAGACTCCCCAGCTCAAGGTCGAGCCTCAGCCTGAGCAGCGCCAAATGCCCAAGGACATTAACCCCTACAACTCTCAACCGTCTTCGCAACAGCAGATTGGCATGGCTATGATCCCCGAGCAGAACATGGATTTCTCTATGCTCACCCTCGATGGCTCATTCAACTTCCAACCTCAGGTCTTTGTTGTCGATACCCCTGAGGTTCCCGATATCATTGATGCCGCCATCCTCTCTGGCAAGACCTCTAACTTCATCGAGCCTATCTTTGATTCCGAGGAGGAGAAGCTTGAGGTTCCCGCCATCGAGCGCCCTGTTGAGAAGCCCGAGGTTTCCGGGTTCGCCGATGCTGCTCCTATTGATGCCGAGTTCGAGTCTGATCCTGAGTTTGCCCTGTTCCACACTGAAACCGCCACTACTGTCACTGAGCAACCCCAAGAGTTTGATACTGAGGGTCTTTCGCATGTCGACATCTTTGGTGGCGTCGAATCTGAAAAGGTTCTCTCTCGCTTGGAACTTGTCGATGCTGGTGAGGAAGAATGCACAGCTGCTATTGCCATGGCTCGTGTGCAGCGTATCAGCGCTAGCTGTGACGCTGTTACATCAAGGTTAGAACTTCTCACCATTGACCTATAAGTCATATGAGATTGGTCTAGAAGAGGTGGGAAAAGGACATGCACTCAGCGCTCTATTTATCATTTCCTTTTTTGTAATTATTGGAATCCCACCACGGATAGGAACGGGACTAGGCGTTTGGGGACACAAAGGATGAATCGCTCATGCGAATGCCTACTGCATAATATGCATGCTTGGGTTTGATTTTCTTGGAACGATTGATGACACAGGAAAGTTGTGTTTCGCTAGATAGATAGGCTTGCCGCCGCTCAATATCACAAATCAAATACTTGAAAGCCTACACTGTGTACTGTTCTTGAGTGACTGATAATCTTATTTTTGCCTGATTCGTAGATTAACCCTAGTGCTGACATCGATTCTTCTTAAACCCGCAGGTCGCAAAAATTGAGAGGGGCTGAGTCTTGGGTGATGTGATGTGACGGCAAGTTCGTAGCTTCGATTGCGTTACTCCATGTCGAGGTCGCCGAGACTGGTCAGGTGTTTGAAGTGTAACATTAAACATATTCAACTCGGCTAACTGTAGTGCCTACCTACCTACCCAGGTAGTCCATGCCTTGCTCGGAATAGAACTCTTAAAGAACCTCCCCATCTTTAGCGCCCCTCACCTCAATCAATGTCAAAATGGTCTAAAAGAATCGGGTCTTTGCTCTCTGGTGCTCAACCTCGTTTCTTGCCCTTCTTCCTCTCAGCAAAAGAAGCCAAAGGCCAATTCGTTGGTTGACCAACAGCGCCCAGTGCTCGTTCATCGATAAATCTGTGCCCATGGCCGATGGTCTCCTGCTGCAAGAATCATCAGCGCTAGAATGTTACAAGTACACGCCATTCGACAATAATTACTCGATCCGTATTCTCACTCTTGAGCCGGGTACTGGCGATGATCCGCTGGTCGGGCATCTCGGTGTTGAGAACCTCGACTCAAGTCCGCATTATGAAGCCATCTCTTACTGCTGGGGTACAGGGGACCGTACCTCTGAGATCCTGTGTCACGGGAAACCCCTCTCGTTGACGAAAAGCATCGAAGATGCTCTTCGGCGTATGAGACATGCAACCTCAGCGCGACGGCTGTGGGCTGATCAAATCTGCATCAACCAGGATGACATTGCGGAACGCAGTCAGCAGGTCAGGTTGATGAATACTATATATAAGGGTGCGAAGTCTGTCTTGGTTTGGCTAGGACCGGATGAGCAGGGTCTTGCACATAAGGCAAAGACAATGATATACTATCTTCAAGGGGTGTTTGATAATGAAGAGATGCATAATGAGTTTCGGCGGGCGCATTCAGAGGAACTGTTAAGCCAGGATAGAGGGCCATGGATGCCTCTATCCAGCTTGACGAAACAGCCATGGGTGAGCTTATATGAGAATACTCCAAAAGTTCTATACTGATGAGAACAGTTCAACCGTATGTGGATTGTTCAAGAAATTGGTACAGGAGCGCCAGCGACGTTGTACTGGGGCGACGTTGAGATTGATTGGGAGATTCTCTCACATGTTGCTGGTGTTTTGAATCAAAGATACCACTACCTACGCTCGCGTTTCTCCATATTCACACCCAACATCCGCTACTTATATCAACGGTTTGTCGAGCCTGAAGAGGAATACGGCTTCAATCATAACCGTGCAGCTTTCATCTACGAGCTACATCGTGCACGGCATCTGCTCTCAAAGGACCCTCGAGACCACGTGTATGCATTCCTCGGTCACTTTTCGATAAAAACCAGTAAGGGTCTCACAGGTTTAGTGGCCGACTATAGCAGACCAATCGAGGATGTATATTACGATGTAGCGACCAGGGAACTCTCAGGATGCGAATCACTTCTTCTGCTATCCGCGTGCAATCGTATACCTACGACGTACAGGCACAAGCGCAGAATGGTTGAGAGCGCAGACCTGCCGACGTGGGTTCCGGACTGGCGCGTTGTGGCTCTCCATCTTATAGGCACGCCTACTACTCCTCACCGAGCGTCAGGGGACTTACTACCCACACTACGCATCGACAACGAGAGAAGAGCTCTGCATATCTGCGGCGTACGTCTAGAACGTATTCATCGGCCCTCATGGTTCTTCGGGCATTACACCTTCCACTTCCGTCGCAACAGCCCTAATCGTCTGCCCATTGAAGCCCTTTGGCAGGAAATATGTCGTCGCAACGTACCATTCAATCTACGGAAGCGTTATCGCAACGGCGAGTCTGCTTTCTTCGCGCTGGTACAAACTCTCACAAACGGCTGTATCGGAGTAGATCGGTCGCGAGAATACGATACAATCCTTAAAGAGGAGTGGCTCGCCAGCGGCGCAGCGTATCTCGTCCGCGCCCTAAACAGGCCAGGTGCCACTAGTCCAGAGATCCAAGAAGTTGCCCGAACAGGCGACGCGTTCAAGTGGAGCCACGAGGCAACGATGATATCGCGGTATCGTGCGTTTGCGATTACTGCTGGAGGGTGGTTTGTCTTGGGCCCGGACGTCATGCAGCGCGGAGATGTAGTTGCTGTGTTATATGGGGGCAGAACACCATTCTTGCTTAGGAAGAGAGAGGGAGGCACGTGGATGCTTCTGGGAGAATGTTATGTGCATGGGATGATGAATGGAGAGGTGTTTGGGCTGCCTAGGGTGCAGGAGGAGGAGTTTATTATTCTGTGAAATGTGTTGGATTGATATACCCTGTGGAAGAGTACGATATGTTGCTCAGTCATTAAGAGAATAAGTTCATATTCATTGAAGTATTGTGTTTGTATAATTTAGGATTCATATGATAGTCTCACTGCAGTCGAGTTGAGCCATTGTTCTTTAAGAGCAGACATGTTGGTTTGCCCAGATGAAATTCAAGGCCAATATCGTCAAAAGAGTGTATATACAAATTCGCCAAACTAACGCCCGTTCAAACACATCCCAGTAGGTATCAACAGCTCAGAACGATTGTAAGAATCAGAAGGGTATAACCACGCATGCAAAGATCACATATCCCCCCAAACATCCATCCATGTTTACTCAAACATCCATCCATGTTTACTCAAACACTCTCCCGTGCCTTGACTGGCGTCGCTCCCAAGACGCTGATGTCGTCGTCACTATCATCCAAAGATCGTCGACGAGGAGATCCCATGTCCTTAGTAACAATCCCAGAGGTCTGAGGAGGAGGAGGGAGTTCGTTTGGACTTCGGAGTTCCCAGCTTCCAACGCGCTCATGGTGAACCCCTTGCTTTGTGACTACCACATCAGCATCGCCGTCTTTCTTCTCGGGTCCCTTGAAGCCCCCTGCGACGCTTCCTACAGTACTGGCCTCGTGTGGTGTCTCTGCAGGAGCCCTGCGGCGAAGTCGATAACCGCCGCAGATACACAGACCTGTAAGTAGAGCAGCTAGTACACCGAATGAGACTATTGCACCGATAACTCCTGCTATGACCGGCCTGATCGAAAAGTCATCAGACCAGTCGGTGTTATCAGAATCGACCAAGTCACACCAGGGAGCAGGTGTAGGGCCGCAAATGTCGCACCACTGCTTAGGAGATCTTCCAAGCTGATTCATAGTTTGCATAAACTTTGAGTAGGCAATGCCGTCAGGGCCAGAATTGAAGATAGGCTGGTTACGGAAAGATTCATCTGCGTCCGCTGAGGCACGGTAATACATTCTAACGCGCAGACTGTCGGTCGCTGGCTGTCGGTCGGGAGCATCTGGATCCTCGCCAAAAAGCTCGAAAACCAATGCTGCACCAGGCTTGGGGAGCGTGGACCAGGGCTCTTTAAGGATGTTTTCTTTGGTGAGCAGACCCGAGAGAGAAATGAAGCCGAGGATGGGCTCCATGGAACCGAACATGAGGGTGAGTTTGTTGTAACTACTGCCCCAACGGATATTGCTTCTGAACTGTGATGTGACTTTATACGCCATTGTGCGCCCAGCGATAGAGTAGAGGACGTCCATGGGGGTATTATCATCCGCACTGTCCAAATAGCTGTTCTGTGCGCGCTCCATGATGACAGCGTTTGTGTTGAGGAAAGACAGTGTGTTGTTGGCGTCTTTGAGGCCTTCATGGACGGTTTCGTTGTGGCGGTACTGGTAATCGATAAACTCCCAGAGAGGGTAGGCGTTCCAGATGCTGGCATAGTCAATGTCAATTGTGCCCTCAAGTGGGGGAGTAGAGAAGAGGTTCTGATAGAATGGCAGAGTTGATTGGTAGAGATCACCCAGGGCGTCGTTTTCTGTCAAATTCGTGGTGGTCTCTGTCTGCCATGCCGAACACCTCGCGTTGCCTTGCACTCTAAGTCGTGTTAGTCAGATGCCATGAGAGGGAAGTTTATCAGCATACGTAGTAGACTCGGGGTCAAAGTAGCTTGGAGTCCGGATGTTGGGATATTGATATCCGTTCAGAGGATATTCTGTCTTGTTGTCGCCATCAACCAGATTCATAGCTATTTCGTCGCCTCCAATGCTGCTGTCGAATGAGTTGATTGATGGCGGGTAGAGACCTTGCAGGAAAGCCATAGCACCACCCGACACCCACTCATCTGTCTGGGAGATGAGATCCAGATCATCGTTGTCAATCATATCGGGCTTGAGGTTCTGGAGATAGGCTGTTTGGATGCCATCATAGGCCGAATTGTTTACGCCGTCCTTGATATACCGAGCACGGAAGGCAGTTCCTTGTCGCATCATCTGCTGAGCTCCCTCTGGAGTTAGGACGGTACGAAGGTTGGCTGCCATAGGCGTCCTCTCGCCATGGTTGATGAATGCGACAGCAGCCCAGACCTTTTCTCCTTGGCCTGTTGACTGTGCAACAGTGCCAGAGAACAGAGGCACGGCTGCGATGAGTGCTTTGAAGAGAACCATCTTGGAGGGGCAGCGTGTATGTATTACAGTATTTGGAGTTCAATTAGAATCAATGAAGCTCTCTTCCTGCACCGTCCAGTTGGTGAGGTAATTGAAAGAACGAGAAAAGACAAAGATCTCAGCCCAGCTCAGCCGAAGAGAGGGCCATTGATAGCTTAAAGGGAACAGCAAAGAACAAGCTACAGCTGCATCTGCAGCTGGCCGTCATCCATCTACGTCTGATCGAGCTCTAACTAATCCCAGGTCCATGTACAACAATCCAGCACCAAGCTACTGCGGCGCAGAAACTCCTCGTGACATGCCATTGGCATGTCTTCAACAAGGCTACAGATTGTGTGCTCATGCAGCTTCAAAGGTGAGAGAAGCGGGGGAACGCGATAAAGACATGGAGGGCCGGGAAGCGACAGGATAGGCCAGCCCAGTGTGATACCGTCCAATGGCCGAGCTCAAGGTGCTCGAGATGGTTGCAGCCCAGCTTCTTTGGAAAAAGCATGATGGGTTTAGAGGTGCGGGGGTGAAGGACATCCCGATAAAAGGTTGATGAATGTGAAAAAGGTGGCTGGGCGGGCGATAAGCCAGCGTTAACATGGAATAGTCAAGATCTCGATTCTAGAGCTAGTATAGCTCGAGTCAAGGCCTCCATTTGCAGTGAATGTGCAGGATATCGAGGTCGTAGGCCGCTTGCTGCGCAGATCTATCCATAAAGAGAATGCGAGAAAGCTTACTACATATGGCAGGGTTAGTCTATGGCTCGTGATTGTAGCCACAAAGAGCGTCGGAGCTTATGGAGCTGAACCTTTATTGATACGAGCAAAAGACTTTTGAGAACGAGATATTGACGTCAGTTGTCTCGGTCTAAACTTGGGCGTTACTGTTGCTGAGTTTCGAGCCACCTAGCCAGAGCTAAAGGCGCTCAGCCAACTGCACTTAGCACATGAACTAAAAACTCAACACCAGTTTCTTAATGCACTGCTAGGTTAGTTGAAATAGATGGACTTCAATTCAATGATTCATCTATCTCATCTAATGCGACTCTATCCCTGCCGGATCTTGGCAGTACCATGTGGGCAGTTAAGTCCTCCAGAAATGTTATCGATTTCTTATGACAGAGCTTCCACAACATACAACAACCTATAAAGCCTCTTGGATCTATACTTCTGTATACCTAGGTATGCGAATGAGTTTACACGTCGTTGCTAGTGGCAGTTTGGGGGCCGTTGTGTCGACATCGAATCCGTGGCTGATGTAATCTTGTTGTTGCACACTATCAACGGCTATGTGTTAAGAGGAAAAGGAGTGGTTACCCTACGATGGATGGATGTGCTGTGAATATCTGCAGTGAAGAAGAGCTTGAAATGTTTCTTCATCTCAAGTTTGTTTCTCATGACAACTTAGTTACTAAGACATATTGTATCCGTGGATGGTGCCACCTCGGGATAGCTAAGGCTTGCCGTCGTGACATCCGTTTGGATGCCATGGAAAAGAGAGGACTCGTAGCCATAATTACTACTCAATGAGTTTCAAACTATCTATGTAGTACCCAACGACGCGAATACTCCACTGGGATATCCCAGCACCCAGATATACTCAAGACACTGCCCGATAGTGGAACTGGAAATTTCCAATGGGCCAAGCATTAAACATGAACTCCACATATTTGCCACGATACAGGGTCCGCTCCAGTTTGTAAGTGAAAGTGGTGGAGAGTCAACACATCTCCATATCCCCTCAAGTGGGCTGGCAATGATGATAAAACATACAATAATCTTGCAAGTATCGCTACAAAGTTGAAACCGAAAGCTAAAGGGGAGTCATCATCAAGTTCTAGTGATTGCCATGTATATACTGGACGAGCGATCGATTAGTGCTGTCCGTATACGTGTTTAGGGGAACTGAACAGACAACATACCACGATGCTTGATGGACATCATCAAAAACACGAGAGGCCACCATGGCGATGAACTTGGTTGATCGCAAAGAAGCCTCGCAGTAGAGTTAGATACATGCACCCAGCTGCAGATCTCAACATCGAAATATCTAGACGACGGGAGGCATAACTCTAAGACATCAACAAACACTCACTACACTCGGTGTTAAATCTTCGTAAGACGGAACATAAATGCAGGCTTCACTCGTATAGTGAAAGCAGGGTATTACTACGGCGAGTTCACCAGGTCAAGACAGGTTTGAAGCAGGGACCATTCCTAGACTTTGAGGTGTTCGTGGGCCAAGGTGGACAACAAGGTGGGACAGGGACAGAACAAGGCCAGGATCGGTAGTGGACGACGTCCCCAGCTTTTTAGGTAGTCCTGGCTCCCGGTATCAGAAGCCTCATTATCTTATCAATCTGATCAATGTGCATCAGTTGAAGATCCTTTAAAACACCTGCATGCCATTGATTTTTATTTCAGAAAGCATTGTTCGTGCTGTCTCAGTGACTTCATACCAGCAGTCAGTTATTGCTGACAATTATTAGCATATCTGAGACTTTCAATAGTTGAAATAGATATAAGAATTGAATATTTCACCCTCCTTACGTCTATCCTTGAGTCGCAGTTTTATCTGTAAAAAGGGGGTCTGTCGTTTTGCGATGATGATGGAAAGCTCCGAAATCGAATGATGGGCGGGTTTAGCGTCTCTTCTTTTGGGTACCCTGGGTACCTCCCTGCCCTGTTTCTTCCGCTTCCATTTTTCGGGGGGCGAACGCGGGTTACGGCTCTAGCACGGTACATCGCTGGAAGGTACCCCTGGCCCAGCATAAGCCTAAAAGATACTTTGAAATCAGCACGCCTATTCGCTCGCTAACATTTTATCCGCATCACCTGCCCTTCTGACCACCAACTTCAGTTCAACCTGCACCTACCCTGCCTGTAGTCAGGCTCAGGTTCTCACCCGCTATACCACTTTCCAAGTCTGCGCTCACGACCTTTTTCATCGCCCGTTTATCAACATCACAGCGCAAACATACCCCAGACGACAGAAATTTCTATAGACGCTCTCACCGATATTTTCAATCAGACGCTGTAAATCGAGGCGATAAGCGACGCGAAACTTACAATTCCTCCCTCAATGGCATCGTCGCCGATTGCGACGTGATCGCCTACCATGTCCGAGTCGACATCAACGTCGATCGACGCTGGCATTGCCGTCGCTACCGCACCGAACCCCCAAGAAACTCCCGTCGCGAATGCGCCTATCGAAACAAATACCAAAGATGCTCCTGCAACCCAATCTGACCCGGCCTTTTTGCATTCGCCTCCCGATAGTAACAACATGACGAAATCTGATGGTTCGGACTCTGAATTAAGCGACCTGGAAGACGAACCCATTCTAAGCGACCCGCCACAACCTATATCTTCTGGCGATAACGGCGCAAGCGATGAAAACAAAGAAAAGCCCAACGATGATATTGGTGAGGTTCTACCAGACCATTGGTCTGGTGCTGTACCTATCTTCAAACCTACCATGGACCAGTTCAGAGACTTCAAGCGTTTCGTATGTTGCCTTTTGGTCCCTTGTTTCCCACTGCTAATACGCACTCTAGATGGAAGCTGTCGATAGCTACGGTATGAAGTCTGGTATCATCAAAATTATACCCCCGCAAGAATGGAAAGAATCTCTACCCAAACTCGACGACCTAGTAAAGCAGGTTAGAGTTCGAGAACCTATTAAACAAGACATTATGGGATCCAATGGAACCTACCGTCAAGTCAATATCCTTCACGGGCGATCCTACAATATTCCCCAGTGGCGCCAACTCTGCGACCAAAGTGAACACCAGCCTCCAGCAAGACGTGGCGAGCGTCGCGCCAATGCCGAGAAGCCTAAGCCACGAACTCGAGCCGCTGCTATACCTAAACCTGCGGATCCTTCGATGCCAAAGAAGAGAGGTAGAGGACGACCCGCCAAGCGAGGAGGTAGGGGTGGAAAGCGGGTCAAGCAGGAACAAGCAGAAGATGCTGAAGACCGACCTATGACACCCGTCTCACCTAAGCTTGATGCTCCTGAGACTGAGGACAACCCTGTAGAGTCCGTCGAGAAGGACCCAGGTGAGGAGGTGGGCGACGACTTTGAGCCTACGGTTGGTCGCATGGGCGGTTCCCGACAAGCAAGGACCAAAACTCAAACGGTATCAGCCCGCCGTAAATATAGTCGCCGAGAGGGATCCGCTATGATCGACGAAGCTGCTTTCAAAGACTGGGACTATAAGATGGACGTGTCAGATTATACTCCTGAACGTTGCGAGGAGCTCGAGAGGGCATACTGGAAGACACTCACGTATGCACCTCCGCTCTACGGTGCTGACCTTATGGGCACCCTTTTCGACGAATCGACCGAGGAGTGGAACCTAAACAAACTTCCTAATCTTCTGGATGTCTTGGGAACAAAGGTCCCGGGAGTCAACACAGCCTATCTTTATCTAGGCATGTGGAAAGCCACGTTCGCCTGGCATCTGGAGGATGTTGATCTCTATAGCATCAACTACCTTCACTTTGGTGCTCCGAAGCAGTGGTACAGCATCTCACAGGCCGATGCTCGCCGCTTTGAAGCTACGATGAAGAATGTGTGGCCCACGGATGCCAAAGCCTGCGACCAGTTTCTTCGACACAAAGGATTTCTCATCTCACCTCAGCACCTCAAGTCGCATTACAACATCACAGTCAACAAAGTCGTTTCGTATCCTGGAGAGTTCGTTGTTACCTATCCATACGGATACCATTCCGGCTATAATCTTGGCTACAACTGTGCTGAGGCCGTCAATTTCGCGCTGGAATCTTGGCTTGATATCGGCAAGATCGCCAAAAAGTGCGAATGTGCGCAAGCGCAGGACAGTGTCTGGGTTAACGTCTACGAAATCGAACGCAAGTTGCGCGGCGAAGAAACGGAATACGAAGAAACCGAGGATGAAGAGGAAGAAGATGACGACGATGATGAACAAGCTGGCTTACCAACACCACCGTCCACTTCAGGCGTCAAGTTCAAGGAGACAGGTCGCAAGCGAAAACGCGGACCTGGTGAGAAGGGAGGCAAGGTGAAGGTCAAGAAGATCAGACTTCGTCTCAAGACTAAAGCCGAACCACCCTGTTGTCTCTGTCCCAATGATATCCCGACATCGGAACTACTCCCTACAGATGATGGTCGTAAGGCCCATCGATTGTGCGCACATTATCTGCCGGAGACTTACATCGAAGCAATAGACGGGAAAGAAACCGTTGTCAACGTTGCGGAGATCCACAAAGACCGATTTGATCTCAAATGTCTGTATTGCCGCTCCAAGCGCGGCGCATGCTTTCAGTGTTCTCAAAAGAAATGTGCCCGGGCTTATCATGCGACATGTGCAGCCGCTGCCGGTGTTTTCGTAGAGGAAGAGGAAGTGCCAGTCTTTGGCGAAGATGGCACAGAATACAAGGAGCAAGCTTTCGAGTTCAGTTGTCGATTCCATCGAACAAAACGAGACAAAAAGCTCGATGGAGACGCGTTGGAGGCAGACTCGCAAATCCGGGCAGCAGCTTCAAAGCTTCAGTCAGGCGAGACCTGCCAATTGCAATACCACAAGGGTGATATTTTCGCTGGTGTGGTGGTTGAGAACCGGGCTGACGAGCAAACATTGCTTCTTGATGTTTTACCAAATGGGTGCGCACAGCCATCATATCAACTTGATTCTTTTGAAGCCAGGCTAACTTTTCCCAGTGACCGTCTCGAAGTTGAATGGAAATGGCTTCTGGTGGCTGACCCAGCGGATTATCGACTCCCCAAAGCATCAGAAAAGGCTATCCCGATGCCTGTGTCACAAAAGGCTAAAGACAAGCTGAAGACCAAGCGCTTTGACGATGGCAAGCCCCAGAAGGACGACCCATTCGTTGAAGGCTGTACTTGGGCTGAGTTCCAGCTACAGGCTGTCACGAATAAGGAGCAGATCAAGATCAATTTCTCAAAGCCTGACCAGGTCTGGCATTACTTGCCCAAGACGTCAACCGAGGCCCGCGCTCAGTTCACTGAAGATCCCGGTCAGAAACGTCATAATCCTAAGGGCAACTTCCTCTCCACGGTTCCCAAAGCCCAGAAGCCCCCAAAGTCAGTTCCGGTATACGCTCCACGACAGCCTTACCAGTCTCCTGCCCCTTACCCTGCCAGCCGATTGGACAAGCCATACGTGTATAAGCCGCGGGTTGGCACCGAAACCAATTTCCCTGCTATGGGTAGCTTCACCACTCACAGGTTTACACCAGCTGCTCCTTCGCCCGCTCCTAACCAGCACCATCCTGTAGCGTATCACTATCCGTACGCACAAACTGCGCCCGTAGGACAACAACTTGCACCTACAGGACAGCACTCTGGCCCGACGTATTCTGCTCAGAGGTTCGAGGTGAGGTCTTCCCCGGCTTATACGCCACCTGGAAGGGCTCCTGCAGTGCAAGCCCCTGTAAATAACGTGGCACCACACTATCCCCCACATAATCAGTGGCCAAGAACAAATGCTGCCCCTCTTCCTGCGCCTGCGCCTACTCCTGCTGCAGCAACGCATCCTTACCATAGCGCCTACCAAGCTCCAGCACCAGTAACATACCAACAGGCTCGCCCTATGCAATCGCATCCTCAGACCAAGGGTACTTGGCAAGTATATCCGTCAATCTATCAGAAGTATCCCTTCTTCCAGGTCAACCACAATAGGTTTGTCTCGTAGGGTTGTTATGGTGATTTATTCTAACCTTTTGACAGAGACTCAAGCAAATACCGAACACCATATGCTGCTCAGAGGGGATTCGCAAACGGTTACGAGCTCAACCCAAAGGCTCATATGATGGCCAATCAAGGCGCCCTCCCGAGAGGCTCAATGCAGGACCGATCCCTACCAAGCAACCAGAACTACGGGGCACATAACTCACCATACCATCGTCCATCGGCTACACTACCGCCGGTGTCGTCTGGTTCGCAGATGCCCCTTGGTGGTCAGCATCAATTCAGACAACAACCGACCGCGAGGCTAGTACCAGCTCCATCGCCAGGGCCAAGCCCTTCGACCTTTGGCCAGTTACCTCGTCCTGCTATCAAGGCGCAGTATCTACCGCCTATGCAGACCCAAACACAGATGCAGGTACAGACGCAACCGCAGACGCAGACGCAGATACCAACACCAACCCCGAAACCCATGCCGAAGCATCAACGAGAACCTGAGCAAATCGCACAACCTCCCAATCAAAACAGCAAACCCAAGACTGCGGCAGTCTTCAAGCCGTACAAGGTGAGTACCAGGAATCCTCGATAGGAATGACGGGTCGGCTGAACAGCCCATCCAGATACCACCCAAGGAGTCGCCTGTGCCATTGCCAGCAAACTTTTTGGCGGCAATGACACCAACGCCGATTTCTCCTGCTATTAGGCAACCTGCTCTGCAGCAGCCCGAGAGCAAAGGCTCGCCCATCACGCCCAAGTCCGCGAAAAGGTTGCAAGGACCCCAACTATCGGCATCGAGTGAACATACTGTAAACAGACAACCGTTTGGTGCCAAGGTTTCCAACACGCCGGTGCCGATTCCGCGATTACCGGGACTTGTTCAAAAGTCAGCGTCTCGACCACAACAGAATGCCCCGCTTCACTCTCCAGCAGTGCTTCAAGGCCACTCGACCGAATTTCCACCTTCTCAAATAGGGGGTCCGGTGCTGACTCCTGAAGCGGCCAGGCGACAAGCCTATTTAGCATCACAGGGCAATGGCCATTCGACTGCGAATCAGGAATGTGCATCTCACACGGCAACACTGGCAAAGAACGCCCCATCTGGAACCCAGGAATTTTCAGACGTTCCGGGAAAAGAATCTATGGAATTCATGGATCGACTTTTGACCAATATCCGTACGATAGCTCACCGTGATGAAACGGCCTAGGTTATCCAGCATACTCAAGTTCTGAACTTTGTTCTCAAATACCCTTATACCATGGTACTTTCTTTTCAGGCTGCATGGAACGGCGTTTACGGAGATTTTGGTAGACCATGCTAACGCATCAGTCGAAACGGATTCAATGAATTTGGAGTGCGGAATGGGATGACAAAGCCCCACGAGGAATGAAAATGGCTTTTATGTATTACTCAATGTACAGCATGGTGATTCCAAAGCTCCCGCGAGGTTAACGGAGTTAGACATCGACATGGAATTAAATAAGGATGGAATGGGAATGTTTAAGCATTTCTTCCTCAGCATTAGGCTACTTGTGGTGTCGAACTTGTGATAATGTGAACCTGCCCGGTAGTAACTAACACCAAGACGCTTGGTCCATTTGGTAACGTACTTATACTTTCTTCGACGTATAACTATGGGGACGGTGGGCAATAAACTCACCTGCAAAAAACCGTCTGGCTGTCCATGGCCCTGTGTTTTGGAACTGTTGCAGGTTTTGAACGATGCTGCTTCAGGGTGATGCCGTTTAAGCTAAGAAGTAGATGATCTGCCTGAGTTTTGTACTGGTGAAACCAAAGATTTATCGTGATTTGAGGTCGAGAGTGATAAAGCAATTGAGTTCAAAAGATGAGTGTTGGATATGAGGTTAGAGAGACGAAGAATTGGTGCAAATTTGGGCCAGATTGATTACCTAGGTAGGTACCAACGTAAAGATATTATGGAATCGGATCGTTCCTGACTTCCACGTTACAGAGATAAGGATAGAAGCTGTTGAATTGTACTTGCCTGTATACAGTTTCTGCTTTGGCCTATGCCAGTGTGACGGCACTGAACACCTGACACTGTCACTTTTTGACGGGTCACTGCAGCAGTTGTAACGCTCACACTTAGCCCAACGCATCTCTCGTTATTATTTTATCGCCGACATCGTTCTCAATTCTCTCCTCCTTTGTCTTCACCGGAGAGAGAAACGAAGGCAGATACAACGCGCCGCTTCACCCCGCTATCCGCCACCATGGCTAACACATCAGCCTGGACGGAGGAGGATCGACAACTTGCACTCGGTGAAGATCCAGCATTCCCTGCCTGCCACTACCGTCGCGGATGTCTACTAGGACAAGGAGGATATGCTCGTGTTTATAAGGTCCTTGATGTCTGGAAGGGGACCGTATATGCCGGGAAATCCTCTCCTGACGCAGTTAAGCACTTGCGAAAGGAGGCCAAAATTCTGAGAAACCTCAGCCATGTACGTTCTGGTTCTGCAGCCAAACCTCTTTCCAGCTGGAGTGCCTTGTGGCTAACAACAAGGATAAAATCAGCCCAATATTGTCAAGTACATCGAATACTATGAAGAAAGGGACTATCCATCTGCGAATGTCCTTGTCATGGAGCTCTGCGCCGGTGGGAGTTTGCAGACTATGATTAACAACCATACCGAAGGCCTGACGCAAAAAGACACTCTGCACGTCTTGAACCAGGTCTCTCAGGCCATCGAATACCTCCATAGCAAAAAGCGGTTTCATGGAGATCTTAAACCGCGAAACATTCTCATACGCAAATGGAACCCCGTCGATGTTGTCGTCGCCGACTGCGCTGAGATCATGTCAGTCGACCACATCAACTGCCACAAGAGACCCCACGGAACACGCTCATACTGGTCACCCTATGTCTAGAGGCACCATAGGCACGAAGGCAAGAGCGATGACATGTGGGCGATTGGTATATCCCTTCTGGGTATGATGTCGCAATGGCCTTCGTATTACCAAAATGAGCAACGTTTGTATCCGCGACGATGCGCCTCACATGCGCGCAACTTGGATAGGCTGAATCCTGGTCACGAAATTGTGAAGCTACTCGTCCTCCTGCTCGAGTGGGACCACAAGCGAAGAATTGATGCCTCTCGACTGGTGGCACTGACGGCCGAACTCTTGGAAGCGCGTATTGTGAAGCCAGAGGGAACACCTGAGCCTGATAAGATGTGCCTAGAAGCTCCCAAGGGGTTTCAGGCGGTCGAATTCTGGTAGAACCGAGAATGGGGTAAACTTAAGACAGCTCATCATGCTGGGGTGTATGATGACTAGGGACGAGACGATAGAGATACGTCGAGTTCTTATGCAAGACGTGAAGGGCTATGAAGCAAATGAACAGAGCACAATTCATTAACAATGTTACTGGGTGATGTGCAGTATTAGTTCTGAGTGATGTAAACCAGCAAACTACTGAGCTCTGGGTAACCTCCGGCTGCGGACATGGTGGGATAAGAGAGGCTATTATCGGGTGAATTCCGATGCCCCGTAGCAAGTGCCGGAAGTCATCGAGCTCGTTGACTTGTCGAACCAATCGCAGCCCACGACTTACAACGCTCATCATTGGAACAAATGACGTGATTAGTGCAGACAGTTACCTTACTCTCTACTAAAAGATTAGTCATGCATATATCCCTCCCGGTTACGGCGATGTCGCACCAAGACCTACCCGTGGCTTGTGGAGAGAAGACTGTTGTTAACCCAGTTGGAAAAAGACGTGATCTCTTTTATTGGGGATATTCATGTAAGAAGCCTTTGCGAATTGTTGTTATCAGTATTTCAACCCTGACTAATGTAAAAAAGGGCCTTCTGTCGTTGTTAATGTCGCGCTCCATATTAACCTCAAGCTGCCCCTCCCAAATCGTGCTTCGGACTGCATCCCGACGCACTCTTATCCCTCTTCATTCTTACAGAGGATTCTCAAGCACTGTAAGCATCATGAGCAATCAAACTCAGAAACTCAAGCCCGCGGCTCGAGTGCAGGGTCAAAAGAAGGATGTTTGGTGAGATTCCTCCGATTCTCTTTTCTTCAACTTTAAGGATCGTGGCTCCTAACTCGGCCGGGGAATAGGTCCATGATCAATGAAGCTGCTGCTTCCTCGCCCATCCAGCCTATTGTAAATCTGGGCCAGGGTTTCTTTGGCTACAACCCGCCTGAATTCATCCTCAATGCTGCCAAGGAGGCTTTGGATCGTGTCGAGTGCAATCAGTATGCCCCGGCCAAGGGACGACCGCGGTTGAGGAAGGCCCTTGCGGATGCGTACTCACCATCGTGGGGCCGGGAACTGGATCCTGAGACCGAGATTATTGTCACTACCGGTGCTAACGAGGGTATGCTGAGTGCTTTTATGGGCTTTATCGAGGAAGGTGACGAGGTCATTGTCTTTGAACCCTTCTTCGATCAGTAAGTGTTCTCACTCTCATATTGAACAGTTCACTAACCTCTATGTAGATACATCAGCAACATTCAGATGCCTGGTGGTAAAGTCGTCTATGTCCCCCTGCACCCTCCTGAAAGCGGTGCCACCAAGGACTCTTCGGCCGCGGACTGGACAATCGACTTTGAGGAGCTGGAGAGGGCATTCACGCCCCGCACCAAGATGATCGTCATCAACACTCCCCGTGAGCATTCACTCAAGTCTTATGCTTACTTCAGCGCTGATATCTAGCAGACAACCCCGTCGGTAAGGTCTTTTCGAAGAAGGAACTCCAAGGAATTGCAGATCTCGCTGTCAAGAACCAAACCATCATCCTCTCAGATGAGGTGTACGACCGTCTTTACTACGTACCATTTACCCGCATCGCCAACCTTTCTCCTGAGGTGGAGAAGCTCACTCTTACTGTTGGGTCTGCTGGAAAGAACTTCTATGCCACCGGCTGGCGTGTGGGTATGTTTACATGCTTCTTAGCTATATCGAACTTCCCTGCTAACACTCTATAGGTTGGTTGATTGGCCCTCAGGAACTCATCCAGCCCGTCACTGCTGCTCACACCCGAATCTGCTTTTCCACGCCCGCTCCCTTCCAAGAAGCCTCTGCCATTGGTTTTGAGCAGGCTGGCAAGAACGGTTTCTGGGATGACACTATCAAAGAGATGAAGTCCAAAGTGGACCGCCTGAAAGAGGTGTTTGAGGAGCTTCATCTGCCTGTCACTTACCCCGAGGGCGGTTACTTTCTTCTGGTCAACATGGCAAAGGTCAAGTTGCCCGAGGACTACCCTTTCCCTCCTCACGTTGCTGATCGCCCGCGGGACTTCAAGCTGGCATGGTTCCTTATCCAGGAAATTGGTGTTGCGGCTATTCCTCCAACTGAGTTCTACACTCCCAAGAATGCGCACTTGGCGGAAGATTATATCAGATTTGCTGTGTGTAAGAACGATGATGTTCTTGAGCAGGCTAAGGAGAGACTAAGGGAACTGAAGAAGTATATCCAGGAGTAGATAGGTACTGCTGTGGAATGAAATAAGAAGGAAGCTATAGACATACACATATGAATCGAAGCGTCCCTTTACCTAAATTCATGCCCATTATGTTTTTAATATCGCAGTCTCTCAACTCCGATGCAAAAGTGGAGGGTCCCGATCGTGGAACTGTCCTATCGAGAGGCGGAGCCGGCCGTTAGCGAGGTGCATCGTGGGGTAGAGAGGCTCTTTAGGCGCTTTCCCCGCACAGATACTCATACAGTGAGTGGTCGGGTGTGAATCGGGCTTATCAGTGGCAACGAATTAACGTTAACACGTCCCAAACATTCATAATCCGTGCTCCCATTCGCTCGTTGTTTGCTATCAAATGTATCTTGCTTGGGAAGAGGAAGGTGCTGTTGTACAAAACAGACCGACACAGGGGACAAACACTCCATTGAACCCGCTATCTAACCCTTGACGGGTACCACCAACACACTACCTAATGTTAGTTGTCTCGTGGGCCTCCCCTCCATCCAAAGTACAACCTAAGGCGAAACGCTACAGGGCGACGCCTCGGCTCGTTTTTGATAAGAACCCTAGAAAGGCCCATTCCATTGCCTTTCACTTCTTTTCAATAGATTTCTCTCCTTTCCTCTCCTTTCCTCTCCTTTCCTTTCCTGTTCTATCTCTTGAATCTTTCCGCCCTAAAAAGTTCACTGATAATACTCATCGTCCCCCTCTTCTTATCAGTGTCATGGCGCCTAGCGCTGTATCGCCCGTAAGGGAAACAAACCCTGAACCCCTTGCAACTCTAACCTCCAAATTCGACGACACCCTCCGATTCTACCTCAACGGAACAAAGGTTGTCCTGGACGAGATAGACCCAGAGGTCACAGTTTTGGAATATTTGCGAGGAATTGGCCTCACAGGGACAAAACTGTAAGTATTTACCCTAGAATATCCACCATCTGTGACGCTGACAACTCTAGTGGTTGTGCTGAAGGCGGGTGCGGAGCGTGTACAATAGTGATAAGCCAGTATAACCCAACTACCAAGCAAATCTACCATGCCAGCGTCAATGCGTGTCTGGCCCCTCTCGCCAGCTTAGATGGCAAACATGTCGTCACGGTTGAAGGCATTGGCAACTCTCAGAAACCTCACCCAACCCAGGAACGTATCGCCAAGTCAAATGGCAGTCAATGTGGTTTCTGCACTCCTGGTATTGTAATGAGCCTGTATGCTCTATTACGGAACAACAACTCCCCTTCCAAGGATGACATCGAGGAAGCATTTGACGGCAACTTGTGCCGTTGTACCGGCTACCGTTCTATCCTGGATGCCGCTCAAACATTCAGCGTTGACAAGCCCGGTATGAAGTTCAAGAAAGCCGGTGGTACCGGGTGCTGCATGGAGAACGGCAATGGCCCGCCTAGCGGAGGTTGCTGTATGGATAAGGCGAACCTCGACGATAAGCCCATCAAGAGATTTACGCCCCCAGGATTCATCGAGTATAACCCAGATACAGAGCTCATCTTTCCCCCTGCTTTGAAGAGACACGAGTTACGGCCACTAGCTTTCGGAAACAAGAGACGGAGGTGGTATCGCCCTGTCACTGTCGAGCAACTCTTGCAGATCAAGAGTGCTCATCCCCAAGCCAAAATTATTGGTGGCAGTACAGAGACCCAGATCGAAACCAAGTTCAAAGCTCTTGAATATCCTGTCTCTGTTTACGTTGGAGATATCGCTGAGCTACGGCAATACAGTTTCAAGGATGACCACCTCGAGATCGGTGGTAATGTTGTTCTGACCGACCTAGAAAACATCTGCGAACATGCTATCCCACACTACGGGCGAGAACGCGCTCAGGTCTTTGAGGCCATGCTCAAACAACTCAAGTTTTTCGCTGGTCGACAGATCCGAAATGTTGGAACACCAGCTGGTAACTTGGTCACAGCATCACCAATCTCGGATCTCAACCCTGTGCTATGGGCTGCGAATGCTGTACTAGTGGCGAAGTCATCTACCAAGGAAATTGAAATCCCAGTCTCTCAGTTCTTCACAGGCTACCGAAGGACAGCACTCGCCCAGGATGCAATTATTGCCTCAATACGCATCCCAGTCACTCAAAGCAAAGGCGAATACTTCCGAGCCTACAAGCAGGCAAAAAGAAAGGACGATGACATTGCTATTGTTACCGGTGCACTGAGGATTCGTCTTGACGATGGAGGCGTTGTTCAGGAGGCGAACCTTATCTATGGTGGCATGGCTGCTATGACAACTGCCGCCAAAACCGCTGGGGAATACCTTGTTGGGAGACGTTTCGCCGAGTTGGATACTCTCGAGGGCACAATGAATGCACTTGGTCGCGACTTTGACTTGCAATTCGGTGTTCCAGGTGGCATGGCGTCTTACCGGAAGTCATTGGCTTTCGGTTTCTTCTACCGATTCTATCATGACGTCCTTACGATACTGGACGGCAGCTCCGAACAGGTCGATAAGGAGGCGATTGACGAGATTGAGCGAGACTTGTCAAAGGGAGAGGTCGATCAGCATGCTGCTGTAGCCTACAAGAAGGAAGTGACTGGAAAGTCCAATAATCATCTGGCGGCCCTCAAGCAGACGACAGGCGAGGCACAGTACACCGACGACATTCCTTCGTTCAAGAACGAGCTCCACGCCTGCTACGTTCTTTCAAAACGGGCACATGCTAAGCTCATTTCTGTTGATTACGCGGACGCTCTGGAGATCCCTGGTGTAGTGGACGTTATCGACAAAGATGATATGCCATCCCCAGAAGCCAACAAGTTCGGCGCACCGCACTTCGACGAGGTCTTCTTCGCTGAAGACAAGGTCATGACCGTGGGTCAACCTATTGCACTTGTTCTAGCAACTTCTCCCCAGCGGGCTCAGGAGGCGGCTCGCGCAGTCAAAATTGAATATGAAGACCTACCAACAGTGCTTTCGATAGAAGACGCTATCGCAGCCGACAGCTACCACAAATACTACCGGGAGCTCAAGAGTGGAGATACAGAGAAAGCTTTCAAAGATTGCGACCATATTTTCACTGGAACCGTGAGAATGGGTGGGCAAGAACATTTCTACCTTGAGACGAACGTCTCTCTGGCTGTTCCCAAGCCCGAGGATGGGGAGATGGAGATCTTTGCCAGCACGCAGAATGCTAATGAGACGTAAGTATCAACCCTTTTCTTCCAACTGCGAGACTCTAACCATTCAATCAGGCAAGTCTTTGCCTCACGCGTGTGCGATGTACAAGCCAACAAGGTTGTCGTCCGTGTCAAACGTATGGGTGGTGGTTTCGGTGGAAAGGAGACGCGGTCAGTGACCCTCAGCTCTGTATTAGCGCTCGCAGCAAAGAAGACGAAGAGGCCTGTCCGATATATGCTGTCGCGAGAGGAAGACATGGTTGTAAGTGGCCAGCGACACCCCTTCCTTGGTAAATACAAGGTCGGAGTCAACAAAGATGGCAAGCTCCAGGCCTTGGAGTGCGATGTCTTCAACAATGCAGGTTGGACCTTTGACCTCAGCGCAGCTGTGATGGAACGCGCAATGACCCACATCGATGGTTGCTACAGTATTCCCAATGTTCTTGTCCGAGGACGACTGTGCAAGACGAATACAATGTCCAACACGGCATTCCGAGGATTCGGTGGGCCCCAAGGTATGTTTATTACTGAGACATTCATGGAAGAAGTGGCCGACCGGTTGGGAATGCCCGTCGAAACGTTGCGACAAATCAACATGTACAAAACAGATGGCCAAACGCACTTCGGACAAGGCCTGGGAGATTGGTTTGTGCCACTCATGTACAAGCAAGTACAAGATGAGTCTATGTATGAAGCTCGCCGACATGTTATCACCGACTTTAACCAGTCCAACAAGTGGAGGAAGAGGGGTCTGGCATTGATTCCAACCAAGTTTGGTATCTCGTTCAACGCTCTGTTCCTGAATCAGGCTGGAGCATTGGTGCACATCTATCACGACGGATCTATCCTGGTGGCTCACGGTGGCACTGAGATGGGACAGGGCTTACATACCAAGCTCACGCAAATTGCCGCCCAGGCGTTGAGTGTCCCACTGGAAAACGTCTTCATCTCGGAGACTTCGACAAATACGGTGGCCAATGCGTCTGCGACAGCTGCTTCAGCCTCTTCTGACTTGAACGGATATGCTATCTTCAACGCATGCGAGATCCTGAACGAGCGTTTGGCGCCATATCGAAAGAAGCTGGGTCCTGAGGCTACGATGAAGGATCTTGCCCATGCTGCTTACTTTGACCGAGTCAACCTTTCTGCGCAAGGCTTTTACAAGACACCCGAGATTGGGTACGACTGGAACACGGGCAAGGGCAAGATGTACTTCTACTTCACTCAGGGAGTTGCTGCAGCCGAAGTGGAGGTTGATCTGCTAACCGGAACATGGACCTGCATACGTGCAGACGTCAAGATGGATGTTGGTCAGTCAATCAACCCGGCGATTGACTATGGCCAGATCCAGGGTGCGTTTGTCCAAGGTCTCGGACTTTTCACCATGGAGGAATCGCTATGGCTGCGAAACGGTCCGATGGCAGGACATCTCTTCACTCGAGGTCCTGGAGCATACAAGATCCCTGGTTTCCGCGATATTCCCCAAACTTTCAACGTGTCTCTCCTCAAAGATGTCGAGTGGAAAGAGCTGCGAACAATCCAGCGCAGTCGCGGAGTAGGCGAGCCTCCCTTCTTCATGGGCAGTTCTGTCTTCTTTGCTATTCGAGATGCGCTCAAGGCAGCTCGTGCCCAATCGGGAGTCAAAGCCGAGGTTGGCGATGACAACTGCAAGGGACTTCTCAGACTTGAGAGTCCGGCGACGCCTGAGAGGATTAGGTTGTCTTGTGAGGATGATATTATGCGCAAGGCAAGAGTTGTGCCTCAGGAGGGAGAAAAGAGTTTCTTTGTGGCTATCTAACGTAGAAGTTATGGTGTGTCGACGACAGGAAGAGGGCTCTATTATGATTATGATATTTGGGACATAGGGTGATTTGAATGGAGTATGGGATGCTATAACCAAAATTGAGGCCCTGATATGCGCGAATAATACGAATTATGATGTATGGGAAATTTCCTTATGAAGTTATGTGACTGTCAGTAACATCTTCAAGTGAGATTACCCTATAGCTGGAATGTGTGTATGTGGACTTCAAGAACCGATATGCAGCCGTGTACATTATATTGACTTGACCTCGGGCATCATCATCTATTTCTAACTGTATGTTCATATCAACAAGATACTTTTTGATTCAATTGCATAGACCATATATCCAATGGGTATATGCTTATAGACTTTGGTCTACTGAACGATGTACCCGTACTTAGCCGATACCCGGAACGGAACCATTAAATAGGTAACCTTGACCGGTATTCGTAAATGAGCGCAGATCGGAGCTTATAGCAGTGCAGTATAGCGCAAAGGTGTCTGAACTTAAACGGTTGAGGGATTATAGAGTGCAATGACTACATCATAGTAGAGTACCTGGCTGCTGACATTGGACATGGAAGACATGGATTAGACAGAACAGAATACCGCGCAAAGATGGCCCAGACGAGCGATTGCCTGATTGGGAAAAGTGTGTCTGCCTGCTTTAGCGCACCTTGACCGAAGGTGAGGTGAAGATCCTGGAACATGGTAGCATCCTATTTCGAGAGTAGAAGAGGTCAGCAGATGGAAGCCCCAAAGTTGGTTGAGATGGCCAGCCACTCAACTCGGCCACTCTCCGACTCGCTCTTTGACTTAATATGTCTCCCCCAGAGTTAGAATTACTCCAGGATACCCATGGGCCGAGTGCATAATGGAGCGGAAGAAGTGAAAATGGTTGAACAAGCGCAGACCACCAGCCAGAGTCTCAACCCTGTATGTACACCGTTCAAATCCTTTAATTAGGTAATTCTTTTAAGGGTAGTAAAAGACTGTGGCGCTGTGTTGTCTCGGCACTTAGAGTCGATGGAATGTAATGGATTGGAGGGTTTAATGTATAACATGAAAGTGGTTGTTCTATAGAGCCAGTTATAGAGTAGAATGTAGAATACTCAGATCGATCTGTCACTGCAATCCGGAGGTATGGAATTCAACCCGGACCCGTCCCGGCCGCTTGCCCACTGTAACCGGGGACCATTCCCTAGGTAAACCCCGCTATTGTTCATTTATCGACGGGAGCATTAGACAGGTCCAGTGCCTGAGAAGGAAGTGACTATGGTCGGTTTCTCCTTAAAAAAACTCGCAAGTAAAACTTGACTTCACCTGACCATCAATTTGAGACAATTACTATCGAGTCATCATCCAGTTTTGTCTCTCTCACATTACGGATACCAATACGACATTCAAACATAAACTGGCTGATCAACAAGGGCCCACTTCGCTCATAAGCTGTTTCTAGCCCCCACAGACGTAGAGGTAGCTTTCTTTCCAGTAGGTTGGAGGCTGGCCATAAACCAAGCCCAGCCTATTTCGGCCCCAGGCCTAAGCCTAGGCCTAAGCCCAAGCCTTAGCCTAGGCCAAACTTCATCGTCCAGGGCTTCGCCAGTCTTTTTTACCTTCTTCTTCGACCCGGACAGTTGCTTGCCTCGGGCGTCTATTCTTTTACCTCCCTCGGGACAGCCTCGGCTGCTGAGCTATCATATCAATTCACCTTCTCGCCTTCGTTGCAATCGACTCGTCTCCATTGGCATCTCATCCTTTCGACCGTTTCGCGCTCACACCACTTGCGCAGCCACTTCCCACTTCCCGCCTCCCCTCCCCTCCCCTCCACGGGACCATTTCACGCGCGCGTACGATTCTACCAAGGAAACGAAACATTGAAAGCTACACACGACAAGCCTGCATCTGCATCTGAAGCACGCATAACCCCACAGGAATCCAAATAGCATCAGCTAGCCGCCAACAACGTGCGAATGGATCGTGTCGCTTCGGCTGAGCTATAGACCATACAAAACTGCTGCAGCGAGCCGCAAATGATCTGCGAACCTGACGCCGCCTTGCGTAACCTCGAGATCCAATGGGAGCATAAGACAAAATGACCGACCGGAATGCTGCTGCCATGGCCATGGGCAAGAGCGTCAAGCAAGAGCTAGCCAAAGATGACGATGGCAAGACCGTGAATCGCGACAAAAGCTCGAATACAGCCGCTCCAGGCAATCATAAGACACCTACTAAGAAGAGACGTAAAGTCAACCACGGTACGTCATATAAAAAAGGACCCCTTCTCGCTTGTACGGGCACTTCATGCGCTGTTGCGCATTGCGCCCATGGGTATATTGGTGTTGGGGTTGGGAGTAAGAGTCGTGATAGAGGATTCATTATTGTAGCTGGGACCAAAGAATCTTGAATCGCGACCAATCAATTCACTGAGCTATCGACTTTTTGACTCCCAACCCCGGCAGCAAGGCTTATCATGGCGCATACATCTATCTGAGGCAAGAATGGTCTGGGCTGACATCGCTGGGGCACCTTATTATAGCTTGCGTTTACTGCCGACGATCTGTAAGTCAACCCCAAACCCGGCAATGAGCCTTTGAATTGGTTTCATATGGCCTTCAAACAGCCTTGAGAGTTCCATGAAGCCATCTTCTTTATTAAGTGGGACTTCTGTATGACGACACAACACGTATGAATCAATCTGCGGCTTGTTGACTTATACGCTGCCTATGTGAATGTGAGAGAACTGCAGCTAACATTTGTGCGCGTCTAGCATATGACTTGCGATCTTGTAAGTAAGATCCTAGGCAGCCCCTGCTTCTCTCTCTATGAAAACATGTTGCGACACCTGAGCTGCAGCCGCTGTGTTCTGGTTTTCAGGGGGAGGGTTCGCCTTTCTACACCGTCGAAGCTATGTGACTGACGCCACGGATAGGAGAGGCCATGTACCAGATGTATCAAGCGCAACATTGGCCATCTCTGCCACGATGAGCCTCGCGATGCCGACTCCAAGAAGGCAAAGAGTGTCCAGAGCACCCAAAGCATACAGACCCCTTCAGTAGTCGATGAAACGGATGCACAATCCGACATGGCTCGTAGTTCCATCTCCAGCACTATGGGCCCACCTCCCCCCACGTTTGATACGACGAGGCAGCGAGCAGGTTCCAAATCTTTTGGGGGAGTGTTGGGCCAAGGCAGCCCGCTGTCCATTGTGCAACCCAGCCAAGTCTCGGGGCTGCAGGGCAATGTGTTGAACAACGGCAACAGTAACGCGAATCAATGTACGTGTTGTGTCCCTCTGTCCTGCCCTGAGGGGGGTCTATCCCCTTTTGAAATTTTCGATCATGAGCGGAGCATGGTGGGCTGAGGCCGGGGCTGCCCAGGAATATGTTCCTGATCTCAGATCGCTGACACGCCACTTAGTCGCGGGTTTCCAAGACGCATGGATGACAGCCCAAAACCATTTTCATGATATGCCCAGCTACCACCCCAACTACATGATTGCCCCAGAAGTCACTCACGAGTTCAATCTTCTCAACGACTTCCTTCATACTAGTCTGCTTGATGACGGCGGTGTGCCGCCAGAGGATCAACATAGTCCAGCGTTCAAGAGGTCGAGCCAGAGTCAGTCGGAGATGCTTCCCAGGTTTGGAAATAACAACAACGCCAACTCCATGGCAGGCGGTGGTTCAAGCACCATGCCAAACGTGTCAGGAGGAGCAATGCTGCCACCCCCACCGAATGCCGAGGGCAAGAACATTCCACGACCGGGAAGCGTTGTGCCCGCTGACAAGGCCCGCGAATACTATCTACAAGCTGCCGACCCGTCGGGAAATGATACGCCTGAGGAGCGTATGGCACGTGTACTCAAGGCCAAGTACGACGCTGGACTACTCAAGCCGTTCAATTACATCAAAGGTTATGCTCGCTTGGGTACATATCTCGATTCGCACATCGCGGCGTCATCCAAGCAAAAGATTCTGCGGACAATCGACCGGTTTCGGCCCTTGTTCCGAGAAAAGGCACATGCTTTGACGGATATGGAGCTCGTGTACGTTGAAATGTGGTTTGAGAAACAGCTCATGGACTATGATCGAGTTTTTGCCAGTATGGCTGTCCCAGCGTGCTGCTGGAGAAGAACCGGCGAGATCTTCAGGGGCAACAAGGAGATGGCGGAGCTGATTGGCGTATCAGTAGCCCAACTCAGAGATGTGAGTCTTGCTTAGCCTGCACCTCTTCGTGACCGAGTGCAATGGTGTCGACTGAATCACAGGGGGGCTGTTGGGATGGATTGCTAACGCTCGCTTACTCTAGGGCAAGATTGCGTTGCACGAGATTCTCACAGAAGAATCTATGGTGCGTTACTGGGAAGAGTTTGGCACGATTGCCTTCGACCCAGCGCACGAGACCCTCTTGACAGCTTGCTCTCTAAAGAATCCTAATTCTGGATCGAGCCACCCGATTGTGAAATGTTGTTTCTCATTCATGATACGAAGGGACGAACACAAATTGTATGTGCTTACTACCCAATCCATATACGGCCACCCCGTTCCTAATTGCTTTTCAACAGGCCAGCTTTGATTGTTGGTAACTTCTTGCCACATGACCCGCCAGCACAATAGAGAGGGCGGTGTATGGATATACATGTCATGTATAACTTTGATGACTAGAAACACTACATAACTTGTCACACTTGTAGAGGAATGCCGCTTGGTTTTCGAGTTGTAGTGAAGGACATGAAATCACCAGGATAGGGAACGGCGCATGGATGCGCAAATGAGGAGCGTATGTATGTATGTTGCTCGCAAATACGTTAGACAGAAGACAACAGTTTGAATACGACCTTGCTCTTGTGTAGGTCTTTAGTGATAGAAGGTAAAAGCGAAGTGCTTGAATTCCACGAGTAGGCCGTTTTTGGCTCTCGGGCAGGAGTTAGCAGTGCTGGCAATGAACGGAAGGAGCTCCCATATTGCTCCTGCCTTTCTGCGTTGCGCAGGTCACTCACATGACTTTGATTAGAATACATTATTCCTAGCGGCTTCGTTTCTCAACACTTGCTTCAGTACCTCACTCTGTGATCTCAATTATTCTTTGTCAAGGCGCCCGCTGGTCCCCTGCTTACAACCACCATGCCGCCGGCCGACTTATCGACCACAGGCCATATCAGGAAGTTCGAGGCGATTGTGGGTAAGTAAAGGGTAATCGATGGATTTGTATAGATTACTGATCTTCCTTGTTTGCGCAGAGTTTGCAACGGATCTCTTATCAAAATTACCCACCTCCTGTGACTCGATCTCCATCGACGTCCTCCTTTTCGATCTGAATCATCACATATCCACGGCCAACACTTTAGTCGAGAATCGTGTCGTCGCCCCAATTGAGATTTCTAAGGAGCTTAGAGACATTGGAAGAAGATTATGGAACGAGTGTATCAAAGCGAGGAGAAGGAGGGACGACCTTCTGCAGTCCCCTTTAAGGCTTCAGCTACAGGTTCGCGCTCGAGTCTTGGCCTTTCTTGTCCACGCTTTAGCGCGAGAGTATCGGCGTGGAAAGAACAAAGATAACATGCAGGAGATAGTTTATATGATGGGTTTGTCGCTTACTTTGGCAAGAGTGTGCGTTGAATCGTCGGACCTCGAAGGGGCGCTTCTGAGCATGGCCAAGGCTGCTGACTACATCGAACGGCTAAAAGGCATGGAGAACGTAACCGGTGACGATCAGGCTCAGATACGAAAGATTGAGGCAGAGTACTTGACCATGCGGTGCGCTTTAGTAAGTCCAGAAGTCCAAAACTCCACCAGGTCGCTGACCCTTTTAGTCTTGGAAACAAGGGCGTCTTGATGTTGCCGAGCACATGTTTGCCAAAGCCAATACTCTTTTACATCATCTTGATCCATCCTCTGCCGAACAGCTTGCAGACACATTTCACTCTATCGGAACTGACCTTTCATCGAGGAACGATTATGACATGGCTTTGAAGTGGCTACGGCGTGCGCTTGGTCTTATTAATGAGCAGGAACTGGAGATAATATCAACAGAGGGGCTCGAGCTTCGGATGGCTATTCATCATGAGCTTATTCAAGCTTTACTCGCTACAGAAGCAAAAGAAAGCCTGCAGGAAGCTGACGACTTGGCATCACTTGTGGAATCAGAGATTGGAGACAAGCCTGTAGTTCTGCATTGGAAACTGGAGATTCTTCAAAAGTCTCCGAGCGAAGTCTTCGATGAAGATGCATGTGCGAGCATACTTCGTCGTATGATTCGGTCTCTTGATCTTTCCGATGCTGGGCTGGGCTTCCTTCTGCATGCCATCAGTGAGCTGCGCACAAGAGGACCTCAATTAGCAGTCGGCCTGATGGGAGAACTGATACTCAAAAAGCTAATCCCATCTGGGAACATGAATTGGGTAGGGAAAGCCCTTGTTCGGCGTGTTTGGATGGCTATGATGGAAACCGATACAGCTGCGAGTGTAGCGGACTTGATTCGAATCCTGGACCAAGTTGCTCAAGAAGCTGGCCAATGTGATGTCGATGCCGCAACTGCTGCCCTTTCAGTAAGTACTGTCATGGTGTCATTGCACTCTTCACGCCACTAATTTCAGAAGCTCATATGGAAGAAACTCGACGCAAGCTATTCCAAAAAGCAGTACCCGGAATCTCAACTCTGGTGCCAGCTTGCACTCCACCCGATCTTTTCTACCAGCGGCGACGCAAGTCAAGGAAAATTCAGTCGCCGACTAATGCTTTGTGCCATCGCTTGTAACGATGCGGAGACCGCACATTCCGCTTTTCATATCATGCCTAAGAGCATCCAAGATGAACCACTCACAAGATATCTCATGTTCAAAGTATCTCTATTGAATTGGGACCAAAACCTGGGATGCCAGTGTATCAGATTTCTGAGCAAACTGACAGGAAAATCTCAGTGTCGAGATATATTGTATGCTTGTGTGAAAGAAGCTCAGAATGTTGGTCATAGACTATTGACGTTAGAGGCTCTAAAAGCAGTCGCCGACACCTTTGACGCTGATAGCTCTTGGACTGTCAATATGCCTTCGATTTTCCGATGTACCATCAGACTGATTCATACGATCGAGTCACAGGATAGCGATTCGACGGACCAAACCACTGAGCTCGCCGAGGAGACATGTCGAATTTTTGAGAAGGGTAAGATTTACAGCTACTAGCTTGGGATTTGCTAACACAAACAGCTGGTGAAACTGCTAAATTGCATCCTAAAGACGAGAGAGGGGACAAAATTTTCACACTCCCAGAGTTACATTGGTTTCGAAAGAACGCTTACAACATTGGCGTCACAAATTGTCACATATAGGAGCTGTGGCACCTAATCCGTATATTCCGTGCCAGTATCCTCTTCGTGAGCTGTTATCCTTCTGATATATCCTCAGAAGATGATGCTGATTTGCGATTAATGGCTGCTCGCTGCCATTTTGTCATCGCTGCAGCACTTGGCTCACAAGCTCGTACCGAAGACAGGGTAGATGAGCAACTTCAAAATTATCTCGAGTCAAGGCGACACATTTCAGAATTCGAGAGCCTTTTTGAATCTCACTTCCAGACCGACACCAAGTCCCAGGTTAATCGCGATCTCCTGGCTAAGCTGTCAACACTCTTCGTTTTCGACTTTGAAAGCGCCATTTGCTTGAAGAATTGGGATGACTTGGGGCAGATTGTCCGAAAGGCCCGAATCTGTAAAGATGAGATCACTTATAAAGCAATGGGAGACTGCCTGCTGAGGAGTGAAGCTTCAGGTAACGGTACGTGTTAGACGACATCTACCAAATCAGAAAGTGAGGCTGACGTCGTCTCAGTCGTGTACAGCACGATGCGTCTCATCATCAATGAGATATTTTCACTGGAGCAATTCGACAATCAACGACTCGCCAAGTACATACGCTGCATGTTTCAGGCCATTCTTCCCCTGAACGACAACCTCGCTCTACAAGTCGTCGAACAAGCCGTTCAAATCGCACGGGAGGGAAGCCAGGTCAATGACGCCTTATCTCTGCTGCCACCTTCAGCGGACATATTTTCCATGGAGCTAATACTGGGTTACAGATGCAGAAACCCTTTCCCGCAGAGGACTTGGATTGGATCATCCCAACGATATTCAACCATGGCATTGACATCCTTGCAAGGGGCGACCGAGATCTATGCCAGCAGTGGACTCTGAAAGCCCTAGACTTGGCGGAGTATGTGAACGACGGTGGCAACATGAGAGATACACTTCGTGAGAGAGTTGTCAAGTTGAATCTTAGTAAAGGGGCATCTGATTGAGGTCTTTAATAGTATTTGCCGTACCAAAAATGTTCCTTATTTGTTCGCACACGGCTGGCTTAGCATACGATGAGTAAACATTAAGAAATGTGCAAGCTGAAACTTGTCTAGTACATCTGTGCTACACACAACGGGTGAAGTCGTGTTTCATTATAACTGTTGCAAAAGAGCATACAGCTCTATGAGTCCCCATTCAACAACGCCAGGTGCGCCTTCGTGCTATGCAAAATCCCGTACTTGTCTCATGCAGTGTGTGGTATCTTTGTACAGATTCTCCCCAAGCAGTGCCACCTCGGAGCAGCTATACACAATACATTAAGACGCCGTATGAACGCAAAATGCATCAAAAACCAGGCTATGTATATGCACCCTATCCTCTCAACTTTTTCCAAGTAAGCCAGCTTCCAGCACTAGACAAGGAAGACGTGCCTCGTAAATAAACATTAAAAAATCGCTTCATAACGCCCCGCCAACACTTCATATGATGTTGGCAATACTCAACCGCTCTTTGCTGGTTGGTGGTCCAGGTACACTTCCACTTGGTGTCCTGCTCCCGGGTATAGGGCTCACTGCCGTGCTGCCCCCTCCCAACTTCGGTAACTCAGAACCGAAACGCGGAACATCACCCAGCCTTGGGAGTTCCACCGCTGGCCCGGGTGTTTCGCTCTTGATAGGAGGTGGTAACTTCCAGGTAGAGCTCGATGGAGTCGGAGTCGTGACTGGCACAGCGTCCAGCCCACGCACAGCAGTCTCAAGCCTTGCCCACCCACCCCATTCTTTATTGTCAACATCATCCAACCCTGTACGCGCCTCGGGACTGAACAGCTCACTACTGGATACTGCGTTGGAGTGTTGAAATGGTGAGGATGTTTGAGGCATCGGGACCTCGCGTTCAAGGCCTGCCCAGAGCCATGAAGCGTCAGGCGAGGCTTGAAGATCGGCCGAAGCATACGCAATCAGATCTTCGTCGCGGGAAAGCATTTGTAGCAGAGCTGTCTGGTCAATCGATGGTCTCGAGGACCCGAAGGGCGGCGGTGCGGTCCTTGCTAAGTAGTTTGTGTACTCGACTCGTTTTGTTCCCAAGGCCGACACAAAGAATGCCAAGTAACGGCCACAAGCGACAGTGACATCCCTTCGTCGGTCGATCGAAGCCAAAGCTCTCACTGCCGTCACCGCAGGATCCAGGTAGCCCATGAGAAGGAGGAAAAGGGCACAGCGAAAGATGTGCGTGGTTAACAAAGCAGTTGCACCATCTGCCAACAGGGTCGCGTTGGATCGGTGGAGGAGAGATATGGTTTCGAGAGATATGTGTGTGCAGCTTTCAAGAGAAGCCATCCGAGCTTCAAGGGGGTATCCTGGATCAAGATGATGCCGGTGCAACAAAAGACGTGCGTGAAACAGGTATGCTAGAGGAGAAAGGAAGTGAGGCTCCAAAGGCACAGTACTCGATGGGTCGCAAGCTGGAGGGAATGTGTTCAGGCACTTCTTGAAATGAGTGTCTAGAGTCGAGAGATGCACCGAAGACAACGTTTGAGGCGTTAGCGCTGCGAGAAGGGATGAGTACGATCGCACCACATGAATGACAGCGAGCAAAGAATGAGTTAGGGGTTCCGAACCCGTAGGCACAAGCATACCACCTTCGTGGATGAACTGATCGTCTACTCCGGCTGGCAACGACACATCGCAGTCATCGTCAATGATCAATACTGGTCGACTAAGCTCAGTTGCCAGTGTCCTGTCCAATATGTAGATCATCCACCAGGTTCTCCGTCGCATCTCTCCTTCAATGACTGGCCATGGGCCCGATTCAATATGTAGACTCAGATCCTGAGAAACACGAACTGCTCTTCCTAGCCACGTCCATGCCGCTGACTTGAGATTCATCTCGTTTAGGCAAAGAGTAACCAATGTTAACGCCCGAGCGTGGTCCAGAGTGAAGTCATCAGCCCAAGGATCGATCATTTTGTTGGCTGTCTCAAGAAATTCGGCAGGCTCATAGAATGAGTTTGGCTGCGAGTTTGACGTTGAGCTAAAAAGACTGCCAGTAGCCAAGACCGCAAAGAACAAAGAAAGCCAGGCCGGGGACATTCTGGCGACAGCGTTGTTATTGTAGAGGTCATTGACTGATGCTCGGAATGTAGGAAAATGTATAATCGGAAACATGGAGTGGGACGAGTTGAGATAAGCGTGTAACAGCTGGTCTACCAGATGCCTAGCAGGCAACTCTGGTCTTGGAGGGTCGAAAAAGACGGGCGCTCGTTCACGGTATTGGGCTGGCAGTTTCCAAATGCCCCTCGAGAAATCGCGTACGTTTGATCTCGCTCGAGCTAGCTCTGGTACGGGAGCTGGCCGCTTTCGACGCTTCGGTTCGGATCCAATGGCTGGCAAGTTGAAGGCATTGTCGTCACCTCCTTCGGCATCAAGTTCCATGGGCCCTTCTCGATCCTGGAGCATGCGCCGCAATCCATTGTTCTCTCTCTTGACCTTTTCCATCTGCTTCTCCAGATCCTGCACCTGTTTAATGGAAGACATCCGTCGGTTCGTCTCCTTTGTGAATTGACACTTGACATTTCGGCTTGAGCACTCAGAACAACTTGTCGTCTCGGTTGCATCACATTTCACCTTTCTCTCGCGACAGGCATCGCAACTAGGGTCCTTCCTTCGCTGCCGATATGCTCTTTTCTGTCCCTGAGAACCTGGGCCTGATAATTGTGAGGTTGTTGGACCTGGTGTGCTGGCCACGGATTCGTTCGATGCTAGTGAATCATGGCCTAGGGAAGACGATGTGGTCATTGGGCCGTATGATTGGAAGCCCTGACTGACTGGAGGTAAAGGGGGAATGCCGATGGGTTGAGGGGTCACCGGTACATTCAACCGCGGGTTGGTATTCATGGCCCCTGGCGCGAACTGGGACAAAGACTTGGGCGAAGTTGCAGATGACACTGATGATGAATCGTAGGACCTGGCCGAAAGATTGGGCGAGCGAGCATATACGTTCTGCTGTGTTGACATAGCTGGATATCCTCTCGGCGTCCAGCCTCTACTGAGGTTGGTCGAGGAAGCCTCAAGACCCCCAACAGAATGAACGTTAGGGGGGCGTCGGTCAACGAGCATAAAAGTAACTCTGTTGAACAAAACCTGCAGGTCGTCAAGTACAAACCGAGCAAACTCCCGTCTCTCGCTTTGCTCGGAAGGAAGAAGCTAGGATATGCCGTTTGTTTGTCAATCAACCCTGCAACGGAGCCTCCAATCTTTTCCGCCGGCGTCCTATCCCGCAATGAACAGTGTGAACCCGTCTCAGTGGAATGGATATCTTGAATGTTGCGAGGCTGTGTAACCCTATACCGTTTTGCTCCGATGTAGTTATTCGGCTCATCCCCTTGTTCAACACTGGGTATAGACTGTAGGTTCTTCAAACCACAATGTTTGGACCAGGAACGGCTAGGCAAAGCTCCAGAGCGTTGTACCTGATAGCACCTCACCCACGACGTTTATATCCGGGTTTATATTTCCAACGGCAGTAGAGCGTATGCGAGGCTCAACACACACTGGATGGTTAGAACGAGTGACTTGAAGATGGGCGCCGGCTCGGTGTTGAAGTGGCCGCCTTCGATCCCAGGACAATCTGTTGTTCTGGAAGGGCCTGCGAAGGAGAAAGGAAAAGACGAGGCCACGAGGCCGGAGCTGACGTCGTTAGGTTTGGCTCACGGCGACTAGGCTGAGAGAGAGAGGAAATGTACCGTATGAAAGAAGAGGCGCCTGCAGGCAGGTATATCGCTGCCCGTTACCAGCTGGGCACAGCACCAGCACCGTGTTAGTGGCGCTGGGGTCAGTGATCCGGGGCTCTCCGCGCGTTAACGCAGATTCGGAAATATTATCTGGGCCAGCGATGGTAAATTGGGGGGAGGGGTGGCCGGACCCTTGACGAGTTGGCTGAGCAGGGCTGTTGAGAGATCAGCCATGGCCGCTAATGTGTTTCGAGCGGAGACTGGCATCCTAGAATACAGTACGTTGCTAGTCATAATCCCAGATCCTAGTCATAACCATCGGTCCAACAAGACAATTGCTTGTTTCCAAGTCTATGCCACCCTCGGATGTCAGAACTCGGGACCGTGGTGCGATCTGGAACTGTAAATCAGCCAGATGAACCGGTGCGCCAACTGCTCCCAGCTCCACGGGAGGCGACTATAGAGCCGATCATATCAAGGCCATCGATGAATGAGCGAAGGCCCATTGACAAGATAATAAATGAGCTATTTTCTGCTGACGGATAATTTACTACCGAGTACGTACTGAGCGTTTCTCGGTAGCTAGTATGCCTGGAAAGGTTTGGTATTTCCGGAAGTCCTGTATGACCAACCCGGTGAATATTCGGCCATGTTTGACTTGCGGTATCCGCGATGCCATGTGTTACCCCCGCGCCTAGATCGGCGTACCGTATTGTACCAAATCAGGTAGCTAGATGTTATTTCTGAGACCCGGACAAGTCGCCAGAGTCAAGCACTCAGCCTTGTGCTTCCTGTTGACTATGTGTGTGTTGAAGATCGGTGAATACTCAGCCAGATGAAGGATAATCGTAAATTCCAGGACGTGGCACTTTACAATCCAACAGCCAAAGCTCGTATTGAACGACTATTCAATCAATCTGATGGTAACATGCTTACAGCCGATAACATATCAGGGTGTAGTCTCAAAGCTGAAACACATTGTCTGTGCGGTCGAGCATGGTTCAGTGCACCTGTATCTGACTGCTTGACTTGTGGACCTCAACCAAGACTGGGCAGCACGAAGTTCACTGACTCCTGATTCATGGTTGTCATGCCAGATATGTGGCGTCAGTGGCCGACAGTTTGAGGCCAGGGCTATGGATGGTGATGTAGACGGGAACTAGTCGCCCTCACGTCGTAGTCCGCACAAGTTGATTACAATGGTAGGATGGCCCTTGGCCGATTTGAGGGTTTCCGCCGAGTTGGTGGACTGTACGGAGTACAACAGTTGATGACCGACTTAGAAGGCTGCAAGCTGCCGGTGGACACACATCCTGCCGAAGAGCATGGGTTCGGTCATGATGGTTTCCAAAGGAGCCACCTTGTCCAGGCGTTCGCCAATGGGACGGTTATATCCGCCGCCGTGGGTGGGAGGCGGATGACGAATCTCCAGTCAGGGTCGCAGTGGGGATTCGGGCTAGAGCCGAGTGAATCGCCGGGAAGGGAAGGGCTGGACGGGCGAGCCGCCCGGGCCTCCTATATTGATCATTTGACAGATAGTATCTCGATATTTGGTCAGCACGAGGAATAAAGGTTGAAGCGACCGGTACCGATTGATTATATGGTTCAACCAAATCCCCACCGCTCTTTTCCAATAAAAAAAATTATACATACTACAGTGTCATGGGTGTTGTTTGAACAATTGAAGATATGAAAAGGAAAAACTCTACTGGACTGTGCGATCGTACCGTACTCCGCGGGCCTGACCCGCCTTGTATGTAACGAAAGGCAGGGGCATAATGCAATGTATGTACGGAAGTGCAGGTCGGAGAGCAACCGGTTCAGCAGACTCAAGTGGCTTGCTTGCCCTGAACCATCTGTCGAATCAGGATGAAAGACATGGTGTTCCGTGAGTCGGATCGCGTTACGGCATGCCAGAAGCAAAGACAGCAGTTTAGAACGGCATAGAGTCGAGACGAGATGAGGTTCTTGGCCAAGCATCTGATGCGTATGCAAGTCAGCCCCTACAGTCCAGAAAACCGGCGACATGGACGTGGATCATAGGCAACTGATTCATTATGTTTTGTGGCGGCAGGGGCGCTTCACTTCAAAGGAGTTGGCACGCTCCTCAAACTAACAGCAACCCGTTGCAGCGCTGCCAACGGCCGGTCAGAAGTGGAAACGAACGCTCCGTCAGCGGAGGCAGCGGGGCCGAACCGACATAACCTGCTGTCAAGTGACTCCCGTAGAGTTTCGGCCGGGATGTTTGCGTTTGCGTAGTTTCGCTCTGTGCGGAGTATTGCTTAATGGAATATCGTATTGTATCGTACATATCGCAAACTTGGTAACAAAGGGAAGGTCTTTTGGGTTTTCATTCGCTAGACCAGTAGTCTTGATTCTTGGGTGTGTGGCCCTTGTCAAGATCGAGGGGGCGGGCCCCTTGAGGCTTGGGGGGCTTGGGGGCCGTATGGGCTGAGATTCAAGCTGGCGGGCTGAGGTTTCGGATACTGACTACCGTACTCCGTAGAAGGTGTGTCAAATCAGGCTGGGACAAGACCAGGGAGTCAGGGACAACGATCTCGTAGACGGTGTCAGTGTTGGCTATCGCACCGTATCATTGGGCCGAATGGCCAGGGCGAAGCCCCGAGTGGAAGCATCTTCTGTTGAGGTTGCAAATAGGAGTCGAGAAGGAGACCTGGGAGATGAAAGATTGGCGGGGGGAATGCATGCCGCGATTCAAGTTAGGCGAGCCTCAGGTTATTAGCGCAGCAAGGCAAGGCGAGACAAGGCAGGGCAGGTAAGTTTAAGGTTGCTGTATCGAGCCTGCCTTGTTACAGGGGGTTAATAGTACGAATACCCAGTAAACACTGAGCTGTCTCTTTTGCGCATTACCTACTAATTAATCTGATGAGAAATATGCGACTTTGGTCTCGTGTTGCTGCCTCGGGGGAAAAAAACGACTCAAAGACCTCCACAATCGTCTAGCTCTCCAAGGACAGCTCCTTCTTGGAATAGATAGAGTTCAAGATAAACTCCTGCCTTTCCGTTCAAGTGGTCCCTGCCAAGGCTGTTACTATAGCCAAAAGGCAGGAGGCGATTGTCATTTCACCCTAGGTACCTTACCTCAGACGGACTACCTACCTTGTTTACCCTAGATAAGCTTTCACTCAACCTCAACTCCAACGAGCTATTAATACCTAATATATTTTGAGGACATCACAGCTCCACCAGTTTGCGACTGTGCCTGGCTGGTACTCTTTACGGATACCTTCTGGCTTGATCCCTTCTCCTTCGATTACTGCTCGCCTACAACGATCCTGTGACTGTTGGTCTGGGGCATCACACCTGGTTCAAGACCCCCTCCCTGCCTTTGATGGCCACCTGAGAACAGACGGATCTGGCGATCAAACGCGCTCGCGGTTACGGCTCAAAGTCAAGCCTTCCGTTCATCGGCCCGTCGCTCGTCTACAGTACGGCACAGGGCATGACTTCGAACTCAAAGTACGGACACTGGCACAGTGTAGATTCACCAACCATATGTCAGCAATAATCGAACCCGGTAAACTTTCAAGTCTCAATTATGACCCATTGAATAGCCCATAGCACTTGTCAAAGTTACTTCCTCCCTTGGTTAGGTTCAAAGCAGCATTGAGAGCTACAATACTTATACGTAATTAACGAAAGTCAGGCAGTCTTCGAGAACAATGGAACAAACTTTTGGCTCGGTACTGACCCGGGTCTCGTGGGTACGTCACAAAGTACCTAGGTCCTTGGCTCCAGGTCCCTTACCAAGTCCCCTGCCAGGGTACGGATAAGGGTTGAGAGAATGGAATGTGGCAACGTGGACCACCTTCGGCTGCATTCATCCGCTCTTATTGATCGTTCAATAACAACCATTTAACTCGTCATCACTTCAATCGGAAGAAAGCCAGTAATACCATCTATCGCGGGTTTCCCACTGCGACACCTAGTTGGATCACTATACTCTGTCTTAGCGGTAAGCCCTTCCTGTTCGAGAGGGTAACCGAGCCAGAAGAACACTTGCATGGATGTCGATGCCAGCGTTACGGCCAATGATATAAGACGAATCTGTTGCACCATTCGACGGGCAAAACTAGTCCCGTTATCTCCCACGCATTTCTATACCGCCCTGCCGTCCTGGGATAGATGGTAGGACTTCATGTTGTGGGCGTTATCAAGCAACCTGATTTCCAAACCAGATATACGGTGATCATTTCCGGGACAACACTATCCCCATACTCTTGCTTTTCACCACGGACAGTGACTTGATTCCTCGAATAGGAAGAATGACAAGTTGCCAGCTCAATCAATCATTTGGTTGTTTCAGTATCCAAATGACTCAACTGTGCCACGCAACAGCAGCCGTAATCTTGAGCATTGCTAACTTTGACATAGAACCGCGACCAACCAAGTACAACTAGTCCGGCGCCTTGAGAATTGACATGAAACTACTCACAAGGCAGATCGGATTCCGCATTCCTGGTCTCCTAAACAATCTTCCGTGCATCCATCCTCTAACAAGTTATAATTTGCCTGCCTGATGTGCCGACAAAGCTTGGTCCAGCTACTACGTAAGTAATGAATACTCCGCTTGATGTTTGCTCGCTAGCCGGTTCTTGAGACATTCTAGCCGTTCATGACTGGGGTATCCGGGATACCTTGTCCCTTCCTCCACTTCATCCACTTCATCGGCGAACAGGCTTACGTCCAATTCAACCTCCTGGCCTCCCTCTTCCCGTGGCTGCTTACGTACCCTGTTCCACATGGCCCAGGGATGGGCCAGCTCCATCGGGCTGGATGAGAACTCCGTCGGTTAACTTTTGCCAAGTACAGACAAGGTCACAGTTCGGTGTGAACTGGATCAGTCCCTAGTATATTCTCAACACACGGAGTGCTCACGGAGTACATACCCACGCGGAGCACAGTCCATAAAGCGATTCACGGACTAGCGACATAGCTAACTACGGGTCACTTGTGTTCCGATACCCATCTGCCAGTGATATCAGCTGCTGTATGAAATGGCGCCACTGGTGTGCCGCGATTCGTCCTCAAGGAATCTTGGAATATGGAACAAGTTGATCATCCATCACAGCTTTTCCGAAGGGCAAATATTTCCAATCTCTTACTCATATCCCAAAGGCCAACAGTTGTCCAGTTTGGTTCATGCTAACACAAGCATACTTTGCTTAAAATGATAAGGCCTGATCATTGTACACGCTGCACAACAAACGGCTAGGAAGACATTCCAGGTGTGTCTGCCCGAGCATACTCAGCAATGGTACGCATTTGGCTCCCTACATCTGCCCATGGCGGCACAGATCCAACCCCCGCAATGTCTGAAACTAGGCCATGCAGCATCTTCAAGACGATGGGGGGCCAGTCGTTCTCACCTTAGCTGATATTACAGTGGCTACGCTTCCACATTCAGTCCAAATACTCGTTGCCAGAACAGACATATCCATATTGCCGCTTGGTAGGGGAGGAAAGCAGCTGAATAGCACACACCAGTGCAGACGTTGTAATTCCTCATGCACATACGGTAACGATCATGGGAGCAGTTCCGATTCGCACCGTTATACCGGTAGGCTGATGGAATGATACATCTCTTGCCGGCCGGAGACCACAATCCCATCCACAACTCGATGCACACGCCCGTGGCTTCTAGGGGACGATAAGCCATGTAGATGAGTGCTGGTCTTTAGTTTCTTCTCGCGCCAAGTCTTTCAAGTCTACGCTCAGGAAGACGCAAGATACATATTGCCGTAACGAAAGATCAATACCGCACTGCGTTTAGATCGTAGCCTAATTGATGGGCAGCGCTGCATCCGTCATCTCCAGGTCAGTGCAGAAGCCAACACCCATTACTACGATATGACGCGAGTCAGGGCTATGGAAGAAGTTAATCAACTCGAAATACTTGAGACTTCCGAGATGTGGGTTTCGGGTACGTGCCCGGAAGTCATCGATAGGTATCCCGGTCTATCTGTACGGCGTTTGTACGCAATTGATGTTCCATTGCATTTCCCTGAACAAGCAAGGTTCCTTTTTGCTTTTTAGCGCGGTTATCGGAGCAGGATTGTGTTCCTAACGTTAGTTCCTGGGAGTTGGCTTTGAAGTGGTAGAGTGGCACGATAAGCTCAACTGTCAACACAGCTCGAGAGGCTGGGGAGGGAGTAGGAGGTACCTTTAGTCTCAGGTACTGGATTGTGGAAAACTGATTCAGTTCCATTGTGCATGTACTCCAGCTTTCTGGAGCCAACAACTAGCCAAAATACCGATACTATTAGCATGTGTGCTAATTGACGACTAGGTCGGGACTAGTACCCGTGGTCAGCATTCGATGCGATGATCAGTGGGCTTCTAAAAGAATCAATAACGTTAAGGGAAAGGAAAATTCAGCACTCTTTTCAGCCCATCCAACGTCTACTTGCGCCACGAGAACAAGATGCTTGTCGTTCTTTTTCAGCTTGACAGACCTGCCAAGAGCGGATGCCCATTTCTTATACTGGCTGGCGTCTTTTCTCAAGGAAACAAGACACAATGGCCATCACTTTAAATATTTAAATATTGTCGATACAGCAACTACAGTATATAATCGATATACATATATATGTATATAAATCCGAGCAAAACACCGCATCCATGACTATAACGGGGCCGGGAGCTCCCGCAAATATGTGCCCTTCTATTGGGCCAAAGCTCAAATCATTTCGGCCTGGGCCTATCAGTTCCATGATCAAAACTTGATGAATCTGCGCAAATTCTTACCGGGCACCGCCGACCAAACATATATCGTGGAGCTGACGCAAATATACATATAAAGTACAAGTGGGACTATCGAGTAAGCGGTTTTGGAAAATAAATCTCTTGAACCATCAGATACTAAAGATCAACTGCAATTGGTCACGATGTGCAAGTCTCAGTTTCACAGCTTCCTCAAGGCCTTGCCAAAGGTTGAGCAGCATCTTCATATCGAGGGAACTCTTGAGCCTGAGCTCCTCTTCTCCCTCGCTGAGAAGAATGGCATCACGCTCCCAGAGGACCCTGTCTACGAATCTGCCGATAAGTTGCGGGAACGCTACGGTCGATTCACATGTCTCGACGACTTCCTGCACTACTACTACCTCGGTATGAGCGTGCTCATCACTGAGAGTGACTTCGAAACTCTTGCGTACCAGTATTTTCAGAGGGCAGCGAGCGAGAAGGTTCGACATGCTGAGATCTTTTTTGATCCTCAGGCGCATATTGCTCGAGGCGTTAGCTATGATACTGTCGTTGCGGGACTTACAGCCGCCAAGCACCGCGCTCAGAAGGAGTTGGGCATTACTATCGAGCTCATCGTCTGTATTCTGCGCCATCTCCCTGTTCCTGAGTCGCATGCTCTCGTTGACACTCTTTTGGACCGCGGTCATTTCAATGACGGTACCCTGACGGGCTTTGGCATGGTCTCAAGCGAGAAGGCTTTCCCCCCTGAACTCTTCACTGATGTCTACGCCCGTGTCGCAAAGACTGGCACCCATCTCACCACTCACGCCGGCGAGGAGGCGCCCCCTTCATTCATCACCGCTTCGCTGGAGCACCTCAAAGTATCGCGTATCGACCACGGCCTTGCAGCAGCGCAAGACCCCGAGCTTCTCAAGACGCTAGCAACCAACCGCACCCTCCTTACTTTCTGCCCCTGGTCCAACGTTGCTCTTTGCAATCTGCCCGAGCTCGCCGACGCCCCTGTCCGTAAATTTCTGGACGCAGGCGTCCTCTTCAGCGTGAACAGCGACGACCCTGCCTACTTCGGTGCTTACGTTCAGGAGGTCTACTGCCGCGTCCAGGATACCTTCAAACTCTCGGTTAAGGATTGGGCGTGGATTGTCCGTGGTGCTATCGAAGAAAGCTGGTGCTCCCAGGAGCGCAAGGCGGAGATTCTGAAGGAGCTTGATCAAGTGCTTGATGAATACAAGGACTTGGAGGCGTAGACTGCAATCCATCCGTCAATGCGAAAGGGAAGAGAGGAAGGATGTGGCGGAGATACCCTGTTTTGCATATACATAGGGAAAATCATAGACAAGAAATGCAACTTGCTCTCGTTTCTGAGGAAGACATTCGTCATCTAAAAATGGATTACAATTCTTGAGCCGTAGCTCGTCATAATGTCTAGAGTGTGTCGACTGATGTAGACCCCCACATCCATCTATGAAGTCCCCCATGCTCCCGCCATAAACAGACTAAAGTACACATGTACCACCCCGTCTCGACATAGACAAACATCAAATACATAATCAAGTAACCCTGTTTTCAAGAAGCAGGTTCGTCTGATTTTACCTTCAACCCTCTGTGGTATCCATGGCCTCGCTTTTGATCTTCTCTTTGGCGGCCTGTACTCGCTCCTCTCGCCACAGCTCAATCTTCTCCTTCAGCTCTGTCTGCGGGACAACGTTCTCCATGGTCATGGCCTGTCTGGTATAAGGATCTTTGGCATCACTTAGGAGATGCTGAGCGATGGTAGATCGGTCGACAATGTGCTTGCTGGGCAGCAAGACAGGGTCCGTCATGAGTATACCCATGATGGGATCCTCGAACTCGGCTGGGATGTCACCCAAGTCCAGTTCTGCCTGGTCCAGGATTGTTTTGGCATCCACAAATTTAACCCTGAGCTTGTCCCAGTTGGCAATAGCAGCTGGGTCCTTCTGATGCTTGGATGTCAGAATGCGAGAGACGCGTTCTAACACCTCGGGCTTGTAGGAACGACCATCTGAGGCAACGGCGTCAATGAAAACTGTCGATTCACCAAGGTTGAGGTAGATGTCGACGATGTCCGAGATGATCTGAATAGGACGGAAGTGGTACTTGTCCCTGTTTGAAACATTGAGCTCAGCTGCTGCCTTCTTGCCTGCAAGTGTATCCAGGTTGTAGTTAAGCATGCTCGAGAGACGAAACACAATTTCAGGCATAGTGAACGCTTCACCCATAGCCTCAGTAAACAGTTTCATCATCTCGAGGGTCTCGTTAGCCAACTGCATAAAGGACGTGGCTTGGTTGGCCAACTGCTGCATCTCTTCCTCCTTCTTTTGGCGATCCTCTGATGGTATTGATGGATCTTCGAGCTCTTTTTCAATGGCTCTGATTTTAGGAAACTTGCCGAGAGCTTCGTCCAAGACGTAGATGGCATCGTTCAACAGCATGTTGACGAATTGAACAAAGAACTGCTTGTTGACCCTGTACAGTCGTTAGCGATGTTTTGCAACTCATACCCTGTGAGCTACTAACCGACTCTCCCGCGTCAGCTGCCTCTTATAATGATCATTGACCCAGACACACTTGATCACTTGGAAAATCTCGTAACGGATGTTGAATTTGTCATAAAATGCGGAGTCTGCGCCTGTAGACTCGCACTCAATGTAGAATTTCATTAATCCTTTGAGGAGATGGTCATTGGCAAACTGACTGCCGACAAGCTGGTCACCCAAAACTCCTCGCTTGAGGTGCATCAGTGGCCAGGTGGCCGAAAACAGAAGTGAAACCAGAGAAGACTTGAGATAAGGGTTCTTGATGTACTCCGTTGAGCGAAGGAATGTTACGCAAAGCGCAATCATCTCGTCGCCGACAGCACTGGGGAGGATCTTGGGTAACCATCTGCCAAGTTGTTAGCCATATATCTCACAGCACAGGAAAAGGGAAGGCAAACTTGAAAATAAACTTAAAGTTATCAACAATGTTCTGTAGCGTGTACTCTGGAAGACACGAGAATACATCTGACTTCTCTGCGGGAAGAGGCAACCTGCGACTGTCAGTAAGTATGTCCACCATACAGCATTGGATTACGTACTGGATTTCCTTGGACTCTAGACCAGGCTTGTACTGTGATCGAGTCACCAAACGGAGCAACCAGACTGCCACGATTCGCATGAAGCGTAATGAAGTGCCCTGCATTCTCTCGTCTAGCAAAACGCCCTCGATCGACAACTTGACCGCGATGCTCTTTTCAAGAGCGTCAACATGTCTCTTCACTGCTCTATCATACTGTTCGAGTTGAACTGGAGCGTTAATAAACTTGACCCGTTCTGCTTCCATAGCCTTGACTCGCTTCTCTAGATATTTGATATCTCGGTCCAGGTTTTTAAGCTGGGAATTGCAAGCCTCACTTCCATAGTGATGTGCTGCCAGAGTCAAGAAGAAAATCTCCGAGATGAAGTTCGCTTCTCCCGGTAGCTTTTCCGCATAGAATTTTTCAGAGTAGGAGTCGTCAGCGTTTAGCTTTGTTTCGTCCTTGATGTCAACTCGCGGTTGCTTTCTGAAATAGTCATCGTCGATTTTGTTGACCTTGCTGAAGTCCATATCCATAAAAGGCTCGCAGAATCGGTCAAGAATCGTGGTCACATTAATCATAAATCCGTTGGATGCAACCTCTCGTGGGTCCACCTGCATTGCCCTCCTCTTGTGATTTGTGTTCATGACATATGCGAACCAATCCAAGGTTCGAGATCTTGTATCCTGACCTGCCCGGATGAAGGCGTTTGTGATGGCGAAGAGATCATCCTGATGTGTCCTCAACACCATTCGCAGAGCGTCTTGTGAGTTTGCAATTCTACCTTTATCAAGGGATCGTGCCCCTGGAAAGTAGCTCTTAATGACCTCGCTCTGAACCGGTGAGATACGGAAGAAGGGGCCCAAAATAGTGTGCTTTTCAATGCCAGAAGCGGATTGAGCCATGTTAAAGCAGGTGTGCTTGGCCAAATTGACAATCAAAGGAGGGAATCTTGTATAAGTCAACATGACCTGAACATAAGGCTTGTAGTCCTGGTCCATGGATATAGTGCCGAGTCTGCTGCTGATCTGAACCATGGCATCGTTGAATAAGGCTGGAATCGCGTCATCGTCATCAAATCGCTTGATCGCCTCTTGGATGAAGTTGAAGCAAATACCACCCTCGTCCTGCACACCTTTCAGAAGATATGGCATGAGGGTATCGTGCTTGGGGTTAGGTTGTCGACTGTACTTATACGTTAGGAATGCGGCTTCTACGTAGCAAATTTACTTACCCATAGAGGTCTGGCATGGTCAGAGCGAATAGACACCCGCTCATACCCAACCTCTTGGCCTCTTCGTGAACCTCGAGCTTGGGTCCCTCGGCCGCCTTGAATTGAACCGACGCTTTAAGGGCACGCTTCCAGCAAGGCAAGAAGTAGTTCATGAGGGGCTTATCCTGAGGATAGCTAGTGGCCGCCTCCATCAGAGCTTGATCCAGTATGTTCAGAGATAGCTTCAAAGGCTCCCCAGACTCGTTCAGTTCCTCGTTCAAGCTCGGAAGGAATGTCAGCCGTTGACCATGACCGTTGATCATCTTGTGCGGGTCTACAGTGATGCGGAAGATCTGTGACAGTATTCGGTCGGCATAGGAGGCGTCGGACTCAGGCTGAGAGTTGGAAGGTTTGGGGGAGGATCGGTCCGCTGCAGCCATGTCGTCAATCTCTGAAGCCAGTCTCTTGCGATTCACATGGGAGCTACCTGTTGAGCTGGACGGCTCTGCCTTGACCCCTAGCTTATTGAGAGGGTTCGAGCTGGAGGATGCCGCCGGGGCGGAAGAAGTAATGTTGATCTTGGGCCGTGACTCGGTGGGTGCGGGTTGCGGCTGCGGCTTCGGCGTTGACGTGCGCGAGGGGTTCGACGATTCAGAATCGGGAGCCTTATTCTCGTCTGATTTGGAGGACATAGGCGTTGATGTCCCTAGCTTAGCAAGACGTCTTGCGCGAATCTATATCCAACAGCTTAGCATACCGTCCCCATCATGAGCTCCGCCGCGCCACTAGGTCAGCTTGCCTGTTCCATCTTTTCCTTGTCTGGAGCATCGCCTCCTGCCCATGACGGTTGCTCGTTGGGATCCATTATGGTTTGGGCGAGTTGAAGATATGGCAATAAGTGGAAGCGATAGAAGGTGGTGTTGAAAGCAACGTCCGGATGAATGACAAGGCTGAGACTGAGATGGGATATCTATGAGGTGTGGACCCAAGCCTCACAGTTACAAATACGTAGTAGAGAGTAATGATGGATGAGCTTAGGGACGGTGTGGTGGGGGAGACCTTGGGCGGACAAAGTGGGGGCGGTGAGGCTGCTCTGCAGAGTTTAAGTGGCTGTTGCCAGGCAGCTGTGCTGAAGCCTAGGCTGCCTTTCAGTAGAAGGACCTGGAAGATTGTTTGGTCACCACTTCAAAGAGATCCGATATTGGTAATATGTACTAAGGATGGGAAGGGAATAAGCCTTTGACGTGAGTTATTAGACTCAGGTACCCTTTTTCTTTGATCAATGCCAATGGATCCGCGCTCACGCAAAGAAACCCACGCTTAACGTTATACAACAAACTCCGCCGCTCTTTGCAACTCCGCCCACGGCGGCAATTCAAAGTGGCTCGCCATGTAAGAGCTGTGATGGTCGATTTTGACTAGGTACCTAATCTTAGGTGATCCATAAGTCGGATTGAACTTCACATTACCATATTGGTATCGAATTCTCTTCATACAGTTACCGTTGTAACCGTACTTGATCACTCGGAGCTGGCATTTCTTGTGCCGCGAAGTAATTGAACGTGTCGATAACATGACTGATAATGCTTCTTATCAAAGAGTGTTGCAGATGAACACTGTTGGATAAGTAGTTGTTAAACCTACCGGGTCTGCACTCCTCGTTACAGTTTCACCATACGTCCTCTGTTGTTGACCAGACACAAAAGATCAGAAGTTCTCAAAATATACCTGACGTCAGACCCTCGGCTCCGAATGACGGAGTTCCATGTCTAGGTTAGGCAATGTGTCACGGCAAACATCCAACTACGCCCAAATGAAAGATCTCAAACCCTAATTGTCTGATTAAACAAATCTATAGTAAAAGAACAAAACTTCCCACGCTCGAGTGACCCATATGTTTTTTCCGAGCAAGCCTATGTGCAGATGCTGGGGTATCCCATGAACCGAATGCGCCAAAAAAGAAGATGGAAAGGAAGAAAGAAGGTAAAGTAAGTAAGTACCTAGGTAATACACGATCTAGCTCAATCCATCACAGACGAGGCAGATCTGTCCCTTCGACACTAGCTGAACGGCGGCGTTCTGAAAGACGAGGACCTTCTACCGATCTGTCCCTTTGAAGAGTTGCCGTGGATCCGGAGCTCGCGGCTGCTCTTATGCGGCCTTCTTCTCGGCTTCGGTTCAGGAGCCAATTAACATGCATTCGAATCATGTTAATATTGTTCCGTAATTCAGTCACCTCCTCGCGGATGGGCATGATTTGGTTGATAGTCCACATACTTTGCCGTGCCTCGAGGTGTGTCAGATTCTGGTGAACTTCTTCAAAACCAGCGTCGAGGTCTTGAATAGTGCGGTTGTTTTCTACAACAGAGTCGCCAACACCTCGACGACTGAGCGAAGAATTAAACTCGGTGATCCGTTGGTTTGTCTCGTCTTGTTGAGATTGGAGTTGCTGGACTTGTTGTCCCAGGTCGGTGTAAGATAGAATAATGTCCCGCTGGGATCTAATGATCATCCCGGATGGTGTGTCGGGGTGGAACGCGCAGCCGAGAGTATGGGCGTCCATTTGTCCACGTATGGCGCGGGCTGGACAGCCAAAGTCGTTATATGGGCAGTTGATAATAGCACCCTCGCACTCTAATTCTTCGTGAGCCTCGACCTGACTGCGATAGACGAGCTTCCAGCAAGTTTCACAGCGTGTCTTGCTCATAGAGCATGTCAAAAGATGGAGGTCGCGATCAGTAGCCTCGATCGTCGCCTTGCAGTGTGCGCACTTGTCTTGCTTGTGCGGACAAGTGTCATCTACAGGTTTGGATCGTAACCTCTTGTCACATTCAGCGCCGGGACATGTAAAGTCCTTGAACCGGCATTCCGTAGTAGCATGCGCCTCAACCGCCTCCCGACGAAGCTCCGATTTGCACCCCCGTGCCTGGTAAGGGCATTTAACGAACAGGCTGTTAAGCTGAGTACGGATGAGCCGTGGCGCACTGAAGCAGTTGGGCCATGCGAGAGGTTCTCGGTCGATGGGACAGGCGGTTCCGGAAGGACTAGAATCAATACTTTGCCGCAGACATCGGTAGCAGAATGTGTGGTCGCAGGGAGTTGTGACCGGATCCACGAGAGGGTCGTGACAGATGGGACAAAACAGGTTGGGATCGGGCTCGGTGACATAAGTCAACGAGTACATATCGAAGATACAATTTCCGCCATAACGCTTCGGGATTCCGAGGGAAGAAGCATGCGGGGGAAGCAGAGGTCCGGTTCGACGATCCGAGGCGACATTTGGTATCAAGGAACCCGAAGAATACGAAGGATCGATTCTAGATCTAACATCTTGTCTGGCTTGTTGAGAAACCTGGGAACCGACATAAAAAGTATCAGGTGAGGGTGGTCGGACGAGGCTAGTAACGAGGTCTGGAGTTGGTGATGTACGGCGAAGATTCCGGCGTGTCATGCGGCGTGCGGCGGCGGGACTTAGATGCAGGCCATCGTCGCTCGACTCGGAAGCAGATGTTAAAAGAACAGGAACAGCAGCTGAAGCTGTCGTTTGTGTGGGAGTAGCAGCAGCAGTAGGAGTCGATTGTTGCGAGCCTCGAAGGGTGGTGGCCGCCGTAGGAGGAGTTGTCGCCATTGTCGTCAGTCTCTGGCGACACCAGGATTAAGTAGGACCGGGGATTCCAGCAGTATTAACTATGAATTTTCGAGGGCTTTACGAGGTGTCGATGCATATATTCTCTTTGATGTGCGACGTCGCGATGACGCTCATAAGCAGGGGGTTTGCAGTTTGATAAAAAGATGGGAAGAAGGGGAGAGGCGGAATCTCGATGTGCACATCAGGACCGTATTAGACTAGGCGGGAGAGGATACAGTAGAGCCGAGGAGAGAGCATGTCCATGATGTGACAAGATCCCAATTGATTGTAGGCACTAACAATTTTAGCGAGTGTGTTTAGGTAGCATTTTTGGCGGGGTGGACAAAAGAAGCGGATCAGGAGAGTTTGCTTGGCGGATTTAAAAAAACCGGGGTCGGGTTCTGGAAAACCCGAGATAATCGTTCAATTGAGGGTCTGGAGAGGATAATTGGGGGTATTGGCTCGGTGTATAGCGTGTGCTCTTTCCATAACATGTCTGTTGTATGAAATGCATGTCCAAACCGCAGTGACACTGCACTGCACTCTACGGATACACTATCAAAACTCTGCTCTTTTCACTATGGAATTCACTTCACGCCAAGGGTCCTTGCTTGACTCTTTTTGTCAATTACATCATCGGTCAGTCATTTCGCCTTACTTTTTACAGCATGTCCAACGCGTGTCCCCGCAACTACGAACCCCTTCCTCACCACATTAGGCTTGGGTTCGCCGTTTGACAGTTTTAGCAGGGTCTTTTTTCCTTCTCATTGAAGAGAAACAAGCTTCAAGCCAGACTTTTCCACCCACAATGCGCCATCATTGGGCACCTTTGGGCCTTGAACCTTGATTATTCAGGGGCCTCCCTTCGAGTACATATTGCCTCGCCCTTGTCACGGCATTTGCATTTCGCCAAACCGACTTGACAGCGGCAGTGCGAACCACAAGGCTCAGCGCCGTTAGGCTACTGCAAGGCCTGCACCGCTAATGTTGCAGTCATACGTTTGACAGCTCCCGATGTGAACCCTGTGCTGCTTGCTGCTGTTATTGCTGCGCCCGATACTGTCGTGTCTTTCTGCATCACGATGAGTCCGTCCTCTCCGTCTCCTCCGTCCGTCTGTTCACCCGGCTTTTGTTTGTCTGCTGCGGAACCGTCGAGAGAAGGCCCGGAACGTCCGGCTCCGCCATGGAGTTTTTATAGTTTGCAAAAACATGGCATTTGACACGAACGATGCCAAGAACGGGAAGAATGTAGGCATTACAGAGGACGATCTCGAGGATGTAGCATGTGACCTGTGGGCTAACTAACTGTTAACGGCTGTCAAATATCCATTTTCTGAGTCATTGGTTGTCTCGGGATGTTGTAAAACAAGACTCGTTGTCGAGCCAAGTGGAGGCTGTCAACACAGCATCAGACTGTAACAAGATTCCCACACCGATTATACCGATGGCTGTCCTTCGCTTTTGAGCTGGTCATCTATATCAAAGTGCCGTTCTCAACTTATCAGCCAGGTACCCCTGTGTTTTATGTTTATGTTCTCTGTAGTTCCTTCGCATTCTAAATGGTATAAAGACAACCGCCATGGAACGGTATACAGTTTTCCCACCCAGGCATGGATGTCCGCAATTATTGCCTGCTACCTTATCATCGCTCAGCCTCCCATTCTGCCTCTTGTTGAGCCTCATCTCTCTTCCACTTGCCCAGGCTCCCGCGAGGCACCTGGCCTGCTGACGTGGCAGTGAACAAGCTGGCCTTGATTCGTCTTCAGCAGCTGCAATACATTGTCAGACGATCAGTCGGAATTTCCGTACAGAGTATGAATTTACGGCCTCAAAATTGAATGCGCGAAAACAAAACGGATCATCAGCAATCTTGGTCGATATGGAATTATGAAATCAAGCTATCAAAGCCCTCGTGCTTTTCTGGGCATGCAGTACATGCTTTAGTTCTGACTGCTCAACTTTGGCCCCCAACTTCGTTGCTTTTGTAGTTGGTTCTTGGCCTCAAGCAGCCGACATGAAAATATTCAGCCTTATTTGTTACAAGGAATAGTAAATCGGTCGGCCGAGCATTGTCCAAATTGACGAATTAACATGAAAAATAGACTCTTTCTGACCACTGGGTCTGAAAAAGAGCCGCTCTTTCAACCTCAAGCACCCTTGTCTCACCAGCCTATCAGCATCTGAATAAGCCGTGATCTTCCAATATCTCCAATTATCTCCTTTGTTGCCTAGCTAGCTGTAACGCTTCTCGCTGCACTACACCCTCCATTTCAACTGATTCCAGCTAGCACAGCCTTGTGCACGATGCAGAAGCAACTCTTTGTGCCGTGACAGGCGGGAGTGTAAAGCGGCGGCTTGCTTACATGGAGTCTAAGACGCCTGCAGCTCCAGGTGTATTCCTTTTCAGTATCCTTTGCGCAATCGCATATGTCACACGGCGATGCGTGCTGTTACCTGAGGACCAGCCGGAATGAGGGTCATGGTTTGAGTAACAAAACCGTTCCAATGCATGGGTCATGGCTGGGTATATAGAGATGTTGGGGGCCTGTTCTGAGGTTTCACTTTTGGAAGCTGAAGTCCATTCCTGATATACAAAACTTGCAGTCATGACTCCTCCACCACCTGTTCCTGGACAAACACCAGCACCTGCCAAGGCCAAGGCCAAGCGCAAACCTCTTAACCCTCAAGCTCTGGTGTCCAAGTTCTGGACAAAGTACCACTCAAAAGCACCCGGCAAAGTCACATCCATCTTCCCACAGAGCCTCTATGAGTCGCTCCTTACCGATGCCGACTCATCGTATCCCAAGTCTCGCAATGCGGCACAAAGTTATGAGGCTGCTGCTAAAGAGTGTCGGGCTCGAGTTCGTGCTGTTGTCCGGGAATGCGAACGCACCAATGCCAAGTTCAGCGACCCAGACTTTGATATAGAAACCGACTTTACATCATACTATGATAATTGCCTGTATGGACTTGTCAGAAAACACTGCGACGATAGTGACAGCGACGATGATATACCGCCAGTCGAATCCAATATTGATGCGCGTCGAGTCAAGAAGTCTCACGACACGCGCAAGAACAGCGGCGTGCTGAGAAATCATGGGCTTGATGCCAAAGTACACAATGTGCAAAGGCGTACAACCAACGGCAAGGACTACAGTTGCCGACAATCTAGACCCGGTTCAGTTCATCGCATCCCATGGATCTTCGAGAACCCTCAATTCACAATTGATGGCTTCTCCAGCGCAGACATCAAACAAGGCGCCAGCGGCGACTGCTGGTGGCTGGCAGCCCTCGCGACTATTGCTCATCGCAAAGACTTGATGAAGAAGATCTGTGTTGCGCGAGATGAAGAATGTGGTGTCTACGGTTTTGTTCTGTACCGCGATGGAGAGTGGATCTCGACTGTAGTGGACGACAACCTCTACTTGCGACACAAGGATTTTGGACAAGACAGCGAGGTCTACGATGCGACGGGTAAGAAGGCCCGGCTTTATAAGAAGCAGAGACAAACCGGTTCCGAGTCTTTGTACTTTGCCAAGTGTGAAGACCCTAACGAAACTTGGCTTCCCTTGCTGGAAAAAGCAGTGAGTTATCTCGTTCGGTTACAGAAGATCCATTCTGACTTTCTTAGTATGCCAAAGTACACGGTGACTACCAAGCCCTCGATGGCGGCTGGGCTGGTACCGCTGTTGAGGACCTTACAGGTGGTGTAAACACCGTAGTTGCAGGCAACAGAGTTCTTCGCAAAGAGCGTCTCTGGCGTGAAATGTTGGGGTCCGATGATGAGGATGGGGAGTTCGTCTTTGGTCTATCTGCAGGCGGCCCGGGGGACGAGCATAACAACGGGATTGTGCTACGGCATGCGTACTCTATTCTAAGAGTGGCCGAGGTTGAAGACGAGGACGCCAACAAGATTCGCTTGGTCAAGATCCGGTAAGTGCTACTTCGATGTATCCTAAGAACGTTGATCGGCCAGTAGTAACTGACACGTATACAGGAACCCTTGGGGACAGAGATCTGAAGATGGGCAGGGCGAGTGGCATGGTCCATGGTCAGACGGCTCCAAGCAATGGACTCCGTATATGATACGAAAGCTGCAACATCAGTTTGGCGATGATGGAATCTTCTGGATGTCTTATAACGACATGCTCGACAACTTCAAGTGGATGCACAGGACTCGACTCTTTGACGAGCGATGGACTGTTGCTCAACAGTGGACTAGTGTCAGCACCTCCTGGCTTACCGGCTATCTCAAGAAGAAGTTTATTATTGAGGTTAAGGAAGAGGACATGGTGGTTATTGTTCTCTCACAGGTATGTCTCTTCGTCTGGTGTTTTGCCACTACTGACAAATCTCAGCTTGATGACCGATACTTCACTGACCTGAAAGGGCAGTACCAATTCGTGCTCAACTTTCTCCTCCAGTCTCCTGGTGAAAAGACGCCCATCTGTTCCGTACGTCCGGTACACCAGTGGGATCGTCGATCAGTTAACTGTGAAGTCGAGCTCGAACCAGGCACCTACGAGGTGGTTCCCAAGATAGTAGCCGAGAGGTGTACATATCTGCCAACCGTTCAGAAGATGGTCAAGAGGGCGGCAGACAACAACCCACAGAAGCTGCGCCAGATCGGCTTGCAGTACGACCTGGCCCACGCAAAAGGGGGTATCGTCGACGAAGACGAGGCTCTCCGCAAGAAGAAGGAGACTGAGAAACGAAAGAAGCTCAAGGGAAAGAAGAAAGACCAGAAGAAGAGGCAGATGGCGGAGGCAATGGCGCGTATGGAGGCGGCGATGGTGCAGATGAGGAACGAATACAATCAGAGCCTCAACGAAAAGGAGAGTGCGAGGAAAGATGAGCCGGCTCACGAAAAAACTGAGGAAGAGCCCAATACCAAGGGATCTGATGTCGAAGGCAAATCGGACAGGGCGCCGCCTGGTTATTGGCCGGAAGATTCTTCCAAGAGCGAGTTGGAGTTGCCGGGACACACTGAAACACCTGTTGAACCAAAAAGAGAGCCGTCTTTGCATGAAACAAGCACAGAGAATGACGACAAGAGGAAAGCGTCTCCTTCTCCTCCACCTCCAAATGATCTCATCCTGGAATCTTCATCTGCCGGCTTTCGTCGGGGCCCCCCATCATCACCCCATGGATCATCAATACCATCCCGAGACCACAGTCCGCTACAGAGTCGAAGAGCAACGAGCCAGAGCACGGATACATGCCCCGTGTTCACTCCACCGACAGAGCCCACAGACGAATCTGATATGGACAGCTCAGACTCTGCGACAGAATCCGAGTCGACATCCAACGACACTTCGTCGAGCTCAGACAGCGACAGCGTGGCCGTGTTTCCGCGGCTTCGCCAGAGAAAGAAACAGCCGTGGAATGCCGTGTGCGTGATCGGCCTCCGGGTCTATGCCCAGCATACTGGTATCAAGGTCCGTCTCGCGGATCAAAAGGTTGACGAGGCGGCTGAGCTCGTCCCTCCGAAAGGGAGCCCTGCTAGTATAGCCCACTAAGCTTAAGATTGCCACGCGGAAGTATTAACCCTATGTAGATTGTTTGACATTTCGAGCTACGACATATTAGTCTAAGGAAGCATAATGGAGCATTCGCAACGGAGATGTCGTGTAAGCTGAAGCAATATACGGAGTTTGACAACATTAATATGGGAATCTGGGTCTCTTTTTTTTCACTAGACTCTCTTCTTTCTCTTCTAGCAACACTCTAATCAATCAGTTTGTGCGAAATTCGTCCACCTCATAAAAAACTGTGTTATCAAAATAAACAATTTCTCCTTCATGGCTGGCTCTAGGGTGATAGGTGGATTTACCTCACTGCCTCTTTAGCACTAGAACCCGTTAATGTCCAAGCTGCAATTTAACTTCAACGCACCTCCGAGTCAGTCAGTTATCAATATCTCAAGCTGAAACTGTCGTTGAAAAAGCATTGTTTAGTTATGTACCTGAACGTCATCTGGATACATCCGTTATATCTCCAGATGTTCCACATTGACTACAACCTCGGCTTCTACCGTTCGATAAAAAAAGAAACGTGCGTATCAGGGGTTCTTTTTGTACGAAACCGAGCGATGAACTGAGGCCCGCGTACCGATCTAAAAAGAAAAAACTTACTAAAGTTGAGTGCAATCTTGTCTCCCCAATTTTGTCCAGATTCGATAGTTTCAACCGCACGGCCCTGAGCCGCCGTTTCATCTGTCCCTCTTAGCACAATCGCCTCTGTTTTACTGTTTCACTTTGCCCTAGAAGCCTCGGGATCTACTATGGGATGATCGACGATACCGCGCTTAGCCGGGGTGTTGAGTAATGGCATAGAGGGGAATGATCTGATGCAAGGCTTCGAAAGCGTGTAGGAGGTTGACCAGGCCACGGAAACATTGCCTTCTTGGGATGAGCTTGCGAACCTTGATACAGCTTTCAGATGAGTCTATCGCGAAGTATGGCATGAGTTGGTGAACAAGAGGTTCGAGCGTTGAAAAGTTGAAAGCCATATAAGCTGAGTAGAAGTCGTTCAAACAATCGAAATCAGAATCATCTCAAACTCAACAGTCTTCACTTCCATTCTTTTCTACTTCTCTTTTCCCTCACATTCGCTTCTACAAAACTCAACTTTCGCTTTATTTTACAGACTTCAACATCATTCAAGATGCTTCCTCAGTCCGTTCTCATCACTCTCGTTCCCTTTGTAGTGGCTGGTCCCATTGCAGTTCGACAGAGTCTCGGCTCTGGACTTGGCTCCGGTCTTGGTTCAGGTCTTGGAGGAGGACTTCCCAGTATTCCTGGACTTGGATCTGGTGACTCCACTGGTGGTCTCCCCAGTCTCCCCGGTCTTGGATCTGGAGGCTCCGCTGGCGGACTTCCTAGCCTTCCTGGACTCGGATCTGGCTCCGGTGGCTCTGCCGGCGGCCTTCCCACTCTCCCTGGCCTAGGCTCTGGAGGTTCATCCGGTGGTCTCCCCAGCATTCCCGGACTCGGATCCGGAGGTTCCACTGGTGGTCTCCCAAGCCTTCCCACAGGCCTTCTCGGTGGTGGTTCAGGCCTTCTTCCCGGAGGCTCAGCTGGAGGTGACGGCTCCAGCGACTCTCCCAGCAGCGCCCCCGCTGCCGCTCAACCTACACCCGCGCCTGCGCCTGTGCCTGCACCCGCAGACTCTACCAACGCCGCGAGGGATGCTGCTGATTCTCCCTTTGGCAACTTCTTGGGAGGATCTTCCGGTGGAAGCACTGGCGGTCTCGGTGGCCTTGGTGGTCTCGGTGGAAGCACCAGTGGCTCTACCCAGAACGGCCTCAGCGGCGAGTGCAAGGACGTAACTGTCATCTTCGCCCGTGGCACCTCCGAGATGGGCAACGTCGGCACCGCTGCCGGACCTCCCTTCTTCGCCGCTCTCTCCAAGCAGCTCGGAGACGACAAGGTGGCTATCCAGGGTGTTGACTACTCCGCCAGCATTGCTGGCATCATGCAGATGGGTGACAAGGCTGGTTCTGCCAAGATGTAAGTGAACACCCATGATGCTAGCAAGATATCATGTGTCTAACAACAGAAATAGGGCGAGTCTCGTCGAGGAGGCTGCTAAGAAGTGCCCCAACACCAAGATCGTCATGTCTGGATACTCGCAGGGTGCCATGCTGGTCCACAACGCGGCCAAGACCATCCCCGCTGCGACTGCCCAGAAGGTTGCTGCCGTTGTCAACTTCGGCGACCCTTGTAAGTACCCCCTATCAACAGGAGAAACATTGGAAGAAGCTAACAACTCCATAGTCCAGCGACAGGCTATCCAGGGCGTCGACGCTGACCGTGTTAAGATCATCTGCCACGCTGGCGATGGTGTCTGCGCTGGTACTGCTGCCATTACCCCTGAGCACTTGACCTACAGCCAGGACGCCACTGCTGCTGCTGAGTTTGTTGTTAGCAAGGTCGGCAAATAAGTTACGAGATGACTTAACAGGATGATATCATGAGATACTTGGAAAGAAGCAGTGCTTCAGGTGGAGAAGGATGACTTTTTACGATTCTTGTCAACATATTAGGCTAGTCAATAACAACCTAAGATTTTATAGCTTCCATCGGGCTACTCGAGTGATGTACATGGCATTGGCTGAGTCTCCTGACTCGTACTACGACAAACAAGTCGGTACAGTCCCGTGTAAAAATTCCGATAACAAGCTGACTAGGAATGCGCATAATATTGTAGACATATCAAATATATAATAGTTAGAATATTCTATACATTGTTGTCCTAAGATTATATAAGCTCATATCAGATTATACAAAATAGAAGAGTTTATTATAGTTTATCTTATTTCATATAAACGTTAGTTAGAGAGAGGAAATTATCGGAACTTTTGCACGGGACTGTGCTGTCTTGCGGATCAATTGGCTGCTAAGATATTTACCACCTAAACTGGAAAACCTTCACCAAGTGCTCCATTGAAATATTGTGTGAAGGCACGGACAAACCGCTGTAAAACATAAAACTATACTTGATCTGACTTCTCGTCAATTCAAGACGCCTCTGTCCTTCTTCGCTTGAACTTGCCCCTGGCCTCAATCTTGCCCTCCACAGGCACCGCTCTCCATGCCGTCAACAAGAACCCATCCGCGCCACCCCGACCTGTCATGAACGGATGTGTTCGGCCTGGGAGGACTTGCCATCGTCGCGCCCTGCTGCTCTGGATAGTCACACCAAGGAGAAGCGTGGGGTTGATGGGGAACTCCTCGGTGCCCTCCCAACGCTCAAGCTCTTCGAGTGTCTTGTTTTCGATCTCGGGTGGGGGTGTAGACACCCAAGCAGCTCGGCGCGATACGCTAAAGCAGTCGGCCAGTTGTGTCAGGGGCTCGATGGTGGGTGAGTAGATGGCGATGGGAGCTCCGCCTGCTAATAAGGGTACAGTGCTGCGGACGATGGAGATAGGGTCCATGGAACTTGCGACCGCAAGACCTGAGAAGTTACCTGCGCGTGTTGTGTCGACAACATGTCTGATACGTGCCCACCTTCTTCGCTTGCGGTGGTAGTTTCCTCTGCGGTTCGTCTTCCACGAGGAAATCTCCTCAGGGGTAGCCTCAGGCGGCTTATTATTATAAGCGTCATCTTCCTCAGGGGCCAATAGCTGTAGCCATGAGATATCCATGAGGTTGGTGTCGAGGGGGTGGTAAGGGGGTGAAGGGTTGGCATTTGCGGCGTCATAGTTGAAGTATCGGAGAAGAGCGAGGTTAGGTTGGGTCTGGCCGTGTATTACAGTAATGGTGTTCTTGTTGACGTAAGGGACGTTGAAATCGCTTCGTCTGGGATGCTTCTTCTTCTGCTCAGGGGGGTTTGTCGCTTCTGATGTTGCCTGAGGTTGATCTTCGTCCATCTTATCCGTGGCGGTGGCGGTTTCTGGTACTGTGGTATCGTTTGTTGTCTCCGGTTCGGGTTTTGGATAGAGGATATCCATTCTCTCGGCCAGAGAAGCAACGAGTAAACCGCCTGTGTCGTCGACCACCAACCATCTTCCGTTCTGCGGTTGGCTGGGTTCCTCTGTGGGAACACCTCCGTAGTGAACATCTGCCCAGCATCCTACCAGCGCCATCATTTCTTGTCGCATTTCGAGGATCTTGGAAGCGTCGCGGTCTTCTAGCAGCCACTGTGCCAGCATTGGTACGTCGAGAGGTAACACGGTAAACCGTCGAATGTACTTTTTCGTCTTGAGAAGCTTGTACTTGGCAAGAGAGTACGCCGTCTTCTGGTCGATGGCCGTATGCGAAAGGAGCAGCTTGGCAATCAGCTCTTTTCCAGCCGATGCGCCCTTGCGCTTGAGTTCCTCAATCTCCTCAGGCTTGAGCGTCTGTCGGGCCGAGTCATCGATAATCTCGCGATTCGATCGGATGAGAACCTTGCCGGTCTCATCGACGAGAGTAAGCTCCTCTCCATCTGCGGGGGCAATCACTTCGTCACCCTCCGCTGGTTCTGTCGCTTCGGCGCTGGTATCGGCCAAGTCGTCGGCATTGAGCTCTTTGGCAGGGACTACGCGAAGTCGCGCAAACGTCTCGCCCTCGCGCTTATCTTGGACCTCGTATGTGAAGTGGTACGGGCGGTCGATGATGAGATTTGACGGGAATGAGCCATACTTGCCCAGAGTGATTGTACTGTCGCAAGTTAGTCGCGACAAAGGGCAAACGGATGAAGACTAACTTACGTATTAGGAGCAATCTGTAAGATGCGATACGTCTCGTTGGGAAGCCGTAGGGCGACCCATGCATTGGGCTGTACCGTCTCTTTATCCATCTTGCGTTTGTTGAAGATGGATTGGTTTGCGATTCGCAAAAAGAGAAAAAACTAAGGTAAGCCACTCACCTCTCGGTGAGCCCCGCCACGGCCCCCACTCTCCGATCTTCACCGAGATCTGTACATCATCTCACCTTGACCTGGTTACGCAGAAGTACCAGGACATGATGAACTTTAGGATTTTCTATTTCAAGGTTCAAAAAGAAAGTTTGGATTTGACACAAGATATGGGCACCGTAATTTCCTATAGAAATTTGAGATGGGAAGCTGGGATGTACGGATAGACCCCAGTATTTACGGGGGAATTCATGTGTAAAATAGCACACCTGTACAAGCCTGAACAGGGTGACGGTCCTCTCAACCGCAAGATACTATGGGCGATAGTGAACGTCGCTGACTATTGAGAAATCGAGAGAATCACTTAACAGGGTAATTAGATTGTGATGTTGATTGGTGCCTGCGAAAGCAGCGTCTGCTTGTCTTGTCAGGCAGCCAGACAAACTGTAGGACAATACAAAGCTGCCTCAACAAGCAGAATAGGAAGCAAATGGTGAATTAGAGGAAATAACCTACAAATAGAGGACTCCTCCCCTTCATTCATTTCTCCTTTCCTCTAAAGAAAAAACAAAGACTCGCATTTATACTATATTCACCCGCAGCTGGCACTGCAGTTACATTACGGAAATTATTGTCCTGGAAATATAAATATGGTATTTCTACCTAGAAGCTTTCGTTTCTTTACCTACATCATACAATTCTCCCCCAATTTTCCTTACATACACTGTTTCCTACTAACCAGCGCGCCACACACCAGAACTCTCCCTACTAGAGGCAGAAACCGCCCAGGTAGGTTACAATTTAATACACACACCAAGCGAGGCTAACAGAAAGACTTAGTCTAAATTTGACATAAATCTTGTTAATATTTATATCAAGATGTGCTTAGAGTGCTTTGGTATGCGGATTATATTGCGACCTAGGTGCCGCCCCCCCGCACGTTACTTTCTTTATACACTGCTATCTGAACTTCTTACCTTATATCCAAAGAACCATCTCCAGCAATAGGGGATGAAGTCAATGCCTGACGCACCCGCGGATATAGGTGATCAAGACAGGATGCTACTCGAACTTTTACACGAAGGTACTACACAATCAAACGATGGTAGCGGCAACAAAGAGGACGTCGATAAAGAAGAGGACGTCAATAGAGAGAGCCACTCCTTAAAAAACGCCTTTCCAGAACGAACAGTCAACGCAGATGGCGTTTATACATACGAATTCGAATGTTGGCAGATGGGAATGCGACGTTTGGAAATCCTGGAATACTGGCAGCGCGACCAAACAGAGATGCCTCTTTGGGTCAGTGGGGATATGGGATAAGCAGATAAGCCGGACTTATTCAGTGTTGGAAGTATAAGGCAGGGGATAGCAAAATGACTGGAACACCAAAGCTCTTTTGCTAGGTATACAAAGTTAAGTAGAGAGAAAATAAACTCGTCATATTTATAGAGAATGTCATCTAGACTTTTCTATCAACACGAAATAATCCCCTACTAGAGCCAGACCGTATGAGGATATTCGTACAGTCAACGATCAAGCATTTGAACTTGACTTCCCAGTGTAGTAGAAAACTTACTCAATCATCTCCATAGTATAGAACACATCTTTAGCTTGCAGTACAAGTCATCAGGAATGTCACAAAATGAGTTTTCATTGGTATCTAGAGCAAGATCTACACAATTCTATTGACTTTGACATCTCCTGAAAAAACAAAAAAGCCAACTGTAGTCTGCAAATCCCAAACTCATCTTTCTACCCTGTCTGCACCAAATCTGGATCAAAAGGCAAAAGTTCTTTCATCCGTATGATCACATGTATTTGGCTTAATTTGACCAAAAATGCCGTGTGTCCAACATGTTCATGCGGTTAGTCCTGGGACAAGTCCTTAGTGCTCTGAGAGCGTCGACAAAAGCAGGCTGCAAAACAATCGCAAATGCCGTCCCAAGCATAAAGCGCCATACTCATGACCCCAAAAATGAAGAAAGGGACGAGGGTATAAGTCGCCAAGTCTATCATAGGTCAGCATCATCCTCAAGTAAGTAATTCAATGGTACTTACAAACCCAACCTCCAGAACGCTTCACCACGTTGTACAACTCATTGCGCATGATGCTCTCTGCCTCCTTCTCCAATTTCCAAGGACCAATCATGCGGAATTTGACGTTGAAGTTGGACCCCATTGCCCAAGTGTAGAAGACCTTCTAGCCCTTCTTCATGACATGGAGGGCGCGGGGTGCAGAGCCCATGTCGAGTGCGAGCTGGTAGGCGTAGCTCTCGTGATCGACGGCGCGCTTGGTTTCAAAGAAGCTGTAGCTTCCGCGTGGGTGAAGTTGATAGTCCAGGTCATAAGGCTTGACAGCGTTGGGATCGCGAGTGACGGGTACCTCGTTGGGGTACTCATGCTGGAGGAGACGAAGAACCCACAGCTGGGCCTGAAGTTCGGCAAGGGGAGGGATGGCGCCTAGAAATATTAGCTGAGACCGCTCGGTGGTAGTGCAGCACATACCAATCGCAGGGCGGACGAATCCAATGTAGCCAAGAGTCACATCTCCCTCTTTGTAAATGCCTCGAACATTGGTCTGTGAGACACTGGGGTAGTCGTTATCCAAGAAGGGGAACTCTCGGGTGTATCCTGTAGCAAAAACAAGAACGTCGGGCTTGAGCTGTTCCTTTGGGATAGTAGTGTCGTCTGTAATCTCCTTCTTGAACTGGAGGATCCCGTCAACGTCGATGCTCTCTGGCCAGGTCATTACATCGATCTTCTTGCCCCCGGTGTCCTTGATCTTGACATTCATGAAAGAAGATCGGATTCGATTAGCCAAAGATTTGGATCGCTTGCCCACGTTGAGGTAAGGAAGAGCCTTGTCGGACTTGCAGAGGAGAACTGTTTCTGTTAGCTTGTGTGAGAGCTGTGGGGATGTGATGACTTACTGGAGTCCATGTACTTTCGGGAAGGACTCATTTGGCCAACCCACTGATCGGGGCCTTCTTCAGTGCCTGATATCATCTTGTGCATGTACTTGATCCAGCGGTCGTAGTATGTCCAAAGGAGTTGGCTTCTCTGGAGTTTGGGATGGACATAAGCAGTGTCGAACAGGCTAGCGACTGAAGTATCAACGGGCTTGTTTGGGATAGTGGATTTTCCACGACCCATGACTTGAGGCATCGGGATAATCTTGAGTATGTTAGTGGAGTTTACAATAGTGTTTACGTGAAACAACGTACCTTTGGGGCACAAAAGAAGCCATCGCGGTGACAAAGTGTGACAGTCTTGGCAGCCGAAGTGACAGCAAGATATGCAAGATCCATACCAGTTTCGCCAGCGCCCATGATGTAGACGTTAGTGCTCTCACCGAACTGAGCTCGAGACTTGAGACGAGATGAGTGGATGACTGTGCCAATTCGTTCGATACCTTCAATGTATGGGATGATGGGGTTGACGTTGATGCCGCTGCAGACAGCTACAGCATCGCATTCCCAACGAAAGGGGCCAGACTCGCTGGACAAGTCAATGATATGGCCGAAGTTGGCAGGTCTGCGGCGGACTTTGACGACCTTTGTCTTGAGCTCAATCATAGATCCAAGGTTGAAGTGAGAGATATAGTCCTTGAGATACTGGACGTAGACCTGGGGAGTCACAAAATCAGGGGCATCGTTTGGGAGGCGAAAGTCCGAAAACGCAGTCAGATACTTGGATGAGACGAGCTATAAGGTAATTAGAGTGATGTTTTGGAGTTATTCAAGTTGCTACATACCTCGGCATCTTCATAGACGCGATAAGAAAAAGTACCGCCGACTTGAGCCTCAGCTTCGAAAAGTCGGACCTCGATAGGGGGAATGGGGAAGTGTTCGTGTGCATGAGCAAGAAACCTGAGGGTGGCTAGACCGGCTGGTCCACCTCCAATGATGGCCACCTTCATGTTGCCCCTGTTCTTAGCTAGATGATACCAAGATGTTCCAAGAAGAAGTGGTAAACGAAGACAAGATGTTAATGAACCAAGACGAGATGATCTTTTGGTAGTTGGTGTTGGTTTAAGGAAGAAGAAGAAAAGAGGCGAGAATAGATGTTTGAGATTTATATATACAGGCTAGTGAGAATTCAGTGAATGATTATTATGATTCAGGACGCTGCTGGCACTGCAAGGGCAGCTGTCAGACAAGTGACATACTTATACATTTTTCACATTAGCATGGTTGATCTTGTCAATTGATGTGAGTCGATAGCTTTCATATTTCATGTATCAGTATTGATACGATCGTCCCTAACATCAATCCTGATCCCAAGGCGTTATTATCCCTCTAATAAGGGACATAATCGTAGGAATATGTAGCCTCTGATATCTCAGAAGATCATAAGGCTGATAGGATATGATGACAAAAGCTTATCAGATATCCGACTCAACGTCTGGATGAAAACTTCGGGCTACAAGGGCCGAGTCGACATTCTTACGTCCTTGCCCAAAAGTGAGGGTATCACGAGTTTGAAATACTAGCTTTAATTCACACTGTACATAAGGGGCCTGTTGAGTCTAATTAAGTTGAGCTTATTCTATCAGTCTGATTCTCCAATAATCTCCGCAGGTTTACATAATTCAGGTCAATACAACCAGTATCAAGATGTGCTTGAACACTCCTTTTCTTTTTTGTTCAAGGCATATTCGACATTGATGTTCGCTACGTACTGCCACGATGTAGGTACAACTAGGCGTTACTCACGAACACGAAGGTACATAGGTATGTTTGGATTCCCCCCTTTAGCAAAATGTCCGCGGAAAAGTAGGTACTCTAGCTAACTGGACACGTTAGAGGCCTCCTTGAACTCAATCTCAAACGTTACTCCTCTTTTGAACGTCGAAGTCAATTCCCTGGCGCTGCAGTTTCGGAGTTTACCGTATAAACTCAATTGCTCTTTCCATGTACTCAATCATCTCACTGCCGCCTCTTATCGTCGTTCGACCTATCGTTGTTTCCCAACAAAATCACCCAGGGTGGCCTGAGGTGAGGTATCAAGGCTTGATATGCGGCCGAGTTCGACCGAAACGAAGCACCACCTTCTAACGCCCTCTTCACTTTCGTCTCTTCTGAATCGCCAACATTCGATTGGGGCTTCATTATCCGAAATGAGGGGATGCGACACAAAGTAAATTTGTTCAGCCACCGAAGTCGATACGAACCTGTCCACCGTCCATCTCCAACATCGTGCATCAATCTATCCATCATAGACCCATTCACAGCTTCATCCAACGACCCCGACCAAGCTATCTGCACTTTTGTCACGACTCTGAGAGTTGTGAGACTCCTAGGCGCCTCTGACGACTAGACAACGATGAAGGCTAAGACCCCAGAAGTGGTGATAGGCCGCTGATGAAGGAAGCCCAGACCCCTGATGTATAGCTCAGCACATGATGTAACGACTCTTCACATGCCTCGGCTGTCTCTACCAATGAAGCCCCATATCCTCTCCGAGAGCTGTGTATCTGGGTGTAGCTCTCAATGCCAGGTCTCTTTCCACATACCAGAACGACTGGGCGGGTTGGGGAAAGGATAGAGAGGGTAAGGGGCAAACGACATATCCAGGAAAGACAATGCAGAAATCTACGGATCTTGATATGTGATGCTATTGGGTATCAAGAACAGTGTCTCAAACTCTTCAATCGGCCATAGATACGAGCAGGGCTTTGATTGCATCACGATCGTTCCGTTGATCGAGTCTCCTCTTCTCGCTTCTACTCGCGTGGAGTATTAACCATCATCGATACAGGCAGCATCATTTCTGCACGTTTCTCCTCTGGAAGCTTGATGTCTCAATGGACCGAGAATGGAAACTTTGGACGCCGCCACAGAGTACTCGATTTGACCAGCCTCTTCTTGAGAAGTTCTCTCCGCAGGAATAACATGGGGTTCTCTGGAGGGAAACGAATACAAAAGAGCAGATGAATCTCGACAGATCTGGATTCTTTTCTTCAAACATATCAAGTTCACACCTCATTCGCTACCATTTCTCACTTCTGCTCTCAATCTTGATAGCAAAAGATGAGAACGTCCCTCTTTTACGCCCTTAACGGGGCGCTCGGGGTAGTAGCCTCCGATTCCCTTGCCTACTTCAAATTCGAAACCGGTAAAGAAGGGCATCGCTCTCTTGACGGATGTGGAAAGCATGGCAAGCACAAGTGGGTTCCTGACCCAGCAACCTTTGTCTTCCCCCAAAACGACTTCAAGCCCGGTAACTCTTGGGATCTCTGCGTTGATACGCCTCATTGTGCCCCTCACGAGGCCCTGAGCAAGGTCACCTTTGATTTCAAGGACAACGGCATCGTGTTTGACTTCAAGCACATCGATCACTACAAGTATGAGGATGTTGAAGTCTATGTCGAACGTGGCCAGCCTACCACTGATGGCTCCTTCAAGTACAGCAAGGAGAGCGATCACTGTAAGGCTAAGAGCGACTACAAAGAGGTCAAGTGCCATATCCCCTTCTTTTCTCTCACCGATGGCGGCTCGTATAACGAGGTTTGTCCCATTGAGAACAACGGGGGCTGGAAACTCCACATCAAGGTTAAGGCTACCATTGCCCACGGTCATAAGAAGTACGAGCTTTACAGCCGCACTCCTGATCTGACCGAGAAGTACTTCACTCTTAGCTACACCTGTGCTGAGTGCAAGGAGTAAGTCATACCCTTGGGATTTCAATTATTTAGCGTTAACATCTCCCAGCTACAAGGAGGGTAAGCTCGAGCTGATCGAGGCCGAAGAGGCTAAGGTCGAAGAGGTTGAGGAAGAGGAGGAGGAGGAAGAAGCCGAGAAGAAGGAGAAGAAGTACAAGGAAGAAGAGAGTGAGGAGGCCGAGGCTGAGGCTGAGGAGGAAGAAGAAGAGAAGAAGAAGCAGTATTACCTCCTCCCATACCATTGATCCACAGCACTAACTTCAATCACAGTGTCGAGGAGAAGAAGAACGAGCACCATCATGAGCATCACCATAAGCACCATCACAACCATGGTCACAAGCATGCTCACGGCCATCAACATGCGCACGGTCATCTTCACAAGGAGCTCCACCACCATGATCATCACCACAAGGATCATCACAAGAAGCTTCATGAGCATAAGGATCACCATGATGGCAAGGAACACCACAAGAAGCATGACCATTACGACCCTGGTTATGAGCATGAGCATGAGCATCATAAGGAGTATGAGCATGAACATCATAAGGAGCACGAGTATGAGCACCACGATCCCAGCTATCACCATGAGCATCACAAGCACCACGACCATCACGATCCTGGCCATCATCATGAGCACTATGATCCCGATCACCATCACGACCATCACGATCCCGGTCATCATCATGACCACCATGAGCACTACAAGCACCACGATTATTATGATGCTAGCCGCCACCATGATCTCGATACCTTCTTGGATGACTTCTTCAAGCATTTCGGCTATCACTACGGACACCATGATGTGAAGCATCACCATGATGGACATCACGATGGACACCATCACCATCATGGTCGAGATCTTGCTTCTGACGTAGATACTGAGAACAAGCACAAGCACAAGCACGGTCATGACCATGGCCATCGCCACGCGCACCTCCATGATCACCACCACAAGCATCGCCACAGCCATCATGAGTATCACCAACATGGACATCATCACGGTCATCACCACGGCCATCATCATCATGATCCCCACGCTCACCATCACGGTCATCACCACCATGATCATCACAGTCTCCATCACGCTCATCATCACCATGATGGTCACCATAGCCATCACCATCATGATTATCACAAGCATCATCACGGTTACAAGTATGATCCTGAGCACAAGTATGAGCACCATGATCACCACAACTACGAGCACCACGATCATCATAAGTACGATCCCGGTCACCATGATGGCCACTATGACCATCATCACAAGAGGTCCGGTGAGCACCATGACACACCTTTGGTATTTCTTTACAAGGAGAAGGAAGAAAGTGTGAGCGCCCAGATCGAGCATCTGCTTAAGGAGAAAGTCCACAAGGGCGAGATCGAGCCTCATGTGTACCACGCCCTCTTGGAGGATCTTCACAAGAAGCAACACGGTGAACACAGTGAACACGAGCAGCCTAAGCATGAGGTCGAGGGTCAACATGAGACGAAGCCTGCTGCTGAACACGAAGAGGACCATGTCAAGCACTACAACCCCAAGATTTATCATGATAAGCAGAAGCAAGAAGAGGCAGAGTACCGCAAGAAGGAGCTTGCCAAGGCTGAACTGAACCAGGCCCTTGAGAAGTACTACGCTGCTCACTCCGTTAACCACGAGGCCAAGCCCGAGCGTCATACATACAAGCTTGAAGAGTACAAGCAGCACGAGAAGCCTGAGGAGAAGCACCATCATGTTCACCACGAGCACAAGCCTGAAGAGCACAAGCCCGAGGAGCACAAGCAGTATCACCACGGTCACTATGAGCAGCACCACAAGGAGCCTGAGAAGTACCACCATGGTCATTACGAACAGAAGCATGAACAGCCTAAGGAGCATCATTACGGCCACTACGAGCACAAGCTCGAGGAGCCCAAGCACTATGAACCGTCCAAGCAGTACGATCAAGGTCACTACGATCATGAGAAGTATAGTGCCGCCGAAAAGAAGCACGACAGCGGGCATTACGTGCATAAGCCTGAGGAGAAGCATCATCACGGTCACTACGAACAGAAGCATGAGCAGCCCAAGCAGTATCACCATGGTCACCATGGTCACCACGAGCACAAGCCCGAGGAGAAGCACTACGAGGGTCACTACGAGCAGAAGCACAAGGAGCCTGAGACGTACCACCACAGCCACCATGGCCACTACAAGTATAAGCCTGAGGAGGGTGAAGAGAACGAGAACCCCCATGTTGCTTATGAGCGACTTGTGAAGTCGGAGTCGAGACACCACCGTACCTCAAAGGAAAAGGTTTTCGGCATCGCTCCCAAAGGTTATCCCCTCGAGAAGAACCACTTCTTGCAGAGCCCTCACCAGCATGTCCATCCCCATAAGCGATCTGCTCTTCCCAAGTCTTACGAGAAGGCTGAGCATATTGTAGAGGTCAATACCGAGAAGGTCGAGACGTACATTGAGAAGGCTGAGTATAACATCATCAAGGCCATCAACAAGACCCTCTGCAAGGCTATCAAGCTTGCCGGTGAAAATCCCAGCCAGGAAACTATCCAGAAGTTGATCCTCAAGGTTGAGAAGGCTATCAAGTACATCGTTGTTAGGAACCTCAAGAAGACCATTGCTCACATCATCGAGATTGATGGTGTTGAGGAGCCTTCCAAGCACGAGATCCATAACCACATCTTGAAGGCTGTTCACAAGATTGTGAAGTCCGCCGATACGATCTTTGAGAAGACCATCGAGGCTCTCGGTGAGGACCCCACCGAGGCGGAGGTCAAGCTCGCCCTCAAGAAGGTCGAGAAGCTTCTTGCCAAGATTGTAGACAAGACTGTCCGAAAGACTCTCATTTCTCTCTTCGAACTTGAGGAGGAAACTGAGGAGGAGTGGTATCACGAGAAGGAGAAGCGTGCTGATGAAGCCAAGGCTGCTGAGGTTGAATCTAAGGAGGCCAAGGTTGAAGCCAAGGACGCTGAGGTCGAGTCAAAGGCTGCTGAGGTCGAGTCAAAGGAAGCCAAGGTTGAGTCTAAGGCAGCCGAAACAACTGGTAAGCAAGAAAGACAAGCTTCTGTCCCCATCTATTCCAGACCTGCGAAGATATTACAGTGCGGAAAGCGTTCCCGTGTTTATGGCCATTCCGACCATCTCAAGATCGAGGAGGCTGTTGAGGGAGCTGTTGAGAGTGACGCCGCTAAGCTTGTGGGAAATACAGATAAAAAGCCCAGGAGCATCCGTCAGTCCAAACGCGCCAAGAGAGACGGTCGGTTCTACAATGGATACGTCCCTGAGTGCAAGGGAAAGACCATCAAGGCATACGGTGTCGATGGCCAGAACACTCGCGCCCTGAAGGACTTGGCCTTCACGACGCACCCAAAGACTTGTCACCTGCACAGTGGCGACTACCTCAAGTACACTCACCACGAGCTCAAGAATACCGTGTACGGCGAGCTCTCTGAGGCTGGCGGCGCTGGTCAGAAGTACGGTAACTACTTCATCGAGATTGTCAAGAACCCCCACGGTTACCACAACGACATTGTCATCTCTCTGGATGTCAACGACAAGCACAAGTACGATGCCACCGAGGCCAAGGTCTTTGTCGGCTGCGAAGGCAGCCGCGAACACCTCAATAAGGAGAACATATGTGTTGAGAAGTCATACCCCTACCTCGCCGTTGCTGAGAAGGGACTCAACGAGTTTGTCTTTGCCGTCCCTGACAAGTACATGTGTCATGGAGGCCATTACAACATTGCCATTGTTGTCGACATCTGCGACAACAAGGAGTAAAAGCGAAATGTTTTAGGCTGTCCGGCCCGGCGGAAGATTCCATTGAGGAAGACAGCCACTTGACCCGGGTATTAATAAAGATGCAGTCCTGTGGATAGCGTCTCATCATGGGTTGAGGAGGGATTAGGTACAATGATTCAATCATTATAGATAACCATTCATTCAATAAATTTGCCTGTCTCTTATATGGCTTATCGTTGTGAAGTAGTATGTCTTCTTTATATGACCTCTCTTGGTGAAGTGTCTTGGTTCTCTGGTGAGTATCGGAGAAGTACGCTAATCATAGAGATATTTAGGCTCAATGTTCAGTTATATGATGGGACAAATTTGTATTTGGTATATCTATCACGTTTCCCAATCTCCTTTTAACATAAAATCATAACACTTCTATCGCAATGCACATAAGTTCGTAACTCCAACTCTAACTCCAGTTGGGAGCGTAGGTGATGAAAGCCATCAGACAACCGGAAATAATACCAGCAGCAGGCACGGTAATGAACCATCCAAGGTAAATCCAGCCGACCATGCGCCAGTTGATAGATCGCCAGTCACCATTGCAAAGACCGACACCAACGATGGCGCCAGTGATGCACTGAGTGGTAGACACAGGGAGCTCTGCAGGGTTGGTTAGTATTGGATTAAACATAAACAATGAACGATATTCGAGGGAACTTACTAAGACGAGTGGCCAGAATGATGGTGATGACAGATCCAAGTTCCATGGAGAAGCCACGGGCAGGAGACATGAGAGTGACACGGTTACCCAAGTTGCGCATGATGTTGTAGCCGTATGTCCAAAGACCAAGGACAATACCAGCACCACCGAAACCGAGAACCCAGAGAGGGACTTGGGCCTTGCTTCCAGGGACCTCCCCAGAGTTCCAAATCTGGTAGATGGTGGCATAAGGTCCAACAGCGTTGGCAACGTCGTTGGCACCATGGACGAAGGAGGCGGATGCAGCAGTCATGACCTGGAGGAATGTGTAGAGGAACTCAGTGCGGTTGTCGAAGTGAGTGGCACGAGCATGGATCTCCTCAACGTCACCGGCAACGACAGACTTCTCGCTCTGGGAACCAACGATATCCTTGTCAACACCGTGGAGGATGACGAGCTTGATGGCCCACCAGATGAAAGCACCAGAGTACCAAGGACTGTCGGGCTTGGGGCCGATCATAGACTTGTGCTCAGGGTAACCGGTAGGGGCGGGCTCATCAGTAGCAGAGTCGGTAGCGGTCTTCTTGTCGTGCCCGGCCTCGAGATCCTCTCCAATGACAGCAGCGCGCTGAGTACGGCGCTCCTCAAGCTCCTCACGGGTAAGGTGGCCCTCGTAGAAGTTGCGGACAACACCCTGGAAGTTGTCGGGGGTAGGAGGAACAGGACCACGGCGGAGGAGAAGAGGGCCGAGGAAGATGTGGTAGGCCTTGATCTGCCAATCCTCCTTGATGACAACGCGGTACAACCAGGGGACGAGGAAGATGGCCATGAGAAGACCCCAGCCAGCACCAGCAGCGACAATAACACCGGGGATCTGCTCCTCAGTGAGGTTGACCTCGTAAGAGCCACCCTTCCAGATCAGAAGCATGACAATGAGAGAGGCGGTGGCCCAGAAGTAGAAGGGGACGAGGATGAGACCCTTGATAGCAGGGCTCTTGCGGAGGAGAATACCGTACTTGGTGAAGAGGAAGATTGCGGCACCGAAGATACCGGAAAGCATAGGGGCGATGATCCAAGCAAGGAAAACCTGAGGGGATATGTGTTAGTAAATCTGTTTGGGAATAGGGAAATATGAGATACTAACCTGGACGACACCTTGCTGGATATCAAGAGAACCATCTTCATGATAGCCAACCCAAGTGATACCGTTACCACCAAGGGCACCAACACCCATGCCCAACACACCACCAAGGATAGAGTGAGTAGTAGACACGGGGAAACCAAAGCGCGTAGCAAAAGTAAGGTAGCTAGCAGAGGCGATAACAGCGCAGACCATACCCAGCATAAGAAGAGCAGGGCTATCGTCAAAGGCACCGACATCAACGATCTTTGTTCGGATAGTATCCGCAACACGACCGCCAACGCCAAGAGCACCTGTGAACTCCATGATACTGGCACCGATCATGGCCTGGAAGTAGCTGATGGAGCGAGACGACACAGACGACGCCCACGAGTTGGCGACATCGTTGGCGCCGATGTTCCAGGCGTCGAGGAAGGCAAAGATTGTGCCTACCGCGAAGAGGTAGTCATACTGAGAGAAGACTGCCATTGCAGTTTTTGCAGGGGAAAAGAAGAAAGAAGAGTCTATTTGTAGAGGGAGAAGATGTGCGAGAGACTTGAAGAAGCAAGAGAGAACATGTCTAGCAGAAATACCATATTATATATACATACATCTTGCCAGTGGAGAACTGAAAGAGAGAAATATCTGTTCCGCAACGAGAAACGTGGGAACGTACGTGGGCTGAGGGTTTACTTGCACGCCCCCTCAAAACCGCCAAGACGAGATATCGCCAAGACGACGAGGGAGAAGAAAAAAAAGGTCTTTCTCCCTCCCGGATGTCAAGGCTCGCCACGGGCCTTTTTTCCAGAGTGAATGCCAAGAGCAAGATCAACAAAGTGTGAGCTAATAAGGCGTCTCAGTGGACAAGGGATTGAGAATGGCAAAACAGATTTTGCGGCATCAAGAGTATCTAGCAACGGTTTGTCTTATTGTTGACGAAGCCTACATCGATGTATATCCCATCTCAGCAGCGTTCAACCTCCAGCTCATGTGTCAATACCAAGCGTTGGAAAAGAGAAACCGGGGACACACTCCACAGCGGATCTCCCTCGAAACAACAGAATTAAGCTTGTATGATAACCTTGCTTTCACTGTCGCAGTCTGTAACTGTCGATCCGTGTCTATCTTGTTTGTCTTTTTTGTTTCTGAGGTGATAGGCGTCGCAGTTTAAGGAAATAACTCACGCGACACAACATGGGAATACGCACTCGGGTTTGGGAGGCACACGACACAATTCCTAAAGCGTCACCGAGGCAGCTGAAGTTGAAGCTAGAGATTGTTGATGCTAGTGGGGGGCCTGTATGCCAAGATGTCAAGCGAGGGCATGGTTTGATGGATCCTGGGTGGGAATAAGAGGGGGGATAGATGCCGAGTTTGGGTGTGTTTGTATGCCTCTTCTGTCTATTGAGTGTCAATTGCTCATATAGACTACTGCTATGGTTGAATATGACCTGTATATTTCAACCACCACTGGGGAACATCTCGAGTGTCTTGAGCAAAGATAGACAAAGGCACATTCACGTGAGATTCATCAAAAGCACACACACGCGACTCATATCTCGATTCAGCCATAGCCTCAACCCTCGAAACGAGTCTTCAAAAAGTAACCAATCAAACAGACACCATGCGTTCAATCGTCGGTGCACCAAAACGAGAAAGATGTTCCACCGAAGAAATAATCCCTGTACTTCGTACGCCTCAGACCAACTTTATCGTGGATAAGGCCAAGAGGCTTGTCCACTTTTGTTATAGATCTGCGGGTTTAAGCATTAAAGATGCGGGTACAACAGCCAATAATAAACAAGAAACATTACACGTGTGAGATGTAAATGCAAGATTGGCTACTGGAGCCCAGCTTTATGTGGACGTCAACTATGGGGGTGATTCTTTTCTCGGAGGACTTGTTAGGTAACCAAATAGAGTACATCCCGGGTTTTGTTGTGGTCTGTGAGTGGGATTTGACACAATTGCTATGGATTGAATTGTGCTTTTCCACAGAAATGACTTGGCATTATAGAAGAATTGAGCTTTTTCATTGATGGCAAAATCGATGTGTTATCAGGGATGCTGTGATATGCTACGCCTCCGTGTTAATCAATGCCCCAAGGGAAAAGAAGTCGCCATTTGCGATCCACTGCTAATTGCCACGGAGGCAAGTATACTCAGAAGTTTAGAGTAATCTTGTCAAAACTCGAAGAAAGACGTGGGTCGTTACACCGAACACAGAGTTGAAAGTCGCAAATGTTCCACGTATTTGCTACCTCAGACGTGCGTGTCAAATCTACGGATAGTTTGTTCCGACGGTATATCAGTGGACACCAAACAACTACCGTCACCAAGAGAATCTGTTCAAACTCAGACACGGGGTCATAATCAGAGAAATGATATGCCGGTAGTTGAGGCCAGAGCTGAGACATAGGGTAGGATCGTCACTTTGAGTCGGAGATATAAATAACATGAAACATTTGGTAAGTAAACACGGCACGGCTTCTACGGCTGCTGAAGATCTTATTGGACATGAAACAATTACAATCTATGCTATACTAGCTGCGTTTCTTCCGGCTAATCTTGATTTCACGTCCGTGGAGCAGGACACGACTGCTGCCGAACCCCTGGTGCGGAGATATATGAAGCTTAATTGATTCAAAGTGAGGCTGTGTGTTTCATGCAAGGATAGAGTGTTCTACCCGGCAGAGGAATGGCCAATGTCTATTTCGGATCCTTGTGTTATAGGTCGCGAGTGTTTGATGCCAGTGTGGTTCCCTGACTCAAGAGGATAGGATTACAAGTCGGGGTAATATTCCCTGAAGGTAGCAGGGTTTTGTCATGGTTAGACTCAAATTGATATATTTAGCTGTACATAAGTTATTAAGTAAAGCCTAGGTTCGCGGAAGCGTGGTCTCCAAGTATGGCCCCTCGAAGAATAATGCTTCCGTAGCTCATTCTTCACGGCACTTGGTGGTCAGAAGAGGACACAAATACACAATACGTCCTCGCTATGATGAATAACGAGGGCTACTTGTTCAATTCGCCCAGAAGGCTTCGGTATTGTATGGCGACCTTGAACTTGATCGGTCGAGATTTGTTATAATACGGCAAAGCTGTAGTCAGGACTAGAAAGTGACTGCTTCATTATATGGCTAAGCACTAGTCAGTCGATGTTGTAGTCCAAGTGTTACCTTGCTAAAAGTCCTTGATAACGAAGAATGCGGTTCCAAGACAGCAAAGTAGACGATGAATCGCGTCAAAGTATGAAATAAACATACATTCCAGGGTCTCTTAACTCTCTTAACTATTGTACTGTTTCATAAATATGTTCTTGACACTAACTCCCCACCAACATGAGACATACACATCAAGCAGCTGTTGTGCCTGTTTCCTTCTCCTCCAATCGAGAACCCTGGATCTTCTCCTCATCAAGAGTACGTCCCTGCAGACCAATTTCTGTCTCGTAGAAAACATCCACAACCTTCTTGTAGGATGGAACAAAGTTCACCGCGAGGGGATAAGACCAAGCCGCTACAAAAAACATCATGGGAACAACCATGGCCACGCCTACATTGTGCATATCTGCGACAGCTCCCGTCAACGGGGGCACACAAGCACCGCCCACAACACCAGCAACGATGAAACCACTTCCTCGCTTGGTGTGACGGCCAAGACCTCTCATGCCCAGGGCGACAATGGTGGGGAAGCAGATCGACTCGAAGAAGAGGACAATGTAGAGAAAAGCGACGCCGACGTCTCCGTGGTGGACGATTGGCGGTCCGATGAAGACGATGCACATGGTCAGGAAAACTAGAAAGACCTTTCGTGGCTTGCAGAACTTCATGAGAAGAACTCCGAAGAAACGACCAACTGTAAATGCCGCTTGCGCACCGGCAAAAAGCTTGGCACCTGTCGAATCTGATGTATTCCGGCGCATCTCGGTAGCGTAGTTGATAAAGAAACTCGCAATGGCGACTTGTGCACCAGTGTAACAAAACTGAGCAAACGACGCGTGGAAGAGCTTGTACTGCTTCCAAAAAGGCTTATCATCGGCTTCTGAGTGTGTCTCATGAGCTTGAAAGGCCATATCTGGGACCTGTTAGTATAATGGTATAGACACATAGAACTTTAACGTACCAGCATCGGTGATTTCAGGAATCTTGGAAAGGTAGAATGCACAGGCCAGAATCAAGACAAATACGGCGATGGAGAGGTAGACCCATTGCACGTTGGCCAATGCAGCATTGTCGTCGAGGTTATTGAAAAAGACATATGAGCCGAGTACGGGAGCAATGACTGTGCCAATACCGTTAAAGGCTTGGGAGATATTGATGCGAATTTCCGAATATCGTGGGGGGCCGCAAACTATACATGTCAGAGATGTGTATATACTCGCGAACATTGTGGCATACCGGTGATAAATGGGTTCGCAGCTGTCTCCAGCGAACCGAGACCATTTCCGATAATGAAGATGGACATGCAAAAGCCCGCAAAAGACTTTGCCTTGATACACGGGATAGCAATCAATGCACCAACAGCGTATAAGCAGAGACCCCAGATAAACACGGCCTTGTACGAGTAGTGACGCAGAATCCACGCGGCGTGTCCCAAAGACGCAAGAGGATAAGCACTGAAGCATTATTAGCCCTGATGAGAAACCCAGCGATAGTATCTCCATACCCAAAATACGCAGCCTGCAGTCCGGCCGATCGAGCACGGTCGATGTCAAGCACTTTCTGAAAGTGCTTGTTTAGAGTATCGAGGAGGCCATAACTGAAGCCCCAGAGGAAGAAGAGCACCGTGACAAGCGCAATGGGCCAGATGCTTTCCCGCAGCGAGAGCTCAGCTGCTTTGGTGACCTTTTTGTCTGACACCTTCAGAGAGCGATCCTTGAAGAACTTTTTGACGCCCATGATGAACGATTTAAGTGTATAGTGTAAGTAGCATACGACGTCTCATCAGCAGCAAGCAAGAAAAGTAAAAAGTTCCGAAGAAGAAGGAGAGGGGAACAGGTCGTTATTTGACCACCCTCGGCCAGTGCAGACCCGAGCAAGGGGTCACAATTAGGCTTCCGTCATAGAAAGAGCCATCCTGTAGCTACCTTGAACGGAGGTCGCATCGCAGGCTGCGCTGTAACCCCATGGGGAAAAGGCGAAAAGGCTCTTGAGTGGTGTTTGGAGGTTGGAGAAAGGGTAGAAAACCTGGGGATTGCGGGGGAGGAGACCGGATGTGGGTTGGGTCAACGCCGATCACCATGGATCATGAATCAGGCTTTTTGGGATGTGATGGTCGTTGCAATGATAGACCGAATGGGAGGGCATCTAAGTTAAGTTGCAGATGTAGAGTGTGTATACGTAACTGCAGAGCTTACACTTGGTAAAGCATGCAGTGAGATTCGATATCTGGTCATTTTGGTACATGTTATTGTCACTGGTGGAAGAAGCTATCTAGAAGCCAACAGCCTTAACAACCTACATATCAAGATCAAGGTACCCCGTATTGACGGCAGTTTCACATCACCAAGTCTCAAACAACATCAATCGGCAATCCACCTCGGCAAATAAAAACTAAGTTTCCTCCCTGCTTTTCCAGAACACACGTAGGCAATTAAAACCACGACCCAAACCTAGCCTAAGCTCGAACAATTAAATCCCCGCCATGATACGTCGTAGGATTATTTCTCCTCAATTACGTGCATAGTCGCCTGCTTATTTGGGCTATTTCTGTGTCTATCATCAGACTATCATGTGGTGTTTCATTTAACCGGGCGATCCATGCCCAATGGCATGTAACACTGCTATCTACTCCCGTTGACTAAGACCAGGAGGGGGGCTTGCCTGTGTTGATGAACATAAAACCAACAGCATAATCTTATTAACTTTGTGGCTTTGTTCGTCGTTTTGGACAACGGTGAAGGGGTCAACTCTGTCTGAGTCATGAAGAGAAAGGGAAGACCTGGATAATGAGATGCGGCCCTCGAACACGATAAGGTACGAAAAACATTAGAGTTCTGCCAGTCCAAATCTTCATTCGACTACTACACCCTTAGGTCTAAGATACCCCGAGAGTTTTTAGGACATCGAAAGGAGCCCAAGACTTCGCCTCGTATGATAGCTCATGGGCTGAAGTCGCATATGTTCAAAATGAAGCTGCACATATTCATCAACCAAAACAACTCTCTGCACCCCCTTTAGCAGTTCAGGTAGTCGCCCATCAAGTATTTGCGTAGTAGATCAAAGGTAAGCCCTAGAACAGCTCATCTAACAGATGCAACTGTTCTACAACACCAGCTACCGACCTCATGAGTCTATAATATGCCAAACCCGAACAAGCAATCAGTCTACACTGACATGAGCACATAAAAACTCTTGATCAACCCAGTACTACCAAATACCCAACCTATATAATCCACCGAATAACCCACCATAAACTTTCCTTCTACAGCATCAGGTTTGTTACCCTATCCCATCTTCCAGAATCCAAAAGGTAAGTAAACCCCCACATCACGATGCCTTCCACTCAAGAGAAAGACGCCCCTGCCGCCAAGGCAGCAAGTCTTGCTGAAATGCTCCAGGCTTTGTCCTTGGGCACCGCTCGGACAGAAGATGTCGCTGAGATGTTCCAATCTATGTCCTTGGGTGATGTTGACGCTGCAGGTGTTACTAACATGCTCACATCCATGCCCTTGGGCACCACTGAGGCAGAGAATGTTGCTGACATGTTCAAGGCCATGTCCTTGGGCACTGTTGAACCAGCAAAGGTTGCTGAGATGCTCCAGGCCCTGTCGTTGAGCACCACTTGTCAGGAGTCACGATGCAATTCCCCTGGATGCACCAACAAGACAACTGCTAGTTCTGTCTCTTGTGAAAGCTGCCTCGCTCGTATGAACAAGAAGTAGGGCAACAGAGCCAAGCTGGGCCAAGTAGGTAAGTCTGAGTCCTCATTGAAGAACGACGGAACGACACACTGTAAACATCACTGAGAGCAAGTTCTAGACCAAGTAAGTATTGTAAACGAAAAAATAAAGTCTTTCTTTTAATGCACGCTGTGTCAATAGCACAAGTGATTCTATCTCCATGAACCCCCTCCGTGACTCCCCCCTTATGTACCGTTCGCTCTTCTTCCACCTCTGGTACTCCTGGTAACGTGTCTTGTGAGCACCTTTCTCGTCTCGACCAAACTCCGCTTGTGCTTGCTCTTGGCCTTGCCCATGGTCATAAAGATGTTCTTGTTGCGCTGCTTCTCCCTGTTGCTCGTGCTCTTGCCCGACGCCTGCATCTTGGACTTGCGGATCGCCTGCGTGCTCTTGTGCTCGTCGCGGTCCGGCTTGCCCTCCAGCGCGAGCTCCTTGCGCTCCTCCTTGGTCATCTTGCGCAGGCGCGCAGGTGCCTCGATCTCCTCCGCCGTGAGGCCGTCGTCGCGGTGGCGGTTCTCGAGCTCCTGCTGGCGCTTGCGGTGCTTGCCTAGTGCCTTGTCGACCGAGGCGGACATGCGCAGTTCTTGGAGTTTGGCGAGATCGGCGGGTGTGAGGATGGTTGTCGTGGCGAGCAGGGAGATTCGGTCGATCTCGGCTTCCTTCTCCTCCTGGTCCTTCTTGGCCTTTTCGTCCGCAACGATATCTCCTTCTGTCTTTTGCTTCTTTGTTGCAGGCTCCTCATCATCATCCTCCTCGTCGGAAGAGTGGTGGACGTTGATCCATTCGCCAGAGTCGCTGCTATCATCAGAGTCAACCTCCCACTCATCAGACTTGTTGCCTTCATCCTCCTCTTCATCGCTGTCAGCGTCCTCGGGAAGACCCTTCGCAAGTCGTCTTTTCTTCTTTTCGTCCTCCTTCCACTTCTCGAGAAGCTCCAGACCCTCAATTCCACCAGCATCCTGTTCACCAAACTTGCGCTGAGCCTGGATGCCAGCCCTCATGTTGATAGTGGCGTTCTTACCACGGTCTCGCTTCTTAAGAAGCTCTGCGCCGACCTCTCGGTACAGCGACAGAAGACCTTTGGCAGCCATCATAACACCCTTGTCCTTACTCTTACGGTATTGAACCAAATCCTGTAGTAGTGTGTCGGTCATGGCTAGAGGTTGACGGGCACAGATCTCACGAATGGAGTTCAAACCGGCAGCAGCAACCTCGGCGGCCGAAGCTTCTGAGACGAACTCGTTGGCGATCTTCTGGATCAAAGGCTCAAGCACATCAGGAGGCACCAAGTTGTGCACAGCCTGTGCCAAGGAAGCCAGGAAAGATGTGACGGACTGTTGTCGGGGAGTAAGGAACTTGATAAACCAGGAGTAAAGCGCCACGATGGTCAACTTGTGCAGACCAACAAGTCGAGTAACCAGCTGAGTCACTAGAAGCTTTGTTTCGAGGGACAGCTTCGCCTTGGTGTTTTGTAGGTGTTTTGAGAAGAGCTGTTCGGCAAAGTTCTGAGGGTCGTGAAGGAGATGCAGAGCTGAGAAGTTGAGAGGATGAGGCTTGGTCTTCTTGCGCTCGTTACGCTTCACCTTATCAACAGCTCTGTCATAAGCCTTCTTTGACTTCTTGGTCTTCTTGTTGATGCCCATCTGGTGCTTGACCTGGCTCAGATCAACCTCTTCGTCACTGCTCTCGTCTTCCATTTCCTCACGCTCCTTATCTCCTCCAAGGAAGAAACGAACAGCACCAACAACGACCTTCTCGTTATCAGAAAGACACGCCTCCTTCATCACATCCACAGGCTTAGCATCGGTCCAGAACTGTCGCTTCCACATCTCGCGGGTAAGCTTGATGGCCCAGATGGCTCGTGGGGAGGATCGGTCGGCGGTGATAAGATTGTAGAGGACGGTTTGGACTGTGCGGTTGAGAGGATGGTTGATGGACTTTGTGTTCGAGTTTCGCAGGTCGCTGAGGATCTTTGAGAATAATGTTTCACGTAGAGTTTTGCTCGGCGACGATACGAGGATGGGGAAAAGCGTGGTGAGGACACTGGTCGAGTCGATGACTTCTTTTCGGCGGAGCAGGACCAGACTTCCCACGATCTTCTCCCGCAGCTCGGGGTGAAGAACAACATGATGCTGTGTCAGAATGGTCTTGAGATCGTCAGGGAAGGTCGCTGTTTCCTCTTTGTAGCAATCGGCAACGTGAGCGATCAGGTCGATAATGTTGTGGAAAGACACAACCGAGTCAGCGGTCGCCGTGGAGGGAGACACGAGAAAGATCTCGCGCTGCGCCTCATACTGTTCCCATTGCTTCAGAAACTCTTCCTTATATGATCTAGCAGCTTGGCATTAGTGATTGACGGCGTTGTCGAGGAATTTAAGCGACGTACTTGGGATCGCGACGGATTTTCTGCTGAAGACTCGCGCTGTAGACATAATTAGTTGATGGCCAAAAAGACGCGGAACAGTTTCGCAATTGACATACAAATCAGCATCGATCTTCTCGAGGGCAGCGACCTTGCGTTTCATTGCGACGAGGTCTTTGCTATTGTTGATGTTTGGCGGGAGGGTGGGGGATGGTCCCTTTGAACTTTGGCAAACAGAAAGAAAATTTGGGACATTTTCTTGCTGATAAGATAAGCTCTCCACACGCGGAATTCAGCCGCGATTCTGGCCCAGAGTCAAAGCTTGGCATCAATTAAAACATGTACTAACTATGTATGTATAATAATGAAAACCAATCCTATTTTATTTTTGACTAATAAATCTTTAAGTCTTAACGGCACCTATTGGACGTCAATCACATGCCCATGATATACACAAGTTGATTCTATGAGACAAAGAAAGTTATAAAGATCAGTCAAATATGGTCACATTATATGATGATTGTTAGTGTTGGACAGATTCGATCATGGTCAACAATCGTCTTAGAGGGCATCCGACAAGGATATAGACGAAGCCGCATATGGAGCACTACAGTCATGAGACTTCTGCTACTGAGACCTTAATATTAACTTTTTGTATGATACCTAGCGGTAACCTCCCTTGGCCAGCGCTGAGTCTATCGATAATCCCATGCGTCAAATCCCCAACTCCCCTTCCCATTTACCATGATAGCTCAGATCATCGCCCGTATATGCTATCTCATGGAAAACGTCCAAACCTGCAAAGCAATCCCTTCCTTTCTCCAATCCGTTCTGTGACCTTCCCAGCAAGTGCCAGTTCTGTAGTCATTCCCATTCACCAAAAGCTCAACTCCCTGGCCTCGTATATACCACCCAAGTCGCAGATGATATATACTACTGTCTATAGCCATCAACGCCTGAGTAGCCTCTTCCCCTAGACAATCTTCGTTTACCCTTCAAGCCCTGTTTCGGCTTCGCGGTTGTCCGGCTTCGGAATCAAAATAGCCAAATATCTGATGCCTCTGCATCCACGATCGATATGCCAGGTTAGCTGATCATTTGTCATCTGCTGTCGACGTTGCTCGTGGACATCGTCCATTTCCATACCAGTAATGGCGAATGCAGCCATTGCTTTGTAAAACTCTGCATTTTCACTCTTCTCCCAATTCTCTTCGATGAGCTCCAGCCCCAAGGTGACGTTCGTGCTTCGAAGTGTCTGGGTGGCTACACGAAGCATGCCAAAATCCCGATAAGGTTGATGTAGGATCATCTTGATATGAAGGCTGTTTGAAATCTGTTGGAGCACTTCGACAGCCTCCATCCAAACCATAAGGGTTTTGGTCATTCCTTGGCTCCATCCATGTGGCATGTCGCATCTTTTTACTAGCCATGGCTCTTTCAAGGCTAGTGCCGTGTTACTGAACATTGCCAGCTCCATCATGAGAATAAGTTTGCCTGTTTCTTGACGAGGAAAGAAAGGCCTGGCCTTGTCAACGAACATGTGGAATCCGAAGGATGTCTCAAAAAACCATTCGAATTCCACTAGAACTGTGGTGACAAACTGATGGGAAAGGTCGTCCATCTTGGCCAAAGGGTGGTCGAAGATAGAGAAACCGCCCTCTCTGATGTTGAATCGGACCCTGTCCTCTCCAGCGACCGCTTCGACCATCCCTGGTTCAAGGTCATTTGCCGCCATCTTGAAGCTCCAAACGAATATGTTGTTCATAATCTTGGCAGGTAATTGCTTTCTTTTGGGTGGCTCGTCTTTCTGCAACTGGTCGTGTTGCACTTTCTGCCTCTTACTTGGACGCTGTCCAACTTCGTTAGTGCCGTATGGTTATAATGTAAGTAATTTTTACCTTTGATCCAGCCATCTTTTCTGTTGTCGAACGACGCAGGTTTTGCCACAAATGGTGTCAGTTCTGGAGAACGGCCCGCAGGCTATCAATGTGGGCTAAGCGCAACGGAATGAATATTGGAAGGTTAAGATATGAAGGAGGAAAAGAATTCAAGGTGGAAAGAGGGGGAAAGGGGCTATTTATACCTCACGTGAATGACCGGTGTTCGTGGTCGACAGTGAATCACGGTCTAGTTAAGCAGAAGATTGCAGTAGTCATCATAAGTTTAGAAGAGATCCTGTCAAGTTTGTTTAGTCAAGTTATTTCCAATCTTTAGGTGCAATGGTATCCAAAATGTATTTCCATTACCGTAATCATATCCATTTTGCTCACATGTATCAATATCCGTAGATTTCCTTCTATCGTTATTACATCTCGGCTGATGATTTTTAAACTGGTGTCTGTATATACAAACCCCCGAGGTTCTCTCCTCTTATCATCTTCAAGTTCACAACATCTGTCTTCCTATACTGGATGTGTAAAAGTTTTAATAACTTTCTCTCTTTTAATATCTTATATAAGATAACATAAATAGTTATAAACTCTTCTATTTTATATAATACTATATAATACTAGGATAATATTATTAATAAGATATTCTAATTATTACATTATTTTGAAACATTTTGTACATATTAATACTTGGCTTGTTATCAGAACTTTTGCAAAGGACGATTGTTAGTATTTAGTTATTAGAAGATCAGACAGCAGTATCACAGCCATGATTTATCTTCAATAGAAGAAACTGGGATGTCTTGACACATATCTTATTTACAGTCGATATTTTTAGACTTTGAGTAATATGTTTGGTGAAATGCATTATTGTCTGTGGCGTTGGCTATCTGATGAAGCAGTCTCGTCTTGTCTACACCTCTCCTCACCTATAAGCATTATGTTCTAACGTCCTAAGTCGTCCTAAATCTTGACAATTTGCTATAGTTACCCGGGGCGAACACATTACTCTGTGCGGCTTTCCCCTCAAAATATAAGAAACAGGCCTTTTGGCCATCAATTTTACCGTGCATCAAGCGATCTTCCACAAAGTTGCCAGTCGATCCCATGCCTCAGATTCAAGTTGCAGGATGAATCTAGAAATGGGCAATATCCACGACCAACACATTGCTAATCACTGAATGTCCTTCTGATTTCAATATCCTCTTATTGTGTGAGCATCTGGTGACTGCTTAAAGTGTTCTTGACTTGAGCGAACTTCCTCTGAGTCGGTTCCTAATTACATACTGTACGATGCATCTCAGCCATGATCGTTCGTAAATGCATCTCTCCTGGGTGCCTTAGCTACTAGTCACCTCTGACCCTGGCACGTAAGCCTTTTGTTGGATGTCCTCCATTCATCAATGACCCTCCACTTCTGGCTCATCAGCCTCGCCATCATCGCCCTGCACGTCCTCTTCTTGGCCATCCCCATCGTCTGGGACAGCCAACCCTGCAATAGGCTCATCAACATTGAGGCATTGATGGTGCTCCTTCCCACGTGTTCCCACGTGTTTCTCGCGATCATCAACCTCTTTGTCTAATTGCGCACAGTTAGTTCAATTAGATCCAGTACTATAGCTCTTGTTGTCAGATACTTACCAGAGTCCTCTTATTCAAACTCGTCCAAATCGTTATCCGTCTTCTTCGTATTGCTGTCAGGTTCAGCTTCCACGCTGGAACCGACCTTTACCTTTGTGACCCATTGAAGTGATTGGTCTACCATAAGCTCTTCGTAGTACTTCTAGCCTCGAAAAACAGCTTCCATGGTGTCCCTGATGTGACCACATTCCTCTGATTTCAGCTTTCTCTCGATGGCGTCGTCGATCAGCTTGGTTAGGCGGATCGCTGCGGGAGTCGCAGGTACTTGCACATGAACTCGCGGTTTGCTCGTGGGGTTTGCCGCCAGAGCTTGCATGCTTCGCCAGAGATTGTCCATTGCCTCCTCCATTATCGTACCGTTGGCATCAGCTTTGGAAGCGGGTTGTTTCCTTCGAGTTGTGCTGATTTCTCCTCTCAACCACCAGCAACCACCAATCGACCAATCCAATCAACTGACAATCAAGTTTTGCGCAATCGTTCCTGACATTCATATAACCTTTCCGCTGGTGATGACTGGGTCGTTCTCCTGTGGGTATTCATCGGCCTGGCAATCCGCATTCTCGGCGCCATAGAAGTTTACCTGCGCATTGTTTTCCTTCCTCCACCTCCTAAGGACGAGGAAGCCATTGCAAGGTCTTGAATATTCCTTGGCTCAATGCTCAGCCGACAACGCATAGTGAGATTAGTATTATATGGAGGATAAAGCATATGCATACGATATGGTCTTTTGTAAATTCCTAGAACTATAGGCTAAAAAAGGAGTATATTATGATTCCTGCTGTCACTAACCATATCTCTGGACCAAATCTCTCATAACGTCGAGGACCCTATTAAGCTCATTAGCCACCAAACTAGACGGTAGACTGAGAATAGTCTCACTGTGTGCGAAGTGTCTCGTTATTAACAAAAAGGGCTGATACATGTGTGTCAAACCTCCTAGCTTGATATTAGCAATGTAGATTAGGAAAAAGAAAACCGGTTTCTGAGTGTCTCACAGCCTATAGAGGTCTAGGCGGCCTTCAAAATCTTCTTCAGGCGGCGAAATTTGGGCGAATGTGTTGTAGGCAGCAACATACTCATCCCCAAACCTATTGCAAGCTGGTCGCCACTGGCCAAACTCATCTTCAAATTCGAGCTAGTTAGCAGGGACAACCGCAAGTGTTTGATAGGGAACGTACATTCATTGTGCGCAAAAAAGCAGCACGCATCGAAGACAAGAGACTGGTCGTTGTCGACATCAATCCCTGAATTTGCGTACCAAAGGTCTCCATGAACAAGTGAAGGTTTCACTGTTCGTCCGCCACTCTCGAGAGGCCTCAGAAGCCTCGGGATGACCTTTTCGAACAGAGCCCGTGAGAGAATCTCGAGTTCCTCGCTAGGCCCTTTCCTTTCAATCTCTAGGTCAAGCGCCTGTCTCATGGACTTGGCGAAGAATGTCTCCCAGCTATCTTCCCATGCCACGAATTGGGGTAGATTTCCTGCGTAGGTGGTGATGTGGAACCCGAACTTGCCAGTAGGCGATACGCTTTTCTGGTGCAGTCTTGACAGAAGAGCGGCAAACTTGTGAGGGTCAGGCATATCCTCAGTCATTTCTCGAAACTCGCAGAGGAAGAAGTGGGTGTCTGGTATTGTTTGGTACGTGCCGCAAGCGATAGGCCTTGGGACAAATTCTGGCAGAACGTTATGCATCGCGCTCATGGAATGGAATTCCCCCTTTGTCATACTCATGCCCAGTTCCTTCGAAATGACCTTGATGAAAAAGGACTGCGGTGTACCATCGTTGAGCAAAACATCGATGCGACCCGTCTTCGCCCAGAAGCTTACGCCGTGGTTCTCGATGGATACGACCTTGCATCCCTCCGGTAATTCTTGGAAGGCAGTCAATATGAAGACGATCTTGTGAGTCCGCCAAGGGCTTGTAGCTTACCCCTTAGCACAGCTGGGTCAATATTGGTATTGCCCGCCCCGAATTCAAAGCCGTTTGCACCGTTGTAGTTCATTTCCTGCGCCAAAGACTGTGTCAAAGACTGAGACTGTACCGAATCTGTTCAGCGCCCCGCTGGCGAAAAATGACAGGGCTTTCGGGGAGGGGGGTTTGTTATAGGCGACGTTCCTGGATTGAGCCCACTACAATGATCGCCTAACCCAATCACAGGCGAGCTCCCGAAGTGTCACGCAACCACGTGTGGACGGCGGCTAACGGCACACAACAGCCACTGTCACAAATCTTTCGATTGCAAGCTTCTATCTTATCAAACAATGGCCAGAAGTATCGTAAGCAATACCAGTTAGTTGACGGGATTATATAGGGAGCAAGAGTTTCTTGGGAGGATGTACTGAGGCTACAGCTCGTCATGCGACCTATTTACATGCTTATGCCATTGCCGTTCCTGCGTTATAAACTAACTTAAAGTCTAGTGGCTAAACGGGCCGTTCCGGTGTTCCCGCAGCATCAATGCTTTTTCTTAGCGAACCCAATTAAAGTCTTCAGTGCCCAGCCATTGAGACCTTGGTAATCCTATCACGCCAATGTTCAACGGGGAACACGACCTTGACACCGTTTGCCTCGAGTCTTTCTTGTCCGTCATTTTGTGCGATAAACGTTCCTGGCTCCTTGATCCCCACATAGACAGTCTTGATAGCGCTCTTAAGTCTCAAGATCCTAGTCGCGCAAGTCATGTTGCCGCTCAGTCTTTCGTTGCATGGCTCCATGGTCGTGTACAGCACCGTGTCTACCGGAAGGACCTCATGAATGCGTTCCTCAGGAAGGTTGTGCTCGTCGGCGATCTTGATGAAACAACACTGCTCTGCGTGCGTGGTGCCTGGATCTCCCTTGTAGTCTCGCGGATATTCAAGCGAGTATCCTGTAGATAGGACCTTGCCCTGAGCGGCGTCGACAAGTATGGCTCCGACGCAGAATTTGTTGGCAGCTGGCGGTGACTTTTTTGCTTGAGTGAGAGCGAATTCCATGAAGGCTTCATGGTCCCCAACCTGGAAACTCGGATTCGTCTGGGAACCCATGGCAAATGGTTCTCAGAAACAATGCACAATACGTGAACAATCCTTCTGATGAACCAAATCAACACGGCATCATCAAGAAATGCCTAACAAGGTACAGGTCAATGTGTGTGTTTTTGAAACCTCTGATGCGCGATTTTCTAGCGTACTCATGGATATATGCTGTTATCTTTATCGTTGTTGGGCCAGCGCGTGACATCGACTGGCGGTTGAAGCAATCAGCTGATTGGTAGTTGGCAGCTCGCAGGGGAGGGCTGACTACGTGCTTCGAGCGCGAGGTGTTGGGCATTATCATCACGAGTCTCCTGGGAATCCATACATCGATCGTACTATTAGTCCATTATTGTTTTGATGGGTAGCCCATCGTCACTTTAGATGAGTCCGGGCAACGAGGACTGGCGCCCCATACACTGATGCGCACTGCGTTTTGTGGTTACAATGGTTAACTCCCACCCATAGCGGCTTGGGGCACTTCAATCCGACCCGATTGCTGACTGTACTAAGTTAGTTCTTTCGAAAGCAGCGGCGCGTAAAGCCTGACCTACAACCCAGCAACTCCTCGAGCAGTCGTGACTCGAATAAGGGCTTGAGAAGCCTATTTCCCCTGTCAAGGGCCCAGTCCAAGACGTCAACTACCTTGGACGGCCAAGCGAAGGACGACAAGGGACCACTTGGACTGAACCTTCTATCTTCCCCGACAGCGCCCGAGATCGACCTCATCTTCCTCCATGGCTTAGGCGGCAATTCTAGAAAGACATGGAGCAAGTCATCCGCAGAGCAGTCTCATTTCTGGCCAGAGGAGTGGCTGTCCAAGGATCCTTCATTCAGGAGTGTCCGTATTCATAGCTACGGATATGACTCGTACTATTTGAAGGGTAAGGAAGACTGCTTGAATGTTCATCACATTGGCAAGTCATTCCTAGGCGCGATCAGCACCTCGCCATGCATTGTCAATTCCAGGACATACATCGTTGTCATCGGCCACAGCATGGGTGGCTTGGTAATGAAGAAAGCATACATCCTGGCGAAACAGGATGCAGGGCACGAAGTGCTCGCTGGACGGTTCGCCGCATTCTATTTCCTCGCCACGCCGCATCGAGGTGCCAACTCGGCAAAGATGCTCAAGAACCTCCTCAGGGTTGCGTACGACCGCACTTATGTTGGCGATCTGGAACCGAACTCTGAAGCAGTCCAAGTGATCAATGACGAATTTCGGCATTTTTCGGCTGACCTTGAGCTCTGGTCATTTTATGAGACGCAGAATATGAAATTCTTTAGCTCACTTATCGTCGATCCCGAGTCAGCCGTCCTTGGGTACCGTGGGGAGAAACAAATACCCATGACTGCTGACCACCGCTCGATATGCAAGTTTGACACACCTCAAGACTCCAACTACATACTCCTACGAGACGCACTCGCCTCTACTGTGAGCAACATTGTCACGGCAATCCCGGAGAAGAGGCGTGACAGGATCAAAAACCTCAAGAAGTACCTCCAAGTTTCCGACTTGTTGGACGACGATCTTGCAAATGTCTGCGAAGCTCGGATGCACGGGTCGTGCGAATGGATTTCACACAAAGACAGTTACGTCAAATGGAGGGATGGGGAATACGGAAACGACAGAACGCTATGGATCAAGGGCAAGCCAGCAACTGGAAAATCTGTTCTTGCCGGCTATGTCATCGATCAGCTCAAGGGGTCTGGCCAGGCTTGCAGCTACTTTTTCTTCAAACATGGGGACAAGTCCAAGGCCAACCTAAGTCGTTGTCTCCGATGTCTGGCTTTTCAGATGGCGACCTCCAATGCCGAAGCCAGTGATGCCATCATAAAATTGCAGGCGGATGGTATCTGCCTCGATGGTGTCGACGAACGTACCCTCTGGAGAATCCTCTTCCTTTCTGGAATTTTTCAGGCCACAATGACTCGAAGCTACTGGGTCATCGATGCCCTAGACGAGTGTCACAACCCCCCAGCCCTTTTGAATGCCATTCTTTCCAACATGGACGAATCTATACCGCTGAGAGTTCTGGTCACAAGTCGGCATACGGTAGAGCTGGACCAAGGTTTCTCGGCCATCCCACCCAACCTGGTCCAGTCCTTGCCGATGTCAATAACAGACACAAAATCAGATCTCAGGCTTTTGATTGAGAGGAGGACTCAAGCCTTGGGAGTCGCGGGACCGCATGATCGAGGTAAACTAGCTGAGAAGATTTTAGACAAATCTAAGGGATCTTTCTTGTGGACAATCTTGGTACTCGAGGAACTCATACGCTGCCACAGCAGAAAGGAAATTGACCAGATTCTTGAAGACGTGCCCAGAGGTATGGGGTCACTGTACAAGCGGACTCTAGACTACATGTCACAGGTCACTCGCGGAAAGGAGTTGGCCAAAACCATCCTTATGTGGGCAGCATGTGCGGTTCGACCACTGACAATTAGCGAGCTAGACGGTGCTCTGACCCTGGACATCCACGATTCATTCCCAAACTTGGAGGAGAGCATCGCTGCGCTCTGTGGTCAATTAGTGGTCGTGGACAAATACGGGCGAGTCAATATGGTGCATGAAACAGCCAGAGAATTTCTTGTAGCTGGCGGACTAGAGTCTGAGTTCTCCATCGAGAAAACTAAGGCGCACACACGGATGGCTGAGGTGTGTCTCAGTTACCTCGTCGGGGAAGAAATGAAGCCCCCTAGGACCAGACGGCGCCGTTCTTCAGCAAACTTACCAACAAGAATGAATTTCGCCATCTATGCATACACAGCATACTCATATCACCTCTCGAAGGCTGATCCGTTGGCAGCAGGGGTATTCCAGCTTGTCACGCAGTTCCTGAAATCCAACGTACTCACTTGGATCGAAACGACTGCCGAGTCCCAAAACCTCACCCTCCTCATACGTGCTTCAAAACATCTCAACACCTACGTAAATAGATGCGCCGTTGAGCGTCCACCACTAGACCCTCGGATGCGGGCGCTCCGACAGTGGAGCATGGACCTTGCTCGGATTCCTGCCATGTTTGCCAACGCCCTCACGGTATCGCCATCAGCAATATACTCGTTGATACCTCCATTCTGCCCGACTGAGTCTATGGTATACAACACCGGAGGCTCAAACCAGAGGCTCGCAGTGCTTGGCGCGTATAACAAGCAATGGGATGACAGGATGCTGTGCATCAATTTCCGCCAGGGCCAACCAAGGGCTTTACGCTATGGAGACGAGTTCCTGGCCGTCGCCCTCAGTTCAGGAACTGTCGTACTGTACTACACTACATCCTACCAGGAGTACAAGGTCTTGGAACACGGTGAAGCTGTTAACTTCATTGCTTTCAAGACCAAAACTGACCTCGTAGCAACTTGTGGTATCAAGACGACCAAGGTCTGGGATATCAGAAAGGGGCAAGTGGTGCACAGCCTCATCAGCCCTCCGCGTCCGCTGGGAATGGAATTTGATGGAGATATGATTTTGATTGCGAGTCGCAACAACTACATCGAGACTTGGAATTTGGGACACGACGCCCGGGCGGAGTCGGTGCGGAGGCCATGGAGCGATGCCAATACGCCAGAGACGAACCAAGTGCCTCTACGGGGGACACCATGCGCACTAACTCTCTCTACCAGTCATGGAATGCTTGCTGTTGCTTACAATAATCAACCCATCACACTATGGGACATGGAAGAGGACACTTTCGTTGGTACCTGTGGCAAGAAACTCTCCAGTGGAGAGACGAGCACGCATGTCGTCGTCGCGCTTGCTTTCAACCCCAATCCTGACATAGACCTTCTCGCAGTCGCATATCTCGATGGTGATCTCGCCCTCCTTGACCCCTATGCCGACCGGCAGCTGGAATGCTTCCGTGCTAATTGCCAAACCCTCGCCCCCAGCCCCAATGGGCGTTTCCTTGCAGCAGGTGGTGCAAATGGGATTGTCCACGTTTACGAATTTGATACGTTCAAACTTCTCTATCGGGTCAAGTCCACCAACTCATATATCAAGCAGCTTGCTTTTGCCAGAGATAGTATGCTTCTTGCCGATATACGAGGCACCCAGTGCACTGTCTGGAAGCCTGAAGCTCTGTTGCGGGAGTCCCTGGGTGATGACAGTAGCGGGCTCACTTCCACTACAGTGGTCGAGACGGTTTCCATGGAAGCTAAAGCGAAGGTTACTGCCATGGTGGTCCATCACACATCCGCAATTGTATTTTGTGGAAAGGATGATGGATCAGTCGTCGTGTATGAACGAAAAGCAGCAGCGAGCTTGGGGATTCTCTACAGACACAAGTCCCCAGTCCGCCTATTGGCCTGGATTGAACCGAGAGACGCCCTCCTTAGCGTCGATGCCTCCAACAGGATCTTTTTACACAGAGTCCAAAAGTCAGCAGACAAAGGTTGGCTCGGCGATCCAACGGTACTCTTCGAGTCCCGCCTCAACTCCGAGGAGGCAATCATAGATGTGCTAGTAGGAGAAATAGCGGCCAAGTTCCTGATATCAACTCGCGACTCTGATTATCTGTTCAACTTGGATAGCGGCAAGTATGAGATAGAACGAACATATCCACAAATGCCAGGAATCCGGAAATGGCTCCCTCATCCGCAATCCTCTCTACATCTGATCTGTGTAGACAACGCCAAAGCCTGCGCCTACTGTTGGAGCGACTGGTCTGAAGTTTCGTCTATTGCATTTTCATTAGACAACCACACGGTAGAGCTTGTAAACGCGATTTCCTATTCACTCGACCAAAAACAAAGAATCATGCTCCACTTAGTACATTCTAGTAGTTCCGTCAACAACAACAGAATTGCGATTGTTGATGCAGACTATCTTACCGTCGAAGGCAATGATAACAGCTTCTTGCCAAGGACACAATCAGATGCTGCGGCGACATTAGATCAACTTGTCACTGATGAAGACGGGGAGGATACCATCAAGGCATCGAGTCTGGCCGTTCCACTTCGTCCACGTGTGACTCCATTCGAACTAAGCATTGCCCATATCATAGGAGTTGACGAATCAAGAAAACTCATTTTTCTGAACCGGTCTTCTTGGGTGTGCTCTGTTGATCTCAGCGAGAGCGGGTTAGAGATTGCGCAGCGCAAAGACCCCCCGGCGATAGAAGTCTTTGAGCACTTTTTTGTTCCATACGATTGGTTTGCTGGGAAGAGGAACATTGTTTGTGCCTTGGCAAGGAGAGATATTATGTTGACTCGGGGTGGCGACCTGGCGGTGATCAGGGGCGGCATTGACTATGCCGAGAGAGTGAGTATCGAATAAGAGATTAAACAGAAGGGATACATTTAAACCCAAAACTGTTGTCTCAGTCTCTGCAGTCTGTAACTTCAGATGGTTAAGGAATAAGACTGGTCCTGCAACGCTGGGCAAAACCTGGAGCACTCCAAGACTTCTTTGCGGAATGCCTTGATCGCAAACAACAAGGTATTCTTGATCGTTTATTGGCAAGGAATGGTAGTACTGACAAACAGGCAGATACGTCGTGAATAAGACTCAGGCAACCTCGTCCAAGTAGAAGGCTTCTGCACATTGACTATTTCGAGGACGACTCTTGGTGTTCCGATTGCTGCCTCCGACTTATAAATAAAGCGAGAGAAAGAAACGAGGCGATAGGGTGGGTGGGGGTTGTACGTAAGGGAAGGAGAAGAAAAGAGAAGAATTATTTTCCCCAAGTTACTCATTTATAGTGGCTTGTTGATTCCTTATGGTGAGTTTATAGGTTAGGAACTTGGCACTGTAAGTCATTGGCAAGCACTTATGAAGAATACAATAATAATGTGTAATTTTGGACAGTGTCGCTTTCGGCGATTAGTGTTATGATAAACCATGCTATACGAAGACGCAGGGAGATTTGGACAAGGTCAGATTCTACGAAATCACCGCCGCATTTGGCTCACGTATCAAACTTATTTGGCTTTTATTTTGGAAACACATGCATTAATTAGTAGTCTGTTCATCGGTAAAGGTTGTCAATTCCTCTACCTACACCGTAGGAACCTCCTTCTTGAAGGGAGCTAGCTAGTCCTGTGATATACTAGCTGTTTTCCAGCATTCGTTGGTGAAGTCCATAGTCACTTTCTCCTCGAACCTTTTCCCCAGTTTTTCTCGCAATCAGCTCTCTATCCTGCATTCCCTTCGGCAAACTCGACGGTAGTTAAGGTCGCCTACCAGCCCAGAGGTCCCTTTCGCGTCTGATCAGTGGTGGTACCACGCGTCTCTTGGGAGGCGACTGCGGTTCAGACGCTGGGCTCGTGGCTCGTCGCTTTGCTGGTGTTGTTGCTTTCACCTTCAGTCGCAGCTTGGTGGTAGGGGTCGGGGCCATTACCGCCGGAGCCGATGGCCCTCCTTGATTAGCTGGGACCTGGGCTGGTGCCGAGTTTGTCTTCGAAGCTGTCGTATCGGCCGTTGGTGTCGCCGAAGGTTCTAGAGTGAGGTTGATGTTGCTGAAGAGGGATTTGATGAGCATGTCGCGGTTCTCGGGGTTGCTGATGAATCGGTCAAAGTAATCATCCTGTGCACTGGGGTGCAGGTGCGACGACATGATCATCTGGGGTTTGATGGCTTTTCCGTCCAGTGCGCCAGTGTGAAAGATAGGGGTCGACTGCTTATGAGCCAGAGCCTTAAGCTGTGATTCGACGGTTTCCAATCTAGTGTTACTGGCTTCAAGGCCCTTTTTGATTTCTAGCATTTTTTCATCCAGGGACTTAGACGTCAAAATCAGCTTAGCAATCGCACCCTTGTGAAGGTTGAGTTGGGTAGTATCTCGGACGTCGGCATCTGCGATTTCCTTGCGGAGTTTCGCGACATCCGATTCTACAACAACGATGGAGTTAAGGGCTCCTTGAGCCAGGGCGGATGCATTAAGGTTGGATTCTGCGATGCCTGCAACTAGTGCGGCCATTCCTCCAGTCATATCGGCCATTGAGTCGTTCCTGGCCTGGCAAAGGCGAGACTAGAGCTTCTCTTGGTTTGTCGGATTTGACGTGCGCCCTGTTAGGAGGTCGAAGTAGCTGTCTGTTTCGACGCGTGGTTCGGTGGTTCCGGGGCGCGGACAGTAGGGTTCGTAGTATACTGAGTTATCAGGTAGGAGACGGACGTTGGATCCGCCGTGCGGCTCGTAGGTTTCTTCACCTGGCCCGTTGGTAAGTCAGACTTGAGCTTTTAAAGAAAGGCGACTGGGTGTGAGGTGTGTGTGAGAGAAGAAAGATCAGATGGGAAAATAAGGCAATTTATAGGTCATTGGGCAGGCTCTCAACTACACTGTAACTATAATGTCAGAGTGAGGTAAATATCACACCGTGGATAACTCGACAATACTTGATTTTATCGTTAAGAATAAGGAATTTATATTTTGTGAATTACTGGAATAAGTATATTGTACTTAGAAAATAAAAAAATGCCAAGGGTTTATCAACATGTCAGGAATGGCTATCAGTGATGTGTTTACAGCAGAATACTGGTCGGATATATTTGTTCAACACACGAGGTTGGTTACATAGTAACCTCCCTCTAACAAGGAGTTTCACATAATTCACGTCAAATCTCACTTTCCATGAAATTACTGAACACAGTGGTATAATACTGCGAGTTTGAGTAGACAGACGTCCAAACATTATTCCTTCTTTATTGGGCCTAAGTACATTTGAGTATTGGCAAACCTCCGTGGTACATTCTCATTCCCATGTTCGTCACAAAATCGACATCTGTTGTAGTTTCTCCGTGGCAAAATATCACCCCGTTTCCAGCCTCATATGGCTACTACCCATGTCTGTTATAGATGCTCCTTATTCTTCATTCTCCTTGATCTTGGCCTTCTTGGATGGTGCTCTGGAAGCTTGTGCATTGCTCCACACCTCGCCGAGGGGGTTGCGGCGCTTCTTAGTCGTGTCTTTTTGTGTAGACGCCATTCCATGCCATTACATCATTCGGTCTGTATTCCAGATGACGGTGGACGAGAGTGACGATTCTGTAGGTTCATGCGGACAACCAGCAGTGGTCTTGCCTCATGTCTTTGTATCGTTTAGCCAATAGAGCTTCATGGCCACCGTTCAATGCAGCAAGCTGCGCAGCCCTTTCAATCTTGTGTAGTTGACCAAGCATTGGGTGATATGAAAGCTGTCGAGCTTTGTGAATGAACCCAAAGGGTGACAAGCATCATCAGCAACTCTTTGAGCCTTCTTCATTCCAACTACCCGCCTGTACTGCATGAAATGATCGTTGGAAACCATGACAATCCCGTCAGAACTCTTGATGATGCAGGTTACTTTCCTGAGTACCGGTAGCCTGTCTTGCACGATATCGACAGGACGGCGCAAAGTGACAGCGTACAATATTTGGAGCAGCCTGTCTAGGCTGCCTCGCCAGTGAATGCCCATCGCATTCGCCTCTGCGTAATGAAATTGTGTCCACAGAGCAAGCTGAACAGGGCATAAAGGTATTGTCGACGGGTGTATCTGACATCATGAGACAGAAATTTGCCAGTTGACGGGCCATGTGAATTGCCCTGTACATGCGGCTTGATGTGTTCTTTGTCGAATAGGCCTCATCCAATATGATCGTGCGCGCCACTTTCTGCTCGAATATACTCGACAGGATGGTAAGTGACGGTCGCTTGGGTGGAGATTGTGATCCTGGTTCTTGAGTCTCGTAGTCTGCCACGGCTGCCAAGCACCTCTCTTTCCGGCCAAGTTCGGCCGCGATCTAGTGGTACGAGGTGATGACGATCTGGTATTGGTGGAGCTGTACTGGTGTCGCTTCTTCAGTGAGTAGACTGATACAGGGCATGCAGTTCTGTAACAATGATGTGAGCGATTGCAAATTGCGCTGAGCGACGCAGTGGTCAATTCGGAAAGGACTTACGCCAAAGAACCTATGGACCTCCTGTTTCCATTGATTGACACATGATGTGGGAGCAACGACGATTGATGTACCACCTCTGAGAGAGGCTACTGCCAGTGCCGTCAATGTTTTCCCAAGGCCAGGCGGGTCAGCCAGAATCATGCCCTTGAATCTCGACTTCGATGCCAGCACAGCTACACCAGCTGCGAGTGCTTGGTGATCCTGAAGCCTCTTGTCTGGCTGTAGTCCTAGAACAGCATAAACTGCCGGGGCGTACAATTTTCACAACTATCCCAAAGTATGGTCAGATAAAGACAATCCAACAATTCGATATTATCCCTTAGGAATGACACTCACGATCTCAGGATGGAGTTTCTGGAGATAGTCGCTGACGTGCGAATCGTGGAACGAACCATCAAACTCTTGTCATCGTACTCACTCTCACTTCCATCGTCTCGTGGGAGGTACTCGTCGTCTGAAAGCTGATTATCGCCGTTGTCGACGTCCGTCTCATCGTTGAGCTGCAGCACGTTGTCCATCGGCGCGGTTTGTGCGCTATCAACCCACCCAAGACCGACATCAAAGTGAGACATCAGGGCAACCAGAGGCGGCCTCAAAGCTGGCTCTTCAACTTTCATTTCCTTGATACGCGCCTCCAGGTAATCGCAGCATGCGTTGATGCAGTGAAGGGTGGGCGTCTTGTAAGGCGGGCGTGCAAAAGTTCGGACAACTTCCTCTATTGTAGGTTTAGAGAAGATTATATAAATCAATATAAGCTCTTCTTAATTTAGGTAATCTTCTAGAATCTTATTTCAAGATTATAGAATTTAATACAACCTTATTTTGAGATTGTAGAATTTTATAAAATCTTATTGGAAGATTATATAAAGTCTTCTTGGATTTGACAAGCAGCGTGATATCGAGTTCGACATCCTTGGTGGTTCGAATAAGACTGGAGTCGCCTCTGAAGGTTAGTTTCTTCCCTTTAACCTTTTTGCCGGACTTGTTGGCCATATTGTCATAATGGCTGCGGATGTGCTTGAGGGTCTCGGCCAGTAGGCGTCATTCCAGTATCGACGGTAATCTGGCGGGTGTCGACGTCTACATCTGCACCTTTATCGGCGAATTCTCTGAAAGCAGCCTCAAATGCCATGTTTAGTGGCCACTCCTTTGCTTAGCTACCTTCAAAGCGGATCTTGTTCCAGTCGTCTTCGTCAGGGAGGTTCCCACCCCATGCCTTAGCATTATTAGCGATAAAGGACGAAATGTCGGGCAGCCCATATGAGAATGTATCACTGTTGTCGTCGTCCTCATCGCTTTCATCTTCGGGAGCTACATCAGTTGTGTTGGAGCTTTGGATCTGCTTGGCTCTCTTGGTGGAGGGGGTTGACGCGGATGATGTGGGTTTCTTTTCTTTCTTCGAGTAAATAAATTTGCCGTTTTCGTAGTCGGCAATGATGCTTTCTGCAATTTCGTCGCCTCTTATGCCATGGCCACTTTCTTGACTCTTTTTCTTCCAGATTCTTCTCGCTCGGCAAAGATCCACTGAGCTTACCAGGCGGCTTTGGATAGCAGAGTCGTTGGTCCGTCACCGGAATCGTCGAGTTTCTGCTTTGGTCTGATTGCACAACCGAAGTCAAAGGCAGCAAGACATTCGAGAACCTCCTTGGCAACCGGGTACCAATACGTAGCAACCGGTTGTGGGAGTGTCTTTTCCCAGCGCTGCATTTTTCGGAAAAGCTGGTAACCGCGGGCAGAAGGACGGATGGTTCCTGGCTGCAGGTCGTCGGGTTTTATGCAAAGGACCACATCGTGACGGCTCTTGATTGCAAAGTACAAATCTCTTTCGTGACCTTTAGGAACAATCACCCTATCTTTTCCCTTGGTGGTACGGATAGCTTCGTATTTGCGGGCGACATTGTTGAATGCGACAACATCAGTTGTCAGTGTGACAGTTTTGTCTGCCTTACTATCAAACCATTCTGTCAGATGGCCAATCCTCTTGTTTGGCTGACTCGTAGGTTGTTCGCGCTCTGGGACTTGTTTGGTTTTCTCATAGACACTGATGAAATCGGCGATGATCAGGTCAGTGTTGTCCTAAAGAGGCATCTCTGTTTGGTCGCGCTTCCAGTAGTTCAGGATTTCCAAACGGCGCATTCCCATCTGCCAACATTCGAAGTGGTATAAACGCCATCTGCATTTACTGTTCGTCCTGAAATGTCTTCTTTGTTGCCGCCACCATCGTTCGAGTGCGTAATGCCTTCGTTAAAAAAATTCAAGTAGCATCCTGTCTTGTTCACCTGTATTCCCGGGTGCGGGTTCTTTGGTATCAAGGTAGGAAGTGGAAAAAGTAGCGTGCCGGTGGGCCTTTCCTGCCTTGAATGAGGAGGGTTCGACAAACAAAGAAAATCGTGGTTGAGAAAAGAAAGAGATGGGGCCGATTATGGCGCGCGACTTGTAGGTTCTAGTGTGGCGCGGTGGGTAGTACCGAGTTGAGGGAACAAGGAAGGATTGTGTGATGTAGGTAAAGAAATGAATGCTCCTGGGTAGAAATACTATATTTATAGGTTATTATTTTCTATGCTGTAACTATAAGTATAAGAGGTTTCTTCTAAAATGAAAAATAAAATAAAATATATTTATAATATTTATACAGAAAATTATAAAGAAGATATAGTACTAAATAATATAATAATTAATTTATTAAAGTTTATATTAATATTATTTTAACAGCCAATTGCTCGATAAATAACAGCTACCATCCTTAACAACCCTTATTCAAAACGAGTATCTGGTTCTCTCTCTTCTACCTGCTGCTCTTTTCTTTTCTACTCGTTGCTTCTCTCTCTTCTATTTATTGCTCCTCTCTTTTCTACCTGTCACTCCTTTCTCTATTCTATACATTCTAAAAATATTACATCGAACACGAACGTCAACCTCATTGAGTTTATACAGACTCCAACCGGATGTCGCATAGCGTTTGAAACTTAGACAGCCTTTAGCCTTGTCAGACTTTGCAAAGAAAGAAGATGTCAACAAGGCCATTGCTGATGTCAAAGAGAGAAGCAAGCACCTAATGCATTCACCAGACCTATGTGTTTCCCCACGCATGGAAGCGGAAATTGAACACCTCGCCGAAGTTCCTGACGTAGAAGTCGCTGCGAGAGTCGACACGCGGATCAACCTTGAGTGGCTCTTGCACTGCCTCGTCAACGTCCAAAAGCAGGGAGTTACTGAATGAGCTAGTTTATACCTCACCGACAAGCTAGATGCGATCTCAAGAACAAACTTGAACGTTGTCAATTGAAGGTGTGGGAATGCACTGTTTGATCTGTGACTAGCAGAAGACCAACATAAGAGTGTTGCTTTCAAAGCAACCAGCGGAGCCCAAGCCAAACATTCCATCCCATTCATAGCAAGCAGATTGTAAAACGAGACGGGACTGGTGAGGTATTCAGTAGCAATTAAAGCACATTTCAAATCTGGTGGACACTAAGTTAATGAGACTTGAGGGGAAAAGAAATCGTAAAAGGCATCCCTGCGCCTCGAGTCGGATATTAACTAGTCTATCATAATGTTTTACAAAAATGGCTCGCAAAGTGCAACCAAAGAGTTGGAAGTTTTTAGCTCCCGTTACTGTGCACCTAGTAACTACCGAAAAGGGTTTAATTCGGCTTTACCAAACTTTTAAGGTTAGGTGACGAACCTTTTCGGATTACTAATCTTTTTCCCCACAATCGAGATCGTTGTTTAAGCAGCGATTTCCACACCACCGGTTGCTCCCAAAGCCTGTCGCGCAATTAGCCCACGTTCCAAGAGGTTTTACATCGTTAAGGGGGTTTATATTGACTTACCTTCTTCAGATCACCGTAAATTGCAAATTGTCCGGCGGTGAGGGTACCGACCATGAAGAGACGGGCACCGATACCAGAGTAAGAGCCACGGATACCGAGCTCCTTACCGATCTTGATCAGACGAGAGACAGTTCCCTCACCGGGAAGACCCTGGGTCTTGTTGATCTTGGAAAGCATGGTGTCGGCGGGCTGAGAGACAATGGCGGCAGCGAAACCGGCCATCAGACCAGAGCCAAGGTTGGCAACAGTCTGCATACCATCGGACATGTCCTTCTTGGGGAACTTCTGGAAGACAGCCTCAGAGACCTTCTCGAAGACGACGAACTTGGCCATGGTGTAAGGGATCCTAGGGCGAGATGTCAGTTCACTAATGCTTCAATTGAGCGAAAAAAGCAGCGGGGCAACTCACTGCTTGAACAGAATGGGACCGAAACCAGCATAGAGAGCACCGAAGCCCTCGTTCTTGACAATCTTGCCGAAGCCAGAGACGAGACCGCTGGCGTAGGTAGGCTGGGAGACGAGACGGATACGGGTGGCCTCGAGAGGGCACAGGGCGATATCGGCGAAGAACTCGGCAGTGGCGGAAGAGGCCAGGTAGACAGCAGTTCGGTTCTGAGAAGCAGTCTCGTAGCCGAGGGCATCAATCCACTTCTGCTTGAAGAACTCGTATCCTCCGAACTTCAGGGCACCCTGGAGGAAGTAACCAGCGAAGGTAGGGCCGACACCAGTGAGGAGAGCGGCAGCACCCTCATTCTTGACAACCTGGCGGAAGCCACCGATAAGACCACGGTTGTAGGTAGCGGGGTCGAGCTGGATACGGGTCTTGACGCTGTAGATTTCGGAATTAGTTATTTTCGTTTTTCTTTGTTGATTTCAGTGCACTTTTGCTTCTCGAATATTGCTTCCAATGGTTGCTGCGGAAATATGTGGCCATCTCGGTTCAATTGTGCCCCGACAAAACCACGCACCACCACAACCTCCGAAAGCAATTGACGACGAAGGACTCAGCGCAGAGGCGATTTGGACATACACATCGACGGGGGTAAGACCACCGTGGGTGACGGAACAGCAGACAGCACCGGCAAGGGCGAATCGGGAGTAGAGGGCGAGGCCAGACTTCTTCTCGGGAGTCTCAGCCTTGATGCTCTGGACGACGGCGTCGACCTTGGTGGATCCTGTAGAGGCAGCCATTGTGAATAATGGTGATGTTCAGACAAAAAGACTGAGGGGAGATGTGTGGTTTGGGAGGTTGGGTGGAGGAGAAAACGAAAGGGAAGAGAAAAAGGGAAAAAAGCCTTTTTGGTTGTTTGACGTTTGAGCTCTTTTTTTTTTCTTCCGGCGGGCGGCTGGGGGAAAATAATGCCTCCTTTGGATTTCTGAGCTCGGGAAGACTCGGATAATTGGGGCCGGCATCCGCACAGACCGGGCTAAGGGGGGAGGAAGATGCTACGCAATGTGTGTCTGTTAGGTAACAAACCGGTAACTAAGGTCATTTACAGGCTTTTACAGTGCCTGACATCCACTGAAGCATCTGGCTACGGGGCCCAATTCTGATATCCACTGGCTGGCACGGCCATAGGCGGATCTTTGCGAGGACCCGGGGTAAAGCAAGAATTGGAGATTAACCTTGTTAGCCGCAACGAGCTGTGACGTTATCCTTCCATGAGAAGACCGCTCTTTCGATATCCTACAGAGGTTCTGACTGGCTACGATCTTCACTATCGTGCCTGATAACTCCCTGATATTGCTGATTCTTCGCCAAGACATCTATCAGTCACTTCCATAAACCTTAGGAGTCATCAATCTTACTTCCTCCTTCAAAACGCCAGATCCTTTCTTTCTCACACACTGGGCATGTCCGAGAATTCCTCGGCCGGACCCACCAGTATCTAACCGTTACTCGCCAACGTGTCCACGGTATTGGTTGGATAAGATAAGACAGGGTTTTCCCCCTTCGTTGCGTGCTTGTCTTTTTGTTTGTGGTATTACCGGCGTAGCCAATAGATATTGCGCGATAAGCAATTACTAGCATTGAATTCCCTTCGGGCTTGTTTCTCGGTCTCGGAGGTTAAAGAAGTTGACGATGTTTTTTAGTCGACGTCATACCATGAATTAACAATTGGATAAGAATTAGTTCTTGCCTGGACATACTTTTAAGATTTTGATGCTGGGCGAGTAACTTATGTTTATGTTTCGGTCAAATATCTAGCTGGCAGCCACTTCAGCGCGCAGTCAGTCTGCGACATGCAGTTCGTAGGTGCATCTCAGATCAATCGCCGATTTCAAGACACAGAAGCCACCTCTGGCCCATAGAAATCCTGGTCAGCCAAGCCACCATAACCTTGCAGTCTCTTATCTCCGATCTATCAAACTGCTACCTGGGATTCACGTTGTTCTAGCGAGTAACTATTATTCAATTATGGGTTTTCTCACGATCGAAGCGTGAGATGTAGTCGACTCACATGAACCTTAAATACCCGTCGTTCCTTCCTCAGACCAATCCAAAGATGAAAGATTTCCTCTTTTGGACATTCACACACACCGATTGGTCCCAGCTCACTGGTGACGTAGATGAGGCTATTTACAGTACATGCTACATTGCAAATCTGCCATTTCCACCTAAATTGACCAAAGCATCCTAGGAGATCCCGCAGCTTTTTTAGTGAATTGCACTGTTCCAGGAGCGTCTGAAGCAAGCCGGACACTCAGATCATGTGGGTCATACCTCCTCACCACCAATATCACGCGGCCATAGAGCAAGAGGGTTATATTCATTGGCATCAGGTTGCCCTATCATGGCGAGTGCAACAATATAGAGATTGAGTGCTATGAACCTTGCCTTGCTCGGAATTGTATATCCTGGACCGTGATGCATCGCGTTCCTGCCATAATCGTTCATAGCATATGAGCCCCTTCTCAAGTAACGGTTACAGAGATGATTTATCCTCTGAGTACATGCGTCCCCATTTCCATTGACAAACAGCCAGGAGAGGTCACTCTCCAGATTTGTCTCGAAACTGAAGGTCAAGGCTTTGTAGCTCAAGCATGGGGCTTACAGAGATTAACGCCTTTAAATGGTTCATGCACGACTACACATTAAACAGTATAACACGACGTCTTAGCTTAAGGGATCCCGAGTCTATCTCCTGCTGCAGTACGGAATTGGACCCCCCGTCCATGAATTAATAGAGAATAGGTTTGCTCTTCGTTGTCTGGGGCCTCCAAGTCCGCTCCCCTGGGAACTAATTGCGGCACAGCTCAAGATCTGACCCTGCGGCAAACAAGCCTTCACGATCTCATCGTATCGCGAGACTTCATGAAACCGAAAAGTCTAGGCTCAGATCGCAACAAATGCTCAACACAATGCTGGTTTGTATCTTCAACTTTGTAGCCAGGCGCAATCATGCCTTTTGGCGCCGGACATACGAGAATCGCTTATGCGATAGTCCCGATCTCGCGATCCATCTTATAGAATCCCTCACTTCCAGAGAGAATTTCCGAGTTTGAGGTAACGTCGCAGAACAAGAGAGTGTCACATCTCGATGCATCGTGTTCCTCGTGAGGTACTGAATGTTAGGCTCCCATCCACTCTAGCTTCCAACGGCAAGAGTACGGACTCGGCTGTTTTTCAACAACTGGGATAATATATTTTGTACTGATGAATAGCAATATGTTTAAATTCCACTTGCTTGTTGTTGGGATCGAAGTCATTCATTCATCGACCAGCTTGGTCAATGATACTTTATAGTCGCAAATGCAGCCACGTGCACATCCGCCATCGAAGTAACTTCGTCTTAGATGTGGTAACTTCAATATAAACCTCCAACCAGGTATTCCACGTATAATCTTCTCCAGTGAACTCATCGACTTCTATAAAAGGAGTTCGATGGGCGAGCCATTCCATTTAGGTCTTCTGGCTTACGTATGTCAGTTAGCGACAGCATATTCTACGAGCCGGAGAGAACGCGTGGCATGTGTCGCTCATGGAAGTATGTCAACGTGTGTTTCTTCAAAGATACCTGACATTCAGACAGCTCTTGTATTATACAAGCGTATACTTGTCCAAGCTGAGAGGTGGGCTGGTAGTTATGTCCTGAACCTAGGGCTCCTTTTCCACGGCAGGTCATATCGCGGACCATAATGGCAGGTGTAATACAGTCCCATGCGACAGTTCCGATAACGACCTGGCTAGGAATATATATAGTTAGAATATCTTATAAATAATCTTAGGATAGGATTATATATTATTATAAAGAATTAGAGAGTTTATTGTCATTTATATTATCTCATATAAAAGAGAGGAAGTCATCGGAACTATTGCCCACTCACTGGAGTAGTCTTTAGTTATGATGTAGCGCCCTTAGGATGGGGTGCAAAATGCTTGGGATACTCGCTGCTTACGAGGGAACGTTATAGTTGGTCGATTCACATATGCATAATCATGCAAGGCTACAAAGGTTGATACACAGCATTCGCGTGAGAAGATATTGATAAATGGTCGATAAACATCCCAAGTCGGAGGAAGTGATTGACATAAATGAGGCAGCCATGAGAGGGAAGTATGGGTCGGGCCGGCTCCTTCATTGCATCACCCAATACAACTCGGCTTCAAAAATATGCGTTCAACGGATTGTTCTTGTAAAATAGTGAGATAATATTTGGATACATAAAATGAATCTCCATCCCAAAAAGGAAGTTGTGTCAGCCCTGTTGTACAATACCCAAAGTGTAACATCCCAAAGAGGACTCCAATTCTATCCCTGGCGCCACGCTAAAAGTTCACAGCCCCCATCTATCCTCTATACCCATCGCTCTCTGATAAGTCCAACGGTCGCTAAACTCAAGTTCTTCCGCTGAAAGCCCTATCAAACGCAAGGGTCTTGTCGATTGCTTGTATGATGCCCCGGTTGGTCCTTTGACCCGTGGCATAGAAACGTTCGGTTTGGTCTGGGGTGCTAGCCCACTGGCTAAGAGTGGTGCCGCTAGAAGTGCCCTGGCCGCCCGTGTAAGTCGAACCACTGGAGTTGTTGCTGTGGCCGTAGCTGTAAGATCTGGGGAACAACTGTCAGCGGACGATTTACGACGAGTTGGCTCATTATGAACTTACTGGTTGGTAGCCGGCGAAGACATGTTTGTAGGTTTTATTGGCTTCAAAGTAAAGACGTTGGTTGAAAGTATGATTGGTTGGTTCTGAGCTTGAGTTGCCAAAAGCAGTTGCTGGGTTGGAATAGCTGCAAAAAGTTCACAAATGGTTCACGAACAGTTGAATAGTGATGATGATATTAAAAGAGTCGATTCAAGGAGAGGAAATCTCCTTCTATTTAACTCAGCTTCTTCAGCTTCTTCAGCCTCTACCCTCCGCAAATTCGCTGAAGAGACATTGAACTGTCTGGAAATGTAAAAAGACCACCATGGGGCATCTCAAACCAAGCATCAGCGAGCAAAAAACGGCCCCCATAATCTCGCGCAAACGGGGACTAGAACAACCATTTCGCCGCCACGGCAGAACAAATACAGCCTGCGCATAACAGCAAAGCGAGGGACTGCAAAATCAATACTAGGCCATTAACACCGCCGTAAACACTTCAATTGGACGGTGGCGAAAACTGAAACGGGGGAGCTGCGCCGCCAGGCCCAGGCAAGACAAGATAGTTAGCGCTGTAAAATGAGTTCATCCGTTTCCTAAAGTCGAATAACTACGTCGGCGGGAAAGGAAGCCTTCTGCCACCCACAGCTTCCCGCAATCGCGCAAAACTAGGTAAGGATTGAACTTTGGAGTCATCCCTGCAATATCAGCCACAGAGGGAGCCAGGGGTGGCTCAGCCGGCCCCCAAAAACAACAAGTACTAAGTATCATGAGTGCCTTTACTGTGGCATCTCGTTAATGATATGGGACTTTGAAAAGATTCCAGTGTTGCATTGTATCTTTAGGTGATATACAGACCTTAAATGCGCGCCCTCAAAGTGACTCTACATACAAATGACTATGTCCAGAGGAAGAGGTAGTGTAAGCTGCGCCACGTCTTCAACATGGCCATCATGACAATCAACCGAATTGGCCAATCAAGATAACACTTTCCTTTGATCCCTGGTCTGTTTATCTCACTGGAGGCCTTGTAAAACATTTTTACTGCAGGTTTCAGGGCGATATTGCTAAAACATATAGGCTATGATGGAAAGGTTGTTTATCATGATGCTAGCTAAAGCCCCACACTCATGATGACAACCGCAGCTTCACGACGGCCGCCATGAAGCAGATAAGGCTCGACCCGTGATTAGCAAGGTCTTGAATCTTTCTGTTTTATTGTTATTTGCCGCATTATAGGTACAAGAGTCTGGTATTTCACATTAAACTATAATGATCTCCGCCCTGATGATAGATGTAAAATTGCCTGACCATGGTTCACACATTTGTGTACTCGGTGGTAACCCTCGGGAGGTAACTGATCCCAGTAGATTGAACTGAAGTTCAGCAGGAGCACCCGAGCCGAGGAGCCTTGATGTAGGTCTTGTAAATATTCAATTTTATACGCACTGCTCTAATGGGTGTGCAACCTTTCATGCCGTTGTACCAGTCTAGCGGTTCGGAATGTAGCGTACGTGACATGCGGCGAGGTTGGCAGTATGGACTTCACGTACAACGAATTCAATGAAAAAATAAACTCAAACCACATCTCAATCGCATTTAAGCTCACAGAAGGAATACTTTTAACGCTAGATAGATGTCTGGGATTATTGCGTTCACTTCTCAAAACATCCAGGATAGTAACTATGCGTATGTGATTACCCTACACCTCTCAATGACAACAGCCGGTGGTCGACTTTAATCGCAACGCGGATAAGAATTACTCGCACATAACATACGATGGAAAGGAATAATAGCAATTAAACTCAGCCTATATTATCTTTAACATACTCTAGTGATTATCCTAATTCTGTCTTACATATATTACTTGGAAAACTCGTCGCCGCCTGTCGTTGACAATATGTCTGATGAAACAGTTGTGGGCATTTTCAGACCTACAGCTAAACAAATTACAATATCGATTCCGAAGTAGTCAACTCTCGGAAGTGTTCTCGAAGGCGCTTGTATTCTTGTTGTCATGCAGAAGCTTTGGACCCGCCATCTCCAACAGCATTCCAGTGTCTCGGCAGTCGAACGCCAACATTCCAATGACAAACAGCCCCGTTAAAAGTACCGAGACTTACAGTTCATAAATCATCCACTTTTAACGTCGGTGCATTCGAGAATAGTTAAAGGTTTCCGAGAAACGTAGGTTAATGGGTCCATTTAGAGATAGGTTTGGGTATTGAGATGGCAGAAGAGGCAAAAGTCCTGAGGTGAAAACTATGATCAATGATGTAATTGTCCAGTTTTGAACAAACCTCGGCACAACAACAGGCTTATATTTCGTGACCCGAATGGTCGAGCTGTTACATTCATTGTTATATGTATCGACTGACTTCGAGGGACGACAACAAGGTTCGCATCATTGTGCGCTGGAAAGAGAGATGTGTCCGTAAAGTAGCTCTGCAAGAATCCATAATAGCCAATGGCGGCCAAGAAGCATATGTCCTAAACTGAATGCGGTTATCTATGATACGGAATATCGGTGCTAATTCCAGTTGTACAGACAAGATTTCTCACTGGTAGCCCGAAAGATTAAAAGTTCGATGAGAGACCCTCGAGTGCGTAGTGGATATGGGAGAGTTGCTTGGCATGATGCGAACACCAGGAAAAGATGCCGAGGAGGGTGTTATGCTATTCGACTAACACAGCATCAAATTTGTGTTATTCTCGAATGTCTAAAAGTGTTCACATTGGTATCTGGAGCGTATGGATTATACATCAGTACCAACTGAGTGAAATGTCGAATACATGAGACACGGGCTTCATCAGTCGACAATGGCAGCAGATATAGTGCTTGGAGTGGAGGCCGTCAGCAATCTGTGGCAATCGGGCGATGGCTGCCACAAACAAACAATCAACCAACAATCATTGACCAATTTCGTGGGTCTGGCTGGTTCTTATATTCGAAATCTCACTCAAGCACCTTATCCAAGACTGCAGACAGGACCACGTTAGCAGCATCCTTTGCATGAAGCAAAAGATTGCATCTTATAGCCTCATTTCCCCAAATAACGGGATAGCGGACAAGAAGCGCAAGGCAAACAGCGAAAATAGACCTCAGCTTGTCCAAGGTTAGTAGTCGAGAAGGCTATTGATACCAAGCTCGATAGCTTCCATCATCCCTGTCTTCAGCTCTGCCTCAACTGGGCCTGGGCCTATTCATCTCGACAGGGGACGATTAAGCGGATGCAACTCCCCTAGGCAACCCACGATGTCTGAGCGCGGAGGCAGATGGCAGGGTATTTGGTCTGCGGGACGACAGCAAGGAAGCCTAGGAAGCTTGAGCATCGGCTGCAGTTGTGGCAAAGTGCCGGAGCAAGCGAGAGCATTCATAGCGAGAATGATATTGCTTTTCACTACTATACGATGGGGTCTGAGCTGAGAGACTGTTAAGAGGCCAAATGAAGACGGAGGAAGAAAGAACAGCATGTGTTGGCCCCGAAAAGCCAGGAATGCTCTCTGACTGTTGATTCTTCGCCATATGAGATCACATGCTATCTCCCCCTTTTGCTGCAATACAACGCAACACCAGCAAAACGACTCGCCCAAAAAGGAAAAAAGCACATTCAAAATGGGCGGTTTGAGAGTGACAGGCCTGCATGGAACTATCAGCGTTAGCCCTATACGCTAAGACGATCCGGCTCCGGTGACAAGGGTGACATTTGACGAGAAGTGGATAGGAAAATACACAGGAAAATCAAGATGGGAAATAGTCACGATTGTTTATTTTGCACAGGAATGCGGGAGTCTCATTTGTCTCGTCTCAGAGCGGGAGTGACCCGCGTCGTTGTCTTTAAGGCTGAAGTCTTGGAATCAACTCGAGGAGAGATGAAATACACTGGTGGATATCTTGACTTTACAAGCTGATGATTCCTGGCAACCTCGTGGTAACGAGCAAGGATTTCAGATCTTCTTGAATCCCTCCCGCTTTCTGGACCTGAACGCCGGAATGGTGCCGTTGTAAGGTCACTCTTGCTTGGCAAACTCGTACCTTGCATTAATATGTAGAATGATGTCGATGAATTATAAACAGGGAAGCATAACTCAGATGCAGGGATAATGACATCTCTGTGGAGAGTTCGCAAATCACCTCGACGGAGCAGATCCGAAGCACTGACTGTTTATTCTGAAAAGTTTCATCCAAACAACGGGATGATGTTAAAGTGTGACGTTTCCATGAAGGGTCCTGTCAGCTTACTGATGCTGGCTGATGGAGTTTCCCATATCCGTAGATCATCACAGAGTCGCTTTGGTGATAACGATGACTGCCGAGTGCCACCAAAGCCACCCGCCAGAGATGTCTTTACCTCGACTCTATTCCCTCCCCTTTTACCCCTTATGGCACGACTTAATTGTGCATATGCATAAAACACACCCTCTCCGAAAAAAAGTCCCAGATGTGGAGGCGGATGGCTTGAGCCAAGTGGACAAACCAAGAACGCCAATTGGGCTCTAGAAGACGCCACAGCGCGAATGATGCAAATTGCACGCTCTAGCGCTTCCCATTCTTTTTTGTGCCCAAAACGCAAGCCATTTTCTCTTTGGATGGCCGTTTTTTTGGTGGCGGTTGGGTTCGTCCTTGTTTTAATCTCCCCCTTGGTTTAATGCAAGCCGCCGCCTTTTTCCTGTTGTACGCAGGTCAATGACGCGGGGCACCATCGGGTTGGGTGGGAGTGGTGGCACGGCGTTTCCTTTGTGAAAAGGGTCCGCCACACGCTTTGGAGATTGCGGACGCTAAAATCTGCATGCTGTCAGGTACCCGAACTTTCATTGTTGATCTCGGAGTGGCCATTTTTGGGGCACCGTGAAAGACGTATGTGGGTGTTGGTGAGCATAATCGTTCCCAAAATGTCAGATGAAGGTTGTGCCATGTCATAAATGGCAATTGAGATAACCGAGAAAGGAACTGAACATCCCAATAAGAACAATATGTGCTGATTCCATACCCTACAGACAAAGATGAAGAACAAACTCGGACATACAGTACGTAAGATACATGTAAGTTGGTAGAGAGCTAACCACCATGAGCGGTTTCTTTCAAACAAATCAAGGAAGCAATTCACCCTAAAGCGGCTTCTTCGGGTCTTGGCTACCGATACCAACGGTTCTGCGACTACGTTTACGATCGATGAGATTCGAAGAGAAATAAAGAAGTCATTGTGACGATCAACGAGTTTCTTAGATGCTAGAGCTGCGGGTGGTGGTGGTTCCTGTCGATTGTTGCTTGATTAGGGTAACTATGCCGCTTTTCGCTCACTCACTAAGAACAACAATATGGATGTCTTAATCTCTCATGGACGGATGAAAGACGCACCACTAAAAATAAACACCCACTACTGACTCTTGATCAAAGATAGATGACAAAGGCGATGGGGCAGATAAACGCAATACGAGTAATAGTGAATAGTTATCGATCAAGAGATTGCATAAGCATTGATGAATTCTACAGTGGAAATGAACCGCTACTGCCCCTATGTCGACAGCGGCTAGAGCATCGCAAACGAGTTCAGCTGGCCACCATCATTCTCCTGGTTATTCGTATCTGAGTTGTCGTTTACTATCTGGTCCAGCCCTCAGCTGAGAGTGGATAACATGCAGCTTCTAGAGAACCGGACTCTTCTGGTGCGACAACGGAGAAAAGACTATTTTCTCAGCGATTCATACTCACTTGCCAGCAGTAGGTAACTATCGCTAGGTAAAAGTGTTTGTAAACATCTCCCCGGGGCAAGCTGTGTACTCAATCCCAGCAAGCTCAGTATCGCTCCACCGCAGCTCCGGCGATAGCCTCCCCTAGCGACCCCGCTAGCGCTGAAAGTTCACTGCCAGAAGCGGTTAGACAAGCCACGATCTAGTCAGGGGTCAGGGGACCACCCCTGTGGAGTACAGCTCAGCGCGTAGTGGCTAACGACTTTCTATCGTCCAGACCCGCACGACTTGTTGCTTTTCCAACGCTGCGGATTCAAACTGGCGATGGCGCCCAAGCCCGGCGTAACGGCACCAATAGCCCATTCTTTCACTGCACCGACCTGGTCTTCTTCTGGACTAGGTCCATCTGCCTAAGTCTGCTCATCTCTCACATGGGTGTTCTCAATAGCGCCTTGGACTAACGCAAGCTCAGGCACACTATCAAATCTGGCTATGGGTCCTCAGAACACGCCCGCGACCAACAGGTCCACGCCCGCGAAGATGAGAGAAGAGCGGGTGTAGAGTTGGGGGGAGAAGCAGGGGATGGATGAGCCATCGGCAGTCAGGCGGTTCTTGCATATAAACAGCAGCATCCGACCTCCATGCCTATCCCTCTCACTTCTTTTCTTGTCACCCTCTTCTACAATCATCTTAGCGGAATATAAGTGATCTCTTCTGAGTTCCACCGCAGTCCATTCGTTAATAACTGAATTTTACATTCTCCCATCATGAAGAGCTCAACCTACATCGCCATGGCCTTTGGCCTGGCTACCGCCTCTGCTTACAACCTCGTCACTGAGCCTTGCGAGTGTGATACCGAGGACGCCTGCTACCAGGCCGTCAAGAACTCTGCCACCGACCTCTGCAGCATCATCGAGACCTGCAACATTCCTAGAGATTGTGCTGATCGCCAAGCTGTCGTGGATGCCTGCAACTGCGAGCTCCCTACCACCACCGCTGCCACATCTGCTGCCACCTCCGCCGAGACCGTCAGCACCGGTGTCGAGACTGCTACCTCTGCTGCCACTTCTGCTGAGACTGTCAGCACCGGAACTGAGGCCGCCACCGCTGCCACCTCCGCCGCTACCTCCGCTGAGACTGTCAGCACCGGAACTGAGGCTGCTACCGCTGCCACCTCCGCTGCCACCTCCGCTGAGAGTGTCAGCACCGATGTCGAGACCGAGACTGAGACTGGTGTGACCACCGAGGCTGTCACAGCTGCTACCACCGGCACTGAGGCCGTTGAGACCAACACCACCACTGAGGAGGAGGACTGTGACACCACCACCGAGGAGGTCACCGGCTCTGCTACTGACTCTGCCTCCATCCCTGTCGTCACTGGCACCGAGACTGCCCCTACCGGCACTGAGACTGTTCCTGTCAACACCGAGACTGAGACCGCTCCTGTTAACACTGAGACTGAGACCGCTCCCGTTAACACTGAGACCGAGACTGCTCCTGTTAACACTGAGACTGAGACCGCTCCCGTTAACACTGAAACTGAGACCGCTCCTGTCAACACCGAGACTGAGACCGCTCCTGTCAACACCGAGACTGAGACTGCTCCTGTTAACACTGAGACCAAGACCGCTGCCACTGGCACCGAAACCGCTCCTGTCAACACTGAGACTGAGACTGCTCCTGTCAACACCAAGACCAGCACTGACTCTGTCCCTACCGGCACTGAGACTGCTCCCGTTAACACCGAGACTGAGACCGCCCCTGTCAACACCAAGACCAAGACTGGTACTGAGACTGCTCCCGTCAACACCAAGACCAAGACCTACCCCGCTGGTGTCTCTACCACTTGCACCGAGACTGAGGGCTCTCACGGCCACAAGACCACTGAGGCTTCCGTCCCTTACACCACCAAGACTGTCTACACCACTGCTGTCCACACCTACACCAAGTGCCCTCCTTACGTCAAGAACTGCCCCAACGGTCCTCACGGTCCTTACACCGTCACCGAGACTGTTGCTGTTTCTACCACTGTCTGCCCTGTGACCGAGGAGCACTCCAAGCCTACTGGTTACTCTCCCGAGAAGTACACCACCAAGACCATCTACAGCACCGCCGTCTACACTGTCACCAAGTGCCCTCCCTCCGTCAAGGACTGCCCTTACGGCTCCGTCACCACCAAGACCGTCCCCGTCTCTACCACCGTCTGCGCCGTCACCGAGGAGCACCCCTCCAAGCCTACCGGTTACGCTCCCATCACTGAGGGTCACCCCTCCAAGCCGACCGGCTACGCTCCTCCCAGCCACAGCACTCTCTACACCACCAAGACCGTCTACTCCACCAAGGTTTACACCGTCACCCAGTGTGGTCCTGAGGTCCCTAACTGCCCTTACGGTTCCGTCACCACCGAGACTGTCCCCCACACCACTGTCTACGCCACCGGTACCAAGGAGATTCCTTCTTACCCTACCGTCGTTGTCCCTGGACACCCTGAGCAGCCTTCCAAGCCTGAGCACCCTGAGACTCCTGAGCACCCCGAGACTCCCGCCAAGCCCGAGCACCCCGCTCAGCCTGAGCATCCCGAGACTCCCGCTAAGCCTGAGTACCCTGCTCCTCAGCACCCCGAGACTCCTGAGCACCCTGAGACTCCCGCCAAGCCTGAGACTCCCGCCAAGCCTGAGCACCCCGAGACTCCTGCTAAGCCCGTCTACCCTGCTCCTGAGCACCCCTCCAAGCCTGAGCAGCCTGCCCAGCCCGAGAAGCCTTACTCCGCTCCTCCCGCCCAGGAGACCGAGGGTAACTACAAGGCTCCTTCTCCTAGCCAGCCTTCAGCTACCCTCCCCTACCCCAAGCCCACCGGCACTGCCCCCGCTGTCGAGGTCACTGCCGGTGCTTCTCGCTTCGGTGTCGAGATGGCCGTCGCTGCCGCTGGTATCTTTGCCGTTCTTCTGTAAATGCATCATGGAACGTAAAAACTTTCCTTTTGGTATTTATCTTTTTCACACATAATAAGCTTCACTATGTACATAGTATGATATAGACGACTTTGGCCTTTGCCGAGTAGTAGAAAGAATAGTTACGATTTTTGGATATATATTTTTGTGTAATCCGCTGTTATTGAAGATACCATCTCATCAATTTTAAATAATTTTAATCTCAACTTGGCACTTTGTAATTATCACCTTGTATTCATGTGTTCCTTGGCCGTAGCTGGGAGTATCAATTCCAACTCATAGGATACTAGGTAAAAACCACACGTATCACGTGTCATGACATATTCCTCAGAAATATCTAGCGCCTCCATGCGACAACCGATCGAAACTCTATCTCCTCCATCGTCCGTTTCAATCTATGGAACAACGCTAGAACAAGGGGGTGAATGAGAGACAAACCTAAGAGACCGTTTTATCCGGGTCTTTGGAAACTCTGGGGGCGTTCGGGAGAGACAAAGCCAAACAAACGGCTTGTGACCGTTGACTGGAATGCGGGACGAGGGCGTGTCTTAGACTATCAGGAGGGTTCCAGAAGATGGCGTGTTTGTGGCTCTACTTGCGGTGTGGATCAAGTATCGGTGAGTGAAACAGTAGGAAAGATGTTTAACAAAGAAAACCTCATGTTGGAATAAAGAAGTGTCAACTCATGTGCGGACTTTGCTAGTATCGCTGTCAAATATGTCAAAGAACATAGACTTTGCAGGGGTGGCATGGGGAAGTATTGGCATAGTGTTGATTGGCTCTTTAAATCGAAACAAAGGGAAAAAGCTCAACGCCCTACGGGTTCTGTGTTAGTTTGTTTCGTCAATCTAGTATCCCTTCTTGGCCCCGCGTGGTCCATTCGTGATACTTCGGAGGATGACACAGTGAGGTACGTACATGTATCATGAGGGTGGGTGTGGTGTCGTCGATGGCATCAAGCTTTCAACGCCTGAGACTTGGAAGATAGTGTCGCAATTGTGAAATGCTGACTATTTTTCACCGCCGTTACGTATCCTTCATATTGTTGATCGGATGACTTATTGCCGTGGCTGTCAACTTTGAGTGACCGTTGTATGTACCATAACGGCTTGGGCGCGGCTGTTTCGCTTGGTATGCAAGGGCTGATGACATACATGGCGCTTGTCGGGTGAGATGCGCGTGAAGGATGAAGGATGCCAAGAAAAACGCGGATATTCTTAATGAGATTTACGGCATGGATGGTTTGAGCATTTGTCGAAGTTAGGTGTCGGTATCTTTAGATAGTTGCTCAGTCAGTATATCTTTTCCTTACGTCCACCAAGTACCAAGTCTGAAGCATTCCTGCTAATGAGGACACCTCGATGAAGCCACGTCATAGCCTGTGGATTCTATCAACGAGAAAAGAGAAAAGAAGAACAACGAAACTGAAGTTGACTATTGAACACTATGCAGTAGGGACTGGGCATGATGGTGTCGCCGAAAAGCCTTGTTGGTGTGGCTCAAGGCTTTTGTGCCTGGAGCCCGCGGCTGCACAGCCTAGCAGCTGCTGCGCCTCTATCTTGGTTCCACTGATGTCAGGCAAGAGTCGAGACCAGAGTCTGCGTGTTTGACTTGGGAAAGAATGCGATTGCGAATGATAAATGACGATATTAAGAATTCAGACCTGAATATTCAGTATTGAGAAGGTTATCGAGAGAGTTGTTGTAGTTGTTGGAACTCGTGTATGTTAAGGTGGGTATTGAGTGGTTACAGTTCCAGTGCTTCGTGACTGCTCCTCCACTGTAAACCACTACTGCGCTTAACGGTCCTCAACTCTACAACACCCATTAAGTACATATTAGATTATCGCATCTTAACATCTACTCATTATCCTCAATCAAGCCACAGCACGCAATGCAATCGGAATGCGGCACGAAATATCCTACGGACTTGACTCCTCAAATTATCCAGTTACATCACAAGCTGTCTCACACAATCAACCATTTGTGGCTCTCTAACAGGCCTCCAGCTCCCGCCCTACCAGCCGTGAGGCGCAGCAACTCCATTCCAGTGTAGCAACTCAGCCCTCAGTATCAGTTTACCTGGAGAATGATGGCATTCTGCTCCCTACCAACACCTCTCACCAGGATATTTGTGTCATCGTGTCCCACCCGGTCTGTTTTGGGGCCGCATTGCACTTTTACCATCCACCACAGACTTTTGCTCTCACTGCCTCTAGCGACCTACATCGTGACCCGTTCAACAAGACGGTACGAGGGAGCTGATTTATAAGTTTGCACTTCCCGTCTGACAGTACATGATGGCGACCTGTGCTTTAAGAGGCTGCATTGGCTACCTATTCTCCGATTGATCAGCATTAAACCCGTTGCCTTGTATCCACAATCGTTTACCTTCAGTTGTATATCCACAATCGTTTGCCTTCAATTGGAACTGACGATCAGTCTCCGGCGCCATGAATAACAACGCTGCGTCGCCGTACGGGCTTCAGGTGCCTGTATCGTCCGCCTCGCCTAGCGGATCAAATAACACCACAACAGGCAGACCGCCGCTATGGACGCCATCATCGCGACGCAAAGTCTCTCGTCTCTATCTTTACACCACGCTGCCTCTGGAGAAGATCATGGCTGTCGTGCACGCCAAATCTCCAGATACTCCAGCACCTGGGTATGTAATCCCCGGTACTCTACACTTGAGGTTGATGCTGATCATGTTCACAGGAAAGATTCAGCCCACAAGACACTCAATGCCATGCTCAACAAGCAACCGCGATGGCTTCACCCGAAAACAGAAGATGACATGGTTCGACGATTAGAAGAACTGTCTCTGTCTCCTACACGAACCAGTTCAACGAATAATTCTATTGCCTCTCCTCCATTGGGTGCGGGGCCAATTCCTGCTCTCAATGCTATTCCAACGCCGCATCTTATGCGACATACCGACACTCGAGTTTCGCTCGAAGTGCCGCCCTTTAACCAATACCCTCAACCTCAGCAACCCGCCGTGAACAGATCAGCTGCCCATAGACAGATGGAACAGCGCCAAGAAGAGAATAGCACATTTCGAAACTTTTTACAACGACCAACATTCATGACTACTTCAACAGACTGCACCACTGGGACTCTACATCGCTTACTACATGAATATCCTCACCCATATGTCAAGACTGTAAAGCGACTTATCAAACGATACACAGCACCTCTCAACCGCCGAGGATCCAGTCTCTCGCCAATCTCAGACGAGGAACCAAGCGTGGCCTCGTGGCTCAATGATCGCGATGCACCAGGTTGGCTACCTAACAGACCTCACTATCTACCCGGTGACTTTCTATGTGTCGACGAACTTGCCCAAGGACATATTTGTTTCCCGGAGATCGAAGAGCACATGAAGCTGTCATGCTTCTGCCGCCCTGTGGAAGAGATTGTGGAACCAGCCTGGATAACAGCACAAGGCTTTTCGCATGCCGGCGATAATGCGCTATCGTTCGCTTTGGGGAGTGGCTTGTTTGAACAGCGCGATCAATTTGGTCACACACTCCTCCATCTTATGGCGGCACGATTCATGCGGGACCATCTTTTCCAGACCATCTTGTCAGACCAAGACATCCATATTCTCAACGCACAGAATACAGCTGGCCAAACGCTCCTGCACGTATTGCACACCTCCTGGTTCCAACCTCATAATCAGTTTCTCTTGCAACAATTACTAGATGTTCTGGCTCAGAAGGGATTCGATTTCAGTGCTTGCGATCATTACGGAAGATCATTTTCACATATCCTTCTTCTCAAGGACGCCTCAGTCGAACTACGAAACCATCTGCTTCAGCTATGCAAAGCTACAGACTATCAGAAAAGGGACGCTTTCAATGTAACACCTGAATATGCAGTCATCCCCGAACCTTCATTCGGCATCAACAGGGCGTACACACAAGCCATGGACCTCGATCCGCCTGCCCCGATGTCTCAACAAGATAGCAGCGCAGATCCATATCATATACATGATATCAGCCAGGAGACAAGTCTTCTGAGATCCATCAGCGAGGCCGAGAACAACCCCCGATTCGAAGATTCAGAGGGACGCAATGGATTACACTGTCTTGCAGCAGCCACGTTGAGCACTTCAACCATCACGCAAAAGTACTACCTTGACGAGAACGGAGAGCCAACCGACCGCAAACGAAGAAGGGATAAGATCACGAAAGATTCGGACTCAAGCACCTACCGATTGAAACTCCGCTTTTTGCTCCTAGAAAGGCTCCTCGGGGCAGGCGTCGACCCAAACCACTACAATGTCCACGGCAACACGCCCCTCATGGCTTTCGCCGCCCAACTCCCTGAAGACGACGATTACAGACTCGGCCCCGAGATCATTGAAGCGCTCGTCAACTCCGGAGCACAAGTCAACGCACGCAACAGAGCAGGCGAGACAGCGCTACACATCGCAGTCCGCTGCGGCCACAAACTCGCCGCCAAACAACTCGTCGAGAGCGGCGCCAGTGTCTATGCGCGTGATGCGGCAGGTAGAAGCGTGCTGGAAGTGGCGGACGTTAAGATGGAGAGTCTCAGGGGACAGGATGCTGCGGAGTACGCGCACCTTGAGGCTTGTCGGGCGTGGTTGAGTGGGACTTCGGGACATGCGGTTCAGAAGCCGACGGTGTTGCAGGAGTGGGGGGCTACTTTAAACGACGACTGATGAAGTATTGAATTGCTACGGATGTATGTATTTATATAGAGGCTTGTTTGATTGGATTTTGGCGTTCGGCTTATAGATGGTTGGATACCCATGTGTTTTAGAGCAAAATTATGGTATAGACAGGCGTTTACAATGGTATTGACACAGCTCTTCATTGAAATTGTGATTTTTATCCAGTTCGTGTCCAGAAAGTAATATCATAGAAGTGGCTGCTCAGCGCCGATGCCTACACATTGTGCCCATGATAAAATCCGACTGACCAGTGGCTGAACAACAATTTATGACACAGTATAAAGAGTGTTAAGATAAATGTCGTCTAATTATTGCAATCTATAACTTAAAGGTTTCATCGATTCAAGGAACATAAATCATCGCAGCCGTTTAATACCCAAATTTCTGTCCAACAAGTTTCTCGCTCAACCTCCACAGCTTCTCAGCTTCAACAGGGTCTCGTGCCCAAGACTTGACGGTGTCGGTATAAGGATCAGACACCCTTGCTTCCAAGAGATAAGCGCCATTGCTTGCTGTGAAGTATCAGTATCGAACTATACTGCAATGCAGATGCTATCTCACCTTTGATGTTGGGGTCGAAAGCAGCAAATGCGTGTGTCGCTGCGCCAACTTCGACAGGAACGGGATCAATAAAGTTCCATCCTTCATCGTTGCCTCGTGCACGATGAGCCTTGACTGGATTACTTATTAGCTGTCGAACATTTGAGGAAGAGTTGCAAAATAGCTCACTGAAAGCTCCCAGGTCGGCGTCCATGTTGGCAAAGTCTAGGTGTGTGCCTAGACCGGTCGACAGGATGAGGCCAGGATGGACGCTGTAAGATTGAAGACCTCGACTTCCGAGCTTCTGGGCGAGAGATACAGAGAAGAGCATGTTTGCAGTCTTGGATTGACCATAGGCAGTCCACTCATCATAAGTTTCCCCGTTCTATGTGAATTAATATGGTTCAAGGGGAAAGGCAGATGGGGACTTACACTGAAGTGAGGGTCGGCAAAGCGAATGGGACTAAGACTGTGGCCATTGCTCGAGATGTTCACAACGCGTGGTGACTTGGAAGCCAAGATTTTGTCCATGATCAAGTTAGTCAGAAGAAAGTGGCCAAGATGACCGATTGCGAACTGCATCTCGTAACCATCCGTGCTGAGCGTAAATGGAATAGCCATCACACCAGCATTGTTAACAACAACATCGATGCTGGGCACGTCGCTCCAGCCGTTGACGTCTTCAGCAGCCTTACGCACTGACGCCAAAGAGCTGAGATCTACGACAAGAGAGCGCGTCTTGACATCAGGGTAGGCTTTGGTGATGGTTTCAGAAAGCTCTTGGAGCTTGGAGGCGTTGCGGCCGGCGAGGATCAGGAGCTCTGGGGACTTGGAGGCGGTTTCTAGGATGAAGGTTGCGCCTAGACTGTTGGGTGTGACGCCTGTGGTGAGAATGGTTTTGCCCTTGATGATGTCGGCGTATTCGGTGACGAGATCGTTGGTGGTTGTTGAGACGGAGTGAGGAGACATGATGATAACGATAACCAGTGATTAACCAGATATGAAGAGGTGAAATTATTATGATGTATTTGTTGAAGAGTGTGAGAGTGGTTGTTCTGAATTGTTGTGTGTGATAATGATAGGAAATAAATCCAAGTGGGAAGATCCCACAGATCTTATAGTCCATGCCATGTTGTAAACGCCGAAGATGAGTTTTCAAAACGAAGCTCGAGATGCTTTACTTTGCAGGAGTAAATGGTGTGTGAGAGGCACAGTACATGGCGGCTGGCGTCAGCCATTTCGGCGTTGCAGGGGTGGGAGGAATGCTGACGCTTGCATCATCGGACTTTGGTTACATATAGTGATTAGGAAGGGCACAGCTAATCTTTGACGCGGGGTTAATAGTATTCCCATCGTCATATTGGTTTGTATCGTCAGAGGAGAAGTACGGTATCATGTTAGTTTGAGTTCATCACTAGGTATTTTGGATTGTTGGAGGAAGCGCACAAGATAATGTTGACTGGCTCCGACTGACCATGAGGTTGGAACGGACTCTGACTGACTACTCCGTATACATGAGGTTGATAGACATCGCATCCTTTCATCAAGACGTAATCTTTGCATGGGACTTTTTGGGAAGGATTGTTTGGTTGGCTATGAATCTGATAAAGTCGCTCGGGTGAAGTTGATGCCGACATGCATTTGGACGAATTAGTGTAAATTATAATGTTCTCTTGCATTATGGTAAGTACGATGTCGCATTTTTGTAGGAAATGCTGATCAGAAGGAATACGGCGCTAAAACACAATAATGCACGTATGGAGGAGGATTCCCAGTTTCATTTCAGAGGTATACCCATTCTCGTAAAATCCTCTACTGGGTACATAATTTCACTGACTATAATATGGCCAAATGTGATATCAATACCAAACTGTCTGAGGTGTCCGATCTCGGGTCTTTGCTGTCACTTTCCCGACCGGTTGGCGTTCAACTAACTACCCTGCACTCACTGCGAATGACGAGCCATATACCGCTTCGTCATGAGGACATGCTGCAAAACGGGGTTTAGAAGAAACTTAGCTTTGTCGATGAGTCACTTGACAGCTGAGCGTGATGTGTTTGGGCCGTAGCACGTTTCCACGCAGACGCTTGCAACGTTAATTGGGTGAAGGTATTGCGGTGAAGCCATTCACGATTCTCGACTAAGTTTAGGTGACAACAATAGCTGCAAGGCAAAACCAACAGCCAAATCGACCCAACTCATGATTGGAATAGATTTGCAAATTAAATGTTACAATGAGCAACAAACCTGATGCCGAGCAATATAACTCAATGCTTTTCAAGTTGTAGTGGATGCTCTGCTAAAAGCTTACGGATAGCGACTGCACTGTGGCGCTGAGGTGCCTGTTTGGCGGCGGAAGGTTGCACGCTACAGCAGTTCTTTCCCCAACAGACCCGACCTGGAGCGGTTCACTGCCTGCCTGCCCATTGAGCGCTCCAGGGCTCCCTCTCCGATCCCGTCACTGTCATGAGGCTCCTTACTTCTCCAACTTCACTCGCTCATCTTTTACTCTTTCAACACCATCGCTACTTTATATCTTCACACTCTCTTGATTCCGCAGAGGCTTTAGTAGTCATCTCTGTATTCGTCGTCGTTCCTGTCTTGTTCGTCTTTACCCCTCCTTCATGATCGCGAGATACCGATAAGATCATGACCCACGGCGTGGCTATCATAAGCGCCCCCAACATTGACAGCGATGCCCAAGCTGGCGTGCCTAACCAGCAGCTTCTCTCGCCAAACCATACAAGCTCATCCTCGGAAACTTTAATAGAAACAACGGAACCTCCAGTGAAATTCGAAATTCCGCATGATTGCCGCACCTTCGCACCTTTTGCCCGTCTGCCACCTGAGATTCGGGCACAGATATGGCAAAGTACCCTAGATACTCCCGGCATGCACTTTCTCAAAATCGATACCGATTGGCACCCAGCAACAGGAATTGGAAGGTGGTGGATCAAAGAATCGCATCTTCTTCATAATGTCTTTGATGAAGAAGGCGAGAACATCGACCCTATTTTGCTTGAGGCCAAAAGGGAAATTCGCCCAACCTCAAAGGTGCATGCTACACTGAAACCTCTCTACCCCACTCCGCAAGCCGATATCTCCTACTACACCAACCTACATCAGCAACTCGCAAGACTATCGGTCACCTGTAATGAATCGGCGGCTATTTCTCGAAGCCTCACTGACCGGCCTACTACGTTCCGCTTGGATAGTGGCAGAATTGTCAGCCTCAACACTTCCTCGGATGTCATCTATCTTGAATACGTCCCTCCTGATATCTACGAAGACAACATACGCTTCTCCAAAGCTTTGAGTTGTTCAGGACTCGATCAGATCCGAAAGGTTGCCGTGAGATACTGTCATAAGTGGTATGAGCGACAATCATCAAGGCGCTGTCCAAATTGCGGCCAAATCCACAATGTCCCAGCTGGAATCAGATACCCCAAACACCTATATCGGTTCTTAGCACAGTATCTTCCCAATCTTGAGCAATTTTACTTCGTCGATTACCTCATTCTACGCAAGTCTCCAGGAGTTGAAGAGCAGACTCTAGAGGAAAGCAAACAGTTTTCCAGGAACATAATGGGTAAGTTGGAGGTAAAAGGTAGGGCATTACTAAATCGCTAACTGTTAATAGCTAAGCCCGGGACATGCAGATTCGAGGGTGGAAACAGAAGCTATTTCGAAGCGGATGCACAAGACTGGAACGTCAATTCCCGAGTATTCAAGGTCAAATCATGGCTACAAGAACAATTTGTCAAATACGCCAAGGCAAGTAAACTGAGCAAGCACAAGAACCCAGAAAAGGTCAAGTTCGGTGTCTTGGCGTGCGAATGGAACGTCGAACCACCCACAGAACCAAAAAAGGCCCCAGCAATGCCAATAAAGAAGGGTCGGAACAAGAGAGCTCATAGCGAGGAGCGTCCGTTGTCCAGAGCCCGGCGATTGTCGATTCGGAGGGGAACAGGTTCCGTTACCGAGCGCCTGCCGTATTCTTTGACGGCACGATACCCATTTGTTTTTGACGCGGGCGGTGGTAACAGGTTTGAATTTACCTTTTCGATGCCCCTACCATGACTCTGAATGTCTTTGATGTGTTATTTGAGAGGAGTCAAGCACGGAGATTGGAGTTTGGGCCACAGCAGCAAGCACCTTTGAGTTTGAACAGGCTGCCGACAGACCATGCGTCCAGAGCTGTCAGTTTTGAGTAGTATTGCTATAGAAGATTAGAATAGATTAGAGTATACATTCACCCGATCACCCAGATACCCCATACCTCGGTCCTAGTACCACACGTCTCAGCCGACACTGTCAAAATGCTAGTTGCAATACCCTAGCGAGGTTGTGACGATGCTATCTCATGTTTACTCAGTAGATCCCCATCATTGAGAATTCATCAAGCATTAACTTTGTGATTCTGTTCAATTCCATTAGCTTATTGGGCCGGGTCGTCCACCCGTCCTCGACAGCTCCCAACTCCACATTCAGCATATCCTTATATCGCTGACACGTCATCAGACCTGTCCAAGCACTTTTACTTGACCAGGGGCTAGGGAAACCTATGAGAAGGTTGATCTGACTCATGATGTGTCGAATTAACTCGGAGAAGAGCATAAATTGGGTCGACGGTTCAACGAGCGGCACGTCAGCAAAAGCCATCGGGGCTGATTCGAGAAGATCCTGGTTCGGATCTGATAGCGAGTTGAATGTGATCTTGAAGACAAACTCAAGATGCTTGATAAGTTGCACGTAGCACGATATGACGAGAAACATCGTTGGTGAGTCAAAAACGGGAGGCGGCTGGGGAGTTGCGCTTCCGGATGTTGGTGTCGTACCCTCTGATGAAGGAGACGTCGATTCAGATACCGTGTCGGCTGTTAGCGCCCATACCAGCTTGTTTGTATGCGGCTTGCGGCCTTGGCATGAGACTGTACGGGTGCCTAACTGACGATGTAGTGATTTCAGCACTACTAGAAACTCCTGCGCAACCTTGAGGACTAGTTGGATGTTTTCGTATCCGTTCTTCATATTGTGGTCCTCGCAAACAAATGACCCCAGGCGGAAAGAATTGGCAAGTTGCGTCACAAACTCCCAGCCCCGGTAACAGTCACCGTTAAGTTTACACAGCGTGTCGAACAACTGTGAGCTCGGCAGGATAACCTTTTGTTCAATCTCGGGTGGATCAAGCTCCTGGACAGCAGGCCACGCATCCATCGGAAACGGGAGACCTTCCGGCGTGTACATGCAGAACGGATCAAGGTCCCACGCAGCAGAATCATCCAGCAGGCCCTGGATAAACTGCACATCCTCGGGAGAGCGCACTGTATCACTATGTTTACTGTGAAGCACAACTTCCACGGCGTCCTTTCTGGGCGGTCTCCCGACGCGACGCTGCAGCCCGGGCTGACACGTCAGGCTGAGACGGGAGCAGCGCGCGCACGAGGCGGAGGGGCCGACGGGGCGGCTGCAGCGGTGTTTATGGCGGCGACAGCGCTCGCAGGCGGAGCGGATTTGGTTTGGATGTGGTGAGGGAGAGTGCATGTTTTTGTTCTTTTTTGTTGCTTTCTTTTTTGTTGGTGATAGAGAGAGACAGATTGTTGGTTGTGGGATTTGGCATGTGGGAGGAAGGACGGGAGACGGAGCGGAGGGTTTTGTGGGGCGAGTCGGAGGGTTTTTGGAGTGGGGAGTGGTCCGGCACGGGAGGGGATGCGGGGGGCCGGGGATTTGCAGACGGGAGATGGGTGGGTCTTTATTTTGGGCCGGAATTTAGGGGGTATTTGCTAGATTGGAAAGGAAACGCTAGACGGGTGTTTATTGTGTGTAGGATTGTATGTATGCGGTTATGTTTGAGGTCGGGATTCTGCATTGTGCTATGACTTTGTGTTAAGATGATCATGAGAAATCCCGACATGTTTCCTCTTGTGTCTCTGCCACTTGAAAGATGATGTAATAAGAAGTCAGCCAGACCAATTCTTCTTGGCGTATAACAAAGCTCATTTCCCCCGAACTTGATTCATGTTCTCCAGATTATTTCGTCCCAGGCTTCCTGATGGAAAGTGCTGGGGCTTATATTATATGCACTATGTCTACATACCCTGGCTGGCTTACCTGTTGATCAAATCTCAAGATCGATCGTCGCAGCCATCATCATCATCTTTTATGCTGTTGCGGGCTAAGGAGTCTAGGCCTTTCTCTACAGCCTTCGATACGTCGACGCAATTTTGCAGAACAATCCGTGGGATGCGATGATCGTTTCGACTCAGGTTTTCGGTCCACGATTTCTCACACACACAATCACGCAGTTTCGTCTGGTAGGTTGTTACCCTTGAACTATCTCTGTATGGTGGTTAGATTTCTAACTAGTTCCTTATCTAGGAGTTCAAGCTCGAAGAGTGGAGTGACCCTGATGATTACTTCGTCTGGAACCCTATAATGGGAGTTTACGGGTCCGGCCTTAGTCGACCCCGAAAGTCTGGTGGGAGTTTGATTATATAAAGGTAAGAGTCGGCTTCTGAGGCCCAACCTGCCAGTCTACCTCTGCCCCGATAGAGAGCAAGGCAGCCAAACAAAACGAGAAGCCCTGCTAAATGGAAGCAGTTCCGAACTTAGAGAGGGACCAGTGGCTTTCCCAAGATACTCTTATACGCACGAAAGGGTGCAGTTCCATGCGAGACCCAAAGGAAGAAATTAGCTCCTGTTGCCTTGGCCTAATCTGCACGTTCCTGAGACCAACCCTGCGGTCCTCTTTGCTTTGCTCCAATATAGGACCGCCAACCCGCCTCAGAGCTAGGCCACGTTTGACAGTATGCAGCTCACTCTTGACTGGGCCAGCGGGTCAGCTACCAGCTCAATTTCAGACGGGAGAATATTCACCTTGGTAAGCCGGGAGACAGAGGAACATGGATACGAGAACATTCCTGCTGGTTTTTCGCCTGAAGTCGAACACGGCATGCTGTTGATTTGGGAAATTCAGAGCATGAAACAGCTTTCCCCTCGACTTTGCATTGGGCCGAAAGACGACACTTTCAAGCAGGATATAGCACAAAGGCATCGATCACAATGAACGCCTCCAACAACGGAAACAATGTTGAAGACACCCCCCCCCCACGAGCTTTATATGAGCGCCGGATACATATTCTGGCCGAAAGGCGCCTAGATATAAACCAGCCATCCACCACCTGTATTGGAACATCACCCCATATCACATTGTGTCAAGGTATGTCATATTATCCGGCCGCACTATTTTGACATTGCTCATCGTCGTCTTTTGATAGATCATGACCATTGATGTATGTTCGAATCTGGCAACATACCTGCCTCCTCCTGGAATATGCCAAGCTCGAGATTCTGAAGTCGAGTTATACAGAAAATTCAAATACTGCGTCAAAACAGGAAGGAAGCGACCTTGGTGTATGCTAAGCACACGCATAAAAAAGGCAGGTTGAGAGGTGATCCCAAGATATCCTACGGACCAGACCACCCAAGACTACCGATTACGAATGTTGAGTACTCAACAATAACGACACACTCGAGTGTTTCTTAGTATGTCTCTCAGGTATTTTAGCCTCATTTACGTCCTACTGTCTCTTTTTGTATTCCGGCACTAATTCCTGATGTTTCTCGGTACAGTTAAGGACTCCTGATGTTAGAGATCGCTTGATGTAGCACACCATGATTGACATACCGAGAACCAAGATAAAGACCTGGATCTACCTCGTACTCGTATGGGCGGCTATATACCTCTTGAGAAGGATTATGCCGCGTCTTGCATTTGCGGTGATGAGCCATCAACAAGTAGCCTGTCAACGAAACATCTGCGGAGCCTGGGGTGATGGACTCGCAGGTAAAGCTTCCCCTATTGTTTATAATACATGAGCTAATAGTTGCTCACTAGCAGGGAACAACTTTTACATATCACCTCACTACACCACAACGGATCAATTCATTAGAAAGGCGTTATGAATTCATTCATAATGCCCGAGGTCATCATCGAGTCGTTATTCAAATGGAAGCGTTTAGATGAACACAGAGCTGGTGTGACAAGCTCCTGGCGCTTCATTGGCTCTCCCGCACAGGTAGCCAGAGGTTGACGAACAAGTGTGTCTGGAAGACATCGAAATTTGCAACAATGCGAAGCTTGCTCACAGATAAGCGACTTGAAAAGTCCAGATTCCTGACATTGGGGATTATCAAACTGGGATATCGAGAACTTCCAGGTCTTCGGACCCGACATTCAAGGTACAATCGAAACGCGGATTTCCCATACATGATAGCTACACCACCAGGGTTCACGGAGACCCATCCGATGGTGACTTCGCTTCCTGTCAAACGCCATCAATAGCGGGTATGAGATAGCATGGAAGAAGACAAGACGCTGGGGACTGCAGAGTAAGCACAATAACCTCATTGAACAATCTCTTGTACCGGAGCTGACTATATATATAGCCTTGGGCAGTCTGTAAGCCAATGCTAGCTCATGCAGAAACTCATCACATTGGGCGGTTGGAGAAACAAAGCCTCGATGAAGCAGCGACAAACACGGCATGAACGTTTCGAGCACTAGTCGCTAATATCTAATTATGCCCACCCGCGAACGACTTCTGGGGACTTTGCCAGCAGAGCCTCGAAATACCATCTCGCTATATCAGGACCTCCAATAATTTCTGACGAGGTGGGCAGTCCAGAGCATCTTTTAAGACAAGGCGCCTCCTTTGTCCAAGATTACCCCAGATGTACACCCGCACCCAGCCCTCCGGCGACAATATCAGACGCACCAACCACCATCTTCCCCAGAAGCTCAGCGTCTGTTCAAGAGACCCAGGAGTCTTTTGCCAGGCTCGTTATCGGTCCCAAGGTGAAGATGCCGGCCAAGATATTCAAGTTATTCGCTCTGTACCGATGGGTCCGTTTCTTGTCCACATTGAGGGTCGTATCGCGGTAACGCCGTCGACGCCAGAAATGATAGGTCAGACCGCTTCAGCCTCGTCTTTGGGAAGACGAGATTGCAGAGTTATCACGAGGGAAATAGGTCATCTTGACCCTCAATACGCACTCCCGGAAAAGATCCTTGCGAATAATACCATCATCGTCCGAGCGGAACGAACCAAAGTCCCGACTTCTTGTATCGTGCCGGATAATCCAATCGACGACGAAGGGTATGAGACCTGTTATCGCAGTATCCCACTTCTCCCGTGTTCTGTTCACATTAGGATTTTTGAGGCCGAATCCCACCAGACAAGAGCCAAGCAAACGGTTCTTCCTTCAACACGCAAGCACACACGCGCATACACAAAGCTCTCTCTCTTTCCGGCTATTGACTTTGGTACCACTAGGTAACACTAAGTGGGTAGAGGAGCCGAATCCATCATCTCCCAATCTACTCTCGTCTAACGATTCAACGTTCATTGGAGTAGGCCACGCCCAGTATATCGAACAAGACATCTGCTCTAGCAAATCAAACTATATCACGTTGGAGAACCTGGGCCGACGACCTCTTTGGTGTCATAGAGTCCGAAAGTACGACGTCGAGGGCTAGGATCATGAGAATAGGAGCTGCCAAACCGAAACCCAAAGAGTCCTTTACCTAGCTAGAGCTCGAAGATGAAATCCAAGAGTTCGTCGCCCATGCCGAAAAGGCTTTCGAGGCCTTCGACGGCATATCTATTCGGAATTAAGGCAGTCATGCATTGACGGCAAAGGTGTTGCACAATCGGCTCTATGCAATCCACCCTCCAGCATCTGGTGACAATCCGTCTATTGAAGAATCCTAGGCGAAGGATAACTATTATTACACGCGCTGATCTATCTTCCGAAACTGTTGCTAGCCCATCAAACTTCTGACCGTAATGGAGTCATGCGAGATATTCATTAGACAAACAGCAGAGCCCTATCCTTCGGAGGTGTCTATTATGGAAACCCACAGGAGCACAACATCGGAATGATGAGTCGCGATGAAGATCTCGGCAGCAAGATTACTAGATGCAGTAAAACAAAGTCTCCACAGGCCTCGAAACATGGGATATCTCGCCCTCTGATTGGAAGAATCTTACGACATTTATGGAAAGCAGGTTTGGCCGGGAGCTAAATGCGGACGAGGCTTATATCTGCACCTTGAAGATAGAGAACAACCAGCCCGGTCAAAAGCTATATGTTCTTAGATCCGCCGCCGGTTTACGTGCCCTCTTTCAGGTTCTATATATAACAGGAGATACCTCGAAAGCGATATCTTCACGACGATCGAGAAATGAACACAAAGCCGACACTCGCTTCGCTCCGATCTCCTGGGATCCTAACAACATGCCCGGTGGTGTATTCGAGATCTAATCATCGAACCCTTACACCATCTCAACTGCGGCGCCGAGTGCGATACTTGATTCTCCACGTTGGGGGCCGATCGATTTCTTGAAAGCACAAACGGACCTACTGAACTCACGGGACTTGGTGAACAAGATTCTCAAGTGCCTATCGGATGCATCCCACGGAAGATTTCATGCTCAGGTGTAGGAGAGCCGTTCATGAAGACAATACTATGAGCGTGGTACGTTAAACTTCTCGCATGCCACCTTGCCTTAAACAGACTGACCTTTTATAGACCTAGCCTGTGCCGCCCAAGCCAAAAGCAGTAGTCACTGGAGGTATATCAAGCTTCTCGCATACCAGCTTGAAATAGCTAGACTGACTTCTGACAGACTTCGGCTCGGGATCAACCTATTTAGGACCATGTTAGTGTCATTCCGAATGAAGATATGAGATCATACATTCACGCTGGGGATTACTGGGGCAGAATTCTGTCTAAGGGTCATATTGTCAGCTCATGATCCAATTGCTCCACGACCTTCAGACCCTACAACCACGATACCATCTAACCCATGAGAGTCACCAACACTGAAGACCACGTCATAGAACTCCTCCTACCAGGCCACTGCGAACCCAAATGCAAAGCCAGCTCATCTTGTTACTGAAACCATACCTGCCCGTCAAGCTACCAATAGCTCCATGGGCAATGTTATCGGCGAACCCTGCGAAGAACTGCCTTCATGAGAGCGAACTGTCACTCCAAGGACCACAGGATGGCTTGAGCTTGAAGTGAACTGATACCTGTCAAACAAACAAGATGGTATGCCAAGGAGATACTCCCATATCAGCACCATGGCGTATTCAAGACTTGGAGAGACTATCCCAACCTTTCCAAGACGCTCCAGCACATCCATAGTCTCCTGTGTTCAATACTCTCAAAATGCCCGAATCATGGTGTATTTCGAAATCATTTTCACGGTAACATCTCATGATAGCGACGCATATCACTTCGAGAGTTGTACACCCCCTCTTCTGGACCATTGTCCTACTCTACGACACGAGCTTAATGTTCAAGCTTGGACTGGCAGGTCGCCGATCGCGAGAGAAAGTGGACAGCGTGTGGCAGTACCAAAATTTAACAAAGCACGGAGAGAGATTATCCCAACAAGATACACCCTGCCTCTACTATGGAGTTGAACTACACGGAGATGTGCCCCCTACACGAGGACTCTCGCATCGGGAACATTTAGGAAGTTGGCCCTTGAGTTACTGGAGCTTCCGTACTATGTCTGTACCACCTCACCGCCCCATTGCCGATCACGAGAGAGGAAGCATGTGCGGGCAAGTATTACAAGCATATAAAAAGGACCAGACATCCATTTCCCCCTCATGAACCCCTGCTTTTCCGAAGCTTCACGCATAACTCCAACGGCTGTCCCTTCACACAGGGAGCCATCGGCAGCGACGTTTCTGTTTCAAGTGGCTCTAACAATTTACTACCAAAACACCAAGCATATCTTTTTATAATGCCTGAAAGAGAGCTCACCACCTAATTGCTTTAGTAGCATGTGTGTGGTCATATAGTTTTTGGTTTTTCTGGTTCGTCACAAACAAGGACTTCAACATTAGTCTCATCCACAGCTACCTAATAGCAAAGCCACCAAGATGTTTATTTTTAATATTCTTGAGCGAAAAGCCGAGAAGGCAAAGTGTTCCCCTGCTCGGAAGACCCAATGACTTATTGGCACAGTAACAGGTACTCTTCAGGTATCTGCACGCTCTTACGCATCGCATCGAATGCGTCACATACGAACAGTGTTACGCCATGGTTGCTGTTTCCCCCAAAGATCTTCGGAACATGATCTCCACCGTGGATCTTGAGATCATATACCCCCTAAGTTTCCCAGACAAGACATCTACGTGGACGCAACCACCAAGCCTGGGTAGATTGCCAGCAGAAGCGAAAGGTGCCATCACATGCGAAGACCTCAACAAGGCCCTCTGCGGTTATGAGCTCACACATACGGACTGCGATAGTTGAAGCAGGATGGCATGTCATCCAAGATGCATGAACTTATAGCTCTCGGTCTTCCCACCTCACCTTCACACACTAACCATCGATTTACTCAAACTACTGTCTGTCCCCAGCATTCCTTTGCCTCCAGCATAGCACAGTCATTATTGAAAGCGTACAAATTCATATTCTCACTTACATCTGGCACGGCAACACCCAGACTGCGGAGGAGAAGCTTGAGCCCATGGAACTGTGGACAGGCCTGGGCTTGAGACGAAGCAGATGAAGAAGGTCTGTGATCTTGTGGGTGGTTCTACCCCTGAAACTTCCAATGTGCAAATTGGGTCTTGGGGTGAAAGATCAGATTCACGAACTCTCCCCTATCAGATGCTGGAAACGGACAACATTAGTCGCTTGGACAAGCTCGAGTCATCTACTACTACTGACCAACTAGACTAAAGTCTCATCAGTACATACGCCGCGGTTTCTGCCATCTAACAACGAAGGGAGTTGTATTTCTCACCTGCGCCGGGCCTCGCCTCGACCATCAATTCTATTGCATGCACGTACTTTTCAGAGACCCTCTTCATACTCGCGTGTGGTGAGGCTGATGTGAACTTCCCACCAACGTGCCAGCATTCTTTTGTGCAATGGAGCATGGTCGATAAATTTCTCGGAAACGTTGTACAGGGGCGGATTTGACAGCCCTCCTATATGAATAGAAGGAAGCTGGAAGTTACACGCGGTACCAACTGACCTTCAGAGGCTAGAACTGTCGAGAAACTTCTCCATAAGGCGTTGAAAGACACAGAATCTTAGCAAAGAGGACCCAGAGAATCCGCTATTAATACCAGTTGAGCTTTTGTGAAGTTGTACATTTGGGTTAAGAGCATGGAACCGATGACGATCAACACCAATGCTCCGGCACGAGACAACCAAGCAACAGCCTTACTGACCAAGCACAACCATACCATTTGACGCCATGTGCCTTCGTCCCTGGAGAATCCAATGGGGCACACATGGGTGGTTTGATAAGATATACAAGGAAGACAAACGAAGAACCTAAATTGAGATTCCGTGTCTTTGCTGGTAGCAGAGAAGCATTGGACAGATTGTCGTGGACTCTAGCACGGTGCTGAACCTCAGTGACTGCCCCGTCATTTGACGAAACCTCTCTGGTTGCGGAATGTCGTCATTTCCCAGTGCCCTACTCCCACCTTGTATTGTGCTCTTGAACCAGACAGGCCACTATCCTCACCCCAACCTTTGTCAGTGAGGTAGTAGTGGTAGCACGAGTAGATCATATCTGAGTCTCTCTATAAGTTGGTACAAACAACCTCTCTACGAACATACATCCCAGTTGAAGCATTGTCTCAAAATCAACTAGAGTCTCTCAGCGCCGCAACCACACAGCAGCTGCACCCTTCGTCTCTCGCAGCATCGAAGCACGGGGGCTTTCTGTCAACCACCTTTAGGCGGGCACTCTGGAATGACCGAATTCCACATCGTCTGTTCGCCATCTTGTCCATTTCCTGCTTCGAGAACGTACATTTCATGGCCTAAGCGAAGGAATGAACGCTACAGTGAAGTTATATTGCTGCTGTTGACGAAATTCGCACTTTTCATCACCAGACTTCACCCAAACAGGGGGGAAAGTATGCGAATACCATGCCATACATCAGCAATTGTCAGCGTCAGACAACGAAAACACTACTCAGTTGTTTATTTTTAATACTTTTGAGTGTTTTTGAAGAGATTTGTATTGTCTCTGTGTTCCGATTATCGAACAAGAAACCAAGTGTAAAACAGAGGCTAGGTCGGTCGCTGGAGGATGACGAGGTATACGTCTGCAATGTCAAAGATTCAGAAACGTCACAACTCTCAAACCCTGTTTCTTTTCGATCTATGGCCGGTCTGAGCGCACTCTTTCGGATGATTTACGTCTTTGAGAGACCTCGCCAAGATAGATGCGAAATCCTCAAAAGGCTGGGAAATTACCATTTTCCCGCCATATCAATGCTTCCTGAGCCATACGACAAGATGATGAACAGAAACATTTGGAACACTTCCAGACAGTGGAGGGCATGTGTTTATACATGTGTTTTCTGATATTGAACGTCACAGAACTTCTGGTGCAAATCGCGTGAAACGTTGGCCACGGCCATAAGATGCCTTGTATGGTGTTGGAATCATGATGAAAGAAGATCCGGATTTAGTCGTCGTTTCCACTCGGCGTTCGATTTATGTGAGGACACAGTCGAAACTGGCTGCCACACCACCAGATCTACATATTTACGATACCTTCCAACAACCCTTCACCACGCCGAGCATTACCAACACAACTGATGTAGCTATGAAGGACGCCCTCTTCAACACCGAGAAACATCATTCCAACCCTGTGTTTGACTTCTGGCTCTATATATTCGAACACGGCACACTTCCCATTGAGGTTCTTCGACATCTCCCCTATATGAACATGTCGTTGATGGACCTTACGACACGAAACAACACAGCCAGGAAATATTGGCTCGATAAATGATCAGGCTATTTGAGTATTAGCCTACCTTGCAATACAATCTGGATCAAGATGCGTATCCTAACAAGAGACTACACAAGTCAAGGCGAGCTACCCCATCAGAACCGACCGTAGATTGATGGAAGCTACATGACTGCGACCTGGACGACTGGAGGCAATGTTCTAAGTACAGGCACGTCACATTACGGAATGGTGGAGGTTCTGACCGATATAACCATTCCAGATCTCGACAAGGCGGCATTGCCAACGTCAAGACTTTCACCAGGACTACCTCAGACACCTAAGGGCTGGTGGGTGGCATCTTACACAAGGCGCATTGGATGAAGCCAAGTTACTTCCATCATTTCGAAGATATATCGGAGAGTGAAAACAGCACCCAAAAGATCTTGGAGAGAAAACCATGTGGGAAAAGTGGTGAGGAAGCATCCGGGTGTGCCATCTGCATGGCACGGCTTGGAGAGCGAGTCCGCGAAGAAGTGTTTTGCCATGACTACAGTAAGTTAGCCTATCCGATCCGATACTTACCGATGGATTGCATATGTGCTGACTACCCCACCCCCCTCTCATTTAGTCGGCAGCAGGCGTTATGTACACTGCTATCGCGAGAATCACGACTGCTCCCCCGACGAAGAGGAGACCCTACTAGAAGACATCCAATATCACTGTCCTCTTTATATCCGTGGGTGTATGGTCTCTGGTTCAAAGCCATCGTACGCCCTCGGCCGTGGTTGCTCATGTGCTGCCTGCGTCCGTCACAAAACAGCCTGTCACTAGGATGACAACCTCTTTCCAACCGCGCCAGCCCTTCGCCAGCCAGAAGAAAGGTGCCGAGAAGGCCATGCTCTAGCCTTCCTTTCTCCGCATCTGCAGTTAGTTTGACACCGCTATAGCAATGCTGTGGAAAAGAAAAGAATGGATGTAGTTGCGCGAAAGGGTTAATAAGACAGGCTATAATGGATTTCAAGACTCACGATCAGTAACCATACACCATTACCACGGTTTCCGGAGCTTCTAAAGACTTCAGCAAGGAAGAGCGATTCTACCTCGCGAACGCGACACAAACTATAGCATTCACACGTCAAAGGAGAGCATTCTGCCCAAGCTTACCCAGTCGACGAAGGCTTGATTCAGGATTCAGTCTTTAGTCGACTCACTTCGTCTCCCTCTCAGTCGCAGTTCAAGAGGGACATTCTGGGAGACTCTACGGGATTTGGAAAGTCATTGACGGCGCTCGTAGCTGCATCAGAGCTTCGTAGGAGGCTACTTCCAAATTGCGGTTTCATCTTGATTGTATGAAGAGCTGGATGTGTTCCACAGTGGACTGAGGAGATTAGACATCACCTTAAACCAGTAAGCATACCCCCTATTGAGAACACTGATCACTTGCTCATATGTCCCAGGAATTCCATCCCTCGTGCATCATCCTCGACCGGTAGAATGTCCACCCAGGAGTTTTATTGAAGTTCGACATCGTCATATACGTAGTCTTCTTCTATGAGGCCTGGACCATGAATGAAATGACAACCATTGCCATAGAATATTTGTCGCCAAAGTTCCTAAGATCACCAGCAACACCATAGGAATCAAGCTTAACCTCAAGAAAGCAGCGATGTATTCATACGTCATTTCATACATACAGCCCGCCCTGGCTCGTGTGATTTAGAGCACGACAACACAGACCTCCACGCAGATAGTGACTGCACAACCAGGCAAGATCAATGTTTCGCCTTACAAGAGCTTCTTTTGCAGTTCAGTCGGATGAGCCTCCGTTCAAATATGTTCTTGGGGTTTTTAAATGTCTGGTTTGACTCGCCATATTCCGTTTTGCGGGTCGTTGATAAAAGCCCACGAACGCCATCGCCATTGGTGCTTCCACAAACCTCCCATACCGCTTTCATGGTTCATATTATATGAGAAAGAAGGGAAGCAGTGAGGCTAGCTCCATTTGTGATTGGTGTCACCTCATGGGAGGATGAACTGAAACACCATGAGAAAGATTATCCAAGATGAACCCCTTCTTTGAGTCTACCTAGGCTCTCAGAGCTTGATATGCAGGCTAGCAGTGCGTGGAGTAAAGAACATCTCTTTGCCTGTCATGTCGTATCAGACAGGACTCGTGTCAATCTTGTACCATTACGCAAGGGTCTTCTCACCTCTTGATCTTATGTTCTTGGTTTTGACCTTTATCTACACTCTCTTCTGCCCAACTTGCAGATTCGACAACCCAATCGCTGCTCTCCTTCCGCAACCTTAGAGCTGATGCGATACCCCCTTGACCACCAACTTTCACTATCTGTGGGTAGACGTCAAACGCTAGGTGTTCAACAGAATACAGCCTTGAGAAGTATCGGAAGAGCAAAGTCTGAACTGAGAATGTCACTTGATGGTCCTGGACCTTGATTTCGACGACACCCCCGACATCCCTTCAACTGGAAGACAGTCATTCGACGAAGCATCTCCGGTGTAGTATGCCCCCTCTTTTGACTGGAGCCCCCAGGCATATCGCCAATTTGTCAAGCCGCGGGACAAGCGAAAGAACAACTGGAAGCTGCCAAAAAAATCGATTTCGCAAGCAGGTGGCGAGTTCATGAGGCATGCCTATAACCCTCAGCTAGACTAAGTCAAAGCCAACACTGCATCCCATACATACAGACTGCTGAACTGAGTGCAACATCGCGGACTATGACTCAAGGCATTTGAGTCGATAGAGAAGGCCAACACGACGTCGCATCGCAACCCTAGAGGTTTCGCGGGATGTTACTATATGGGTAGAAAACGACCCCAAGCCTGACGAATCAATTTACAAATACCTGGGCACACCATCCCGATGATTGCTGTCTACACCACATGATATAACGTTTAGGGGACGTTGCACCTCGAGCGTTACAATCTATCGCGGAAAAGAGATGCTTTCCACACGCGACTCTTCCTCTGTGAACCTTCAAACTTGCCGCTGAACAGGATATCCAGTACGTTACATAGTTCCAATCCTGCAAAATAGTCTTCTAACACTTTATTATAGGTCTTCGCAACCCCCGAGGGGGGTCCCATTAATGGCGATGAGATAATCCGACTCAATCTCAGGGATATTTATCGTAAGCACTTCAACCACTGTTCATACGAATATCGCAAAATGTTGATTTTACGACTGTCAGCAGAGTTTCAAAACCTTCTGTGAGAGGCCGCTCGCAGATTGTCAGGACCTCTGCACATAGTTTCGTATATATGTGTAGGAAGACAACAATGAAGTCTTGAGGATAGAATCCTTCGCCAGTGATAATCGACTACCCCTTCGACGCCACGCCCAACCTGATTTACATTCAAGTCTCGCAAAAAGTCAGAAACCCAGCAAGAAGTTATGTCTAGTTATTCAATCTAAAAGAGAAGCGGAGTACCATCAATCAACAATGGTGGTCCAAAAAAGGTTCGAACACATAAGTTTCTCAGAGAAGTCGGCGAGTCGCTCACAACGTCGTTCATGATATAAACTGATAGCGAAGACTGTGATCGCGCGATGACTTCTTTACCGTTCATTGTGGTGCAGCCCCAACCAAAAAGAACGATCCTCTATCATTTACAAAGCTTTCAAGGATCTTGAATGCCCTAAGGCTTACCGCTTCTCCAAACACGAAGACATTGCCGATTATAGAAAGGATATACATACGCACATGAAGCAGCGCAGCACAAGAATACCTCACTTTATATCTTGTAGTGCTATCACAGAACGGCAACACCTCGATGGTCGGGACGCAAGGGCTGGCAGCGTTGCCAGATGGTTTAGTGCCTGCACGCCTTGATCACCCAACACACACTCCACAGGCCATCTTTGGGCTAGAACGACGAGTAGATGGAATCGCAATCACAGCGTTGAAGGGCAAACAGACAGCATTCACAGATGGTTCAAGGCTATGAAACTCTATAAGCCCTTGTGAGAGTTCGTGGGAGCACTCAATATCCAACGACCACAGCGCGCGAGAGGGGATGAATCATATACAGAATAAGAAACAAGGCATCCAGAAAGACTACAGAAGCCTCTCACAAGTGGTAAAGAAACCTGTGGGAGTCAAGCCAGAGCTTGGGACAACCCGCCCTCAACGCTGAGAATCATTCTTTCAAGGCTTCTACATATAGTGTTCTGCTGAGAAATCCTTCTTCAGAGGGCGATTTATCGCCTCGACGCTTGAACCTACAATCAGCGTTATCCATTTCGAAACACCTGCTCAAGTCTATAAGAAAATTGAGAATACGGTATCACAAAAAGCAGATCCTTCCAATTTGGCGACCAGGAACAAAAGAGACAAATCCGGCTCTATCTCTTCTAATGATTTGCCCAACTCGCAGAGGAATATTGTATATCAGGAGGAGTTGATCTGTGCGAACCCTTCGGGATCGAAACTTCATCTTGCAAGACACGGTCACAAGTTTGTCGCTACAGGACTACGCAGTTCATATCAGATCCTGTGCCATCGGACATCTACTGTACTGCCATCAAAGTCCAGAGTCCACGATGAATGGTACATGGTCGGGCTGGCTACCCCCGAGTCGAAAAGGATCACTAAGGCCGATATATCGAATGCCAGAACGCACTTTGGCTGTGGAAAACAAAAGTCGGGGCCTAGGAAGCGAAAGGCCGATTCGACTTCGGACGGCTCCACCTGCGAGAACGTGCAACTTGAGTGAGAGTGATAAACCATAGTCGATTGTGGCCGAGGAAGACGGTGGAATTTGCAGGCGTGGCATTGATATGAAAGACAGGCTGGAAACCAATTGAATATAACAAGTGGCTCAGAGCAACTGAGTATTTTAACCACCCCTATCATTGGCTTATTGGCAGTGATAGACTCTGCCGTTTGCTATCAAAATATCTCAATACTAGGTAAAAGTTCATCCCGATCCACGCGCAAGAGATGAACATTGGAGCACGCTATTCGAACTATGCCTCAGCCCACTTACCTCTTGTGGCTACACGTCGCGACGAGGCCATGTCCGAACATCAGAAACAGGAGAAATAACAATAGCTTGACGCCGCTACAGTGGCTCTTATATGGTGGAAGCCTCATGGGGCCTAGACACTCTCCACCGAATTTATATCCCCAAGCTCAAATACTTGGGTTTCCTGATTTCTCTTGGCCGCATAACAAGATAAGGGTTTCCTCAGCTTCAGAAGAACAAGAAAAAGAATTCAATGAAGGGTAGCCTTGTTACTACTCATACTCGTGATCGAAATATGGGGATATGTCGGAGTGCCCAAAGACTGCCTTCCTCTGGCTGGTTCTGGCCTCATACAACGCCTGGTATCCAAACACGATACTCCAGTGCCCCTGGAACCGAGCAGGAAATAAGTTTATCTGTTCAACAGCGAATTCCGTTTCCTCACCAATGGCCAATTTCCCTTCGCGCCGAGCGGTCGAAGGACTCACCAAAGATTGGATCTTCATGTCAGCATTTTACTACAGCTCGAAGCCGTTGAGTCTAACGGTGATTTAAGAACTGCGCATCGTCCTCTACCGTCCTAGAACGTAGCCGGCAGAGAACATCTACCATGGCCGTCACGGTACGAAATAGCTTTAACTGGGATTATAGGAGCTGGGCAACCTGTTTGTATTGACTGCTAAGCTCTCGTAGCATTCGACAATAAGGAACTTCGACTTTGGGCGCTGTTTTGGTTGTTCCTTAAAGCGTGTTTCCTATGCCTTACCCTATCTAACCCTTGCACCATTCTCCTCTGTATTCAACCACCTTATCACCAAAAAGGACGACCTTGATCACATTTTTATCACCTCAGTTCTTGTGGATTCCGTATGGGTATCCGGGACATTCCAAGTCTTTCACTGAGTCGTGAACACATCTAAGTCTTTCTTTCCAGATCAGGGACGGAGAAGTCAAGTCTGCGCCTCAGCCGCCCACGAAGAACGATCGGGATGTGAGTTTCACCAATGTATTATTGATATATTATTTATCTCTAACTAATGTATTAAGTCAAATGCGATCAGTTATCCATGGTAGACATGTTATACCAACCCCAATCGATGCAACAGGCCATCAACTGAAGCAGCACGAAGCAGCTTTTGTTGCCGTGGATGATAGTGGTCTAAACTACTTCACAAAAGGATATGGTGGCTTGGCAGTAAGATGCAGACCAATTTCTATGGTGCGTCCTGCTGCCTCAAGACAGGCAAGACAGGACCAATCTACGAGGAGACAGAATATGAACATATCGCCGAACATTCCATCTTAGGGATGACTTCAATTTCCATGTTCCAACAACACCACTCGAGCCACTTGATTACTAGCTTGAGCAGAACTGTCCTATCATCTCGAAACTTAAATCTGTTCGTCTCCCAATATGTGTCTGCAGAATATTGGAAATACATCGAGCGGTTAGTTTTTCCTGGCCTAGTTACATAATTCTTTGGTGTTTCTTTTTACAATATCTCACACCTAAGACCTGCAGATTATGGATCTGGAGGCAGAGGTTGACCGCCTCCGAGCCGAAGTCACCAGCCTTCAATATCATATTAAAAACGAGCTTTTGCCTGGAGTGGAGTTTGCTATCTTGTTCGCTACTATTGGCGTTGGCGTTGCTATTCTCTTCTCCGTAATTGGGGTTGCCTGCTTTCAACATGGGGGCTAGGCGAGGAACAAAAGGATCTCGCGTCGAACCTGATCGGTAATCATGACCCCAACTCTCGAATAGGGATGAATGGGTCGGTGCGTCGAACAAAGGAATGGGAGGAACAACCTTCATGATCCAGATGTCGATATATCGTGTCGGCTCACGATACTTTGATGTATCACGAATACCACTCCACAGCCTACGATAAGAGATGGTAGACAACAAAGACGAAATTAATGAATGAACGAACTTACATCAATCTCTAATCGGCGTTCCTAAAAGACGAAGCGGTACACGGGGACAGTCTTGATGAACCTCGGCCATATAACTAGAGCAAATTCAAAGAGGATATCAACCAAGATACGAGACGAGAGCCTCGTCCAATTGAGGCGTATAGTTGGAGAGTCTTCGTGTTCAAAAAGGCTAGTGCCCTACCCCTAATTCATAATAGCCATAATTTAATCATGGACCGTATGAACCCATTCATCATATCCATGATGAGATTATGGCTATAGCCCCTACCCCTCTTATGCTCGTCACATCTATGATAAGATTACCCTTTACTGACTGTGTACTAGATACCTTTAATATCAAGCAGTATATGGAAACCCGAACTCCTTACATGCTGATGCATGAAGGCATCGTCACCTTTGGTGGAGGCTTGGTGTGCCCACAAGAGCAACACCAAGTTCGGGTCTTCGGAATAGAATCATGCCACCATAGAATACCCTTACTTGCACTTTTGCTAAGTGACGGTATCACATGCTTCTTGCAAATGAGATGGGTACGGGCAAGACCAAGACATTCCTCGCCGCACCTTTCATGAGGAATCGAGCCCTAGAACGCGACAAATCCTTTGAGAACTACAGACCGACACTATGCATCAGCCCGGTTGCTATAATTGTGCAGACTGTTCAAGAATGCTGACCTGTCAGCCTGACTGGTAAGTGTTGAGCCCGATGTTATCAAAGATAAAACCCTCACCTTGAGGATAGGGTATACATCATGATACGTTGAAGTGACGAATATATTGATGACAAGATGGAGGCCAGACCACTGGTGAACGACAACATGAAAGTGGCTGGGATCTTGAAGGCATAGATCAAAGAGTAGGCCACAGCCACCACTGCTGAAGAGATCGGGATTATGAAGTCGATACTATACAAGCTATAGCTGCTCACTTATAAGTCGAATCTACCACCGCAGGATTGAATTTAGTAACAAACATGAGACTCAGGAAACTTTCATATGAAACAAGGAATAGAGAAAGACATATAAGAACTATTGATTGCACCCTTGCAGATCTTCATGTGCTAATTTCAGACATACTACTGGCTAGTGAACCTGAATGAAGAATGAAGTAAGGGTTTCTAGCCGTTTTCACAGCAGCCAATGATTCGGGAGGCGTGAATGATGATGTATAAGTTTAGCAGGCAATCATAATGTCCATGTTCTTATGAATTCATACGAGGCTCGCTTAGCATCCAATAAGAAGGCGCAGTGGCAGAGTGGTCTAATGCGATAGACTAGAAATCTATTCTCCTCGGAGGCGTCTGTTCGAATCAGGCCTGCGTCGATTGGTATTTTTGACCTTTTCCTTTTTATCCATTCATATACGTACATATACATTCAACTTCTTATTTGAAGTGCCTTTTACTTTTGTGAGTATGCTTTGAGGTGAGTCAGCGTCGTAATTACTCGGTTGGTTGTTTGTCCGGCTGGGTATTCTAACGAACAAAGATGACCAGTAAACCCTCCGCTCATGGATGCTTCAACTCTGCCTCATTTCATGCTAGTCTCTGTCATATAGTAGTTAACTCAGAGGAACCAGTACTATGTATTCTTGAGTTTGACGCGGAGTACAAGCTGTGAGGCGTTTATGCGGCTCAGGCCGGATTTTGTAAGCCTCCTGTCAGGGATTCAATCGAAGGATCCGGAGGATTCACCCAACGGACAAACAGGCCAATATACGGGCATTAGACCCTTGCAGTCATGTAAGCATCCCATCAAGTATACTGAGTAGCGATTTTGGCAACGTAATACCCGGATTATCCTCCTGGGTCGTATCGAAATCCTCCGATGCATGCATGCAGTCAGCCAGACTTTAATGGACTACGAAATGCCCGTTATGCCCACTTCATTTAAAACTGACTGCCTTCCCTTGTTCAACGAGCAATCAATGGGAAAATAGGACATACCTCAAAATGACTTCTGCAGAAATGAACGAAAAGAAACTAATTGACACGGCTGGGCTGTCCGTTCAAACGCCTTCGCTGCTGACTTCCGTTGATTTATCTGATCAAACACAAACAGCCACAGGAGATGAAGAAGCTCAGCCCGAGACGCGTGAAATAAAAGGAAAACATCCATCCTTCAACAGAGATTACCGCTTCTGGATGATCATGGTTACTCTAATTCTCGCTACACTCCTTGCGTCCCTCGAAGCAACAGTGGTCATAACCTCTCTTCCAACTATCGTCGAGAATCTGAAACTCGGAAGTAGTTATATCTGGGTAACCAACGTCTTCTTTTTAACAACGTAAGCCATCCATCTCGATAGCGGGTCTAGAAAGGCTTTTAACATTTCTACAGAGCTTGTGTTCAGCCACTCTTCGGCCAACTCTGTAACCTCTGGGGCCGTAAAAGGGTCATGATGTTTATCTTTGCTATATACACACTCGGAAGTGGTATTGCAGGCGGTGCAAACGGAGGCGCTATGCTGATCACTGGACGTGCTATCCAAGGTGTCGGTAGTGGTGGAGTTACCATGATCAACGATGTGATCATCTCTGACCTTGTGCCACTTCGATACAGAGGCAATTACATCGCGATATTGCTCCTAGTCGCGACTATTGGGTTCGCGATTGGACCTTTTCTTGGTGGTATTATCGTGGAGAAAACGAGTTGGAGATGGGTAAGTCTATTATAGGACTGTTGACTTATACTGAAACAACTCAGGTCTTCTATCTGAACCTTCCCATCGGAGGCGCTGCCATTGTCGTCACATACTTCTTCCTCAATCTCCAGTACAACAAAACACAATCTACAATGGAAAAACTTCGTCGTATTGACTATATCGGTAACGCTATACTCATTGGATCCAGCGTCTCGATCCTACTCGCTCTCACATGGGCTGGGCCCGTGTATCCTTGGTCCGATGCTCGAATACTGGCTCCCCTAATCATAGGTATTCTTGGCCTCGTCGGCTTTGTTGTCTATGAAGGTTCCGGTATTCCCTCTGAGCCTGTCATGCCCATCAGATTATTCCCGGGGCCAACATCTTACATCATCTACGCCAACACATTCCTCAACGTCCTCTTGATCAACTGGTGTTACTTCTTTTTCCCTTTGTATTTCCAGTCCGTCCTGTTATCATCCCCTCCAAGGTCAGGAGTCCAAATGCTACCCATCGCACTCATCGCCATTCCCGGTGCTGCAGTAGCTGCCATCATCCTCTCACGGTGGGGAAAGTACAAGATGCTCCATATATCGGGCTTCTTTATCATGACCGTGGGCGTCGGTATGCTGGGTCTTCTCGACGAACACAGCTCGCCAGCAGCTTGGATTCTGCTCCAGTTCATACCAGCGATAGGCTCCGGCCTCTTGCTGAACACACTTCTCCCGGCTTTTCAGGCATCTGCAGATGAGATCGACCAAGCTGCTGCAACGGCAGCTTGGGCTTTCATAAGATCATTTGGTGCAGTTTGGGGTGTAGCTATTGCGGGAAGTGTCTTCAACTCGTACACGAAGCAATACGCGCATATGGTTGATAATGAGGTGGCAAGAAAAGCTCTGACCTTGGGAGATTCGTACCAGAGCGCGACACGCGCATTCGTTCAGCAATTTGAGGAAGCAGTTCAAACTCAGATCCGACATGTTTTTATGCTGTCGCTGCGAAAAGTCTACATCATCTCCGTAGCCTTTGGTGGGTTTGCGTTTCTACTCTCCCTGTTCGAGAAGGACATACCCCTACGCAAAGAGCTAGATACTCAGTATGGACTGGAAGAGAAATCACCAGATAAGCTGAAGGAAAACGAGTAGGAGATGGAAAGATCCAGTTTTGTTGTTTTTGTTATAGCCCAACGGAGGCTTTTTGTACTATAATTCTAATCTCCCATCTAGTTACAAGAAATCTCGAATGGCTTCCCAGAACGCCTGAGGACTTTCGGACATAGGAAGATGCCCTGTCTGAGGAACAATCTTCAACTCCGCACCCTTGTCGCCAAGTAGTCCCTTGCTTGCATCCATGGCCTTGACAAGAGCACCCTTGGCATCCTCGTCTCCGACAACGAACAATCCGCGCACTTTGCAGTCGCCCATCTTGGGCTTAAGATCGTAATTCCAAAGAGCTGTGTTGCTGTACTTGAAGCCCTCGACGTCATTCGTAGCCACGATCTCTGTCATCCACTTGACTGTCTCAGTATTTGTAGAAGGATGGAACCATCGCTGAACGGTTTCTCCAGCAAGCTTCTTGATCCCGTTGCCGTTATCTTCCTCGGCCATAGCTGTGCGATCCTTCCATGCTTGTGTGTTTGCGGCGCTTGATGTAGGGTTGAAATCGCAGGCAATGAACTGCTCGAGTCTTTCAGGGTACTTGATAGCGAAGTTGAGGGTTGTAACACCGCCCATAGAAACGCCAATTAGGGTATGCAGCTTCGTAATGCGGACAGCATCGAGTACTGTTACAAGATCGTCGGCCAATTGATCCACAGTGGCGGCAACTGGAGGTTGGGGTACAGAGTGTCGGCCACGAGTATCGTATCGCAGAATACGCAAGTCGGGGCGCTCTCGCTTGAGAATATCCACGAAAGGATCCCACATGTGAAGCGAAGTCAACAACGAATTGCAGAATGCCACTGTAGGAGCCTTGGGGTCTGGGTTGCCCTCCAGTCGATATGGGATGTTCAGAGAGTCTGAAGTCGTGATGAAGGAGTTAATGGCGGCATTGGGGCCTGGAGTGGTCGATTGCTTAGTGTCGGGAGAGGTAAAGGCAGCTGTAGATGGGAGCTTTGACAGTGATGACAGCTCTCGAGGAGCCGGACCAAAGACGTAAAACAGAGAGTATGTCCTTCGGCCTTTGGAAGCAACATATTTGTCAAAGACTTGGGTTCTCCAAGGAGTATCCATAGAAGCCTTATGCTCCTCACCACCCTGACCATTCTCCTTGGCATAGTCGTGCAGCGCAAGGAAAGTGGTCTTGCCCTGACCCTCGAGGTACGAGGTTTTGTAGGCGCGTGAGCGCAACCAGCCAGGGACCTTGGCCAACATGGGGATATGTTCTTCAACCAACCACTTTTGGTATTCCTCTTGCGCTCCCTCAGCGTCCTTGAGCTCAATTGTGACGGCAGTAGTCTGGATACCCTCAGCTTCGTTATCGGTCAACTTCTCCAACGGCGTGAAGTTCGGAGACTCTTTCGAGTGGACCAAGTCCCAGAAATAACGCTTAACGTCTACTTGTCCAATTGTCTCGGCTTCTCGAGCAGATCGGTTTGCGCGCAAAGTCAGGTATGTCTCGGTTTCGAGCTGTGACATGGACGTCACGTCGTAAGCAGCAAGGTACTTAGGTTCCTGACCATCGGTCGCTCTGTATCGAAGACCATTGGAGAATATCTGCGGGAGACGCAAACGGGTCGGGCCATGCTCGTTATTATACCACTCGTGGAATTGGTCTAGAGACAGCCCAGGCTTGGGCTGCATCGTGACGTAGAGGCTACCAGGCATAGACATGATGACGGCGAGGAGGATGTGAATAGTTCAAATTGGAGGTAATAGCTCAGTGAGGGATCATTCAGTTATTATAAAGCGCCCTCAGGCACTCCGGAAGAATGAATAACATGGCGGCAGGTGGAGCGGGAGTCGTGATCCGGCTCGGCAGATACAATCGGGAGCGTAGGAATGCGGGAGGTGTAAATGTTTACCCCGCCACTCACCGAAGCTCACCGAGACAATGGCACACACCGAGAGCTACCGGGACACACCGAAAAGGCACCAGCAACCGGGGAAGGAGCACCGCTGACAGGTCCCACATCGCGGCTGCAAGTGTTGAGGAGCAACGCTTCTAACAATTTAATTCAAGTCTAAAAAAGCAAAGAAAGCCTCCTTTGAATTTGTCAGATTGGCTGAGTAACTGCACATAGCCAATAACAGCAGCGTAACCATTGCTTTTTTCTTTTTTGGAATTAAATTACGACTTGAGTAGAATTATCAGAAGCGTTGCAGTAAGGCCTGCCTGGACGGGCGTCGTTAGCATCGCGTTTACTACCTAGGGATTGAACTTGGGCTTTCCAATAATTCCCCCCTCCGCTGCTTTCCTCCTCCATCATCTCTCTAAAACTTACGACGATTTTGTTCTTCATGACGACTCTTTTACGTTGACCGATATACCTGATTATTTGGTCCTTCGGGATTCTCAACCATACATACCCGTCTATTTCACCGCAGCCGGCCTCCCGCATGAAGCTTCTCTCTCGCCCAATCTCTCGACGGCAGCTGATATCATAATCTACCCTTTCCCAGATCAAGCTACAGCCAAGAGTTGGGATTTGTTTGTTCTCGCGTAAGAGCTTGGCCCCCGCATCTGGAGGTGCTGCGAGGTACTGCAAGTTGAAATAAACATGTGAGAGTTAACAGCCACAAAAGCCATAATGTCTGGACTAACAGATCTTAGAACTTCCATCGAAACCAGCATTTATGCAAATATTGTATTAATTTTATTCACTTAGTTGAGGCAAGGCTCATAAGTCACTCCAGTCGTGCTCTTGCTCACTCGCAACCATGGAGGTCTTTTGTCGAAATGTCCCTCAGGACTTATCGGAAGACAGCTTAAAACGCGAACTTCTTCCTTTGATGATGGCCCTGAGAATCTCGGATTTCTATTGCGAAAAACCCAAGAGAAAACCTCAAGCGTGGATAAAGTTTCTCGAACCCGGTGATGGCCAAGCATTTCTCAGCAAACATGGCAAGCAAGCACAGCAAGGAGATTACAGAAAGGAGAATTTCAATCCACAATATCCCTTCAAACTATACACCAAACCCAAGGAAATACCACGACTGTTTATTCTAAAGGCGCCTGTCTACGTGGTGAAAAGCACTCGACCTGTTGACAAATTCTCGATCGCACATCTCAAGCACGAACGCGAGAAGAAGCAAAAAAAGCCTGCCGCGACCAAGGATCGCCAAACTCAGGTGCAAGCATTTAACATCTTAGAAATCAGCTGCGGTGGCAATACCTTCTACGGCCCTGAGAAAACCATCACATTCGTTGAACACAACCGATTGGTTCTCCCCAGGGGTGTTATTGGCAAATTCACGCCTCAGTGGTTGACCGTCCAGAATGAAGCTGGAAACCGCATGGACTTTCATAAGGATACTATCCAGGACCTTATTGCCAGTCGCAGCGATGCGTCTCTCACCTTGGTCTTGACTGAACCCCCAAGGATGTACACGCCATACAGGTCGGATAACTCAAGTCAGCAATGGAAAAGAGAGCAAGAGTTAGCCAGCTGGAATTTGATCCGTGACTACTCATCATCTTGCCTTGTCTACCGCATCTCCTTCCATGGTGTATCTGCCTTCGATGACGTCTTGCAGTCTCTCAAAAGCCAAAACATTCTTGCCATCACCAACCACGATCTGCCTTCAGTACCGTGGAGGTATTTGGAACCTGGGAGCAACCATTTCCTCGGGCGGCAGCAGTTTATGGAGAAGGCTAAGCGCCTTGTCTCCGCGGGCAATGTACACTTTGCATTTCTGTTCCAGGTTCAGGCTCTCGTGTGGAACAACTTCATAAACCCCGCCAGTGGTATCGAGCTCTTAGATCTTATAGACCGAGTTATCGGAGATGCGAAAGAGAAAAAGGTCGCGGCACCTATCACAACTGACGCCATGAAGGTACTGTTTCAGAAGATCCCGTACCCTTGCCCTGGTACCGACCCCGAGGAGTTGGACGTTGTGACTATCATGTCGGATATCATGAAGTCTGAATACGAGGCTCGGGCGGAAAGCCCTGAGAGAGACAGAATTTATGGATCTCATATCCCAGAGAATCAAATCTGGATCTTCAGAGCCCTGGTGACCCCAACCCGTGTGCTCCTCACTGGGCCCGATCCAGAAAGCATGAACAGAGTATTACGCAAATATTCTGCCTACAATGACTATTTTTTGCGAGTCCTCTTCTGCGAAGAAGATGGGCAAGACCTCAGTTTTCATCCAAAGGTCGACAACGAACGGATTTATTCCCATTTCCGACGTGTCATGGATGAGGGCATCCTTATCGCAGGGAGGAAATACAGCTTCCTCGGATTCTCACACTCTTCCCTCCGATCTCACTCGGCGTGGTTCTCTGCGCCTTTCACCGACGCGGATTTCCAACGGCAGGTGCCTGAGGTTATTTTGAAGTCCCTGGGAGACTTCAGTGGAATCCGAGTCCCAGCAAAGTGTGCAGCACGAATTGGCCAAGCCTTCTCGGAGACCCCACATGCTGTCCCGATATTTGAGGCCAGAATCATGCAAAGGTATATTCCAGATGTCAAGTCAACTGACAAGTCTCGTATCTTCAGCGATGGTGTTGGTACAATCTCCAAAGAAGCCCTGGAAGCAATTTGGCCTTATCTGTCAATGCAAGCTGCAAAGCCAACATGCCTTCAGATCCGATGGGCCGGTTGTAAGGGTATGCTTTCATTGGACACCAGACTTAAGGGTAAAGTGTTTTGCATTCGCAAAGAATCCATGATGAAGTTCCCAAGCACTGATATTGAGGAGCTCGGTATTTGTGACGCGTCATCTAAACCTCTACGGCTTATGTTGAACCGCCAGATGATCAAGATTCTAGAGGATATGGGGACTTCTGCTGACTGGTTCTTGAAGCTGCAGAATAATGCACTCAATATCCTACGCAATGTCACTACCAATGCCACCAACACGAGTTTCTTCCTGGAGTACCAGTCAATTGGTGTGAGCTTGGGTCTGCCCAAGCTAGTCAAGCAGCTGGAGAAAATGGGAATTGACTATCGTCGTGATAGTTTCATGAGATCAGCGGTTGAGCATGTCGTCTTGAGAGAACTGCGACTCTTGAAACATAAAGCTCGAATTCCTGTTGACAAAGGACTTACACTATTTGGCGTTATGGATGAAACAGGGTTTCTTGAAGCCAATCAGGTCTACGTTACCTATGACAAGACACATGGATTGTACCACGGTCGACGTATCAATTCCACTCTGAAGGACGGTCGAGTCATAGTCACTCGGTCGCCAGCTCTTCATCCAGGAGACATCCAGGTCGTCCGCCAGACTACTCCTCCGCAAGGACACCCATTGAGAAGCCTACAAAACTGCATCGTCTTTAGCCAGAAGGGAGACCGCGATTTACCAAGCATGCTCAGCGGGGGAGATCTAGACGGAGATATCTACAATATCATATGGGACGAGGAAGCAATACCCGAAATGTACTTCGATCCTGCAAACTACCCGAGGGTTACGCCGCAACCTCTGAACCGTGAGGTTAATCCCCAGGATATTGCGGACTTCTTCATCGACTTTATGCGTACCGACATCCTGGGGATGATTGCGACTCGACACGTAATCTTAGCGGACTATCACCCAGAAGGTACAACTCATCCTGACTGCATTGAGTTGGCTGAATTGCACTCCACAGCTGTCGACTTCTCCAAGACGGGTATTCCCGTCGATTTTAGATCCTTGCCAAAGAACCCTCCGTTTCGTCCCGATTTGTAAGTGAATACCTGTCAACGTTTGTGTTTTCTCATTAACATCTTTCCAAGTCTTGCATTGGCACCTCCATTAAAGCTTTATGACAAGGGACAACTAGTACACATCGTGGATGAAGAGGAAGACGACAACGCGGATGATGGCATGGCTCGCTACAAAACGAAGCATTACCCTTCAGAGAAAATGCTCGGCCAGCTGTATCGAAACGTTGATGAGAAGAAGATTTGGGATGAGGATATCCACCGCAGCATCAACACAGCTGGGCCGTCGGTTTGGGACCAGCTGTTGACCATTGTGGAGACCGAGATCGTAAGATACAACCTTGATGTTGATTGGACCCGTAGTTCTGAGGAGGCTTGGAAGATTCGAGGACTGTAAGTTTCGATGGAGCTCTCTGCCGTTTCGAAATGCTGATTGATCGCAGGTACGAGGCATCCATAACCGACAAGATGTGGCACTTTTCCGAAAACGCACGGTCAAGTTTAACCGAAGTTGAAGTATTCTGCGGATTTATTCTCAACAAGCGTGGTGCTCAAACCCGACGCCAGGGCGATTCGTCCATCAAACTCAAAGAGGAGACCGATCGTATTATGACATGGATTGTCAAGCAGATCCGTGACCGAGGTGTAAGTGACGACGCAGAGACCATGAGCACGGCGACTGGGGTAAGCGAAGTCTCTTCTAGATGGAGAGAAGACGTGGTAGAGTTGTGTTGGGCGTGTGTAGCTGTTGGATGTATCAAGAAGGAGAATGCGCCGCTGGTGTATCATGGTACCGGCGAGCTGGAAAGTTTTCGAATTGTTGCGGCATGTTGTCTGATGAAAGAACTTAACAGCCTGGTTGCGAAGATGGATCTCCTCGCTGGGGGAGGCTATGTCGGTGTTGGACGTGGTGGTCGAAGTGGTCGGGCTGGACGCGGCGGACGAGGTGGGAGTTTGACGCTTCCTATTCGATGAATTGGTTGATTTCGAGCCATGTATGTGATTCTTCAGATATTTTGAGACCGCTGAGCGGCAATATGTATGTGGAGGATAGCTGGTGAGACATAAGTACGAGGGATGTAGGACAATAATGAATAATAAGAGCACCCTTCGATCACGACTTTGAGCTAGGGAGACAGATGATAATCGCTGGATCAAATTCGAGGGGCCTTTTATTAATTGACGCTACCAAGACTATCTAAATCGTCTATGTCCCATTATATACACAATTCCCGTCAGGGGTATTACCTCTAGAAAGCCTATCTACAACGAGGTCACGGCCGTTGTTGATACCCGGAAGCACAGCCTGCGATGCTCAATGCTGAATGACTAGTGGGCCATAAACAGTTTATGACACTCGTACTAATGAATCGTAGGCGTAGCCCTGGTGTTTTTAATATTCCGGTATTAAGACACAGTTCACAGTTACAGTCGCGTATGGCATCCGCCTCTCGAGTTGATGTGCCGGACCGTTCCATCTCCAGTTTGAGAAAAAGCACAAATGGCTGTTGAGTAACATGGCGAGGCTGGTTCAAACTGAAAGATCTATACCTTCAGGGTAAGTGAATGGGATGGACCGTCAACTACTCAAAGACAAATAACAGCCTTCACTCAAAGAGACTCAGCCACACAATAAGGAGATGTACTATTGGAAAAGTCGATTGTATAGTGACATTCCGGATTAACTAGATTGCTTGGCGCCAACCAAATGCAAGGGCGTCAGACCTGTCCGCAATCTTATCCGTGCATCATGGTAGCAACAATCGTTGGCAGCCAACGTTACAAGGCTATCCAATTAGGTCCTCTCAATTATGGAATCGCCTATGTTCCATGTTCCATGTTCCATGTTCCATTCTCCATGCTAGTAAGGGAATAAAGCGGCATTGGCACTAATATTTGGTTGTCGGATCGTGCACCGCAAGAGTCGAGACTAAACGCCACTGTTGGTTGTTGGTCCTCAAGTGGCACCGTTGACGATCTCCGACGAGTTGTCTGCATCAAATCTTTAGAAAAGGGTTAGGTCAATATTCTAGAAAATCTCACCGCATTTATGTTTGGTATTGCTAGACTATCAAGGCCATGCTGGCTTATATGAGAAGTGGTTAAGGTTATGTCTCGTCTATTTACATCCACATCCAACCGTATCAATTTCCAGTCTGGGTGTTACTCCAAGCCTATGACGCACCATGAAACACTTTCTATCCAAGCTATTCTCATTCAAAGGCGCATTGCCTATGTACGAACCGTGCGAGTTGCAGAACAATGCTTAGCTAGATCAATAGTCTAGCAAAGCGTTGATTCGGTACCAACAGCACTTGGCGACTACCAAATCCACTCAACGGCATCAACAACGTTGTGGCTCAAGCTCTCTCCGTCAGATACTAACTAGCCTCAGTATGCAATGCGGTTTGTACGATTCCCAAGACCTACGTGTTGGGCGGCGATATTCTGCAGGGTGAACAAAGAGTTCCAAGGTCCAATTAGACGGGCTTTGAGGCTCTGCAACTTACATGCTTGGACCAACATAATGGAAAGAAGTATGATGACAGGAGTTGTTCGGAAAGGCTCCAAGGACTGTTTAATTGGTTTTCTGAGTTCTGCATTGAGATATACTTAAATTGAGTTGAGTTGAATTGAATTGTATCTGCTACGACAAAGCTTGATATAGAGTTGATGGCAGACGTGACACTTGGCCGTTACCTTGGGAGTAAAGACTTGACGTTGTCCACGTTCAAAATAATCTGTGTAATGCTGGCAGCTAATCACGTCGTTTCACATGACACTCTCGTAACACATCACCATGTGCTCAGCATCGACCATGTCCAACCTCCAAACACGTACGCCACCAACTTGATTGTCCCACGAGAGTCTCGTCCAAAGATAAGACACCCTGAGTAACTCACAAACTCGCTCCGACCCGGGTAGGTAACCAGTTTTCCAAGGCAGGCTCTGCAGCCGACAAGTGAAGGCATCGCCCAATACACCCTCCCCCATATCTCTCCGGTGAAGCAAAGAACCAACTGCATGTACCAAGACCTCACCCTCCGAGACTTGTACGACGACAAACACGAAAGAATTTGTAGTTGATTGGGTACACTGCGGATGTTTTGGTGACAGTGGCTTGAGGAATCGCAGGAAAATGGCCTTGGAAGACTAGAGAAGGGCGATTGTTGGTGATGAGAGGGGCATCTGAGTTCGAGACTCAACATGCTTACTGCATGATGCTCTTCTGGTTCTCCTGTGTCGATTTGGGGGTCACAAAAGGAGATTGAGACTCGTCGGTTGGAGTAATGAGGTGAAGAGATGCTCTTGTGGAAGTTGTATAAGTTGTGAGTTACAGCCTGCCGTAACACGATCCTCTTCAAACAATACAGGATATTCACTACTCTACTATATCCCATACTTCTTAGCATCATATCCATCTCACATCTTGTTGATCAGTGCTGGTTCTATAACCCCTAGCTCAACATGTCCTCCAAGATCCACCAGACCCAGGTCTTTGACCACCTCCCTCTCCTCTCCTACCACCTCCTATCCACCTTGATCATCTTCTCTCTCGCCATCTATGTCCTCCCAGCTCTGACCCGTCGTCTTCTTCACTTCCTCTCCTCTCCAAACTCCTTCCATGAAAAGTCTTACACCCATGGCGCCCCATCCATCTCCAACCTCCCTCGTCTATCCGGTGTAGTCCCCTGGCTGGGCCATCTCTTTGGCCTAACCATCGACAGCACCCGGTACATCAACCGTCTCATCGCATCAACGACTGCACCGATCTTCACCATCAACATCCCCTTTGCCCGCATCACCGTGTGTCATCCTAGCATGGATCGAGTCCTCTCGCGCCATGTTAGCGATACAGGTCTTGCCCAAGTACTCGTCTACGTTGGGCCTCGCCTCTTTGGTCTGAAGGAGGATACTATTAAGGCTGTCTTTGAGTACAACCCACAACCCCTACACAAGCAGAAGTTTGGCCACGCGGAGAACATCGTTTCTTTGAACCAGCGCTCTAGCAAAAACATCTCAGATCGGGTCAGGGACATGGCTGATGTGAATGAAGTTCTTATTGGACGCTGGGTATTTGAAATGACAGTTTCTGCTACGGCGAGTGCAGTCTGGGGAGTGGCTAACCCCTGGAGCATGGATCAGGAGTTTTCCAACGAATTCATGTGAGTCATGTTCTACCTATCCTCGCTATATATACTAACTTTGCAAAGGAAACTTAGCGAGACGTTCGATACACTCGGAAGACCATTTGCGTGGCTCACAGCCCAATCGGCCTGGAAATCTCGCAAGTTCTGCCTCACCAGACTCCGAGAATTCCACCTTCAACACCGCGAAGCCCGAGTACAAACCACCGCTCACAGCATCAACGTGATAGCCCACAGCGACCCCAACTGGGAGACCAACCCAGACTACTATCATATCGAGATGGTCTCAGCGCTGGGCCTCCTTGGCACGACAAGCACCCTTGCTGTCTGGCTTACACGCCATCTCCTGACAGATCCTGAGTTAGTTCGGGTTATTCTCAAGGAGGTGCAGCATCTCAAGCACGTCGAGGGAGAGGAAAGGCTCCGTCTTGACTTTGCCAATGTTAGAGCTGAGTGTCCTTGGCTAATGGCGTCTTGGTACGAGACTCTCCGTCTTCACATGACAGGCGTAGCAAGGATCGCGCGTCACGATTTCATGCTCAACTTGCCCGACTCGGAACCCATCGCCGTGCCCCAGGGCGAGATCTTCATGCTACCAATGTGTGCATCCAACCTAGACGTCGAGAACTGGGGACCCGATGCCGCAATCTTCAAAGCCTCTCGCTTCATCGACAAAGCAGGCGAAGTCTCGGGTAGCGCCGTGCGCAATGTCAGAGCTTTTGGAGTAGCAGGCAACATGTGTCCTGGGCGAGTGTTTGGCACTGACATTATCTTCTCTGTGATTGCGACCATGCTTCGTACTTTTGACATTGAGGCTGCTCCTGGTGAGAAGTTTAGGGTACCTACTCTGCGCGGAGGGTTCAATGTTGGGTTTGAGAGGTATGGGGATGATGTCAGAGTTTTGCTCAAGAGGAAGGGTGTTGCATAGGGGTTATTTGGAGATGAAATAGGAGACTTGAGTAAAGGAGATGAGTGTCACTGAGAATATGAGTACGATTGTTACTTGAGTATCTTTCTCTTTCTATTTCTATTTCTTCTTTTTTCTGGACATTTCGTTTGGTCTAGTCATGTCTCACGCTGTTTGAGTTTGAAGAGATCTGTATGACGACCTCGAGCCCAGTCATGTCCCAGGTTTGTTCCAAACTTTAAAATACAATTGAATCACCAATTACTGTAGAAACAAAATCTCCACCCAAGACAAATACCGATATGCGGGTAATATATGACACGAACCACAGCTCTGGCCGCATGGTGTGGTTCGTACCGGGATTATGCTTGCTCGACAGTCTCGATCACGACCTTGAACCTTTGGTCTAACTACAAGCGATACTACAGTAGTGAGTCTATTTATGCACGCGTGTCGGCAGTTCTTCACTATGGGAGCAATTTGATCAAGACTCAAAAGTGAAAGAATATTACTTGGATGTACTAAATGTTTTTTCGCTAACGTTCTCATACTCCAGTCAGGCAAACTCATGAGTAAATGAAGCTCGACTCTCAAGAGTTCGAATATCCAACAAGAAGCCACCCATTTCAATTGTTGATTGACTCAACGCCATCACCAACGCCAAAGGTAGATACGTAAACTGTTCATATCATCTTCATAGCCCCATTCTCCAGCATTCAATAATGTACCAAATTAGTCGCGTCGAGCCTTCTGGCTGTGCCCCTTGATAACAGTTGACAAGTCGCCGACGGGGATCTGAATAGGGAAATCGACGATGGCGAAAAGAACTGCGATGAGAATGTACCAGCCAGACATGCATGTGACGAATCCAAAAGCACCACCGGCCTATTTTAGTGTTAGTAGGGTGCTTGGTTGCTAGCAGCAGAGTGGAACATACAGTGAGGAGCTTTCCTGCGAGAACAGCGTTGCCGGTGTAGTCATCGGCAAGAGCCCAGAAAGCTGCAGTGATCATAAAGAAGCAGAATGTCAAGCTGAAGAAGATCATGACGAAGACGACGTTTGTTCGGAGGGCGCAGAGGAAGAAGATGAAGGACAAAATTCCCATGAAGAGCAACCAGAATGCTGTAAGAACGTATTAGTGAGACTCTTTCATAGCAATGATCAACTATGATAGCTTACCAAAACTAGCATTGAAACCTCGTGTGGTAAGACCTTCAGCAGCGGATGTCGCATCGGCGGGGGCATACGAGGCGTAGGCAGCAAAAGAAGGGATAAGGCTTCCACCGTACGAGAACCAGAAACCGCCGAAGGAGCAGAAGACACAGGCTGGAAAACTGTTGCCGAGGACCCATTCGAGAACACCGCCGATTATCATGAGGAGACCGCCCATGAACATGTAGACAGCGCTGAGAAGAGTGTTAGCTTTGGTTATAGGGGGGCTGTTACGCGTAGGAGACATACTTTGACGCAGCACCGCTGCCGCCAGCGCCTCGCCAGCCCATGAGATCACAGGTTAGGGGTGTGAAAGCGAGTAGGAAGCCAACAAGAGCACTGTAACACGATGTTAGTACAAGTTGGCTCATCAATAGAAAGGGAGCTGGCGTACATTGGTGTTGGGTTTCCAAATGTCTGTCGAAGATCTCCCTTGACCTTGGTCATGGGCGAGAGGTACAGCTTCTCGAACAGTTCAGGGCTCATCTGCACACTGGCCGCCGAGCGGAACTTGTTGAGGGTCTCGAGACGCTGGGCCTCGGGGTCGAAGTTGCCATTGAGGCCATCGTGCTTCTCGCTGTACTGCTCGCTGTGCTCGGTAGTAGCAGCCATTGTGGTGATTTCGTCCAGGGTGGAAAGTGTGACTTTGCTTAGGATGATTCCAAGGTAGAAGGAAATAGATAGATAGACAGAAACGGGTATCTTATGAAATGAAGAAGGGCTGGTTGAGGATAGACAAGGACAGGGCCCAGACTTATATCAGGCCATAGCTCCTATATAACTGCTCCAGGGCTCAAAAGCAATAAGCTCAGAGCTCCCCCGGATTGGCAAGGAACACGGGGCGCCACCCTTTGACCCGGCACGCCCATGTTCGTTTTTTCCTCTGTTGGCTTTTCTTTTTACCCCAGGTCTATAGATCTCCACCGCTAGGGTAACAGGAGCGTCAAAGTGCCGTGTTTCTGTGTATACAGTAAGTTAGTCGGTGGGCTAGACGATCAGCACCCCCCGTCCATCCGGGGGCGAACCCAAGACCTGAATTGAATTGTCTGAGATTCATCAAATCAAAGGACGGCCAGCGGTAGGGGCCAAGGATTGGAGAAATGGCCAACGTAAGTTGAGTTACAACGGTGGAACGGGTAACGTCCTAGCTTCAGTACGGCACCAACACCACCTCTCTCTAATTCGACAAAGCATATTATTGACTCTGCAGCTCTGACCACTCATACCCAGCTGAAATACTCTACAATTTACCCCAGCCCCCGTGTTACGCTGCGTTGCGGGGGAATGAATTAGATATGCAGCGCTAAGGCCAGAGTTGGGGTTCACTCAGATGCTTTCTCTTCTCTCCACACGATCCCTTCGTCCGGGGAAGCCTCACCGTTGATATCAATGCGCAGGCACGTGGCATCTTTGTTTTTCTTGTTGGGGATTATGTTACTTGGGGGAGGTCTTGGCCCATCGATTGATGATCCAGCACAGACTAGATATGGAGAGGCAGAGGGCTAACTCTTGGTTTTTTATTCTCCGGCTAGCCGAGCGTTGGCATTTGGCGTGAGGGGGAAGAGGACATAACAGAGCAGGTGACATTTTGGTACATAGTACTCCGTACTCCGTACAAAACGCCCAGTCTGGGGAAAGTAAACGCAGGCGTATCAAGCACAGGAACGTCACCGGGGCCCCGGACTCGTAACTACTTCCGTGCAGCAGAAGCACAACTTCGGATCCGCTGCCAGATGAGAGTGGATATGGCATGAGATGTGTGTGCTTTGAGAACGGGGGTACTGTGTAAAGATGGGTTAGATCATTGTGTATGCTGCTGCTACTGCAACGTGGCAGTATATCCATGTTTAACATAATGGCCATGTTGATCAGTCGATAACTACACATGCCAGTATGGAATAGCTGTTAAGAGACTACCTTGTCCCCATGTTGATGCTGTCTTATAATACCTTGCCAAGACGGCTGGTGCTGACTCGATGAAAATGCAACCCCATTCTCCAACTCGACCTCTAATATGCCGTGTGTGCCGCGAGCAGCAAATACGAGTATTACAACTTAACAAGACATTCTTATGTTGATCTAAAGCCCTAAACTCAATCAAGTTTCTCTACTCTCTATAACTCTCGGACAAAGACACACTCAAAGTGACCTTTCCCCAGTCCCTTTCCCCAGATTATCATTGCCCCAAAGTTCCCCTACACCCCCTGCCAACACCTGAAATGAGGGGAAGGCATCTTGACTGCGGCTCCGACCCTATCTTTTCTTAGCTTGTTGCCAAATCGCGGCTCCGCCTTTTAGCCCTGTACTAACAGGGAGTTGCAGCGTTGGTGATCGGTACTTGAAGACCAGCATCTACACCGGAGAACGGAATAATAAAGCACCGACGTCTAGCTTCTGATTGGCTCCTTGATAATTAATTAATGCCCTCCAACTCGAGCCGTCATCGACAAGCCTCGGTCCACAACTCGACGCCATCATCACAATGGCCCTCTTCAATCGCAATTCCATAACCTCATCGTAACCAGGGAAAGCCAATGGCTTGTCTAAACGTTTAAACAACAGGGAAATCTCACAGGCTTCAACACGGAAGCGGCTTTAGCTTTGTTCCGGTTCCTGACGTCTTTCTGCTTCTGGTAATGTCTTAAACATCGATGCTGTCATCATGAGTAGCCAGTCCGTCATGACTTTATCAACGACGTCACAGACATGATGTGGCATGGAGAGGTAGAAAATAATTAGAAGGAATAGAATCTTCACCTTGATATTCAACAATTGACCAATTCGTGACATCTACAGACTCACCTAATCACTTACATAAAAACACCAACCAAAACCAACCACAATGCCAAAGCACGTATTCGGAGCTGGCCAGCAGGGTTCCCTCTTCGTCCCCATCACCGCAGGCATCGCAGCCATAGGCGCAGGCGTCTTCTACATGGGCAGATCCAAACCCGAAACCACACCTGAGCAAGACCGCAAGGGCCGCGCAGAGGCCAAGAAGGCAGAGGGTCTCGGCGGCGCAGGCATTGGCCAGAACGCCGTCACGGGCGGCCACGAGCTGAGCCATGCCAACTCCCGCCGCAGCGAGGGCTCCCCGGCACCTCTCGAGAAGCTTCCTAGCGGCGGCGTGGGCGGCGGAGTGGGCGCTGGCGGCTCAAACGTGCGCACCTCGGTCGAGATGACCGCCAAGAAGTAGTCCAGCACTTCCAGCGGCGACGACGACAGCGATAGCAAGGGCAAAAGCGGTGGTGACAGAAGCAGTAGTGCTCAGTCAGTCGGGCAGTCACTCCAGGGCGCCTTTGGACAGGGAGGAGGCAATGTTGCTGAGAAGGGTGCGCAAAGCCAAGGGTTCCGTGATACCAGGGTTGCGAGCAATCACACCGAAACACCGACCAAGAAGGGTTCTAATTAATGAATGATGGAAAGCTTAAGGCGTTGTACCAAGTCAGTCACGATAGCGGAGTTTGCAAAACCAAAATGGCCAATGGTTCTTCCTACGAGTTTTCGATATAATTTCCTGTGATCAAGGGTGCTGCTTTTAGTCTCTCTGTGAGAGGAAGAGGTTGGCTCGGTTTTACAGGCCACGTAAATCGATGTCGTGCATGGGGACGGAGATCAATCTCCTGTGGGCGCATGGTTGAGTTACGCTGCAGTTGTTGAGCTGATGTTGATGTGTGAAAGGGGTGGTGATAAAAGAGTTTGGTCTCAAACTAAAGCCTGCTGCTTTGACTACAGCTACTGATCCAGTGAAGAAGTTATCTAACTTGTACACTGCAACTTTCCTACTGAATTTCAAAAGCTAGGGTTAATTCTCAGCATCATTCACAGTGGTAGAATGAACAAGACCGCTTCTTGAGTACTCAAAGTTTGCATAGCCTACTGGGTCAAGTTCCACTACAACCCAGTCGTTTCATATACCGATACGCAAAGAGAAAGTATGTCCAATCCCATATAAGCGTTCAAAAAGCGTCAGCTGCCCAAATAACCAATCGAGTCTACCATAGCCAACCCTCTCCATGTCTCCGGCTCAACCCCAGACGCCAAATCCCGTCACCCGCGATCCATTCCCCATCCACTCACTCATTTCCTTTCGTATTGAGCAAAAACCACAATTTGCTTTGCTAAACACCGGCTGTCTTAGCAGATCCTTTCGTAAGCCACCATTTCCCTGGGAACTTCTGCTCAATACTCGGTGGATACGCCCAGAAGATCAGGAACGCCGCTCCTTTGTTGAGAACTCGACGCAGTATCGATTGGTCGGGTCTGAAACGACGCCAGAGCTTGTACTCGGCTGCAAGGAGAATGTTTCCCAGGATGTTGATGAAGCGGAATATGCTGCTTTGGTTGGTAAGCAGTCTACTGTGTGGGATTGTGGACTTACATGTTGCAAGTGATGAAGAACACGGTTGCAGTGTCCTTTTTCTCAGGGCCTTCTGGCCTTTTTTCCATTATGTTGAGAATGGCGAGGAGGGGGGGAATCCAAAGTCCCAGGATACCCAGCTCAAGGAGTAGAGCCCAGTGATACGTCCTTAACTCCGTACCCCTTACCATGTTCAAGCAAAACACCCAACACGCCATGAGAAAGTTTACCTAGAGTCATCAGCACGTCACACTCTATGTAAATCAGTTCACTTACTATTGAAGGCACAATAACCTGTCGGTTCCCCTTATAGTACCTCCAACACAACGCCGCAGCCACGATAGTAATTGTACACTGCGCACACCCGACAAGAAAATAGTAAAGGAGAATAACGCGATATCTCCTGTAGCACACCCGATGGAATTCATACCCCTTCCACGCAGCATCATTCGTAACAGGAAATCCACAGTATCGGCACACGCAAACCGTTGCGAACGTCCCGAGCGTGTACGTGCGACCCACGACGAAACCCCCTCTTGAAGAGACGCAGTCAAGACATTCGTTGGCAAGCGGGTATCGCGCGTCGGATTCTCCGGCGTGGATGAGATGGTCTCTCACTTGGTCGTAGCGAAGACAGCGGAAGCATGTTGACAGCAGCTGGAATTTTAAGCATGGAAAGACCTCGCGGATGAAGGGTTTGTTGATCCTGTTTCTCAAGGGTCGACATGTTCGTCGTAGGGACTCGACTTCGCCGAATGTGAGGTGCTGAAGAATCATGAGTTGTAGTTCTGTCGGGAGTCGCAGTATACGATTGTCGATATTCGCGACAGGATGGTTAGGATCAGGCTGTGAGGCCTTGTGAACATACGGCGATGGTGTCTTCTTGACACTCTTCGCATCTTCCACCGAGTCCACATGCGTATCTTCATAATCCTCATCACTGCCAAGCCTGAATATCTCAGCCCAAAACTGCTCCCGCATATCCTGCACCGCTCTAAACAAAGACATCATGACGACTCTGTACCACGACCGACGTTGTTGATAGATTCGAGAAAACCGCCATGGTGGGCGACAGCGCATCTAAATGCCGTCGTGATATGTAAGATTCCCGGCCATGATCAAATCGCGTCAGCGTCAGCACCTACATTTCAATTCTCACGAAGCTTGATATGGCGGTGGAAGTGATAAGCTGAGCTGACACAGACAGCCTACATGCTTACTGTGGTGCAAAATTCCCAATACAGTTTCAGACAGATATCCAAGAGTTTGTCTTAGCCGTTGTAGGTGTTATTTTACCCACGATATATAGGTCTAGTGCTGATGAATAAACCATCTTTATGATGTCTGCCAAGGAACTTGAGGGTGGTGGTTTCGGGCTTCATAGGCTGGTAAGCTGCCAACCACAGCACAACGGTTTGTGCAGGAAAAGATGAGACTCATTGGAGCAGTTTATCCTGTCCGGTCAGAGGAGATTTATTCATGAGTACTATGCACCAAGACAATCAGATAAGTCAGAATGATTCCCCGTCGCGCCGCGAACTTGGTTTTCGTTACCTCGATATACCACTACTACCACATGATGATACATTATCCCGAACCCAGGGCCTCCTATAAAACATCGGAAGATTTCACAGCGTCTATAGGACTCTATCTTTAATCGTATTAAGAATTTATTTGCGAGTTAAGATGTAATGATTGGCCCCACGATCAGGTTTGTGGTCTAGGGTATGTGTGTTTTTGTACAAGTTTATCGTTCATGTCGAGGTTGTGAAGGACGACCATGGAATGTTTGAGATATATGATGCAAACATGTGTAGGTGTGATAAAATGGATTCGCAGTAGTCGAAATGATCTTCCAGTCCAAGTGACTTTATGGCTTCTTAGGGTGAGTTGATTGATAACCTATGTCGCATGAAGACAACATTTTCGCCAGCGTTGGCCGAAACGAAGACGTCCTTCCTTATTTTCATTTCGACAACATTTATGTCGAACCCAAAGATTCAAAAGAAGTTCCTATACTGTGATAAGCTTAATTGCTGCCCTGTTTCGGCTACAGGTTGGGAGTCTATACCCCCAAATGTTCACTACTTATCTCTTGGCTAGGGGCTTTTGCCAGGCTTGATATATGGCAGAAGAAGTCAGCACTCCTCAATGCAAAGGAATCAATAGCAAATTCGACGGAAACATGGTTAAAGGCCTTTGAGCGACGAAGAACCCGAGATATCGTAGTGGCGGGGTCTCCCATTCGCACCCGTGGCTGGGGTTCTGCTCCTTCGCTATAGCCGCGACGACATTAAAGCTATGGAATGGCAGGCTAGGTATGGTAACACTGTTCCGATACTGGAGAGATTATACAGTTGATAGACAGCATGGTGCGAGAGAAGTCGGAGTTCGCCCCGTGGACTACTTTCAGGCAAGGTTGAGATATAGTCACCGACTGGCATGGATATGAAAGGTCATTGTGTAAATCTCCTCGAGCAACTTAAAGCTAAGTCAATTCTAGTATATATCAAATAACAGTCGGGGGTTGTGACTGAGGCTATTAGACACGCCTCGCTGGGATAAATACTCAACATACACAGATTTGAAGCGTTGGTTTAGTATGGTCAACATCCCGTAGATAATGCGTAGCCTAGAGGCAAAGTCCTCATACAAATCTACTTAACACAGCTGAGGAATTACATAGGAATCAGCTATAAAGTAGACACAACACAGTTTTACGAGGCCCGTCGAGTTTTAGCTTGGATTTATATGATACAAACATGCTTAAGCGATAGTTGACTTGGAGATGGTATTTAAAGTTTTACGAATATTCGCGGAATTAAACTTAGAGCTTTGTCATTCATCTCCTGCTCTAAAAATTGAACGCAAATACCCATTGCGTTAACTATAATATTCGAAGTCATTGTATCAAGGTGCTGTCGTCGCTGCTCCGTTCGGGGCCGGGATCCACAGTCGGGATTCACGGCCGATTCCCCACCCAGATCGGAGGGTATGTCCGCAAACCATCGGGGGTAAGGGTTATAGCAAAGCCATGGTGCGGTAGGATACACAGGCACTGCTGTTTATCACCCGTTCAGCTCAAGACCATGTCCCATGTCGAAAAAAACCATCATAAGCGCTGATCCATTCGCCGACAAAACTAGTACTTCCAACTATTCTTTGCCAAGGGACAAGGCCTGACCCCAGCTCCAATTCTTTTCTCTTTTCCACCTACGGATACGCACAAGACAATCCTGCTTCCCTCGCTCTCCCCGAACCTGTGTCATTTCTCACATGGGTAACCACCTACTCATCAAATATCGGGCTCCAGAACGACAAGGGGGAAAAGTTCAACTTGACACATAAACATGCGATATTGGTTCAAGCAAATAATGATTAGTGACAGATATGTGCAGTAGGAAAGGGGATCAAAAACTAAGCGATAAGCAGCATCTTCTGCCGACGACCCGGGCGTTCGGCTCGCTAAGGAATCCTAAAACGCCAGCCCATGCAAGGAACGGGAGTGTCCGTTCTTCACATCAGTCCCCAAGTCCTGGTAACAAAACAGCACCCAACCAACAAAACAGGGGAAGAGGTCGTCATACGTAGTAACTCGCCAACTCTTGCTCTCTTCCGTGTGCCGCGGAATAGTTACCGTGGGGGTCATGGCTATTTAGTGCATGGAGAGCTGTTGTGCCGCGGCAAGGCCGAAAACTGACTTAGCATGGATCGTTGACATATCCACCTAACTGTCTGTAGTTATAGTTAGCTGTAGTCTGCGCAAGCACTCTGGATCTAGGCCCTGAATTGTCTCAGCGATTGGTTAGGCGAAAACCCAGAGCAATTGGTTGGGAAAAGTCCCTCTTCCCAACTCGGCCATTTACCCTTTTACGGTTATTCCGCCATCACGAAAACCGTTTCTATTGAAGAGCTAACGGCTCGGGTCGCTTGCTAGCGCTGGGCACATAACGTTACTATACCTACCTCTACCTCGCCGCTCGTATAGGGCGCATTCACTCCACACTCCTCATGTAAAATAGCGTGGAGCCACCAGACATGTGCCGGTCCCAGTGAACTCTACGAATACCTCGAGCAAAGTTTTGGCCATCTTAGTTAGCTTAGGGGACCTATTTAGTACGCTCCAATTCACTGTTGAACATCCCTTTGGGACCTGATTAACTCTGTGCCGTGCCAAGCTAGCAAGTGCCACGAACTCTATCCATGATGACCATGTAACTCAATTCGAGACATTGCAAGTATTAAAGCAAGAAAAGAATATGAAAACCCCCCTCAAAAAAAGGGTCCAAGTGTAGTAGTCTACGGTCGGCCAACTTTGGTTCAGCTAACAGAGTCCGAGGGTCCAGACACTCAACGCAACGACAGAGCCACTAGCTGGGGTAGGATCTTCCAGGGAAGCATCGGCGGCGACCTGGGGTATGAGTCGACACGATGCTGTAAACAATTCAAAATCTTGCTGAATTGCCTGTGTCTCAGAACCCATGCCTCGCCTAGCAAGCGAACGACAGGTTCGTTCCCACTTGGAATGTAGTATCCGAACAATATACCGAATTAAACATGCTTACTGCAGAGTATGAGGCAATAACTCGCCCCAACCCGCATCAAAGCGTGAAAGTCCTGAGTATGATGTATTATCACCGTCAGCATCTAGGTGAGCTACATGACGGGGGGTGCAGGCTGTATACCTGCAAGTTTCGCTTTTCAATGAGAGACATATTCGCCACCACGGACGGGCTGTTGACGCAATAGATTCATAGCCGACAACTATACGGATACATGGTGTTGTTATCGCAGCTGCCGATGCTAAAATTCTTATCTGAATGCCGAACAGTTAATGCCGTGCAGGCTAAACGAGAGACCTTCGTTCCAGTTTGTTGCCAAACGAGAGTATTGATCCGATTCCTGCACATCACATATGTACCCCAATCGAAGGAACCCCATCCCCCTACAGGTAATCCCCAAGCCTAAGCGACAAAAGCTGCCGTCGGCATAATCCTTCGCAGCTATCGCTAATGATTCACGGCTACCCCCTACGGCTCCGTCCGCCGGGTTGAAACTTGGAGCTTCCCACACCAGAAGCCATGGGGTGGACCAGGTGGCACTATTCTGCCGCCAAACTCCATCTGCAAGCTAAGATATTTTGCTCTCCCCTCCAAACGAAATTGTTTTAGCTCGGTGAGCACGTCCTTCATGGCCATGCCATGGAGCTCAGCCCGCGAAGGGCCTTGGATTTTAGGTGGCATGATTGTCATATACCACGCTGTGTGGAAGACTAATGCCGACGAGGGGACGCCCGCGCGTATCTGAGCAGGGGAGGCCGGTCCAATATGATCACGCACTTTGTGGTGTAGCGCTATAGTCCGGTAGTTCTGAAGCAGGGAGTTGCTGCTGTCCTTCAGACCAATCCATACTTGGGTGGTGGTGGGTTTACCATCCAACCAGATCTCCATTTCCAAGTATTCGTGATCATGCAGGTCCGTCTCCATCTGGGAAGGGGCAGAAGCTTCTGAACCTGGCTTCTGAATAGATTCAGCTAGTCCTTTAACAGTCTGTTGCTGTGACCCCCCTGCTCTGTTGTCAAAGAAGCTAAACCTTGTATCACCAGAGTTCAACAGCTCCTCTGCATCTATGTCCCCCACAATAGGATCATCTTCCTGATAGGGGTCTGGCTCGAACTCAAGCCGGAAATTTCGGAGACCAGCCAAGACGTTAGGACCTCTTCGAGATGACATATCAAATATTGCACGCTCCTGAACCGCGAGAAGTTGCAAGAATGATATTAATTTGCGGATCAGTGGGCCGCTTGAGCGGCGAGGGAGGCATGTGAGGGTCAGTGATATGATGCGTGGATTCATATCAGGCACGAAAGCTTCGGGGAAAGCCTCCTTAGCCCGCGGCAGTATTAGGTTCTCAGCGATGTAGAGGCGGGCCGTAGTTGAGAACCCATCTATCTCCAATGTGGGAATCTGAGTAACAACTGAATGGTGCAGCTTTAACACCCGCAGGTTGGACGAAAGGACTGGTCTTAGAGTATGCACAGCATAGAATCCATGTAGTGTGGCCGTCCTGGGCCACACAGTCATGGACGCCCTGGATGGTGGAACCAGTTGCATAGAGTTACAGCTGAACTCCTGCAGATGTCCCCGACCGAGCGTCAGTAAGTCGCTAATTCCAAGGGATGATATCTGGTTGTCAGATACATTCAGATGTGTCAGCCCCTGTGAAGATTGGAAGCTGGCCGGCGGGGAAAAGGGGTCCTCGCCTTGGAGGCCCCGGCAAACTGCTTCCGCTGCATCTGACTTGACGCGGAACTTGCCGTCTAGTCGTTTATGCACAAACTCTTGGGGCAATGTATCATGGAGATCATACAACGGCGCGTCGACAAGATGTCGGTTTGGATGACTGAAGGAACCACTCCATTCAGACTCAACTACGCGAACCCATGTTCCGAGTCCAGGGGAAGCGTTTCCGAATTCCAGCTTACCCTCAACATCAAAGTTGGCATCCGACCGTAGATCAACAGGGCACAAGCAATGGGTACGTAAAATCTCAAGGGACTCGTCTGTTAGTTTGTTGTTGCTCATGTCTAAGCTCCATAGCCGAGTTCCAAAATGAGTGGTTAGGATTTCAGCCGTGGTATCATCAACCTCCTTGCTTTGAAGTTTAAGCACACGTAACTCGGAAAGTTCACCGCGTTGAAGTAGGGGACGGAGTGAGCCTATAGCCCGAGAGAGGTCGAGATATACCACCCCTCTGAGAGAGGCAGCAAACCTTTGGGTTAACGATACGGAACAATCAGCCATACTGAGTAAGAGAACGCGATGACCGGCCTGGGAGAGGAATTCGGAAGGGTCAAGATCATCATGACCGTCGACAAGTACATAGCTTAAGTTGGGCAAGTACTGTATAGCATTTTTCAACTTGGTATTGAAAGTGTTGGTCATACCAAGTGAATACGTGCTCCTGACGTAGCGAACATCAAGAACTCGAACGAGGCTTCTCGTTTCGGGTCTTGTCCAACTCAGCTGTTTCAATATCGAGCCAAACAGCCATTCCAAATCTGACAAGAGAGTTCGTTAGTTCCTGAGTCTTGATAGCGCACACCAAACAACTGCTCAGTCCTCTTCGTAACGTAGCAGCAGACTCACCACAGCCGGAAGCTCTGGTGGAACCCGGTAAACGAGCCCACAGACGTGGGGCAAATACCTCCCAGAAGCGACTATCAACACGACACAAGCTTGGATAGTCGTGGGGGAGGATGTACGGGGCCACTAGACAGAGCCAGTCCGTGGATACAGCATCTTGGTAAGATGGAAGCGAAGCCATCACAGCTATCGCGGGTTGTCTAAGTCAGCATCGGGGTTATGGGTTGCGCCGGTGCCGCCGGCGATAACAGGTGCCCGATAAATATCAAGGCAGAAAGAAGTGAGCAGCAATTCAATAGAACAGGAAAATATGGTGGTGAAACTCGGTTCCTCAGCTGATTACTGCAGCAGCTGAGCATAGTTGGTTTGGTTTGGTAGAATGGAAATGTGATACGATGGTTTGACGGAGAGTCTCCGAAACCTAAGGGTGCTGATTGGCTGAGTCACCAAGGTCAAAGAACGTTACGCCGGCAGGCAGCACGCACTGGACCTAGGCGGGAGGGCTTCATCGCGACAGCCTAGAAAAAACGGCGGGGCGTCGTGCCAAGAAGAAATGGAACCTGGAAGTGTCAACGACAGGTGGAGGTAGTAGATCGGGCCTGCAGGGCACTCCACTCCACTGTAAGTTGATGGGCTCATACTGGACTGTAGTTACCTACGGATAGCGTCAGCGACAGCGACGACTTTGTTAGGTTCAATAAGACGGGCGGATAGTACAGTAAGGCACTATTTCTTCAATGGACGAACCTAAGGATCCATTTCGATCCCTTGATCAGCAGTCATAATCACAGGCGATGTAACTACAGCCATGCAAGTTTGACACTGACACTGACACTGGCACCGATAGCTACAGATTTCTTGGTAACAGAGCTGTCACTAGCCGGTTTCTCACATTCATGGGCTCCTAATCTTGCACCACACTTCCATTGCATTGCAGTGATTACCAGCAGGCATTCGTCCATTTGGCCCCAGAGCCAGGTGCCCTGTATTTGGGCTTCCCCACAAAAGAAAAATGCAGGTAATGAACTGAGGCAGGCCTGTCTGTCTCACAGGATTAATCACTTGACCCAACCATGTCAAAGCACTCTTTCCCCGTGATCTATCACATATCGCAAAACCGAAAACTGCCTATTTCCACTGTATAGTACGCCCACCGAGTCTGGTGAGCCAAACCATCGGGGATGTATATCCCACCTCCGAAGTTCTGGAATCTACAGCACGGGTGCAGCTTGAAAGACTCTAATGTACGTACGTCCAGTGCATTTGGTGGATATGCATGCATAGTAGGTATGCAGCGCGTGCACGAGATCAACCAACTCGACTTACTTTCTTCTTCAAGTAACTCCCCCTGTCGATTGTGTCATGGGACTCGGTATCTTGCTCTGCCTTGTTCTAATATGTACGGAATAGTATGAGAAGGTTGACACTCCTGGGACAACCGCAAAAGAAAGTAGCGGGAGGAATATGACGAGCCATGGCTTTGGCTCATGCAAGCCAAAAATGCATGTTATATTAGATCTATCACTATTCCGCTCTTGAGGGGGGTACGGAACCCGGGAGTAGATCAGTACGTACAGTACGGAGTACAGCACTCCGGTTCACTTCATCTACCAGATATCACATTTCATTTACAGTGAAGGTATGTACTGGATCTACCACACCGGCACTCATTTCTTATTCATTTTTACATGATACAGCCTTATGGGGCCATAATTTCAACTGCCTCGCCGATAGAGGAATTTCTCATTTACTTATCAAGGTATAAAGACAGCTATTCAACCAACAATAACCCCTAGCCAATAGTGACCCCGACAATACGCCTGAACTTTCTTTGACTGACAAGCGCCGGGACACAACGCAATCGGCGCCGCCCAAAAGAACCCCTAGGAATTACAGTAAAGCCATTCCCGTAACTCAATAGCATTGATCATCCCCATCATCCCTCTGGTCCCCCTGCCCCTGGCTGGCTGGCTCCTCACCCTAAACTAACTAGCCTGGGCGCTGGCGTGCTGGCTACACCAATATTTGTATATCCTGATTATCCCCGGCAATAACCTCGACTAAGTTGTTAGTGTTCTTCCAATAGATGACATCCAATATCCCCGTCGTCGTGCGTTCCTTGTTTGGACCTTCAGACTAAGGGCACGGTAAGAAATGGAATGGTCTAGTAGTAGTATCATATACTCTACTCTATGTAACCTGTCAATTTTTCATTCCCTCTTCAAGTGGTCGGGCTCGCATGAATAGCGTCAGTAGCACCTGATGGATTCCCAGACCTGATAACAACCACCGTAGACAAGACTGCCCCGTCCCATATTGCAAAACCGGAAAAACGAATGGCGTTCCCTGTCCCTTGAGTCAAACATGCCGTGTCACGTTCTAGTAGCTTCGTTTCCTCCCCTCTCTGATACGATGTACACATGCCGTGTTGCACATCCGAGTCTCATCTCAATCCATTCCAAGCACTGAGCGCCCAGTCTCATCCACATGGGAAAGCCTAGAGGCTTGTGCGAGCCCTGGAAGTTCTTATCCGACGCTGCAAAACACACAAAGACACACAAGAGAAGAGGCAAAAATAGGGTCCAAGGGTTTTGTGTCAGCCTTCATCTCCTCATCTAGGTCGAGAACCAACATCTTCTCCCACGATCGACCAATGTAACTTACGAAACGGCGCAATGGTGAATTATAACACGAACCAAAATGACCCCTAAACGCCTCACTCAACACTGGAGTTTCCGCTTAGACTATCAGGTACAGACAACTCGATCCGGTTCTGTCCCATAAGGATCGGCACCCATCAGATCATATCATCGTTTCCCTAGACGGAAAGGTCTCTGTCCATGCCACCATGGCGTCCGGAGATGCAGCTGTCTGTACCTTTTCCCTCCTAACGCACCTCATCCCAAGCTGCAGCAGCCTTCTTGCCTCCCCAGAAAGGAAGTCCTCACCAAAGAATCCGAGCCGTAAACTGTTGGTTCCCAGGACGCTATCATGAAACGGGCTGCATACCTCTCCCTGTATTGACCCTAATCCAATTTGTGTTTGACACTATTTATGCATGGTACTACATCCGAACAACACATTCGCTCTGCTACTCGGAAAGTTTAGATAACTCGTCCGTGGCGGGCGTTTTGTTCCTCGCACATGCGTCCCATGTAGGCTTTACACTCCAAGAAATTCTCTACCCTGGGCTCTCTTTGCTCCATCACGGCCCGCAGCGAACTAGACATACCTAAGATAGCTCAGTTGGATCCCAAGAGAGGTTTTTACCATGTTGGGAAGTTGTCCCTTGGCCTGCTGAGCATAGTTACCTGGATTACGTACAAAGGCTCCGCTTCGCATCGTCGACGATGAAGAATTCAATTCTTGCTTACAGGCAATCAACCACAGCATTCCTCGAGAAGGAGGCAAAGACCGTTGGCATTCTCCTCCACTTGGTTCTCTCGACTCTCCTATCGCATCAGAAACCGTTGAACATGTGTCTAACTTCCCTCCCGCAATCCCCATCTTTTGACGCCAAAGACCAAAGACCAAACCCCAAAGGCCAGATCTGTACGGACACACACCCCCCAGTGGTTTCTCATTTCTCTCCCCTGCTGTAACTGACAATCATAGCCTCCAATCACACCCTCGGAATATTCTCAGCCACTGCCGTCCAAGCCTCTTCCCGTCATATATCATATCCGAAGCCTATCGGGGCGCCCTCCCGAGGGGGGATCCCACTCCCAGGTGAGTACATAGCACAAAACAGTTAGGCGGTCCCGGCGGAGTGGAAGATGCTACACTGAATCTTGCAGAAGCAAGCAATTGTGTGCTTTTGCGGGTCGGGACCAGGGTATTTCTGGGCACTGCACCTTGGTTTTTGCTAGGAGTGGTATCCGTGGAGCACACATGTAATTATTGTTTATGTACGTTATTAGGTTATGCCCCTGCTAACTCAAGCTAAAGTTAGCCGTACTCGCGGATCGGCAGGCTTCCCTACCCCGAGATCTAAGACATTTATCTATGGGTCTTCCTTAGTCTGCTCTCCACCCTGGCTTGCTGCCAGTTAGCCAGTCTACCAGCTTAGCCAGCCGGTGAAATGCACCCAAGTCGCGGAAGACGTCCACGACTAATCTTGGCTACTCCAAAGCTGAATTTTGCTTCCTTGGAAGCCAATTCGTCATTTCTGATATCTCTCATCAACTCAACTTGACTCTTCTACAAGTTAGCATAGCTACATGCCCCAATCCATTGTGCAATCTCCATCTGTCTATTGTCTCTCCACCAAATACAACATTAACATTTGACCACGATGTATGAATGTGCCTGGCCTATTTCGATGACTGACGGCTATACCAGTTGACTTATCACATGTGCTCACAACTCGGTTTAAAATCGTCAACTGTAGATGTAGATATTCTTGTAAAATTCATGTTTCATTATCTGCTACTGAATCCTATGTCCACCAAATGCCCCAGCAATTCCTTCAAGAATGTGGAAGCCCAGCGAAGAAAAGAAATAATCAACGAGTTCAACAAATTCCTCAACGCCAATTAAAAGCAAAACCCATGTAAAACGCCTTGACACCATCTGGTGGTCTTGGTTGTGTGGAAACAACAAAATCATGCAAAATTGCCATCCCAATGAATCCCTTTCCACTCTTCTCACATAATAATCATACAGGCCATTACACCTTTAACTCTCCTATAATCTCTTTTTCCTGTATGTTTCTCCGAAATAGTACTCTTGTCTTGGTCTCCTTTAAGACGGCTTCGAACATGACGACTGGGCTGCAGGATGCTGCGAATCCTTTCTTTTTCCAGCTCCGCTTTTGTATGTCGTGGCGTGTGTATGTAAGTGGTGTGCCTTTATGTGTGTGTCTTCCCAATATTGGAGAGAGTGGGTCGTGTATTGTATGTCTTATCCGAGTGGCGCTCTTGACTCTTCCCTTTTCTTTTTGGTGGCGACTGGCAAAGTCCTTCAAGCAAGGTACCCGGCCAAGATAGGCCCATCAGCCATTCTCAATACTCCGATCCCCGCTTATCAACGATCTTGGATTTTGAAGGTGCACGTCGCTTCCTGCTTCGCTCCTCCTGCTCGATAACTGGGACTGCAGCAGGGATGAACTCGACACCGCGGTTGCGGCTGTTGGGTCGTGCATGCAGCTTGCGGTGGTTGTTAAGGTTGTCTTGTCGATTGAATTGGTCCTTTCCGCAAAACTCGCATGAGAAGCGATTAGGTCCCTCGCCGTGAAAACTGCTTCGTGTTAGTTATTAAACTCGACAGAACGACTTAAGTGAAACTTACGTTTGCTTGTGGCGCTTAAGATGCTCGTTTCGTCTGAAAGCCTTATGGCAACCTGGGTAATCACACTTGCACATGGCTCTTCGGACCACGTCAACCTGTGAAGGATCGGGCTTAATGGACCGCTTCCTTGATGATCTAATCTGAGCTCGTTGAAGTTCTGTGGTCTTTTGCTGAATTTCGTGCACCATCATTTTTCTCTGAGCTCGCATGCGGTTAGGTGAGTTGGGGTCGTGCAGGTAACTTAAAGGTGACTGAGAGTGTCGATCCATATCGAAACTCTCATATTCACTTGAGAGCTGCTTGTTGGGGAAAAATGAGATGGGGCTGTCGTTGGCACAAGACCATGATGAGCCAGTCTCAGCAGCCTCGGAGCCGGAAATGCTCTGAGTTGGTGTCATCATGAAGGAAGCAGGTCCCATAGAAGCATCTGGGGAGTACCCATACATGCCGAATGAGTTTGAAGGTGTTAAAGATCCCATTGACCCGTGGTGTGCCATGTTCATGTCCATGATATGCTCATACTCGAAGCCGAGAGATTCTCGCTTCATGGGAGTGTTGGGAAGAGTGTCGGAGTATGGCATATGTTCCTGCTCAGTCTTGATGGGATGGAACATGTACTTGCCCATCGCTGATGAGGGAGGGGTCAGCTCTGCCCGATGAGAGGCAGAGCTGTAAGGACCATCAAAGTCCATGTTGCCGAATTCATGAGGAGTTGACCGTCGGGATGTAGGGGTGAAAGGGTCGTAAGCTGATGAGGCGGAAGAAAAGCTTGTTGTGGTGGAAGGGCAGGACATAGACTGGCTGCACAGGCTGAAGCTGTCGTCCATGTCGAACCGGAATTCCGACTCGAACTGCATCTTGGTAGAGAGGAAGGGGTGAAGAAGAATGGAGAAGGATGTATGTGAATATGTCTTGCGTTGCCTTGAGCGAAGGGTGAAAGTGTTTAAAGTTCTTTTCAAGGGCACAGAACAATCGAGTCCAAGGTGAGTTCAATTGTTTGATGAATCCTGTCGGGAATGTTTTTTCATCTCTGAGGACGGATGCCCTCGAAGATATAGAGATGAGGTGGAATGAGGTACGCTGTATCGACTTGCGGACCTGAGACATCTAAGCTATAACTCAACCACTCGTAGATCCTTGTGTAGAGCCGGTGCAGCTAGCAAGGAACCCGCGAGACAAAACTATGATCCAGTACACACCCAGGGCAAGAATGCGACCTAGGGTCGAGGGACCTGGTGAAGTGAGATCGAGATTATCCTATTTCTCTCTTGTCAAGCAGGGCGGGAGAGGCGCGATCCACTATAGGTTGAGTGGGTTTGTTGCATAGAGAGAAGCAATGTCTGGGATGGGGTTGTGTCAGTTGTGATCAACCGTCCCTGGGGATGTTTCGCTCGGCCCTCAGCGCCCTCAGCTAGACTAGTCGCGACTAGTTATACAACAAAACGAAAGACGGCAAAGGGACCATGACAGACTTGGCACTTGATCCGAGCAATCATCCGCGAGGCAATCGATCAAAGTTCAAGCCACTCTTGGGTGTAGAGGTCGTCGGAGAATAGAACAAAGTACACATAAGAACAAAGGCAGGCATACCATCGTGACAGTCGACTATGCTTGACATAGTATCGGCATATAGACCAAAAATGGGGTGTGTTTAAACCACGTCCCTGACTCTTGCACGGTTTCCCACTTTGGGCCACACCTTGACAAGGACCCTTGTGGCCCCGACCATGTTACGGATCCGAGAAGGGGGTGTAGTGGGTCTCCATCAACACCAATTCGCGAGTATTGGAAAGACTCGAGGTGTATCCAGCGACAAGATCGGTCCCTGCATAAGGTGCATGAACACGACCCCGGGGTGGGTTGTTGGGACTGACGCCAGCCCACCACTTCGTACATACGCCACTAGGCCTGTCAAGATGGCCAAGCACGCTCAGATACATCCCCAATCTCAAAGACCAGCCACTGATAGACGACGTAATCGAGTGGGTGCCCCAGATTTGTTATAGGCCTATCTCTTTGGTTAGCCTTCTTGCCTCCAACTGCAATGGATAGCTCTTCTAGGAATGAGCTGGGCCTGGAATGGGGCAAGTGGGATTCTCGCTGAGAGAGACCATGAAGTGAGACAGGGCTATTCCAGTCGAGGGATGCAGAAGTTACATGTTCCTGAGTGTGCCTGGATGTGTAACTTCTTGGGAGAAACAGAACCCATCGGGATGTCTTTTACTACCCCATATCAGACTCCCTTGTGTTGTTAGCCGCAAGAGAACGGGATGGTGTGATATCCTCCAAGGTGAAGGAGATGTGGAGCGATGGGAAGGCCAGCCAAAGGAGTGTAATGCCTGCGATCTGAGTCCACGTACAAAAAGCAATTACAGCGTGGTGCAGGTCTCGCTCAAAACGAAATAGAACTGCGGGTTCCTGGCAGCGGACTATTAGTGAAGAGTTTTGCACTTGCAAAATAACATTGTAAAATCTCCCATGGGCCTACCCGGACTGGACCCTGATCCGATAAAGTCTCAGAGAGTTGAGTTTTCGGCTAGGCATTGACGCGGTAAAGTCATTGTCGAAAAGTCTTCGTAGAGGTGTCCTCACCTGATGTCATTGAACAGTGCATTCGGCCGGGCCTTTGTTTCCACACATCCATCCTCCTTCGGAAGATGCGCCGATGTAGGTTGCAGTGCAGGGTGGCATTTGGCAGCAAAAGCGACATTGTCAGTCAATAGCATGGGTGGTCGGCAATTGACAGGTCCCAGGCGCTGGGTACAGAGGAGGAACTGCGTAACACGCTGAACTCAAAGATGAGAGCAAGGCCCTTCGAGATGGTGCTGCGGAGCGGAGCAAAAACAATGGACAAGGTAGATAATAGGATTAAGGTCATATTGACAGGTGGGTGCTGGTCAGGTCAAGGTCAGACCAGCCCAGTTTGAGCATTAAACCCCTGCTACAATAGCCATAGCCGCGCACGGTGCCTATTATGACAGCAGGACGAAGTCTTGAACTTCTGCCACTGACATTGAGAGACTAGAGCTCCAGCTGAGAGCCAGATGACAAAGATGATCGTCCTATGCTTTACTGTTCAATTGGTGTCGAATTCGAAACGAACCGTCTTGTTGAAGGAGAGGCGATCCTGTCAATAGTGTCAATTGCCCTCGAGTTCGTCATCTCCTGTGTGCTCATGTTTGCCAATGTCTCCAAGCTTATCCTATATGAGCGTTAAACTTTGAGCATTTGAAGGAGGGGTTGAAGCTGAGGGGTTGTCGCATCTTGGCCCGTTAACTGCTTGCTCCTAAAGAACACGAACGCGGACGCGTCTATTTGCGCTAAAGGGTGACTGAAGTCATAACAAAGGGACACCTCGTTAGTGTCTTGTGCGAGCATTAGGCGATTGCACTAACGTGAGGCTCGGGACGGTAACGGGGGACTCCTTCTAAACAGATAAGACTATCAGCTCATCGTAACCCTGCAAATGACATTCGTCGGTGTCTAGTACCGGGCGATCTTCCGGGGGGGGCGACCCAGCGATCCTCCAAGAAATCTAGGAACGAAGACAAGGAACAGGGGGAGGCGCTGGCGTTCGTAGATCGGGTTCCCCACCAAGTTCGCAGGTGGTAGGTAATTTGGGTATGCAGTATGTAGTATTTTCAGCATTTCACACCCCCGTTGGATAGCTGAAATAGGCTGGGCAAAGAATTTTCAAGCTGACATGTCGTTTCTACTGTCAAAGTGCAATAGAGCTGGAGAGTGTTGTATATCCGAAAAGTATGGAGTAGCTGAGTTGAGCTGACCTGACCTGGCTGAGTCGAATGTTGTGAGTAGTTAAGTGGAGGACTTCACGGACAGCGCGATGCCCTGGCCCCAACAGGCAAGAGAGAGGTTCGAAGATGCCTGAGGCCTGAGGCCTGTGAGGAAACGTCGGGTAGGTGCTATTCGTCCTGTCTCGTCTCGGCCCCTGCAGCGGGAGACCGAGCACTGAACTTTGGAGCATCTGGTCTCTGCAAGTTGAGAAGCAATGTGTTCATCATCATTCAACTATTTGCGTCTCAAGCATCGTTTTCCAGCAAATAGAAAGACACATGCAGCGTATGTGCAGAACGATAAACCCATCTAGGCAATTCAGGCATGTACAGCACAGCACAGTACAGTATCGAGCCGTGGCCAGTGTAATTCAACTGCATACCCGTCATCTGCAGGCCCTCGTCATATCAGTGAGTACCTCTTAATTTTGGAGCGTCAAGAGACCAAAGCTGAAATAGGTGGACGATGTCCGGGATGGGCCCCAATACTGCCATCATATCCACTTCCCGCCGGCGACCTGACTCTAATGGATCCTGGTCGCCCTCTATCTGCCCTGAACTGTCCTCTACCAGGTTTTCCTGCCCTGCTCCCGCTCGCTGACTCAATGGTAGAGAGTCGAAACCCCATGACTTCGCCTACAACTGCACTTATCGGGCACGACCTTCAAAACGTTGACCGGAAATCACCGGCCCCGTTAATCCCATCTACGGCCCGGCTCTCAGGCCATCTTGTATTACGCGATGCCAAGTAACGAAGCAAACGACATCAATCTACTACTATTGCAGCTTCATCTGTCTCATAGTTCCGGAGTATCTCTCCGGCCGAATTTTGTTCTTCGTCTATAACAATAATGATCATAGTGTCATCATCATAGACTGATATGTGCAACTTACAGCTTGGTTAATCCACAGAGTCTCACCTGCGGAACCTCCGGCCTTTCGTCCGCAAGTGGTCCCTTCCAATCCCGTACTCCATCTTCCGTCTCACATCCGACGCCAAGGCCAACACCTGTCGACTTGTGCTGGGTTATGAGACTCGGAATTATGATAAGTCATAGTTTTCGGACCACTCACTTCCCAGTACAGCATACGTACATGCTCCATACGGATGATGGGTGGGTCTAATCAGACAGAGTGGTCTCTGACAGTTTCTCCGCGTACTTGCGCAACCGTTTTTGCTTTTTACCAATCCCATCTGTACTAGTGCTGTCGATGCCATGAAGACTGCTTCGAAGTGCCAGATGAGCATCCCCCCATTCAATTGGTGTAGGATGTGGCCCAAGCGGCTCTAGAGAAATCGTTGCAGGCACAAAGGTTGCCGATTTGACTTTATCATCACTACGTCCCTTCGCGCATCCCTTTACCCCATATCGAGAAGACAGCGCTCATATCTATTGCCAATTGGGACTTTTCCTCCCTCTGTTCAAATGTTACACGCTATTCTTCTCCTTCTCCCTCCATATCGTTCTGTATAGGGACTACCAATACGCCATTATAACAGCCTATCATGCACACTACTGTACATAGGTCTGTAAGAAGATTAACGTAGATTGCCTAGTGGTCACTTCATGTATGAAAGTCTAAGGCTCTGGCTGTGGCTTTCACTTGCAGGTGCAGAAAGGCTGCGACAGTTTAATACAACATAGATGCACTACCAGTACAGCGCCAACATTCGTTGCCATATTGAGATATGATCAGTAGATTCCATGGTGCTTGCCGACGGCAACCCAGGGCATCGTCCAATTGCAATGTACTCTGTATCTCTTTGCTTTACCCACTACCAGGGAAATGACGGGACTCAATCGGGGTCTACGGCTTCTGGGCCAGGGATCCCCAGGGCTGTTAGTCCCCGTGGATTTTGTTTCGCTATTTGGGGTATAACTCGCGAGTAACTACGTATTAGCAATGTGGTCTTTGAATGACATTCATTCAAACTTGGGTGGTCGTCGGCCCACAGCCTAACTAGCCCTAGGGAGTTCCAGACTCATTGGTACGATAATCTTCGAATCCATTTGACACCTTTGGATCGCCGATTCACGTATGTCTTGATGATGAAACTGACATCTGGCAGTTTTGGGGCTCCGCCAGATCGAAGTTACACTGCAGCCACTGTTACATCCGCTGTGAATCTCCCGTGATCTGACAGTGCGATAGGGATCACCGACTGGGGATAGTCAGGGGTCTGAAGGTTCTTGATTCCCTGCCCTTGTTTCTGTCCCTGTTCGATCCAGTAGCCTCCCGAAACCTTGCCTGGGCGTCATCTGCATATGTTTTCATCTGCAGCATGGATAGTCAGCACAAAGACTGAGACGTGACGAACATGCGGAGGACTTTTTCCGTGACACAAGATCTGCAGATTTTATAGACATGCATAATGCTTCTTTTGGCAATTCGTACAATTGTCTTCTTTTCTTTCTTCAGTTATGCTGCGGCATGAGATCGGGTACTAGCCATCCGCGTTGGCCATTGCGTAGGGCTTGGTAGTGATGATCATTACTGATGATCTCCGCTCGCTCTTAGGCAAAATATTAGCCCAAAATACATATTCTCTATCAGTTAGTATCATGAAGAGGGTGTCAGCTGGTGTTGCGGGACAGCCAATTAGATGGCCCAGTGAATGTTCCCTTTATTTCTCTTTTTTGCCCATTGTGAAAATGTCACTTGTGATGACATTCGCGTTTCAATAGTATCGGAATGTTTGCTTGATACGACCGTTTTGACCGTTGGAAACGTCGGACCGGCGACTAACGTTAATGGCTGGTGTAAACTAAACCGTAAAAGCAGCCTTAACGTGATCGAAGATCTTTGCACTACTGCCCGATTACCGTCGGGGAAAGTTATTATCCATGGTAGGTGGTTCTAGGCCATGGAGTTTTAGAGTTTCGCGTGCATCGGGGCTGATGGCGCCTCTGTTCACCTAATGAATTACCGAGTAACTACTGAACTAACTACTAACCTTGGTGTTTGGTGTTTGTATGCGAACGTGGCTGGTATACTAAACACCATGAATCGAGAGCTCTGAATCGCATACTGACTTTCCGCGGAAATGCCTATAGAAAGAAAAATGCGGTATTTGTAAAATTTAACCATTTGGGCATCCTTTGTATTGTCTAGGCCTCGAAGGGCTGAATTAGTCAATCAGTATAAGTTCTAGAGCGCATCCTCTTCGCTTGGATCGCCGATCTGATGTTTGATCAACTGTGACAGTCTTCAGGGTAGCCTCCCGACCAAGCTATTGTTTGCGACGATGAACGACAACCACAGCATAAAATTCTCTCCTAGATCAGAACTCGGCAAATAATCAAACGTCTGTCAAAGCGCCATGCTTCCACCAGTGGTTCTATTGAGAGCTTTACCTTTTATAAGTCTTGGCGGCTTAGGGAACTGCATAGATTGAGGCATATGCAAGGAAGAACGTCGAAACTTGTTCGGAATCGTCGAGATATCAAGAGTCGAACCGCCCGTCGAGTGAATAAGAAATACATTACGAAAGTCCATTGCGTCTCGACCACTTTGAACAACTTTAGCTAAACACGGGCTTGCATCAGACTTGATTCTGGCGATATCCTCGAATTACACCGAAGACTACTGACTCATATCAAACTCAACATTTGGCAAGGGTACGCAAGAATTATTCTTGATGTGAGAATGTATCACCAGGCTTGACACAAGAGCAGTAGTTTTAAGTAGCCAAGCGTGGTATTCTTAGTTACCTGTACTTCAAAGGCTCGACATGTCCCTATCGCTAAATGCCCGTTTCTGGCATATAGGGTAGGTTTGATGCTACTCTAGAGAGAATAGACTATCCTTCTAACTACCAGCTTTCAACACAACAAGATTTGCACTTAGAATGGGTATAGGCAGGAAATTGGTTCAACCTATGTGCATCTACAGTGCTCTAAAACAAAGACAGACGCACAAACATGAGAGACAGAAAATCACAGTTTCCTGAAGTGTAGGAGTTCTCTCTTGTCTCTGTGTAGTTTCACAGTTATCCCGATTGGTTCAATGCTCTTTGACCTCTGTCGCGGAATATACCGTTGCGCCTGTCTTACAACTCAGCAACAAATGCTAATGGAACTCTAAATAAGCGACTTCAGCTATCTGGCTTACCTCAAGGATTGGATTCCACAACGTGGCCATGGGACGAACGGAAGTACGGAATATCACTGTGAGAACTCCCAGTGGTATCGTTGAGCTAATTCGTGGGACCCACGCTTGGACCGCAGGGATAGGTACAATAATACTACCTATTATTTCTAGCTAGGCGAACTATTATCATCATAGCGCAACGACTTGATATGGAAACGCCCTAAGGTAGTAACATGGCTGGCATGACATTGCGTTAGTTTCGGTTGGTAGGACCCTTGACAATCGTGTCTATAGCCAACACTTACAAACGTTCCAAGCGGGGCGCCCAACAGAGGAATACGTTTATGGTCTTGCCATTTGGGATGATGATAGACGGTCAAATCATACGATTGTAAATATTTAAACTATGCACCTTGCAGAGCCCTCCCGCTAAGAACCAAGGGAGGCTATTAGACGGTCCTAGGGAGTTCGGCCCGTATCATGATTGGCGACGTCGTGGGTCCTAAGTCAGGCGGTTCTGCCCAGGGTTCTCAATGCGGGATTCCGCTATGCAGCGTTCTCTGTATCATAATCTGACTCATTGTCATAACTTGGCAGAAGCCGCTCGACTCAATCAGACTGGAAAGCTCTTGGAAGTCTCACATAGCACCATGGCTTGATGTGACCCTACTATCGCCATCCCATTGATGTAAGGAACGGTTCACTCGAAGCGAGATACACAGTAATGAACTCGATTTTACTAATTCTCCAAGTTGGGCTGTACTCAGTCGATCACTGCAAGTTCAGCCTCTGCCTCCATATCTTGAAGCACCTCATCCATTTCAGCTTGTGTAGCCTCCAAACCTTCAGAGCTCATGAGCCTGTTGTCCTTGTCCTCAGCTGTGCAGGGATTGGTGGTTAGCGTGTTTGTAAGCAGATATATCGGGGACTCGGACACTTACTTCGAGCTTCAACGAGGAGGTTCTCTTGGACCTCGCAATCAGTCAAAACTGATCCGTCTCCAATCACAGCTCGTTTTCCAATGATGCAACGGGTTAACTTGCAGGCTCTGCCCACAACTACACCCTCCATCAGCAGGCACTGCGATAGCTTAGCTCCCTCGTTGATCTGTGACCCCGCGCCGATCACAGTCTCTTTGATGGATGTCTTTTCTTCAACGGTCACGTTCTCAGCAATGAGACTGTCCTTTTGGGTAATGGTGGTACGGGGTTTGACACCTTCGGGATAGGCAATCTTTTTCGCATGGACATAGGGTGACACGGACTCTCCGCCAGTCTCCTCAAGTGACGGTAGCTTAGCCAGCTGAAGTGAGATAGCTAGCAGTAATTGCGCAGTGTCGACTCGGCGAATGAGGGGAGCAGAGACATCGCCAGGGTGGACATAGGCGACGATCGGTGGGACCTCGAAAGACTTGGCCGTCTTCTTAGATGAGGACCTGTCGTCAATTGCTATGCTTGGTGTCGTAGAAATGGGGCTATCATCCGCAAAGACGGGGTTACCTAAGCTGGGCATGTTGTTTGGGCTGTGGTCTCTGGGAGATGACGAATCTCCTTCCTCGTTCTCAGGAGTTTCCTCAACTCGACCTTGAGCACAAGTCTTCTCCAAATTGAGTTTCTCTGCAAGACCAGACTGCCAGCCGGCCTTTGCCCACCAGCCTATAACATCTTCACCGATACTTTCAAATCGATCGTTATCCATGATGAAATCAAGAACCCATCGGGGGAAGATGTAGATGTGAGCATCTCGGTGTGTGGTGAACATCCGCACACGGGAATGCGCACGCAGCAAGCCGTGACGGACTGGAAGAGAGTTCTTGTCTTCTGTCAAATCTTTCAAAGAGTCGGTTGGCATAGAGTACACAAGCTTGGACAAGTTTGAGAAGAGAGATCCCTTGGGTGGTGTGATAGGAGATGAGGGCAAGGGAGTTGTTGCAATGAAGTCGGTCTCCTCCTTCTTGACGGGCGCAATTGCTTTTGTGTTGTACCAAACACTGAGTCCTCCACTGTGAACTGAACGATGGCCGTTGGATAGTCTGGCGGTTCCCAACATGTCTGTCAGGCTAGCTGATTTGACCATCCATGACTGAAGAAGCTTGTCTCCGCCAAGCTCACAGACCAAGTCGCAAGGAAGAATGACGAAGTCGCCTGTGATGATTGACCTAATTTCTGGTAGTCGCAAGATCTCGGCAGTGCCCGTGTTCTGATCAAGATCTGCTGGTGAAAGGATGTCGGGGCGCGGCAAAGGCAGCGCGGTGAGGTGAGGGTTAGTGTTCAGAGCGGTTTTGATAGCATCAGTCGCTGTGGGAGGGCAGATGAGGTTTATATCTAACAGGAATCAGTACAAACGTGGATGTTTCAAAGTGAGAAGCTGCCTGCGACTATTCAATTTTTGAATGAGTCAACAGGGCCCATGACTCTACTGACCTGTGATACCGGTTCGGTAGCAGAAGTCGAGCGCATACCAGACCATAGGTCGGTTGGCGATAGGTAAAAGAGCCTTTGGACTCTCATCGGGGTTGGAGGTGAAAGTCGGGAATGACGACCCAGGGCCGCAAAGAATAAGGGCTTGGAGCCCAGTGGAAGGCATTGAGACTGCGTGGGGCATAACGCCGCGGGGTGCCCTGCTATACTGGTGGTAACGAGGATATCTGTCCTCAGATGAAGCGTGCGGACGTGTCTGACGCTTCTATGGGGTTTCGGGAGCTTTCTGGTTCGTAATGTTCACACCAGAGGCTGTTGTTGGGTAGTTTGCATTCAATATGAAGCGAAGAGTCACTCAATTCATCGTCAATATCAAAAAAGTACGTACGTGGGGTGGTGTCCCGCCTGTGGCTGAAAGGTGCAACACAGCCACATGACAGCCACATCTTGGAAACAAATTCACGTGGACGGGGATGCGCCCGACCTCGGTACGGATTAATGGGTCCCCCGCAATTAGCCCCTGAAAGCTGAGCTCTTTATCGGCGGCCCTCGGGCCCTCGAACCCGTTGTTATTTGGACTGGGGTAGATGGTCTCAGCTCCACCGTCCGTGTTGTTGATTGCCCCAACCACCCGCGAATCTTGAAGAATTGGATCTCGTTTCAAGGCTTCGCTACCGCACAACGGCCCCGATTTGACGCAATTACTTAAGTGTAACACTTTCTTGACCTTCGAACTCCGCGAAAAGGCTCTTTGCACCTCTAGCTGTTGGCGCCATCCGATCCACCTAGCAATGCGACAGTGCGCTGCGTAAATGTCGCCCGATCACGGATCCTCGCGGTCGCGACGAGGAGTTTGGACTCACTGGGTGCCTCTTGCAGTTACACTTACAGTTGCTACTGTAGGCGTCGCTGCTTGGGTATGGAGTCAGCGAAAAGACGAGGATGACGAAGACCGCCACCTAGACTACGACAGCTACGCTCACGAAGGCGACAACAATCAACCCCACGGCTCGCGCGATCTTCAAGGACCTGAGAAACCACCACGACCCGATGATCAAACCCATGGAATTGCGCTAGCGGACGAAGAAGCAGGCAATGGAGGCTGGGGCTCGCGGGTTACTGGCGCTCTGCGACGAACACCGAGCCCGCAGCAGTTCTTCGATTCGACAGGTAAGACTGTGGCGGCTGGTGTCGCGGCTGCGAGTGCAGCTATGGGCAAGGCTTTGGCATCCATTCGAGAGGAGGACAAGAACCCCTTTGACGACACCAATCCCTGGCAAGACGAAGCAGATGCTAAGAATGAACGAGCGCCCGCCGATACGTCGTCTCCACTCATCGGCGGCAGTAGGCGACGCAAGACGGTTGCGATTGTGGTGTCTGCCGAGACGGGCGCCGTGCCTGAAGAGGAGGATGCGTACCACGAACACGCCGTAAGTTGAGATGCTCAACATTGCTTGATTTACTCGCTAACAGAAAATAGTCGATCCTCTCCCACATCCCTCGACACATCGATCATTCCAAGGTTAAGCTATTCGTTTTGATTTACGCTCCTGGTCTCAAGGAACCTTCTATGGATACTGCTACTAGTAACCTTCCGCCAACTTCGCTCAGCTCTTCATTTTCTAACATTGGACACGATCAAGTTCAAACTCCTGCTGAAGAATCAAAGAACCAGCTGTATGCTTTGTTTTTATTCTTACCTTGTTCTGTTGCTAACAAGTTTCAGCGAATCCGCAAGCCCTGCCTTCAACTCCATCTATTCACAGGCTTTGGGCTTGGTTGAAAAGGAGACCATGGTTCTACCTTTCACCACGCCTAATGGTCATGTTCACATTCTGCGACACCTTCAACCGGAAGTCATCTACCTGCAAAAGGCCCTTTCTGGCCAGGATGGCAGTATCATCACTACCATCCAGACCTGGCTTCGACATGACGTCATCCTCGTCGTCGGAGCAGATGGTGGCTCTGGTGGTTTGGCTGATAGTGAATCCGAGGCTGAGAGGGCCGGAAAGCATGTAGAGTGGTGGCAGCGCCCCGAAAGAGTTGGACGAGGACGTGGAGTTGTTGTTGTTGATAGTATAAGGCTGAATGACGATTGGGCGCGTCGAGTTCAAGGTCGCGAATGAGACCCACGCGTCTTCCGAAATCTGGCACGAGATACCATGGACTTTTGACTTTGAGTATAGTTTGCGTTTGAGTTATTTGCAGAAACAAACACGTATCTTATTAAATTACTTTGCTCCTGAGAAACCTATTTCGCAAATTCCGCCGAAAAATGGTGTTGTTCTTCATTATTGGGTTTCGCATTGTTGGGCTGACTCACGTGACCCCATCTGTTCGGTAATCCGACCTCACGCCAGGGAACCACACCCGTGATACCTACTGTACGGGGGACCAGGCGTGCAACATCATCGAAACCATACCCAACTCCAAGACAACGCTGCGGAATTCCCAGAATAGTAACCGGGTGTATTTCATTGCTTTCACTTCTATGGATCGCACACTTCGTTATTAACTTGCGCTTCCTTGGATGACTCGCGTCCCAACCTGGCATTACCGCGGCCAACTCCGCATACCTCTCATCCAGGCGACGAATAACGAACCGATATCATACAGCCCGACGTCGGAATTGAAAAACAACTTCTGCGACCGTTAAGCTCATGTTTGCGACTTGAACGAATTATTACATCAACACCAAGCGGATTACTGCGACCGATATATCGTCATAATCGCTAGCCCCTCGCGGCGCAGCGCGACTACAACACGATGGCGCCAGTTGGACCTATCACCCAGCAAAATGTCGCCAACAAAGTGAAGCGCCCGATCCCGCCTGGGATCCAAACAAACGGCACCATGATCTCCTCAAAATCATCACCATCTCCATCAATGTCAGCAAAGAAACCTCCACCGAGCGCGAAGCAGCCGCCGCATTCGGCCAGCGAGAGGGCCATTACCGCATCAACAGTCCGACCCGTCAATCGATCCCGGCGAGAGACAGCATTGCAACTACAAGGTCGACACTCCAGGAATAGTGCTGGCATCCGATCTGCGTCTTTGACGGCGGATCACGGGGCCCATGACACTGGACCTCGACCATATAGTACGTTCATATTCTGACTCGCTATATTGCCCTGCGCGCCTAACCATGTTTGCAGTTATCAGTGACTCCTATATCTTGAACAAGTTCGCCGGCCGGCCTCCCTCCCTTATTGTCCATCTGCACCAAACACATTTCCGATTTGATAACCAAGATGGCATGTTCCAATACAAGTCACCAATGCGAACCTTCCTAGACCATGTTAGAAGCCGAACGGTCCCCCATGATCTTCTCGCCCACTTGAACGACGGAGGTGTGCCATTTTACGACGGATGTCTTATTGTTCAACTCCACGACCACAAGTCGCCTATCCAAACCAAGGATGTTGTCAGACCCACGTCTGCGAAGGGCTCTGTCTTGCCGTCCTCAATTCACAACTACAACCAATGCCTTACACCATCTCCTAATGTACCCTTTCCAAAGGATAGCCTATCTAATGGTGACGGGAAGTCCAAAACCAACAATGCTGTGGAGAAAGAAGAGACATCTATCATGCCAGCTCCCGAGGAGCTGAAAGAGAAAGTAACAAGGCGCCAGGTGGTCACTGTCGTGTTGCACCCGACGCCAGAGAGCCTACAGATGGACCTGTTAATTAAGGCTTCTACTCCACGAGGTTTGAACGATGCATCTGGTCAACCTCCTTCAACACCTATGTCCCTAATTCCACCAACACCTACCGCAGGCAGTATGCCACCACCAGCAAAACGCCAGAAACGCGGAAAGACAGAGCTTGATGCGAGCAATATCCATGCTGCAGAAGGTCAGATTCTACTAGCCATAAATGCACCACTAATGCTTGAGCCCACCAAGACGTCCGAAGAAACCATTGCACTCCTTGAAGCAATGTCTCACCCCAAGCACGCAGAATCTCCTCCTCAACCTAAGACTCGTAAGAGAACTGTCGCCGAGATGGCCGCGGACGAAGCCATTGCTGCAGAGACAGAACGCTTCATGCTGGTTGCAGACGAGCGTCTGGCCTCCAGCGCCAACGGAGCTCAGAATGGCGGTACTGCTGATGGTGATGCTTCGGGTGGCGCATCCACATTTGAGCCTAGATTTGAGCGATTCAAAGTCATCGCCGACATCAAGAGAGAGCATGCTGAGAAAAAGGAGCAGGAGAAGCTCAAGCAGTTGGAGAATGACCGGAAACTCCAGCAACAAAGACAACAGCAGCAGCAAGAAGCAGTCGCGTTGGCTCAGAAGCAAGCCGCTGAAGACCGCGCTCGCTCAGCTGCGGCGGCAAGAGAAACTCAGTTACGACAACAAGCCGAAGCACAACAGCGACAAGCTCAGGCTCAGGCTCAAGCTCAAGCTCAAGCTCGTGCCCAAGCCGCAGCCCAGAATAATCAGAATGCCCAGAATGCTCCGAGAGCCAATGGAAACCAGCCACAGCATGGTCACCCTCAGAATAATGCTATTGCTAACGGAGTCAATAATGCGGTCGTGGGAACCCCTCAAATGGCCAACAATATGCCTCCACAAGCACAGCCACGTTTCCAAGCTCAGATTTCGCAACCACCGGCGTCTTCTCCTGTTGCCCGGCAAGGCACCCCTCAACACATGTCATCTCCTATGGTTGGAAGCGTTGCCATGCAACAAACCAACTCTGGCATGGCAAACAGCCCCCCACGACCATCTTCTGTCGTCCAAAATCCAGGAGCCATGTCTGTCCCAATGGCTCACAATATGTCTTCTAGGGGTAGCCAGCAGAGCCATCCTTCTGGTACCCCAGGAATGCCTCACTCAACACCCAACATGGCTCATGGCACGCCTATCAACCGGCCTGCCATGTTGACAACTCCTCGCATGACCCAGGCTAGCCCGCCACCGGCCATGATGGCCCAAAATTCACAGAATGGTCAAGGCATGATGATGAATGGCCAAGGCGCGAATATGCAAAACCCGCAATTTGTTGCAGCTCAAATGGCGCAGCAACGTGTTCTTCAGCAACAGCATCAGCAGCAGCTGGCCATGCAAAACGCTGCTAACAACGGCAACATGGGCCAGATGACTCCCCAGCAACAACAGCAAATGATGCAGATGATGCAGAGGCAGTTGATTCAGCAGCAGCAGCAGGCTCAACAGCAGGGCAATATGATGAGTCCTCAGCAGCAACAGCAGCAACAACAACTTGCCGCGCAGTATGCTCAACAGATGCAAAACATGTCGGGCAATCAAATGCGACAATTCCCACCGCAAATGCAGGCACAATTGCAACAGATGATGCGCGCCAATCAATTAAATGGTCAGATGGGCAACAGCCCTATGCAACGTCAAGTCAGTGGGCAGATGATGAATGGTAATAACATGAACCTTCAAGCACTGCAAGCGATGCAGCAACAGCAGCAACAACAGCAGCAGCAGCAGCAACAACAACAGCAGCAGCAGCAACAACAACAACAACAACAGCAGCAACAGCAACAGCAACAGCAGCAGCAGCAACAACAGCAGCAGCAGCAGCAACAGCAGCAAGGAGGACAAAACTCGGTCCAGATGCAGATACAGCAACAAGCCAGAATGATATATTCTAGGATGATCGCGGCGGCTGTTTCAAAGCATGGATCTCCCGATAGAATCCCACCAGATCTGATGGAAAAGATGAAGCAATCCAGCCTACAACAGGGTCATCTTCTCGTCCAACAAAACTTGACGCAGCGTCGACAGCAACAGCAACAAATGTTGATGCAACAGCAGCAACAGCAACAAATGCAGCAGATGCAGATGCAACAACAGCAGATCCAACAGCAGCAACAGATGCAGCAACAGATGCAGGGGATGAATGGGATGATGGGTGGTCCTCAGGGGATGTGAGATCGTCAACAGGACCCGATAAGATAATGGAAAGGATTAATGTCACGGCAGACACGATGTCTGAGGCTTCAGTAGGCAATCATGGAGTTTAGGTTGGACTGGCATTGATATTTGTACATGGTTTATGATTTTGGCCAGGTTTATACCCCGCGGAAAGCGTTCAATCGGTTCAAGGGTGTTGAAGAATGTTGTTCTTCAGCTAGGGGGGATGCTTCTGACAGTTTTGTGTTGGATAATATAGCGATAGTTTACCTTGTCGTGCAAAAGGATTGGTTTATAGTAGAGACATGTTTAGCAATCCAGTTTTTCCAACCAGCATAATTGATCTCATGAATGGGGACTTTTATTTCGGGATAATTCTGTCTGCCTGTCCATCCTTTTCAGGTACCACGGAGTGTCCCAGCGCTGTCACGTGCTAGTGTAGCTGGCGACGCGGAATGACACAACCGCCAAGACGACAGGAGCTTCGTGGTTTACCTCATCCAATCGTTGACGCTTAGCAAACATTGCGATAGCTCAAGGCAACGTGACCATTTCATCACGCAGCTTGTTCTAGACACGCGCCAGATCATCTATTCGTTCGAGTCTTTTCCTTCATTCAAGAATTGCTGTCACTTTTCGCATCTCCTTTCCCTCCGCAAACTCCTCGCCTCGGCATCATCGATTAGCTCTCGTCCCTTATCTCGATTTCTATCTTGTTCCACCCAAATCTTCTCGATGTATCGGCCGGACCTCCTGGCATTTTTACTGCCTCTGCTGGCTGCGCCGGCCTATGCCGCAGAGACACTCGACTGCGCAAAAATACGCGCTGATGGACATACTTTCGACCTCTCCAAGCTTGGTGGACCGCACTCAATCGTGACAACGCGGTTCGTGCCCAACCCGCCGGAACACTACAACACGACTTATACGCTTGATATCTGCAAGCCCTTGAAAAAGAGCGGTGATAACAAGCCCGGAGAATGTCCAAACGGCACAAGAGGTACGTACCGAGCTGATGACGATGGCAAGCTTTATTAACACGCTTCAGTTTGCGCCATTACACATCTTCTCGACGACAGCGATAAGGTCACAAAAGTTGTTGCGATTGCAGGAAACCTCGAGAACGCTGGCGGTTCTCGATTCGAAGTTACTCCCACGCGACTCAAGACAAGCGAATCTACTTCCGATAAACAGAAGGAGGGCGTGCGATTGGTTCTAACAGGAGGCAAGGATCCCCTCGGAGGCCCTGTCAAGGAGAGGACGAACCAAAAGGCTATCATCGAATTTATTTGTGACCCCAAGAAGGAGGGAACCGAAGGCGAGTGGGTAGTGGAGGGGAAGTCCAGCAAGCGGGCTGATGAGAAGGACGATGGCGATAAGAAGGACGACGACAAGAAAGATGACGACAAGAAGGATGATGACAAGAAGGACGACGACAAGAAGGAAAAGGACGGTGATAAAGATGAGGGCGAGTCTACTCTTGAGCACCAGCTGAAGCACGACAATGCTTCTCTTATCTGGGATGGCTTTGAGGACGAGAAGGACGCCAGAGTCTTGCGTCTGACATGGTACACGAAGTATGCTTGCGAGAAGCGAGAGGAGAGTGGTGGTGGTAGTGACGACGACGGAGACAGCACAAGCTCTCACTGGGGCTTCTTTACCTGGGTCTTTTTCATGTGAGTACAAACCCGCCTACTTCTGCAATGGTTTCTAATCTGTCTAGCGCTTTCTTGGGCATCGCCGGCTACCTCATCTTCTCATCGTGGATCAACTTCACCCGTTACGGCGCCCGAGGCTGGGACCTTCTCCCCCACAGCGACACCATCCGTGACGTTCCCTACCTATTCAAAGACTGGATCCGTCGGGTTCTCAACACTGTGCAAGGTACGGGCAGTCGAGGTGGATACAGTGCAGTCTGAGGTGTTTTTGTGACGTGTGCATCGTTTTCAGCTTGCTCGTGGTAGCAGCCATGTCTTTCAAGACTGGTTCTGTGTGTGGGGTGGTACGGCGCTCGTGCTAGCAGCACATCTAGCTGGTTTGTATACATATGTTGGGATTCCTGTGGCTTTCGGTTTTCTATCGTGTAATTAGGTGTTTAGATTTATGATGCGACTAGGCAGCATTAAGGAGTCGCCTTGCTGGGTTGATTTGTGTACTTTTGATATTCTACGACGCCCTTGCTCTGGAGTGTTGAAATGAATTGCAGGGTAGTTATGGAGTGTAGTTCTCTACTTCAACCCATTTAGTTATCAACGAGGTTTAGCATTGATCTCCAATGGGGCCACCATATGCATCATTGGATGGGAGTAATCTTTTCCATCACTGAAGCATGCTCCTTGGCGTTTTTCAATACATGCTCGATGCTGTGAGTCAATAGAATCGGCCCATAGCTTAGAATATTGCTCGGGTAGCATGGTTGTGTAGAAAATTGGATGAGTTTTCTGCGACAACTAGACCAGGATGAGGATGAGGACAGGGAAACTCCAGATCATGATTCCATAGTTAGAGTCAATAGAGTCTCCATAATGGAAACCCATGCAGTATAGTGGCCTGAATGACTCCATAAGGTGAGTAACTTGGAAAAATAAAGTTGCTAGTGTCACAATAAGGGTGCGATAGCGGAGGCGATTGATAAGATAAGACATCACAAATATTCTCTCGTCGACCCCTCCAGACAATACAACAATTCTCCATACTTTGCGATCACCCCTCTCCTTATCTTCCTCTCTTAATAATTTATTCCGTTGGACAATTCACAATTCCAATGGCTCTGCGACTCCCCCTCCGGGCTCGATTGGCCAGCTCCTGCGCCGTTGCCCGTCCTCGGATCGCCCGCCGAGGCCTCGCTTCGCTGCCAAATGCCGACGTCGCAGCCGACTCGAAGAGTGCTGCCATTGTGAACGAGCATGCTCCTTATATGGTCGCTACATATGCTCGCCCGCCGCCTGTGTTCGTCAAGGGAAAGGGCTCGTGGCTGTGGGATGTAGAGGATCGCAAGTTCTTGGATTTTACGGCCGGCATCGCTGTCAATGGTCTCGGCCATTGCGATCCTGAGTTTACTCGGCTATTGGCTGAGCAGGTAAATCGCTCGCGCACTTACACGATGAAAGGACATTAGCTAATGTAATTGTCTGCAGGCTGGTACTCTCGTTCACGCTTCAAACCTCTACTACAACCCTTGGACCGGCGCCCTATCGAAGCTCCTCATCGAAAAGACTCTCGAGTCTGGGGCGATGCACAACGCCGCTTCGGTATTTGTGTGCAACTCTGGCTCCGAGGCCAACGAAGCCGCTATAAAGTTCGCCCGCAAAGCTGGAAAGATCGTCGACCCCTCAGGCGAGAAGGTCGAGATCGTCTCGTTCAACAATGGCTTCCATGGCCGAACTATGGGCAGCTTGTCCGCGACGCCTAACCCCAAGTACCAGAAGCCCTTTGCGCCCATGCTGCCTGGCTTCAAGACGGGCAACTTCAACGACGTTTCTGGCATCAATGCGCTGGTTACCGAGAAGACGTGCGGTGTTCTCGTGGAACCTATCCAGGGCGAGGGCGGTGTTACACCTGCTACAGAGGAGTTCCTTGTTGCGCTGGCTAAGCGATGCCGTGAAGTTGGCGCTGTACTTGTTTACGATGAGATCCAGTCTGGTCTTGGTCGCACAGGAACATTCTGGGCGCACGGAAACCTTCCCAAGGAGGCTCACCCTGATATCCTCACAACAGCTAAGGCCCTCGGCAACGGATTCCCCATCGGCGCCGTGCTGGTGACGAAGGACGTCGCCAATAAGATGAAGGTCGGTGACCACGGCACCACCTTTGGCGGAAACCCCCTCGCGTGCCGCCTGGCGCACTACATCGTCGGCCGTCTCTCCGACAAGAAGCTGCAAGCCGACGTGCGTGCCAAGTCCGAGATCTTCAAGCAGCGCTTCACCAAGCTGCAAAGCCAATACCCGGATCTTGTCAAGGAGGTCCGCGGCCGGGGTCTGATTCTCGGTCTACAGCTGTCTGAAGATCCTTCGCCTATCATCAAGGCTGCGCGTGAGCGGGGACTGCTGATTATTACTGCTGGCACCAACACATTGCGATTTGTGCCCAGCTTGACTATTACGGATGAGGAGATTAACCAGGGATTGGATATTGTTGAGGCTGCTATTGCTGCCACCCGATAAAGGGGTATAGAATTGTGGATGGGTTTATGATGCTTATGGTGTATAAAGTTAAAAGTGTATTTAAAAGAGCGAAGCTAGATAAGAGACTAGATACCATATACTGATTTCAGTTATTTCGTTCTTCGGATATACATCCTTAACTTAAGTAAATAATGTACGGAAATGTTTTATGTGTTTAGACAGTTGAGCGATGGAGCTCAGTTGAGCATAGCTGCACAACAGTAAGGTTGATATAATGATACATATACGGAACTGTGAAGAATCCTGGGTGATAGTGTTGATTCAATAAATTGCTGAGCTGTATATGCATATATAAATAGTACTCCTCATAAACCGCTCAACGCCTGAACATCATGACATAATCCGCAGTCCTTCTATCGTGTGTAGTCTAACAAATGGCATGTGTCTTGCCAGTCTTGCCCTGAAGAGAATGCTTCTCATCCTAGGAAGTGTGTTAGTTATAGAACAGCTGAACATACGGAGTGTATAGAACTTACCTGGTAAACAGGATGGGCGTGCTTTCCGCGCCCCATTGCAGAAATGTGATTCCGGATGTATTCCTCACGCTTCTTGATCGACTCCTGGTCTGTCTCCTTGAGGAGGCCGTGGCACAGCTTGACGTCGGAGATCAGCTGGTCACATCGACTCTTTGTGAAGTCCTCTCGCACAACGACTCGAAGCATCTTGACGCCGGAGTTGGGAGCCATGGTGTAAGCAGGGACGACCCAGCCTCGAGAACGGAGATGGTGCGCCAGGGCGAACTCATCGTAGTATCGATCAGGGTCGCCTCCTTCATCGGTGGTCTTGAAGCGGAAGGCTACGAGAGGGAGACCGGCTCCTGAGCGTTCTGACATGATGACGAAGCCCATGTTTTCGAGGGTTTCTGTTAGGTAGTCGGCTGTGCGTGTGAGGTTGCTCATGATAGCTCGGTAGCCGTGCTTGCCGAGACGGATGAGCTGGTAGTACTGGCCGATGACCTGCGATGCACCCTTGGAGAAGTTGAGGGTGAATGAGGATTGGTCGGCACCGAGGTAGTTGATGTTGAAGACGAGCTCTTGGGGAAGATACTCGGGAGATCGCCAGATAACCCAGCCAACACCGGGGTAGACAAGACCGTACTTGTGGCCCGAGACGTTGATGGAGACGACCTTTTCACATCTGAAATCCCACTCTAGATCGGGGACGACAAAGGGGGCGACGAAGCCACCGCTGGCGGCGTCGACATGAATGGGGACATCGATATTACGCTCAACGAGGAGGTCGTTGATGGTCTTGATATCCTCGTACTCGCCGGTGTAAGTAGTTCCGAGAATAGTGCACATACCGATGGTGTTCTCGTCACACAGATCAACAGCCTCATCGGGATCCATGACGAACCGATCAGGCGTGCAGTAGACGAGCTTCTCGTCAATCTCAAAGTAGCGAGTGGCCTTTTCCCAACAGACCTGGACAGCAGAGGACATGACGATGTTGGGGTGCTCGGTGCTCTTACCCTCAGCCTGTCTGCGGTTCTTCCAGCGCTTCTTCATGGCCAGCACAGCAAGCATGATGGCTTCTGATGAACCGACAGTGGAGGTGCCGACGGATTCGCCGGGGGGAGCGTGGAAAAGATCGCCGATCATGTTGACGCAGCGGTTCTGGATGTCGGCGGACTGCGGGTACTCCTCGTAGTCGATGAAGTTTTTGGAGAAGGACTCTGCCATGAGCTTTTCGGCTTCATCTTCCTGAGTGGGGTGTTAGTGAAGCTATTCAGACGTGTGCAAGTGGGGTATTTTGGAGCTTGGGTTGGTGTTGATGAAGCTAGTTAGCTAGCTGTCATCCCCAGAGCCAAGACATGGTCCGTCTCCGCTAGGGGCGGGGGACGATTTCTTGGCGTAGACTTGACCAGAACAAGAAGCAGTGGGAATTCGAATTACGTACCATGTAAGTAGTGACAAAAGAAGCAAGGCTAGATAGCAAGATCACAATTAGCAGCTGATTTCGTGTTTGAAACGTCATATAGCGGGGGAGCTTACTTGAGCATGGGGTTGTTGTCAAGACTCAGGTCATCCTTGATCATGCGATAGGCAATGTCGCGGGGCATTTCACACTCGGGCATGCGATGCCTGGGGAGGTCCATGCCCGCAAAGCGAGAGCCGTAGACGCTGGTGGTGAACTCATCCTGGTAGCTCGCCAGCTGCATCTGAGGCTTGCGCGACGTGCGAGAGCTCGTGGAGCGGATGGACGCAGCATCCGAGTCGTCGTGGGCGCGAACAACAGAGAGATGGGACATGTTTTCGACGAGCGAGGGAGTGACTGTTCCGTTGGCAGAAGAGGGGAGTTGGCTCTGGGGGAAATAACCGTTTGTACTTGTGGTGGTCTTTACGGGTTGGCCTTTGTCGTCGGTTTCGATGATGGGAACAGGCGAGGTAGCCTCCGAGTTTTGAACGAGACTCATGATGGGAGAAGAGGGGTAGCTCTTTGTAAGTGAATTATCAAGTTTGAATTGCTGTTCTCAAAAAATGTGATAGGCCTAAACAGGAAACGGGAGCAGCCTATTGTGGTGTCGCTTTGCTCTCTAGTTGGCTGGCAGCTCTGGTGATGACGGCAAGCCGCAGAACGATGTGAGGGAGAGTTTGGTTTAGTGGAGGGGTAGAACGGTAAGAACGGCAATACGATGGGGGTTGGAGGTTGTTATTTGGAGCTTGGAGTTGAGAAGTTTGAGCTACTGAGAGAGTACGTGTAATACAAGAGAGGGGAGGAGAGTGAGAAGAGGTAGAAACAAGATAGAGGATATAGGTAGTAGTCTCTTGAAGTATACAAATAGGTGAGGGTCTGTATGAGTGATACGATACAAGGCGAGAGATGGGAATGAAATCAAGAGGAAAACGAACAAAACATTCACGAGGCAGAGCCACCGACTTTTTAAATGATTCTCCTATGTATGCTATGGGCCCCCTAGAAAAGAAGTGAAGAAATAAATACATACAGAAATGGGAGCATGGAAATCCGGCACCTCACGCACGCTTTCACTGGGGCCCATCCTTTTCTCTTTCTGTCTCTTTGTGAGGCCCGGTACCTGAATTACAGGTCATCAACACTGCCCCTGTTTTTTTCCACAACTTTAATGACCCAATCCCAGTATCTCCTACGTATTCCACGCTGTACCAGTACCGCTTCTCCCGCGCGCAAAAGATACCTGATAACTACAAGACCATCCATCTATACCAAACCGCACAAAAGGTCCCCCGTTTTCATCCGCTTCCTCCTTTTTCTCGTCTTTTCCGTAATTGGCCCAAAAGACAAGGCGCCATGACGACGATTACGACTTTTGTTCACGGGGCGGCCCCTTGCTCGAACAAAAACAAACCCGCTTCGGTGATACTGGCGGCCTCGACTTACACCGACACGACCACCTAACCGCTCTGGCACTTTTTGAATGTATATCCCTCATAGAATCTCTACGAATACTTGCTGGAAATTACAAAAAGTCTTGTAGATCCCTTAATGCTTTATTCAGTCTGCGGGCGGCCTCGCAGTCTCGATGAGGGAAAAGAGTAATATCCATCCATACCCGCTCTGGGCCGTCGTGCTTAGGAAAACCCGCAGCTCGGATCTTGTCCTCAAGGTCAGCTCACCTCACCTCACCTCACCTTGCACGGTCCCCAACATCGACGCCCCTTGATATCCTATTCGGGTAACTCGGTCAGAGCATGGAACGTCCGTCTCAATGGACATTCATGAAGCCCAAAATGTCTCTACCTAGACAAAAAAGAAGAAGAAAAGGAAACACGTGGGTATTGGGCTCTGGTCTCCGAGCAAGGCGGGAAAAAGCATCCCATCTTTTCATTGTTACTCACCCTTTTCGAAACACAACACTCTGACTCCGCTGAGTCAGGTCTTTTGCAGATGAGGAAATCGTGTCGGATCGGACAAATACCCTTGTTCTTTGGGGTGCAGCTACTCCGTACAAGGGGATGAGATCCTATTTGCTGGGTTTCGCTCTTTTGTTTGCAACAATGCATAACGTAGCATAGTATTTCCCCAGGTAAAGTCGGTGTGTCCTATTTCTATCTACGATGCTATGTTACGTTTTTTGCTTCCATCTTTCTATGTGTATCCGTATAGTAGAGCGTTTTGCAAGCGCTCGAACCCCCAAACCTGCTTCATCATCTCTTTGTGTTAATTGTGGGCGCATCTACATCTTGCGTCTCATGATGTTTTGCATCACCCCCATACTTTGGCCACTTGATACTGCGGAACATGAAGCAGTTATGGTGTTTCCGGTGCTCTGGAGCCATCTTGCATTATAGTATGTAACCTTTACTTGGGCATCAATCATGTATTTCTCCATGATAGAAAGTCACGGCTTTCTCGGGTAAATTCGAGAATCAAGTTTAACCTCAAGGCTTCTACTACCTTCCTATTCTCTCTACGGCGGTAAACAGCACTGCTCTGGTTAATCTCTTTCCTATGTTTATAGTGGGATATTGGATGAATCGTTATTTACAGGGCTGAAAGGGAAATGTCGGACGGCAGCCCGGACAACATGCGCGGCCCAATCACGGAGGTTGCTGGCCGGTAAGTCGGGCTTCCAGACCCACAGCCACGGCCGTCTTCCGTAATAAATGATCCATCGACATATACGTTTGAGATGACGGTGAATTACCAGCTTGAAACAGGCTGCATTACGTCTTCAGAGAGTACTCAGCTGAATGTGGCTAGAGTGGCTATTGGGCACAGCTCTAAGGATATCCAGAGGCTGGATTTGTTCACCTCGGCTCACCTTGCGACTATCCACTATTTACTACGTACACCAACATGAACTTTATCCTTCATGAGGCCATCGAGACCCAGTATAAATCAAGGCCTTCACTGGTTAGTTTTACGAATTTCCAACAGCTCAAAAAACTCTCTTTGAAGCACACGTATATGAAACACCTTTACTATACCGCTCAACCTCTCAAGAAGAACCCCCATAAGCTCCAGTCCTGTATTTTTCCTCCGTGAGGTGCTTTATCCGTCAAATAACCTGACCTGATGCAAATGGCGTGTTATTCCCCCAACCCAGCCCAGACTCCCCCAGATCAAAGGCCGTGAGACCCTTGCTGCGATCCAATCGGCCCAGGTCCCGGGGTCTTTTTCTGTTTGTTGCGTGTTTTGTTAGGCTCACCGAGAAGACAAGAGCTCTGACGCAAATACGGTCCGTCCGCCCCCTTTTATGCTCTATGTGATTCCGTTTGAGGCCTTGCGTAGATGCTTCCAGAAGTACTTTGATAGTCGCGGCTTTAGTAGTGGTATTGGCTTCTGCTCTGCTCTAATGGTCGAGATCAATATTCAGGGAGCATAGAGAACCTGTCAGCAATGACGGTGTTTTATGCATTGTTCTAGCAACAGTACATGACCAATGACAATGCATCTCTGCAATGCTGCTATCATTCCGTCTTTCATCAGCCTTTGCTAAATATTGGCTCAAGATAGTTCCGTACCTTGACTCAAATTGGCCCACAGCGCGACGGTCCGCCGGGTTTTAATGTCCGCCATTTGCTGCAGCTACTCATGTAACGTTGGCCGGTGGCTTTGGAAGTCTTCTAGAAGCCTTGTGAGCCTGAGGCCAGTTGCCTTTCGATATCTGATCACCTCCATGTTCGGGCACTTAGTTTGTCAACCATGCGGGTCATTCTAATAAGGGTGTCCTTTATGTATCTACAGACAGCTATCATATCTTCGTAAGAATAGACTATATGAGCATATGCTTTCATCATTTACTCCAGCTTAGAATCCAACGCAACATCGTTTACTCCAGAATGCTCAACCAATATGCCACAAAAAATGCACATCACATCGCTTTCAACTTGATACCTTGCATCACCACCTCAACCATGACATCTCTTCAGACTATGCTCAATCCTCTTCACCCATTCCCGTCAACCCGCTCGCAAGCCCCTGCATACGCCGTCCAAGCAAATCATCAGAACTCTTGAGCTTGACGAAGCTCTTGTTTCTATTCTTGCTCTTGCTCAAGCCCACACTCTTCCGTCTAGATCCGCTCTTGGTGTTCTTCTCGCCATTAGTTTGAACCCCGCTTGTCGTGTCTTCACTCCCGTTCATCTCTGGGGACGCTGGGTTCTGCTGTGGCGTTGTCTGGTTGGAGCTTCGACGCTGGTTCATCTTTGTCATGCTGATCTCGAGCGGCTTGTCTTCCTCGCCGCTGGATTCGGTACGTAGATGGTGGCGGCCGTCGCCGTTGACCCCGAAGCCGTTGGTTTGTGAGTCGGCGGCCCTGGCTTGTCGACTTTTACGCACGCGCGTAACTTCTGCGTGGTCAAAGAGCTGGTCGAACCACTCGATGCATCGCTCGAAATGCCTCCAAGCAGGAGGATACAGCGTCGGGAATTGCATGAAGCCGTGGGATGTACCGGGAATCAGCATCACTTCAGCCGCATCTCGATCGTTGAACTCGGTCTCTCCACCATGTCGTCCTGACTTATCCTGGACGAACGCAGCTTCTTTGGCGCGGCGAAGCCGTCCAGCAAAGATGACTGTGTCATCAACCAGAGGATCTCGTTCTCCCGTCATGAAGTATGTTTTGGGGAAATCGACCAGTAAAGCCTCAGGTGCCAGCACAGGGCTGAGGAGGTAGTCTTGGCTGAAGTCTGGTCGGTTGTGTGCGCCGATATATAAAATGATCATGGCCCTCATCATCTCTGGTGTGAGAACTCGGTCGTTGAAGTATGAGATCATTGATGAAGTAGCTAGTCGCGTCTTCATCGGTTCGACATGGTGTGCTGCTACCTTTCCATTGGGCTCTGGTACCTCCTTGGGAAAGCTCAAAGATCGAGGACCAACGTGAGAGAACTCTGGGTGTGGGCTTTTAGGCCCTTGAGATGCTGCAATCAGTGCTTCCTTTGCCGCTAGGCCATTTAGTTTCGCATGCGGTGGTGGCGATCCATCTTCGTCATCATCAGAGTGATGAGGCGTTCCCAAGACCTCATTGTACTGCATGCTCTTGCGGCGCATAATTCTGCGATTCGTTTTTCTCGCCTTGCGATCCTTTATCAGAGACATCTGCTCGTCAGTCATCCAGTTTCCGATGTTCATATCCAAAGCTGGATAGAAGCAAACAAGGCCGTCAGGGGGCGGCAACTCTGTTTGCCCTGGCCTTTGGAAAGCATCATGTCTCGTTTCCATAATCATCAACGTCGCTGCAACCGTGAGGTTACCACCAGCGCTGTCTCCTGTGATAATCACCCGAGGAACAACTGTGCCTGGCAAGCCTATACATCGGCCCTTGGTGTTGATGATGGTCTTGTACACATCAAAACACTCGTTTACCGCATATGGATACGGGAATTCGGGTGCCTTCTTATAGTCGAGACTCAGAATAGGTAGTCCTGACTTGGCGGCCCAGGAAAATAATTTGTCGTCATTACAGCGAGGGTCCATCGCGACAAAGCCGCCGCCCGGAATGTCGAGTATCACCCGATCATGGCGCTCAAGATCCGATAACGGTCCATCGTAGTACAGCCACGCGAGAACAGGTTCCTTGTAGTCGCTATCGGCAGGTCGCGGAATCCGAATCTGCCTTGGGGGCCATCGCATAAAACGAGGTCGCATAAGTCCCTGAAAGAAACTCAAATACGGCGTCGTGCCCTTATTCCAAGAGACACGCAAATGCTCAACAGTGACCATGCCCCTCACCTTGCGAACCTTTTCGTCTGCCTTTTCAGCAGCAACAAGGTAGAAGAGGGAGAAGACAATGCTCGCCATGTCGCGCAGCCACTTCGTCTTGATCTTCATGGCTGTCCAGAAACCTGCGTCCAGCGCAGTCAAGACCCATGTGGCTCGGTAGTAGGTGGCGTCGTACATATTGGCCATGGGCTCAGGGCTGGCGAGTCCGACGAGGGTACTGAAGTTGCGAGCGGCGTATAGGTAGAGCATGGTGATTGTGACGATTTGCCAGGCTGTGAGACGCTTGGAGAAGAGTCTCGAGAGTGACTGCGCGCCGGGAGGACCATGTTTGTGGCCCCTAGGTGTGTTAGTACTCGATGAGAAAAGATCAGAAGTGAAATGTTTACTTGACTAGATAGGCAGACCAGAAAGTCAAGACTGCGAGGACTTGTAGACGTCGAGACTTGACCGAAGGCCGTCCTAGGACGTGGTCTATCATGATAACTAGACCAGATCAAATATCAAATGTGCAATTTTTCCAAGTAATGCCGACGGAATATATGTGCAAGGTCGACAAAGGGACAAAGGAAATCAATTAGAGCCCAGACACATGGTGTCGTCGGTCTTTGGGGTAAAACCAAGGTCCTTCACATGAAAGACAACCGCGTCGCACGACTCAATATCCTCGGTGGTGGGACTAGGACAGGGTTACGAGGCTTATCGTGAGTTGATCAGTATAAGTCGTAATCTATCTTCCAGGGAGTGGTTATAACGGTTACGCTGTATGGAGTACAGTTTCAGGTATTCAACGTTGAACCAGGGACGAGCAGAAGCACAGAAGAAAAGAAAGAATTAGACAAAAAGTCAAATGCCATTGTGAATAAAAGTACTTAGGCTGTATAAACGAGGCAGCGCTCAACTTGTCCGTCTCAATTGGGTTCAAGAGCCGAGTAAGATGACGACCCGTGACTCGTGACATGTTTTGACATTGGATACCATCTTGTTCGAGTCCAACTTGGCATGTGAAAGTCCTCCCATCTCCAAAAACTCCGGGGGAAACGCGGGGGTGCGCTGTGGGGGACTACCAAGCATGACGTAGATAGATCGGGAACAGCATTGATATTTCTTTTCTGCAGAAGATAAAGACAACTTCAGCAAGTCATATTGTACCTTGGACGTAACGAGGTCTCCTTCAAAAATCTGCCACGTCTGTTTTGCTGCTCACGAGGTCTCAAGCCTCTCCCGTCACGACTGCAAACGTGGGAGAGCGTCAGCTGAACGTGAACGGCTCCCCCCCAAACTCAAGAATTAACCGGAAGCGATGGAATGGATCGCTTTGTCTTTGCGGGACACATGATTCATGGCTTGGGATGGCACGTGTTTGGTTGTCCAAATGCAGCACCCCTGGCAGGTTTACAGTATCACATGCTCAGCGACAGAAGCTAATTGCATTCTCACTGAAGCAGTTCTGTGGGCTAAGCATAGAGTCTAAGGACCTCGTATAGAACTCTGCCATCATTGGGTTCTCAGTACAGTATTATTCATGCAATAAGGATAGCAAGCTTGGCCACACACGAACGGCCATCCAACCGAAGGTCAGAGCAAAAAAGAGAAGACACCGCAGTCACAAACGGCAAAAGAAATGGAGACATAGGGATTTGAACCCCAGACCTTTCGCATGCTTCTGTATCGATGCAAAGCGAACGTGATACCCCTACACCATATCCCCTGTTGTTGTTGAAGCATGTCTGACTTTTTGTCTTTATGTAGCTAGATTAGTGGAGGTGGATACCCATGCAACAACCACATGGGGGTCCCACTTAAACCTTACCATTTGAGCCAATTCTTTTGTGGGGGATGTGGGGCACATCTCCCCTTCGGAACGGGCGACTATAGGAGGGATTGCAACTCCGCGGGGGTTAAAGGGACTTATCCTACAGTCAATTATTTTACCTGGCCATGATCTTCCAAATTCAATAGACTCATTGTTGATTTTTCTCTACTGGACTCATCATGATCCTCATACAAATTGTTTCATGTTTCCTTCTCCAAACGATTGCTGGAGTGCTGACCATCGCCAGCCTACAGCACAATTAATTGTCTCAACCTACATTATCTTCAAGTCTGATAAGTCACCTACAACGAGTCAACCAGAGATAGATATAGTATGATAGATATAGTATGACAGATATATTATGTATATTTTATGTAGAAACCTTATGTTTTGTAAGGATAAATTCTTATAATCTTGTGCAAAATTTAGAAGAGAGCAAATCATTAGAACTTTTGTACCCTCATTGTACCTTGTAAACTTTATGAGTTTAGCAACATACCACACTCGTAGGTCGGTGGCGCAGATTCCTCGTTGTATAGGTTCTCAATAGGATTGCAAGACTCTGTTACTTTACCTGCTGTGTAGATTTATCGAGGAAGAGGGATACTATCCGACAAGTGCCCATAGAGGTACCGGCTTCATCGAGATTGATGCGTACACACACCAAGCCCAAGTAGAAGACGATAAGAGGAGAACAATGAGATGTTGCGAAGATGGAAGAGGATGAAGAAGAATATTGAATCCGACTCACTGATCATGTATATGTGGTTATTGTCGGCTCTCATCAGTGCCGCTGCACTGCCCTCGACCTTACCAGACCAAACCAGTTGTCTCTCATCTGCATAAACCATTCAGTTAAACTTGCCCCAAGAATTATCTCGCTTTCTCAATCTACACAAAATCCAGCCCACTGTCCACCTTCGCCTCAGATCTAACGACCTTCCAAGATGTCTGAATCCCCAGAAGCTGCGGATTCTACCGCATCACGGCCCATATCCAGCTCAACCGGCGACATCGATGCTACCGTTGCCACTATCAAATGGAGAACCGAAGCGCTCCTATCCAGCCTCGACACATGTGAGGAGTTCCGCGAAGAAGACGAACTTTCCGAGGATAAATTCTTTGCGATGGTGGACGTGCGGAGGAAGCTAGAGTCGCTCTGGCTCTCCATCATCAACGTTCAAGAACAGGGGGTTAACGCACCTGCGATTGCCTACATTACCATCAAGCTCCGTACTTTTCGTACAACACTGATACCATATGACATTTATCCTGAGATTAAGGGACTGGTAGACGTTATCGATTTCGTCTTTGGGAAGTCGTCGCTAGCCAAGCTACTTGAGGGCACAGATTGTGACGAAAGCTCAGCGCTTGAGACTGACTCTGACTCTAGTGAGTGTTTTAATATATCTTTAACAGATGGCTAGTTTCCTCATACTGACTGTGCGTGTAAACAGACCGATCGCTATCAGACAGTTCATACTAGAGATCTCAGTGTGGATTTTCCCAAGGAATGATATCAAAATGGCAGCGAACCAACTCGCGACAAATACACGCCTCAGATCACGGAGCGGGAGGATGGGCAAAGGGTTGTACTATGTTTTGCGAACAGATTTGGAGGTGTATAAGTAGGAGGAATGACTTAATACCGCGTTCAGTCAAGACAGGGGGTCTAATTGTTTCTTTTCACCGACATGACACTGATAGTCTAAGGGGACCAGCATTGTACTGGTGTTATGTTCCAATGATTGTTCATTGGTGAAGCAGAATACAATACAGTTAGCAAACGGCCTGAGTCAAAGCTTCATATACTTGTACTGCAATACCCTCTTGTATAGTGCTGCTTAATTGTGGTTTGGTGTGGTTCTATAAAGGTTCTAATGACAGGAATAGACTAAATTCTTTTGAACCTACTGACTCGATCCGAGTTTTATACAAGATTTAACAATCATGTTTTCAATGATTACAAAGCCTATAGAAATTTATGAGAACTCTTGTACGCCTACTATACTAGACGACCAGAATCCCATTTTTCAGTAAGGCTATTCCACTATGCTGGGACTCTTGCTGTCTTGTCAATGGGTGGATTGATTCGTCTTGAACGTTTTCTTCGGAAGATTACTACCCAGGATATCAGACCAGAGCCTTCATGAGGCAATGCGCCCTGATTGTTTGGCTCGCGATGAGCAACCGAACTGAAGATGTTCAAAGTAGGGAATAGCCAGACAGGTTTGAGGTTTTATTCTTGTGTAGTTTGAATCAGTAAGTGCGTCACGCCTTGCCGTCCAACTTGATCTATGATCACTTCTTCATTGTTTTAGGATTGTAATAACATGACGACAACCATGACGTGGAGAAACAACGGCCCTGAGGCTCTACCTACTACTCACTACCTACTCACTGCCTAAGTACCTAGGTAGGTAGGTATGCTAAAATTCTAGGAGGAGTGAAGATGATGCCTTCCCGAACATATACATTCCTCGATGTTATGGGAAGTCGCTGCCAGAGTTCACCTTCCTTGGGCAGGTCACTTCAAGTGACAGTCAAAAAGATGAAACGATACATTCTCCTTCTTCTTTCTCTTCTTCTCTTCACAATATCTATACATCTCTATTCTATCTTTTTTCACAAAAGCTTCTATTTTCATCATGTCTACAGGCTGGCCACGGCTTGGTGCCAGAACTCGACCATCAAGAGTCTCCTCGTTGTCTACAGATTCGAATGTAGACTGCGAAAGCCCGAAACCAAAGTGTGAAGCGTTGCCCGCAGACACCAATGAAGACCGCCAATCATCAAGACCTATGTCATACGCCGATGTCTTGAAGGGACCCCAATCACCAAAAGCTGAATCACCGGCTGGAGATATCGATAACGAATCCCAGTCATCAAAGACTGCATCACTGTCCGGAGATTCCGATGATGAACCTCAGTCGCCGCAACCACCAGAAAGGCCTGCAAACTCAATTCCGTTTCGTCTTCTCCATCCTCAATCCTCCAGGCGCCATGACAACCCCTGGATCGGAACCCTTCAATACCGAGTTTCTGCCTTGGTCAACAGCATTGAGATCGCCCAAGCCAATGCATTACCATTCGGGAATCATACAAATATGAGAGAGCCCCTGCCATTCGTCATGGACCGGAACCTTTCAGCATTACTCGTTCGGTCAAACATGCGTTTGGTCGCAGAGTGGATCATCGAACTGCAGATGAACGGGGTATCTCAGTTTGATGGATTGGAAGACATTATTAAACACCTCAACTTCTTCGGTGACCATTGGAGTGTAGAAAATCATGTCCCTCTACTTTTGCAGATGATCCAGCGTCTCATATCACATTTGGTGGGCTGAGGCCTTGTTCACTCGAAATTGGCTTCATAGCGACGACGAAGAGGGACAGGTCATCCTGGCAGATCAGAGGCAGAGGATCGACTGCATCTACGGAGGAGCCCTGATGGTCTTCTTTCCATAGAGAGGACCACCATCATGTATTGATTAAAGCGTCGAGGTCCATCAATCCTTGGGGGTTTCTTGCTTGTCAATATGGAAAGAAGCAAGCAGCGATGTGTAATAGACTCTTATAAACAGTCCCAGCGGTACAATAAGATCAATTGTTTAAAATCATACGTTCAGCACAATTCACTCAATATCCACGTATCAGGGCTCAAGACTCTCTGTAGTAATGTATGCCTAGGAAGTGCGAGTACAAGCCTGAGGCTATCGTGGACTAAGGAATGCTTGAACAATGACACAAGTAGTCTGTCAACTCCCTACTTTGTTCCGCGTAAAAAGATGTGTGTCGTTAGTTGAATACATCCCGTTTCCATAGCAGGCAAGATATGCAGTGTCAAAGTAAAATTTCAGACAAATATCATGTCTGAGCATCAAGTCATCACGCTGTGCAGGACCAGATCGTCTTCGCTCAAAGGCCAACATGCTTCTAGAAGCAAACCACAAGGGAATGGACGTAGCAAAGGAGGAAGTGCCTCGACTAGATACTGAAAATATATTTTGTATGGCGCCAGCTTTCGACTCCTTTATCGTAACGATCTTCTAAAATAGACGTCCTTCAACGCTTGTCGTCAACACTTTATAGTGACTTGCCCATGAACTTTCTCTTGGTGAAGCTCAACCACCACTTGCTAGGCTTGGTCTCATCCTCGTCGTAAACCCTGGCGAGTAGTCGGGAAGCAAGCTCTTGTCGAACCTGCGACATGTATTGCTTGAGCTGCTCTGCCTCTTGCCTGTCCCTGGGGGGTTCGTACATCTGTGTCAAAGGTTAGCAATTCGGCCACAATCTACTGTTTTCTGCGTCAATTCGGAGCTTACGCACCTGGTTAAGGGGCCATCCTGGGTCGCCAGGAATAGCAAAGTTAAGGTCAAGTGCCAGGTTGGTCACATCCTTCTGAGCATCACGCAGGGAGGCTCCTGGGCGGATCTTGGTCAGACAATCACTGACAAACCAGATTCCATACACAAGTAGACGGTCGGCAGGGCCTTGGATCTCAAAGTTTCGGAAGAATGTGTTGGCACGGAAAAGAGCGAGAACCTCATCGAGAATATCGTAGCTATCGCTGTCAGGATCGGGTGACTCGCTGGCCGGCAGAGGCGGCGAGGGGGCAGGCAGGGTGTAAGCCGGTCCGCGGGTCTTTGTACGGAGAGGAAGAAGAGGGAAGTTGCCGATTATTCGGGGGACATTGGGGTCCGAGTTAAAGACGGAGTTGTATGCCTAGAAGGAAGCATGGTTAGCTTGGTTGCTGTGGACTGGTATCGTGAGATACGGAGGCGGTGGTGATGCAATAGGAGTGACGGTGGAGCACATTTGTGTAGTTGATTGAGGAAACATTGCAGGCTAAAGACATACCGGCATCTTGAACAGCAGCTAATAGACCAATTCCAGTATATCAAAGCTGTTTTGTAAGGGAACAGACAAATCGGCGCAAGTTACGGGCTGATGCTGAGTTGCGCTTCGTCACCGGCGGGGCTGCATTGAGCTGCTCGCTGCTTGGTGCTCACGAAGCTGTCCCTTGATGTGGGGCTACCAAGACCAAAGTTGATGCCTGAGTTGGGGTAAATCTCGAGTCAGGCCACAAGAGCTGATGTGGCGCAGCTTGCTTACCGCCACGGCTGCCTAAACTGTTTCCGATCGATCTCACGTGAACTCGCAACTCATTCGCGCCGATTCGATCCGCGACGAATCACGGTGGCAACGCGCTTTTTCCTCCTACCGCGTGCACACACATTTCATATCCTCTTTATGGTATCCACTGTCCGGCCTAATAGAGAGAAGCCTTGCTCACGCTCCCACAAGAAAAGGCACGACGGCCCGCCCTAAGAGCGGTGCGATCCAAGTGTCACCGATATTTCTTCTTTTCCCTTTTCCCCCTCACCTTGCGTGTCCTTCACTTCCCTTTTTTCCTCCCAAAAAAACGTCAGTTTTCCAGTTGCCTTCTTCTCACTACAGCTCGCTTCTTATTGGACACTGCTAGAAAAGACGCTTGCCTCAAACACCCCTTTTTTTACTTTTTTCGTCAATCTTTGACAAGGGAGACGCTCGTGCCAGCCGCTAGTGAGAGCTTGTCATTGGGGATAAACAGGGAATCATAGGGCGCGTCGCAACAAGGACAGGAAGATCCGGGTTCAGGCAACCGAACCGCATCAGACTGAACAAGAGTCATCGAAAGGGGCAAATCAATATCAATCTTGAATGCTTGCATTTGAGTAAGTTTGAGCCACGCCCGTTTTCTTCCTCTAACATCAACGACAACTCCAACACAAGCCTTGCAAGGGCATCCCAGACCTACCTGACCTGTGGCTAATTCGACCTCCGCGCGACAGTTCTCTCTTTGGAAACGGCAGCTTCATCGGACAGCTGCGCAGTTTGGTGGACATGGCTACTTCGCATCCTTCTTCCACAATAACGACTCCGGCGCGCAACGGCAACGGTACTGTTGCTTCGCCGGACACAACGCCTTGCACATCGCAGGCGCCCGTTATTACCCCACGCAAAAGGCGCCCGCATCGCATCTACCAACCGACAAAGAATTCTCTCTACGACATCTTCCAGCAACACTCCGGCATCTCGCTCTTTGTGCGCCCAATCTGCTGGACCGACTTACATGCCCAACTCCTCGGCGCGAGATGGGACGAGTTGCCACCATGCGATACACCTCATCCTACTGCATCGCCAGGCACGCCACCATCGCGAGGCCATCTAAGTCCATCAAACACCATCATCACTCTCAGCAACGCGCTCACCCAGATACTTCTGCCCGACGCGATGCACCCTATCCTCGCCTCCAATGCGGTCAAGACAGTCTTGATGACGCTATGGCCTACAGCCTTCAGCAAGCCACAATATCTACCTGAACTTCACCTATACTTTGGCGGTCGCGTCTATCGTGATGCTGTGCGCGCACAGCTAATGTGGAATTTCCCTGCCGAGGAGCCAAAGTCGTCTTATTCCTCCTTCAAGACAATCTCAACGCGACCTGCCGAATCCTTCAACGTCTCGACACAGTCATCCCCAACTCAGTGCCCCGCTAATCTACCCATGATTTGCTACATTGGTAAAACTCAACTAGCATCAGTCCGAAACAATCTATTCCGCGTCGCACCTGGACCAGGAAGATCATGGAATGAGCCCGTATTCCGCCTGCAACAACTCCGCGCTCGTATACTCATACCTTCAAATTCGGATCATGATGCGCACTTCGTAGGCATTTTCCTCGGCATGGCACAGAAACACTTTTACCCTCCTCCGCCTATAACCGGCAGGCGCGATTCGCGAATGTCTCCAGAGCAAGGAATTCCACCATGCCCAAACTTTCACGACCTCAAATTGAAGATTCTTACACATGACACCGAGACGTCTGAGTTTATCGTCTACACTGGAAACATCACAAAGGAGTTTCTGGAAAAGTTTCACGACCCCTTCAAGGCGTCAACCGACGATGACGAGGCTATGGTTTCTGGTCTCAAGATCGAATATACAAGAGTCCCTATCTGGCCCATCTTAGGTCTACGGGAGAGACTTGGCAAAGCTTTAGGTCAAGATGTCGTCGGTGCTTTCGACCCAGATGTGATAGAAACATGGGAGAAAGACCCCGAGAAACAAGGTGGCGAGAAGCGCAAGCGAGAGGTTATCACAGAAGTTGTCAACAGCAGTAACAGCAGCTTCGAAGAAGGGGAAGAGGAAGAACCCGCCGTGGTTTCGAAGAAACGATGTTTGAATGAAGGCACGCCTGTGGGCGTTGTCATGTAACAATTGGCTACAATCGATCCAGGAGGGGAATTGGTAGCATATACCCAAGTTTGGTGTTAAGGACGCAACAGGACACGCATACACTATATCATACACTGGTTGGGCGGTCTAAGGAATTGCATTAAGACTCTATCTGCCTCGCAGGCATATATGGCAACGACAACGGCGCGAATGGTTATCAGGATTACTGGGTTATGAGCGGCAGCATTTGGTTTCAGGACTAATTACGACAAGCGCTTTTGACCGGGCGGCTTGATGGCTTGTAGATATCACTTTCTTGTTGATTTTTGAGCCTGAAAAGGCATATAGCTAGTAGCTTAACGACGAATTGATGAACATATTGCTTGAACATGACATACTATGATACATTCATGACTCGGGGTTTTCGCAGATATCGGAGCATTATTCCTTAGCCACTGACTGACGCCCTAACATCACGGCAGCAGATCTCATGGGCAGTAGGGCTCGAGAAACACATGTCTTTTTGCTCCTCGGGTTGCCTTCTTAAACTTTCATGGGAACCTCGGGATGCTGTACGACTACACACCATCTTCTCATGTTGCTTATGGGTAGGAAGAGGAGATAGTAGAGTTCAACAGCGTGATCTAGTTGTCTGCACCTGCATAACATTGCATATCTAGTTTCTTCTAGTGATAATAGCGAACCAGTTTCCTAATTTGGACAACGGAAGAAAACAGACTGGCTGCGGACATAATGCGAAGGGCACCGTGATAGGACGGAAGTCTAGGTAGTATCTGGTGATGGTTGCGCATCTGCAAGCCTGAAGATGGAGAACCTTTGGTCTGGGGGAGTTTATGTACATTGCTTTCCCTATGCAACGACAACGCAGCTATCCTAGCGGTGTTCAATATCAGTGATAAGTATGCAAAACTCAAGATAGCGCAACTATCCGGATAAACAACAAGATCAAAATACTATCAGTTGGGCAATAGACTTGCTACCTAGCCTTTGGGTAAGGCTAAATTGCAAGATTCGCCGTTTGGGAAATCTAACCGTTGTCACCGCAGTAGAGGGTTGCATATATGTACGGCTCGATTGGAATATGTCACCTGGAAGGCCGGGGTTGTATGTGGGATGACGTTCTTGAAGCGCATCTGGAAGAGACCAGGGATAAGACGATGCTGCAGTTTACACTTGCTGATTGATAATCATATCCATGCCGTAGTCATTAAACGACTTACCTTGTTGATGTCTCTATATCGAGATGGAAAATGCATATGTGAGTTAGATGCAGACCGACATTTCTAAGCTTCAGTGATACCCCCGCACCTTCAGTATAAACTCATCCTTTCCCGGCTCATTGCGGGTTTCCGGGGCCGACCATGTGCATACGGCAGACCGGGGTCCGGAAGGCGGGGTCACAATTAAACTTACAAGTCACGGAAGTATCCGTTTGAAGATCTCAATAAGGTAGAAAAGGTAGCATGAAGAAGTAAAAGAAGATATGCCTCTTCTCACAGTTATGCATCATGAGCTAGAGCAAAGGTCTTTCAAGTAGAAATAATTCAAGATACTACGTAAGATAAAACAAGTTCTTCTCAAGAGTTGAGATTCTCTGATACTGGGATTATATTATGTATATCTCACCTGCCAGGATCAAGGGTTCAAGTGCCATCTCAACTGTTAAACAACTTCCCCACCATCCATCTAAGTTACCGCCTATCTTTTCCTCCGATGAAACCTTTTTCTTGTCTCTCCACCAACCACATCAACCCAGTATAACTCATCGTCCAGCTGATCATCGATCCTCAACCATCCATTTCTTCCTCTTGGCGAGTAACGAGCTTTTCCATCCCCACCATCATTTTCCACGTGCTCTTCCCGTCCGCGAAATCAAGAATATCTCAGGTCGTAGCCTCGGCCTCGTCTGCTCTGCAATTGAAAAAAAGACTTCCGGCAGACATTTCCCCGTGGGGAAGCGGGGCTGAGGTCAAAGAGACCACGGCCTTGCGTCGGTACTGAAGCTCTTTTGGGATTCGACGGATAGACTAGGCTGCGATGGCCTCCGTCAGGTACGGCGATGGCTTCCTCTTCTGAATGACCAAGGTGCTCTGAAGGCATTTCAAAGCTGGACAGCAAAGCGGTTCCAATCAACGTCGCCCAGATCTAGTAACTCATTATCGGTATTGACGATGTCCGAGCGGTATTCTGATGGTGGAGTAGAGGGGGCCAAGCACACAACTATGGAGGATCGAAGCACGATCAAGTCAGGTTCAAATTGAGCTCATTTCCCACTCCAATTTTTTCAGAATGGATCAGCAGAACACATTGGTCTCGTGTCTCCCAGAATACTTCAGTGCTGGCGGTCCTGTCTGAGTTAGCAACTTCGTTCAGCATTTGTTTCCTGCCATTGTTCCTATCTTTACAGTTCTGAGGCTTCTATATCGCCGACAGCCTACTCTTGAGCTTTAAGATGAAGTTTCAAGGTCTACTCTCAGGCTTCGGCCTCCTCACTTCCGTGTTGGCAGTCCCCGCTCCGTTTCCTGCTCCGGACGCGATAGCTGTTCCGGAGCCTGTCTCGCCCGCTTCACCTGTCATTGAGGAGCGGGCAGCCAAGGTGACCGTCGCCGTCCCTTCTGGCACAGTCATCGGATCCAGCTCTGGCAAAGTTGATTCATTCAGAGCTATCCCCTTCGCAGATCCACCAATAGGTTCCCTGCGTCTCAAACCCCCAAGAAAGTTATCCAAGCCTTTGGGTAACTTTGACGCATCTGGACTTACTGGCCCATCTTGCCCTCAGATGTTCATCTCCACTGGAGGCCAGGATGTCATCTCCGAGTTTCTCTCGGACTTCCTGGCTATTCCCTTCCTTACACCTATCACTGGTCAGGAGGATTGTCTCACCATGACCGTCCAGCGACCTGCAGGTACCAAGGCTGGTGACAAGCTTCCAGTTCTTTTCTGGATCTTTGGTGGTGGCTTTGAACTAGGCTCGAGCGCTATGTACGACGGCACTAGTCTCCTTGGCACTGCCATTGATCAGAGCCAGCCCTTTATCTACGTGGCTGTCAACTACCGAGTTGCTGGCTTCGGCTTCATGCCCGGTGCTGAGATCAAGAAGGATGGAAGTTCCAACTTGGGTCTGCTCGACCAGCGTCTAGGTCTAGAATGGGTTGCCGACAACATCGCATCCTTCGGAGGTGATCCTGAAAAGGTCACTATCTGGGGAGAATCTGCTGGCGCCATCTCTGTGCTTGATCAGATGGTTCTGTATGGTGGCGATGCTGATTACAAGGGCAAGCCACTTTTCAGAGGCGCCATCATGAACTCGGGCAGTATCGTTCCGGCTGAGCCTGTGGACGGTGCCAAGGGCCAGGCTATCTACGATGCTGTCGTGAAGGAAGGCGGCTGTTCTGGGGCTTCTGACACACTTGCTTGTCTACGTGGTCTAAGCTACGACAAGTTCCTGAACGCTGCCAACTCTGTCCCAGGACTGCTGTCTTACAACTCACTGGCTCTCTCTTACCTCCCACGACCAGATGGCAAGGTTCTTCCCGCTAGCCCTGAAGAACTCATCGCGGCAGGACGCTACCATGCTGTTCCTATGATCAACGGAAACCAAGAGGACGAGGGAACTTTATTTGCACTGTTCCAGCCGAACTTGACCACAACAGCCAAGTTTGTCGACTACTTGCAGAAGCTATACTTCTCCAAAGCCACCAAGGCTCAGTTGACTACTTTGGTGAACACATATCCCATAACTCTCAGCACAGGCAGTCCCTACCGCACCTCCCTTCTCAACGAAGTCTTCCCGGGCTTCAAGCGCCGCGCCGCCATCTTTGGCGATCTCGTCTTTTCCCTCACGCGCCGCATCTTCCTCCAGGCGGCAACAAACGTTAACCCGGACGTTCCAACGTGGTCGTATCTCGCGAGTTACAACTACGGCACGCCGATCCTCGGAACGATGCACGGCTCAGATCTCCTGCAGGTATTCTACGGTCTGTGGCCCAACAATGCCATGCGGAGCATTCGAACGTACTATTTCAACTTTCTGTATAATCTTGATCCTAATGAGGGTGTTACGAAGTATGCTACGTGGCCTGAGTGGAAGGAGAGCAAGAAGCTCATGTGGTTCAAGTCAGCGAACCAGAACGATATCCTGAACGATGACTTCAGGACGGACTCGTATGAGTGGATTACAAGTAATGTGGATGTTCTACGGATATAAGTCATAGGTACCAACGGATGTCATTTTTATTATCCCAGTTTGACTATAACTACATGTGATACATCGACACGGTCCATACTCTTGCTCTCTTGAATATTGATCTTCGGTTTCCAGAGTAATTGATTGTTCTTTGACCAAGACACCTACCCTATCCTCATGATACACAGTGCATATCACCACCATGACCTAGCGCACACGGCCCTATCATCTCGCTTGTCGCCGGCAATACGGGGTTTGAGCCTCACGTTGACCCGAAAATTTCGACATCGCATCAACATTTGACAGACGGGGGCAGCTACAAAAGTGCCATCAATGGCGTCTCTCAGTGTCTAAAAGAGGATTAAATTGACATCCCATTAGATTCTATCAACGACCTGCCCAATTGCGACGGCGAGTCACTCCTGAAAAGGGAGACGATCCGGCCCAAACATGTCGTCCTCCAAGGGCCTTTTGCGACATATCTCCCAGCAGCAACGCCTGTGGAGCAGCTGTAGCCCACTATCGGTGATTACACGGCAAACGGCAACTCCAGCTGTATCTGCGGTTGTTCCCCAGGGAATCTTCAACGGCAACGTCTTTTCGAGAGGTCTTGCTTCACTTGTAAACGGTCAAACGAAGCCGTTAAACAGTCGCCGAGATAATGGACGGCCTATGCCGATCGGGATCCGGAGGTACGTTGCTCCTGTGCTACTCAAAACCGAACTGTACCTTCCCGCTGAAGGTGCCCCTCCCCGGTCGTCGCTGCTGGGATATGGGATCGAGGACCGGCCCACACCCCACCGCGGGGTCCTTCCCATCCCGTCATGGCCACGCATCATCACGCTGTTGTCTAATCTATTGCACTTTTGTTGTTCCATCCCATTCTGTTCTTTTCAATCTCAGTCATCCTCTGTCTCCCCTCATATATACCCTTTGCTTTCCCGTATCCATCTTCCCAAGAAGAAGCTGGATCTCTCGTCTCTCTCGCTAAGCTGAAGCTCAGAGCTATAGCTTGCTAACTCCACGTCGCATAGTCTTGTCCCCAAGATCTCTGATCGAGCTTGTTCCGCTCACGCCAGACTCGCCCGCAACGAAACAATGACTGACCGCGATGTTCTCCCCGAAAATGTCAAGCCCAAGCACTACCAGTTGTCCTTGAAGGACCTCGAGTTCACCAACTGGACTTACAAGGGTACTGTCACGTATGTTTCTACCCCTCACCTATGATCCATCAACCAGCTCTGACAGCTCCCTAGTATCGACTCTGAAATCACCAAGCCTACCAAAGAAATCATCGTAAACACTCTCGAACTCAAGCTCTCTCACGTCAAGGTCTCCGTCGACTCCAAGTCGGTTGAATCTACAAACTTCAGTTATGACGCCAAGGCTCAGCGCTCTACAATCACCTTTGATGAGGAGCTCCCTACCTCTTCCAAGGCTGCCATCACTATAGAATTCGAGGGTATCATCAACAATGACATGGCTGGTTTCTACCGCAGCAAGTACAAGCCTGCTGCGACTCCTGCTGCTTCGGTCCCTAACGACGGCGAAACGTACTACATGTTCAGCACCCAATTCGAGGCTTGCGATGCTCGTCGAGCATTCCCTTGCTTTGATGAGCCCAACCTGAAGGCCACTTTTGACTTCGAAATCGAGATTCCTTCCGACCAGGTTGCTCTGAGCAACATGCCCGTCAAGGAGACTCGACCTTCCAAGGATGGCTGGAACATTGTATCATTCGAGACCTCTCCCGTCATGAGCACCTACCTTTTGGCCTGGTGTGTTGGTGACTTTGAGTACATCGAGGCTTTCACTGACCGCAAGTACAACGGCAAGCAGATCCCTGTCCGTGTCTACACTACCCGTGGCTTGAAGGAGCAGGGTCAATGGGCTCTCCAGCACGCCCCTAAGATCATTGACTTCTTCTCCGAGATCTTCGACATCGACTACCCTCTGCCCAAGTCTGACTTGATTGCCGTCCACGAGTTCACTCATGGCGCCATGGAGAACTGGGGTCTCGTTACCTACCGTACTACCCAGGTTCTTTACGACGAGAAGACCTCAGACCCTCGATTCAAGAACGCCGTTGCCTATGTCGTTGCCCACGAGCTGGCTCATCAGTGGTTTGGCAACCTTGTCACTATGGACTGGTGGGATGAGCTCTGGCTCAACGAGGGCTTCGCTACCTGGGTCGGCTGGCACGCTGTTGATCACCTGCACCCCGACTGGCAGGTCTGGGCTCAGTTTGTCAACGAGGGTATGGAGGCTGCTTTCCGCCTTGATGGTATTCGCGCCAGTCATCCCATCCACGTCCCTGTCCGCGATGCTCTCGACGTCAACCAGATTTTCGACTCCATCAGCTACCTCAAGGGTTGCTCCGCCATTCGCATGCTTGCCAACCATCTCGGTGTTGAGACTTTCCTCAAGGGTGTGTCCAACTACCTGAAGGCTCACGCCTACGGAAACGCCAAGACCACTGCCCTGTGGAACGCTCTAGGTGAGGCTTCAGGCAAGAACGTCACTGAGCTCATGCACCCCTGGATCTCCAAGATCGGCCACCCTGTCCTCACTGTCGCCGAGGAGCCTGGTCAAATCTCCATCAAGCAGTCCCGCTTCCTGTCGACTGGTGATGTCAAGCCTGAGGATGACACCACCACTTGGTGGGTTCCCCTTGGCCTTGAGGGTAAGAAGGACCACGCTGGTGTTGCCTCTCTATCTCTTACCAGCAAGGAGGATACTATCCGTGATGTTGATGAGGACTTCTACAAACTTAACAGTGGAGCCACTGGCTTCTACCGTGTCAATTACCCCCCTGAGCGTCTTGCCAAGCTGAGCACCCAGCTCGACAAACTTAGCACCGAGGACAAGATCTCTATCATCGGTTCTACCGCTGACCTTGCCTTTGCGGGCAACGGTACCACTCCTGCTCTGCTGACCTTCCTCGAGGGTTTCGGGAAGGAAACCCACACTCTTGTTTGGCGCCAGGTTCTCGACTCCATTGGTGGCGTTAAGTCCGTCTTTGGAGAGGATGAGTCGATCAAGAAGGCCTTGGACAACTTTACCCTGAAGCTCATTGACCAGAAGGTCAAGGAAGTTGGTTGGGAGTTCCATCCTGATGAGGACTACCTCACTGGCATTCTGCGAAAGGAGATGATCGGTGTTGCTGTTGCCAGCGGCCATCCTGCGTAAGTTAACCTCATTCAATGACATGGCTGTGCTAACATCTATAGTGTTACTGAAGAGGCCCTGAAGCGTTTCAACGCTTGGGTTGAGGACCCTGAGGCTAACCCCATCCCTGCTCCTCTCCGTGTTGCTGTCTGGCGCGCCGCTATCATCAAGGAGCCGGCCCGCACTGTCGAAATCCTCAAGAAGGAGTGGTTCAACACCAAATCTATCGACGGCAAGCTTCTTTCTCTTAGCGTTCTTGGTACTGCCAAGGATGCCGAGCTGCTCTCCAAGGACATCATTCCCTTCAACTTCAACCAGTCTCCTCCTTCCAACGCCGTTCCTGCCGGAGACATGCACGTCCTCGGTGGATCTGTGGCTAACAACGTTGTCGGCCGTCCTGTGCAATGGCAGTTCATGAAGGACAACTGGGATGCCGTCATTACTAAGCTCGGCAACCCTGTTGTTGTCGACCGATACATGAACCTCAGTCTGAGCCGCTTCACTGACGTGGCCGTTGTCGAGGACATTGAGAAGTTCATGGCCGACAAGGATACCAGCAGCTTCAACCGCACTCTTGGCACTGTCAAGGACAAGATCCGCGGACGTGCTGCTTACCGTGAACGTGACTCCGAGAAGCTCAAGGAGTGGCTCAGCGCTCACGGATATGCGTGACTGAGTAAATTATAATGTTGCCAACAAGATAGTATGTAATAAAAGTTAAACACGACAAGCCACAACTTGACAATAAACTCGATTTTCTATTTTCACCAGCCATTCGTTTTCCAATCGATATATCCACCAGAACTGGATCACGGTTTATTGACCGGTAGCATATGAAGTGCTATTGATATGCATCCTACGACAACTCCAACATCTAAACACAAAACATCTATCTACACCGTGTCTGTCGCTATTGGCTGAGGTGGAAGCAACATGTCCATTCTTCGAACACCCTTTCAAGATTATTTACTCATATTGAAACACCTTCCAACAACTATGCGATCCTTGTGATCCGTTATATCGGCCAGTGTCGAATAGATGTGTTACTCAATATATTTACTGATTACAATGACATCTTCCAACAAATCCACAGGTTCTCAGGAACTGTCATCGGTCTGGTGGTCTAGTGGTATGATTCTCGCTTAGGGTACACCCTACAGCACAGCTTGCGAGAGGTCCCGGGTTCAATCCCCGGCCAGACCCTTTCTTTTGCTCACTTCCTCATCCTCTATCTAGATGATGATCTGAAACTTGCTTTTTGATGTTGAGGCTGTTTGGTTACATGGGCTGATTAGGTAGTGATCGATAGATAGGTCGTTCGTTAATCGTGACTTGATCAATATTTTTTACAATTCTTACGGACTTGCTTGTATAGTTGTTAAACAGGAAGGCAGACGATTCCTAGAAGAACTATCTTGGAATCACTTATGACGAGAGATACCAAGGAAGACATTGATTTTGTTTATTGAAACAAGTTCCTTAAGACATGTGCACTCTCTGTTGTGTGTATTACATTCTTACTTGACGGATTAACATGTATAATTTGATACTATGCGGATTATGAATGAGAACCCCTTCCACGGTTTCGAATGCGTTGAAAAGGTGCACACAATCGCTTCAGAATAAGAAACTGGCTGAAGGTATTGGACCAAATTCAACGACCAAATATAATATAAGCATTGTAGTAGACACATGGTATCTAGCTCTGTTAATGAATTGACATTCTACCCGCTGTTCCAACCAAAAAGTTGTTGCTGAAATCCACAAAGTAAGTAACCCGTCAGCGCTGCCATGGCCTCTTCTAAGGGGTAAACTTGATCCAATCCCACCAAGTGAGCCATATTGGCTATCCATACCAGTACGCCATGCAAGACCCGAGTTCAAACGCTTCCCGATAAACAGCAAATTCAATCCCTGCCCGAGTAAAAAAGCCAAATGCCAACCTCCAGTATCATGCATCCATATTACTCGTCATGCACTATCCGTCTTATCAAAACAGTCCAACCCATTATACTTAGGCCGGCATCTCTTCTTGCTCAACCTTTGTTGCTACCGCGTCCCACCAAGGCCCATGAGCAGCCCTGTCAACATTTCCGATCTTCTCTAATAAATTAGAAATCTCCCTCACTCGGTCAACAAACTCCGAGAGTCCAAGACTGGCCAGCTTCTCGCCAGCCGTGTTTGCTGCCTTGACCTTTTCGCTCGCTGATCCAGCAGCCAAACGGGCAAGGATGTTGCCTCGTAGACGGGTGAGCAAAAGTCGTAGCACAGGCTCTCTGGGCTCGCTCCCGTTCTCTGCCATATCTCGACTGGCAGTCAGAACCTTGGTGACAAGAGCACGAAGGTGACCCTTGGTCGCCGTCGGCATCGATCGACCAGACTCGAGGGCAGCCATAACACCGTCCACAGTAGCCTGTAGAGGATGATTGGCTTCCAGAACTGCCATGATACGAGCTGCCTCCATTTTCCATGACGACCGCACGTCTCGCTTGAGGAGATTCTTGCATTGTAGCAGGACTGCGCCAGCGGTGATGATTCGCTGAACAGTCGTGGAGACTTGGCTGATGCGGCTATAATCCAAACGAAGCATTTCAGGCACCTCCTCAACAGGAGTCGGCGAGATCTTGGTAAAGATGTCAACAAGCATCTGTGCGTAAAAGCGTCCAGCTGTAGGCCGCGACCTTGGGTGATTCAAACCCTCCGGGTCCCTCTTCTGGACCTCTGCTAGAACCTTTGATCGCGAGGCTTTCCATGTCGCTTCGGCCGCTGCAAGACCAAGCTGGCCCTTTTCTACATCCTCAGCAAACCTCTTCGCCTCATATGGGGCTGCGGATTCGATCAATTGAGGTGCAGCAATCCGCATCAGATAGTTGATATAGTCACAAAGCATCAAATCGATAAACCCATTAAGTGCTTCAACTCGATCAATAATGTTGCCGTCAGCCAACTTGTTCTGAACCAGCTCCTTGACCTCCTCGTCACGGAAAGGAGCACAGAGTTTGGGAAGAAGAGATGCCATAGCAGTGAAGAACTTTTCGTACGAGAAGTTGCCTAGGACAAATTGTCTCTCTGCCATCTCGGGGTCCAGGATCTCGCCAATGAGGTTATACATCGAGTTGCCTGGCTTTAGCAAACGTTGAAGCTTCTGCTTGATGTTGCTAGCCAATAGGGCGAAAAACTGGAAGTTGATCTGGCTGTCATCATCGTCCACTGTAGCCCGCATCTCCATGTATATAGGCGCTGAGCGTTCTGATTGCAGTTCCTTATACTCGTCGGTGGAGATCTGATATTCTTTGTTGATGGCCAGCTCGTGAACCACGACTCTGTTGTTCGGAAGTAGGCCATTGAGACCCGTCTTAGGGGCAGGAGCCTTTTCCTGGGATTTGCTGGCCGGAGTTGCCGGTGGTGTGAGTGTTTGTGACTCAGACGAAACCAGACTTTTGGCCGTCTCGGAAGCTTCAACTGGCGCATTCTCAGCCACACGGGGTTTCGTATCACCGGTCTTCTTCTTGGCGGAGCGAGCTTTGCGAGCTTCGGATACAGCGTCGAATATCAACTTTTTGCCCTTTTCTGCTCCGGCAAGCTTTTTGATACGCACAATGAGCATCAGCTGGTTGTCCTGGATACTCTTCTTGTAAAGGGCAGTGGCGGCATCATCAGTTGTGTCCTTAACGGTGTGGTAGATCGCATCGAGTTCAACAAACTGCATGAGCATCACCTCGATCAAAGCATTTGAATCCCGAGACTTCCATGCGATGAATGCATTGTGAAAGGTAGCATACGCCTCAGGGAGTGTGTTCTTGAGAGCGGGGGGCATTGTGTACTTGTTCGCAGATGTCAAGCGAGAAAGAATATTTTCGTAGGTTATCAGCAGGTCCCGTGCCTTGCCTACCAAGTCTTGCAGCTGAGGGTTTGCAAGGTCTGTTGAGGGCAGCCGGTGATTGTTAAGTGCATCGACGACTTCTCTCTCGCCATTGTCGTTCTTGTTGCTAAGAACTTGATTGGGATGACCAAGGATCAAGAAAGCACTGAGAAACGTACGAACGGCTGCCATCTCGCCAACCGATCCCGTCTCACCTTCCTCAAGACCACATAGTCGGAGTAGCCGTGCCGTGATGACAAGGACCCTCTCCTGGGCAAGGAGTTCTACGACAGTATCGAAGTGTGTATCCCTGATACCATCCACGGTCAAGCCAAGACCATTGAACTCGGCAATGGCTCTCTTTCTGAGATAACCGCGCCACCACCACTGGATGCTTATCGCTGCTTCCTCTTGTGTCGGCTTGCGTCTCTCTCGCTGAACAATGTCAGGCAAAGAGTCCATGGGTTTCCTGGTCATAACACTCTGCCCGCGACTTCGCTTGGTCAGTTTCTTCGTTCGTAGCTCTTCTTTCCGCCTTTCTGCCTCGGCCATCCTCTCCTCAATCTGAGCCTTCATCTTAGCGATGTCATGCTCTCGTTTCTCTTTCATGAATTCGGCAACCTGCTTCGCCTTTTTTACCTCTTCCGCGCAATTGGCGACGATCTCTGCCAAGTTGCGCTCCCTGGCTTGCTGTGCCGCAATGGAACGCTCTTCAGAAAGTGAAATATCTCGATGAGTCGCCTTTGCAAGAGCGGCTCGAAGGCGAACCTTTTCGGCGTGCGCAGCTCGGTCGGCGAGCCGGGCCCTTCGGTCCTCAAGGAATGAGGCGCGACGGAGGTGTTGTGCGATATGCTTACTCTGCTCACCTCCGCGGTGGCTCGAAGGTTGAGTGGAAGAGCATCGCGAGTGTGCGGAGGAGATCGAGTTGCGGCGCGAAGAAGCAGCCGAATCTCTGCGACGAGCCTGCGATGGTCGATAGAATCGAGCGGCAATGTGGGGAGGTGGTGTATAGATTCTCGAGTCATCGTCTAAGAGATCGTCTTCGTCATCGTCTTCATTCTCAGGCGGAGGCATAGACAGATCGAGCCCGTCTTCCATTTCTTGATCGGAGGGCGAGCCATGGGATTCTTCGAGATTGCGCGAGGGCTCTGTGGGGTCGTGGGAGAGGCGGCGCATCGTGCCAGCAGCTGAAGGTAGTTGTGACATTGTCATGATAGTGAGATTATGTTGTCGAGTTACCAAATAATGGTTCAGTAGTGGGCGTAAAAGCAATCCCAAGGTGGGAGATTTGCCTGGTATTGACGCCCAAACAGGGGAGGCCGGTTTGAGGTCGGGATGGGTGCTGAATGCGTAAAGTCAAGGGACTTGGACCGTTTCGTCAAGGCAGCTCAGGTGGCGCAGTGTGATCCGTGAACGTTTCTGAATCGGCGAAGAAAGGCTCAAACGGGGAGTCTCGCGCCCGCTATTGTAACGAGTCCACCAAAGAAGGGGATTAAAATTGGAGTGAAAATGCGCAACCGAGTCGCAAAGAATGTATATAGGAAGGATGTGGCAAGACAGAAACGAGGGGAAGATATTAGATAGAATAAGAGTATTGCACGAGCCGTTATTAACGCTTACAAAAGCGAGCGTCTTGGATGAGTCTGATAGAAGTGAGTTTGGAGGAGGAAAACAGCGGGAGGGTTGGGTAACTGGTGCCAGGCGAAGGCGAAGAGGAAGGCGGGGGACCCAAAGCCAATTAAGTGTAAACTCTTATCGCTGCACTTGCACTTGCCTTCAAAGTTGGTGGAGGGGTCGACACCGACACTGTTGATGATAGACAGAAGGAAGGCACCACACTGGAAGTTACACACAGCACAACACAACACGCCCGCCGCGACTGCCTTAGGGGTTACCTACGGTACCTAACGTTAAGACGCGGAAGGAGCAAAGTGGGGGCGTGAAAAGGAAGGTTCCAGTATCAGTTTGGACTTCAGAGCATGGACGAAATTTGTTAATTGTTTTCCATCCCTTTTTTACTTTCACCTTTCGGACGGATAGCTTGTGAAACTTTAACGCCCTGGCTGAATGGACAGGGCATGTGTCAGAATCCTGGGGAGTTGGTTACAGCGATCCAGTCCCCTAATGCAGCTCATGGCTTACATGTTACAGTGGGTATGCCCCGTAGTCCCTTAATTCTTGAGGGAGTGCATACAACACAACACGTCTGGTGGTAAGGCATGGTTTGAACTGCTTCCGCTTGTAATGGCTAGTCTACATTTACCTAACTTATTATAACATTGCTCTCAATTGAAAGCAAAGATCCCATTTCCAATCTACACCCTTGGTACACAGCTAACTCAAGCTACATTACCCGTACGTAAAATGAGCTCTATCCATCCAAGAGAACCCACCAGAAGCCATGTCTCCACGGATTATCAATCACTTGAAAATCCCCTACCAATCTAACCTCATCCGTTTCTCCCATGACTGGTGTAAGTCGAGGACCATGAAACGAGGCCCTTCTGCCCTGGTCATGCCCCAGCCATTTCTTTCTATCTTTGGGCTAACAAAAGCCCCCCAGATTCATGCGTCCTTTGTTACGACGTCATCACACGTGTTTCCCCCCTCTTGTGCCACGCGTTGTGCTTATTGTGCCATTCATCTAGTGAGCCACTGTCAGCAGTCTACGATATGTTCTGAGCATAGAGAAGCAAATACCAGTCAGGGTGTATATAATTATATGTAGGTAGGTATGTAATAATGCGGAGTAGGATATCCGAAATCACAGTTAACTCAAGTAACTATACTTGTATTTACTTACTACATGGTATGCCTCTATCATGATAATCATCTCCTATACAAATCAATCATCACGACTTCATGTCACGATAAATCAGTCAAATAGCCAAAATGTGGGAAGCGTACACGTAGTGAGCCTTTTATCGATTATACTATACGAGTCTTATGATTTCAAGGTTGCTTCAATCCTGTCCTCCATCCCCCTTCCAACCCATTTTGTTCTACTATACAGAAAACCTTAAGAACCAATCCCACTCGTAGTAAGTATCAAACCTAGGTTTCCCTGTAACGTCATTTTTATAAGGTCCCTTCGTAAGCATCGCATGCTCGCTGTGCTAGCCTCCTCATCAGAATGATACGCAGCTAAACCATTAAACGCCTATACCCGTCCCATCCACCTGTTTCCGTTTGTTGCATTATTCCATTGCCTATGCACATGTGCTCCGTAATATCCGTTGTTTAATTCGTGATGCATCCTGGCCTCAATTACGGAGGCTTCCACTTCGTTGTCGTCCGTTAGGAGCGCTTGACGCTCGCTCATTCATCCTCGTTACCCATTCAAGAACTGTCTCGTAGCAGAGAACATACTGCCTCAGACTTTGTACCATACTGAGTCTCTGTTCTCGGAAATCCTCTACTGTCTTCTGAATCAGGTCCACGCTGTCGTCGTGTAACCAGTCGACATCAATATTTGCAGCCCCTCGAGCCGCTTTCCTCTCCATATTCGACCTTTGACCAGGAGTGAAAAAGTTGAAGTGCTTCGTAGAATTGGGAGAATTATCCCCGTTATCGCCCATTGAAACGTCTCCGTCATTATCGCGAGACTGTATCGAATTCATCTTGGCCTGTCGCTGACGCTTCAGCATATCAATGACACTGTCAACAGTACAGAACGTTCCAGTGCGACCACATCCGGCAGAGCAATGTACCAACATAGGCCGCGCGCGAGAATCGACTTCCGGCTCGTCGTACCAGGTAATAGGCGGTGGCTCCATTACCGAATGTTTCGATCCCACTACTGAAGATGTCTCGACAGGTAGGGCAGAACGCTGCATAACATTGGCCAGCTCAACCAACGCCAACAAGTGCGATGGCTGCGCAGGTGTGCCAAAGTCAGGCCACGCTGGGAAATGCAAGTGCGTAATTTCCCGAATTGGCGCAAATGGATGGGATGCGTGCGAAAGGGCAAACTTGCGGAGAATCACGAAGGGTGCTTCAGCGGCGGCGCCTTGTGCTGCCCTAGGCGCTGGGTTCGAAGCATCCAGTGTAGTTGTGGTTTGTGCGCGTTTCCTTCCCTGGTCGCCGGCCAAGGCTGATGGAGTGTGGTTGGATTCGGACCTATGCTTATCGATATCCAGGGACACCTTCTTTTCGGACAGAAGCTTGAGTCTGATAGCTCCAAAGTCTCTACCCTTCCAATAAGGATGGCACTTGAGCTGGCCTCCCTCGGATTCAGCAGTCAGCATGACTACCACACGCACATCTTGCTGCCAAATAACAGACCAAAAGTCCTAAAGAATGTTAGTTGAGCTAAGCAAGTGGTAATGGTTTGACATACCTCGAAGGTGGCAGGAAGGGGACCCTGTGTAGCAATATACTGCTTGTTACTTCGAGATGCTTTGAGATGACTGGCATTGATGTAATCACATGAGCCTTCAGGTTTCTCTTGCAACTTTACACGAGCATGTTCAAAGGGCAAGATATCTTTGTATCTGTTCTTGACTCCCTTCTCAACACCGCACAGTTGCACCTGGCTTTGTCTGTCCTTGTTCTGAGGGTTAAAGGCTGCATACGCCGCCTTCATTCGAGACTGTTCGTCAACTTCGATATGTAAGAACTTGTCTGAAACCTTCTTTCCATGGTCAGGCTGTGCGGCAGCCTCTCGAAGCCATCGAGGCAACGAAGGCGAGTCCAGAGCAGTGGGTCGCGAAACATCTAGTTGACCTACACCATCCGCAAGATCCATGTTCTGCCTGATGTTCGAGAAGAACGGGTTCACATCATTGCCGGCATTTGGGAGCATGACTCCACCAATGACGGGTGCAATACCTCCAGGGCCAAGACTAGGCTTGCCAGGGGGACCAGTTGCCGATTGGCGATCGACCAAGTCCGAAAAGTTTTGCTGAATAGCGTTGAACCCGCCCTTGAGAATGCATGTGCCGCCAGAATACCCTTCACTAGTAAACTTCTTGATCATGTTCTGGGCGGTGACTGCGTCGCGCTTATCAGAAGCATGGGCATCATAAACAACGATAAAATCAGTATCTGGCCAAGTGTCGAACTTATCCGAATCAGAACTGCTTTGAAAAGTCTGTTTGAGCTTCTGAATGTTGAAAGTAGCGCGCTTCAGAAGGGTTGTGGGGATACAAAGGTTAAGAGCACCTTGAATCCTGGACTGGGCGTAGTTCTGAGAGGATCGGAGATCAAGGATAAGTAGTCGATCCTGCGGTACGTCATGAAGCATATCTCGTAGTTGCTGGCCAGTAATCATGTGTGGCTGTCCAGGTTCGAGAGTTGCTGGTACCGTGGCGGAACGCTTGTTTTGTCCAGAATCGGGCGCCTCAGGCCGATGCTCCATCACTGATAGCCGGGGATCACGGTCTTCAGATCGGGTTAAACTCGTGCGTTGCTGAGGAGGGTCCATTGGTAGAGGAGATTCGAATCGGGGGAGATTGAGCGGAGGGGCATGGTGGTATACAGATGAGTCTGAGTTACGCTTCGACTCTGATGAAACATAAGCCGAGTCCTGCATGATATCTTGGTCGACATCCATCCGACTCGCAGGTCGAACGTTAGCAGAGCTAAGGCCACGAGAAAAAGGAGATGGTCCGCCAGTATCGCTTCCATGTGTGTGCCATCTTGGATTTCGAGGGCGTGCAGGTGCAGCGCTACTTGACGTCGCTGAAGGCTGAGCATAATGGCTAGTTGATAGGGCAAAAGATTTGCCTCTGTTAAAATCTGCCTGCCTCTTGAACGCCTCGTAGTCGGGATTGGCATCTAGAGAAACCTGCTTTGGGATGGCGGCCTGGAACGATTTTACAGAAGATGATGGACTCCAGTTTTCCTTGGGAACCCCAGAGGAATCTCCCCGGTCAGTGCCCGACTCAACATGAAGACCAAAGTAATTGGGACTTGGTGATCTGGCATCGGGGATAACACGAGGCGAAAGCGTGGGTTGCTGGTGGTTTTGGCCGGCCGGGAATGGCATTCGGGGCGAGGCGAGAGGAGTCGAAGATTTTGGCAGTTTAGTTGGCCGAAGGGACTGAGAGTGAGAATGGGATTGTGAGTTGTTATTATACGAATTTGAACGAGAATGAGAAATAGAATTAGAATGAGGCTGCCCGCCAGGAGAGTGTCGTGCAGGAGTCTTCATTGTATAATGCATTGGTGTCCGGTCGCCGGTCCTGGAATCATGCATGGTGAAAGTAGTAGTCGGGGTAGTCGACGTCATCCTCTAGAGACGCAGGGGTAAGAGAGGCTGAGCGAGGCTCATAAAGCCATGGTGAACAGGTCGATAATTAGTAGTGTGTGAAGAGGGACCTGTGTCGAGAAAAGTTTGTTATTTGAAGCAAAGCTTAAGTAAAGTGTAAGGGTCTCGGTGAGCGAGAGAACCTAGGACCGAGGAGTGTGAGTGCGAGTGCGGCTGGTAGGTGGTAGATTAAGAACTGCAATGCAGATAAAGATGGGAGACGGAGAATCGAAGCCTGGGTCAAGAAGCGGGCAGATGGTGGGGTCTTGAATCCCTGAAAGACTTGGAAACAAGCCAAGAAGGGGGTGTGAGGGGGCGTTGACTTGGGTACTGTAGGGGTCAGGGGCGTGATGGTCTAAAACGTAGAGCCTATCCCAGCACCCAGGTCTAAGGTTGGACAGCCTAGAGTCTAGACAGCCCGCTAGAGAGAGGCTATAACTGATTACAGTGAGTTACGGATAGACGGTAGCCAGATTGAGTCCTGAAGTGACGTGACGTGACAAGATGAGACTGACACGGTAGCATATACCAGCATACAGTGGTAGTAGACAGGAGGCCGAGAGTCCAATTGAAGACTCGGTGTGCAAGGAGAAAGATGGCTGTTGAGACGATTTACAGAGTGCCCGAAATGGTGATGAACGGTAGCAACGAGTTTAGTGAATGAATAATGATGGGATCCGATCCTTTAGGGGGGGCAATGGGCAAAAAAAACGCCGTTACCGTCGGATCTAGTGGGATGGCGACGGTGGCGTCTGACGGTCGATGACGTGGGGTGGAGTAAAGAATAAGAGTGATGAGGAAAAAGGACAATCAACAGCCAAATACAGTAGGTGAAGTAAAGAAAGAAATTTATATGATCTCTATCTTTTTGCCATCTTAAATAATTATTATTACACAGCAACACTACAGCTAGGAGCGAATTCTCGGGAACAGCGCAGAGACATTAGCAATCGACGCTCGCCAACTTTCATCAGCGGCGTAGACAAACTCCGAAACCAGCGAGGTTTGTAATCATTCAGGAACCAACAGCGGCGCATTTCAATACGGTCCCCCCGTTGCACGAAACGTCTTGATCTCACCGTAACGTAACGTAGCTTACTGTCTGTGTGGGGAGACAATCATTACAGATACGGTACAGAACAAGTAAGGCGGTCCAATGCCAGTGAGTGCGCGATGCTACGGAGTCACTGAGTTAAAAACCTGGAAACTTGGAGGTTGGCCGAAAATCATTCGATTCAACCGATTGACGGAGGTCATCACCAGATTCTGACAAGATTTACAAGGGCTGAATGCAAGAAGGGACCTCTCTGCTGGACAATCTTTTCTCCTGAAACTCTATTGTAGGAGAAGAGAAAAGAAAAATAGTTTGCAGCCCTTTCGAAAGAGTCACATCCAACCGCCAACCGCCAGCCTAAGCTCCTTCGGACTCGTTCATTAGTCTGAGTCGATCATGGCTGCACCCGCACGTCAAAGTGCATACACTCTGTGAAATGACGAATAACAGCCCCTCAGAAGGAGACCGTTTTTTCCGTCTCGTGTTTATTGCTGAGCCGACGATCTCATAGTGGCATGTCTGGCAATCTAGGTGTAGAATGGTGGTGGTGGTGGTGTATCCGCACACAGAAGGGCAAGCAAGACGGTTTGGATAATGTTGCAGAAGCAGCTCCCGGTGAGAACGGTCGTTGGAGTTAGTGGTGTTCGCGTGTAGTAAAGATCATCCAGACGAATGGACGCTTGCTCTGCACTGCTTCTTCAGGTTGAGCTGTGCAGCTGTACAAAGGACCCCTTGACGATCGTTTGTGCTCTTATCCACACCATTGCAAATCGTTGAGATGTAGTACGGGATATGGTTGGTCTATTGAATTGATGCTCGTCCGGTAGTGGAAGGCGGTTGTCCTACGAGTCCGCGCAATGCAGCTAATGGATAGGAAATGAGCTTGAGGCTGACAAGCTTTAAATGGATGTATCACCCAATGCTCATGAGGCAGTGTGAAGATTGAAGATATCAAAGCAAAGGATGGACGGCCCTCGAGAGAACCAACACAAGTGCTGTACGGAGTATTCGCTACGGAGTACGGATAGCAGATGTATTATCGAAGCATATTATTACGTGCTTTCAAAACGCAACTGGACTAATTATCTCTCACCTCTGACATACCCTTGCGAGAAAATAGCGATTAGGTTCAATTGAGCCTTTCAGATGCCATCATTGTTCCCCTGTTGATGATGATCTTCTCGCTTCTCGCCCATCAAATCGCCTTCATCTTCAGAAACCCCACGATGATGCTCTTCTTCCCCTCTCGAAGCTGTCACCGTCTCTCGCCTTTCGTCTCTCGTCGCTCCCCCTGACTATATCGTCATGGCCCCGTCAAGGGTCCACCTAGAAGAGAGACGGACACGGCAGGGGATTGAGGAGTGTGCGTCTGTTTGTGTTTCTCTGGGCTCTGGCTCTGCTCTTCCGTCCAACGGGAAATACGCGTGGCGCCGTCAACGTCACTGGTTCCACAAATATCTTTTTTACAATCAATCTCCGCCTTTTTGGCAAAATCGCATCCCCCCTCCCTTCTACCGTCTGCCCATTCTAACCATTTGCCAACCTCCGCTTAATATGGTCGACTAAGGGTCTAGAACGGCTGCGTCGAAAATTAAAAATTAAAAACTCGTGTGCAAACCATGAACTTGTTCTGCTTTCTCCAATTCTAGACCAAAATCATATGTGTTCATGTGGCTATAAAGTGCTCAGCCTGGATGATCGTGCTCCCGGGATATCGAGTCTGGATCAGGCCTTGACGGAATTACTCCTGCGGCATGACGTAGGCAATAAAAACGTCCATTCCCCGATTGGGCTCACCGTTTTGCTGCAACGTCTCGATAGTTTGAACGGAGTTTCAGCTGAAAAGCCATCGGCTCCGTCAAAAAGCTGAACCGGAACCATATCCCGGTGTCGGCTGTTGTCAGAAAACGGCTGCTCCTCTGCTAGCGTTTTGGCCCGTCTATGAATTTGTTTCAAGGCTAGGTGGCTTATGCTGCATCCCGGAGTGATATGACCTCAAAGACCTAGGCTGAGCGCGAGCTTTAGATATGACTGTCCTGACAAGACGACTGATCCCGGGAGCATATTACTGTAATATGAGCAAGGTATTTGGGTTATGCGAGAATCTGTCAAGGTCAAGTCTCAGCAGGTCCCTGTCCGTGTCACCAAACAAAGCTGCAGCTTCCAGGATGTCGGTATTCCGCGACGCCTACCAAAGCTTAGCAATCCGCGTCCCAAGTTCCCTCCGTTGCCGATAATTGACTCAGCCAGCCCTGTCCCGTTCAAGGGGTTCCCAGTCCAAGTTGCAGCCCTGTCTGGATGGCTACCGTTTGTGCACAGTTCCTTACGGTATGACCTTGAGCGCACACTAAGGGCACACCCTCTCTGATGGAAGCCTCAGACATTACTCACCGTCACGTCCATCCCATCCACATTGAAGGGCCTGGACCCTGAGATCATCCCCCCCAAGACGGATAGATTATCAAATGAAGCACTCAGGCACTCAACTAAGGTTGCACGCGGGTACGGAATACAGTACAGCAAAACTCATCCTCTTCGATCAGCGGCGCTTGCTCTTGAAGCTCATTCAAAGCACCAACCAAAGGAACCAAAGGAACTTCTTCTTCTTCTCTCTCAAGCTAAAATAGAGAGAGAGAAAGATCAGCATGCGATCAATCTGGAGGTCAAGCAGGACTCTAGTCTGCCCTGCTGGCTGCTGCACAGGAAGGGGAATTGGCGCATGATCGAATTTGAACAGGTATGGAAAATGGAAATGTTCAAAGTGGAACTCTTCGAGAGGAACAGAACTCTATCCTCTTACCGCTAGTTGTTCCCAAGAAGATGGCGCCGATTCCAGCTTTCAGCCAAGGCCCTGGTTGAGGGCTGGTGCCACGCGCCGCCTCACGCAAGGCCTAGCCTCATCGAAGCAGGGCAGACCCTGGAAATTCTGACTTTGGCATCTGGAGCGGGAGGGGCACGAGACAGATAACAGCTGTTGTTCATGGGATTCTTCTTTCTGGCTAGGAGATGCCTGTTTGTCTTCTTTTTCCCAGTGGTTGTTCGTCTAGAATTCCACAGCCATCGTACCTAGCCGGCTCTTCAACAAACCTGCAGAAACACCCCCCACACGCGGAAGGCTAAGCTCTACTAACGAACCACATGGCATCGAACATCGACTCGGAAAACCTCTTCCAAAGTCCCCAAATGTCCTGTGAGCCTTGGGCAGCACAGGTCTATGCAGCCTCAGTGACGTATGCTGGACCGTTCTAGATGCTCAGGCTGTGCTTCAGTCGGAGACAACGCATAAGTCAATATGTTCTAGACACTGGCTATGACATCGTCGACTCGATTGAGCCCCTTCGCTATCTAGAATGTGCTGATATATCAGTTGTGGTTCTCTCAATAACAGAATCCCTGTCGTAGATGCGTCCAGACATGTCGATCATGCAAACAGACAATTGGTCTTCTGAATAAGGCAGGCAGGATAGACAGATGCACTCTTAATTGATTCCATGCCTAATTTAGAAAGCCAGGTAGGACTTATGTGGAAGTACAATACCCTCGCCTCTGACTGGCTGTATGGCCTTGGTATGGTTGGTACACAGGCTTAGGTTCGTTGTACTTCAATAATGGACGAATTGATATACTATTTTTATTTGACCTGTGTAATACGCTTCATATTAAGCCAGAAATATGAGGTCCTGCATCACTTCAACTAAGAGTTCTTCTGTTATACCAAGTGGGCAGTAGTAACGTGTGGTATATAGGTATAATTATGAGAATTGCAATATGATAAAAATTTTAAGACGTATGGATAACTCTGGAAGTCTTATATAATAACTTGTTGCAATAAGAGTACTGCGGTTGTTACAAACCTCTCTTCGTAAAAATATGATCTCCTAATATACGGATTCTTCCGTGACCTGCCTTGGTCCCAAATATCACTCACGCCAATTAAACCCCACGATACTCAGAAGGACGCTTTGGTATTATGTGATGTTTACCAATGTCTGCTTCGATCTTAGCATGGACTCTCTTACGTGCGTTCTGGTATTCTACCAAGACCTGAGTCTAATTCGGCCCACAAAGTCACAAACCACAACCAGACTGACTCGCAATCGGGCAAGCACAAGCACAACGTCAACATATCTACATATCAGATCAAAACCACGATCAAAGCCAACTTCCCTGGTCCTTGTACACCGCCAGACTCATCACTTCGTTCTGGAAATGCCCAACCACTATCTCTGCGCGCCTTGCAGGATAGAACAATATAAGGCTTCACCGGTAGAGCAACCAGCTATCCAAGCACTTATACACGTGCTTGGGAATACTTGTTTTTCTTCTTTTCGAAATAAAAATAAGCTTCTCTTGTTCTTCTTAGCTGTTGAGCATGACTGTTTGTATTTTGTCTAGCGCAGCGCACGACTCGAGGTTTTGAAACTCGAGCGGTTATCGGAGTGCCCGAGCGGCGTCAGACAAAGCTTCTGCATGCTGTGGGACGAAATGCGATATCGATACTAGCTGGTCATTGGTTTGGCGGATTGAGAGCGCCATAGCTTCTAAGTGACACGAGGACACGGAAAGCTGAGGCGTCAAATTATGACAGCTAAGTCAACGAGTATGAAACAACCGCACAGTCATAAGCAGACAGTAAGGCACGTAGTCATGAAAGTAAAGCCACTCACAAGTAGTTCGGATTCCTTATTTAACTTCTCAAGAACCTCTCAGTTTCACCTAGCAATATGTGTACAAGTCGGCGGTTAAATACGCAGGATACCAGAACTTCTCTCGGCATGAATCGTCTATAAGAGTTCTCGGACGTTAGGATCAAGCCACCAAACGCATCCACTTCCCTTACGTATTGACCTGCAAGTCAATATCCAGTGCTGAGCATTTATATCAGAAACATCACATCTTGGACTATCCATTACAGCCAAGACTACGGCAACTGCCTTCTCTCTACGCACGCCTCTCGCACGACTCTTTGATCTCGAGTCGACGAAGGGCTAGTTATCGATATTTCGCAGGAAATAGCTTCTTTCAGATCGTGCGTTGGCTGAGACTTCACGCGGTCCATGTCTCAGGTGCCGGCGGAGTGGTCGCTCCGGCGCGAGGGAAGCAATGTAGGCTTGGGGCTGGGGACTTTTGGAAGACTCAAGGGACCGGCTGATGCATGTCAAGAATTTCCATGTTGGGTTTCACTGTTTGTACATTCCATATGTAGTTCCAAATTTGCAGGCTTTGAGAACTTGCTAGGACAGAGCATTTAACCTATACACCCCAACTCAATGCGAGATGTAGTCACATGTTCATTATAGACCATGATACTGACTCAAAATAGTAGTTCAAGGCGTCACATGGTAAGATAGCATATTGTAGAGACAACGTCTTCTGTAGTTTCGGATCATTGTGTCCATTATTGGTACAATTTACTATCCTTACAACTCCTCTCCCGCTGTCATGACCCAACCCATCTATGAACAACCAGGCTCTGTTGTGAACCCAGCAGGTGTACCGGCAGCCGAGACGAAATAAAGATGGATAAATAGAAGAACGCCCCTTGTCGCAGTTTTCTCACTTCCAGAGCTTGCCAAGAGACACCTCCTTGTCGTCGTGCTTGTTGAGAATCTTTGCTGTGGCGAGCTCGAAGTCTTCTTGTGTGACGTGCACTCTTCGCTCACGGAGAGCGTACATGCCTGCTTCCGTACACACACCCTTCAGCTCGGCACCAGAGCATCCGTTCATCTTCTCGGCGATCTTGTTGAGGTTGATACCACGGGTCAAGTTCATCTTGCGGCTGTGAATGCGGAGAATATCGGCTCGGGCCTCGACGCTAGGTGGGGGGAACTCGATCTTTCGGTCGATACGTCCTGGTCGCAGGAGCGCAGGGTCGAGAATATCGAGACGGTTGGTGGCCATAATGACCTTGATGTTCTTGGTGGGCTCGAAACCATCAAGCTGGTTCAGCAACTCAAGCATGGTTCGCTGCACTTCAGAGTCTCCGCCTGAAGAGCCCTCAACTCGCGAGGAACCAATACTGTCGATCTCATCCATGAAGATGATAGATGGGGCGTGCTCTCGAGCCATGACGAAGAGTTCTCTGACCATTCGACTACCCTCACCGATATACTTCTGGACCAGCTCGGAACCTGACACTCGAATGAATTTACAGGCAGTGTGATGAGCAACAGCTCGTGCCAGTAGTGTCTTTCCAGTACCAGGAGGACCGTATAACAAGACACCCTTAGGTTGTGCGATACCAAGAGATTCAAAGAGCTCAGGGTGCTTGAGACCAAGTTCAATAACTTCCTTGATCTCCTTGATCTGTTGATCCAGACCACCAATCATGTCGTATGTGCTGTCGGGAACCTTCTCCACCATCATGAGAGAGACGAGGGGATCGACGGAAGATGGGAGCATCTTCTCGAGCTTGTAGCTATCGGATAGTAGGGTGACTCGCTTTCCGGGGGTAAGTTTGCCGATATCAACGCTATCAGACACGTCGACAACTGGTGAACAATTAGTGAAAGGTATTTCAAGAATATCATGCGAGTGAGCATACCATATTTGCCTTCAGGGTGAACTTTGACGAGGATCTTCTTGGTACTCATAACCTTAACCACCTCGCCAACATATGATCCGGGCTGTTGCAACAGACCGAGCTCTTCCCTCAACAATCGCACGCGGGAGTTGTAATCGTTTCTCTGGGCTTCAAGGCGACGAAGTGCGGCTTGCCCCTTGAGGATCTCAAGCTTCATCGCCTCGATCTTGTTGTGGTAGTACTCGTCGAGCGCCATGTTGGCGAAGCTCCCTTGACGTCAGGGAAACGAGCTTATAAATGTGGTTTGGTAGGTAGATGCTGAAAGAGCTGCGCGAATTGCCCAAGTTGCGGGTTCGAAATGGAGGCGGGTGTTGCGATGGTTGTCGGAAATTGGGAGTATTGGTGATGGTTTGCGATGAGGTTGAAGCTCGATGACAAGGCTACAGCTTGTCTCGTAATCCTCCAAGGCGAGTGCACAGGCCAACCAAGGTGGGAGCTGCACTGGCAGGTCGGCATTATGTTATGCCGTTGTCCGACCAACACTGGGTCTAGGGTAATCAAAATCGAGCTGCGATACTTGGGCAGCTGTGCTACTCCACTACACACCGCATTGGCGTTGTCTGCCGTGACACCCAGGCTAAGACAGCCTAAACCGCTTCAGTCTTGCTGATTGATCGAGGGCTCATTGAAGCTGACAGCAACTGTTATCTGTTGAACATATCGTCGAGAGAAGAACTGATCAGCGTCTCGGCTACGGCGGATTACCGTTACAAGGCTCGGGGTTTCCGCTTCCGCCATTTCATGAAGACTCTCTTGTAGCAGCGAATACAATCGATTACCCCACCGTTGATCAAGCATCCGGGTGGATTGTGATGCGGTACAAGTACGGATACTGTCTGAATACTATGAGAAGGTCGGAATAACTTTGAGATGATAAGAAGTAAAGACTAGTATTGCTTTAGCTTGGAGATACTTCGAAATACTTGATACAATATTGGGAATATCACCATTCAGTTATCCTTCTGAATGTTAGATATCTGTGATAACATCTCATGGAAAGAGTAAAGAGCCGCCTTGCCAACCAAGACCCTAGGATGCAAAATGACGTTGGACTATTGGACGGGTGTGAACACGCGCAAGGTGCAGCAAGACACCCTAGACTGTCATGGGGAAAGTTGGATGATCACGAGCTGCAAGCTTGGCTACCTATATTGTGGATCAGATAGAGGAGCCCAGGAGAGCCCATGTCGATGAGATGCCCGATGCTACAAAACCACGCTTGTTTATCGTGTATGTACATAGACAGAGCTCATTCGAGAGAGTCATGGCTTTGAGTTGGATATAGTACTCAAAAGTTATTTGCGCTCGTCCAAGGGTAGCTTTTTTTATTCGAGTTCTTCCTCTCTTGTGCATTAGGTACTGAGGTACAAGAAATTAATTGTCGACCCGTCAAAGTTTGTTTTGGTAATCACTTTGCCTGACTTGGCTGCACTTCTTTCTTCCTTCCTCCTACTATCTCTGGTATATTCTACGGAAAGCTCTCTGCAGCTTGAGTAACATCAACCATATTCATCCTCGGAGCCGCCGCCAATCCCCTTTCCCTTATTTATTCTCTATCATCTGCTCTATACTTTGGACAGAAAAGAGCAACAAGAAACGAAAAGCAAGCCGTCTCAGCTGAGCGCATTTCAACTCAAACCCAATCTAAATCTACAGTCAAAGCAGTCCCACTCTGCCCAATTCATCGCTTTGTCTTGATTTCAAGTCGCTTGGACCTTTTCCATCATCGCGTCGCATCGACTGTACGACTTTCTCAGCGCTGCATCGTGACATTGGCATGCTTGGCATTCCCTCTGTATTCTGTTGTCCAGCTACGTCACGGACAAATACAGATACAGCTCTTGTCCGGTCGCATTTTTGAGCCTCTGTCTCTTCTATTTACCTTTCTCTTGTTTGCTCAGCAAACAGTCATAACTTTTTATCACATAATCGCGTACTATTTCTTGACCGTTAGTTGCAGTGCCACTATCCGTATTCCACTATGGATCCCCCAAGACGAGAGAGCTCGTCGACCGAGCCTCATCTTGGCGACTCCTCTGGCGCTACATCTCCTGCCGACACGCGTCATCCTCTTGCCCAGGCCGAATCTGCCGTTCGACAAGAAGACACAAGCTTGACAGAGAGTTTTCAGTCAACAGACACCGTGCGGCGGATGCCCGATGGTTATGGTAGGTTCATGCCGACTTTCCTTGGCGAGGGTCCAGGATTAATTTTATTTCTTCTAGGTTCGATAAGCGGTCCCGGTGCTTCTGGCTCTGCCCAACAGTCAAAGGAAACATCACAAGAGCGCGGCACTTCTCGTCCTACACATCTGTCGCGTCCTTCAAGAGGCATCGAAAGAATGCGATCTGCTACTCGATTACGAAAGCCACCCATGCCTCGACGTCCATCGTCAAATACGCCCTTCCGCGGTGGCGTTTTCTCGGCTGACGACGATGTGCACGAAGTAGAGGCCGATGCTGCGGAGCGCCAGCAGTCCTACCGTCGCAGACCTCAGCTTCCGACACAGCTATCCCGAGTTCAATCGCATCCAGACGACGAAGACGAGAACGACGACACTAATGATGACAACGACGAGCCTACCGAAACGCCAGTTGAAGATCAAGAGGATGATGAAGAGGAGCTTCCTCTCGAAGATGAGGACGGCTCGGATAGCGATGTCAGCGAGGCAGAGAGCTTCACCCTTAAAGATCGACAGCAGGCAATCAACCAGACTCACCCTTTCGGTATTCGTGTGTGGAAGCCAGCTTTGTATAAGAAGGATCGTTCAATTCAGAAGTTCGCTCAGGCAGATATTCACTCTGCGCCCGGCGGCAGAGTGAGCAGCTGGCTTCTCCTCTTCAATGTACTGTGGACGGTTTTGTTTGGTTGGTGGTTGGCTACATTCGCAGCTCTGGGCGCCATTGTTTGTCTGCTCTTTTCTGGTGCTCCTAGTGGGAGAGAATATGGCAGAATTCTTTGGGGCCTTGCGGGATATCTATTCTATCCCTTCGGCAAGTTTGTCCGCCTGGAGAAGGATGAGTCCTATCTGGACGAGGATCAAGATGAGGGACGCAGTATTTCGGAATATGAGCAATGGCAGAGTGGAGATCTGGAGTACGGCCGATTGTTCTTTGGACCTGACCGCAACCGCTCAATTGTTGGACGCTCGAGAAGAAGTATTGATTCAGAGCCCAGCGAGACCGAGAGCCTTCTTGGTCGTGGCCGACGTGGCGAAAGCGCTGAGCTGCCTCAAAACAAGAGACGACTTTTTGGCCGTGGCCAGTGGAATGTTGGCCGTGTTGTCTTCTTCATCTTCTTCTACTGTCTGATCTCGCCCTCTCTTCTGCTCGTATCTGGTATTTGTTGGTTCTTGGTTTTCTGGATCCCCATGGGCAAGGCCACGGTCCTGCTGTTCGACCATCTCCGACGACACCCTCTAGCATTGTCTTTCGAGTCCGATATTAGATATATCCGCGAAGATGGTGGCCCAAGCTCGTCTGTTCTTCTTTGTACATACCGTGCGGTTGGATCCAAATACTGGAAGTATACCGTTGACGGAACCAACATTTTCCTTATCAACCTGATGGTCGTTGTCTTCTTCGTCATCATCGACTGGCTCGTGCTTGACGGTGTTTTCCACTTCGAAGGCTTCCTCACGGCTCCTGCGTTTCTCTTTTGCGCTGGGCTCCTGTCCATTATACCCCTGGCCTACTTCATTGGACAAGCTGTTGCCTCTATCTCGGCCCAGTCTTCCATGGGCGTGGGCGCTGCCATCAACGCCTTTTTCGCAACTGTCGTTGAGGTGTTCCTCTACTGTGTCGCTCTCAAAGAGGGTAAAGGCCAGCTAGTTGAGGGAAGTATTGTTGGCAGTATCTTCGCTGGTATTCTGTTCTTACCAGGCATTTCCATGTGCTTTGGTGCCATCAAGCGAAAGACCCAGCGCTTCAATGCTCGATCCGCTGGTGTGACATCAACAATGTTGCTTTTTGCTATAGTTGGAGCCTTTGGCCCAACTTTATTTTATCAGATTTATGGAAGTCACGAGCTTAACTGTATGGACTGTGAAGACTACAGCTCCGGCGAGAACAGAGACTGCCGCCGGTGCTACTTCAGTCAGTCACCTTCACTTAACGACCGGTTCTACTTAGAAGCTGTGCGTCCCTACTGTTACATGGCAGCTAGCTTGTTGTTCTTATCGTACTTGATCGGTCTATGGTTCACTCTCCGAACCCACGCAGCCGTCATTTGGAACGCCGAGGTTGACGAGAAGCGACACGAGGACCACATGCATTCATCGAGTCTCCGAACCTCTCAGGTTCACACGCATGCCCACGCGCCAGCAACCGCCGAGACCAGTGGTACTGATGTGCGGGACTCTCAGCTTTACAAGCGTATTTTGGGCCAGTCTCTGAAGCAGACCGGGATTGGGGAACTTTCCCGGCAAAGCTCTACAGTTGGGCAAACACCCGCACCTAACGGCTCAGCTTCAACTCTTCATGTTGTCCCTCCCAAATCTAGTGGTGGTGAGCCATCTCGCACTGTCCTCGGCGTTCCTGGCCTCAGTGACGCAGACAACAAGATTCTGGTTCGTGAGGTAGCAGAGATTGCTGCCGCTGCTGCTACAATTGCGTCACGCGAAAGGATGGGGCGAAAGCCTTCTGTTCTACCTACTGCCCACGCTTCAGCCACTCGTCCCAGTGCAAGTCGTACGCATACCCACGTTGACGGCGCCGAGACCGAAGGTGCTGCTACCGAAGCTCACCAAGCTCACGGTGGCCATGATGCGCCCAACTGGAGCCGAGCCAAGAGTGCTATCATTCTTCTCGGGGCTACCATTCTGTATGCCATCATTGCTGAAATTCTGGTCGATACCGTGGACGTTGTTCTCGAGAACTTTGCGATTGATCAAAAGTTCCTTGGTATCACCCTGTTCGCCCTTGTACCCAACACGACTGAGTTTTTGGTAAGAGTTATCATTTCCTGTTTGAGTAGTAATTGCTAACCAAAAATAGAACGCCATCTCCTTCGCCATGAACGGAAATATTGCACTGTCCATGGAGATTGGTTCAGCTTACGCGCTGCAAGTGTGTCTGCTCCAGATTCCCGCGCTCGTCTTTTACTCGGCCTTCTGGCCAGGTGTTCCTGAGGGTGGTGATGCAGCACTGTACACTTTCTCTCTCCTTTTCCCTCAGTGGGATCTTGTCACGGTTATCCTGTGTGTGTTCCTGCTGAGCTATATGTATGGTGAAGGAAAGAGTAACTACTTCAAGGGCAGCATTCTCATGCTGACTTATCTGGTTGTTATCATTGGCTACTACTTCAGTGGCTATACGTATGAGGCTATGGGTATGCAGCGATTTGATACGATGGGAGCAAATGGCCAATACCAGAGCTACAAGACGATTGGCCGATCGACGAAGGGAATGGCGTACCCGGTTTGAGTTATTGATTAATGAGAAGGGATCGAGTTACATGTTAAGAAGGGGGATATGCATTTACGACTGTTGTTAATACTGGACATACATACATGATACATACTATATTTGCGTAGGTCATTCCAAGAGGGCTTGCATCGTGTGGGTTCGCATTTGTTAGGAGTGGTTGGTTGATTGACTTTGGACTCAAGTATTAGATTGGCATGGCCATGATGGAATTGTGTTTTAGCTTTAATCATTGGAAGGTGTTGATCAATACAGTTTTATCTCATATTAGGGTGCTTTGTTGCAACCCACTACTGATCATATCACAAGTGCATATCTGGGGAGAAAATATGAGTTGTCAATAAGACAGTGAGTATGTGCAGCTGGTATTGACAATGGTCGATTATGATGACCAGGTGACTAAAGAATACTATATACAATGAATGGACATACTGCCAGATACGATACTAATAACTATATATGCATCAAGCTCTTACTCTAATCTCGGATTAGATTGGCGACATTTAAGCCATGCCGAAGCCAGCGGAGGTCATGACGCTCTTGACATTGGCGTAAGGAGCAGCCTTGGCAACAGTCTTGCCCTTGAAGTTGCTGAGGAAGCCAGTGCTGGTGCCACCGAGAGTGCCAGAGCTGCCGAAGCCGTTGATCTCACAGTTGCGGCCGAGAGCGGAAGCGCAAGCAGCACCGTTGGTGGGAACACCGAAGAGCTGGCCCTGGTAACCCTTGGAGTTGACGGGGTACTTGACGTTCTGGAAGATGTTGCCCTCAGCAAGGACGCTGCCAGAGTCGATCTCGAAGGCGTGGTCGGGGACGTCGTGGAAGAAGTTGTTGACGGCGTGGAGGAGAGTGTTGCCGGAGACCTTGGGGCCACGGCCGGAGACGCGGTAGACGTAGTTGTTCTTGAAGGTGACCAGGTCGGCGGCGCCGGCGAAGTAGAGTCCCCAGTAGTGGTAGGTGTTGCAGCTGGCGGACCAGTTGGTGGTGCCGTCGATCTTGCTGTTGGAGATGGTGACACGGTTGCAGGCCTTGTTGCCGAGGACAATGTGCTGGCGGCCGATGAGAGAAGTGGTGACATGGTCGATCCAGACGTTGTCGGTGTCGTCGAGGGTGATGGCATCTCCTCCCCAGACAACATGAGGGTTGAGCTCAGTGATGTGAACGTTCTGGACGATGACGTTCTTGGCGCCGACGATACGGAGACCCTTGCCGCGGATGACACCCTTGGAGCCAACGCCGATCAGGGACTTGTTGGAGCCAACAAGGATGCCCAGGACACCGGCCTTGTCGTACTTGACGTTGACCTTGGGGGCGTTGGGCTGGTAGTTGTCGCACCAGCCGTGCTGGTTGATGGAGAGCTGGCACTGGGCGCCGGTTCCCCAGGGGGCACAGCCGGTCTCGCTGGCGGTGCCCTCGGTGCCGAGGAAGCTGATGGTGCGGTCGATGAAGATGCGGCGAGGGGTCGAGTCGCCGAGGTACTTGACGAGCTCGGCGGCGTTCTTGGGGTAGACGGCAGCGGCGTTGCCTCCGCCGGTGGTGCTGGAGGCGAAGCCCTCGGCCTTTGTGGGCAGAGCGCAGAGAGCTGAGGGCAGCAGGGCAGCGACCGCGAAGAGGGTCTTGAAGAGAGAAGGCATGGTGACTGTAGTAGTATGTATAGAATGAGTGTGAAGGTGTATGTCTAAGTTGAAGTATGAACCAGAGACCCAGCCACTGGTGTTTTGGAAAGAAAGAATGAGTGAATGAATGAATGAATGAGTGAATAGAGAATAACAAGAGAGAGGAAGCAACTGAGAAGTGAGGTATCACGAAGTTCATATACTAACTAACTCTTGTATCCATAATCTCACTAATTTCATCCAGACTATCGAAGGGATCCTCCGAGGATGGCGTCTTGCAAGGATGCAGGCTACCTCCTCTGGGACCTCCTCCTGGCAACGGGAGTTACGGTGACCCTGTTTGACGATATCCTCAGATTCCTCACCATCTCGCACAATCCACAGCCTTATTTCGGCGTCCGAAGTTCGATCAAGTCCCACGGGCCCTCCGGGCTCCGTTTCCGCTTTGGGCGACCGGCCCGTCTCTGATTCGTGGGATAACCGTGCGTGTTTCGGCGCGGTGGAGTTTATCTGTATAGACGCCTCCCTATCCAATGTTACAAGGACATTTGCACGTTTCTACCGTTTCTCTCTTGGTGGACTTATTATAATTTCCAGGTTCCTTCTTTGCTATGGGACACCTAGGTAGGGGTAGCATATCGGAGTTGCATGGTAAGGCTACGGAGTAGGTTATCTATCATTTCATTTCATATGGATGGGCTGATTGTTTGCTCAATGCGATTTACCCGCGTACAGAGTTGAATGGAGCTCGGCAGATAGACTCCGGACCCGATGAAGTGGTTCGGAGCGGATATAATGGGCTGAGTGAGGGAGAGTGAGGAATGTCACTTATCCACCAAGTGTTCTAGATGTCTTCTTTTGAAACCTAGTCTCAAAGGTCAAAGCTATTGTTATCGTTAACTAGTATGTGGGAGTTCGGACCATCTGCGCGTAACACCTTGAATAGGAGTTTAGGCCGAATGTCTTGATGGAAACTCAAGATTTTAACAATAATCAGTGTATGAATGTTAGCAGAAGAACCTGATACTATGAGATTAACACGACATCACATAGGTACCCATAAACTCAGTAAACTCCCCCTATTGTCTCCACGAGCAACTTTGCTAGCGCAGCATAACCTCCGAATACTCGGGTTCGCAAAACAGAAGTCGGTGCCTCGGTCTTAATGAATCTACGGATAGTGAGGCTCTGTTAGAAGTTCAGGCGAACGGGGTTTATCGTCGTTGTTGAGGGGCGGTACGAGGGGCTATGACCTGACGGGGCTGTCAAGTGGCTCATGCTTAATTTCTACCGTGAACATGGTTTCGCAACTGAGCACGACTCTAAGAGCACAGCCATCTTGTTTCTGATTGAGTCGTAGTGTCTAGAGATAATTTTTAGATCTCCTTTGCTGCTAGGCGTGTACGTTTGAGCACTTATAAGACATATCGGTGTATGAGACGACGTTTATAGTATAGGGGAGCCTGAGTCAGTGGTTGCTAAAATAGAGTGCCGGTTTATCCCCAGGGACGAACTCCCGGAACGAGGATAGACCAGACCATTGCTATTTGTTTTCTTACTTATACGGACTCCCTATTTCTCCCAAGATTGTGCACTCTTAAACTCAATACAAAGAAGGGGCCAATGCACTTGGTGTACGTCCATAACCAGCAAGTACTCTCAAACGCTCAGAAGAAGCTCGTGAATAATGCTTTGGGCTGTTTTGCTACGAGGACAATGAACACCCCTAGCATGTAGAAAGAAGCGACGGCCAATCCGAGCCTGCCTTGTTTCTAGTTAGTGTTCTTTGTCGTGCCTCCCGATTTTCAGACTTGAACAGTGGTAGTAGTGCTAGAGACGAACATGTAAAAAGAACAAAGCATAGGCGACAATGTCTTTTGTAGCCCCTGAACAAGTCTTTCAGTCCATACTGGAGAATACTTGTTGTTCGCAATTCATCATCAGAATGCTGTGAGAGTGTAGTTAAATGTGGGAGTATAAAAAGAGACTCCTCCCACCATTTCTACAGTCCATCAAACATTAACCATCATCGGCCAATCTGCCTTTCGAAATAACGCACCAAATCTAACCTCAATTACCATATTCACCTGAATCAATCTTCAACAACATTCGACAAAACTTGTATCAACACACAACTATGTCTTCTCTTCAGCCCTTCGCGCAATTTGTACCCAGGGACAGGCCTTCAGTATCTCAAGACAGCATGCTGGATCTTCTGCCCACCGAGATTATCATTCAAATCGCCGAGCTCAGCTCCCGACGCACTCTCGACTACCTCAGCCAGGCTTGTGTTCGTATGTATCACATCGTCCGTCCTTACTTCTACCGTGCTGATAACTGCCTGCAGTTCTACAATGCTGTCAGTGTCGTCAACATTGCTATGATGGAGCGCTGTGAGTATTTCGGTGCGGCGCCCGTCAACATCGTGTGGAACAGGCCAAATCTGCGTCATTGTACGCCGGTTGACCTTCTTCTTCTGAACGTGGACGAGGGGGTTGCCCGCCGGGACACTGCTGACCGCGCAGCTCTTCGAGGTAGGGAGCGTGACAAAGTATTCGATGCCTTGGGCTGGTTGCTCGAAAGAGGCGCCGACGGCGAAGTGTCTATGGCCAACGAGAGCTATAATGGCTCGCATCTGCCATCTGGTCACATGTCCTCGAGGATACTGATGCAATTCCAGGTAGGCACTAGTCAACGCGGCGGCGAGGTCCTTTTTAACATGATCCGCATGCTAAGTAGATATGGCCATTCGAACCCAACTCGCTATGACTCCGTCGGTGGCTGGTCGTGCGTAGAACAGGCTGCTTGGTTGACAGGCACAATGAGAGACTATTATACGACATCGCCACTAGACTTGGCTCTCAAATCGCATGTCACACCGTCTCTACTAAACTTGATGTTGGAAGAGTACGAAGCTCGAGGTCTCCGACTGAGAGATTGGCATAACAAGTGCCCACCAAGCCTGGTCCAGTCTGCTAGTCGACAAACGGACACAGGTTCGACTATAAGTTGGGCCGAGATCAGCTACATTGACATTCTTGTGGGAAATCTTCATGCTGACTTGCACAATGAAACGACCAGATGGAGCGAGTCGTATTCAGGCGAAGTTGCTGATGTTTTCAGAGCGAAGCTCGACATCATGATCAAGCATGAGATGATCGACAACTCAGAGCGTGCACTCCTCCGTAGCATCGGGGCGGCTCTTTATCGCATCGCATCAATAGGGCACGCAGCAGGTGGCCTTGGCAAAAAGCATTTCAAAATGTCCTGGGAGATGCTCTGGAACGCTGTCCGGCCATTTATCCAAGATCCTAATCTGGTACAAGACCCGCTGACAGCTCCAGGTGACGACGGACCCGGAAGAATCCACAGATTCGCCATTCGTAGCGGCTGGGATCCATGGAGGCGGTGGCTTCTGCGACACGATGCGAGACTCCATTACAGAGATATGCTAGCAGGAGGGACTATTAGGTCGACTGATATTGGAAGCCGTGACAGCTACGATTTTGTTTTCTTTATCCAGCATATGAACTGGTATCGACTTCCGGCCTGGCATACTGCCGGTCTGGACGAGTGGATTGCCTTGGTGAAGAATGCCCCAGGGAGTCACTCTTTGAAGACTGGTGAAGATGACGGACTGTAGATGAGCCAGAGATGGGGAAAATTGTGCGGTTGATTTCAGGTATTGGTTGGGCCTAGATAATTAGACAATGACTCGGGCGTTTTTTTTGTTTTGTTTTATGACGATTTTGAATTGACTTTGATATAAAATTTGCTGAACCTATCGTGATGTGATGGTGTTGAAGACCTAATGAATGAATTGAGGTGACAGTTGGAGATCAAAGTTGGGACTAGCGACTACCGAGCAAGAAGCACTAAACTAAAAGCGACCCGCCCCCGCTAAACAGACGGGAAAGTCTATGGCCCGGGAAGGGCGGGATCTAATGGAAAGATAAAGTAAGATATTGTCTGGTTGACTGACATTGTACACCGTACACCGTCTATTCTCGATGCGGCGCTGTCAGAAAGACAAAGCAGTGAGGGGGAGGAGGAGGAGGTTGGGCAATGTTTGGTTTGGGTTCAGTCTGCCTCTGTACGTCTCTCTCTTGGTGTACTCCGTATATCTCTCTTATCTTGCTTGATTGGCTTCGTTAATCAAGTTTGTTTGTTTGCTATATGCTACACCTCTTTTCTCTTTAGTTCTACTTCTAGACCAATCTCAACTCAAATCTCCCTTCCTTTCTCCCATCTTCTCTCCTCTTTCTCTCTCCCCTTCTCTCCTCTTTTTTCTCCTTCTATGCCACATCGTCATTTGCTAACATTAGTACCCCTACCCTACCTTACCTTTATGACCCTAGCAATAACATTATCCAGAGTATCTCCACTCTTCCAAAACATCCCCATCCCCATCCCCCATCAACCAACACCCGTCCACCACCACAAGCTCCAAGCTCCAAGCCAACCCGCCTATGGACCGTTGCGATATATCATGACGGACCAACAGCTCCCGCAACGTCAAGACACCCCCACTGCTTCCACTATTACTGCTGTCACAGCTACTGCTACTGCGTCTGTTACCGCTTCTGCTTCATCACTCGCAGCCCCCGCCCAAGCTGCTCCATCATCCCCCGCGCCTCAAGCTCAGCTCATCCCCGCAGAGGACCCTGAAGTATGTCATACATAAAGAAACACCACACCAACCAACATCCAATATCCAACATTACACCCCCACCCCCCGTAGATAAACCCATTGATTGTTAACATCATGTCTCTTTTTTCTTGTCTCTTGTAGGATACTATCGATCATGACCGTTATGACGTTGACTCGGCCCTAGGGTCTGACGCGTGAGTTATTATCCGTATTCTATTCCATCCCTCCCATTCTATCTCGTACTGCATCTCATGGATCCCATATCTCAACTCACACGTCTCCCGTATCCAGTGCCAGCTTTCTATATCCCGAGTCAGTAACAGCCAGCATCTTCGAATACAGAACTATCCAGGGTCGTACATATCACAGTGATCGGCATGCTACCGAGTACTTCACACCCAATGACGAGCAGCAGCTGCAGTCAGTTGACATCAGCCATCACTATCTCACCATCCTCCTCGACAACAACCTCTTCTTAGCACCCATATCGCCACACGTCCAGAAGGTCCTCGACGTCGGTACCGGCTCTGGAATATGGGCAATGCAAGTCCCTCCCTCCCCTCTCTCGCGTCTTCCACCCCCATCACTAACTAATTCTCTCAGAGACTTTGCAGACACATATCCCAGCGCCCAAGTCATCGGCTCAGATCTCTCGCCATGCCAGCCAGAATGGGTCCCTCCAAATGTGCACTTCGAGATCGCAGATGCAAGCCTCCCCTGGCCCTGGAAGGACAACTACTTTGACTTTGTCCACATCCGCTACCTCTTTGGCGCCATTCATGACTGGCCCGCCCTCTTCCACGAAGCTTACCGTTGTTGCGCTTCCGGCGGCTGGGTCCAGTCCTGCGAAGCCGACGTGCACTTCTACTCTGATGACGGGACTGCAGAAACTGAGCCTGGCTTCAAGATGTGGGGAGATCTTTACGAGGGTGGAGGTGTGACGACAGGAAAGCCTTTCTTTCTCCAGCCGGAGGCGATACAGGAGAGGAGCATCACAGAAGCTGGGTTCACCGATATCAAGATATTAGACTACAAGGTGCGCTGCTTCGGGCTGCTCAAAAATCCAAGAGTGGTTTGCTAACCAGCCGAAAGCTACCTGTAGGAGGCTGGCCTAACAACCGTAAGCTCGCCGAGGTAGGCGAGTACGTCAAGTTAACCTTGGAAAACGATCTTGAGGGCATGTCTCTGACGTCTATTTCTTGCCGGAGTATACTAATCGGCCTCGACAGGCTACACATTTTATCTCTGGCACAACATGCTCAACTGGCCGCCGGAAGAGTACCCGCAGTTCCTCACAGCCATGCATAAATCGCTTAACAACCGCAAAGCCCATGGCTATATGATGGTGCGTTACGTCTACGGGCGGAAGCCATAGGGCGACGACGACGACCGATACGAATGATGAGCGCGAGTTCGGGTGATGCACAACACCGGTTGTGGTTTGGATGGTACAGGCAAGGCGTACGGTGATAGGGGGCGAACATCATACAGGGGATGGGGGGCGTACTTTGGTTAGGCTTCATTATGGTCTTTTTTCATCATATTATTTGGCAATAGACATCATCGCTCGGGCGATATCGTTTCTGTACAAGAACATCATTGTCCATCATTAAGCACTACATCCTCCGCAAACGCCGTACGCGCCATAGCAACCGCACGAATCAACACCAAGCAAGGACTTCTTCCTCACTCCCAGGGCAAGCCCCAGCAAGCAACGAAAAAGAGAAGAAAAAACACGCCTGTCAGACGTCCATCAACACCCACCCCAACCGCGCGCCCGAAGGCAAGACCGCAATCAGGGTCGAGATCATCAAGAGGAAAACAACTCTCTATACAGCAGCTGCGCGAAGACAACCACCGCCATCCTTGCGGACAGATCGAGAGGACCAAGGTATTCACTCTAGGGTGTCGAGGATATGCACTCATCAACCAGGGTGGGATCTGTGGCTCTTTTAGGGAACCAAGAGAAGGTCGAATACTATAGAAATGATTCTCTGAAGTATTGTCGACATGAAGAAGAAAAGAAAAAAAGTCCAAAAGCTGGGAGCGACGACGGATATTTATACTGCACATGTGGGGCTGCCAATCACTCTGATCTCACCGCCTAAAAGTGTCGCGGCAGAATTCTTGGTGCAATCTTTTTTTTTTGAGCCTCAAGAAAAAAATGATTGGTGGGGCGCCAAGGCAGAAGGCGCTAAATGGCAGAGGCGCCGAGCAGGCAGCTCCACTACAAGCGACTTCACTTCCGTGCCTGGCTAGCCTCTCTGCCTGAGGTGATACTGGCAGCTGGCTGCAGCTGTATACGAAAAAGCTGAGCCTCAATATATGACTACGACTTCACTACCTATGTATGTACATGACGATACTGCGTCAACTTGCTGTAGATTGCAAATATTCTTGGGATATCCTACGTCGAATGCATTCTCTTCAAAAGTCCCTGATTCAAACGGGCGCTTTTCACGAGCTGGTATCCGAGTCAAAGTGGATTTCTCCTCGATTTCTTTCTTCACGGTGACAAGGCCCAGCCTCATTCTCGTAGTAGGTGATTGGCTGGCGGTGAAGTTTGCTGATTGCTCGGAGATGAGGATTCTGTCACACGTCAAGTGCCGGAGCATCTTGAATCATTCCGCCGAGTTGAAGCCGTGTTTGTCTTGAGCATGTCGCTTGACACGGGTTGGAAGATGGAAGTGAATGCCTCTGTTAGTGTGTTGTGCATGTTTGCATAGCACTCAGATACTACTGTTTTATGCATAGGCTTCTTGTTAGGGATAAGCCAACCATGTGGAGTGTTGACTTTTGATGTTATCCAAGTTGTCCCTGGCGCGATTGTGCTACCCTGTAGGATATGTGCTTTAATAATAACAATGGTTCTCATTTCATCACAGGCGATCATTTATCGTTGCATTTAGTATACACGAATAGAATTTTGACTCCTCGGGACTGTTGATATTTTCTTCATTCCTGGTGCTGATGTTGCACACCAAAGGTGCCTCACAGTCTCCGTCCATTTGAAACAAATACTCCAGTATCACATTCGATACAATCTCTGTCATTACGACACTACAAACTTGTATCTTTATCTCTGTACAAAGCCTCTCTCTCAATCCACCCTCTAACCTCTTCCCCAACCAACCCATCCAAACTCCCATCACCACTCTTAACAACCTCTCTTACCCGCGAACTACTCACATCCTCATCTCCCTCCCTCCCCTCGACCATTGGAACTCTATCAACCCAAGCCCCATCACCCCCGACATCCCTCACCCTCTCCTTCGTCAACCATGCCCTCTGTTCGTCGACCCCTCCCCACGCCTCGTCAGGCCTCGTCGTAACCCTTACCTTGCAATTCTCAAAGAACGGCCCCAGCGCGTTTTGGATACCCTCGTCGTAGTATTTCGGATTGAAGATGCGGACTATCGTGTCAAAGCCCGCGAGGAACGTCTGCGTTGGCTGTCCCCCGTCCCCAGTAGTGTAGAACCCAGACTCTGCTATCGCCTTCGCCTTGTCGTGGAAGAAAGGCATCGTAGTAACAGCCACATCAATCTCTACACCCTCGTCTAGCAGCTCCCGTCCCATAGCCTCCATCATGCCTAGTCTGACAGGGAAGCTTGCCGGCTTAGGCGCCTTATCAGCGTTGTTGACCGATAAAAGAAGCATAAGCCTCTGGCGCCCCGCTGGACTCAGAGCAGACCGGGCCATGCTCGCGTGCGCCAATGTCGGCGGGTTGAAGCTCGAGTCTAGGATCACGAGATCCCGGACTGGTTGGCCGGGTCGGCGCGGCGCGGGGACATTGGAGGTGTGGGGTAGAGTACACAGAATACGGAATGTGTCTGAGGATGATTGGAAGGATGTGAGGGCACGAGAGAAGGACGAGACAAGGGTTCGGGGGTCTAGTGAAGGCATATCGGACGGTGTTGAGTATTCAACGCTCATTACGGTTTGATGTTTACATGAGTGAGAGTAAAGGTGTTGAACAGATGGATGAGGAGTTGAACGTGGGGCAACTAACAGGGGACTTGAGGATCGACGAAACCATCAATAAAGCCATCAAATATCATAATACATAATAATGAAAAATTGAAGTGTAAAACATATTCGACTTTCTTAATTGTATATGTCAAGGCCCAGCAGAAGAAAAACCATGACCAAGACTAAATAACAAACCCAAACTCCTCTAGACACCATGCATCTCGCCCACCTAGTACATTACATCTGCTCAGCACTCTGCCCATCCATGACACCCCTCGAGAACCACTCCGCCAACGTGCTGAAACGATCATCGCTATTCTCCAAATCGCCCTTGAACAGCTCGTGCTTGCCCGCCCTCTCCCTCTGCCCTTCACGCATCTTACGGATCATGTCGTTCTCCGAAGCGCACTTGGGACACTCCGCGTCGCCGTCATTGCCGCCATTGCGCACGCAACGCTGATGGAAGCTATGTTTGCAGAGAAAGTGAACAGCTGGTAGGTCCAGTCGTTGACTGCAATCGGAACACCAAGTTGCTTGGAATACAGCGGGCTTGGATCCCAGATCAGCCAGCTCCTCGCGGCGCTTCTCTGTATCCCCGCGAAGTGTGTTGATTCGATTTCGATTGGATGCAATTTCCTTGCGCTCCCTTGTAATCGTCTCGTGAAGGTAGGGTTTGATCATACCCATGGTAGCTACGCCACCTCCTGAAGACTGACCAACAAGGGTTTGAATAACCTGTAGAGGAGCCATGAGCCCGTCTTTGTCGATCTTGTTGAGGACGTTGGCCAATTCATCCGGTCCGGCTTCCTCCAGCACCTTTGGGTCTGAAGTCAGGTATGCCAATGCAGCTGGATACAATTGCGGCTCCTCAGGACCATATTTCCGGAGGGCTTTCATAGCACCTCGAGTGTCCTTCGCTGATGTATAGGATCTGAAGATGTCAAACAGAAGCTTAGCCTGTTCCTTCACAAGAACTGTTCCGTCATGGAAATCAGCGAGATGTGAGAGAAGCAACACGTTGGAGCTCTCCATGGGTACGTGCTCGCCCTCAATAAGTTTCTTTGCCTTTGCCTCCCATTCCTCCTTGTGATCCTGCCCCTTCTTCTCGCCTGCCTTGTACAGGTACATCTCGAACAAGGTCGTATATAAATCTGTCCGATCACTCGACTTGAGATACTTCTCTTCCAGGCATGCTTCGAGGAAAATAATAAACTCATCGGCGTGATCGATAAACGACGAGAAGGCGGTTCTCGGTGGAGGAGGGGTGTACTTCGGTGCAGGAATATCGTCGCTATCTATTATGATGGTCCCATCGCTCACAACAGCGCGCGTATTCCCAACTGTGCCAGGAGATGCGACGGAAGACGTATTCATATAAGGCAAGGGAAGAAGATTAGACAGGTTCTGAACAGCACTTGCAGCTCCGGCGGCGAAACCACCACTGGCAGGTGTGTCAATCTCATTCTGCACCGTCACAGTGCGCCGAGGTCTGTAATTGCCCGTATAATAGTCCACGAATAATTTTGTTGCGTCTTGAGGACAGTTCTCAATCAGCACTCGTGCGTACTTTTGTAGACAAGGATACGCCTGAGAATGTTAGCGAGAATCAACTTCAGGAGCTGTTGATACGCACGATACCGGGGTCTTGACGCCAAATGTAATCAAGTGCTTCGGCGTAGTTCTTGGAGTCTTCTATCAAGATATCCACCACAAGATCGGTCTCACCATGCTTCTTGGCTAGGTATGCAGCTTGCTCGTAGTATCCACCCTGACGGCACATGGCAATTGCTGTGTCAAGATCAAACTTAAGGTCACCAGGAGACTTGATAAAGTTTTCAAGCTTGTTGATGTCCTTGAGTTTGGCATAACAGTTGAGGAGAAGAGTAGTGTGATCAGCAGTGGCTTTTCGGGACTCGTGTAGCTGTTCCAGATATTGGATGAGGTTATGTATGCGTTGTGTGTCAAGGTACTAAAGATGTTAGTAATGAACATATATGAGATCAGTCTACCCACCTTGCGAATGACTTGTGACGGTTCAGTTGAATCAATGGCTCGAATATACTGGACCATAGCGCCGTCATAATCGGCTTTCTGATATAAATGATCACCGAAGCGGCGGTAAATGAGACTCTGCTGTTCGTTGTCCATGCCTGACTTCTGCGCCAGCTCGATAGCCAATGGGAACATGTTCCTTTGGTAAAGCATTTCTAAGCGTTGCTGTAGGTTCTTCTCATGATAACGGTAAATCTTAAGAAGTTAGCAACAGAAGCCCAGCTATCATACAACTAACGTACCTTGCCATCTTGAAGGATGGTATAGAAATCATCCCATATGTCAACGAAATGTCCCACAGGCGACATCAGCGTCTCTGTGTGACCAATGACTCGAAGATCCATGTCCAACAACACAAAAGACGACGCATTGAATAGAGAGTTAGTAGTAGTACTACCAAAGCGTCGCCTCATTGCCTCAGAATCTTTCGCAGTACTGCTCGCTGGTGGACACGCAAGCGCTACATACTCATGATAGACGTCAATCTTACTCTTGGGCGACTCATAAGCCTTAGGCGGCCCTCGACCATCTTGGGTATAAGTGTAGATGGCGTCGTCACGAGCGATAATAACACCGTCTGTATTCTGATCACGCGTCATGCAGCCCACTGCACATCCTGCATCCTCGACGGTTTTAGGCGGTAATCCGTGTCCCTTCTTTGACAGGCCTAGCTTTATGATGCGCGAAGTAGTGGAAACGAACAAAGTGGTGAGTTTTTGTGTCGCATCCCATGCGAGTTCAACGCCGGTGACTGGCTCTTCCGACTCGAAAACAATACGCTGCTTCGTTCCAAGATCATGGACTAGCTCGCCTCGAATAACGGTGACTGCACCGTTGGTGAATCCCACAACGATTTGTGTCAGGTCTTCCGTGGCCGCAAATGCAGATATCTTAAGATCATCAGTCTCTAGTATAGAAATAGACTCCTGCAAGTACTCACGGGAAATTGTCGTCGGTTGTTATTGATCATGACCGTGCTCAGACATGTCGGTGTGTTGGTCTTTTTGACAAGCTTGTCTAACGCCCATACTTTGAGAACAGGTTCACTGCTCATGTCCTCCTGTCCTGAATATCAGTACCTGCAGCTCAACCGCGAATTGACTGGCCATACCGCAACTGTCAACAAAAGACTTGTTCCTTCGACCTGGCGCATATGGGTGATGCTCCCAGCCTCGTAGGCCTGGAAGCGCTTGACAATCTTCCATGACTTATTGATGATGCTGACATATCCATCGAATGAACCAAGGAAGAGGCTATCGGAGCCTGCGCAAACGCTCGAGATCTCGTTGCCCTCGAAGAGCTGTCGGGCTTCGTCGTCGGCGATCGTGATTTGGGCGACGTCGAAGAAGTCAAACGACTTCCACTGTGGCTGAGTATTAGCGTATTGAGTTCTTACGAGCACTTTGGCCAGCAAAGCCTATGCGCGCACAGTGATAGGGTCTTTCTTACTGAGATGGCCATCTTGAAGCCTTCGGGATTGTCTTGAAATGGGGAAGATGGGCCGCGGCGCGATGACGATGGTGGGACGCCCTGAAGCTGGGGAGCTACAGGAGCTTGCCTAGCGCCACAGTGGCTGCTACTCTACGCCGAGCATCAAAACACCTCTTCACCATAAAAATCACCTATATATAGCACAATAAATGGAAAGCTCACTGTTTAAATTTCTGTTTGTAAAGCAATCTCAGGGTATCATAGATGGTATATTAAGGGACACCATGCCCTAGACTGCTATAGCAAGTACCGAACAGAACTCTATGTTAAATCAGAACACCATACACGCTCCTATTCCGACCAAACCCAACCAATCCAGTAACCGATAATATAGCAAAGCATAAATCATTCATGCAAAAATAGACATGCTCATCCCTCCTTAGTTCTTGGGGCTGTGTTGATATTTCCCCTTTCTTCTTTCTCATTCTCATTATTCTCGTTGAAAACCTCTCGTGGAGTAACCAGAGGACTGCTCAGACCACCGATGCTGCCGCTCACGCTTTCAGCTCGCCCATGACCAAGTAGCCCGCTTCGAACACTTGCAGCGTCTCCCTGTTTGGCGTAGTAACTATTGCGATCACCAGAGATTGCAGGTCCAACACCCGTGGCTGAGTAGATACTCGTGCGTTCTGGACCAATCCGAGAGCTGCTGTGCATACCGGGAGTGGGTGGCATGCCCATTGGGTCAATGTTTGCACTCAAGACACTAAGTGGCAAACTTTCGCGACTACCGCCCCAAAGGGACGAAGGAGCAAGAGCACGGACGGATGCATCTGTATCCAGAGAACGTCGGCGGCGACGCTTGCTTGACGACGCTAAGGTCAGGATAGATGCATTATCAGTCAGAAGATTATTGGCCGTTGCAGATGTGTATGTCGTTGGATTGCCGCTGGGTGCCAGATGGGCTGGGATAGCAGATGCTGGTGCTCCTGTTGAAGGGAACGGTTGACTGAACTGAATCGACTGCGTGTTGCCTTGGTTATGCGTGGCATGGTGATGAGCTTGCCCAGTGTTGGGTGCCATAGACTGAATCGTGGTCAAAGTTGTTGTCAAAGATCGCACTGATGGTGCTGGACTTGAGAATGTACTGTCTCCCCCCCTCCTAGATTCAACACCACCACCAACGGTACGGTTTGTTCCAGTTACAGAGCTTGCCCTGTGACTGGGAGCCATTAATGAGTGAGAAGCCTCATGATCTGTCAAGACTGTGCCCGCCAAGCTCCTGCCTCCGATTGTTGGTGGTGCTTGGTCTTCTCGAGATGTCCGGGCGGACTGGTTCACACTGGTACTAGTTGTGCCTGTCTGGCTAGTGGTGAAGGTACAGGCACTCGTTCCGTTGGTTACACCATTGCCGACCTGACCGGATTCTGGGTATGGGTTGTTCTTCTTGTGGCTGCGCTTCTTTTGTCTTTTTTGTCGCTCGCCATCGGAAGACTTGAAGTTGGTGAGTTTCTTTACCCAGGTCGAGAAGGGTCTCCTGCGCTGACCTTTGAGGTCTTGATCGTGTTAGTATCAGTCAATGGCTGTCGCAAGGTGGCAATATCGCGTGATCGCAAGTATGCCTCTGTGATGGGGGTGAACCCAAACACTCACCATGCTCTGGAGGTATCGAGTCAGTCGTCGCCATCAAATTGAGAAGAAGTGGCCGAATAGATGTCAAGCGGTAGAGTCGAAGCTACGAGCAAAGCGTCGGGCAGCAGGCGGAGGTGGGGAGACAATGACAACAGGATAGAAACAGGCTCGCTAGGAAAAGAAGAGTCACAGATTGGGAGGCAATCTGCGATAAAAGGTTGAACGACAAAAGGTGAAAACTAACTAAGGAGATGAGGTTGGAAAAGACGTCGTCAGCTGTTGAGTGTGTGGTATGGGCGGCCTGTTACAGTACGAAGGCTGAAAGCGGCGAAGCATCGATGGTACTAAATGGATGTTAAGGATCAGGATCACGTGATGCATATGGCGCATGACAAGACGGAGAATGCATGGGCTAAAGTAACTAGCTCTCCTGGTTATTGACCTCGTGATTCTACTATACTGGAATGAGTAGGTAGTTAACTAAGTGAGAATCGTCTATCATCCCTCTTATCATCTTGAGAGATTAGGTGCTCTATTCACGTTTCCTGTGGCTTCAGGCCTGCCTGGCTGAATCTGACACTTGGGTGCTGGATCGCTCTTGGCGCCACCTCCACCACGCGGACCCTGGATTTGGGGACGATACCCACTGTGCCTTAAATAGATCGCCCTAAAGACCAGGTGCCCCCCTATGGAGCTTTAACTTCAGCTCGCTTCGACGTCATTTCCAGCTTCAACTTTTTGCACTTTCAATACCCAGCCAGAGATTGACTTTGCACACAAGCATGACCCTCCGGAGAGTATGATCATCAGACAACTTCCTCAGGATGTCGTCGACAAAATCAAATCCTCAGTCAACATCACGTCCCTGAATGGGGTAGTCTGTGGCCTTGTCACCAACTCTTTGGATGCTGGTGCCTCCAAGATCAACATATCTATCGACTATAGCAGGGGAAACTGTACCGTTGAAGACAATGGATCCGGAATACCTCCCGAAGAATTCACAGATGGTGGAGGTCTCGGGAAGCTTCACCGTGAGTAACACAATTCGAGTTCAATACAGTGACTTATCTATTTCTTTGCAGATACATCTAAATTCCCTGCGAGGCTCTCTGTCCATGGCAAGCAAGGCGATTTCCTAGCATCTCTTGCTACATTGTCCCTTCTAACTGTTACCTCTCGCCATCATAGGCATATCTCACACAACTCTGTTTCGATTCATAACTCCCAAGTTCTGGCTAGACAGTTGCCTTCACCCCCTGAGTCGCGGCTTCTCAACTTCGATCATGGAACGCGTACCACCGTCCGAGATCTCTTTGGAAACATGCCAGTCAGAGTTAAGCAGAGAGCCACACTAAGCGAAAAACCTACCATCGACAAAGAGTGGTCAAGATTGATTCGAGCTGTTATAGGCTTACTTCTCGCTTGGCCATCGGGTATCTCTGTCTCGCTCAAAAATGTAGCCACACAGCGTGAACTACGACTCCGACCATCAGAAAAGACGGACATGGTGTCTAAAGTCTCACGAATGCTCACACAAGCGGGTCTTGCCGACTCGAGTGATGCCGATGCTTGGGTCCCAATCTCAGCTTCATGTGGACCTGTTTCCGTTAAGGGCTGTATTTGCACGAATCCTATTGCGACGCGGCGTTCTCAGTTTGTTAGTTTGGGGATTCACTCAGTCAACAACGAATTCGGTACTGATGTTCTCTTCGAAGAGATTAACAAGACTTTTGGTAATTCGAGTTTTGGTGTAGTTGATGGCGACCAGGCAAACCGCAACGCCTCACCAAAGCTTGACGAGTTTATAGGAAGTGAATTGAGAAGTCGGAAGGGAATCGAACGATGGCCGATGTTCTACTTGAAAATTGCAACCTCCAACACAGATGGCATCGACCCAGATCGACTTTATAGCCAAGGCCAGATTTTATCCACGATACTTGATCTGTTGAAGGCTACTTGTTACGGGTTCCTCAAGAAGCAACATTTCCGCCCACGAAAGGTCCAACTAGCCCCTGATGAGTCGTTACTATCGACAGCAAAGATATTAGGCCGGCCAAAGAAACCGTCCAAGAAGCAGTCGAAATCAACAAACAGTTCAGGAGCCAGCTCTGTCACTTCCTTATCCAGATCCAATTCCATCGGACCACGAACAGATAGTCCGTTCGAAGGTTGGCATCGGGTTAAAGTTGGAAGAGCTACACCACACAGCGCCACCTCAAAAGCGGTAGATGTTCGTACGAAGATAAGAGAGGAACCACCAATGAACCGCCTTGTTGGCGAGGGAGGAAGATTGCTGCGCAAACCTTTTGATGAGCCATCACCCGAGCCTGAAGACTACCAAATAAATTTGTCTGCAGACGACAGTAGTTCTGACTCTGTCATGCGCACAGCCGACCATGAAACAAGTAACTGTAACACAGCTGTTGGTGAACCCCTTCAAATTACGCAGAAGCGAGACAAACACTACAGCAAATGGCTCCAGGGTGTTGTTAGTTCATGGGAAAATCCCATCTTTCAGCCTGTACAATCATCGATACCTTATATTGATTGCTCAGTGCCAGACCATTCACGCGCCCAAGGTAGAGGCGGGTATGGCAGCATTAATGTCGAGCTGGACACTGGAACCATGAGCGTCACTAGGAGAATCTCACGCCAAGCGCTTTCTCGTGCTACTGTTGTAGCCCAAGTTGACCGCAAATTTATTCTGGTAAAACTGCCATTGGAAAGTCCAGCTTCTTGGAACTCCGCAGAAGAAAAGCAGGGTTCATCTCTGGTCATGCTTGATCAGCATGCGGTTGATGAAAGATGCCAGCTTGAAGACCTTATGGCGGACTACTTTACACTCGACCCGTCGACTGATCGAATCTCACCTGCTATAGAACTCCTCGATCGACCCATCATCTTTGAAGTTTCGAGAGAAGAGTGGTCTCTTTTGGAACAACATAGCGATTACTTTGCTGCTTGGGGTATCTTGTATCAGACACCCCCTTCCTCCCACCAAAACAAAGTTGTAGTAGCAGGCCTTCCGCCGAGTATTATCGAACGCTGCCGGTTGGAACCTCGACTTCTCATCGAGCTTCTCCGTACGGAAGTCTGGCGAAGTGTCGATAGTAGTACTCCACTTGTGCGACCATTAACTGTCGCTCCCGACAAGCCCATGATTTCACGTTTCAACGGATGCCCAAGGGGTATTCTGGAGTTGTTACACTCCAGAGCCTGTCGAAGTATGACATTCAACCCTGTCGGCACATTCCCAGCTGACTTAGTCCTATTAGGTGCAATCATGTTTAACGATGTTCTTACCATCGAACAATGCGAGGAACTCATATCTTGCCTATCTCGTTGTGCATTCCCCTTTCAGTGCGCCCATGGACGGCCCAGTATGGCACCATTGATTGATCTTGGAAAAGGGGCAAAGTTTGGCGGTTGGCAAGAGATGGAACGGCAGAAAAAGCCATCATGGAAGAGCTGGATAGAGAAGTCATGACGGGGTTTTAAGTGCTCTTAACCTCGAGGCTCTGTGTTATAGAGAGGACATTACTATTAAATATTGGCCATCTTGAGCCCTTAACTGTCATGTCAGATCATGCCCAAGATGAAATTATATTGCATTCTCCAAATCAAGATGGTAGTCTGTTCATTGGATAATGTATTAAACTGAACAAACTGCTCTAGAGTCTTTTACTTACCGGCGGAATGCCATCACGAGTAAACACTGTAGGTATATCTCTGTCTAGGAGTTTAGGAGGAGTATTAACATAGGAACAGATTTCCCACAAATTTTATCTTCTTCAAAATTGGGGTTGTATCCTTTGATGTCCTGGAACTTTGTGAAGCCCGAAGGCCAAGATGTTGGATATGGTGATTCTTGCATAATGCAGAACAAAAAAGAGCAAACATGGAAGTTGTGGTTATATTCGCCCTCGACATCGTCTGGTCTAGAGTCAGCTATTGAGGACAATTTATTGGTGTAAGTAAGTAGACTAAGTTTGTTGATATATTATAAGGATCAGGCCAATAGGCTGGCTATCTGGCAATATTTATGTTCAAGGTCGTATAACTTTGTTCTTGGTAGAATTTCTACGCTGAGCTCAACGTCGAAGCAAGGAGAGCTGCGAACGAGGGAAGCACAAGAAATGAGAAAGATGGGAATATTCAGACTTGAAAATGGTTGCTCACTCGCTTATGTAGCCATGATCATAACTGAAAGGACGTACGTATTATATGAAACCATCGCAAGTTTCACCACGAGTTAATATTTCTGGAAAGCACACATGGAATGCTTGGAAATAGACCGCCCATGCCAGAAGAAGTCTTCAATATGAAAAGCCTCGAAGGACATTAGCCCTTAGATATCGTTACATTCAGGTTACAAATTCAAACAAAGTATCGAGCAATGCAAAGCACAAGAGGATCTATTCTCAACGCCGCAAGTCCGGCGCAAACCACCGTGGCCAGCGCTATGCTGAAAACCATTCTCCAACGCCGGTATTCCACATCCAACGCCTTGCGTACAGCAAAGGTCTACCACCTCTGCATGGTCCATGGGTAAAGAGAAAAGGGTATGATTAGTATAGGGGAATGTCGTAACTCATGTGGTTGCTTCTGTGTCTCATGCATGCGAATTTGGAGTTCTTGTAAAATATTGAGAGAAGCTCAAGCGTGTTGAGCGTGAAGAATTGTGTCTCTAGGCAGCTGTAGTAGACGTTGTTTCCTCAGTAGGGGGGTTGGCGGCAGCCTCAGCCAAGTGGCGATCAACAGCCCCGAGTTTGCGTTGCTTCGCCTCTTCTTCGTTCTCCTTGATCCAAATCTTGTTATCGTGATCCCATCGATGTCTGTTGACTTAGTTAGCATATGCAGGCGTTATGCAGTGTTGAGGCGGGAGCGCCACAACGGGAAATAGGAATAATAACGTACCCTGCCCAACTCTCGGTGACCAAACTCTTGGTATCATACTCGTCAACCAAAATCTTATTAAAGTTGAAAGGCACACGGGCCTTGACGCCCTCGAACTCAGTAATGCGCATTGGCCACAGGTCCTGGCTCTGGTATCGATGCTTATTCTTGCAGCTCCAGACACCCGGGCGGTCCACCTCACGCTCGCGCAGACCAGTAATGTCAACATACATGCCGTTTTGCATGTCGATCCAACGACCGTCGATAATGTTTCTTCCGTCGGACCGGTCGATGTCTACGTGGTGGGGGTTTATATCAAGAAGGTACCTCTTGGAGATAAAGTTTCCCGTCGATGTTTCTGTATAGTTCCAGCTGTGCTCGGTGCGGTTGAGGTTGTCCCCTATCCATTGTAGTGTGTTGTTGGAGACCTGGACATCAAGATCGTAGTCCCAGGGCATGATTTGGCCATTCCACCACCAGCCAAGCAGCGTTCCGTGAGCGATCCAAGTTTCGACGCCGAAACTATTCATGGTGAATAGGTAACTTCGGATCAAGTCTCGAAGAACAAGACGGTGTTCTTCATACGAGACTTTGGTCTCGAAATAACGACCATCGTAGTGGCCAAGCTCGATATTACGACCTGCTTCGACGAAGTATTTGGGTGTCTTTTCTGGTGGCTTGTCGTCTGCGCGCTTCTCGATCGATGAGGTATCTTGGATGTCTCGGGCTTCGCGGAATAATGGAGGGAATGCGAGAGAAGCGACCGGCGCAGAGAATGACGCAAAGCCCCAGAGGAGCAGGGCTTTTGCTGAGCGCATGTGTGCTGTTTCGCGTTCAGGCCGTGTTGAGAGTGAGTGTAGAGTAAGATAGTCGTAGTATCGGTGCGCTTAGGTTCGAGGATTGCTATATAGCAGGAAGTAAACGGTGCGTATCGGAGGGGCTTGTCGCAGTTATGTTTGAGATAGTAGAAGAGGTCAATGCAAAAGGAGAACGGATAGCAATAACAATCAATGCTTTTGGCCAAAAGAAATGAAATGAAGCGATGTTTGGGGAAAGGAGAGGGAGGGTATTATGAAGTTATAATCACAGACAAGATCGGCACATGTTTAAAATGTGGAGCGGGAGGCATAGAGATAATAGAAGAATGAAGTGACTGGCAGTTTATTCCTTGAAATGAATGACGGGAGATGTGGATTCTCTCCAATCGAAAAGATGATGCGAGCAGGGGGGAAGGATTTAAAGACGGTAGGTGGGCGGCGCCGCGAATGCACTTTCAAGATCCAGTTCCAGGGGGGGAAGAGCACGCGCCTCCTTACCCAGAGCGGGAGTGAGTGGGCGTGCTACTGTTGTGCAACTGCAACAAACGTGTGCTTTGTAAGACGTCAACTAAGGTACAACCACTAAACCACTATAACCTACAGAGGACTTGATTACTGTGAGCATAAGAGTCTGATTATCTGCATCTCTTCAACTATCAAACTCTATTCCCTCAATTGCCTTTTCTGCAATTCACATTCCTCCCTTCATCATTCTTCCCCAGCCTAGAACCTCTTATCCAACGCCGCAAACCCAGGATCTACCCGCTTTCCAGCCAGATTCGTCAGCTTCACGGCAACCCGCATCCGAGCCATCGCAAACTCATCCAGTCGTCGTACGCGCATCACAATCTGTTTATCTTGGCTGTACAGTAACGTACATGCGCCGAGAAATACCACAGAGGGTCACAGCGATTAAGAATACGCGGACTCTCGGATCTAGTGGGCGCTAGGCCCGGCAGAGGAAGGGGTCGTGTGCGTGTGCTGGCTGCTTGGTTATCTGGCCGTTGATCATCATGATGGAGTTGCCAAGCATCAACGAGATGAGGCCAAGCCCTATTTCCCACTACAAAACCAGTTTGCTGAGCGTCTCACCGTTAACTGTACCGTTCAACAGCCATTGACAGTCCATACCAAGTGATCACAGCCACCAACTCTTACAGCCACCAGTTGTTAAAGATAGATACCAGGCACTTACACCACGGAGCAAGCGGCTTCTGATCGGTGGCCCCAAACGGCATGGTTGAAACCTCCTAAATGCGTCGTCATCAATGCTCCGATGCGGCCTTAGCACCACTACGAATTGCCGGTAACCATCTAGCCAGGGTCTATCCGCGGGTATAGCTGCATACAACAACAAGAATGTGTACCAAAAACAGTCGAAACCTCAAAAAGTGAATTCATGAGTAGTTCTCATGAGGCGACTCTCCCGCCGGGAATTGAACCCGGGTCTCAAGCGTGACAAGCTTGCATACTGACCACTATACTACGGAAGATGATGACTGTGAGCAGTCACTGTAGCGAAGTTCGATGTCAGGTGACCTGGTGATAATATCTATATAGGCTTGCGTTTAGTGTTTACCTGCATTTTACATAGGATACAGAGTAAAGTATTAAAACGATCAGATGTATCCTTACTGATAACCATGTGTGAAACTATCGTAAAGTCCAGTCCTAGCTTGTGGTTGCATCCATCTCGTCAAACATGCACACTCATGACTTTTAGATCCTGCAGGATCGTAGATTTACTATTCCGTACTGCGGCTCCGAGTGCACCGTAGCGCAGGCCTTATAATCAACCTCTCTCGCTACTGAGTTTTTGGTTTGTACTAAAGACATGCAGTTTGACTTTGGGTCACGAAAATAGAGGCCCAGGTCATCAACTTCTCAGACAATTAGACAACAGCCGATGAGACCACCATTCAAGCAGCACCAATTATAAGCTCAAGAACATCAGCTGATTTAAAACTTAGAAACAATGCAAGTTAAGCTTGAAACAGTTAAGCTAGACATTCAGTTGATGGTTAGAGTTAAGAGATCTAAAAGAAATGGGCTAGTAAGAAGCACCACTTCTTAACGCAAAGGTAAAGAACAAGTTTTGGGCATGACCTAGGGTACATATTGATGTTACGAAGGAGAACTTGGGCGGCTTGCAAAATGTGAAACTCTACTTTGTGCCATGGCGTTGTATCTAATGTAATTTATACGTTAACTCCACGGACAAGAAAGACGATATTCTATAAGGGCATGTGAGTATTGTGTTTCTAACCTTGGGCTGACTAAGTTTGCAAGTACAAGAATTGTCCATTTTACACTTTCATCATCAAGAGAAGCGTTGCAAGTGAGAAAATTTCTATAACATAAAGCATGCTTGGTAATGGAAAGAGGTCCAGAGGATAGAATATTCCGGCAAGCTGCATCGTATGAAGTAAATGCAGCTTATGACATCGCTATCCTTTGTTCTAGCAGTCTGCTTATAGGTACTTAAATCGTGGTTCTTTATAGCAGTTTCATTTACTCATAGATAATAGTTCATATATACTAAGGCCAGGGAAAATCCCGGACATCCAACCAAGATACAGAGAAACCTGGGCCTGCCAGATGAAAAATTCAAACCTAACCCACCGAACCACGGGGAAGCTGTTCGTCCTTCTACTAACATGAATTTCTTGTATTCACTGCAACATTGCGGTTTTACTGAACCAAGTCACGACCGTAAGCATCAGTCGTCACATCACGGCGGGCAACACCACCAGCCTCCATGAGCTTCTTAGTGAACTCAATACGCTCAATACCTCGCATGGTTGTGTTGCGTCTCTGCCATCCAATTTCCGTGGGCATGCGCTCGTTCTCTGCAGCAGAAGTCGTTGTTAGCCTTGTACGAAGAGATTGGCGTCATGCTACGAAAAGGAAGTAACTTACTCAACCAGTACTCAATGAACTTCTTCTCTACCGTGCCGGTAGTGCCGTCAGCCATGATCTCGAAGAAGGAAGCCATCTCGCCCCAGCTGAAGCCATCGGCTAGTTTAGATAGCGAGTGCTCCGGGTTGGCCTTCTTAGAGGTTGCTAGACGGCCCATTCGCGCCTTGGCGACTTGATCGACTGTGATTATGTCGTCGGGAAAGTAGGTGAGGGACTCGGCCCAGACCGTCTCATTGAACGGGTTAGGGTCGGCAAAGAATGCGTCAGATCGACTGCATGGCAAGGGTCAGCACTGGTTGAAGAGAATAATGGAATGACATACCTTAGAGAAATATCATGCTCCAGGATGTTGTGACGACCAAGGTCAGCCAGATCGAAGCTACGAGCGAGCGGGTACTTGGGGCTGGTCTTGATAGCTTGTGTGAAGAGAATAAGAGCATCCATGTGCTCAATGTTGTAACCAGCAAGCATACCGTCCTCAAGGATCTTGAGGTCGATGTTCTTGCCATCGCGAGGGATGTAGCCATGGTTGGCCAAGGTGTTGAGGCCAGGACAGGGACCACGAGCTTCACCGAGCAATTAGCACATGTAGAGTACACTTATACTTGAGAACGATGTTCACCGTGGGAACTTACAGGCGCCTTCAGCTGGGGCAATCCACTTCTGAGGAACAAACTCGCGGGAGGAAAGATACTGGGGAATAGCGAAGACGGGCGAGACCGCGGCAATGAAGGCAGTGAACTTCATAGTGAATAAACGATATGTACAATGTTTGGTAGAGAGAAAAGAATGATTTCGAGCCTGTTGATGCTGAGATTTTCCAGTAGCAAAGCAGACCACCATCCAGTCCTTTATATCCTCTCGGCTGCACACTTCTCGCATCAAGAACACTCACCAGTGCTCGGCTATCCCGTCCCATCTACATGAGGCTCTGACATCAACCCCAAAGCAAAAAGAAACAAAGGTCAGAATCAGAAACATCAAAGCACAGTCGTTGCCGAGGTCCTCAGCTCAGTTAGTCTCACATATACATGGCGGGGATCGGCGATAGGTAATTGAAAGACTTCTATTGATCACCGTCTAGGAACATAACTGCGACTGGCTGATCCCAAATGATTTACTCTCCGCAAGTCTCATACTCAGTTCGCGAATATTTCCAGATGAGGTAAGAACGCGGGTATACCCATGGGAATGGTGTTTAGTTTATATTGCTGCGCATGATTGCTCCACTGTCTTCTTGCCCTTTTGTGAAACGCCAAGAAAAGAAACAACCGAGGCTTAGGAGCTTTCTTTTTTAGATCAGTCAACTTACTATTCAGACCTTTGGAAGATCGATGAAGCATCAACTATTTGAATTGTGTGAGACTGATATAGGATAGTACAGTGGCGGGTATTGGTCGACTTGATATAACATGTAGTTGGAATTGCGACTTACATCTCTGGTGTTCTGTTGTAGATTCTTAATCTCTCACACAAAGACGATATAGACTCCAAATCGGTCTGCCCAATCACAACCCCCTCACTACAATAGGCTTTCAGCCCTATTATTCTTCCGTAGTATAGTGGTCAGTATGCAAGCTTGTCACGCTTGAGACCCGGGTTCAATTCCCGGCGGGAGAGATCCAGCCACCTGCGATACGCAGGTTATTCTTTTGCATTTTTGTCTTCAGTAGCTTATTCATTGTGTATATTGCCTGTTCCTGGTTTACTTACCTATTCTCCATCTTGTTGCCTAAGAAATGTTGCTTTACTGTGATGTTCTGCCCAAGTGTTTGAACCCCTATTCTCGCATTGTCATGAGCCAAGGAGGAAGGGGCACGCCAACCTTTAAAGTTTCTCGCACTTGACATGATGGAAATTCAGAAGTTGCCAAGAACACTTCTTTCTTGTGGACTGATGCCTTCTGATACTACGGTGGCTGCTTCCTCATCATGGCGCAGGAGATACCATCTTCAGAGTCTGCTCGGCCGCGATTGCCAGAATCTTTAACCTCTTAGGCTGTGAAGTAGGGGCTCGTAATCTCATCTTTCTCTTCTCTTCCTCCTCCCAACTTCATCTTACTTTTCCCAATTGCGTCTCGACCACACAACTCATATGTCTATATCATCAAGAACACGTCTAAGCAAGGATGGACAACAGATTTCGATTTGAGGTAGACTACAATCTCACCCATTAGCAAGGCTTCACACCGCAGATTTTACTTCCAGGGCAAAGTTCCACGCTTCAGCAGAGCTTCCCATCTCACCAACAGTACATCATCAACCAACAGTACGGCTTCAACCAACCGTACGGCTTCAACCAACAGTACGGCTTCAACCAACCGTACGGCTTCAACCAACCGTACGGCTTCAACCAACCGTACGGCTTCAACCAATATGATAGCTTCAACCAAGAAGGTAACACCATCCAGCATGATGACTTCAACCAGCCCCTAACGTCGGATACGTTTCGGCAGCACATAGACAGCTTTGACCAGCACATTATCTACGACCAACTACAGAGCTTCTGCGAGGAGATTGGCTTTACCTCACAAGACAGCTCCAACCAGCAAGATGAGATCATCCCGGACCCCAATATCAGCCAGCTCCTAAATATGTTTTCAGAGATCATAGCCCTCTGCGAACTACAGTACAGCTCTATTCAACAAGACATATCCAGCCAACAAGACAGCGACAACCAGCAGAATCCCTTAGAGCAACATGATGGCACTCAGGAGCAGGAGGTGGAACCAATCTGGTCTGAGGAAGACATAGATGAATTGGCTCGGCTGTTACTCCCAGGCTCGAGGCCCTAGGAGGGTCAAGAAACGGGCTAAAGAGCGATGGCAGGTGCATGTGTGCTGTTTAGTGTTGGTGAAGAGTCAAGTCAGATATTCCTTGATTCCTCAGCGACAATCTACAATAGTTTCAAACTCCTGAACAGGAAATAATGAGTGTCTAGAACTTGGTGCAGAGAACGTATGAGTGTGAGTAGAATATATTGGAGAATTGTGTTTTCATTCTTTGACCGTAAATCGCTAGTAACCAAAAGACCGAACAAGGAGCCCGAAAACACATCGCTAATAACCATTCGTGCCATGCTGATATGCAGACATGTTAGTCGCGCCATCTGTGGCCAGGATGCTTCCAATCGAGGTTCGCAATCTCTTCGGGAGACAAGCCTGCCAGCTCCTGCTCAACATTCTTGCTATCGCGTCGTCTGTTGTCCCACTTCATCCACAGATATCCACCGATGCTAATGAGGAAAATGAGGCATCCTGCCGCGAGGTTGAGACTGTTGCCGATGCGGAAGCGAGGGGCGTCCTTGCTGAGATAAGACCAGGTGGCGATGAGACCGCCAATGTTGCCAAACATGACCTGTGAGTAGGTGTGAGTAAGAGTTCGATGAAGAGTGGGAGGGTTAGAGACTTACGTTAAGACCAATGGCACTGCTTCGTGCGGTATCACTGACAACGTTGGCGCTGATGTGAGCGTTCGTCATGGTACCGAGAACCATACATGTGCTGGCGATCATGAAGCAAGCACCGTACAGAACCTCTGGTGTCTTAGAGGCGAGGAACATGGAGTAGCCGGCGATGACAGTTGGGGCGGACAGGATGATGAAGATCTGTCGCTTGTCGGCCCACCAACTGATGGCAGGGAAGACGAGAGCGAAAACGGCACCCACGGCGTAGGGAGGGACACTGTGGAGCTGCTTCTGGACGATGGTGTAATCGGGGTAGATGCTGCCGACGATGGTGGGAAGGAAGAAGGCGAGGCCCTGGACGGTGATGTTGTTGAAGAGGAAGATGAAGGCGATCTGGAGGGTGATGGGGTTGGAGATACCGCGCCAGAGCTTGGTTCGGTCGATGCCGTCGACGACTTCGGTCTGGGCAAGACGCTCAGACTTGACTCGGGCGATGCAAAGCTCCTTCTCCTCCTGGGTGAGCCAGCGGGCGGTCTCGGGTCGGTCGGTGAGGGTGAAGAAGGCGATGAGGCTCAGGGCAACAGTGATGATACCCTCGATGGCGAAGATCATTCGCCAGCGGTGGAGGCCGCCAAAGTGGTCGAGGGTGAGAATGGCGCTGGCCAAGAGACCACCGAAGGCACCAGCCAGGGGAGCCATGACCATGTAGAGAGACAGGCGGAATGTCAACTCAGAGCGCTTGTACCAACGGGAGAGGTAGTATGCGATACCGGGCAGCATACCAGCCTCAAAGATGCCGAGAAGGAAGCGAACACCGCAGATGGCGCCCTGGGAGTGGACGAAAGCAGTGGCGATACTGACGATGCCAAAGGCCAGAGAGGTACCAGGGAGGAACCAGCCGGGACCCATCCATTTGCAGGCGACAGTGGCAGGGATCTCGAAGATGATGTATGAGATGTAGAAGATGGAGAGGATCTTGTTGTAGTCGTAGTTCACGAGTTTGAGATCTTCTGTAAGTCCAGCAATGCGAGCGTTACCTAAGAAGGGAGCAATGTTAGAGTAAGATTGAGCAATGGTGGTTTGGGATTGACTCACCAATGTTGGCGCGATCGATGAAGCAGAAGAGATACAGGATTGCTACAGTTGGGACAGTGTGCAAGTCGAGTTTCCATCGTAATCGGCGCTCAGCAGCTGGGTCGAACTGGACGAGAGAGTTGCCGTATCTAAGAGAGAGTTTAGTTTAGTATGAGATGAGTGAGATGATATGAGAAGAGCTACTCACGCGTCAGTGGCAGCGTGACCATGGCCAGCAGCTTCGTGGACAGTGCCACGAGAGGCGTCCTTCATCTCAGATTGTTCGTCGAAACCCTTTTCCTGGTCGGTAGCCATAGTGGACAGCCAAAAAGGTGAAATGAAGAAATATATAAACAAGCAAAAAGAAGAGGGAAGCTTGTGCTTGTGAGATGTAGATCCTAAAGAACAAGATTTAAAAAAAGGAAGCTGTAGGAAGCTGGGTCTTGATATAGCAAAAGCCAAGGAAACAATAGCACCTCGGGCTACCAAGTCGGGACAAGCAAACCCCTCTCCCCTTGTTAATAAAGAGAGTGCGTGTGTGTGTCTAGAGAGCAACAGTGTGTGGTTTTTTAGACTCTAGGGGCCCTGGGTAAGGATATTTCCCCTCACGAAACGGCAGCTACTGCAGATCTGTTGTGGTTGCAGCGTGTACAGTACTTTTCACCGAGTGGGAGAGTGTAGAGTGTGTGTGACAGTTATTTTTTGTTAGCCTAGACCTGGATCTAGCTTGGCAAGGGCAAGGTTTGGGGGAGAACTCCCCCGCAAAATTCGATCTATCTCTTTTCTTCCCGAGGGGGGGAGTCATTTCAACCGCGGAACCCATGTCGTTTTAATATGCAATATGCACTTGGATAAGACGAGGGGTGGAAAAGGATTCAAGAGGGATTTGCCTGCGTCGGCTAATATGGAGCTGTCAAAAGATATCAATATGCATCAATTGACGGATTGAGAATGAATGAATGATTGATTGATTGATACTTGTCTTGAAAATCGAAGGCCGCTCCTCGGGCAACTGTCGCTGTGAACCCCCCTCTAAGCCGGAGTTTCTTATTAGCTCACAAGTCTGTCACTCTTATTTTACTCTAACTTAGCTTTAAAACGCTCGGGAAGTAGTTGTGGATGCGGGGAAAGAGTGGCTAAAAAACAGTAACCGAGCGTTTGCGCTGTAGTTGTGACAGTTGTGTTGGAGATGGATGATGAATGCCTTATATGGCGGTACGTACAGTATCACAGTTACAATCCCACGTGGAGTAGATAAAGAAGGGACATTCAACCCATGCCTCAGAAAGGTTACACACAGAGTACAGGCATACTACGTACATAAATCTCCAACTGTGGCTAATTAACACCCCTACTTATGTACCTCTTAACCACCACGTCTCTGTCAGGCTTCCCCAGGTTTTGCCCTCTACCCGAGTCTTACGATTTTCCCTTCCCCGGATCTTGCACAAAGCCATCTTGTTTCCACTCCACAGGATTTAGCTATTGCAAAGCAAATTATCGAGATTACCCCGGATTTCTGGGGTAAGATTCCTTGGTTTGAATGGTCGAGGCGTTGATTTTGATGCCGAGTGTGGAGGGTTGGTCCGTGCCAAGAAAAAGGTCGGCAGTTGGAGTCGGCAACAGGAGAGGAGAGGTATGAGTTGGAGACGGATACACTCCACGGAGGATACTACACTAATTAATACATTTTACCTACTTACCTATACAAGGAATGATCTTACCTTGATTGAAGCGACTTAGGATGAATTAGGATAGAGATTAATTTATATTAGCACAAACTACATCTGTAAATAACAACATGTCCTGGTTTGAAGACTGTATCATGCTCTACCAAACCAATCGCCCATAACTCTTACCAACTGCAACACCATCATAATGATATACTATCTATGGCCAAGTGACGAATATATTATCCTCGAACTCTAACTCAACCATTTCGGCGTTCAACATACTCTTCGGCTATTATCATCGGTTCTTCTCAATATCTATTCCATACAGTCCCTATTTTGGATTGTTACCTTAATCTTACACAGTCTTAGTCAACCGCATACACCATTAACCGCAACACAACTGAGTAGTCTCAGCTCAGTCAGCTTGTCTATCTGGCATACACAACCCCCATCACATAGCTTCCTTTCCTAGCTCACCAAACCCCCGGGATAACCGCCCGTCTCTTGCCAATCTTGTCCTCTCCGAACCTCTCCAAGTACCATTCCCTGCCCCTCACGGCCCGCGGTATCATGGCGAACAGCTCGTTCACAAGGAATGCCCGCGCAGGCGCGCATCCCCAACCCGCCGCCATCCAGAACCCAGCCCACTCTATCCACTCGCACAGGTAGTGCGGGAACAGCACGTAGCGGAACAGGCCCGCCTGTGGGATCTGGTAGTGCTTCTCCACGCCGCCCTTGCTCTCGCCTCTGTTCTGCTCGAGCTTGGTGCGCTCTTGCCGCTGTAACTCCCGGCGACGGATATCGCGTAGCTCCTCGTCATGGAAGAAGTTGCCGGATAGACCAACGTAGAAGATTAGAATACCTGCGGAGAACTGAAGAATTGAAGACTGCGAAGACCACGCTTCTTCTGTGGTAGGGCCGTAGACCGCTAGCCATGATCCGAGACAGGTTGCGTTGACCACCTGGAAGCTGAAGGCGAGCAGCCACACCGCAATGTGCAGCGGCGACATAGACGGCTGGAGATAGGGGAACATGACCGCGCGGTAAGAGTAGTGAATCACCTAAATTGCCGCCGTTGTTAGTCTTTTACTCCTCAGAGGCGCTACCTCGGTAGCAAACATCCCCTCAACGGCAAGACACCCGGGAGACAGTATCGGACATGACTTACAAAGAGACCCGCAAGAACTTTATTCTGCCATGGCAGATCATCGATGCCATATTGTTCAGGAAGAACCTTCATCAGATACATAAGTATTAAGAAGCCCGGTGCTTCCATGGTCAACCAGCCTATACGGCCCGGCAGGTTAAGATGGCTGGAGACTGAAGTTTTGCCCATGCCATACCACTTGGTAAGCCATTGCATTGAGCCAATCTATGGGCATTACATTAGATTTTATGTTTCACGTGTTTGTTTTTTGAAGTTGCTTACAATTGGATAAGCAATCTGCCAGACTGTGAGAATGAGGTTGTAGTTCTCCCGGGTGGGTGGTAACCACCCTTCAACGATAGCCATGATGACAGCACACTAGGCGTCTGCGCCGCAACTACACAGTCCAACAGTGACAAGGTTTGAATTGGAGTTATTCTTTGGTGAAATAGCGATTTTATCTGTGATGCGAAAAGAATTGATCAATGCGACGAATAAATTAATGTTCATACGTTGTCCATGATGTCAACTAAAGAGCGGGTAGCTGCGCAACCACTATTCTGACATTCTCTACCGCCTGCCCTGTTGGATGATATCTTGCATGTGCCGTTCGTACGCATCCCCTGAACGCAATGACTCTCTTTTTAACTTTCCAATATCCGTTGGATTGGCTGCAGAATATCACTCTACTTTACCTGGCTCTTGATTGAAGGAGAAAGTTTACCTAAACCTCTGCAGTTTACCTGCATAGTTGACTGAGGCGGGTCCAAGCCAATGCAATAGACTTTAACTGGATAAGAAAGATATCTACAGGGTAATAGATAAGTTATGGTGAATTGGTTTATACGAAACTTCAAACTGCACGAATCCCAGTCCTGCAGCATGTATGTGATAGTTCGCAGTGGAGTGTCGACAACACATGCAGATCCAGTCCAAATGTGGACCACTCCGAGGCATAGGAGACCATCAATCAAGACACTTTCAGGTGCTAGTTAACGACAAAATGTCTTTTGTATTCTGCTGAAAACCCTCATATATTATCCCATTAAACTCCTAGCTACCTTATCTCCCAATTCCACAGTACGTCCCTCATATTCTCGTTACATCACATCACAATGCAATCCCTCTCCTTCTGCCCACCGCCATTTGCCCCTACCCCCGGACCCGACGGCCGTCTGCCTGCAGACTGACCAAACGGTCGCTGCCCCATAGGCATTCCCGAATTCACACTCGCTGCCGTTGTCTGTCTTGATATTGTAGGGCTGCTATTGGCATGCTGTGGGTGTCCTACTGGTGGCTGATACGTTCTATCGTGGGCCGACTGCTCGTAGGTTGGCGGCGCATCGTCTCCTGCTTCTTCGGCCGGCCGTGACACCGGTGGTCGCGGTGGTTGAGGTGGGATAAGTGATCGCACTCTTTGGGCGGGTATTCTCGACTGTGCGTTGGTGGTATTCGTAGTGGGCGCGCTGACAGAACTGTTTCGGCCCGGAACGAGACCAGCAGCCCCTCTGGTTACGCCTCCACCCCGTGGAGCTCCTCGTCCAGTTTGGCCTCCTCCTCGACCTCCTCCTCGGCCTCCTCGATTGTCACGTGTTGAATTTTCTGGCTGTAGAGCTTGTTGCTCGATAAATTGCTCAGAAAGCATGCTCTCTCTTCGTCTTCGTGCTTCCTCTGCTCTATGCCTTTCCTCCTCTTCCTCCTGTAACTGTAATGCAAGAGCTAAGTCCCGATCTTCTTGTTCGGCACTCGGGCTCATAGGAACTTCATCATCACTCCGAGCGTTACCACGTCTACTCTGTACCGTTGTCCACTGTCCGTTATCATTGCTGGAATAGTTTCCTGCACTCGTTGAAGGCACAGCACCGCCCGAGCTGACAACCCTGAAATCTCCTGAAAGATATTCAGTGTTTCCGCCATTGACATCTGATAATGTCTCCCATACAATCTCCTCATGAGTTTTGAAGCCTGCATCTGTCACCAACGTGATGAGCTGCTTCGATTGGGGATGGCAGTACAAAGTGCTGAAATGGTCATTCCGGAAGAGGATGGCAAAAGTCCCTGGCCTAATGGCTTTACCAATGACTTCGATGCCCCAGTGTGTAAGCTGAGTGGCTGAGTTATCCAGGAACTCTTTAATGATCATTATATCTTGGTAAAGTTGCTGTTCAGGCTCAGTAAGTCCACATTGGGAGTCTGATAACTTCTGTTCGAGTTCTTCTTCTCGGAAAAGGAGATTTTGTGCGTCTTCGTAGGATGCGGCTTGTCGCTCCAGAGATTCATACGCATGTTCGTTCTTTGGTGGCAGCCATCCGTGGATCAATGGAATCGAAAACGTGGCATACAACCCCATTTCAGCTGTATTTTCAAACGTTCCTGGAATCAGGTCTCCTCGCTCAGCGGGATGTAAATGTGTCAGCGATGTACGCTTGTAGGCATTTACCATACTCTCAGTCGGGATGAAGCGCGGGTTAACGTTCATGCCTGTATGCAAGCTTTGTAAAAAGGCGTACAGATCACCAACATCAGGCAATGCATCTTCGGAGCTGGTTCTTCGTGGGGACATAAGCTCGTCAAAAACGGCATCGAGAAGCAAATTCAGACTGACTTGCTCTCTTGATCGAAGGGTTTGCACAAGTGCAGTGTCTTCAACATCAGCAGGTGTTGTCAAAGTCAATGCATTAACCAGAGCAACAAGAGGACAAGGGCCATTTGCGTTTTGAATCAAAATCGGAGATGTTCGTGGGTTCGTTGAGGAGCTCGAGTCGTGCCATTGTATGTTCTTAATCTGATAGGTCTCGGTTTTTCCATCAATTGGGTCTCTGGAAGCTCTCCAGCTTGATGACTCTGCTGGCAACGTTGGCTGCCTAGGTGGTAAGGGGGGTTTCTCGGGTGTAGGTTCTTTGGCAAAGCTTGTTGAAGGTACCGGTTCTACCACATTCCAATCGTCAAGGGATGCTGGTCCTATATTCGCTGTGGCCTTGGATTTCCCCTTATCAGCGCTACCAGCATCGTCCCAAATATTCGTGTCTCCAGTATCCTCTGCAGATAGCTTCATTGGTGGCACAGGGGGTTTATCGTTCCTCCCTAGAGGGCTTTCATCCCAAGCTGGAGACTCTCCACCAGAAGGAAGTGAGACCATACTTGGTGATCCAACAGGGAGTGGCTCCGGCGTTGGCGTCCATGCGCCTCTTGGAGGTTGGTCGTCTAAGAAGTTTGGAATGGGTTGCGCGGGTGGTGGTGCATTTTGTGCTTCCATCGCTGGTTGCCATGGGTTTGTATTCGGCTCATCTAGTCCAAGTCTTGAGAAGGGTTCCGTCGGTGGTGCTTCTTGGCTTTGTGGAACTTTGTTTCGTAAGAAGGGGTTTGTTCCTGTCCTATCCCCGCCTGGTTTTAACACCGCAGGCGTCTCTTGAGCATATTGCTGGTCGCTTGGATGCGTTCTCGCTTCACCCCATGCGTGCTGTTCGTCTTCGTTATCGAAAGCTCCTCCGGGTCGTAGAGCTGCAGGAACTGATTGAGGATTTGCCCTGTTGCTTGTAGCGGCCTGTACGTCGCGGCGGGGCCCTACATCCTCCCATCCACCTTCATTCCCTCCCTCAGCCCAAGGATTGTTCGACATCGTTTTGAGTAAGAGTTCAAGTTCGAGGTAGTTTCGAGCTTGGAGAATTCAAACGTCAAAGTGACATGTCAAGCCAACTGTGAGTGAATCGGACTTTGACGCTCGTAGCTTGACCTAATGCGATACACTATACACAGACGTACGACTGCGGGGAAGTGATTCGGAGCAAGGTAGTTGTAGAAGTGCTGCAATCTATATGCATGAGATGGAGCAAATATTGGAGCCAGATCGATACGGCGATAGTCGCAAAGTATATCTTCTTCGCGGGCTGGTCAATCTTGCAGCTCTTGAAGCTCGTCGCAGCGATAGTGATAGCTCTTGTGGGGAGAGGTGTCGTCACAGGGTCCCGCTCTGTACGTGGCGGTGCAGCGTGAAAGAGGACAATTTGCTGAGGACAGAAGCCACTGTGATGAAATAGGTGAAGTGTTTGAAAGGTAAGGATTTAACACGATATATCTTGGTTAAAACAGTGAATTTAGAAGGAAGTTTGGCACGCGCGGAGCTGAGCTGAGAGTTTGGGTCTTGGTCGGATGCCTGCGTTACAAGTTACAGGCTTCTGCCCCGCCACTTGCTTACCACAGCCACGGGCCGTGAACGATGACGTGGGCCTGGACCTGGACCTGGACCTGGACCTGGACCTGGACCTGGACCTGTCGCTTTGACCAAAATTCACAATATAGAGAGATAAACTGACTGTCCCTGTCTTGGACTCACCGCTTGCATGATAAGGATCAATGTGGACTTTCGTTGATGGGGCCTCTGGAGTGTTCGCCCTGCGGTCAATAATGGCCAACAGAGGAAGATCGCTTGAGCTAGCGCTGAAGCCATCTGAGACATGAACGTGAGCGACTTACACCGCATTGGAGCGCCATGAACCAGTTTCAATAACAAGACATGCATGCACAAGAGCCCTGGAGAAGAATCAAGGTGGTTATCTAAGTCAGGATAGCTCATACGGCCATCGTATTCTACTACCAGATCAAAGCAAAACTTAGCTCCAACTCTTCAAGATCCGCTTATATCGCAAAGTCCGAACGGCTATTTGACGCTCAGGCCAAGGGTCCAATAGTCGATCAAACAAAGCCGATAGCTGGCCAGTCAAAGTAGCGATTGGGGTTTAATATTAACGATATCTCCTAGGAAATACACCCTTAAGCATTATACGCTGAATGATACATAACTTGATTATGGGCATCGTGCTCCCTTGCGTGTCAGATCCGAGTTCCTTCATCGCCATGCAGTCCCAGAAATGCCACAACGCCAACTCCTATACAAGAATGCCACAATATCTACTTATTCCCAGTGGCTCGGCTAGACATGTCCTCAAACTTTTACTCCCAGATGAGACAACCGTTCGCAAGACGGCATCGTGTATGTCTGCGCAAGAGCCATCTTGTCAGGGTCCTGGTAGAACCATCCCTGAGCAGCCTCCTCCAATCTCCGTCGGTACCTCAACTCATTCTCACATTCGCTCTTGAGATGCCTCACAAGTTGGTGTTCAGCTGAGCGATCCAGTTTGTTGAGCTTTTTGTCGGTATATTGGGCAATCTCATCGGGGTTCACATAGTAGTTGACGTTCAAGTTCGGTGTCGTGCGCTGCTCGGTATAAGGGTGTAGAGGGTTGTCGTAGACCATACGAGGGTTCGCTGCCGATGACGTGGAGGTTTCGCCAGAGAAAAATGAGGTGATTATAGGCAGGATGAAGAAGAGGATAATAGGTAGTAGACCTAAGAAGGTTTGGAAAGCGTTGCCTTCATTCTGTCGACCGCCTTCGGCCTCTCTGGGTCTCGTCCTTGGCCTTGCTCCGCCGAACTGATGTACCCTGATTCCGGGACCTCCACCAAAGTTGAAGACAAATTGAGGGCCTGTGTCAAAAGCTGGAATATTAGTATAAGTCTCATATTTTGGAAAGCCGGTTATGCTCACCTCCGAAGGGACCACCACCACCACCAAAACCTCCGCCGCCTCCGCCAAAGAAACGGGCAAACATCTCCTCTGGAGTCATGTCATCTTGGAACATTGGGCCACCTCTGCCCATACCACCACCACCACCAGCTCGTTGGTTGAAGAATGGGTTATTCGCCTGGGCGCTAGCGAATCGACTATCAGGATCTGTGCCGAACTTATCGAACTTCTCCCTCTTCTCCTTGTCGCCAAGAATTCCAAAAGCTCTGCTGACCATCTTGAAGGCCTCGTCCGCATGAGGATGGCCATTCTTGTCAGGATGGGTCAGAAGCGATTGCTTTCGATAAGCCTTTTTGATCTCAGACTCTGTACATGTATCCTTGACACTTGCGAGATTTAGGATGTCGTAGAACGCAGTGGCTTCGCATTTTCGGATACGGATGACCGCTGCCTCTTGGTCCGGTGTGAATGTTCGTCCTTGATTACCCTGCTTATGATCGCGAGATCGAGCTGCACCACCCGTGTCCGCTCCGGAAGCCGTTGCGCTCGGCATCGGATTTTTGGTATTTCTAACGTCGCTGAGCGTAGATTGGGTTTATCAGGCAAGAGTCGTCAATCGTAGGCCGAATTTCGTGAATGAAGGTGGTTTTTTGTTCGTCCAAGTTGCGCCAAGAGGGAAGGTGGCTTCTTTGGAAGAGCTGCGAAGGGCCCGGAAGTGAAGGCCTTATTGAAAAGGCTTGCAGCCGTGTGTGTTGGCTGTGCTAACTATGCCCCAGTCGCATGTGATTACACAAGTAGGTGAAATGAGGTTGAAATGGCGATGTAAAGGGGATGCCAGAAATTTGGTGTTTGCCAATCGGACAATCCCTAATTGCTCTTGGGGCCGCCCGCTGTCACATCTCCAAGTCTCGACTCCACGTGATACCCCACCAGAATTGTTGACTGAGTAGGTACCTAGTAGCCTACCCTGTATCACTTACACGGACAAAGATGCAATACATCAGAAGTTCTGACACAGCAGATATCCGTCAATAACGAGTGCAATACATCCAAAGTCTGGAAAACTTCATATTGAAACTTCATTATCGATGCAACCGGGTGGATATCCAATCGAATTGTAACAGGACGACTTGAACTGTTGCATCAAGACGCTCATTCCAAATTCAATTCAGTTACACAACTTAGTACTTGCAATTGTAAGCCGAGGCACAATTCGATTGCTGCAAATAAAATGGAACAACTGTGTGGATTTGTACTGAAGAAGTATGTATGTATAATAAGTATTTACGGTGTAAGAATAGCGAGTCCAAAGCTCGTCCCGTCCAGATGCTCCCTGGCCCAACGTCAACCAACAGCTTAAGCACCGATGTACTTCTTGATCTCAGGGAGAATCTTCTTGTAGGCAGTACCATCCTTGGGCTCCATGCTGAACATGTAATCACCCCACCAAGGGCCAGCAGCCCAGTAGAGCCAGCCAGTCCAGACGTCAGAGTTGTCAAGCAAGTGCTGCAGCTCACCCTTGAGAGCAGAGATACACTGAGAGTTGGCACCGCCGGCAGTCTCGCCAATGATACCCCTCTTCTTGTTATCCTTCAGCCACTTGGTAGCCGCCTTCAGGCTGTCTACACCAATAGTGGAGCTGACACAAGTCTCGTGGGTGCCGGAGTAGTCGGAGTCGAGGTACTGGTGCATCTCGTAGATGATCTTGTTCTGAGGATCCTTAAGGTTCTTGAGAGCGTCACCGTTACCGCTGGAGATCCAGCTGTGGGCACCGGTGTAGGAGTTACCCTCGACAAAGATGTACTGAGAGGTGGCGCCGGCCTTGCGGATGCCGTCAATGGCAGCCTGGTTGAGAGCAGCGACGACAGAGTTATCCATGTCGTGGTACTCGTTGTTAGTGTCGAAGATGACCAACTTGTTGCTGGCGAAGCGCTTAGCAAACTTGGACCACCAAGCGCCGAACTCGGCACTCTTCATGATGTTGCCGTTGTAGCGGCCGTAGTTGTGGGGGTCAAGAACGGCATATTTGCCCCTGTATATGTTAGATATGCTTTTTCAGGATGTATGTGACAGCTACTCACTTGCTGGTGATGTGCTTGACAACATTCTCAAGACCCTTGAAGTAGGCCTCGTCAATGGCACCGTTGATACCGCTAGGGGTGACACGCTCCATGCGGAAGCCCACACGGAAGGTGTTCATACCAGTGCTGGCAAGAGTCTGTCATAGTCAGTACCAACATTCAGTTGTCTCATGCTTGGTATCCTTACATCGATGGAGTCGGTGGTAGGCCAGATATAGTCCTTGTTGAGCTGCCCAGGAAGGTTTCCCTCGCCGAACTCACCACCGGACTCATTGGCACCAGTGAAGAGGAACTTGCCTGTAGCCCGCTTGGTGGAAGGGGCAGCCAGGGCAAGAGTAGCGCCAGCGCTGGCGAGGAGGAGATCAGTGAAACGCATATTTGCTTGAATGAGTGGACGTTGATAGATTGTTTTAAAAGATTGTAATATGATCGATCAACGAGTCATACAGAGCCAAGACAATAAATTGCTGGGCATCACGACGATCTTATATACACTTTCAGCGCTGTACAACTTCCGGCACAATGCCTGCTAAGGAGGTGCCAGATTCATTAAGACCGGATATGACAAGGTATTGCCCTCCACATTGGCAATGGTTCCTCCGTGTGCCCACATTGACCAAGGCCTCGATCAACTTGGATCGAGTTGTTCCAAGTTTCATCCAAAGTCTGGAGAAGAAAAGTAGAGCATTTCCGCATGGCCCATTTCGGACGGACATGTGTTCCTTGTTAGTTTGCCTGAAACAGGAGCTAAGGCCCCTGATATTTCATTGTAGACCGTGACTGCCGATATTGAGCATTTTCGAAAAGAAATACCTGCGTTGGAACCGAAAAAGCAGGATAACATAACCTCTCATCGTAAACAGTTTGTGCATGTGTCCAACAGCGACTGGCGACGATTATCGTGAACCACTTGGCTTGGCATGGCTTGGCAGGGCATTGACAAGATTTCCTCTCACGGAGATTGCTTCTCAAAAGGAGGGAACAGGTGACGCAGCTAGTCGTACAATGTTTTAATGAGATCGTTTCTTGTTGAAACAAGCTGTTCTGTTTCGTTGGTGGGATTGATTGTCCGTTTACACAGAGGCCATCTCAGGCCTGGGGTTGACGAACCACAAGTGCCGAGATCCGTTGTGGAACATCAAGGTCGTCACGTGGACAAAGGCGGACTAACCCGACGGAAAAACACCCCTGCGATTAGGATCCGTCGCATGGTGAGGCTTGGTGATGCCGACCTGAAATTTCGAGAACGACATGTGCCAGCGATAATGCACGCGACACGGGTTCTTCTTAAGCGTTCAGTGTGGAAGGGTACGTCAGTTCTGTTTTGTGAGCTTGCCAATTGCTAACTTTTGTTGACAGGGCCACACTTGGTGCCGTAAGCCTCCGTCGACGAACCGATTATCTGACCGTTCTAACACGCGATAGCCTCCCCATTGTCTGGCCCAAGTCCACTAGTGACAAGGTGCCTCCTGTGCGAACACAGGCCCGATCAGCTACGATCCTCCCCAACTTTGTCGGTCTCAAGTTCGAGGTGCACAATGGCAAGGATTACCATGAGGTGACCATCACTGAAGATATGGTTGGACACAAGCTTGGCGAGTTTTCACCGTGAGTCCTGGTCAGAGTTAAAAGCGATGGGTAAATGCTGACGAAGTTGAAGTACACGAAAGCCCAACATTTGGGATAAGAGGTAGTCTGTTTGAGTAGCAGCTGGAATCTGGGAATACCCATGTACAAAAAACTACATGTAACATCACTAGAGCAATGATTTCAACGAAGGGATTCAACTGCATATAAAGGCGATCTATTGGAACCAGCTGTGGTTTTACTGGTGTTGGTGTTGATATCATTACGTGCCTAAATCTTCCGTGAACGCCGAACCGTAACGCCTTGCAATCATGTATCCATGTATCCCAAATACGCACCTCAGCGGTAGAACTCGCTACGCTTGACGTTTACTCCGTACTCTCCAACAGCCATTCCAAGATCCTCCATGGTCAAGACGGTCCTGTTCTGGCTGCCGCCCTGACCACCACCTCCGTAACCCGGGCGCTGAATACCCAGAGGCGCACCCTTCGTCTGATCCTTACTTCCGGGTGGTCCAGTTGGTTGTCCAGGAATAGGGAATCCGGCGGCGGCGCCCAGGGATCCCATTGGGTTGTTAGTGTTTGATGATGCGCGAATGCGACTGTACTGGTAGGCATCTGCGGCGATATCCGCGATGAACTTCTGAGTCGCAAGGGCGAGCAGTCGCGCAAGACGGGGATCGGTCTGTGGAGGAGGTGGAAGACCAGCTTTGGTCATGTAGTAGTGTGTGACTGCATCGGGAATCTAAAACGTGTTAGACGGTTCAATTGATAAGGGTGGAGAGCGTACAATGGGTGCATAGTCGTCCATTTTATTCAAGAACTCGCGAAGAGAGATATCCTTGCGAGTCGGTAGTCGCGAATCAGGAATGGCTGGCGCGGGAGGTGCCTCATCAGAAGGAACCTCTGGCGCAGGAGGAGTCTGCTCTGTGTTTTCGGGCGCATCACTAGCCATATTGACGGATTTGATGGATAAATGCGATGGTTTCGATGTTGGAGTTGAAGGCTGGGGTAGGTAATCAATCATTAACGCGTGAGGAAGATTGTATCACGTGATTCGATGTCATGGTAGCTCTGGCTCATGAGCCGCAAAAGCGCCAAGGAGCTTAATGCGACTAACCAAAAGCTAAAGCAAGCATCAGGGGTTTCTCGTTAAAGTTCTCGTTCTTAATTGCTCATAAGCTGCTTTATCTTACTGATTTCTCAACACGTTAAGTGTTTACAAATCACACAATAGCAGCACAACGCAAACGTACTACTCTCTACCTTGACTTGGTACAGCATTGAAATCAATCCTTTTCCCCAAAATCTCCAAGCCAAACGGCGACGCCATTAATTACCGATTGACCTCCCAAACCAACGCCGTGCATGCATCTCCAGAAGCCGGAGTTGTCGTGACCAAACTGTGGTCTTGTCTTGTCTTATCTTGTCTTGCCTTGTGGCTACTTCATTGCCACAATAGCAACGCGCACGGGACGCGTTGCGAGAGCTTGATGCCCTATTCGTACAGGTATCTCGTTGTCTTGCTGTAAAGCTTAGACAGGGAGCTTGAACTTCTTGCCCTTCATAACCTTGGTGTAGTAGATGTAGAAGAAGTCGCTGTACAGAACAGTCTGAACAATACCAGCAACAATGGCAATGGTGTCGACCTTGTGGTGTGTCTCGGAGAAGTATCGGTAGATCCAGTTGGGGATGTAGAGAGCGCGGTAGCTACCGAGAGCAAAGAGGTAGTGGGTGGTAATAGTCTCAGCCTCGCCGGTTCGCTGCAGCATGAAGAGCTGAGGAAGGATAGCTACAGACTCAAGCCAGATGGAGAAGGCCCACATAATCTCTGAAACAGTATAGTGATAGGGGAAGATGACGGCCAGGACAGCCGCTCCAGCGAGGAGGTACTGGACTCGGAAGGTATCGACGTTGGGATCGTTGGTGGGCTTGTAGGCGTTGGTCATGAGGTAGATGATGTAGCCCTGAGAGCCAAGGAAGAGGATCTTGAAGATGAAGTTGTAGATGCTGTCGGTTGAAAAAAGATCTGGAACTGGTCAGAAATAGCAACGGACGTGTTGACGTGGTGCATACCAAGATAACGAGTGACGTAGACAAGCATGTAAAGGGTCTGGGACTTGAAGGAGATACCAGAGCAGCTCTGATGTCTGGTCAGTATTGCTGATCTGTTCAGGTTGACAAGGGAGGGCTAACGTTGAGCTGCACCATCTTGTGTAGCAAGATGAAGATGGAGCCGAGATGCGAAAAATCCGCTATTTTACATGTTAGCAAGTTTTTTGATGAGTTTATCGAGTCCGTATGTCGAAAACGTACCGGCGATTCGGAACACGTTGAGAGGCATGATTGCGGTGGTGTGCTTGTCGCAAGCTAAGATAAGAAAGTTGAAGAAGATGCAGAAAGCTGCTGGGGGCGCAGCGAGTGTGAAGCGAGCGACGACCTGTCAAAGGCGTTGGGTGCAAATTCAATTGAGATCGATCGTCCGAGTGACGGTTGGTGTTGATGGCTCGAGGATTGGCAAGGGAGCTTGAGGATCATGAATCTTGAAACTCAGCTCGGCCGGAAAAAGGACACGACGCGATTGCAAGCTCATTGGATCGTCCAGCTACGTAATGTCTCACTTAGAGTCGCACGGCCACTGTGTGCGCCACAATAACTGTGGCTGATATCAAGCGTCTAAGTGACCTTTCACAAGAGCGTACGCTTTCATGAGTCCGTTCATCTGCGTTCATAAATGAAATGCGCAGGAAATTGTTGATTCTATAAACTCCTTATGTTAAATAGCATTAGAAATGGAAGAATTTAGCATGTCTTTTTAATCGGCAACCCGTTTTTCAGGACTTCAATAAGATGACACGGTAACACCCGTCACACTCGTGTACAAGACGTAGAACACCTTCTCAAACATAGGACTCCTGCCAGGCAAAATCATCGAACTAGAAACGAGGAATTGCCTGAATCCAAGACGGCGATATGTAAACACCCACAGGGACATCCCTTAGACTTAGAAATGCCTCCATAATGATGAAGAGCCTAGAAACCACATAGATCGCCACGACGACTCCTGCGATGCCAACTTTTGTATAGTGCAAGGGCAACGGTACTTCTTCAGGATCTGAACCTAAGTAAAAGTTCATAATCAACAGAGATTGCTCGAAAACTAGGTACGCAGGGAAAATCGTCGCCATGTAAATAGAGCTAATCTTCCACAAGACTTCCTCTATATGGCTTGCGAACTCGAAGTTCCAAGCAAAGAGATGAACCCCTCCGTAGGCAAAAGGGAGAGCCATGGCAAGAACCAGTAATCCTAGGAAGCCTAGCCAGAATGTGCGGATCATTACGATCTCAAAGACGGCAAGAAAGTTTTTGGACAAAGAATGAGGTCCACCAAAGTTAATGTCAATGTTACGCTTGCCCTCGCCGAAAGGCATGTCATGGAAGAAATGGGTACCAGAAGGCGAGACCTCCTTTAGATGTGTAAGGTAAAGGGGCTGCGTTGTCGATGTGAAAGGAAGCCATGAGAGAGGTTCAGTTGATTGGGCGAGTTCAACTCGGTTTTCGAATGGGTATGCGGCCCGGATAGCTTCTCGTCGATTAAAAAATTGGTCCTCCAAAATGAATGATGGATTATAGTGGCCATTAGACCAAACAAGTCCGAGGCCAGAGGGTAAAACGTCTCCACTCATTAGTTCTGAGCCCGCAATTGACTCAACCCAGCGCATTGAATCAGGGGGAGCTTGTTCGAATGACTCCTTCGATGGGAAGAGAGCCAATCGATGTGAGGACTTTGCGTAGAACTGTTGTTGTAGCAGTATCGCTATTTCTCCTTTGAATTCCCTGAGACCAACTACTTCGGGGTCCTGAACATCAAGCGGCTTCTGTAAGGTCACGGGGTATTAGCATATGTCAATATTCCCGAGCTAGACAAACATACTTCGAACCAACATATATATAAAAGTAGAGCACATGCTACATGGATCATAGTATGAATCTCAAGTAAACTCAACGGAAGATCATATGCTGTTCTGGCGATGCACTGTATCGCCATCCACAATACCTGTCCGACAACAAGTATCTTTTGTAAAACATCGGCTTTACTCGTGCCCTTAATCTTCCTTCCTGAGATTGGTATCCAATGACCCCTCTCAGCAAGGTGAACAATAGCCTTTGGGGTTTAGTCGTACTGAAAACGGACGGGGTTTATGCTTGTCGTCGAAGACCCCTTGATCGAGATCAGCGATGGATAACATATCATCGACGTCAACGTGGACACCACTCATTACGATAAGAAAGCAGTATTTGAGGTCTATTTCGAACTGTTTGATAGGGTCAGCAAAGAAGTTACTTGCTAGAGTTGAGGAGCCCTACATCCATATGCCCCGGTCCATCACGTATGGCACATAGATCAGACCTGAGATACCGCGCTTGGTACAACTGATCAATAGCCATATATACGGAGATTTCGGGGGCAAAGAGCGTAATCAAAACCCATCCCAGCTTCGATAGTAGTACGGCGTGCCAGGCGGTTTTGGTTGGCACGTCAAGATGCAGCGCTGTACAGATGCATGCAAACAGCACCACGACACAACTCTGGAGGATACCCAAAGTGCTTCTGATGTTAGCGGTGCCCACCCAAGAAGGTGCAATGAGCTTTGCTAAGTCTTCTGTATTGTTGTAGTGAACAAGCACAGTCCACGGGTCATTCGTCGTTGACATGTTGGAAGGTGTTGAAGAAGTTGTGATTTGATCTGTTCTGACACGATAAACAAAGAATGGTAAGAACCAAGTAAGTTGATCATAGGGAAGGAGTTTTATACAGTAACGCATTCGAGGCAGTGCTATGTTATCCAATATCAGCAAACGAGGCTACCAATGAAGGACTGCAAAGAGCGCCATGAAACAAGCTATTCACGTGGCAATGCACATTCAACACAAGGTTGTTGAAATATATAACTAAACAAGGTCCTAGTGACTGTTGATATATATCTCAATAAGGAGAGCGTTAAGTCGAAACACCTAGTTTATATTCATCCAGTCATCGCTACCAGGCAGTCTCTGTTGGCGGCGGAGCAAGTGCAACATTTTATTGATGCCAACCACTACCCGGTCGGTGATTTTTACAAACAAGCAGGGCTTTTGTGCACCGTTTTCGACCTTATTTAGGCTATCTTCAAGTTGCGGACGATATAAGCTTTCTCGATGATTTTACGCGCTTTTAAGTTTCGAAACTTGTTTCAAGAGCAGATGAAACGAGGCCACACTGATATAATAGGGGGGACCAATAACCGTCAGTTTTTCGGTCCTTATATCTTTGAAAGGCGGAAATCATCCATCGTATGCCGTCTCACCCACAGGTACGGGTGAGTCTTAAGCCTTTATTTAAACAGCATAGATCGGTTACATCAAGAGTTTTACATGCTGCTTGGACATATCAGAGTGAGGAGATATGGAAGGGAGCAACTAAAGAACGACATACTACCTCGAGCTCAGTGTTGGAATTGAATAAGGCTCGCTTGAGTTTGATGTGTATTTACATGTTATGCATTGTCATTCCAAGTTACAGTCAACTCCCACAGACGACTTCAGGAGCCCTTGTCACGGATCACTAGCACAGGGGCTGTACAACGCCTTTTGTTTTTGCACAACCGCTATTTACAAAGAAAAGTGTCGATTGTAGTATCTTTCAGAGTCATTTTTCCCAGTGCCAACAGAGGAGTACCGGTTTAACACCCTCAAGAAACATTCTGTTGGTCGACAGTCCAACACCATCTGGTGAAGAGACTAGTCTTCACTCCCAAGAGCTCATCGAACAAACGGAGAAGTGAAAACTAAATTCAACACTGAATGAAAAGCACACCCATCGGGTTTACCTCTTTGGGGTTGCGCCTTTCATGGCACGGGGCCGAACAGGATTCAGTCAGGAAGAGGGGGATAGAGCGAAGAAAGAGGCAAATCAGGGCTATGCCAAGGTATTTGCCTTGTCTAGGATGATAGCTTGCTGACAGCATCACGACCTTGTAGCGTTAATTTGACATTTCGACCAATTGGTCAAAGCAGGTCATGTATTGCTACCATGAGCCGCGGCGGGTGTATATTAGGCAGTTTGGAACTGTTGACTTGGTAGTCAAGCTCGTCACTTTTGCCTGGTAATGGAAATTGAAGAGTAGGTCTGAATTATCTTGGTTGACATATGTGTTTACGAATAGTACGGAAACGAGTGTTCCCTCGACCTGGTGTTGAAGTCCATATCAAGGAAATTGGCCGGAAGATGAAAAGCATTTTGAAAAGAGCGATCAGGAGGACATGGAATTGTTGAAAGGAAGCGTTTACGACCTGCAAAGGTGCGAAAAGAGGTCTCATGATGTGTCCTGAACCGAGTATGACGTTGAGGTGTCAGGCCTGACACCCCTCAAGCACCACCGAGGGGTACTAATGCATAAGTGTGCACGATATTGAAAGAAAACAAAGTCGAAAAAGAGCTGTGAAAACAGTAAAGAGTACACTGACCAAAAGAGTGTTTGGTTCAAGCGTGTGCCCGAAGGCCGCTTGAGTTTGCTGGTGAGCGAGAGAGAATAGGGGATATCACTTTGTTATCAGGAGCAACCTTCATATATATGGATAAAATTCGAACTCAACTTCAGCGTTGTTTTGACATTAAAAAAATAAAAATTGCTTTGACATAAAATTAATATTGAAGTTTGAGGAGAATTTGTTTAAGTTCGTGTCAAACAGACTCACACATATTTAATATTCTCCTTGAGGGTGTCGGGAGCCCCAAGAACAACCAATTAACTTTAGCAAACTAAAAATGATCCGATTATTTCCGTTTACTTTCTTGTCTTCTACAAAGGAACGGGATAAAGCCCACCGGCGTTGAGGAGAACTTCTAATCCTTCAGCCACGATGTTGGGGAAATATACTGCACATCCAGAGTACATCAATTTCCTTCTCGCCTTTATTTAACATGTTAAAGTTAATCAAAGCAAGGAAACTGTGCAACTCTTGAGATATCACCCGTGTACTGAAACCTATAGGATAATCTACTCCGGTGGGGGACACTGTTGTTCTAAATCATGCATGTGGTCAGATGAATGTGTCACTGTATGTTTCTTTCCTACTTAATCAAGCATGCAAGAAATCTACTTCTCCTTGTGTCGGTCCATTCTCGAAGATTCTTGGCGAAGCATATCCCAGACGAATTTCAGGTCCACTACAATGAAACTCTCTCGTCACAAATTCGTAACTCTAGATAGCCCTATCAAGCCAGAAGTTCGGTTAAAAATCTTTCAAAAAGACATGTCTTAACTTTAAACCCACCAACCGACGCAAAGCACGCACAGATGATTGGGAACATTGTGATACAGTCAAGGATATACATATTTGGAGGCTCTAGAAGATATCAACACTGTCACAGCACGAACACTGGAAGCTTAAAAAAAAAGTTATTCTGAAAAAGAGATCCGTTGACGCAGGCGAGTCTGAAGATTTTTCATATTCATAGTGCGTATACAAAAATAGTTTATTTTTATACTCCGGATGAATCACGACTAGATAGCGGAAGCAGAACAACAAGCAATAATAACGAGTTGCGCTGTGAGAACGTATAAGCCCAAATCTTATGGTATTAATGCAGTTATATGTAGATCAAACAATTAAGCTGAGTACCGAGATAATGGCAGAAAGTGCTGGTGAATTTGAAATGGGGTGCATGGAGATGAGGAAGAGCTGCCTGGCACTGGCAGATCAAGAAAGCGGGGATCTAGCTTGAATAAACACAGACTAACCCTATCTTTTGTAGTTACAGACAATATGGCAGTTGACATGATTCTCTTCAGATCTGTGGTTGCTAGGAAATCCCCGAGTGACATGTTGCTGTAATGGATCCAGGGGTTCAACTCTTGGGCTTACCATATATCAGTACAATCGGCACAAATGTGATTTACAACTTGACAAAGACTAAAAACTAGGTACTCACTTAGTCAAGTTCATTATTATTATCGTAATTTTAAAAACAATAATTGAGGTCGAAAGCTCATACCAAGAGTCGCGTTTATGTTCGGGTGCTGTATTGCTCCGAATCGACGATATCAACTTCTAAAAATTCAAGTTGAGGACAAATGTTATGATTCAACTAATATGCTATCAGACTATGCTGAAACTATCGCTACGAAGCTGGAATATAAGTTAAATCGTTTGCCATTGCTACGCTGGTATAGAAATCGTAACGAAGAGCACAGAGCATGAGGCTTTTGAAGATATAACAAAGACTCGGTAACTGACAACCTCGAATAATTAAGAACAACTCATTCCCTAAAGTTTTAACCATCTTAATTGTTCAGTCGACTTTTCCGTTCATGATGTTCCCTTTCATCCCTTGCGTAGTGTCAGTTGTACCTTCAACAAAGGCTCTGGCAACTTTTCTCAAAGCAACTTTGTCGAAATTCGCGTGTTCGTCCCAACTTTGACCTGGTTTGCAAGGACTGCCCCAATTTTCAGAACCGCCATTGTGCTTTGAACAATAAAGACTTGCGTTTGTTCGCTATTGTGTGTTTGACCTCGCATCTAACACCAACACAGAAAAAGTAGTAACTGCTTAAACTCCCATTCCAAAGACCAAACGCCCTGGTTCACCATATCTTCATCTACATATATATGTCCTCGACCACAGTTTATATTTATGCTTCAACTCTCTCAAGATGATGATAGCTACCACTTCTATTCTCACCAATCCGCCACCCAGCATGTTATCAAGCAAGTGCATACCCCCGAAATCCCCTCCTCCTGGTAAGCCCGCTTCGTGGAAGTGGACTTGCGAGAGATGCAACATCTCATACAAGCTCGCCGTGACACGCCGTTGCCTTCACTGCAATTCTACAAGGCTATTCCGCGATGTCAAGTTTATCGGTGCTTCTATCACAAAAGCTTCCACACGGCGCCGCAAGCTTAATAGACTCCGTCACATTCCGCCCGCGGAGAACCACGACTATGACTTCTGGAGCATTCAGAACGACTGGCGCCGCTTCCGCTCGATCTATGAGGCAGATCCCGCAGCCTGGAGGCGTCGCACGATGCGCGATCTCGCTGGATCCAGGGGCGCAGTTCGCCGGGCGAAGAAGTCGCAGATTGAGACCAACAGACGAACCGAAATCACTCAGGACCGCTTCCAGCGCATGCTCAACTACACACACTCTTGTGAATCTGACTGTGACTATCCTAGTCAGTGTCACACAGAGCGATATCAAGTGTTCCAGAAGGACCCGAGCTTGATCGCCGGCCACGTGGAAATCTTCGCTCCAACATACGACGAAGACGAAGAAGATCAAGGAAAGCTGCCTTTGTGTGGTCTCCTGCCAGAGTTCGGCCAAGAAATAACCAGCCCCGAAGATATCGACGATCAAGACGAAATACTGGCAGCGTATGAGGCCCAAGAGCAGGAGGAGTGGTTCACAGCACCACAGTCCAGTTCCGATGATGAGAACGAAGATACTACATCACAGAATTTCGAAGAATTGGACCAAGAGCACGACCACGACGAGTACCTCGCGGCCCATGAGAACGATGACAAGGATGAGTAGTATGATGCCTTGACACATCTTTCTGAAGATTGAGAAAATGAGAGTATTACGACACATCGTCAATTTGATGACAACGATTAAAACTGAGAGCTGGAGCATCTTTAGAACAGTGACTGCTGGCAGTCATGATCGTGAAGCAGCATTGGTGAGGACGGGCAGCAGGGAACAAGGTGAACATCTAGTCAAGGGAATGTAAAGAACGAGTGAGATTTTGGCGAGCGATATCATAGCTGGGTTAATACCATCTGAGGGGAGATAATAGCTTCATTAATGAAAACTACCTGCATACACATCCATCATACACACTAGACTTGGCTTTTAACCATTCGGTGACTCAACCAGGAACTCGTATTTCCGTGTCTACCTAATCCAGTCCATCAGCACAGCGGTTCCGTGTCGCATCTCAAACCAGACACCAGGTGAAGACACAGCTGTTGTACACCACTCGCGCAGCTAAAATAACACATGCGTATCGTCATAATGCGAACCCTCTCGTTATGGGCGCCGACTTTCTCGAGCCGACGCGAGAGCTCGTCGTGTGCTCTTCAGCACAGGCGTCTTCAGCTAGTCAAAGCTGTGGTCGTGCGGACGTCTGTTCATCTTGCGGCGCCCCTTCGAATTCGAATTCAAGCATTTCTGCATTACCGTCCAACATACCAGTATACCACAAGACCCAAGGAAGCAAAACTCAAAACCAAAACCCTAACGAGGCCAGTTCTTAACCCTCAAGAGCCTTGGCCTTCTTCTTCTGTTCAACCTTGAGCAGCAGAGCACGGTTGATGTGTGGCAACACACCACCGTAGGCAATTGTCGCACGGATGAGAGTGTCGAGCTCTTCATCACCACGGATGGCAAGCTGGAGGTGGCGGGGTGTAATACGCTTGACCTTGAGGTCCTTTGCAGCGTTCTGTTGTTAAGGTGTCAGTCAACGTCAGGCAGCAGGAATGACTCATCGCAGATGGACTTACGCCTGCCAACTCCAAGACTTCAGCAGTCAGGTACTCAAGAACAGCTGTAACGTAGACGGCAGCCTTGGCTCCCACGCGCATCTTCTGTTGAGTGTTCTGCTTGAGGAAACGCTTGACACGGCCACAAGGGAACTGAAAATGCCATGTTAGTAAGAGCTTCAAAAAAGAAAACGTTCTTTGATGAGCAGAGGTTCCAGAGCTATCTTTCTTTGCGCATTTTATCGTGTCCCGCAATTATCCACCATGCACGCAAGAACCTTCGATAGCCGTCCAACATATCGGTGAGCTGTTGCAAACTCGTCGCATGAGCCAAAACGCGCAACCACATCCATTTTGAGGATGCGCTGTTAATTTGAAAAGGTTTTTCTCGTCGTGCGGAGATAGTTGACGCGTCGGGAGCGGATCGTGGAACTTGAGATATGTGGGATGCGGGACATGGAATGCGTGCAAATCGGTCGATAAAGAAAGCTCATGCTCCTCTGCTGTTTCTCGAGTTAAAACTCACCTGAAGACCGGCGCGCGCAGAGTGACTCTGCTGCTTCTTGTTGCCCTCGGTAGCGCTCGTCTTGCCGCCAGAGCTCTTTCCGCCGGAAGATTTTCCCTTTCCACCAGGCATTGTCGATGTAGTCGCGGGAAAAATGTGGTAAGATAAAAGTATCAAAAAATTGGCGATGGGGCAATGCGGATTCGAACGCGGTAGCTGATCGGACGAGTTGCTGATAGATGGTGTTGATGGTGAAAAACGCGGGATCGAGGGACCGTAGTGGCAGAAATTTAGCGGGTGCGGTGCTGATGTTGTTGTTCAGATAGGCTCTGACGAGGGTGATCTTGCCTGAGGTGCGGGAGGAATTGGTACTGAGGTACTGAGGTACATGCCTCAGGTAGCTTTCTGGCACTTCAAGCTCGACGGCTCACTGCTAGAGTCGCTTGGTATTGGATGTGGGACCCGAAGTAGACCCGGGTGAGAAGCTGGGCCATCAAAGGCTGTGAGGGAGGCGAGGCTTGATATGACGGCCACCAAAACATGGTTTTGAGTGCGTCAAAGCCTCTAGAAAGGTTAAAGTGCATAGATCAGAGGGAGACTGATCGAGGAAGACTTCTTCCAAGTTCCCAAAGGAGGTTGCGGAGTAGCTGTGTTGATACTTACTTTGAGCTCATCTCATCTTGGTTTGCTGTTATGCTTGCAGCGGGCTGCGGCATAACCACAGCCGCGTCTCACCCAGAGCTTGTTGATTGCCATGATGATCATAGATCATGTACTGGTATGGTAGCCGGTACAGAGGCGACAACTTGCTGTTTTCTGGCAAGTAAGGGCATCGAGTTAGATGCTTGATGAGATGTCGTTGCGTACTGAACAGTTGAAACCAAGGCTCGGCTTGGAGATGATCTTGTCCCGCTGTGGCTAAAGTGTGGCTGCCATGGCTGCTGTTAGCCGAGTATTTGCCTATGCCCAATCATTCAACACGATGGATGCTATCAACCAACACCATGCCGTGAACAACAAATCTGCATTAGTACATGAAAGCGTATGCTGGTATTGAATCTTCAAATTATTGCTGTAACTGTTGATAAGTTATACACGAACAGCATGACTGGTCAATAGTCTGTATCGTCACATACATAAATATGATCACATTTGCGGATCCTTTGGCTAGGTATGTATACGCTGACTGGGATGTGATATGTACAAAAGAACTCGGCTGAGAGAGTTTTCTTTCTTTTTTATGGTGTCTATCCCAAAGTAATTAGTTATGGAAATAGAGCTTAAAGTGACGGCAATCGTGAAAGATCTGCTTCGCAGCTACAAGGCGAGATCTATAATCATTACAGCAAGCTGTAAGTTTCACCTTCAACCCGCCAAAGCCTATAAGACGCCATGTGCTCTGTCTTTTCAACAAAAAAAAATCATTCAGCTGTCCTCACTCATTTGTCGCCTTGGAATGGTCCAATAAAACTATTACCATCTTGCTTACAGCGGGCACGTCGAAGTTCGGTTGTCGTGCGACTTCTATTGAATTGATCAATTGGCTTTTGACAATCTTAGGAGAATTGAAGAGCCTGTGCTTCTCAAGGTTTAATAAAGTTGAAGCAAAAAGAAAATGAATTTCTCCCATGTCAAATCTTAAAAAATTTCTCATTGCTTCTGATTATTCTAGAATTTATTTATCCCTGTCTCTTGTAGGAGAACGTAGTATATCTTGAGTTGTCGAGACTTTTGCGCGGCACAATACAGTGCCCGAATGGCGCCGATCATGAACTTACAGGGTAAATACATTTCGTAATTTAACAAAATGCGAATTAGCTCGCACGAAACCATCAACATGGCTTTTATTATCGTCGAAGCCTATAATGGAAAGTGATTGGGATATTCCTGGAGAACCTTTAGCAGCTCGATGATCGGTGCTTTAATACATAGTTGTCTTGTAAACATTTGTTCAAAGATATTGGCACTTTACCTTTTAATACTGGGGTCAATATTCCACACATTATGATAGCCAGCATTCAGAACCAATGCTGATGGGTTATCAAAAGACACCATGAAGGCCAAAACTTCTCACCCACTGTAAGTCAAACATGACTTTCGGATGTCTGAAGAGTTGAGCTATGAAGTCGCCCAAAGATCACGCCTCAAAACACACATCTAGATACCATTAACAGAATTGGGCCAGCCAATGAGCTTGGAATACATACCCTTCCGATGTACAAGTCTGCGAATCTGCTCTACGAAATACTTGGTATCCAGAATAAAGCCCTAAGTTACCGGCCTTCTTGCTCTTACTCTTAACCTCAGCTTAAAATCACGGTGCAGGCTGTTTATAGCATAGTTTAAACTATAGATTTAATTGTCATTCAGCTTCACTATTTTTGAATGAGAGCAATGATGATAATTCGTTATCAAACACGAGTCAGCGGTCCCTTGAACATTGTGTGTATTGCTTTGGTAGGTCAATAACCTTGTTTCGACGACTAACCGTTACCAACACTTCATTGCTATACGAGAAAGCAATAAATAGACCATTAGGGAGAGAAAGCAGTGCACAGTGTTTACTTCAAAGAGCTCAAGTTGTCATTGAGGCGTCTCATCCCTGAAGGAAAGTGAACCGCTGACACTTTGTTTTGTCTCGTCACGCAGCATATGATCCAGAAGCAGGCAGATAGGCTTCCATTTTCTGAGATGGTGGCTTCTGGCCTCGTGGTTGGATCGGCGTCAGCTGGCTCCGAAGCAGGCAACGTTGGCTTTGACGAGGTTCGGGGATAGCTCCGCAGAGGCGAGCCGGTTTGCAGACAACCGAGACGCGCTGTAACCTGCAGCTGCGGGCAGGAGGCGAAGGCGGAGGCCTGCATATTGGATGCCGATGGGCTGGCACTTTGGTCATGATTTCCACGGTAGATCTTACGCTAGGTCCCATCTCGTGTTGGTGCCTGACCTTCTTTCCATCAAGTCAACCTCTGAGCTTACATCCTCTCTACTGATCTGAGGTTGTGTCTTGGTGGCGATATGATGGAAGCAAGCCGTGAGGCTCACCAAGGGAAAATGGGGCGTCGCTGCGGCTGACGTCGATCCCCCACCAGGTCTGAACGCCGAAACGACGAGACATTAATAAGGTACCTGCTGTAGGTTTCTGATATTTGAGACATCACAATACTGTAGCTGGGCCAACTTGCAACCTGTGGGTGTAGCCAAAGGCATCTCATGACCTTGTTTACTCTTCTGCGTCAGTCTTAATAAGACACGTGCTCCTACAGAGTGGTGGGCAAGAAAAAACAAAACGATGGACACTAAATCTTCATGTTAGTTAGACATAGCAAACATAGCAAACAACATATGAATTTGTGCATCCGCGATGTCACAGAAATCCATGAATGTGCATGTCCGCAGATCAATGAACAAAAGTTACAAAACTACTGATCCATGGGCTACAAGACCGGGGAGCAGATCCGTCTGCCGGAGCTTCTAGAGCATTTCACGAGTTCTTTCATCTTAAAAAGTCCAGGGGTGTTCGGCGACTGGCCGCGTGATCTGGTTATGAGCCGCCGGGGTCTGGCAACCGAGCGACGGAGAGATGAGGCTAAGCTGGGATACTTTTTTTTGGCTTGGGCCTCTCAGGGATTCGGAGCTTACAAGAAAGACCATTGGACTTTCGCCTCTTGTTCTATTTGTAGAAGACAGCGGCGAGGCGAAATAGGATGCGCTAGTAAGCTTCTCGAATTTGACAGATGAAAAGGCGAGCATCAGGTGGACAGGCTAAACAAGGCGAAGTCCCAAGGTTGAGCAAGAGAAGAAGAGAAAGCGAGAGGAGATGAGGGGCCAGCAATGAAAGTGACATGCTTCATCCACCAGTGAAGAGTCTTGGACAAGGTGGTTCTGCGACATAACACAGGAGCTTCATTAGAGTGAACTCCACCTCGGACTGATACACACATCATCAGCAGAGGCAGCGATCAAAATTGAATTGCATTGCGAACAACAACCCCTCAGCCACAGCCCCTCCAGGTAATCAATGGTCAATTTCCAGGGACCCGGGTCTTCTCGCCTCTGATACCGGGGCTTGCAGACGACCTGGCTGGCTTCTGGACGCCGCCCAGGACGCCCTGGACATGGGACGCGAACGGCGACCCAAAGGACTGGGGGAGTCCCCTGAGATCATGTTGGCCCCTGATATCGGCCCAGGTGGGCGGGTTATGATGACCCTTGCTTCGTCATGGCCTCGCGAACAAAGAGGGGCAGGGTAAATCTGTCGAGTGAGAAAAAGGGGTTCAAGAATCTTTTGCAACGAAGCCTGCAGTTTTATGTATGGTGGGTGGCAATGACGTGAATAAAAAAGAAACAAGACACAAGTGAAAGAGAGAATGGTGTCTCCTAGGAGATGTGCTGGTGTGCTTAGGCACGAATATCATGTTTGCTTTTTATGTTTCCCTAAAGTTTATTCATCGCTAACTCAATATAGCGTCTCGCTCACACTGTACTCTGTGCTCCACCACATGATTGGCTTCCCGTCCGACGGGCCGTTGACATGTACCGCAAGTTCGCAGTAGACGAAATCTTGTTGTAGCTGTTGCAGCGGAGAGAAGGCACAAAGTCAGTTTGCTTACTCTGCCTACCTACTCCGTACCTTGCTTTGCTTCGATCTACTCTGCAGCAAAAGTACGTCAGGTGCTGGCTTAGGCATCCGCCCGGATACAACGTCAAAGTCGGGGACCTTTAATGGTCAAAGTGCCATGCCAATGTCAAGCGAAAGCGCCCATGCTAATGCTAAAATTCCCAGAGAACGCCTAGGTCAAAAAGAGCCGCAGTTGGATCTATGCACGTGGCGGTGACGATAAGAAATAGTACATATCCGTAGAGCGATCGAATTTCGCATGGATGTGTATCCTAATTGAGGCAGCTCGAATTTCTCCTTGGCAACCCCTGGAAACAACCGTTGCGTGGCCGAAAAGGGATATGCATTTCAATCTTCAGCGTCGTACTATGGTATTATTTAGCACTAATATCACTGTAATGTAAATTGGATGCGCGAAGCAATGTGGTATAAACATGCCACTTCAACAAGTGGTTTGTCCAAGCGCGAACATACCTAACAAAGCAAGTCATTTTCCTCAAGAGCTAGGCCATACTATCAGGTCCGTACTGTCGTAACTATCTGTACTAGCATCTCCCGGGGAGCAGAAGCCGGGCATGTTATAAAAGGGGTCTGCTGGAGCTAAAGATGAGATACGATACAGTACATGGACTGGATGAAAGCGAGATGGAAAGATGAGACGCGAGTTGGAAACGACGAGACCGTCAATTTTTCCGTCGGTAATGGCAACCGGCCGGACGGACTGAACTACGAATAGAACTGGGACTTCTGGATGCTTCAGTCATTGATAATCTCGTCTCGAGTCTTGTCCTCACACCGTTTATCCCCTATACCCCCATGGTCAAATGAGTTGAGATGAAAAGGTAATGATAGTGACAGTATTGGAACAGTGCAACCCAATAGTCCATGTAAGCCGAGAGGGTTTAAGGTTGTGCTCCAAGGCTACCTTGTTTATACATACACAAAAGTCGTATGTATGCTCAAGCTTTGTACAATACCGGATGAAGAAGCGGTAACTTGCCTGTGCTCGCCGAGTCAATTGCAGGTTTCATGCATCATATCGAGTCAGGCATGGAGTCAGAGTCAGTTGCAACCCAACTCAAAGAAAAGTGTGACAATCAGGCTTGAACTGTAACATGCAGGTAGGTAGCTCGCCCTCTAAGAATTAGTATGCGTTACTTCGAATGCATGTAATACCAGATCTAAATGCATAGCAGTATGCACAACATAAATTCACTGGAACACTCTCTCAGACATAAACATGCTTGCTCTCTTTGAAGATAGACACAAGTAGACAGGGAACGCTCTATACAATTGGTGTGCCCAAAGATATGCGGTCCACACAGCTAGAGATATTGGGACGGGGATAACGTTGTTCGCACTGTTGTAGCATCTGCCACAGTTGAATCTGAAGAATGAAGCACTTGACTTGATTGAGAATCTTTGTCGAGAGCCATCACGAGATATCATTTGACAGCCCTTCTAGCGAGGCCTCAGCATCGCCACCACAATTACCAGTTATCGAGAAAGGCTGGCAATGCCGAGTAAAGATGTGGCTTGGGGAATTATGACAGGAATCAAGAAGCTAGCCAGCCTTCGTTCGTCACTTTTTCTTGTTCTTTTTTTCACAAGCCCCCACAATGAGCTAAGAATTTAGAAGTGCATCTAGCACAGAACCTAATGCTAGGCACGGTACTGCATATTTATCACAAACGCTTGCTTTAACGGTTCATTGTTGAACTAGATGCTCATGAGCATTATCTTATATATACGCCTTGCAATGTTACATTCTTGGAGTTCATCCAAGATCATATCAAATCTCCATCGCCCCCCGGGCTTCAAGGGCATCCATCTCAGGGGATGACGCTCCACAGTGGGCTGTCTGGCAGCTGGAAGATAATTGACCAGCGCTGAAAACCCCACCAATTTGCGCCGGGCTTGGGTATTACATCTTGCACTTGCAGGTAGGGGTGCCTCATTACAGTGCGCGCACTGTCCCATCAATCCCCAATACATCCCGGCCTGGGAGGGAGGGAAAAAATAAGGGCCTCCACTGCAAAAGTGAAGAGCAGAGACCAGACCAGAGAGTCAAATCCAATTGTGAAAGGCCCTACGCCTACGCCTACGCAACCTAACGTAATTGGCAACGCAGCGTGGAAAGAAACCGCTGTCACCTCCCCAACCACATCCCATTCAAAGTGTCCACATCCTTTCCCAAACCCCCGTCTCCCGTCTCCCGTCCGCCGTTTTCCCGTTCCAGATCATCACGGACATTTGCTAGGTCTTGTTCCATCTTCTTTTCTCCTCCTTCCTCCCCCCTTTCTCAAAACCTCCACTGCCTCTATCTTAAACCTCATCCTCCTCTTCCTTTTTTCTCCCCTCTCCTCCCCCGATTTCCCCTCAACTAAACCTCCCCTCTCGTCTCGTCTCGTCTCCCTTGATTACCTACTCTTCCGTTGATCGCACCTGGTTCGCCGAAAGCTTCAGCCCTTACGTCGACGAAAAAAATTAACGACTTTGGTACCCTACGAGAGACGAGGTCGCCGCGCGAAAACCAATCCTCCCTTTTTGTGAGATTGCCATCATTTCATTAGTAGTCTTCGTATCAGCTACTTTTGAGACATCGCTATATCCAGGGTTCTCGGTCCATAATCTTGGTTCTTGAACTATCCTGCTGCAATCAGAAAGTGACGCTCTGACGTTGCTCCGCCACTTTCGTCAAATCTCCTTTACGAACTTTGTTCCATCTAGGCCTCCTTCGTTGTGTCGGCTATATCTTGTCCAGGTCACCACTGAGGATTTGATCCCGATTTCGTTTCCGGTTGCGCTCCACGTGAAATTCGAGAGCTCAGCATTGCCTCAGGCTTCCTCCAACACGGGCAACACAACTTTTCTGGCTCATTTAAGACGGTGACCAATATTGTTGCATCTTGCTTCATCCCGAACTTCTTGGATCAAAATATCCATATTAGACAGGCAAAACCTCTCTGCGCTCCGTGTCCCATCATTCACTTAGCTACACCGCTTCACGACCGAGACGATTTCGGACCCACGAGCCAACGATTTGATGCCGCAATATTAACATTTGTTATACATCTCCGATACGCTCTGCGACCCGCATACTTTTCGCTGCAAACTCTGTTTGGTAGCCCTATAAAACTCGGCCAAAACCAAAACAGCTCGACTGCTGGGTGAAATCAGCAGCTACCTGTCAAACTGGATCCAGTCATCACAATGTCGCAACAACAACATGATATGGGCTACCTCGATTATGGTACATCGACCAATCGCTCCCCTAATTCGAGACAAAACTATGCCACTGCTGGCTTCGCCGCTGGCCTATCGCTACCCCGACAGTCTCAGCGCCCCTTTGACGCACCTCTAGGATCATCTGCACTCTACCCTGCCGACAGGATCGGAAGCGGTTATAATCACCGCGGTATGGAAAACATGGCTGGCGGTATGCAGGGTTATATGCTGGACAACGGCCAGGCTTGGAACTACAACACAGGTGGCGTGGCCACTGTTAATGGTGCCATGAACGGCCCTGGGCGACAACGGAACGTGAACCGCCGAGCTGCTCTCCCTCAGGTACGTGATGATGCCATGATACATCAACCAGATCTAGCTAACCAAAAACAGACATGGACGGACCAGAGTGGACTTGGCATCCACGGCAGCCACGGAGGTCTTCAGCCTTACCAAGGTGGAATGAACAACAACCCTATGTCGAATGGCGGCCTACGTGTCGAGCACCCCGGATCGCACGGCTCCCCTACGGATCTTCGATCAAACACTTCCGACGCCGATCAGCTCATTCCTACTGCCATCGTGATCAAGAACATCCCTTTTGCAGTCCGTAAAGAGACTTTGGCTTCAATCATGCTCGAGATGCACCTTCCTCAGCCATACGCCTTTAACTACCATTTCGATAACGGCGTATTCAGAGGCTTGGCCTTTGCCAACTTTCAGTCTGCCGATGACACACGCCTGGTTATTGAGGCAATGAACGGCATGGACGTCCATGGCCGCAAACTTCGCGTTGAGTATAAGAAGATGCTTCCCGAGGCTGAGCGAGAGAGAATTGAGCGTGAGAAGCGAGAGCGCCGTGGCCAGCTTGAGGAGCAGCACCGAGCCCCCATCCTCCACCAGCAAAGCTCCATTCAGTCGCTGGGCAGTCTTTCACAGTCTCAGGCCAGGGGTCCTTCCCACCTCGGCATGCTCGAAGCCTCTCGAGTCCAGTCTCCCTCCATTGCCATCCCCGGTGATGTTGACTTGAACGACCCTCAGACCCTTGAATTCTACACCGAGCTGGTTATGTTCCGCCGCGATGATTCTCGCGAGATCTTGGTCTTCCCCCCTGGAATCGCCCCTGAGCACCGACGATCTATTCACATTCTCGCCCACAACATGGGTCTCGAGCATCAGTCCATTGGTGAGGCCGAATCTCGCCAGCTTACTGTCCTGAAGCGACAGCAGCCTTCACCTACCGCCAACATCCATAGCCAACCGGCTACCAGCCTCGACATGCACAAGCGTGGTCTCAGCCGCGCTGCTACATTCGATTTCGCTGCGGATCGCGAGACACGAGCTGCCAGCAGCAATTACGCACATGTGATGGGCCGACAAGGACCTACTCTGGAGCTTCCCGGAAGCCCTGATGGAAACAGCATCCCCAACAACCTACGAGCTGCTAAGAGCTTCGCCGATCTGCGATCTTTCACCCCCAGCCCCTCTCAGGCCTCTTCTAGCTACCTCGGACCCTCCGGTATGAACAACATGGGTCCAGGTTCAACAGCTCGCTTCGGCGACTACATGGGTGGTGCCATGTCTCCATCTGGCCACCCCGGTAACTCTGGCACTCCCAACCCCAAGAACGACTCAGCTCTTCTTGGCAGCCTTAGCAACCTGAACCTAGGTTACGATTCTGGGTCCATGCAGAACCAGGCGCGAAGCACTCCTGGCGCCATCGGTAGCCAACGTCCTGGTAACAGCTCTAAGGGAGCTCCCGAGCGACAGCCCCGCGGACCCGAGTGGGAAGCTAATGCTGGATTTTCTGGGCGTCGTGCTAACGGTCACGCTACCCGCGGCAGTGGTATGTCGTCAGACGATTCCAGCTATTGAACAAGGACTAATTTGGTAATAGACTCGTCAGACAACGGTGCGCGTGTTGGCTCAAGCTCTACCAATGCTTCGCGATATCACTAAGGAACATGGGTCGCCAGCCTTGATGAGGCAAGCTTCCGACGACGTACCTTATAGGCGCCGGACAACTGCGCGTATCATTACGGATTAACGAGAATGAAACCGACGCATCGATATTTTACATCGCATTTGCTTTTACGACTTGTAATACCTACATACCAGGGGAAGTGTTGGTCAGCTTATAGCCTGGCCTTGTTGAACCCCATTACATATAGTTTACGTGGGAACGGTTTATGAATTTTGAAGATTGTGGGGGACGACAGTGGCCCATTTGAGTATGTGGCCGACTTGATGACAGCTACCGATGAGAGAGTATGGGATAGGATATCTGGATACACAAATGTTTTCAACACAACCTGGGCAACCAAACATGGATGGTCACGAACCGCTTGGCAAGGCAACACGCAAAACCTGGAATACCCTCGCATGTACCCCGACAAGACCTACGACCACTACTTGACGATTATGACGCTTTTACGACGTGACGTCTAGACAGCTATACTGGCTTCTCCTCATCAGGCTGTGTACAGCGTCAGCGATGGGAGGAGTTGCCTCGGCGACTACAACCTACTACTATACCCACCAAATAATTTCTGTCTAGGCGCTGTTCCTGGCATGACCGCGACGATGAAGACGAACATGGAGGCGCCCGAGTTCGGCTATCTGGACCAGGGGGCATTGAAGGGGCCGAACTAACAACTGAGGATTGTGCTGGAGTGAGGCCCCACTGGAATGGAAAAGAAAAAAGTTACAATATTTGGTTTCTGCATTATTGATTCGTCTTCTATTTATGTTTCCGCTACAGTTACAGTTTCTGTTTTTGTGTATTGGCAGAGGAATTACTCTGGCCTTGATCGATTAATTATAGGTGTGCTTGGTCGCGTTGATACGAGGTGTTTGTGGCCATCCTTTGTTGAGGAAATGAATTGTTTCGCACTGAGGATGAGCTGTGGAGATGCAAACACGACCGGGAGAACGAGTGCAGTCGGCATGAGATAGTCTTTGCTTGCATGCTAAGAAACACTTGTATGATGTGTAGCGCGTCGGCTTTGTCGAATATACGTGGTTGAGCGTTAGAGCTGTGTTGTGTCAATGGTATGACGTGATGACTGATGTGCGAATGAGTTTGTTCTCTTTCAGTTTTGGTATTGTTGTATATACCCGCATAGTAATGCTTGATTAGCTCTCTGCTTATACCCAACTCAACTACAAAATACATCTGGAACCTTTATCGAATGATGTATCCGTAAATGGCCGGGGATAAATAAGTCTTGATTATTAAGACATGTCAAACCGCTCCGGTATTAATACCTGAAACGATCTAGCCCGACGATCTGATAGGACAACGGCATTGTCGCCTCATCCACCAAAAGCGACGTCATCTCCACTTGTAAGAGCATTAACTGATAGTCAACGTTAACATTAATCGGCTTCTTTTGTTATTTATTTCATCTCGAACTTCCTTCCTTCATCATGACAAGTTTCATCTCTTCATACCTCTCTTTTGGAAAATCGGAAACTAAGAACATGGCGCTCCCAGAGACAAATAGGCAGTGGACTACAGGCCAGGATGGGCTTGATAAGCTTCAGTTTGGAGAGGGCAAGGTGCCACAGCCTCAAGAGGGCGAGGTCCTTGTCAAGGTTAATGCTGTCGGCTTGAATTACCGTGATACAGAAGGTAAGTTTATACTGCTTTTTTGGAAAGGTTTGAACTGATGATTGTAGTCATTGCGGGTGATTACAACCACCATGCCTCAGTTCAAGACACACAGGCTCTAGTCCCCTGCTCCGATATGTGCGGTACAGTCATTCAGAGCTCATCACCCAAGATCAAGACTGGCACCCGCGTCATGTCCATCTTCAACCAGACTCATCTCACCGGCCAAGTCAAAGAAGCAGACATGGCCTCCGGTCTCGGCCTGCCTCTCCCCGGCGTTTTGACAGAGTACCGCTGCTTCTCTGCCGACAGCCTCGTCCCCGTGCCGGATTACCTCTCCGATGAGGAAGCCGCGTGTCTCCCCATCGCTGCCGTCACAGCGTGGATGTGTATCAACGGCATGCGACCCCTCGGCCAGCCCGCGGACGGCAGCAAGAAGAAAGAGACGGTTCTCCTTCAGGGCACCGGTGGTGTCGCCATCGCCGGTCTCCAGATCGCAAAGGCAGCCGGTCTCGACGTCATCATCACTTCTTCATCTGACGAAAAGCTGGAGCGCGCCAAGAAGGATCTCGGCGCCGACACAGGTATTAACTACCGTACGCACTGGGAGTGGCAAGAGCCCGTGATGGAAGCCACACAGCACCGCGGCGCCGACATCATCTTCGAGACGGGCGGTGCACGCACGTTGCGCAAGTCCTTCGACTCGGTTGCCTTTGGCGGCCTGATCAACTGCGTTGGGTACCTGTCCGGCAAAGAAGAGGAGCAGGACATTGGCGGTAAGGTTGGCGTCAACGTACTCGCGCTGCGAAGAAACGTGACACTCAAAGGCATCCTTAACGGTCCCAAGGACCGGTTTGAGGAGATGGCCGCATTCTACGAGAAGCACTCTATTCACCCTGTTGTGAGCAAGGTGTTTGGGTTTGAGGAGGCGAACAAGGCGCTTGAGTTCTTAAGCAGTGGACAGCATTTCGGAAAGGTTGTTGTGAGGGTTTCTAAGAAGGATGAATAGAGTGTAAATGAATAATAGATAGAAATAGAATAATAGGAAAGAAAGCTAGAATTCTTAGCAAGTCCCTGAGGTAGTCCCTAAAGGTAGTCCCTTGGTGAGATAGTCCCTTGGTGAGATAGTCCCTTGGTGAGATAGTCCCTTGAGATAGTCCCTTAGTTAAGGTAGTCCCTTAGTCAAGGTAGTCCCTAAGGTAGTTCAGTATAGGCTTATCTATCTATTACTATAGACAAGAACACCCCAGAATATCAAGGATTGTAGATTGTCTATATTAAGCTACTGAGTCATTTTGCTGAGGAAATGTGTGATCTATGTTCAATTATAGAGTCTTTGGGACAACTCGCGCATTATGGTCGACGAGGTCCAGCCTGTTAACCAACGGCGCAAATACATAATCCTGAACTGGTTTCAGAACAAGCACGGCGTGGCTACTACGCCATCCAAGCAATGGAACTAGAGCGCCGATAAAAGCATCAGTAAGGAAATGGTTTGCGGTCGCAACAATGGTGATGATCATGGCAGTCGGCCACAAAGGGGCGAGGAGACGCATGAACCGATGAGGAGAGAATGTACAGATGCAAATGGCGAAGAAGAGCGACGTTCCAAAATGTAGACTTGGCATCGCTGCGATGGTCAACTGAAAGCGGTTGTTGTTCCAGACATTGGCACCTCCAGCTTTACTGTGTAAAACATCGACAAAGCCATATTCCTGGGGTAGCAATCGCGGGGGTGAACATCGCCAGAGAGTGACGACGACAAAAGCAATGGCGTTATTCACGGCGATAGTACGGCGAATGCGTTGGAAGGTCGAGGGCGGGAGATATGTGTATATGTAGATTAGGAACAGGATGCCGACGCTGATGTGAGAGTAGTAGATCTTGGCAAGGATGGGCATCAGCCATGATTGTTTGTGCATTATGTATGACTGAAACTGCTGCTCAATGTCGAGGCCGAAGAGGGATTCGAAACTGAGAATCTGGAGAGCGTGGTCTTGGGCACGGGTGAAGATTGCCTCATTGCCTGCGATCATCCTGGCCGAGAGCGCTCGCAGCCCTTGATAGATCCTCCAAGGAGTAAGCATACAACTGTGTCATGAGTCGCGGTAGAAACGCACCAGTATGTCAAGTTCCAGTACCAGATCTCGATGAGAAACGGAAATGTGTTGAAGAAACGAGATAGCAGGACGAAAAAGATATTGGGAGCTTTGCGTTGGGACTGTAGCAGAACTGGCTTGAGAGGAGGCGAGTCAACGGATTTAGGTTGGCATGACTCTACATCGCTGAGATCGGTGTAAGAAACTTGGCCATTTCGTCGTCTGTTGATGAGACATCCTGCCGTGAAGGCAAAGACGATGACTTGAACCTGTTAGCAAAGAATGGAACTGGAGTGTCGAGGACTTACACACTGGCTCAACCACATTCTTGGAGGCTATGACCATGATTGCAATTTGATTATACCACTCGCATCAGATTGACATATCAAGAGACGTAAGAGAGTCAATAAACAAGACACAAGAACAGATAGTGTACCTATAAAAGAAGGTGGTTAAGACTGCCAATCTAAGATCTAAGCCGAGACAAAGAGAAAGGAGGAGATGAAGAACTGGGAAAGAGACGACTGGTCAAGATGAAGTCACAAGGAGAGAATGAGCCGCATATTTAAAGTTGCACAAACAAGGAAACTTGATAGCGGGACAGTATAGAATGATATCAAATTAGACTAGGACAGGACAAGATAGGGAAGCAGACACGAGACACGGCACTCGAAATTATCCTCGGGGAACAGAAATGTATTTAATTCACACCTGGTACCTTTCCACGATGGAGTGTTGGTGCTACAGTAGAGGTAGTACGGAGTTTACATGGTTATTTGTCTATCTGGAGACTTCACATGCATACGGGAGTCCATATTCAGCATGCCACTAGCTAACGCTTCATCTATAAACGTATGATGCACCCCTGTTGTTTTAGACTGTGGATAGATTCAGTGTAAGTGCTTCCGCTCCCTCCGCAGATACCGTCGGACTTCATATTTGTCCACTGGGCCTGAAGACGTATCTGATGTGGCATTTACTCCTGAGTGGTACTCAACTTGGTATGTCATTGTCATTGAAGCCCTGCCACAGACTGGCTGACTGAGCTTGGTCTTGAAGCATCAGCTCACCTCTGCCGTACAGGTAAATTCTTCCGCAGCCAAACGCTACAGATGTAAAAAGCCAATATAAAATATCCATGCAATAAGCTTAAAGCATGACATATCACCCTTGAGAGTCCAGTACAAATACGCCAATCCCAAGCCTCGGGTGACGACCGTCTGCCTAGCGGAAGAGTGGCACATCACCTCAAGAAACCACCGTCGTGACGTGTTACCAGGTGATAAATATACATAGTTTATCCCCTGAAGGGCGACAACAGCGGCTGAATTATTGAAGCTACCTGGTACAACTTGGCAAGGGGTTCAGTGGACGGAGTTGACTGTTGTGTCACCCCTCAACCGTGAGAGGTTACAGTACTCGTGTTATCAGAATGTTAATCAATGAAGCTTAACTAGAACTCCTGCAGGACGTTATTAAAGCTTGTTTTGAGGATCAATACTTAATCAAGTATAGTGCATAACCAGACATTCAATTGATTCATGGTTGGTCAAGTCTCAAGATATGACTTATACACACGGAAGCATCGGTCTCGAATATGATCCCGAGATGGAACCCTGGTATCCGAACTCCGGAATGCGCGGGTACCCGTTTACCGGAGCTTCTTTTAATGAGATTGAGTAAAATCTCTCCGTGTAATAAACCTCGGTACGACAAAATTGGAAGTCAATCAGTAAACTTGCCTCGGTTGAGATGTCAGAATGTGGCATGACATGGCACGACCAACGTCTTTAACTGCTAACTCCTATTGTCCCACTCTAGAAGAACAACATCAGCAACAAGCTTCACACTTTGAACATTGGCAATGAATACTTCATCAAACTTTCAATTATCGTTGACCGACAGTATTCAAGTAAGACGAGAGTCAAAGTCATACCAACTTTACACATTCCACCAACCTCAAGTCTAGACACTCCATCTCTAACCAACTCTATCCCATTATTCCGCCCCTTTTCTTAGGACTAATATGCCATGAAAGTATGTATCTTCTTGACAAGTTATTAATATCCGCATTATCCGAAAGCAAAGTGACCACACTCTCCCCTCAATCCTCAACCACCACCCATTGACTGCCACTCCCCAACCAAACTTCAACCTCAACTCATAAAAAGCAAATCTACTTTTTCCACAAACGCCAGAAATTCCTGTTCCGAGTCCAGGACATCTTGCCATGGTACTTATCCAGCTGACGAAGCTCAAACTCCTCCTCCGCCAGCCACTTCTTCCCATCTCGTTCAAACAGCTCCCTCACGCCGTGAGGCTCGTAGCCATGTCTCCCAGGCGTTTTCGTGTCTTGTATTTCGTCCAGGTGCGGGAGCTCGCCGCCTAGATCCTCCCACACGCATGTCTCGGCTGAGTTCCTTGTGAGGCAGATCGCGTAGTCCGCAGCTGAATACACATCCCATGCATACACCGGCGTGCCGACGCTGGCGTGCGCAGCGTCGCGTGCCATTATGATCTGGTTTATCTCGCAGCCGCAACGATTGCCTTCGCAATTCTTTTTGCATGCCCTTGCACCGGTCAAAGTGAATTCGCTGTGCGGGCTGCAGGACCTGAACTTGTTCTGCCGCAGCAGCTGTGAGAGACCGTATTCATTGCTGGGACCTGTATAGCAGTATATTCCAATTGTCCACTTCGTCATGATTAGGAAGCGTCCGTTGATGATCTTGCACCACTTCCAGCGCTTCACAGAGTGATCGCGGCCGTAGACATCGCGGCTTGTGTACACAACAGGTTGTAAAATAGCCTCCAGGATCTCCTTATGCTTCAGATTTTCGGTACCAAGCCGAGTGTACTTGAGCGCAAGCTGAACATGCCGTTCCCTAGGAAACTTGTGTCCGTAAACTAACCTGCAGTCTTCGTTATGGCTGGTAAACATTATCTTGGGTCTAGGCGGGACTGCTGGTGAATCGTGCTTGCGGACTGCATGGATGCAGCCACAAGATGAACAGACCCTTACATCAGGTCGATCCTTTGCAAGAATACCAGCATAGTTGATTCGATCGGCTAAAGGGAGCTCTTTGAATGTAGGAAGGTCAAGACCATTTCTCAACACTATACAAGTATGTGATAGTAACACTTTGCTGGAAGCAGGTAAGTACTCTGCTATCTGGAGAAGCACATCAGTTGGAAGCATGTGCAGCAACAGACAATTGTCGGACTGTTCTTTTCTTGTTTTGCGAGAGGCGAACACATTCTTGATCAAGAATGACAGATGCCGATACCGCTTCTCGAGGTTTTGTTTCCGGATATGCAGAGACATTGTAGCGACGTTCCGTCCATCATCAAGATTGAAACATAGACCAACTTAAACAAAGGCTGTCTCTGTATATATGCTTAAGAGAAGTATTTAAGGTTGAATGGCTCAGAAGTATCTTCGCTTTTCTCCGATGTTGATGGGGTCAAAATACACAATGCACCTTGAATTGCTTCATACCAAAACTCACCTACCTATCTTTACGCTTTTATTGGGCACTGTTCACTATCAACGACGCGCACATGATGTCTTGACATTCTCATCAAACCTTACTACAAGCCTATCTCATCATGAGTTCACTCACATATCAATCAGCGTGCAAATCACAAGGCAAAAAAGCTCACTTTCTTGACCATTCATATCAACTCAAACATTATTTATCAAAACTAGACCAAAGAGGAAGAACAAGACTTCGTTCCCCCTTCAATTGCCCTCCGCCAACATTCCACTCCATCCCATCCCTCCCCTTTCTCCGGGGTATCATAGCATCCCAAGTGTAATGTAACGTAGCGTAACGTGAAAAACGAGCCGAGCACCTCCAATGCGTTTGCGCGCAACATGATACCAAATCAGATCGATCAATCGACCCAAGGCCATAAACATCAGTAACTTCCTAATAATGCAAATAAACGTCCTTTTCTTCGCCGTTGTGAATCTTTCCGAAATGCTCCCATCCGATAGCTTCCCAGCGAGATGTACACCGTTGCAGCTGCAACTTCTAGCCCACGACAAGTGACCACGTTTCCATGGCCCACTGCGTTAGACAATTCGAAAGATTAATCGCTGGATGAAAACAAGCATTCAACGTCATCCACAAATAGATCTAAGTTGCGTTCCACACAACGTCCGATTACTCGTAACGTCTCGGGGCGCCAAAGGTATCAAGCACTTGCTCCGAAGTTCGGATGATCCATTCAAGCTTAGCTCTCTCGAGGTTGGCGAGGAAAGGATCAGTAGGGAAGCCGTCCTGGATGCCACCGATGAGAGGCTGGATGCGTCCAATAAGGAGCTGCATGGTCTGAGTCGTACTCTTGATCACATCGCGAGCACCTTGTTGTTCCCATTCCTGTTTCTTGTTAGTTTGCGGTCATCGTGGAATTATAGGTTAGAACTTACAAAAGCCGGGAGGTTCTCGGCAAAGGCCCGCAGAGCCATTTCAATCCATTCAACTTCCTCCTTGAGACGAGCGTTGGGCTTCAGGTCCTTCGAGATTGTGGCAATAACAACAAGCAGCATAAGGGGAGGAAGGTTCTCAAACTTGCTAGGAGGGAAGCGGCTGAGGCAACGGCGGAAGATCTCTTCCTCACGTCCACTCTGGATCCACTGGATCATAGCATCCTGGTAGCGGCCTTCCTGGATGGCCTGCTCGACAATCCTGATGCGTTGCATCAAGTCGTGGTCCGCCTCAGGCTCTGTCTGGGAACGCTGACTAGCGTAAGCACCAGCAAGGGCGCTGACGCTTGCAGTAGGAGCGACGTAGTCAGAAGCCTGCTGCGAGGCTTGAGGGCTGTTTACTTGCTGAGAACCGCGGACGTACTGGGGGCTACCCATGTATTGCTGAGCCTGGCTTGCGGCTTGGCTAGGAGCCTGGCTTGGGTGGTAACTGCCCGCGTGGCTGGCAGCGTGACTCTGAGGGTGGTGCTGGCTGGAGCTTGCATAGCCGTGGTGAGGGATGTTCTGCCCATGGCCAGCGTTCTGGGGGATGCCGGGAAGCTCGTGAACAGGTTGCTGTTTGAACTTAAGAAACTCGGCCTGAAGGGCGACCTGGGACGCAGACATGGTTGAGACCATCTCAGAAAGGCGGCCAACATGAGACAGCAGTTGATCAATCTTGGTAGCGTCGGCAGCATGCTGAGACTTCATGTACTCAAATTGATCATGGTATTGCTGATGAAGCTCGCTAGCGACACGCTGCGAGGCCTGAGTCGCAATGCTGGTGAAGGTAGGAGTGAGGCGCTGAGTCAAAATCGCGAGGACTTCCTGCTGCACGCCTGTAGCAACGGTACTTCCAACGCGGTCAGAAATAGCCTTGACGAAATCGTTAGATCGCAGTGACCTGCTGAGCGCATGGGGAAGAGAGCTCTGGATCTCCTTCTGCACCGACGAAGCAAGATGCGGCTGCAGCTTGTTTTCGAGAAGGTCAGTAACTGCGGCACCTGCCTTGTCGCCAATGGCAGGGATGACGAGCTCAGTAAACTGGTGGTGAATCAGAGCCTCCAGGACCTTCTGAGTGTTTTCGTTCAGCACCTCCGAAACCATATCAAGGAGCTTGAGTTGGTGCTGATTGAAATTCTCGTCGCGGACGCGGACGTCGTCATCGATCTTGCCCTGAAGGTTCTTGAATGATGACTTCAGGGTCTCGGTGACGTTCACGTTCAAACGGGACTCCAATCCAGAAATAGCGGCATCCAGAGCCTCGCTAGAGACAGCTGGTGCGGCAGTGTTGTTTGCGCTCTTGGCATCCTTATTGCCAGCACGAGGTGTGGCCCCGTTAGTTGCAGCATCACCCTGGTTGGCAGCGTTCTTCTTCTTTCGTGACTTGCGCTCGGGCTTCTCAGACTGAGACTCCTTGGCCGACTGTATAGACGTTTCAGCCTCCTTTGGCTCACTCTTGATCTTGGCAGGAGTGGCAGATTCGGGTCCACGTTGAACAGACTCGGCCTGAGATCCCGGGGTGGTCTGAATGTTCTCCTTGTTGGAACCGCGGTTGACAACACGAACAACACCATCAGCATTGTTGGCTGGTGAGGGTGTCTCAGCTGGTTGAGGCGCCTTAAGCTTCGAAACAGTCACGACATTCTGAGCAACAGCATCAACGGCATCGAGAACCTTGTTGTCCTTCGACCATCCGAGCTCGGTCTGCTTGACTAGAAGACAAGCCACACCCTTGGAGTGCATAGCATACAGCTCAAAGAGGGTGGGTTCGTCGGCGTCTTGAAGCATAGCGGGGGTGCCGAGGATGTCAAGACTTCGCAGAATTCCCCGGTTAGCGAAAGAGTACTCTCGTACACCACTAATGACAGCGGTACTATCCGGCTGGGGGATGGAGGAGTCCTGAGCAATAAGACGTTGGATGTACTCGGCCTGGGAGACGCTCTTGAGGTTATACTTAGGTGCCGACAAGTGCGCAAAGTAGATCGAATTCCGGGTGGGATGGCCAATGACAATCATGCCAGTGGCTGAGTGGTACATGACACTGCAGACAGCGTCGGACTCCTTGCTATGAGGGAGGTTAAACTCCTGAACAGGCTTGCCGAGGGCAAGATCCCAGAGCTGAAGAGTGTGGTTTTGCTTCATTCCGACGATCATGTACCGAAGAGCACATCGCTTCTGGTAAGGTCGCTGCTTGTCAAGAAGCAGAACCGAAGTAGGCCAGGCCTTCTCGCCCTCAGGAGTGGTGGCGAGAGTCATCAAAGGCTCCTTGACCTCGAGTGAGGTCTGCGCAGGCATAGGAGCACGCGGGTCAGAACCCTCCTTGACAGCGGTCAGATCTCGAACATCCCAGAACTTGACCCGACCAGACTTATCAAGAGAGACGATGACGGAGTCGTCCTGACTGAAGGTGAAATCCTTACCAGCCTTACCAGTGTTGATCTTCAAAGAGCATTGCTTGGCAAGGGTTTCGGTGTCAACAACGCGATCGTGGCCTGGCTTGAACAGGTTGTTCTGAAGAATGTACGAAGGCCAGATGAGGTTGATTGACTTTCCGCGACCGACAGCAAAGAACTCAGGATGGATTGTAGAAGTGCGAGCACGAGTCTTAAGTACTCCACCAGGGGCATCACCCTCCTGAGAGCTCATGGGAGGCAGGGCAAAGCCGTACTGCTCCATGTGAGCATCTTCGATGTGGTCCTTGTCGCCGTCACGGATCTGAACCCAATAGACGGTGCCGCTGATGCCAGTACCAATGATGGCCTCGCGATGGGCACCCTCGTGGTCCGAAGGTGTAACGGACATGGCGACGTTGAAGATACGGTCCTTGGTGTCGGTGAAGATTTTGGCGTCCTTGCCATCCTCCTGTCGGATGACACGAAGACCTCCCTGTTTGGACATACCATAGGCCATGTAGTTCTCGGTCGCTGTGTACAAATTGCGATCAATCTGATCAAATTCCTTCTTGAGCCGAGCAATATCCATGATAGTCTCGTCTCGGAACAAGGGTCGTGGTTCGGTTCCTTCCTCCTGAAGGGTGATTGAGATCCAAGGCTTCATGGGGAAGTTGAAAACCTTGACGGAAGGAGCTTCCTTCTCTTCGATAACAACGATCTCGTCCTGGTCAGCACTCTCCCAGCTATCAGCGACGCCTAGAGCAGCCTCGTCGACAATATCGCGAACAGTCTCAGCAACATCAGTTGGAAGGGCGTCCTCGAGAAGACCTTCGTTCTCACTACGGTCAAGCTCAGCTTGAATAGCCTTGGCGGCAATTTGAGCACTGTCCTCGAATTCCTTCTCGGACTTTGCGTGGAGCATGTCGTCCAGGTCCTCGGCAATCTCAGCCTGGGCCCGTTCGTACTCCGCGCGCTCAAGTGCCTCTCGGGCCTCATTATCAGCCTGCTCAGCAATGTCGTTAACAGCCTCCGCGACGGTCTCCTTAGCTGTTGAACTATGGTTCTCGATTTCGGTCGGGGGCGTACCCTGCTTCACAGATGGGTGAGAATGCAGGGACGAGGTGCGAGCTGCCTTGCGACGGATCTGATGCGGTGAGGTAGGTAAAACCGCTCGCTCACTGCCAGCGCCGACCGAATGGTCAAGGCGGTGGGAGTGATGAGAATGATGAGAGTGCTGCGACGCAGCAGGCGAATCTTTCTTCAGGATCTGAAAGGGGAGGCCACTACCGCTGGGCGACTGAGCAGTCAAGCTACGACTTTGACTCTGAGGAGAAGACTGAGCAAGGTTTCCCAGCAACTGCTGGAAAAGAGCTGACGTGTCAGGCTGGTGTTCCTGAGAGGCAGGGTAATAGGACTCGGAGTGACTGGACGGCGCGTGAGCGTCGGCGTAGGAATCGGCCGGGCGGTGCTGCTGGTTGTTGTACTGTCCATTATGATGCTGGTGTTGCCCATACTGCTGCTGGTAAGCGCCCTGGTAGCGGGCAGGCTCAGCGTGAGCATTCTCGGGAGACTGGGGAGTCAGGTTGTTCGAACGCGAAGCCTCAGACAACATGGACTGCTGCTGATCGCCTTGGCTAGGCTTGGGGCGATTGAGCAGGTTGAGCAGGTAGGACCGCGTGTCGGCAGGAGGGGAACCGTTGCCGAAAGGCTGCTGCGGAAGAGCCTGCTGTTGTTGCTGCTGCTTGGGCTCCTCGGACTCGTGGGCGCCACGCATAAGAGCAGCCAAGAGACCAGTCGGGTCAGCAGAGGATGGAGAGGGCTGATGAATCTGAGCGGGCAAAGGGCTCTGAATGATTCCCCGACCCTGCTGAGCATGCTGCTGGAACTGGTTAAGCTGGTGCAGCTGATGCTCGGGCGACAACTGCCGGTGCAGTTGCTGCGGGGATTGGTTCTCCTGCTGATGATCCGGGTACTGCTGTGCTTGCTGTTGAGCATGGCCGTGGGCGCGAGCCTGAGCAGCCTGACTCTGCAGCTGTGAGCCACCTGAGCCGCTGAATTTGAGTAAGTTCAGCAGATTGGCAGTGCGATCCGAATTATTGGATGGCATGCTCGTATTGTTGACTGGCGGCGTAGGTGCCGGTGGCATGTCGAGATTGTCCATGGCGACAAGCCTGAGGAAGCGGTTGCGGACTCGAAAAGAGTTACCGCGTTGTTTTGGTGATTAAAACGTGAAGGTGATTAAGAGACGAAGGAAAGGCGGCGAAAGGAAGCGGAGACTGGACGAAAGCAAAGCAGACGGGCCGATCAATTCCGAGAGAACGCCAAGAGGGAAGGATGAAAAGGGACGATGAGGGAGAGAAAGGGAAAGGGATAAAAAGTGAATATTATGATAGAAGGGGGGGAAGAAGATGCGATTCTATTTTTCTGGTTCACTTCAATGATGAGGCGAAAGTGGGTGGTTGACGTGGGAAAAAAACAAAAGTCGCGAACGATTATTGATGACGGTGAAAGTTCCAATAAGTTAAGTTAAAGGCTGGCAGCGGGTAAGGTACAGTAGGTACAAGCAGGGTACCTTGGCTAGCGAAGCGCACCCACCTCAGTGAGCTAGTGGAAGTTGTTTGTGTCAAGGGAGTAAAGAAGGTGAAGCAAGCAAATATTCTGTGCGCTGTTGCTAGTGCATGGGGGCGGCCTCAGGAAGCAGCCTTGCTCATTGACTTTTTTTGGAGATGCGCCGGCCGTTGTTGGTAGAGTACCTAGCAACACAACCCAAGCTCAACAACAAAGCGCCGAATGCCGGTTGCCAGTGTCTGCAGGCGCCCACGTTGCCCAATGCTACGGGTAGTGCTGAAGGAGTAGGTAGGTAGATAGTGATGAAATGAATGTTTCCACCTCTCTATTCCCCGATGGCAAGGTACAGTATCCGTACCTAGTCTAACGCACAGAGCTAATGGCTGAAGGAAAGTATCTAGAGGGGAGTGACGTGGTTGATCGGGGCTGGTTGATCGTCTTTTGTGTGTGTAGCTGGTAGTACCTCAAAATGGCAAGTTGTTTGTTGTTTACCGATATCGCTGAGTTACATGTCCGTATTAAAGGCACAATCATGGAATTAAAACTTGTCGATAAAATTTTATGCCCCTCGTCGAGTCTTGCACGAACTGCATCTGTCTATCTATATCGAAAACTTGGGAAAAAGAAAAGTGGCTGATGCAAAAGCTCACAGCTGTTGAATGAACCGGTTTCGGCTATGTATTGGTCGCATCGCGCCCAGACTGCCAGCTGTCAAGTCACCGCTTCTTCATATTCTATTGGACATGCAACGGTTCCAGATCGTAACACATTGTCCTTTATTGGTGACTCACAATCAAGGAACGCAGCCTGACGCCTCAAATAAGATTCGGGTTCGAGCCTGAAGGAAAACTGAGACCCTGGCTTTTGCATATGCAGCCCAAATTGCAAACTGCTTTTGTTGCTTGTTGTCCAGCTAGCTTCCTTGAAGAATTTCTGAGACTAGCTTTACCCGATTCAACGTCTCTACTTTTGCCCCAGGCACTGATTTCACGATCGTACATCAAGCTAAAGATAAACAGACATGGCTTTATGTCCAAGTATCAGAAAAGTTGACGTCCAAAAGGTTTGATTAATCAACCTACCTGGCATGAGCTGGTTGTTATGAATCAGAACATCGTGTATATAAATTCAGCACGATAGAGGCAATGGCACAACAATTATACATCTCTTGTTGTATCTGATTGACACCTGCAACTTTAATGTCCAGATATTGCTGGATATTTTGGCTCTTAAAGCTTAACCTAGACCTCGGTCAATCGTTTTCAAAGGCGCATCCCCAGGATCTCAATGCAAACCCAAACCATGATTAAGTCAAACGGTCAAAATAACGTCTTTCATGTATACACCATATTTCAATCTATAACAATAAAAAAACGGTACCATGAACCACTATCATTTGTCAATTATCGCCGTGATTACTCACTGAACACCTAATTCCCCAACCCTGAACCTCCAAGAGCCTCAACACTCACTCACACACTAAACCCGATCTAGTATCCCCCATTCTCACCACCTAAAACGACGTAACACCTTCAACTGCCACCAAAACCTGGCCCTCCCCGAATCTTCCTACGTCGCCATCCCATGCGCCCGCGCGCAGACGCAAGCAACACTCCTATAATTACAAACGAACGATTGAACCAAGTAAACAACATCGAGCGTTGGACTCTCGCACTATAGAATCTACCCCTTATAAACCTCTGGCCTGGCGGCGTCTCCCCCTTCCGTCACATGCTCGTTTTCGGCGCATAATCATATATTGCCCAACATGTTTTGTCTTCGCAGGTGAATACCACGCTTCTTTTGAGCACGAATCTCTTTATGCTGACTTCATCATAGCTGGCTTCCTCTCCTCTTTATTCCGACCAACGCATCACCGGCCTTCATCTTCCTCTTCTTCATCTGCACCTACTTCCTCAACCGACCCTGCGTCTACTGCTCTATCCTGCTACTCATACTCTTCCTGACCTCGTGCAACTGGTCCGACCGATGTTTCTTCGACTTTGGCAGTAACTGGTTCCTCCCTCGACCGGGAACACCGACCCAGTTACCCTCGGACGAGGTTATCGAGGCGACTTTCAACTCGACAGCTCTCGAGATGGCCAACACGACTATTGCAGCGATTATAAAATCTACCAGCGACGATCTTGCTGCTAGGAGGGCTGAGTGGTCGGGTATAGGGATTGAGTGGCTCAGAAATCTCCTGGGTAAGAGGGAGTGGAGGATCGATTGCATGGATATTTACATTCGTCTATAAATAACAATCTTGCGAGACGAAGAGGTGGAATAGCTTGAACTGTGGCTTTAATCAAGAGTATATTCGGGGACATACATGCATGGTCACAAGTACATATATAAGCTTTTGGCGAGCATGTCATGATACAGAATTAGCAATGGATTTCAATTCACAAATCAGCCAGTCCGAAAGGTTCATGAGCATAACGTGTCTATTCTCATCATATCGACTAGTTTCCGTAATAGGTTCTTAATTATCTATTTACCCTTCATGTATCATTCAAACTATTCATCGCACTGAAAACCACATGAACACGCCCATTTTCATCAATAAACGAAAGCGTCCTAGGTATATCCTTCGTAACAACTTACATCAAGGCATGAAAACATGGCATCGCTTGCAAATTCTTTAAAGCTCATCAACCTTCTCTGAGCTCTCCACAACCTATCCAGAGGCATACTCAGCTGGGGCCTCGATGCTGAGTTGCGCACCGTCGACCTTCTGTCCAAGGTCATAGGGGGCCTCTTCATCAAGGGATTCAGTTGCCTGGGATCCTATCACTTCAAGACCGTTGGCCTCTTCAGAAGCAAGAACAGTTTCTTTGGCAACCAATGTCTCGTCCAAGGGTACCTCCCCCTGGATGGGGGCTTCCGAGTCCGCAGTGTGATCATCTGCCTCAGGCGCCACACTCTCCTCAGCCTGTTTCTCCTCGACCGCCTCCGCGGGTTGAGTCTCCTGGGAAGGAATCTCAGTCGCGTACTCAACCACCTTGACAGTAGCAGTCTCCACAGCCGTCACTGTCTCCACGACACGTACAATGCGCTCTGAGCAGGAAATATCTAGCTCATTCCCACGTAGCTCGGGAATCTGAGACCCAACAACATCAGACATAGAGTCGCTATCAACGACTGGCTCCTCAGCGACATCATCCTCAATGGAAGTATCAGGGGCAGCCGAGTAAGCATTGTTAGGTACCACATCGACAGCACCCATAGAAGCAGCAGCCACTTCAGGTGTTTCTGTAGTCATGCCTTGTGTAACAGTGACAGTAGGCACTCCTGCATTACCAAAAACCTGGAAAGTCCTGGGATCCTGTTGAGGCGCAGGCCCTCCGCGGATAGCGAGCAGTAGAATCAGAATGCTGAGCAAGCCAATCAAGATGTTCTTCTTGTCTTGCAGTGCTACACGAACTGACTCGGCTAGTAGTTCTGGCAAGGTGGCGCTCTTCATTGCCTTGAGACGTTCTTCGGGGGAGGGAGGTTGAGGAGTATGTGTGTAGCCAGAAGCATGGTCGTGAGCAGAGGGGTTGCTGCGCTCGGCATAAGATTGTTCATGATGCTTTTCGGAAGCATCAGGGTCATCACCATAAATCTCCCGGTGCCGATCCTCATCTCTCCTCAAGCGCTCTGCGTCTTCAGGAGCAAAAGATGCACCTTCGATATCTGAGTCGTCTTCAACATGGGAAGATCTTGCTTCCTCAGCCAGACTCCTTTCACGCTCTTCCTGGAGATGATCATCGATATCCTTCTCAAGCTCCTCAAAGGATCGGCTCTCTTCGCCATCCACGGGGTCCGCGGTAACGTTAGCGGACTCTTTGATGGAATCCTTGGTGGTGTTGGCAACGGACTCATCCGCAGCGTGTCTTTGGTCGTGATCTTTGGTTGTATCATGCAGAGATTCATCGTGATGAGAAGGCTCGTGCATTGACTTATCACGAACAGACTCTGCGGCGAGTGACTTGTCGTAGTGAGATGCATCAAGATGGGACACATCACGAGTGCTGTGCCCCTCCAGGTGTGATTCTCCCTCATCGAGATTTGTAATATCGTCGACGTGGTTACGAGACTCTCCCCTTCTTCTGGATAGACGTCCTCGCTCCCTTTCCTCAAACTCTCGACGCTCCTCCTCCAACCTGTCATATCTTTCCTCCTCTTCAGCTTCCCTCATGGCCAGCTCCCTCTCCTGATCGGCTTCCAATTGGACGAGCTCATGCTGCGAGACCGCATCGACAAGAGGCTCGAGCTCCACATCAACTCGCTCCATCTCCTTCCAGCAAGCCTCCCAGGCGCCACCACGGATTAGACCGTTACTGGCATATACCTTGACGCGGAAGATCTTGCCACGGCCAAGCGACTCGTAAGTGATGTCTGATTTACATGTTTTGCACCAGTGTGTGGGCTGTGGTTGAGAACGACGACTTGATCGGCGCTGGTCGTAGTCTTCTTCCTCAGACTCATTTTCCTCACTGTCAGACTCCGAGTCCTCAATGGTCATCTCGTTTGAGGGGCCAAGGTAATGACCACACTCGAGGATACGAGCACGTCGCCTAACAGGAAGTTCAAGTGCCTCCAGCAGCCGCTCCTCAAGAACCTCATAGTCGTTCTGGGGATGAGGCAGTAGGATACCACGCTCGACAGTTGTGTCGCCCATGCGGTCTTGAAGTTGTCGCCAAGCATCGCGAATGGTCTTGCACTCTTTGCTTAGATCCTCAGGGTCCGCATTCTCGAGCACATCACCCCAAGGCCAACGCAGAGGAAGTAATGTGACGTGAAGAAGGACAAGAGGAGGGGTAGATCTCTTAAATCGAGGTGGTGTTCTCTTGGGAGAATATTGCTCAGAGAAGCGGGGAGAGCCAAGCCTGGACGCACTTGGTACAGGTGCCCGTCGGGGAGACCGAGGAGAGCCGATTGTTGAGCCTGGGGGCGACGACATTTGCATAGCCTTGACGGACGATGGTGATCGGAAGACAGGTCGAGGGTTACCTCGAATAGTGGGGATAAAGTCTTCATCTTCTCTGTCATACTCAGAGAAACCGGAAATACCTGAGATACCTGAGACACGAGGCGAGCGTCCCATTGACATGGCATCCTGCGCCTTTCGGTGATCGCCCTCAGAGACAGATCCCATTGAGCTTCGAGGACTTCGGTCACTAAAAACGTCGTCTTCTTGCTCGTGGTGTGAGCTATTCTCACCCGCCTCGTCTACACCGCTCCTTGAACGAGGCATGTGGGCGTCTGATTGACGGGCACTGATGGTTTCGGTGTGAGAGATATAGCCGGTGTCGTCTGTTCCGGAGTAGCTGTTCAAAGACTCTCGTCTCTCGTTGTTATCAATCTGGGAGACGATATCACGAGCTGCCTTGTGAATGGCTTCGGATCGACCAGAATGTCGACGATCTGAGTAATCCGATTCAGAGGAAGCAGAAGACTCACGACGAGACCCAGAGTTGTCTGACTCGGACTCGGAAAATTCTCTTTCTTGGTTGAAATCGGCAGCCGTGTCTTCGACCTCAGCTTCAGCAGACCTAGCCTTGTCTTCGATAGGCTCGTCCTCTTTGGGGTCCTCAGCGGGAAGATCTTCGACGGGAATGTCCTTGGTGGAGATATCTGCGGAAGGGGTGTCCTCAATTGGAATTTCGGTAGGAGTGTCCTCAGTGGGAGTGACGTCTTCGACAGGGGTAGGTTGGTCCTCGTCGTTATCTTCCGTATCGTCCAATAAGGGCTCTGTAGACGTGGTATCGACTTCAGCTTCAGATGCAGGCTGGACTATATCGTCTTGCTCTGCCTCTGAATGCTCAATTGACTCTTCTGAAGTATCGCCTTCAGCTTCAGCTTCTTCTTTAAGTTCAGCTTCAGGCTCTGCAATAGAGGATTCCTCGGCTTCTGATGGAGCCTCTAGCTCAGATGATTCTGGGTTGGGCTGCTCCCCTTCCTCAGTCTCTTCTGGTGTTATAGTAGATTTGTCTTCTTCTGTAGCTTCGACTCCAGGCTCTGCCTTGGCTTCGGCCGTCGAGTCGTTATGGTCTGGTGTATCAATATCGGTATCAAGTTCCTTGATAGATTCGTTTTCTTGGTTGTGGTTGACTTCAACTTCCGCCTGTGGCTCCTCGTGAACCTTGTTATCGTTATCGTCCATAGGGTCGCTCAAGCACGATGGGTCAATGTGAATCTCGAAATTGAGGTCCTCGGTCTTATTGTGCCGGGGCATCTGAGGGCGGCAGGAAAGCGGTCAGTTGGTCTTTTCGTGAGTGTGCCGCGAGTTTTGCAGTGACACACACACGATACAGAGGTATTATAAAAAAGAAAAAGGAGATGTGGAAGCGAGAAAGAGGAAGTGATCAAGGGATCTTCCTGGAATTGTGCAGATATTAAGGTATTGGTTATTCCCCAGACGGTAGACGCCCAGCTTGTGTGGCAGCGGATGGTTGGTCGATATGGTTGGGACTGGCCCCGGCCTTTGTTTACATTTGTTGCTGGGTCGACGACACTTTGACCTTAACCGTTGATCCCCCTGTTGCCGCACACGATGACGAGACAACAGTCAAAGATCTGCAAACGGAAATTGGTTCAGGTTGAGATCAAAATATTAAGCGATTTAATTCTCGACAATCTCGACAATATCTCCAGTTTTCTTTGTCTTGGTTAATTGACTTGTAGCTCTTTTTGCTGGTATTCTCTCCATTGTAAAAGCAATACCTAGCTCATAGGCTATATAGCTCCCCCATGTTGTAGTGGGTAGGATGTCTCGTGTGATGTCATCCAATTGGACCATTTTGGGCTACGTCTTAGTGCTGTCTAGCCTGTCTATACTGTTGAGATGCCCAGCAACGATGAGTCCCCCTGTCGTTTCTGTTTCTATCTGCAACTTTATCACATTAGGTCACAACTATTTGATACTCGGAACTGACTGTTTTGAAATCATGTTTCCCCTGATCCTCTCACTACAGTACTGAAGACGCTGTCAACTAGTCAGCGGTCTAGGGTAACATCTAATGCCAGGGAACGGCCCGTCGAGTCTACTGTGTAGTAGATGTATTTGTTTCACTTGCAACACTCCCGCATTCCTCAATGGAAGAATACGAAATGGAGCTTTGTGTCTGTATCTTGAATGTTCGCTTTTGGGTATTTGGCTGTCAATCTTTTATTCCCTGGCCTTGCTAGGAAGGAGGTTGTGTCAAATGATGTTCAATATAGCTTATGTTGGTGAACCACTCCTTTAACGACATGCTAGTTAGGTATGTCAGGACAACCACTACCTAGGTAGCATAAGCAAAAGACAAACGGATCCATCTACCAACCTTTCGTTACCGGCAGCTCCCCATATAGAGTACGGATCATGAGAGGGTCACGCGACTCTCCAGGGCATCATACAAAGCGCGTTAAGTGTTGCCGCCAAACAGAGTCATGAGGCTAGCTACAGCCTCCCAAATCCCTCCATGCACGCAAGATTATGCAAAAATCTGTTATACGTATCGAGTACTCGGTACGACACCAGTAACAATACCCGTCTACCCAGGTATTCATCTTGGCAAATCGCTTGCCGGATGCTTAGAAAAAACGGCTCGCTGCATTCAGGCTGCCAGCCCGCCGTCATGCAGTGGTAGTTTTGGTGAAGAGTTGCTTCTTCGTGTAGACCCATCGTTTCATCGCCGAATGCCTTTTTCCTCTGATACGCAATGAACCGTTCCATGTTCCTGTATTGATGCAGACAGGGCCCAAAAGTTCCTTGTAGGTCCAGAAGCGTCGATATAGGGCCACAATTGCTAACGAAACTCCGTTTGGTGTAGAGCAGATATCTTCCAGAGACAACCTTGGGGTGGGACTTGAAGTAACCCAAGCTCGCACCCCTTTTGCTTGGGTGAAAACTTAACAAAGGGTTAAATTTCATTTCGTAAGGCTTCATAAGAACTTTGAGATATTCTTTCTGCCGGCGAGTTTTGTTTTCAAGCTGGCTATACTTGATGCTCATTTGAACATGTTTATGCTCAACCATCAGGCCTCCAGTCAGGAACCCGTCTAGGGCGTTCTTGTCCCATCCTGGCGCTCTAAAGTATGGAGGGATTTTCGGTAGCTTAGGAAGATCCCTCCATACTTTAGAGCGGATGTGAGGCGGCTCGATAGTAACCCACGTATCAGGATGGTCCCGAGCGATCAGAGCAATGTATTTCGAGTACTCAGGTTCTGCGAGCAACCAGTCTCGGTCCTCTGGGAGTATGAGTGAGTTATACAAACTGCAGCATATTTGTAAGAGGCACATTTGGCCGCTCATTGGAAGTTTCTGGATGATCAAATCGAGGATCTTCAGAGGAAGGTTGAGAAGCAAGCAGTCAGGGTTTTGTTGCTTTCGAGGTGTTTTGCTGAGACGAGACGGGTACGGGCCAAAAGCCGCAATATGGAATTCTTGATTCGATCCATCCTGATGAGCAAGAGGTTTCAGCATAAGTCTTCGAATAGTCTTAAATGAGTAGACTTGGGTGTGGGAAGAAGACCTTGAGTCCAGAAGGAGGAAGGGCAGACAAAACGTTCATATATTACTTGGTCTCATTAGAGTTGAGGGAAATATGTTGATAGGAAAGGACATCAACTCTGCCATTAATATATAATAGAAGAAAGAAGTTAATTCAGACAAAGTGAGTCATGACACCAGAAGCTTTTGCGTTCAATGTTAACGATGAAACGAATAAGAGGGTTCGTCAAATGACCAAAGGACACAAAACAACTGGAAACCTTCTTTAGCCCCTTTGACACCTCATGCCCAGCTATTATCCTCATAAGGTTCTCACAATATTTTGAGGGAGGCTTATACGGACCGACTGTATTGTAGGTTTTCGTCAAACCTACAGACTGCATACGTGGTCTCAACGGCAGATCGAATTTAGCAGTAGAGTTTAAGTGATGAAGCTACAGTGAAGTAAGCGAACATTGGAATATTTGGTTTTTGAGGTAACTGAATTCGCATTTGGGGACATTGCCTGAGATCCAGCATCTCCCGATGTTTTCTCCATCCTTCCTATTCATCCTTCCAACCATTCTTCCCACCTGAACTGCCCCGAGAAGTTATCAGCACTAGCTCAACCCATCTAACTATTCACTTACTTCAAAACCTTCTCTATAAAGTACAACATGGAAGATGTCATATCAACCAAATGGACTATGGTCCTGCCGCTGCGCATAAGATCCCCCCAGACAGGGGAAACTCCAATCTCCCTGCTCCTCACTCTACCCAAGGGCTTGCAACTCATGATAACGAACAAGTGCTCATTCGTCGACGGTATCATGCTATCACATACTTGTCGGAATCTGTACAACATATTTCGTCGTTCCCGTCCGCAGAAATGGGTGGTTAGGAATAAGGAGGAGTTTGGCAAGTATATCAGCCAGTACCTTCGTCAGTTCCCCGAGCATTGGCTATGTATAAAATGCAACCAATTACACGACGTGTTCTTAGACGACACGCCCACCAAGCACTTCGAACCCATATGTCCTTATAGGATGGAACCGTCTCTATTCCTTGGAAATCGGAATTATCAGCTTCATCAACGACATGTCCACCTTGCCGTCATTTACAGCCAGCTTGAGAACAGAACCCTGCGACAAAACACGTATCTGGATCGCCTCCTCGAGCCATACCAGGCAGTCATGGATGATAAACCCGTGCCATTTGATGCAATCGTCCGATACAGGGTCGTTCCCAAGATCGTTGACAGCAGGTTCATCCTCTTCTCTCAGTGTCAGGTCAATATTGAACGAAATCCCCTATATGATACCAGACAATCATTCTGGTTAAGAGGTATTGTTGAAGACTTTGACAGAAATGCAAATTTGGACCATCATCGCGGAAAGGGCCAATGTTCTTGGCAGAACAACCTAATCCACTGTCGTGCCAAAAGCATCGCCGCTAGATGTTCCACCGGTGAGACGGAATTTCGAGGCCACTGCAACGAGTGTCGTTTAGCATATGATATCATGATGTCATATGATACCGCAATAGTGTCGACATGGGTCGATTTGGGTACGGGGGATTCGCCGTACGGTTCACCATGGTCGATTCAACTGGGCCGTATCAAGAAATCTGAACAAAACAAGAATGACGCAAAAAGTTCGAAGTTGAGAATAGACACACTCCGGGCTCGATTCGAGGCAGTTTGAACATGGTGGGAAATGAAGAGTGGTTGTGCCGGACGACATTGTTTGGAGTCCAGTTATATTTATGAATGGAGGCTTTTGGGTGATTTGGGTGATTTTGGGTCACATTGAGGATGTATTTAGGGGTTCAAGCTCCTTTTCAAGCGTCATGAAGCAAACAAGAAAGAAGGATGATAAAAGTGTCAGGTTATGCAAGGGTTCTTTGAACCAGAACACACTCACCTGTAGCTCGTCCTATTCCCATTATCTGGAAAAGCAATTATAATGACCAACTGAGTTACCAGTAGTCTATCTGAAATCTGTAGGCACTTAACATCCTGGTCGCCACTCATGCAGTTATAACAACATGCAACCCCTGGTCCTTGTTGTCCTACCACGTCTTACCAAACTCTTGGGTCGTTGCCTACATGAGCCTCACCCTGTCAAGTATTCGGGAAAGAAGGGGTCACCGCCTGGAGCAATTAAAGGATGAACGGGGATATATATTGCTTATTTGTCACAACTTCAAATTCCCACTATCAAGCTTCAAAAAAAAGTGTGACCAAGATCGAATCACAACCGAAACAACGCTAAGTACCCTTAATGCTCGTATGCTCAAATGGACCTGTATAGCCGCCCATCCCAAGCCCGAGGTAAAGCAACCTGAAGAAACGCCTTGCTACACTATGTCGGATTTCCTATATCCGAACTCCACCCACCTTACCAAGCCGTATCAGTTCTCCGAAATAGATGAAAACGAAAATCTAAACAAATTGAAACTGTAGTTACGGTTCCTCAGCCACCGGCCGTGGTTGCTCCCTGGGCACATCTTGCTGCCGATTGAGGTTATTCGATCCCCGTGTACCAGGCCGGTGAGAGTCCGTTTGACCCACGAGGTGTTCACTTGGCCCGTAGAAACCATGCATTTCTTCGTTGACAATGCTGAGGTTACTCTGACCCTGAGAATCACTCCGTGTTCTTGTGCCACTTGACTGGCGTTGACTAATAGCGGGCCGGTTTGGTATACTGGCAGCACTGCCGGAAGATCGCCGTCGTTCGTCCCGTGGAAATACAACCGAGGATGGGGAGCTTGGTAGTTCTGGTATATATGGCGTTGCTTCGAGTTCCGCCGTAGAATGGGCTCCTGCCATTACGCCCGGAGTACCATCAGATCCCTCAGAGGCATTGCTGTAGTTTCGGACATGGGTATAAGTTCCATGCGAATCAGTACTGGATCGGTTCCTTGTTGATCCAGTGAACCTGGAAATCTGACTCGTCCGCTGCTGATCGCCTGCTGCCACAGCACTGAAGTAGTCGTCCCTGTTGCCCATTGCATCAAAGCTGGGGTGTCTGCTTGTATTGGCACTTCCAGCTACTGCGTGGTACCCATTTCCTCCAGGCGTAGGCTCATTGGAGCTGCGATCAGGGCTTGCGATGCCGAATGGTGAAGTTGCCGCTGAGTCTGGCCCGGGGTTCGTCGGCCGAGGCGGGATCATTGATGGATGCATCAAAGGATTGGCGCTCAGTTCATCAACTTCCGAGTCCGCCGTCTTGAACTCTCTTGTAGGTCGAGAGTGAGAGTTGGAACCATTGGATGTCTTTGGTGTTCCAACAGCAGCAACAACCTTATTCAAATGGCGAATGATTATGAATGCTGCCACTAACACAATAATCAAAAAGGCTACAGAGCCAGCAACGATACCAGCTAATGCACCGGCTGAAAGACCTCCCTTATTACCATCGTCCCCATCAGCCGACATCGTTGGGCTGACTTTGGGAATTGTCGAAGGGAAGTATTTCAGAACTGCTTGATCGTTGTTTTCGCCAGCGTCGACTGTTGGAAGAGCTGTAGGGACCGTCGGGGTTTCGACAGTAATAGCCGTTGTCCTATAAGTCGTTCGTTCCCCCCTTATTGTTGTTGTTATGACCATGGTGCTCGTAACAGTCACAGGTTCGGACGAGTAGCACTGGTTCACACCGCATGCCATTCCGTTGGGACAGCAGCCGTAGCTTAGCGATGATGGACACAAAAACTGACTGCTCCGACAACCGTATGTGTATGGCGATCCAGATGGTGGCACACAGCCATCAGCAGTTTCGCATAGGTACCCGTCAGGGCAACAGCCTCCTACTTATTGTGAGCCGTGTATCATGAAAAGTTCCGGTTGTAAAATACAAACCTCCATATACAGCCTCACAAACATGCCAACCGATCTTCGTGCCACATGTTGAAGGCCCCTTTGTCGTCGCTTGACAGCTCTCTTTGGCACAGTCGTAGTTTTCAGGGCAGCATCCTCCATTAAGGCTCGCGGGGCATAACTTCATGCTCGTAGCGCATTGTTCTTCGGCTCGTCGAGCAAGACCAGCGGCCTTTGTGATTTGCGCCTCCTTCTCTATCCGATGGACGCCATCGTGTCTTTTATAGTCGGCTGCCCCAATACCCAAGGTCCAAAATGCTCCTACTAGCGAGGCGACGCAGAATCTACACCCCCAGTGCCTCATCTTGTGCGGTCATGGACCTGAGGGGAATGCGAAAGCGAATCGGGAGGTACTGTCGCAAAATCGCGAGGGGCGCCGATCATGTACAAATTGCGATGCGGTTAAATACAGCTTATTCAGGTGGTGGTTGTCGCAAATGCACGGATATAATCTGACACAATTCGGTTCGAGCTAAGATCGTCGTGGTGTTTGAGTCGAATATTCGGGTTCACAACAAAATGATCAGGAATAGAGAAGAGAAGATGAAAGGAAAAGGAGTCAGAGAAAACAGACAGACCCCTAATGTCAGCAACGGAGGCCTTAGATGCTTGTCTAGAACCGGGGTTGGAGGATGCTACGCCACGACTGAGCAGCAATTGCTTCAATCCTGCCAGACACTGTCTGTAGGGCTGAGCAAAGAGTCCGCCAAAACCACCGGAGCGGGTCGCTCTGGTTGGACAGCTAGCCAAAATGCTCAGCACTTGTAAGGTTGCAAGAAATAGCTCTTGTTCAGGTAATTATCATGGGGCCAGCGTGGAGACTGAGGCCAAGAGTAAAAACGGTGAGAATGCGAATGACGATACTCGATGCCCGACGGCCTACGGATAAGCAATATGAGCATGACACGCGGCTGACTTTCTCTCGCGGGGGCCAACTCAAGCTGAAAACGAATTCATGCCACAGACCAAGAGCCTCAAGAAGATCGATCGGTGGTGAAACCATCGGAGAGGATAAGAATATGCAGCATCACCTCATTACCCATTAGCTTAACCAGTAATGTTTATGTGACTTGCAGCTCATGCAGCAAATGCAGCAATTTATCTCTCAGGATTCGCCAGAAACACCGCCCCAGCAGGGCAAGAGCGAAGCCTCCGTGCTGCTCTATTTCTATGCCATCCTCTTCAAGTACGGGATGCTGTGTCCCTCATGGCGCCATTGGCCGATGGTAAAATTCACAACCTCTAGTGACCGACTGTGGGCGGAGAGTGCATCATTTGGACCTGATGGTGCGTCAAGTGCATTGGTGTTGCTACCGTGGCAGCCATTCAACGGTCTCGTTCGTCTGACAAGTCGACGAGGCCACGAATTAGGCGTCGTCCTGGAGAGGGAACCCTGTCGAGAATCGACAAGAAAGCCACATTTTCTTCAAGGGCTGGGAATTTGGGGGCCGAGAACTTCTTGGATGGAGGTATGCTGCAGGGCCACTTGAACAGATAAAGGAAGCTGGTTCGGCCTGGTTATTGATGGAATTGAAGACTGCCCAGACTGCTCTGCTTCGATTTCGAGCGAAATGAATAGCATAAACGAGTAACTAGTCTCAGGCTAAGGAATGTCGAGCCGTTGCAACCCTTCGGCAAGTGACGCGGTTCGTCCATGTTAAAAACTTTCCCTTGTTGTAAAGACACTTCGCTGGTTGAGTACAGTAGCGGTCAAGCTCTTGTAGCCCTCACGATCTCCCAAATGACATAACATCTTTCAATATTAGTTTCGTGCTATGAGTTTAGCTCGTTGGCCATGTGGAATCTCTGTTTAAGATTTTATGGCCTCGGCATAGAGTAGCTTGGGGAAAAAGGTTGTCAACAATCATCGTGTAACGGCCCTTTGTCCTAAAATAGATCAACCCCTCGTTGGGACAGGCTTGGGACTTTGGAGTTGAGTGGTAAGTGGAGACGATCTAACTTGAGCCAATACTGACCCAAGGGTCTCGGATATGTTGCGAGCCTCGGCTTCGCGATGAATGAGCGTTGTTAGCCGCAACTCCATAGCTGTGAGAGTATAGATGCAAATGCAATGGGCAGAAGAGAGTCATCGTCGTCGGTGTGTGGGCAGCACGAACTGTTCTCCAGATTTATTATGTTCCGAATATAGCCAGAAAAGGGCTGTCATACCACCCATCCATAAGGTCGCAGTGTCAAGTCGCATGCTTGAATGGTAACCCAAGAGCAGTATTATCAATGATCAGCCCAGATCGCCTAAGTGTCCACCCGTACCCACTTGTCAATAATGCTTGTTCAGAGCTAGACCTTCCAAGAGGGACCAAGACTCCAGAGCTCGCTTTTTTCCCCTGACGGAGAACAAGAAGGTACGGGTGCAAAGACATAAGTTTAAATGAAATTTCCAGCCTTTCCAAAAGGCGGCTTTGAATGATATCGGGCTCGTAGCGTTGATGATATCATGTTGGATGTTATACTCCTTGCTTTGGGAACCCCTAACTCCTGCTTGGGCTGCAAAGAAGTCATGAAGTTGGACCTCTCAAATATCGCATGGATGCTCGACAGCTTAGCTTCCGGACAAGGGAGTGAGGAGTCCATGCCATTCCGTTGCCAAGAATCGTTAGGCCTCTCCAGGTTCCTGCAACGTTAGCTGCATGCTGGTGCTTCACCAAGCGCCACTTTCTAGACCAAAGCTATATTGGTCTCGTGGTTGAGGATTTTTGCTTCACGATCGGTCGCTGCCGCCAATGTCTTCCTCCATCTACCATAATTCTTGCTTGGGGTTCTGGGTTTAAAAAAGGGCAAAGGCACACTCTCCAACTACGTAGGAGGTCCACAGCCACGTACGTAGTGAATCCCGTGTTCCTATATTCGTCACTGGCGATCCATACCTGCACGGGTACCCGTGTAAATAATGTAATACAGGTACCTATGTAATTATTATATAATATATCTTAAAGACTTAATAACTTCTTAAATAAAATAGATAAAAATTCCAGTTAAGTAGTATCTTATGTTAGACTTTTTAAGGGATTTTTATATCTATAGAACTTATTTTATAACCTTATAATATATAAATAAATAAATAGATAGAAATATTATATATTTTATTTATTTTAGTAACTTATATTGATATATCTAAAAGAAAGATCTATTTTATATTAAAAGTAAGATTATTTAGTATAGAGAAAGGTTATAATGTAGTATATTTATATTTATATATTTTATTAATATACTTTAAAGATATAATATAAATTTAAGTATATAGTTATTAATAATAGCTTAAGAACCATAAGAATTTTTTTTATAGTATTATATAATAAACCTAAATATATATAAAATTTAAAAGAAATTAAACTAGCTTTATATTATGTATTATAAAGATTAAAATATTATAGTCTTTTTTAGGGATTTTAAAGACTGGCTAAACCTCAGCTAAAAGTCTACCTACTAGTTCTCTTTAGGTATAGGAGGCCTAGATAATATAATAATATAATGAATATACAGGTACCCGTGCTGTATTATTTGCACGGGTACCCGTGCAGGTATGGATCGCCTTCGTCACTGGCACAATGACTAAAGCATTGCCGATCAAAGAGCGGAATTAAGGGTCCATGAACTTTATTTTGCAGGCCATCGACTTTGCCGTTCCTGCGCAAGCGAAAGGGTAAAAAGCGAAATCCGACCTAGGATTCTCCGTCAGGCAGACTGCAAGCGGGGGTGTTGGTCACCCCTTGTGATCTTCTGTGAGACAATCCCATCGTCTAACGGAGCGAAGATCTCAGACCGATGCAAAATGATAAACGGGCGACGCGGGAAGGGTTGCGGCGTCCGGCAAAGCACGCGGGGGATTGGCATCGGACGGTTCAATGGCGTGGCAATTAGCCAGGTTTTGTGTTTGCCGCGCCTGTTAAAACGAGTTACCCATCACCATCTGAACCTAAAGCGGGCGAGTGGCTTCCAATGTAAGCTCAATCTGCTGGAATGGCAGTCTCATTACCCCGGATTTTCCAGCGTACCGGGGAAAAGAATGCCAGGGCCATGTGTTTGCCGCCTTTGGGAACCACGGAACCTGTTTGATGCTGCAGGGACGTGAGTTAGGCTATCATGGAATTGAGTTGATGAGGGTGTGATGGATGTCGTTTCTTTTGCTTCTCCTCATTGTGACGATTCTAGAACTCTGCGAGCTGGGCGATGGGTGGCGTTCGTTGAGGGTCCTCTTCATGTGAAGGAAAGTCACCTGTGGGCTTGGATGAGCGGGGATGCTACCGTTGACCGTAATTCACACTGTCTTGTATACGTGAATTGAGTGGTTCAGCACAGTAGGAACTGTTTGGCCCCAGTTCCCCGACTTTCTTGGTCCACCGCAAACCCTAAGAAATGCCCCTGTAAACTCATCTCGTCCGGACCTAGACGTCCAGTAGGATACCATGTGAGAGAGCCCAAAGAAATCGTCAGGGCGCCCAGGCCCATCGTCGAGTCAATTGCAGCGGCCGTAACCCCGCAAGCTAGCAAGAGGCAGAGAAGGCAACTTTGTCCATACTCGGGAAAGTGGCCCGGCCTGGGCCAGGGATCCATGAAGGTCGTGGATGCGCAAAGATCACGATGGTGTGTAGTGACAGGATTGGCAAGGTCCTTATGTTTGCTGCTTGTTGCTCGCAGACCAAACCATGACGCCCCCAGGACGCACGAGGCATCAATTTTGATCCCTTCCATTTCTTCTTTTCCCCTTCGTCTCCCCCTCTCCAGACCTGCCCTCGACCTTAATCTGTCTCTTATTCAACCATATCGTGACTTTTATTCTGACAGTATTGCGACCGGAGTATCCGCACTACCACTATCAATCTCCTGCTTGCAAATCTTCTTTCCCCAGATCCTCGGCTCCTGGTGGACATTATTTCCCCTCTTCCTTCCCCCACACCAACGAAGATCAATTATTCAATACCAACTTTGTCTCACACCTAATCGGCAACAACTTTTGCTTCAACATAACAATTCTACAGCAACTGACTGGTGTTGGGATTGGAGCATCACCGCAGTAAATCGGAACGCCTCATCGTCATACGCCCGAGGCTCATGCAGCATCGTTTCTGGTAGATGGAAACCGCATGATTGACTTTGTGATCCTTTGATCATCTATATTCGCCACCACATATCTCCAACAATGTTGCTGTATACCAGACTTGCACCGCCCAAGGTACCAAAGAAGCGCTCACGCGCAGGTATGTCAATTACTCTTTCTTCTGGAAACATTCTGTCGCATAATGTTCTCCATGCTCTAGTTCAAAGCGCACATGGCTAACCTGGACGTGGCTTGTTGTCGTACAGGATGCAGCTATTGGTGAGTACAAATCATACCATCCTTGTTGCAGGAAACTCGACTAACACCATCTCTCTACAGTAAAGAAAAGGTACACAACACAGCTCAAATAATATGCGTTGCTAGCAAAATACTAATCCTTTTGCTATAGAAGAAGAAATGTGATGAAATTCGACCCGCATGCGCTCGATGCTTAGAACGTGGCCAGGAATGTGTCTACGAAGCAGTTCGACCTCGTCAAAGGCGCAAGCGCGATTCAATTGCTCCTTGCTCGCCATTTGACACCAATTCTTCCTCGGGATCGGACAGAGCTACGCATAGTTTAGATTCTCAGATCACGACAGAATGGAATGACGACGTCCACGATAAATCATCTGGCGAAGACTCTCTCGATGAATCTCCAACCACAACTCAGCCACCACGACTCAACACATCTCTGGTCAACCGGGCGGCCAGCAAACAAATGGGGATTTCATCTGATTGGACTTCGACAGATTTGCCTCTTGTTTCCCCCTTCGAGTCTATTGACTTCCAGTTACCTCAATTTGACGAACCCAAGTATGATGTTCAGCATATTGAGAATGGAGAGGAAGATGTTGAGGAAATAGTTCGCCGAGAGTCCATTAACATCAATATTCCCACGACGACATATGCAAGTACCTATGCGCCCGCATATGCAACCACTAGCCCCTCCCTGGCTATGATTGCCCCTGTTACTGTGCCATCGCCTCGACTCGAGTTCTGCTCTCCGGTATTTTCAGAGTTCTCTGGTCGTACCAACCGCCGCGCTCTTGTCGATCATTTCTGCAATGTCTTGTCGCATCTGATCGTGTTCCGTGAGGAGAGCGGTAACCCTTTCCAGCAACTTCTTCTCCCCTTGTGCCACGAGAGCCAACCTGTCACCAACGCCGTTTACGCTTTGGCCAGCGCCCACCTCGAATATCGTGGAGTTGAGAATGATGAAAAGAGCGTCTATTTCCATAATAAGGCTATCCAAGGCCTAGCGCGCTTGATTCAGAAAGGAGCAGGAGCAAACCGAAACGAATTGTTGGCTGCTATCATGCTTTTGGTTTACTACGAGGTGGTGAGTTTTGACATGTGCAGTGTACGCCTTGGTTCTATGGCTAACAATCTTGTAGTTGGTTCAGAAAGGCCGATCCAATATCGTTGACGGTCATCTCAAAGGCGCCATGACTATTATGAGCAACAACGGCACCGCCACCGACCCGACAGGCATCTTTTTGGAGCGGGTGAGACCGTTTTGCACAACTTGATGAACAATATACTGACATTCGACAGGCTTTCCGTTTTTATGATGTGATCGCAGCTCTTTCGTTTGGGACAGCTCCTTTGTCCAGTGCCCCTGGTACCAACTACCTGGCACCGTTCCCTCCTTTGGATTCGGGTGGTGCTACGTCTCCCCTCAACAGTGTCGATACTCTTCTTGGAATGGCCACCTCCCTATGGCCAGTGATCCACCGACTGTCTAATTTACTAGCTCTGAAAGATCAACTTGATGTTGCTGTCGCGAATGAGGAGGCTTCTAAGGTTGCGGTTCTTCGATCGGAATTTGAGACCTCAGCAACAGCCATTGAGGCGGCGTTAGAGGAATGGCACCCTGTACTGCCCGAGAATTCGATCCTGAATCAAAATCCCGAAGAATTGAGCCCTGAGCAGTCGACAGAAAGGAGTCGCCTCCAAAGCATTCTAAGCAATGCTTTGTCTTACCGGCATTCTGCGTTCGTCTATCTTTACCGCACCATCTACAGCTACCCACGCAGACATCCAATTGTACAGCGCCATACCCACATCAGCTTGACCCATTGTGTCGGGACCGTCAGCAATACTGGTCCAATGAGTGCCCTCCTTTGGCCGCTGTTTGTCGCTGCTTGTGAGGCTACAACACTTTCTGATCGCGACCTCGCACGCCAGACGTTCATTGCTATCAATCGTCGTCAAGGCATGACGAACATTGATCGGGCATGGACTATCGTACAAGAAGTATGGCGACGTGCGGACAAGGCGGACATGCTACAACAGCAAGAGGAAGCAATGATGATGGGTGTCCGAAGTGGTGGTGATCTCTGGCGAAGAGTGAGTGCAGATATGGGTGTGACTATTGTTTTTGGATAAAGGAGAAATGAGAAGGATGGACGAATTCAAATGATACCGACGACAGCGGATTGGCGATACCCATTCAGCACTTGCACACAACTGAATACTATTGGAGTTGAAAAGGAACGGAGAAGCGAAGCGAGGTGAAAAAAATGCATTTTGGGGAGGTCAGAGCACTCAATATTTATTACCTGGCGTTGAATTGTTGGTTTGGTATTCTGAACTTGTTTTGATGTTGGATATCTAGTTGAATTTTCAGCCCCTATCTGTCTGTAGGAAGGCTATGGGTTATACTACCTGATACATCAAAATGAAATACTCTTGAGATATTGGCTCTACAAATGGTGTTAAGATTATGCTACAGGTCACTGCTACAAAACCATCGCGATGTCTGTTTAGTGGACCTTGAGTCGCCACTGATACTCCTCATCGGCCACAAGGATTCGTTCATACGTTGATGATGCGGCACGGTGCATAATGATCTGCATATACAGCACAGCACATGCCTGGCATGGTATATTGTTGAGACGTCGGTTGACGATCTCGTGAAGAGGGATTGTTGTGCATGTACATTGCTTCGAGGTCTGAGCCTACCTGTTAACGTTGGATGTAAGCCAAGACAAACGTTATAGATGGCGTCCCCGCATTCTGGAAAGCCAGTCCAACTCCTTGGTTCTTGGCTAATTATCCGGCATATTCGGGGTGGCTACCGGATCATGGGATTGACAACTGTCTAGCGCCGTGGGGTATCATTCGAGATGAAAAAATCAGATGGCGATGTTTCTATATAAGTTGTTGTCATATCTCTTAGTGGTTGCAAGTCTGTATCATGCAAAAGAGGGGCATTTGCATAGGTTGGTACAGGTGCATAGTCCTATAGAACCCACTTGGCTGGTAATACTGGGCAGTTTAGGGTTCTGCATGTATAAGACGAAGTGCCCGTCCACTGTTGAGAACTTAAGCGAAGCATCGCAGAACATGGGTATTACAGCTTGGTTGATCACTTGATCTACATAGTCTGCTCCTGAAAAAAGGGGGGGAAGCTTCTACGTTAAAAGATGGCAGGGCGGGCCGTTACGTAGTCTATTAAGGTCAGGTTGGGGGCAGCGACTAAGAAAGGGGAAAGGAAGAAAGAGGGTGAGGAGTTGGTGGTGGAGGATTGGATGAGACGAGTTCGTGGGAAAGGGCTGTGATTGTGATGAATGCGAGGGAAAAGAGGAGAGAGGGACCAAGGCTAAATATTGCCACTGATGTGACGATATTTGTGAAATTGTGCCCGGTTTTGTTACTGTTGGTTGTTATATCAAGTGAGTTAGTTTGTAGCCTTTGCTTGTTGAGGCAATATTGCTTCCATATCTCTCAAATCTCCAAACCGTGTGTTTTATATAAGGAACCTAACTTAAAGCCCAAGGTAGTAGGTACCTTATGTTGTTGCGTATGTCTCTGGTCATTTGAGCTCTGCAGTTCTTTCTCTCCACATGAGCACTTACCCCACCTGCCTAAACACCATCCCCGTTCATCCCCATCCCCCAGACGAGGGTGACTCCTTATCGTCTACTTCAGCATTCCCTTCCTCTTGGCCGATTCCAGCTTCAACCCACAACTTGTCATATTTTATTAATGACATGTTCTTTTTATAATATCTAATTGCTCTACACAATCCCATTCATTCATTCTTCACTTACCACCCACAATCTCCTGCGGCTCATCTTCACCTGACCTGCTCTCTGATTGCCCAATCTCGAATCCCTGGACAAGCTGCGTCCCTTATTCATCTTTTGGATCCCTTATACGCGACCAATCCCGAGCATGCTCCTAAGCTGCTGATGCGCCTTCTTTAACTTCTAGCGCCTTTCGTCAAATATATAAAAAGAACACCATCTTAACCTTTTTGCTAGAGCCGACGAACCCTTCATCAATACAATACCACTTGTCGCATTCGCATCCCCCCCATCTCACACCCCGAGGTTGCATTGCCCAACACCAACAAAGCCACAGTCTGCAACAGGCCCCGAAGGACGCCTAACCCCGCCGATCAGCTTGTCGCTCGTCATCATCCCTCGGGTGCTGTCTATACTCCGTCACTCCATTTGCGCCGAGCTTCTCGACCCCTTCAGCGTCCGCTCCCGCTCCCGCGCCCACCTCCGCAACCTTAACAGAAGCATCACCATGTTCTAGTCATGGGCACCCAGACAAACACATCGGATCCGGTTCCTCCGCCACCACCACCGCGTCCGATTCGCTTTGTACATAACCAAGGACAACCGCCTTCTAAGCGGCGCAGAATCAATGCTGCGTGAGTATTCTCCATCGTCCTACAATATGTTACCAGGCTGGTCGCATGACTTTGTGCGCTTCAACTTGTTTTGTCTCCTTGGCCCATGAATTTCTTCAAGTCGATTGCCATATACTAACTCCTTTGCGGCTCAGGTGTTTGACCTGTCGAAAACGCAAAACGAGATGCGCTGGCGAACGACCTGTTTGCTCTACCTGCACCAAGAACGGCCACGAATGCCTAGGATATCCCGAAGATATTAAGAGGGAGGATGTTGAGAGACCAACACTTTTGGACAAGTCTGGTCACGATCAACCCGAGCGCGAACATCACAACCACCACGATGACGACATTAAAATCGAGAAGACTCAGGTCCGAGTCCAGGTTACACCAGATGCGCTCACTCCCGATGCAGTACAGGAGACAACAATGTCGCTCACGAACATGATCGATTCGAAGCTTCACGAACGCAAACCCTCCAATGCGCTAGCGCCCAACGGCCATCGCTACTCTTCCATAGCCGCGCAAAACACGCCATCTCCTACTGCTGTGCGCCGGTCCGAACGCAATCGCGTCCCCTACTTCCGTTACTTTGGGCCGACAGCCATCGTCCCCGGATTCAAGCAAATGGTTGTTTCTGTACGCGACCGACGGCGGTCAGCCGCTGGCTCGATGGTTGGGACTTCGCCCATGTCAGCTCACAGTGGAGCACCAGGAAGTAGTTCAGCTGTCGATATCGACGTGGTTGGCGAAGAACTCCCTACTTACGACCCCAACGACCCAGCCCCGGTTCACCCTCTAATCATCAGTCTTATTAACACTTTCTTCGTGCAAATGGGTTCCAGTTACCCGTTCCTTCGACAATCAAAGTTTTTGCGCATGGTGAAAGAGAAGAGAGTCGAAGCTATACTAGTTGATTCCATTTGCGCTTTGGCTGCGAGGTTCTCTGACTCTCCAGCCCTTACAAATGGAAGCGACAAGATGCCAAGGATGGAAAGGGGTGCAGTGTTTGCGCAAAGAGCCAGGCAAGCCACCGTGGACACATTTCCGTGCCCAACGGTTGGTGCCGTACAGGCTTGTCTTTTAATGGCGTATGAAGGATTCGGAGCGAGCCAAGACAGTGCTCTGTGGATGTACCTTGGCCTCGCTATCCGTATGGCTGTTGACTTGGGTCTGCAAAAAGAAGTTGGAGTCCAGTATCACGGAGAGAAGGATGCTCTGTATTCACAAAACTGGGGTCGCCCACCAGTTGATGAAGGGAATTCGGAAGCAAAACCAAGCGAATCGAGTCAACTTAACCCCCAAGAGCAAAGAGAGCTCGTTCAGGAACGAATGGACACATTTTGGGCAGTTTTCATCCTGGACCGCATTATCTCATCGGGGACAGGTCGTCCGGTTACATTCCGTGACGATGACTTGGAGCTCTCATTCCCTGAGCCCTTTATCGACCCAGCGACGAATTGGCCAGCGCCATATCCCATTTTCCTTCAGATTATTCACCTATATGGGCGTGTCTGTGACGTCCTCAACAAGGTTCGCAATGCCCAGGATCTTACTAAAGACACATGGGACAAACTCGGCGAGATGGAGCACGAGCTGACGAGGCTCTACAAGAGCTGGGATTCGCGGCTACAGTTCAACGTGAGCAACTTCAAGGCTTACCTGGGGATAGGTCAAGGCAACACGTTTATCCTGTTGCACTTTTGGTTTCACGCACTCTTCATCATCCTCCACCAACCAACTCTCCTTACCCCTTTCGCTGAACTCCGTAGCGAGTTGCAACTCCTACCTGACAGTCGCGAACTTAGTATGAGCAGTGCAAAAACGATTTGTGACATCCTATCTTTTGCGGACCTAATTGACCCTAAAAGCTTTATTGGAAATCCCTTTACTTGCCAACCGATATACATTGCAGCTTGTGCTTTCGTAATGGAGTCAAGCGCCAACGCATCAAGTTCCCCGTCAAGGGATAATTCTCCCGGCATGCACCGTCCGGATGCAACAGGAGGGAACAAGTCTCGAGAAGCCAAGTCGTCAAGACACTCTCTATTGGCTTCCGCGGCGAATCAGAATTATCAAAAATGTTTCAACTCACTGCAACAAGTTGAAATGTATTGGGGTGGTGCTACATATATCATTACCGCTTTGGATCAACGAGCCAAAGGAATATGGGACTGCGAAACATACACGGCGGAAGAATACGAAAGTACGAAGGTGCCCCGAAGAGGCAGCACTGGGGCGTTGAATAATCGATTCCCTCAGTTCGAAAGTAAGGCATCGCCGAGGTTATCGGGGCCGCCTATTGCATGGACTCTAGCAGGAACAGCCAACTCGCCAAACTCGAGCTTAACACTCATGTACCAAAATCGGGAATCGACAGTCCAAACAGGGCCTCAACCTACTCCATCGATACGGACTCCGAGCACACCGCCCGGTAATATGATCTTTGACCCTATCAGACAAAGTTTACCAGACTCGACGAGTATGCTCGCGCCAGCATATCCGCAACACACTACTTCGGCAATGCGGCAATCATCTCGTCCATCTATGCCCCGTCGAACTTCAAATCTTTCAACAACAAGTACTCAGACGCGACCCACGGTCCAGTTCGATGGGGTACACGAAGATAGTGAGAGTAACGACTTTTACACTGGCCCAAGATTCACATCCACGAGCCAGCCTTCAGTCGGCTTTGATGCATACAGTGTTTCGCCACCAACAGCCATGGCAGAGAATGGAGTGACCCCAGCCACGACACTCTCTGGAGCGAACGGCATGTACTTTGGTCAAAACAGTTTCCCATATGCAATGCCGTGGGGAACAACAATGGGGAGCATGGATGGCATCACGTTCGATAGCCAGGATATTGACATTGCTGCTCTGGGATTGCAGCAGTCAGATATGATGGGTCCTTGGTTGGACTACATACCCTCTGATGTGCTGGGCTTGTTTGAGCAACAGCATCCGCATATGGGCCACGGTGGTCATTGATCAGATCGATTCTTTCCTGATCGGTCAGAGCATTGTGTCGATTGAATTTTAGTTGTGGACGATGGCATAATACATTGCATGGCGTCGTGTTGGGATTGAGTTTTGGCGTTTGTGGTGGAAGCAATAAAAACAGATGTGCTATTCTTTATCAAGATTTCTCGAATTTCAGCTTGGCGCACTGGGTGTAAGGGGAGTGGACTTAATTCTACATTATGGTGTTTTTGTGTAAATATTCTGTTGGCGATCGTCCGTAAATCTTAGACGTTGTGGTAGCAGTTGGATCTAAGATGGCAGATCTTAGCCAGGTGAAAAGTGAAGGACGAAAAATGATGGGTGAGAGGAGACTGCTGCATGAACACATCAACCTGACATGATAAGCCATTAGGATACTATATGTAGGCGGCCTTGTCCTGTTTGCAGAAGGGTCGTGGTAGTGTTCTTCATCGTAGCCAGAAAAAAAACGTGCTTGTACATATTTATCTACATGTGTATACAAAGTATTACCTAGAGCTTGGCCTTGGCCCCGGCCTCCTTCAACCACTGCTCATACCAAACCTTTCCAAACTCCTTTCTCTCACCCTCTCGACTCTGCGCGTCCTCAAACCTGGCCTCATGAGCTTCCATGGCAGGACCCTTCATAGTCTCAATCAAGCCCGCGTACATCTCCATCTTTAATACGCCGTAAACGCCGGACTTACTCTTGTCAATGAGCTCCTTCTCCCTGATGAAGCGCAGAAGGTCGTCCAGACCCTTGGGCGCAATATCGTCGGCGATACCAGCTGCAACAGCATCCTCTCCTGTGAAGCGCTTGGCTTCCAGGACGAGGCTTCGGTAGGTGGCGTGGGAGTACTTGACGCGGAAGAGCGCTGACATGGCGGGCTTTAGGGGCGCGCCAAAGACGAGCTCGTTGAGGCAGAGGAAGCCTCGTGGGGAGGGAGCCAGGCGGTAGTCTTGGGATGTGGCAAGCATAAGACCACCTGCGAATGCATGGCCGTTCATGAGGGCCACTGTAGGCATTGGGTATCTGATTCGGTCAGTATAAGTTGTCATGATGTAGGGTAGTTGTAAAAGCATACGTCAAAAATCGGTTCCAGACATCGTACAGCAAAGGCCAGAAGCCTTCCGTGGCAACTGCATGTTCAAGATCGAGGCCATTGCTGTAAAACTTTTGAATCCCTGAAGTAGTCGCCACAACACCGTGAGGATAACCGAACTCGATGATATCTAGGGCGTTGAGGAATGCCTTGAGAACAGGCGTTGTAAGACGGTTGTCGGGGGGAGACGTGAGCGTGAGAAGGTAGACTCTAGGTGAAGGCTCAGTGCATGTAAGCGTGCCGCCCTGGTGAGCACCGCATTGCGCAATGGGGAGTGTGAAAAGTGAAGACATTTTAGAGGTTGATGAGGAATGAGAGAAATGCTGTGAGAGGGAGTGAGCGTGGGTATAAGAGGCGTGGAGATGATGGCCGGCTAAGGAAGACACCTCGGCTTGTGGAGAGGAGGGAGTTGGGGTAGAGCATGAACGTGGGAATTGTACATATTTGGGCTTATGAACATCATATGAGATGGTAACATAATGCTATATTACTTGGTATTGATGTTGATATGGATCAAGTCTGTACACCCTCGTTATTCGTATTCATGTGATTTCACTGTTGTTTAAGTTATTGTTGGAGTCTTTGCATGTGAACAACACCTTATACCTCACAATTAGAGACTCTGGGGTAAAAAGATACGTACCTTTCTTTCATGATGGCAGCCCCACTTGCCATGACAGACACGTACCTCAATTAAATCCGACCAATCACTGTAAACTGCGTCTCTTCACATGCCCCACGCTAGCTCCGGCTTTCATTTAGGTTCCTAAATTCCTCCAACTATCAACTATCGCAAACCCCCACCAACCGAACTTCGTCACTCTCGAACAAAATCAACCTACCCCCCCAAAAAAGGGAAGAGCCAACAGTGCGCAAACCATGGCTAGAGACGCCAAAGATAAAGGCTCTATAGTCTTCTTTCATCCTGATCTCGGCATCGGTGGTGCTGAGCGTCTCGTTGTTGATGCTGCTGTTGGCCTTCAGGAGCGTGGACATCGCGTGGTGATATTTACGAACCATTGCGATCCGAGCCATTGCTTCGATGAATGTCGCAATGGTATATACGAACCCGGTCTCTTCTAAGATTCAGAATCAGACAAGCTAACACTACCAGGCACTCTTGATGTCCGCGTTCGTGGCCACTGGCTCATTCCCATGTCCATCCTCTCCCGCCTCACCATCCTCTGCGCCATTCTTCGTCACGTCCACCTCCTCATCCACATAGCTCTCACCGGGGAACTGCACGCCTTACAACCCCGCGCCTTCATCGTCGACCAGCTATCCGCCGGCCTCCCTCTGCTGCGCTACATCGCCCCCGCCTCCCCAATCCTCTTCTACTGCCATTTCCCCGACCTGCTCCTGGCGCAAGGCCGCGAGTCCGCCCTCAAGCGCCTCTACCGACGCCCATTCGACTGGCTGGAAGAATGGACCATGGGATTCGCGAGCGCCGTGGCTGTTAACTCCGGCTTTACAAAGGGTGTTGTTGACAAGACGTGGCCAAACCTCAAGAAGCGTACGGAAACAAAGGTGGTGTACCCTTGTGTGGACACTGAGTCTAAGAAGATCGAGGATGTTAGCGATGATGGAGATGTTTCGTTCAAGGGAGAAAAGGTTATCCTGAGCATCAATCGCTTCGAAAGGAAGAAGAACATCGGTCTTGCGATCGAGGCCTTCGCCGCGATCCCTGAGGCTGAGCGCAAAGGTTGCCGACTCATCCTAGCAGGTATATAAAGCTCCCAACTATTCTACACAACAAAGCGATGTGCTAACTGACAATGCCAGGTGGCTACGATCCCCGCGTCTCCGAAAATGTCCAGTACCACTCTGAACTTGAGGCACTAGCTTCCTCCCACTCTCTGGAGCACCTCACCATCAAGACCCTCATAACCGCCCAGACTGTGCCCGTTACCGTCCCAGTTCTCTTCCTCCTTTCGATTCCCAATACTCTCAAGGATGTGCTTCTTCGTTCCGCGCGCATTCTCCTGTACACACCCGCCAACGAACATTTTGGCATCGTTCCCCTCGAAGCCATGCTCACCCGCACACCAGTTCTGGCTGCAGATTCGGGTGGTCCCGTTGAGACTATCGTCGATGGGGAGACTGGGTGGTTGCGATCGCCCGAGGATGTGGACGCCTGGGCCAAGGTCGTGCGCAGCGCGTTGAAATTGAGAGGTTCTGAGGTGCAGGCCATGGGGGAGAAGGGTGCTACGAGAGTCAAGGATTTATTTGGAAGGGAACAGATGGCGAAACGATTCGACGAGATCCTAGACAACATCGTTGCCAAGAAACCCCCAGTATCCGCCATGAGGACCGTCGTCAACGCCGCTGGAATCTTGCTTGTATGTCTTGTAGGGTTAGTAGCTTCAGCACTTATCGCTCATATGGGCAAACAAGCTGTGACGCCAGAATCTGCAGCTTGATATAATCAAATGCCGTTGACATTATGGTCATTAAGGCGTATTTGGACGATGGACATGTATATTAGCTTCTCATATTTGGAGACTGACTTTATTCAAGACTCGATCACGACAGTGAATATCAAGTGTAGTTATTTCCAGACAGATAATTATCGATGTCTCAGGCGCAGCATTTGACACTTATCTTCGATACATTGAATAGTATCCAACACATACTACATATTTCCTTCCTATATCTATGGTATGCAAATGCACCAACTCCTCCTCAAATCCCCAGAACAGGCTACTCCAGTGCCACTGTAAACGGTCTGAAGAATGCAAAAATTGATTCTTTGTCCTGATCCGATATATAGGCAATGCGTCCGTGAGCATGGGACTGACTTCCGGTGACACGGCAACATACTATTCCCTCTGCCTTAAATCTTCATACTGCACTCTTCTCCTTCATTCATTCCATCTCATAACCCATCATTATGCTCATTGCCTCATCCGTACATCCATCATCTCGCATGCCTCCCAAAAACAACTGCCTTCCCAAAACAAAAGTGCTTAAAATTTTATAGCAACTGAACCGCCCATGATATGCCGCAAATTGCAATGCAGTGAGAATCCCTCTTTGGGATTTGAGCAACGGTCTAATAACAAGAAAAGAAAACACCTAATAGGATGCCAGGCCTCGTACATGTTACGAGGACCTGATGCTTGAAAACCCAGTCGACAGCTGAAGATGCAACTCAACCCATAACAGAAAGGCTCTCAGTGCTTGTCTAGCATCCGACAAATATATGATAAGAGAAATAAAATAACTTGATAGATCTTGCCACGAAAAGGGGAGAGGAGAGAGGGGAGAGGGGTATCATGATTCATAGGGTGACGTCCCCTCGTCACCGTATGCAGACGTCGGCACCTTCTTCGCAGTCTCAGTACTTGCAATGCTAATATTGGTATCGCGTCTTCGAGGGCCTGAGACTCGAGGCCGTGATGTGGTTTGCACTGGCTTTTTCTTTGATGACGCCATGAGCAGTATTCCATCATCATCACTACCATCATCGTCGAAGTCATCTTCAACAGGTCGCGCAACAGGAGTACTTGTGATGGAGTCTCGAGCACCACCTTCCAAATGTACAGCAAGAGACCCACCATCTATGGAAGGATGGTTGTCATAATAATGATTAATAGGGTAGCTATCGGGCTCCTTGTCAAACGCCGGTGGCGTCAGACTGTCGGTGGTCTCGAGCAATTGAGGATGTGCGCTGACGATGCCTGGTTTACATAGAAGCTCGGCTTCCATATCAGCCGAGACGGAGCTGGCGCCACTGAGTAGAGCTGGCAGAGAGGGATCAGATTGGAATGCCAACATCCGCTCAGAGGTGCTAGCCGTGGAAGGGAGAGCTGAGATAGGGCTGGTAACTTCACTCGGGCTGGTTGAAGGTGTGGCCAGGGCTTCCATGGAATCGACGCTTGACGACTTGGTAGTGGGCATGGTGTCTGCACGAGGAAGAAATTCATCCCGAGTCCATTCCTCCTGAATAGGTGAGGGCGGGCAAGAAAAGCTGATATGCTCAGCTTGTGGCCGCTCAGCTCGCTTCATGCAAAGCTCTTCTGAATGTCGCGGGGGGGTTACTCTTGGAATAGGGGCACTATCCATGCGCTGAAGAGATCGAGGCCTGGCTTTGGTGCTGTGTGCCTGCCCAAATTTGCTCAAGTCTTGGTTGTTGGAGTGTTGCACGACCGCGGCAGCAAGTGATGAAGAGAGCAGAGAGGCTTCAAGCGGCCTGTAGTGCGACGTACTGCCCAAGTCAACGGACTTGACAGGGCCTCGTCCATGGCGAGACGGCGCTTGAACACTACCTGGGGCAACCGTGGTGTTCACACCAACTTTCGGTTCAGCGCGCTTGTCGGAGCTGGAGAAGAGTCCCCTGTCAACGGACTTTGATCGAGAGCTTTCATCCATCGAATCGATTGCGTCCATATCACGAGTCTTGCGGATGGTCTCAGCTCCAGAGTCATCTTGGCCATCAGACTGATTATAGAAGCCAGGCGTAGAAGGGGTGGTCTGCGAAATGGGCACGGTAGGGGTTAGAGATAAGAAGTGTTGGGTAGACTTGACATGTCCGTGACTGTGTGCATGGCGATGAAATGGCCAAAATGAGGCTGTCGATACAGTCTTCTCGGATTCACGAGCCGACTCGCTCTCGCTGTGGGCATGCACATGGCCTCGATAAGTTCCAGTTTCAGGTAAGACAGTCGCCAAAGGATCGTAGATGACAGATTCGGGCTGTGGACTAACCGCCTGACTGACCGAGAGAGGGTGTTCGGAATCCCGCATCGCGATCGCAAAGTAATCGTCAGGCCGAAGGCTCTTCCGGCGTGTGTCCCGATATTGTTGTTGAGGAGTCGGAGGTCCATTATTGTACATACTCATGTTGTCGCCGGCGGAACTAGCGGCACTACTGTTGGCACGATGTCGCGTTTTGCTATCACTTCGTTCCACCAGGGGGTGCATTACCTTACCGACAGCCTTCTTGACCACCGAACGAGCACGTTCGAGGAAGGTGAGAGGTACAACAGCTGATGACATTTCCCGTTCATCAACTTGGATTCTTCGACCAGAAGAAGGACGGGCGGGGTCGGTATCATCAAGCCATCCGATAGGGTTCATGATATCTTGAACAACCCATGGGTGGCGCTTGATGTCCCGAAGTCGAATGCGTCTCTCCGGATTTTTGGTAAGCATCTGTCTCAAGAGGTCGATGAGAAGGTTGTCGACTTCTTCGTAAGCCAGATCGTTGTCGTCACGGTAGGGATGCATGTTTTGACGCTTATAGAGGGATGTTGCGGCTGGCGAAGTTGAGGGGTGAACGGGCATCAAGCGGCGCCTAGGAATATATACTTCCTCCGTGGCGATCTTTCGGAACATCTGAAATTCATCCTCGGCGAGGAAAGGTATCCTGGCGAATATCAGGCAGTAGAGAGTCACACCAAGAGACCAAACATCGATTTGTTCGGAAACCTTGGGCTGTTCTGTGTCGAGATCGGTATAGCACAACTCGGGAGCAAAGAACGCTGGGGTGCCGACTGTCTTGGCAAGTTCAAGGTCGTCATCAAAATCTTTGGCTTCCGATTCGGATACTGTATCATCAGGTTCGCCATCGCGGATAGGCCGCCCGAAGTAGGAAACACCAAAATCGGAGATTTTCACGCGATGGTCCCTGCTCCATAAAAGGTTTGCTGGCTTAATATCTCGATGGACAACTCCCTGATAATGTAGATACTCCAATCCTAAAACTGTATCCCTGAAGGTAGATCGTGCCTGCTCGAAGGTGAAGCACGGCACGTAAGAGAAGTCGTCTGAGAAAGGGTCGTGCTGCTGAGGGTTGAAATCGAGAGATGACATGTGAGATATGATTGAATCAGCCATGCTGGGAGAACGACCACGGAAGCCTTCGTCAACATAAGGACCGTACATAGTACCGTACATAGTACCATCCAGTGCAGTACTTGATGTGGGATTAGATCGAAGGGCGTTCGGGGTTTCCATATCGTCGTCTGAGGGAAGGAACTCGTCAGGGTCTTCCACAGCACGGGTCGAGGAAACGATAGATCGCGAACGTGACTGTCTTCTCGATTCGTCTCGGAACGTTTGGCGTGACGTAGGTCTGGATGGTGGTCCATCACTCATGGCAAAGTCCTGCATGGAAGATAAACGAGATTGACTCCCGAGGCTGCTGCTAGGTTCATCGGCTCCTCCATTTTCGAAACTCCAGTTCATCTGGCCTGGATAGTTTTGAGCCATCCTGGCTCGCTTCATTTGCTTGATGGCCTGGCGATGCTCGAGTAGCTGCTCGTAGCGATCCTCTTCAGGGGTTGGAAGTTCGCCTCGCATCTCGCGTTCTATGCGACGTCGTTCGGCGAGACAAATATGAGGAAGGCCCTTCTTGCGCCAAACAACTTCGCCGAGTTCCACGTGTTCAAGGACCATGTAAATCTTCTTGAGTTCAGGGTCGTCGATGACTTCGAGGAGTGCAACCACATTAGGATGACGTATCTTCTTCAATATGGCGATTTCCTTTTTCGTCTTGTCCTGGGGGGACTTGGCTGTAACCTTTCCGAGGCGTCGCTTTTTAGAAAAACGTGGAATGATCTTGATAGCCACATTTTCGCCCGTCTCGAGGTTGCGGGCTAGCTTGACTTTGCCGTGCATTCCACGGCCAATCTCTTCGATCACTTCATATTGGTTGATGAGCTTCCGACCGGTAGCAGTATCTGAGTCGATGAGGGCCTTGTGTGTCCTGTGATTGACAATTGAGTTAGTGTCTGATAAGTGAAACGATCGGTGCTTGCCAGGCTCCCCGGCCAGTTCCCCGCCATATGCGAGCAAAGCCGGTTGGAAGCGGGACAAGGAAAACTCCAAAGAATATGCGGACAATATTCTCGGGAGAGTTTAGGGTGCTTACTCTCGAACTTTGTGCAACTGCAAAGGGTGCAAAAGAGGGCTCTGTGCGTAATTAGGAGGGGTATTGTTTTCGGACACGGAGGTGACGAGATTTTGTCGAGAAGCCGAAGGGCTGAATAGTCCTGGAGAGGACATCGGGGTACTGTTGGCCGTCCTCAACGGCATAGAGGAAGAGGAGGGGAGATGAGTATGCAACGGCGGGGTTCCGCGGTTCGTCGACGAGAGGGAGGCGGACGACTGTTGCTGCGATAGCGACTTGTGGTGATAGTGGTGTTGAGAGTGGCGGTGATGGTGCTGGAAGTATTGTGAGGGATCCATGATGGGCGAGATAGGTGAAGCGGTCGTGGTCGCTCCGACATGCTGAAGGGGAGGGTACTGGGCTCGCAAAGGCGGGCCTTGAGTTGTTGAAGTCACAACGGGATGTGACGAAAACCGATCTATAGCACCATTGTCGCGTATGAGGGCAGCGAGGATCGAGGCTGGGATTGAAGTATCGGGCAGATAATATGAGGAACAGTAGTTTTGGTAAGAAGAAGAAGCCGAGATGGTCAAATAGCCTGGACAAAAGAGTAGAGCAAGTGGATCAGTGTAATGTGAGAGAGAGAAGGCCTTGTGTTTTTGGGGGGGTGGATATTTTTTAGTTGGTGTTGGATCCATTTAGTGATGATGGAGGTGGGCATGGGTGGACTGTAAGTGGGAAGGCACAGTGCCCGTGGCTTTACCAGTGCAATGCCAAGCCATCTCTCGCTGTAACTCTGAATGGTGTGTGGTTCATAGTGGCGACCATGAGAAAGAACAACGAGTGGCTGCAACAGCCGACCTCAACCAGATAGCGGTACCAATGTGGTAAGTCTCTAACCGTGCGAGATGCGTGGTCTGTGCCTCGACCCATGGCGCCATGCCTGCTCTCTTTCTCTCCCTCACTGCTCTGTACCTCACCATCTTCAGATCAATCCTGGACTAAGAGATACCATCTGCTACACCCACCACCCCTAGCACTGCAGATAGACCCCTCTCTCGACCCTGCCTTATCCACTCCACCTCGCTCAAATCTCCAGTCGATACGGTCACCGTCCAGCGTCACCAAAATACAACTCATAGGTTTTGTCCGTTTTCGCTCGACCCGGCCAAGGTTTCGTTGTCCCCAGCAAAAACGAGGATTGATTGCCAGCACAACAAGTTCATATCATAAACCACGCAGGTAGCTGACGTTGATATTGACGTTCTTCGTGTGCAGCCTAACGCTGTAAGGTACCACCGTCTATCATCAGGTATCTACAGAGTACCTACCGTCTTCACATCACCGTCCCTCTCTGCTCGACAAGCCAAGCCAAGCCAAACCGTGGCCGACATCAAGGGGTGGGCGATGCTACAATCACCCCCCGGGCCGCCGCCATTCTCACTCTTTATGTGACGGCGATGTCTGTTTCTGCTGCGCTGCGGAGTGGACCGGCCGCGTTCAAGGATTTGGCCCCTGCTCGTTCGTTCACCCGCTCCGTTCCTCGCCCGCTGGCACACATCATTTGTTGCTGTCGTCGTCTTCGCCGCTGCCGGTGCAGCTGCCGCTGGCGTGTTGATCTCTCGCCAAAAGTATAGATGAGGTTATCATGAAACGTATCTTGACTCGGCTCATCATTCGATCCAATTTCTCATCATCAACAACAAACCACCACTAGTCCTAAGAGAGGTGCTGGTCATGCTCGACCGACAGGGAATTGCTCAAGCGAGCAGAGCACTGAGCATTTCCTGGCCTTGCACCAGATGTCTTGGCAACGCTTGGGCTGGCTGGGACAGCTTTGGGCTTGACGATTTTCAGTGCACTGCAGCTGAGTGACACCGTAGGGAGATTGACATTGGGTAAAACAAACCGGGTTGTCCAAGCAAATTCCTGGCGCATTGTGACTCGATGGGTACAGCATGCTTCATGCACAGCCATTACTTCGGAGATGCCTCATGGTCAATGATAGTGGTGATACTTGTTACATCTTTCAAGCATCTACACGCCAGATCGAGAGATATAGATCCATGTTGAATGTAGTGAACTATCGCTAGCTGACGCAATGAAGACACTCAGGGAACTCAAGCAAACAGCCCGGTAAGCGAATCGATAGCGGGTCCAAGTGCGGGAGGCGGTGATATGAAGAAGTGGACACCACGAGATACCTGATCTGTCGATATCTTTGGTATTTGACTCGTACTGTAGAATTGTACCTTTGGAGAACACTGCAGGTGTTGTTCAAACCCGAGGCAATCCTAGATGATGGCCAGATGTACTGTACACACACTGCCCTTAGACTGTACTCGTGCATGTATTATCACCGCCAGTGGGGCAGCGTTTCGCTGGAGACGGGAACTTAAGTTTATGTACTCCGTATGGTACCTTACCTTGTCAGACTGGGACATGATGCACCAGTCGAGCTGTCGAAGTCTTGGAAAGATCCATGATTTTGTAGGAGTTTCCAGGCAATTCTTCGCGCACATCACTTGGCTGTCATGTCTGCTTTACAGACACAATCAATGACTGATCATCGCCATAACTCCAGTCTCCGGATGCTCCAGTTTAGGATTGAACCTAAATGGCTTGAGAAGATAAGATAAAATCAACCAATGGACGAAGGGATGAGCAATCAATGCATCGAACCAATGGTAGTTTACCATCTTTCACTTTCATGTGTCTGCGATTGCTCAACTCATCAGATTCGCTCACGTTGGGGTGGTTCGGTGGCTTGGCTAGGCCTTGTCGTGTCTTTTGGCTGGATCCATTTTGCTGGGGCATCGGTTTGTTCCCCCCGGTCCCAACCCCGATAAGATCCGCGTCTGTGAGTGCAGGTTTTCTTCCTCCCTCTTTGCTTTTTGTCTTTGGTGTACTCTGTACCTTAAAGATAGCTTGGGATATCCTGGCTTATTAGCCATGTCTTGCATTCTGTTCCGGTATCCAACAAATTGGAACTTGACTTACGAAAAAGCCTCGTTTCAGAGGTTCAACGGAAGTTGTCCATGCCACATTGTAAAAAATACCGCTGGCGGTCTTTCTACGCCGCCCTAAACGCCGCCGTCGCCGTCTGCGTCACGGCCTGCAGGACCCAAAGCCAATCCGATTCAGGGCCCTCGCTCTTCAAACATGCTATTCCCAAGTTGAGATGATTTTCCTCGATATTCTTGTTTATATCCGCACATGGCTGGCTGATGATGTTCTACAAAAACGGCTTGTGCTCGCGTGCTGATTGGAGTCTCAGTCCAAAGCGTTCGATATTGAACCCCGACGCCCCTGACTGGTCTATTGTTTTGGTTCCATCTATTACGATGTTATAGATTTGGATAGTTGTGCATAATTGTGCGACGTACTACGTAGCACAGCTATTGAATGACATGTGGTTGCCAAGATCAACAGCATGAACGGAGATAGACTTCACTTAGAGCGCTCTCAATATGCACAGAGACGAACTAGCCAATTCGCTGTGTCGATCAGAGTCGGTAATTCGCACTTGCCCCTTTTTTTAATTCCCAAACTCCAGGCTTGGGGCATGTAAAGGAAAGGGTCCATCGTTTGATTCATGCTGGTGAATCACATGCATTCCAAATGAGAGTGTCGACTGTTGAGTGTATCGGTGTGGATTTTTGTGGCCTTCACCAAACGCCTAGGAACTCACAAATAGACAAAACGATTCCATTTTTGTAAAGCGTCCGTTGTTCAATTAATTGGTCATTGACTCGCCACGATCGTTGTAGCTATTGTACGGATACCAACATGCTCTATTAACCCTTGGGGTTTTAGTTCTGCATGCAGCTGCACAAGACTGGCATCCGGCCCCCACTGGTCGTTACTCCATGTTTGCGGTCGTCGTTCCCTCCTCTCACCCTAACTAGTACAGACGATGCAGTCCAAAAGGACAGACGAGGAAGATAGAAGATCATTGACGCTAAATCAATATTGCTGGAGTCTATTTCCAAGTATGATACCACTGATAAGAGAAGTTGGTTTTCATAGCTGTCTGCTGTCAGCTCCAAGCCATCATGCTTCGCACCTCCCTGCCTTCAGATTGATGAGTAACCTCCAGGTCCTGCCTGGGCTCACTTCCTACCTCCCACTCTCTTCGTTCCTGACCTACCTATCCACTACGCAGCTAACTGAGCTGCACCTTCCCCGGCCCCGTCGCGGAAAACGGCATCCACTAATCATCCATCTTCCTCTTGCGTTGACGAAATTGTTCCCCAGGTTCGACTTCGAGATCTCGAACATCAGGCACCATCACGATACCACCCCAAAGCCCAATACAGTCCAGCTTCTGCCAGATCCCAACTGGGCCACTAAATCACCAGCCCGCATGAGCTCACACCCCAATCTCTTTGGGAACCGTAGCGGCAGTCACGCCCAATATCACTTGATCATGCCGGTGAGCTAGCGATTTTAACCACCGCCAACACCTGCGAGGATTGACACGCAACCAACATACAAGACATGGAAAACGATCTGGACCGAGCCTACCAGGGCCAATTCTAACGACGATAAGGATCTGGTGTAATGGCAGAAACTAGTCCAGCCTTGGAGTGGCTATGACGAATGGACTAAAAACCTCAAGAGCCCTGACTTTATCTGGAGGAAGTTGCATTTCTGATGTCTCAGAACGCCATTAAAAAAGCAGGGGTCTTATTAATAGGCAAATCTCAAAGAGACGAAGTTCTTGGGTCAGTTTTGCATTCTCCGGCTGAGAGCAGCCGGGGCTAATACTTCTGCGACTGACGACTGGCAGCAAATACATACTTTCAAGTCACCTACGATTATCAGGCTACTCTTGCAAAGACCGCCAGGAGTGGCAATCGAATCTAGCATGCCTCTTCAATCATGGAGTCACTTGTTGTCAGCAATTGAACATGGCCCTGTTCGTGATGAAGACCCTCGAGGTCAGGCTTTCGTCGATTGGACAGTTTTGCACCCAAGAAAAGAAAAACAAATCGCCTTATGGCACAATAGGGATTTTCAGCTGCAACAAACCCGAGGGGATTTTGTGGTTCCGACTCTAAATACTCCGTACCACCCTTAAAATTACCAAGATGGCTCAACACCGGCCCGGCTCGGACGATGAGCGGAGCACCGAGCGGGCCCATCCCTTGAGAGTTGGGGAAGACGCTGGGCAATGGAACACGGTCAGGGGTTCACTGGCCAGTTTGACAGGGGGGCTGAGGCAGGGGAAGGATCTCATTGACGACCTCCATGTTCTTTTGGATATTATCTGTTCTTGAACGAACCAGCACATTGTTAACGGCTCCTTGCATCCAGCCCCTGGCGCTTTCGATAACACTGCAGTGACTGCACGGTACTCATTAGCTTCCACACCTTGTGGTTGGACCATTAAAGCAGCCTGAAACCTTATTATGAGGCCTTTTGCCTGATGGTCTGACTGCTATTGTTCATCTGGAGAGTACCGGCCCTTCTTACCTTGTCGGTGTTGTCAAGACCTTCATTGGTGATGGTATGTCGCGATTCGGAGGGATGGTACTGCAGGCGCCTGCTTCGGTCTCGATTCAGTTGGGCCCGGCGTTGCATTACTTCTTGGCAAGGATGGGAGTTGAAAGAGGTGCGTGCAGATACACAACGCTAGGTCATATGCGATCTCTGGATATATCGAATCTGGCAGTTTGACGATTATTGAATCCTCATAGGTCTTCGTATCGCGCTTTGATCATGGCTCATGTCGGCCCTACTCGATCGCCGCCAAAGTCCGAGTGCATTTTGGATTGGAGGCATATTTGTATAAGCTTACGGAATAGTGTTGTTTCCAACGCGTTCCATGATACCAAAACACAGGAGATACATACTGGCCCTTGTCCGAGCCTCAATGCTAAGGATACATAATAAGTCACTAGCGCGCGATGGGCCGTCAACAGCGGGGTGGTGTCCGCTCTAACGACGGCTTAATGGAGTTGTAGCCCGCACCGGTCAACCCTGTTTGACGACCGTGCATTTGTCGTTCCGTCCCATGAGAGCCGAGACCACGGACCAGTTCTTGTTCATGTTCTCTGCGAGGTTTGCGATTATTCAACCTCATCGGGCTCTCTACTTCAACAAGATGGTTTGAGGCGACAAGAGAGCCAAGGGTCTTCATGTAAGCTAACTTAGCAGAAACTTATCAGTGCCGCTCTGATGGTCACCAGACTATCAAACATTGGGTAGCTAAGCAGCAGCATATGCCTTTCTAGTGCTCTATATTCCTATTTGAGATATGTTCGCCGTATGCTGTGCAAACTGCAATGCATCGCTACACTACGGCGCTTGAAGTTCCTGCATCAAACGTAGCGGCTGTTAACTCACTTGAACCTGTCCATCACAAAACAGCATTGCGCCGGCAGACGAATGATCCAGTTCCAAGTCGAGCCTGACCCTTACTGCATTACATGGGCATATATCACGCTGCAGGGGATGCTACGGGAAGTCTGGCACAGTATATTATTCTGTTATTCTGAGCATTGACTTGGTTGCGGCGTGCACACTTCCGTTGTTACTGCAGCACCAAAAAACATCAAGCTCAATAGAAGGTTCAACATTCGATTTTCACAGAGTGAACCAAACGTCATGCAGCCTATCACCTAAGCACTATTGATCCGCGCCGTACCTGTGAATATTTGTCCCGCCGTTAGCGACGGTACTGCAAGGTGGTGTGTTTCCCAACTCCAGAGGGAGGGCCACAGGGTAGCACATGCTTCGTCATGATCTTGACAGACGGTTTGCGGCGTTACATTGCCAAGGAAAGGCTACCTACAAAAGGGAAGATGGCAGCTTCAGCCATGAGCTGACGAATCATGCTTGCTGAGCGACACGCTCAGATACAATTCACCACCGTCATACCATAATGCATTGCGGCGTTCATAGGTCAGCTCAGTCTGTGATTACACTCATTACCACCAATTTACCCTACTGTTCTCAGGACAAGGACGCACACAACAATGTACATATTTCCTTTTCTGGATATCCCTCTATCATATCTGATATAAAATTCCTTTGACTCTTTGATATCCCAACGGTTACGCGGCAGCGTTGATCGATATTATTTCCATCAGTAATAACGCTCATCACACCAAGTTGGGCATAGCCATCTGCTGTTAGGTGTTGAATTTTTGAGCACATTGCCTGCCGCAGCCTCAGCATTTACCCCAAAAGGACAGTGCTATATATGCCGCTGCATGTCTTAGTCCGCTGTTATTAAGAATCATAACGGCTCTTACTGGTGCCACAAAAAATGATTCGTCATATCTTCAAGCTCTAGTATGGGGTAGGCCATCGTCTATTGAAGCGAAGAGGTACCCTGGACACCCTTTTCGAATCATACAGTACTAGAGAACTTGACGGGCATGTGTCAGTGATAAAGGCAAAGACAAACATTGAGAAGTGCACTGTGGAAAGGACTACTTTTGTAAGTACTCTTAAGATACGAAGAAACCAACCTTGCCCCTGTCGTACCCATGCCCATGGCCAAACCTTGGTGCCCCTCTCCCGGAGAGAAACTGGAGCTGCGAATATCAGATCTTTAGATCCAGCAGTCCACGGCAGCCAAAAACCAAAAACCCACTAACTCCCGGAGACGGTGCTCCATAAGCTAAAGTGCATGATGCTTCATTCGGCGCGGATTCGGGGAGTCACGCTGTCACCATGGAACGACAGAGGCAATTATCGCCGCTGCTAATTGGCGTAATCGCGAGATTGAGTTTTGTTCAACATTAACTAACCTTCCTGACTTGAGGCCCGGAGTTGTTTCTTTCACTACCACCTTGTGCAAAGACAAGTGAGTGATTATCACCACACACCAGGAACAAACAGGAACAGGGGTTTGGAGAAAGAAGCAAGTGATATGCCCGAGCGCGTCGCCTGGCTCATGGAAAATGTCCCAACCTGGAAGGATTGGAGCCTGCAACATACCTGGTCATTGCTAGGTTGTACCACTACTACAGGTATTGTAGCATTAACACAGCATCAGACGGTTTCTGAGTCCTACACTGCCATGCCTGACATGACTCAGAAAGAAAGAAAATCGTATCAAGAAATGTCTCCTCATGAGTCCGGTTGAATCTGGCAAGTTTATCTTTCGATCGAGGCCTCTCACATAGATGCACAGATCCTTGAACGCCACAGACGGGAATGCACAGCTTGCCTTTGAGTTGCGACTGCGACTGCGACTGCAGCTGGAACTGCAACTGTGTGAATACCAAATGGGCCAATTACCTAGGTTGTTTGTTGGGCGCGGGAACCTGCGGAGCCTGGGGTAGACTCATGCACAACATGCTCGCTTTGGCGGATCCTAGAAGGTGATGAGAGATGGGGAACATGGATCCATCCGTCATCCATCCAGTCATACAATTGGTGGTGTGGAGAGCGAGACATGTCTTAGTCCAGCGTCAATATGATGTCGTCTTTGGTGAGAGCTACTGAAATATTGGTGACTGATCACCGGCGGGCTGCAGTACCCTGTATCAACCATCGATTTCTCCGACAGTTTTGGGGATGGGGCTTTGCTCATGAGGGTGGTGTTGATACGAATGCGGATATCAGTGATCACTCAGTCACTCGAGACTGGGGTATCGCTTAGAACGAAGGCTTGGGAATGAGACGGCTTTGACAACACGGCGGAACAAGCGGCGTGCCACGCAATCTACGTACCTCTGAGTTCACTTCAGATTTCGATATTCACTGGCAACAACATCTTTCTTACATGAATTACATCAGCCCTAAGTTCAGGTCCGCTCGGGCTACCAAGCTAGTGAAAGATAGCGATTTGCGCCCGTTTGAATGGATTCAGTCCTGATAAAGCAACACGACTTTGGCCACTCACTGCACTGCCCCTCTAGCTCCAGAAAGTTTGAGCATGAAGAAACCAAACTCGGCTGAAGAATCCATAGAGTTGCAACAACCTCACAAGATCAACAATGCATGTCTCGGAGCCTGCATTCCCGGACACTCCATCTCAAGATCTCAGAACCCTCATTTTGTCTGCCGACCTGTACGGGTGTCGTAGTCCGTGTTGCAAAACCTGATATTGAACAAGTTGCTGCTGTTGGATGTTGCAAGCCTATGGGGCCTTTGGGGTCTTGCCCCCCCAAACTCAATGTCGACCTCTCCTCGTATGCGGTAGCTAGCCACAGCAGTCTGTGAACTGATACTTACATTCTCCGCCAAGCGTCTTACTATCCTCACCGCAAGAGGAGCTGCTTGCTTAGCAGCCACACATTGAACTTCGTCAATGCTATCCAGCCAGTCATACTGCGAGATTTAGACAGTGCGCCAGATTTGCAAGCAAGGCAGGATGAAGGCTGTCACCTATCAAGGAACAGGAGGCTGAGAGAGGTGGTGTTAAGCACAGACTGCACTGTCGAAAGGCTGGCCGTGTTGGGAATTCTGATGTGTGATAGACCCTTGGTCGGCTGACAAGCCATGTGATGCTCTTAGCATCCCCCCCCCAGCTTCCAACCGGCGGAAGTCGGAATACATTGCTAGACTCTAGCAATCATAGCTTGAGGTCTGGCCCAGACCATGAAGTGGCAAGAGAGTGCAACGCGTATTGAATAATCGAACGCGACGCGTGCGAGGCTCAGACAGCCTTGTTCTACTCCGGAAAGTGTGTGCCAAGTTCACATGCTAATCCACAGACTAGGCAGTCACCGGGTCTACTCGGACTCACATTCTGAGTGAGACAATAAGACCAAGGAAAATAATGGAATGTTGCGAGGATGAAGTGGTGTATGAAAGAGACGGTCAAGGCGGACGAGACTACTCGTTTTTGCCTCCGACGCTGCGTGTATCATGTTGCAGCCTGTTCACAAAAGGCATTACTGGGTGGGTTTCGTGAACTCAACCCCCAAGACATCGTCCATCCATGGACCAACCTTTGCCGCACCGTCGCTGTCTATACCAGCCTGGGAAAGCCGTTCGCTCCAGCTCGAGACGTTGTAGATGGATGACGACACGAGTGCTGGTAGGCTATCCTCGGGAGCGGGAGATGAGGCACCTTCAGCCATGAACTTTTCAACAAGGCCGTGCCTGGCTTCGAAGCGAAGCTTCGTCTATGATTAAGTCAGTATGCTTGTCATATACATACATCATACCAGGCTGCTACTTGCATCAAAGTCAAGTTGTGGACGCTCTCGAGGATCTTCGGCATACGGAAAGGTTGAGAAGGTGAACCTAGGCGTCTGGCCATAGATCCAATCACGAGACTGTAGTTCACTGTACCCCTTACTGATTATTTCCTTCTCAAGCACCTCGTCGCCGATATTCTCCTGAACTTGGAAGTCGCCATACATACGAGCAAACTGCTCAACAACGGCAGCCTCAAAATCAGCGTTCTCGAGGCCTACATTGCGAACGGGGCTACGAACGCTGTCGACACCGCGAGTCTTGATGAAAGGCTCGGCGGGTGAGCGCAGCATACCAGAAATGTTCTTTAGGTTTGGACTTCGGAGAAGACAGGTTCCGTGGTGAAGAGAGCGAAGGCGAGTGAGTTTATAAGCGGACCCTGAGATCTTGTAAGTGCCGATGGGGTCATCAGGGATATCCATAACAATATCATGTCGCTCATTGACACGAGTATTTGGCTTTCCAAGCGAGGAGAGTGCCCTCACTACCATCTCTGCATGCTTGTTTCGATCAAATACTGCTGGAGGGCAGATGACGCTGAAGTTGACATTTCCTTCATCATGGAAGACAGCTCCGCCTCCCGAACGGCGACGGACAAGCTGCACCGGTCCGCCACTCCATCCTACACTTGCAGGATCTTCGCGGAACTGAGCGAGTCGTGCGAGGTTTACTTCCATCCATGGGTTCTGGTTGCGCCCAAAGACAATGCAGGGGTCGTTAGTGTAAAGGAAGAGGATGGTTGAGTCTGGTGGTGTCTTCTGGAGGAGATGATGCTCAACAGAGAGGTTGAGAAAGGGATCTCGGGAGCTTGAAGTGTAGACTTGGATCTTGTTGGTTGAGTGAGATGCTGCATCTGTAAATCGGCGCCTCTGGACGGCTGATACTGAGGGGATTAATCGAGATATGTTCCTGGGCGTTGAGTTTCGAACAGGGCGGTTGAGAAACATTGTGTTGAGCCAATGGCAATTGCCAGAACGGGTGCAGTATTAACAATTAACAATTATCAGCGGAAGAAAAAGAAAGACACACGATTGAGTCAAGATGTCGGTTATATCCAAGAGAATTGGTGAGGTGTTGTTGGAAGCTATCCAATGAGCAAAGAGGTTAGAAAACGGACGCTGTCAGCCTTGCATCTCCCGGAAAACTCCCTCCACCCAGCTACGGCCCACGTCCGCCGAGACCCACCCCCCGAAATAGGCGCTGTGAGGGCCTGGAAATTTAGGAGCCCGGGGGCGGTTCAACGGACAGTAGCGGTCGGGTCGGGGCAACCTCCAACCCAGTGAAATTGCTGTGCCTTGCAGCGTCGGGCGTGGGAAGTGCCGTGCTCTGGGCGTAATTGTCTTTTGGTAAAGGCTAAAAGAAGAAGAGATCGATTGATTGATAAGCTGAATCGAGATGTTTGTTGCGCTTTTGTATGACGTTGCTTTTGCGCGACAGTGGAGGTTTTTGGCCAAGCTAGGTATCTCCTGTAGTGGAATGCCCCTGTAGCTACAGCGGAAGGGGAGTGGAAGAGAAATTACCCAGACTTTGGACGATGAGGCCAGAGGTTTTGAGTCACAGCAGCGACAGCCCGATGTCGCCCGTTTACATGTATATAACAAATATCTAGAAATTCATCTTCTTTGTTCGTCTTATCATATCGAATTATATTAATCAATCAATTGACTCAATTGCTACATTTGTCTTGTTCAGCCAATTAGAACCCTACCAAATCATCTGCCGAATTGCCCCTCCCCCGCGCTACCTCATAGACATTGGCAAGATTCGCAGAAGTAAAAAATTAGCCCGAGATCGGATCCCAATAGGTCGAGGACCAGCTCCAGCCTCACAGGTTTCCCTCCCTCGAGACAACCTAACTAAACTCTCAACGGCCGCCATCTTTTTTTATTGTTTCTCCCCCTCCATAAACACCAAAAAACGTTTCCCTTCCCCATACAAACACATACCTCCTTTCATCATGTCCAGCTTTGGACAGTTCTTCCGGGTGACGACGTAGGTTTCTTTACCCCTCCATACGCTGCTAGAGAAAGACACAAAAAAAGCTAACAATTCATTTTCTTCTTCTTTGTTTGTAGTGCTGGCGAGTCTCATGGCAAATCTGTCTCGTGCATCATCGATAACTGCCCGCCCAACATTGGCCTTACAGAGGCTGACATCCAGCCCCAACTCAACCGCCGTCGACCAGGCCAGTCGGCCATCACCACACCCCGTAACGAAAAAGATCGCGTCACTATCCACTCCGGCACTGAAGATGGCGTCACTCTCGGCACGCCGATCCTCTTGACTGTTCCCAACGAGGATCAGCGACCAAAGGACTACGGCAACAAGACCATCGACCTCTACCCCCGTCCCAGCCATGCCGACTGGACTTACCTCGAGAAGTACGGCGTCAAGGCCTCATCTGGCGGTGGCCGCAGCTCTGCTCGCGAGACCATTGCTCGCGTGGCCGCTGGTGCTGTCGCTGAGAAGTGGCTCAAGGAGGCCTATGGCATCGAGATCGTCGCCTTTGTCACCTCCGTTGGAAACATCAAGCTCTTTGGCGACGCCGATTCCATGAGCTCTGATCCTGCCTTCCTCAGCCTCGCAGAGACCATTACCCGTGAAGAGGTCGATGAGAACCTCCCTGTGCGATGTCCCGATGACGCCGCTGGCCGAGCTATGGAGACACGCATCGCCGAGCTGCGCGACGCTCACGACAGCACTGGCGGAACCGTGACCTGTGTCATCCGTAATGTGCCCTCTGGCCTCGGTGAGCCCTGCTTCGACAAGCTGCAGGCCACCCTCGCCCACGCCATGATGTCCATCCCCGCCACCAAGGGGTTCGAGCTTGGTTCTGGCTTCCAGGGTGCCGAGATGACCGGCAGCAAGCACAACGACCCCTTCGTACCAGCTCCCGCTCTGGACGCCGCCTCCGAGAAGACAGGCATCCCCCGCTCCAAGCTCCAGACCAAGACAAACCACTCCGGCGGCATCCAGGGCGGCATCAGCAACGGTATGCCCATCTTCTTCAAGGTCGGCTTCAAGCCCCCTGCCACCATCAGCCAGGACCAGACCACAGCACGCTACGACGGCTCAGGCGAGGGTGTTCTGGCTGCCAAGGGCCGACACGACCCATGCGTTGTGCCTCGCGCGGTGCCCATCGTCGAAGGCATGGCAGCGCTCGTGATTGCGGATGCTATTATGGCTCAGCACGCGAGACAGATGGCCAATAACATCATCAAGCGATAGGAAGCTTGTGATAGAAATGGCAAGGAAAATAGGATAAAAGGGAAAGGCTCAGATACCAATATAGAAAGGGTGAAAGACACGAACACGGCTCTTTATGCATGGCGAGAAATGATCTAGTTTCCAAAATAAATGTTCAATAGCGCATGAAAAGGGCTTGTTTTAGTAGTGTGAATGATATGATTACTTGTAATTTATTCTATATACCATGTACCAACTGATCAACTATGCAGAGTAGTTCAAGTAAGAATTCTTTACACATAATTTCACTATATGGTCGTGTATGATCAAGTGGATGCCTTTCAACCCAAAACACCTTCTAATTCGAATATCCTAACACCATAGTATTTTAACTTCTCTGGCCAATAATGCCTCTTCCTTCTTAGTTCCTAAAGGGGTCTTGGGGGCTTCGGCGATATCCTTACCCTTATCCTTAGACGTGTCCTTATTCCATCGTTTGGTCTTCCTCTTACTATCCTTCTTCGAGGTATTATCCTTAGCCGGCTTTGAGGTCGGGATAGTAGACCCAGTCGCTAAAAGCTAATTGTCTTATAGTCGGGAGCCTTTAGATTTATATATACAGCTAAGCTAATATTTATACATTAAGAACTTGGGTCTTCTATTATATTCGACTATGTAGTTATCACGAAGGATAGTAAATTGGTAGTTATTATTATACTACTGGATAATGTAAACAAATATTTTATACTAGTGGAGGACCTACCATAGTAAAATACGTAGTAAAATAAACTTCCTATATCTCACTGGTCGCGTTTCTTCGAGGCTAATAGATAGAGAAGAAGTATTCTTTGCGTAAGGATAATTCTTCGCAATTGGCCTTAGAGAAACGGGATCAGTGAGATATAAGAAGTATACTTTATCGCGATGGGTCCTCCTCTAGCACAAAGCGCTCAGCCGCATCGTCACCAACGCCGTAATGTTTCAACCCCTCTAGCGAACAATGCGTCTATGTATTGCACTTCGTCTAGGGGATGGGTATCATGGCCCTTCCGAGACGTAAACTCCAAAAGATCCTTTGCTCCTTTGTCCAATAAACCAGCTCCAGTCTCCGTCTAACTTGTACTTTTAATCCATTTCAGTTTGATATCATGTGCTTTACTCCTCGCCTAACTGAATCGTAGCTATCTCGCTGTCCGTTTCAGCTGTAGGCCTGCTTCTAGCCGAGTCCCCATCTCGGCCCATCATCATGTCCTTTTCAGCTTGTATTGCTTTCTCCCGTCTTTGTTCGACGTCCTCGCGGCGGACTACTTTTCGTAGCCCTTCACTTGCCTGGAGCAGCCCATCGATACTGATAGCGTGTTCTGTCATCTGGTGGCTGATATAAGTGTAAATACCGGCCGGCGTGTTGCACTGTAACAGATTCCCCTCGTTGAGTTTGAGCAGCGCCAGAGCTACTTGGAAAAGGAATGTGCTTCCGTCGTTGGTGCAGAGTACAACGTCCCAAACACGGAATAAAGCCTCAGCACTCAGGCAGTCTGTAAACACAGAAAGGAACCACTGGAAAGTCAATGCCTCAAGCTCAATTGATAAGGAGTCGAGGTGTGCCGAGAGCTTAGGAAGAACCGCCGCGACGTACTGGCGCAGCACCTGTTGGTCCGCACGCGAGGCCATGAGCGAATGGTCGTAATAGCCGTGTGGGAGAATGTTCTCGATAATCGATGTCAGAATCCAAAAGGCATCTTCAGCAGATGGCATCATGAGGAGTAAGTTGGCAGTAATTAAGTTCATGCCCTGACAGTAACCCACGTCCCTGTTACGCCTTGCATATGCCAATAAAACTTCGTTCAGCTTCTTCACACCAGGACCCTTGCGGAAGAAGATGTTGTCGGTGAGTGTTCGGTTGATGTCCATCTGAATCTGACTAACAACCACTGCATCATCGTCTTCACCACTTTGGGCTACCAAGTCTTCATAGTAGCCAGGAATACGAAGGGCGGCGGCCCCTGAGCACTCCGACCATACCTTGGCACGATAGGTAACTGGGATACCACCCAGCACTAGGGTCTTGAACTCGTTCCATTTGGCTCGTCCAACCTTTCCCTTGACACCCAGTCCCGAGACCCCAATCATCTCACCGTCGGCAACGCGAGTCTCGGGCAGGATCATAGCAGGTTGTTCGTATCGAGCATCGGCAGCTGACTTAGCGGCAGCGATGGCCGCTTCTCCCTCACGCTTACGCTCAGCGCGCACCTTTCGCAGAAAGTCGTTCCATCGTACTGTCTTGTCGCGCTGAAGAGCGTCATGTACATCGCTCAACTGTTGTAGTAGCAGCTTGACGGGTTCGTTGTCGTCTTTGGTGAGAGCAGTTGATGACTCAGCCTGAGATGGTTGCGATGAACCGCTGTCGACTGCTGTGGTTGTGCTGGCCGATGGAATGAGGCCAGAATTGGTTGAAACGATTGCTGGCTTGACAGGTTCGGTAGGGTATAGTTCAGGCTCAGGCGTTTGGGCCCCTTCCATAACCTCAATTGATGGTATAGCTATACTCGGTGTATGGCTCAGTAGTTCTGTAGGGAATGTTGCAATCTTGAGGTAATCTGTCCATCTCTTGGTCTTGCCCTCTTCTGCGTTACGTTCCTCCATGCTATTCGGGCTCTCGGGGCGCCCCTCACTCGATATGCTTCCTTTAGGGCTGGGAAGATCCTCCATTGCGTTGGGTGAAATGCCTCCCCGACCGTTTGTCAGCAGTTCTGTACGACTGCCCTTACGGATATGTCGAGCCACTTGCGCAGCCTCTCGTTGTCGTTTCTTTCGTCGCTGGTCGTAGATGAAGCCAAACCTGTCGGTCAGATATTCACTATTGGGGAAGTTGTTGTAGATATGTGTTAATGTTGGTGGCTGCGACTCTGGTGATCGAATGGAATCCATCTCGACAGGTCCGTAACTCTCTTGCCGCGATGAAAAGCTATCCGGAGGACTACCTCGCATACCATCCCATGCTTCTTGCCCTGGTACTCTGCCTGTTCCTTGGGCAGAAGGACCTGGGATCGCTTTACGCATCGCCATTAAAGCCTTGGGACCACCAGCAATTGAAACTGCTCGAGTCTGACCGGCGCGGCTACTCGTAGTCGAAACACCTCTGAGAGAGCCCCCTTTGTTGGAGGTAGTACTGACGGCGCGGCCTCTAGACTCAGCCTCACGTGTACTGATAGCTCCGCCGGCCACCAAGCGCAAGGCCATGCTCGCGATAGATGATGATGCTTTACGCTCACTTGCAGCACCTGATTGAATACTTGACGCTCGACTGGGGCTCCGGGTGATTTGTGGATCCGGAGGATTGAAGAGGTCATCCTGTAACGTCGGTCGTCGGTCCATGCTAGAGTGCGATCGTATCACAGTCGCAGGACGGGGTTCCTCGCAGTTTACACTGTTAGTGCGGCTGGCTCGCTTTGCGGTTCCAGAACCCCAGATATAATCTTTCCAACCACGCAATGTGCCCTTTCCATTCTCACTTGGGGTGCTGAACGACTGGCTGTTTGCTCGAATGGTAGAGCTCTTAGCGATTGTCTCACCATATGCAGTAGCCACTACAGTATCCTGCATCGCATCGCTCATGAGATCGCTCAAGCCAGTATCTTCCCTTCGGAGTCCTTTGTTGGCTGCACGTAGCTCAGCCTCGACGGTACGCAACCGAGTCTCAAGATCCAAGTTGGACAGGCCGCACTCTCTGATGATCCTGCGCAGAGCCCGTTCCCGTTCGTCGGCACGGCGGCGCATGTTGGCAATCTGAGCATCTCGCTGGGCAAGGTCTTCTGATATTTGTCTGATGAGTCCAATGGCGCCATGCCGTGATATCAAGCGTTGGAGATGTTCGTCATCGGCGTTGTGTAATGAGCCAGGCACCTTGCGCACTGGGTGGTCTTCCTCAAACAGGGCACTTCGCACATCAGAGTTTCCTGTTAAGTCAACGATTGACTTGCGACCAGTATCGGGAGCCGGAGCCGCAGCCGCAGCCGTTGGGACGGGGGTGTCGTCGGGGCCATCGTCTTGGATGATCAAGGCGTCATTGTTTGGGTCTTCGGGCGAGAAGCTGGGAAAGCTGGTGAGGCTCTTGTCGCTCGCAGCGATGCTACTGGCAGAGCTGACTGGTTGACTTGGGTGCTTTCGACCGCGGGGACCTCTGGCAGCTGCACTTCGGTTGCTTCTGGAGCTTCGGTTGGAGGTGTGGGATACGTGAGAGGCGTGGGAGGCATGTGAAGCGCTGCTGTGCTGGGAGACGGACCGTTGGAGTGACGACAGAGGGTCGGTCGCTTCCATGGCCGTCGCCATAGCTGAAGAGTCGTATAAATGTGCTTGTCTATGGACAAGAAGTTGCTGAGGAAAAGATGAAGGGAAAATGAAGAGTAAAAGGGTAAAGAAGGGAAGAGCAAAAGCAGAGAAGACCAGAACGAGCAATCAATCAATAATGAGGGTGTGGGTGTGACAGATGAGGGTGTGCGATCGAAAAGGCAGCCGAGGGGTTTGTACCCGGTACATACGAATGGGGATGAAGTTGTCTATCGAATATTAGGTAAGATGGAACAATACTGACAGAATAGCGATGAAGATGCTGGAAACTGCCTATCAACAGGAATAAACATAGAGAAATTACTCTATAATCATTGCTATCGTTGCTCATTGTCTTAAAATTGCCATAATATGAAGCAAGAGTGACGTTAGTACATCTTCTCAAAGAGGTATTGGTACCTGTACATCTAGGCGTAAAGTGGTTCATACCCTTTTGGGGATGTTCGGGTGTCTTGCTCCTCCGTGCAACTGATTGGTTTCCAGGGCAGTTTCCATTGTTTTGTAGGGAGCATCCGTTGGCCCCGGCTTCGCTATTCTAGCCCTGAATTTACGGTATTCTGGAGTGCCATTGACTGTACGGCGGATGCAGTACCCAAGCGGTAAAAGTGATAACGTCAATTGGCGATATGGATGTGATGGCGACGTCTTTGATGATCGATCATGCTACGACTTCATGAAAGAGAAATATCCTTTGATAAAGGTACAACTACTGATATATATTCAATATACTCCATAAATCGCACCTCTTATATCAACTGCGTGCCTGGCGCTGTCTCCACGGTTGGGCTTCTTTGACATCTACTATCAAGCCCAAGGGGCACCACCAACTCAGGTCCAAGTTCAAAGCTTTCAAGGTTTATTTACAAACATGGAACCAGACCCAGAATCACCGCAAAGCTCTGCTATCAGCTACGAATGGATCACTTACAAGCTCGTGCACCTGAGATAGATTTCATCTCCAGGGCCATCCCAGCTAGACTACGCCTGGCCAACAGTCCGAAGATTCCCGCACCATTGCCATTCCAGAACAATTTCCCCCCCTGACCCTTACCCCAGCTTGAGCAAGGGTGATAATTATGAGTCGTGACAATGTCTCAGTCGCCAAAAAGAATAAAACGGCTTTTTTTCTCTTTCTCTTTCTGGCTGAAAGAATGTAAATTTGTCTCGTGGACCGTCACGCGACAACCGTCCCCGTTTGGAAGGTTTCATTAAGCTTAGAATCTCCCCGAGCAACACTTGCATATAATCATCTGCGGAGTGCGTATCGCTGACGTCGATGAGGCTGCAATGATCAGCGTGACTTCATACTGCAGCGAGTTGATACGCTTAAACAAGGTACCCTTGAAGATGACCCGTTATCATGTATGTACCTGATACCAAAGAGGGATGTGTCGTAGCTCTCAGGGGTGAGGGAAATGTACAAAGAACCACTGATATCCGTATTTTCCGCGAGAGTATGATGTACTTTTATATTTAGTGCACTTGAAGGGAGCTGTAATTTGCCTTCTCTGTCACATTTGCTGAGGCACAATCTGCCCAGTCTTCATGATAAACCGTTCTGGGTTGAGTTTAATGAGTGTCAGTGTCAATATTAGACCGTTTCGAATTCTTGTCGCACCCCCTACCTGGCTATCATCCGCATGACAGGGCCAGGCTAAGTCCTCCCTTGTCAATGCACCTTTAATGAAATGTTTGACATTATGGTTCTTCACTACCTGGACTTCTACCCAGACTTCATATTGATATTCAATTTGACTTCTCATATTCATACAGCCTTATGTATGCATCAGGTATCTGATGTAATTAATTACTCGCAATAGTCAACCGATTAACTCCAACCATTGCCAAAAAACCAACCTGGCGATGCTGTCCATATTCGTTCGTAAACCCTTTTGTAGCCCCCTTTATTGGCCTTTCCTTGACCGTTCGCTCCCTTGATCTGAAAGAAAAAATCAAAGCCATAAAAAACATTCCACAAACGCCTCATGAAAATATGCGTAACCCAAAGCACCTCTCTCGCTATCCCCATTTGTACACTGCAATGCTCTATCAAGCAAAGCTGTCCTCCGCATTCCAGCGGCTGCTTCTCATCGTCCCCATTGTCTCACCCTCCGCCGTTACATCTTTGCAAGGCGACGACTCTTCGCCCACGAGCGTCTCATCTGGCAACAGGCCCTCAGCAACCAATGTCTGAAACACAGCGTCTTTAACCAGAACCGTCTCTCGTTTAAGGCCGAGCCCGTCCAGCTTTCGTAGCCTCCTGCAACTTGCCACAAATACAATCTGATGTAGTCGCCGTCGTAGCTTAGTCCCTTGATCTAATCGGCTGGAGAACAGCTCGTCTCGTTCGACATCTGCATCAGGAAGCATGAAAGGATCCACATATCCATTGCGGTCTGTAGGAACCATCACCTGCATTGGCGGATAGAAACCAAGAGTAACGGGATTGTCTCTCAGGTCAAGTTGAGTCAGGTGTGGGAACTCAATAAGCAGCTCTGTTACCTGGGTCGAATCGGCGAGTCGGTTGCCTGCTGCCAGGAGCTTCTTGAGTCGCGGGATGAATCGGAGGGGCTCTAGGTCCCGGATCGCGTTGAAGTTGAGATTCAAGGTTCGAAGGTTGGGCATCAGCTGGCCCAGATTATCTGGCAACGCTTGAATACCACAGTTGGCAAGTTCAAGAAGCTGCAAGTTGAGGAAGTCTACTGCAGGCTCAAAAGTGCCCAAGTAGTTCCCAGAGAGGAAGAGCTTGCGGACCTCATAAGCTGATGATAGGAAACTGAGATCAAGAGCCTGATCTGCCCGCTGCTCCCTGAGACTCAGACTATCTAGCTTTCGAGCTCGGCTGAAACCCGTCAAGTCAACGATGCGATTGCGATCGGCATGTAGGGATTGCAAGTTAGGCATATTGCTGACGTCCACACATGTGAGCTGGTTATCATTCAACTCTAACTGACGAAGCCCCTTTATACACGAGGGCACCTTGAAGCTTGTGAGTTTGTTCTTGGAAAGCCTCAATCGTGTCAGTGCAGGCGCATGTGCCATATTTCGGATCGATGATATTTGGTTACCCTCCAAATCGAGTTCAGTAAGGCGCTCCATCTTAACTCGCGCAAAGTCAACTTCATCAATCAGGTTATCTCGCGCTCGAAGAGACAAAAGTCCATCGTGGGTGTCGAGGCCATCAAGACTCTTTAGCTGATTGTTGTCGGCCCTGATGCTTCGCAGATGCACCAGGCCCCTGAGTGCGGATAGGCTCTTGACCTCGTTACCAGATATATCCACATACTGGAGGTTCATCAAATGATCCCAGGACGTCAGCTCGGTCAGCAAGTTCTGCGACACCTTGAGCTGCCGAACACTAGGTGGCACTCCGTCCAGATGTCCCAGTGTGTTCTTGGAGGCATCAAGGGTCACCAACTTGCCACAAAATTGGTCCAGCATGTGCAGACTTCCCAGACGTTTCTCGTGTAGATCCAGTTCTGTTATGTCCTCCCAGTAAGGCTCATACGGCTCAACCTCGCTAAGCTTGTCCACGAGTTCCCGTATCGTCATGGACATGACCTTCTTAGAGCCATCGCCTGTGGCCGCGTGTCGACGACCCATGACATAGCTAACCTCAAATCCAAACGAATGGTCGGTGTTGTTAATAGTGAATTCGGACAAGGGGCTGAGAGAAAGCTTTCCAACATTTTGACCAATCATCAGACTATCATCTGCAGGTCCCGAGAGGAAGTTGTTGCCTGGTGTATGGTTGACTAGGAAGCTGAGACTGGCTCGGCGACCACTGGGCGTCTTGTGACTAACAATGCTTGTATCTCCTAGGAGACTGATCTGCCTTTGGTCGTCGATAGGAATCTCGATGGTGCTTTCCTCGTCTTGCTCATCGATTCGTGAAACGGGTCTAGGGACAAAGGCGTGGCCACTTCGCGAGGGAGCAGGATTGTTACCACGGACAGAGCTATGTCCACCGTTCTTCAATGCAGACTTTCCAACACCGACGAAGCCTGGTGACTTCTTAGGCGGTGAGCTGTTCTGAAGATGGTTGCTGGGAAGCTCTGGATCGTCTTCAAGGTTATCCAAGTCCTCAGCTTGGACATCCTGAATAAAGGATGCCACAGGGGAGGAAAATGTGATGGTAAGATTACGCCTCTTGGTGGTTGTGGAGGGTGTACTACTGGCCCTGTCGTCTTGGAAGCTGCTCTCGTCTTGAAGAGAGTCTTCAAAGTATAGCTCAGAATCTTCCATAACGCGGGCATCTAGCTTCTCGAATTCTTCTCGAGCCAGTGTAGCCATATCTGGGCCTAATTGCCCATTAGGAGACAATGTCATGAAACCTCTAGCGGATCGTTGTCTCCTGGACGGACTAGGAGGTGATTTTGACTGATTTGGACTACCAGGAGCGTTGCCTTTCTTGGGGGAAGTGATAGCAAGATTTTGCATCTCTCTTGTCAAGTCCACAGACAGGTCTGGAATGCTCGCGAAAGGATCGTCATCGCTGTCTGAAGGAAGAATGTTCATAGGCTGGCGAGCAGGCGCCTCCTTCTTCTTGATCCAGATGTTGTTTTGCTTGTCAAGATACATGCTACCCACTCGATCAGGGATCAGATGGGACACACTTTCTGGCATGATGGTCTTGCGGATCTCAGAGCCATGCGACGACCCTGTTCGATATGTTCTATTGGTAGAACCTCCTGATGATTGGGAATAATTGTCTCGTGTCGGGCTGGCTGATGACCCATCGTGCGCAGGGCCTGTTGTGAGTCGAATGTTGGGCGGATCGCTGATGACATCGTCTTCGGTATAATAAGACAGATCTGGGTGATTGCGTGGGGCTTCGTTAATCTCACGTGCGATTTCCTGATCTGCAAGAATCGCCTCCCTCACCATACCCATGGATCGCATAGATAAGGAGATGAGGTCACCCATATCACTGATTTCCTGGTACTTCTTCAACCGATCGATGAGATCTGGGTCTTCTTGACGCTGGGGGAGTCTAGTCATGGGTTTTCCTTCACGGCTTGGTGGCCGAGACAAAGGCTCCTTTGTTGACTCCTCGTAAGAGTCGTCAAGATCGTCGGCTTCTGGTGTACCATTCTCGGCTTCTGACTCTTCAACGCTGGATAGACCTGGCGGTCTAACTTGGTTGCGGATCATGGCCATAATTTGCGCAGCTTGATGAACAAAGTCTTGAGTTCTAATAGACGGCTTCCGGTCGACTTCGCTATGGTCATCCGTTGTATAATCTGCAGCCTCTTGTTGTAGAGCTCGAAGAGGGGACTTCTCTGACGGTTCTTGGGTCACTTCGCCCTCGGAGTATGTCGTTACATTTGGGTCACTACGCAGTGATGATGGTGTGGGGCTGCGTGGCCGAAGAATGGTTCTCATCGCAAGAATATTTGGGCTCGCCCGTTGGTTGTCACCAGGTCGCGCATCCTTTCGCTTCCTTCCCATAACTGATTGCATATCACGGCTTGCGGATTCTACACCTTCCAGCAGATTCTCACGACCAAAGGCAATATCGGACCGGTGGAGAGTGCGGCGACGCTTTGGTGTTGGATCCTTGGACGGAGAGGTTCGAGGTCTCTTACCCTCTGATCCGCTGTCACGCTTGGGAGTGTTGACATTGACTGGTGCACCCTTTGCTGGGTTCAAGGATTTATTATGGATCTGGCTTGAAAATGAGTTTGTCCCATGATGTCTGCTGCCGGATGATGATGTAGACTTGTTCCGGCGTCTGCGAACGAGCAGATCCAACTCCTTATGGGGAGATATTACTTGTTCTGTCTGTTGGGGAACCACCTCAGCGGGTTGAGGATCTGGTGACTGAGGTGCATCATTCTCTTTGTCGGAATAGACTGCATCTCCCTGTGAGATATATGAGATTTCCTCGCTGAATTCGTAACCCTCCAAGTCTCCAGCGCCAAATCGGCTGAACGATCTACCACCTGCAGCTTTGTGACCAGCCGCAGGCAAAGCAGGACTAGATGCAGCCTCATAGTGATCGTTGGCTGGAAAGTTGGACTGGTCATGCGGCTCTGGAGATCCAAAAGATTGTCGGGAAGGAGTACCAGACATGCCTTCCTCGAATTGGCTGATGCGGCGAAGAAGCGTTTGGTTGGTAAAGGTATCATAAGGGCCAAAAAGCTTGAGGGGGCTTCCAGCGGATGGTGCACTCCGTCCAGCATGAATTTGCTTCTTGTCGGGACTGGGAAACGGCGCCCGGGGCAGGGCAGGGCTAATGTTGAAGTAGTCGGATTGATAAGGGTTGGTAACTTCTGTTCGAATGGAAGGATACTGCTTAGGAGTGCTGGCCTGCAGGGACTCCTCGGCAAGCATTCCACTCGTGTCAACATTGAAGCCGGGGCTAAGATCGCGGTAACGAAAAGAGCCGTCTCCAGATCGACCTCCGCGCTGAACGTTCAGAAACCCTCCTCTGGTCGCGTATTCTTCAGTATCCTCGATATTGGCGAAGGCATCCTGGTTGGAACTGTCAAAAGCTGTTCGTGGGTCAACGGCTGGATCAAGCAACGTCTGATTGATGCGCAAAGCCTCCAGTTTCTGCTTCAGCCTGTCTGCAGGCAGTTCAATGAGTGCAAAGTCCATGTTACCGTCCACGTCGCTCTGTTTCCCGATAAGAATTGGGCTAAAATCTTCATTGCGAATGACACTCTGGCCGCTAATCTTTCGAACACTGCCATTCGCGTCAGAAGGACCGCTCAGGCAGCTTTCGTCACGATAAATCCCATCGCGTTGTCTAGAAGGAGTCTCCTCCTCTCGAGGGCTAGAGACGCCCGGAGCTATAGAATCATCCGCGTTGAGTTTGTATTTGATCTCCCTTTTCGTCCTCCTGGGGCTCGGGCTAGGTGTAACATCGTTCGGGAATAATGGGTCTAGCTCTTCAAGCTCATCGATTTCGTCAAATTGTTCCATGCCAGGCTCAAAGTCGTTGCTGGCAATTCGCTGGGGGTAAGAAGGTGGACTAGACGGCATTATAGAAGACCCCTGATGCTCCTCGTCATACGCATCGTCGCCTGAGGCTGCTGGTGGCTTGAACATATCTTGGAGGCCCGCTGCAGCTGAGCAGAACAGATCCCGTTGCTCACCGTATCCAAGATCGCCGTGCACCAAACGTCTCTTCCACTCAGGTGTATCCTGCTGTCTTCCAGGGGATGATTTGTGCTGTATAGTGTTGTGAACGACGGAAGCGCTGGTGGAACCGGATACAGATCTACTGGCGAACGTTCCGCGTGCGATCTTGGAGCCTGGTGATGGCCTAGTGATGCGCTGACTCGAGATGTTGATATCATTCGCGTTTCGCTCGCTGAGGATATTGAAGCTTGAATCGTGGGTAGCTGGCAATTGAGGTTGTGAGCCTAACGCTCTACGTGGTATTCGACTCGGTGTCTCTCTTGGTTTCGTCTTCGATGCTTCGGTGTCTTTTAGAGGGGGAAGTTGAATGGCTGATGAATCAGATCTGGGCTGGGAAACCCAGTCCTCTGACAGCGAGTCTAGCCAAGCGTGCTCCATGGTGTCGCTTTGGAAGCGTATTTGGAAACAAAAAAAGTCAATGCGAAGCCATTAACTAAACAAAAGTCATATGCGACAGCCAATGGTGGGGTCGCGAAGGTGCTATGTTTGTGTTGCGTGTATACACAAAGAGGTGAGAGAGGTATTTATATGATAAAGCGAAGATATAACAAACCTCACACGCAGAGTAGGGTTGTTCGGTTGAACAAAGAGGTCACAACAAAACATTAAACAAACAGAACCATTGAGAAATCGGGATCGGTATATGATGTTTGCGCGTACCCTTGAACTGGAGGTTTGTGGATAAACAAGACCAGGGTCCTGTTTCCGGTTAGAGCCGTTGCCTTGTCAACGGTATCGTGCAGGGATCACGTGCAGCGTGAGATCTTGAAAGGCCGCCTGAGAGTATAGGGAGAGAATGATATGCGTTTGATCATATCTCACGTCTATATATCTACGGTTGAGCTTCCTACAAGTTCAAAATCAAATTGTGGAATAGATCTCGGTATATAAACATTCACGAATTTGGACGGGAAGATAAACTTGAATATGTCATAGAGTATCTACTTCAGACTCTGGGCACGTTTCGCGCGTCGGTGTTCATTTCAATTAAATAGTAGCGAGAGGTCTCTAGTCACGATCCTCTTACACCAGCCATTAAGTTGGAGAATACGGATAGACGCCTTATATATGTCGACCCTGGAAGTAAAGTCATGACGTGCAACAAGCACTTTACGCGACTTCACGTGACGGACGTGGGGCGCGTCGCCCCAGGTGATCAACCGTGCATTCCATTCCTTTGTTCACTTTATCCACCCGATACAGTGACCTTGTCATACGTATAAGGTCAACCGTCCATGTAAGCTACTAGTGAAGTCGGTTTTCTTCGACTTGGAGGGCGGAACCCTCCAACACAAAACTGCCAAAATGACTGCCCGTGCAGACCCGCTTGCCGATGAACTCGCCCTCGGATGGGGAGAAGATACGATATACTGCGAAGCGACATGTGATCCTGAAGACATATTATACGAAGGTTCAGATGATGAAAAGTACGACAGCCCGGAAGAAAGAAAACGAAGATATGAAGCTGCTGGCCAAAGATTTCTCGACGGAAAAACACCCCTCCTCTTGACAGCACTTCTCAAAGGCCCCTTTGACTCGAAATCGACAGGCTGGCTCAACCCATGGCGATCAAAACACCAAGATGGAACTAAAAGAACGAGAACATCTCCAGGGAAGTTGGCAAGGTCGGCCAAGACTAGACGAAATATATCAATACCAGAGACAGCTCAGCCCAATAGTCTGGAATGTCACCTCCCGAGCCCCGAAAGCCTTAACCCTTCTGAAGTCGAGGCACATCCTTACTTGGAAGAAGATGAACTTGCCAAGGTCCAGCAATGGAGAAATTCCGTGGAGATTGAGAATGAACGTGACGATCAGAAGGACCAAATCTGGGTTTCAACACCTAGTGGTACGGCGTCTGAGAGGAAGAGAAAGGCCAAGGGATCTTCATGGTTGAAATTATTAGCGAATAAACGACGGCGAACAGATGTTATGGAGTCTGGTTCAGTTGATACACCAGTTCCATCTCGATCTCAAGCTCCGACCTCATTTGCGAATGCGCTAAACACTTCGTTCTCGAGTGTTCCCGATCGCCTGCCGTCTTCAGCCATTGCGGCAGGAAGATATTTCAGAGCAACTCAGGACGATCCTATAGTTTCGGACGACGAACTTGCGCGCAATAAGATTGTGGCGGAGCAAGCTGCAGCCGATTCGTCATCGCCCTTATCAAATCTACAATGCACACCATCTCTAGCTCCCAGCCGAGGCAGCGTCGAGCAGCCAACACCAAGCAGGCTTCCGAAATCTCGACGATCCTCCCTACCTCAAAGCAAGGCTGCGGAATCCTTGGATCGAGGACATGATGATACTGCAGCACCCAACCCAGCTTTTGAGACACAAGAAGACGAAAGTTTCTGTTTCAAGATGCGATCGAAGTTTAATCAGATCGCTGAAGGCACGTCAGAAGAAGAGGATGTACTCATAAACCGAGCCGATGAAGAGACCTGGTCCGGCCTGTCTGCCGATGAGAATATGCATAGCGTGGCGTCCGACTTGAAAGATGATACGCCAATGGAGGAGCAAGATGATGTGCAAAACCCAGGTTCGGCGACAGTGCTGGATCAATGTGCAGTGACTAGCCCTCTATCGTCAATTTCTAGTGAGAATTTTGATGGGTTTGATCTTGGAAGAGAATCTACGGTGGACGCCAGACATAGCGCCAGTAACTCTTCATTGGTAATGGAAACAGCTAGCAGTTCCCATCACAAGTCTACAGGAACTGCCATCGAAGCCATCGCCAAAGAACAGCCTAGTGTGCATCAGCAAGATGCTGGGTCGGATAACATGGATATGGACGAGATAGTCGGTATTGTAAGCAGTTTGACTGCTCCGGAGAGTCTGACGGCCAGCGAGACCGATTCAACGGCTGGTTCTGATGATGAGGAAGATGAGGAAGATGAGGAAGATGAGGAAGATGAGGAAGATGAAGTTGACGATGAAGACGACAAGATGGGATCCTCCGAGGCTTTATCGCCATCTGCTACATCTAATGTCAAGACGCCACGGTCTTTTATTGTACCTCGAGAAGCCGAGACAACACCAGCCAAATCAACGATAGCGAAACTTGGTAGCGGTAATTCAACACCCTCCCATGTCGAGTTTCTCCTCAACGCTTCAGTCAAAAAGAGATTCATCTCCCAAGCCTCTTGGAAGAACTTAGCCAGTCTGGCCGGAAGTCCTGGTCAACAAACTCCGGCGAAGACAAACAGAAGCTCTCCAGGCCATCTGTCCAGTCCTGCCAGTGGCCGGGGAAATAGAAGCCAAGCGCGATCAATTCATTCTACACCTAAGACCTTGAGAGTTAGTCAAACTCCGAAGTTCAGTCAGCCATCAAACCGCGACGCTTCTCCAGTGCAGGATCATCCAGTTCATGAGCATCATTCGGTACAGGAGCCAGGCCAATCGACCCCTAAAGCAAATACGCAGGTCTCGATATCACAGCAAAGTCCATGGGCAGCGCATAAATTATCTCAACATGCTACGCTCAGTCTCGGTCAGAAGCTTGTGGAAACCCCCAAGTCAGATGCAAACGCGATGGGCAATGCCGAGACTACGAACAGTCCCGTGAAGCAAGCTCCTTGGACTGGCGAGAGGGACGAGCTGTCTATCGAGCCCTTGTTACCAAAATCGACTGTCCAACTTGGCGATCAGCCAACATCGCTCGAATTGAACACTCCTGCGCTCACAACTGAAGCCGGAATTCGCGTGCATGACATGTCAGTGCTCACAACGCCGGCCACGGCATCAACAACTGAGCCACAATTTTCGTTGAAATCGTTCGCGTCGTTCCAATCTCCTTCTTCAGAACCTCGTTCTCAGCAGAGTAAGCGCGCCCTTTGGAGAGAATCGGGCTCCCGTCTTCCGAGTACACAGGGCATCCTGGCCTCAGCGACTAAGAATCCCTGGGAGACCAAGACCTCTGAACGCCGAGTTGCGTTTGCACCACTGCCTAGTGAAGCCGAGGGGCATTTGAGTGCAGCTACAACGCCTTGCCCATCTCTAAACAAGAAACGTCTATCATCCCCACCGCCTGATACTCCCATGTCCGAGTTGCCTCAGTCAGAAGTCACTGAGCTTCATGAGCATCTTAATAATGTGGCACGGGGACCCATTATTCGTCGCAGCGACCGTCTGCTGCCGACAGAGTCACAGCGTACAGCCGGCAGTCCTTTGCCAGACGCTATGGCAGAGGCGTTCCTTGTAGCAGACCAGCTGCGCGAAACGGTCTCTCTCGCAGATCCTGCTAAGAGCGATCGCGAGACCGACGATTCGCAGGACCCTATGGATATGGCTGCGGATTTATTTCGCGATTCAGAGGTTTTCCGAAACTGGGACGAGCTTTCCAACCAATTCAATGTGGACAATGCAGGACAGAAATCATCCCCGAAGGTCCAGGGGCTACAAAGCCCGTGGTGATCAACATTTTCATCTTTGTACAAAATTTTCCATGGCCTGTCATGGGCTCTGTCTATACGTACACATATAAACAAGAAGAAAAACATCTTCAACCATACAGCATTTTACGCCGAGCAGTTTTCGTGCTCGAAGCGTGTCAGGAGTTAAGGGGTTAAGTGGGAATGGGTGGCATGACCAAACGAAGGTCTATGAGGGTCGCATATTAGGAGGCTTGCATTTTACTTCGGCGTACGGCAGGTAGATACCTCAGCAAGAGTTTATTCAATCGAAAATCACATTGTCATCCAATCCATATCATATTCGTTAAGTCATGATAACGTTCCTGTCCCAGAGCTGTGTTTTGATATGTCAAGTTCAGGGTGAGAACCCCTACATATTGAGCGAATGAAGATTATGGTTATTCATAAGAAACAAGGCCAATTCACTACAGTAAATACATCACCTATGTAACTACTAAACAAGGCAAATGCCTATTGTTTCAACCACGTGCGGCCTCTGACGTTCCGGGTTCCTGGACATGAGCTGACGAACTCCATTGAGACTTTCCTAAATGGCATCCGATTCTGACACCGCTTCTTTGTAACGATAAAAACATCGAGAAGAAGCAACTAAGTTTATTGCTTACCTGTTTCAGGGGATGTGCATAATGTAAGGCATGCAATGCTGTCTCCCTACACCAGCCATCGCCGCCCATGAGCCCGCGGCCTCGGAGCTGATTCGCCAGGAGCCATGGCAGATTATTGAGCTCTAAATGAACATACTCCAGAGTTTTAATGGCAGTAAGTAATGGTCATGCCAAGTTTCGCTTCTTTAGCTTCTGGGGGAGATACCAGGAGAGCTGCGAAGGTACTTGCGCGCCCTGGATACACGCCCCTGGCGGCACAGCCGTCCCCAGAGCACATGGCTGCAACAGAAGCTGTTTGTGGATGGTATGGCGGATCGTCGATGTCTTTGATCGGAGCGTGCGGTGTGGGAAGCTTTGGCCTGGCGGAATCTCGGTGGCGGAAGGATCTCCGTCGGGTAGGCTAGAAGCAGGACAGAACGTGCCTGTTAAGATTCCGGAATTGTACCTGGAAGATCATCCATCAGGGGCTCTTGTCGTGTGTTGAACCTGAATATCAAGTCTCCAGACTGTTGGGTAGGTATCTCAGAGTAACACAGGCGAGATCGAGAGTGGAGTACTTGTCCGTCCAGTCCGGTCCCGGGATGATGTGCCTGCGCTGAGAGAGAGAGCTTATTAGTCGAATTCGAGAGGGCTGGGTCCACGCAATATCTCGTTGCAATTCCGTTCTCGCTTTGCTAGAGAGCTAGGGCTGTCGTCTCTTGTCTCCTGCCGACTGCCTACAGCCAAGCTTGGCTACGAAGCCCCATCTTGCAGGAGTCAGATGACAAGAAAGCCTGTGGGCTTGTGGGTTTGTATCCATCATCTTGCAATTTCTCGCAATGTCAACCGGAGCCTTCGCCCAGCAGGAGGTCAAGAGGTGGGGGATATCAACCTGTAGCAAGGCCGAGATCTGAAAATCGCACTCGACTAGATCTTTAACCGGTTGCAGCGGCTAAAGCTTGCATTGAAGGCATCCATCAGATAAGCCTACCCATAAGGACTCGAAGTGACAGCGAAGCACACGACATGCCCAAAGGATCGACCAATTTGCTTCCACAGCCCTTCTCCCTCCCTTTTCCCCTGAATTTGCCCTGAGCCAACGAGCAAAGCATGTCTGGAGCATGTCTCACTTGAGACACACTTTAACATCGGACTTGTCCCTCAACGTTTAGACTGGGGTATTTGACGAAACGAGGCCGGGTAGGGACCGGAGTTGAGGTTGGAACGTCATGGAACGTGAAGTCGAGGCACGTTGTTAAGAGACGAACGATTATTGGCCGGATAGTGATATGCACATCTCTGGGACACTGACTTTGGCGAGATAAAAGCTGTTTGGCTAAAAGATGGGGTAGATCAGCACCTTCGTTCATTGGGCAATTGAGGTAGGGATGATCAGGGCAAACGGGCGAGAAGCATCTTCCGTGTCTTGATGGTTGTTGTTGATGTAAGATATCAGGGCCGTTTTTAGCGGGATGGGACGTGCCGCCATAGGATAAGCTACAGTAGCTTCTTGGTTCTTGGTAGAGAGATTTGAGATGTGATGGCTGCCCCAAAGCCGTAAAGCGTACAGAATCAATCGAAACGAAACTTTTAAAGCGTGCTCGTCTGTTGCTCCTGAGCTCTACATTTCGTCCGGACTGCCGGGTAGATCAAGGCGAGATAAAAAGAAGTATCGTTTATTCGTGAGCTCTGATATGTAGGGTAGCTCAAGGCCATACCTTTGGATTATGGTCTGCGCCTCGTCGGGTCAAGGGCTCGTCACAATTCCACCGATTGAACGTTGCAGAATTAGTATACATGGCTTCATGCAGAGTATTTGCACCGTTGAACAGCCGCGGTGTGCTTGTCTTTTATTCTAGTCGATGCACATCAGTGGGGGGTATTGTAACAGCAATCACTATCAAACCTAACAGGACGCCCCAAATGCAGTCATACAGTCTAACAGAAGACCGGAGTTTGATAGTGTCGTAGGTATATCGATCCTGCTTTGCAACAAGTATCCCGTCTGGTATTGGGACGGAGTCGATCGATACATTTCCAAGAGGAAGCTATTCCAGGGGAATGAGATCGAGCTCAGACCAGCGGGAGAAGAAAGTAAATTTCCAGCCGAGGGGCGCACGGAAAGGCTTGGGCCATTCAACACAGTTGTTGAGAAAACGTGTCTCGGAGGTTTCATTGTGTCATCAGAAACATGATGAGCTGGCTATGATGATGGTGGTGGTAATGGAATGAAACGTCTAAGCCCGGTCAGCTACTGAGAAAGCTGGACGTGGCAAGGAGACGCCGGTCGAGCCCTCTACTGGCCGCAATGGATATGTTGTGTAATGATAAATATTGTAAGCTTCAGAATGGGTCGACGCTTGAGCCAATCCCGCGCCATGTGTATCCCCAGCCAAAACAACGAGAAACCGCTGCCGAGCACTGAGGTCTCAACTTTCGGAGCGATCTGGGGTCTGCGGGTCTCAAACGATCGGCGAGATTAAAATCGAAAATCGCACTGTCAGCGCAACTGACCTGACCTAAGACATATCAACAACACCATCATGGATGGATTGGAACATGTCATGATCTTCGCGGCAAGTTTATAGCATCACATGACAGTGTTTAAGATTCCACCAAAGGGAGCCCCGCGCTAGGTTTAATCGAGACACCGCTTGATATCTTGCATAGAAGGGAGGGGCGCTGGGGTAAAGGATATGCACGTAAAAACGGGAAGAAGAGTATGATGGCTTGAGGATGGATCGCCTTCCAGCGTGTGAGTTTGTGTGATACAAAACGGAGATGCCCGAAAAAAGATGTTTTGCTCTGAGGTACGGAGCACAGGAGAACCAAATCTACATGCAACATCATGTTTTCAATTGATTGGATACTGGCATCTAGACCTTACGGATATAACATCATGCCTACGAAACAAATACAAATCACAAGGGTCTGAAACCTTACGCAACGCCACTTTTTGAAGCCTCAATTTCGTTAGTTTCTCATAGAAATATCAGAGCGTTCAGTTGCACCGTCATGAATACCTAATTAGGTAACCTAGCATGGCGGCCCGCGTAATTACTGTAGCCTCACCAGGGCGGATGAAATTACTTTAGAGCTAGAAACAAAACTATTCAATCATGCTGCTCAATTGCTAACATGAACTGTCAATTGACCCAAGTTTGGCTTGCTCAGATTGGGCTGAACGTGACCAAAATCACAGAAAGAAAATCCAGGCAATGAATGATCCAAGAATGACTGATCCCTGACCCATAGATAATCCTAGTGAGACTGAAGGCCTGTCCCGCCAAGCGGTCGACAAAATACGTCAACTTCGGGTTTAAAATTTTCGTTAATGGATAGGTGAACTCGTGTAGTAAGTAATGCAAACATTGTTATGTTAATGAGTATAAGCTCTTGTATACGAGTTCTATAAGTAGAACAACTCCATAGAAACTCTCCACTGCGCCCTGCAACAAGTCGAGTCGATTATGAAATGCTCCAACCAGTGCAGTCTTATTTCTTCACCCTTTGCAAGTCCTCCACTATCTGGCATCAATGGCGTAGCGGGTCCTTAATTGAGGATCGCCTAAAGCATCGTGAGTCTGCCCAATTGTTGTTTAACTGGGTCCATCATGATAAGGCCATGCATGGGGGATCTGACGCTTCACGCATATCTGCGGAGCGTCCTATTACAGCGGAACCAACTATGCTAATGCTGTACTCCGTATGCGCATTCCAATTGCTGCGACTGCGACTGCAATTGCAATTGCAACTGTGACCAACTGTAAGTAAAGTGTGGCTTGCTGAAGTAGCCAGTAATTTATGCAGATAATATTGAGCAGTGTAGATCGGATAAGCACATGACTATTAAGTTTTTGATCAAGAGAGGCTTCGATCATCTTTTGACTAAGAGTATGAAATCGGGTATCCGAGTCTAAAGAGTTCTTGTTGACTGATGTACATATGACCTCTGTTTGCTCTATATCATGCAGTTCGATATATCACTTTTTATCGGCACTTTTAGTTCTGATGCTGACATCAAGGTCCCCTAAAATTTCACCATAGAAAAGTCCGGTTATCTCACAATCCATATGGCATTGATTGATAGGGATCAATTAGAGACAAGGCACACCCCCTTCATTCCCTTCTATCAAACATTGCAATTGCCTTATCAGCACCTGGACACTCCCCTCCTCAATGTCTGCCGTGTGCCATCTATTACGTTTGTAGGCAGCTTTGCTTAATCCCTTACTTTAGTCGTCCCAGATAACAAGATCTGAGCCTCTCAACACTACCACTGCCGTCGCTTTCCACCCAACCTTTCTTTCACATGGGCCCTTCAGCCCCAGCCACTATTCATTAATTGAGATCCACTGACGCGACGGCTCGGCTCATCCAGCAGCTTGGAAATGAATTCCTGTGACAAGCACAGACTACTGATTGACTGTGCTCCAGCGATCCCAGCGAGTGTACGGAGTAACAGCCTGTAGGGTTTGCCATTGGATTGCTAGGGCTGATTGTTCCTGGGACGTGATACGCTTGTTTGACAAGCAACCTCTTCGTCCATACGATGCTTGGTAGCACCGTAGTTTATTAGTTGCGGTGTAGACAACCGGGGAAGAATGAAGCCAGGCCGGAACTTGGCCATCAACTCGGGCTCCGGAAGTCAATTGAATACGGCCACTAGGAGCCCGGGACCCCGCGAACTGGCACATGGAAGACTGACGATTGGAAGCATCCGAGTCACTTGCCTTAGGCCGAGGGCATGGACATGGACATGGACATGGGCATAGACATCCATGGATGGGTTTGGATAGATGAAATGGAAGTCACCCCGCCAGAGAGGCAGCCCCAGTCACTGCCAAATCCCGCCATCTGCCGGGCTGAGTGCTGGGTCAGGTACTTGTCAGACAGAAGGGTACTCTTTTCTTAGGGCACCCTCCTCCTGTAATGAGGCGCTTGTCCACTGATGACGCCCGGACCAAATGGTTGCCCCTCCCTTCTCCCTTCTGTACAGTCTCAGATACCACTTTGACTTGCCTTACCGCCCCCCAAAAGGCACCAAAGCCATGCCCCCCTGGCCCCGTATCTACGAATCATTCCTCCACGCCCACATCTTCTCCCATCCTCACAATCTCAACTCACAACTCTCTTCCTTCCTTCTTTTTTCCAACAACCAAGCGTGTCGCGCCAGATGTCCTCCTCCTCATGTCCAGTCCGCATCGTTTGTCCGAAAATGCCGCACACGCCGTACTGGTGAGCGAGCCAGAGCCTGAGCAATGTTCCCGCTCTGCACCTGAAGGCCTGCCAGATTCTTCTGCGACAGGCCGTGGCGCGGAAGCAGGCAAAGATAGCCGTGTCGCTGGCCCTAATCATGATTATGATGTTGATGATACCCATCAAGGGCGCCGTGGCCAGACCCCCGCTGTCGCCCTCGCTGTTGATGTCGCTGTCGCTGTCGCTGATCCTACAGCCGACGACACTACGGCGGATACTCCCACTCCCTCTTCAGTCTCCCCCTTCCTACCGCCACCCTCTGTGGACAAGGTGCCCAACAACGTGCCTGATTCTGTTCCTGATTCTGACTACGTTCCCCGTGGTGATGCCAATGCCAGGGACACTCCAGACCAAGCTGATACCCTCCCTATCGTTGCTGATGCTCTTGATCCTTCCTCTACCTCCAGTAATAAGAAGGCCCGTGGCGCCGGTCCCATACCGAGGCAGTCTGGTCCTTCCCTGCTGACCCAAGCCTTGGCTTCTGCCCGTGGTATCACAAACGTCAAGTCTTCTAAATCCTTCACTTCTCCTACAACTACAACCACGACTACTACTGAGTCTCCTCCTATAACTTCGCCCTCCTCCACATCCTTCATAACTACGTCTGCTACCGATACTCGACAGCCTAACCTAAACAAGACTTCTGCGTCCTCATTGACTACATCGTCTCCAACATCTCCAACTGCACAGTCGAGTGTCTACTCTTTGACAGGGCCACCAACGGCACCAGCGACCCTTTCCTCACAACACGATCGCGACGGCGCCTCCTACCCCTTCGAAACTTCCTACAACAATGTTCCCGCTCAGCGCATCGCTTCTAGGCCGTTGATGAGAGCCACTTCTGAATCTATCAACATGGGGACATCTACAACTGTTACTACGATGACGTCGCTCGCCCCTCGTGAGGTTGCGAGCGTTCCTTCGTCATTCAACCACTCGACTCTTGCCACACTTCGAGGTGCTCTCGACAACCGTGAACCGATGGATTTGCCTCAAGGCAAAACCTCGACATCTTTGGACTTGGAACAACAATCTATCGACTATTACCAACCTCAAACTACAACATACGCTGCTGCCCTTCCCGACCGAGCAGCCCAGACCGAGGCTCTTCGTCCAGGATCAAAGACGCCACCCCCGGTGGCGCGAAAGGAGGATGCTAGAAACATTCAACATAGACCATCGCCGTGGGGAAAGATCCCGCAATGGACGAGCAACGGAGGCGAGAAAACGGAAAAGATTTGGTCGATTGGTTCTGCTGAGGGCCATGAGGAGGATGGTCTCGTCGAAAAGTCTGTAACCGAGGCGATGGCTGGCTTAGAGCACAATGCCCGCAGTCGCAAATCGAGCTACAGTCTACGATTCTTCAAAGAAGGCCTTCCACCAGAGGACAAATTGCGTCGCAAGGATACCAAAAACACTCAAAGAGAGAAACTGCCTCCTCTCGAGGAGGGCCAGCAACACACTTCACGCGAGAAATCCCAAGCAACAACCTCGGACAAAGAGCTTGCTGCCATTCGCACCGGAGAGGAAGACCTGGCAGGTCCATATCTCTTTCCGGATACGTTCGATGAACAATCCGTTCTTACCACATCGCCTAAGGAGGATTACTTTACTATTCCAGTCAATGGCTCGCTCCATTCTGGAGATATGGCGCCGTTTGAAGTGTCGCAGCCGATCGCTCGGGCCAATGACAACCACGAGCAAAATAAATTGGTGGAGAAATTTGAGCCTGTGGGGCCGATTCCGGATACCGATGCTGATTCCGCCCGTGAAGCCGAGTTAGTGGAGGCAAGACGGGATTCGGCCAGCGCCCATTCTGAGGTCGGATCTCGTGATGATGGAGAAGCCGAAGAATCTGGGGAAGAAAAGATCTCATCTGCGGTCTTCCTACCCCACCAAGAGCTGCAAGGGTCCTGTCTAAGTGAGCCGCAGGACCGCATTGCGGCCCGTAGTATCCGAGTGCGGTCTCTATCACAAAGTAATCAACGTCCGTGGCTCGTCAAAGCCGACGAGCCGGAGCCTGAGGCCATTCATGAGAAGGATGAACCGCCTTATGGTATTTCTCCTATGCCTTCCCGTGAGACGCTCACCTTGAAACGCGGTGATCTCATCCCTGAAAAGGGTGAAGAAGGTGCTGTTATTGAGGAAGAAATCACAGTGACAACCGAGTCTCTTAAACAACCACAAATCGTGAGCCATTATGAAGACCAAGCCCATGAAATTCAGCATGACCCTCAGGAGCCCCTTGAGGCCATCGAGCTCATTCCGTATAAACATCAAGTTGGTGGCCACACCACCCTCTGGAGATTTTCTCGAAGGGCTGTCTGTAAGCAACTCAACAATAGGGAAAATGAGTTTTACGAGACTATCGAGAGGTACCACCGTGATCTGCTGCCTTTTCTTCCTCGGTATGTTCCATCGAATTGTGTTTTTACGTTCCTGTCCAATCCGCGCCTTTGTCATTGTTGTGATGTAACGCTAACTTGTGCAGCTACATCGGTGTGCTGAACGTCACCTTCCAAAAGCAGGCTCGTCGAAAGAGTACGTCTAAGAAAGATGAGCATGCAGCAGCCGAACGAAAAAAGGCTCAAGAAAAACTCGAGGCTAGTAGACAGGAATTGGAACAGACCGAGGACCAAGAGACTCCCGAACCCGGGAGACCGACAGGCAGAGTCATCAGCCAATCTCTTGCCAATAGCAATATCCCAGTTCCGACGGTCACATTCGACGACAACAGACACATTCTTCCTAGAAACCTGCTCCAGCCGATGCCCTTGCCAAGAGAATACCGACGACAGAGCATCTCAACGTCCGTTGTGCCGAATCCTTCTGTCCCATCATCTGGAACATCTCACAGACCGCCATTGGACGAGCGACCCAACAGTTGGGGTGCTACTATGGTCAACAAGCGGTTGAGGAACGAGGTTTTCAACGATGCATTCTTGAAGGAACCCGTCACGATCCATCGACACCGTCGGCCACACCAACGATCAATTCCACGATCAACCCTGCAGCGCCTTTTGAGATCAACCAATTCAGACCCTTCCCTAATCAAACGTGATTCACCGTTCGTGAATGGTCATGACGCACCGGCTACTTACCAAACGGAACGCAAGATGATGTCACACCACTATTCACACAGCGATCTCGGACCTGTCATGGATGAGTATGTCCAGTCCGAGCCAGAGCAGGCCCCTGATGAACCGAAGGATGTGACGGGAACTAGTGCACCAGAGCCTGAAACATTGAAGGACAATCCTCTCGCCGCGAAGAAGAAGCGCAGATACTCGGCTGGTGGTCTACGCCGAAAGCCCGAGGATGTTCGAGAGCCCAGAGGCGATTTGAAGTACTTTGAAGAGGCCGACGATGCTGGATACAAGGGCGATAATGAGGACAACCCAAAGAGACACTCTGAAACCCATTCCACTTCAGGTGGCCATCATCATTCGGAGACGAACGGCGCCAATCATCACTCGCAGTACATCCAGCATTTGAAACCCGAACACGAGTTTGCAGTTGATTCAGCAGAGCCAACACCCATTGAGGATATTTCCGAGTTCACCAAGGTTCCTAGGCCAGTTAATCCAAAAGAGGCGAAGTCTCAGAAGGATCGTGTTGAATACTTCTTGCTCCTGGAAGATCTAACATCAGGGATGAAGAGGCCTTGCATGATGGACCTAAAAATGGGTACTCGACAATATGGTGTGGAGGCCACTCCGAAAAAACAGAAGTCGCAAACGGAAAAGTGCCGAAACACAACATCAGCCGAGCTAGGAGTCCGAATCTGCGGGCTGCAAGTATGGAATGTTGAGAAGGAGACCTACGACTTTCAGGATAAGTACTATGGCCGAAAGCTGAAAGCTGGCGATGAGTTTCAGGGTGCATTGACAAAGTTCCTGTACAATGGCGTCGATCTACATAGTATTCTACGACATATCCCAGTCGTGCTCAAGAAGCTGGCACAGCTGGAACAGATCGTGAGCAAGTTGGGCGGGTATCGCTTTTACGCAGCAAGCTTGCTCATGTTTTACGACGGAGATACATCTGAGGATGATGACTACGAAACCATGTATGAGTCGACCACCGACTGTGCAACCGATACGGAAGAGACATCGCGGAAGAAGCCGAAAAACAAGAGGGAGATTGATTTCAAGATTGCCGATTTTGCCAACAGTGTCACCCCCTTCGATAAAATTGACGACAAGCCCTGCCCCCCGCAGCATCCTAATCAACCCGACGGTGGATTTCTCAAAGGTCTACGGAGCTTGAGAAGATATTTCCTTCAGATTCAGAGGGACGTAAGGCAGGAGTTGGGGCTTGATCCATATGGGCGATTCTCGAACCATATGGACTATGCTGGGGATCTTGATTCCGAGAATGGGATGGCTAGTCTTTAGATGACGGCGGCGTTGTACGCTTACGACGGAGTGTCTGATACCCATACCTTTTTTTCGCCTTTGGATGGTTTTGCATATTAACGTTTTGCTTCAATGGAGTTAATGGTTTTATTGTTTTGAACTTCTCTTTTTACTGAACAAGGATTTCCAATTGGAACTTCAAGTTTCAACAGAAACTGTCCCTTCTGCGGTATGGAACCGAAACGAAGGCCACGGAGGCAGGAGGAACAGAGTTTCTGTCTTACGACAACATGAATTCATCTGGAAACATATCCTGCATCGGTTATGGCGTACACGGTACCAAGAAGGGGGACTAGAGCTGGAGTTGGAAAAGCTCGATTTTGTCAATTTTCTTATTCACTGGGGCTGATGGACTAAGAGGGAGGAGTAGAGGCGGCTTTGGCCTCGCTAGGGGAAGTGTTCTTTGATTGCTTTATGCGGATCGTTTGGTGTTGGGGATGGGAAATGAAAATCAGACTGATGATGATGTTTTTATTGCAATCTGCTGGGACCTGACGGCAGTGGGACGGGCATATCCTGGTGGTATAGGCAAGACAACTCTTAGACGTTAGAAAAAAATGCAAACTAAACGGCCGTTAGTCTAATGAGTCTGTTTGTGTACTTGCTGTGCCTTATTAATCAGACGTGATGTTCTTGCCTTATACTATGACTGACCGCCAGTGAGATATTGCTTACTTGGACAAAGATACCAAGTATCGTGTAATTTACCCCTCCCTGCTCAATCTAAGGAGTGTGGTTGGACGCTCCACTGTCTCGACATCAGTGATATCTGATATCTATTTATATCCGCTTTCGAGTAACCCATCCCCATCAACATCGCATCTTCAACATGGGCGCCATTATATCGACAGTTCAGTCAGTAACCTCGACCATTTCGGCTGGTCTCAAGACCTTAGCATCGCTTCACAGTGAATTCTCATCTCTCTTGACCCGCGCTGCGTCAGCGCCAGGATTTCCTGTTCCAGAGCCTACGCAATCATACTGGCTCGATGATCCACCCTTCCCTGCGCTATGTGATATCCAAGACGGTGATCTACCACAGGAGGCAGATGTGGTCATAATCGGTAGTGGGATCACAGGAGCATCTGTAGCTAAATCTCTCCTTGAACTCTCTGAGTCTAAGCTGCGAGTTGTGGTCTGCGAAGCAAGACAGCTATGCAGCGGCGCAACGGGTAGGAATGGCGGACATATCAAGAGTGCGCCATATGAGGAGTTTGCTATATTTCGTCCTAAACTGGGAGCCGAGGAAACTAGGAAGGTGACTCGGTTCAAGAGAAGGCATTTGGAGATGATGAAACAACTTGGTGAGAGTATTCCACAGGCTGAGGTGAGGGAGGTAGAGACGGTTGACATGTACCTCGAAAAGGAGGACTTTGAGAAAGCAAAGAAGCAGGTTGAAGAGGTAAAGGATTGGATGCCCGAGGAGGCACATAAGATCTGGGAGGGCGAGGAGGCGAGAAAAGAAGTGAGTTATCCTCACATATAGGCGGAAGAGCGAATTACTGACGAATGCAGTTTGGTGTCAATGAGCTTGTCGCTGGCGCAGTATCATACTCTGCTGGTGCACTCTGGCCATACCGTCTTGTCACAGGCGTATGGAACGACCTCCTTGAGAGGTTCTCAGGATTGAGCATCAACACTCACACACCTGTTGAAAGCGTTACTCAGAACTCGGACGCATCCTACACAGTCAAGACATCTCGCGGAGTTATAAAAACGCAGCATGTAGTTCACACTACAAACGCCTATGCAGGTCAGCTTGTTCCTTCGCTTAGAGGGTCTCTCGCTGGTGCCCTTGCACACATGAGCGCTCAACGACCCGGCGCATCGTTCCCATCTTCACACGGGAACCGCTCTTGGTCTGTTGTTTATGCACCGGGCTTCGATTATATTACGCAAAGACCAGATGGGCCGGATGGGACGCCGGGAGATTTGATGATTGGAGGAGGCTTCTTCAGGAGTCGACGCGAAGGCCTCGATCAGATCGGACTATGGGATGATAGCCAAACCCATGCTCTACCCCTGATGCATATCCGCGGCGTCATGCCAGCTGTCTTTGAACCACAGTGGGGAGAGGGCAGCAAGCTTGTCAAGTCCTGGACAGGAATCCTAGGCTTCACAGGAGATCTCATGCCCCTTGTTGGGCGAGTTCCTGGGTCTCGAGTGCAAAAAGACTCAGGGGAGTGGATGGCGGCAGGATTTTGCGGCGAAGGAATGGTTTGGGCCTGGCTTTGCGGAACGGCATTGGCAGTCATGGTGCTTAGTAAAGAAGGAGAAGATTTGGCAGAGGGTGTTGGAAGGCCTGGAGGGAGGTTGGATGAGTGGTTTCCAAAGGATCTATTGAGCGTTGATAAGAAGAGGTTGAGGAAGGCCGAGATAGCGAACTTGGCGGACTTCTTCGAGTAGGTACTCTAGTTTGGTGGTGTATAGTCAACTTATATAAATGTTAGGAAGTGTTAGTTTTATTGATATCTGGGATTACCGCATGCAGTGCGAGGAATAAATAGTATGTGGTGGTCAAGTGTTGGCAGCTGTCTGCCAGTTGCAGCGGCACCACCACACTTTTTCATCCCAAGTAGCGAACCCGATATAAAATCCCCTTTTTCTCTCATCACCGCGTTCCCTTTCTTCTCTCTCCACATTCTAACGATCTTTCTTTTCTTAACACTCTCATTTAACCTCTTAATCAAAAGTTGCTGCTGCTTCTCCCCCTTTTGACTACCCAACTGTTTAGCATATGTTTCTTTTCTTTTTTTCTTCTTCTTCTTCTCGTTTTAATGTCATTTCTCAGCATGATGCCCGGAGAGCGCATCGAATCATGGCGTCAGCGCGTCCCAAGTCGTCTCGAGCGTCGAGATCCCTTTGAGGGTGACGGTTTTGATGAACGCCCTGCTACACGTCTCGTACGTCCTTCTCACCAAGTTTTACAATTTAAAGCTGATCATCTTCTGGCAGACTTTTCGTGACCCTTCTCCCCCTCCAGAGCGTCCTCGCACGCGTGTAAGCTTCCTCCGTGCTGCTACCCCTCTATTTGGACGCTCATCTACTCCCTCGGAGCAAACTGCTTCAAGCACAATGGAACGACGTGCTAAGGGGAAACGCAAGACTCTACTCAACTTGCTGAGTCGTAAACGGAAGCGAAGAGAACAGGAAGTCGAAGTTCCACGGGAACCTGTTCATTTGAACTTTCTGTTCGTTGGGAGTAAAGAGGCTGGACAGACATCCTTGCTATTGTGGGTTGTGCAAAGAAGGACTGATGTACCTGCTGACTGTGTATAGCCGCTCTCGCTACGGTTACTTTCCTGATGTAAGTTGGACACCGTTCCTCATAACGAAGGCTGCTGACGTGTGATAGTCCAATGGCTTCTCCTGTCCTCTGTATGAGACCTACGTCAACGACCGCATCTACCATGGTCAGCCTGTTCGCATGGAGATGTAGGACACCTCTGGCGTACCAGACCTGAACACCGTTGAGAATTTGACCTACATCGAATGGGATGCTGTGTTTCTCTGTTTCGACATCGCGCATAAAATATCCATGTACACAATCATCCAATGGGTAAGTCCAAGCACTTTCATGATGAAGCAAGGCTGATTGTAGCAGTGGCATCATGCTTCTGACCAAGGATTCGCCAAGTCTGAGACATTTGAGCCGCTCTTGTACCTCGTCGGCCTCAAGAAGGATCTGCGCGATCAATGCTTTTTGGAAGACCATCAATCTAGCTCTGACAATTCGTCATCCGGTCTGTTGGCGTATCCCACTTGCTGTGTCTGCCCCTCCGAGGTAAGCCCCTGATGCTAATAGCACCATACTCTGAGCCTTCAGCGATACTCTCTGACTCTTTTTGTAGGCAATGTGGCAAGCGCAGCGAATTGGCGCGCATGAATACGTCGAGTGTTCGGCTGCTACTGGCGAAGGAATGAAAGAGGTCATCGATAACTCTGCAAGAGAGGCTATGAGAAGAGTTGTCGGAGGAGCATGCTCTGAAGATGAGCCTGTTGCCGCCAAGAAAAGACGCAAGTTCTTTTGAAAATGTGAAGAGTGTATGGCTGTGGTTAGGACGTCGAAAATGGTTTGATCTCTTCTCGAAAGGTTGGGAAAGGCCATGGTTGAAGATACCAGGCGATCATACGCGAAATGGAAAGCGCTGCTTCAAGATACTGAAATATTCCTGTTAAAGATCTGAGGGTTAGAGCAAAAGTTATCAAGTCTGTGGTTATTGCTGAAATAAGATTGTGTCGATAGAGTTAATGATGATGAGAGCTTGATACTTGATCCAGGGTAGTCCAGTTGAATGAAGCGAATAGGGAGGTATAAGAACGACGCCAGTATGTTAAAAACTACTTACTGAGCACATGCACACAGGAAAGTATAAATGTTGGAAATTATTGAAGTATGTTCTGATTGATACGTCTGATTTGTCGTGTCCCTTTCCTTTGTTTTAACCTAAATTCAACTCGTGTTACGTGAGTCGTCCTGCTACTTACATCAAGCAGCTAATGTGGCCTGGCAGTGTGCACCGCAAAAATCCACTTTCAACTCCATTCACTCCCATTAACTGCAAGCTCCCGAGCACAACAGTCAGTGCCGCTGCAAGTTTCCCTACAATCAATTCCTTTCATTTTTCTCCTCCTTCAACACGGACACACCTTAATCGCATATCTTGGAAGGCATAAACTCTTTTTGCATTATGCCTTAGCTTTGATCGTTTCAAAACCTCACTTCACGCTTGCTTTTGAAGAACCACTTGTCCTGACCAACACCCGGCTTTGTATAAGTGCACGTTGCAACAAATCAGAAACTCTTCACTGCAGTCATGGTGGCCACGGCCGTTTTGGCTCTGATGCCTGGCGCAGGCTTCGTTTTTGCTACAATGGCTTGGGGAGTCTATCACAAGTCAGCTTTGGTCGCCCTCACCTATTTGCTCATCGCCATCTGCTTCTCAATCTTCCTCACTGTAAGCGAAGCCCTCCAATTATCGAACGCACTTCTAATGTGTAAAACCAGGCTCGCCATATTCAGCTTGTCCAGCGTCGTCGCAGCACCAAAATCAGTAGGCAAGCGTCTCTCAACCGGCGACGCAGCCCTGTGGATTACAACCTCTTTGTGCTCGGCTCTGGTGGGCATACCAAGGAGATGCTCATGATGATGGACGATGGATTCTGCAACTTTGATAATTTCCACCGCCGCTACCTCATCTCTTCCGGCGATACCATGTCCGCGAACCATCTCGCCGACTACGAAGCTGAGCTGGAGGTCTTCTGCGCTGCGGAGGGCAAGGAGTCCGGAACCCACGACACCTTCACCGTCGCTCGGGCACGCCGCGTTCACCAATCTATTCTGACCACTCCATTTACGGCGCTTCTCAGTCTGCTTGACATAGCTCCCGCTCTACTCACCCCGCCGGCAAGTGAAGCTGGTGCGAAACTAAAGTATCCCACTTGCATTTACTCCAATGGACCTGCTACCGGATTCTTTGTTGGCCTAACTGCCCACCTGCTCAAGATGCTGTACTATGTCCCCGAGACCTCAATGCAGTTCATTTACATCGAATCGTGGGCACGTATCACAACTCTGAGCCTCACCGGAAAGTTGTTCTACTATACGGGTATCGCTGATGTCTTGGTACAGCATGAGGAAGTGGCCAAGAAGTATGGTGTCAAGAATTGTGGGGAGATGGTGTTCAATGCTCGACGACCAGCTTGATCCAAACGGCGGGAAGATTAAAAGAAAGAGATCCATTCTAGGATTCGTCTTGGAATATGCGTAATTTTTGCTTCTTGTTACATAGACAATAAAGATTACATGGATTGTGTACATGACGGGTATCATCCGCCGTCCCTGATGTTATTTCAAGGTGACTTTTTGCCCTCTGCAGCCTCTGCTCTGACCTCTGGCTCTGCATCATCTGGGATAGCCTCCGCCTCATCCAGACCAAAGTCCTCAATATCTGAGTTGCGATTCGACTCTTGCCTCTCCGTCTCCTTTCCAGCCCAGAGCTTCCAGTTCTCGAACTCGCGGTCTTCGAGAGTGTGGGCAACGTCGATACGAGTCCTGCCGAAGTAAGCGCCTACATGCTTAGCCTCCTCGACGGCCACTCGTTTCTCGATCTCTTCCTCTTGACGCAGATGGTAAAATTCACGACGTGTCACATCATAAGCCTTGCGCTTTCCAAGCTTCTCATTCTCCATCAACCACATTTGACGCTGCACAACACTGCACTAGGGTTAGCTTGACGATTGTCTGACATGTCGCAATTCAGAGTACTTGCCATTCACCCGATAAAGGAATATTGGGCTGTTTCAAGCCCCTGCTCCAGTCGCAGTGCTGATAATCCTTTCCGTCCGACTCCAGAATAACACGAGGTCTTGCCAGCTCCCAAGGATGGTCTTTGTAGAATGTTGTTCGTAGCGCATCTTCAAGGTATATTATCCTTTGAGGTCGGAAGATGTTCTTGGGCTTGGTAGCTTTGGCGTTGGGAGCTCGGTGTCGGGGGCTCATGTTTCGAACGAGGCTCTCGGATGGGGGAACCTCCTGCATGACCTTAAACCATGGCGGCGTTGGTGTGGTTTTGCTACCGAGGATCTTGTGGTTGAGCTCCTCTGCGACTGTGTGAAGGACCCGTGCGGGTCGGATCTGTCTGCCTCCCATGGCCAATTCTAAGATGGCAATTAGTATTAAGGAGGTCAGGAATCACCATCAAATCGCTGTAGGCTCACAATTTCAATTGGCGCTTTAAACTGGGAGTTACTGTCACGCCGTCCCTAGCTCGAGTCTCGATGTCGTGGTGTTGAAGTGGAAATTTTGGAGATCCATCGGTAAATCTTATCGCCGACAGCGCGGGATGCCGGGGAACCTGCCTGTAGCTTGGGCGCGAATGATAGTGTAGCAAAAAACCATCTCGAAAAAAGGTCCCACTTGCAAGAACAAGCCTCCCGTCTCAACTTGCGCTGCTGTTAGCTCTTCCTGAGAGAGATTGCCGATTTGATTTCTTTCTCAGCGACACTTGTCTTGTTCGAACTATTTTTATAATACTCTTGTCAGAGCCAATTCACTGCTACGGCTACGCAACAGAGGTCGCAGCATCATGAGGAGGAGCTCATGAAAGTCTCTAGTCGATTAGACGGCTCCCTCTGTGCGGTGCTTTCGAACCGACCGACGGCCAGTTTTGGGGTTACTACCGCAAGGAGGAGCCTCTGCAATGTGAAATATGCCAAAAAAGAGACGCAAAGAAAAAAGTTGAACCCGAGCTCGAATTCGTCATGTTCGAGGAGTTCGATATGGCTTCTCTCAACCTTTACGCCCGCCACCGAGGCTCGACGTGCTTTGTCCGTCCCCCGACCCCGACATGCCTCGAAAAATTATAGCACCGCCGCCGCCGCCACCTCGATGCCTCCGATAAACCAAAGGTTTCACACTCAATATGGACATGATCCACGGCACCTCATGGACCTTGTGCCACAAGAAGACGCCGGGACGGTTGAAGAACACCTAGATTTCTATCGGGATCCCTACCGAAGAGGTTATGCTCAGCCGGATGGCCGGGAAGTTCAAGTTTCGGAAAACAGACGGGATGTTGAATATCCAACGACGTACGAACTATTCAAAACTGATGACGAAACGAAAAGATTAGTCGCCAAGTTATGCAATGCCGTCTCATATAAGCTGCGTCATCCATATCGAACAACACTCGAACCGATCTACAACATGTACCTTCAATTGCCCGAACCACGGATGTTGCATCTCACCTGGCAATGGCGGAATAGGCTACTCAAGGTCATGGGCACCCCGCCGAGGCGAAGTTCGGAATCGATGCTGCGTTACTTTACGCTGGTTGCTGATGTCAAAACCGCAGGATTGACGTTAAGACTGGCGCATTGGAACTATGCTCTAGCTTTTGCTACCAAATATTCGGCTCGTGTGACCTCGACTGAGATGGACACTGCCTTAAGGCTGTGGAAGGAGATGGAGCGATCGGCCAACGTCAAAGGAAATGAAGTGACATTCAATATCCTGTTCGATGTGGCTTCCAAAGCGGGCAACTTTGTTCTTGCCGACATGATTTATAAGGAGATGGAGGCCCGTGGATTCGAATTTAACCGATATCACCATGTTAGTCTGATACACTATTTCGGACTGAGGTTGGACTCAAACGGGATTCGAGCTGCTTATAAGGACATGGTTGAGGCTGGTGAGATGATTGACACTGTGGTGCTCAATTGTGTTATATCGGGCCTCCTGCGATGTGGTGAAGAGTCAGCAGCAGAAGTGACTTATGAGAGAATGAAGTCTGGTCATGAGATGGCGCCCAATCTCCCGGATAGGGACTACGGGATGGGTCGGGTCGTTACGAAGGTGTTGATGATGTTCACGAGAATTGGCAGGAAGCATCCCGAGCTTCAGAAGCCGTTGCAGAAGCAAATGCAACTCTCACCAAATCTTCACACCTATAAGCTTTTCGTCGAGCACTACTCAGTCAAGATTGGAGACTTGGCCAAGGTAGCACAATACCTTGACGAGATGAAGTTTCTTAAGATTCCGATTCACGCAACGATCTTTCTATCCCTTTTCAAGGGATTTTATTCCCACGGCGGCTTTACTAGCTCAGAGTGGAGCGAGCAGCGCCTGGAAGGAGTGTTGAAAGCAATGTACCAGGCAAGAGACGAGAGCATTCGAGGCTTTACCATCGACCGATGGCTGGTCATCTGGGCCCTTCGAGCAACCAAGAAGTGCTGCTCTGATGAAACCGTTGTTCAAGTGTATGATGAAATGGCGAAACGCTGGGATATTCCGCTGGACCGACAGCCGTTTATACAGTCCCTGCTCCAAAGCATTCTTGACGGCGCAGATATGAAATCGCCGATGGGTCAATGGGAAGGTCCTTCGTATCGAAGATATAAGAAAGATGGAACGAGATTATGATGTAACAATAAAGTTGTACCACCATGTACTTTAAGATAGAATAATACCCCGGGCTTTAGAGTTCTGTATATCGAAAGATCCGGTTGGCTGGGATTTTTCATGTGCTGAAGCTGACCACGGAGACTGATTTGAATATCACGGTTGACTCATACAATCGTTGGCCGGACAAATGAAATTTCGAATCAAGAGTCGAGAATGACTGATGTCTATTTCGGTTATATACACCGTATTCCACCTCCAGGCTTTCAACCAAACAACAAACGCAATTCGCCAGCGACGAATTTACTGGGTCTTGTAGGACTGGTAGACTGCGCGGCAAGTTAGTATCCGGGTCGAGAATCGGAAGACGTCGGGGGAGAAACCACGCACCAGCAATGCCGAAGGGAGCGAAGAAACCGGTGGCCATGAAGCCCCAGTATCCGACGCCGAACCACTTGCTGTGGGGGTTGAAGGGAAGGTTGCTGTAGGCGCCCTCAGGGTAGTGGTAAGGCGAGGACATGCGAGCGCGGGTGGTCTGGAAACCTCGCTTGGTGACCAGAGAGGTCGTGGTACGGGTGGCGGCGCGAGAGAGCATCTGTGAGAGCGATTAGGGGTCAATTCGGTTCGCGAAAGTTGGTAGCAATATGTCGAGTCGTCCAATTTCTTGACTGGGAACGCACCTTGACGGTTAGGAGTGGAGATTGCGAGATGGAAGCTTGGGTATATGTCAGTGGTGATGGCATCCGAGGTCAGAGATGGTGGTCTGAGGTTTGGAGCAAAACGCTTAGTAGGTCACGTGCACCTGAAAGATTGCTGACAACCACTTCATGGTGGAGCTTGATTGGACCTTTGCATAGAGGTCCGTGACGTCGGTTCTAACCGCTTGGGTTACCGTGCTTAAGCCTTTCACCGCCTGCAGCTTGTTCGCCAGGGGAGTTTTTTCTGCCGCGCAACCCACTTTCCAGACAACCAACTTTTTTAATCGGCCAGGCCCGTGTTCAAAACATTGGGACGATCGATCGATTTGTGTTGGACGGGACGACAAGCTCACGTCTGGGGATTTTTTCAACATACGATTTTTTTCTGTCTTGCGCAGAAGTTGAGGCAGTCTCTTGTTTCTTTCAAAGCGACATTCAAATCATATCTGCTAGCCAGCGTTTTACGATCTTGATCACTTTTCCTCACAGCTAGCGATCGGGTCCCGATTGCGGGTAAAACATCGCCAACATGGATGAGATGTTTGATGTGTTCGAGGGCAAGGTGGAGGCCCCGAGCGCGAGCGAAGACGAGAATGTGTCCCAGAAGAATCGCAAGGGCGACAAGACGAAAAAGAGAAAGGCCAACGCGATAAATGGCGAGAACGGCAACGCGGCAAAGACGGAAGATGTCGACATGGACAAGGGCGACAACACCGAGACGTCCAAGGACGAGGACTCTTCCGACGACGAGTCTTCTTCGGAGAGCGCCAGCCAGCAGGATACCAAGCGGAGGAAGAAGGAGGAGGGTGTTGGTCCCGTCATGACAGATACTTTCGAGACTGCCCAGTCAAGAGAGGTCGCCGCCGCGGCCACCTTCACAGAGCAAGACTCAGCTCTTGTCTTGTCGCATAACATTCAGCATCAGGTTGCCCTGCCTCCGGATCTAGACTACGAATACGTCCCTCTTTCTGAGCACAAGGCCCCCGAGCAGCCGGCGCGAACGTGGAATTTCAAGCTCGATCCCTTCCAGAGTCTTTCCGTTGCGTCGATTGAGCGAGAGGAGAGTGTCCTCGTTTCCGCGCATACTTCTGCCGGAAAGACCGTTGTGGCCGAGTATGCTGTCGCACAGTGTCTCAAGCGTAACCAGAGGGTTATTTACACAAGTCCCATCAAAGCTTTGAGTAACCAAAAGTACCGAGATTTCGAGGCCATTTTCGGAGATGTTGGTCTCATGACTGGAGATGTTACTATCAACCCTACAGCCAGTTGTTTGGTCATGACGACTGAGATTCTGCGATCTATGTTGTATCGAGGTTCCGAGATCATGCGAGAAGTCGCTTGGGTTGTGTTTGACGAGATTCACTACATGCGAGACAAGATAAGAGGTGTCGTCTGGGAGGAGACCATTATCATGCTTCCCGACAAGGTCCGATATGTCTTTCTCTCCGCCACCATCCCCAACGCTTTCCAGTTTGCCGAGTGGATTGCCAAGATCCATCACCAGGCCTGTCACGTCGTCTACACCGATTTCCGACCGACACCTCTTCAGAACTACTTCTTCCCCGCCGGTGGTACTGGCGCTAGACTCATCGTCGATGAGAAGAGCAACTTCAACGAGCAGAACTTCAACAAGGTTATGCAAGAAGTTGAAGAGAGGAAGGGCGCCGACCCCAACGATCCCACCGCTCGACAGAAAGGAAAGGGAAAGAACAAGAAGACTAACAAGGGAGGTGCTGATAACGGATCGGATATTGCCAAGATTATTCGAATGACCATCAAGAAGAAGTTCAACCCCGTTATCGTCTTCAACTTCAGCAAGCGAGAGTGTGAGGACCTAGCCATGAACATTTCTTCGCTCAGCTTCAACGACGATTCTGAGAAGGCCATGGTCCGCAAGGTCTTCAGCAGCGCCATCGAGAGCTTGTCAGAGCAGGACAGGGAACTTCCCCAAATCATCAACTTGCTGCCTCTACTGGAGAGAGGTATTGGCGTGCATCACTCTGGTCTGCTGCCCATTCTCAAGGAAACAATTGAGATTCTCTTCCAAGAGTCTCTCATCAAGGTTCTCTTTGCTACTGAGACTTTCTCCATCGGTCTGAACATGCCTGCCAAGACTGTTGTTTTCACTCAAGTTACAAAGTGGGATGGTGTCAAGAGACGTCCTCTCACCTCATCCGAGTACATTCAGATGGCTGGACGTGCTGGACGTCGTGGTCTCGATGCCCGTGGTATTGTTATCATGATGATTGACGATAAGCTTGAGCCTGATACGGCTAAGGAGATTGTTACTGGACACCAAGATCGACTTAACTCGGCTTTCTACCTCGGCTACAACATGATTCTGAACCTTCTCCGTATCGAAGCCATTTCGCCCGAGTTTATGCTTGAGCGATGTTTCCATCAGTTCCAGAACGCGGCTAGCGTCCCGTCTTTGGAGAAGGAGTTGATGTCATTACAACAGGAGCGCGACAGCACTAGCATTGCCGACGAGTCTACGGTCAAGGATTACTACCAAATTCGACAACAACTCAGCGCTTACACCAAGGATATGCGAACTGTCATCCAGCATCCTAACTACAGCATTTCTTACCTCCAACCAGGCCGCCTGGTTCAAATCTACAACCCCAAGGACGAGAACGAGACTATTACAGGAAACGGTACGGACTTTGGCTGGGGTGTTATTGTCAACCAAACTCCTCGTCGCGCCCCCAAGCTGAACGAGCCTGAGTATATTCCCCAGGAAGCCCACGTCATCGATGTTCTTCTTCCTATCTCAAGGTCAAGTGCCGATTTCTTCCCCGGCCACCCCGCGGAGGAGATGCCTCCTGGCCTCAAGCCCTTCAGCGACGATGATGACATCAAATTTGCAATTGTACCTTGCCTTTTGACTTGCATCAAGGCGATCAGCCAGATCCGACTCTTCCTGCCCAAGGAGGGCTTGAAGTCAGAAGGTGACAAGGAGACGCTGACCAAGTCTCTTATGGAGGTTAAGCGCCGTTTCCCTGATGGTCTGCCTGTTTTGGACCCCATTGAGAACATGGAGATTACAGACGACTCTTTCAAGAAGCTTCTACGAAAGATTGAAGTCCTTGAGTCCCGACTTCTGGCCAACCCCCTGCATCTCTCCCCTCTTCTCCCTTCACTATGGGATCAGTACCACGCCAAGGTCAAGCTCACTGAGAAGGTCAAGGAGACAAAGAAGTCTATTGCCAAGGCCTACAGCATCGCCCAAATGGATGAGCTCAAGTCCCGCAAGCGTGTTCTGCGTCGTCTCGGCTTCATCAACGATGCCGAAGTTGTTCAGCTCAAGGCGCGTGTCGCCTGCGAGATTTCCTCCACCGAAGGCCATGAGCTGGTTCTTTCTGAGCTACTGTTCGACCGGTTCTTCAACGAGCTAAGCCCTGAGATGTGCGCCGCTGTCGTGAGTTGCTTCATCTTTGACGAGAAGGTTGAGACCACTGCGCTGAAGGAGGAGCTGTCAAAGCCCTACCGTGAGATCCAGGCCAAGGCCAGAATCATCGCCAAGGTCAGCCAGGAGTGCAAACTTGATGTCAACGAGGAGGAGTACGCGCAGAAGCTCAAGTGGCAGCTGATGGAGACGGTCTACGCATGGGCTCACGGACGTCCCTTTATTGAGATTTGGTAAGTTACAAACCCACTATTTCAAGAAAGTCATCACTAACAAGCCGCAGTAAAATGACAAAGGTCTATGAAGGTTCATTGATCCGTCTCTTCCGTCGTCTGGAAGAACTCCTGCGACAGTTGGGACAGGCCGCTAACGTCATGGGCAACGAGGAGTTGACCAAGAAGTTCGAGGAGAGTCTGTCCAAGATCCGCAGGGACATTGTGGCCGCCCAGAGTCTGTACCTATAAAGCCTTTCTTGCCACAAAGCTACACTGCCATGAGCAGTCCACCAAAAGGGGGAAGTTATGTAATTTTTGCTATACCATTACTGGCTAGGGAGTTTGGCGCGTCGGGAAAAGATGTAGTATCCTGTGATCGGGTGTCAAGTCTCGGTCTCTACATTGGGTGCAAGTCCGGTAGTCCTGTAATATGATAGAACGCCGCATGTAGAGTGCTGCTTGTAAAAGGCATAACGCCGATATCCCATCCTTACTCCTGTTTCTCCATGTCTAGTCCCAAAGAGATGGAAGCCCATAAGAGGCAATCAACCATGCTAACAGGGGAGTGACAACAAATTTCCACGGGGTTTCATAAGGCCCGTCCTAAGGCCTGTCGTAAGGCATATCCTAAGGCCTGTCTCCCGATAATTCCATGATAAAGCCAACACAGAGGCTGAAGACAGCACCAAACCCGACAAAAATCTGCCATCGCTGATTCCAGATCCCCTCCTGGCGCATCAGCCAAGTCAGACTTCCCAGGGGAAAGAAGAAGCCGACCATCATGGCCTTGAACAAGGTGTCCAACACAGATGCCATGCCTGCGTTTTCGTCCTCCAAAGGATTGGACCCGGATGGGATGCCATCGGCGTTATTATCAATCCATGCATCTTCCATGTTACGCAATGTATCAGGTGAGGGTAAAGCGTCTGGCGTATAGCGTGCTGTGTGTATGGAGGTAAACTGTGTTCTGAGTGTTGCGACCTCAGAAGATGTGAACCCGGACTGTAACAATCGATCAAACCCTCTTGGGCGCGGTCTTGTGGATGATGCAGGCTGGGAACCATTGCCGACCACATCTTTGGGCGGTTCAGACGCCTCTTCTTCTTCCTTCTCCAACTCCTCGCTTGTTAACTCATCTCCGATAGAGCAATTCACATAGACCCGCGAGATGTTTGCGCCCTCAACAGCTTTGCCTTTCCCCTTGGGATCATCATTGTCACGCGGTGGTGGGGGATGTGGCTTGAGAACAGCGCTCAGTGCTGAAGCATCCGGAAGCAGACGACCCTGATGAATGAGACGCAGTCGGCTACGCGACCTTAATCGAGTGCGTAGAATATGCTTGAGGGCAAGAACAGTGGTTGTCCGGGGCGATGAGATGTCAAGCTCGACATCTGGTTGAGATATTGAGAAGCGGATGGTGAGATGGAGGGGAGGATGAAGTGGTTGTGAAGATGAAGGTTGAGAAGTCATGATGGCAGCATTCTTTGTGCAGATAAAGAACTAGAAACAATCAAACTATGGGAGATAATGAATGAGAGAACAAAGTTTGCTGTAGTAATAAAGCGGTTGATTCTGCAGAATGCTGTGACATGTAAATGTAAAGATGAAGTTAATAGCTGTCGTATTGTCCTATCCTTAGTGACGTGACCTCCACTTGCCGACCTTCTGGAAGGATGCTCGACAGGGTCCTTCAGCACTGCAGGTCCCCACTGCAAGGGCCCATGAGCCTCTAAAAGTCCTACCGCCCGGCAGAAACAAAAGGTGGGCTAAACTTGGAATAAACAACGGGCATCATTCTTGATTTTTTGATGTTCATCAACAACCTACGCACTCTTACTTCGACTTTTTCTACACAGGAGGACAAAACACCGAATATAGTCTTCTTGAAAACGGAAATGGTTGTGACATAATGCCGCGTTTGCGAGGGACTAAATATTTGACCTGCTTTTACTGCGGCAAACGGTCTAATACCAAATATGACGGCATCACACGCCAGTTTCTATGCCTGTCATGCGATGCGACAAATTATCTCGACGAAGTATGAGCATCCTAAATGCTCTCCAGTTCATTTGCTAACATACTATAGAATGGAGAGATTACCGATCCGCCAGTAGCCACCGAGCGTGAAGCTCCTGCAACACAATACGCCGTTCCCCGACACTCACCTCCCTCCTCTCCCAGAGACAGCATGTTCTGTGCGACGTGTCTCAAGAACCAGCGCCTCTTTACTTCATCTCTTGCGCAGTATTTACCCGACGATCCAGACCATCCAGAATATGACGAGCTCGAGCGCAATTACTACCGATATCGAAAGGGGCTAGAGGAACGATATCCTCAAGTTTGTGACGAATGTGCCGAGAGAGTTGATAGCCAGATTCGAAGAGCAGGGTATACAGCCAAGACGGATCACCTCCGGCGGATGATGGAGAAGAGTAGAGGAAGAAAGAGTGGCTCTGAAAAGACTGGTGCTTTGAACTGGGTGGACAGTTTGGGCAAAGGATTGTGGTGGGGAGGATTGGCTATGCAAATGCTTTGGCATCTCAAGGCAGTTACTTTTGCGCTCGAGCATCAAGACGTGGGAATGTATGATCCGGATGACACAACTTGGTCGACGCTGGGTGTAAGTGGACTATCTTGGGCCATGACATTTTTACCGCCTGCGGATACTCTGATCAACAGTGCGGTTGTGGCGAGCATTTTATCGGCCTGGTGGAATCCTCAGTTTGTGCAGGTTACTCGCGGCTTTTCGAGACACTTGTTAGGATTTACGCAGTGGTATTCCTTCCAGGTGCTGATTGTCTTCTTTCGCTTTCTATTTCGTCGAGTTCTCGAGATGGATGGTGGCCAGGCAAAGTCGCGGAACGCTCAACTTAGTGCGCACTTGGTTATGTCAGTTGTTATGATCATGGTAAGTTATTCTACAGGAGTTGTGAAATTGTGCTAACAGTTCAGATATACTCGTCCGCCAAAAGATCTATCAAGGTTGATACTGCGCCCCTCTTTGGCCCATCCAACACGACTATTTCGCCAAAGCAGCCTAAAATCACTCGAAAGAAAAGAGAAGAGCCAAAGACATTTTCGGATCTGTTGAACGAAGCCTTGGACTCTCCTACGCTGGCACCCCAGACCGATTGCTTTACTCAACCTGTCCCTAAGTCGTTATCACCACAACCATTCTTAGCCAGTAATCCCACAAGAATCCCAGGGAGCCCTGGTGCCCGGTTCAGCGGTCTGAACATCACTCAACAGAAGACTCCACAGAAGACCCAGGAAATTGGTTATTCAGACGAGATGGATTGGACACCAACTGGGTCTCAATCTCAGCCCCAGTCACAATACCGAGCTTTCCAAGATTCGCCTATCTCGAATGCACCAAGGAGACCTTTCGGTCAGGCGCCTGTGAGTACAGAACAAAGCCCCTTTTGGTACAAAGTCCCTGCTGCACCCACGAACCCATCGCAGCGTTTGCGAAACCCACCCAACGCGCCTATTCTGAGAAGTAAGCCAGTAGAGCAGGAGAGTATTTTCTTCCGAGGCGCTGCTAAGAAGAGAGATGGGGACGGAAGTGACGAGCGCGAGGTTGCTTTCAAGCCGCCTAGTTTCTTCGCGCCTCAAGAGAGTAATGATGACGCCAACGGTCTGGCAGACCTTTTGAGCCAAAGCTTTACCCTGGGCCAAGAGCATGATTCACCAGTTAAGCCTTCAGGAGGCCGCTCATCAGGATGGACATCTAGGAGTCATGCGTCCTCTAGCTCACCCCAAACAAGGAGTCTTGGCGTGGAATTTGTAACCTTGGCTGTATTATTAGTCCTATGGGGTCTTACTGCTGCGTTTGACATGCCCTTTGGCCGGGAAGTTCAGCTAGCTTTGCTCTCTGCAGCGGGCACCATCGCCTTGCGAGTGACTGGCGATAAAAGTCGAGAAAGGAAGCATGAACAAGCCCCTACTGCAGCCATATACATCAGCTCCGCGTTGAGCGTGCTCGAGTTGGTGGCAATTTGCGGTCTTGGATGGGAGGTCTGGCAGGAGAACGCAAATGCTGGCAAGTACGGCATTGGGGTCTTAACAGCCATGATTGGGCATCAAGTTTGGAGTAGTACTTTTTGAGTTTTGTGCATGGGCAACTAGACGGGCTGGGCAATGTTGTTTAACGATATATCATACAGGCGTTGGATGAGCAATGAAGAGTTGTATGATCATGATAACTAGCTTGGATAGAAAGAAGCATACGAGATAGATGAATCTATTCTAGGCATACGTATATGCTTTTTACATGTCATGATGACTTACAGTCCCGTGCCAAAGTTCCGGTAACAAGCTGACTAGAAATGTGTGGAATAGTATGGATCTATAAAAGATATACCAATTAGAGTATTTAATTTATAAAACTATCCTAAGTTTATAAAGAAATATACACTCATCCTAATAATATATAAGATAATATAAATTGTAATAAAATCTTCTATTTTTACCCAATCTTGTATAATGTTAGGTAAATTTTAGAAAAGAGGTTGTCTGAACCTTTGCACGGAGCTGTGGTATTTGCCTGAATTTTTCTCAGTATGGAATTGAATGGCGATAAATTCACTGTCGCTTTGGTAACAGAGCTGCTCACCCGATCCGGTCTTTTATCTAATCATGATTCATTCCTTTGCCTGTATCAAACTTAGTTGCGCAAATGCTGCAGGGTAATCGCCTGAGCTATTCAAAAAGTCCATACGGAGTGCACATCGATGAACGGGATGATATATAGCTATATCGTCTAACGAGGCTTGTTGACCTTGTGTTTTGTCTGTCTATGTTTAAATTGTGCCTCCCTCTGTCCAGCGCTCACTTTTCCCTACCCAAGCCCGGAAATGATAGATACACTGGATCTAGTGGGCGAATCTAAAATCCATTCGCTGCTGACCCTCATCTGTAGTGTTGAGAAGATAATCCTGCTGCTGCTCCTTAGTCAAAGTATTCCATCTCTCGTCGCGGACCTTGTTTCGCCAGAGATAGAACCCCTTGACCAAGTAAAACAGAACAATGTTGGCACATGTAATACCAAGAATGACTCTGTTACCACGGCGATACAGAGGCTGGTCATCTTCACGGAAGATATTGGACGCAGCAATGTTACCCGTCTGCACAAACATGTTGTACAGAGCCGCACTGATAGCTCTCGTGCGCACACTGTTGCTATTCTTGGCATTCCAGCCGACTAGAATAGCATGACAGTATGGGTAGCTAAGAAGACCTGTGATGAGAGCATATCGAACCCAGGGGGATATGTCGCCAGGAAGGACAACGAGGGCAAGAACCCAAGGGAAGATCCAGATGTTGGAGATTGATGATAGCATTCCTCGTTCTTTGACTCGCTCTGAGAGCCAGGTGATGATGAGTAAGTTGACGGCGTAGAGGAATTGGGAGGGAATTGCGAGAAGGTTGGCTTGGAAGACGGAGAACCCGATTTGGCGAAGGATAAAAGAGAGGTAAGTGTTGAAGGGGGAAGGAGGAATATAGACCATGAGACCGATGATGTACAATGGCCACTGTTCCCAGTCCTTGATAGCCTTCCAGAGCTTGGAGAGGTTGACGGCTTCTCTGTTGATGTTGTTAGATGACAATATGGACTATCGTAGGGTTTGTGATGCAGTTTAACATACCGATTGTTCATATCTCCCTTGCTCGGATCATCACGAAGCAGTCGATTCACCATGATATACTCTTCACGCTCATTGAACCATCCATCCTTACCACGGAACCAATTCTTGGTCTGACATGGGCCAGGGGGCATGAGAACCCAAGAGAAGAGGCCGATGATGAACGTTCCAATAGCCTCAATGAGAAACCTGACCGAGTAAGCTTCAGTTCAAACGCAGTGGGTGATAATACTTACAACCATCGCCAGCCACCCCATCCCAAGACACCTCGCATCTGCAGAATGCCTGCTGCAAGAAGAGAACCAACGATGTTGCTGGTGCTAAGCGCAGTCCAGAAAAAGGCCAGTCTGATGGGTAGCTCATTGGACTTGTAGAAGTAAGTGAGCCAAAGCACGATATCCCTGTAACTCGTTAGAGACCATGGCAAAAAGGAATTCAGAAAGCCTTACGGGATGAATCCACCCATCAAAAGACCGAGAAGAGCCTTGATGGCGAAGTAAGCATTTCGGCTATGCAGTGCAGCCTGAGAACCTGCGACTAGAGACCAGCAGCAAATGAGAAAAGGAATCCATCGATCAGCACCGAGCTTCTTGCTGACCAACCCGCTGGGCAACTCAGCAGAAAGAAACGAAACGAGAAAGATCTAAGATTGTTTAGTTGATGTAGCAGGAACCATAGAGGTTGACTGACGGTTTGGCCATAGTTGAAGTCGTTTGTAGTCATGCCGATTTCTGGTAACTGTAAGAAACATTAGTATATATACCTTCATGATATATGTAAGAGATAAACATACCATGTTGTCGGAGATAGCACGGTTGATGTTACGCCGGTGGAAGTCCAGGGAGAGGAACATGACCCATGCCCAAAGACAGATGCGGAAGTCGATCTATGGGATCAAGACTTATGTTAACAAATAGTGTTCTCTAAGTTGTCGCATGGAACGTGGTGAGTTCTCAGTAATAGAGTAAATACCTTTCTAACAAGCTTCTTCTCTTCCTGGGCCGTCCAGGTACAGTTTGGATCAAACCGGTGACGATTCTCATACTTTGCATTTTCGTATACCTTGCGCCAACGATCGGCTATTTCAGGATCCGTAAAAGGGTGTTCGATTGATGAGGAACCAGACTCATCACTGCTGTCGTTTTCTCGGACATCGGCCTTGTTGATGGCCTTGCTAGAATCTTCACTAGCTGCCATTATTAAGGGTGTGCAGGGGCACTAATAGCAGTTCGGGAAAAGTGATCAGTTCCTCGGAGAAGGGAAAACAGAGAGATGGCCGCGGAGATGTTAAAAGATGACCTGATCTGTGGCTGCTGGCTTGTCTTATAAAGGGTCGACATCTCCCCATGACCGGGACTGTGAACTAGACATAGATTCAATACTCGGCATCATCTTGATACGACCCTAGCTAGTCCCTGAATAAGGTATCAGGTTGGGGGTTATCGATGTCGCGATGGGCTCTAGAGATCACCTCAGGGCTCGGCGAACGTGGGTTCTCTGGGCATGCCTGGTCGTTTCAGTATTCGACGACGCCTCCGAGAGCAGCAAACAACACCACACCCCGCGCCAACAGCCGGGCCATGTGCATTGGATGGAACCTGTTAGTCCAGGGACTCTGAATTTTCGAGGTTCATGAGATGGTCGATGCTCTAAGTGAGCAACCAATAACGACCCTTCGATAAGGCTGCGTAAGTCAAAATCGAGCAAGATCTCTTACGTTTGCAATTGGTACAGAGTATGAGGTGCTTCATGCTAACATGATAGCGTACCATCAACATTTAAGCTATGTGACCAATCTCATAGCTGTCGAAATGGCGTGCTGGCCATGAACACCAACCAGGCCAATCGCTGAGAGAACCGACCGAGGCCCGTGAAACAAGGTTGCTTTCTGGCGCATTCTCGGACTTGGCTAAAATCGGCAGTGAAGTTGTAGATACGAGTTCCGGGGTTCTAGAGCGTGCAGGGGAAGTAGTCGAAATTGAGTTGAACTGGCGTAGAAAACTTTATGGTACGAACTATTTCCAAGTAAGCATAGATTCTCCGCAGATAACAACTCTCGAATATTTAACCTGCTACCAGATCTGAAGATTCAGCAGTAACTTAGGGCAAATTGTTTCAAACCGGAGTCTTCAAACAATTCAGAAATATAGCTGCTTTGTCTTGATGATCAAATTGATTATCGTATTGCGTGACCCATCCCTAGGAATTGCGACAACCTCAGGGTAACCTTTACCCCAACATCCAACATTGCGCAATTATGTACTATGACGCGGTACTAATATGATCATACATTGACAATTGTCTCTTCATTGTGATGCTACCTCTTTATCTCCGACATTGCGTGATCTGACTTCATTCTGTGTGTGTCCCATTGATCACCGCAATAGGACCGCAATAGGTACAGCACTTAGCCAAGGCCGAAGTCGGTTCGCCGAATCAGTGGTCAATGATCTTTTTGCATCATGCTGAATATGATATTACGATTCTATCTTCCCCCGCAGTTTGAGTGTAATAATGCTTGGTCAATGGATGAGTGAGCAACATATATAAAGGCTACATCTCGCGACTAGACCACCCATTTGATCTTGGGAACATCGAAGGAACAAGACAACCTACACAAATCTTCAAAATGGCACCCTCAGCTGTTGAAACCGTGACAGGTCTCGCAAACGATGCTAAAAAGGTGACGCTCTACCCCGGTCACGTCGAGGGCGCTTATAAAGAGTTGGCTCCGAATTCATACCGTCGTGAAGACGAGGAAAAGGGAGTAGATGGACATGCTGCTGCAAAGGTAATTCACCCTACTCATCACTATACCCAACTTGTATCTCGTTATTAACCTACCGGCTTGTTAGTATCCCAACTATCTCCCCACATGGAACAAAGACCAAGTCTACCCTCCCCTCGAGCCCTTCGAGCACTACGAACATGGCAAAGATGCCGACCCTAGCTTTCCCAACCTCATCAAATCCGACACAAAGATCTCCCATCTCACTCCCACAATCGGTACTGAGATTGAGGGCGTTCAGCTGAGCAGTCTCTCCGATGCTGGCAAGGACGAGGTCGCCCGCTACGTCGCGGAGCGCAAAGTAGTAGCCTTCCGAAACCAAGACTTTGCCGACCTTCCCATTGCAGAAGCCCTCAAGTTCGGAGGCTACTTCGGGCGTCATCACATTCATCCTACCTCTGGATCTCCTGAGGGTCATCCTGAGATTCATCTTGTCCATCGGAGTGCGGGGGATAAGTCATATGAGGAGTTCTTCAAGTCTCGTGTGAGCTCTGTTGCTTGGCACTCTGATATCACGTACGAGCAGCAGCCTCCCGGGACTACATTTCTCTATGTGCTCGACAGCCCTGAAACTGGCGGTGATACGTTGTTTGCCAATACTGTAGAAGCATACAACCGCCTATCACCGACTTTCCAGAAACTCTTGCATGGTCTCAAGGCTACACACTCTGGTATCGAACAGATCAACGCCAGTGTTAAGAAAGACGGTATCAAACGACGCGAGCCTGTAGTTAACGAACACCCTATTATAAGAACACATCCCGTCACAGGCGAGAAGTCCCTCTACGTCAACCCTCAGTGTGAGTCAAACCGTTCAAGTCCGCAAGAACCATCTTAACACAGTCATTAGTCACACGAAGCATCGTCGGTCTCAAGAAAGAAGAATCCGACGCCATTCTCAACTTCCTTTACGAGCATATTGCATGGGGCGCAGACTTCCACGCTCGCGTCAAGTGGCAGGCAGGGACTGTCGTGGTTTGGGACAACAGGTCAGTTCAGCACACTGCGATTCTTGACTGGCAATCTGGTCAGCGAAGACATCTTGCTCGCATCACGCCCCAGGCTGAGCGACCTTATGAGACGCCATTCGAGGGTTAGGTTTATGATGACATGATAGGGTTGCAATGATATATGAGATATTCTTTTTAAGGGCAGAATTCTGGCCCAGAAGCACTGAATACAACAAACTTGGAAAATGAGTAATGCTTTCATGCTTAGCGTTATAACTTGGCAATGGCCCGAAATGCTCTTTTGACAGTATTGGCATAGCACCCGTGTCTAAATAATGGTTTAAATACTATGTAACTTGGATATTAGACATAAATGGCTGCAAGTGGGGCCTTGAAGACCTTAAAACATATACTTGGTTAAAGAATACGAAGTTTACTTTAATTTGCAGAAATAATATAAAATAGAAAAGAATTTATTATAGTTTATAGAGTTTATATAAAATGGAAAACAGCTTCGTATAATTTACAAAATTTATTAAGTTTAGATTTAAGGAGGTTATCAGAACATTTGCACGCCCACGATAGCTTGCGAGACAAGTTCTGTCCTACGATGGGGGAACCCGAACTTCAATTCTGCGTAGCTTACAAACAATAAGCTGTGACCTCTTGTCAACAGGCCTTCTCACAATAATAGTTTTTAACCTCTTTCTTCTTCCTGTGATGTTGGTCATACTCTTCCTCGTGCTGAAATGGCGTGAGCTTGCAAATTCGGGTTGAATAACCTGGAGCTGATTTGAAAACCGCATCAATCAATTCCATACTGAGACAAATCGGTCGACAGATGATGGTCAGTATGACAATTTCCAACCAATGAGGGGAGTATCCAGGACTGTATTTCAACCCGCCTATATATACACTAAATTGCCATCTATTCTCAACAAACCCCCCTCACTACAGCAGGTTACAACCTGTTCATCTTCCGTAGTATAGTGGTCAGTATGCAAGCTTGTCACGCTTGAGACCCGGGTTCAATTCCCGGCGGGAGAGATCCAGCCATCTGCGAAACGCAGATTATTCTTTTTGCAAATATTCCATCTAACCTGAATTGATTTTTCTTTCTATTTTTGCAGCCGAGTGATCAAGAATATGTTTAGTAACAAGTACACACTCCCCATGATTATGCTATAAAAACAGGAGCAATCACTAAATGCCGGGTATCGACGAGTAGTATAAATAACGAAATCCCCCCTTCTTCTCCAGACCACCCTCCAAAAAGAAACCGCATAGATACTTCTAACATAAGGGTTTCCTGTCGTTGCTGAGCCTTCGTCTCATCATCCAACTGCTGCAATAACCATGACCCGCCAAGCAACGACGCATCCGTACAAAATTCTCCATATCATGACATGTTAAAGCGTCTCCATTATCGTGCAAAAACCTTGACCACGCCGTCGCCGCCAGCGCTGACGACCCATTTACCGTCCTGACTCCAAACGCAGGCACAGATTCCTTCGCCGCGCATTACGCGGTGACTTGTCACTTCTTGTGTACAAGTCCTCTTCTCGAGACTCCAGAAGCGGAGCGAGGCATCGTGACCAGCGCTAACGAGTTCACGGCCATCGGGGCTCAGGGAAAGGCTCGAGATGGAGTCTGGGTGAGCAATCATGTTATATGTACATTGGCCTGCATGGTTATCAGTGGTTGATTCTCGACTTTGTGAACTCGACTTACCGCTGTTGGCATCGAAGAACCGGATGAAGCGGTCTTCGTGGCCTGAAATGATAGTTCCCTCAACGCCCGAACCAGCCATTGATCGTCCACCACCAGTAGCGCCCGTGCTGGCATCTTCCTCGCTGATGTTACCGCTGTGGTTCTGGCTAGCCTGGTCAAGACCCATTGTCGTAGCCACAACAGCGTTGACACTGGTTTTGATCGTTTCGTCGTACGTCTCTAGACTATCCATGTTGCCGATCTGTTCGCCGGTTCGGGTATCATAAACAAGAATGGCAGCATCAGAGTACGATACAACAAACTGTTCGCCGGTGGTGCCCAGAGGAGAGATACATGTCGGGCTAGCTGTAGAACCATCTGATCTCGCGATGTTATGTACAAGAGTGTGGTTGAAAGGCGAATTGGAGGCGATAGATGGTTGGGGAGTGCTGGCGAAGCCGCTACCGGAACTCATAGAATTACCACGAACTCTGCCTCCACGGCCAGTCATGGCTCGGTTTGTTCCAGGTTGTGGAGAGCTCAATTGAGGTGGCGCGCTCACTGACCACAGGCGAACACTGCCATCTGCAGCGCCCGAAACGACCAAGATACGATCCGCATTACCATAAGAACTTGAGTTACCAAAGATTGAGCCAAGAGTTGCAGGGAGAACACAAATAGCCCAGACAGCGTCTGTGTGGCCCTCGAGAGTCGCCTTGGGGTCAACCCTGCCGCGCTCCCAGACCCGAACAGTCGCATCTTGGCCACCAGAAAATATCCAGCCGTCACCCTGTGCGCGACCACCGGTCGAGAAGTTTGGCGAAGGAGACCATGATGTCAAGCAAAGAATTGCCCCTGAATGACCGCGGTGCGTAAAGTTGGCTGTAACATCGAGGTCTGACGCTGTGTGCGCCGAACCTCCTGGATGGCCATCTAATCTGGGAATGTGGAAACGCTTGATCATACCATCGTCTCCACCAGTGCAGATTTCTGGCTCACCTGGGCTACCGCCGCCAGAGAATATGATGGTTCGGACAGTGTCGAGATGACCCCGCAGACCAAATCTTAGCTTGAAGTTACCACTCTCCGCTTTTTGGGCAGCCAGGGCTAGCTCATGATCGGCGCTTCGTCTCCTAGACATGGAACCTTTTCTTCGGTGGGAGCTGTCTCGTCGACCTGGTGATTTGGGGAGATTGTCAGCGGCGGGAAACGCATCGGTATCGGGTCGGTTAGGTTGAGACTGATTGGGCTGGGAGTTTCCAGGTTCGGGGAACGTACCCTCGGGAAACTCCCATCCATCAGTTTCAGGCTGCTGTTTCTCCCTAAGTTCAACAGGATCCTCCATTCCACCTAAAACTTCCGCGGCATGGTTTGCTGGAGTTACGTGCTCCTCAACCGGCCGAGAGGTAACGGATACGGGTGCAGGCCAGTCGTTAGAGTTCTGGTACATAATAGGAGGGTGTTCAGCTGAAGACCGCATCATAGGTTGAGGTTGTAGTTCTGACTGCTTTTGAAAGTGCGGCTGTTGGTTCTGTGCGTGAGGAACATGGTTCTGCTGAGCTATTCTTGAGTTCATGTCTTGGGCGTGGTTCTGAGCACCTCTTGTAGGGAGCTGGAACTGTCGCTCCATAGGTTGGGGAGCTGGCATGCCATATGCCTCAACTTCTCGCAGATCTTCCATGATCGGTAGCGGGGGAGACTCTCGTGGCGGTTGCGGGTTTGCGGGGGTAATCATAAGATACATAAATTCGGACTGGCACTGGTCGAGGAAAGACTTCAGATCCTGTCGCTGAGCATCCTCGTCCCCTCGATCAAGCTTCTCATAGTTAACACCATCGACACCTGGAGCAGGCATATCCTCCAATGAAGCTGTCAAAACGTTAGCTCAGCCTGGCCAGCATATAGGGGTTATCACTCACATCTAAGCTTCTCCTGGATCTTGGCTGCCCGATCGTTCTTCGCAGCAGTATCCGCATCAACAGCCTCCTGCCCCTGCAGCTGAGCCGTTTGTTCCTTAACCTTGCGCTCTAGCATAGTAACGTACTTCCTCAGCACGCGCTGGGTGGCATCAGCCCTCCGCGCCTGACCCTCGAGGTTGGCGATACGACCCTTCATCTCCTGCTTCTCAATCTCCCACGAGTTCCTATCGCGCTCATGTCGGTGCCATTCGGTCTGCAGGAAGCGCATGACGCCCTGGAGGGTGTATTCGGTGGCCTGGGGCAGGTTGGAGCCATTGCCCTGCATCATGGGCCCCATCTCCAGGCCGCCCACGCCGTTGCCAGCATTTGGGCCCATCGCGGCGCGCCTCTCTCAATTGGGCGGGTGCATGGAGATTCCAGTCGGTCTGGGAGTGAGAGCGACGTCGGCGAGCAAGTGCCGGTTCGAAGTCGGACGAGCTCGTTGCGTTTGGGATGTGATATGATGTGACGAGGCTAGGCCAGAGGTTGGAACTTGGAAGCTCCTGCGCGCACGATTCAACGAGCCTTGGCACGTGTTGTCGTCTCGGAAGAGGTTCGGTTCTGGGCAAGAAGGACAGATAGTCAAAGTCGCTATATCGTTGTCTGCCTTCTGTTGGTAGCAGGTCGAAAAAATATCGGCTTCAGGTCGTGTGCAGCTAAGAAAGCAAGCTTGCCGGTCCCAGTACTTGGAGGTACGTCTGTTGTGCTGTCCTGTGTGCTGCCCTGTACCTCCACGCTGTTAGTTGGTGCTCTGCTCTCTGTATCGACGCTTTGCCGCTGAGATTTTGGCCAATCAGGGTTGAACAAGCTCGACTTTGCAAATGTTGTGAGGCTGTCAGGCATCAACTCGGTGTACCCCTGGCTAACGGTACAGATAGCCGATATACGGATAGAGCCCGAAACATACAGGGAAGTTTCTCAAGATCGATGTAGAAAAAGCAAACGGTACTGGCAAATAAAAGCTTCCACAGGGAGGTTTCCTTTAATTTCCACGTTAAACTAGGCGCCTAGTTTGACATTGATGAGACTTGTTTCCCCAACTCCAATCTTGGCTACCAGACAAAACCTGAAACATTGACCTCTATTGTTTCCCTCAAAACTCCATCTCCTCGACCTCCATACCGCAATCGACACAAGTCTTAACTGTCATACCGTCCTCATTCTCGACCGTCCTTCCCCACTCGTGCACATGCTTTCCACCACCTATTGTATCTCCAAACTTGTTCGCCCCGGACTTGCTTAGATTGCCAGCCTGTCTGCGGAAAGCATCTGTTCGTGTCTTTTTCTTGAGATCCAGTAGCTTCTCCTTAAACTTGGCCTCCTTGCGAGCTTTCTTTTGTGTTTCACGCTTCTCGTACTCCTCATCTAATGCCTCTGCTGAGCCCCATTTTGTCTTGATTGCGTATTCCTCTACCTGGCATCGGAGGAAGAGCATCATGTCGTGCCAGTGAGACTTGTGGGGGTTTGGTTTGGAGAGATGAGGTAACAGCTCGGGATCTCGTAGCTCCGCTGTTGAGTGTTAGTGATGCATTTTCCCACTCATTTGAAATGACTCACGATCTGTTAGAAGATAATCTTCTTTGCACTCAGTCTTGGTCAACAATGAGTACTTCTCCGGATATTTCTCCTTGCACTTGTTGCAGACACAGAGATGAAAAACCTCCTCCCAAACAAAGTCAATCTCTAAGCTCTTGCAATCCCGGCACTTCTTTCTCGTCTCATCATCGGCGAGCACACTGAGACCCGGCTCAAAAGGCCCTGCCTTTAGTCGCTTCAAGTTCCGTATGAGTTGTAGTCTCTCCCACTCTTGAACACTCATGTGCTTCGGTCTCTGGTCGGTCTCGCCTTGTCCGGGCTTCTTGCCCCCAAGGGCATAATTATTAGGATCGTCCTCCGTCGATAAGAAACCACCTTTCGTATCTGTCATGGTGCTCATGTTGTAATCGACGAACTTTGTGAACTTGCGTGCGGGCCGTAGTGATTCCTCGTCACCTTTCTTGCGTCCATCTCGATTCGTTCCTTTTGGAGATTCTGCTGTCGATATGGCATTGTACGGCCGCTTGCCGTTAGCAGTTTTGGAGACATAAACATCTTCTGTTGGAACGAAACCACCGGAGCTCTTGGGTATGTCGGGTACGGTGCCGGTCGCTCGCTGTTCTGCTTCACGCTGATCTCGAATCGCCTTTGCGCGGAGTCGGTTTTCTTCCTATGCAAAGGTCAGCAACACAAAGAAACTTCTAATTCGACTTCCAAGTTCGACATACTATGCGCTTCGTAACTTCTGGGGTAGGCGGACTAATAACGGGCGCAGGTCTCGTCGCCCTGGGTGGCGTGGATGGTCGCTCCATGACAAAGCGAATGTAGAAGAGGTAAGTGTGTGATTGTTGATGAAAAGACCGAAGGGAATAATCGTAAAGTTTCGCAGCGCACTTATGGAAGTGGACAAAATAAATCGGAAGGTGATATAAAAAGGTCGAGTTGGAAATTTGGCCAAAGTAATTCGATATGACGGCGATATGTGGCGGAGGGGCGGATTGTCGCGATCTAGAAATTTGAATTATGTCACCAATTTACACGAGAAAACGTGATCACAATTCACGCAGAATTTAGCCACAGCAGCAGAGCTGACAATTAGTAACTGTATTTCACTCAGTAGTTTGCGGATTTTGCAGGTTAGATGTTATTTCATTAAATCACTTAAACGTCCCAATAATGTGGGGTTTCCGTCCATCTCAATCTAACAGAAATGCTTTTGCATATCATAACACCTGTATTATAGTACAACCAAGGTCTGTCAACCTTAGGTTACAACGATCCAAACCGATCTTTTTGAGTATGAAATTGTCCTTCCAGAAATTCCAGTTTACTCCTCCTTGGCACCACCACGGCCAGCACGCTCGGCAGCCTCGACGGCCTTCTTGTCGCTCTGGGCGGCACCACCCTGCATGGCGCTCATAAAACCCTGGGGCTGCTTGAAGGGACGCTTGAGCTCGCCGGCGGCGGGGTGTCCAAGAACGTGGATCTTGACCATGTTGTTCTCGAAGGCGCTCTTGAGGGGGATGATGCTCTGGATGAGAAGAGGGTTGGTGTACTTCATGTACACGTGCATGAAGGCCATCATGGCAACACCCATGGCCTGGCTTCGGAAAGCAGTGCGGATCTGCTGGTTGTCGTAGGCGTGGACGGTGGTGGTGACGAGCTTGCCCTCCTCAGTGGAGCCCATGGGGGCGGGCTCGACATACTTGAGGGTTGTAAGATCTGTGAGGTTCATGTTAGCATTAGGCTGGCTTAACCTGCTTCAGAGAATTTATCGTACCCTTCTTCTTGTTGATCTTCAGCTGGGTGTAGAAGTACAGAGCAGCAATGATGACGTTGCTGGCAAGGTAGACAGCGCGAACAATGTTGAGCACAAAAGGATCATCGAAAGGAACGCGCTTCGACACCTGCATCATACCCAGGATGATGATCAGGTTGGTGCTATCACAGAATATGTCAGCATTCTCGTCGCTGTTGATTCCCCTTGGAGTGTTTGCGCCACCAGGGAATTTGCGCGACAAGGTGTCGCGTGAATGATTACTTACATCTGAGGTGAGAGAGCCATCTTGAATTAATGGGTTGGAGAAGCCGGTAAAGATTAAGTGGGAGAAGAAAGGAAAAAGAAAGAGGCGATGCCAAAGTTTGGTTGATGAGGTGCAAAGATTGAAATGCGGGATGGAATGGAATGGAGATGTCTTTGCTGGCCTTTTGGAGAGTGGCCTGTGGCTTTTGCCGCACCCTTAGCCCCCTTTGGCCACTGTGGGGAAGTCGCAAGCAATCGACATGCGACACTCGATTGGTTTATCTTGAGCTTTAGGGGACTTATCTCTCTATCGGTGCACCTAAAAGCACCTGTCGGGCTCCGCTGGAACCCCGATTCCTCCGTCTTCCCAGTGCTTCCATGTGGGATTGGTCTAATCAAACAAATTGCCCGACCTGCCGTCTTGGGACCCGCGTAGAGGCCAGCTCACTTCTGATTTAATGCGCTTAGCTTCTCGGGCTTGAACAGCAGACGTTACTACGAAGTAGTACAGAGATGAGCTTTGTTGAAGCGTGGAAGTTATGGAGCTGTGAAACCACGACTTCTTTGATGGCTATTCTTGGACCATGAACATGCGAAGCGATTTGTCGAGTACCGAGGACGGACCTCAGAACAGCCACCTTATAACCCAGGCTGTTATTGTTCAAGTGAACGATATGTTCTCCCTCGAGAAGTGAACAAAGGGGTTTTGTTGTTCGCAGCTTCTTGTTCAACTCGAGAATATGTCAGTGTTAGATGCTGAAAATGTCTTTGACACGACATGTAGTGAGCCTCTCGACATCAGTACTTATACACAAGATGTTGAGGAAACGAAGATGAGGAACAACGAACTTGGTACTCACGAACCTGACCATCAAGAAGAATCTCCAGCTCCAAATCGATAACCACTAAAAACAGGTTTGTATACCGACACAAATCCTATCATGTCATACTCATCGCAACGATACGATCTTGACGCTGCGGCTGCCAAGAGGCGCTCTCAGTCCTTTTCGCAAAACAATGATCACAGAAAACCTGATTCAAGGTATCGAAATCAGCGTTATACCAGTCGCGACCATGATCACTACTACCGCGCGCCAAGCGTGTCACGCTCACCATCTTACTCAAGAGCAGAACGCCCGTACACGAGCGGCGAAGAACGATCTCAGCCCAGAAAAGAGGATCGTACCAGAACGGAGGAACGTTCCCGTCCAGAGAGACAGAACTCTCGTGCAAAGAGGGAAGAAGTCAAAACATCCCTCAACAGTGGCCGGGCGTCGCAGGCGACCTCCAGAGCTTCAACGTATGGTACTTACATCTTGCCTCTCACATCACAAGGAGTGTATCGAACCGCAGACCCTACAAAATGCAGTTGCAATTGTTGCCCGCATCCGATGAGCATAGCCCACAATCACAATAACCACCGTCGAACCCCTGATATGCGTCACAATGGCACGAAATCCAGGCGCAACACATGCAACTCTGAGGGCAGGTACCTCATTCAGGTAAAGGACAAGTCGACGGGACCGTTGAATCGCGAAAATGGCCCTTCGTATCCGATTTCACTTAATCCACGTACATCATGTGATCGCATTGCATCTTTCTTGGCCCCCGACAAGCGACACGCCAAGGTCATCGTGCATTGGGATGACGGCAGGATGGAGAATCTCGGCAAACAAATTCCAATGGACGAGTTGATACGACATGCTGAGTATCTCGAGGTCAAGGAGGTGAAGCGAGTTCACTGGGCGGCGTGACTCCTATGCACCGGATGTGAAGGTTGTATCAAGCGGATAAACGAGAAGTCATTGGCATGATACGGGGGAGGTAAGTAAGATTGTTTTGTTTGGTAGGTATCGTAAGTCAAAAGTTGATAGAAACATATACGAGGTGATGAAGTCTGAGGCCTGCTTAATTAGTCCCATGATGCAGAGTGATGGGGAGAGTCTAGGAATGACAGCCTCAGCCTCCACAATCTGCCTAAATTCGAACCACCTCCGTTATCCCACCACTGATACAACATGCCGTGCCGTACAAGGCTGATAGAGTGGCCAGTTATCAAGTCAATTCAATTCAATTTAAGTGTTTCTTGTAACTTTAGCCTTTGCCACCCCCTTCAACAGTACCTCAAACAATGACTGGCCGTGCCCTCCTTGAAGACCTTATGCAACCACTTTAAATCGTATTGTAGCGTAGTTTGTAGTTTCATTGTCATCAACTCGAACAATGCCCACTACGATAAAATAAGAAAAAGAGAGAGAGAGGGGGGGAGAGGTCCCGCTAGTCCATGACTCAACTCCCCGTGGGCTGTCTCTGGATTAGCATGACACGATAATATCGTCAAGAGTTGGGTTAATTTATGAGGTTCCAGGGTTCTCTTGTCGGCTCCTGTACCGATTGTGGAGGCTTTTGCCTAAAAGTGCGTTGTTGCCTTAATTACCCCACGTTGCGAACTAGAAAAGTAACTAGCAACCAACAACATATATTCGACGATACGGGTTTATGCTCAGCTTGAGCAACTTCTTTCATCATCAGGCGCAGATCACCCACCGCAAGAACAGGATGCAAGGCACGTCAAACAGCAGGGGCAAATTGTTCCGTGCATGACTTTATCAGGAAGAGGCAGAGTCCGGGACTTAAACGTGGCAATCTCACAAGGCTCAAGAAGTATATCACTTGGGGGCCGTTGTATGCACTGCTACACCATCACACTATCATGATATACCTACGGACTAGAGCATTCATGATATAGGTACCTACGGACTAGAGCATCCATGATATAACACAGCCACACAAATGCTGGACATAGATGTTGTTTCCTTAGGTAGTCTGTGGATATGGTCGAAGGAATGGGCTCCATCCAGACTCCCAGGCACAGGGTGGAGGCGGACCACTCATATCACACCAAATAGGCGACAGGGCCCGCACTTTCCACTCTTGGACTCTCTGCTGTGCCTACACTCAAACTTAACCTCAGTCCAATTCTGCAAGGTTACCACGAAGGAGTCTCTCTGCTTTGACCCCATTATGAGATAGGTAAGGTAGTCCATAGAAAGACAATATCAGGCAACCTCTTAAATGGGGGCAGGGCATTCTAAAAAGAGGAACAACTTAATAGCGCGCGCAAGGAAAAGAAGCAGAAATCACTTCACATACCTATAAACCCACCCTAGTAAACGGTGTGCGGGCACTTAGACGGAGACGCGGACCATCACTTAGATCAGAGACAGGGGTGGCCTTACGTACAACCCACAACCACATGTCTATCCCATACGGGAGCCTGGCAGTGCGGCTCGGCACGAATACCTCATTGCCAACCAATATGGGGTCCCTCGATGCTTGCCAGTTCAAACATCGTTGGATGAAAACTCGCGGTTGCCTATAAGACCTCGCCAACCCGGCAGAGATGCCTCGGGGTTTAAAAACGCCACGAGATGCTTCACTTTTCAGGCAGAGATAGGTTCAAGTTCACTACAGCCTCTCAAGGCCAATTATATCCATATACAAGCAATACCTACCTTGCCTATCAGTCCATATTACCTAGTTGGCAGTTGCCTATCGTCACTTATTCCTCCTATACTCGCTGTCCATTCTATGGGCCACCTAGGACTCTTACACTCGCCTTCTATCAGAAAACAGTCATCAATAGCCATGTTCGGAACGTGGAAGTACGATCCTGAGACAGATGAGGTCCAGAGCCTTCGCAATGGCTTTGACCCTGTCACGGCCCGCTCTAGTTCCCACCAGGCGTGCGATAGATGTCATGAGAAAAAGGTATGTTTCCGAGACCTTGGCTCGCCGATCCCACCTACTCGTTAAGCTTCCGGCTGCCAAGGCGGATACTGAAGCTTCTCTGCTACAAGACTAAGTGCTGACAACTGAATAGCTCCGTTGCAGTGGAGACAAGAACGGCTGTGAACGATGTCGGACCAACAGTCTTCGTTGCGATTACACTCGCTCGGGCTCCAAGTCGTCAAAGAAGAAGAGTCCCCGCAAATCCACAGACGACGAGAGCCCTTCAAGCTCCAGTTCTCGACGAGGGGGCAGCTCGTCCAAGCGCTCGAGCAAGAGTCATGGCCACGGCCGAATAGCGACCTCGGGCGAGGAAGCAGGAGGTGTGCTGAGCCAGTTCGACTTCTCACAGCTCAGCCCTGAAGATGGCTTTGACCTGAACCTGCTCTCCAGTGCTGATTCGAGCGGAGGAGGCTATGCCACGGCTGGGCCCTCGGGGGATCAGTACAACATGCAGGCCTATGACAGCAACTACCAACAGTGGGATGCGGCTTCATACTCGCAGTACTCAGCACAGTACGGCCACAGCTACTCCAATGAGAGCTATGGCGACTATGACCAGACTCATGGCGCTTACTCACAAGATCCGCGACATCACCACAGCGGACGCTGATCTTGGGTCGAGACAAGGCTGATTCGATCTTAACGACATCATGACATGGACGAGACAGTTGGTGATGCTGTATGACTAAACTTCCCATTCTTACTATACCCCCTTTTTTAATCCTATTATTCTCTTTCTCGTATTAGTTAGATGGTTTCACCTCTATCATAGCGCGTTTCTTTGTATCACACTTATATATAGACGAGGCTTGGCCTTAGGGCTATTCCTTAGAATGGCAAGGCGTACCCAAGCCATCAAATATCGAATGTTGTTTTCTTGTTGGCGAGCTCTGATGCACAATATGACCTACCCGTTTGGGGAACTGAACTGTGGCTGAGCTTGAGCTAGACCTCAAGACGAGTCAATGCTTATGGGATAAATACCTCGACGAGTAAATGTCTCAGGTAAATCAACAATAGGGCGCAAAGGAATTATTTCTCTCAACAGAGGTTTTCTCGTGTTAGTCTCTGCCGCGCGTTGAAGGATCAATGGCTTGATGCTGCAGTATCAGGCTAACCTTGAAGTCGTGTAGTTGCAGGCATGTGACCCAGTTTCTAGGTAGACAACTTTAAGCGCCTTAGTCATCAGGCCCGAGTGCTCAACCCAAACCCATACACGACGTCACAAATTGACCGGGGTCAGGATAGCTCAAATCTTTTGTGAGCATCACGACTCCAAGCTTATTGACCAGGTCCAATTGCAGCAGCCGCGCTCATTTACGCAAATCAAGCAACCATGGCGAACGAGTCTGCTATGACGCCTGCCAAGTCGAAGTCTGTATTTGGCTACCTTAACGATTGGGGCAGTAAGTAACAACACCCAAGCTCAGCTCACTCGCCAGTGCAACTCCAACTTACAATTCAACTTCACCCTTGTGACCCAATCTTGACCCAAAAACAAGCATAAACTGATCATATCATAGCCAACTCGCTTCCTCCCTCTCTCCTGGCAACCCTCATCACGGCCCTCCACGCCCGGCCCCCAAGCCTGCCCCTCTTCCTCTTCACCCCTCCTCTGCTCTTCTCATCCTACCTGAACCTGTCAGGATACCAGACCGGCAGTGCTGGTTTGACAGCTGCCTGGTCTGGACTGTACGTGTTGCTGGCCCTGCGTCGTCGTCAGCCTTTCCGGGGCCGCTTCTCCATCCGTGGTGCCGTGCGTGGCACTGCGCTCGGTTTGGGTGCGGCTAATTGTGTTGCGGGAGGATGGGTTTACGCCAATGGGGATTTCGATAAAGATGCTACTGCAAGGGAGGAGAGGAACCGCTGGGGCAACTAGTGTCGTTCGATATGTATGATATGGGCTTGTATGATATGTTGATGTAAGCATGAAATTTGGGTAATTAGGCCCGAGGTAAGGGTAGCCAGGCGAATGGATGAGGATATGAAGAGTCACGTACTTTGCGAAGATCGAGACTTTGAACCAGTTGCACATAGAGCCAAGTACTCAATATTGAACCGGTACAGCCTGAGTCCCAAAGTATTGGTGCCATTCTCCTTGTACATCTTAGTAGACGCCTTTATCATACACCACAGCCCTAAGCAAGTAAAGTCACCATAGCCCCCATCGTAAGAGTAGCTTATGTATAAACACCTTAAATCCTTCAATGGTAGGGCATACTCCAAAGACGATACGATTCTTCAGTGTTTCAACATGCATCACAAACGAGCTTACCGCCGAGTAGGAATACGAGAGGGTAGCTGAGAAATTCTAGGCCTACAACAAAGGCTTGGCAAACACGATGCATCTCCGCACAACACGGACTATGCAATGCACTACATATATGTGCAGATGGCCTTTCTGCTGACACATGATACGAATATGCAAGTTGCCCAAATGTAGTAGTAATCAGCCCCCATTGATCCTGTGCCATATTACAGGTGACATTTGTCCAAATATCGATGAGTCAGAGTTGTAGATTCGGTTCGCGGCACAAATCAGGCCCGGGTCATTCGACCCGAATCTGCGAGCTTACGGCATACGTCAGCACAAGGAAGAATATGCTCAACATCACAGGAAGATATTGTACATATTTGAACAGTAGCACTTTTGTTTCTTATGCTGTTAACCCAACGCCCGGCTACCCAGGTATCATCAGTAGGTATCTATTAATACAGTCCAAATCCGACATTCCAATGCGCCTTTCCTCTCTTCGTCGCATCAACAGGCCAGAACTTTTTCAGAATTCGCAGAGGGATGCTTAGTCCCAATCTAGCATTCAATGCCTCTCCACCTCTTTAGAATAAAACGCCAGTCAGGAAGACATTCTCAGCCCTTGATTCGTCTCCCAAACCCATACGGCCCATGCCGTCAAAATGCATAGTAAGTCATGAAAAGAAAATCCTCGAGCCATCAGGCTTTCGAGGTATCGGATATCCAGGTTCCAGTTATTTGTCGCCGCGGTCCTTTAGAATCGAGGTTGTTACAAGTGTAAGGAAACGGTCCGTAAAAGATGTGATGTTTGTAAGTTGTGTAGTTTTGAGTCGTATTCAACCAAGCCTTTGGCGGAAAGTTGTCATAGTTGTTTCGAGATATAGTCAGAAGGCATCGAGATACTTTCTTCAAAGGAGAAGATGGTCAGGTCTTGTAGCTGTGCTGATCCTCGATCCGGACAAGAACCACAGCAACAATACACAGGTGGAGAAGATGACGGCTCGAAAGAAGGTGCGCGGTTGCATGCGGCCACACTTGGTGCATATGTCCTTCGGCGCATTGGTGTTAGAGATAACCAGACTTGAGACCTGGAAGTCATCAAGGTAGGTGACGTCGACTTCGCGAGCCTTGGGTTCGGCATAGCTCTTGTACTCTGCCACAACGCTCTCGGCATCCCAACCGGCGACCTTGCGGACAATTCCAACGACACATCCCGTTCGGTGCTTTCCGTGGTTGCAGTGAATTAGAAGGGGGTAATTTGACTTGTCGAGAACGATGCTGAGGATAGCCTTCATGGTGCTCAGGGGAATGGCTTCCTTCTTAGTGCCCTTCATGTTGAAAACGACTTGTCGGATGCCCTCACGGCTGACAAATGTTTCGAGATCGTGATCAAGATCTTCCTTCTTGACGAGAGTGCTATACCATGTCAGTGAAAAACTCGAAGCGTAGCATAGGACGGCTACTCACACAATTGTCTTGAGACCCAGACCCTTGATGTACTCAAAGTCGTGTGATCGGGGGAAGCTGCTTCGGTAGACACCAGGAACGACAATACCAAAGTTATGCGGCCGTCCATTTAGAGGTGCAATATACTCGGATGATGGCGGCGGATAGGCCGATATAGATGAGGCTATACTGGTGTCAGCAAAGGGTCGAGAGTACTGTGTCAAGGTATGCGACCTACCACTTGAGTCACTGGTTCTGGATGAGGAAGCCGACAAAGAGGGTTCCATATTGACAGCAGCAAAACCCTGGGAACGGTTGGTATCGCGACCATTCAATAGGGCCGCGTCGACTTCTTGTAGCATGTCGTCTCTGCTAGAGCTGCGAGAACCCTGTCTTGAACGGAATTGAGTGCCGTTGGGTGTCTGTTGACCTTCCTTGGTATGTATAGGTTCGTCGACAAATAGTCGTGAATTGCGCTTTGAAGCCATGTTATATGTAGGCACACACTCTGGTGATCAAGCTAGTACAGGTACTGATCCTAGTACTTCAAGGTAGAGGTAGAGGTCGGAAAGAAGTAGCAGTTGGGGGGATGAAGAGCGAGGTTGTCGTGAGGGAAGAAAGTTGAGTTGATAAAAGCGTATTAGATTTGAGTCGATGATATAAAGTTAGACTCGAGATGCAGGTCGGAGACACAACCTGGTGCAAGTGCTCGCGCGTTGCAAGTATCGGTTACAAGATTGTGGAAATCATTTTGGCGACAATGAGCTGAACAAGCAACTTTTCGTCTGAGCGGGAAGGGAAGCGGGAAGCACGAGATCAAGTATCCAGAGCGTGGGGGATCCTGAAGCAGGTCCCAGGAGCTCGGTCAAGGAGAATGGACAAGGAGAGAAAGACAAGGTGATGAAAGGAAGAATGGGGCGAGACCAAGAGACAAAAAAGACGTGGAGGAGGATGTTCGGTGCAGTCCAGCGACAAGCAACAAGGAAGGCAAGGCTGTCTTTGTCTTTGTCTGTCTCGTCTCAGCGCACAAGGGTCCACCGGATGGACATGCAGTAAAGTCCCGACAATGGAGCAGGGACTGAAGGTGATGGAGACCGGAGAGGAGCAAGGATTGCAGCGGGAAAATTCTGGTGGTTGAGTAAAAGTGACCTGGTTGAGTTGGGGGCGACAGAATAAAAGGTTGATGGGGGTGAGAAAGGACACTGGGACGATGACGGCGTCTATGATTGGCTGGTTGAGGGCGGTCTATACCGTAAAGGGAAACTCTATCGCTCAAGTGTCGGGGGTTCGGGGGTATTTTATAGCGCCCCGCGGCGGAGCTGGAGAGCGAGAGAGAGCCTCCATCACTAAACAAAACTCCACTAACTGTGAGTGAAGCGAGAAGTCCGGCCGGAGATAGTTGCTTACTACACTTATTACGAATAACGCCGTGTCTATGAGATTGTTGATCAATGGACCTTGCGAGAGCCTGGTCTCTGATCCATAGTCTAGCTGATCTTGCGTTATCAAAAGCCAGGCCAACGGACCCTTGGTTACATCGTAGACGTAGTAGCCTCTGCACAATCCCCGAAACGGTCCCCAATATCGCATCGCAATCCCCATGCAGTGAAGCATGGGACTTTGCGACACGACACAAAACAACAGCACAGCACAGCATGTGCGTTTGCATTTACGTTTACGTTTGCGTTTGAGGGCTGCTCATCTCCCCGCGTCACAAAAACTCTATCCAGCTATTTCGCTGTCATTGCACATGGCAACTTGTAGGCCACCCTTCGAGGAGGCTTCTGTGGAGATGCTTACAGTGGGTGTGTAAAAGTTCTGACAATTTCCTCTATTTTAAATTTTATATAAAAGTACCTAAACTATAATAAGATCTTTTTAATTTATAAAATCTTATACAATCTTAAGAAGAGATTATATAATAAGTCTTCTAATAATAATATATTTTAGATGTCTGTTCAATTATATATCTCTTCTTAGCTCATTGTCGAGACTTTTGCACAACTGTAATATCAAAAAAAGTTTATACCCTAACCACTCGCTCGGCACGAGTCAACCGACCACTAACCACAGCACCACGGAGCTACCCTCGTTGGTTGCATGCCGCGGGAGTCTAGTGAGTTGACGAGGGGACCGGCCAGATACGTGGCCGCCCATCTACGTGCAGTTCCAGTCCATCAGGGACCATCGCGATGAAGTGTTTTGCTAAAGAACTGGGCAAAACAGAATCGTGAATAGGCTGTTTGTATCCGCAGCTGGCTTAGAACAGATGCGTCAAGTTGGGTCTCGAACAGCTGGGAGCACGCGAGCCACATGGTCTTCCAAGCCACACCCACTCACGACCAATCTCACCCTCTTCTTGGACGGTGATGACGGAGACGCACGTCCTAGCGCAAGGCGACCCTGGTCAAGACGCCGCTTCAGAGTTCAGACGCGGCAGCGACCTTGAAAGCCTGTGCGATGGAGTATGACATATGACAACATCAGTATCACAGCTTGGTTCAATTTTGTGCTTGGCTTAAGCGCGATCAACACACTGAGATCATCGTGTTTGACCTCTTATTCTCTCGATCCAAGTTCATGCCCAACCTCAAACGGATACCCAGGACATTTAGATCTTCTTAGAGTTTCCTACCTCAAGAGCCCTAAGTAAAGATATTCCAGGCTACTGCGAGGATGAGCAAGGCACAGTCGCGCTGTAGATCGGCCAGCTGTTTCGGTGGTGTACTGCCGTTGCTGGTGAGTGGATGTCCTTGGACAAAGCATCACCCGCAAATCCAATAGACGCGTTGCATTTAGGACCCTTCCTCAAGCATCACATCGAATCTTGCTGTCTTTGGAGAAGCGGTCGTTGGATGAGTGCCAGCTAAATTAGGTCGGTGTGCTGATCTCTACAGATTTACTGAGGGGTAACTGACGAGGCGTGAAAGAGAGTACCTATTCGCCTGTGTTCTCACATGTAACCAGATGACTGTAAGCATTGCGTTTGGAAACTCTGAATGTGCGGTAAGAATACACAAAAAGAAACTATATAGCACATGGTTTTGCGCATTAAGGATTCAAGTGATGTCAGTCTGGAGGCGAGGCCAGACGGGTGAGACACGCGGTGCCCTGCTGTCGATCTGTCATGCCCGAGTCTAAATTCTAACCTCCACGTAGGGCATAACACGTATGGCATTGTGCTGCATTATGTAGATTATCCAGATCTTCAACTGATGAAACGTCTTGAAACCAGCCTCCAGACGCAGACGTGAGCGTCCTGACATCAAGAAAGACAACGTCAAGTCAAAGCTGTGCTCGTGCTTTTCCCCCACAAAGTGCAACCAATGATACACAGCCTAAATCAGCGTAGCACGAGCTTTTTTCTCTCTCTTTTTCTAACAGAAATTTGACCCTCCAATGGACGCGATGTTCGCATTATTTTGTCTGCCCTACTCTGCGCAAGTATCGAGCAGCCCTGAACCATTGCCGCCACAGTGATCATCATGGTCTCTTGGCGGATTCGGCACAGTCGGGGGTCCCATGCATGCACAAGTCCCTGAATGATGATCCATTCCGCATCATAGCACACCAGAGAGAGTTGCATTTCTTTTTGCCCTGACATTGTCATTGCCATGGAGTTGCGTATGCAATTTGCATTATTACTGCTATTCATAATGAAGCCACGAATACTCCGTAAACAGATGTGTTGTAGCCCAGAGTAATATTATATCAATGCAAAAGCTTCACAAAAAATGCAAGACATAAGAATGGATCTGGTTACAAGTGGCGGAAGCATGACGGGCGGACTCGACCGAACCACCGACCGGTCGTAATTACGGTTCTGTCGGATCTTCCGCGGCGTCAAATAGTTTCCTGTTTCCCTGTGAATGCGGCGTTTGACAAGATCCTGATCCGATCTCCATCTGTTGTGCTTCCACCTCTGGTGGGTATTATCACTGTTGTCCTCCGCTATTCCCGATCGTCACGGGATGTTCCAGTCAAATCTTGGAATGCCTGATCGACGTCACTGCCTTCACTGCTGACAAGACTTGTTTGGTCTCAGCCTTCAGCCTCGTCACCAGCCTCAGTGAGAATGTGTAATGAATGCTGATCAACGGCCTGGCTTTGTTATTGTTGCTAAATCTGGAAACTAGTGAGACATGGCGATGGTACGTATGCCAATGTAGATTGTGCATCGCCCGCCCGCTTACACGCGACATGTCGTTTGCGGATGTCTACAAACACCAATCATTGTCCATTTCACCACGTCTAACTTTAACTTTTGGTCCGTGGACAGATTGAAATGTTTCGCATCTCTGATTTGCAAAGATTGGAAAGTGCTCGCGTGCATGCCGCTCGTATCAGAAAATGACACGGATACGGATTTCATATCCTGGAAGCAAGCCCCCCAGGCTCTTCTCCATGGATCGGACGCCGGGGAAGTTGCAGTGAAGTGAACCTAATGTTCAACTTTGAAGCGTGGGATGAGGCTACAGTAACTGATGCCAGTCTCACCTCTCACCGAGAGCCATGGTCGGTCGACTATTTTGGTATCTTTACTCCTGACATCGAATTTGTCTCGAATGTGCTGGCCTCATTGGGCCTTGCACAGCAGGAACCAGGCCTTGTCTCAATACACACGTGAAGACCTACGCTTTTGCGACACCGAAGACGCGACGGGTGAAGTATCCGCGATATTAGATCCCCAGGGTTGCCTGATCGGGACACCGAACTCCCACGGTCTCAACTCCACGGCCCTCAGGGGAAGCTCTCCTCAACTGCTTAACTCCGGAATTAGGTCCCCGAGCCAATCAAGGGTTGTGAGATTGGTTCAAGCTCGTTAGTCGGCAGGCATCTGGAATTTCATCGTGTCAGATTATTCACTCGTTCATGCTCCGCGGCTCTTCAGCCCTGTCAGCGGTAGTGTACGCCCAGTCGAGGGCACTGAGCTGAGCTTGAGCTGAGAATTAACCAATGATATTGACCCAACGGAGCAGTTTGAGTGACTTCTCTCAATCACGGTTGTTGAAACTAATTATTGAAATACAAGAAGGGATATGATCCTCGTGACTGTTAATACCTATATCAGCACTGACTGAGGCATCGTTATAGACAGCTCCTTTCAAGAATGTAGTCCAATACGGAAACACGTTTAGCCGTAAAGAGCGTGTGGAGATTCACTTTTTGTCTATCGGCAAGTGGTTCTCAAGCCGCATGTAGCCAGTCCGGCAGTTTGTCTCCTGGTGCCGTACTAACCGGCGGCTGTAGGGTATCATGCTATTTAAATGACAGGTTCCATTACATTAACCAACAACACATTATCATCAGATCATCTGCGAGGCTGTTGCCAACTTCCTTTGGCTAAATCTTGGTATGAAGCTTGTTAACTGTGGCTCCGAGCATCCCATCAGCTGCTTTCCCAACATGTTCAAGTGGAAGAATCACCAGATGAATTGATGAACCCTGTTGGTTCCTTACCCTGAACACAAAAGACTCATTCCCAACATCTTTACAATTATGAATTACGAAGAGTCTGATCGATTGCTCGATCTCTCTGATGCCTGCTGCATCTATCAAATGCACTCTTGTTGTTGTCGTCCTTGCCCTGGTGTCATATCATGTGAATAATATGCACGACGTTGGCACTACTGCACAAAGCCCCCATCTCGGCGTCTCACACAAACATGCCGTCCTTTGAGAAGGAGTTGTTCATCAAGATTGAGCCATTTGTCACAATATTCCCTCATTAACAATAATCTACAACCAATGAGGCTCACTTTTCATACCTATACCCACATCACAATGACGTTGAGGTTAACGTGTGCGACTCAACCCCGCTGAGGGGATCCTGAAGCGTCCTTATATCAAGACGCATCCCTCAGACTTTCTTTATTCTCATTCTTAACTCAATCAAATACCGATTCTATCTTTATCTCCAGTAACTTTTGTTTAACATACCAAACCACTTATCTTTCGGTACGATGTGACAACACACGGACAAGGAGCAATGGCTCTCGCAATTATTACCATGTATCAAGGTAACGTTTAAAAGAACGCATCCGGGTGTTCAACTGTCTCTGCTCTGTACATCCCCTCTTGTCCCATGATAGGCCAAGTAGTCACCTATAATGATGACTCTTGGCCTGTCATTGGCTTGAGGACTGGCAGAGCAGGTCAGTTGATCTGAGAAATACCGGCGAACTTGATCTGGATAATACCAGCGAAAGGACATGCTTCTTGATATCCCCCCTTCACTCCGGGTGACCGGGAAACTAACCCTAGTAGAACACCACTTGATCTTTCAAAATGTCGACTGACAAGATCACCTTCCTCACCAACTGGTACAACTGACCTAGAATTTAGCATAAGAACTTGAGTTAACGACTATCAGGCACGCTACGCCTTACCACGCCCCGCTGTACCTGGCCCAGGCCAAAGGATATTTCAAGGAAGAAGGAATCAAAGTTGCTCTGCTTGAACCCAATGACCCTAGTGTAGGTATCTGATGCCTGATAGACTATGAAACCATGCTGACTATTGCAGGATGTCACCGAGATCATTGGTACTGGCAAGGTTGACCTCGGCTTCAAGGCCATGATTCACACTCTGGCAGCCAAGGCTCGAAACTTCCCGGTCCAGTCCATTGGCAGTCTCCTCGACGAACCCTTCACCGGCGTCGTCTACCTTAAGGACTCTGGCATCACCACCGACTTCCGCACCCTCAAGGGAAAGCGTATCGGCTACGTCGGAGAGTTCGGCAAGATCCAGATCGACGAGCTCACCTCGCACTATGGCATGACCCCCGATGACTACACTGCTGTGCGCTGCGGCATGAACGTCTCAAAGGCTATCATCAAGGGTGAAATCGACGCCGGGATCGGTCTGGAAAACGTCCAGATGGTCGAGCTTGAGGAGTGGCTCGCTGGCCAGGGCCGTCCCAAGGACGATGTCCAGATGCTTCGTATTGATGAACTCGCTGAGCTCGGATGCTGCTGCTTCTGCACCATCCTGTACATCGGAAACGAGTCCTTCCTGGCCGAGAACCCTGAAAAGGTGCGCTCGTTCCTCCGCGCCGTGAAGAAGGCCACCGACTTTGTCCTCTCCGAGCCCGAGAAGGCCTGGGCCAAGTACGTTGACTTCAAGCCCGTCATGGGCAGCGATCTCAACCGCAAGATCTTCGAGCGCAGTTTCGCCTACTTCAGCAAGGACCTCAAGAACGTCAGGCGAGACTGGGAGAAGGTGACCAAGTACGGCAAGCGTCTCGGCGTGCTTGACGAGAGCTTCGAGCCCAACTACACCAACTCGTACCTCGAATGGGCGCTCTCTGGAGAGTCTAGCGACCCTACCGGCGACCAGAAGCGCATTGCTCAGCTGCAGAAGGATGTTGCTGCCACTGGCGGCTTCCACCGTCTCCAGGCTGAAGCTCCTCAGGCCAAGGCTTAAATGAGGGATAGATAGGGTTTCTGACAGTATACATGAGTTGGCATGATACTCTGTAAGCCCGATACAGATCGCATCTGATACACTCCCTTAGGGTTCCGGAGGAAGCTAGCAGGACACTCGTTTAAGAGAGCTACATCAATAACAAGTAAACTCTCAGTACTTTCTGCATCGTATCTGTGACTGTCGTTATTTTGTGAATTTCAGCCTTGAGCTGGAATGTAAACTCACCACCACAGTGTCCAAATCAACGACACCCGTTTCCGGTCAAAACGGCCTGGGGCTAGGTAAGGCCTCCCTAAAAGTCAAAGCTCAGATGGAATTTTGACTTCACGGCTGAGAATTCCATGCTTGGACAATTTCCCATCCAGATGCAGAACGCCCAAAAGTGTGTAGTAGCATTCCCAATGATACACATGTTCAGAGAACCTAAATAGACTTTGGATGTAAGCGTTATTTTGTGAGATTTTGTGATCGTAGCCTCTTAGAAACAGGATTTTGTGTTAGAACTAGATGCTGTATCATAGTACGGATGTCTAAATGAGCATATTGGATGTGAAAGAAGTATTATAATATCGGCGGCTTTGAGCCCACTCGCTATATGTGCGTGATATAGGTACATGTATCTCATAAAACATTAACTTTGACAACAAATCCAAAATTCTTGAATACGTCTTCGACGATCCCGTGTGTAACTTTATGGAGTATATTCAAGGATGTCTTCCGGCTTTGGAATGCCAAGGAAATCTCCAGGCATTGTCTCAGCAGGAGGAGCCTGGAACAACAAATTGATCAGTATATTGTAGCAAAGTTCAGGAGGGAATGTTCTTACCTGTAGCCTCTTCGCCCACTCCCTCACATCGTCGTAGTTCTTGCAGGTGTGCTTGGTGTTGAAGTCGGGGAACGCGCTAGGGTCTTTCTTGTCGTGCCAGACCTGCCCGAGGACGGCGGTATCGACGTTACACATGAGAACTTGGCGGATGGTATCAAGACAGTGTGCTATAACAGTCAGTACGGCGTTTAGCTAGGTGTATATGCAAGTGTGACTTACTGAGGTGGAGACGGAAGATTTCGCCGTCGTTCTTGAATGCATGCCCACCGAGAGCTTTGTAGTGATCATAATTGAAGTACAGACTCTTGCGGATCATATTCTAAACAATAGTTAGTGAATGCGATTTCGACACTTTCATTTGGGAGTTCATACCAGACAGTGAAGATGATGCATGCCCTCAACATTGACGATGAAACCGCCGCCATGTTTGGGATTGATTTGAACGTGAGCATCAGTGAGGCCACTGGCAATGCCGTCCTTGTAAGATATGACACCAGGTCGATCTAAATGGATTTCATTAGTGCCGAAACAACATAGTTTGACAGATGAGGCATACAGTCAACTCCTAGTGACTCCCAAGCTTTATCGACCTCGGCAGAACCATTCTTGCGGAATTCATTCTCTTCCATGAAATGCCCGTCGAATTGTTGTTCGTGGTACTTTATCTGAACGTCTTTGAAGAGCGGTGCTTGAAATAGAAAGGTCAGATTTTGTTTTGGAGTTGGAGAAGATAGATGACTTACACCATTTTGTTGTGTGCATAGCACATGTTTGGTCGATCTCGATATATGCCATTGAGATCCAAGCACCAGCAATAGCTGAGATGAAGACGACAGAGAGGAGGGAGAATACCAATCCGAAGCATCTACATGCTGAGCAACGCCGTCTTCGAGGAGGGGGGTAATGGAAGGACTCTGAGTCTTCATCCGTGTCTTCGTGGCCTTCGACCATAGGGTTCAAGAGGGCAGATTCTTGTTCACGTTTGGGAGCCATGTTTTCGGTGGTATAGTGATGCGTGCTATGGAGGAGAAGAATTGGTTAAGGGAATAATTTATGCGCTGAAGATGAGAGAGAAGAAGAATAGGTAAAATATCACTGTCAGTAATCGAACAGAAGGAACCAACTCAGAGGACCTTTGAGACGATCGGATAAAATTAGAACGGGAACTCTCAAGACCCTTAACAAGACGTGATCGCGAACAGCTGACAATCGTAGTGCCAACTTAGTTCTCACTGCCGCTTCAGCCGAGGCCATCTACCAAACTCTCAATTTGCCCGGTGAGGTAATCCCCAAGATACCACAACCATCACGCAAGGTCTAGACATGGACCTTTTCGAATTGAGGCTTTTGATAGCTCTGACCTAGAAGCTCTGAGCTGTCAAAGCAGACACACTCTTCAGAGCAAACACACGAGATACACGAGGCGGGCACCAATCACTTGCACCCCAAAGAAGCGATCATACCTACATGGACATAGCGCGTATGGTGAGGTTGCATGATGGCGCTCGGAAAAGAAGGCTGAGACGAGTTCAGACAGGGCTGGATTGTTACCTCCGCATGCGATCTGGGTGTTGCTAACGCGCATTGGGGAAGCTCTGTTGCTTTAGTCGCAGAACTAGACGGTTGAGACTTTTGGGCACTATCGACCAGGGTAATTAAGTTGCGAGACTGAGAGGATAGCCAACAGCATCACCCATCTCAAAGCCACAATCACTATTACTTGATATTTGTCAATCTGACAACACTTTTTTTTTAATAAGAAATGGGCTTCGTAGCCTTTACTGTTGCGGCTGTGATGTTATCCTGGAGGACTAAGACGCAATGGGAATGGAAAGTTGAAGGAGGCTTGCGGGGGCTGGTAAACGTTTTTGTTTTTGGCGGTTGAACATGGTGGTGAATTATACGAAATCGATCTTTAGCCTGGATGATGTATTACGCAGTTACACTGACGGCATTTAAGTAGTTTGGTAAATTGATCAGCAGATGGACATCGTATCGTGGGTTTAGACCAACCACAGATATTCCCGGTTATCAACTACATCATCACATCCCCCGCCGAGAAACGGATCTCATGCATGTCTGACACGGCATATAAAGTTCCCTGTGCTATTTACGTCTTAGAACAGAGCCGCGGCCCCAGCAATCGACTCTTCAACGTGCATTAGCTAGCTACTTACACCGAGCTAATGGATCATCGCCCCCTCCCTCTTCAGATGGTGATGGTGGCTGGTCCCAAAGAGGAAATTTGCTGGTATCCCAGCTCGGCAACCTTTGCGGAAATGCCGCTCTAGAGCTCTGTGCACTAACACTTACACGAGGCATCCCCAAGAGCTCTCTTCGCTTTTGCTTCGTAGGTGAAGCTAAATGGGACCCAGCCAGCCACACCGAGGATTGACAAGATTAGGTTCTCAGTAACCAAGCCAGAAATGCCGTGATAGGCAGAATTAGACCTTCTCAGCCTCGGCGGGACCAATGGAGAGCCTTGTCAGGGTAGTAATCCTCTCCACTGCTCTCGCTCTCACTCTCACCATGGCTTTCTCGTCCAGCTTCATTCGAGTCTTGGCAGATGATGGGCTTGATACGAGGTGGATCTTTCTACTAAAGCTTCACAGGTGTTAGTGTAAGCCAGTTTGCCCAGTTGTTCATGCCGTAGCATCCGACGCCATCGTCGACTTTGTGTGTGTGATGAGTCTGGATCTGAGGAGGGGTTTCTGATGCTTAGAGTGAGGAAATCGAAGGCTTGTTGGGTTATGCAGAGTAAGGTTCATCTTCGTGGTCATGGGGAACTTTCTATTCACCCGTAAAACGTCGATCCTTGTCTATAAAGCCGGAGTTCCCATCCCGAGTATACGTTTTCTTCACCAGCCTTCTCTCGACACCTCTCCCAGTCTTCACAATTAACACTCGCATTTTCTCTTGTGTCTTCACACTCAAGTCTTCCTTCCTTCAGACATCAACATGAAGTTCTCCGCTATCACTCTAGTCGGTCTCGCCGTGGGTGCTATCGCCGCTCCAGCTCCGGCCCCGGTTGCTGATGCAGCCCCTGATGCGGCTCCTGAAGCAGCAGGAAAGTATAAGAGCTATGGTAAGTGACTCATGAAGATGCCCTCGTTCAACCACTGACATCATTTAAGGAAGCTACAGCTATAAGAAATACTCAACCTATGGCCATTATAAACGTGAAGCCGAGGCTGAGGCTGAAGCAGCTCCCGAAGCGGCCCCTGAAGCAGGAAGCTATTCTGGGTACGGGTCGTACAAGGGAGCAGGCGAGGGACTGAAGTCGTACCCTAGCTACGGTACTTATGGCAAAAAGCCAGCTCCTAAGCCAGCTCCTAAGCCAGCAGGAAAGTACAAGAGCTATGGTAAGTGACTCAAGAAGATGCCCTCATTCAACCACTGACACCATTGCAGGAAGCTACGACTACAAGAAATACTCAGACTACGGCCACTATAAGCGTGAAGCCGAGGCTGAGGCTGAAGCGGCTCCTGAAGCAGCCCCCGAAGCAGGAAGCTATTCTGGATACGGCTCGTACAAGGGAGCAGGTGAGGGACTGAAGTCGTATCCAAGTTACGGATCCTATAAGGGAGCAGGTGCAGGCCAGAAGTATTCTAATTACGGTGAGATTCTCTCGAACACGTTCTTGCGGCCTCCAATACTGACCCCTTCACAGGAAGCTACAACTACAAGAAATACTCCAGCTATGGCCACTACAAGCGAGCTACTGAGTGGCTCAAGGCTCTCTTCTAAACTGGGCTTGATGCTGTTGATAAAGGGGGGTGGTGGGATATCCAGGCTGAAACTGGGACATAATACGACTGCACGACGCACTGCGCTGTTCTTATGAACGACTTACGATTCTCAACGAGAGAAATGTTTAATGGCTTGCTACGAATTTGTTAATAACGGAGTGTTTTGGTTATGATGTCGGGGAGTGCAAATTTAGATATATTCTTAGACTCTCTTTAATACTATTAGATGTTTGCTCCAAAGGCGCAATTTCTGAGTGATTATTGACCAAATAAACCTGGAAGGCCCAAAACCAGTCGCCGAATTTCTCTTGGCCTCAATGAAGAAGAATAATTGTACACCTGGCTATGGTGTGGTTCAGGCCAGGATGGCACGGTTCCGTACAACATACAATAGAACAGACAAATAAATTATATCATGGTTAGGAGACCTTATAAAATTTTAGGATGAGATTCTATAATATTATATGAAACATCTTTACGTTATATGATCTTAGGATGACATTTTATTAGATTGTATAAAATGAGAAGAGTTAAATATAATTTATATTCTTAAGTAAAATCTAGAATAGAGGAAATTGGCAGAGAGCAAAGATCATGTACATGCCGCAACGAACTTTCTTCAGCGACATCGACCATCTCAGCAAGATGGGCAATAGTATTGCCCTATTGTAATCGACGACGACGACACTATGGCTATCAAGTCCTCTTAACCTTTTGAACCAGTTCTTACCGACACTTCGGCTGGTAGCGCAAACACCACCCCTGACCCTGTTACAGACACTGATACCGGAACTATAGACGCAAACGCTCGATTTGGTACGATGAGGACTCGCAACCAGTTTTGCCAGAAGGTAGAGGAAGTATACAAACAGTCGCCGGCCCGATTCCATGCGAAGATCGACTCCGCTTATGCCCAATACCTGGCGAAGTTCAATGAGATCCAGAGGGTCTATGGCACCCGTGTACGTGACATCGCTGGTGAAGACTGCTTCTCTGGGTTCTCGCATGCATTTCCAGACGCCTCTTTAACCGAACTCATATATTCAATGTTAAGGGACGTTGGTTGATCCGCTGTTGTGGCTGATTGGGATTCCGTGGGCGTGGCAGTCCCGCCAATGTCATCATGCTCGACATCAGCATGTCCGCGGTGTGTTGCTTCACTTCGTTCCTCTCTATACCGCCCTAGATCAGACGCAGGAGGCGCAACGTTTCGTCCTGTTGGTGTTCTGCGGTTCACGGTGTCTTGAACGACATAAACCATACACCGACTATCCCATCGACTAGATCCAAAAGCTACTACCAAATATAGGATGAGTGGAGTTTCATTTCGCGACCAGTGAAGTTGATAGGATTTCCCAGTTAGGAAATTCTCCAGTGGTTGACAAGGTTCCCCGGATCAGCTGACATCAACAGCCGACGAACCTCGGCATCTTTGCTCAACACATCAATGCAGCAACACTCAGATCCTCCAAATTCGACTATTCATCATAATATCCCACTTGTAGAGTCTCACAAAATGGCGACTTATGAAACTGCTCAAGACCAATTCGTCACTGTAGATGGCATCAAATTCGCCTACCGCCGCTTCGGCTCAGAGCATGGCGTGCCCCTCACGCTGTGCATGCACTTTAGGTGAGTTAGCTTCTACACTTGGTCTGACACGTAAACTGATCATATCAGGGGAACGATGGATCATTGGGACCCAGCTCTCATAAACCCTATTGCTGCCAAACGCCCTATCATTACAATTGACAACGCCGGCGTAGGCCGCTCTGGGGGTGAAGTCCCCAAGCAATTCGCCCAGTGGGCGCAGTATTACATTAACGTCCTGCGTGCAATTGGCGTCAACAAAACCGATGTACTCGGTTTCTCCATGGGCGGGTGTGTCGCTCAGCTCGTTGCTCTGAACGGACAAGGTCTAGTCCGCCGTCTTATCCTCTGCGGGACGATGCCCAGCACCGGCGAGGGCACGGTATCTGCACCTTCTCTCGAACCGTTCAATCGCCTCAAGGCAGCCAAGACAGAAGAGGAGCAAAAAGACGCTTTCTTGATGAGTATGTTCAACACCTCTGACAAGAGCAGAGTCGCAGGCGAGGCAGCGTGGAAAAGAATCACAGGCGCGAGGAAGGACAGGAGTGATCATGTTTCTCCAGCCAATTCGCACCGACAAGGAATTGCTTTTGCCAAGTTCATGGACCCGAAGCAGGCCAAGGATGCGTCTTATAATCGCCTTGAGGAGCTGCGTATACCAGTTCTTATCGCAAATGGTAAGTTGAACCCTGAGCTATGGTATTAAATACTGACTTGGAAATAGGAAGCGAAGATCTTTTGCTCCCGACGGAAAACAGTATTGTGATTTGGAAGAAGTTGAAGAACGCCCAGGCTCAGCTGCACCTATACCCAGATTCTGGGCATGGCTTTCTCTGGCAGTATGCGGATCAGTTTTCTAAGCTTATCAGCGTATTTCTAGGTGATGAACCTAGCTTATCGAGTCGTCTTTAGTCACGGAAGCATTCAATATATCCAATTAACGCCATTGTTAATCTATTGCATATGTTGTTGAGATATTCTGCTGTAAAGATTGTATTGTATAAACGCCTATCTAAGTATACCCCCAACCCAATCCAAATAACAAAACCTCAAACTCCTTTTCCTATATACCTGTAGCAGCTATTGAATAAGAACCATCAAGTTTACTTCTTGCATTTGCAGCTGGGGTCAAAAACCACAGGGCAATCGCAACAGACATCGTCCTTGGCCCAGGTGATGTGGGCACCCCAGTTGTAGACCTGGTTCAGGGTGTTGTACTCGGAGAAAGCCTTGTGGATTTTGCCAGTCGACGCCGTCAAGAAGACCATGTCAATACCGTTGGCGCGTCCGCGGCGGGTTCCGCCCTCAACATCCATGTCGCCCTTCCAGTAAAAAGTGAAGGTGTTGCAGCCGTAGGCAATAGGGCCCTTGATGAAGGCGCTGGGATCATTGGTCTTTTCAATGTTGCCGTCGATGAGCTCCTTTCTGTTCTTGAAGATGGGAGGAAAGTCGTCGTTCTAAAGATCGTTAGTATTGTTTGATCAACAATGTGGTGGGTGTACTTACCTTCGCGTATTTGTTGATCTTCTTAGACGACGAAGTCCACCAGACAGACTGAGAATAAAACTTGACATCCTCCTCAAAGATAGTCTTTGCAAGAGCTCCACCATCGGTGATGCCTGAGAACGTAGCAACGTACTTGTTCACAATCGACTCAAGCTTGCTCTTGGAGATGCACTTCTGGGTCTTGGAAGCCGCCTTGTTTGAGTTTGTATTTGCATTAGAACTGGGGTTGCTTGCGCCCGAGCTGGAAGCCTGCTTCTGGCCGACAGCCTGAAATTTGTTGGTCTCGGGATGATCATAACTTCCTCCGTAGGCGTTATATCCGGCCTTTGGGATACCAGCGGCAGGGAGGAGGGTGTCCGCTCTGCGGTGCATGTTTGTGGCTGTAGCCGAGACGGCACACACCAGGGCGGAGAGGACGAGAGACGTCTTCATTGTGTATATGTAACCTGTGTCTAGGTTTCTGGCTTTTTAAAGAGAGTGGAAATGATCCAAAAAGATCAAAGCAAAAGTGGGAATTTCAAAGCTGTTCGTTGATGATTAAAGAGAGACTTGAGACATCCGAGTCTGCAAACGGGCACATCTCGCACATCTTATACCCCGTGACTGCCAAGTCTATAGCACGAGTCAAAGGTAGCCCATTTCGCGGGTTCGAGGTGTAAGTTTGGGCGATCATGACTCTAGATGCATGTGCCTTTGATAGTGGCCGTGGCAAAATTCCAGTCGTTCCTGGACTAGACTTGATGCAGCAGAGATGATATTAAGCTTGAGGTTTAGCCGACGACATAAACTCATTGTAATAGAGGTTTCTATAAGGAATAATGCGAATTTTCCAATCAATGGACTCATAAACCTATGCTGAATTTTAGAAACCGTCCTGAGTATCTCATCACTTACACGTGGTTCAACCAAGACATTGCCGCATTTGCAACGACCAAGACACAGACCTGGTATGTACGAAGGCGTCCCTGTGGCGTATTCTGTCCGAACATAAGGTCCAACTGTCCGTGTAAGCGGAAGCGAAAGATGAGCCAATAGCCAATGGTTGACCCATCGACTTCGGAATGTAGATTCTCATCGCCATCCCCGACCCCATCACGTATCCGGCGTCTGCCAAGTCATCTGTGGGGCTTCTATTTCTTCTAGTCATTGTTCATGTGCTTTCCGCCGATTGTCAGAATCGTATCTTGTGCTTCGAGATCTGCAAATGCAACGTTCCGGTGACCGGGACGGACCTGGCGACAAAGTGATGCCCGTTGGAGTTGATCACTTATTCCAAATGTCTCTTATGACTTGATGACGCTGTGGATTCTAGCTTCCTGTGGCGTACTTACGTTTATGAAGGCTCAGGGACGATGTGTTCGAACAGCGTTGACAAGATAGCCACGGCGTTGGCGGACAAGGCCTCTGGTCGGCTACTCGAATCTCTTCATATGGTGAAGTGACGTTTCCCAGTGATTGATATTCTGAGAACCCTTCCATATTTCTTGAATCATTCTTCGCTAATACTATTAATATTCTACCCCTCTTGGTTCAAAGATAGCCTATCACACTATGACTGGTGGTGGGTGAATACCATGCCCACAGATGACAACATCGTCATTATACAATGTAAAAATACGACAATCAGTTCTCAGGATAGCAAAAGATAACACGTGAGCATAGAATCAAACCTTGGACCCTCCAGTCTAGTGGAGATTCTGCTAGAAAATTCCAATTCCCGAAAGAGCTGGGAGTGAATTCTACAACTAAACAGTTCAAGCTACTTCTCCGTGGAGTCATGGCTTGACTCCACATATTGCAACATCTCGAGACCGATGAGTTTAGGAAGGTTGAGAGACAGGATGATTGGTATACATAAGCTTTAAATATTTAAGCCGCTGATATTTATATTCTTGATCTTTGTGTCTAGGTATGTCCTTTCTTTGGATCCAAACCCATACTCGACTATGATAAGGAACTCTTGATTCGCTGGAGAGATTTGATATCCCTTTACTGATGACCTTCATCTTTGAGTGATATGAGTTCTGAAATTATTGTATATTTGCTATTCGTAGTAGTTTTGATAGTTGAAAGTGGCTAATAAGGATAGTCCACGCAGTAAAATGGTATTTTCATCTTGTCTTTCGCTATATTGATATTACTGTACCCAAACTTCTTAACGCAAACGACTGGTTTTGACATGTGTCCCAGAAGGACCTGATAAAACCAGCAAGTAGGCAATCGATGTCCAGACTGAATTTAGGTTGAATGGTAGGCGTAATAGCGTAGGTGTGTTTGAGTTTCTCAATAACTGGACGGGAGAAAGCACCAAGCTCAATGTGATTGATGGGAATAGCAACTAACACAAGCACGCCATCAGAAACAGCACAGTAAGTGATACGATGATTACTTACCATTGGCGTTTGTCCTGTTATGGACGAAGCAATATTGCCCTATCCCACTACCCAGACTCACTTGTTTGTACCAGGAATCCTTTGTCTTTGGGAAGAGTCCGAGCAGATCTTTAGCCCTGAGGGTAACCGAGACCTTTCCTCGGAGGGCAGTAGGGAAATATTCGGCTTGGTCATCATACTGCCAGGGTTCACGCATGATCGACGTTAGAAGGGTCCTGGAAGGAGTTGTGATTGCGTCTGCGTCTGCGTCAGCGATGGCCGCCAGTATGCTTAGGTTGTTTGTTGACTTTATTCCCTTCTCCCAAGCCAGTACTACCTACCCAGCATGATTTCATCTGGCGGTTTGTGTAATGCTTGGAGATTATCGAAACAATCCCATCTTTTCCAATCCATGCAGTGATCTCGGCATCTGCCTAGCCAGTGGTAGGCACTGCCAGTGATTTAAAGGGTGCCACCAAACCCAGGAGAGAAGACAAGATTATACAGTATTTAACCCAACTAAACCCCCACTGCTATTGCATAGGTAAGATTCCCCAGTCCCTCGTAGCTCCGGTTTTCTGGTTTCTGCCTGTTCGGCCTTCTATTCTCTACTCTTCTCTTCCCCTCAACACTATATCAAAACATCACACTTGACATATCACAACACGTGCTGTTTCTTTTCCACAAACCCTTCTGCATTCCCAAAAATGATGCATTCCTTCTTTTGGACCTTCGCTCTATATTCATCCGGTAGTTCGGTCATTCTTTTTTAACACATCGCTTTGCACTCGTTCAACGCTCTGCTCTCCATTTGCCTAACGCTTTGCTTCTTGATTCGACCTCTATTAGGCAGTCGCAAGGTTCAACTACCTACTAAGCTTGGTGTGTTGAACAGTTTGAGTGATGAAGGAGGAAAAGCCAGCTTTTATGCATACAGCTATGTGATATACGCATATAACTTATTGTGAAGCCCGGGCTTGATGAAGTTCAAGGTTGGGAAAAAATAAAAGTCAGTACTGGTTATCTTCCAAAGCAAGCCTTTCGTGGTCTGACAGAGCTTGTGCGACTCCGGCCAAAAGCGTCATGCCGGCACCCATGAGTGGACCAAGGGTACCTCCGGAAGGTTGGGAGCGGCCTCTGGATACCGCTCCTGACCAGGAGATCGAATGGTACAACAGTTTCGTTAGAGAGTGGAAGGAAAGGGGCAAGGCCCAATTTCCAGTGAGGACGCCTGGAAGAAGATCATCCCCAAGCTTAAGTTCACTGGGAACACGACAAGCAAAATCTACAATCACTCCTTGGGCATGGTGGCCGATGACGAGCTCGTCTAGGGCTACCTAGTGGCGGCACTGATTATTTTCCGTGTTGAAAAAGTCAAGGGGTCGGCGTTTGGGAAGAAAATCCAAGCCAAGTACCCAACATCAGACATCACGAAATTGGCCTACAACGAAGACTTCTAGGCAAGGCAATACCGAAGAGTATCGTCAGTTAACCGAGTGAAGAAGGTACACCTCCCGGCTTTGCCTCTCTCAAATAAAGCCATCCTAGTTCAACCGCTAACAGATATTAGGTGGGATTTTCAACTCGACACGCCATTAGCTTGACTCGCATAGCACAGCGGTTTAACCGCGGAACTGGAGTAAGTCGACACACGGGTGATGTATATATATATATATATATAGCCTCCTCGCCAGAGCCCATAGGGTAGTGGCTTGGGTTACCAGCCGGAGGCAAACCGACTGCAGCCCTCTCCCCCAGAGGGTAATTATAAAATGTCCACCCTATAAAGATCAAATACTATAAGAGATCCACAAGGAAGCCCTAGAGGAAGACGAAACGAAAAGAAGAAGGAAGCCCTATACCTAGGCAGAGGCTTTACCTTCCCTAGTATAACAGAGTCAGCATCAGGGTCTCGTACGAATAAGTTGCTTGACGATGCATGTGGACTTGGAGACTTCAACCGAACGGCCTCGAGCACATCAGACAACAAGTCCGAGACTCAGCGCAATCCTTCCAAGACAGGAGAATAAATCGATTAAATGCAATGCGCATCAGCCTCTGCTGTACCCGCGCCGTTTGGCACTGTCTCAACGCCGATTGATGTCATTGACGACGACGTTGCTACTTTATCGAAAGCTCAAGAGGAGACTGCGACAGATCAAATGACGACCGATGTACCCGAAGCCTCAAGGTTGAAGAGGCGACGTGATAATACATCCCCTTCACGAACCTTGTCCCAACGCAGTGTCGACTCTTCTCCGAGCTTGAATAGTTAACAGGATGCTACCATGGCGACCAATCCCACGCCTCCTCAAACTTACGGTTTGGGAGAACATTTGTCCAAACGGTTCAGTTCAGGCGACTCTCAGCTAAATGCATCGTCTAACAGGCTGACATTCAATCCATCCGACAAAACAAGAAACACCATTGCCGCTCGGAAGTCTAATGAATTCTCAGACACAAGCATCAAAAACTCTCCTAGCAAAAGGTCCAAGTGGTTCGGCGCCAAACCCAAGTCTTCCAGCACAGAATCCAACTTGTTCGGCGCCAAACCCAACTCTTTCGCCATGAAGCTCAACACTTTACACGTGCAGGGTCCAGCGAGTCTGTCACTACAAGGTACAGTGCGTTCTCGCCTGAGAAATTCAACAAATAGGTTACCTTCGCTCCATCACCACGTGAAAAATCCCCCCCGCCGTTCCGGCGTGGACAACATCCTGCCAGGTCAGTGGAGGTTGACCGCCACTATGAACTCCCTGCTGCCGAGGCCGGGGCCTGCAAAGCTGTACAGAGGGACACGCAGTGGAAGTCTGCAAGATCAGGTACTGGGATTGGCCGAGCTGCTTGAGGAGGACACCCTTCCTCCAACCACGAAACAAGGGCCAGCGACTACGATGGACTGGTCTTCACTCTATCCAAGAGCGAAGACCCCTCCACCTACCTCAACCCTCGGCCAAGGCACGGACTCTATCGCTCAGCAGGTTACTGATCATGCTGATCACCTGAAATGGATACTCAACCGATATAAGGTAATGGATAAGACCACCGCAGCCCTCAAGATATCCAACCAGGAGACTATGGAGCAACTTGATGCTGTACTAGAGTCCACTGAGGAGCTCTCGGCTCGTTCCAACGAGTTGATCAAGGGTAACGAATCACTGGCGTTGGAGAGCAAGTCTCTACGGGCGTCCAATGCCAAGCTCAAGACAGATCTGGAAAAGCAAGAGTCACTTCACATCAAAGTGAAGGCAGACTTTAACAAGCTGCTCGACACCACAATCCAGAGAATAAAGGCGCAATACGACTCTCAACTGGAGGAGGTCAAGGTGCAGCCCAATGCCCAACTGGAAGAGGTCAAGATACAGCATGATGCCCAGCAGAGCCGCAGCGATGAAATATCGGTCATCAGAGACCAGAATCGTGCGCTGACCACGCTTCTGGGCCAGCTTGTTATGCATCTCGAGGTGCAAGATGCCGATTCGTGGCAGCACACTCTTCAGAACTATGGGTGTAGGGGGATGAGTGGATGACAACAGAACAACGAAGGTTTTCGTCCAGGCGGTACATAATCGTACCGCCATGGTTTTCCCTTAGTCGTTCAGTAGTACCAGAGATAAAAAGGTACACACATATGTACTCAACAACTTACAAAAAGTACCTTTCACAAACCGTACTACCCTATATAAATAAGGAATTCCAGGTTCGTTCCCAGGGACAGTATCAATCTATGGGTTTGGGACTGAGTATGAAGACGCCTTGGTAGTTCAATGGTAATTATACAAAGAAAGCGACCAGGAAGAAGGGTTTCATTTGTTAACGAAGTTAGATAGCTTCAAATCTTAAGTAAAGGTTGAAATACAAGACAAATAGAAAGCTATTTTCTAATACTAATATAAGTATTTCAATAATATGCATTTAATTATTATAAATTCATAATACTTTATTGTACTTTACCTAAGATTATTATAAAATTAGAAATGACTTTAGTTAAATAGTAGTACTTTAGAGGATATTATAAATTGAACCAGTCTGGTCATCCTCGCACAGGACTGTGTATCAAGAAATACAGCGCGGACAGGGGTACGACTACTTATCACTAAGCAAGGAGCATATGAGTAACAAAACGAAAGGATGCACCCTAAGTTTATCTAGGTCTCTTCTGAGTACTACCTAGTTGACTTACTGAAAACACGGAGTGATTCTGTAAGAAATCGTCCTCTCCGGTGGCCGACAGGAAGGCAAGCAATGTCGAACACGTTCGTAGCAAGCAGAAATCCTCATCTGATACCACTCACACACAGGGAAAATCGATAAAGGGGTATTCTTTGTTTGGCTCCTACCATTGATATGTTACGTCCTACAAGCCCATTTGTACAGATGCTCAAGAAAAGCCAGAAGCTCACCATTACCCCCAAACACACGGAAATTGAGGTATCAGAAGGGTTAGCTACTGGAGTGCTGAAGGGAGGATCGCCAACAGTGCTCAAGACAGTGTCCCTCAAAGTCTTCGGCCTTGTTGATGGGGGATTGACTGAGAATGCAGTTGGATAACAGAATAAATTAGCTGGGCCGGGAACTTGAGCTTTTTGCCAGTGCATCATAGATGCTAAGAGCTTGAACATAAGATCCACTGGCTCGTTCATCGAACTTGGGAGCTCTTCTATATACACATTCTCACGTCTGATAAGATACTTACCCCAAGTTTTTCTTCTCCTTTGTATATTTTTATAAGTACTAATAATTCCGTTTCTGAACTTAGGATAGTTTTATAAATGTTAGAATATTTCTATAAATATTAGGAGAATGTTATGAGAATTGTAATAACTCTAGAAGCTTTAGGGTATTTCTACAAACTTATGATGATAGCTTGCTCCAGATAATGATAGGTTTAGGCTGACTTTATGAGAAGATAAGGCCTGGCCAAAAACGACGTGCAGTAGGTGTGATGCCGAAGCCCGGGGCTGAACGTTCCAGATCGACACTGCATCGAGGTCGAGGCATACTCCGTACTCGGTGCAACGAGACACGTCGTGCTGCACCTTTCAGCTCAAGATCGAGAATCAGCCCTTGATGCTTGAGGCATATTCATTTAACAACAATGTCTCAGTTCTCGTTCGAGGGTGAATTCTTATGACACAGCCTTTTGCATGAAGCTGTTGGGCCCTGGGAGCTAACTAGTCATGTAAGCTTAACTTTACTAGCGACGAAAACTAAACCAGCGTCCCGAAAGTCTAACATCCCGTTCTCCAAACCATTCTCTTCTTTTTACGAGTACCTATTCATTTTTCCTGCGTTGCTTATTTTCTGCCAAGCCAAGCAAGGACCATAACTGGGGAGTTCTGGACCGCCAGAGTGCGGAGAGACCCCGACCTGGAAGGCGAAATGGCGGCCCAAATAGGCAAGTCTGTGCAGCTTACAACCCGGGGAGACAACGGCTCTCCGCACTTTGCTACGTAATAGCTCAAAAAGCAAAGGGGCAGGCTGGCGGTTGGGCATTTGGGAATTTGGAGAATTAGCTAATAATAAGGTAAAAGTTTTGTTTAAGCATGTCATTAGAGTTGTCCTTATTTTCTGCACGCACAATTTGGAGTCGCGCGGGGCGTCTCGGGTGCAACTAAAGCCACTGACTAAACTGGACTGAACTGAACTAGACTAATCTTGGGTCGGTATCTCTTGGGTTGCCGATACGCGTGCGGAGATGGAGACTTGGAATCTGTATCCCTGCTTTAGTTGGTGCGTGCGTGAGCAGAGAGAGATAAAGATCATGTGAACGTGATGGCATTATTCAAGGAGTGGACACCCGGGACCATGTACCCACAGGGGGGAGAAAGCTTCATCAGTGAGAAAAACCTGTGCTGGACTAATCAGAGCCAAAAGATTATCCTTGGTTATCTCTGGGGGCTCCGCTCGTATTGATGTCGCCCGTTTGGAACTTCCCCGCAGAGACAAGAGCGGCAGATAAACGCTGCAAGCCAAGACCGCGGTTGGGCCGGGGTTTTGGGGTGTTTGGAGCTTGGAGGAATGATATCTCTCCAAGCACAGATTGACCTTCCTGAAGGGGAGTGGCTGGGTTCTGATAGTGGTGGATACAAGATAGAATTGGTGTACCTGTACGTACGTGCCTCAGTAACATCAATTACTTACTACAACGCCGTATCTCTGCCTACCATTGGTGATGTTCTTCCCGGGCCTCTAAACCGTTCAGGGCCGGGTTAAAGCGTCAGGGTATGAATGGGTAAGCTTATCTCTCTCCCGGCCTTCTAGAAAGTGAGCCTTGAGAACTAGTTTTTTTTTCTCCCGTGCAATTCACTCACTCAATTTCAACCTCGGGCGTAATCGAACCAACTAACCAATGCCCAGGCGATCTTTTCTAATTGTAGTTGGCGCATCACCACAGCGATGAGACACATTCACACACAAGAAAGCCTGCAAATCTGCCCTGTGCCCGATTAACTATGCGCAGGGCATCTCAGGTGTCACTGAATAGCGGAGCTTTAAAGACATTCTCTGTCTGCTCTCATAATATACAGTACATGTACAAATGTTAAACGCACATAAGCGGCAAGGCACATCACATCCTCGCCCGCCACATGCAGAGATACAGGATCCTTTTCGTTTCGTTGGTGATCGTCAAGTTTAAAGTAATCCACCCCCGGTCTCTAGTCTCCCAGACACATACTCTACTCTATCCTCTTACGTGATTGATCGCCCCGTTCGGCGGACGCCCCCCTCGCGTGTGGTGTTTGTTTCCTGTCCGCCTAGGGTTCCATCCAAAAGCACAGATGACTGCCACTTTGAGCTTGGCCTGGGGAGTGTTGCATCGGCTTGGCAATGACAGTTGGTTTGTAGTAGTCGCAGCAGGCCTTTTTCTTCCTCTGATAGCAGAGAAATTCGGCTGCCTGGGGGTTGCAAAAAAGAGACAGAGACACAAGAGGGAGGGTGGCCCTGTTGGTATTTAGATGCTCATCATCCCTCTCTTCTTTCGTCTGTCCTGTCCCTCTTCGTTCCTCGTGCAACGTTGACATCGACTCAGTGCGGCTGCCAATACTTGAATCTCGCCAAGTTACTTGGCTGACAGATCCTCAAAAGCTTGGTCTTCTCCAATCTTCAACTTGGCATCTTGGCCTTTTCCCTTCCCCCCCCCTCGCAAAAATCTTACTTGGCACCTTGGCTTTTTCTCGCAACCATGAGCGGCGTTGAAAAGCGAAGGTCGTTCAACGACGTCGAAAAGACCGACATGGGATACGATGCTTCTGTGTCGCCCACCAAAGATGTTGGCCTCGGTGAGGACCGACACATTCGCGGTCTCGAGACGAGCGCCGAGACGTCGCTGCATCGAGGTCTCAAGGCGCGTCACATCACTATGATTGCCATTGGTGGTGCTATTGGAACTGGTCTTATTATTGGTACCGGCAAGGCTTTGGCCCAAGCTGGTCCCGGCTCCGTCTTTATCTGTTATACTCTTGTTGGTTTTGTCGTCTTCCTTGTCATGGCTGCTCTCGGTGAGATGGCCGCTTGGCTCCCCATGTCTGCCGGTTTCACTGGATACGCCTCTCGATTCTGCGACCCTTCTCTCGGTTTTGCGCTTGGTTGGACGTGAGTATCCCTCAATCGTTTTATATAAGTATCGCGCACTGACATTGATTAGTTATTGGTTCAAATACATCATCGTCACGCCTAACCAGCTCACTGCTGCCGCTCTAGTCATCCAATACTGGGTCGATCGAGATACTGTCAATCCAGGTGTCTTTATTGCCATCTTCTTCATTGTCATCGTCGTCATCAACTACTTCGGTATCAGATTCTTCGGTGAACTCGAGTTCTGGCTCTCGTCGTTCAAGGTCATCACCATCATTGGAATCATCCTCTTCTCTCTGATCCTGGCCCTCGGCGGTGGTCCCGATCACGACCGCAAGGGTTTCCGCTACTGGAGCAACCCTGGGTATGTTTACCAATCCTCTCTTCCACGGCGAAAAGCAGCTAACAGAATACCCAGCGCCTTCAAGCCTTATTTGAAGGGTGGCGATGCCGGAAAGTTCCTCGGCTTCTGGTCTTGCATGGTCAACGCTACCTTCGCCTACCTGGGAACTGAGCTCGTTGGTGTCACAGTCGCTGAGGCCCAGAACCCCCGCAAGACCATCCCTCGCGCCATCAAGCTCACCTTCTACCGAATCCTCTTCTTCTACTGTCTCTCCGTCCTCCTTGTCGGCATGATCGTCCCCTACAACTCCGAAGAGCTTGCCTTTGCCAACAAGGCCAAGGCCGGTGCCTCTGCCTCGCCCTTTGTCGTTGCCGCCGATATCGCTGGTGTCAAGGTCCTCCCCCACATCGTCAACGCTTGTATCTGTGTCTTTGTCTTCTCCGCCTCCAATTCTGATCTGTACATCGCCAGCCGAACCCTCTACGGTCTTGCCTCTGACGGTTCAGCCCCTGCCATCTTCAAGAAGACCGATAAGCACGGTGTTCCCATCTACGCCCTCGCCGCCTCTGCTTCTTTCTGTCTTCTCGCTTTCATGAACGTCTCAGACGACTCAACCAAGGTCTTTGGCTACTTTGTCAACCTGACCACCATCTTCGGTCTCCTGTCCTGGATCTCTATCCTGACCACCCACATCTGGTGGTGCCGTGCCAAGAAGGCCCAAGGCATCACCAACGAAATCCTGCCCTACCACGCACCCTTCGGCATGTGGGGATCTGTCGCTGCTCTGGCCATGTGTATTCTCATCGCATTTACCAAGAACTACGACGTTTTTGTGAGAGATCCCACAACTGGTGCCACCTTCACCAGCCCCGAAAAGTACAAGACCTTCATTACCGGTTACTTGGGTATTCCCGTGTACCTGATCCTGATCTTTGGACACAAGATCTTCACCAAGTCCCGCGGTATCAAGCCCCATGAGGCTGACTTCTACACTGGCAAGGACGTCATTGACCGCGAGGAGGAGGAGTTCCTGGCTATGCAGGCTGCCAAGCGTGAGTCCGAGGGCCCGAACCGTGGTGGTTGGTTCTACAAGACCTTCCTTTCTTGGCTGTTTTGAACGCGTACCCCCATGTGGTATGTCGTTTGTGTATATGAGGATGCCCATGTTTGGGCAATGAGTGTATGTAGTCAAGATCAATATCATCTTCCACATTCTCCGTCATTTGAGTACTTCAAACTGTTAAATAAACGTGAATCAATTACCAGTTGGCCATTTGGTGAAAAATGTTATAATCATATGTAAGAGTGATGACGTTCTTAGTGTGAGCGAGATATGTGCTTTTCTTGTATCTATGATAGGTAGTTAGGAGATTCCTCACAAATCCTTAGAGTAAAATAAATAAGTTTACTTGAGTTTATATAAGTTTACTAAACTTATAAATTTATAAAAACCTAGGGTTGTTTATGGCAAGAATGGTAGAAAATTATAGAGCTTTTGCGCGGCCCGTGTTATACACTCCCCTGTCCTCGAGTATAGAAGCACACCAGACAAGACTTCAACAACCTACAGTACAAGCATTACAAGTAAAGATATATTAGGCCTTTTAATCTGGCTACTAGCTAATCAGAGCACTGAAAACTACCTCACACGTGACCGTTCTCACTCGTACTCAACACCGCATAGGTGCTCACTCGACACCGCGTGCCTTCATAAAGTCCACCATATCGAAGAAACTCTTCTTATAGCGTCTCTCCTGGGTCGTACGGTTGACTGTTTGTATTCCAAAGTGCTGGTCATAATCTCTGTGTTTGGTCAGCGATGAGAAATGGGTATTGTGGGAGTGAACTGAATCTCAACTGGGATGTAGAGAACACCTCCAGGATAGCTTCAAATTCAGAAGAGTAACGAACCCGAATTCCCAGTTGTCGGCAAAGCTCCAGGCATAGGCTCCTACAACCTCAACGCCGTCTTCCCAGATCGCCTTGAGAGTCTCGGACAAGAAGCTCAAGTAGTAGATGCTTCGGGGCGTATCGAAGAGCTGATCTGTCAGCTCCTTCTCAGACTCGCCATAAACAGGAAAGCCAAACTCTGTGAGAGCTACTGGGGTCTTCCATGTGTTATGTAGGTAGTTGAGGTAGCTGCGTAGGTAAGTTGGGGTGATATAGACGTAGCTCTGGGAGCGGTATCCGATGTTCCACCCATTAACAGTCGTGGTAGTTTGGTTAACGCAATAAGGACGGAAAGTAGAAGAAGAGTTAGAAGCACATTCAAGAATACTGTCTTTGTCATCTGGGACAGGTGGTGCGATGACTGTGGCGGTATAAGGGTCGATGCCGAGGAAGTCTGCCGTGCCGCCAATGTACTTGAGATCTTCCTCACTAAGAGGAACATAATCGGGGAAGGTCTTTCTGAACGACTCAGGGTAGTCTTTGCCCAGGAAAATAGGATTGCAGAATGGTCCCAGCTGAATTGAGTTGAAATGGTCCGCAGCATATACATCAACTTCACTCTTGGGGTCCCGGGGAACGCCAAAGTTGTTATTGAACTTGATGGCAATCCGGCCTTTTCCGCCAAGTTCCTCCTTGTACCAGCGATAAACTTGTGCGTGAGACTTGACCACGTTATTCACAGACAGGGCATTGTATGAGTAGAGCAGGGGCTCGTTGAAGGTGAACCACACAGGCACACGATCCGCGTAGTGCGCCATGGCCACCTTTGCATAGTGAACAAAGGCATCTTGGAAAGTCTCGTTCTGGTAACCGCCGTTGACGTACCCGATCTCAGGTTTGTCGGTAGCTTTGGTGAGGTTGCTGCCGAAGAACTGAAGCGGCGTGTCGAAGTGAAGCAGAGTGACCTCAGGAGTCATGCCCTTTTCAAGAATGAAGTTGATCACATCGTTATAGTGGTCAATTCCTTCCTGGTTTATAGGTGTACCAGGGAGAGCGAAGGGCAAGATTCGCGTCCACGCAATGCTGAAGGAGAAATGCTTAGCACCCATGGCAGCGACTCGCTCAATGTCCTGCTTGTAGTAGTAATAGTGCTCATTCGTGACATAATCCTTGGCCCGATCATCTTGGACGAGAATGTCCATGAGAGATGGCGCCTTGCCCTCCTCCGCGGTAGCACCCTCAATCTGGCTCGCCGAGCTGGCGACTCCAAAGCTGAAGTTCTTGGGGAAGTTGTAACAGTCCGAGGGGCCGAAGTAGTCTCTTGGTGGGAGAATCAGCTCACTGCTTGGAATGGGTGTGGGAGAAACAGTTGTGCTGAAGATTCCTGTCTCGGTGAAGTTGGGAGGGTTTGCATGTTCCCAGAGCGCGGTCCAGGCAGCTCGTCCATACGGATCATCCGTATCTGAAGCTTTCGTGGTGGCATTGGGGTCCCATTTACCCCAGGTTGTGAATGACAGCGAAGGCACGAGAGAGATGAGTGACTCTGGTGGATCCGCGTATGTAGTTGTGGTGGTAGGAGAGGGCACCGAAGTGGCATATCTCACAGTCTCGGAGAGAGTATAACTGAATGGTGTGTATGTGTATTTGGGCTCAATTGTCTTTGTGGCCTTGCATTGAGGACGCTCTGTAGGTCCCTCAGCATCTAAGTAGACCTGCTGGCCGAGGGCCAGAGATGCAAAGAGGAATTGTATGACAGCGTGTGAGGGTGCCATGATGGGATTGAAAGACTTGAAGCTGAGTGAGAGTGTAAAACTATCTGCGAAATCCCACGATATATATGCCCATACTATCTACCACCACAACACCACACCAAATCATTCCGCTACCCATTAATTCATTTTCCGCTCTATTAGTCGATCCCCAAAGTTCGGACCGATTCAAACCTGTTGACGATGTAAAATCGCGGGGAAGATGTGGGGTGTAACGGTCATGCTCTAAGCTACCCTTCAGCTCCCCAGGAAACAATGGTGAAAAATACACGTAAAAGTCGACAGCTATTTTGCTTGTTAACCAGATGTGGTTATTCGGTGACGGCATCGCGGGACTAGAATTTCCCCGGATCAAGGTCATGTTGTTGAACTGTGCCGATCTTTGCGGGTTGTGGACTATGGATCCGGTTTACCCCAGAATTGCGGTCCAATGGAACGAGAGGCAGAAAAGTTTATGCATGACTATAGAAGCCGAGATTGAGAGCCGTTGGTGCATTTCGCCGAAGACCCGATCGTTTGATGATGTATCGGGGTTTCGGGGTAATTCGAGTGGTGCAAGCTATTTGTTAGTCCTTGAATGATGATCATGAGATATCTTCACGACTTGTGGTATCACAATCATGTATTAAGGTCATACTTTAGGATGAGGTTATGAGAAGTTTAGTGTATTTTATTAACTATTTCTAATTTTATGATGAGACCAGGGGAGTTTAGTATCTATTATGCACTTCCTCTTTTCTTAGGATGAGATTATTAGAATATTAGTATAGTTTCTGAATTATCTTCAATATTAGAATAAGATTCGTTAGAAAACAACAGGTAGTTATCTGCCTTTCATCACTGCTTTTAGCAGCAACAGATGATAATAACAATGCATTCATTACTCATCTGGTCACCGTCAGATTAACTACAATTAAGCCACCTTAGGGTCCCCAATAATATCACGATCCCAGCTTGTTCGAATCACTTTCTTCACTGTCAGAGATAGAAGGATCTAACCCTGTAAGTTACTTGTACTCTCTTTTAGTATGCTGTTGTGGATATGGATGTTCGCTGTGGAGTTGAAAGTGATATTGATCTTCAGTGACTTTGGAACTGGCGTGCACGAGATGCCCTCAAGTGGCAGGTCGTTATCTTCCGTGACGGTTAGTCTGCTAGCATTATGGGTCTTGTATATTATTAGTCTTGTCACTATACATGTTAGAAACGGTGTTAACCTGGAGGAATTTGTTTTGTAAGTGGATCTTTAACTTGGTGACATCTTTGAACTTCTTCGTATAATCACTCGACAGAAGTAATGGCCTTCTAGCTCCCAATCAATTAGATAGTTAGGCAAGTAGGTCAATAAATACCCAAATTAAAGTATTCAAGCTATAATACTAGCCATTCCTAAGTAGAGTCTAGCCTAAGAAAGATGAATAAATTTAATAAAGTTCTCTTAAGTTTCAACATAAGTTTATAAAGATTTTGCTAAGGTAGTATAAAATAAGTAAACCTTATTAGGTACAGCTGTACTAAAGGATATCATTAGTAAAAAGGGTAAGCAAAATACACCTTCTGCCTAGGTAGGTAGGCAGAGGCTTTGCCTTACCTAGGATGACAGAATCAGCATCAGGGTCTTGTAGATACCATCTCTTCATGGTATCCACTCGAGAATATCTTTTGAAGATGAAGGTTAGTATTAGCAAGGAGTAACAGACACATAACAACAGTAGAATATTGAACATATGTGCTGTCAAGTAACGATGTTCAATTATTTAAAAGTCTAAAAAGTCCAAGTATGACTGATTCCTATGATTCAACGGAAACTTGAGTTCCCTCTCACTGAGTCTTTCAGGATGCCCTGGCCTAACACCTAGCATACCCCTCCCAAAGGGCACCTGCGTTGTCTGTCCTATCCGAAAGACAACACCCTTTGCCATAAAAGCATCTTCTAGCTCCTTGATCTCCTCTTGGGGCGGCTCCTCGTATGGATCCACGGCAACTACACTCAAATTCTGAAAACGATATAATTTCTCTGCCATACCGAGTAAATCGCGATGCATTTCCGGCCAAGCCAGTACCATGCCTATGTGGAGGATATGTAATGACGAGGGAAGACTCGCCATGAAGATCTCGGGGCCACTTTCTTTCATTGATTCGAAACGTTGTCTTCGTTCTTCTTGATCATCAAATAAAGGTCCGTATAGAAGAAGCTGTTCAATCTCGAGAATTTCGAGGCGAGGGAAGTCGGCAAAGCTGGCGTCACCGCGAAGTGATGTGTCCCAGCGTAGAAATATCGATACCTGTTCAATGATATCTTGTGCGCCGCCGGATGTGTGCTCCCATGTTGTGCTAGTGTAGCATAATCGCCTTAGTGACCGACTCACTGGCGCAAGGTGGTTATGTTGAAGGACAGTATACTTATCCATGTCGCAGAAGTATTCGAGGTCTTCTAGGACAGGACTGCGACGAAGGATCTTGGCTAGACTATCTGGATCTAAGCCATGCAATGATAGACGACGAAGACTTGAGAGAGCAGTGTCCCATGGCTCTGCACGAAAGCGCTCTCGCAGGGGAATGTCAGTCCCGCAGTCGGCATCACTGGCTGCAAGTACCTCGAGGTTTTGAGCCTTGGCCAGCATATCCTGCATTTGTTGTATATGGCAGCATTCGTCAGGGTTCTTGCCCTGACCAGGCAATACCAGGTATTTGAGGTTTGGTAGATAGAAGGGTGAGTCCCTTATGTACTGAAGTCCTTCTTGGGATGATCGGTAGATGAGTAATTGCTCTACAAAAGGCGCGGCCATGATGGAGGCTTCTTGTAACCACTTTGAGTCGACCTGCTCATATGTAGGCAGAGCGCGAAAGCCAGCTCGCTCGCCAGCCTGTCGAAAAAGAGCCTGTGTTTCTTTAGAAATCTGACGAGCGGTCACCTCTCTCAGCGCAAAGAATGCGACAGCGCGGACATGCTTGGCCAAGTCAGGCCGCTCGAGGAGTGTACGAAGAAATGTCTCGAGAGTCTCAACCTCACGTCTTCTAGCATCAGCGTCGGCCCACCACTCAGGGCTATTCGACAACTCCGATTGCCTTCCAGAGTGGTAGCAATGATGCAGAATGGGCTGAGCGATGTTGCGAAAGCGACGACATGTGCGGCTCAGCCGCGATAATGCCTGCTGTGCCTCAATGGCGTGGTCGATCTCATCTGGCGGGAGATCGACAACATGTGCATGCTGGCAATGCACGCAGAGATTGCGACAGATGGCAGCGAAGATCTCGACGGGAAGATCGCCAATGGAAAGCTGTCGTCGCCTCCGCCAGAAGGAAGGGATCTTGGTTTGGAGGGTCGGACTGAGAGACCAGAATCTCTCTCCGTGAAGGATACCATGGTCCATCCTAGTAATGAGATCCATGATATGATGGAATAGTGGTGAGATTTAGACTTTGGGCTCAGGGGTGTGGGATATTTGTAGTAAGCCAGTGCAAGGTGAAGTAGAGAAAAGGATCGTAGGTCCAGAGAAAGATGATTTGGATACCCGAAACTAGACAATGTGGGAAGGCAATAGGATAGAAGAAACATGAATCGTGTAAACGACCTTTAGATAAGTATGACCCTGTAGCTAAGGGTCGAGTAACAGTAATAGGAGTTGTCTGAAGCGGATGCTCGAGAGTGAGTGGATCGTGGAAGCATCAACTATCTTACGATGGCACCTCGCATATATACCAAGGCCTCAAGTCGATGAGTCGGGGGAATTGCTGCATTACAAATGAAACCTGAAGCCTTAAGCCTATTTTGCAAGGATGGAAGCCAACTGCGTCTGGTTATGATGGCTCATGTCATTCATGAGGGGAATAGCATCAACGTTCAGGAAATGCAGGAAGACGAGGCACAGGCGCATCATCCAGGGTCAGCAAACTAGGATCAGGGTCAAACAATGTTTAATCTGTGACCTTTTTCATGTACGTCGACGGGGAGGGAAGTGAGCTCGGGCATACGGGAGAGGGGGTAGGATGTAAGCAAAGAAGTGATGTGATGTCAAGCTTCGACGTGTGATGGTGCAGGGCATGATGTATGTATATTCATTCACTTCAGATTGAAGAAGGAAAACAGACAAACGAAGGGAGGGAATCAACTTTGATAGCAAGGAGGCATAGAAAAAGCAAAGAAACCTACGACATACAAATTCAAGGTCTAACACTTACTTGGTCGAACTCATCTACATGGCCAACATCGCAAGGGATGTGAGTCTCAGGTCGCTAGACAGTGCAGCAGGTGGACCAGAACGTGATCGAAAGATCCACCCCCCGCGATGCAATGGCCTCATTCTTGATCAGCCAAGCATCCTCTTGACTTCAAGGCCTTGCAGGAGATTACCCAGAATCATCTGGGCCAATGATGTTGCAATTCTGCCCAATATCCCTCAACGATACCCGGGGTCAGTATCATGGGGGATCCTTTCCGATATCTGCAGCATCGCGTATCGAGTTGCAGCGTGTCAATGAAAGTTGGTTGGTATTCAGCTTTCTCCAGCAGCGCAAAGTAACGCAACGTGCAAGGGTAACATCGTGTCAGGAACGCGGGATCTAGACTGCAACGGCGGGCGCGGAACGAGGCCGAGACCGAGACTTTGTTAGCGTTGCGATATGGGTCGAAACATCGTCTGATGTGATTTAATAGTCTAGCAAATAGGATATAACAGTAAGATAACGTTGAAGATCAATGACTCGCGGATTGAAGGTTAGTTCGGTTGAGTCCAGTTCCTTGCGTTGGGCCTGACACGCCAAACTTTCCCGCTGCAAGATCCCGCTGCCATCAACGGCTGGCGTAGTTTTTTAGAGTGCTCTGGCTTTTCCAGAAGGAATGTTTACACTTTGACAGCTTGCAAAAGATGAGCCGTCACTTTTCCCAACACAACCCGTCTCTTTAGCTCGTGAGTGCCCCACGTGACCTCGCACCTGGTCGCGTCACTTGCCAGGCTGCCACTCGCGTCTCACCGAGACACCCGCGTAAAGCACCAATCTCCAACTGCACGTCACAGCTTCGATTGTGGTCACACCAATTATCGGCCGATCTAGATCTCACAGAGATGCCTGACTTTACCGGTATATCTCCCAGAAACATGCTTTTCTCGCTACACCTTTACTAACGACCGCAGAGGCGGATACCATCCGCATTCTTGTTGCGACCGACAATCATGTTGGCTACGAAGAACGGGACCCGATCCGCAAGGACGATAGCTGGAGGACTTTTGATGAAGTCTTGAACCTTGCCCGAACTGAAGATGTACGATTCATTGTCTCTTTAATTGATCGCAACTTCTGACATTACTAGGTCGACATGGTCCTCCTCGCTGGCGACCTCTTCCACGACAACAAACCCTCCCGAAAATCCCTTTATCAGGTCATGCGAACCCTCAGACAAAACTGTTTAGGGATGAAACCCTGTCCATTGGAGTTCCTCTCAGACGCTGCATCTGTGTTCGAAGGTGCTTTCCCTCACGTCAATTACGAAGATCCCGATATCAACATTTCGATCCCTGTTTTCTCCATCCATGGCAACCATGACGACCCATCGGGTGAAGGAAACTTCTGTTCACTTGACCTTTTACAAGCGAGTGGATTGCTCAACTACTACGGCAGAGTTCCTGAAGCCGATAACATCGAAGCTAAGCCGATTCTGTTGCAGAAGGGCCTTACAAAGTTGGCTCTCTTTGGAATAAGCAACGTTCGTGACGAGCGTATGTTTCGAACCTTTCGAGATCACAAGGTGAAATGGTTTCGGCCAGGTGCTCAGATGGGCGACTGGTTCAACCTTTTGGCTGTTCATCAGAACCACCACGCACATACAGCCACATCCTATCTTCCCGAGAATGTCTTGCCTGACTGGCTAGATCTCGTGGTTTGGGGCCACGAGCATGAATGTTTGATCGACCCTACACAGAACCCAGAAACAGGGTTCCACGTCATGCAACCCGGTTCATCTGTCGCAACGTCTCTGGTGCCAGGTGAGGCTGTTCAGAAGCACGTTGCTATTGTGAGTGTGACGGGCAAAGACTTCAAGGTTGACAAGCTCCCACTCAAGACCGTGCGCCCTTTTGTCACACGGGAACTCATCCTTGCGCAAGACAAGCGCTTCAAGGGACTCGATAAGAAGAAGGACAACCGTCAAGAGGTGACCCGGAGACTGATGGAAGTTGTCGAGGAGATGATTGAGGAAGCCAACGCGGATTGGGAGGCAATTCAGACCGATGATGAGGCATTGGAGGAACGCCCCCTTCCGCTGATACGTCTCAAAGTGGAATATACAGCGACAGATGGTGGTCAGTTCGAGATTGAGAACCCTCAAAGATTTTCAAATCGATTCGTTGGTAAAGTGGCCAACACGAACGATGTTGTGTACTTTTACCGCAAAAAGACGTCAACGCGTAAGTCGCCTTTGTCGCTTATTATGAAATCTACTGACATACCGTAGGCAAGGCAAATGCCGTCAATCCAACAGCAGCCCTCGAAGCCCTTGATGGTGCTGATGACATGGTCAAGGTCGAAAATTTGGTGCAAGACTTCCTGTCGGCACAGTCGCTCAAGGTCCTTCCGCAAGGACCGTTTGGCGACGCTGTGAACCAGTTCGTGACAAAGGATGATAAACATGCAATGGAACTGTTTGTGTCAGAACATTTGACAGGTCAGGTCCGATCTATGCTTGGTCTAGAGTCAGACGACGAGGATCTGAACAGTGCCATGGACATCTACCGAACCAGAATTGAGCAGCAACAGACCAGCGGTGTACTTGCGGCCCCAGTAGAGCGAAAACGAGTCCTCAAGCCAAAGCCAACAACCTGGGATAGCGATTTCGATGGCAGTTGGGAGAATGAGCCGGATGCCTGGACGTATGAAGACGAACAGCAGGCTGAATCTACACCTGCACCCGCACGCAAGCCTGCACGAGGACGAGGCAAGGCGGTACAACAAGACGAAGATTTAATGGATGAAGATGAGCCTCCTGCTAAAAAGCCACCGGCTAAACGAGCAGCACGTACTACAAAAGCAGCATCTACCAAAGCACCTGCCAAGAAGGCACCAGCCAAAGGTCGAGGCCGCAAGGCATTTGAAGAGAGTGAAGAAGAAGACGTGGTGATGGAATCAGAGGATGAGCCTGCTCCCCCTCCACCAAAGACACGACGAGCTGCAGCAACGAGGAGCAATGCCAAGGCCACCACGTCTCGAGCAGCGACCAAGAGTACACGGCAGACAACGCTGAACTTTTCACAGTCGCAGAAGAGCGGTACACAGAGCAAGGCGGTTGAGATCAGCGATGATGAGATTTCAGACGATGATGCGTTCGAGCCAGCGCCGGCACCAGCATCTCGTGCTCGACGGAGATAATTGGCTGTGTATAAAAGAATACCCAGAAGAAGATGTAAGAAACGTACAAAGAGTTACGATGAATTGAGCAAACAGATACATTGATGATTATGCCCTGTTTCCTGGTCTGACTCTCACCCCCACCATTCTCCGTAGATCGGAGCCGAAGACCAAGCTGTTGAATTGACGCAATTCAGTAGGTAATTGTAGTCAACAAGCTACCTATGCGGCGTCTTTTGCGGCCAGCTCTGCGGCAAGTTTGCGGGGTAGCTCTAGCTCCCTCGGCTTGTTCATGTCTCACTCAGCTTAACGTTAGATGAACTTCAGAACCAGTGACATTATTTCTTATACTGGAACCGTCGTAGGAGGCGCCGGAACCTCCGTTGGTTAAACGTTAAAAGGTATTGCATTGCAAGTTAGTGAACACAATTGGTTAGAGTAATGCCCCGCTCATTGCTGAAGGTATCCTAAGTCGCAGCATTCATAACATCACTTGACTCACCCAGCTTCTCCCTGCTCACCTGATCCTTTATAACTTCTCATATCTCAACTGTAAATCACCTCATCCCCTCTCATACACTCACCACACAATGGCTGCAGCTGGTCACATCCGTCTCGGGACTGCCTCCCCAGGCACCCAGTCCTCCACGCCCGCTACAATCGCCCTCATCGACACCCTCGCCCAGCGCGCCGCATCCTCAAACATCGACATCCTGCTCCTCCCCGAGGCCTTCATCGGCGGTTACCCGCGCGGAAGCTCCTTTGGCTGCGCAATTGGCGATCGCAGCGCAGCAGGTCGTGACGAGTTCGCTCGCTACTTCGACCAGGCTATTGACCTTGGCGACAATGTCGGTCCTGCGGGCGGTGGTGCGGGAATCAAGTGGGTGAAGAGGCAGCTTGGTGAGGAGGATGAGGTTCGTGGCGATGGGTCGCGTGAGGAACTTGAGCGTATTGCCAGAGACACCGGTGTGTTTGTCGTTGTAGGTTGTATCGAAAAGGCTGGTGGGAGCTTGTACTGCTCTGTGGTATATGTCTGTCCCAAGCAGGGCATGCTGGGAAAGCGCCGCAAGGTCCTTCCCGTAAGAACCGATTCCCTGATCCTGTATAACCTCAACAGTGCACTAACTCGATATCCCCAGACCGGCTCCGAGCGTCTCATCTGGGCCCAGGGCTCGCCAAGCACCCTCCGCGCCGTAACAACCACCATCCGCGGCATCCGCATCAACCTCGCCGCCGCCATCTGCTGGGAGAACTACATGCCGCTTCTGCGCCAAAGCCTCTACGCGCAAAACATCAACCTCTACCTCGCTCCTACGGCCGACAACCGCGAAGCCTGGCTGGGCCTCATGCGCACCGTCGGCGTGGAAGGACGCTGCTTCGTCGTCAGCAGCAACATGTGCCAGCCCAAGGAAGCCCCCGCCGCAACAAACGGCCACGCCCGCAGAGAGCGCCGCGGTTCCTGTTTAACAGAGGAGGGCTTCGAGATCGCCCTGCCCAAATCCCCCACGCGCCGCCGTCGCAAGTCGGTATTTGATCAGGACGGTAACGAGATCGTGCTTGGCTGCGATGACGACGGCGAAGCGCCCACGGCTCGACCTGAGGCCATTTCCGAGACTGAGGCTGCCACTACTGCTACTACTACCAGCAAGGGCGAGTTTCTGTCGCGGGGCGGCTCGTCCATCGTTTCTCCATTCGGCGACGTGCTCGCTGGGCCGCAGTGGGAGGATCCTGATGGTTTGTTATATGCGGATGTTGATTTCCGCGATTGTATCCGTGGTCGTCTGGATCTTGACGCAGCGGGGAGTTACTCGCGGAATGATTCGTTCAAGTTTAGTGTTGAGGGGTTGAACTTGGATCCTCTGCCGTATTGATGACGTTGTTATGAGGTGCCTCTATGATGGGTTTTGGTAAATATGCATGCAAGTGCTATGATATTTTAGGATGACTTAGGATGAACTTTAGGTTACGAGGTTTGTAAACTTGTAATGAGACCTTGATGAGTTTATGAGAAGTCTTAGTCCTAACTTCAGTCGAATCTGCACAAGGCCTTACATTGGTCCCATCATAAATTATATATCCGTCTCATTATCATGTTGACTGGAAACTGGACTGTCACTTTTGTCGTGCGAGTAAGACTAGCATCTGAAGCTCAAGATATCACCAAGCAGCGTTAAACAAGTCTGGACTTGAGCAGAGATTAGGCTACATCTTGAGGGGATCTCCCTAAGATCTTCTGTTATTGGATGACTTCATCGTAAATTCATGTCATCTTATCATAAACTCCTATTGAGAAATGCTAAACTTCTATTCGAAATACAAGTCTTCAAATGCTTTGCCCGCCTTGTCTATGGGTATTCATACGCCTCGCTGAAACAAATGCCTCCATCGTAAAACAAATTTCGTTATTTATTCTCATCGCCAGGTGGTGTCTGCCGTCTTTGCTCCTCTAAGACCTTCCGCTCCGTCTCAGTCTCCTTTCGCTGTCTCTCGAGCGCCGCTTGCGCAAGGACTTCTCGGCGATTCATACCAGCAGCTGGATTGCTCTTGACACCACCTAGCACGAACTCGCCGCCTGTCCAGCCACCAAAGTCCTCGGGGTAGTCCTCTTCTTCGTCATCGTTTCCGGAGATGGCATATCGCGATGTCTCGCCGATCGTGTTGCCGCCTGACTTCCAATCCGCTGCGTCAACCTCTCGCTCGATCTGGTGGCATAGATCCCAGAAATTCCTGTCGTGAGGGCCGTGGACGTTGTGCGCCAACTCGTGGCATAGTGTTTTGCGGATGGTTTTGTAGTCGCGGTATCCATCGTAGGCGTCCGTCCTTAGTCGCAGCTCAATGACCTCGCCCTGGTTGCGGTTCAGACCCAGAATTCGACTTGTACCCTCGTGCGACGTCTGCGTATGCGAAAGAGGCTCCATCTCGGTAAGCAGTCCTACAGCGAACTTGTGCTTTGTCATGGCTGCGCGAATACCCGGGTCTTCCTTGAGACGCAGCAGGAGCTTCCGGCTGCGCTCTGGGTTCGGAAGGCCTTGGAGCGACCGGACTTGTAGGAATGTGTATTGCGACTCTTGAGGGTTCCGACGCGTGGGCGCTGCATGTCGAGCCTTGCTGCGATGCGCCATCCGCGCAGCATTGCGCTTTGCGACGCGCTCAGCCATATCCTGAACCTGCTGGATCTCCGCAGCGGGCGAGCCCATGAGCGTCAAGCTCTTGCCCTTGAGTTCGAGGAGGGGCATGTCGGGGTTCTTGAAGGGTGCTTTGAGGAGAGGCGTTTTGGGGGCGAGGATCTTTTGATTCGCGACGGGGACATCGAGGCTGGCTTCGATCTCGTTGAAAAGGTCTGTGATGGTGGCATCTTCGGGGAAGGTGAGTTCGTATGTTACTTTTCGATGGGTGATGGATAAAGTGAGCCAGGTCTGCTCGTCGTCGGACATGGGAGAGTCGGCCATGTTGGTGACACAGCGAAGTGGCGATGGGATTGAGCACGTTATGGTTACGGTTTATGCCAATGGCAGGGATCGAGTTGTAGATGTAGGGGTGTTGGGTATGTTGATAAGAAAGATAAGACAAGAAGATATGGGAGGTATTCTTTTTTATATCGTTGAGATCTGGTAAGCAAAAGGGAGTTATTTGGTGTCGCATCAGTCGATGCTATCGTGTTCGGCGAATTTCGGTGTCTGCTTTGTAATACGTCACTGCCACCGCCTGAACGCCACTAACTAAGACCGACTATTTACGGATGATGATTACAATGCCGGACATTACGAGACAATGGAATTCGTGGCATATGCCGATAACTCCGGATACTTGAATGATTAGACCATGATTAGTTGAGGAATTGCATTGTTTATGCGTGGCGATACGTGTATTGCAATTCATGATATCTTGTAATTGTAATGTTGTGATTCGATTACCCTAAACCATTGCCTGAATAACTCGGCTGATCATTACTGTCCGAGCGCAAGACAAATACACCAGCTGTGCATCACAATAGCAATTCTATCTCCCCGAGTAAAAGGAAACTGTTGGTTCGCTTGTTCTTGTTACTTCCGTTGACGAAGCACGAGCCGAGACCGTGGATCCCGATCCCGATCCTGTGTGCCACAATTCACAGACCACAAGTCACCAGCCTCAATCGTCCATCTCCATCGTAGATCTCCCGTGCGCATGAGACTATTGATAAAACCGTTGAGATTTAATCACGATCCGATCTAAAATGGACCAGACTTTAACTTTAGCCTCCTCCTGTCACTTCCTTTGGCGTGGGTTAGTACCTGACACATTAACTCGCGAAAAAAGCTTATTGACGACACTGATACATAGCATTTCTCAACCATCACGGCAGATCTGAAATCTCATCATGTCCTCACCCGCAAGTGTCACGTATCACATTCCGATATAGGTAAGTAAAATAATAAAACTCAAATTCGACTCTTTATTTACTCGTACATGTAACATTTGCAATATATAAAAAGCTGTTACTTCATGCCCAAACGCCTCCAAAAATGATAATAAACAAACGCAGCATGTCGTCGTCGCTGGATCATACAGCTTTCTGTCGCTTATCGAGCTCATCAGGCTCCTTCCCTGGGATTACATGTCACTATTTATTGTCTATGCACTGGTCAGATGAGAAAGGCGGACAAAAAAGGGGGAGATTCCGCAGCAAGAATGGAGGGGGAGTTATAGACTTACAGGAGTGCCAGTGTCAAATCACCGTGGATTCTAGCCTTGAGTTCGATCTCAATCTCGAGGTTGAGCTCGAGATGCAGACTGAGGGCGTCGCTCTTACCGCCACCTCCTCCTTGCGGCTGCTGTTGCTGCTGTTGTTGCTGCATCTGCTGTTGTTGTTGCTGCTGTTGCATCTGCTGCTGCTGGCGCTGCTTCTGCGTCAACTGCATCTTCTTGTCGTCGCTCTTTGACCAATCCTTTCGGCCCTCCTCGTCAGACTCCTCGTCGAGCCACGCGGGACGCTTCTTTTTTAAATCGTTAACCTTTGACTTTGTGTTGCTTCGTCTGTCGCCCTGGCGCTTGGCGGCTTCTGGCTGAGGAGGAGTAGCAGGCTCGTTCTCCTCTTCAGACTCCGACTCCGACTCGGAGTCGTCTTCGGAGTCTTCCTCGGAATCTTCTTCCGAGTCATCCTCAGAGTCAAAGTCATCCTCGTCATCGTCCTCCGATTCGCTCTCACTCTCACTCTCGCTCTCTTCCTTGACGGGAGGCTTCCTCTGCTTAGGCTTCTCGGGCTTGGCCTCTTCGGTCTTCTGTTCGGCCTGTGCCTGTGCCTGCTCGGGCTTGGACTCGGACTCCTCCTTCTTTAATTCTTCAGGCTTCTTGTCCTCGGCCTTTGACTCCTCAGGCTTTGACTCCTCAGGCTTTGACTCCTCGGCTTTGGCTTGTTCAGGCTTGGGGTCTTCTGGCTTTGACTCCTCAGGCTTAGAATCCTCGGGCTTGGAGTCTTCGGCTTGTGCTTGCTCAGGCTTTGACTCTTTGTCGTCGGGGGTCTCAGCCTTTGCGTTCTCGGGGTCGGCCTTGTCTCCCTCCTTAGACTCCTCCTGCCCAGCCTCCTCGGGCTTCTTCTCAGACTCAGATTGACCTGGCTGCTGCTGAGCATCTTGGTTCTGCTCCTGCTCCTGGCCCTGGTTGCCTTCTTGGTTGTCGCCCTGGTTCTGGTTAAAAGGGTTGCTGTCGTTGCCCTGCTCCTGCTGGTTCTCCTGCTCACGTCCGGGAGACTGAGGAGTGTCTCGCTGCTGCGAGTCCTAGAGGATTTTAATTCATGATCGAACACAACCTACTAATGGTACAAACTTACTTGTTGGTATGATGAAGACATGGTGGTGTGTGTTTACGAGTTTGTGGCTTTTTGGTGAATGAACAAATGTGGTTTCTAAAATGTAAAGATTTAAAGGCCTGCTGACAGTACGGTTATGAGATAGAATTCTATACTAATGTTCTGTGCATATTTTTTGAGATTATAATGGACGAGCCGGACACGAAACCTGTTGAAACAGGCTTGACTGACGCAATAAGTGTCATTGCATCCAGACATTGACCCTTGAAGAACCGGTTTCTATCGTGGTAAGGCACTTGAAGCGAATTCTACATGACAGGTCAAAGTGACGTAAAAAATGGCAATGCAAACCCTGTAGGTATGACGTTTGACCCTCCCCAGGTTGTAGCGGGAGGGTGGGAGTGTAGAAATTGCAGGGATTGTTGTGTGGCTGGTGTATCAGCATCAGCATGGTCCATGACTGCATGGAGAAGAACTGGGTCAGGCTCCTACAAAGTGGACTGAACCGTCATGTAGTGCCTGAGTGCCTGCTGCTGTCAAACAAACCCTCGCAATACCTAATACAATCGAAAGAATCCAATACTCTGTACCAAGAAAACAGACAGCAGAAGCAGAAACCATGGTTATTGGATTACTTGCCATCGCGGCTATCCCGACCGTTACAGGCGTAGGCAACGCTATAAGTGCGCAGAAGAGACAAAATGAGAGCATGAGCAAGGAACAGGAAAAATTTCACCTCACGTTCATGATGCAGAGGAAGGGGAAGACAGAGGAGGTTGGCCAAGGAGTTCTCGTGGACAAGAAGGTGAGCGATTCTTCCAGAGGCATCCATCTTGCCTGACAAATGCAATGCACATTCATACTGATACTGATACTGATATTAGATGTATCTCAACCTCTCAGACGCACCAGTGCAAGGCTACAGGTTTCTAGGCTGGTTTTTCAAGTATCCCAGCGAGGAGGGACACCTGGGGCTGGTAAGCATGGTGTCGGACGAGCCCCCGATGCTCAACTGGATCTTTGTGGACAAGGACACGCACATGGTGACCTTTGGGGGGAAGAAGGACACCATCGACCACGTCATAGGACCCTGGGGCTGGACAGAAGATGATCGCTTCCTGACGCTGCAAGGGGATCATGATTCGTTTGTGGCGGTGCGCGACGAGCACGGGAAGTGGTCCGTATACTGGGACCCGGAGGGTGATATCGAGGACGAAATAGACGACGACGAGAGGTGCCAGCCTGTGAGGCTGCGGAGAAGGCCGCAGCTCGGCATGGAAAGCAGCTATGTTAAGCACTGAGGATTACTTGTAATAATAATTAACCCAAGGCTTGTTTTGTTCCCTGTAACGTTAATGCAGAGTCCCGGACCTGGAGAAGTGAAGTTGGAGGGGTTGTGTCAAGAAGTGGGTTGTCGTGTCTTGCCTGGTCTTGGATGGGCTGACAGGGTATTTTACTGGATTCCCATCTCGACCATGACCTCATGGGCATCTAAATCCTGTTATGAGGTTTCGTGGTAGTCAAACTTATATCCCCTTGGCTACTCTTATTTTCCTAGACTCGATTCTTAGTGAGATAAAATAAAAATAAAGGACAGAAACAAGAAAACACATTCACATTCACACTAATACACTTCTCACCAACTCTTGTCAACAACACCTTCAACAGCAAAGCCAGCCCATCCAAGCGAATATCAGATTTCAATCTACTTTTAAATCAGCATCAAAATGTCGTCTATGGAAGCTGAGGACCAGACCCTCTCCAGCGAGGAGGCTCCCCGCCGAGAGCGCCGCAGCAAGAAGAAGGGCACCAAGTCCCGTCGTCGACAGCAGGAGACCCAACAGCAGCAGCAGCAAGGCGGCGGCTCAGGACCTCTGGACCAGCTCCCTCTGGCGGGCGACCTCGGCAACACGGTCGGCGGCGTCACGGACGGCGTGAGCAACACCCTGGGCGGCGTCACGGGGGGCCTCGGGGGTCTCACGGGCGGTCAGCAGCAGGGCGGCGGCGGTGGTGATGCCGGCAAGGACACTCTGCGACTGCGTCTAGATCTCAACCTCGACATTGAGATCCAGCTCAAGGCCCGTATCCACGGTGACCTGGAGCTCTCTCTACTGTACGTTACCTCCCCCTGCACTCCCACTCCCACTCCCCGCTACTCCCGTAACTATTGTCTGTGGCCGTCGTATCTTACTTGGCTTGCAAATCTCCAGCACGGGATAAAACGGTGTCTGTGTCTGTGTTTTTGTCTTGCAGAGGCTAATCGCTTTGGCGCTGTGCAGAAACTAGAGCATTTTGTTATCGTTACTGCAATTGCATTTGCGATTGCGACTGCAAACGCTGTCATTTATCGTCTTCATGTCATGATGGTATCCATGTAATGTTACTGTTACCACAACAGTACAAACAACAACGGCGGCGCAACATGGTGTTTATTAATGATGGTTATTTCTTGTTTGTTTTTAATTTACACTTTACTGTTGTTTTCTGGGAAAGGGATAAATACTACTACATACGTACTATATACAATACTTTGACACAACATTCTCGCTCTCATATATCATTTCGGTTTCAGACAGTAGATGTGGTTTGCTTCTGTGATTGTTCGCACTGAGTGAGACGAGACTGACGAAAATATCATGTCATGACATCCATGATTGTACAATTTCCGATGCCTCATGTTCAATCTCCGTCCCCCCAACTCCAGCTCCAACTCCAACTTTTGCTTCGGACGCATTGCACGTAAACGTCAGATTGCATCAAAGTGCAAGGATCTCAGTGGATTAGGCACTTTACCATCCAAGGCAAAGGGCAAGCCACAGACCAGAAGTGCCACGCAAGCCACTGTCTCGACCATCCTCTTGCAGCCTAGCACCAACCGTTTTTTCCTTCCCTTCCCAGGAACCCAACGCTAGGAGACTCGGGGGCGTTGGAAAGGGTACAAAAAAGAAGAAAAAAGCTTGGTCGAAGGAGGAGAAAAGACAGAAAAACAGGGACCAGGCTTTGACATTGTTCCCACCAATCAAAGGCCTGTTCAAAGCTGCCTGTCTTGTCTTGTCTTGTCTCACCTTGTTTATATATCCCTGCTAGCTTCTTTCTTTCCCGGTTGTGGTCCACGGATCGCGATGAGCGCTGACGATCAGGAAAACGGCCCATATCCTGGCTCAATTGTTTCCAAAGTTCTTGTCTGTGTTTATTGTTAGCTGTGAAGGTGACCTGTATTATACCACTATACCACTCTGAATTATTACATGCGGCTCGATCACTTCTACCAGGGGGTGTTCTGTTAGAGATACTTTTTACCTAAGAATAGGGGTGTTCCCTTTCTTTTCTCTTGCATCGCCATGCATTTCACCCTAATCCAAGACAGACAGACTAAATAAACCCGTCTATCCGTACCGTACACACGGAGTAGTCTAGTTAGTCTCTCTCATGGTATCTGTCGTCATGTCCCCGCACAAACCTAGCTCGAGCCACACATCAAAGTCACCATTTTGGCACGGTGGCATCAAGTCAGCACTCTCCTCTGCCATCTCCATATTCCAGCCTTCCTCCTCTAGACCCAGACCCCCAGCAGCCGCCATAGCCATCCAGGATCAGGAGAAGGAGTACGAGCACGAGTACCAGACGACTACTGCTGAGCCACAAGACCCAATCCCTAACACTCTGCCTCTACCGCCTGCTCCAAGGCCTGCCCACCTCCCAATGGCAAACAATCGCTCCTCGCCCACCCCTGGTGGCGATCCTACGCACAGCACGTACGAGGTCAATGTTCCTGTCCGTAATGGACGCGGCTCTTCGCCAAAGGTCTCAAACCCAGAGATCCGCATCCCCAGGATAACACCAGTATCCGATGGCACAGACCAGCCTCAGGATCAGCATCAGCATCAGCCGCATCAAGGTTCAGAACCACAACCTCAATCTCATTCTCAGCCTCAACCCTCAACATCAGCTTCAGCATCCACATCAAAACCTTCACATCAAGAACTCGCCGCTGGCCTCGACGGCAAATATGTCGACGAGTTCGGCAACATCCTGGGCTGGGACGGCACCGTCCTCGGCCGTGTAGAAGGCGATCTGCCTTCCATGGTAGGGCGACCAGTCATGCCCTCTGGAGAAATCCTCGACGAGGACGGCGAGGTGGCTGGCCATGTGTGCGACAACTACACCAAGCCAGATCTCAAACCCCTGGCGGGAGGGCTCAAAGTCGATGATGAAGGCAATATCTACAATGACCAAGGAAACAAGATTGGCAAGCTTGACAAGCCGATGAATGACGGGCCCGAGAAGGTTTCCGGGAGCAAGGATGCAGGTGCAGATACCCAGGGAGGCTCCGGCAAGATCGCTCCAAAGCCGCCGTCTGCCCCGAGACCTGACGAGCTGTTCCTGGATGTGAAGTCAACTTTCGATGGGATTCAGCTCACCATCAAGATCCCCACTGTCTTCAATAGGAATGTTGTAACCGAGACAAAGAGCAGTGCCAGTCAGACTGACACCACCGATACCACAGATAGTAGTCATAATCGATAATCTCTTTTTTTTTTTTGCATGGCGCGTTTCACAATTGTCCCGACCTTGTCCTGTCCACTGACCCCCCCATGCAAGTGACTATGTAAGTGAGTAAGCCAAGCCAACCAAATCAAGCATATGCAGTCCATTCGTATGAGTGAAAGTGGCTCTCCTCTCAATTCCAACGCCCCTCCACACCTCGGAATTAAGTAAACCTCATGGGGTAACCCCTCCCCGTCACGCTAGATCGTTACCTAGTTCACCATCCATTCACTCACTCACTCGCTCGCTTGGCTCTTGCATCTGCCGTTGACGTTTGGCAGATGGAAATCCAGCTGGTACGCTCTGAGGCCGGCTGTTGCCTCTGAGGCCACACGTGAAGTTCAGCACAGCACTGTACGGGCAACCACTCCCCCCCAGAGCCGAGGGCAAGCATAAGCCAGTTCTTCATCTCGATCCATACCCTGATTGTGCAAGATCGTCTACCCAGATGGTGTGCATCCTGCATCCTCCACCCCGCAAGCCTGTTTTACGACCCGTTCGACATTCTCGTCGGGGAAGGTCGAGACCAGGAAGAGGAAGCCTCATCCTAGGAGCTGCCACAGCTTCCAGCCCATAGCTCTCTCTTGTGGCATCTAATCCATGCCATGGGAGCTCCTTATAACGTCATCCAACAGCTCTCGCCACACCATCCCCGAGCTTCGAACCCCATCATGACGTGTGGCTGTTGCAGCTTGTGTTCGATAACAGGTGCGGCGCAGTATCATGACAGCAATAGCTCCAAAGATGTGTTGCTCACACTGACGTTGTGACTGATATTGACGTGATTGAGTGGCTGCTGTAAAACTTGTTTTGTATAAGCTGTGTGTCGGTATAAGTAGTGAAAGATGTGGTGGTTGCGGCTTCAGAAAAAGTATCAATCCATTACATTTCCATTCTTGGCCAACTTACGCAGCGAAAATCAACACAATACCAATACCAATTCCCAACTAACTCAAAGATACCCATCAAATCATCTCTTATCTGAAAGATACCCTTTTTTTGATCTCGAAGGAGTTGAAGAAGACGAACAACTACACCAACAGCACATCATGGCAGACCTCTCCTCCCAGGTTCAAGACACAACAAAAGATACTGCTCACAAAGAGCAGGAATCCCCTGGTGCGTTTAACGGTTCCCCACCAAGTTTGGCGCTTATCGTCCCCATTGCAGTCAACGAGTCAGTCCCCAGGAGCGGAGCTGGCGTTGTGAATGATGCCGGCGATGTTCTAGATGACTCCGGCAACACTGTTGGCAAGATCGCCGACACAGATAACCTCAAGAACCTTGTGGGCAACACCGTCAACAAAGCTGGCGATGTTGTCGACTCCTCAGGCGATGTTCTAGGCAAGACCCTGCCTATAGGACAAGGGAAGCCCGAGGACGAGGATTCACACGACGAGGAGAAGAGCGAATACACAACCCAGGCCAAAGACAACAAATCTGGAGGTCTGGGAGATGCCGCTGGCAGCGTCACAGGAGCTGTCAGCGACACAGCAAAGGGAGCCACCGATGCTGCTGGCGACACAGCTGACTCCGTCGGCAAGACCGGCAAGGAGGCCGTTGGCGACGTGACTGAAACCAAGTCAGAAGCCACCTCCCAAGCCGCCGACACAAACACACCTGCCGAGACACCCAAGGCTCCTCAAGTCAAGGACGAGACACCAGATGTCAAGTCTGAGCAAAGCCAGGACCAGAAGGATATCAGCCTCGAAGACCGCGAGGCTCCTGCCGAAGCTGATGATAAGCTCAAGGAGGTCGCACCAGAGCCTGTGGAGGAGACAACGGACAAGGCGGAAGATACCGCCAAGGACGCTCCCGAACAAGCAAAGGATACCACAGAAGAGGCTAAGGATATCCCTGAAGAGGCCAAGGACACCACAGACGAGGCTAAGGACATTCCCGAAGAGGCCAAGGAGGATGTTACCTCCAAGGTCGACGAGCAAGACGTTCCCAAGCCTGAGGATGTCGAGGACAAGCTTCAGGAGAAGACTGAGGAGGCCAAGGACGACGTTCCCAAGTCAGAAGCCGCCGAGGTTCCTGAAGGTGATGCCGCCAAGTCACAAGCCCCTGGCGACGAGATCTCCAGCGGCGAGGTTCCTGAGGACGACGGCGACAAGTCCAAGGCTGGCGATGACCTGAAGTCTGTGGCTCCCGGCGAGGATGCTGCTGGCGTCACCGACGAGGTCAAGAGCAAGGCCGCCGATGGCGAGGAAGTCGCCGACGACAAGCTCGCTGAGGGTGAGAAGGCTGCCGAGGACCTCCCTGAAGACGCCAAGAGCAAGGCTGCCGAGGGTGAGGAAGCCACTGGCGACCTCCCCGAGGATGCTCAGAGCAAGGCCGCTGAAGGCGAGAAGGCCACCGATGATCTCCCTGAGGATGCCCAAAGCAAGGTCGCCGAAGGTGAGGAGACCGCTGAAGGCAAGATTGCCGAAGGCGAAGAGGCCACTGGTGATCTCCCTGAGGATGCTCAGAGCAAAGCTGCTGAGGGTCAGGAGACCGCCGAGGATAAGGTCGCCGAGGGCGAAGAGACTGCCGAGGGCAAGGTCGCTGAAGGCGAGGAAGCCACCGGCGACGTCACCGAAGATGCTAAGAGCAAGGCCGCTGAGGGTGAGGAAGCCACTGGCGACCTCCCCGAGGACGCTCAAAGCAAGGCTGCTGAAGGCGAGGAGACCGCCGAAGGCAAGGTTGCTGAAGGCGAGGAAACCGCTGAGGATAAGGTCGCCGAGGGCGAGGAGACTGCTGAGGGCAAGGTCGCTGAAGGCGAAGAAGCCACCGGCGATGTCACCGAGGAGGGCAAGGACAAGGCCGCCGAGGGTGAAGAGGCTGTTGAGGACAAGGTGGCTGAGGGCGAGGAGGCTGCCAAGGAGGAGCCTCTCGACTTCACCATCCTCAAGGGCACCACCGTCGACAAGGAGGGTAACCTCGTCAACGACAAGGGCGACAAGCTCGGCAAGGTCGTTGAAGGAGAGCTCAAGCAGCTCGTCGGTCTCTACGCCGATGACCAAGGTATCATCTGGGACAAGACCGGCAAGCAGCTTGGCAAGGCCGAGCCCATCCCTGAGTGGGACCGCGAGCAGAAGGATTTCTCCGTTCTCAAGGGCACTACTGTTGATAAGGAGGGCAACCTCGTCAACGACAAGGGCCACCTCATCGGACGTGTCACTGAGGGCGAGATCAAGCAGCTTGTTGGTCTTTCTTCTGACGACCAGGGCATCATCTGGGACAAGACTGGCAAGCAAGTCGGTAAGGCCGAGCCCCTCCCTGAGTGGGAGCGTGGTGAGCAGAAGGATTACAGCCTCCTGAAGGGTACCACTGTCGACAAGAACGGAAACCTTGTCAACGAGAAGGGTCACCTTTTCGGCAAAGTCATCGAGGGTGAGATCAAGCAGCTCATCGGTCTCACTGCCGATGACCAAGGTATCATCTGGGACAAGACTGGCAAGCAAGTCGGCAAGGCTGAGCCTCTCCCCGAGTGGGAGCGTGGCGAGCAGAAGGACTTCTCTGTCCTGAAGGGAGCTGTTGTCGACAAGGAGGGTGGTCTCGTCAACGACAAGGGAGACACCGTCGGCAAGGTCTCTGAGGGTGAAGTTCGACAACTTGTTGGCCTCAAGTCCGACGAGAACGGCAAGATCTGGAGAGACGGCAAGGTCGTCGGCCAGGCTGAGCCTCTCGCTGAGTGGGACCGCGTCCAGAAGAAGGACCGCTCCATCCTCAAGGGCACCAAGGTCAACAAGGTCGGTAAGCTCGTCGATTCTAACGGCACTGTTCTCGGTAAGATTGTCGAGGGTGATCTGAAGGAGCTCCTCGGTAAGCGCGCCGATGAGAACGGTGACATCTGGAACGACTCCGGTGAGGTTATCGGCAAGGGTGAGCCCGTCTCTGTCTCTGAGCGAGAGGAGAAGGGCTCTGCTCCCTTCGAGAACTTCCCCGGCGCCAAGGTTGAAGCCGATGGTCGTGTCACGTACCAGGGCGAGCAGGTTGGTGAGGTCATCGAGGGTGACGCCAAGCAGCTCAAGGGCAGCGAGGTTGACGAAGATGGTGACATTCTCGACCGCCGCGGCAACACCGTCGGTAAGGCCAAGCGCTGGGAGGCCCCTGAGGAAGAGGCTGAGAAGCCCATCGACAACTCCGCCCTTGCTGGCAAGCGCGTCAACAAGGCCGGCAACCTCGTCAGCGAGTCTGGCGAGATCTACGGTCGCGTTGTTGAGGGTGATGTCCAGAAGCTCATCGGACGCATGTCTGACCGAGATGGCAACATCCGAAGCGAGTCAGGCGACATCATTGGCAAGGCCGAGCTCGTCTCTGAGGGCGAGCGTGGTGGTAAGAAGGAAGGTCCTTTCGCCCAGCTGAAGAACTGCACTGTCTCCAAGGATGGTAAGATCGTGAACTCAGCTGGCGAGACTGTTGGCCGTCTTATCAGTGGTGACGCCAAGGCCCTTGTTGGACGTGCTGTTGACGACGACGGTGAGATCACCGACTCCAACGGCAATGTCATCGGCAAGGCTGAGCGCTGGGAGGAGGAGGAGAAGGAGAAGAAGCACAACCCTCTCGCCGGCCGAAAGGTTAACCGTGAGGGCAACGTTGTTGACGCCGACGGTAACATTATCGGTAAGCTCACCAGCGGCGAGCTTCTTGACTGCTCTGGCAAGGAGGTTGATGAGGATGGTGATGTCTTCAACCAGAAGGGCACCGTCATCGGCCACGTCTCTCTTCTTGAGGACATCCCCAAGGAGGAGGAGCCCGAGCCTGAGGGCGAGACCGAGGAGGAGAGGATCAAGCGCGAGGAGGCTGAGGCAGAGGAGAAGAAGACCACTGAGGAGGCTGAGAAGAACAAGAAGCTTGCTCAGCAGCTCTCCTACCAGATCGAGCAGACTCTGGAGAAACTTCGACCTATCTGCAAGCAGATCAACGACAAGATCAGCGCCGCTGAAGCTCAGAAGCCTGAGGACCGTGACGAGGAGGAGCTTGTCCGACAGGTCAAGCCCTTGATCGAGGACGGTGGTAAGCTCTTGACCGAGACGAACGGTATCATCCGTGGTCTCGACCCCGATGGTCGCATCGCTCGCAACGCCAAGCAGCAGACAGCTGCCGGTGAAGCTACTCCCGAGGAGGCTCACCTTGCCAACCTTCTCAAAGAGCTATCTACTGAGATCCAGACCACCATTGACGAGAGCAAGCGCAAGCTTGAGGGTATGCCTCACGCTAAGAAGGAGATTAACCCTCTCTGGGGTCTTCTGGCTGAGCCTCTCGCCCAGATCATCGCTGCTGTCGGTCTCCTGCTCAGTGGTGTTCTTGGCCTCGTTGGCAAGATTCTCGGACCCATCTTGGGCCCTCTAGTAAGTTACACCTATTCAAAACTCTCCATTTCTTCAATTATGCTAACAATGTCTTCAGCTCAACGGTCTTGGTCTTGGTGGCCTCCTTGATGGCCTACTCGGTGGACTTGGTCTCAAGAAGATCCTCGGAGGCTTGGGACTCGGCAGTGTTGTCGGTACCGTCACTGGCAAGAAATAAGCAAATCTTTCATGATGTAACGATGGATATCTCTTAATTAATTGTATACTGTGGAAATGTTGGGATTATCATCTGTACTTTAGTTTATTTTGGAGTTTTTGTCTTGTTTAGCTTTATGAATTTCACGACTAAGTTAGGCCAATCATGATGCTCCCAAAGTTGAAATGAAGTGTTCCACTGCATCCACATGCGGCTTAGCGATGATTTCGCTGAGTCAGCACAGAAATTCTCGCCTACAAATTTCCGACTTTTTTTCCACAAGCCTTCTGTACAATCATCCAACACCATGAACAGTTTGCTTCTGGCTTGGCCTTCCTGAACAATGCGGCGATGCGTCTCTTTCTCATTCGCCATGGAGAGACAGTTGACAACGTCGCTGGTCTCTTTGCGGGCTCCCGCGACTCAGCCTTGACTGCGCACGGCGTTTTGCAAGCTCAGCAGCTAGCATCTCACTTTGCTAAGCATGTCACCATTGATCGCATCTTCTCGTCCAACCTCAGTCGCGCGGTGCATACCGCCCAGTCTCTCATCGACGCGCAGAAACGCGCAAAGGATCTAAATTTGGTCCAGGTTGTTGAGCTGAGGGAGAAGGATTTTGGTACGGGCGAGGGAACCAAGTTCGGGTCGGCGAAGCACGAGGGCTCTGAAACACCACAAGCGATGAGGAAGAGGATTGATATTTTCTTGGATGAGCACTTGCTTCGTCTGCACGAAGATTCAACTGTCTGCATCGTCGCCCATGGTATCATTCTCGGTTCTCTCTTCAAGGCACTCCGGGACAGGGTCTCTTCCACGTCCACTGGTTCAGATTCTGCACCGGACGGCCAGGCAGGCTCTGATTTTGTACGACCTACTTGGAGCAACACCGGCTACGTGGAGGCCATCGTCACAAGCGACCTGTCAGCCAACGATCAGCGACTGCAGATGCGCGTCGTGAAGATCAACAGCGTCGAACACCTCAAAGGTCTGAAAAAGACCCGAGGAGGAATTGGCAGTGCCAAGTTCGACGCCAAACAAAAAACGATGACCTCTTTCTTCAAGCCCACGTCGCGAAAGCGCAAGCTTGAAGAGGAGGACATTGTTCCTCCATAAATGGTACGTTCACTTTTTTACTTTTCGAATTTTCCCAACCACCAAGCTTTATGATGAAGAAGCAATTACACAGACCTGTACTGAAATACATAATGTGGAAACAATTTTGTCCAACCGCTGTCTGACAGCTTGTTCACAAACTACCTTTGTTGTCATTATTTTATGGTAACACTGCTAACGATGAACTCAATAGGTCTACATTGAACTGGCATAGCATCTTGATTGATGGCCTTCATAGAATCATTACACAATAATACATACTATTCTAAACATCTGTGCTTGTCTCGTCCACTCCCGTGAAAACTTTGTACATACGTCTACTCACAGCTTGTCCAACTGTGCGATCGGAGAAGGCTCCGTCCTTGTTGGCGCTTTTTCTGACGCCCTCCAATCGAGTTGGCCCAGTGGCCTCAAAGCCTCGAACCAGTTCACTAACTGTATCGAACTCCTTGGCCACACCATAAGCAATCGGAGCTGTGACTCTCACAATCTCCTGCAGCATTCTTACATATGTATCTTTTGCGTCTTCTCCTGTCTTGACCTGTCCACTCTCCATGCAGAATCCTGCACCAAGCGTCGCGAGCTCTCGCTGCTTGCGGTAAGGAATTGTCGATATGTGTTGGGTAAAGGTAAGAATCTGCTCGGCCGTCTCCATCGGTATCATAGTATGATGGATCAGGACCTCGTGTATTACCTGCAGTTGAAGCAGCGCGTCCTCGATTGTCTCCTCTGGCACGTATTCAGCAGACTTATTCCGCCGGTTGGAAGCAGCTGCTGTGGTTTCTGAGGCGCGAACATTAGATGCGAATTGACGATTACGAAGGCTCCGATTCTTGCGCATCCAAGGAGTGAGACCTTCGATAAGGTAGACGAGATGATGCTCGGCGAAATGCCTCTGCATTTTAGCAACGTGAGGCGAAATCCCGTCATCCAGCGCAAGCTTGACAAACTCATCGGCTTTCATGACAACGAGTGCGTGCTTCTCATCTACAAGACGAAGGGGTATTGGCTCCCAAAGACCAAGATCGTCGTTGTATCGACTGCGAACCTTTCTACGCCACTTAACCACATTGTCGACCGGGCTGTCCCAAGTTGTGTACTGCACATCAAAGGGTTCTAGCATGGCCTGAAGCTCAGTGGTCACGGTTGGGTTTAGACTCGAGGGGATATCGACCATCATTTCTGGAGTCGAGATCTTCTTGTCTGTCCTCAGCTTGTTGACCTCAGCCAACGCAGCATTTCGTTCTTTTTCGCGGAGTTTTGCCTCTTTTGCTTCCAGTTTTTCGCGCCTTTTCGCCTCCTTCTCAACTTCTCTGGCTGCTGCCTTCGCTTCTTTTTCTCGTGCTCGATCCTCTGTCGATGTTTTACTTGTGGCTGGTAGTTTTGTTCGGGATCGTGATGATACGACATCGCTTTGCGAGCGCTGAATCTGCGATCGACGGCGCATTTTGGTCACATCGAAAGATGCAATATCGGGCAGTTCGTCCTCGGAGCTGTTCTCGCCGTCTGAGTCGTCAATATTAATGACGTCTCGTTTCTTCCCTGGTGGCGATGAATCGAAGGAGAAGACCTCTGGGGCTGAACTGGAGATAGGATCCCATGCTGCGTTCTTCTTAGGCGGTGGCATCGGGGCCGGTGCAGGCGGGGATGTTATAATGGCTTCATGTGCCTTTGATGTTATTGGCACTGGCTGGGGCGAGCTCGCGAAAGGATCGGAGGATTCGATAGGTTTCACTGCTGGCTTTGGTTTCGGGGGCGAGCGGCGCACTGGCTGTGGCGAACTTGCGAAGGGATCAGAGTCCTCAGCTTCAGTCGTCACATGCGGTGTAGGTTTCGTAGGAGCCTTTACCGAAGGTCTCATCTTGTCCGGCGAAATAAGCCCCGGGGAACTTGTCAGCTCTATGGGATCGTTGGTAGAAACTCGACCATTCCCATTCCTTCGCACTGGTGGGAGAAGTGTTTGAGAATCTGGGACTGGAGAGATTCGCTTGACAGGCGGCGCTTGAGCTGGAGGGGAAAGACATCGTCTCTTATTTGTGTTGATATCTGTCAAAATCGGTTCGTCTAGGTCTATGGTGGTGTCGAAGTCATCTGACAGGAAGAGACCGCTGGAAACTGGTACGTGTGATGCTTTGGTCGGATCTGTAATGTCAATACTTGGTGGTTGCTGCTTCTCCAGCTCGGTGTCGTTGTTCTTGGGCCATTGGCTCGAAGGTGGGATAGAATGGCTCGTCGGACTCGATGAGACGAGATCAATCACATCGGGAGCCATTTTCCTAGAGGTGCTCGTCTGAATACCATCGATGGTGTTTCGTCTTCTTCTTGATAGTGGGGCGGTTTGGTTTTCGCGATGTGACGCGACCATCATTTACACGAAAAACGCCAAAGTCACGTGAATCTCTCTACTCAGGTTGGCTGTTTTAATTGATGGTCTCACTTGCGCTATTGGAATAGGTACGTAGTCGTTAGTTTTCATGCATCTACAGAGTAATACTGCCTATATCATTGATTAGTCCTACAGTAGCCGGTCAGGGTGATCAGTCCAACCTGATAACCGTTCAAAACATGACAATACTCTCGACGTCGCATATATAGGTCGGCATCTAACCAAAATAGCCCAGCACGGGTTTTGCTACTGCTTCCACTTCTGCTGGTTTTTGGCTCTCGTCTCTTGCAGGCAGCATTGATTTGTTATGCCAAGTCAATGCTGTATCTCAGAATAGGGTATTCCTGTAGCGTTTAAGCATATCAAGAAGCACTTGACTATATGAATCGGCAGCAATAGGAGAGATAACAACGCCATGGACCAGTAAAACATACCTAAGCCTATATAATACAAGTCTTCTTCATTGGTTTTATTTGAAACGAAACGCGCCAATGGTAGCCTATATCTTTCCATCATAAGTGCAGGCTACTTATTGTAAAACTATAAACCTGTACTATAATACCACCGATATTACACGACCCTATATCCGCAACGTCCCAAGAAATAATGATCAAATAACGATGAATCAGTTATCACCGGGGAGAGCTCCGTAGATAGTGAGGTTTGTCCTTTCAACTTACAATTGGGCGATGAACGGGGACAACGATACCTGTTGAATAGCATTGTCACCTATCGACTAACACTCCCATGCTCTATGGATCACAGGTGTATACACGAGGTTATTTGGAGATCGATTATGCATAATCTTCTACGTATTAAAACTTATTTAAAATGACTATTATATATTGACACGTCTACTAAATGTTTAAAACTTCCTGTTTTGACTCCTATCTAGATTACGGGTATAGCAGACGTGCGGATTGATTATAACCCGCCCGGCAGTTCAGGGTAGCAATGAAGCAAATGAACAGCTCGCTTACAACAGCGTCGATATGTCCCGTGCCGTGCCGCGATGTCGGAAGTTTCATGTTTAATGAGAGCGGTTGTCATTTACTGTAAATGGTACTTCGTCCTTCGGCCCCTTGTGACGTCTTTGGACTGTCAGCGACACATCGTGCACCGAGGACATTTCGAGCTCTGATCGCCAAACTCCCGCTGATTTTTCAGGATAGAATGGGTAAGGCCCCGTCCAGAGTATATAATCTCGCAATAACTATAACTGACCTAAACAATTTTTGCGCTGCAAGGATATATGCGATTGGTTGGGACAATAGCAACTAGGGATTAAAGTACGAATGTTGTGGAGATGCTCGCCTTGTTCTTGCATTTAGACAGCATATGCCTCGGCTATCAACACCTGCTCTACCAAGGCGAACCCTCGAGCCTTGTTTACATTGCTGTTATACCTATTGAATACTCAAGAACATGTGCATGACGGACACCGCGGCTCGCGAATAAAGGTGACCGAATCCCGATCGCTCTCTGAGCCAGCTCTTCCTGTTAGGGACCGCGAGAGAAGGTTTGCTGAATTCGACTGTGCATGCAACAGACAAAGGCGCGGAATATGACCTCTGGATTATGACCTATCAACAGTGAAAATCTGCAGGGTAGTACTGCGTGGTTAATATACTTCTGTAAACAGAAATGATAACGAAAGAGCAAAAGTATCGAGGTTTCAGTAGGATTCAAGGGTGGGGGCTTGAACCTGAAACATACCGTAGGCGTGATATGTTTGGCCCCCGCGATTTTGCTTCTTGGGAGTTTAAGACGAACCAAACACGGACAAAAACCATGCCGGTCACAGCAACAGTTTCCACATTTCACTTCAGATGTTGCAAAATGATGCCATTCGATAACCGGGCTGAAGAAGCTTCATTCCGGCTGGGGCTCCAGGGTGACCACACTGGGTTTTTTTTTAATGACAAGGGTGAAGATCAAAGCCAACGAGACAGAATGGTATCAGATATTTGTGCAGATCCTTGACCTCAAGTTTGAACACGAGATGGGACGAAAGCCACCATCTTAAAAGGGGACGGACAATAGGCGTGGGATATTGCATCGGATATATCTTGTCAGTGGTGCACGGGGCGGTTGATGGTGCATTACGCGTTGCATTGTCTATACTGCGCGTTGACAGCTCAAGGTATCCGTGTATCAGTACATTTGTTTTTGATTGTGGACTGCTCTAACCGCAAGGTTGGTTGATATGGAGTTATGGACGGTTGATATGGATGGGCCAGCAAGTTGACAACTCACCAAGAGCAGATCTAGACCAGGTTCGATATGACAAGTAGACAAACTTCTGCAAGATTATGCATGATTATGCAACAGAAAACAAACCGTTCGCCGTTAGAAGTATGCAACATCTAACGGCGTTAAATATTTGGAAACTTATCACGAAACCGGTAGATGGGTTACCGCCTTTGTAATCGTTTGACATGCACCGCCGCTCAACGTGCCGCTAGTGAGAACGTGTTGGATGATTAGGCCCAGCCCCTGAGTGGACGAAGGATGTGCGAGACGGGTTCGGGGCATGGAAGCACTCGATTTGGCCCGAAGAACTACGGAGTGAAGGGTGGTTGGTGTCATGCCTGCTAATATACCAGACCGACGATATTAAATGAGGTCTGAAAAGTAACACAGCGCGACATCCATCGGCGGATGGATTGGTGAGATGTCGGTCAGAATCAGATCGAGTTGGACTGGTTCAACTAGCGGCACATGAATGGCGTGTTTTCTTCAAGACAATGCTATTTATTTCCTGAATCAGGAGGAAGAATCCGACATTTTAAGGAAATGAGGACTTTGAACTCTCACAGCATCTATTGGCCTAGTCAAGTCCCAACCACTCTACTTAACACCATCACCAAAGATTATTCAGATTATGGCACTGGTGCTAAGGGTCCAAGCAGAGAAGCCATCTGGAGGGTCCATGCCACCCACTACTGGCCGCGCGGGCCAGGTACCAGCATTGGAGAATTGGGGGGGTGACCCAGTTAAGCCGAGCCATCCAACCAGTAGGCGCTCTCTCCGCCGAGACCAAACCTAAACCAGATTTGGCGCCTGGCTAGCATTTCAGGGGTCAGGCAATCACGTCCACCAGACGCAAAGTACCTGACAACGTTGCCCAACCCGGCCCAGCGCTAATGTGCTTCTAGTCCCCCAGGGGCGGACTTGACAGCCCTCCTAAATGAATAGAAGGAAGCTGGAAGTTACACGCGGTACCAACTGAAGCCTCTGGTCAACCCCTGGCGCCTGGCATAGGTGAGGTGGGCTTGATTCCACTTCAAGACTGTCTGTCCCTTTTTATTTTTTTCTTTGAGCGCTTTTGACTCCTGAAATTCGATCGACGGTCCAACGTCACGTCTAACGTCCAGCGTTATAGTTATTTCCCCTATCCCATCGCCAACCTGAACTGAACAATCTCACGTCGGTATTTCATTTCTCCTCCGCTCTTTCTTCATCTTTTTGACCGACCAAGCCCCTCCGCTAGCGACCTCTTGTCCCGCTCCACTGGAACGAAGAATTGTCAGCCCAAGCTCTCGATATCTCCGTCGCCGGATCGTCCGCTGGTCGCTTGTTTAATTACGTTCCCCCTACACCCCTGGCCTGGATAAACAATCGACATCCGCCTTGCGCTCACTCGTTGAAACTTCCAGGACTCCCAAGTCCAGCTGCCCACACGTGAGACTATCTGGAACACTTCGCGATCCCCTCAACGACGACTTTCGTGGCGCTTCGATCATCTATGACGTTCTGACCAACGACGCCTTCTCCCTCAGCGGAATTCAAGTTCTAAAGAGCCCACCGCGGCCGCCTTAACTGCTGCTTTGCGATCGTTACCGCCGTCACTGAGACAACGCGCACTTCATTCACAACTTATCCATAGCCGCCATGGCGAGCTCACCCCCGGCGTCGCCGGGAGGAATCCTCCCAAGGCCAATGAGCGCCATCGCCAGCAGAACCCAAACCAGGAGTACCAGCAGGTTGAGTATGACAAGCAAGACTGGAGGTGGAAGTCGAGCTTCAGACGATGACAGTCGCACGGCGGTCAAAGTCGGTATGTACATCACCATCACTAACATGGCGAGTTGCTAATTTTTGTTCGTTGTTAGTTGTTCGTGTCCGACCGCCGTTAAATGCTAATGACCCTGGCTATGATCTTATTCCTCAGCGATTTCAACGTGCTATGGTCCAAACGACTTCCGATACCAGCCTTGCTATCGATTCACCGCAAGGCCGCAAACTATTCGTATTCGACCGAGTCTTCGGTTCCGATGTTACGCAGGGCGGTGTTTGGAGTTATGTTTCTGACTGCATCAATGCATTCACACAGGGATACAATGTTTCTCTGATGGCCTATGGCCAGTCTGGCGCTGGTAAATCCTACACTATGGGCACTTCGGGCCCTGGCGAACAGTACGACGAAGATTTGATGGGTAAGTTAGATCGAAAGAAAAGTAGCCGCGCGAGCTAACCAGTGCTCAGGTGTGATTCCTAGAGCTGGCATCGCTCTCTTCGAGAAGCTTGATACTCCCAAAGCCTCCTCCCCTAAGGCAAACCGCAGTTCTCTGTCCCATCTTCGAAGCCCTCGAGGTTACAGTCAGCAAAACGAGCTCGGTGACCGCGATTGGTCGCTGAAGGCTACCTATGTCGAGATTTACAACGAACAATTGCGCGATCTTCTTGTACCCGATACAACTCCGATGAACGAGCGTGTGAACGTGGCTATTCGTGAAGACACCAAGGGCAATATCATCCTGACTGGCCTTCGACAAGTTGAAATCAACTCGGTGGATGATCTCATGAATGCCCTCAACTTTGGATCCGCTATTCGCCAAACCGATGCCACAGCTATCAATGCCAAGTCGTCGCGATCTCATGCCGTTTTCTCACTTAATCTTGTTCAGCGCAAGAGCAAGTATGGCTCCGACAAGCGCATGTCCATGCCCGTCGAGGCAATGACGGGCCAGGATGTTTCTGTAACAACTGACAGCAAGCTCCATTTTGTCGATCTGGCTGGAAGTGAAAGACTCAAGAACACTGGCGCTCAGGGCGATCGTGCTAAGGAGGGTATTTCCATCAATGCTGGCCTTGCTGCCCTTGGCAAAGTTATCAGCCAGCTTTCGGCCAGGAACCCCGGATCCCATGTTTCGTACCGCGATTCTCGACTAACTCGACTGCTGCAAGATTCGCTCGGTGGTAATGCCATCACCTACATGATTGCTTGTGTCACTCCTGCCGAGTTTCATTTGAGCGAAACATTGAATACTGTTCAGTACGCTCAACGGGCTCGAGCAATTCAATCTAAGCCACGAATCCAATCTGTTGAAGAAGGTGACAAGCAGGCCGTGATTGACCGCCTCAAAGCTGAAGTGGCTTTCCTTCGTGAGCAGATCCGTAGCGCCGAAATTGGTGGCAGCAGCCCTCGGCGCACCGCCCAAGCAAGCGACCGATCTGATCGACACAACGAGCGCGAGACCGAACTTCAGACCCAACTTCTCGACACGCAAGAGAATTACACTGCTCTTAGCCAGCGCCATGCGCGACTGATTGCCGAGTTGGCGCGCGCTCGTGAGAACGAATCAGGCGAGAACGAACACGACGGTGCCCCTGGCGATACAGCGACCGACCGTCTTAACCGATCGAACTCCTTTGCGCAAGCCGTTGAGCAAGTCGTGCTTGAATACGAGAAAACGATTCAATCCCTCGAGCAGTCACTTGCCAGTACTCGCAGCACATTGTCCAATACCGAGACTAACCTTCTCGAGAAGGAGACGAAATGTGCTTATGTCGAAACCATCAACACGCAACTTTCAAACCGCCTGCAGAAGCTTATGGATCGAGAGAACAATACCGAGAGCTACCTTCACGATCTTGAGGCTAAGCTAGATGGCCACACAAGCGGCGAGGAGAAGAACGCCACCATCGTCATGGAACTTCGTAAGGAGATTTCCCGTATTCGAGAGAATGAGGCGTCGTGTGAAGACTATATCTCAACCCTCGAGGAGCGCCTTGCTGAGGCCGACCAAGATGCAGAGCTGATGCAGCGCGAAATTGATCGACTTGAGCAGGTTGTTGAGCGACAAAGAAGTCTCGGTAAATTGGACTCACTTCTTCACGAGCTAGACCAGATCCAAGATGGTAAGGATGCTGGTGCTGGAAATGGAACCGAACCAACCAACGGTGTTGCATCTCGTCGTGGAATTGCAGAGCACTCTCGAAGCTTGTCCCACGTGAGTCGCCAAAGCCAAATGGAGGACCCGATTCCTGAAGGCGATGAAGACCAGGGTCACTCTCGTACCAAGATTGACACCGTGAAGGAAGTGGACGAAGATGGCCTACGTCTTGAAAAGCCCGCTGAGTCGGAGCCTCCACCAAGCCCAGCGCAATCTAAGTTTGTCGCTGACAAGCTCGAGAATGTTACACAAGAGCTCATTGACTTGCGCGTGGAGCACGAATCCACCCTCAATGACTACGACTCGCTTCATGCCAAATATGAACAGGCCATGCGTAGACTCGCCGAGATGCAGGACGCTGTTGACGAAGCTCGTCACACACAATACAAGCGCGAGTCTGTTGCATCTCTGGCCACCCCGGTGCGCACTCGTCCCGAGTCTTTCTTATCCGATGGGAAGATGAACGAGTTGAAGAACGGCACACGGTCGTCTTTCACCAGATCACTTTCTTCGGAGTTGTCCTCGGCTATGTATTCGCCTGCTACTGTTGCCTCATCTAATGGCGATGGCTTCTCTGAAGACGAAACCGCAACGGCCAAGCCCACAACACCCTCAACCGAGCATCTGCCACAGGATGAGAATGTTGAGCTCGCCGCGGAGCTCCAAAGACTCAAGTCGATGGCAGAAGAGCGGGAGGTTGCCGAGAAGGAACTTGCTGAGCGATATGCTGAGCTTGAGTTCAAGCATAATGAGACTCTTGATATTGTCGAGGAGCTTAAGACCGACTTATCTCGGGCTCGCGTTATGGAAGCTACATCGCCTCGTGCTAGCACTCCTGTCATTCGACGCAAGTCAAGCCAAAATCTGCTAGTTGTTGACCGTGCCCAGCGCTCATTCTCATCACTACGAAACATTGCTGCTGAGAACTTCGGCAGTCACCCCGAGGCCATGCAGAGCTTCGAGCTCAACTTGAATGCCGCTGTACATGAGCTACACGTAAGAAGCGAGCGTATTCAGGAGCTTGAGGCTGATGTTGCGGCCGCCAAGAAGGAGATGGAGACTAAGATGACCATTATCTCGGGACTGACAAGGGAGCGATCCAGTCTCAAGGCTAGTCCTGTAGAGATGTCCATGGTAGCAACACTGCGAGATCAGCTTGAGCAGAACGAAAGACAGCTTACTGATACAAGAAAAGCACACATGGCTCGTGAGCAAGCACTGACGATTGAGCTTGAATCTTTGCGCCAAGCTCTTGCCAAGTCAGGCACCCAGGAAGCCGGCAATGTTGACTTCAAGTATGAGCAGCGTGTTGCTGAACTTCAAAGTGAGGTTGCTACCTGGGAGCAGAAGCATAAGGAAGCTCTTGATTCCATGGAAACGACAGAATTGCAAATGCGCGGCACAATCGAGGAGTTGGAAGCTCAAGTTGTATACAACAATACGCAGCTCTCAGCATCCAGATCTCAGCAGAATGGAGAGACGAGTGGACCAGCCCAGGAATCTGAGCAACGACAGCAAAATCTCATTAGCTTCTTGCGCAGCGAGATTGACGAGTACAAGGCTATCATTAACAGCAACGCTACTAAGGTTGCTGAACTTGAGCAGGGTCACTCTGCAGCTCGCGCAGAACTGGATGAGCTCCACAAGGTTCACAATTCCGTCAAGGAAGATAGCTCCCGCCAACTGGAACTTGTGACCAAGCTTCAAGAGCAGATCGCCGCCCACGACCACACCTCGCAGAGCAGTCAGACCACGCTGGACGAGCTTAAGGCTGAGCACGCGAAGGCGCTGGCAGATCTTAAGACCACTGAGCAGAAGGGATACGAAGACCAGGTCGAAGTCTTGCTGTCTGAGCATGCTGAGAGTGCTCAGCAACTGGAGGCAGAACTCGCCCAGACCCGCGAAGAACTGGCAAAGGCAGCTTCGCATGTTGCTGCTGCTCTTGGCGTTGATGCTGAGGTTGAGAAATTGGCAGAGCGAATTGACGAGCTCGCTGCCAGCAAGAAAGCTCTCGACGCAGAGCAGTCCAAGCGGGTCGAGATCGAATCAAATGTTGCCGAGCTCACAACTATCAACGAGCAGATCATGAAGGATCTCGACGACGCCAAGGTAGCTCTAGGTGAGATGATTGATGGTGGTGCTGCTTCTGGCCCTCTGGTAGAACAGATTAAGATAGCCAAGAAGAGGATGACAGATCTGGATGATCGCAGCAAGAAGAACAGTCGATTGGTGGAGGAGCTGGAAGAGCAGCTTCAGACCAACTTCGACGAGGTTCAGATCACCAACAACCGTCTGAGCACCATGCAGACCGAGCGCAATGCTAGGTTGGATGACGCACATGCAACCACTGCACGCCTTACGGCTGAATTGGAAGTCTTGAAGGAAGATTATGCAGCCCTTCAGGTAAGTTGACCTCCACATCTCATTCTGTGGAATTTACTGACAATGAGTAGACCAAGATGGAAGAAGTAGCGGCTGGCGTTCAGCGGTCGAACTCCAACTCGACGATTCGCAAGAGCGCATCTCACGTATCTCTACCATCACCCCCACCTGCTATTCCTCTCCCTCCTCTGCCAAACGGTGCCACATCTCCTGTGAATGGCGCCCCCGGCTCACCAACTAACGGACGTCCCATGAGCAAGGACAATATCAACATCTCTCAAATCACCGAAGATCAGGAGGCGCGCATTCGAACCATCGAGAAGCATCTTACTGCCGAACGTCAGCTCACGCAGACGCTGGAAGAGGCTCTTACTGATTTGGAAAGACAAACCAACAAGGTCAAGGCTGACTGTGATGCCTGGAAGAAGCGCGCCAGTGAGCTTGAAGCAGAGGTGAAGGAGCTTAAGGACCGTCCACCACCTGAGCCTGTCCAGGATAACCGCTGGAGTCTTCAAGCTGTAGAGGAGGAGCGCAAGAAGCGACAAGCGGCCGAGGCTGCGCGACGCCAGCTCGAGGAGCGTATGAACGCTATCAGCAAGGGCAAGAAGAAGAAGGGAAGCTTGAACTGCTTCTAGAGGGGGCTCAGCTGTGTCTAGCCGACATCGCCGCCCGAACCGGAGCCTGATGATGGGACGTGTTCAGCATGGGGTTGACTGGTATGGGAAGTTTTGCAACGCCTTTATGTGTCATCACGTTTCTGCTTTGATGTTGTTCACTATATTCCCCCTCGCGTTTATTGTCGGTCTGGCGACTTTCGTCAGGCATCCCCACCAAGTTTTCAGCACTGGCCAGGAGTTTGGAGGATCTGTGTGTTTCTTGTTTTTTTCTTTGCGGAGAGAATTGCACCTACACGAGCGGCTCGATGCACAAGATGTCATTTTTGGGTTCTGTCCTTGTACATGTGTGGTATTTTCTGTTTTTCTATTTTTCCATTTCAACCCTGTCAAGGGCAATTGGGTGGCGGACTTTTATTGAAGGATGAGCGAAAGATGGGATGATTCTTACGAGGGCCCCGACCGGGGTCGCATTACATTAAATATACGGGACTTAGGGCCCCAAACGATAGTGGTAAATACTAGTTCAAAGACCTTTCTAATCACTCGCCTCCTTCCTCGCTCTCTTCTGACGGTAACACCTCTGGGAACCATCCGTACTGGGAGAAGTCCACTGAGTGCTCTCCGAGGGCATTGGTTTCAACTTGTACGCCTTCTGCCTCTAGGGCTTGGGCCTGTGAGCGAGATCCTCCTGGTTGGGATCTACATGGTGAGCTACAATATCTACGTGAAGTGTTGAAACTGAACTTACCTGGGAGATATTTGCCCTTTGGCATTGATGACCCTCTGCCATGGGACATTCTCATGGTTGAAGTGTTGAGTAGCATCAGCAGGTAAGTGCTTTAGACATACGCCAACTTGACGAGGTCTTTGAGCTATGCACTGTTAGTGATGATTGGGTATTTGGATATGTGAGCGTACGGGTTCCGACTAGCATGGCGATGTGGCCGTAGGTAGTGACTTTGCCATATGGGATCTCTTGCACAGCTGAGTATACGGCGTGGAAGAAGGCCTGTGCTTCATCTGAACGAGGCATTGTGATGGAGTATGAGACATTTGTGTGTAAGGTAATTGATGTTAGATGCAAGCGGGCCAGCGGTCAGTCTACCAATGTTGTTTTACTTGATTAGAGCTGATTGATACTTGGACTCTCAAGGGCGTGATGCAAATTGCGGGGTATGCAACTATCAGATTCACGCACTCATACTCATGGGGCAAATGTTGTGCTTAGTTCTCAGATGATTATTCTATTTACTCATTCATAATACTTTTGTACAGTCTATCTTTCTATAGGTATCATAGTCTATCGCTTAATCAATGTTCTTCTGGTTCACCAACACATATCGGTATCGGGCGTTACCCTTCTCCATATCCACAACGGTCTGGTTGGCGTCCTCCATGGGTCGCTTCTCAACCCAAGGCTTGACGTTCTTGTCAACAGCGAGCTGCAGCATCTCCTCGATGTCCTGAGGAGTGCCGATAAGGCTGCCGCTGAGCTTGAAGCCGCCCTTGATCAGGGTGAAGGCGTTGACGGGAGGAAGCTCGCCAGAGTCGGGGGCTCCGACCTGGACGAAGTCACCGCCGCGGCGGAGCAGCTTGAAGTATTCGCTAAAGGGCATCTTGGGGCTGGAGACAGTGCAGACGATCAGGTCAACGGTCTTGGCGTACTTGTCAGACCAGCCCTCGTCGTCGTCGGTGGCGATGTAGGAATCGGCGCCGAGAGCGAGCACCTCGTCTCGCTTGGAGGCCTTGCGGGAGATACCGACGACCTTGTCAGCGCCGAGGGCCTTTGCGAAGAGAACGCCGAAGTGGCCGAGACCACCGACACCGACGATGCCGACAGTCTTGCCGGGGCCGCAGCCGTTTGCGCGCAGGGGAGCATAGACTGTGACACCGCCGCAGAGCATGGGGGCGGCCAGCTCAGAGGGGATGCCATCGGGGATCTTGACGACGAAGCGGGAGTCGGTGCGGTTGTAGTCGGCGTAACCACCGTATGACTTGCCGACGTCGCCGGGGTAGACGGAGCCGTAGGTGCTGACCATCTCGGGGCAGTAGTTGAAGCGGCCGACGGAGCACTCGCCGCAGTCCTCGCGGAGACAGCTGCGGGCCTGGGCACCTACACCGACACGGTCGCCGACCTTGATGTTCTTGACCTTGTCGCCGACGCGGACGGCCTTGCCGACGATCTCGTGGCCGACACAGCAGGCTGTTTGCTGTTAGTGTGTGTCCATGGTTTGTGTTTGTGATTTATGGTTGAGAGCACTTACGGAAAGGAGTCTCGCCCCAGCCAGAGCGAAGAATGTGAAGATCAGAACCGCAGACACCGCAGTGGGTGATCTTGATATCGACGTCGTTCTCCTCCCACTTCTTGGGCTCGAAAGAACCCCATTCCATCTTTCCGTTGACGGAGTCGGGGTCACGGCCCATCCATCCCTTGAATTCGTAATCGGTAGACATGTTGTATTATTTTATGTGAGTTATTGGAAGCGTTGTTTGTTTGTAGAGTGGTGAGAGTGTAAGAGAGAGTGGTATGATTCGATGTGAGAAGTAAACTAATCTAGATACAACGCCTTATTTATATCAAGTTTCCTAGCTCATTCTAGATTATAGAAAAGAAAAAACTCAGAACCCCACAACGTCATAGAAAGAATTGGAATTTCTCAGCATCAATGCCGAGTTGCCCACAGACAAGTACCGCCCCGTATGTGCCAGTCATCTGGATATAATCGGGGTTAAGCCCCCTTTGAGAGAGAACGACGCTGTGAAGGAAAAGGAAGCCATCGCCGTGGTCATAGTGTTCCGTGCATTCCCACCCGCCCACTAATCACTAATCAACTTGATTTGCATTGATGATTGCGGAAGAGAAAAGGGCCGGATGGGTGACGTGCTTCAGAATCTTTTCCAAAGCGGGTCGTCGGGATGGGAGATTTCATCGGCAGTTCAGTTAGCGATCACGATAGAAAAGTCGCCTCATGCTAAACCATATCTGCATATCTTTCTATTCTGCCGATATATGTCGGCAAGTGAGACAAGATGACTGCCAACATTAGTGGTCTGCAGTCTGCAGTCTGCAATGTTTTGTTTACGTAGTCCAACTCTGGGTATTCTCCGGGGATTTGGGTTCGATTAAAGGTCTGACATCAGTAACACGTTTTTGACAGGGATTATTTTGCCCTTCAGACTTTGTCACTTCGGGTTACTGATGTCAGCAGGTTGCATTAGCGCTTCTGCTCTAGACCAATCAATTTTGATTTGGGCTTGGGAGGAAAGGAAGAAGCCATCTACAGTAAGCAACAGTGTTTAGAAAGCATAGACAGGCGCGGTGTACGGTATACGTATGTGCTTTTAATTCTGCTGACTGAGAAAAAGGGATGTTCTTTTATTCTTTCTTTCTTTTTTTCCATTCTCTTTCTTCTCTTACCGTCGGAGATAGCAATTGCTTACCGTCAGCCAAGTACATTACAACTACCGAGGAGGGGACCACTTTGGTTCGCACTCTTCACGTAAGAACGCCGTCTCCGTCTCTATCTCCGTCTCCATCTCCGCTCTTCGCCGCAAATCGTCTCCGTCATGGCCGCACCGCAACAAATACCGGCTTTGCTTACTCAACACGCAAGTTTAAGCCCAAGTCCAAGTTCAAGCCCAAGCCCCCCGTTACAATTATCGGAGCTGCGAGATCCAGACGATGATTGGACAGGGATCACCGAGGCCAGGGACAGGAGGAGACGACAGAATCGTCTAAACCAGAGAGCTTATCGTCAGTAACCAACTCACTCACCGCTCATCTCATCTTTATCTGACACCTCCAAGGCAAACGGAAGGCTCGGAATGGGGAATTGGCCGATACGACGCCTGAAGATCTACACACGAATGGCATCCTCATATTACCCACAGCCAGGCAACGTGCTGTCGCATATGCATTCATGCAACTAGTTCAGATGCAACATAGTCTCAATAACCACCGCCCAGCTCTTCTCCCCTCGCTCATCCGCCTCAATGCCGTTAATGCCGTGTCTAGCAACGCCCTTCACATCGGCATTCCCCTCCAAGGTCTGTGCTGCGACGATGTGATATCGCCCTGGAACGCTCTGGGTCCCAAACCCGCCGACGGAGCTCTCGCAAGACCCTCATGCCCAGAATCTCTGCACCCGACCAAGCTGCAGATAGAAATTGAGCACCATCCTTGGGTCGACTTGCTGCCGATTCCTCAGCTTAGAGATAACATGCTCAGAGCATACACGAGCGGTGTCATCGACGAGGATGAGCTGTGCATCGATATCCTCGGACTTTTGAGCAGTCAAGGCTTACAAGATGCGTACCTGATCGTCTGGGGAGAGTCTCACGATGCGAGTAGTTGGGAAGTCAGCGTAGGCTTTCTTAAAAAATGGGGGTGGTTGCTAAAAGGATGTTCCGAGCTGGTCGAGTCGACGAATCGATGGCGACAGCAGAGAGGAGAGGCCAAGATTTTCATTGAAGTCTGATTTCCAAGTACGATTGAAGCTTCGCTCAAGCGACACGGAGCGCTTCGAAACTACCCTCAAAGGGCAAGAATATCTCAACTATTCTAATGAGCGTGGCGAACGAAGATATCCAAAAACCAAAAGTCATCCACGGCAATCCTCCACTAAGTGGCATCATTAAGCGTGCAATCCCTCAGCTGGCCAGACGGACACGACCACTCCTTGGCAAACGGATCATCCGACCGCCTCCCAGTGCAGTAATCAAGAACACCTCGGTTACCGTGGCAGGTCAAGTAGCCATTATCCGCAGCGACAGCAACGTCTATTCCCCATTGTTAGCAGAAGAAACTCAAAAATAGGTAGAAAGGACTCTTACTCAGGTCTATAGTAGTCGTGCGCAGCCTGTTCTGGATATCGCTCAGCTTGATCCGACCCGAAGGCATCTTGGACCAACAGCGACATCCGAATTCACGACCGCCGCCTCTCAACCAACACTGCGTGCAAGAATCATGGAACTTCCCACTAGGAACCATACGTCAGCCATATTCTACACTAAAACACATATCGCGCTTGGAACTTACTTAGGACCACGCTGCAGATCTCCGTCAATGTTGAGAAGACACTTCCCCAGCTCGAGCCAAGTACACAGATACTTCCCGTTCTTATCCGGACATTTAGCCACGAGCCACGGCGACGACTTGTAGCCCTGTCGCACGCCGTGTTTGTTGGAGTCGTTGTCGTCGGCCTTGCTGAGGTAGTACCGCACATCTTTGCACTTGTCGAGGAAGCCGCCTGACATGGAACGAGGGTTGATCTTGACGGGCTGTTTGTGGACGTGCCATTTGGGGTGCCATTTGGGGTCTTTGGAGGTGTCTGCGGTGCTGTTGGCGTCGATGGAGGTGCTGATGGTTGGAGGGCTGGGGAGGATGGACTGAGAGGCGATTGCGCCGAGGGTTAGAGTGAGGAGAAGCAATATGAAATGCATTGTAACGAGTGGAAATGTTGCTAATGAAAGTTTTGTTCTGGACTGAGGTGGTTCTATATATACGTTGTGGCTCTGCTGGATATCAGTGATGAGACAAACATGGTCAGCCAAGCGAGAAATTCTGGTACACGATTCTTTCTTCGCATAGAAATTCCATCATACCCTTACGGACGTCTGAGAGTTGCTATTTTCGAGGTTTTAAACAAAGGGAGCCAGAAGTATAACACGATCATCAAACCTGTATCCTGGCAAACTGGGCAACGATCAGCGAACCTGTCGAGTCTGAATACTCGAAATACGAGAATATCAAAGAGCCTGTCGTACGAAAATGTCTTGATGCATTGGTTGGGTATCATAATGGACATAGCAAACTAAGCATGAAAGGTCGCCAAGTCATAAGATGCATGTTGCATGACAAGGTGCACAGTTTGAGCTTTGGAACATCGATGTGAAATAACTATTGGCAAAGGCGGTGTTATAGAGCTATGAACTTGATAATACGTTCAATCTCAGCGTGCTGATTGTAAGGTCGCTTGGGATATCTGGTAATTTAAATATTGACTTCTCCCTGAGGGCATTGTCCAATCTGGGCCACAAGTTCGGGAACGCAGCTTAGTGTCTCGAAGACAACCAGAGTATGTACCCTGAAAGAATGAACTCTTATAGTAATACTAGTATGACTGTTGAACGACAGGATATATCATATTCTATAGTCAAGAGTCCTAACTCGTATCTGAATAGCCATCCCACTTGAACTTCTCCATCTGTGACGTCGAGGTGTAATCGGCTCTCCAATTTGCAAAAGAATCGCCAGCCAGCGAATGGACTACATAACGGAGAGCCATCATGTCCTACTGTAAACAAACTCTGCTACGCTTGAATCACCTCGAGAGCAACATCGTAAGAAAAGCTGTGACCAGGGTGGCGTAACTTCGTCCATGAGACGTGGCGAAAGAGACAAAGAAATGAAAGCACTGGGCAGACTAAAACTCGAAATCTTCTTTGTTCTGTGTAACAACTTTGGCACCCCAATCCCTCGAGGTACGTAATTCTTTCTCAAAGAGTTCTTGGCGCAGTATTCCCCCTTCTGAACATTACCGAAAGTAGACATCCAGCTTTGTTACCATACTATAGATAGACAACACACCTTCGCTATGCCCGGGTTCGTTAGTTGGATATGATAGAGTACGCCCCTTTCAAAAGAAACTATTCAAACATTGGCTAGTTTTCTTTTGGACAAAAAGGCTCATAGTTGCTGTAAGTAAGTGTTGGTTGCACATTGTGAGGACGAGCCTTGAAGTTGCTCGTGGGCGACAATTAATAGAACACACACCCTACCCTTTCTCTTCCCAGTAGTTTCGCCAAATTCATCCTTTTCCTTTTGTGTTGTAATGCCACTCTTCATGATGCTTCGTTTACTTCCAACTCTGCTCTTCCTGCGAGAGGCATTCGCATCGTCCTGCGATGCAGAGCCTCTAGTTCTACCGATTCGGAGTGTTCAAGTATATCCAGATATCAAGGACTCTTACATGATAGGCATTCCAGCGGAAGTTGGCACACCGCCGCAGAATCTTGTGCTTTTGCCATGGGCGTATGTTCGACACTGCACTACTGTTATTTAATGCTAATATGTGCAGCGACCTTAATAACACCTGGATATACAATACGGAACCACACTGCGGCACTGAAACCATCATCAACGACCGAGTCTGCAAAGTCCGAAGAGGAGGATTGTTCAGCGAACAAGATTCCAAAACCTTTACCACTTTCAGCAATATTGTCGATGCCGGTGGTGCGCAGGATGGAACCATCGTAAAAGGCGGAACCTATGGTATTGGGAAGCTCGCCGAAGACGGCCGAGGGGCAAAAGACAAGGTCAAGCTAGAAGGCTCAGTTGCGCTTCAAGATTTTCCCTTTGGTATACCGACTTCTGAATGGGACGACGAACCAAGTGCACAAAGTCCCCTCGGCCTAGGACGAAACTCAACATATCTCAATGCTTTACGCAAGGCTGAAAAGATCACTTCGCGAGTATGGTCGATATTCTGGGGTCGTATGTGGACCAGCAATGATCTTGAAGGATCGGTGGTGCTGGGCGGTTACGACGAGAAGAAAGTAACTGGTGATAATTACACAGCGCCTTTGGTGTTTGGTAATTTTGATGCGAAGGACGGTTGCTGGACGGGCATGAGAGTTACCGTGACGGACATCAAGATCAACTTCGTTGGCGGAACAAACGCAAGCATAGTTCCCACAGGGACGACGTTGCAATGTTGTATCGATCCAACGCACAACCTCCTTCTCGACGCACCGAATGAGTATATCGAGAATTTCGAGCATACAAGTGGTCTCGAAACCAACTCTTCGTCGAGCGGACTTCACTGGGGAGCTTCCCAAACAGATTTGAAGACGCCGTGAGTCAAATCACAAGCCCTGAGCATTATTTACTGCTGACAAACTCAGATTCCTGGCTGATCTGACTTTCTACCTTGAGTCCGGTCTTGAAATCCGCGTTCCTAATGATCAATACATGGTCCCATTTGTCGACATTGATACAGACGGGTCGCGAGTGATCGATACCTCGAAGAGAGATATTCTCATGAAAGGTATCGAGGATGAGGCTCCGACATTAGGAAGGTACTTTCTCACGGCGGCGTATCTCATGGTCAATCATGGCGCAGGCACGTTTACGCTCTGGAAGGCGAATGCTACCGAGGAGAGTAACCCTGTGAGAGTGTTTGATGAAGAGGCAGGTAAGCAGTGCGGCGACAAGGCCACCGGTGTTATACAACCGTCCGCATATAGAACAGCTTCTGCTTCAGGGACTTCAGCTGCAGAGGGCGATACCGATGATTCCAAGTCAAAGTCTTCTCCTTCTGGTGCAGTCATTGGTGGTGCTGTCGCGGGTGCAATTCTTGGAGCAGCGCTTATCGGATCGGGAGTTGTTTACATGCTGTACCAGAAACGAACAAGAGCCAGTAAGTCGAGCACTGAAGATAAACATGTCGGGATTGAGCTGACAGTGAAGAAGAGGATACATATTATTATTATCCTGCTCAGGAGGATATGCAAAGGACTGAAGTACATGAGATGGATAGTACTCCGCGGGATATTACTGAGTATCCTTCCAAGTTTGGATCATGATAAGATGATGGAGAGAGTGTAGAAGCATAGTTTGTTCTCGCCTGATTCGCGATTGGGGGTAACAGGGGACGTCACGATAGAACTACGGACATTTTGTAATGATTTGTGCATGGCATGATCGTCATGTAGGATTGAGCTCCGGAGATAGATAAACACGCATCAAATTGGGTCCAAAAGCTATGAGCAAGCAAGGTTTCGCAATGCGCCAAGTCGAAGCAACATACCAAGAAAGATGTAAGCACATGACCCTGCAAACCACAACCACACCTATAAGCCAGGGTTTCATACTTAAGATATCCAAAGATGATTTTCAGGGTATTCAATTTAAGCTATCAAGTTGGTATCAAATTAAAGTCTATAATATAAAACAAAAGAAAAAGGGAATAAGCATGGCAAAAGCCGGATATCTGTAAAGCATCAATCATACAAGAGCGTTCACCCCCAGCACATACTCATACAATCCATTACAAATCTGAAATCTTAGCCGCTCTTGTGGCCGTTGGTCTTGGGACTCTCCTGGTTAACAGCGTTGACACCAGCATTCAACTTCCCAAACTGCCACTCCGGCAGAGTGATACCAGTCTGCTCGTTGATGGTGCTCATCAGAGGAGGCAGCATCTGGTACACATTGCGCATAGTCTCAGTGGGATCACCTCCACCCTGGCCACCAGCAGCGCTGCCTGTGTTCCAGACACTGATCTTGGGCTCGAGACCCTTGATGGCCGCGGCGTTGGCCTTGGCCAGCTCGACGTATGTGCCCTTCTCGATCATCATGTACTGCAAGAGTCCGGCTGGGCCACCGAAGGCCTGGGAGAGCTTGCCGTAGGCATCGGCCATGGCGGCGATACCCTCTGCCTCGCGCAGCTTGGCAACGAGCTGGGCTTCAGCGCGCTGCTGGGCGGCATAGTTGTAGGCCTCGGCGTCGTTGCGGGTCTGGTATGCTGCGGCGTCTGTGTTCTTGGTGACCTTGGCAAAAGAAGCTGCTGCATCGGCATCGGCTGAGATCTTAGTCTGGTACGCAGCGGCATCGGCCTTGCGCTGACTAGCCTCCTGGTGAGCGCGAGCATCCGCCTCAACCTCGTAAGCAGCGGCATCAGCAGCCTGCTGCTTACTCTCCCTGGCAATGGAAGCCTTGACGACGTCCGTAGCACGCAGACGTTCCATCTCAGCAGCCGCACGCTTGATCTCAACCTCCTTCTTGAGATCCTCATCCTTGGACTCGAGGACACGCTGGGCGGTGATACGGGCGATGTCGACGTCGCGAGTGAGTCCTGTGCGCTTTGTGTCGAGATGTGCCTCTGCCTGAGCGCGCTCGATATCGCGCTCTGTCTTCTGGACGGCAGTCTCGGCGTTGATCTTTGCGATCTCACGCTCTTGTTCGCCCTTGCGTTGGGCTTCTCCAACATTACCGCGAAGTTGAGCCTCTGCGACATCGATTCTCGCCTGGTTGGTGGCGCCCTCGTGGGCCTTGCGGGACAGCGAAGCGAAGTATACTGAGTTGGGAGCATCCTTCAACTCTTTGACCTGTGGATAGTTAGCTTCGAATCTCAAGAACTATCACTGTGGTACGTACGTTGGCGTTGAAGATAAGAAGTCCAAACTGTGAGAGCTCATTCTGGATGTTCCTGAAGATCCTCTTCTTGAAGACCTCTCGCTCGGTGAAGATCTCCTCCATGGTCATGCTAGAAACAAGGACTCGGGTTTCACCCTCAATGATACCCTTGACGATGTTGCCCACATGCTGGCTCTGGTTGACGTTCTCGACCTCCTCAGAGTTGGCCAAAAGCATAGCGTACTTCATCAGGGCGTCTCCACGATCCTCCCTGTCAAAGTCATCAGGTTCACCATCCGTGGCACCCCGGTTGGCGCCTCGCTGGTTGAGATCTGGGCCCACTGTGAAGACTACAGGAAGAGAGAACTGAAGCTTCTCCTTTGTCATGGCCTGTAGATCCATGGCATAGTCATGTGGTCGGATACTAGATATCGGGTTAGTTGCTAATTTTGTTAAGTCTGTGGATTTTGGAGTCGTACCTGAAGCGTGTGCATCGTTGAAGAGGCCAGACCCAAGTTGCCTTTGTGATCTTGACTGTCTTGATTCCCATGCCAGTGATGGCAAGGTACTCATCGGGGGCAGAGATTCTGTATGCCATCTTGACGGTTGTGTTGTAGTTGTTGGTGTTGGAATATGTAAAAGATGGGACTGGTGAGTGAAGCGTTTGTAACGAGTGTCTAGTTGTATCTCTAGGAATTATGAGTTACTAGAGATAGAGAGTATTGTATATGATATAACAAAAAGTGCAATAAGGTGGACAACAGCTGTCTTATATGCTTCTCACAACACGATCTTATCACACAAACCAACACCCCAAATGTCTCAACCCTGCTGCCTTACAAGGTTTCTTTCACCGAATTTACTCATGATCTGCCTCCCCAAAGCGCCTCGCCGCATGATAGAAGCCTGAGCTGGCATTCGTCTGGCTCAAGCTCTCACGATGTGGTGGCTGTGTCCAACCACAACCCCTGTCAGATGCACTTGGCTATAGCGACAGGGGTGGTCATTCTGGAAGAGTTCTGTTCCTGTCCACAACGGGTATGCAGGATGCTCAGACGGGGTCCCGTGATGATGGGCAAGGCTGGGCGAGAGTTAGTGCTGGAAGGAGATTAAATTGATCCTTTGAGTTGCCACTTGGGGCATTACCAGTGGTTGAACATTGGAGCCGAGATGCCGATCTCGGCGAGTTATTGTAGTTTGACGTTTAAGGGTCTTGGACAGAGTTGTTAGATGCAAGTTCAAAGTCGCAGTTGTTCGTTCCTCTCCTTGTAAATTGTTTGTTCAATCCTTTTTTACGTTGAAAGTAGAATTATTGTATTATCTGATAGCAAGCCCCTCATTATCTCATTCGGCCTCTATCGAATTAATATTTACATATTCTATCCATTCCTCGACTACAGCAACTCTCCTTCAGCCGCAAGCCAATCCCCAGCACAGCCCAGCAAAACGGGGCGTATTTTAATTTCCGCCCATCAATTAAACCCGCGGAATTAACGAAACCACCAAAAGAAAAGGCATGATCCCTGCCGAGATCCGCATCGGTTGTCTCGGTCTCGGTATCTTGGCGTCATGAGATAATGCGGAGAGCATTGCATTGCACGCCCGACCACGGTGCGACATATAAGACCCCTGCCCTGCCGTAACGACATCGCCCGTGCAATGCCCGTGATTCGTTAAAGTGCTCTAAATACTGGAATGTCAACGCTGAATGCGCTATTGTGCCAAGCCTCATAATGGTCAAAGTGCATGACTGAACAACCACCTTCTTGTGCTGCGCCTCTTTCACCAGCCAATAAACACTATTACCTGTTGGTCAGGCAGACAAAGTGCAGCCCAAGGCTATTACATTTCATTATTACTCGGTGATTTCCAATTCAACTAATATGATACAACTCCTCACAGCCAGGCTTACACATTGCAATGCAAGGCTGAGTCGCTGATAGCCAACCACGGAAGAGACACATTAGTCGTGGGCTGATTCTGATACTCACCACGTCAGGCCAGGTTCTTGTATATGTTCCCCGGGTATCGGGTATTCATTCAGTTGCATTCGCTATCGAACTTACCTGCAGCAACCCCAGACTTGGCTTCTCAGTCATTCAACACCATGTCGAAACAGACAGACTCTTTTGATGATGGGGAGCTTCCTCCCCCGTATACTGAATCAGGTCCATCAGTATCAGCATCTATAGAACCACGGCAATCAGTCGCAACTATTTTCTCCTCACACCTCAATAATCTCCCACTACGTATCCATTCGGTCCAAACCGCTCGAACCTCGGCGCGCAATGAACGGGATAGCGAGATACTAGCTCTACTTGTCCCCCACGTGGAAGACATGCTCTCCTCAATCGCAGCCATGGATCCACCACCGCGAGTCGTCGAGATGACCATGGTGCCAGAGCAAGCTGTCGGTGAAGGCTGGGTCTTTAGCGATGAAGACCAATCCCGTACAGTTGTTCGAGTCAAGGAAGATCGCAAGTTAGTAGGTGATCAGAAACAGCCCCCAAAACGGGAGATCGAACCTCAACAAGATAGGGGTTTCGATGATTGGGGGAGATGGAAAGACGAGACCCATGATGCAGCTGCAGACAACGCTCTCTGGTGGCCAGACCACGATATGGCTATCCGTCTGGCAAAATACATATCGCCAGAGCGAATAGACCGACAGGTAGTAAAAGCACACGTCGAACAAGCGAAAAAAGCATCAAGATGGAGTCTCTTCAAAAAGGCTGAGCCATCAACTCCTCCGGCGCCAATACCACAACCACGAGAAGAGCCAGTGACTATGACAGTCAAGGCGGAGGAGGTTACTTTCCGCCGCGAGAATGCTATGGGAATTTGGGAAGGGAAGACAGGTTGGGGGTTAGTGGTTAGAGTGAAGCTACGGCAGTGAGCTTACTATTTACTTTGACTTGGAACGGAAGCATCCAGTTCACAGCCTATATCTTCACACTATGCATATTTGATATGATAACAGGATCTCATAATCATACTTGATGAGTTATTGCACTCAATCTTTGAATGGCGAGCGCTTTGCGATTCCCTCTTACACACTGGTGTTAGTCTGAGGACCTTCACATCAAGACACGCAACTTAACATCCAACCCTGGCAAAGACAACCGGAATGAGTTACCTAAGTGGCTCGGTAGTACTCTGTATCCTATCGGAGTCTTTCCTTGTGTTTAGGTGCCGTGCATGTAATACAAAGTGCTTGATCGGCGATAACCTAAAGTCTATGTAACAGCCGGCAACAAGGCGAGCGGGTGTAAACGCCATTGAAGCTCTCACAGTAGCATTATCCTGTTTTCTATACAACTAAAACAAGCAGAACAATTCATTTGTCGTCCCTCGGCGTTATATCCTCGCCAAGCTCTTGCCTTCGGCCTAACGCGCCGTTGTCGTGAAACTCAACCCGCCTAATCTCACCACCCCATCTCACAGCATAATTGTACTCCATATCACAGCATCACAATACTTCCCCTCCACAACCATAGGTATTCACTAATTTAATTCTTGTTTTCTTTTGCTGTGCAACTTCGTGATTCACGACGTTTTCTTGTTAGTGCCTGACTCACACGCCGTCTCCGACCCCACCTCGAATACAAAACCCAAACTCATCCATCGCCACTCTCTCAACCTCTCCCTCCCCCTTCTTCATATCCTCACCCTCAGAAAACTAGAAGTACCATGTCATACAACGTCCTCGTAACCGGCTCATCAGGCCATCTCGGCACTGCCCTGATGCTCTCTCTCCCTTCGCTAGGTTTCACACCTCTTGGCATCGATATCCTCCCTTCTGAGAACACGCAGCATGTCGGCTCTATTTCCGACCGCGCTTTTATAACTTCTCTTTTTCAGCAGAACCCCATTCGTCACGTTCTTCATGCAGCGACACTTCACAAGCCCCATGTCGAAAGCCACTCCAAACAGGATTTCATCGACACAAACATCACAGGTACTCTGGTTCTTCTCGAGGAAGCAGCAAAGCTGGGCGATCAGATTGAGAGTTTTGTCTTCTTCAGCACAACAAGCACATTTGGCGCGGCGCTGAGTCCCAAGCCCGGCCAACCCGCAGCATGGATCGACGAGACAGTCGTTCCCATCCCTAAGAACATCTACGGCGCCACAAAAGTCGCTGCCGAAGATCTCTGCTTCCTCGTCCAGAAGCAAACCGGCATGCCCGTCCTTATCCTACGTACCAGTCGTTTCTTCCCCGAGCAAGACGACGATGAGGACCGCAGGGCTGCTCTATCCGACGACAACCTCAAGGTCCTCGAGCTAGCCTACCGCCGCTGCGACATGGAAGACATTGTGCGAGCAGCGGTCTGCGCAATGTCCAAGGCGCGAGAGATCAAGTTCAGAAAGTACATCATCAGCGCACTGCCTCCGTTCTCGAATGATGCCGAGACGCTCGCAGCACTAGATAAGAACCCAGAGGAGGTATTCAAGGCTGTCGCGCCAGCGTGTGCGCAGGTCTTTAAGGACAAAGGCTGGGCGCACCTGAAGCGCATGGATCGGGTGTACGATTCGAGTAGAGCGGTGGTGGAGTTGAACTGGAAGCCTGTCTACACATTCAATCACGTCATTGAGCTCATCGCGCAAGGAAAGGAGTGGAAGAGTGAGTTGACGGGAAAGGTTGGGAGGAAGGGATATCACGCTGTTAGCCATGGGGTATACACTGTTCGATGAACTAAAAGGGGAATGAAGCATCGCATTGGGGATGGAGTTTGGCACAAAGCGATTTGCTTAAAATACTTTTGAGCCAGGGAAGATATCTGAAATTAACGAGTAACATGTATCAATCAAAACTCGCATGCGCCTCATATGCTATGTTCAAGTGCAAGGCCACCATCCCTTATCTAGCTAGCAGGGTATATACTATAACAACAATCTCCAAACACTCACTACTCAGCCAAACTTGATTCCAGCGTTAGGATTCCACGTGCCAGGGGCAGGAGGTTGGCCCGAACCGCCAGATGATTGACCAAACTTGATGCCCATACCTGGGTTCCACATTGGGGCTTGCTGAGGCTGTACTGGTCGGGGCTGCTGAACTGATTCTCCCCATGACTGTATATTCGCCTGTGCTGGGCTCTGTACCGGTTGAGGGGGCTGCTGCGGCGGAGCATAGGAATGTGCAGGCTCCTGGTGTGACGGCATTGGACTCTGAGCTTGAGATTGCTGGTGAGAGATGTTGAGATTTGACAATGTTGGCATGCTGATTTCCCTATGTTCTGTCAATACACGTTCAGTATCCAAAGGTTGGGAGACGTACTCTTCCAGTGCCCTCGCCTCCATGCGACGTTGGGCTACCCAACCTCGAACCACATCACGGAAACCTTGGCCAACAATCTTGTTCAGATCGTTGTAAAACTTTCTTCCAACCTCAAGATTGTTGACGATCTCCTTGTACTTGAAGTAGGCGTTATCCAGCTTCTGCAAAGCGACCTCACGCTCTCGGTTACCGCGTTCGCCCATTTGCCGTTTCTGAGACTCAAACTCGCGATTGATCCGTTGCACATCCGTCAGAAGACGCTCTTGATCCTGTGCCTCTTTCTCAATTGCCTCTACCTCGGGCTCGTAGAGCTTGTCCAGGCGCTTGTCAAAGAACTCCTCAAAATGAGCCGGCACAAGCGCTGTGTTGGGATATGTTCGCTCTAGTCGGGCAGCTTCTTTAAGAATATCAGGCTTGATATCATCGCGTCGCGCGTTTTCTCGCAGACTCTCAACCTTCTTGCGACGACGACTTTCGAGGCGAAGTACATCGTTGTAAGCGCCGCGCAGTCTTCCTATGACAGGCTTCAACGTTTCGGGGATGTCTACCCGTCGGCTCGAGGGTACGGAATCCATCAGATCCCGATCAGGTCCTGACAGAATGGCAAGCAGATCCTGGATTGTACCAAACTTCTCCCTCACAACGGCATCACTGCTGACACTGCTTTGGAAGTAGCTTTCGATTTCTGACGCATGCTGCCAAAGCTTCTGACCTTGGGGATCCTGCTTGCTCTCAGGTCGCGACCACCGATCTGTCCCGTATCTCATCCGTAATCTATGATCCTCCTCTTCCTCTGAAGCCAAAGCTGATTTTCCCTCCTCAAAGATCGCCATGTCTCCTAGCCGCAGTTTGTCGATATCGGCGAAACTCTTTTGCACTTTGCCAATGGCATCTGCTTGCCTAATTTCCTCGGCATGTTGTACCAAGCTGGGAGGAAGACCTAGTGGCTTCTCGAGGGCTTGTAGGGATCCAGGCAGTCCAAGCGACGCCAAAAGGTCGTGAAGCTTTTCCGTAAGCGACTCGAGCTCTTGGATAATATTCTGGCTGACCATACGATCTCGTCGTTCCTCGTAAATCGAAGTAGCAACGTGTACGGAGAAAGGAACAAGCCGAGAGAACAAAGCCGGTCCAAATTCAGCGCGGTCGCCGAAGTAATCGTAAGGGTTTCCGACTTGGGGCGGCACACGAGCCACAGCCATATTGGCGCGATCGAGAATCTTGAGTTCCGACTTTGGCGGCACGGCGACTATTCCATGTTAGTAGTTGTCAGACAAAAAGACTAGTGAGCATACTTAGGTAGATAACATCGTTATCTTTTTCTGCCCGCTTCAGGTCCTCCTCAACCTTGCGCTTCAGCCCATTGAGGTCATCGACCACTACCTTGCCAAGGTAACCACTACGAGCTTCCTTAATGCCCTCTGTCGCGCAAGCCACAGCATCTCTAAGCCGTGCAACTTCCTCTCCATATCTCCTCTTCTCGAGGCAATCGCATGCAGCTCGATACTGGGCGGCGGCAGCAAAGTGGTGATGCTTGGCGCTCATGTGGTGAATCCAGGCACTGCTGATGGCTTCGCTCTTCGTCGCAGCTTCGCCGGCGAAATTGTACAGGTCAGAGACTCGAGCGGCAAGCTTGGCGATCGATGCATCCTTGTAGCCGTCCATAACAGCCTTTTGCCAGAAGCATTCTTGACTCTGTGCAAGTAGCAGCTGGGTCAAGGACTCGAGCGTGTCGTGGTCCATGTCTTCGGGTGGGTCGGACATTCGCAGTTCAGGTAGGATCTCTTTTTGCATATGGGTGAGGACTCCAGCGGCTAGGGAGAAGTAGTTGGCGGCAGATTTAAGGCCTTCGGTGTTGCCTCGTGGGGCGTGTATGGCAAGCTGGGAGTAAAGGGATGCGAGGTTGTAGAGAACATTCATCAGCTCGTACTTGAGGTTATTGCGCACCATCGGACGTTCCGTGTTGTAGCCGAGGGCGGGATACCATGAGAACTCAGCGCCAATCTGCCAGTACTGTCAGTTTCTGCTGTAAGCTCCCATCGCGTGATACTCACATCTATGGGAAATTTGCCGCCAACCCAAACGAGCTGGCCAGCGTATGCCTGTAGCTTCTTAATACCACTCGGGTGCGGTTCTCTGACGTTTACAGCATCGCGACGAAGTGCATCAATGACCTCGAGGTCATGCTTGAACATATCCGGGTGCTGGTCATATTTGGTGTTGATATACTGCCGTATCGTCGAAGCAAGCGAGAGCTGGGCCGACTTGCGAAAGGGGAGATAGAGGATACTTCTGAAGAGAGCAAATGTTAGTAAACAGGAGCAAGGGTCCAGTAATATTCGGGGTATCTTACGAGGACATGGCTGCGATTTCGAACCTCACTGACGGGTTCTTGAGCCTCGGTGTATGGTAACTTTTTGCCAAGTTCGCTGTCTTGCTAGAGTTGCAATGACTTCATTTAGAGCTGTGGGGGCGCCACGTTGGAGGGGCAATGACGCGCCTGTGGCGCAGCGGAGCCACAGACAGCAACGTAACTACCCTAGACGTCGTCGATAATTTGCAAATTCGCCTTAAACGAACAAAATACATTAAAAGCAAGCGTTTTCCCATTAAAAGAGTCTTTCTAACAACCGTTTTTGTTCTGTCACAATGGTGAATGATCCGTATTTCATAGTTGCAAATGTCAAACACAGCAATTATGATTTAGGCTAACACTTTCTAAAACTCATGGCTATGGACTCATCAAACCATACAAACTTTACTTTCAGGTGGTATCTCGTAACTCAACAACTCAAATCCCTTAACGGTACTTAACATCACCAACATCAGGTCGGTGAACCCCATCATCCACGTAGCCTGGGGGATGAGTCTGCCCAGCGGCACCCACACCTCCGGTCGCCGCCGGAATGGAAGGGTCGGCAGAAGGTCCGCCAAATGTGGGGGCGGTCGGAGACACTGAATCCTTTCCTTGCTTGACCTTGAGAGAGCCTACTTCAGCTCCCTTCAGAGTCTCAAGGAGGTTACGAGCACCAGCAGGCCAGTTGCTGTTGGGTCCTTGGCGGGGAACCTCTCCCCTGATGATCTGCTCAACGGAGACACGCTCGCCGTAGAAAGCGGCATTGGCATCCTTGCGCTCAACCACAACGGTACCATCGACCTGGATACCTGCGTAAAAGCCACGAGACTTGACGTAAGAAAAGACAGGCTTGAAACCGCTAGCGCTCAGGCTGCGACGATTCTTCTTCTTGTCTGTCTCGGGCTTCAAGTTTTGGCTGTCCTCAGTGGGCCTGGGAGGCTTGGGAGGAGCCTCCTCATCCTTGGCCTCCTTGGACTTCTTTCCGTCCATGGCAGTACCGATCTCGACAGCACCTCCAGCGCCGTAAGGACCAGCAACCACAGCAAGATCGCTGCCCAGGGCAACGCGTGTCTTGGCAAAAGCGTTAAGTGCTTCTCGACTATTGATGACACAGACACAGTCGTAAATATCAAGTCCGATCATGAAGCCCGCACCCACAGAGTGCACCTGAATACCTGAAGGAGGACCCCATGATCCGTCAGGAAGACGAGAGATCAGAATACCCGAACCAGTGGCACCAGAAAAGGCGTAGCCGGCACGAAGGGTTGTAAAGATAGCAAGACCTTGTGCCTTGGCAATGACCTTAGGGGGGATGTTGACAAGAACTCGCTTCTTGGGCTTCTCCTTGGTAGGATCAATGATCTCGTCGTTTGTCTCCTGCGCCTTTGGGTCGGTTGAGGTGGGAACCTGGCTTGAGCTAGGGTCGGCGTAGACACCGTTTTCTAGAGTGTGTGAGTGTATGTTAGTTGAGCTGAATTGAGGCAACTTACTGCAGAACGACTTCAGAATAGAGGCGGCCTTGTCACATTCTTTATCAATAGTCTCGGGAAGGAAACTTTGACTGCCAAATTTGTGCGCCAGGCTGTTGATGGGCGCCGCAGCCTTGATACCAAGCTGGCTAAAACGCTCGCTCCAGCCAGGCTTCTTGTGTTCATCAGGAGGCACAAATGTTGAAACATTGCCAGTATCGGGGACATGGCCCTGGCCCTGACCGTGATCGGGACCTTGAACGTGGCCTAGGTTGTGGTCGTGACCTTGGACGTGACCTTGGTTGTAATCATGGCTATGGCTAGGGTCAGGGACAGTTGTACCTGACTGAACCGGCTCGCCTGTAGGAGGGGGCGCAAAGGTAGGATGGGCAGGGTCATATTGTGGGATGGCGTAGTTTTGCTGGCTCTGCTGGCCTTGTTGGGTGTGCTGAGCGTCTAAGGGCTGGTGAGTCTCCTGGTGCTGCTGAGGCGCGGTGATTGGATTTCCCTGGAGCGGGTTGGGGTGAGTAGCAGATTGTTGATGTTGATCCTGCGAAGGAGGAGGACCAGGAGGAGGGGGAGGGAAGTATTGTTGTTCCAGCTTGCGCTTCTCGTCTCCGGCTAGTGGTTGTTGCGATTCACCTACAGGTGGAGGTGCAAACTGGGGAGGCTGTTGCTGGGTTCCAGCAAATTGAGAATGATCTTGTTGAGGAACTGGAACACGCGGCTTCTCATCTCCAGGAAGTTCAGCCGATCCTTGATTGTACGCAGGAGGGGCAGAGGAGTCGTGTGTGGAAGTGGGATACTGCTGGCCAGGCTGAGCGGTAGGCAGGAGACCGCTTCCATGCTGGTCGCCAGCCGAGTATTGGGGAGCTTTCTCAGGATTAGACATTGATTCGAGGTTATGAGTGGTCGTAGTGGTAGTTGTAAGGTTAAGGTTGTGGAGGTGTTGGTGTTGATGGCGGGGTAGCTTCGTATGTGGTGTAGTTAGAGCTAAGAGATGGGAAAGAGAGAGAGGTGTCGAATTCTTGGATTAAGAGATGGTTTTAATAGACAAACAGGAAGATAACAGAATGGCCTAGTGTTAATTTACGGAGGCCTCGTCACTAAAGAGATCCAAGAGTGGCGTGAATCAATGCGAAACCGGTTCCATAACTGCAAGGAACAGCAACTTGCGACAGCTCGCCATACGGATTGATGTCATCACAGTGGCTTGGCTGAATACGATTGCGTGGCTGATTTCAGGGTCCTGCACAGCCACGCCAACCACCAATAAGACGTCTCCAACCGTAAAGAAAGACGAAAATTGTTAGGTCATGCTGGTTGTTGGCATGTAAATATATGTAAATATTTTCCTGATGATGGTGATGATAAGTATGCTATTTTGTACTCTCCTCTCGTGTATTGACGATGGATAGTTGTCAACCTTATCGCGGGGATTTCGGAACCCGAGCGGTTATCCGGGGTAAGGATGTGAAGCTTACCCGAAGCCCGTGATCATGGCTTACATACCAAGCAAAAGGCTGTTCTTCGAACAAACATTACATTCACTCGTTTAATATCGTGCGACTCGCAGTTTCTGCATATCCCCCAGGGACTCTTTCGATCCGAAAATGACACAAACAGAGCCCTCCAACAGCCCGGAGACTCGCCATCTCCCCCGCATTCTTTGTCTTCATGGCGGAGGTGTCAACGCTCAAGTGTTCGAGGCCCAATGTCGCGCACTCATAAGTCATCTCAAAAGCTCTTTACGTCTCGTTTTCATGCAAGCGCCGTTCATCTCAGACCCTCATCCGGACATCGTAGCCGTGTACGGCGAATATGGACCCTTTCGACGATGGCTTCGTTGGGAGCCTGACCATCCAGAGATCGAGTCCGATGTTGCCACCGAGACGCTCAGGAACCAGACCCGCCAGGCAATGGATAGCGACCCCGGCACCGGAGAGTGGATAGGCATAATGGGGTTTTCTCAGGGCGCGAAGATCGCGGCGAGCTTACTATGGACGCAGCAGAAAGTAACGGAGCAGTTTGGAGCACAAGAAGCTTTGACACAGTTCAAGTTTGGAGTCCTCATGGCTGGAAGAGGGCCTTTGATCACATTGGACGATCGCCTCGAGCATACACCACGAATTGTTGACGCAGGGCTGTTGAGTTCCGAGTTCAAGGACTGGCCCGAGTCGAACGAGGGTGAACACGTCTTGAGTATCCCAACGTTGCACGTCCATGGGATTCGAGACCCTGGACTGGAGCATCATAGAATCCTCATGGAAAAGTACTGCGAAACGGGCACTACAACTCTGGTAGAATGGGACGGTGGGCACCGGATACCAATCAAGAGTCATGATGTTGGGGCTGTGACAAATGAGATCTTGAAACTTGCCAAAGACGCGGGGGTAAAGTTGCCCAATTGAAGACTTTCCTACGTTCAATCGTGATTTTCCGCAGGGGTAGAATTCTTTAGAGCAGTTACGGACATGATACGGGAGACTAGACATCAGCTTTTTGTAGGAATACTTTCCAGACAGCAATGACGGCCGACGCAATCAACCAGGGTGACTTACATCAAATAGATGAAAGGGTCTTGTAGCGAAACAGCAAGAAAAAGAGAAACAGGAAAGGAGAAAAGAGAAACATCTCGAACTCAGTATCTCCAATCTTATTCCAAGAAGAGGAAAAGTACCTCTAACCAAGGGATTGGTTCATCATCATCGTTCTACCCCCTGTTTCCCAAATCCAAGCAGCCATTGTTGGCGCTTAATTCCACGAGTCATACTGTAGCGACATTAGGTTCGGACAAGAACCGCATCTGTAGAGCAAAGATTTACGTTATGATCCGGCACCATGGACAGCAATTTATACCTGCAGCGTACAGAAACTTTGTTTTGTGCGGGAAGCCCTTTTCTTCAGTCATCTTCGGCAAAGGCTTTGAGTTTTACCTCTGGGGTGATACGTATACGCCAGAAAAGGCACTTTCAGGATTACTTTCTGACAATACCTCCAAGCTCAAGCTAAAACCTTAAGAACGCTATTTCGCCTTGAAGAGGAAAAGGTGATTACGAGAGGCGAATCATCATTCGTAGAAACGCATAAGTTGAAGGTAAGATTCTCCCCTGGGGATGAATCCTCGACTGCTTGAAAGATGAATTAAGTTGGCGGTAACAAACAAGAGTCAAAACGAAATGGAGACATCTTTTTCAGAAACAAACACAAATTGACCGGGCGAAAACATGATGAAATCCACTTAAGGACTTGTTCAAAGCCTCTGGTTGTGCAATCTCACAATCGTCATCTGGAAATCATGGCCACAAATGAGAACCGAATTCACGCCTGGTAAATCACCGAAAGAACTAAGCGATAATAATTCAGCAAACCATCTTCTATTCATTGTTTTCTTCTCAGTTTATTCTTACCCCCACTGCGATCGCATCCTGTGACGGAAGCCTTCCAGGCAGGCTGCAGTGGGCGTGTAAAAGCTCCGATAATTTCCTCTATTCCAGATTTTATGTAAGATTATCTAAATAATAACAAGCTCTTTTTAATTTGTAGAATTTTATGTAATCTTATCCTAAAATCACATTCAAAGTCTTCTAATTATGATGTATTCTATTTATCTGTTCTATTGTACATCTCTCGCTGGCTCATTGTTGGGACTTGCACGGAACTGTATGTCTTCGTTATCTTCTCTCAACGATTGTTGTCTGAGCATGTGACTTCATTACCACCAAACAATAATGTAAACAAAGTGACATAAAAAAGCAATCCACTCATATTTGTAGATTGGTCTTTCAACCCTTGTCCACTACGGACCGCGCTCGTTTGACAATCGTGCTACCATTTTGGTGTTCCGCCATATGATTACGACAGCAATTATGATCCAAGACAGCGAAACGCGTACTCAAAACGAGTGTGCGCCTTTTGAGACTTACACTAGTGCTGCAATCAAGCGAGCACTCGGCGATGAAAACACCAGGAGCAAAATGACAAAGCCAGGCTCCATGACGCCTGGCAGAATGGTCCGTCTCTTTCTATAAAGACCTCCTTTTCCCACTCAATCCCCCCAATTCATCTTCAGTCAACCACAAAGAGTTCATCATCAACCCCCTATCAGCTTCGAGCAATGAGCTGGTACTATATACTTACGACTGATCTTACAGTAAGTACAATCTCCACTAATCATCACGTCTGCAAGTTATGTTGAAGCTAATACCCAATAGAACGGCAAGCTTTTACATCATCAGCTTTCCAAGCGCTCACTACGCATACGCTGTGGAATCAACTTGACTTGTGTCGTAATTGCCTTTCATTTATACCCCAATGTAAGATTCTTGTAGTCTCTCACCCGATAGTAGACACTGATCCCCTTCTTCAGATATAGAGGTTGCTGTCGTTTCTGCAGCAACTCCGCAGTAAATAAGAAGTGTCAACTTATACCAAACAAGACCTCCAGATCATGGTGCCTACCCCGTCTGGCATGAATTCACCTTTGATACTCGCATCGATATCAAGACTATTTCGAGGGAATGAATAAGAGGCCGAAGCTCACCTTGTCTACCAGCTTACTATGGCACTTTCGGCGCATTTCAGTATAGAATCTTATAGTTACCGACCACATGGCTCCAATTCACTTATAGATAACCTAGCGTCAAAAACAGAATGGGACTCGGCAATGTGTTGTATGTTATATTGACAGCGAACTGTCAAAGCCTGTCCTTCTGGATCCAAATGTAAGTATTCGACACGTGTCGACGCAAAGCGGACAATATTCTTACACCATTCGACCAGCTCATCAAGTCACCATTCTTCTTCAGAAGAAAGAGAAGGCATTCCGGGTTGTCTGCCGCCTCTTTAGATAAATCGGTCGATCCTAGCATGATGCTAGAATTATCAATGTCTAGTTTGTCATGCCGACAAGAGCGTTGAGCACTGGCGGGCACCGTCAACAATGTTCAACCTCTACCGCCAAGTATATTCCTTCCCGCTTATTCAATTAGGCAGACTTGTTATTCGAGTTCTACTGGCAAGTCGTTTGCTTACCTTTACTCTTGATCCTAGCTTTCTCTCCATTGTCAATGGATTTCTCTTTTACAAGCAACGTCAAGAAGATGAGTCTCCGCGATCTACCAGCGGAGATGCTAGACCAAGTAGCATCCAATTTAAGTGTGAGAGATCAGCTTAATATCTCGGAGACATGCTCTCTGATCTGGTATGCCTTTATTAGGCGAATATTCAAGGTCGTCGAATTCAAAGGTAACCGACGACAAGTTACAGCGATGTTGCTGAATTTCCTGGCAAACAACAACACTCCGAGAATCCAGGAGATCAAGAAACATGCTCGGTAGGCGCAAGGCCTTTCTATTGCATTTCTTGGTAACTGATTCGGATTATAGCTCAGTTTCATTCGTCATCTTGACCGACACGATCGACAACCACCACCAAGAGGATGATGGGTTGACTCCCTCTCTCATTCTTTCCGCGATTCACAAGTTCCCCCGGGTTTTTGCCTTGGGACTGGAAGTGAATGGTCTGTCTAGCAACGAGCAAAAAGCTCTTCAGATCCAAGCAAAGACCGCACGTCGTTGGACTGCGGTTACGCACTTGAGGGTTGACCTCCCCAATCCGGTCTTCCAGCGACTGCTCCAAACAAGTCTACATGGAGCGAACATCCGGGCAGTTGACGTAAACGGCGATCTCAAAGACCGCCATTTGAACCTCTTAGGCCGGCATCTTCCTGACATCCAAAAACTTCGGGTTAGGATGCGCGACCCTGTGCTTGATTGCTGGAAGTTTACACCCAACAACGTACTCCAGGGTGACCAAGTATGTTTCCGAGATTTCGCCAATCTCGAATGCCTCATATTGGCCGAGGGAAATCCGCGTTCACATATCAGACACAGTTCAGTGCGAAGCGAGGAAGGGTTTGCCAACAACGTGCAAGAGTTCATCAACAGTCTGAAGAGCATGGGTAACTTACGCCGGCTAGCCATTGAGTTCTCAACCCGCATTCTTGTGTGGACTGTGGACCAAGACCTCCAAGAGGGGAGTGAGGACCGCGGCGAACTGAACTTCACCTGTGCCTTTATTGTGCTAGAGATGGGAGGCAACCTGGGGGACCTGTCCGAAATGTGTCTTGTTGAACACACTGATCTGTACCATGGGCGACTTCTGGTACACCGGGGTATCCGAACTGAAGAGTACGGCGTGATGGAGACAAGCAGAGAAATTGCTGGCCCTAGGGATACTTTTCCCCGAGGCCTCCTATATTAGACTTTATTCGTAAAGTAGAGAGGAGCGATAGAAGAAGTCGACAATGTCGGGATGCGATTACCGGAACCCACCCGCTTACACCCGACTCGTGGTTTAAGATGCACCCAGGAGGATTGTCATCGTTGTTTTACCACGCCAAGTCAATGCCGTAGGTATATGAAGAGACAACATCAGATCGTTGGAAATCCCACAGAAGTAGTAATACAAAGTTTCCGCATTTCAGCAACGGCTTCAAGGTTTTGCTTTGAAGTTATCGACAAAGAGGTCCACCCCTCCAACTTTTCTCTTGAGGAGATTATCAGCAGTAAGGACGAAGAGCTAAGGGAAATTGAATGTTAGGGATATGCTCCAGGTAGGTCAGAACTCAATAAAGCCAAGCAATGGAAGTCGCACACGACAACTAAACTTTAATTAGGATGGGTATATATATCACACAGCTGTACGCACAAAAGCTAGACTCGTTTTTCCTCCTTCATCCCACAACCTATTCAACACAACAAGCAAACCACTTGTCAATCTTCCTTTGCGACTGCTTGTAGTCAGTCAACCAACCCCTACCCTTCGGTCCACATCGCCAACCTCTTTCGCAGCTACCACCTACACAATGAATCCTGCTATCGAAATAAGAAGCCCATGCTGCGACGCAAGCTTCGGTCATCTCCATGCATCAGACGGGATAATCCCAATTCGGTCAAACTGTAAAGATCGCCTTTGGCCATGAGTTTCTGATACTGTGCGGGATAGGGCTGAGACGTCGGAATCACAACCTCACACCGCAGCTTGAAAGCCTAAGAGGCCTGGAAAGAAGGCTTGCAGAAGGGTACCAATTCTCGAGACCGACACCTCCTTCATCGAGGCATTCAAGTCGAAGCCTTACCACAAGGCTTGGCGTAACAGCTAGGAAAAGAAGGTCGAATGGGTGAACGAGGTCTTCAAGGGGGAAGTGAATCCTGTTCCACTCAAGAGCTGAAACATGTCTCAAACTCTCTCTTCTGCATCACACTCATTCCGCCCACAAACACATACTATCTCTCTGCCGCCACGCCGAGTGGAAACACCAAACATGAACCATCAGGCCGTTCGACCACCGAGCTGAGTTGACATCGACACCCCAGGTTCGACAGTTCAGAAGAAGCGAACGAGCCCGAATGCAGAAGTCAGTCCATAGGTATTCAAGCTAAATATTGGGTCTTTGATCTTCTTGATGGAAACTCGCTCAGCCCACGATTCTCTGCTACCATCCGAACGCAGCCTTGAACTCTGGGTTGATGTACTAGGATGGCGCATCGAGATAGGTCAATCAGAACGGGCTACCTGCTCCTCCCATTTCACCATCTCTACCTTGAGAGTATGGATCTGCCTGTTCAACCGAGGAAGAAACGTGGCACAGATACTCGAGTAGTAAGACTCTCGTGGCGAAAGCTTGTTGGCAACCCTAGGTAGATGTAATAATTTACCATGTACCAATGCGTGACTTTTGGTATGTTTTTTATGGCTGGCAATTAATTAAGACTCAATTGGCATCCGACCTGACTAGTAACTCGTGGTATTTTCTCCATGGTTCAAGTAGACATTCGTAGACTCGCTTTACAGTCCGTTTGATTTGCGTCTGTAAAATAGTGTTTGTAAGACTAGTAATTATCCGCACCTGTGCGATTGTGCTTCAGCAGTCAGCGGACGGACGAACACAAAACTTGGAATTTCGGATGTTAAGAATGATACCATACTCCAAGAACATGCGATCATTTATCCTCTCCTTCTAGGGTCATCTTAAGCACGACAATAAAAGTACCACAATAAGAGCTATAGATACCAACTCTCAGCAGAGCAAGTCCAGCATCACCAGAGGCCCTGACAGGTATTAGAGTAAGGAATATTGTGAAAAAGAGGTAGTGGAAACAGTCGGCGGTGATGTGATGGTAGTGATCCTAGGATTGCACAGGTTGGCGAGGGCTGGGAAAGATGTAGCCTTCGGGTTGAAACAAGGATTCAAACCGCAACGACTCTCCTCTTGTAGGACCTTACACAACCCACGGAACATCGATGAGATGGCATGTTTCTGATGATCAGATGCAGTGGGAATCCGGCTGCTTCTTCCGCTCCTTGTTCAAGACGCCAACACCGTGTACACCAGCCTCTGCCAATACCAGACGTGCTCGCATTTTCTTCAGCCACTGTCTCCCCTCAATCACACCAGCCAAAGAGGTAGTTGCGTTGATCTCTAAGTAGCGGATAGCCGTGACCAGTTATTATCACCCATGATATACATCTGGTATCAAATCGTGCCCGGGACGTGCGCCTGGGATGATCTTCGATGCCGTATTGTATCAACAGAACTGAATTGATTCACCATGGGAGTGAAGGGACAGCTCATAGAAGCTTTAAGTCGCTGACTGACTTCATGTTTCTTCTCTTTCGTATTAATATCTGGTTCTGTATCAAAGCTTGTTGCTCCTGCTTCTGAGTTGCGAGTCAGAGATATTGCTGTCGCTGTCGTCTGTCTCTATTTCCAAGTTTTGGTGAAGATCCTAACACCTGCACCCATAGCAGCCCGTCTAATGACCCGGAGCACAACACATCTCTCATTGCAACGGTAGCAACAGTCGAAAACACGGCCAAGAAGCCAACGTTGCTTTCATTGCGACCATGACAGCAACCGTTTGCTATAGACCCAAACCCACCGAAGCTCTTATTGCAACGGTAGCAACAGTGCCTTCGCTGTCATGGCAGTTTCCCTGATGCATCAATCATGAGCTATCATTGTCAGCAAATATTCATCTTATTGATAGCTGCGCGACCTTACCTCATAAGAGTGTATAGCACTCTTTTATGCCGGATTGAGATAGTTCTTGTAGCCATAGCAACACCCCAAAGTTGAAGAATAGATCTGGCACTAAGAACGCATCCCCTTTTCGCAAAAGGCAAGAAGGCGACCTCTGGAATAGGCGTATCACAGCCTTCCCATACGGAAGAAGTAAGAGTTGCTCAGAGCGAGGCAGATGAGGGCATCGCCGTCACCGTGTTCGATGAGATTCTTGCAGATCTGGTCGACCATCTCTTGGGTGATGAGCTTGCAGTCGGTGCTAGATAATGAAGTCAGCACATGTATAAGCACAAAGTCTTTGCTCAAATAGGGCCGATGAATGTGCTGCAAGGTGATTTGAAAACTTCCATCTCACGTTCGGGCTTGCTTATCGGGAAGGTTTAAAGGAAGGACATACTAGAGTGTTTGAGAAACGGAGGGGGAAAGGGTGCAAAGCCTCAACAGGGGAACCGAGAGGAGTGAAAAGAGGCGACAGAACAGACGCTTTGTCCTGATCAGATGGATGACTTGGGCTGACAATGGGGATGCGAAGAGAGCAGAACTATACCTTCTCAGGAAGCAGCGGAGCTTGCTGCGAATGTTGCAGGTGGGTTCGATGTCGACATCAGGTGGTCTTTCCTCACGATGATATGATCAGCACTGGCAGCAGAGGGCTGGAGTCTGAGGAGGAGTGAGGATGATAAAAATATTGTTTTGGGAGTAGATGATGAGAGGAGAGGAGAAGAGAGTATCCCCGAGATGAGGGAGGAGGGGAGAGATAAACAAAAGGAACTGACCCACTCGCAGTACGTCACTGCATTTATCTGTTCGATGGAATTCCGGGGAAAGCAAGCGGCCACTTCTGGTTTTTGTCAAGAGCAGCTGCCCGCCAGTGCTCAGCTTCGTGTCAGCCAGTGGCAACCCATCCCCTGTTTACCATGACCTATAACGGTTACTTGATACCGGATGGGCATGGATACCTTACTACTAAGGTAGTCAAGTAGGTTAGTAGTATGCAGTGTATTGCTACCTAGTTCAGAGTCTCTAAAGGTGCTGATGGGCAGGAAGACAGCTAGTGTGAAAGGAGCTTTACACGAGTCCACGGTTGGTTTGTTCACCATCTATGCATCCAGTAAGTACTCGAATCGAACACACACAGTGGAATGGAGGTACAGTAGGACACAGAAGGTACTAGGCTCCTGTTCAAAATAGGATGATCACGAACAAAGGTCAGGGAAGGTCAAATAACACTCCACGAGCATTGATATGGTACACATCCTGATTTATTCCTCAGACTCCCCAGCAGACTGAGACCTCCGAGTCATCCCTTTTGACTTGGCTATCACTCGCCATTTGTGGTGTCCATGCCAACTGGTTGCATCAACTTTCCATCCGACCAACATCCCCACATGAGCTCAAAGGATGATCAAACGGATTGAACATATCCAGTGGAACCTCCATGGGATCATTTTCCATCACCCCCATCATCTGTCTCAGAGTCGAAGAAAGACTGGACAGGCTCCCTGGCCCCATTGGCGCTCGTGTTGGTCTGCAAGTTGATAGCCTTGCGAAGGAGGGACATATCGTAGCGAACAGGAGGAACTAACATTGATAAGCCAAGGAAGGGATAGTTGTACTAAAATGAGGCAGTGCTTACGGTTCTTACGAGCAAGCTCACGTTCCTCGCGGACCTTTTCGGCGGTAGACTTGTTGGAAGGCATGGAGACGATGCAGTTCAATGTAAAGATTTTGAGAGATAGACAACGAGACAAGTGTTTCTGGGCTTCGTAGTCAGATTGGTGTCTGGGAAGAAGGTATCGAGCTCTACTGATGAGATCGGAAAGAAGAAGACATATCTTGTAGCAAGAGGTAGTCTTTTATATCCCAGATATACACTCACGCAAACGAACAAAAGATGGACGTTTGCGCAATTGATGGAACTACGAGGAATATCGCAGTGTCGCTATGTTACGTAGGGGCGTTTGGAATATACCTTCAAGTACCGCAAACTTCATGTAAACGGTTGTGTGTCTTTACAAGTGGGTTCAATCGGTCGAACGGGCCTGCGTTGTGGGCATTGAAGTCCCATAAGGTCATTCAAACAAGCACACAGACAAACACAATGAGCCCCTCGGATCTTATATGCTTCGTCAAGATAGAGAAGGCAAATTATTGAACTAATACAGCAACGGTGACCTGCCAGATAAGTAATATTCCTATAACTTTGTTACTTTGTCCAGCTTCAACTCCCCTTTTGACTTACACCATACCCTTCATCACTTCAAAAACTCCTCCTTGCCCTTCTCCCGCAGCACCTCATGCACCGTCTCCAAAACCCGCCCATGAATATCCTTCGGTGCCGCCACAAAGCCAAAGTTGGCACTGATCTTCCTCCCAGCAGTCAAATCAATCTTCTTCCCATGCACATCCGTAATCTTTCCACCGGCCTCCTCAAATAGCAACATAGCTCCAGCGTGATCCCAAGCTTTGGCGTAGCGATCTCGACGCTTGTACACCCAGACCGTGGTGTTGCCAAGACCCATGGCCAGAACAGCCCACCGAAGAACCCAGGGTACGAGATCACTGCCTGGATACGGAGCGTTGAGACGAGAGGCGACGATATCGTGGATGCCATTGAGGGCTGAGTCGACGATGGTGGCGCTGGTGACGAAGCTGACTTGATTGGCACTCTGAGTGGATAATCGTCTGGGTTGATCAGAGCGAAGAGGCCGGATGAAAGCACCGTGGCCTTTAACAGCGAAGAAGATACATCCCTCTCCGGTAGGATCAATATCCTCATTCTTGAGTGGCGCTTTCGCATTAATCGACAGATTAGGCGCCCCCACGATTCCAGCGACCTGTTCGCCATCTTCCAAAAGACCCATGTTGATAGCGTAAAGCTGGCCAAGTAGATATGTCTTCGTGCCATCAATAGGATCAAAAATCCATGTTCGTCCAGTTGACGCAGGGCTACTAGCTCCGCACTCATCAATAAGATCGCACACTTGCTCTCGCGTAGCTGGTAGCTTGCACAGAGAAGGCGTGTCCTCATCCTCCGCGATACGGCCAAGAAGCCCCCAAACGCGCTCCATCAGAGCAGAATTCTGCCTAAGATCCGAAGCATCTTCCTCGCCAACTACCCGATCTTCGGGAAAGGCATGCTTGATCGTCGCCGTAAGCAGCGCCTGCACAGCAAAGTCGGCGACTGTCACAGGGCTCAAGTCGTCCTTCTCGATCGCACCCTTGTCTTTGTCTGCAACGATGGACTGACTCAACTGAGCCGCCTTCTGCAAGGCCCCAATTGCTACAGTAAGCTCTCGTGCATATGGACTGTCCATTTTGAGCTGGTGTTGAAGTGACAGAATAATCCGTCGTGGGACAAACCCCGCTTTGAGTGAATAGTGGATAAATGCATAGTGACTTCATTCACGGTCGTGAGATACCTTCCCTTTTGTTTGTGCTTCAGAAACACAAACAAACACCAAATGGATCATCACACATGCCTGACGAATCGGTGAGGCTCGACCCTACCGCCATCACTTTTTTGGGCGAACCCTTTGAGCTTGTACCAGTAGTGCACGACATCCTTCGCACGCGCTATTGTGTCCCTGAGACCATCTTTCTCGTCGAGGGTATTGATCGAGTTTCCGTCTCGCGCTCAGGAAGATGGCAGGCCATTCGAATTGTCCTTGGTGATGGAGCGCTGTGCATCCAAGCCCTTTTGGGCAGCGACATGCATCGATTTGTGCAGACGGGAGATATTGCTCTAGGGGCCTATGTTCGATGCAAGACGTTCCACGCCAAGTGGCAGGATGTCCGTGGACAGAGTATGGTTACCTTGGTCGTGGATGACCTGATCACTATCGGCTGGAATGAATCGTATCGGATACTCCAGGAGGAAGATGAACTCATGACACAGCAATACCCAGACCCGGCAACTCAGAATGATCAAGATGCCAAGCCGACACAGAACCCACCGGAGCAGCTGGAAGAGAAGCTGGAAGAGCCCTCCAAACCCCAACAAGATATGGACTTTGATGACGACGACGAAGAAGTCGTCGAGGAAGCCTTTGAGGCGTTCGAAACTCTGATGCATGCCCCGAAACCCAAGACACCACAAAAGACACCAACGTCCAAGCAACCAATTGCCCTCCCACGCGATTGGCACAATCCCCAAACACCTCTCAAGCTGACCACTCTACGATCGATCCCGCATCTACCATACAAGCAAAACTGGTCCTGCAACGTCCTCGCCATCATTGCGTCCCTCTCAGATCTGGAGCCATCGAACCTGCCACCCTACAGACAGAGGACAGCACGGCTCGTCGACCCCTCTACGGCCAAACAGGTGCATTTAACTGTGTTCCTCGACCCTGAGCAGTTCGGCCCTCGGATTGGTAGTGTAGTTCTGCTAGTGGGAGTCAAGAACCACCGTTTTGATGGTGGGAGTCTGAAGAAGTATGAGAGCGATCGCAAGAATGGACGGTGGTGGTTTGAGAATCCGGTGGAGTTGAATTGGTGTGATGTGGAAGGAATCAAAGCCTGGTGGTCTGAAGTGACCCAGATTACAGAATCGGGAGGTTAAAATAAACTTTAGCGTGTTCGTACCCTTTCTCTTATTTTCATTCTCTTTTGGTGCTCAGCTGTATGCTCTATGAATGCCTGAAGTTATAACCTTGTCTCCAGCCAGCTCATTCGTGTGCATCATCATCATAACTTTTATTCATCACAGAATTCCCTCCATACCAAGGCACACGAAAGAATCTCAAACGGAGATCTCTGTCTACGCATAACGTCTCTCACGTTGCTGTCTCTCACGTTGCTGTCTCTCATGTTGCTGCTGTCTCTCATGTCGCTGTCTCTCATGTCGCCGTCTCTCTAGCCGGTTATTCAGCCCGCTGCCCACCTCGTCATGTTTCAGCTCGATCATTTCCGTCATTTCCCATGCACAGTAGGAAAGCGGCCGGCGTTCATCCTGATCCATTAGCACAGTATAATCGGCCATGGCATCTGCTGGTGTCTCAGACGGCCTGGAAAGAGCCACGCCACCGAGCAGAGGTACAATAACATAGTCATCATCCTGGAAGACCTGAGTCCTGAACTGCCGAGCACAGCTTGACACTATCTTAGTTTCGAATCGTGGTGAAGGTGCCTGATTACTCCCAGTCGGGTGCACCGCTCGTACATCCAAAACACCCACTTCCTGGTCTCTAATTCCGGAGCATGGGTGGCTCAGAGATAGTACCAGGTCGTTGTTCCAGATATGTGCGTCCACCAGCCTTGTCTCGTATCGCTCCCGAGCTTCAGAATAGATCCCACCATCCCATAGAACGTCAGGCCACGGCGAGCAGTATTCGTGATGATCAAAGGTCTCTGTCAAGACATTGAACGTCACAGCTCCCCATTCTCCTCTTCTCTCCCGCGGATCACAACAAGAGCATAGCACAATTTTGCCTGTCTCGGCGCCCTGGTAGCGATACAACCCGAGACAAAACGTGCCACGATTGTCAGATTTTCGACAAGTAAAAGATAATGCGGTCCAAGTGAAGTCTTTGCAGTCCGGTTGTGGATTTTGTAGAGGGTTTGGGAGCGATATCGATTTACTGGTATTCCACACGTTCTGACCATCTTCAAACTTGGCCAGTACGAAGCTGATCAGTCGCTTGTCTGCCAGAATCAGCCTTTGCAAATCTCGATGCCATAACCTGACGGAATTACCTTGTTGCGCCTTATGGGAGTACGCCCAAACTGCAAACATCACGTTATCGTTCGTAGGATGAGGTAAGATCTTGGGCAGGCCTCCAAACATCGCATCAGACTCACTAAGAAAGTTGTTTATGTCCGTGAAGTCGAGCCGTACCAAAGAACTACCCCAGGTGAACTGCAAGATCTTACCAGTTCGCATCACGAAGGTGACAGTTCTGAAATCCACATACGCGTGGTGAAGCGGCGAGGGCAGAAACAGCTTTCTCCATGCCCCAGTCTCGAGATGAACAATAGATCTGAGTCTGTCAGTACTAAAGTCAAAACTTGACGGCAAACAGCACTCACACTGTGTTCGTCTGTCCATTGACCATGTACAGGACAAGGAGCATGTCGCTGGTAGCCGCAGCTTGGTATCTTTCGCCTTGAATGACAGCTCTAGGTGGCACGAATTGCCGCCACTGGTCTGTACAGAAATTTCCAACGTTGAATGTAAACGGTCCTTGTTGCCAGACAAACTTTCCCTTGTTGTATAGAAACGGATATGGGACACGCCGGGCCAAGCCTTCTGGTGTGATTGAACTCCATGGCTTCCAGGTGTAGCTGAAATGAGGCTGTCGCCACTTGAGATGCATCTGTCTCCCCCTCGAATAGAGACCGTGAGATGATTCATTCGGGTACAGTTCCCTAAGACCCGGAAAGAAATATTTCAGCACGTCGGTCCGGAGGTCTTTCTGTGTCCATATATTTCTCCATTCTTTGGATGTGCGGGTACAGCATAGGTATGCATCATAGTCGAGATAAAAGAGGATGTTTGTGATGATCTCTACTGGTAATTTCTCTAGGCGAGGTCCATCGGCCAAGATGCTGTCGATCCTGTTGCGCAGATATATCATGTCTTCTCTCGTTAGAACGATGAGAAGATTATCAAGTCGAGGGATGGCCGTTTCCGGAACCGATGGTTGATCCATGATGATGGTTTGCTTTGAGACTCTTGATAGCTTTCAAGTTACTTGTTGTACTGTTCAATACTGGAGTGTTCATGAAGGTTGGCTGCTCAACTTAAGTATCGTATCGTGCACCAAAAAAATAAGAACTGAGCGTTGTAACTTCAATGTTTTCCTAACGAGTTGTAATCTAGGTTGGCATTTATTTTTAGTTGTTGAGTCTCATACCCTGCTGAAACATGCCAGGCCCCTTCCTTGTCACTTCAAACAGAGAACAATGGCAATCACAACCACTGCATTGTGACTGCCTCCGGAATTTTGTCCGACCGGCGTCGGAGGTAAATTGTGGGGTCAGATTTGAAGCATGACCCATGACGTGCGATCGCGATGGAGCTACTCCAGTTTGACGTGATTCACACACTCATTCTCTCTATAAACCTCTCTTCCCGCCATGACCTTGTCCTAACATTCCTCCTCAAACCCCTACAGCCCTCGCCATGTCGTCCCCCGCGCTGGACGACGCATCGCGCCCCGACGCCGACCAACTCTCCACGCGCAGCTCAGTCTACGCCTCAGACAGCGACAGCGACTCCATCGCCGAAATCCGCGAACGAAGACGCAAAGAAAAACATGCTATCCGGCTGACCGCCTTCGTATCGGCGAACATCATCGCCCTCGCATGTGGCTCCATCGTCGTCTTCTCCCTCTATGCGCCGCTTTTGCAATCTCGTCTGCACTACACTCAGTTCCAGGTCAACGCTGTCGCTATCGCTGGCTCTGTCGCGCTCTACCTGCCTATTTCGCTCATCGGATATATCTGCGATCGCGTCGGTCTTAAGCCGCTGGCTCTCACGGGAGGAATCCTGTTTGGCACTGGATATGGCCTCGCGGCCGGCGTGTATAGAAAGCTGGATCTCGAATTCCGCAGTCATCCGCACCATCGAGTCAATGGCGACTGGTCGCTCCCCTTCATGATGTTCGCGTTTGTCTGCGTCGGTATCGCGACCTGCTCTCTATACATGGCCGCCGTTTCGTCATGCGCAAAGAACTTTGGAAAAGGGCGATACCGAGGTCTGGCGCTCGCTACTCCGATTACTTGTTTCGGCTTGAGTCCCATGTGGCTGAGTCAAGCGGGGACCCGTCTGTTCTCTGAGACACGAGCAGACGGATCCAAGGGTGACCTGGATGTGTTCCGTTTCTTCATCTTCCTCGCGGTCCTCACGGCCGCCATGGGCCTTCTCGGGACATTCACGCTGCGGGTTGTTGACGAGGACGACCTCATCGACGAGGCGATCGAGGAGCTGGAGCAGAGCGGGCTGCTCGACGGCAGCTCCCTGCTCGAGCGGAGCTACGGTACGGTCGGCGAGGATACGGAGAACTCAGCGCTGCTTGACCCGTCGAAAGACACGGCCAAGTGGAAGAAGAACTGGGTTCTCAACGCTGAAACGCGTTCGTTCCTGGCTGATCGGACCATGTGGCCATTTGCTCTGGCGTTCCTTCTGATCGTCGGACCAGGCGAGGCTTTTATTAATAACCTCGGAACAATTATTGGTACACTTACACCACCCGAGATGGAGGGTTTGAGTCACCGCACCTCAGCGGCGACGCACGTGTCTATCTTTGGTGTGACCAACACCGCGTCACGTATATTCATTGGGACTCTAACTGACTTGCTGGCTCCGTATCCCCAAACACAACATGTCCAAGGGCCACAGACCCGCTCTGCAGTGAGCAGTCGATTCTCCATCTCCCGAGTAGCATTCATGGCGTTTTTCGCATTTCTTCTTTCTCTGGGACTTTTGATCCTGTCATCTGGTCTAGTCCAGAACCATGCCGAGCGCTTCTGGCTTGTCTCAGGCCTTGTCGGTGCCGGCTACGGAGCAATCTTCAGCCTCACACCTCTAATCGTGACGATCATCTGGGGCGTGGAGAATTTTGCTACCAACTACGGCCTCATCGGCATGCTTCCTGCGGCTGGATCGACCTTTTGGGGTCTCATCTACTCGGCGACGTATCAGAACGGAGCCAACAACTCAAAGGCTGCCCCCGAGGATGGAGAGCAGGGTGATTTGTTCTGCTATGGTGCGCAGTGCTATGCTCCGACGTACTGGGCTGAGACAGTCACGGTGTGGATTGCGGTGGGATTGTTGATCTGGGCTTGGAAGGGCAGAGGAGGATGGGCCCAACGTGGAATTGTCATTTAGGCATTGGCACGGCGTTTTCTAGGGATAGATAGCATACGTGGGTTGGGAGGGAACATTACTTTGGCATGTGCTTTTCTTGTCATAGCATAGTCTTTCGATATCATCAGTTCAATATCCTAGCGCTTTCTAGTCTGCTGATATCCCGTAGCTTGCGGCTTGTGTATCTGTCGTCCAAGCTCCTATCCTAAGCCTACATGCATCCGACAAGCTACCCCGGATTTCCAAGTAAGCCCATGCAGCCACCGCCAGATAGCGTCATTCGTGCAGACAAGTTTCCCGCGGACAACTCCCCCTCATCTGATAAGCGCAATCATACCTGTCGGTCCCTAGCTTGACCCCCGATCGTCCCCCACGGGTCCCAAATCAACAACCGTAGTCTGCACCTAACGCTGCAGGTCCCACTTGCGAGGCTTATAATTACCAAGCTGGGAGTGATAGGTACAGCTTCGGGGAACTAGATGTCAATCTACGGAAAGCCGGAGAAGTATCGTAACTGCTGATCCTTGGCTCTTTATCTAAATAGCATCTTCGTGAATATGTCTGGGCTAGTTGGTCAAGATGTTATCGATCAATCGCAATGGCTGAACAAACTCGCTCTAAAGGCGTGTCGTTGACGTGGTTGGCTGCACTGCCTGTTATCCTCGCTGCTGTCTTGACGGCGTATCCTGATGTATTTCGATCATCTTCTGGGCCTGAGCCTGTGCCATCTGTAACTATCAAGCAAGGGACGATAATCGGAAAATGGGTTGATGATGGAACATTTCCGCAGCCGCTGGAGGGGTTCATGGGAATTCCATATGCAATCCCCCCAGTGGGTGAGCGACGATTTCGACCAGCTGAGCCTGTGGCTGCCAGTAATGAGACGATCGAGGCTTACTATCTTGGACCCAGGTATGTTCCAATTACACCATTCCAAATAAATGCTAATCTTTGAAGATGTCCTGGCGTACAACTCGTTCCCTTCCTCAAAGATCCCATTCTCGGACCTGATTATGAATCAGAAGATTGCCTCACCATCAATGTCTGGCGCAAGAAGGGCCATTCTCCCAGCAAGGGAAAGCTACCTGTTGCTGTCCTTATCCCAGGAGGAGCGTTTAATCGTGGTGCTGCACGAATGCACAACTCGCATACCATGCTTGCTTTCTCAGAGGAGCCTTACATCGCTGTCAGCATGCAATACCGCATTGGTGTGTTTGGCGGGTTGAATACAGAGTTGACTGCGAAGGAGGGAGTGTTGAACCTTGGACTGAAGGATATGTATGTGGCCCTTGAATGGGTTCAAGAGAACATTGGAGCATTTGGAGGTGACCCTGATGATGTTACTATCATGGGGTTAAGCGCTGCAGCTCACGGTGTAAGTGCTTTTTGAGTTACCATAAGAATAACCGCTAACATGCATAGATTGGGCACCTCATCATGGACATCAACCAGCCTAAAAAGCTCTTCCATAAAGCCATCATGGATTCTGGAGCTCATACAGCTCGTGCAGTCCATCCTCCAGATGCAGCCCTCAACAGCCAGCACTTCCGCGAGCTCCTCGATCTAACGCCCTGCTCACATTTCAAGAATCTCAAAGATCCAAAGATTTTAACTTGTCTTCGCGGTCTACCCTCCGAGACAGTAGACAATGCAGGTAAAGAGGTGTTTGCTCGCTCAGATCCTTCTATCCGCTGGGCATGGCAGCCCGTGATCGACGGGGATGTTATTTCTCGACGACCGCTAGAGGCCTGGAAGTCTGGCAAGTTCAACAGAGTTCCTATTTTGACCGGCTCAGCAGCTAATGAGGGCGCATACTATGTTCCTCAAGCTGCTTATAAGCCTCAAGACTTCACCAATTTCTTCCGCAGCCTTTTGCCGCATCTTACAACCTCGGAAGTTGCAGAGCTTGAGAAGCTGTATCCTGATCCATCCACCAACCCAGATTCGCCTCACCTTGACACACGTAACATCCCAGGAGTAGGATCTCAATACCGAAGACTTGAGACTGCTTATGGCCACTACGCGTATACATGCCCAGTGCGACAAACTGTCATCTGGGCAACTTTCCACGACTCTCCTCAACCTGCATATCTATACCACTGGGCACTTAACAAAACCGCTCTGTTTGGCGCGAACCACGGCGACCAGATGCGTTACCAAACATTCAACAAGGAAGTCCGCGAGATTTCTCCAGCGCAGAAAGAAGTATCCGGGCAGTTCCACGCGTACTGCACTAGCTTCATCACAAAAGGAGATCCAAATGCCATCAAGGGGGGATTCTCACATCGCCCGCAGTGGACATCTTTTGAGAATGGTAAAGGGAAGACGATGCTGCTAGGGAGGGGAAATGATGAGAGAGCTGGGGGAACAGGGGTTGGAAAGCCGGCGGAGTTGCTTGACTTTACATGGGGGGATGAGCAGTGTGAATTTTGGTGGAGGGTGTCCTCCAAGTGGGAGGACTAAAAAGGATACTAGTATTTAAGGCATGGTCTGTAGTGTAGAAAACCGTCCGTAGAAATAGTCAAATCTTATGTCCGGAGAAACAATTCTCGTCCTTACTAGTTCTTGTTTACTCCAGCTTGCCAAGAATAGCAGGATTCACTCAACCTCAGAATCACCAACCAGCTGTCTTGCATGTTCGTTTAGTCAAATTCCTTTACGTAAAACCAATTACGAAAGTGGGATCCCCCAGATTTTGAAGCACAGGTTCCCGAACCACCGAATCTGGGGTATAGCCTATGCACGTAGGTAAGGGTCCACGATCACAAGGATGGGGCACTGCATGACTTGACAAGATCAATTTCTAATTACATGACATCATTACAAATCGCTAACTAATAAGAGTATCGGAAGTTGGGGTTCTCAAAATCTGTGAGATCCTGCAACACGGCGTTCTCGTCCTCAATGACAGGTCCCTGCTCATCCCGGAGACGGTTTCGGCGGATAAGCACGAAACGGAGAGCAATCGCGATGGCAACTTGGCCGGCTACGCAGCCAATAATGAGCTTGCAGCCAGTCTGGTAGATGGGTGCTTCAGAGCCGATGAAGCCGTGAGGGCCGATGATGTTGCCGATACAGTAGGCGAGGAAGACGAAGGCTGTGGCTGTGGTTCGCTTGGTGTAGCCACCAACGTTGGAGGCGGGCATTTGAAGAGCGACGATAAGGGCACCGACAAAAGATGCGCACTATGAATATGTTAGTAAGGCGTCAAAGAGAGTGTTTTCTTGGGAGCATACCATGTAGTAGCCAGCGAGCAGACCACCCTTGTTGGTTCGGGGAAGCTGCCAGAAGAGAATCACGGCAATGAGTGTGGGTGTAAGCCAGACACACATGACGATTGTTCGAACGTTCTTGAACTTGGACGCCACATAAGGACCAGTGAACATGAAGATGGCATTGCAGGCACCATAAGGAATACCATACGCCGTGGTGAGGAGAGCGTCCTTGGTGAAGCCCTTGACGATGAGCTTGGAGAAGTTGGCAATGCCACCGTTGATGATCTCGTTCAGGAGCACAAAGAAGAAGAGCAGCCAGATCTGCGCGTCGGTGAAAACCTCGCGGATCTGGTTCCACTTGATCTTGCGGTTGAACACACCCGTTTTGTTACGCGCGCTTTGGGCGATAAGCATGGCGCGCTCCTCGACCGTGTAGCGCTTCGCAGTGAGGATGTTGTTGGGGAGGAAGAAGTAAAGTACGACGCCCCAGCAGATGGTCAGGCCGCCGCAGAGGACGTAGATGGTGCGCCAGACAGCCCAGCCCTTGGCCTGGCCAACACCGTAGAACATGATGCCGCCGAACATGGCGCCGAAACCGTTGAAGCAGTAGAACAGACCGGCACGCGAGGGCTGGGTCTCTCGGCGGAACCATTGCGAGACGATGAGCATGAAGGCGGGTGTGATGACGGCCTCAAAAGCTCCGAGGAGGAAGCGGCATGCCGCAAGGCCGGCGAAGTTGCTGCAGGCGGCTGTGAGGCAGAGGATGGAGCCCCAGATGATGACAAAACTGCTCACGATGATGCCGGTGGGATAGTGCTGTGTGAGATAGGAGGCGGGCCATTCTGCGATGAGGTAGGCGAAGTAGAAGATGGACGCCATCCACGAGTATTCGTCCGGTGTCATTCCAGTTGTGGTGAACAGGTCAAAGACAGCTGAGTAGCCCAGAGCCTGCTTGTCGACATACTGAAGGAGATAAGTGCCGCACAGCAACGGCATCAAGGTCCAGTCAACTTTGCGACGAAGTTTCTTAAGCGCTACTTCATCAGACATGAGCTCGTTGAGACGAGAGTGGGCGATTCCATGTTGCTGGAGGAAAAGCTCTGCCTCGTCGAGATCTGTGACAGTGCCGTTCTTGATATCGGCCTCGACATCGTCGTTGATGTCGCAAGGCTGAGACTTCTTCTCAACCTCGATGTCGTGAGTCTTGTTGTCTGCCATGATGGAGATGTATGTTTAAGCAGAGGGGGGAGATGATTTCAGAAAAGAATATCTTCCTACCATTTCAAAAAGGAAAACCAACAGCGACAAGGAGCCCTTTTGAGCTTCCCTCCGTCATACTAACGAGAGGGGGGGTGGTAATCGACCCATGGGAGCGATTCATGGCCCTCTACCTAGTTCCTGGGATATCCGGGGAAGCGCTGGGGTGCAGGTGGAGAAAGTCATGATACTGTATCTCTGGTGGGGAATTGAGGTTTGGATAGATACCACTAGCCAGGATATTGGGGGAGGGGCAGCGATACTGCGATAGCAAGGGTGAGGGGATTACTAGCTTAGGCGTAGAGTGTTATCTACCGGGTCAGGTTTGCCGACTGTGTGTGCTTTGTTTCCCGCGGGGAACTTGGGGACAGGGAAGGGCGGAGGCTAGATTTATGTGCGAGATGTGAAATGTGAGATAAGATGCTAGGTTTGGAGATAGTATGCAATGGTTGAGATAGCTTGGCGTCATATGTCGAGATAGAGACTCGAGCTGGAATGACATCAATGGTCAGATGATAAGGATAGCGGCTTGGAAAGCGTCATGGCGACAATTATTGTCGTTGGAGTAATCTTCAGTCTCTATCACGATTCACAAGGGACAAGAATGAACTGTTTGGGAGACAAGGCTTGATCTTGAACATGCAATACAATTCACCAGACACCTCTAGCAAAACAGCCATTATACTATACTATCTCACATTTTGTACTCCCCGAAACACCACACTCAGCAATCCAACATTCACAGCATCGCCTTCCCTTCACCCGCGCTCCAAACCCTCCTCCCAGCAAACCACGTCTCCTTGATCTCCGCCTTGAGCAACGTCTTTGCATCCCACTCCATATCCGCAATAACCACATCTGCAAACTTGCCCACCTCCAGACTTCCCACACGATCGTCCTGGAAGACACTCTTCGCCGCGCCCTGCGACCCTGCCACAATCGCCTCGCACACGCCCAGCTTGAAGTGCTCGTTGACAACCTCCTCGCAGTCCGGCTCGCGCGCTGAGCGGCGTGTCGCGGCGACGTAGACGTTGTGAAGAGGGTTCCACGGCGCGGTGGGACTGTCGCTGCCCAGGGCGAGCAGGGCGCCTGAGTCGGCGAACTCGCGGTATGCGAATGCGCGGTCGCGACGGTCGCCGATGAGGCGTGGCCAGGCGCGAAGGATGGCGGGATCTGCGTGGACGGGCTGGATGGAAGCTGTGAGGCCCAGTTTACCCAGGCGCTTTGCATCTTCCGGTGACGAGACCTCGAGATGTTCGATTCTGTGTCGCGCACCAGGCTTGCCGTACTTCTCGAGCATGTCGACTGCCATGGTGATAGCAGCATCTCCGATGGCATGAAGCGCTATTTGGACGCCTGCTTCAGAAGCCTGCTTGACCACAGGGTCGAGATCGTCTCTTGACCAGAACGGCGGTGGTGAAGGAGCTGTGGAGTATGGTTCTGAGAGATAGGCCGTGCAGGCATCGATGATGCCGTCGCAGATGATCTTAATACCGGCGATGCGTAGATCAGGAGAGTTCTCCTTGCTGTATTGCTTCGCTAGCTCAATAGCCCGGGAGACCTGTCGTTGACGCTCCTCGAGTGAAGCAGCAGGCTTGATGATCCAGTAAGCTGTGACGCGCATGGCTACTTCGGGATGTCGTCTCTTGAGCTCAACAAGAGATTCCCACGAGAACTCGTCCATTGCCATTTCGATGATGCCCGTGTAGCCAGAGGCATGGTAGGCTTGGAAAGCAGCAAGCATGCACTCTATGCGCTCCTCATTCGTAGCAAGCTGTGCGAGCGTGGGCCATACGATAGTGAGAATGCAGGCTTCGCTGAGAACACCAGATGGACGGCCGTTCTCATCTCTCTCGATGATTCCACCCGGGGGGTCAGCCATATCTGCGACCTTCATCTCCGCGAGGCCAGCAGAGTTGCACCACGTTGAGTGCATGTCCTTTGTATCGACATAGATAGGCCGCGAGTCGATCTCATCCAGAATCTTAGCTGTGACACCGTCGGGAGTCATCGAGTGCATCCATCCCTTAGCCATAATCCTCGGCACGTCGGGGTTAGCCTTTGCATAGGTGCGCAGCTCGTGGAGGATATCGTCGAGGGTCTTGCAGTGCTCCAGGGCAATCTTCCGCAACGACTGTCCCAGCAGCAAAAGATGCATATGGCCATCGACAAACCCCGGTAGAACTGTGCGACCACGCAAGTCCTGCGTGGTGACATCCGCGGTCTTGATCTGCGCCGCGACATCCTCCTTCGTACCGACGGCCTGGATGATACCGTCCTTCACATACATGCTCTCAACAAAGGTGGGCTCATCAGCCAAGCTGGCCACAGTCCTCGAGAGGATCTTGCCATTGATGAAGAGCGTCATGATAAGAAAGAATAAGTCGTGAACAAGTGATAGTTTTTTTCTTCAGCAATGGGGGAGTTGGCAACTCATTGGGTACTTATACCCGTTCCGTGTCCCATGCACGCCGGAGCCACCTGAGTGGGCTGCCTATCGCGGTGATGGTGGGGAGGAGTTTTCCTGCAAACACGGAACAATGAGGCCCTGCATTGGCCAAAAAAGCTGCAGAATCTTTGTGATAGAGGGCCTCATATTCATGGCCTTGACCTGGTTTGTCTACATCTTCGTTCAGCTGCGCCAAACCCAAGATATTGTCAGATTTTGAGACGAGATGAAGAAATTCCAACCTCGGACTTGAGATTGATCTCCACTCGGATGCCGTAACCGGCGACCAAGTCGTGGGGACCCTTGAAAACAACCGTCATCGTTCTCGCTTTCGATTGGTTGCTAATTGCAAAGACTGGGTCTGTTGAAAATCGCTCATGAAGAGATGATCTTATCAGATTCAACGTCATCAGCTGATCTTGATCTACTAATGCAGGTAGCAAGTCTTCAACATCAAGACTTTTACGTTGTAAGACAGCACTCTAAGACAGCACCAGTTCCTTTTTGATCTTGGAACAAAACGAATGCTCTTCTTCTAGACTTCTTAGATATATCGATCTTAGCAAGATACTATTTACACAAACTGAGCTGATCAAGTGTAATGATCAAGTGTAAAATCCCGTACATATTGTTCCCACACACCATTCTAGTGTGGTAGGGCGCAACTGACGACCTTCCGGATTTATATATTTACGTCCTCAGACGACACCGCATTTTGAGCACGATACGTCATGACAAAGTACCACGCCGATACATTAATACTCTACCTAATAACGTGATCTTGTATCCGAGTGTAGATGAAATGTCAGAAGCTCTTCGTTCCTGCGGCTTCCATGGACTGATCATCAATGCACATGTGAAACATGCACCTGGCAACAAGGTACCCGTTACCGGAGTGTTGGGAGCTGTGGGGCCATGTAGTGTTAAAATGCCCTCCTCTTTGCAGACTCACACGTTGTTGCTGCGAGGAATCTGAGACATACAGCCGACTTGCCAATTACTAGCGGGCATGATGTGCAGGGCTGCAGCTGTTTTAGCATGTTCATAGAAACAGATGTTGAGAGATCTACAGTGCGCCTGGCTTATGTCTCCTGAAGGGGCCGATCGCCGATAAACTGCATCCTTGGCCAAGATCATAACTTACTGCCAAAGAACATGCCGGGTTTTCCTTCTTCCTTGTGAAAGTCCTAGTGTAAAAGCTTATAGTCGCAATGAAACAGCTGGTTCACGGGCTCGTTTCTCAAGTGCAGATATTTGGACGGTGGTCAGGGAGGGGCATGAGAAAGCGTATGAGAGAATACCTACAGCAGAGGGGTAAAGTCGCGTCCTATTGTAACTTCCTCCTCATAGAGCTTAAAAACATGAAACATCGAATTGCGTTGCTCGTGTGATACAAATAAACATCACTTCGACGACGAGAGTTCGAGATATGCCGAACTCAATTACAGCCTTGGTGTTTGCCAACGTCGTGACGTGGCCGAATATTAGACGGTGACCTGGTATAGCATTGAGTCTGTAATAGAAATGCAGGTACATCCTCATCTCAACCAAGGCATATTGTACTTCTTGGTGAACAAAGAACGACATCGTCTTTTACCACCCTACCCCACTACCTACCTTCCACGACAGAGGCGTCCAGTATAACAACATCAGACTCTTCGTATTGCATCTTCTTTTAAATTTATCTTTCTTGTGGAAACTAAGTTGTCAGTAACTCAGTATAAACTCTCTGTCCTTTCCACATTAGCAGTTCCGGTGTACTCTCATCGCACTTTCACCACCACTCCATCAACGCACATCAATCACTCTTATAATAACCTAAGAGCTCAAGACTTCAATACCACTTGAGTATTCTACCTTTCTTCGGAAACTTGTCAATCTCGTAAGTTATCCATCCTTGGCTATCGACATTGGCATGTATACTTGCTCGTCGTTACGCACCACTTCATCCCTCATCAACCCAATATCACTCCTCACTTCTGATGCCTTGTCCATCATTCTTTCAACATTGACTCACCACTTACCTCTCTTCTTACATCAATATTCTTCCCTCATCTGATCCCCTACTAACACTCCCAGTCTTCGCCATGGTTGTCCCCAACTTCAAATGCGGTTTCAGCGTCTACCCGCCCCTCCAGCCCACCCCCGAAAACACGAAACGCTATTCAATCTTCCTCGCCCGTCTCGCCTCACAGTTCGGCGGCCGAACAGACGCGAACGCCCTCAGCGCCGACAAGAGAATCCTCATCACGCCGTACACCCCGCGCGCCGACCCAGCCTTGGTGAGCGAAGACACCAGCTCGGCCTTCTACTGCTTCATGCTCCCCGGCCAGCCCAAGATCCCCGCCAACCCGCAGCATTGCGATCAATTCCTGAGCTTCAGCCTCGAGTTCAGGCCTGATGTCGGCTTAGAGAAGAGTATTGTGGAGGGGTACGTGGCGGAGGTGTATCGTCTTTTCAAGGAGTGCTTTGGGGACTCGATGAAATTGACTTATTGGCATGGACTGAGGAGGACGCTGTCTAATAAGCAGCGGGGGTATTATACGCCTGAGGATGTTGAGAAGGCGGAGGCAGAGGTGAGGAGGCTGTCCCTTACTGGGTCTGATTTTGGGAGCAAGGAGGGTGGTATTGTTGCATGAGCTGGTGTTTAGCTGGCTTTACTTGCCTTCGGACAGTTGTGTTGGTTTCCTAAACCTGAATTAGTGTTTACCTACCACTGAATCCAGTCTCGGCCAATTACATTATCGCGGATGATGGAAGTGCTGCACTTGATGAATTGGCAAGATACCTGCTGATGATGTTCCGCCAACTCACAGCTCCCTCCAGTTTTTGATACAACATTCCCTACCACAGAGGTCTCTTTAGTACCTACAGAGCTTATGTCAACAGCATATATGAGCTTCAAGTAATACCGGCGACTTACCTGAGATCTAATCTTCAAACTTTAGTGGCCATTCACTACCTAGCCACCCGAAAGAGAATGCGACACAATAGACAGGAGGATATTTTCCTTCATACACGTATCTGATCCCTTCTTTCGAGAATTGCAACCTCAAGAATCCGAGATCAATGACCGTTAAACATCATGAGTTGCGATCTTTGTATCGGTCTCGGTAAAAGTCTTGCTTGGCATCGCATGCAAAATTTATAAACCCTAGGTATATAAATATTCGATTCATTTGAACTCTTGGACTACATTGTTCTGCATAATGGGTCTTATGCGGTTTGTTGATCGGTGCCTGGACAAATATGGTTGCGTTTGCGCAGACTCGCCAGTCAACATTGATGGTCGGGCCAATATCTCGAATATCTCGTCAGTGAAACTGCTTCACTGGCATTCACTGCCGATAAAAGTGAGCTCTTTTCTTCTTCTAAACTGCAGGCAGTCAAGCAAACATCGGTGCGTGCCAGTGTCAACATAGCAGCTATCAGGCAGAGCATTAACGCACCTACCGTAACTTCCCTCAGCATTTATTTCCCATCATTCGGGGAGCCTTTCGCTATTTCAACATCAGCATCTTCTCTTCTTATTCACGCAACTATTACTTTACGATCTTCTTCATCATGGCCTTCGACTGCGGTTTCGACATTTTCCCCCACCTCGTTCCTACCAAGGAAAACAAAGCCCTATACAGCGAATTCCTAGACACAGTCTTGACATTCGACACCAAAAAAATCCCTTTCGTCCTTCCTGCCGAAGTCGACTGTCCAGAGACATATAGCAAAAAGTTTATCTACTTTCTGATCCCCGGACAGCCCAAGATCCCTCTTGGAGACAATTGCGACTGCTTCATCGGCTTCCGCTCGAACGATGCCATTAGTGCCGACGTGCTCAAGATCGTCGAGGGAATGGCCTTCACCGCCAGGGAGTTCTTCGGCAGCAGGGTTCATTTCTGGAAGGCCAGAGCGACATCTATAGCCGGGGCGAGCTTCGTCGTGCGGAACAAGAGGTAGAGAGGAGACCGGAATACAACCTGGACAAGATCGACGATATCGGCACGAAGGATGAGCCAGACACGCCAGCGGAGACTACGGAACGAGAAGTCTGAAGGATCAGGCCATGGACATCACAAATGACAAATGGCGCGCGCTTGCCTGACTACGCCCGCATCTGCCGGTCAACACGCGCGGCAACTGGAGTAATCAGAATGGAAGTGTGGTTGTGTTAACCAGGGACGGCTAAAAGGCTGACGTTAGTGAGCACGAACTCACCACTACCGAAGGATTAGAGCATCAGAAATAAGCACCAGTGTCATATATCGTCGAGTTAAAAGAAAGTCAAGTCCATTCAGAAGGGTATATCTTGTAGCTCATCATCAAGGTGTCAGCCAACATTAATAGCACAAAAGAAAGTATTGCGTGCGCCCATAAGCCCAAATCTCCAACAAAGTCCACGCTGTCATGTTTCCGTCCTTTAGAGTAGAGCTACTTGAGAATAATTAGTTTTGATCCTCCCGTTGTCTGTGAATGTGTTACTGACCTGATCGAGCCTCCCAAGACTTGTAGGGGTCGGCGGGCTTCTTCTTGGGATCAACAGATCCGGATAACTTCCTCTGGATCTTCTCCTTGAGGGTCGGCTTGTACGATGTTTCAAGACCTGGGTTTGTTAGATGTTGATACTCGATGAGGGATGGTCGGAACGCACCAGGCTTTGAACTTGTGGAAGCCTTGGTTGTGTCAACGAGTGTTGTGTCGGAGACGTTGGCAGTCTTGTAAGTAGCTGAGAGATGCGACATTGTGAAGCGTTGTTTGAGTGTTGTTTGAGTGTTTCTTGAGTGTTGATTTGGAAGTAGATGTGGAGTATAAAGTATCAATGTAGTAGATTGTCTTGTGTGTAGACTGAAGCTGTGAATGTCTTATTGAATTGTTGTTCCCTTTTCAGATCTCGGGGAGTCTGCTTGTACTTATACTCAAGCCAGCTGACTCTACCCTCCATCTTTTCTGATCCGCCGGCTTGACTCACAGACTATGCAAATGTCAAGCCAGCGCCCTTAGAATGGATCACATCTTGTCAGCCCTGCAGCTTTAAGGCCCCGTCTCCGAGTGACACATTCCGCGCAACACTAAAACCATCGTTTTAGCATTCACGGCGTGCCAAATGAAGTAAGCCCCCCTGCAAGCCGAGCTGAACCATGTGGGGCCTATTCCTAATTGAAGCCGAATTTCAGCATTAGCTGCGGCTGAGTCCATTAATTCTCAAGCCGAACCCGTTGATTTTCAAGCCGAGATCAACTATGGGTCATCTTTGACCAGCATTAGCTGCTCCCCAACCGCTAATTTTCAAGCCGAGCTGTTTCATATGGGGCATATTCTCAGGCCGAGCCCGCTAAATTTCCAAGCCGAAACCTGAAGCCGAGTTCTGTTCCAAGCCGATACTCACGATTTATCATCACCACTTCGGCTTGGATTTATCAGCTGCATCATAAATCAATGGCGCCATGGCCGATGCCCCTCTCCTCCGACGTCTGAACGGTCGCCCGCAAGCCTGCGATCCATGCCGAGCGCGGAAAGTCGCGTGCGATCACGGCCAGCCCACTTGTTCTCGGTGCAGGAAACGGGGAGAAGTCTGCGTCTACACCGTCTCGGAGCCAAAGACCAAGAAGCAGCGGCTTCGGTCTCCCAGCCGCGCTGCCACAGAGTCTACCTCGACTCCGTCACCCTCGGTCGCCCCAGGCTATCTCGGCTTCACTAGTCACAATGCTGTCTTTGAAGAGACCCGGAATAGTCTATCGCTTGTCCATGGCCCTGCCTTGGAGATCGAGCCGAGCCCGAGAAGGGCTCCGAGGGCGAGGGCCTCTGTTATTGAGATGCGGCCGCATCTTCGTGAGATGTGTCTCTTTGTCCTCCGTCGTCTTCCTGCAGCTCGGGATGATGTTATGGCATCAAGGCTTCACTGCCGAGCTGATGACTGGACTATGAAGGCCATAGAGGATATTGTCAATACGCTGTACCGAGATTGGGGTGAGCATCTCACTACTCGACGTGATGATCAGCTTGAAGAGCTCGGTTTATATATCAGCAACAATACTTCAAGACCCATCCAAGACGAGCACTCGAGCGCGAAGGCGTGGACTGGTCAATTCACTGGGAGCAACATCCGATGGGAGTCTATCGGTTTGATCTGGACATACTGGGATGGCGCTCCTGGCTTTGACGCTCCAGTTGTGGGCAAGTGTTTGGGATATTGCGTTGATCTCGTTCGCCATTTCACATCTGGAAACGACATTCTTCTATATCTTTGCTACCGAAAAGCTACCATTGAGTCTCTCATCACAGGCGATGCTAGTATGTATCTCCGTAGCATCATCTACCAATACTAACACCCGCAGGCTTGACTTGTTGGCGATACTTCTCAGAAGCCGTGGCACTCTTGACATTTCTCGGTCTTCACGTCGGCTCAGAGGATGCAACCTACGTTCCCTCACTATGCTCCGAACACAAGCGGCGCATGGCAGCGCGTGTCTACAACATTGATAAAGTCGTGGTGTCCTTCACAGGGCGACCGCCCATGCTCAGCCGTCGATATTTCTCACGTCCTCTCCCACTGGACATATCGGATGAAGATCTCATGACAGGCGGCGATGCCATAAAGCGTGCGGTGCAGGCATTGGATGAGAATGGATTTTCTTCTGATGGTGATGTCCTTGGGGCATCACTTATACGGGCACGCGCACAGCTCGCGTATATCAAAGAAGAACTTCTCGAGATGGCGCTTGCTAGCTGCGTGAAAACGACATTTGGTAGTCTAACGTAAGTGGTTGCACATCTGTTTACTATTCCCTGCTGATGAGAGCAGCGAACTCAAGGCTCGTTCTGTAAAAACGTATGGCCGATTCCCTCCGAGCCTTCTCTATCAATCCGACGAGCTCGACAATCCGAACTGCGACGTGGAAAGAGTTTACTGCAAGATTCTGATCCTATTGGAGCATCTGCAGAATCTTTTCTTTGCTGAGAGGCAGCTGCTTCGCCTGGGACATGTCGATGAAAATCGTCTGCTGCCAATTAGCTTTGAGATGGTTACATTGACACTCTTGTTTTGGACACATCAGGATCGCTTTTCTAGCATGAGACGAGATTTTGAGTGGCTTGTAAGTCATGTATCCAACGGGATTGAGTCTTGCTAACAAATATAGTTGATGGCCTTTGCTGCGCCAGGAGGAGGTATCCTCTGTCTCGAACTCCTACGACCAACCTTCCGCGGCACACATCCCGATTGTCCAAAATTGAGTCGATCTGCCATCATACAGAAACTAAGTCTTCTCATCGGCTTCCTTGACTGGGTGCGACCGCCCGCGCCCAACGCGGATCTCTGCGCAGACTGCAAGGCTGTCATACAGGGTGTTCTTGATCACAACCTCAACGCCCCGATAGCGGGAGGCGGTGCGTTGGACACGCTCGATTGGGACATTCCGACACAGCTGGACTTCAACTTTGATCTTTTGGATACATTTGACTGGCTTCGTCCCGAGCAACTAAACATGCCTGCTGTTTAGGAAGTCTTGGATGGCAGCGTTGGTCTCCTCCGGGCGCTCGAGATGGACCCAATGGCCGGTGTCTAACTTGACGGTTTGGAGATTTGGGGCCCAGGATGATAGCATCTGTTGCTGTTGCATCATGGATTGTTCAGGCTCAGATGGTACAATGAAGAGGACGGGTCGTGAAGTCTCAAATTCTTCAAACCCGTTCTCATCTGCTGCACAGAGATTATCTTTCCACATACGATACCATCGACAGACCCCCTTGTACCCGTCGGGGGAACCGAAAGCTTCCATATGTGCTTCTTGGAGATCTTTAGTGTACCACGACCCAATTGGGACCCTGCGATCGTCGCGCACGAACTCGCTCATCTTTCCGAGAGGATGGAACCATTCCTCCCACGCTTTTCGATCATGGCAAAACAGCAAACTCATGGCTGCTTCAGCGTGCTTCTCCAAGGCGGACTGGGAACTAAGATCGGCTAGCCATGGGATGTATCCGAGTAGCTCGTAGCCTAGGAACTGCTTGGTCATCTGGTTGATCGTATCAACATCAAAGGGTGTTCCGAGTTTCGGTGGTCCGACAGCGAGAAAGATGAGAGACTCCCAGCGCGATGGATAATAAGCTGCCAGTCGGGACAATAACGTCGCGCCAAAATCGTGGCCTACTCCAACAACGGTTTTGATACTGAGATGATCGAGGAGCTCAACTACTTCATCGCTCATGGGTCTCAGACGGTACGCCTCGACCTCATCCGGCTTGTCGGTCGCGCCATATCCAAGCAGGTCAAGAGCCAGTACATCATAACCCTGCGAAGCGAAATACCGAATCTGATTCACCCAGTCATTAAGAGTTGACGGGAAGCCGTGGAGGAAGAGGAGCGTTGCGGTGCGCGAAGTTGGCTGGATGGATACATAAGAGTATGTGTTGCCGCTGCGGGCGGTAAATGTCTTGCGTGAGGGTAATCCGAGTGTCATCTTGAGATGCTGTCAGGTTTAATCTGGGTGTATAAGGCGAGGTTGAAGCGAGTGAAGGTTCAGTCATGCATTCGGAGCTTTATATGTTTGTGCGGATGGTTCTCGGAGACTTATGTCAGAGCGGCTTAAACACCACGGCTAGGGATCTGCGGGCGTATCACGAGCCTCACGACGGGTCGCGATAAAGTACACACGTAAGATCACTCAACGCACCGGATGTATTGTCGGTGTAGTACAAGATTGGCGAAACACTTCGATGCTACGAATTAAATGCCCGCCCGTTCTCTCGATGACTCGGAATCTTTGTCCTCAGTTTTGTCTCCCTTCAAGGCTGTACTTCTCTGGCAAACGGCTCCTCAACCAGCGACCCTCACCAGCTTCATTGCCATTTCTAAGCTCTTTGAAATGTTCCGCTGGTGATTTCGGCGCCTGGTATCTCGTCAAACTTCGTCCATCTTCGACAAACACACAATCCCTCCGCTCGCTTGAAGGAAAGAAAGAACACGGTGTGCTGCAACTTTGCAGATGGCATTTATCGTCGCCTCAAACACTTGTTCGATAGCGGCGACGGGTATTCACGGTGAAGTTGATTTGTTTACGCTTGTCCTGGATTTCTTTGAAAGTCTGAGGGCCATGATATCTGGTTGTCTGGAGGAAACGAACGTCTACCGAATGAGACAGCAGCATCTAATTCGGATCTCTCCACCAATCAACAGACGAGTCCTTGGGAGCATTTCTGAGCTTGTTGCGTATAATTGTCCAACATGACCGCACCGGGCCCGGTGCGCGTAACAGTGGCCGCTCCGTCGCAAGCTTAGGTAATCGGCTTAGGATAAGTACATTCCCCGTTGTATTCCGTATGGAAGATCCTTAGGACCTGCGGCATACATAGTAGAACCGAACGACTTCTGGGATCATGCGACTTGTATTTTATGGTTGGATTGGAAGATTAAAAGGAGTGTGGGTAACGTGTCGCATGAGGTCATCAAACACCTATTGCGGGAGGTGGTTGTTGATGGTTGGCGGGTACGTAGATAAATCCGGCATATCGCTGGCACATGTTGTCAGGATATCGTCATGTATTGAGGAAGAGATTGGCGATGGAGATTACTTGAAATGAAGGGGACGGTATGTGAGGTGTGCATGTTTGGGCAAGTCAACGGATTGAGTGTGCAGATGTTGTGTCTTGTCCAAGCAGGCAGAGGATTTAGATTCACTGATGCAAACGAGACCAGATACTATAAGCTGTATACACGTAAAGAAATCCTTTTGTTTTATGTAGAATGCTTCACAGAAGAATAACAATAACATTGAGATTACCCTAAAGTCGACACCACCTCAACTTCCCGCCGCAACCCACAACCCGCAACCCGTGCAAGCTAGAGCGATAAGATAAGAAAGCAGCCATTCAAAAACATGGGGACTTGACGCTATGACGCGGATCTGGGCACATGCAGGTGCGGATGTGCCTTGTTGAAGTTAATCTTGACACGTTAATTTTTCGCCATGGGATTGGACGCCCACTTTCCAAAGGAGTTCATGTCTAATTTCGCGCGAGGGTCGCATGAAAAAGCTTAGCTTTCCTAACCGTTCAGCCAAGGAACGACAGAAAACGCCCCCTTTTTGCATTCGTATTTTTTCTTCTCCGTCGTAAAATGAAGAACGAAAAAAGGCCGCATGCATACTACATACGCGCACACATGCATGTGCTGCGCCGTTTAAAACTAGGACTTTATCCACGAGGATTAATCGTGCGGGAGGGTTGGCCAAGAACGAGCTACGCAGTTTAAAGACATGGTGATGGACGGCTACTTTACTTAATGGTTCGATTCGTGGGATGTTTAACTAACTATCGATCGACCATATTAAACGCCCCCTTTTTTTACTTCATTTATTTGCCGTGCTGGGAACTGACATCAATAGAAATGGCACACGTGCAAATTGAATGGCCAGATGTCGAATGTGCAACTACGCAACTATGAGGAATGCGGCAAATACCGAGCTGAGTTTGAGTTGAGCACCGTGCTATTTCACCGTTGGCGATATTATTTCTGGAAACCGGGATTGCTTGACCCCCTTTTAGCTTGTGACTTGACTTTTACGTTTAGATAGTTACGCGTACTATGTATGAATACGGACCGGACCCCAGCCGGGAGGGGAGAACCTGAAATACCCAATCCCAATACGCGGGCGTTGGCCAAACTCGCAGTCCGCGGGAGTGGGACAGGCCCCCTAACTAACCCCGGCCCCCAGAGCTCCAGAAGCTCTCTGAGGGGCCACAAGGTAAAAATGAAAACTGGAAATTCAGGGTCTTTGCACTGTAACGCTCACACCCACGCCCCTGAGATGCCTGCCCGCCCACTCCACCCAGGGGGATTAGCGCTGTTCCGAGGTACGTAGCGGCCCCACTCCGGGGGGCGCAGAGCGCAGATTGGACACCCGATGCAGCCAGTTGCGCCTGTAGTTTTCCGACGGGGGAGGGATTTTTCGTATCCCAGAGGAGGGGATGTTTATCCGATTACGCGTTGGGAATTATCCCTGGTCCTACAGGTGTTTTGAAGACCGAGAGAGGGGGGGAAAGTGGTACGTGTAGGAGGCGAGAAGAAGGGTCAGTTGGTCAGATTGACTTTCTCTCTCTTTTAATCTCAAACGCTTGTCAGATCTCAGGGCACGCAGCAAGCATGTCCGTAGGGCCGATGGAACACGGCTGAGAAGGAACAGCAAGATACGCAAATACGAAAGAGTCATGGGTTGCATTAAGCTATTTTTCTAGAACCTGTTGCCCTGTCTTTTAACGGTAGCCGACCGTCAGCCACTGTCACCATAGCGCACGCGTGGCCTGGAAAAATCAAGGTTGGCTGGCCACACGGTCTAGATCGTCTGGCAACAAGGCCCAGCCTGCTGCCTCAATTGTTTCAAACCCAGAGCCAAAGAGGCAACTTGTTCTGGGGCGTGGGGCAGAGGCGGCTAAAGAAAGACCATTTTTAATATGTGGTCCGCGCAAACTTGGCAACATCGCTAGCTCAACGCCTTAGCCAAGGGTTATCGACGATGCTCATCTCTTTTTTTCGCACTCGTTATCGCTTCCTCGGGACTCCTTTCTTTGCCTTCCTTTGTGAACCCCCCAACCCCAGCAATCTGAGCTTTTGCAGCTCGAAAAATCGGGGACATGATAGCAGACTGAACTCACTTTTGCAGCAGCTGTAACTCGCTATGGGGCAAGTGTCAATCTTTTGAGGGGGCCTTGGTCCGCGCTGGGAGGGGGGTTAATTAGCTTGACCTTCAGTGAGTTAAACCTGGTCCCGGGGCACGTCAAACTAAAGGACCTGGTCCATTCTTCTTGGACCACACAAATCTTGCGTGTTGCTTTTGGCCCCTTGGGGTAGGTTCACAAAAACGGGAGCTTGTTGGCTTGTGTATCCATGTGCTGCGCCATTGGTAGCACGTAGATCCATCCAATCCAATTATTATGGGCTTGAGCACTGCACTCCGTAGCAAAAGGGACAACGGTCAAGGTCGAGCTGTGCCCCTGATCAAGCCAAAGAACTACTTATCTCTTGTGCTGCCTCGGCTGTTTGTACTTCTAGCTTTTCTTTCTCTTTCTGCTCTGTTTGTTCTCAACCATCCGCTCTCTCTCTTTTAATCGGGTGACAGCGACAGCTATACACACACATTCTCTTTCCCCTTTCACGACCCCATTCTACTAATACTCAACGTCGACATTCTTTCCAAACCACATCCCACGAACCGATACCGACACCACAAAATGAGCCGCGACAACATCTTGACCGCGCCCGCGGTTGAGAGACTGATCGCCGATGGTCAAACTATCGTCATCTACGAAGATTCTTTCTTGAGGCTCGATGGCTGGATGGATAGACATCCCGGTGGACGACTGGCGGTTCTGCACATGGTGGGCAGAGATGCGACCGACGAAATGCAAGCGTACGTTAAATCCCAGGAACGAGTCGACGTTTAATCTTGAGGTTGAGATTGAGCTTGAGGTTGAAGCTATACACATGACACTACACCAAAAAGAGAAAGATGCCACAATCCCACCATCACCCCATTGGCCTGTACCTGTCAGACGAAACCCTGAGTGCATATGTAATGCGGGTGGGGAAACTCAAGCCAACCTCCCATCAAGATGAACGTCAGATTTAGATCAGATCAGATTAGATGCAGATGCAGATTATTAATGTGTTTCTCTTTCCGGATTTAGTTATCACTCGGAAGCCACCCTTCGAACCATGAAGGCCTATCGGATCGGCCGGAAGCAAGGATCTTGGGTGAACCGCACACCACCAATTAGAGGCGGCATCTTTCGCAAAGACGCCCCCGACGAGAAGGAGATCGAGCTGTCCGACTCCAGCGTCGCCTCCGATGCCGACGCCGACGAGTCCAGCAGCCTCGACGACGCCGTTAGCTCCGCGTCCGAGGCCTGCAGCACCACCGGCGTTGATGTCAAGGGCGCCGAGGGCCTGAAGCAGCGCGGCGCCAAGATCGAGGAGAGCAGGAAGCGAACTGCTACGCTGAGCGTTGCCAACGCCGGTGTTGCGCGCGAGATCCAGCACGATCTCGAGACGTATCCTTCGCCGCTTGATGCCCACGTGCAGCACGACATTGCCCGCAAGTACCAGGCTCTTCACCAAAAGATCCGCGATCTGGGTCTCTACAACTGCCCATACATCGAGTACGGCAAGGAGTTGGCTCGTTACACCACCCTGTTCTCGCTCTTTTCCCTCGCCCTGTACAACCAGTGGTATATCACTTCTGCTGTGTTCCTGGGCACGTTCTGGGTATGTATCTCTGTCCAATCGTTAATACTGCCGACTAACAAGCGCAGCATCAAATCATGTTCACTGCCCACGACGCTGGCCATCTTGCAATCACATCCAACTTCGTCGTCGACACCCTGATCGGAATGTTTGTTGCCGATTTCTGCTGTGGTCTTTCTATCGGTTGGTGGAAGAGCAGCCACAACGTGCACCATCTTATCACCAACATGCCCGTAAGTCTACCTCGCTCCCGATGCATAGGCACATACTAACTCCTTGCAGGAACATGACCCTGATATCCAGAACGTTCCTATCTTCGCCACCTGCCCTTCATTCTTCAAGTCTCTCCGTTCAACCTACTACAACTTCACCTTCGTCTGGGACGCCGTCGCCGATTTCCTCGTGCCCTACCAGCGCTACACCTACTACCCGATCATGGGCGTCGCCCGCTTCAACCTCTACCTCCTCTCGTGGCTTCACGTCCTTTCCGAGAAGTCCTCGCAGCTTGGAAAGAGCCGAGCCTGGTGGATTCGCCCTACCGAGATTGCCTTCATGGCTTGCTACTGGTTCCTCTTCGGCTACTGCCTCGTCTGGCGCACTCTCCCCGACTGGCCCACCCGTATCGTCTTCGTTCTCGTCTCGCACATCATCACCATGCCTCTGCACGTCCAGATCACCCTGTCCCACTGGGGAATGTCCACCGTCGATCTCGGCGAGACCGAGTCCTTCGCCCAGCGCCAGCTCCGAACCACCATGGACGTCGACTGCCCTGCCTGGTTCGACTTCTACCACGGCGGTCTCCAGTTCCAGGCTGTCCACCATCTCTTCCCCCGAGTGCCGCGCCACAACCTCCGCAAGGTCCAGTTCCTCATCCGCGACTTCTGCAAGGACACTGGCGTTCCTTACTCGATCCTCAACTTCACCGACGGAAACCGCAAGGTTCTGGGCCGGCTCCAGGATGTTAGCGACCAGCTTGATATCATGATTAAGTGCCAACAGCACATGGCGAGGACCGGAGAGAGCGGTTTACATTAAACTTAATATTTCTTTTAGACTAGACTAGCACCAGCATTTGCGTTTCCCATTCTTTCCAAGACAGTACATGAGTAATAGAGATCTGTCAACTTCATTCCCGAGTCCACAAATGCCTTTCCAATGATTGTGTGCACTTATACAAGATACAGGATACTCGCAAACCGTCGGTCTCAGATCTACCAATACAGACTGATGTAACTTTCACCAGATCGCATTGCTTCAATCTCCTCAGCCGCGCCCAGTTCGACCTTTGTCAAATCAGCACCGGCCTCGCAGAGAGCAAACAACATCTCTCGCGCTGGCAGGGCTTTCTCTAGCGAGCCATAGCCACGACGAAACGCCAACGCCAGCGGCGGTTCGCGAAAGCTCAGCAGGCGCTTCTCCTCAGACGTCTCATTAGGATCAGTGCCATGGGCCAAAAGCCACTTGACGACATCAACCCGATACTCGGCGATGGCTTGGCGCAGCGGGCGCCAACCCCGAGCAAGATACAGCGTACCACTGTCGATGCCGTCAGGCCAGTGGAAGTCAACCGGCGCATTCGCTTCAAGACAGCGTTGGAGGGTGTGGGTGTTTGCAGTGCTGAAGAGGGGATGCCAGTTGATGAGCTTGCACTGCTTGTAAAGCTCGTGGTTCAGGATGGCGTAGAGGGTCTTTGAAGTTCGGGCTAGGGCGGAGGCGTGGGAGAAGAGAAGATAGGGAATGATGTTGAGGAGGATCTCTTGTGGGAGAATCTCGAGGGGGGATTGTAGAGATGGCATGGGGTTTTTGGCATGCGGTTTGTGTGAGGGTCAGGAAGGGTTTGTGGAAGGGATGAGGGAAGAAATACCACGGATGAGCAAGTGGCTGTCTGGATGTTTGGCCTAGGGTGAGGTTTGTTCACAAGGGAGGAAGTTCAGGGACGTGTATTCATGTTCAAGTTTGTTTATATGAACATGTCACTGAACAGTCCAGATAGACTGAACAGTATATTCAACATAAGATTAAGTACAATGAATTTATCATGCTTACCGTATGACGAAGAAAGTAGCTTAGGTTAATGCTGTAAGAACGGAATTGCCATGATATCAATCGCGAGTCGAAGAGGTGGAATAGTTCAGTGGTTCTTCGTGTCGGTGATAAATAAGATATCTGTCTGGGTTCCCATGTTCTTGTCCCTTTGTTACTAAACACCGAACAGTCCTTGTTCGAATATTCCATCCGGAGCAGAAACCATGATCTTCAGAAGTACGATGTATTTCTTCGTCTAGTTTAGCAAACAACCAGAGAAAGGCGACTTCTGTAGCCGTGCAGGACACTTTCTGCCGAGTATAAGTATTGACCTTGATCGCTTGAATAGCTTTCCAATCATTACCAAACAGCAACCAGCTAACAGCAATTACATTTACACACTCACATCTTATCACAACTACACACGCAAAACACTCATCAAAACAACACCGCAGTCATGTCGAACGATCAACACGTCAATGAAGCATCCCGGACTCTCTCGTCTATTGAAATCACCACCACTAGGCCTCGACAGGAAAGCAAGCTGGCTCTTCTCCCCGTCGAAATCCTCCTCAAGATCACAGGTGAGCCTGGCAAGGATGAAGAAACTCTCTCAACAAGTGAGTTCAAAGCCTTAGCTGTGAGCTGCTCAAACCTTTTCCGCTATGCCCGCCCAATGTACTATCTCGCCGACAACGGCACCGCCTTTCGTCTTGCCCTCGAGCGTGGCGACATCGATGCCATCAAACGGTGTGCTCAGTTTGAAGCCGCACCTGATACCAAGTGGAAACTTTCACATTATTGCAAGTGCCCAGCTGAATGGGCACACAAACGCCATAGTCCCGTTGACGCTTTGCTGGAGAGCGTTGCCATCGGCAGCGTACCCATCGACAAGTGTGTCGAAATCTTGCGCTGGCTATTGGAAAACGGATACGAGGCGAGTGAACAAGCAGACCAATATTGGTGGGTGAGAAATGATTACGGCGATCACATGCCTGAACTTGTGGTTACTCTACTGAATGACAGTCCTGATCAGGCCTCCACTGAAGGTATTTTCGAGATGATTCAGCTTTTAAAAAGTCACGGACGTTCTTTGCCTTTTCACATGAGCATTGGTGAATGCCGATCTTTGTTTGAACCATATGAGACCAAGCCACGAGCCTTGATCCACAGTCCGATGGATGTGGCTTTCAGGTCCCATTGCCCAACGGAGTTTATTGAGGTGTTGCTCCAAGAGTATCAAAATCGTCAGATCGATGTCAAAGTTTGGCATTCACACCCTTCTCCTGAAATAGAAAGATGGGCAGGAAAATATACGAGACGATGCTGGAGATTTCAAGAGACCAATGTTGGGAATTTGATCAGGGGCTTGTTTCAGGACCTGGTAGATCCGATGACGCCCTGGAAAGAGACATATCACGGCGAAGCAGCTGATATCTTTGAACGAAAGCTTAAACTTTTAGTCGAGTATCAGTTCATTGAATCCCACGAGGAGATACTTCTACAGAGCGTGCTACAAGCCTTGCGAGACATTGCTGAATCAGTCAAGACTCAAGGTGGAACCGTCCAAGACGGCGATAGAGAGGTATGGACCAGGCTTTATGATTCTATCCGCCCTCACGCAACCAACGAGGATATCCAGGCTCGTCATATAAAGAACAACGAAGAATGGGGGATCCAGGACCCTAAGCGAACTCATCGATTTATCATTGAAAGCACGTGGGACCCCTACGATTTCTGGTTCCGGTATGAGCTGCAGAAGCCCAGTGTTCGGAACCAATATTCTCGCGTTTGGACCTCGCGACCCTATTTTCGTTTATACGAGTCAGGAATGACTGGGAAATTCGTCGATTTGGAATGGAACAGGATCGTCGAAACGAGAGAGCGCCTGGAAGATTTCCCTGCATGGTATGATATAACGTACGGTGAGTTCGTGGCCGCTGTAGAACGATTCTGGGAGAAGTATAACCTGGACAGGGAGGATCCTGACCCTGACTCGTGGTCTGGTTGGGTCCGTGCTATTGAAAGGCAAGAGTATCTTGATGAAACCCACTGGTAGATTTAGGACGCACCTAAGAAATCTGGCCTGCAGAGAGCTTGTATGATGCATTGATTTAGAATAGCATTGTTGTATGTTTCTTACTAGCTGAATAAATATTCACTCATTGAACCTAGCATTGCCGATTTGCCTCCATGTTTCCATTTTGATTTATCTTCAGCTGGCATTACCAGCATTAAGGCGGTGTTTATAATTCCACAAGTTTTCAACACGCTACCTGCATGGTGAGCAACCAAAGCTCCAGTGCATCACTCAGGTGTTATGAGATATTGATGTATGACTGGATATATATTTGGAACGGCTTAAAGTGCCATTGTAGTTTCGGCTCTTGGCACGGTGCTATTTTGGTACCGGAGTTTGGCCGTGCGTTCAGCCATCAGAGTTATGAGGAGTGAACTCCATTATGACTTATGGCGAGGAGTAGGGAGTGGTACATTGCAGGAAACGTGAGATAGATGATGTACGTTTCTCTTCACAAACTGCGTCTAGTAGATTTGAACTGGTCTATATCTATATCTATCAATGATGGTATCGCATAAAGCACAATCTAAAACGGTGTTTCACCGTCCTCCCCAGCCAGATAATTCCTTATGGCAAGCATCCCACCCGCTAAAATACGGCGACCTGGCCTCGCCTCCTACCTCTGCCCCAGCAGATCTAGCAATATACTCTAACATGATATTCCCCCACAACCAACTTGCAGGCCCCCTGCCAGGATGCATACCATCCTGATATAGATCACCCATGAGATGGAACAATCTAGCCCACTCGAACATCTCATGCCCGGCTCGTTCCGCCACGGCTCTGCCCAAACGGTCCATCTCCATCATTATGGCATCGCCCATACCACTCTGTCTATGAACCGTCAAGGCTCTAAACATGATAGGTGCACCGGCGAACTGCCCGTTCAAGATGTTGGCGATCTTCTTAATACGCGCTGTGACAAAACGGACTTCTTCCCAGACCATTTGTCTATATTTCTTAGTCATGGGCTTATCGCCCTCGTTGTGCATAGCTGTGCCGCCCTCCCAGAAAGCTCGCTGGTCCCAGAGTCCGTTCTGCCAGAGAACCAAGTCGGGGCGGCCATTGGGGCCTTGGATCGATGCTTCATGCGGTTTCCAGAGGATGCCCCAGCGCTCTTCCCAGGCGACGCTCTTGATGTTCTTGATCCACCACCAGTTGGGTCGGTATGTGAATGATCCCACGGAGTGGAAGTACACCATGGTAAAGTTGAAAGATGGGATTTCGCAGACAACTTTGGCTTGTCTGCCTGACTTGTCCTTGATGGGGAACTTTGGTTGGATGCCGAATTCGTTACAGAAGTAAGTTGTCATGTAGCGATCGACCGAGTCTCCGAACATGACGACACGTCGACCCCATAGCCAGCCAAAGCCGCCGTCGTGTTTCATATCAATAAAGTCATCGACTGTTGCTTTTCTTGTGGATGGTACTAGTGCTTGTTCATTGCGGCGTTGGTTCTCGTCGACGGCCATGCGCATCCATTGTTGAGGGTTACCTTCAGCGTTGAGAAACTCAGGCTCAACGGCGGTGTCATTGAAAATAAGCTCGTGCTTGGCTGGATATGCTGCATACTCGGGAGGTTCAGAGTTGAGATAGTCTTCAGTGAATGGAATCCATTGTGTCTGTCTGTAGTCCGCTGGGTCCTTGGGTATATGAAGGTATCCAGGACGTCGGTAAGGATCTTCGCAGTTGCGAGTAGCTTCCGGTGTAGGCTCCGGAGTAGGAGTAGTGTCAGGAGTGGGAACTGGTGTAAATGAAGGTTTTCTAAAGAGTAAGTTATTGTCAGGCCCATGTTGGAGATCCAAGATACTTACGACTGGTAGCCACAGTACTGTTGCGCCTTTTGTTGAGCGAATTCAACGGGATATCTCACAGAGTCGGCTGAAAAAGTAAAAAAAATGACGAATGAAAGAATGATTGAGCCAGCAAGAATCCATATCCTCATCGGAAGGCGTGTTACCGCGACAGCCATGATGATCTAGCACGTGAGAGAGAGGAGAAGAAAAAAGACAGACGAGATCACGGTCCAACGAGTGGAATGATAAGGGTTCGGATACTGTATCTTTAAAGCAAATCAAGTTCAATAAAGTGGTTCCTGATCCGCAAAAGATCTTCCCCTGATTCAAACAGCCACGAGGCAGGGAGAAAGCTGTGCTGTGCGCCAAGCTGGTTGGCTGGCTTGATGTGTTGGATCTTCCATTTCAAGGGATGACAGGGACTCAGGGTCCATGGTCACAACAGTGCAACATCCTTCTATGGAGCGTAAATTGTCTGATTGCCCATATAGTGGGTAGTGCTTTGCAGGTTGAGAAGCACGTACTGTAGAGCGGACATTGAATATTCGGTCGTGACGCGGCTCATGGCCTTGGCAGCCCCAGGTCCCCTAAAACCCCTGTATTCTTAGGGCGGTCTTGGGACGTCAGAATCTGCCGTTGCCAGCCCTATCGCTCCGTAGATTCACGGAAGTTAAAAAGAATCTGAGTTGAGTGCAACAAACCAGAGCAGCCACAATACCAACCCAACTGACAAGACACCAGCAGCCCTTTTCTACAGCACTGTGCCTAAGAAAAGGCCTGCTCGTGGAAATAACAACAGTGGAGATGATACTGGAAAAGGCTGCGTCATGTTTATTTAGATGCAGATCATCAGGAGACGTTCGTCATTTTGGGTCAAAGATCCATAAAAATACTCGCTTGGACATTTCAAGCTTTTTGACAAAGGCTTGGATAAAGACCGGATGTTGGAGTCAATGTGATACGTGTCGGTGGTTTCATTCGGGCGTTGGTAGTTCAATGATAAGGACAAGTTGTACGATACAGTATGGTGGCTTCATCTGGAATTTGGCATTTTCACAGTAATCAGCCGTACATACCCTTCCCATCCAATTCAAGAATGATTTTTCTCAAAAAACACTCAACGCTTGATTCCTTCTTTTGTCGCCAAATGGGATACGGTATCTCATAAGATTCCTAACCGATCATTCAGATTGATGAGAACTCTTTACACTTGCCGGTTTCATAGCTCTGTTTCACGGTAAGAAAAAAAATCGGCGCGCTGACACCCCCGGAAATAGCACTCTTTCTGCGGCGTAAGATATGGGGATATCATTCCACTTGTAAGCTTACTTTAATCTTAAAAAATCGGGTTCCCAAAGCTGATCTGACCCACTAGCTGAGATGATTTTTTTTCGCAACATGCAAAGAATTGTCCAGGTCAACCGGCCTACCCTGCGCCCCCTCGAGGCACGCAGCATCAGAAGACCGGGCTCCCATCGCTCGAGATGCTCAACGAGTTTCACCAAGTCAACGCTGCTTACCCTACACCCGCATAGCTGAGACCAAACATCAAAAGCAACTTCTCCTTTGCCATCTTGAGATCCAGCGGTTTCAACGATCGGATTTCGAAAAATAGAGCATCCATACACAACAACTATGCGGAGTAGACACCCGCAAAGCACGCTGAAGAAAGCCAGTATACTCCCATAAGGTATTTTTGAACTAAATAATGCAGCAGCGAGTGATGGATATCTACAACACACCAACTTAAGTAGAACTAGAACTTTGAGAAAATTTAGAGGTGTCGCGAATAATCTAATCGTAAAACTATCTACGTAGCTACTCGCAAGCCTCCAGGAATCAGTGACATTGGGCATTTCGCGAGGCAAAGCAATATTTATTATCATCGGAGTCCTCCAACACGGAATCCATTCCGTCGGTACCGCAATTAGTACAACTTGATAACCGGGCCATCGGCGTCAAGAAAGGAACAGGGTTGAATAAGAAAGCGCGTATATATACGCGCAAAAGTAAAAAGAAAGCGCGTATCGCACAAATATGCATATTTATAAGGACGAGTTGTTCATTACAGGGAGTATTAGGAGACTTTTTATACTCGCCAAGGCTCATCTCTCTCTTTTAGTGAAGACGTCCCGGATACTGAAACGCGGAAACCTCCAGATAGAGAAGCGACTCCTTGTTTCAAAACTTCCCAAGCGGACACTGAACAGGGCCTAACGTTTCAATGTTTTAAGCGTCGCGCGTAGTGACCAATCGTCTTTCGTCTCGATTTTCCTCGCCGTTACAGATCTAATTCTTCCGCAAATGACAGCTCTAGTCGTTCTGGATCTGGTATGGTCATATAACGGTGGTTAAGACTCGCCAAGCTCATCCATGCGAAACATCATCGGGGATTATTCTTCGAAGAAGGACCTCTGCTTTATGTGTTTCTCTGGGAGATGCTTGGCATCTAGATTAGAGTATTAAAACAATGCGCATCCGTCGTTGATCTGCGACATCTTAGACAACTACATTCGTTTCTTTTCCTAACCTATACTTTCGTTCACTGACATTGACTGTCACTAAATTTCAACTGTATTATTCTTTTCTCACACCATTTTTATAATCCCAAACTCAAGACCCAAAATGTCTTCTTCCATTCTTTTCGCCGCCGGCCTTCTTGTCGGCGCTGCTCAGGCCTATACCCAGGTCAACGTTGCCACCCCCTTCATGCTCAAGAACATCGATCCCATTGTCTTCCCCGGCCAGCATGGCAAGTCCCATCTGCACTCGTTCTTCGGCTCCGACGCCGTCACCGTCGACACCAAGACCAGTGCTGAGCTGCAGAAGGGCTGCACCAACGCCGAGAACCCCAACGATCTGTCTGTCTACTGGATCCCCACGCCTTTGTACACTGCCGATGGAACAAACTTCGAGCCCATCCCTGTTATGCGCTTCAGCGCCTACTACAACCTCGGCGAGACACCCGCTGAGATCGCCATCCCCCAGAACCTGAAGATGGTTGCTGGAGATGCCACCGCCAAGACCCAAGCTGATATGCCCTCTGATGCCAAGGCTGAGTGGACTTGCGAGAGCGAGTCTATTCCCATCGGTGCCAACGGCTTCCCCACCTCTACCTGCAGCACCCATCTGCAACAGCTCCTCTACTTCCCCCAGTGCGTCAACGAGGAGACCCTCGAGACTGCCTACAAGTCCCGCGACTACGGCACCGCCAACTGGTGTCCCGAGGGCAGCAAGTCGATGCCCCAGCTGCGCTTCAGCATCCGCTACGACCTGCGCAAGGTTCTCCCCAACGGCTGGAGCGGCGAAGCCCCCGTCAAGCTTGCATGTGGTGACGCATGGTGCTCCCACGGCGATTTCATCAACGGCTGGACCGAGGAGGCTGCTACCAACATGATTGCCACCACCAAGGAGAAGCAGCACTTCGCCGCTGTCACGGGTGCCCTCGGAGAGTACAACGCGGGCCCTCAGTGCGAGTCGCATGATGCCGATCCTTCAAACGGTACCAGCGATTACAACGAGAGTGTTGCTGCTATGAGCAAGCGGGATGTTACTGCCTGGGGATGGAAGTCCAAGGCTCGTATGGCTCGTTCTGCCTAAGTCACGGCCTGCAGTGCTTGTGACAGATGGTAGACAATATTACATTCGTAGCTTGTACATATATACAAACACCGGAAATAGACCTGAGATTTTTTGAACTAATGTTTTGTCCCATGTGATATGATAAGTGAATGGGTGGGTGGTGAGGTGGATCTGCTCTTCTTTCATATCTCGTTGAGACCTTTTGCTTACCAGGACTCAAAAGTAGAACGATTTACGTTTACTTCGCAGCGCACTACTCTATCAAAGTCAATTGGTAATTGTATATCAATAGCAATAAGAAGTAAACACATATCTAATGGACTGTTTCCAGTTAGATATGCATAATCACACTAGTGCTGCCAGCTAACAAACATTTTGGATTAGGCACTCCTAGAGAACAATCTAAAGAACATATCCTCATCGGCAATGAATGCTGGGTGACAGCTGCTAATCCAATCAAGTAACTGAACTTGATTGACTAATTATTGCTATCAATCCTTTGTTTCCCACACCTAGATTGGAGCGCTCGGGATCTCTAGCCTGATTCTACATCTGGAAACCCTCCGCGAACCGCCCAAACAAATCGAAGCGCCAAACCTAGAAGCCAATCAAGTGTAACAGCCTAATACGATAGATAAAAGCGTAACAATGTGACTCTAAAGAAGACGTCCCCTCCCTTTCCCATCTGACATCGTATTGAATTTTCAGTTATATCTTTCCACTTCAGACAACTCAACATGCGGTCAAAACGGGTCATCTCTATCGTCACATGCCATGCAGAAGGCGAGGTGGGCGATGTCATCATCGGCGGCGTGCTTGACGTCCCAGCCAAGACGATGCATGATAAGCTCGTGCATTACATGGCAGAGAAGGACGATCTACGGAAACTGCTGCTACAAGAACCTCGAGGACGGTTGGAGATGAGCGTGAATTTAGTGGTGCCGCCGTGTCGACCTGATGCAGACGCTGGATTCCTTATCATGGCTCCTGGAGACTGGGTCCCTATGTCAGGATCCAACTGCGTATGCACCACCACAGTCCTCCTCGAGACTGGTATCGTCCCGATGACAGAGCCCGTCACCACAGTGAGGTTGGACACTGCTGCGGGTCTAGTCGTGGCAACTGCGGAGTGTCTAAACGGGAAATGCAAATCAGTTTCATTCGATAACGTCCCCGCGTTTGTCTACGCCCTCGACAAAGAAATCGAAGTTCCTGGGCTAGGCAAAATCACAGTGGATATCGCATACGGAGGACAGTGGTATGTGCTCGTCAAAGCAGAGGCACTAGGACTCCGCGTGGAAACAGTCAATGCAGATCGCCTCATTGATTTCGGCAAGAGATTAAAAGAAGCCGTCCTAGCGAACTGCATGCCCACACATCCCGAGAACCCTGCCATCTGCGGCATCAACAATACCATCATCACAGAGCCAATGGAAGACGGCCCCAACGGCAAGGTCATCAAGCACACCGTTATTGTGACACCAGGACGTCTAGACAGGAGTCCATGCGGCACGGGAAGTTCGTCACGTCTTGCTATTTTGCACGCGAGAGGACTCATCGAGGAGGGAGAGTCTGTTACGTTCAGGAGCATCATCAACACGGAGTTTGTGGGCAAGATCAGGGGTACTACCAAGGTTGGGGAGCTTGATGCTGTGCTGCCGACGATTAAAGGCAGGGCTTGGATTACGGGGGAGAAGAATGTGCATCTTGACCCGGAGGATCCGTTTCCGACGGGATTTCTGCTATAGAATATGTAAATACAAATAAGAAATGTTTGTAATGAGAGGACACTTGTGCTTTGGTGATTATGCTGGGAAGATATGCGTTCTTGGCGCTTTAGCAATTGAAAACAGGTGAGTTTGAGATTTCAGGCTGCCGTAGTCTGATAGACTTTCTTAATTAATAGCTCGTTGGAGGGTTCATGTCAGGAGAGTGAGTAGCTTGTGATCAAAGTTCTCACATGTCTCTTATTTCCTACTTCCTGTCTCGTGGCGATCGCCATTTTGAATACATGTTATTCAACTCATTTCACAAACCCATACCAATCATAGAGAAATCTAAAATTCAAACCCAACTAAAGGACAATATGCTATGCTAGTTCTAGACACTGACCTCACAGCTTCGCCCGAGTCTTATCAGTCACCTTCCCAACCAGCTCAACGACCCCCTCAGCACAACCATACGATCCCATATACCCCCAGCCAGAATGCCCATAATTATGAATAACCCAAGTCTCATCATCCAACTTCTCTTCCTCGAGCCTCATACCTCCCTTTCTGTAAGGACGGAATCCAACACCGTGCCTGATGATACTCAGCCCCGGAATACCCTTTCCACCCGCAATCTCAGGACATAGATCGACGATTCGCTGCATGATTCGGTTTGCCGTGTTGGGATCAGGTTGTGTGTCCCAGTTTCCGATCTGGTAAGTACCGCCTAGGACAGTTCCACCGCCGGCGGCTCTTTGCATGGCGTAGATTTCCTCGCCGCTGTCGTCTAGGGCGCTTGAACACATGAAGAGCGGTAGGTTGCTTGGTGTTTCGTTGCGTACAACAACAATTTGTCCTCGGGCCGGAGCAACCGTGGTATCCTCCACGCCCCCAAGTTTCAAAGAGCCAAGACCAGTTGCGTTGACTATAATATTGGCTTTCTGCCCAGTATGGCTAAGATACTTGGCCTCATTGATGTTGGTGAGAATAGCGCGCTTGACTACGACGCCGTACTTGAGACATTGACCGAGAAGCCATGGCAGGTATATGGCGGTGTTAATGCAGACTCCCTGGTATTGGAAACCTGAGTCGTAACCGGGTGCCATTTCTGAAGAGTGGTTGTCTCGGAAGTTGTCGAATATTTCCTTGAACCAGGGGTTGGCTGCATAGAAGTGCGCGGAGAAGCCAGATTTGGCATCTTGTGTGTCCTTGTTTCGACGAAGGACGTGAGTTGCTGGATGTGTCAGTCATGATGACTCGGTATACCAATGATTAGCCACTTACTCTGAAAGTGAATACCCGCCTCTGGGTTCTCCTTGACAAGCTTCTTCAAAGCTATCCAAGTTCTTCGTTCCCAGCGACTCGCCTCAATAGGAGATAAGCTGTTATCAATAAAGTTAGATTATTCATGCAATTGGAGCAAGGGACTTACTTACGGGATAACATTTGCTCCGGCCCATGGTGAAGCATACTCAGCGTCGTAATCACCGGGCATGTGCTTTCCTACGACAGTGACTTTGTTGCCCTCCTTGGCTAGCAATAAAGCCGATGTGAGGCCAATAACACCAGCGCTGCAAGATGTGTTAGGGCAATTCTGTTGATTTCCAGATTGGGTACTCACCCGATAACAACAACAGTGTTTGCCATCTTGTACGGATATACGACAAAGTACTGAATAACAGTTACAGATATGATAGAATCAAAGCACTGCCAAAGAGAGCTATGCTTTTGAGAACCACGAATTTAAAGGTAGTTATCCATCTAGCGATGTTCGTCTAAGCACTATTGCTGATTGGCCACGTCGCGGATGCATGCCTATCTCGATAAGGTGGAGCGAATCGCTAACTTAGTTTGCCATTTCCAAAAGAGCATCTGGGGTATTAGCTTCGTTATCTGGGGAGACTAATTTAGTGCGGGTTGAGCTCAAAAGGAACATGATTTCGCGCTGGCCTTCCGAGTTGAAATGATTATCATTGTCGCGTGATGCGTATATGTGTCGCCTGATGTTCTAGACTTGGAGAATCAGAACGAAGGAGGAGATTCCGTAGGGATCTGCTGGTCATTGCATTTGATTGTACTACTCGCTTCTAGCGGGGGCAGTACCGTGCATATGAGAGATGTGAATACTTATGCAAGCTCATAGTCAAAAGTCTAGACCTAGAAGACGCAGTCTCGAGTGCGTTAAGGTGATCATATTTGGCTACCCGAATACATTGATATAGATCACTGGTTTTTGCTGCATGAAAACAAATTCAGCACAATCCACTATCTTTGTAATCTCTCAACACGACCCCACATCAGAAACAACCTCCTCCATCATAGCCGCCTCCCATATCCACCTAACATACCCATCCCCAGCATACGCAGTAGACCAGGTAACCCTCGCCAAAGCCGCCCTCGCATCAGCCCACGTGCGAAGCCCCGAGGATTTACTTTGCTCCCGCACAGTCCTTTCGAAAAACGGCCGGAAACCAGGCTCGCCATCCAACTCTCCTTTTTTCTCGTGTGCGTAGATACTCATCAAGCCCAGAAATGATTCCCAGAACGTCAAATCCGCCTGGTAAGCCGTTTGCGGTGTCCGCAGGGCGTAGTCGACCTCGCGCTGCAGGATGCGTAAGCTGTAGAGATATATCTCCTTCTTGAAGGGGTGCCAGAGGGGCAGGACTTGTTCGATGTATAGCTGTGATCCAACTATCAATGCACACCACGAAGTCTTGTCGTCAGTATCGTCAGTGGTGCTGGATTCGGAATGATCAGAGTCGGGGTATGATATAGAATGCAGATGCTCCATGATGATCTTGTCGTAGAATACCGACGCATCATTCTGCAGCCAAAACTCATCCTCCATAAAATGCGAATCTTTTGTGTACTTCCTATACTCATCTACCCCAAACCGCTGGGTAGCTAGTCGAAGATCCCCAATGACATATTGGCTGTCCACGTCAAGTAACGTCGCGCCACTGTGCGGTGTAGCGAAGAAGGCGGGGAACAGCCGAAGAGCTTTGAGCTTGAGGTATTGCGAGTGTTGGCCCTCGGTCATATGCCATCTGTGAATAAGGCCGATGGTATTAGAAGCATCGAGGTCGTCCATTTGGGCAGGAAAACCGGAGTAGCGACGAACTGCTTTGAGAATAGCTTTTAGACCGTGGATGAAAGTAGATGTTCTTGAATGTGTTAGCTGATGCACCGTAAGGAATGGCAGATATATTCACAGGAGGAAGTATCGATCCGAGAGTTCTTGATCAAGAGTTTTGCGCTTGGCAATCATTTCATCTTTGTTTTTATTCGAAACAGAATAGATAACGGTCAAATGTGTCTCGGCCATCAATATGTCACCACGGCAAACCTAAAGAGATTAATTCCTCTGGAACATATCTGGACGGATATATCTCATAAAGCAACATACCTCTGTATAAGCCAATGTAGCGATTTGTTTAGTGATACTTGCAATCAACTTGGGATCTCCCCCAGAAACCCACTCCTTCACCCTACGCAGCGTCTCGATCTTATGGAACAAAAATGTTGGCTCAAAGGCTTGAAGACCGCCGACATTGAATGCAAAATGTGTTCCAGCGATGAGAACTGCAGTTCGAAGCGCATCAGGGTCTGAGATGATATACCTCAAACTGTAGAATGTTAGACTTGTCATCAAGGCTGCGAGCAAGAAAAGAACAAACCTGTCTTTGGCTCGGTCTGGATATGCGCCAAATTTCTGACCCGATTCGAAGACTGTAGAAAAGATGTGTTAGCAAGAGATACAGATATTTTCGATGTGAATGATATATCTCACAATAATGGAACAGCTCTTGTGATCTGAGGGGCATGTCGATAGCCACATTGAACGTCTTGGTAGAACCAGATAGAACAAGCTGCCGAGCCAAGGTATCCGAGCTAGACACCCCAGGCCGTTTAGAGCCCTTGGAAATATCCCACGGCGACTGTTCCCACGGCTGAGCCTCCCCACCACGCTCCAGAGCCCTCCGCTCCCTCAGGGGAATCTTGGCAGGCGGATACTCGCATACTCTCTTACTCTTAACACAGTTCAAACTATCCACTAGTTAGTTTTCTTATGAAACAGCCACATTATCGTCGACCTCATACCATGTGGGACGCTGCTCGCCACATCTCACCCGCCGAGTACGACACTCGGCACAACCCGCCCGGCTCCGCGTATGCGCGCGGCGCTGGCGGACTTTAACAGCCTTTTCCTCTGCAGTACCAGTGGCGTGACGGTTCATGGCTTGTTTCTGCTGCTCGTGCACGGCTATGTCACATTCAAAGAGTGGAAAGCAAAGGGGTGGAGGATGCGGGATGCTGGTTATCGCGCGGGTGGGAGAGAGCGGGATGAGGTCGTAAGCACTAAACAGGGTTGATGATAGGCGGGAAGATGAAACGTCGTGCAGACGGAGGAGAAGTGTTAGGGGGATACCTGTCATATTACAGCCCAGAAGTCTTATAGGACATTTCTGGGACGGGTTTACCTCGTATAATTGACCTAAATCGATATGGAAGGTATTGCGATAACAACTTCGTCGAAGAGTTTGACCTCGCTTCGGTGTTCTGGCCCTATTTTGTACCAAATTTCCTTCATCCAGCAGCATAAACAACCATACATATTTCTTTTCTTCTTACCGTGTTGCAATGTGTTTTCATGTTGCTATTTGTTGTAATCGAGATAAACCATCCACCACAGCACCTGGTTCCAGGTGTAAATATGTAATATCAACCTGGCTAGAAACATAGTGCTTGAGGACTGGTGTATTTATTTAATCTTCGTTGAATTCATACCCATTCTAATACCAATGATACCAAGTTAAGTAATACCAGGAATAGTTTCATTACTGCACAAGCTCCCATTACTCCAACTCTATCATCGCGGCATAAAAGCCTTCTAATACCCTGATCTACCATGATCCCCATACCCTTCCATAAGAAACTCCATATCAGACCATCCCGCCATATCCATCTCACCCCCCGGCATAAACTGCGCCACGGACCCTTCGATCGTACCAAATCCCGGAAACGGCAAAAAGTCTAAAAGGCCCTCCATCGACCCCATACCCTGGCCCTGACCCTGCTGCTCTGCCGACCACCCCGGGGGATATTGCGGACCGTTCATGTTTATGCCCTGCGGAGGCAGATTCGCCAAGCCTGGAGGATCGCTTGGGTTGTTGGCGCACTCGGAGAAGGTGTCGACTACATGAGCCAATCTCTTCATCGAGCCGCACTTGTCCGTGTGGTTGATCACGTTGCGCAGCGTCGCTACAAGCCGTCGGATCTTTGCCTGCAGCGCTACTTCATCGTGTCCAACGCTCTCTGCGCCCTCGCCTGGTCGTAGCCGGAGTAGTCGGAGGATCAGAATCATACCTGAGCAGTAAGCGTAGAAGACGTCCAGGCCAGAAAGACCGTTTAGGACGTCAAAATGGTCCAGGAGTATCATCAGATAACTCAGTTGACACGCGTGCTTAACGCACTGCGCGGCGTGTGCAGGGACTGGGGTTTTCGCTGCCCCGACATCTGCCTTGCGAGTCGACCCTACATCGCGAAGTAGAAGTGGCCGTGTAGCAACAATGGCGATGTAATGGAACTGGATATGGAGTAGTAGGACGGCACGAAGTTGAGCACGGGTCTTCCACGCCAGCGAAACCTTGAGCTCCTCTATATCCACAGCGCCATCGTTGTCGATGGATTGCAGCGCAGGTCCTTCCAACTTGATCCAAGCGACGTCTAAGCCAGGTGCTTTTCCAATATCTTTCTTCCAACCACTCAGCGCATTCATAATCTCGTCCAGCGTCGGTCCTGAACTTCGATTCATGCCAACGTGTAGAAGCCTAGTTCGCGCGAGGATGGCTTGGAGCTTGACAGACCATGACACCAGTCTGGCATCAGTTCCAATGCCGCCCTCAACAAAATCCTCCCTCGGCGGAACAACCTCGACATCGAGTTCCTGCAGTCCACTAGGTCGTCCCAGACTCGAGGCGAGGAACTGCTCGAATGAGTACAGGGTGCAGAAGACCCATTTACGGACTTCCCTTTCGAGCGGTCTGAAAGAAGAGCTCATGTCGGATCGATGAAGACCAAGGGCGAAGGAAATACGAGTTGCCGTCCCTGCAATATTCCACGCAGCGTTTCTCTCATTGTTATTGTGTAGGAAGAGTGCCAGCAGTAACAAAACTCGAACGTTGGTGAGTGAGCATTTGGATATAAACTGAGGCAGCAGCGCCCTAGCCACCTTGACAGACGTGCGCCGTAGGGCAGAATGGTCGATGTTGGGGATTGTGCGATCAGCGATGGAACCAAACACAACAATCATATGCAAGCATCCGATCCAGCCCCAGTCGGGCAAACGGAGGGGTCGCGAAACAGGAAGATGAGGTTTACGACGGGCTTGGACAATGAAGAGCTCATACTCATCCTCAAAGGTGGCTCGATGGAAGAGAGGGAAATCATCGTGAACGTTTGTGAAATATGACTGGATGAGTTGCTCCAGGACCGCGTTTGGGGGGAATTGGCCGAGGATTTCGTCCATGTCCGCGGTTGGGAGACGTGTAAAGTCGCGTGCGATGGCAGATGTTATAGATCCTGGAGACGGGCCACCTGGCGATGGACCATCTTGGGGTGGCACTTCAGCGCGTTGTGGCTGATCATCGTCTTCCTGGCCATCAGCCTCGAGAAGTCGACTTGTATTGTCTTGAGTAAACTTGGTAGGCACCGAGTACGGGCTGTTGTTGGTATCGACAAGGTTTCGCAACTGATTCCAGAAGTTAAGGGTACCCGACGGTCCGATGTAGTGCTCATGGCCAGAGTTGTCTTTGACTAGCGATGCTTGAGGCTCGTCACTTTGCAACTTGGTACCTGAAGATGTATCCGCAGCACGTGTATCGGCGATAATGATCTCAGGGCCTGTCGATGGCGTATGCTCTTTGCTAGGAGTCTGCACTAGCTCCTCGACTCTCATATGTGTGCGATTAGGATCAGAGATATCCGGCATTTTGTAGCCCATCTTCTCACCGAACTGCGCAAGATCGCCGACATTATCAAAGGTCTCATCGGGGAATGCTCCCTTGACGATAGCCTCGAGACAGCGGTACCTGGTACAAGGTCAACACACGCACGCCTGTGCTATTAGCGACTACAGACCGATCACTCAAGTCATCGACACTGCCGTAGAAGCGCGTCTTGCGCGGCGCCGTGTACGAACAAGTGACGTTATGTTCGAGACAGTTTACGCAGCCTGTTCCAGACGGAGCGGGCACGCACTTGCATCGGCGCTTCACTCAAGTCAGCCAATCCGATGTAATCCGGTCCAATCCAATCCACATATTACAGATCTCCCATGCCAAGAGTAAGATCCTCCTTTTCTAGCGGAGTCACTAAGCAATTGAGCATGTATATAAAAGAAAAAAGCACGAGTCAAGACAGTTAAAAAAAAACTCACCTTGCGACAACGGTCACAGCTCTGAGCATTCCGCTTACGAGATTCGTCAGGTATGCGCCGCAAGCGACGTTTCGCGGCTGACGATGATTCGGACATGGTTGAAGAGGAGGATTCATGCTTCCAGGTGCGCGCATCTAGGAGACAATCCTTGTCGAGGAGGGGAGGGCGGGTGCATGCTTCCGTGAGTGGATGGAGGACGTAGATGGCGTCAGAGAGGGACAAGCCACTGACGAAACATTGAGGGGAAAGGTGACTGACAGTAATTATGGAGAAACTAAAGGCCGCTACAGCTTCGAGAGGGGCTTCATTGTGCTAAGTTAGCTATCTGAGTTAACATGCTACTCCGTCGTATCATCCCGCCAATCGCTAGATACCCTAAACCATTTTTCGTCGCAAAGAGGAATTGCAGAATGGCTAGTACTTTGACTCTCCCAGACTCAAGAACCTTGGCATACGCCTTGGACTCTACGCCAAAAGACGGGCCAATCGTCATCCTCTCCAACTCCCTCACTGCACCTCTAATAGTATGGGACCACGTCGTCAAGGCTCTCAATAGCAACGGCTATCGGACTCTACGATATGACCAACCTGGTCATGGTGGCTCATCCGCCCCGGAAGACTTGAGCCCTACGTTTGACTCCATGGCCGAGGATGTGGAATACCTTCTCAAGATGCTAGAAATCAGCAAGGTCTACTCATGGATTGGAGTGTCCATGGGTGCATCAGCTGGCGTCTACTTCACCACTAAATTCCCCAACGTTGTGAGCAAGCTCGCCATCTGCGACACCATCTCCTCGTCACCCGTCAACGCCGGTACTGAAGATGCATTCGGTCCCCGCGTTGCCGCCGCCCGAGAGGCAGGCACCCTGGACTCGACCATCCAAAGCACACTCGAGCGATGGTTTGGCAAAGAGTGGCTGGCCAAGAACCCGGAGGAAACTGAACGTATGAGAAATGTAATGTCGGGGACTACGATCGATGGCTTCGAAGCATGTTGCAACGCCCTCAGAAGTGAGACGTTTGATCTTCGACCGCGGTTTGGTAAGATTGGCGAGTCTGTCGATGATGCTATTTGTATCGTGGGCGAGAACGATGCGAATCTACCCCAGACCATGGCGGATATGCGAGACAAGATCCAAGAGGGGTTTGAGACGGCTGGGAAGAGCAACAAGATTGATCTGGTTATTATCAAGGACGCTGGACATATTTCGTTTGTCGATGGTTTTGAGCAGTTTGTGGCTGAGGTGTTGAAATGGTTGAAGAGATAAGCTACAGCAGTAGACTATCGATTTTGAGTGTACTGAGGATGAGCACAATTGCCATCACTGACAAGAATCAATTGCAACGTCAAGTATCATACAAATCGTGTTGAGAGGTGATTTACTACAATGACCACAAACTCAGCAAGTTTCCTATTCTGGATTACTCAACGCATTTCTACAACCATGTGATATATTCGGGGAACTTCAGAATAACAACACCCATAAACTAATGCAAGAACATGTTTTGAGGTATCATAACTACCCCCAGCTCATATCATCGGCGAACATTATGGCGGTGGAGTAAACGCCCGATGCTAGCCAGCTCGCCGATCTGACGCAAGTGACAAGCCCCCTTGCGGAACCGTAGTCTATATTGATTGCGAAGTTGGCCGATGCCAGCATACATGGCTTGCAGCAAATTCAATAGTCTATCCGTTACTAGTGAATACTAAATATTGGCTTTGCCGAGACTTATTTGTTTTCGAGGTTGACCAGGGTGTTTATTTTACTTTGTTTAATTGGCCGAGGTCTAAAGTAGTGAAGCAGCGAGAATGATATTATTATTTTATCGTAATTTGATCAATCATTACTTCGTTATACACCGCTAAACAATGCTTTTCATCCCATGCCCAGCCCATTATTCCATCAAGTCTATCATTCACCCCTGGGAACTGTCATCACTGGTGGCTCCAGAATCACCGTTCTTCCATGCTTGATCAACTCCGTAGCTTGCATAAAGAACGAATCAATCCTCAGAATGACAGGCCGCAGGAACACCCTTGCAGCTACATCCTCCGTAGCACCCAGCCTCTGCAACGACAGGTGAAACTTCTCCAACAGCCGATAAGCCGCTTCAATGTCTCGCGGTTCGCTTGCAAGCAGGAAGAGGTATATCAGAAAGTTACCGCATAGGATGAGTTGTGATCGGGCAACTGAATCGTATTAGCAATGGAAATGGTGTCAACTGCCATCGGCGAACTTACATCGACCCCAGAAACTTGTAAGCTCTTCTTCGGTGATGTAGGCCATGAACGTGGTGAACAGCTCAAACTCTCCTAGGGCGGTGGATAACCATCGCTGGAGGTTTGAGCCGGGGGTTATTTTCGAGGCTCTTGTGGCTGGATACATTAGACCTCGGAATAGCAGCACTTGTGTCGCGAAGAAGGATATGTGGAGAGGTCCTGGTCACTGTTAGTCTTGATCGGCCAACTTTCGAGGACACATACCATTGTGGGCATAAGGCCTCACGGCCAAACAGCTCGGGATGAGACTCGGCCATTCCTTGAGTGTATCTCGGATAGGTATCAATTGAGTACGGGTCTGCATATTAGATCTCACACCACTACTCCCTGTAAGTTATACTGCATGCAAGGCGTCCATAGGCGAAGTGATTAAGACTTACTAGCTGCAGTCAAGGATGGCTCGCATTTCCCGAGACACAGTGATCATCTCGATAAAACGGGCGCCGTCGGATACGCGGAATCTAGCATCCTCAGGGTCGATCATATAGCGGAGCTCGTCAGGGATGTCCTCGCCAGATCGCAGATCATCCATGTCCGGGGGTGTCGTTGTAAAGGATTCGTAGCTAATATGCGGGGGATTACCATGGCTAACAGACGCCCAACAATCCGTGTAAAAGACAGCCCACCAGAGCTTCTTGCGCAGCCTCTTCTCCCAGGGTGCAATGTTCCATTTCTCAGGGTCTTGGTGAAGACCGAGCATCTGGGCTATCGCAGTAGCCTGGCATGCCATGATCCAGGTATAAGGCGTCTCAACACTGTCAATCTCTGGGGGAACCATGTGCATCAGCAACAGGGCTGACATCAACCTGGAGAGGTTGGGCGCCTCGAGCTCCCGCCGCAAAGACTCTTGGGCGTTGTTGGTCAGTTCATGCTGCGCGAAGGGACATTTGATTCCAGCGAGTGATGCATCCTGGGACCAGAACACGCAGGCCAAGGCGTAGACGGCACCCCGGAGTGACGAGGGGATGTCGAGCTTGGCCGTTGCATACTGGCGGAGGAAGCGAGTCTTGTGGATAACGGGGAATCCTACATGCACGTGGCGGAAATAAAGACGGACAAGGGCCGGGCCGTGGGGCCAGACGATGCGTTCTATGGCGTCTGAAGCTTGCTGTCTGGCCTCATTCCTGTGATCGGGGAACTCATCCAGCAGCAGCAGGAAGTGCATCGGGTAATCATCCTGATCGGGACCGCCATGATGAACCTGGACAAAGTTGGCGTCGATACCTTCACGATCGCTAAGCAGGACAGATCTAAAGGCATCGAGAAAGTAGGGATCTTGCTCGGAGGCTAACGCCATTGCGTGGGCTGTCCTGCCGGGGACATCTTCAATGGCATAGACAACTTCTTGGTTAGGCTCTAGACGGGGTGGATCAAGGCTGAGGGCATGGACCGGAGGGTCTTCTCCAGGGACGGCGACGGGATAGCGTGATAAACCGTTATGCACAACGGCTGCCGATTCAGATCTGTGGTGGCGTGTGGCCTCTGATGCAGCCGAGGGAGAGATGGCCGAATTGGCAGATGCAGAGACGGAGGCAGATACCGAACCTGGACTTGTGGCATCATAGCCTCTGGACGTCTCTGGCCCAGAAGGTGGCCGGGGGACGAGAGCGTCGGTGTCAGGGACAGACTGGCATACCAAGCCTCTGCTTTTACAGAACAGGCCTGAGTTACAATTGAAGCAATTGGTCAGTATAAGCAATTCACGGTGACGAGGACTAGTGCGGATGTGTCAAGTTTCAAGGTGGACAAGAAGTGGAGAGGGGTTTGTGTGAGTGTAGTGTAGTGTAAGCGCGAGTGTAAGTGCAAGTGTACCACTAGACTGGGCTGGGAAAAGAAGAGGCGCATTCTCACATGGGGGCTCGGAAGTAATGACACAAGCAGTCTTACGGCGACGGCACGCGTCACAGGGCCTGTTCTTGCGACTTCTTGGCTGTCGGGCTTTACCAAAGTTACTGCGAATGCTGAATTTGCGGGGAGTGGACGAAGAAGTTGCACTATCCGTGACACCCGCATCAGCGACACCGCCAGGAACATCAGAAGAAGCACCAGAGTGATCCATCTCCATGTTGGCGAGGCGGGCCAGGTACCCGTAGCCGTCCGTAACCGCGTGTGGGTGTAAGCGGTGCTGCGAATGCTGTCACTGTGGTGTGATAGTCTCCACGTGCAAAGAAAAAGGGAAGAATTGCTGTGGAAAAACAGGAATATGGGCGAAAAAACACACACAACACAAGAGGCGAGGCGAGGCGAAACGAAGGAAGGGGGGAGTTTCTCGGCGAAAGGGCCTGTGAGGGAGGGGGGACAGCGGGAAAGATAAGTTGGCCGACAAGGGGGCTTTGGGCTTGGACGCTTGGGGCTTGGCCGATGACATGAAGGCGGCATTGGGGCATCTCATTACGTATTAGTGTCTCGGAGGAAAGATTGAAGAGATCTGAGCGTCTGACTAAGTATGAATGGTGCTCTCCAGTGCCGGCAGTCAGCCTGTAACATGTCGAATTTCGAGTTTTGACCCCTTCAAAATACGCGATTCTAGAAGCCGATATTGAGCTTAACTGGAGTTTTGGTGGAGGCGACCCCGTTGCCAATGAAGATCTCAATACAGGGTCTACCGTGGTAACGTTGCAGGACATGTCCCGAACCAACAGGTAGGTAACAGGAATTAACCAAGATAAACGTGCTTACATTACATTACAATCTAATAAACAATCCCTCCGCGTGAAACAATTGAACTCAACCAACTTAGCATAACAATTACACAGACGTAGCCACAGATCCAGGCCCCTTGTTGCGCTGTATCGAATGCGACTCGCTCCCAGGCTCGCCATCAGTGTCGGTATAAGTCATATCCCAGCGCTCTTCGTACAGCTGCTGCATATCCTTGGCAGTATCGCCTCCCTTGATAAACGCATTGAATCGCTCGTCGGGAACAAACCTGTGAAGTGCATAGTAAACAAACGCGCTGACGACAAACCCGAAGAGGTAGTTCAGCTGGTAGAGATTGATTGCGCCATTGGAGATCTGCACAGACGGATTGACGGCAGCGATGAAACCAGGCATTGTGGGCGCAACACCAACAGTCCACTATAACAAATAAACGAGTCAGCAATAGATCATGTGTGAAGAAAACTGACTTGACGTGAACTTACCGCGACGAACGCGCGCCAATTAATGCCCATGGTGTACCAGTAGATGCTCTCCTTTTTACCCACAAATAGATCGTCCACGTTGACCTTTGCCTTTGCCACCAGATTGTAGTGGGCCACCATGAGACCAGTCATGGGCGCCAGGAAAACGCTGTATCCCGACAGCACGGTAAGGAAGATGGTGGCTGTGTTGACGAGCCGCCAGGGGTTGACCACAGGGCTGAGGAGAGCCATGAGGTACGCGCCGCGGCGGATGTTGATGTACTTGGGGAACACAGAGGCCAGGTCGATTCCGCCCGCGAGCGCATTGCCGGGGAGATTGCTGCCCATTTGCGAGATGGACAGGGCGAGTCCGGCGAAGAAGACTGCAGCTCGTGTACCGGCGGTAGGGTCCTTGGCTAGCATGGCGGCAAAGAGTGTAGGAGGGTTCCAGATAGGTTCGCCCATTCGCTTCTGAGTAGCAGCCGTGACCAGGATACCAATGACAGAAGCAACGACGCTGTAGAGGGGAAAAGCAAAGGTCTGTCCCCAAATGGCATCGCCTGGCTTGCGAGCAAGACGCGCATAGTCATTCTGGTTAAGAATGCCCGCCGCGATACCGCCAATCGTCGACATGATGCCCGAGATCATCAGCCAGGTTGTGCTCTGCGGCCCACCAGTTGTAGGAAGCGGCGTGCTATCGCTGATGGTATCGCCGAAGCCGTCGTCGCCCATGGTCGCGAGGGCCCATATCAGCAGGACGAGGAAGAAGACCAGGGTGATGGAGCTGGCGACGTAGAAGAAGTTCTGGATGCGGTGCGGTCGGATCCAGAGGAAAGGCAGCGTGACGACGCAGAAGATAAAGTACGAGAGGAACTGCGCAGACGTCATGCCGGTCGAGGCGGGGATCGTGTTGGGAACGTGTTGCTCGAAGGAGGGATCCCACGATAGGAGCATGAGGTAGACGCATTGTCCGCCGACCCAGGACTGGAAGCCATACCAGACTGAAGGTGTTAATGAGGTTTCTACCGGAGGAGGGAACAGAAGCTGCTTACCGAGTGATAGGAAGATGCGGTTCCAGATGACGAATTGAGATCCCCAGATTCCCCAGACAGCCCGACTAAACACGGGGAAGCCAACTACAACCGTCACGTCAGCGCAATTGACCACACGCAGAGAAGCGATACATACTGTGATAATAAGCACCCGCCAGCGAAGCCAGGATCAGCGCAGCAGTCGCGAGTATGTTACCCAGGATAATGGCGATGATGGCCTGCCACCACGTCAAACCCAGCGGGATGAGGGCACTGCCCGTTAGATACGTCGCAATGTTGCAGTTAATCAACAGCCCTACATTCGTCCCCCCAATTAGCCTCCCATTCAATGGTGCTGTTATATGTATAAATATCTGGGGTAAAATAGAAACATACAGAAGTTATGGAACGTAAGAAACGTCCACGTTCGTCTCTCAGTCCCAACTGGTCTGACATCGTCATTCTGCGCTACACGTCAGCATCAAGGGGTCGTCACACAAAAAAAAGTCGACGCGTCAAGAGAACAGTGAGAGCGTACGATGAAGCGCGAGCCACGCGGTAGCTCTATGCGCTGGAGAATACCAGACAAGGTCATTGCAATCGCGAAATGTTCACGATATATCTTTTGTCCCTTGTTTCCTCTTTTGCTGGCTTTTAGTTAGAGTCCGAAGTCTCCGAAAATTCGATAGTGTGCGCCGTAGCTTGGAGGTGGAGGATGTGCCGGTTTCTTCTGGGGGAGGGGGGGCTCTAAGGATAGAATGGCGAGACACAAAAGGGGGGGGGCCTCAGCTTTGTTTTTTCCCACTGGAATTTGATCTACGGATACCTGAGCTTTTAATAAACCTTCTTCTTCTCTCTCTCTAACTAGTTAGTCTCTACTATGTACTCCCTAACTCCGTACTCTCATCAGCCTTATCTCTCCGACTGACCAACTACCGTAATCTTGCGCGAACCAACAATCGGTTTGTACGTACCCCAGATTACGGAATGGTAAAGGAGCCATATGGCCAATCAAGGTCAGGGACCAACCCAGCAGATGGTGAGATGCAGTCATGCGAGATCGGCAGTTGCTGGGAACAGGAAATTAGACCTAAGATGTGATAAGGAGCGGAACAAGAGTACGTACCGAGTTTGTACCCTGCTGTGTTATTCCGTTTTCGGTCACCTCCGATCGGCCAACTTTGTACAGTTCTTTCTTTGAGCACACAGAGTAACACGTACTGTACTCTAACTACCTAATCTGTACCTCGCTTGGCGTCGGCCAACCCATGCCCTGTTGCTGCAGAAAGGCCCAGAAATGGAAAACATTGGAGACCAGTCTTTTTTCTTCCTCTCTGGTCTTCCCAGTTGCCCGACGGGTATTAAATAGTTCAAGTAATATTCTAGAAATGGAAAAGAATGAAGAAAAAAAGGCTGTAGATATGAATACATAAGACTTTCGCCATCGCAGCCTCTTTCCCACCCCCTAGTATGCCAATGCCAATGCTATCTGGCGCCAGTGCAAGGGTCCCAACTCAATCTCGCTCAGACTCTCGTTGCTCTACAGCAAACATGTCTCTGTACCGAATAGGAGTCGACGTAGGCGGTACCAACACGGACGCGGCAGTTCTCGACATCCGAGCCACCAACAACCCCGGCCGTGGCGTCCTGGCCTCCCATAAGGCGTCCACCACAAGGGACATCACCACCGGTATAGAGGCGGCCATCAGGGCTGTACTGCGCGACTCAGACGTCGACCAGAGCTGCGTCCTCAGCGTCACAATAGGCACCACCCACTTTATCAACGCCCTCGTAGAAGCAGATGCCCGCAGACTAGACCGCGTGGCTGTCGTGAGGCTCTGCGGGCCCTTCACTAGACAACTGCCGCCCTTCTCAGACTTCCCTGTCGGTCTGCGCACCATCCTCGACGGGGGTGTTTACTACCTCGACGGCGGTCTTGAGATTGACGGCCGTGAGATATTGCCCCTGGACCACGAGCAGATCAGACAGGCTGCGCGCGACATCGTCGCTTCTGGCGTCAGCGTCATCGCTCTCGTTGGGGTATTCTCCCCGCTCGACCACGATGGTCTGCACGAAGAGCAGTGCAGGAGAATAATTCTGCAGGAAGCGCCCGGTCTCGAAGTCGTGTGCTCTCACGACATCGGACCTACAGGATTTCTGGAACGGGAAAATGCCACCATTCTCAACGCCTCCATCCTGCGCACTGGACACCGCGTCAAGAAGGGCTTCAAGCATGCCATGCACCGTCTGCAATTGACGTGTCCGCTGTTCCTGTCGCAGAACGACGGCACGCTCATTGATGCTGACACCGCTGCCGAGTATCCCATCAAGACATTCGCCAGCGGTCCCACCAACAGCATGACGGGCGCTGCGTTTCTCGCCGGCCTGGATCACAAGAAGGCAGCCGATACAGATGAGGAGGAACCTCAGGTGCTTGTTGTCGACATCGGCGGCACAACCACTGATGTCTGCGCCCTGCTTCCCTCTGGTTTCCCCCGCCAAGCTCCAGGCTTCGTCGAAGTCGGCGGAGTCCGCACCGCATTCTCCATGCCTGAAGTTGTATCCATCGGTCTCGGCGGCGGCAGCAAAGTGCAGGTCGACCCGGTTACAGAAAAGGTCACTGTCGGTCCTGGCTCAGTCGGCCACTGCATCCAGCAAGAAGCAAAGATCTTTGGCGGCAAGACCCTAACGGCGAGTGATATTGTCGTTGCGCTAGGCAAGGCTAATCTCGGCGATGCGTCTCTTGTGGAGGATGTCCCTGCGTTTGTGGTGGAGAATGGACGAAAGGAGCTCAAGAGGATGATCGAGAGCGTCGTAGAGCAGATGAAGGTATCTTCAGCGCCCGTGCACGTCTTGCTCGTCGGAGGCGGCGCCCTCCTCGTAACAGAAGATCTCGATGGCGTGGACAAGTGCATAGTGCCCATCCACCAAGGCGCCGCCAACGCCGTCGGCGCAGCGATAGCAAAGGTGTCTGGCGAGATTGACATCGTCGAGATCCCCGAAGGCCGTTCAGAAAAGACCATTGTGGACGCGGCGTGCGCCAAGGCGATCGATCTGGCCATCTCCAAGGGCGCGGCCAAGAACGACGTCAAGATTGTCGAGATCAACAAGATGCCGCTGCAGTACATGTCCAACGGCGCCATTCGCATCCAGGTCCGCGCTGTCGGCCAACTAGCCATCCCCGAAGAACTGACTCCCCCGCCTTCACCACCTGTGATAAGTGTGCATGAGACGGAGGACGACGAGGGTGAAAAGGTCAGCGTCCCTGATGCCCTGACACCCACCTACAAGCCGTCTCTCCACGTCGACCTGGATGTCTACCGACCTGATGTCCAGGACGGAACGTGGTATCTCTCCGAGGTTGATCTCGAGATGATCGCTACTGGCTGTGGTGTACTAGGAACAGGCGGTGGCGGACCGACTCACCATGAGTACCTCAAAGGCTTAGACGCGTTGAGGAACAACGACAAGAAGAAGATGAGGGTCATTTCTCCCAAGTCACTCAAGGACGACGCGACGATTTGCTTTGGCTCGTGGTATGGTAGCCCCAGTGTTATCAACGAGCGTATTGCTGGAGGAAATGAGATTGTCACGGGGATCAATGCTGTTAATAAGGTTGTTGGGAACACGACTATTGACGGCATGTGCATTGATGAAATGTAAGTTATTTGCTCTACATTTCAATGGAGGGAAATGCTGACGAGTCCAGCGGCGGTGGCAATGGTATGAGTGCATTCCCATCGGCTGTTCACTTCGACGTTCCCGTCGTTGACGGCGATGCCATGGGCCGAGCCTACCCTACTATGTATCACGGTAAGTCCATCAACACCCTCACAAAAACATCATCTAACTTGCCCAGCTACATTCAGCGTCTACGGCCATTCTCTAACGCCCTGCGTTCTCTCCGATGCCCGAGGAAACACCAGCGTAGTCATGGTAAGCAACACAACCACCGTTTCAAATCACTGTACTAACCAAACCAGAGCACCGACAGCCCCATCCGCCTTGAGAGTCTTCTCCGAACAACAGTCATTGAACTCGGTCTGGGTTGTGCAGTCTGCGCTAATCCTCTACCTGGCTCGGTCATTAAGTCCCACGGCGTGCCTAATACCGTGTCCCAGGCGTGGTATCTCGGTCGCGCGGTGCATAATGCTCGGCGCAAGAAGACCAGCTACGTGGATGCAATTGTAAGTAACCTACGGCATGCATCAATCCACCTCGCTAACAACACTAGTTCGACGTCTGCGCTGGAAAGCTTCTCTTCACCGGCAAAATCGTCGACGTCCGTCGCTACATCGGAGGCGGCTACACCATGGGTTCGGTGGTCATTGCGCCCCTCACCGAAGACGAGCGCGAGTCTCACGGCTCCAGCAAACAAGCCGTCCCCAGCGACGCGCACATGGTGATCCCCTTCCAGAACGAGTACCTCTACGCGGCCCTAAGCGACGCCGACGGTTCCGAAGCCTCGCAAAAGGTAGTCTGCACAGTCCCCGACCTCATCTCAATCCTGGGCCAAGACGGCGAGGGTATTGGCTCGCAGGACCTGCGCTACGGGCTACGCGTCAACGTCGTCGCGTTGCCGGCGCATCCGCTGTGGAAGACGGACAAGGGGATGAAGGTCGGTGGGCCGGAGGGTTTCGGGCTCAAGATGCCGTATACGGGAGTGGATAATGACTTTACCGAGGCGAGGAGTGTGATTGAGGAGTTTGGGGCATAGCGAAGATGGCATGAAGCCAGGAGCATTTGTTTTACTAGTGGCGTTGTCGGTTTTTACAGCGCATGGGGAGTTTGGAGGGAAAGCATTGCATATTGTCTGCGGTTGGGGAAACCTCAACCGCCACGTTTAACGAGCAATTGACACTATTTTTTAAACTTCTAAGCAATTAATCGTGTGTAGTCGATAACAGTTATTGAATGGGATTGAATTGATTGAAAGGTGTTGTGGCTAATTATGGCTGAAAGGTATGGCCTTACTGTAAGCATTAAACGCACAGCCAGCTGTGCGCGCAACGTCACCCACTAGTCAGGGGTACATGACATTATTAGCACATTGTATTGCATCTTGTCTTTTTGGTCCCCACTTCCCGTCGCTCCCTTCTTGTCTTGTGGATAATCCTCCCTCTAGATCATTATGTTACCAGTAATTCTACCAGCCAAATTTGCTGGCGCCTCGACCGAGAACGCATCGGCTTTAATACCGCTAGATCCTGAAAGGAATCCTGAAAGGAACATCAGCCACTCGCCTGGGAATTTCTCAGTCCCTCAGCCATCATCGCGACGACAGGGTCCACGAAATCCTCAGTAATCAAGCGCACTGCGAACTGCGAATACGTTGCCGCAAAGTTAACGATCCCTGAACTCCGATATAAAGGCTTTGTAATGCGCGAAGCAGGCTCTCTAGAAGGCGCTCGGCGATGGGACGGATAGAGTGGCAGAGGTGGCCATACCTAGTCGATCTGTCAATCAGGGCATAACCATCGACTTAAGCCACAACAGCCTCTCCAGCCTTCCTGATGGAGCTATCGATATCATCAATCACAATATTGAACGGTTTGTCTCCTATTATCGGAGCTACCATTCCACCATTGACGATAGCGCGCATTAGACTAGCTTTGTCCCACAACTAGCTCTCGACTATCCCGTCACGAATGTCCCTTTGTACATCATTGCGCTACCTCAACATTCGGAGCAACGCCATCTATGTCTTCCCTCCTGTGGGAATGTCTTCCAGTGGCAACCCGCATGAAGCAATCGCCTAACTTTATGGCAGTTATTTGAATTGGATCGCCTCGAAATTCTGGACCTAAGCCGAAATAAGATCAAAGCCACATCGCGAGAATGACATCGCTGAAGGTTCTGGCAGCCCAACAGAATGAAATCGAGGACCTACCATTTTGCATCTCCGAAATGACGTCGCTGCTCGCACTCAAGGTCGATAGCAACCCTTTGAACCCGATACTAAAACGACTTGTCGAAGCGCATTCGCTGGACCCTGCACCTGGTGGTATGAGAGATAACGAAAGCGCTGATCTAGTTATCACGGCCCAGATCAAGCAGTTTTTGAAACATGAGGCCAGGCCGGCAGTAGCTTGTACCGCATCCGAGAAATAACTTGGGTCAAGTGAAGAGACAGAGACACATCACCATTCTTCAAAACGAAGCCGTGCTGGGCGGTTTCCCATTAAACCAATGGCACTGATGAGTTGATATCACGGCCACCGCCCAATCCCCACTCAAAAGCCTTGTCACTGCATAACACCGCGCTCTGGAGTCCCGAGACAACACCCCTCACCCTTGATGAGAGGGAGCGTTCACGAAGCACCTCGGATGTTCTCTGGACACCTGAACCCCGGGATATTCATAGTAATTCCAACCGACCAGCACCGATGGTGAACAAGCGGTTTCGGGGTACAACAAGTCCATCAACTGACGACGACAGATAGACTGAGTCAGCATCTCAGGGGGTTGAGTCTCAGTGCTGCGATGTCTTCGAGTGCCCTGTCACAAGAGCCGAAAGACAACCCAAACTCATCACCAGAAGAACTTCTTAAAACCATACCCATTTCCAAGTCTAACACACACGATCCCTTTTTGAACATGGCACGGACAACGTTCTTTCCGTTTATCGAATTCACTGGCTTGTTGAAGCATTATCAAGTCTCACCAGTGATGGCGGACACAAACGATCGAGTCTACAAATGGTGGTTTACAACGCAAGCCTTCACCTTGGCGAGCTTGGAAGGCAACTACAGAATTACGACTCCGGAGCGGGCCAGAACCACGACACAAGACGAAAAGCAAATCAAATTAGGCGTGCATGTACTGTACTAATAAAGGCGTATCTTCCACTTTGTTCTCAAGTCTGCCAGAACGTTGGACTACTTGTTGAACGCGCCGAGGAACGATTTGTTCACGAACTCCTATGTCTCTTGTATGCTAGTACAATGGGAATACGAACCGAGTTGCTTCGTTCTTCGCACATTCATGACATTAGACAGACGCCCAAACCCAGCTCAGCGCCAGAAAAAAACCCAAGAACAAAGCGAGATGGGAAGCGGAGCTTATTTATTCGGACTCCTGCTCACTGAGAGATTCAAGGTCATTCTACGAGCGGGATGCTTGACCAGCTGCATGGCGCCCTTTGTCGATTATGCAATCTCATCCCGGATACGTTACCATTCGTCAGCCGCAGATTTCTAGCCAAGATTGAGAGTATGAAAGGGCAACACTCTGTGCCTCTGATTGAAACGTGGCGATCTGCTTTGGATGCATGCTCTGAAGTCATTAGCCTAACGGGGGCTGTTAGTGGTAGTCGTTCATCGGTGAAGATTAAACTTAGCGTTTCATCTAGGGATCTTTACTATCGATTTATTGACGCCTGGGCTACCTTCGGTGGTATTGTGAAGTCGCTAAGTAGTCGACTGACTCTTGATCCAGATACAAGGGCGAGATTTCGACAGATCCAGCGACTTGTTAAAGAAGTGATGCATTGTCTGACATCTTTAACGCCATCCGCTACTGCTGCCATGGGGGTTTTACGATCACCTCCTGGATCTTTGTATTCAGTCCCATTAACACCACAGCAGGCGTCGCTTGGACCAGCAGCACAAGCTACTCTTCCGCTTTCGCCCTGATCTATTCAAATATTCTTTGTGCTTTCTGCTGGTACTCAGTCGTTTTTATAATACTAGTACATAAGTTGCCGTCTTACTTCTTAGGTCCTCCAGATACATTATATTCCGGAAGAGTTAAGATAGATAATAATACTGAGCTTAACATATTAAGCCAACATATTAAAAAAGCTAACTAACATAGAGTTGGAATTGGCTACCTAGGCTATTATACAGGATGAGTATTAGTCCGATTTCACGGACAAGCTGAATAGTCAATTTCGCATAAAATAAGGTCTTTGATATCTATAGCACACATTTGAAAATGCAATGTAGTAAGGAATTATTAAAAGCTCGTCATAACACTTAGTAGGTTCAATAAAGTTAAAAGCCAATGGATAACTGCCTTTAATCTGTGAATATCTATTGAATTTATATATTAGCCATACTGAACTTACTTGTAACGAACACCACTAATTATAAAAGGATTTAACCCTTATTTATTAACCTCATTGAATTTAAGCTATTATTGCTTTTCGGTCTGTATAGCTGTACAGGCGGTTCTCTCACAGCAGTCCTCTTTTGACGGGAGAACAACAACCTTGGTTCAACCTTTTGCGTATAACATCAAATTTGCCAAATGTCTAGACAAATCCGTCATACAAAAATATCCCGTGACCTATCCCGAAAGTTCTTAAATGCAAATCTAAGAGAATTACACCGAATGCGACCTTTCACAGGGATATCATTGCATGTCTCAGATTCCACATACAGTGATGGAACGTTGCACAGGGCATGTCGAGATTAAGAAGTGGATCGTCAAAGATCATCATTTTCATGCTTCAAGCAGAAACAAACAACAATTGATCAGTTGGGAATAACACGGTCTTTACTACAGTCATCGTATGCTAATAATTCCCTGTGATGTGATGTTAACATCACGTTCCAGCCGCTTAATGCTGGGAACTGCTCACCAATGTCCACATGATCAACAAACATTTTCCAAAACACGACAACGAAAAATACCGGTAAAAAGAGAGAAAAAAGAAAAGCTAATTTAGCCGGAATCACGACGGTTAGAGATCTCCATTACTCCATCCCATCACAGGACCCAAAATGTGGTTTGACACAATCCCCGTCGTGTCAAAACACAAGCGAACATGTGACAAAAGCAGCTCACTCCATTTCTCACCAAGATTTCCCCGTAGACCCCAGCAAACACAGCCATCTCATTGCAGCGCTTATCGAGGGGGGCTTCTATTCGGACCTATTCTACATGTGGAGATCTGGGGGAACACCAGACTTCTTATTAATCTTTTTTTCTTTTACAACTTGGGATGGGAACTGTCGGGTCTGAAATTTATGCTTGTTGGTGATATGATCTGCAAGGCTTCGTATGACACCACGGACGGCAAGTTGGTGCCGGAAGGATGCGAAGATATTTTCCGGTACGCGGATTTCTTCGTGAAGATGTAACGTCGCCGAGCTCCAGCGTGAGGGTTGATCTCAGTGGGTATGGAGTTGGTTCTGGAGAAGAGAGAGAACACGGGGATAGAATTGGGTCAGACCAAGAATGCGGTTTTGTCAGCTTGGGATATTTTACAGGATAACAGCACTGCCATCAAGATCCCCAAACTAGCGTAACGCAAACTCATCTACTATATGACAATGGCGCAGAGGTGAACATCACAGTTACTGCAAAAGCTAGAAGAGAACTACGTCATATCATAAAGTACTTATCTCAAACCCAATTCCTCCGTCTCAGCTCCACCGTCCACAACCCCAGACCGTTATCCCCGTGGTCAGTGGAGACCTACACTGCAACAGCAAGGATCTCCAACATCAGGAGTTCAACAGCAGAAAGATCTGCTGCTTCTGCCTCCTGGTTCAAAGTCCACAATAACGTAACACCGAGGTTCAAGTTATACAATATTCTGGTCGCTGTGTAACCCCTATCAAAAAGCATATATAACACAGCACCCGCCATCATTATCCTTTTTTCCCAATATGGTTCACAGAAACTTGACTTACACTGTCTACACAACATGGCCATTGGCAATATCTACGTGATCGCCGGTGTCGCGGTCGTTGGCGGAGCACTCTTTGGCTTCGACATCTCCTCCATCTCTGCCCAACTGGGCGAGAACTCTTACAAATGCTATTTCAACCAGGGTCCCAAAGGTCCGCCGTTCGACGACGATGAGGACTGCAGTGGTCCGACGTCGCTGAACCAGGGCGGTATTACTGCTAGTATGGCTGCTGGTTCGTGGCTAGGTGCGTTGATCTCTGGAATTCTGAGCGATCGCATGGGGCGAAAGTATTCTATTATGGTTGGGTGTATTATCTGGTAAGTCGTTTCCCAACTGGTGCAGAGGGTATAATTAACATATTTGGCTAGGATAATTGGTTCTATCATCTCCTGCGCTTCTCAAAACATCGGAATGCTGGTTGTCGGCCGCATCATCAACGGTCTCGCAGTCGGTATCGAATCCGCCCAAGTCCCCGTCTACATCGCCGAGATATCACCCCCCTCCAAGCGAGGCCGCTTCATCGGCATGCAGCAATGGGCTATCACCTGGGGCATCCTCATCATGTACTACATCTCCTACGGCTGCGCCATGATCGGCGGACGCCACTCGCACGACTACTCGACCGCTGCGTTCCGTGTTCCCTGGGGTCTCCAGATGGTTCCCGCCGTCTTCCTCTTCTTCATGATGATGCTGCTCCCCGAGTCCCCTCGATGGTTGGCACGCAAGGATCGTTGGGATGAGTGCCATAGTGTGCTCACTCTTGTCCACGGACATGGAGACCCTGACCATCCATTTGTGGCACTTGAGTTGCAGGATATCAAGGATATGTGTGCCTTCGAGGCTTCGATCGCTGATGTTACGTACCTTGATCTTTTCAAGCCCAACATGCTCAACCGAACTGTCATTGGAATCTTCACCCAGATTTGGTCTCAGTTAACCGGTATGAACGTTATGAGTAAGTTGCCTTCTACTACTACACTAAAAATCACAATGCTAACTAAACCAGTGTACTACATCTCCTACGTCTTCTCCATGGCCGGCTACAAGGGCAACGCCAACCTCCTTGCCTCTTCTATCCAGTACATCATCAACGTCCTTATGACCATCCCCGCGCTCCTGTGGATGGACAAGTGGGGACGTCGTCCTACATTCCTCATCGGCGCTACCCTCATGTGTACATGGATGTTCGCCAACGCAGGAATCCTTGCTGCTCACGGCACCGAGATACCCAAAGACGAGCGTGACTCACCTCAAGTTTCTATGAGCGTTAGTGGAGGAGCCGCCAAGGGCCTTATCGCATGCACATACCTTTTCGTCGCATCCTACGCCCCAACCTGGGGTCCTGCATCCTGGACGTATCCTCCCGAGCTGTTCCCTCTCCGACTCCGTGGAAAGGGTGTCGCTTTCGCTACCTCATCCAACTGGGCTTTCAACACTGCCCTCGGACTCTTCACCCCTGTGGCTTTCGAGAACATCACGTGGAAGAGCTATATCATCTTTGCTGTGTTCAACGTGGCTATGTTCGTGCATGTTTTCTTCATGTTCCCCGAGACGGCTGGAAAGACTCTTGAGGAAACTGCAGATATGTTTGAAGATCCAAACGGTATCAAGTACATTGGCACTCCAGCTTGGAAGACCAGTGTCGTTACCCACCTTACTACTAAAGTTGAGCAGGGTGATGTTGAGGCTAAGTTGGGTGGAGTAGCTCATGACGAGGACGCGGAGCATTCTCCTGTGACTGAGAAGTAGTTGATAAGCCTGAAGAAGACTGATGATTTTACATGTGCTAAAGACTAATATTTGGATCTATGAAGAATAAGAGCATGAGAGATAATAGGGATAGCATTTGGATATGTTTATGTATGTATAATACAACCTTGAATGAAGCATTTTGCTCGTTACAACGGACTCAGGACACAGCATACTACTAGTGCTGTTTGACAAGAGCTCAGTATAAGAGTGCAAACTTATCGAACTTTTCACTCAGCCAAATAATTAGATATAGGGCACCATCTTGTCACATAAAGTCAAGTAGGAACAATTAAGATATTACAGCCTATTTGGCTGAGCGAAAAGAAAGCTTCTAATTAAAACTAATATGACGACTAATTCTATATTTTCATTTCCATTCCGTTTCCATTGTCATTCTGAGCCTTTAGCTACTCTTCTCCACAACCTCAATAATCTTCTCCACGACTGAAGGATCAGACAGCGTCGAGATATCACCAAGCTGGTCCTGCTCGCCCATGACCACCTTCCGCAACACACGGCGCATGATCTTTCCAGAGCGCGTCTTGGGCAGATCAACCACCATGAAGATCTTCTTGGGCGCCGCGAACGGCCCGATGCTGTTGCGCACCTGCAGGCGCAGCTCGGCGTGCACCTCGGTCTCGGAGGCGCGGAAGGCTTCCTTGAGGCAGACGAAGGCGATGACGGATTGGCCTGTGACTTCGTCTGAGACGCCGACTACCGCGGACTCGGCGACCGCTGGGTGCTCGACCATGGCGGCTTCGATTTCGGCGGTTGAGAGGCGGTGGCCGCTGACGTTGATCACGTCGTCGACGCGGCCGCGGATCCAGTAGAATCCATCCTGATCACGAGCGGCTCCGTCACCGGTGAACTGCATAAACATCAGTAAGTATTTCCTGTCACGTTTTGCTGAGAACTTACGTAGTATCCAGGGTACACCTTGAGGTATGTCTCCTCGAATCTCTGGTGGTCACCATAGACAGTTCGGGCCATGCTGGGCCACGAAGACTTGAAAGCAAGAACGCCCTCTACGCCGTTTCCTTGGATCTCGACACCTGAAACGGGGTCGATGAGGACTGTGTCGATACCGAAGAATGGCAGGCATGCGGATCCAGGCTTGGTGGGTGTGACACCAGCCAGAGGGGTGATGGCGTGGGAGCCGGTTTCAGTTTGCCAGTAGGTCTACTCAGTTAGCCTTTTTCATTCCAACAATGCCATTCCGATGGGATACTTACATCAACGATGTGGCAGTCACCCTTGCCGATAACATCGTAGTACCACTTCCAGATCTCAGGGGCAATAGGCTCACCAACCGAACCGAGAACTCGAAGGCTCTTGGTATCGTGGTCAACAGGGTCGGAGCCAGCTCTCTTCAGCAGACGAAGCGCAGTAGGAGCGACGTAGAAGTGTGTGATCTGGTGGTTTGCGATGATATCCCAGAAACGAGAGACGTTGGGGAATGTGGGTGTACCCTCGAAAACAACAGTAGAAACACCCAGAAGAAGAGGGGCGTAGACAACGTAAGTATGGCCTGTGATCCATCCAACGTCGCCGGCGCAGAAGTATCGATCGTTCTCGTGAATATCAAAAACGTACTTGCCAGTCGCAGCAGCTCCTACCAGGAAGCCACCAGTGGTGTGCAAAACGCCCTTTGGCTTACCCGTCGATCCGGAGGTGTATAGCAGAAACAGAGGATCCTCAGCGTCCATGGCCTCAGGTGCGATATAGCTAGGCCACTTAGCGACCTCCTCGTGCCACCAGTGATCCCGTCCCTCAGTCCACGCAACATTGGCCCCAGTCCTCTTGAAAACAAGGGTCTGGACACCCTCTAGAGGGCTCAGGGCTTCGTCGACGATCTTCTTGATGCCGATTATCCTACCACCTCGCTGGCTCTCGTCAGCGGTGATGACGACTTTGCTCTTGGCGTTGACGACGCGATCTCTGAGAGAACCAGCTGAGAAACCAGCAAAGACAACAGAGTGAACAGCGCCGATACGTGTGCAAGCAAGAATAGCAACAAGAGCTTCAGGAACCATGGGCATGTAAATAGCGACTGTGTCGCCCTTTCGAACACCAAGGTCCTTAAGAGCCCAAGAGACCTTGCACACCTGTTTTAGCAGCTCTCCGTATGTGATGGACTGTCCATTGTTTCCGTCATCAGTCTCGTGGATGATGGCGACCTTGTTAGGGTTCTTGAGCGCATGGCGATCCACGCAGTTGAAAGAAGCGTTCAGCTTTCCACCGAGGAACCAAGAGGGGTTTCCCTCGACCAGAGAACCGGTCTTGACGGTGTGGAAATCATGCTCCCAGGTGAGAAGCTCGCGAGCCAGACTTCCCCAGAAAGCATCGGGCTCGCAGATGGAGAGCTGGTGCATCTGCTGGTACTCCTCCAGGCCTGGATAAAAAATGTGAGTGTCTTGGATATTTCATTTTTCGAGATATAACTTACTGCCGATATGAGGCTTACTGGGGTGTCCTACAAGTTCATGGTTAGTCCGCGGTCATTCAGAAGCATCGATTCACGCACGTGCAAGCATCTTGTCGGGAGAATCTAAAATCAAAATCTTAGTAACCAAAACCCCCAGTAAAGTTTTACGAGTACGTACACCATTCCTCGCCATCGGGAGTCTGTTGTGTCGCTATCGGTTGACGCATGACGTTACTGTTTGTGAATAGTCTCTTTGCACTGTTAAGAAACGAAATGTGAGTTGTGCAGAGGGAGTAGTGCGGAATACTTGAAATTTAATCGGTATCTATAAGAAAAAGCGACAGGGGGCGGAAAAGGGGCAGGCGGCTGATATTAGGTCAGCAGAAAGAGGATCCCTTGGGTCCCTTTTTTGATTGTGACAGGCTAATCCTTGTGATGTTTGCTCTAAATTTTTGGGAATGGAAAAAGTGGTATGGCTGCCAATCAGAAAGGTACTGGGAAAGTGCCGATCTGTTGGTGGTAATCTGATAGCCTATGGTGAGATTCGAGATTGGCTGTTTCAGTAACATGTTCAGCCTCACTGACTCACATTCAGCTATCTCTTTCCGCATGTGTTACGGTTTAATTACGAGGTACTACGAAGTATCTGACCATGGTGATCAATTGACCTCAATGCAGGGCGAGTCATCTGCTCAGCACTGCCTGATAAATACTTGCTTCTCGCAATCAACTTCACTAATTCTGCCATCAAAATTTGCCACCGCCTTCCAGTGCCAGTTTAACGGGTACCTGCGACGTTAACTGGGCGATCATTCCACTTATTACCCAAAGAAGAAACAAGTGCCATTTACCGTCGTAATGCCACAAGCAATTCCCCTGGTCCTCCACCCGCCAGTTTGGTCTGTCACTGTCTTTATGCACCCTTACAGGTTCACAGGGCAGCATTACCACGTGGATTTAGCCCGGAGTCCATTGCCTAACGTAGTTCGTTAATGGCATTGTGCTCCCTGTAAATGAGGCCGAGAAAAACCCATGTGATGGTCATAGCTTTTTTTTGGCTCAAGAGAAGCTCGTGCTTTTTGTCTTGTTTTTTTGTTGGGGCGCTCCCTCAACATGAACTGATGGACGAACCCACCCACTCATCGTTCAGGAGTTGGTATAGGGTTGGTAGAGTCAGTTGACGTCTCAGTCTTATGATTGACTACCTTTCGACTTCGTGAGGTTGGTCGTATTGAGAAGCGCATGACATGCGAGCCAAGACTTATCACGAATGCAGTCCCGAGGTTGAGGATTCTTTTGCAAACAGGCGATTACACATGTCAACAGCCATGTGAAACCATTGTCCTGCTTGATTTCTGAGCACGCTTCATGCAGATTGATTGCCATGATGCTAAAATGAAAATAACATTTGATCACACTAGCTGCAACTTACCTGTGGCGACTAATGATAACAATCATACATAATTGGCTGTACGGCTCAAGTGAGCGCCGTCCACATGCGGACACCGCTGTGGTTTAACCTCAGTTATTCAGGCTTTCTTCCATAGACAACCCGCTGCCGATAGTAAGGATGGAACGTCCCCGATCGAATCTCACGTCGCAACTGCGCGCAGTACAGAGAAACCTCTTCCCTCGACCAGCCGAGTACGATATTAGCCATATAGAGAACGTAGCCTTCGTAGTCTTGTTCAAGCACAGCTTGAGCGAACTGGCCAATTTCCCTGAGCCGCGGATCTTTAGCCCAGCCTCCGATGGGTGCCTATATCAAAATCAATATCTCATGGACATGTGACTAAGAGTGAAACGTTTACCTTGAAATCCCAAACTTGCACATCGACAAAGCCTGCTTCTTCCATACCCTTCTTCTGAAGGTCCCTATCGATGATTTCAAACGTGCGATTCAGCCTTCTGCCGCCCTCGATAAAGAATTTGCCCCATTCGTTGATAGCACAAGTCTCAGTCACAGAGCCATCATCGCTTTCCATTCTAGGAGACGCTTCGTAACTTTCAACCCAACCTCCGGGCTTGCATACTGTGAAAGCTTCCTTAAATAAAGCAGACCAGTCACTAATGCTCCCGTACAGGTAACGCATGTGCACGTAATCGAATGAATTAGGGTCGAAGGTCCACTCTTGGGTACAGTCTTCGATTTCACTGTTCATGTTAGTCCGGATGGCTGGGTGAGTGTATGAAGGTTGCTTACAACTTCAAGTTAGGTGGAACCCAGTCTGGCTGGATGGGCGAAATATCCGTGCCGGTGACTTCGGCGTTGGGATACTCATCGGCAAAATCGCTGTTGCCATGTTAGTAGATTCTCAAATTTTCTGGTGGTTTCAATTACATAGCCCAGATACCTGCCATATGAGTTAGTTCCTGGATCTCAGGACATTTTCTAAGACATACCAGTTCCAGTGCCGACATCCAATACTTTCTAGTCTTCTTTGAGTATTCTGTTCTTAATTCCCAACGGTGTTGCACGTACTTGAATATCTTCTTTCTTCAGTGGAGCAAGGTGAAGCTTACTTTCCAGCGACAGTGACAGGAGATGATGACTATATGAGTAAGTAATTGTTCAAAATCAAACGGTATAGCCTACTTGATATCCATAGATTCATTGTGATGCGCATCATTTGGTGTCCTTTAAAATATCAGCTACTGATTTCATACCTGTAACAGACTTCTTACCAGTATTGAGCATTTCCCCGCTCGGAGTGGTACGTTCTTCCGTGAATAGTGCGGTAATGAAGAATACTCGATGAGATTGACTCTGTCGAACTCGCTACATCATCGCCAACTGCTGAATCCGCGTCGTCGTCTTCGGCGGCGTCCTACCCTTCGTCAGCTCTATCAAATAATGCTGTCGGCTTTTGCATACTCCGCCTGCGATATTCGCCCAGTGCTGAGGGTCGTGAAAATCCTCAGCAGGTCCGGGATCCTCAGCAGGGGTTTGCACAGCCGGCGGGGATGCTGGGGTGGGTGAGGGCGCAGATTCCGGCACCCTCTGTGGTGAAGACATTTCTGCTGGGTGGTCTACCATTTTGACGAGATCCTCAAAACTCTTCCTAAAGAGAAAACAATTTTTGAGGATGAAAAGTATGGATAACTACTCAGTCGGTGACAGTACGACGAGGTTACAGTGTGGAAGCGGCATTACTAGTCTGATAACATAAACCCTGCAATGCCACCTCGCCAAGATCATGTGCGAACCTTCTTGGGTGATAATATGCAGTGGTATTGAGCAGGACTTACGTTTGAGCCAGAAACGCGAACGGCCCTCACGTTAAAGTGCCCAATGAGCGCTGTGGTAAATCCATTAGGTGCATGCCACGTCACTCAAACAGTTCCTGGTTGAAGATCCATAACCACTTGAAGAAGAGATACCTGATACGGAGCACAGGGATGGACAATCATAAATCCGTTAAAAGGAGGCCAGGGAGCAGTACTTTATGGTTTGATGAGTGTCATACAACAAATACCGGTCATTGCCGCCACTGGAGACTGAGAGATGTAATATATAGTAGATTAGGGCGTAACCTAGCTTGGAAAGATAACTCTATTGACTTTTTATTTAATCATTATTTTGGAATTCCGCTTAGTTGATACCCGATGTATCCGATTAAGAACTGCCGATGCCCTGGTGGGTAAGCCCTTGTCCATTTGAGTTCATAGTATTGGCGCTGGTATTTGCCATAACATTTTGCGAGAATGCAAGAAGAGCCAGTCCGAATGAAGATAGGCTAATATAAATGCCAGATAGGAGTGAAATTATTATAGTAGTCCTGAAGCTTAGATTTCTCAGCAGGACGAGAATCTCAGTTGTTTTTTAGATACAGGGACTTTCAGTACATAATTAAAATTCACGTAGCCAAGCGGTTGGAATTTATGACAGGCGAAAGCTCGATGGTTTATCGGCTCGACTGAGTGAGAAAATGCCACAGAATCGGATGTTGTACATAGTAGCCCGGGACCTTACTATAGAGTCTAATAGGGGAGCAAAAATAGAATGGGGGTATTAATCGTATTGATATGGTAAGAGAGGGCACAAAGAATGGTTACAGCTACCTGTCTGCTAGCAGTAGTAGTGGTGGCGGCGGGCGCAGGCTTGTGCATTTATCTTCCGCTGTGGTCGACCGGTCTATACCCCCAGCTCAACGTTGACGTTAACCAATCGCAGGTCGTTCATCGTAATTCCCTTGTAGAAATCAATGCTGAAACAAGCTCAGCGCTTAAAAACGGCAATCAGAGCTTGAGAGGCTCCAGATCAGTTGTGGTCAACGCTAGGAAGCGATCCCGAAGCAATCGATGGGTCCGACATTTCCACCTGGACGAATCATCACACCGGGCCATACCGGCTGCAAGAGGGTGGAAGTATAGAATCGGGCCAAGCAGTACGATTATGTTAGTAATGGATTATTATCATGGTGAAGTTGCGGAAAGGTTGGTAGAGATGACCTTTGAGACGCACACAGCGCCATCAAATAAGAGGGGAAAGAGATTCACTAGGCACAATCATTTTCTCGCACATGGCTAGCCAGTCAATAATTGCTTGACAGTTCAGCCAAGCCCTACTCCTCAAAAGAATAAACGTCTCTGGCATTTCAGCCAGGGCACCTGTTAACGGACAATATACACACTATCAATCCCAGTTCATTATTTCTCCAGATCTGCAGCATCCACCCAGTTGCCGTGGAGTCCAGGGCGCAGACGGAAAGGTAGCTTGACCGTCGCGACCGGCTCTTGGAACTTGTTGACATCTATGATGACCAGGTTGCTCCTCATGGCCTCGTAGTCGTTCACGAGAACGATCAAAAAGCCGTCGCCCTCTGGGGCATCCTTCGAGCGGGGGATGAAAGCAGGTTCTTGAAACCCAGCGCGTGGACCGGCAGACCACTTCTCAAATTTTCCTGTCTCCAAGTCGAGATGCCCTATTCCGTTGAAGAAGGCACCGGGGTTGGCTTTCATGACGAATGGATAGTCGGTCCCCAAAGTCGGATCCTGGAGAATGTTGAAGACGTGGCGATAGCGTCTTGTGGCGAATCGATCATCGATTCTGCTAAACTCGCAGCTTGTTTCCAATAAGATCTTGGCTGGTGGAAGCTCGGCCACATCAGAATGGGGATTGATTGTAAACCTCTTGAGCGGTGCGTGGAGTTTGCTCATGTCGGCCTTGACGCCATTCTTTTCAGGAAACCAATCAAAGACGTTGTCGCTGGCGATGGTGAGGTCCACCAAAAGTTTGCCGTCGGAATCTTCATATGCGTTCGCAGTATGACCCGGGAAAGCGTTCGGCGCATGGAAATACTGTCAAAGTGATTAGTTGCTTCGCCAATACGACTAGACTGACGCGGCCGTCTCTGTACCTTTACATCCTCAGGCTGCCCCCCTCGTCTGGGCAACACGACGAAATAGAGAGGCATGTTTGGATCCCAGTACCAATGCTCTCCCCCCTTCTTCATCAGTTCCAGGTCACAGATGTGGGGGATCAATGGAAGCACGACCTTGGCAGTATTAGTTATGTAATCAAGGGTTCATTTCATCAAGAATGCCCACCCAGTTTTCAGTAACAGCAAAGTCGTGGATCATGGACAGCTGAGGTTGCTTGAACCAGAGCTCCTCCGAGACTTTCCCGTCCGGCTTGATGGAGAAGTAGCAAATGTCAGCGGTGGCGATGCCTTTGGCCTCATAGCCGAACCCAATCAACTCTCCACTGACTGCATCGATCTTGGGATGAGCCGTAAAAGTCTCGCTTTTGAGCTGGCTGTCGAACGTCTCGACTCCCAGTGTCTCGAGCGTATCTGGGTCCATGGCATAGGGGGGCGAGTCTTCTTTGCACGCCAGCATCTTTCCATTGAAGTACACGATGTTGGTGTTTGCCGTTGATCGGATTTTAAAAGGCTCAGCGTCTGTGAAGGGGTTGCGATACTTTCCTATTGGCTGTAAGCTGGCTGTATCTATCCATGTGACTCTTATATGGCCAACGTACCAATCAATGCTCGTCTCGCCTCTCTCTCTCGAACAAACTTTTCGGTTCTCACATATCGCTGCTTGAAATCGACATGGCCATCCTTGATTCGGAAGGCGCTGATGTTTCCATCACCATTGAACCACTAACAGCATATCAGATCCAAGCTACCAAGGGACGTATTGGAATGAGTTACTATGTCGTCTCTAGCAAAAGGTGCGACTTGCGGATCCGGCATGTTCCGGTAGAAGGTGCCATTAATCTCCTTGGGGATCTCTCCAGTGACTTCCAGGTCATAGACGTCACCCTCGAACCGGCAAGGCTCCATGAAACCCTTGAAATATTCGGTTTCAGGAAAAACGTTGTTGCTAATTGGTTGGAAGAAGTGGCCGGCCATCTTTGCGTGTGCTGCTCTAGAACGAACGGGAACGGAGTGATGGAGAAAGATGTGATGTTAAAGCTGTGGAAGAAGGATGTTTGTCCACGCGTTCACATGGGTCATCTGTCTCTTAAATTGAATAGAGCATCAAGCGACGAGAAGATGGATAGTTATGATACGTAATGAAGCACTGGGTGTTTAACATCCAGTCAATTGTATCCGTGCATCCGTATTGCCAGGACCTGTGGCCCATCACAATGGAGTAAACCCCGGTTAGTCAGCGGCAGTCAATGTAGATCTCGGGAAGGATGTCAAGCTGATCCCGATGCATACCCGCCGGGGGCAGAACGGGCGGGGATCCTCTATTCGCATTGAGGTACGTATCTCAAGTCGAGCCCAACGGATGCCATTTCGGCTGCTGCCTTGAGGTGGTCACCAATCTATCCTATCTCCGAATGATGTTCCCCGAAAATTTAGAACTTAGGGCACCAACAGTCGAAGAGAGCTCAGAAGACAAAAGGTAGGAGTGAACACAGGACATACGGAAGTATAATAGAACTCACCCAACGTACCTAGAAAACTGGCTCCAATACCACTTGGATAAGCAGGAAAGGCAGGCTAGTAGGCTTATACGTGTTACGGACTCAGCAAAGTGACCAATGACAGTGATTTTGTTGGACTTGTTTGAGCTCGTGAGAATAGTTGTCAGAATGCACAGGATTTGATACTCGCTGGTCAGTGCAACTATGAGTGGACTTGAGTCTATATAGAGACCTCTGTTATTAATATTTCTATAGATTTTACTAAAATAGCTGGATCTCTGTTTCAAAAGTGCTACCAGACTTTACATAGATAGACAGAGATATTCTTAAATAAGAATTGACCTAATTAGTGATATTATGTAGAATTAAAAAAATGTAATAGTCCTAAAGTATATTATAAACACTAAGCTACCACCAAGATAGACATCTCTTGTATATAGGAGATTTCAGGACTATTAATACATATCTATATAATGTTTAAAATTTATAGCAAGGCCAAATATTGATAGCTTGTCGGCCCGACAGGGTAAGAAAGTGCCAGAAAGTCGAGTGTTGCGCATAGTAGCCCAGGGCCTTGCTACCGACTATACAGACAAGCAAAATTGAACTGGGAGTATTATTCGTGTTGATATGGTGGGAGAAAATGGAAATAAGCGTGCGTGATAACTTGAATGGTTAAAACCTACAGCATAGGAGATGGGAACGGGGTCAGATATGATCTAACAGACACTTAAGAAGGTGTTTGTAAGTTTAAGTTCGCTGTCAGACTGACATTTATTGACGCAAACAACGATAAGGTAAAATTATATAACATCCTCATACCTCCAAGAGTCGGCCAATGACTGAAGATGGATACAGCATCTACCGACGGTCAATCCATGATCGCAGTAAACCTTATGTCTCGGCATTTCTGAAATACCACTTCGGTCTCAGATTACGACGCTCAAATACAAACCTTCCGCACATTCCGGCCATCAAATCTCGATGTACAAACGATAAGGCTTTATCGATACTATCTGCTTATCATTCTGCCTCATATCATTGCTCCCGTTCACATCTGCCGACGACAATTGCTAGCTCCAACGTTGGCAGGTTGCAGATTACGTCGAGGTAATAGCCTCCTCGCCTCGATATCCCGATATTATCTTCTACTAGTATGGATAAGTCAGCATTTATGATCATAGCCATACTTTCGAGCTCCAGTAGCTGCATCACGACACAATTGCCGTGCCCAGTTGCCGAAAATAGTGGATATCCTCTCCCAAACTACCCCAGGTCGGGCTGTGGGGGTGAATCTGGAGTAGCCGAACACCGAAACAGCAGCAAGATTTGTGTCTAAGTGAAAAGTGATATAAGAAGAGAACGTCGTTAGAGTAGAATAGAGAAAAATCAATCACCTTAGTATTCTTTCAACAATTCCTCTTTTCTTGCCAGTTCTCGTGCTTTCAACATGCACAGCGGCTTGATCGAAACCCTCCTCAGTGCTCTAGTCCAGCACTGGGCGTTGGTACTTGCAACAATTATCGTCACGTGGCTGGTGAAGAACAGATATCACCATGGTCTGAATAAATATCCTGGACCATTTGTGGCGTCTTTGACGGATTGGTGGCGATTTTATGATGTTTATGGCCAGCGACCTGAAGTTACCCTTCAGAAACTCCACGCCAAGCATGGCGATATCGTGAGAATTGGACCTAACACTCTATCCTTCTCCAACCCTGCTGTCCTCAAATCTATATATGGTCTTAGCAAGGGTTATGTCAAGGTATGCACTTATATACTAGCTATCCTAACCCTATGCTTACCTTCCTGCAGTCCGACTTCTACATCGTGCAGCAATCCGTCGTCCAGGGCCATCGTCTTGCATCCCTCTTCAGCACAACAGACAATGATTTCCACTCCCAATTCCGCAGAAGTGTCAACTCTGCCTTCTCCATGAGTGCACTTGTTCAATATGAGCCCTTCGTCGATAATACCACCAAGCTGTTCTTGGATCAAACTGAGAATCTCTTTGTTAAGAAGCCCGATGTCTGCGATTTTACGCAGTGGCTTCAGTTCTACGCTTTTGATGTCATTGGAGAAATCACCTACAGCAAGAGACATGGCTTCATTGAGAAAAATGAAGATGTCGAGGGTATTGTTGCGTATCTCTCAAAGCTATTCCTCTATGTCGCACCTGTAAGTCAAGCCTCTCAGTTGACTTGTTCCCAACTAACTATAATTCAGGTCGGACAAATCCCGTTCCTCGATCTCCTCTTCCTCAAGAACCCAATCTACCTCAAACTCTCCCAGTGGGGTCTTTTCGACTCTACATTCCCCGTTGCACGCTTCGCCCGTGCTCGCATGGCCGAGCGACTCATCCCCGAGCTCCATGCCGGCGATAGCCTTCCTCTAGCCAACATCAAGAAGCAGCCTCTTGGCCAGGACCTGCTATCCAAGTTCATCGCTGCCCGCGAAGCACGCCCTGAATTCATGACCGATACACTTGTGCAGACCATGGCAGTCTCGATGGCGTTCGCCGGTTCAGAAACAACAGCTATCACCCTGTCTGCAGTATTTTACTATCTTCTCCGAAACCCAGCTTGTTACGAGAAGCTCCAGAAGGAACTCGATGAAGCTGCCAAGGCTGGAGCTTTCTCTGACTACGAAACTGGTTTGGTCACATTTGCCGAGGCCCAAAGGTTCCCTTACCTACATGCCTGTGTCCAAGAAGCTTTCCGCATGCATCCCGCACCCGGTCTTCCCATGGAGAGAATCGTGCCTCCTCAAGGAGCAGAGATCGGCGGAGAGTTCGTCAAGGGCGGGACCATTGTCGGAGTCTCAGCATGGTTGATTCACCATCGCCAGGAGATCTTCGGCCCCGATACCGACCAGTACCGTCCTGAGCGATGGCTCCCAGATCCTAAGCTGAATGCCGATGACGAGGACAAGCGTATCAAGAAGATGACCGGTATGATGTTCCAGTTTGGTATGGGTAGCCGAACTTGCATTGGCAAGAATATCAGCTTGTTGGAGATTTACAAGGTTGTGCCGAGTCTTCTAAGAAGATTCGAGGTATGTTCCCCTAACCAAAATTGATCAGAATGAGAAGCTAACAGAGTGCAGATCGACTTTGAAGACCCTAGCAAGGAATGGAAGATCATCAATGCCTGGTTCGTCAAGCAGACTAATTTCAACGTGAAGTTCACAAGAAGGGACCTGGTACAGCCAGAATTTTCAGAAAAGCAATTATAGATCATAAACTATAATAACAAAAGATTTGGTACTCTGTCTTGTTTGGTATATCCCTGTAGCGTCTAGGCAATGCTGCTGCTCTTGATGATTGTTCCAAAGGCATCACCAATCTCACTCAGTGCAACCTTGACCAACTGATCAGCGTCAACTCCAGGAATATCGCGGTCACCGACAGCATCCTCAGGGATCAAAACATCGAATCCACGCTCGGCAGCCTGTCGTGCGGTGGTTGAGACACAAACATGCGCCTAGTTGCATCATTAGCATAAACCACGCCAACACCTCATTTTACTCACCATGTATCCCGTGAGGACAACCTTCTTCTTGCCAGCCTTATCCAACACATCCTGCAGATCTGTGTCTGTGAAAGAACCAGCGAAGTTCTTCTTGATAACATCTTCGCCATCCTTGGGCTTAAGCTCATCAAACTCTTCCACAAGTTTAGTTCCAGCAGTGAAGACCGGAGCGCCCTCTGGAGTAACATGCACGACGTGCACGATATCCCCGTTCGCAGAGCGGTACTTCTCTAGAAGCGCGGCGATGACTTTGCGCGACTCGGCGACATTGGTCACCTTGAGATGTCCCTCGGCGTACTCATTCTGGGCATCGATGATGATGAGGACACTGTCGGAGGTGCTTGCGGAGGAGGGCTGGACGCCGATGAGCTCACGGAAAGATTTTGCTGAAGCCATTGTTGATGTTTAGTTAAGTTGTGTGAAGGCAGAAGTTCTGGCGCTGATCTAGTCCTTTATATATCGGGAGGTGAAGGAGATTCGTGATTCATGACCCCTCATCAAGTAACCCGAACTTGGCGATACCCCGCCACAAGGCCGAATTGTCGGTTAGGTCACGTAATTGGATATGGACCCAACGACTCACTAACAAGATCAATGGTCTAGAATCACATATTATGCTATTGAAAAGACAATGATGACCAAGCATGAGGTCTGAATGAATCCCTTAGTCCGAACGAAGAACGAATGTTAAACGTCATTGGATGATATCATCCAGTCTAGGCCGAATATGGGCACAAAAGCCGCATTAGTCACCAGAACCCGTGGTGCTATTACCGATATAACAGTAACGTTATGGTGAATCTAAGTAATATGGTATTATTATGAAAGGTTCTAAGTCTGTGGTATATAATTCATGTTCTCGTCTCAAATATCCTTCGCCTCAAATTCATGCGAGGTCTAAGGCGAGATGGGAAACACATCCGTGCCATATCCATAGGCACAAACGTGCTGCGCCTCCCATTTCAAAAAGTCTTCCAAGTCATGATCCAGATTACACCCCATAGGGATTATCTCGGCCTCTACTGGACTCTTCTTAGTGTTAACTGACAAGCTAATGGGCATCATTGGGCTCATTGGACTTGACAAAGAGCTCACTGTCGAGCTGTCAAAGTCTCGTTGGCTCTCTGCCCATTGTTGTGCCCTCTCGAGATGTTGTGATATAATTTTTGGTCGGATTGGCTTTGGTGTTCTAATAACTGGGACGTCGAAGTCTCTGCCTGATATGAGCTGGATTGTAGGTTTTATTGGCTCTCGTCGCTTTTCACGAAGAGCATCGGCGAGGGCTTCGAAAGCTTCGTCGGTCTGTTGGGTCAGACATGTTGTACATTCTAAAGATGCATTGAACGTGTGTCTATGCTCCGGAATGATATTGTATTTGTCAGATGAAGGTAGTTTGGGGAGTGTCGAATGTCTTTGTTGGACTTGGCGGCGTGGTCCTGTGGAGAGGTTGGTGGTGTCGATCTTGAGAGGTGTTTGCCGTCTTAGTGTTGTGCCAGATGCCGACCGTCTGGTATCAATTGTTTGTATGTTTCTTTTATTATGGGGGTCATTTCTCTTGACAACTGTGAGGAATTCCTCCTTCTCATCATAGCTATTGGAAAGCAACACGGACGCCGACTGGCTGTGATGGTCCAACGAAGGCGAGAAGGCTAACGAATTGCGAACGTCGTGAGCAGCGACAGTTTTGATGAGTATAGGTTGGGATCGGATGATTTGGTTTGTCGATTTATTGTTTTGTGAACACGGACTTTGTTCTGTCAATAGTGATATCTCATCGATGGTGGAGACGTCTGGAGTTTCTACAGGCGAACATTCGCTCTGACTGTCAGAATCGGAGTCGGCGCTGGAACTAGAGCCGGAGCTTAGCGATTGCTGGGCCCTGAAGCGCTGTTCCCAAAAGTCGAAGCCATTGAATCGTTTGACCATTTTGAATAAAGTCAATAAAATAAACACGACGCTATGAAAGGATAGAGAAAGCGAGTAAGGTTTGTTGATAAATGCAAGAAGTAAATCGGAAGAAAACAAATAGCATTCGGTTGAGATTATAATGAGACAACGAAAACATTGCCCAAGGGAGCACACGCTAAAAAGAATGATGGCACTGCGCTGTAATTAGACAGCGATCACCCGTCGCATTCCAGCCACCATGGCCTCGTATACAAGAGAATCCGACGACTATCCCACCGGGCCCCATCGGCGACTCCCTCGAAAAGGTACAAATTAAGAAAGAAAATGAGGGCTTGTGATGGTGACGTTAACATGCTGTCCCCGGCAGTCGTGTGTTATTTGGTACTGTAGTGCACAGCCACTGGCACCATCCACTCATACGAGCCAAAAATAAACACAAAAGCACCAGCGGACACTATTTAGACGCTATCGGCCCGGCCGTTGAGTACGAAAGAAGCGCGTGTTGAGCGCAATTAGGGTCTAAAGCCGAAGGATTTTGCCGTGAGTGATTTAAAGAACAGAAAGGAATAGGATTTAGTATTTAAGATTATCGTGGGATTTTTGGGTAGGATTTAGGGATTCATAGGATTATTGCGAGTCTGATCCATCGTGGCTTGGGGGGCTTAGATTTCGCACTCGGGAACCTAGAGATCCGTTGTGAAGGATGGCATCCGTCCTGTTATGGGTTAGTGACGTAGTGCGCTAGGAGCGCTATGCTTACCCTGTAGTCAGCATCCTACTCAAACTATAAATTGGTGAAACAGGTCCGTGGGTAGTGTTCTTGAAGTGATATTCCTGTTAATTTATGGTGGAATATTATTTCTTACGACGATGGAATAAAACAAGTATGGGAAAGGCGCGTTTGGTAGTGTTGATCAATAGTGTGCTTCGGGATCATGGCCAAGCTGCAAATTCGCGCAGCGTCATCGTGCGCCAGTCCAGAAACACGGTTCATCAACGATGGATTAATATATTACTAGTTATTAGTAACAGCTGCAACAAGACAAGTAATTTCAACAGTATGTAGATGATTACAGCGAGATGGGACTTTTGCCGCGTTTATCGCTTCGGCACTTGACTGTCCACTCAATTCCTCGCAGGGATCGGCACATCACATGAGGTCAGCATCTCATCGTCGAGTTAAGCATCCAGACAACGCAATTGAGCATGGAAAAACATGTAACAAATTTAGCCCCCACAATACAACTATTCCATCCATCTCACCATACTCGCACAACCACTGCAAGGAACACATATTTCCCCTTGGGGGCTCAACCCCCTCCAAGCCGAGAACCCGAGGTTGACTACCGTGGGACTAGGCGCGCTTAGCCCCCTTAGCAGGGGGCAAATAGTTGGGGTAAACCTGGGGTTTGGCTCCTCAATCTCTCCTCTTTACAACCTCGGGTGACTTGCATTACCACCTTTCCTTACTTTGTCTCCGCTTCTGCTCTGCCTTGCCAGGATGAATAATACTCAGCAACCTGTCCGCTTCGCCAAGAAGCCTGTTTCGAGGAAGAGAGCGACTAAGGCGTGTCTCAAATGTCGCAAGAGGAAGGTCAGGTGTGATGTCACTCGCACTTCCACGCCCTGTACCAACTGTCGACTCGATGGCACTGAATGTGTCGTCGCTCGTCGCGCAGATGCCTTGTATGTCGCCTTGTCTATAGCATCTTCTATTTACTGATCTATCATGTCGTAGCCCTATCTCCAATCGATCCTCATCCATCGTCTCCAATGATATCCTACGCGATTGCGAAGCCGTCGCGGCATCGACGACGTCGCCCTCCTCCAGCCGTGATAATCCACAGAGTCCTATCGAAGACGCGTCGACCACGTTACACACCTTAGAGGAAACAGAGTACAGCTCTTTTGTGCACCGTGAGCGGGCGGACCTCGAGTCGCCGTCCGCGATACCCGATGATGATATCGAAGAGATTGAAGAGATTGAAGAATACATACCTCCGCCGTGCGAGGAGCCGAGCGAACCCGTACGATCCGAACTAAAAGCCCTATACTCGTCGATGCCATTCCTGAGGACACTTAATATGCGCGACTGCGACTTCAATCACCTCTTTGCTCAGGGCTGTTTACGCGTCCCTTCCAAGCCGATCCTCGACGAGTTCATTCGACATTACTTCCTTTACATCCACCCGCTGCTGCCCCTCCTCAACGAAGCCGACTTTTGGAATGCATACGATCCTATACCATCAAATACTGCCAATCCCGGCACACCCGTTTCGATGCTGCTCTTGCAGTCTATGATGTTTGCCTCTTGCACTGTAAGTTGACGCGGCCTTGAGCATGGCCATTCTAACAGTCACAGTTTGTGCCAAAAGAGAGCTTGCAAACTCTTGGCTTTTCCACTATTCTCGAAGCGAAAGAGTCGTTTTACACCAAAGCCAAGGTAGGACATCCCGACCCTGCGTCGCATCATCTCTAATGTAACCCACCCAGCTTTTATACGACTTCTCCACCGACCCAGATCCCATCTCAATAGCACAAGCGGCCACACTCTTGACATATTGGTGTCCGACTTTCCGCTCCGGACCCCGGATGCCAAATAGTAGATGGCTCAGGATAGCCATACAACACGCCAAGTCATGCGACGCCGATAAATACGATAACCCTTCATATGGACTGCACGTGTCGCAGCAAGACATGAAGAGAAGAAACGTACTTAAGCGAATCTGGTGGTGCTGTATTATTCGCGATCGCATTATGCCGCTTTGTGTGCGGCGGAACATACAAATTACAAATGCTCAGTTCGACTTCATGTCTTGCACGCCATTAGGATACGACGACTTGGTCGACGAGCTTGAGTCATCACGCGTTTACAACATTGCCACCAAGCACAAACTCATTCTTGCGCTTGAGCGGCTCACAGAGCTCTGCGTCACCCTGACGGACATGCTGGGTTTGGTATATCCAACTGAGACATTGCCAATTCTAGACGCTGAAGCACACTCAACGGCGTATGTGCAAGTCCAGGAACACAAGAGATCACTCAGAAGTTGGGCAGCGGCCACTAGACCACCGCTTGCGATACAAGATCTTTCACCGAATGCGGGGCCGTTTGAAGATTCTGCAGTGCTGTTTACTAACCTGGTCTGGATTTATTTCCAGTAAGTTCATCACTCTTGAAGCGCAGTCTAGGTAACTAACAATATCTGTAGTGCCAGCCAGGTAGCATTGTCTAATTACGAGCTACATCTTGGCCTTGTATTAGGAATGATTACACAAGCAGCGACATCAGCGCAAGAGACGCAATTCCTTAAGAACAACCGAAGAGATTTGAGAAGTGCCACAAAAAGTATAGCGGAATGCTTCGCCAGACTTCACCCACATCGCCTAACGCGTTGGCTACCGAGTAGTGCTGTGGCGTGTACGGCACTTCCACTTGCGATGCATATGGTTGATATCAAGATGTCTTCTGCTTCTTCAGCCGCCGAGATCTGGGCACGTCCGGAAGTCGCATCGAAACAATCGCGGCTCAACGTCCTCATCCAAGTTTTCAGAGAGCTTCACCCTAAATACGACGGCGTACACTCTATATCGAAGACAATTCGATACTTCATGGGCAGTTATCTTGAGCCCGAACAGAAGTTACTCACAAACGACCATGTCGATGTCTTGGCTCGAAGTCCTACACAATATTTACGACTGGCTTTAACAATTGATGTGTGTCTTAGCCAAGACCGACTGGCACAAGACAGTGACTTCCCAGCTGCCTTGAGGCGTTTTTTCACCCGAAATCAAAACCTGATGCCAATGTTGTTCGGACAGCCGAGTATCCCAATGCCCATGACGAAGCAAATAGCACTACCCCGACCGTTATCACCAGCAACATACGCGAGGAGTTTCTCTCGGTGGATGGAAGATGACCCATCGGTGGGGTTTGCTCTTCAAATGGGCATCGATGTTGGACCACAGCCTTTGGTGGTTCACGAGGTTACGGAGCGAGCACAGAAAGCCTATTCAGACAGTACAGATGAACGATCCCCAGCATCTGAGGAGTCACAAATTTGCGAGTCGGTAGGCATGCCCGAGACAACCGAGGATCTACTACAGCGTCTTCAGGGCGCGTCGAACTGGGCGCAAAATGACCAGTCGTTGTATTTTGCGCAACAGATGGGCTTAGTATCTGATGGGATTTCTTTCAATCCAGGATTTTTGTAAATTAGGAGGATCTGTATTTTGACCGAAGCTACTATCTATTGCTTCTATAATGAACAACATATTAATTCTATGATGAAGACAAAACCAAATAAAGGCACACTGAGATCTCCTAGATCTTCATCCATTTAAAACCACCCAAACAAACCAGCGCTCATAATAAGCACAATAGGTGGAAACATCCAATGCTGTGCCTCGCCGCCCCCGATAATAGCCCTACTCACAAACCCATCCGTGATCGGAAAAGCCACAGAAATGCACAGCGTCTTCGCCATGAGGTTCTCATCTCCCGTGGCCCAGATAGCCGACATCAACAGGCCGAACGAGATATTGCGGATGCCCCAGATGCGCATGAGGGCATGGCTGAACTTCTTGGCCAACGGCTCGGTGGGCACGGGGAATTCGAGGCTTTTGAGGTGAGCGTCTGGACGGAAGCTGGCGTTTAGGCCGAGACCGACCATCATGAAACCTAGGCCGAGGCTGCCGTTGAAGATGATGGGATGGGCCATTGTGGTGTTGCTTGGTTTATATTGTGGGGAGGTTGTTTATGTTGGAATGGGGTTTGATAGTGGTGTTGATATATTGTTCGGTGGTTGATAGCGTTAGAACTTATAATGGAGTAGTTGGTGAAAGTTATGGTTCTTTGATAGATCTTGAATTGGACGAGAGAATGTAGTATTGATAAATATTAATCGAGGTTCAGCCAGGAATATTTATCTAAATACATTCGATTGTATAAAGCAGGTATGAGATCTTACTTCGCTTCGCTTTATCATTATTCACCCGATTCAATAGACTCGTCATGATATTCGGAAGACCGAGCGAAGGATTGCCCGACTGCTTGTTGTGGAGTAAGCGGCGCAGTGCATGAGAACCAATTATTTTATAGCCTAGGTAGAATGATGATAAATCGTCGGCTTTAAGCATTTTCGCGTTTCGGCTTCTTTTCTGCGGACAAGCGCTATTGGACTTGATGATTAGACGAATATGCGGCCTACTCTCATTGATACCGGAGATAGGATTCGTCACTTACTAAACCCTCACTCTTAATCCTGCATCTTCTCAATATTCGACTTTTAGATATCAGTGCTGACTTTTTGTCCTAACGGCTGTTGTTGGATTTTGTTCATCAACCAAGAAGCTCAGTGTAAGAGGAAACCGCCTTTCTATCATCTCATATATCCAATCTCTCTTTACGCAACCTTAGTCCCCTCGGGATCATGCGCCACGACCTCAATCTCAACACGCATATCATCCAGCCCCAAACGCGATACACCGACACAAGTCCACAGCGGTTGATGGTCAGGCATCCACTTCTTGAAGTTGCGGACCATCGCGTCTAACGCCTCATCGTTTATAGGGACATGATACGAGTTAACCCGAAAGACCTGGGTCCAGCCCTTGCCACCGGCATCCTTCAGACACCTCTCGACATTAGCAAAGGCGAGGTCAATCTGCGCGTTGATCTCCTTCTCGAATTCGCCTGTTTGGGGATCCCAGCCTCCTGAAATTGATTAGTATTATAGTGAGGGTAAGAATGGAGAGTTTATTTACCTTGACCGGAGCATTCGATTCTGTCTCCAACACGGACGGCCTGGCTGTAGGAGAATTCGGCGCGCATTTTAACGCCTTGACCTTCGTAGGCATAATATTTGAGATGCGACATGGTAAAAGCGGGCTTTTCTTGTGACTGCCTGAGTGAAACTTGTGTAAGATGGGTGATTAATTTATTTCAGGCTGGGATATCATGAGATTTTCATCCTTTTATAACTTCCATGTTACAGTGGTAGCCCGTTTCTTTTTGGTGGAGTCATGGACAAACTCTAATTTTAGCGTATTTCCAGAGCGGAATTTGCATTCCGCCGCATCTCGTTTTCTTGGCAATGAGTAATCTCTAACGTTACGCTTCTCAAACCTATCATATACAATCCACAAAGCCGTTCTCTTGGACATGCCGAACTCAGTTCCACACAAGCCCCCTGGTAACCCACCGGCAGCACGCAAAACACGGACCGCACGAAGCAAATACGTCCTTCGTGCTTGTCAGGAATGTCACCGCCGACGAGCCAAGGTGCGACACGAACACACGTCTTCGCAATCCCCTTTATGTTGACGACTTCAGTGCGACGGACAGAAACCGTCGTGCTCTAGGTGCCTCGCTAGAGGGCTGAGCTGTGTCTTCTCGACCAACGTCGATCACCGTGGCTCGGCGCCGAGATCACATGTTTCCCTCCTGCAGGCTCGTATTGCTCTGCTTGAACAAGTGCTTCAACTTCATGAGATTGATATCGACGCTTCGATCGCTCGTATAACAGCGCAAAAGGCCAAGTCAGAAGCTGGATTGCCATCTTTAGACGTAGAGTGTCAGAAGGATTTGCAGCATGTTTCGCATCGCCGTGACCATGATGAGCCATTCTTCGGAGTAACGAGTGGACGTCTGGAACTACCGACCGAACCGAGTGTTGCACTACCATCACGTAACAGCAAACCGCATATCTTGTCCTCTGCAGACAAGCCCAGTATCCCACAAAACCAGCTCCAGGGACTCTTCCCTCCCGAAGTTCAGACTCTAGCATCAGGCTCAAACATGTCCGTAGAGCTACAAGAAAACCTCATAAATCTCTACTTCCAATGGGAACAGCCCTGGTTGCAAGTAGTAGACGAAGGCCTATTTCGAGACAGCCGGAGGAGCAATGGCCGCTACCACAGTGCTCTTCTGCTCGACTGTATGATGGCGCTTGCATCTCGCTACTCCGACAGGCCAGATGTCCGGTCCGATCCTCGAGACTCTAACACAGCTGGGATGGCCTTTATGAAATTAGCCGAAGGGCGTCTTCAGGGTGAACTCAAGTGGCCCACCATCACGACAGTGCAGTCACTCGCTATTATGGCCATTTTCTATGTGGTATGCACCCGTAAGTGCCTTTTGTGGACAGTATTGATAACTGTCTACAGGCTATAGGGTCAGATGCAGCAGGCTGGCTGCATCACGGGATGGCAATCCGACTTGTTCTTGATATGGGCTTCAACCTCGATACTACTGCAGATGCCGGCCTAGGTCGTCTGACTGATGCCGAGGTACAGCTTCGGCGACAAATCTACTGGGCGTTGTATTGTTTTGATAAGCTCTGGGCTAGCTATGCCGGCAGAGTATGCACCATGTTGGTAAGTCATTTGGCAGTTTCTTGACAGTGCTACTGTGACGTGATTTAACAAATTGGTCGGTAGGACTCACAAGGTTCGGTGCCCTTAATGGGAAACATCTTGCCCCATGGCAATCAGAGCGATTCCGTGGCGACGAGTGGACCTAGCAGGCCTTTGTTGCATATGTTCCTGCAGTATCTAAGCACGCAGTGTCAGATCTTGGAGAGAATTTTGAGCAACCTGTAGGTTTCCCTGAGATCATATAAGAGTATCATCTCCATGTCTGCTTACGCACACTCCTTTATCGTTAGGTACGCCCCGAAAGGACTTGAGACGGCCAAGAAAAGACAATCCTTCTTTGAAAGCTGCTTTATCGACCTCAAGAATTGGCTCTTCGTCCTCCCGAAGGAACTCAAAATTGACCCTGATCAGCCGAGCGCGTCACCGCATCTGTATACCCTCCATATGTGCTTCCACACATGCATCATCCTTCTAGCGAAGCCATTTCTGCCAAAGAAGGCAAATCCATCAGAATCAAGCATTGCCCTGGAAGCTTGTAGGCAGGCGGCGAAAGATATTTGCAACCTCGGAAACCGGTACCGCACGGCATTTGGAAGTTTCCGTCGGAGTCCTATAACAGCAACTCACTGTACCTTGACGGCTACTCTCATGGTCATGTTCCTCGGCAAGGGCAGCCGTGGAGATCTCGATTGCTGCTTGTTGACATTAGGTGAACTAGCTGAGTCGTGGGCTCCTGCAAAACGGTACTGGCAAACATTATCACGAGTGCTAGGGAAGAGAAATAACTCTGAAGATGGGGACACCACCGCAAGTTCCAGAGTGCATGTACAGGATGACGGAGATAAGGCAGATCAGAGTCAAGGGTGGAATCTAGCAGGTCCATCTCATAACATGCAGGCCCAACCAATGGAATTGCACCCTTGGTCGTTCGAAGACACAATCTTTGATACCATGCCTGCACTCGACTTCAGCCAAGTCGACTTTGAACAACTGGGCTTCAACCCCCTGGGTGTCCTACCTTTTGACTATATCGGCTACGGTGTCCCCAATTTCGACTCCCAATGGATGCCGCAGATTTAAAAAATACTTTCGTCTTTTTCCCTATTTATAAAACAAAGGTCGACCATTGACTTGAAAATGTCACATGTGCAGTCAAATTACGGCCTCCCTTTCATCTAAAGAAAACAAAGCTTTGGTAAACCAATCACAATGGTAAAAAGTGAAAGTTTGTTTAATTTCTAGGATTCTCTCTTTGATATTCATACTGCTATGGAAAGAAGTAATAGCAGTCCTCCTCCAACTCCATCACAGCCGATTATTAGCTGCAACTAACAATACCGCCGTCATTATCGCAGTTGGTGTTAACACCAGAGCACTATGCGAATATTGCGTTAACGACCTTCTAGTAGTAAGTGGATTGGAAACTGGAGTGCGTACCTTTCCGATATTGCAGATTTCGCGACGGCCGTTGACAAGACACTGGCCTTCAAAGGCAGTACATTGCTATAAAGGTGGTGATTGGTTAGCTTAATGGCCAAAAATAGACATAAGGGACATGATACATACGCCTAGTGCAAGCAGTCCAACAGTGCCCTCTTTAGCAGGCAGGGCCTGAGCACCCAATGCCGCCAGCAGTACGAAGGAGAAGGATAGGAGCTGCATTTTGAAAAGATTTCTTGTGAAGGTTCTTGATATTGATGTTGTGATGATGAAAGAGAGTTTGTTGGTTCTTCTATGGATCGATGGGGAGGACTTGTATTTATGGCTACTTGCAATGAGTCCTTAGCAGTATCTGATGAGGCATGCTCCATCCCATTATTCCAAATCATGATCGAATGGCCCCATAGGGATGGGTAATCCGCCGAGCAGTCCTTCCTATCTTCGCTATACGGACATGGATTCATGCCACAAGAAATCCTGTTGCGAATCCTAATGAGTCGAGTAGGAAGGATCTTCGACAGTCGGCCGCCTGTAGCTAATGACATAATGGACCTGAGGCCTGAATAGGGGACGGTAAACTACCAAAGAGATACTGTTGCAGAAGCCAAATGACAAACACACCGATAGCTTGAGTACCCGTAGGATTGATACCCACAACCCGAGGCGCTAGACCAAGGCGCGTAGAAGTGGCAAGGATCGGAGAGTAGATCGAAAAGGATGAAGTCTAAGCCACCGATCGTCCGACTCCACAAACGCAAATACAACAAGGATCCAAACCTTGTTCTCAGCTCCCGAGCGGAACTATCCGAAACCGCGGATAGTAGAACCCGTAGGTTGAGAGTCTGAAGATCACCGAACTCGACCAAGGAAAAGGATCAAACTTGACTTTGCAGAAGGATTCTTGCGATGATGATGATGGTGATGATCTCTTGGGTCTCAGTTCACCCGCGATCAATACGTCACCGGCTATGTTCCATTACGTATGAGAGGAGGAGTTGAGGAGGTTGTATATGCGTCTTGAGATAAACGTAGAGAAGACGGCGAGTATAGATAGATGGCCGAGGGGCGCCCTCTAGAAGACTGTATCACAACCCTTTATCTTCATTCACAAACAAGCACATCAACATCATAACCAACCCTACACACAAAACCTTTTTCAACACTATCAAAATGCGCTCCTTCGCTGTCCTTCTCTCTGCTTTCACCATGGTGTACGCCGCCTGCCATGAAAGCGGTGTTGAATATGCCACGCAAAAGACCTTCGCCCTTGGCAAGGCCCGCGAGGCTTGCGAGCTGAAGTTCGCTATCAACAAATGGTCCCCTGGCGAAGCCCTCGGTGCTTGCTACAACTTGGACAGCACCAAGAAGATAGACTTGGTCGTGGAGCGGATCAGTACCGAAGATAACGAGAGGGAGCTCACCGTGGACGAGTGCTACGATGGCTTACAGAAGGAGATCAACAGCTGTGCCCATGGTGGCACTAGCTCTTACACCAACTGGAAGTACAGGTATGTAACATTTGCGATCCTATGTGACAAGGATCCTTGATGTTGATAACTGACGCCCTTCTTCTAGTGCCGATCCCAATGCTGGACAGTGTAACAAGGATAACTAGGGCTGCTCATCATAATAAGGGGAGAGAGATAGCATATGGCATGGGAAGGGGACGCTAGTAGTTGGTGAGATTAAACCAGATAGTTGAATTAGGGAGACCTGGTTGTGGTTGCCACTTTGGAGAATATAAATATGATTTGCAAAACTACCCTTCAGAAGTGAATTTTGTATGAGTTGAATGATGACGATGTCCCATTGCCAAGTACCACAATTACTGCTAGAATCATGACATCTTTCGCAGAAGTAATGCATGAGTATGTTGCTTGAATAATCTATCGTTGTTTGGAAGATTCAATTGCCAACATAAATGGCAATCTATTCAGCTGCGGAACGCACGACCTTAGCGATGATTGTCAAGACGACTTAGCCCAGATATCAGGTAACCTCAGTCTTGTGACCAAGCGTTACGAAATGACTGTAGGATTTGCTCCTCAGCTCCTCTACAACATAACGAGACACCGAATATGGGTACATGATGATCACCGATTGATCCTTTGACATGCCGAGAATCTTGAAGTGACTCTGATGTCATACCAATTGAGCTTGCTCACGATATAAACTTTTGCATTTCGTCATTTGTTAATATACTATTGCCTTACCTGAAGGATTTAACCCTTGCTAAGTAACGGGGTTTTTGTACCCCCGAAGTTGACTAGATCTTCAATTTCATAGGCAATCGGGATGGGCCGCTACCTTAATTGCCAAGGAAGCTAATCCTTGATTAAATCCTTTGACAGCTCAGCCACTTGAACAGCGGTCACAAGGTGGGACTGATGTTTATCTTCCGAAACATATTTGCTGGGGTCAGGGAAGTGTCCAGGGATAGTCAGGGCGGGCCATGCACGGTACTTTCGGAGGATTCTTAACCTTGTAGGGCAGCGGCCGCCTCAGCTGAATGGCATTCCAAATACTGCTTGTCGATCACGACGAACAATGACGTTGGTGAATACAAGATTCTGTCGACACACTGGCCATGATACGGATGTTATTTGCTAAAAACTGGGCTTTCCCGCGAAACAGACATCTTCCAGACTAGAACGCAAATACTCCGTATTATCGAATTTGTCGAGTTGCTCATTTTTGCTAAGATCATGTACTTGAAACTCTACTCTCTTCTGCTGGCCGCACTCAGTGCTGAGGTATGTCGACGTTGAGATCTGAATGGGTCTACGTTTACTAACAACCTATAGGCATTGACGACTCCTCACCAAGTGAGGGACGCATCAGCAGGAGATTTGGCCATACCACCATCCTCTGGCAAGTTCTTGGAAAACTTCGGCCAGAGCAATTTGGACTTTGATCAATGGATCGATCACATGGTAGAACAAGGTCACCTATTCCGACCCAACATCACCGACTCCAGCGTCATAATCGCCAGAGACGGTGGCAAATGGAAGGTGACCTTGAAGAACGTGGCCTGCTCTACCGTCACCGGGAGTAAAGACCTTCTTGATAGAGCGGAAGCACATTTCTGCGACGACTTCATCAAGAACGCGGGTAACATGATGGCCAGGGACATGGAAATGGACGTCACGCGACTTATTTGTGACAACGGGACGTTCTGCCGCCTTGGTCTCAAGAGCGTCTTTGACTTCTTCCATCTCTTCCCCACGGCTGATGATATTGCTGGAGTGTGTCACGATATGTTCAATGCGGTGCAGAATGCCTGTCCAGATGGTGGAGGTGTTGCGGACACTGAAGTCACTGGAGGTAGCGGCGAGACTGAGTCTGGACAGTTGGAGTTTTCGTATACTTTGGGTAATGATGGCGAGTGTCAAGAGGATCCCACGCACCAGTGTTTTGATAAGGACGTCCAGTGAGAAGTTTGAAGGCGGTCCTGGTACCCTTTAGATAGCTCGCTTTCTGATTTGATTCTTCTCAATGAGAAATCTATATGTATTTTGCTAGATCCTGAACTATCAAGTTATGTAGATGGTTGCAGTTATGAGACCGAATTTCAACAATTTCCAGCAATATTAGGGCAAATTCACAAAATCTCGCGATAGAGATGGAATCACGGATTCCCATTAAGCAATCTCTGGCCAATGTTTCTACCGTCAGTTCACACTTGACAAGGTACGTTCACATGGACTGCTATACGGATGTCATGATTTGTGATCATCCTGAACTGCCAGTGTATGCAAATTTCCGAGATAATTGACGTAGTTGATCGTCGATGTGATCGTCCAAACACCCAAGGAGAATCCTAATCCGTCAAGTCCGTATACGAGGCAGGATCCTTCAGGATTCTTGTGACCGCTAGTGTTCACCCCTGAGAAAGCCGGCTAGCCATTGTGATAGACATGCGATCTGCACGTGGGAGTATCCGTAGCTCGATCCTTGGAGGCTATGCTTGAGTATTTGTCATTCAGACTCACCGCTATGACTTGATACATTGACATCATAGACAAGGCAATGAACTACAGGGTACTAAGTACAATACAGGCTAGGGATATAAAGCCTCGTGCCCTTCCGGCTACCACCTGTTCTATCATCACAACTTCACTTCACATCTCAAACCATCAAGATCTCAAACAACAAACATCACAAAATCAATCACTCAACTCAGTATGTCAATCCAACTGAATCGTCTGACAGTCTACTAATCCACGTCAGCAGAAAACATTCAACCACATTCATCATGTTCGGCAAACTCAACCTATTCGTCCTGGGCAGCCTCCTCGCCCCCGTTTTCGCCGCTAGAATCAGCGGCACTGGCGCAGCAATTGAGATCTCAGACAGACGCATCACAGGAACGGGTGGCATCTTCAGAGACGGCGAAGTAGTCACCGGAAACGACATTGGCCAAGGTGGTCTTATTGTTGCTGATCCCGACAATGCCTTTATCAACGAGATCCGAGAGGCCTGGCAGACGGCTCAGGGGAGCTCGAGTGGTATCTACCAGGAGCTTCAGCAGGTTGAGTTTATTCTGTACCCGGGACAGAGCAAGCCTTGGCCAGACTCTGCGAAGTTTGCTATCTACTTGGCTCCCTTGAACATCTCCTAGGTGGATCCTGTAGGGTCTCTACTGAGAGGAACAGATGGAAGTCTACAATTTGGGCTCAGATACAGTTAAATCAACAATTGTTACTTTGTTTCACATTCTTAGTCGCTCTTGCTTGTTGTACCATGAGATGTCCCGTGTTTGTGAATGATATGTGCTTTTATAGCTTCAGCATAGAGATACATGACAAGTGTTTTTATTCCCGTCAAGAAGAGGTTGTCCCATAAGCAAAGATGTAAACACCCTGGTATCAATTCATAAAGAGCTCATGTAATCGATCACTGCATATAGAACTTTAGTGTCTACTCTACACCCCTCGCCTTGCTTAGCTTCCCGTCGAAATCCTGACCATAGCTGACGTTCCAGCTCGCCAGGGTCTATGCCAACCATGTTCTGTCGCGCAATGATCTCAAAAGCCACACGACATAGGGTTGTGGACTCATGGGGCACGACAAGAGGAAGGTCTCTGTTGTGCTCATACTGCGCAAGAAGAGAGAAGCCGAAAATACCCGTATCAATATGACCTGTAGCGTACTCATTTACTATGGCCATATCTCCAGCTAAGATGTTGATGACAGGCGATAATATTGACCTTTGACCACAGTCTTGCAGCGTTGCCAACTGATTGACAGATGTGAGAGGACGACGACACACTCCTGAGTTTGACAAGCCACCACCTAGGTCTCCAAGCTGTAGCTCTGGCAATGGCTGCTCGACAATCACTTGGTCTGGTGTGCAATATGAGCTCTGTGCAGGATCTTCAAATTGCTGACCTGGAGCGGAGCAGGAAGCTTTGGCACGAAGCAGAGCCTCTAGCTCCTCGATTCGATCTCTTGCTGTGCGCAACTCGTCTTGGGACTGGGCCAATTCTATCTCCAGCGATTCTAGTCGGGTTTTGATACGAGCGCGGTGACGACGCTGGTTATTGCGAACTCGAGTGGCGTTGTGGTTGTGAGGTTTTAAGGACCATTTTGCCACGGTCGGCGCTTGATATGGGGATGCCATTTTAAGATAGAATAACTGGGAGGGTGAAGAAGCCTTTCAAAGTGTGCCGAGCTATTAGAATCCTAAAGACGGCTGGGTCGACAATACCTTGCAGTTTTCCTGGAATGCCAATTGGAGTTTGATGTGCGAGGGGGGATGACATGGTGACATATCGCTTTATTACTGTTCCTGGCTAAAGTATTGTGACTGTTTGAGTGAACTCCTGTTTTAGCTTAGTTCAATAAAGACCTAAAATCTTGATTGGCCGTCAAGCAGTGATAACTTCTTCCAGTTAAGGCCTAGCACTGGTACATATATGGGCGGGGAGATGGAAGCCGTGAGAAGTCGTCAATGGACTATAAAAACTGGAAACAACCAGAAAACATCAAGGTCTTTTACATCATCCTATTCACTACGTTTTACCAAGGAAAAAACACATCAGTGTGAGAGAATATTGATTACCATGAATTCCGAAGACATATACGCCAAAGTCAGCGAGCGATATGGCACTACCGCCAAAGGTTCTGATGCAAAGTACAGCAACACCGTCGCTAAAGCCTTTGGTTATTCGGAAGAGGAACTCGCTTCAATCCCTAAGGACGCCAACTTGGGATTGAGTTGTGGGACACCTCTTGCTACAGCCACGCTTCGGGAGGTATGTTCACACGGATATCCCACAACCTACAATGCTGATGATATTACTAGGGAGAGGTCGTTATTGACCTGGGAAGTGGCGCTGGGTTGGATGTCTTCCTAGCAGCCAAGAAGGTCGGCCCAAGTGGTAAAGCAATTGGGGTAGACATGAACAAGGCGAGCTGAACAGACATCTTCCATCAAACAAGACCTAACACTGTATGCGGATAGGACATGCTTTCCAAAGCAATGGCACTCAAAGCTGATTATGGGATGAATAACGTCGAGTTTGTCGAGTCGCGTATTACCAACATCGCTTTGGAGGGTACCATCGCCGACTGCATCATTTCCAACTGCGTCATCAACTTGGTCCCCCACGATGAAAAGCAGCAAGTCTTTAACGAGATATTCCGTCTTCTCAAGCCCGGAGGACGAGTAGCCATATCAGATATTCTTGCAAAGAAGCCTGTCTCTGATAACATCAAAAACAGCATGGCTCTTTATGTGGGGTGCATTGCGGGGGCAAGTCAGGTTTTCGAGTATGAGCAGTATATGCGAAATGCAGGCTTTGAAGGTAACAAGATTGTGTCTGAGAGAAATGAGGACTAACCAACAACTTACAGATCCTTTGGTCGCAGACACCGGAAGTGATCTAAATGTTTACCTAGATGATTCAGCAGGGGGCTGTTGCTCGGCGACAAATACCATGGCATTAGACCTAAAAGGAGAGGACTTGAACGAATGGTTCGGTAAGTCTAGCAGCCGAGAGTCGCTCGAAAATGCAGGTCATAACAAAATCAAAGGTTCCTTTACAATCTACGGTATAAAGAAGTGATTTCCACATTCTGCAGGCTGCAGCCGTGGAGATCTTCCCGTTTGTACGATTGCCACTTGATATCTGGTCTGGACTCTATCTGGAGCAGTCTGGCCCGCACCGGGGATGCAGGCCATCGGTCCGTCGGCGATCACCCGGCCCCAAAGGTTCCGATAGCATGAATTAGGAAGGTGAAAACTGTCCGAGATCCATTAAATATGCCGAGCAACCGCAGCTGAAAATACAATGTAACATCAAATACGAAATTGCATCGCTTATATGATTTTGAGTTGTGCAGAGAGGCGGGGTAAACAAAGTGATTGGATGAGGTTAAAGATTTCGCGTTGATTAGCGTTTCTAGGTCGCTCATGTTTCAGCTGTGTGAGACAGAACGTGCTGGTATCACTCACATACTTACACGAAAAGCCTAATGAGGAAATCCGAATATTCAATAGTCTGTATGCACATGCATTCAGGAGGAGCGAGACGAGATGCAGAGGTGGTGAGTTGTTGTTTGGAGTCTAGATGGCAGATTAGCAGGAGTATGTTTCTCGGCGTTATTAATTTGTACTCTGTCCTAGGTCTCACAAGTATAAGAAGCCTCATCCATCCAGAGTTGAAAGAACAATCCAACCAGAACCTCATTGCAAACACTCCAAGTCTACTCTCTCTTAGCCCCGAATCAATCCAGACTTTGGTGAGTTTACCTCCAACAAGCGAGTCTATCGTTCAAGCACAGTCCTAACAGTTTGCAAGATCACCACCGCCACCATGGTCAGCCTATCCTACGTTATCTACGCCCTCAGCGCCATCGCCGGCGTACAGGCCTGCAAGAGAACCTGCACTGCCACAGGAGATAGTGGCACCACCTGTAGCTACAGCTGCAGCCAAGTCTGCTCAAGCATATCCGCAAACCTGGCCCGTAACACCTTCCTCGCTGCTCTGCAGAATGGCGGAAACTCTTGCTCTGCTGTCGGAACGAGTGGTGTCCAGTGCAGGAAGACGAGCAAGTTTGGCAGCTGCTATGATCACTACTGGTCATGTGGCAGCGGCTGTTAAGGGTTGCCATGACACATGTATTATTGTGCTAGACGGAGGATATCTCTAGTTATGGTAGAATATGAACTAAAGAACTGTCATATAACATTCTTTGAGACATTAGATCCTGGAATGCCAAAGATCTCTTAGTTTTGAAGTATCTCAACCACGTCACTGATCTACGTGAGCTACAAAAGTGCCCCTACTGTGAACCCAGCTTGTCTAGCCTGCTTAGAGTCATCACCCTCCATCCCTAGCAATATTGGGCAACGTAGCACCTTATCAATTAGGTGGGGGTTTGTGGTGAGCAAACGCTTGAATGAGGTTTACTACTGGTACCCGATCTGCTACTACAGGCGCTGGCTTATCTTAGAGAATGCCCATCTATTGGATGGAGTTCTCGCTACCTGCATAACTATATTCTCATGTCATTGCCATGATGCATGAGGATCTGGACTACTATAGGTATAGGGAGGTTATGTCGCTCATATGTGATTACTAAAGGGTTTATCTACGACGTGTGTACTGAATAGATGCTAAATATACTCTTTAAGACACCATGGCTGTTGACGATCGTGTGCTAGAAAAACTCTGGAGTCATGATGCAATGCCAAAACAAAAATTGTAAAGCAAACTCTATAAAATGCCACATCACACTGAGGCTCTAATAAACACCAGACAAACCGATTTACATGTCTTCGGCCGGCTAACAAGACGAGTGTATAGCCTCATGACGCTAGCTCTATTTCCTGGAGCTGGCGATCAAGCTCCTGATTGAAGAATGACAGATGTTCTTCGCCGAGCTCTAATTCTAGACGCTTCTCAACAATGGCACGGACCTGGCGCTTTGTGACGGTGTCGAGATTCACTTCAGCAAGTGTCCATCTAATGGCGGCTGATATCAACGCGTTTGGGATAGCTTCATATCCTTCTGCACATTTCTTCTCAAGATTCATTGCAGACTGCTGATGAACAATCTCAGGAGGCTTGGTATGATCAAGCTGTAAAGAAGGCTGGGTATTCAATGTCATACGTGAGGAGAAAGGTGTCCAAGTCTTCCTTGTGGAGGAGATGTTAGGCTCTGGGGAATAGGCCCAGCCTTGTTGGGTCCACTTGTGATCTTGTGTAAATGACTGGTTGGTCGGGACATATTCACCCCATGGCTGTAACGGAATGGAGCTGGGGTCAAAACCCTCTTCGTCATCAAGAGCAACAACCTGCTTATCGCCCTTCTCACCAATGACAGTACGGGTGGTTCCCCATGAAAGTTATCTTGGTTCCAGAAAGAGTAAATGGGCAAGAAGACAGAATACACCGGTAATGCCATCAAGTAGATCACCATCCAGCCAATGTGTTGCCACTGCCTCTTCATAAAAAAAAAAGCAAAGCTTGTAGTCCATATGTTGCTGCCAAGAGGATTATGGATATCAGTGGAAATTGCCCTGTGCCGGTAGCTACTCGGATTATGAGATAAACCAGATATACGAATGTTGCTGGAAAGATGATGGTTCCGAACAGGTCTGCGAAGACAATGACACGCATATTAAAGCAGCATGCGCCGCACATGTTCTCTAGACGCATATGTTCGATAAGGTTGTGAATCGTAGAGTTGATCCACCGACGGCGCTGTAATAGAAGTACTTTCCATGATTCTGGGGCGACCGTTTGGCACTGGGCTTCTGGTAAGAATTTGAGCCACATGCGTGGGAAGTGTTTTATCATGAGGGTCGTCAGGTAACGGTCTTCCCCAAGGGAGAGGAGGTTTTTGAGGTGCAATGTGTCAACATCACAGATACTGTAGTCTTGGAGAACAGCATCGGACACAACAACGGGCTTCTTTCCATCGTAGGATTTGATGCGGTACATAGTAAAGCTAGAGATGGTTAGTGTGGTACTATTTTATAGGGGTTGGGGTACGAACCATCCAGAGAGGCAGGTTACAGAGCCGAATAATGACTCAAATGCTTTAGCCAAATGATGAGATATAAAATACTCATAGATTTGAATCATGGTCCACCAACTTCTCTCGTCGTTTTCCAACGTTGTCTCACCACAAATACCTGCAATCTTGGTATTGTTTGCGCATGCAGAGACTAAGTGGTTCAGAGCATCAGCATGAACTGCAGTATCGGCATCCACCATGAGGAGAAATTCGTATAGTCGAGGATCAACACCAATCACATCGTTGATGTGGTGAAACATCTCAAGTTCCAAGGGGTTCATCGTAGATTCATGATACACCCGATTGAGAAAGCTCATCAGTAACATTTGAGTATCTCGTTTCCCACGATTTCCGGGTTTTGCTCGCGCTTGTTCAGATTGTCTGCCGACTTTGATGATAACAAGATATGGAACAATGTTCCCCTCATATTCATACAGTCCAGAGTACACTTTACCGCAGTTGAGCTGGTCACTCCCCGATCCTATGGATTTGAACGGCAGGGCAGCTGGATCAGAGTTGTTGTCGACAATGTCAAGTATAATCTTTGATGTCGGTCGGTCATTTCCCTGACCCACCACGATACCATCGCGGATGATACACAGAAGCTTGTGGTGATTGTCGTAATCTAGAGCCGTCAATGAGTTGATGGCTCTTCTCAGAGACTCCTCATCTTCCGTATAAGCAGGAATCTGGCAAATGACAAACTTCTTTTGCTTTGATGGACGTCGTTTAGAACCGAAACGAAGTGCCGCAGCGAATTTGATCCCGATGATGACACACACAATGACTGTGAATACAAGCAAAAGCCAGTTGTTTACTTGGCACCTGGCGGTGTCACGAAAGTCCGACATCCCTTTGTAGCTAATCGCTTGGATGCAGCGCCAACTGGGAACGATATTATCATGCTTGGTCTTGTTGGTAGAGTCGGCCAACATCTCGTCAAGCTCAGATTTGATATTTTTACCGGCACTGTCTTCCCAAAGCTTGGTCACCTCATCGTTCAAAAACTGATACTTGGCGACGGTGTCGTATAAGTCTCGGGTGTAGAAGTAATTCGTCAGATCGTAGATTTGGTTGCCATATCTCGCCCAAGCGTGCCCCCCTTCGCCTTCTCTCTTTACCTTGTCGTTGGAGTAAACAAGGTCACCTTTGTAATACTCTTTGATTGGAGGGCTGAAGTGGTCCCAATACCAGTTATCCTGATGCAAGGCACTTTTCTTTTCGGTAGCGTAATAGCCCGAGGTATGTACCGCAGTGGTATACAGAGGTGTGTTGTTTGACTGGAGCCGTGTTGCTTCCGCTATTCCGAGTCCTCTACATGCCATGTGTAGAGGGGGCACAAAATAATCATCTAGATCAAACCCAGCGAGTGGTTGCATATTTGCCGTTGTAGTCTTGATGTCCGTGTCGCTATGTTGACGTTTCCAGAAATCGGATATGTCGTAAACTTTACCGTGTATACTGACCCAGAAGTCATTATCTCCCTGATGAGTCGCCACTTCCTTACGGGTCCAGGCTTTATCAGAATTGGGACACAACACAGTACCCAAGCCCATCATCCAGAAGAGAATGGTTCCATTGATCAGTAGAATGATGGAAAAGAGAACCAGTTTCTCCCGCCATGCCTGTTGAACTTCGGGCCGACTCATGCGGCCAACGTGACGGAGAAGGACAGACGGAATCCAGAATGTCAACGCCCTAACAACACCTACCCAGATACGACGGCTCCAGGTAACTTTGTTGATCTCAATATGTCCCGGATTCGCCATTTCGGGATCGCGAGACTCAAAGGTCTTTGATCCCTTAAGTGTCCGAGTGGCAGGTAACTCAGAGTAAGACAGTCTCACATCTGTTTGGCCCTTCGCGGCGAGGCTAGTGCTTTGACGGTGTGGAGAGTTCTCGAACAGGAGATGATTTCTGCTTCCAATTCGACTGTGGTCAAATTCAAAAGTAGAGAAATAACTACTTGGCCTGCCAAGGGCTGTAGCATGGTGCTCGGTGTTCAACGTACTTCTGCTGCTTTGCCTCTTTCTGAGTGTGAGACTTGTCTCGAGCCTTTCCTCAACCTGCCACCAAGCTTCTTCGGACATCCACACGCGCTGATGTCCGACAATAGCGTCCATGCGGCGCCAACCCATCTGGATAAACCACTGCTCGATACCATGTTTATCAAAGACATTCCCAAGTGTTGCGGAATAGCGCTGCAGAAATTCGTCAACAGCAAAGTCGACAGTAAAAGCCGAGCTGGTAGACTTGTGATCGGCCCAGTCTTGAAGACGCCATGACAGCAATTGTCTCAACACAATGTTGGTGGACCACGGAGTGACTGCGAATGTCGGTGATGCTGCTGATTCGGACGTGATATCAGAACCAGGGTATAGCGATAGATGGTACCAGATCCGACTGGAGTCGAGAACAAAGCGCAGGTCAAGAGCATGTCGCTCATCTTTCAGAAAGGAGATGACGCGGAGAAAGCTGTCCTCTTCAGCAAGGTTACTGATATTAGTGACAGTAGATTGCCATTTATTCTGAAGTTGGGAGTCTTCTGTAAGCCCCAAGCCTGCTACGTTTCTCTGGTACCCTGGGCTATCAAGCATGGCACGGCACGTATCGTCCCAGACCGAAGGGTCAACAGATGGCGTTGCGATACCGTCATCCACTGCTTCAGCATTGATGCCAAACGTCTTATCAAAGTTTGTCTGCATAGCTATTGCCCTTCCGAGTGAAGGATCAGGTATCTCAACAATAGTGATCTGAACTCTATCATCTGAGTCGTGTCCATTCGAGAGTACAGGATATTCGAGAGTGTGCAGTGGATTTGAGTCTTTTTTGGCTTCAAGCTCAGATGCGATGGCATCGTTCGCTTTAGAGACAACCCAGTTTACCAGTGATCCGTAGGCCGAACTGATGAAGAAATGGCGTTGGGAATGAGAAAGACTGATAAGTACATCGGGCTCGATGCCGAGTAATACACCGGCTTCATCACAAGTCTCCATCATATCTGTGGAAGAGATTTTCTCGTCGAGCGTATTTCCCAAGGTGAGTAGGCCTGCGAGCGTTGCGATGAGATTGCGATGATCGGCACCTTTGATGCCGATATCTTTAAGGGCTTGTCGGAAATCACTTGCCGCCGATGCATTGCTGAGCCCAGCTTGCGACGGAGGTCTAGATGTTCCATTCGTAGATAGGATGAAATTCTCGTCAGTTTCTTTGAGCTTGAGTAAAGCCTTTTCAGCTGGCGTTGAGGCAAATGCGATAATGTAGTAAAAGACATGAAACGCGTATCTGCTGACTTCTGCAGAAACCTCGAATAGATCACTGGCTGTATCGAGACTGTGGGCGGGTATCGACAAGAGAACCTTCGACACTTGACCTTTTAGCCCGACATCGAGAGTCAAAGCCAATGCGGCATATCGCGATGATGCTGGATTATCCAGTGTAACGCAATGTAGAAACGGTTGGAGGGCTTGCAATGATGTGACTACGGAAGTTGGTACTTTGAAAGGAAGAGTGTTGAGAAATGGCGTGAGCAAAGAGGGAGTCGATTCGTGAGGAGATCTAGTGACATTAGCTTCTGCGCCAGTCAATACCAACCTAGTACATACTGTAGCAGGATGCAATTATCTTCGGCACGACGCTTGGCATGTTCCCACACTTTCACTCCCAAAGAAGTATCCAGAATCGGAGTAGCCGAGCTTGTTGAGTGGCAGGAGTTCACAACTACACTGGTTCTGGCGTCAAGCTGAAAGGATTTGGAGAGTAGATATGAGGCATGGATAGCGTCTAGAAGCGGAATATTTCGACTGTGTCTGGGTTGAGTGTCTGAGGTAAGCTGATCGTGGATGGACATCCTGGCTAGTTGATACCGTGACAATTATAAATTAGAGGAGGTTGAAGGAGAAGGTATATGATGCAGTTTGAGAATATTAGAGAAACGGTTATTAAGGGACGAGGTGTAAAAAAAGCGAGTATTTGGTAAGTGCTGAAATAGAATAAGAGCATGATAAAAGAGAGAAAAGGACTAAGAAACAACACCTACATTCTATAATAACATGTCAACTTGAGCTTCACACAAAGGAGTCACTTAGAATTTCATTCTATTATTAGTATTGTAAGGTTTGTTTACTGAATACGAAAAGTTCTAAATAATAGACTGGAGGAACCATTCACATGTTAAAGTCTACAGCTGACTTATCCGCAGAGATTTTTGATGAATAGAATATGGCAAACAAACCCGCTTTGTCAGCGGCAGGCTCTGTATATTCTTATATATTCGTAGCATGTCTATGGAGTACTCCTGTCGCGCTCATAGTTACCTGCCGCGTGTAACTGCCTCTAGCTCTAGAGATGACGACTTCTCAAGGCGGGCATCCCTGCCCAGGGAGAAGCTAGGTGCGATCCTCAATCCCCATGCTCCAACGGCACCAAGGCATAGCCCATTATTTGCGAACTGATTGACTGGCGGCCCGGAGTGTGTTCTATTTTAGCCTTTGAACGCGCGGATTATGTTCTAGAGAATGAATCCCGGTGATGATCTCAATGTTGCTAACTTGTTAAGGGCTAGAAACAATAGTTAAGTTAGCCGTTGAAGCTTTGGTGCCTCAGATACCCCTGTTTATATGGGCCATCCGCTTACTCAGCGACATCATCATACCCCGAAACCCCGATCACCTTTGTCAGCGGAAACTCTAATTTCTTGGGTCTTATCGGGCTTAGACCTCCCTCCCTCTAAGATCACTTCGACAAGCTTGTTCGTCTATTCGAAAGGGATGCTTGAACAAAATTCTTCCCACTACGTCCATAGCCTACTGCTACATCAAGTTAAAACCGCCCCAATTTCAGAACAGAGACCCGAACGCCCCCACGCTCCTACCTACAGATCGATCAACCATCACCAGGCCGTTGGTCATGGGTAGAAGATGGGCTTGTGATTCTTGCCGCAGAAGAAAGGTACGTATAATTTGATAGGCGAATACCGGCCAAGAAAATACCCCGGGGCGTTTGATCTCCTCCTATCTTTGGCTTTGTAACATAATTGTGGCAGTTTACAGAGGGTTATTAAGGCTTTCCAGTCATGCTTACGTCCTTTGTACACATCAGATTCAATGTGATCGGACATCACTGGAAGTCTCTTGCGACTGGTGCCGACACCACAACATCTCCTGCACCTTTGACATAGCCGTGAGAGGCAAGTCGAAAGCTCTTTTTAGGTAGATGCTATCTTGCCTTTGGGGTCCTTCATCCTTTCTTTTACCATTTGTCTACTAACATGTTTCAAGGCGACAGAGATTTTCACCACAGCCAGTCTGGACGCCAACAGGGGCTTTGCACGACCAGCAGCCTGATGCCACCGCGGCAGCACCCCTTCCTGTGTTATCGGACGATGGAGAACATGGCGACACCTCAGACTCCTATCACGAGTCTCCTCTACTCTCCGACCCGACCCAGTATTTGGCAACCCCTTTCACTCCCAGTTCTCGAACTACTGGTGGTACTCTCGGTCAGATTCATTACGGTGGACAATATTTGGGACAGGTCGACCTGGAAAATGGTTTCCCAAAATTTTCCCGAAAAGGCCGTGACTGGATTTTTTCGAAAACTGGACAGTCAATCTCATTTGAAGTACCCAGGGATATGCCCGTTGCAAACGCCTCGAACTATTCGCCTGGGGTTCCCAAACTCCCATCTCGAGAGACTACTCTGTCCATTCTTAATGCTTACTCAGGATCTACCTTTAAGCTTGTATTTCCGTTTATCGACGATTTACTCTTTGCTGACACGATCACTCTGGCTTATAGCAGGCCCGACGGTCCAGCAACCCTCGAACATCTAATCTCTAAATGCTGTGTCCTTGCATTTCTTTCCTTAACAGATCTATTCAGAACAGCCGCTGACGAGTTTCCGGATGTGAAATCCGATGCATGCGCTCATGAAGCGAGGCACATACTGACAAGTATACTGGAGGAACCCAACGTCACAACTTTACAAAGCGTGCTAATTCTTGTAAGCGCAATACATACAATAGTATTGAGGGATTGGCTAATATCTGTTCCAGCAACAATACGAAGCGTTTGCGGGTCGACTTTCAACAGCTATCGTTTTCCATGGGCTCGCCTGCCGCATGATTATGGTGCTCGGTGGCCATCTTGATGTTCCCATCGCATGTGACAACCCTGCGGGAGGAAGTCTAAAACAGCGTCAAAGACAGCATCTACGAACGTTATTCTGGATATGTTACGTATTTGACAAAGAGACAACCCTGAGGACAAGCCACCCACCGTTTCTAACAGAGACGTACTGCGACCTAACACCACCAAATAACGATATTACAAATTCAGCTGACAATGAGGCAAAACCTTGGAAACTATTTGGAGACATAGGTATAAGCCACCTTAAAGGGAAGACTAGCCACTTGCTCTACTCAATACAAGCGAGTCGAAAATCATACGCCGAGTTATTACGAAACATACGCGAACTTGATGCTGAGCTTGAGGAATGGCGCTTGTCGTTGCCGCCTGAAGAGAGGCCTTCGCTATTAATGCCTTGTGCCTCACGTTCACCAAACTATAAGGTGGAGCCACCATGCACAATGCGTGTTATTCTCATCTATTTGGAATACTTCTACCTCTTGATTGCCATTCATCATGCAAGCGGAAGATGTGCCATACCTATTTCTCAAAATGGTAATCCGGAAGAATTTAGTACATCTGTTCTTAAAACCAGTCTGGCTATTGCTCTAGAAGCTAGCCGTTCCATCCTCATTCATTTGACAGCAACGGCCTCTCATTTGGCAGCTGAGACATTCTGGTAAGCTGATTCTTTTCCCACTTAACCAGGGTTGTTTCACTTGTTTTAAATGAAATCGTTTGTTCTCACGAGCAGTGTCCTCCTTCCTCTACTTCAGTAAGGATTTAGTAACTGATTTGATTGGTATTAGGGTCATTCAGTTTTACCCTACGGTTGCTATAACAACACTTTTCCTGAATATTTTAATGAACCCCTTCGAAAGTCGGGCTTGTTTTGACTTAGAGCTCCTCAGTAAAGCTGCAAAGATATTTCGCCTTATGCCTGTGTATCAACACACATCCCGTAGACATCTTCAAGTCCAGATGTTCGAGGGGTTTGTATACGAACTTACTCGACTGGGCCATTGCGCCGTGTGGACCAGGAGGGTAGAGTCGGCCGCTTGAACAAAGTTTTAGAAATCTGAGAGATTCGAATGTATCTTTATAAAAATAGTTCTGTTTAGAGAGTGATATAGCTAAGATAGCTATTATTAACAACAGAAACAGCCAATCTATTCATTGACTTGTAGTTAATATCAGTGTATGACTATATAACTACTTATTACCCTTAACGATTACTGAAACCTGTAAAATAGGCTCTTGTTACTTCAATGTCACTGGCAGTTAGTATAAATAGGGAGGTATAAAGATTGGTAGATATTGTTTACCGTGTTTACGCTAGAGTCCACCCAAATCGATAGATCGAGACGGCAATTCAAGTACTTGTGGATTGAACCAATCTCGCAATTACTGTGAGTTTCCGGCCCTCCTCTTCATACACAGTTTTGGCGATGTTATGACCATTCCGAAGCATCTGGATATTTGCTTCCTTTATCTTTTTCCTACCGTTGAAAAACCAGACCAACACGATGATAGTGAACAAACCAACGACAATGACACTGGTATAATTCATCGTACCTATACTGACAGGAAACGACGGAGGCATACAGATGACAACAACAACAAAAAGACAATCCAAATTATGGCAGAATTATTGCATAAATAATCAAATATGCCCAAGTTCGAGTATCTCGGCGGCAAGTGCTTCTATTTCCTTGTATAAGGAGAATTCCCTGAGGAACGGCGCAGGTTATGTTTAAAAACAGAACAGCTGATCTGTCTACATGACTAGGTATCCTCCCGATATGCCAGACTTGATCGAGATACTTGAGACAATGGTCACGGATGCTACCATGGTATCTCTAGTATCTGTAGATCTTTCTGACCTCGGACTGGAAGGGCAGGATGCCCTGACATTTGCTTCCGATGACTCGGGAATATAGCTTTGCCGTGACATATTTTCAAATTCATCTGTTTGTAAAGGTCCATAGTTACTCCTGAGTTGGATTCGCCTCCACACTTCCAAGCCAATACTCATCCTGATCCGGATGGTCCGTCCACTCATGTTCCTCATCCTCAACATACAACCTCACGATTCTTCCATCCGGGTCTTCGCACGCCATTACCCAGCCCTTAATCCCAGTAAGAATCTTACTTCTTGACACCCCGTGATCATCAAGCCAGGCTCCCCATTCCTCAAGGTCTGCTCGAGTACCAACTCCCCAAGTGATGGGATCCCAACCCTTCTGAGCGGTTGCCTGTGCCGGAACGTAACGCAACTCGACGATGAGCTTAGTTGGCTGGTGCTCTAGCATAATGGCAAACAGCTTGTGATCTGGAGTGTAATGGTTGTATTTGGGAATTCGAGTCAGATGAAAGATCTTCTCGTAGAATGCCCCAGTCTTGAGAATATCGTGGCACGGTAACTTAAGATGATTAATGCCGGTGAAAGACTTTGGCTTCGTGGTCTCTTGAGTAATCTTTCGGGCCTCCTGAGGATGAGACATTGTGATGTTAGGGTCGTGCAGATACTATGCCTCTAGTACAATATAATGTCGGTACAGTGTATATAAATGGAAATTTTGTGTGTAGCCGGGCATATTAGTGTGTTATATGTTTTTATCACATCAGATCCAACCATCCGACTTATCCGAGGTCGGAAGACCGGGATCACATCTGAACACTGAGCCAGCCTGTTTATCTGATCACAATGTAGCTAGCCACGCCACTGACGCCGCTTTGACGCACCTGAATTCAAAGACCCCCAGTCAATATCATTGTCCATACTGGTGACCCCCTGGCTTGAGCGACTAGCCTGAATAACTGATCGACATATTCTTCACCGGATGGCGAGGAAGGCGATCTACAGCGTTGCGTGCGAATTGAATTAGATATCATATCGATACTTATTCATTAACCGTTGAGCTACACTAGAAGTACCTGGCACGCAACCCCACCTTATCAATAGACTTCCACTTCCAGCGCTTGCATATCACCAATCTGTGCTTTGATGCAATCCCCTTTCCTAAGCCACCTATCCCCGTGTGATTTCGCGCCACCAGCGGGCGTTCCAGTCATGATCATATCTCCGGGATCAAGAGGTAAAATTTGACTGATCTCAGATAAACATTCCTCTGGACGTTGAATCATTTCAGTCGTACTGCCATCAATCATCAATTGGCCGTTGAGCCACAACTTGACGGGTGCATCATCAAAATTTCCAATGCACTCCTTGGGCCAGAATATAGGACCGCAAGGCTTCATTCCAGGTTGTGCTTTGCCTCGTATGATATCAGTCAAACCCTGAGGACCTGTCTGAAACAGGTCACGGCAACTAAGATCAAGACCGATTGTGTAGCCTGCTATAGCGTCCCGTGCTTCCTCTGGGGTTGCATTCTGGGTTCGTTTGCCGATGATGACCGTCAACTCGCATTCCCAATCAAACTTCTCTGTCCCCGGTGGCATTGGAACTGTCTTACCAGGCCCAACGATCGAGCTGGTAGGAGGACAGCTGAAGAATGGCAAGGGATCCCATTTCTCGGCAGGCAGGCCCATCTCTTCCAAGTGGCTACAATAGTTGGCTCCCACGGCGAGCAGCTTGTTGGGGTAGCGAATAGGTGTGTCAAAATTGACGTTCTCCATTTGAATGCGCGTATGTTCAGTTTCAGGTACATTTTCATCGTTGAGATCTGATGCTAGTCGTTGAAGAGACTTCCAAGACGAAGGCCATTCTTGGAGAAGATCCATCATACTCCGTCCATGGAAAGACTCGTCGAGCGCTGACAGCGGGTAAGCCCACTGTTTCAAAACCAGCGCAGTCTCGAGGTCACTATGCTCATTGGCGATGGTGGCGAGACCAAAGGGAACTTGATCTGGCGCCATCGTGAGTTGCTATAGTGATTGAGGAGATGGGAAGATATACTGTTTGAAGAGATATTTGAAGAATTATGTGATCCGGCTCTACTCAAAGCATTGAGTAATTGCGGCCTTCTTATCACTGCATTTTAAGACCATTCTCACAGGCATGTTTATATAACGCTGCCAATAGAGTGCAATGAGTCGGAACCTTTGTGTTACGGACGTTGACATAGCAAAATGGCTCAATTCGATCATGACCACATTGCTGATCACTGATGGTACTTTTGAGATCATATTATGATTATAGTTACAACAGCCTATTGGTCGGATGTAAAGCCTTTCTAGGGTTAGTGCTTACCCGGATACATAGTGGTTGAAGTGTAAATGATTTACGGCTGCAAAGCGGTTTTAGGTTAGTTTCTATTTTATGCAATGCCGTCCTATCTACACTAGTCACTACGTACTTGCCGCTATGTAGTTACAGATGACGATGGTCCGATCAACGATGATTTCCAACCCCGCCGCGCTCGATAGGAGTTCAACATCCTCCATTTCTGCACAAGTCGAGAAGTTTATATAACAAGGAGCGAGCATCAGCTGGGCATAACGCAATGTCGAAAATCCTCAGTCAGATTGTCCTCTTCAAACTCCATACATACATACAAAGATGACTAGTACTGCCAACCCCCAGCCCAACTTCAACTTTGACGACCCGGGCAAGGCGGTTCTAAAACCATCCAAACTAGCTCATGTCGTTCTTCGCACCAACAATTTCCTTCGTCTCTCTTCCTATTATCAGACCTTCCTCCAAGCCCACATAAACTTCGAAAATGACTTCATGCACCTTCTGTCCTACGACGATGAGCACCATCGCATTGGCATCGTCCAAATGGACATCGCAAACAAAGACACTAAAACCTGTGGTCTCGAACACATTGCCTTTTCATATTCTTCCCTGTTAGAGCTCGCCATGTCGTATTTACAACGCAAGGAGAACGGCATCGAGCCATTCTGGTGCATCAACCATGGCCCCACGACAAGTTTGTATTATCATGACCCTGATGGCAATATCCTTGAGCTTCAAGTTGAGAACTTTGATACCCTTCAAGAGGCTGCTGATTACATGCTGTCGGAGGCGTATCTGATGAATCCAATTGGTGTGGATTTTGAAATGGAGGATCTGATCAAACGGATCAAAAGTGGCGAAAGTGAGGAGAGCTTGAAGAAGAGGCCCGCTAGTGGACCAAGAAGTCTAAATACTGTCCCATCTTGAGTTTGAAATCCATCATGTCGTTGTAAATTTAGGCGACGCTTAATTGTATGGTTTGTCATCTTTTGTAAGCATTCATTGTTGGTTACCCACAACGATAGTTGATAACTCGCAGGAGGGGACACTTATTTAGTAAATATCGCTAATAGATCTCATCCAATCCTCGGCTCGCCTGGCAAAGTCTTTTTGTTCAGCTGGCAATCGCGTTCCTCGCTGTAATGTCCAGCAGATTGCTCGAGCGTAACACCGACTGATTTTGTTCCCAGCCAGGTGGATCGCACCCGCATCATCCGACTCAATCAACGCCAGCAAGGGAGTGATAGATTCCATCAAGATATCACCCTGGCCGAGTATTATCCTTTCTTGTCTTGCTATTTCGTGCTGAACCTGGGCGGAATCTAGGTACGTATTACCATAGTGTTCCATCGCAGCCAAGATGTCCAGTAATGTAGTTCTTAATACGATCTGACCCTGGTAGAAAAAGGCCATCTGGTGCGCAAACCACGGGTCTTCGTAGATCCAGACATGAGGTGTGATGGGTACGGAACTTGCGATCAAATCCTGGAGGACATGTTCATGCTCAGCCATTTCGACACGCTTCGGCTTCCACAGCATAGGAAGGTTGATATTCCACTCCTCTAATTCATCAAGGTGGTGATAGGTCCGGGAAAGTAACAGCGAAAGTTGATCCCACGTTGGCCTGTTGAGGGGGTCCTTAAGAAGAAGATTGCGCGATAGGGCGATAGTTTGCTGAGCACGCAGCTGTATTCGCACAAGGCATTGCGATGGTATCGACGGATCTAGCATATCAATATAGGCAAGCTGCACAGGTAACGGATCGAGGCCAAATCCAAGTTGCCTGACTTGCAAGCGATGATTCGCCATTCGATATATTGCGGAACTGTTGGACAACACCACCTGCTCGGTGCCATTTGACGTGAGCAAGTGCTCAATTGCATTGCAGTGGAGCTTGAGCGGCTCTTCTCTGACCATGAAAACAACCTATACGATGATGTTAGCGTCCCGTGACCATTCACTTCGAACGGGTTAGGGTGAATATTTCACCTCAAACATGTCGATGGTCAGAATAGCCATCAATGTGGAATCGTCGGCGGTGAAAGCATCATTCATAATGGCAGTCCTCACAGCCGAAAGAGCAGCACCATATTTTGCCCGTGCTAGATGAGACAGCCTCCCCTTACTACTAAGCAGATTTCCAGCATTGGCCAAAGCGAACGCTTCGACCGCGAGACTCAAAGCAGATCTTGGTGCTGCTCTTGCTTTCATCGAGGGCAATAAATCTAGATAGCCCGGAGCTTTTTTCTGGTGGTGAGGGTTTCGTACCCATTCCGCGTAGAAGATATCTAGCGATCTGTCCTCGAGCTTCAAGAGAACCGGACTAGAGATCTTTGAATGGGTTAGAGAGCGGCGTGATCGCTGAGAGTTGACTCTGGCTGTTTCATTCTCACTCCGGAAAAGGTACTCTGCGTCTGAGGTGTAACCATCGCAGAAGGTATTGCGTTTGGAGCAGTGACTGCAAATCGGTCTCTGAAGATCGCACTACAAGATTTGTAGCCTTGTCAGTCTACGGTTTTGATATTCATGGCGTTCTGCGCAATGAGTGTAGTACCCTAGTCTTTGCATTTCGGCAAGCTCGGCAAGCTCGGGATACACCCATAATGAGATATTATATGTTTAATGATGCAGTGTCTGGTTGATGGTTAATATAGAACCACAAGCATACGAATTTTGGTCAAGGGCAATAAATGACGTCAAACATGTGTGTTGGTTGGTGGCACGAGAAAGCATCTAAGATGGTGATGTTTTGAATGAATTGACGATTATGTCAGCACCCAGCATGAATACCCTAAACATACAAAACATCCGCAGAACTTTAGTGGATTTGATGACACATTTGATTGACGCGCCGAACACGGAACAAATTCCCTTTGAATGTATACGAATCGTTCCATATCGCAGCTGATTACGAAATAGAGTTATCGCGGTTTAATATAGGATTTTCAACTGTCGTGGAATGTTTCAGACGCACAGTTTGTTATATTGGATTCGTATTACTGCAGAATGAACAAGAAGCAGCGTTAACGTGTCTAATGTGCCCCAAACTCAGCGACGACTATCTCAAATTCAACTTGCAACCCCTGAATTCTGGATTGAAAGTTCTTGAGTAATTGTTAATGGAATGGAAACAGAGGAGAATGCTGGCTTATCGCGTTTTCAGTTTCCCCTCATATTGACACCTTTCAATGAAGGAGCCAATAGAACCTGGAGCTTTTCAGCCGTGTGCTATGCAGCTGAGAAAGTGCAGCCAACGCAAATGCTGCTTTTTCAACCTGTTCTATTGGTTGCCCTTCCTGTAATATGCAAGCTGACGTGGCAGAGCAAATCATCCTACTTCCCGCCCTCATTGCGTTCAATCCTACCTTTATTCCCACATAGTTTCTTCCTCCGCTACAACACCATGGAACCGGCAGGATTTGCGGTGGGCCTCTCTGGTCTCGTCGGTGTCTTTACTTCGTGTTTGGAAATCGTACAGCGATATGACACGTATAAAACCGCGAGCCGCGATAAAGGTTCGCTCGATGTCCAACTACAAGGTGCCATTTACCGCCTAAAGCACTGGGGAATCAGTGTCGGCATCAAAGATGGAAAACTGTCCGACATCCATCATCCAGCGCTTGACAACACAGAAACAATTACATTGGTCAACGCTCTACTCAGAAATATTAAGGAGTTCTTGGATTCTCCAAATGACCTCGACGGCCCAAACGGTATACAGAATATGCCATCTTCTGGCCCTGAGAAGCTTCCCAGACTGGAGAGAGTGGCCTGGGCATTAAGTGGGAGATTCAGACAAACCAACCACGTCCAAGCATTAGAACCTCTTGTGTCGTTGCTATACGAAGTCGTGCCTCCCGAGAGTGCTAAACCACTTTCACGTACAAACAGCCTGCATCATGCACTTGACACAGGTTTGTGTAACCACCCGATCGGGATAACCTTTATTAACAGTGCACATAGGTCTTAATCTAAATTCTAACTCGACGACACATTCGTACACGGACGAGTTGCGAGCTTTGGTGCAAAGATTAAAAGAAGACTCAAAAGGTCTGGCTTCCCTCTCTCGTGCTTCGGCCATCACTAACATTTTCAGCCCGAACAATACGAGACCTGGGTACTTGGTTAGGAGCCCCACCTCCGAATGACATATATCACGACTCTAGCGAGAAGCGACTCGAAAACACTTGCGAATGGATCCTCCACCGGGATGTCTTTCTGCAATGGCAAGTTCCTGCAACGACAGCCAAGGTCCTTTGGATAAAGGGCCCTGCGGGCTTTGGCAAGACAGTTCTCTGCGCCAAACTGGTGCAAGAGATCGAGAGAACGACCATGGCACCATTGGCGTACTTCTTCCTGTCTACCAAGTTTGAAGGTCGCGAAAACCCATTCCTGGCTATGCGATCGTGGTTGACGTCCCTGGTCTTAAAAAACCAAGTCGCTTTTGACATCGTTAGCAAACGTCGTTTGTCGCAACATGGGCAAGAGGCACCACAATCAACCATCGTCCAGCTCTTTGGAGAAGTAACTATGGCAATTCCTGGGTGTATATTTGTTTTGGATGGCCTAGACGAATGCACTGGGATGGCCGACACAGACACAAAATCAGTTTCACATTTTCTCAATGAACTCAGGAAGACTATTACTAAGACGAATACTGGACTTCTCATTCTTAGCCGTCCCGCCGCTGTGATCCAACAAGGTCTCTCGCTATTTCCAGGCTATAGCATATACGATATCGAACTGGATGATGTGGGACCCGACCTTACAGTATTTGCTTCAGATGTTGTCAAAAGGAAGCTTACCACCAAGGACGAAGTGTGGAAGTTTTTGATTACACAGAAGATAAAGAAACGTTGTCAGGGTCAGTTCCAGTGGGTAAAACTACAGGAGGGTTCTCTCAGGACAGGGCTAAGCAAGAAACGGCTCGAAAGAGTTATTGATGAGACACCATCCGGGCTCGATGCCCTCTATGACCGAGAATGGGATAGAATCAACTCAATGGGAAGTGAGGATAAACAGAGAGCCTTATCTTTGTTGAGATGGGCTGCATTTGCTCTACATCCATTGACAGTTGGCCAGATCGCAGAGGCAGTGCTCATAACTGAAGATTGTGAAGAGCTTCCAATTGATGAAAGGCCAGATTGTATCGATGAGGATTATATCGAAAGTATGATTCTTGATCTCTGCGGATCGCTAATAGAAGTCAAACAGCCTGCCGTGTACAACAAAAATGAAGACATAGGCTCCCCCAGGAATGGCGTGGATGATCTCGCAGAAACTGCACAACACAAGCAGGTCAAATCTGGATCACTTCCGAGGGATCGAGAAGTGCACCTGACGCACTTCTCGGTTAAGGAGTATATTTGTCTCAAGTTTTCTCCTCCAGGAGTCTTGCTACCCGACAAGAAATTTCGGAGCTTCATTGAGAGTCAAGAACACATGATTATCGCGAAATGTTGTCTTCGATATATCAGTTTCATAGACGTTTGGGATGAGTTGAGACAACGCGATGATAGTAGAAAGTTTGTCGACTATGCCGCTATCAAATGGAACTACCACTATAGACAAGTGGGAACACCTGACTCTGATTTAAAAGAATCTATTTGGACTTTGTTCGATGCTGGAATCGAAACTAAAAATCCTTGGATCTTTTGGGCAGAGGCTGTAGTAGGTTTACCAGTCTCACAAGGAGGAATCCCAAAAGAGCCTCGACCCTTACACGTGGCCGCATCTCTGGGTTTGACGAATATTGTCAGGCGCTTATTATACGAAGCAGATCTTGATCCGAACGAACCAGCAGGCAATGGCTTCACAGCTTTACACCTCGCTTGCATATTAGACCGCAAAGAAACCGCAAAACTACTGCTCGACAATGGCGCAGATCTTGGTGCTAAGGATGAGAATGGTCTCACCGCTCTTCATGTTGCTTCGATGCTCGAACATAGAGAACTAGTGACACTTCTGATCGAAAGAGGCGCTGATGTCGACGCCAGAAACAATTTCAATATCACGCCGCTTCAATACGCTTCGTCACAACAGCAAAAGGATATTACCAGACTGTTTCTAGACGTGGGCGCTGACCTGTATTGTGCAAACACTGATGGAGAAACACCCTTCCTAATAGCTACTTCAACTAATCGCAACGATACGGTTCGGCTGTTTCTTGATAAACGACTCTACAATAGAAAGAATACTAATGCAGAGGAGACGGACTGGGTTCTGCTCTACGTGTAGCGTGCGAAAAAGGCTTTCTTGAAGTTTCCAAGTTACTGGCTGTTAGGGGCGCTGATGCGAGCTTTCGAACAGCGGGTGGCCAAATTCCACTACTTGCTGGAGTGCGAAGTGATCATCCTGAGGTCATTTCACTTCTTTTCGATGAATTTGGCTTCACTCACGAAGTGGATGGGGCTTAATCCACCCACGTATGTAACCCGTTAGTCAATAAATATCCCCATGTTGCTAAGTTACTCCAAAAAAGGGGGCAGATATCGAATCCAAGGATAGCTTGGGCGCTCGTCCAATTTATTATGCCTCTTCTTATGAACCTGTCAGAACTGTTAAGCTGCTCGTTGGTAGTGGTGCAGACACCAGGGCCAAAGATTCTGTTGGCCGGACTCCGTTATCCTACGCAGCCGAGCATGGTCACAAGTTAGTGGTCCAACTTCTTCTTATCACATCGTGTGATGACTCAAATCACGCTGATTACTGTCATCGCGACTTACTACACTATGCGCGTCAGGAAGGCCGCGACGAAATAGTGAAATGTCTTGTTGAATCTAGACAAGAAAAGTCTTCATTGGATCAGCGAGGCTACTGGGGGTCAACCCCACCTTCCATGGCGGTAAGAAGAGGGAATATTGGAGTTGTAAAAGCTCTTCCAGCCACAAATCCTGTGCAATTGAACTCTCAAGATGACCTCGGTAGGGGATTAGTGTGATGAGCAACGAGAACAACAACAAGCCAAAATCCTCAAGATACTCACAGGACTAGATCAAGACTTTCTCTTTGAAAACGAAGAGAATTCTTGTTTGGAAAAACCGAAGGTATGGGGTTTACACTTCGCTATATGCTATTTTGGTCCCTCTGGGAACCTATTCTACACATGAGGCACTTGCCTTGCAGGCGTTGCGGATTTGTGTGTTTGTCCGGAATGCTTCACCCACGGGGGGCATTGCTTCGATGTAAGTCATGAGTTGTTACAAAGAAAATGTAATTAACAAGGCGCTACTCGAGGATGTATGATAGAAATCACCTTACAGCATATCTTATTTAAACAATATTAAGTAAATCCTTTGCTACGCTTTGTTGTTGCAGTGGGTATGCAAAAGTTCCGACAACCTATTCACTTCTAAGATTTATATAAGTTAATATAAACTACATATACTTCTTGTCAGCCTATTGTCGGAACCTTTGCACTGGACTGTAACAAGGCTTTCCATGAATACTTGTTCTCATACTGTTTAACACTACTGAGACCTAAGTGGCCCATAGCCAAAGGATGTCGTATTAACCAGCCAAGGTATTGGTTTATGCTTACGCGTGAACCAATCATAGGCCCGGATCAGGGGGCGCAAGCGTCGATCCGGCCAATGCCACTTATTCCAGGCAGCGCTATTTGACCCGATTGGCCACCGAGAGCTTCCTCCCAGGCAGTAGCGACGTAATATTCACGGCCGTCTCAAATCTTGAGAGCATAAATTTGAAGGTTTTCCCAATTAAGTCACCACTAATTGTTTCCTTACCTACATATCCTATCATTACTCATTAAAGATGGTTTATGTGCAACCCAACGCGGATCCCGACGATTGCCTCACGGCTTATCTCGTCACCAACCTTACCGACAACGAGCTTAAAAAGTTCAAATCTGCCTTCGAACTCGGCGCTTGCTCCCGATTCTCTCCACTACTCCATCTCAAAATAGTCCGCGCACCAGAAGACTACTGGGGAAAGACACACCAATACATTCGCTTGCAAGAAGACAAGGCCGGCAGAGAAGAATCATTCGGTCTCATTGACGATGAAGCAAAAGAGAGGGGCGCCATATGGTACATTGATCGATTCTTCGACGAAGATGATGTTGAAAACGAACTAGCTGTGAGCACCGACGTTGTGATGAAGATCCTCCTTAAGACTGAGGCTTTCGCTCTTTCGCATGTCAATTACGTCATTGCCAACATGACCATCTTCGAGGATCTCGATAACTGTGGCGTGGACTCGCCAATCACGAATGATTTCAAGCAACCTGAGCTGGACGACTGCGGGGGTATGGATTTCGAAGACCAGCAGTGGTATCAAGATGTCTGGGTTACCGCAGAGCCCGGCGAGTTCGAGGAAAGCACCGACCCAAAACATCTAGATAACTTCTCGCCACGCCCAGGCAAGGTGGCGAGGTTGAAGAAGGATATTGCGAAGTCTGTGGGAATTGTCAGTGACTGGACTTTTCCCGGCGATGCCGAACCTACCGATCTTGACAATGGGGACAAGAAGGAGTTTCCTCCTGGGAGTGTTGTTTTGCAGCAGAGGTACAATCCGGACTTTCCGTGGCCGGAGTACAAATGGCCAAAGGGGTCGTTGTAAACCTCAGATAAATAGAGGTGGTTTTCCACGATGCATTGCATATGTCTTGGTTGCTGGAAGGGTTTTGTTATGAAATGTATTGGAACGAAAACCCAGATCACATTCGGTCCTACAATCGCCGATTCGAGTATTGGTGACACCTTCCTCTATGTACTAATAATTACAAACCCTAAAGCAGACATAAGATCCAAATCATGATCCGTTCATCAATAAACCTATTTCCATTAGGCCCTAGACGCCATGAGTAATTCAACTATTTATAATAATACAAGCACTAAACAGTATTTCCCATATAAGGGAACGTTATTCTTCCTTCCCTTTCAACGATCGCCTGCAAATACAGCACAATCAACTCCTCAATACCCTCCTTTCTCGCCTCTTCAATCCAGTCCTCCAACTCGAGTTCCCTGAACTCACCGCCATACTTCTTTTGCATATAAGAAGCAAACTCCTCAGGCATTACTCTCGTTCCACTAGAGTAATGTCGGAAGTCCACACCTGACCGGGCGGTCTGTGAAGATACAACCGATGCCGCTATATCGCGGGCGACACTTTCAACGGGGAGGAAGTCGAAGTAGCCGTTGACGTTGAGCTTACTAACATTCGGGACAGCGGATATGAGCTTAGAGTATCGCAATAACGCATTGAGGGCATCTTCAATGGGAGCTTCCTCTCCAACAATAGCGCAGGGTCGATGAATCGTCACCGCAAGGTATTCGCCATGGTCACTACTGGATGACTTCGTCGCTGCGGCGGATAGGTTTTCGAGGAATACCTCGCTAGCCCACTTAGCTGCCGTGAACCCTTCGCTTCCATCTACCGGTGGGCAATGGTCTTTGACACTGATTGGTGGCAGAGCAGCATTTGCGCTGTCGTCTAGTAGGGTGACACGGTTGGAAGAGATGTAGTGGATGGGGATCCGACGACTTAATGAAAAACGACCAATTTGTTGTGTTGAAGTGACGTTTGGCGCACGGAGGGTGGAGTAGTTGTTTAGACAATGGCCCTCTGACCCGGCAAGGATAATGGCGTCGACGGTCTTTTGAAGCTGGTGGTAGGTATCGTTTGAGAGGCCGAACATTATCTCGCTCAGGCTGCCAGGGTATACTGTGACACAGTCATCCTTGATGTGGTTATCCATCGAGTCTGGATCGATAGCGATGCAATGAACTCTTGCGACTGCGGGGTCATCTAGTAGCGATCGTAAGATTCTGCTACCCAGGAAAGCTAATGACCCCGTCATGAGTATCTCCAACCCGCGATCTGTCCTCAGAGGAAGTGGCTGGAGTTCGCTGATGTTGATAGAGTGAGGCAAAGCTGTCTCAGCCTCCCAATCAATCTTCTCGGACACAAAGTCGTCACTAACCCGTTCCGTGGCAATTCCAGTCATTCCCTCCAATGTACTAGAGCGATACATTTCCCTAAGAGAGAGAGAAACACCCATAGACGTCTGGATGGCACTTTGCAGCTTGACAAGAAGTAGCGAGTTTCCACCAACGTGGAAGAAGTCTGTTTCAGGCTCTAGCTTTGAGCTGCTGGTAAGTCCAGTCTGGGAGAGAACTTTGTGCCAAATGAGTCTCATTTCTCCTTCGGCCAAAGTTGGCTTTCTTCTTGATGCGACCAGGTTTTGTGGATTGCTTGAGGATGTGAGAGTAGGTAGTGATAGGGCTTCAACTGCGCGACGATCGATCTTCCCATTGTTGCTCAGTGGCAGATGTTCCAGCGGGGTGACAATCGCTGGTTTCATGTATTGAGGCAGTGGTAGCGAGTTTGCCAATCGCTGCAAATCTTCACTACTAGCGGATGAGCCTGGAGCGGGCACCACATGTGCCATGAGGAATGCTGGATCGCCTCGGACCGTAACGATAGCATCTGCGATAGATCCTTTACCCTCTCGTAGCATGGTATTGGCGACATCATCCAAATCGATGCGAAGTCCTCGAAGTTTGATCGTTGTATCACCTTCCATGCGACCCAGAAACTGAAGTCCACCGTCGGAACGAATGAGGCCCTTATCACCGGTTCGGTACATATAGGTCCAGCCTCTTCCTGTCTCTTCGGGCGTTGCGAAAGGGTTTGTGACGAATCTTTGCGCCGAAATGTCTTTGTCGAGATAGCCCAGGGCAACACCCACTCCGCCAACGCAAATCTCGCCAGGTATGCCTTGAGGTACGCTGTGACCACTTTCATCGACGATGTAAATCGACGTGTTAGGATTGGCCTTCCCAGAGGAGTTTGCTTCCCCTTCCTTCTCACTATAGATGTCGACGGTCTGCATCGTGGCACAGCAGGATATCTCGGTGGGACCATAGCAATCTGTCAGGACAGGAGCGTTATGCAACGACCTGAAAGCAGCTTTCAGCTGTGCAGTGATGGCCTCACCGCCTGAAGTAGCATTCCTCCAGAACGATCCCGCCTTAACAGCTTCACCTCCATGGCGTATCAGCATAAGATACTCAGTGGGAGTTCCCAACGTGAAGGTGACCTGCTCGGCCGCCATCAGCTTCCCTAGAGCTTGGGGGTCCCCACGACTGGCTGCAGGGGCAATGATTAATGTGCAACCGAGGGTAAGCGCCATAAAGGCTTGCGCGAGGGACATGTCAAAGCCTAAAGCACTTTGCTGAAGAACCACTTCACTACCGAGAGAAAGCTTGGAACTCTTTGTCGCAACGTAGTTGATGATTCCTCTGGATGAGAGTTTGATACCTTTGGGAGTACCGGTTGAACCGCTGGTAAAGAGTATAAAGTTCGCGTCGTCGACACGCTCCATGTTGGGGGCCTCAGAGTTTCCAGATGCACTGGCTGAAGACAAGGCAGGTACATTGCCAGCCAATCCCTGAGCGCGCTCTTCTGTGTTGTCCTCGCAAAGGATCAAATCAGGCTTACTGGCCTCGAGGATAGCATTAAGACGCTCGTCGGGTAGCTTGCCATCAAGAGGGATGTAGATCATTCCTGCGCGGATAACTACCAGCATAGATACGACCCAGGCCACCGTTGGCTCACAGAGAACAGCGACTGATGAACCGGGCTGCAGTTGCGACAAGAGAACTGACGCGAGGTTGTTGGTGATTTTGGCAAGCCCTGCGTAAGTTACCTCCATGTCAGCGTCTTTGATGGCCACGCGCTGCCCACTATTTCTCATCGCCTGTTCCACCTTTTCTGTAAGTGTTGACGGCCACTCATAGTCCTTAATACCACCATTCCCTAATGTAAGCGCTCTATCAACGCTCCCTTGATCATAGAGATTGTAGCTTTCGAGCTTTTTGTTCACATCTTTTGAGGCATCCTCAAGCAGAGCCAAGTACGCGCTCATCAAAGTATCCGTGCCCTCTCTCTCATAAAGGTCCTCGCGGGCGACGATCTGCACAAAGGTTGTATCATTATTGGGCGTGATGCTGAATGCCAGATCATAAGGACTCTGAGCATCCAGACCTTCCTTCACCTGAAGGGTGCAGCCACCTAGCGGGATCTTGGAGAAGTTGCCTTGACGATAGTTCATAGCGACTTGAAATAGCGGCGTGTGCGTCGACTCGCGTGGTACGTTTGCCCTATCTAGAACTACGTCAAATGGGACACCCGAGTTGGTTTGCGCGGTGTGGTACTGCCCGGCTGTTCTTTTGACAAGATCTGTGAAGGCGACGTCTTTCTGTACGGTGAAGCGAAGAGGTAGCAGGTTGAGGAAGAATCCGATGGCCTGGGAGCTCTTCTCCGTACGGTTGGCGTCCGTGACACCAATGCAGAGATCCTCAACGCCCAGAAGACGATTAAACAGTGCTTGAAGGGCTGTGATGTAGAAGTAAAATGGGGTGACACGCAAAGCGTGGCTAGCACGCTTGACCTGGGCCGACAGCTCATGTCCAATATCGGCAAAGGACTCAACATTGCGATAGCTCTCGGGGAGAGGACGTGACTTTACACGGGCGAAGGGGAATAGAGGCAGCGTGTCTGCTGATGGTGTATGCATCTGCGTCCAGTACGCGATTCGCTCATCGAGATTGCCGCTCTCAATCTGAAAACGTTCCTCGGCAGATATGTCCATGTACTGCTTCGCTGAGGTGTCGAGCTTATTTCCCATGTACACAGCGTTGAGGTCGCGAAGGAAAATGTGCATGCTTACGCCATCAAAGGCGATGTGGTGGTAAGCAATGATAAGGGAGTGTTCTTCGGGCGCATGCGTGACGAGGATGACCCTCAGGACATCACCCCCAGATAACTGCCATATGTGATTGCGCCAAATCTCAACTTCACGGTCAAGAGCGCCTCCATCTCCATCCTTTACATGCTTGAAGCAATCTCTCGGCGAAGCAAGAAGTGCCTGAACAGGCTCCCCCGTGCCAGGTCTAGGGAAGAAGCACGTTCGTAACGAGTGGTGATGCGCTGTGATTATAGAAATGGCTCTCTTCAACCGCGCAAGCTGGATATTGCCATTGGCGGTGTAAACGTAAACACTGTTGTAGGAAGTGGCATCTTTGGAGAACTGGCTTAGGAACCATAGCCTATATACAATATTTAGCTACATACAATTGAACCGCCGAACAAAACATGGGATCTCTACCTCGACTGCGCATATGATAGCTTCTCAACTCTCTCAATCACTTTCTCCGGCTTCGTCTCCTCCTGGCTCTCTGTGTCTCCTACTGTACTTGGTGGTGTCGTGTCTCCTGATCTGACAGGGCTTGAGCTTCCGTCAACGCTGGAACCTGTAGTGGGAGAACCGTTCACTGTTGACTCCAGCTTGCTTCCCTCGGCCTCGGCCTTGCCCTCTTGCATCTTAGCTGAGAGGTACTTGTTCGCAGCCTCGGCGCAGATATCCTTCGCGTTGTCGCCGCTGAGTGTCTTCAGAACAGGGACGTCAACGTGGACTTCCTTGAGGAACCATGAGCGGATCTCAACAGCCAGCAGCGAATCAATACCAACATCCAGCAATGATGACTCAACGTTGAGACTGCCCGCGCTCATCTGCAGCATAGTCTCAACCTTGACTCTGAATGCAGCAAGGAGAGCAGCCGCAGCCTCGTCCTCTGAAGTCGCAGCGTCCAGTTGTTCACGCACCCGGACGTTACTTTGGTTTCCTCGAGCGTCATCCTGTTCAGCGTTGCTCTCCTCCTCGCGAACAAAGTGTGAGAAGCGAGGGTTGTTGACCCAAGGAGGTCGAGCCTTGGTGGAGGCGGTGAAGTTGAACGGCTGGATACCTGAAACCATCTCAACAGTCTCCTCGCCATTACCGTGTGGCTTGCTAGCTGCAACAGCTTCTGCGAAGATCTGGTGGGCATCAGACTCGGAGATGGGCATATAGAACGCCTTCTTGAGTCTCTCCATTAGTGTTGGCCCCTTGGCGGCGATGTAGCCTACATCAGCGACCATGCCCAGAGAGATGACAGAAGCGGCAAGGCCTCTTTTACGCCTCTGCTGTGCAATAGCAGCTTGGAACAGAGAGGCTGCGTTGTAATTCGCCTGTCCTGCGTTTCCGACCACGGAACTCATTGAAGAGAATAGGATAAAGAAGTCAAGATCTGGTTCAGAGAAGATCTCGTCAAGATGAATGGTGCCATCGACCTTTGGTGCAAACACGTCGTTCAATGCATCAGCCTCCATCTTGATGAACAGCCCATCTTTGAGGACAAGGGCACCATTGCAAACGCCACCAATAGGTGGGAGGTCCCTCTTGACGGTATCACAGACTGCTTGTACCGACTCTCGCTTCGAGACATCCATGGGGTAAACATTAACAATAGCCCCAAGGTCTTCCATCTCTTTGAGCCATTGCGAGTCGACTTGTGCTTTGCGGCTGGTGAGGACGATATACCTGGCGCCGTTTTCGACCATCCAGCGACAAATGGATCGGCCAAAGTCCGAGACGAGACCGACCATGAGATATGTCTTGTTGGGTGAGAATAGGCCCTCTCCACTGATAGAGCGGATGTTGACAGACGCAGGCTCCGGCTTGGTCCAGTCTACCACAGTGCGTTGGTATGGTAGGGTCGGTAGGCTGGGGATATCTTGGACAGCGACAATTGATGGCGTAGAGATAAGAGAAGACTGCTGACGGGTCTCATATGCGGTCTTGAGCAACTCGCTGGTGTTGGAAGCGAGGGTTGTGCTGTATGAGACCTTGACAGCTTCGTATAAGTGGACAAGGTGTTGCTTGATCTGTTCGTTGCCTGTGCTGGATAGATCGACCACATGGGTGATACCTCGGGGCAGCAAGTTCTTGATACCTCTGATGGATGCTCGAGGGTGGATGTAGAATGACTCAGGCTGTGTCTCAGAATTGGCGAAGACGAGTTTGTTCGAACTGTGTGCGTCCAAGGCTTTGAGAAGATCAGTGCTGACGCCGTAAATAAGCACGTTGCCGTTCTTCCCTGTGGGCACGGCCGACGAGATGCACGACAGGATCAAAGAGGCGGTCAAGTTGACAGAGGTTTGCACCAGAACTTCAACTTGTTCCTCCTGGCTCTGACTCTGAGAAATAACCACTGCCTCGCTCGCTGGGACGGAGACAGTTGAGCTGTAGTGGGGGCTAAGAGCAGCCATGACTTGATCTTGGCTCTTACCAACACAAAGAACTGGGGTTTGTTCCTCGTTGAATGGTAGTGCAATAGAGTGTTCAACCCGTAGAGCAATATTGTCGCTACTCTCTGGTTGTTTTGCAATCCTGAGCCAAGGCGCTGTTTCCTCCAGACACAGTCCTCCCTCGGTAGCAGCCACAACCACTTCAGTCTTATCAATGGAAACATCCTTTGTGATTCTTCGTCGAAGCGAGTTCAGCCTCTGATTCCTTTCCACATCAGGAACAACACGCGGGATCTGCAACAATCCATCCCTCAGCAAAAGCTCCGGCTCCGTCGACCACAGTAGCGGCGTGTTGACAAAATCCGGCGACTTGCCAAGCTTGAGCTTCAAGAACGCCCCAATCACCGCATTGGCATCCACACTAGACGCCTTTGCAACATCAAGGAACTGCAGGTTCAGCTGTGGCAGCTCATTAATGATAGCGCGTCCAAGACCAACTGTCATGTTGGCGTAGGCATTCTCGTCAAGACGACCGGATGTGAGCCAGAGAGTATGCGATGCATGAGAGAATAGATCTTGAAGCTTGCGCAGACGCTCCGGGGTGACGGAAGTGGCGAAGATGGGCTTTTCGAGCTCAGCGATGCAGATGACAGATGTATTGGCACTGAAGTGCTTCTCTGTGAGGGCATCGATGCTGTCGACGACCATGACTTGGTCTGCGACGCGCGAGGCGAGACGCTGGATGGACTTGACAACGCGGGAGATGGGTAGAGTCTTGCCTCCGATGATGACAAGACGCTGCTCTAGTGGGATCTCGTCAAGGAATGAGATGGGCTCCTGCAGCATAGCGACTCTGTCATCGGTGGCCTGTGATACGATAACGGAGCAGACGTGTTTGAGAGAGTCGGGCAGATCTGTCACGTACTTATCCGCTCCAGTAAACCCCGTGTCTCGAAGTATCTCATCCCACTCAGTCAATCCAATACCAGGCCCACGAGCTCTCCCCTCATCAACACCAAGCCACCAACCGGGCAAACCGCCCATGAGGAACATCATCTGCAGATAGTGGCCGGTGACTTCCACCATGATAAGATAACCACCCGGCTTCAGCAATTTCCTTACATTGGCCATCGTCTCGTTAAGGTTGCGAGTGGCGTGTAGGACATTAGCCGCAAGGATAACATCCTGACTTCCCTCAGGAATGCCTTGGCCGGTTGGATCGTTCTCAATGTCGATGACCTTGTAGTCCAGACGTTTGCTGTGCGCATGGAAGCGCTTCTTGGCATTCTCGAAGAAACCAGCTGAGATGTCGGTGTATGTGTAGCGACCATATGCGTCTCCGATGGCGTTGAGGACAGAGTTCGTTGTACCGCCTGTACCAGCTCCGATCTCGAGGATGTTGAGACGGGGATATCTGTGGGAGAGGTTCTGGAAAAGCTCGGCGACGATTTTGTTCAACGGTTGCATGGCTCTGCCCTCGGTGTAAAGCTTACTGAGCATATCATCGACGAGCATGACCTCCAAGAGTTGAGTATCGGAGGTCATGACATCGACCAGGTTGTCCGCCACTGCGTGGATGAGCTTTAGATCAGCCTGATCAGGGTATTTGCGCTTGTATTCTATGATCAGCTCTTCGGTGTCGTTGAGATACTCCGGTTGCGCGGTCGGGTGCTTCCCCTCCTTTGCCTCCTGCAGAGTCTCTTTGGCAGCTTTGTAGAAGGCCTTGTGGAACCACTTCCAGTTCTCGACGTCAGAGTCTGATAGATGGTCAAAGATCTTCTTGATGTAGTACAGAGACGTACGATCGATGGCTTCTGCTAGAGCCAACTCTTCTTGGTCAGGGTTGATCTCATCAAGGTTCTGTGAAGAGTCCAGAACATCTGTGCGCCAGATCGTTTTGGAAAACATGTGTCGGTCATCAGAAGAGCTTGCTTCGGTGAAGAGCTTCAGAGTCAGACCCTCTGCCTGCAGACCTGTCCTGCCGTCGGGGCTAATGATGTGGACATCTCCTCTGAATGTGTTGGAAGTAGTCTCGGTGATGAATGTGTCTACGTCAAAGTTGACCTCCCCAAGGACGCCCTCGTAGTTGGTGTTGGGAGCGATCGCTAGTCTGTCGATCTTGACTGGCAAGTAAGGCGCCCAGAGAGCTCCACTCAAGGGAGTGCACATGGCTGCAATGATGGAGTGGAAAGCTACGTCCAATGGTCCAGGGTGAATAACATACGCATCGCCAACATCGGACTTTTGCCATGATGCCTTTGTTGTAGCATAGCCCATGGCTCTCTCGACTGACTTGAGGCCTCGGAAAAGTCCCTGGTAGTTAAGGCCAATGTTGAGAAGAGAGTCGTAGTACTCCTCGGTACCAACAGGTATGATTCCTGACTTGCCAGGTGCTCGAGGGGGAAGGTCGTGATCAGACGGCTCACCAAAGTCAATAGTGATGGAACCAGTGCAGTTCCTCTCGAGAGTCCCCTCAGCCTCGCTGGGACAAGTATGACACGAAAACTCTCCATGGAAGACATCCTCGTCAATACTGCCTGTTCTCTTGACGGAGAAGATGGACTCGATGCCAGGGTTATTCTCCTCAATCGTCAACGCCCTTGGGATGACAAGGTCACGAATCTCGATCAGCTTCACAGGCTTTGAGCCAGCGATCTCCATGGCAGCTTGAATAGCCATGGCCATGTACGCAGAGGTCGGGAACAGTGCCATACCTTGGAAAGCGTGGCCGCGAATCCAAGGAAGCTCGTTGAGGCGAAGGACGTTGCGCCAGCGAACTTCATACTCGGAGTCATCTGGAGTGCGACGACCGAGCAGTTCGTGTGGCGCTCGATCGGCGAGACGATAGCGACGGGAGATACGGGACTCCTTCCAGTGGACTTTGTTGTGGTTCCAAGTATACGATGGGAGACCCTTGATCATCCTTGGCTTATTTGCTTTTGAGCCATGCATAGCTTGGTAGTACCCAGAAAAGCCCATGTCGGACCCAAGGTATGCCCATATGTAGCCAATACCTCCAGAGAAGGCTTCGACATCGTTGTAGCCACGGCGAAGGAATGTGGCATATGGCAGAACATGGCCCAACGCAGTCTTCATAGTCTGCGAAGCTGGGCCTTTGAGAGCTGGGTGTGGACCAATCTCGAGTGAGAGGTTGAAAGGCCCAGCTCTCCAGAGCGAGCACTCCAATGCCTCAGAGAAGAGGACTGGTCGTACCATGTTGTCAATCCAGTACTGGCCTGCCAGAGCTTCGATATCCTCCTCGCCATCCATAATATCCGCGTTTCCATAAACGGACGAAACCCAGATACAATTGTTGGAGGGGGGGTTGACAGTGATGTTGCAAGCCTCCAGTGACTTGAGATAGGGCTCCGCGCAAGCCCTCATATGATGTGAATGATAGGCCGTGTCAACCTTGAGCACGCGTGCGAACGTCTTCTGCTCTTCGAGAATCTCCTTCGCTTCAAGAATAGCCTCTTCATCTCCTGAGATGGTAGCGCTAGACGGTGCGTTACTGGCAGCTAGGCTAATTCTTCCTCTGAACTTCTCCGTGTCGCAGAATGAAGTGGCATCTTCTGAGCCTAATCCAACAGCCATCATAGAGCCCTTAACACCGTCGGGTCCAGAGGCTAGCTTTGCGTAGAGACCTCTGTAGTAAGCAACACGCATAGCATCAGACGCAGAGAGGATGCCAGCGGAGTAGACAGCTGCGATCTCGCCTGAAGAGTGGCCCACAACAGCGTCAAAGTGCACACCTGAAGCAGCGAGGACATCAACGATGGCGATCTGTGTGGCTGTGCAAAGAGGTTGAGAAATAGCAGCTTCGCCAATGCGAGAGTTCTCTTCAGACGCCATGAGCTCCTCTTTGAGCGACCACGTCGGGGCATCAGGAATACCACGGAGAGCATTCTCACACTTCTCTATGGATTCGCGGAACTGCGTGGATGTTTTTATCATTGTCCTGCCCATAGACGCCCACTGTGCACCTTGACCGGTGAAGATACCGAGAATGGCCGGGGGCTCAGAAGATGAGGTTTGAGGAGCCTGGATGCCGATCTCAGCACCAGTCTTGGACGTGTCGACAGCAGAGTCGAGAAACTCGAGGAGCTTGTCGCGGTTCTCGCCAGAGAAGAAAGCTCTCTTGCCAAAGGTGCTTCGTCGAGTTTGTGTGACAAAAGCCAGATCTTCGAGGTTGATATCGGGGTTTGACCTGATGAACTCTGCGTACTTTTCCACTGTCGTGGCAAGTGAAGGCTCTGTCTCGGCTGAGATGACCAATGGTCCAACGAACTTCTCAGATGATGGCAGTGTAGGAGATGTCGCCTGAGGGATGTAGTTCTCAATGATTGCGTGGACGTTGGTACCACCAAAACCAAAACTGTTCAGACTGGCTCGTCTTGGTCCTTGACTAACCTCAGGCCAAGGCATTGGTGAAGTAGGTACCTGGAGGCGGTCGTAAAATGGTTTGATGGATGGGTTAAGCGTGTTGAACAGCAGGTTTGGAGGAATAGTGCTGTTCTGAACCGCCAGAGAAGCCTTGAGCAAACCAGCGAGACCAGCACATCCTTCAGTATGTCCGATGACCGTCTTGATAGAGCCACAGTAAAGCTTCTCACTGGTCTCCGCGGAAGCATCACTGTCATCGAAGAAAGATTGTCGGATAGCTTGGGCTTCAACAGGGTCACCTGCCAAAGTACCTGTGCCGTGGGCCTCAAAGTACTGCGGTCGATCTTTGACGGGATCTAGGCCAGCGTTCTGATATGTGCGACGGATAAGCGCCGATTGCGCCGTAGCTGAAGGCATTGTGATACCGGTTGTGCGTCCATCACTGTTCATGCCCGTCTCGCGCACAATACATTCGATGTGATCACCACAGCGAATAGCTTCGGAGAGCGGCTTGAGAATGACCGAGGCAACACCCTCACCACGAGCATAGCCATCTGCACCAGCATCCCACATTCTACTGCGTGATGTAGGGCTCAGCATGTGTAGCTTTGACTCAGCGACGTAGCCTGAGGCGTCGTAGATGAGATTGACGCCGACGGCTATGGCGGTGGTTGATTCACCGCTACGGAGAGACTGTGTGGCAAAGTGCAGTGCAGCGAGGGATGAGGAACACGCTGTGTCCATGGTGACTGAGGGGCCGCGGAGATCAAAGTAGTATGACACTCGATTGGAGAGAATGCTCTTTGAAGTCCCTGTGGGGTGGTAGCGGTTGATAATCTCTATATCTCGCTGTTGGATATCATGATAGTCTCCAGTCATAACACCAAGATACACCGAAGTCAACGAACCTTGCATCTGCTCAAGGGTGTAGCCAGCAGCTTCCAGCGACTCATAGACCGTCTCGAGCGTTAACCGCTGCTGAGGATCCATAGAATCAGCCTCAGCAGGGTTGATATTGAAGAAAGATGCATCGAACACCCGACTATCCTCCTCAAGGAGGTAGCCTTTATTGCAAACATCTGTAGCGCCGTGGTGCTCGCCATCTTTGTTATAGAAAGCCTCAAGGTTCAGACGGTCCTTGGGAAACTCCCTAAGACAATCCTTGGGCTGCTTGAGGAGGTCCCAGAGTTTCGATGGCGACGATGCACCACCTGGGAACCGACAGGCTGAGCCAACCACAGCAATGGGCTCTCCGGGAGAAGGCATTGTGAACAAGAGAAGGGGTTATAGTGAATAGTGTGGTGCAACCCTGGCTGCGAGTATCGCGGTGCTGTTGAAGGCGAACAGTTTGAACCGCGAGTGTTGAATGGCTCTTTGTGATGAAATTGTTTCGACAAGTTGTGAGGAAGAGTCGATGTCTCTATGAAGCTGCAACAGCCTTAGTAGATAGAGCTCGTGATCTTATCCAGAAGGACCAAAAGACTAATCAGGCAAATCGTGATAGCGAAGGCATCTCGGATCCTTGACTGGATAGATCGGCGATGGCGTTTCTCCGGTTTTTCGTATTTACTCGGAGTCGGTAAATCAGCCGTGGTTGCTCCATGGGGTGGTGTCCTGCCCGCTAACGATATCCCGGAGGAGGCCGGAGGGTGGGGCCATACACTCCGGACAGGGGTGTAGATCCCACGGAGAAAGGTTCGGCTATGGAGAAGGATGCAGAGGTGACCGTATGCCGTGGGGATACGACAATGCATGATGGCATGTAGATTTCGTACCCTAGCCGAGCTCATCCCGGGAGTTGGGTAGAGAGCTAACATGTCATACAATACCCCGGAGGCAAGGAATAGCTGAAGTGATTGCAGGTGTTATCGCTAGATATCCTTCTTCAGTAAGTCGTACACTGCCGGAGGCATTGCTGTTGTATCCTGATTAATTGACGTTTCCTTCCTGTGCTTCTCTATCAGTTGAGTTATTGTATTGGTATTATACATTCACTTACACTGAACTTGGGAGATACCCTCTAAACACCAATTTCCTTCACCATGGCAGTTCAATCAATCCTCTCCCGGCTCCCCGCCACCCAAACATCCCTAAAAGTCCAAGGCGCAGCAACCGTCGCCCTGCAAGATGGCTGCCCCATAGAGCCCCCAAAAGAAGACGAAGTCCTCGTCCGCATCTTCTGCGTGGGCGTCAACCCCCACGACTGGAAGTCCCTCGACATGTCCCCGTCTCCCGGCTCAACCTGGGGCTGCGATTTTGCAGGGGAAGTCGTCATGGCAGGGAGCCAGACCACGAAGTACAGGCCTGGGGATCGCGTGGGTGGTGCTTGTGCGGGAAACAGATCGGATAACCCAAACAATGGGGGCTTTGCGCAGTTTGTCAGTGTCCCAGAGATGCTGCTGCTTCGCCTCCCGTCTTGGATGAGCTTTGAGCAGGGCGCGACACTGGGTGTGGGATTGCTTACGGTTGGGTTGTCTTTATACCATACCATGAAACTTCCTCTTCCGTACTCGGGTCAGATTACCGATCAGTATATTCTGATTTACGGTGGCGGAACTGCTACAGGAGGACTTGCCATCCAGGCCGCCAAGCTGTAAGTGCCAACTCTCATCTTATTGCATCAATCTACTTGCGTAATGAACTATCACTGACCGTTTCAGATCGGGTTTAAAGCCCATCACGACCTGTTCACCCGGAAAGTTCGAACACGTCAAGTCCCTGGGCGCCGTCGAAGCATTCGACTACCGCTCCCCATCGTGCGCCGCGGACATCCGAGCATTCACAAACGACAAGTTAGAATACGTGCTGGACTGTATCACCGAGAGCAGCAGCATGAAGATCTGCTACGGCGCCATCGGCAGCCACGGCGGCAACTACATCGGCCTAGACCAATTCCCCATCCGCGGCCACACGCGTCGCGATGTGCGCCCCGGCTGGGTTCTCGCGTGGACAGCGCTGGGCAAGCCGGTGGACTGGAAGAAGCCGTACCGCAGAGAGGCGCGGCCAAAGGACAAGGCGTTTGCGGAGACGTGGGCACCTATTGCGCAGCGGTTGTTGGATTCGAAGGATATTGCGACGCATCCGACTGAGGTCAGCGATGAGGGGCTTGCGGGTGTTGCGAAGGGAGCGGAGAGGGTGAAGATGGGGACTGCTGGTGGTAAGAAGCTGATATATAGGGTGGCTGCGCCATCAGCATAAGTACTGTATCGTATGAGTCTGCTCTTTCATAGTTAATGTAAATCTCGTTTCACAACTGTTCGATGTTCTTTCGTATGATATTAGACGCGACAAGTCATTGAGTTGTTGGACGGGTTTATGCGATCTGTCCTAATCAGGCTAGACTACATCGCGTCGTCTAATTTTAGATATAGACATTCCTGTCATGATTCCATCATAATCCTGGCCTTCATGCCTGAATTTAAACAAGTTTACTATGGATTATTTTCTTTGAGATCTCACTTTCTATTTCCTTCATGATTCAAGCTTTATCCACCGTAACACTGCATGTGGGTAGATATGTACAAAAAGCATAATTTTAAAGTGAAGTGAATTTTGTCAAGTCCTCAATTTGATCGGTGTGAGTTTGCAAGAGGGAAGGAATGTCAGAAAGCAACAAGCATGAGCCACAAGAACATCTTACGAAATGCGTCCTTCGTGCACAGGTAATTTAGCCTACGCATTTGACTTGTACTATATTACACAGCACTTCGTGAGGCCTCAAGATTCAGCTCGTCTTTCCGTATTGCACCACCAGTTACCCTACACCTTCTGCCACCCTCAACCAAAGCGCAACATCACAATGTTTGGAAGAACTGACATATGTCTCAATGATATGATCCAATCCAATCCTACGGCTCTTCCTATGGCTTCTACAGCGGCACAGCTGCCCAGGTCGTATGTTAATTCACTGCCGTCCGGGTCATCAGAACGGAATATTGATCTGCTAAAGTGGATCTCTCCGGCCGGATCTTGCCCCGCAACGGATAGGCTAGTGATAAAAACACCCCTCCTACCGCCTAACTGGGGAGTGTGAATTATCCAGCGGGTTCATTCTGGTTTTAGGGTTATCCAGGGCGCCTCTTTTACTGCGAGCTCAACTCTCTTGATATCCAAACTGTATCTTCTAATCCCTTTAATCCTGTGTATACCAATGACGTTTGGTGCACCGTACGTCGTCGCTGTGCCCCTACGCGCTGAAGTCATCCCCGAAGTCGTCCACGATGTCGTTGCATCTTTCCGCCATATCTCTCGGCGCCTTCTACGCTCTTATCGCGTACTACTTTCTAAACAGAGCGTGGGATCATATTAGCTACTCTATCAAGACAAAGAAGTATAAATGCGGCACCCTCAAGACCTACTCCCACTGGGATCCCATCTGGGGCATCGACTTCGTGCTATCTATGAGCCGCGCCTTCAAGGAGCATCGATGGCTGTCGTGGATGGAGGACACCTGGGCTGCCCAGGGGACCAAGACGTTCAAGGCTAGGTTTCTGGGCATGCGCATGGTGTATTCTTCTGAGATGGAGAATATGAAGGCGATGAGTACGTCGCAATGGGAGGAGTTTGTGCTTGAGCCTATCCGCGTGGATAACGGTGTTGCAGCGCCTTTTACAGGGAAGGGTGTTAGCACTGCTGATGGCGAGTTCTGGCATCAGAGTCGAGGTATCATCAAGCCTTACTTTGAGAGACAGGCTTTTGCCAATGTGGCTAGACTCAAGCCGTTTACCGATAAGATGCTGGATCTCATTCCTACTGATGGCGAGACCTTTGATATGCAGGTTCTTACTCGACGATGGGTAAGTCACTCACGACTGTGCTGAATTGTTGCTAACCGTGTCGATAGTTCCTTGACACATCAACTGAATTCCTCTTTGGTAAAACCCGCGATTGTCTGACTCATCCAGAACGCGAGGACGTCATGCTAGCCATGGTAGATATCATGCGAGGTGCACGCGTCCGACTCACCATGAGTAAATTCCTCTTCCTCCACCGCGACCCCAAATGGTATGAGAGTATCCGCCTCGTACATAACTTCATGGACCAGTACATCGACCGTGCCTACGATGAGCTTGCCAAGCTCGAAGAAAAGGGTGAAAAAAGCACCGAGAAATCTGAACGAACTGACCTCCTCTGGGATATGGTACACAAGATTCCGTCTGAAGATCGAATTCTTCTGCGGGATCAGATCACCGCTGTGTGGGTACCTAGCAATGAGACGACGAGTATCCATATCTCGAATGCTATTTATCAACTGGCGAGACACCCCGAAGCTTGGGAGAAACTCCAGAAGGAGGTACATGAACTTGGGGATGAAGAACTTACCTTTTCTAAACTTCGTGGGATGAAGTACATGAACTGGGTGATCAACGAGAGTATGTGAAAACCACTCATAGAAAGCTTGAATAGCTGCTGATATTATGATAGCTCATCGCACCATTCCAAACGGTATTCAGATGATCCGCGTAGCCGCCCATGACACGACCCTTCCTCGTGGCGGCGGCCCAGACGGCAAACAGCCCATCTTCTGCGCCAAAGGTGACATTGTCCACTGCAACCGCTACCTAATGCATCGTGACCCGGACTACTGGGGTGCTGACGCCACCGAGTTCCGACCGGAGCGCTGGGACGGTTTGCGTCCTCTGTGGCACTTTGTGCCCTTTGGCGGCGGCCCAAGAATCTGTCCCGCGCATATCCTTGTGGCGACTGAGACTGCCTATGTTCTTACGAGGTTCTCTCAGAAGTTCAAGGGTATTGAGGCGAGGGATGAGAGAGGGTATGTTCCTGTTATGAGAGTTGGGCCGAGTAGTTTGAATGGTGTGAAGATTAGTGTGACGCCGAGGTAAGATCATTCTGGATGGTTTAAAGTGGATTATAGGAAGATACTGGTGGTGATGGAATGAGTGATAGCTACTACGAGGTTATGATGAACGATCTGTCTGTGTTTCTCGTTCTGAATGGAGATGCTTTGTGCTTGCTCCATTGAATGAACCAGTGCACAGAACACAAACTTCAATCACAACCATTTAAATAGGTCGTATTCATCACTGAATCTGTCCCATTTAATACTGGCTCAAGACTCTATCAAACACTTCCTGAATATGCTCAGATACTTTGAGCGGCCACCCCTCCCTCTCCAGCGGTCCAAGCACTTCATCTCCTGTAGCCGTCCTCCCATCACTCAACACACGATAAAACCCACTGCACATACCATGACACGGCGCCTGATCATTCACATCCACCATGGCAGCACAAATCATATCTCGACTAGGATATCTACCACTCAGGGCATACAAAGCTTGCCTTTTCCCACACTCCGCCTCACTCATAGCAATAGACCGATATACAGGGGCAATTATCTTCCCCGCCACAACACCAATAGTACCAGCGCTTTGGAGGAGATCGGAGAGGAAGTCAGTGGCTACCCAGCCTGGGTACACGTGTAGCCACGAAACCTTTGTGTACTGAGACGCAAAGTGCATAAAGGCAAGGCTATGCAGTGTCGTCACCTGATTCACGGCCCGCGGAGCCGTGTAGTTCCCCTCCTTCTGCAATCCTATATCTCCGCCCTCGGTACAAAGTGGAGTTTCATGGCCGCCCGCAAGCACAGAGAGGACTCGGGGTTTGGAAGCCTGCAAGAGGGCCGGCAATAGACGGCCAATAAACCGTATGCGGGTATAAAAAGACAATGCGAAGCACAAGTCGATCTTCTCCTCTGTATCTGTGACGCAAGTCAGTAAACGGTCTCCACTGCTAGCTCTCGGACTTACAATGCGGCCCACCAAAGGCTAAGGATCCTGGACTCATGTAGAGCAAGTCCAAGTGAGACTCGCTCTGCAATATCCGGTCACATACATCATCCACGTCTCTGAGGAGGGAGATTTTCCCCTTGAGGAACCGGATTTCGGCATCAGGGTTACATTCGCGTAGGGCAGCCAGCTCAGGCTTGAACTTGGCCTGCGAGCGACCGATGACATAGAACCGCGGCTTTTTCAACCTCTGCGTAAGCGCCTTGAGGGTAGCTAAGCCGATGCCCCTGGTGGCCCCCACAAAAACGGCTACAAAGCCGGGGTTCTGCTGGGAGGATTCAGCGGGCGACATGATGCGGGATGTGCTGGCAGGGGTTGAGGAGGGGCTGCCTATCAGAGCAAGGCGGTTCTAATCATTCATTACTACCATGCGTGACGAAGAAGACGTCAGGCTTTATCTACGCCCCGATCTGTCAAAGTTGCATTGCCTGTCGTGGGGCGAGGATGGATTCTCCGGCACATGCATACGATATGTGCCGGAACGGAGAATTGGTCTTGGCGCTATATACAATTCTTGTACGACAATGGGTCGATTATCATTCCTGGCAGTCAATCCTTCCATCGCGGATTCACTCACTAGATCAATTGAGTAAGACTTATCAGGACCACAGTTGTGAAGGTCCAAGTCAAACATCATTTCACGTACCTATACCGTACAGCATGGATTGGCAACGCGTACAGTCCAAGCTCAGTATGGACTGGAACCAGCTGAACACCACATGGCAAACCGCCTCGCCAACCTTTCGCGTGGCTTGTGCTCTAGCCACTCTCACCCTCACAGGCCTACTCGTCTCCATCATTCGAGACCTCTACTTCTCCCCCCTGTCTCAATTCCCTGGCCCAAAGCTCTGTGCCATATCGCGCATCCCCCATCTCCTAGCCACGGCCAGCGGTCGCCAACTACCTTGGCTCACGGACCTGCACAACAAGTACGGCGGAGTGGTTCGGATTGCCCCTGATGCTCTCACTTACACTGACGAGCGCGCCTGGTCTGATATCTGTGGCGCAACCAAAGCTGCCAAGAATGGCATGGCCAAAGATCCTCGGCTTGCGGCTCTGGTGGGCGGTGATTTGGTGAATCCTGATCCTGCGAAGCCGCGGTCACAGCAGACTCATAGCATCATGCGAAAGGCAATGGTCCCAGCCCTGAAGCGAGAAAACGTTAAGAAGCTAGAGGGCATGATCGACGGGCACATTGAGGAGTACCTCAGCTACCTGGACAAGTCTAGCGGCAAGGGAACAGGGGAGGCTGTGGACATGCGCGACATGAACAGCTTTCTCATCTGTGATCTCATTGCGGACCTCTTCCTCGGCGAGTCTCTCCATCTCTTCACCGACCCCGAGTATGTTCCCTGGGTACATTCATTTGACAGATTCGCCCGAGGCGTCACCATCCTTGCCGTTCTGAACCGCTTCCCCTTCCTGCACAAATTCCTCCTGTTTGCCGTCCATCGCTGGGGAAGTGCCGAGCGTGACTCTTTCATGGCGCCCATCTTTAACCGTTTTGATCGCCGCGTTGCCCTCCCCTCGGCGCGCGACGATATGCTACAGATGGTGCTGGATGGAGACGCGGATGGATCAGGACGCCAAGGAACGATGCCTCTTGACCTATTACGCGAGTTCGCTCCTTTCTTGATGCTGGGTGGCTGTGAGGCTATGCCTACAGTTCTGACTGGCTTTGTTTACTTCGTCTTTCGCAAGAAGAACGAACGTGTCAAGAAGAAGCTACTGAGTGAAATCCGGGGTGCATTCGCTAGTGAAGCCGACATCACGATGGACAGGATTGGGCAGTCCCAAAAGGAACTACCGTACTTCGAAGCCTGTCTCCAAGAGTCTATTCGTTGCTACTCGCCCGCTGCAACCGGCACAGACCGTGTGGTACCTGCATCTGGCGCTCAGGTTGCGGGACGCTTTGTCCCTGGCAATACGGTAGTGATGATGCTACACCAAGTGACATACCTGACTGAGAACAACTTCTCGAGACCTCATGAATACATCCCATCGCGCTGGCTGCCCGATGGGAAAGGTCGTCCTAAGGATTGCATGAACGATAAGAAGGGCAGTGTGCACCCTTTTTCAGTTGGTCCGCAATCATGCTTTGGACAAGAGTAAGTTTCTCCGTGCATTTCTTACACATCTTACGTATGACTAACTGGGTATTTAGGTTGAGCTACCATGTTATGCGTATGGCGTTATGCAAACTCTTGTACCGCTTCGAACTGGAGCTTGCACCAGAATCGGAGAATTGGTTGGATGGACAGCTGACATTTGGTACTCGCTCTAAGCCACCGTTGATGGCATATGTAAAGAAAGCTTCTTCTTAGAGGTGTCAGACTGGGCTAAATGTTTTTACTGGACAAATCATAGTAATGAATGAGACATTCTGCCTGTGAAATATTTCGCTATCTAAAAAGGTGTAAAGAGATAAAAGGCAGTCATAATAGACCCTTCACAGTCGACTAGGTTGGGACATGAATGCTGATTCTATGGCAAGAGATCTAACTTGACTATCGGTTCTGTAATGTCTAGTATGCTAGACTTTTACCTAATTTATAGTTTATATGATAAGCCCATAACGTTACAAAGTACGTAGCTTAATAGCTATTTTCCCCGTTGAGAAGCCAGATAAAATCAATTATTTTCTCAGTACTCCCAAACGAAGACAAAACACTGTCTACCTTAATCGCACCTATCAGCTCCAACTAATGACCACCGAGATCCTTCACGACCCTCGCCACAACCCCCTTCGAATCCAAAGCCGGCATGCCCACGAAAAAGTCATGAGCAATCTCCACATCCCTCTGCGAAGTCCCAACCAACTCCAAGTCAAACCTTGAAAAGACCGTCGCAACAGTAAGATACAGTTCAGCATACGCCAGGTTCATCCCAATGCACTGCCGACTACCTTTGCAGAAGGGGACGAAATGGCGGCTTAGGCTAGCCTTACCGTGCATCCACCGCTCAGGGTCGAATTTAAAGGGGTCTGGGTAGTGCTCCTCATCTGTGTCGATGAGATAGGATGATGCGCTCATACGGGTCTCGGGAAGTGTCAGTAAACTTGCGCAGCTGGGTTGGAAGGGGATGTTGGATACTCACACCACGTGGGAGATTGTAACCGGCGTAGCAAAGGTCTTCAGTTGGGGCATATCTCGGTGATCTTCCAGGCACACCAAACGAAAGTCTGATGCCCTCTTGGATAACCCCAGTCTGCAATAAAGTCAGCAGAACATCCAATACAGCGTCTCTAAGCTCATCGTACCAAATATGGCAGCGGCTCCAGCCTAGCCACCGTAATCGGTGCACCCATAACCGTCTTGAGCTCCTCCCTCAACTTCGCCAACATAGCTGGATTCTCCGCCAGATGAAAGCTCAAGGTCGTAAGTGCTGCAGCAGTAGTTTCAGTTCCAGCACCGAGAAAAATTGCTGCCTCTGACTTGAAGCGTTCAAGTGTTTTGTCAGCCTCTGGAAGCTGTTTGCTATCTCGCATCTCATGGAAGACTGTCCTGATACCGTCTTGCTTCTCTTTAGCAAGGACGTCTGAGATCTGACCAGAAATCTTTTTGTCGTAGTCTGCAAGCGGTTGTAGCTTCGCATCCATTTTGGCAAGGAAGCTGATGGGGACTTTTTGAATAATATCAAACAGCCACGGGAACATGCGTCCAATGGGATGAGCCTGGGGCATTTCGTGGAAAAAGTCTAGCAGTTCCTTGCCGAACTTATCTTGCTTCATGTTATCCATACTCTCCCCAAAACAGTACTGAGCTATGACATCCATAGTCAGACCGCTATACAATGCTTTGAGATTGACAACTTCTCCTGTTCCGTTGAGTGTGCTCATTCTGCCGGTGAGTTGACTGATGGTGTCTAGAATCCGCGGCTCCAAGGCACGAATAGACTGCTTTGAGAAAGATCCAGACAAAGCTGCCCGACGTACTCTGTGAGTCTCAGCCTTGAAGCTGTCGAACATGCTTTCATCATGAGTCGACATGAAGCGGACCTTGTTCCGCGGCCGGTGAGGGCCATTGGCATAGATCTCATCGTAGAAATTTGCGTCATTGATGTGGACTTCATAGGGGTTGATTCTCACAATAGGGCCATACTGGCGATGTAGTTCCTGGATCTTCCAGAGGAATCGTCCCCGACAGATGGCATCGTAGTAGAACTCGTAGAAGAAAGTGAGAGCAGCGAGCCTGGGGCCTGGGATTCTGGATATGGGTGACAAATAGAGCCGAAAGATGATAACCCAGATTGTACGTAAAGTGATTAGAGATACTCCAAGTGCCAGCACCGTAGTGGCATTCACTTGAAAGTCTGTCATTATGTGAGTGTGGAGCTAAGAATTGGCTCAAGGCGTATTGTCTGGTATAGTAGCTCCAGAGGATAGGACTTGATACTGCTCGAACAAGCGACTATAGCTTCAAACAGAATCAGAGCGTTGATCGAATGCGGTCATGATTAGTTCATCGACATTCCAACCTCGCCTACACCGAACCATCGTTCCATACTCGCGTCGCCTAGAAATCCTTCATTCTCGGCAGCCAACTTCGGGTAGAATAATCCGAGCTAACTTATCGGCTCCGTAAACGAGAATACCTGATTTATCCGGCAGTACGGATGGTATAGTCTGACAGCGGCAAGATGTGTCTCCACCATTCTCCGTACCCCATGTCATCACACGTTTGATCCTTCGGCACTCTGCGGAGTAAATTGCCCGGAGTCTTGAGGAGAATCAGCAGCGTGGTTGTATTGATCGGCCGCCTCGAACCCCCACTAATTGCCTGTGCCGTGCCGTGTTGCGTGCTATGCCGCAGGCCTCCTTCACGCTTTCCTTTGAACTTCGGCATTAGAGATAGCGCACGGCAGAGGTTAAGCAGTGGCCGTGGCGTAATATTCGAAAGCGGACCGATCCGTTTCTCTACACCACCCCCCTCTTTAGATTGCCACTAACGAGACATGTTGATTTAAAGGGACTGTTTTACAAGCCCAGCTGCAACTTTAGACACTCAGACTCCACCACCAGTAATAAACAATTACCCATCAATTATTCGCCAGCATTTACCCCAAAGTCAGAAAACATGGCCACCGAAGCTGCAACCCAACTTCCCCAGAGCGGCCCCGACGCCAGCATTGCCAATGGCACCGGCATGGATGCCCTCATGGATGATGCCAAGAAGAGAGGCTTGCACGAGGAGATCTCACGTCTGACTGACAACCATCTGGTGTATACTGATGCAGCCGGTGGAAAACTCTCTTTTGCTCCTGTTGACTGGCAGAAGCCTGGTTTGAGGATTCTTGACTCGGCTACTGCAGATGGTTGGTGCCACTATGACTCGCCGCATAGAACCAAGCTAATGAATAAACAGGTATCTGGCTACAGGACCTGCGCAAGCGAGCCGGCTCTGTCGCCGAGAAGCAGACTTACATTGGCACTGATCTTGTCACTGACCTCTTCCCCGATCCTCGCCCCGAAGGGATTGAGTTCATCAAGCAGTCCATTACGGAGCCGTGGCCCACTGAATGGCACGAATCCTTTGACCTGGTGCACCAGCGCCAAGTCCTTGGATTCTGTGGAGACTTCTCTCTCGAGCAAGCCGTCGCCAACCTCTGCGGCCTAGCCAAGCCTGGAGGATGGGTCGAGCTTGTGGAACTAGACTGCGACCAGAGCACCCTGGGCGAGGGCACTGCTGCGCGCGAGTTCTTCCAGCTCCTGGAGCAGATCTGGAAGATCAAGAAGATGGGGGGTAACTTTGGGCCTAACCTCAAGGAGTGGATGGAGAATGCGGGGCTCGAGGATGTCCAGGTTGATATCCTGGAGTGCAAGGTTGGCGCAAGGGCAAAGCCTGAGTTGAAGGAAGCCAGCATCAACGGCGCAGCTGGCGCTGGTCCAATGATTGTGGCCATGGCACGAAGTAAGTTATACCCAGACATGTTTGTGTTGCAGATAACTAACCAACAGCTAAAGCCCTCCCTGAACTTGAAGGGTTCACGTCTGAGCAACTCGACACCCTTGATACGCGTGTCCGCAAGGAACTCTCAGAGAAGGGCGCCGAGTTCCAAAGTTTCGCTGTCCGAGGCCGTGTACCTGCTGGAGGCCTGAAGCCTAAGAAATAGAGAACTAGTTGCATGTAGGATGCATTGAATGGGGTGATTTGAGGCAGTGGAAGCTATCCGTAGGACCGTAGGATTTATATACCTGCCAATACCAACGGTATCACCGCGCATGAACCCTGACCCGGCTCGTTACCCGTTGCATGGTGTCAACTCAAGCTTTGCACTGAACGTGCGGGGTGCAAAGTTTATTCCAAGGCTGAGCTAACTAGGAAATTCGTAATTCTGAATGCCGCGATGTCACTAGGATTTGTTGTGCATATTCACGATGTACAGCGGTAAGAATCCTTCGGTCAAATTTCCTACACTGGGCATGTTCCCCTGTATCATGAAGTCTAATTGCCATCCATCTCACCAAAGCTCAAAACGCCAGTGACATTTCGTAGATTTCTTAGCGGAAGGAATATATGCGCGTGTACGGTAGGCGTTCAAGGATTAAAGTTACAGTCTTCATCCACAGAACCAGGCTATTGATTTGGGCCACTTGATCTACCCCCGCGTCCTGCAACACCATCACCAACACCATCCCTGTCTGCGGGCCTGAGATGCACATATGCAAATAGATCCTAAGCCCCACAGATAACGCGTAGCGATTCCGGTGTCGTCCAGCAAATCACACTCTGCAGTGAGAGCTACAGGGGTGAATGATCTGATTAAGGGCGGGTACCTGATCCAACCTAAGCAGATGTCAGACCAGAATTCTGTAAAAGGGCGTTCCTTAGAAATACTAGCCAAGAATGTTCTAATTAACTGGCAGGCACTGAATCCTCCGTCCGTCATACACATGGTGTTTATCCACAGGAAGACAAGTTGATGGCTACCATCAGGTTTTTGAGTGAGATAGGAAGGACTCAACCGGCAACTCGGTTATGGCAGTTCGGCATGTCTATGTACTATGTAGACAGGTGCTGACCTTTTCAATAAATGTGAATGACGGCAGAGCCAAGTTCTTCCCGTCTGCAGTCAGCAGTCATCCGATTCCCGCATTTATTTCCCCCAGCAGCACAGAGATTAACACTCCTACAGCCTTATGGGACAGAGGAGCTTTGACCTCCTCGTAGATTGTGCTTAGCTATATTACGACATTGCGGGTGGTTATTGGCATGCACCTTGATCACCATTAGCATCCTATCAATTGGGCGACCACTACTGAAGCACGCCGTATAGCAACTTAAGTCGTCGAGATATATGAACTACTTGTACTAGCCCTCATACAAGCAAAGAGCCTACGGCAAAATCACCCAAGCTCGTCTTCATCAAAGAAACCTACCACACCCTCACATACACTGGGACTACAGCCTATTATAAACAATACCGGCCCCTCGGACAAACCACCTCGATCTCGGTCCCGATGGATCCAGGTCCGGCGTATAGACGTCGCCGTCCGGCTGTAGCCTGCACCGAATGTCGTCGACGCAAGATCCGCTGCGACCGTCACTCGCCCTGCGGGCCCTGCTCCAAATCAGTACCGAGCCTTCAGTGCGTGTACAACAATCACCCGACAAACAGAGGTTCCGTGTCCATGGACCAGCCCGCCATGCACATGCAGCAGCATGAGTCACTGGCATCGCTAGGACTTTCGCACGCGCACAGTAATAGTCACGAGCAGCTCATGGACCTTTTTAACCTGGACGTGGCCCCCATGAGTGATCATGTTCCTATTGAATTCGTTGACATGGACTTCTTCGACCTGGCAGAAGTCTCGCATTCTAAATCTACTTCTACGGAATCATTTAGTTCACTGCCACATGGTTCTGGTACTTCGTCCTCGTGGACAACTTCTAGCCTCCCGTCGACCATGAATGGCAGTTCCAGCACATCAATGCAGAGTTTACTATATCCCTCAGAAAAAGTTCAGAGCAGGGGTTTGTTGTCTCAAGCTGACGAAAGAGACTATACGGAATTCAATGACCAAAACAATGACCAAAACAATGACTGGTATCTGCCATTCTCACAATGTCGGAAGCTGAGTTTTCTCGCGGAAAATCTGGCAAGCGAGAATATCAGTCTGACTCCGGATACTGAATCTGTACGACCTCTTTTTGAGAAGTTTAAACGATTAAAGCGAACTGTTGAGGAGCATCATGGGAACAAAACCTTGATCGACAATTGGACTACAGCTCAGACTGTTGCATGGGATGTGTTACCACCCAGAAGTACATGCGATGCACTTCTGGACTCTTATATCAGAACCTTTGAATCGGTTCTGCGCATATTTCACGTGCCATCCTTCTTACGAGACTACGAGCACTTTTGGGAAACCTCAACATCACCATCTGGAAACATCGATGACACATTCGCATGCAAGTTACTCCTCGCCATCGCCCTCGGCTCTACCACTTTGGTTCCCACAGAGTCGCACCCGGAGCAATTTCCCTCCCTCCGAGAGCAGGCCAGCAGATGGATCTTATACGTCAAGGAATGGCTGGCGCGCCAGACAGTAAAGGGAATGCGGGCCGATCTGAGTATGGCCCAAATTGCTTGTCTCTTGGCCTTGACACGTCACACACACTCTCAGGATGTGGCGCCTATAGGGGTTGGATGGCTTTCAGGAGGGCATGATCTGACACATATTGCCGTTCAGCTGGGGCTACACCGTGAGCCTCGAGTCCGTACGCCGAATATGTCTGCTAAAGAGGCTGAGATACGGAGACGGCTCTGGGCAACTATGCTTGAGCTGTCGTTACAGGTGGCAATCGACAAAGGGCTCCCAGCCCCTATAGCCCCCGAGAGCTACGACTGCGAGCCGCCAAGTAACATCGCGGACAGCGACCTATATCTCGGAGTAGAGCCACAAGGCGTTACATCGGCCTCGGTATTGCCCCTCCTAGCCCAGACCCAAAGACTCCGTCTCCGCATTCTTCAGCTAGCCAACGCCCCGGGCTCCTCTAAAACATATCCAGAATGCCACTCACTCGCTGCAGAGCTAAACACAGCCTGTTCGACTGGTTTAGAAACGCTACGGTCTACATGCCAAAATCCACCCTCGGACTTTCAGATCAAACTGGTCGATTTCTTCACCAGGCCTTTTGTCTTGGCGCTCCACGAGCCCTTTGCCGAGCAAGCGGGCACCAAACTGGAATACTATTACTCACGGCGAATGCGTATGGAGATTTCTGCTCAGCTACTGACTCCGACAAAGGACCACCACGCGTATACGGCACTTCTCACCCAAGGCCACGGACATTTCCAATTCGTTCACAGAAAAGCTACTATGTCGCTTTGTCTTGATCTAATTCGAGAGCACGAAGCTAGCTCCTTTCCTAGTTTAGATACTGCTTGTCATCGAGATCTCCTAGAGCTGCTGTCGGGCTCGGTTGATGCATTCCAACGCCGTATACGAGCTACAGGCGGTGCCGAGTCGACCAGCGAGTACATGTTATTCTCGTGTGCCGCGGCGTATCTGGAGGCTCTACAGCATGGCTACGGGGAAAGTGACGTTGATGACAAGATTCTTGCGGCAGTGAAAACTGGGCTTTCATTTTGCTGCGACGTGATGGACTTGCAGAGACGCAGAGGATCATCAGTCATGTCTAGGTGTGGTGATGCACAAGGGGCATCGGAGGCAGGGCAACTGTGGATGGGTTGAGTTTGTATTTGGTATAAAATATTATTATCTACCTCGTTAAATTAGATTATCATGTAATGTGAGACATCAATTCCTTAAACGCACGCCTAGGCGGCGCCGGTAGATAAAGTGATAGTCTCTTAGCAGTTTTCAATATAAGAATCACCTATTCTCCTGCTGCCGCCTGGTTAGCCCACTCGCATAATTACGGAGGATGGTTATTATCGTCTCTGTGTTCAACATCCCTGTTCTCTCCTAGCAACTCAGACGGTATGTTGTCTCTTGCCGCAATCACATGTTCACGCTCTGTCAATACTCTTCCGATAAATCCATCAAGATCCTCGGATAACTCTGCCATTGCCAAAAATCCATTTTCGTCAATCGCGATCGTATCGTATCATGTATGATGTGGTTACATGACGGAATATTCACGGAGAATCCTTCGGTAAATGCCAATCCGAGCGTCTCTCCATCTCACTCCAGGTGTTGCTGATCCTGCAGTAGATCCTGCCAGTAACATCATGGAATCCGAACTGAATGCGAGACGGATTCATGTGCATACACAAAAGAATACAGGATGCTATGTACTTGGAATCCATATTGATATCTAATGAACAAACGTTTGAACTCAGTGGTTGAACAGGTGAAAGCCATTTAATATTTGACACACATCACACTAGTTAATCACGCTTCATTGAACATTTATCTTATTCTCGGTGAATCCTCCATTGTCCTCTCCTACGCTCAATACCTAGAAGATGGCAATCCACCGGATCATCACTGACAAGGTGTCAACGGGCAACCTCCCGGCACTTGCACTCGTTAGCATCGCGCTTGCCTTCCTCTTCAAGAAGCTTGTTCTCGATGACCGCCACAACGCCAAAAGAGGTTGGCAGCCTATGCCGAGTTATTGGCAATGGGATCCTATCTGGGGTCTTGACCTTGTCGCAAGTCAAATCCGGGCCTTGCGAACAAACCGCTTCCTTGACTGGCTAGCCCAGATGCACGCCAGTATGCCTCATACTAAGACGTTTGCTACCAACATGTTTGGTGTCAGATGGGTTTACACCTGCGATGCAGAGGTCCTCAAAGCCGTTTATGCCACACACTTCAAAGAGTTTGGAGTGACACCAATTGGAAACCTCAGAAGGGGCTTGAGTCCTTTTGCCGACAAGGGTGCTATTACTACTGATGGTGACGATTGGAGACATAGTCGTTTCATTATTCAACCCTTCTTTGATCGTCAGGTGTACACTAGTACCGATCGTGTGGCGCGTCATACAGATCAGTTTATGAAGTTGATGCCGGAGGATGGCGAGACTGTTGATTTACAGCCACTTCTTCAACGATGGGTAAGTGAAGTCCTTAGTCAGTCTTGTGACATTGAACTGACCGTTTAGTTCCTTGACATCGCCACGGAGTTCATTTTTGGCAATTCTACTGAGTCTCTGGTGTATCCGGAACGCTCCAAGATCGCCCTCACCATGCTCGATGTGCTTGATGGCGGTCGCCTACGCGCCCAGCTCAACAGACTCATGTTTCTCCGCGACTGGTCATCCTGGTTAAAGGCCGTAGATGAGATCCACGCCTTTGTCACTCCCCCGATTGAGCAAGCACTAAAAGAGAAGGAAGAACGCGATAGAAAGATACAGCAAGGTGAAACTAATCTAGGCGAGGAGCGAACTGATCTTCTCTGGTCGATGATACAGAATCTCCAGGATGTGCCAGAGTTGAGATCGCAGATCTGTCTGATCCTCGTGGCCAATATTGACACTACTTCGGTTTTCATCAGTAACTGCATGTGGTGGCTTGCTCGCCAGCCTGAGGTTTGGCAGAAGATTCGCCAGGAGGTTGCTGAACTTGGAGATATTCCCATGAATTTCTCTGTTCTGCGAAATATGAAGTATCTTAACTGTGTCATGAACGAGAGTAAGTCAAAAGCCCGCCCTTCAATCTTCTCTGAACTAACACACAATTCAGCTCACCGAATGATTCCCAACAATGTCTCGCAGCTACGAGGAGCCTTCGAGGACGTCGTAATACCAGCAGGCGGAGGATCAGACGGCAAATCACCAACTCTCATTCGCAAAGGCGATTTGGTCTTAATCAACAAAACCGTCATGTACCGGGATCCTGAGATCTGGGGAGAAGATGCCGACGAGTTTAAGCCAGAGCGATTTGACGGGTACAGAGGATCTTGGCAATTCCTGCCATTCGGAGGAGGGCCTCGTCGCTGTCCAGCGCAAATGATGGTTCAAACTGAAGCGGCCTACATTCTTGCTCATCTAGCCAAGACATTCTCGCGCATTGAGCCCCGAGACTCGGCTCCTTACGTGCCTGTCATGCGGATCGGGCCTTCGAACAAGACTGGTGTGAAGGTTGCTATGTATCGATAAGTGTCAGTAGGATGCTCGTACCGATGCGCCTAAGATGGTCAAATACGCGTAAAGGCGTGAGTCGCCAATCATAAGTAGGTATCATAGGATTTAGCCGAAAATATGAGTTGAGCGTGATTTGTTGTGCTACATGGATGAACGGACAAGCCCGGAATATTATGTAATTTCCCGAGATACATATGTGATAACCTGCACGGGTATCGGAGTGATAGGAATTCCATGTTCTTGCATACGACGATACGAACTGATAGAAGTCTGCTATGCAGTGAAGTCTACTTACCAGGAGCCCTAATTAAAAATGGCCGGACTAGGTCTCCTTATAGTCAATATGAAATAGAAGGCGAATAGCTTCTGTAATTCGATACCAGCCATCACAATAGCTACACAATAATCGAAGCCATGGATTTATCTATTGCCAAACCAATCACGTTAAAATGTGGCCTCACCTTACCTAATCGCCTCACCAAGGCGGCTATGGCAGAGAGGCTAGCTGACAAGGAGAGTCTTCCAGGTGGGAAACAGTGTCTTGCTACTTATTCTGCTTGGGCCAAAGGAGGTTGGGGCTTGATCATATCTGGTGAGAGGACAGTGCTGAACCTTCACGTGTAACAAAGGCTTACAATGATCACAGGAAACGTGCACATCGACCCTGCGCATTCTGGAGCACCGGGTGACTTTGTGATCAATCGGGCTTTGCCGAGAGAAAAGACACTCGCAGCGTGGAAGGCCTGGGCGAATGCTTGTACTCAGAATGGCACCAAGGCTATAGTCCAGATCAATCACCCGGGACGTCAAGCACCTTTCGTAAAGAGTCTTGCTCCAAGCCCAATTCCTCTTGATCTGGGCAAGGGATGGTTTCCGTGGCTGGTCAGGGCACTGGTCTATGGCACGCCGAAAGAGATGACAGAACTCGAGATCCAGGACGTGGTGACAAGGTTCGTCGAAGCGGCACAACTATCAGTTGAGGCAGGGTTTTCTGGTGTGGAAATCCACGCTGCACATGGATACCTGCTGGCACAGTTCCTCTCCCAACGCTCAAACCACCGCACGGATGCATACGGAGGCTCACCACTAGCAAGGGCGAAGCTTGTTGTGGATATAATCCACGCCATAAGAAATGCCGTTCCAGCTGGAACTTGTGTTGGGATTAAGGTAAACTCGACTGATCACACAGACCTCAGTGAGCTCATCATTCAGCTTAAGGCTATCGTGGACGCAGGAGTAGACTTTATCGAAGTCAGTGGAGGTTCTATCGAAGACCCCATGTTCAGTACCGGTCTTCACACGCAAGTCAAAGAAAGCACCAAAGCCCGAGAGGCCTTCTTTGTTGACTTTACCAATGCCATCCGCTCCGAGTTTCCAGACGTTCCTATCATGTTGACGGGTGGTTTCCGGTCACGACAGGGCATGGAGACTGCCGTTGCAGGTGGAACCTGTGATCTTGTTGGTCTAGCTCGGCCTTCAGTTCTCGATCCAGGGCTTCCACACAAGGCCTTGGACAAGAATGTGCCTGAAAATGGAGCTCTAGCGTATGCTAAAAAGATTGATCCATGGGGATGGGCGAAGTATACTGGAATCAAGGCTGTCGGCATGGGAGCCGAAACGGTATGTAATCTTCAGATGCGGTCTAAGGAACTAAACTAACTTCATTCACAGTTGTGGTATACCAATCAGATTGGACGCATAGGTACAGCGCAATAAGAAATGAGTTAAGAGTTGGTATAAACAAGATGGCCTCTGGATGAATCTAGGATAGAAGTTCAAATGAGTCAATATAGTTCTTATATACCTTAGAAGGTTAGCAGTTATTATTAAGATACTACCAACTGTATGTTTTCTTTGAAGCTGTTATAACTTTATAATTACTCTAATTTTGAGATGTTCTAGGTATAAACTATGCTGACGTATATCAAGAAGTAGAGAGTCGGGTCCTGTCTTAACACTAAAGAGTATTATTTATGTGCATGTGGTGTAGCACTGACCTTTGTGGTCACTAGTAACTCTATTGGTCATCAAGTGATTTTAGTAAGGGAAAGTAACTAGTTATAGCTGTATGGTTATTGAGTTATTGTTCATGGCGCAATTGAACAAGTATCATTGGTCCAGAGCTGTGGGCTGCAAGTGGCGTAAACGCCATGGTCATGCATATTTCTCAACAATGCGGGCTGACAAGCAATATGCAGTCCATGCAGTACGATTGCAGCCCAACAAGGCTGTGCCCGAGTAATTACGGTGTGAAATACTGACTTAAACCCAGGTACCCCCGCTCCAAGCTTCTTCTTCTTCCTTTGCCTCCTATCGTATATGACAGATACCCCACAAGCATAAGAATTTCACCACCTTCAACATGTCGGATTCAACTAATCCAAACACCTATACAGTGGGGTGGGTTTGCGCTCTGACGACAGAGTTCACTGCAGCTCAAGAACAATTCGATGAGCAATTTGAGGAGGACGAATCCCCTAGATACAGGGAGCCAAATGACTACAATCTTTACGCTTTCGGAAGAATACATCGCCATATGGTGGTTATTGCTGCCCTGCCGCACGGTCAATACGGCACCACATCTGCAGCCATTGTCGCGAAGGATTTGATCCGCAGCTTTCCCAATATCCGAATCGGTCTTATGGTCGGGATTGGCGGCGGAGCCCCCAGTGAAAAGCACGATATTCGCTTGGGAGATGTTGTGGTTAGCTCACCGACATCCAATCACGGCGGTGTATTTCAATACGACTTTGGGAAAGCTTCAGAAGAAGCATTCCAGCACACAGGACACCTTAACTCGCCACCTCAACTACTGCTGGCAGCATTAACGGGACTCAAGAGCCAATATGATCGAAAAGGCCTTAAGCTTCAAGACGAAGTTGACACCATCGTGGAAAAGAACACAAGACTGAGGGCCAAATACAGACGTCCTGTAAATCCGGATCTTCTTTTTGCTGTCTGCACCGCCCATGAGAATGATCCGTGCTTTAAGTTTTGCACGACAGCCCCGACCGATATTGTAACTCGGACACCACGAGAAGAGCCTATGGAAGACGTTGAAGTTCACTATGGTACTATCGCGTCGGGCAACACTCTCATGAAAGATGCAGCTAGTCGCGACAAACTTGCTCGTCAAGAAGATATTTTGTGTTTTGAGATGGAAGCTGCTGGATTGATGAATGGATTCCCGTGTCTTGTCGTTCGCGGAATCTGCGATTATTCTGATGCTCACAAGAATGACATATGGCAAGGTTATGCAGCTATGACAGCAGCTGTATATGCTAAGCAGATTCTCAAGAAAGTCCTCCCTGAGGCGGTTGAGAATGAGGCAACTATCATCTCGAAAGTAGAAGAAGGTCAGTGCTCTTCCATGTCATTTGTAATCTAGTATCTAAAAATATCACCCTGTCTAGTTATCTCCAATGTGAAAACTCTAATACGCTCTTTGGAAGAAAGAGAGGCTTTAGACTGGCTCTCTGATACCAATTTCGGTGCTTACCAGCTAGATGAGCGTGATAAGAAGGCTCCGGGTACGTGTGAGTGGTTTCTGACCTCACGGGAATATCGGTTCTGGATCCAAGAGGAAGGCCAGGTCCTCTTCTGTCCGGGAATTGCAGGGGCTGGAAAGACTGTCCTCGTATCTGCTATCATTGAAGACCTGCATTCTCGCTTTCAAAACGACCCGAGCACTGCGATTGCACATATATACTGCAGATACGATCGTACTAATAGGCAGACATTTGACGAATTGCGGGCAAGTCTATTGAGACAGCTTTGTGAGAAACTGTCTCCTCTCCCTCAGGTCATAATGGAACTTCATAACGAATACAAACTGCGACGTATGAAGGCGCCCCCGGAAAGGATTATTTCATGCTTGGAATCTGTATCAGGCTTCTTCTCAATGATATTCGTGGTCATTGATGCGCTAGATGAGTGGCAGCAAGTGGACTGCCACTCGTTACCAAAAAGGCTGCTGTTTCTTCAAGGAAACCTCCCGTTCAACCTACTGGCAACTTCCCGACCATTACCCCTCATCGAAAGCCATTTCAGCGGCCACCAACGTTGTGATATTAAAGCGCAACAGCAGGACATTTATGCCTATGTCGACAATTTTGAGTGGCCAGAGTCGCACTGTATTGGTAAGATACCAGGATTGAAGGACTCCGTAAAAGCGATTATGTGTGAAATCACAAGGGGAATGTATGTTAATCCAAAACTCGCTGCACATCCAGGTGTCTTTCACTAACAAATATCCAGGTTTCTTTTGACAAAGCTATATCTCCAATCCCTTGAAAACGAGACGTCAGAAAGAGATGTGAAGAATGCTCTGAAGCGGCTCAAAGATAGAGCGAAGGATAATTATGAGGATCCAGATTTCGAAGTCCTGGACAAAGCATACAATGATACTCTGAAGCGGCTCAGAGAACAGCCTAAAAAGCAGAGGGACCTGGCATTTCGAGTACTCGCTTGGATATGTTGCACAATCTGGAAGCTACCGGCCGATGGGATCTTGAATGGTCTTGCCTGGCGAGAAGGGGACACAGAATTTCATCAAGATGGCATGGTCGACACAGGATCACTCCTTTCTGTATGTTGGGGCTTGGTCGAAATCCCGAAGGGAAGTAGGGAGATTCGTCTCGTCCATTACACCACCGAAGACTTTTTTCGACACAACCGAAATTTGTTTGATGAATATTTTTGGGACCAACATTCCCTTGATCGTCATTTACCTCCAAGTACCGACGACTATATTGTAAGGCAGTGCATTACTTGTCTGTCAGCCGGACTAACGAAGTACGGTCCAGCGAGAAGTGGCAACAAGTACAAAAATTGGCAGTCTGAGCTCTTAGATAACCCATTCTACGAATATGCCGCATTCAATTGGGGTCATCATGTCAGAAGCCTTTCATGCTCTGGCAAAACTTATGACACAATTGTTGACTTTCTCAAAAACCAAGAAATGGTCGATCTGGCGGTTAACGTGATCTTTACTTTTGGAGGTTGGGACAACAGAGGGGAGGCGCCTCGACATGTAGGCGGCTTGCACCTTGCTGCCCTTTTCGGACTTGATGAGTTGGCAATATCACTTGTGCAGAGTCTTGAGATCGATTCAAGAGATAGTTCTGGCCGGACTGCACTAGCTTGGTTGCTTGAGTGCTTTGCATTCGAATTTGAACTTCAAGCGAATTTCAGATCTGGGAGCATACTAGTGCCCGAAGGCCTTTACAATGGTCGTCTCTGTGTTTTGGAGGCTCTATTACTATCAGAGGCTAATCCAAGCGCGCCTGGATATAATGAGGATACTCCTCTACATTTAGCAGCCAAATCGGGCGACTCCGAGGTCGTTCAAAGATTGCTTGAATGTAAGGCAGACGTTGGCACATCGAACAGATATGGCGATATCCCTCTTGTGGTAGCAATACGGCATGGCTCAGAGTCGGCTTACGCGAAGCTCCTGGAGGTCGGTACAGTCGATATCTGTGGAAAGAACAGCCGTACTGCTCTCATCGAGTGTGCTTTTGTTGGAAACCCAGCTCTACTTTCGACTCTTATTGAAAGAGGTGCTAAGGTGAACTTCCAGGATGAATACGGCAAAACTCCCCTGATTGAAGCCGCCCAATCCGGCCATCTTCGAATCGTTGAGCTACTTCTTGCAAATCATTCTGATATAAATCTTCAAAATCGCTACGGCTACACGGCCCTGATGAAAGCATGCTCGTATGATCGTACCGATGTTGTTAAGCTGTTACTTGCAAATAATGCTCGACTGGATGTCCGGAGAAGCACAGGCAAAAGTGTTTTTACCGACGCGGGCCGTCACAGTGGAGACGACATTATGAAGCAACTCCTCCGGGAAGATATAGATACCAGTGTTCGGAATAGCTATTTCGTTGAGGCTTTGATGTCTGCGAGCGAAGAGAAACGCCCACATGCCGTCTCTCTGATACTAGGAAATGCCACCTTCAAACCAGAATTAAGGAACCTCGACGCTATATTGTCCATATCGTTTTCCGACGGAAACGAAAGGGTTATCAAACTTCTGATTGATCATGGTGCAGACCCTAATACAGAAGTCGGTAGGGTGGGCTCGAAAGAGTCACTTCTTAGTAGATCTTGCTGTTTTTCTACTGACCGTGTTTTCCAAGTGTTGATTGATGCCGGCGCCGATATTGAAGGCTGCAAGAACGACGACTGGGGACCAATTCATGCTGCATTATCGGGAGGCACGCAAGCAATGGTTCAGTGTCTAATAGACAAAGGTGTTTTGATTAACTGTCGCTCGGCGGCGGGGAAAATGCCTTTGGATTATGCAATACGACGTTCAGGTAAAAATAGTTCTATTGCTAACCTACTTCGAGCTCATGGTGCATTTACTGAAGCAGAACGACTAAAACGACTTATGGAAATGACTAGAAAGAATAGGTGCTAATTATTGATTGATTTCATTCTATATTTAATCCATTGAACACCCAGAGCTTACTTTTCGCATCTCATCTGTGGGTATGAAGCTTGAAGTATATTCAAGCTGTAATTTCGACATAGAACTGTGCAGACACGTGTGGTGAAGTGACGAATCCATGCCCGATATTGTGTTTTACTCGGAGGAGTAGGTAACACACACCTTATCTAAATTAAAAAATCAACCTGATATTAAATAAGTGCAGATTAAAATCTCCTCTTACCGAGAAAGATATCAAGGGGTTGAGACCTTGATACAGATCAAAGCTTACTAGATAGACTGAGTGTTATTTTATTTCTGGCCTTAGACTTACTCAATACGAAGCTTAACCTTGCTTGATATGAGATAGCCTCATTGGAATAAGAAACTGTGATTAGAAAACAATACTGGATGTAGACTCAGTTAAACTTTCTATTTAACCAGTCTTCACTTATGAGCACAAATAGTCCCTGTACAGAATATTGCTAAAATTGCCGAGATTGCCGAAAGAATGATATTGATCACAAGATTTGCCGCTTAGCCGGTGATGATGTCTTTTCATAGGCCTGTCCATGCCGAGCTGAATCAACAGGACCCACAAGTGCCGGCTGTTGATGGGATTGATTCCATGGATGTTATGATCTCTGGTACCTACTTTTACAACCAAACTATACTGGGTTTAATTCCTCACAATAGAGTCGGTCAATTAAAACGCTTTATTATTTGTAGCGCAGTTGATGATAAAGGAAAAAAAAGACTTCACTGATAATTTGTAACGCAATGATTTGGGTTTTTATAAATCGATCACATGCAAGCACACTCATCACTGTTGGTTCAAGGGTACCCCTGTTAACCCATCACCAACAGCCAACAACCAACAGCTAACTAAGAGCCAACGAGACAACCAACACCCTCCTCACCTACGGGCCGACAGTCTCTACAACGTAGAAGTTACAAAGAGAGTCCAAGCATAAAAGGAGCAACATTCCTTCCCACCTTTTGTCATCTCTCTACCACCCAACCCCCTTCTCCCTCAGTACCCCTCGTTACAATGCAAGACTTCTACCTCTTACTCCTTGTACTACTTGTCGACTCCTGCAGTATTATCATTCGTGCATTAACAGGAGTATGGACAACCCAGGCAAAGCTCGGTCTGCTTGCATCGCATTTGGCCTTATTGGGCCAATTAGCGCACTCTAGAACGAACTGCGGCAACGAGTAGGCTAAATCTACTTGCCACTGAGTGGAATGGCCAGGATTCCACTTTCAAGGCTACTCTTGGCCTTGCTGATGCTAGTTATGTCTCACACTTCTGCACCGACTCAGAAGGACACCGTGTTGAGGGCTATGCCTACCAGGCTACCACCAGGGCCTGCATTGCAGGGCGACATCTGAAAGGAAAGCAATTTTGGCAGCCATTGAGAAATAAGCTGTTGGCTACAATCCCATGGATCTATCAATGACTGTTGCAAGTTATCCCATGTAACAATCTGGACAAGTCACTTGCGTCTCACATTTCAGGCGTCCAAGTACCTAGCTCATTCAATCGACTGTAATACAAGTTCCCTCAAGTACTATGGTGTGTCTGGTATAGCTATTGGGTAGGGGAAGATGTTAGTAAAAGGCTGCTTGGTCGATCGCATGCATGGAATTCCAGTTGCCAGCTGCAATGTTACAGCTAGTTGCAAAATGGTGTGGTACTTCGTTAAATTCAATTATAGAGAGGGGTAAGATGATTAAACTTGAAGTAAAAGATGGATTGTATCATAATCGAATTTCCAATCGTAAGCTTCGTAGAAATCGATTTTATTACGTAATGGTATAAAACGAAAATAATACAAGACCGAAACTATGAGTTGCTTCAGAACCCTGAATCCGGCTGACAATTCGGCCTTAGGTAATTCGCTTATTAAGATCTTAACAGAGCTACACTAAGAAATCGGATTGGGCTCTCTCGATAACAATTGAACGCAATGCCACATTTGGTGGGGCCGATAGTGCGTAAATTATTGTGTCAACAACGTTCTTGTTCGTTATGCCCTCATGAGAACCACGTTCCTTCTGCCATTCGACGCTGGCGGGCGACACATCCTTAATGAGCCCAGGATAAACTGAAGTGACGCGTACAGATGTTCCTTTCAATTCCTCCACTAAGCCCTGGGCGAAGCCATCCTGAGCAGCCTTTGCCGCTCTAAAAGGAAGTGAAGCACCAGTGAGCCTTGCGTACTGGAGACCAGACATGGAGACAACGTTATGAATATCTGCTCGAGGGCGTTGTCTTAATAACGGCAGAAGTTGCCGTGTCAAGAGCATGGTGCCAGTGACTGCTGAATTCACGACCGACATGATCTGATCATCGGTTTGCCTTTCGAAGCTGCCCTCGGTAAAATGCGCACCATTGTTGACCAAGATATCAATATCATGATGTGTTTCAGCTATCTCCTTCGTCGCCTGAGCCACGGAAGTCGGATCTGAAAGATCACAGCTAATAGGGTATGCCGTTGCACCACTGTCGCTCTTGATTGTCTCACTGACTTCTTGCAATGCACTCTGAGATCGACCAAGCAATATTGGAATTGCCCCTTGAGAAGCAGCTACGATAGCTAAAGCACGGCCAAGGCCACGGCCTGCACCTGAGATCACGATCTTTCTGCCCTTCATTGGTGATAGGTCTTGAATCTCATGTGGCTTTCGATGTTGTGAGGGATACCTCTAAATATGGGGCAATAGAAGAGAATGATTAGTATAAGACCAACACAGCTCGCAAATCAGGGGTGGAAATACGTTCGCAGTCTAAGGAATAAATACATAAAGGTCACAAAGTTAATGCCTGATCCGATGACAAATCAAGGTTGAGCTGAAACCTGCCAAGGTGCTTGTTCCGCCATCGGCGGGCAGTTAATAAGCGGACAGTTACCCACATGCCACCCACTCACCTGAGCTGGGTGGGAATGGAGCCTGCACTAAGTTACTTTGTAAAAGCAGCGACATATCATGTACATAAATCGACTAAATCCGTACTATATAATAGCCTTTACTTATAACTGCGGTACATACAAAGCTTGGTGATAACTAGGCTAGTTCCATATTATTATTATCCTAATTATTTTTCTTTCTACACCTTTCTTCTTATTTATTGTAAACATACTTATCAAAATGTTTATAACTTTATAGCATGAGATTTTTATTACTGTCAATAAGGATATAATAATTAAACTATATAAATAGAACGGTGATTAGACTTACTTAAGTTAGATAGGCCTTTTATAGTTAAACGAACCTACGGTAACTGAATTTCAAACTTCAGATTTAAGTGTGTATGATGTAACCCATTAGAGACACACTTTCATATACTGGAGTCCAAATCCTAAATCTTCTAGTATTATTTAAGGACTACGGTTAGTCAGTATACATAAGAGACGAGAAGCTGTTATTTTAAAATAAAACCACAGGCACTTCCCAACTTGGGCTACTGTCTCGTTTAATAGTGTATCTCTAACTCTACAACCATATTCTTACGAGTAAGTAGAGTAGGTCATAAGTAACGCATCTTAATTATTACTTGCATTGCGAAACTGAACGAATACCCAGTATAGATCTATGACCTCATCACTAAATCTCATCCTTCACCATGGAGAATTTCTTTCGGCCCATTGACACTTAAAGCCCAATGCTAATGTTGCTAAGATCTAACTTACTAATTCCCGATTGGCCAATGGTTCCACTTTCGCGGGCCGCTACGCCATGCATATTCGTCAACGATTTCCTCAGCCAACGATCACCATCAATCTCCGTGATCCGAGCCTTCCCATCGCCGCTAGAAAAACTTCTGTGCGTGCCCCGATCATCCATCCACCACGTTTTCAACGCTGTCATCTATGACACGACGACCATGACGACACAGCGTCTTCGTAGCCGTTGTCGTCTTCGTAATAGTAGTATAGAATGGCATTTAGTGTCCTGATTCGGGTCTTGGCCATTGTCCTGACAAGCCATTCATTATTCTTAACACCATGAAGGAGTTAATACGTGATACTATCTTCAGCCACACCCTCCGGCTTATGACTGGGGGAAAGGTGTTCAAATATCCCGAAGAAGAGGACTCGTCTCTATGGAAGAAATACGTGCACAATGAGAAATCAGCGAATATGGCCAAATATGGTCAGGTTCAGCCTCCCGAGGATAGTGAGCAGCAGGCTCGTGAACCGCAAACTCGATCATCTTCGTCTTCAACGGTTGTGCCTTCGAGGCGCACTCAGGGTGTCAATGGGGCTAGCGGCCATCCAATTGACAAGGAGAAAGGCAAGGATGTGTATGTTGTGGACTGGTATGGTCCAGATGACCCTGAAGTAAGTTCCCCATCTCTGTCTGGAGGTACAATGGCCTAACCTTTCAGAACCCTCGGAACTGGTCTCGCACCAAACGCTTCTTCGTCACCTTCGAAATCTGCCTCCTTACCTTCTCGGTATACATCGGCTCAGCCATCTACTCCGCCGGTCTCCAAGACGTGATGCGAGAGTTTGGTGTATCGCAAGTCGCTGCTACAGTTGGCCTGACTGTGTTCGTCGCGGGCTACGGTCTTGGTCCCATGGTGTGGTCTCCTCTCTCTGAGGTTCCACAGATTGGCCGCAACCCGGTTTATATCATCACACTAGCTCTATTCGTCGTCCTTCAAGTTCCCACTGCACTCGCGACCAACTTCAGTATGCTTCTCGCCTTCCGATTCATCACCGGCTTTGTCGGGTCTCCCTCGCTGGCTACAGGCGGAGCTTCAATTGGCGATATGTACAGACCATCGAAGCGAACCTATGGACTCGCAATCTGGGGAGTTGGGAATATCTGCGGTCCCACCCTAGGTCCTCTGGTAGGAGGATTCGCAGCTGAAGCTAAGGGTTGGAGATGGACCATCTGGGAGCTCATGTGGCTATCTGGCTTTTCTCTCATTCTCTTTATTTTCCTCCTTCCCGAAACATCAGCAGCCAATATCCTTTACCGTCGCAGCCGTCGGCTGAGAAAGTTGACTGGTAACGACAAACTGGTCTGTGAGGCTGAGCTAGCCACCCAGGATATGTCGATGAAGGACATGGCGCTCATGACTCTAGTACGACCATTTCAATTGAGCCTAGGCGAGCCCATTGTCTTTCTTCTCAACCTCTACATCGCCCTCATCTATGGTCTGCTGTACATCTGGTTCGAGTCTTTCCCCATCGTCTTTGGAGAAATCTACGGCTTCTCTCTGGGTATTCAAGGTCTTGCTTACCTGGGAATCTTGTGTGGCGTCTTTGTCGTTCTGCCACCATTTGTCTGGTACCAGCACAAGTACATCGAGCCAAAGTTCAATGGTGATGGCGAGCTTAAACCTGAATGGCGATTACCGCCGTCCTTTGTCGGCGCTTTTTGCATTCCTATTTGCTTGTTCTGGTTTGGTTGGGCGTCTCGGGTAGATGTTCATTGGATCGTTCCGATCATTGGAACATCGTGGTTTACCATCGGTGCCTTCCTTCTATTTAATTCGGTCTTGAACTACTTGAGTGATGCGTATCCCGAGTATGCAGCTTCCGTGCTTGCTGGTAACGATTTCTTCAGAAGCTCCTTTGGTGCTGGTTTTGTAAGTCACACCGTTCAACATACTTGCACATCAACTAACAGATGACAGCCCTTGTTTGCGACCGCGATGTACACCAAGCTTGGCGTCAACTGGGCCAGTTCCACACTGGCATTTATCTCAATCGCCTTCATTCCTATGCCTTTTCTTCTGTTCAAGTACGGAGAAAAGATCAGACATAAGAGTAAATACGCTCGTCATGATCTGTAAATAGCTGTGGTATCACAGATATTTTATTACAACGGGTCACTTTATGATAGTGAAGATTTGAATAAGAAAGAGTCGAACTTCTGTACAAGCATACTTAGAATAGAACCTATGTTTTTAAAAATCTTATAATGGTTAAGGACCCTTACGTGCAAAGTTGATAGAGATTTCTGTAAGAGAGTAAAGCTGTAAAGTTAAATGCTAATTTAGTAAGTATAAAGTAGAATGTATAAGCCTATGGGCAGAATAAGTATAAATTAGCTTCGGTTAGAAGTCTACTTTATACTGATTAAATTCGGGTACAGATTTTTAACTACTAACAATATTACTAATTCTTATTTTTCTAGTATAAAATATACTAATGGACATAAAGTCTGGAAACTTTTAGAAAGGTAGTCAGGTGTCTTAATAAAAGCTTCAAAGATAATAATTATAAAGATCTCTAATAGAACTACCCATAATCCTAAATAACACCACTTATAGCCACGGTAGATACATAAAACTCGCAAACCAAGACATCTACATAGATATGAGTTATAGTTGAGTTAACAGAGAAAGGAGTGCAAACTATTTTACCAATAATACCATCATCTTCATTATCACCCTGCTCGCGGCGTTTTTGTCTTCGCTCATATGCCTCAGGGCGTATCCAGATGTCAGGCTCACTAGATCCGGTCCTACCTACTGGCGTATTATCTTTAGTGTGTTAAGCCTTTTGAAGGATATCATTTGGGCGCTTTTAGAAAAGCTCTGCAATTACTGACCGTTATGAGACCTGTCGCGACCGGGGCTGTGAAGTGACTGAGAGACGTCAGCAACTTGAGACGGCTGTTTGGTGGGGAAATCATCTGTTGTTGAAGTCGCGGGGATTTTCGAAGCCATGGGTGGATGTTTGGTGGTATGGGTCTGTTTGGTGATAGTCCTTTGCTTCGGTGTAGATACAGACCGGACTAGGTAATACAAGATGGGACGAAGAAAAGTAAAGAGGAAAAAGAACAAGCGCCCATATTTATAGCTATGGGTCCCTTCCCTGCCGAGAATGGATTGCATGTAATCGGACCCACGTTCTTTGTCTTATAATTGGGCTCGCGATTAATGTTAGAGGTACTTATACACGTATGGAAGGACATGGAGTTCGATATGGAAGCAGTTTAAAGAAGCAAGGGAATTGGGAGGCTTTTCGGAATCACCTCAAGCTCCCATGTTAAGTTGGCCACTTCGTAGCCCTCTAAGGGTACTTCAAGGTATCGCACCAGTAATGGTGCCATGGCCAGGTCAAAGACAAACACACTCTACACCATCAATATGACAGTTTGGGTCAACTGGTGTTTGTGTCGGTAGCTAGATGGGAAGGGTAATGCGGCGTGGGGCATCGTATCATTTCTCAGCCAATCGCCTGGCACTCAACCCTGCATTACCTGCATGTTGGTTGTCGCAACTCTGTAGCAAGGCTGTTGGTTGAAAAAAGGGTGGTCTAGACTCTTAATAGTACCCTATCCGGGAAGCATGTGTCCATTTATGAAATGGGGCGGATGCAACAGGCCCAAACAGAACCACCCATCACTCCGTGCCTTTTGTTCGTGAAGCCGATGGCCTCCACGATGCTCTCACATGTCGTTACTTTCATGAGAGGGTGATGGGGTGCCTAAAGCCCGTTAACATCACATATGTCTTTTGTCCTCCTCGTGGGCGCCTGGATCATGGTATTAGTACCCAACCAAAGCCGTTGACTGGAGCATGACATTTTAATCCCTTGAATATATTATAGCCGCAAGAGTACAAACACAAACAGTACTTACAACACTTCTCATAGCCATGAAAGTAAGGCAGCATGTCTCTGGCGAGGCACATTCCCTCACTGGCTGGACTGTCGTTGTGAAGGTTTAATTGCTGGTTTCGACCTGGTAGCAATAGACCCTGTTGATCAGTAGACTAGGTAGACATTCGTGAGCCTCAGATGGGCCAGAATTGGACCCGAGTAGGGGATTGATGACGGATCTACAACGACCACCTTATAATTCGACTAAATCGTCTTTCAAAGAATATGCATTTGAGAACTTATGGTTATGGCCCCTTGGAAACTGGTATGAAGTGGTAGCCACGGCACTGGTATAGGCACGGGATAGACATGGATTATCAGTCTATATCAATGAAACTCGATCCGTCTATTTAGCGTTAAATATGACTCTGGAATGCTTCATCATTTTATCAGCGGTATCTTCGGGGGTAGGGCTGGACGCGATCTTAAGATGGCCTGGGTCATGGCCTGACTGTGACAGCAGGAATAGCAAAGAGCCGAATACATATGGTTAAACTGGGACCTCTTTTCGGTAAGCTTCTAATAATCAAGTACCATGATGAATAAGATTAACCGAGATTTATCTGAGAAAACAGAGCTCGGGCAAACCCCGTGGGGAGTGACCGCGGGTGAGGTTTAATAACCCTGCTAGTGCTCCGAACATTCTCAATCATCAACAATTATTTCTTGTTTCCAGAGAGTCTGTCTACTTGTCTCATATTTAATGCGACATTTAGAAAACATGGCCAATTTCGCTATATCTAGTAGGAGGTGAGCCAGACGGCGTTGGCACAGCATCCCGAATGATATCTAGCGTTTCCCTTGTCCTTCAGACTGATATGTGCAACAACGTGTGCCGAACTTCCGTCCTCCATCAATTCCCAAATTTGAACAAAGCCATCTGCACTATCCGTCACAACAACAAAACGGTCGCTCTTGTCCATAGGCGTAACGGCATTCGCCGCACCGCCACTTGAGCTTGTACGGCGGATAAAATTTTGACTCACAATCGCACCTTTCTTGTCGAGTTTGAACACCGAGAGGAAGCCTGGCTTGGTGACATCCCTAGATCGGGTCGTTGCCCACAGGTACTTTCCGCTGGGAGACACAGCGATCTCGTCGCCTCTGTAACCCTTGACGTCAAGGCCCTCTGGGATAAGAGAGTAGACGTTCTTCTGAGGCTGCGGAATACCGGTGCGGCGGTCGAGCTTGTACCAGGCGACCTGGCTCGTAATTTCGGTGACGGTGTAGAGGGCCTTACCACTTTGTTGATGGACCGCAACGTGGCGAGGTTCTGAATGCTCAGCTGGTCCATCAACCCTACTTACAGGCTCGCCAAGCTTGCCCGTTCTCCGATCAACGGGATGCGTCCAGATGGAGTTATTGCCCATGTCGGCAGAATAAATGAACTTTGAGTCAGGCGACAGGGCCGTTCCGTGTACGTTTGAGCCAGGCGCAAAATTGTAGTCTTGCACAGTCTTATCAAGAGCTCCGTTCTCATCAACCGACATGACGGTGCCGCAGCCAGGTGCTCCCCAGAAGTCAACACCATATACGTTGTAAGGAGGTTTCATGTCGGCGACGATGTAGATCGAGGTACCATTGCAACCTTTCTTTCCCGTCAAAACCTTGTCGACTGTAATGCTGCTACTGTTGTTGATCGTGTGGCTGACATAAACTGGCGGTTTGGTCCAATTTTCCTCAGCAGGAGTATAAATGATATCTGTTCCGTACAATGTAGTCTTATCGTGCTGTTATCGAGGTTAGCATACTATTCGCGATAGTTTGTGACAGGGCTTACATTAAATGAAATCCATGAATTCTTTGTCGCAACGGAGATGTTCGCAATGAGATCCAGGCTGTAGGTCTTGTCGTCGAAGCTCAATGTGTACAGAACATTATTGGCGAAGTTGCCCACGATGAGCTCATGTACACGCCCGTGCGTAGTGGATAATAATCCGGCGACAAGAAGTAAAGACCGGACCATTTTGGTATTCACAGAAAGGCTACCTTCAGAAAAGAGATGAGAGAGGATGTGTCTACACCTTAACAGACTTTTGTAGGATCCTCTGTGATTTATAAATAATACAATAATTACCTTGGGGCTACTTGACCGATGATATGAGCCAATAGCTCATCCGCACAGTTTCCCCGGACAATGTCCCCGGACACCTGCCGCCTCCACGCTAAGCTATGCTGTAATTATCATAATTGTATGTAGTGCTCCAGAACTTCCCCGCATTTGCGTAATGGGTTTTCTTAAATTTAGTCTAGATTCTTGGCAACACTGTTCATCCCAGCTAGCACCCAACCTCGGCTATGAATTGGGCCTGCCAATAGCCTGTCTCTCAGTCTCTATATGTCTCCGCGTTCCTCCGCTATAGAAGGTTGTCTCAACGATGCAAACGTGAGTGGACTAGGCAGCTTGGCGATGGCCATGACGACTACCACGACCGACCTGCTTGTAGTTGGACTTGACACCCTTGACATTCATCAGGCGGGTAGAGATCAACAATAAGTTAGGAAAGGATTGGACTAAGTACATAACACTGGCTCGCAAGACCCAGTTCTTTACAAGGATCTGCCCCAGGTAGATCCACTTAGTAACGAACCTACCCTACACTCCCGTCACTATACCTAAAGGTATCTAATGCCATCTAGAATCATTATTACCTCCTAGACGGTAACCTATAAGTATATCCCTTATATAACCTCCTAGACTTAGGTTCTAGAGATATAATATAGGCTTCAATCTTTATATAAATCTTAGATACCTAGCTAGGCGCCCTTTATCCCCTTGTAGGAATGCCCCGGCGTAAAACAATATAATAACAATAATAACCCTTGACATTCATATCAAGCCCCGAAGAATCCTACCCCAGCAGAAAGCAGCCATAAACCTGTAGAGATGCATGCGAACACATAAAGAGCCTTCCAAGTGACACAAACACTAGCAGTTTCATCGTCAAAATTCACAGTTGCTTCAAGATCGGCCTTGCTTGCCTCTCCACACCGGTTCCCGGAGTACCGTGTCCAACATTAGCAACAGAACATTTTGATGCTTAAGTAGTAAAGAACATAATGCTCGCTGTTTGAAGTACCCCTCAATATTAAATCCAAATAAACAGGCTATGAGAATCGGCAATATTGATAATGGAATCCTGTTCTCCATCCTTTCATAGTGTGAGTCCTAGACTAGACGTTGAACGAACATACTCTGGCTTCCAATAAGCCCTTGCTGGAAAACGGTAATATTATTCAAGTTACTGACGTAAAAGTAAAAGCTGCATAGACACAAGTTAAACGGAGCTTTCCTAATCAGTCAAAGGGGCATGCATGTAAGACTAAATGCATCAACTGATTTGTGATGCTGAAGAGAAGTAGAAAAATATTACTAGAAGTAGATTGCTTATGCATAGTCAGCCTAAATGATTCCAAACGTTGTTGCACATTGTAACGAAGTCAAAGAGTACTGCTAGGCGGTGGAAATGAATATAAAAAGAACAAGAGAGGCGATGACAATATCCACAGGCTTTACCGATTCATCTCATCATCTTTCTAAAGTACTGGCTTCAACGTTTTACGCATTCCTCTCAAATATGCATTTCACCAACATCCTCGCCGGCTCAGCCCTCTTCTATTTCACTGACGCCTTCAAAGTCCCTAAAGGTACCACAGATGGCTTCTACAAAGTGCACCGCAATGCACAGGGTCAAGAGATACACGAACGCGTCTCCAACTTTGAGACTGAAGCTACACTTGCAGAAGTCTCCATAGCGAAACGAACCATGATAGAGAAGCGGGAGCAACGTTGGACCACATGGTGCGGCTGTGGCGTCGAACTCAATCATGGTAACTGCGACGATGCGGTCCAGAATCTGAAGGATCAAATGGGCTCGACGATCTGGGTAGTTGGACCCCAAACCGCGTTTTATTCTATTCGCGGTGATGCCGTAGCCTTCAGCTGCAACAATGCTTTTGTGGATGCTCTTACATCGGCGGATTGGGTGACACGAGCGGCAGAAGTAGTGACTGACAGTTGTGGCTGGTATATTGCGGGCACTGGACAATTGTTATGGATAAACCCAACAGCGAACTCTACTGATATGGGTTACATGATTTGGAGAGACGGTGTGGACTTTTGTGGCGATGCTCAGGGATCACCAGATCGGGAGTGTTGGTAGGCTGAGATGTACAGAATGAGTCGTGAGAGATGGATTTCATGTATCAGGTTTCAATATTGTTATCGATGGGATTTTCTTATTGATTGTGGCCTTATCGAGACTACACCACTGTACTAAACCTTAAACATTATGGTTAATTCATCTGCCAAAAGCCATCTACATCAGCAACCTTATTCTGTACCCGTTCCCAACCTCGTCCATTCACATTATAGCAGTTATCTCGCTATACTGTAGAGTACCCGAAATTAGATTGAAAAATCAATAGTTTCATGTCAGTCTGTTAACACGTCCACATTGCCAAGTCTTTTTGCGCCGAGGCGTCAAATGAGGACTCGACTGTATGGCACCCCGCCCAACACTCCAATCCCTCCACCTTACATCACCTGAAGGCCGCATTGAGGAGACCGCCTGAACAGTAAAAATACTTCCACACTTAAAGAACAGCCAATAGATCAGATCAACCTTAGCGCTCGACTGTTCCTGCAGCATCACAAGCATTCGAATGCTCAGCCGCAAATTGACATGATGCTTGATTTAGAAAAAGGATGCGTTTTTGAATTGAAAAAGCAAATGATAAGTATATAGACACAGGTTTTCCCAGCTAGAATGGAGATATCTGCATTACCACAACCACATTCTTTTTACTCTTTTTTCCAAATACATTCGTTTCTCAATACAGCGTGCGAACTTATCCGCGCTGCACACTACTCAAAGCACAATGAATACCAGCGAATTCTTGCTCAGGATTATCGGCATCGGAGATGCGAAATACCGCCTGATATGGTTCATGCTTGCAATCCTTCGTAAGTCATTCTTTTCAAATATCAATAACATCATAACTGACATATTCTTCAGTTGGCCTTATTGGCAACATGGTTGTCCTCATTAGCTGCTCTTCTCCCGACACTCATTCTATCCACTTGTTTCGCGTTGGTAGTGCGGAGCTTGTCGATGCAGCAGCCAACCTCACCGACGTCTCTGTCAACGATCTCCAAATCAACGAGCTCCCTGACCATTGGTACTGGGGCCTTTCAGGTCAGTATATGTTTCACTGTATTATAAACTCTGCTTTGACTAACCCAGCATACTACAGGCATGTGTGCTGTTTACAACCGCACCAACGAGGCTTTATGCAAGCATGCTTTTCCACCTTCATTTAGCGTTGAGGAAATGGTGTCTTTTGCTATCGAGACACATCTCAGAGAAGGCGATGGTCCTTCCGTCCTCAAAAGGAAGATGCTGCCCTGGACCACTGCACTCGCCCAAGTCAAAGACGAGCTCGTCATGCCCTCCCGCCTCAAGGCCCTCATGCAAGGTGCCGCAGCTCTCAGCCTGATTTCAACCCTTATCTCTTTCGCTCTTCTCCCTCTGACCATCCTCTACTTGACCATCTTGCGCGATCAGCTGCGGTGCTGGATGCTCTACATCGTTGCCTTTCTCGATGCCGTGGCATTCCTTGGGGCAGGTGTCTTTGTTGAAAACGCTATGGAGGAGGGTCCAAGGGGTCTCATAAACCTTTCCGGTGTCAGTCAAGAGCCTGGGGTTCGAGGACCAGGCTCTGTCGCGTTGACATTGGGTGTCCTGATCAAGTTCTTGGCGATAGAACTCTTCCTGTGCCTTGCCTTTCTTGGCGTGGTTCTGGTTCTGTGGCTCGTTTATGTCTGTCTGAGCATATGTGCAGAAGATAGAAACAAGGTCAAGGTCAAAGTTAAGGTCATAAATAGCGTTGAGTCTTCGCCATACTATCAGTCTAAGCTCTAAGGTTACATAGCCACATTGTGGCGGCGGCTGCTTGATACGCAATGTGCGTGGGACATTTCAGGATTGGTGGATTTGCTGTGAAGCTGCAAGGGAAGTTGGAGAGAATGGTACAACAGGGTCTTGGGGGATTGATTTTGAGGTTATTCAACGAAGAATGTAGCATGATCCAATTCGAAAGACACGGTGTTCTCATTATTCTTCGTTACCCAAGTTTGACTAATTTTCATTTTAAAGAAATTGTTGTGGTTCTGCCACACGCAAATGCTTCGTTAGCTCCATGGCCATAGTCAAAACTAAAAAGGTTATTCAAAACTCAAATACACACGTCATGTTGCGATCGCCGATCACGTTTAATTCCGCCCGTTTAAAGGTAAACAAGATCTTACCCGCCAGCCGAAGGATCACGCTAGTGGAAATGTGCGGGGAAGCAGTTGGCGATTATGCTCCCAAGGCTCTAAAACACCGACTATTGATTCACTTTACTGGTTTTTGGGACACACAGAGGTCGAAATGACGTCCAGGGCGCTCGTACAGAGTAAGCACACCATGTCAGCCTTGGCAGTTATGAGTCTCAATTAGAGGGGTAATGCTCAAAAAGGACCTTGCGCCTTTGTTTGAGCATCTCTTGACCTATACTTCTTGTGACTTGATGCCGTTGTGTTTCGTACTTGCCCAATTCCACGCACTCTCGTTCTCTGGTTGCTGGTGCTAGCTCAGCTACCACGATGCTCGGATCTACACTCGCTATCGCCATTGGCCTCTTCAGTGCCCACGGCATCCTGGCTCGCCCAATCAAAGGGATCGACAGGGCTGTGATCCAAGACGAATACGACTTTGTCATTGCTGGAGGTGATCGTCTCCATTGTATCACTTCCGAGTCTGGTGCTAACAGATTGGGCTTAGGTGGAACTGCTGGTCTTGTCGTTGCTAATAGACTCAGTGAATCTGGGAAATTCCGGGTCCTCGTCCTGGAAGCTGGACCTGATCCGAACGTCGTGGCAGCATACAAGCCACTTGGTGGAAATTCTTTAATTACAGGTAAAGTGATGATATGCCACAAGTCCAAATAATCATACGCTGATTGTCGACCGACAGGCTCACCCATCGACTGGAGGTTCGATACAACACCGCAGGAAGGCCTTGATGGGAGAATTCTCACCTATCATCGTGCGTCTTGAGGTCCCTCCAAAGAAGAATTATCAGCTGACTGAAACAGGTGGCAAGGGGCTCGGTGGAAGTAGTATGATCAATGGATTCTACTACGGGCGTGGCACTTCAACCGTCTACGACCTATGGGAGAGTAGAGGAAACCCAGGGTGGTCCTGGGACGACGTCTATCCTCTGTTCATCAAGGTAAGCGTTCGAACTGTTACTAGTTGGGTAGTCGCTCACCCGCTAGGGCACCCACTTCAATCCTCAAAACGAATCTAAGGGCTTCGATGATACGTACAAGACATTCGACAGCAAAGCCTACGGCGACGGGCCCCTTGAGATCGCATATCAAGGCTACGTCCCTGAAACGAGCGTTGCCTTTATGAACGCCTGCGCAGCGGCCAATATCCCCGTAGTCAAGGATTACAATACGGGCAACAGCACAGGTGTCAAGCAAGGTACTGCCACGCTCGATAAGCATCTCTTGCGTAGCTCTAGTTATGATGGGTACTTGAAGAAGGCTCTTGGACGGAAGAACCTGGACGTTCTGTACTATGCACCTGTCCAACAACTTCTGTCCGATACTTCGGGAGAGAAGCCCAAAGTAACGGGAGTTCGGTTCATGGATCATCCAACGGGGAGAATGCATCAAGTCCATGCATCCAAGGAAGTCGTCGTGTCGATGGGGGCGTTTCAGTCACCCCAACTCCTGATGGTTTCGGTTCGCATGCCAATACTTCAATTTCTCTCCTTTTACTAATCTTCTGGTCCAGGGTTTTGGTCCATCCGCTGAGCTGGAGAAGTTCGCCATCGAGCCTGTCGTTATAAATGAAAACATTGGCCAACAGTACGCTAATCTCAACGCTTGGATTTCCAACACCGCTAATCAATGTAATCTAGTTTGAACGATCATAGTGTTTTTAGTATTATGGCAAGAGTGGGCGATGAGCTCAAATTCTCTTCGTCTCAGCTCGCATCCGACTTCACGTTGCTGCAAGAAGCTCAAGAGGTTAGTCCCCATTATAACGAGCAACTTAACATGTACTGATCCGTCAACAGGAGTTCTACAACAACGGCACTGGGCCGTATACCGCTCCATCCGGTATAACCAATGGATTCCAGCGACTTTCGGAACAGGAGCTCTTCGATATCGGCGCAGGTGCAGTGGTGGAAGCAGGCCTTGCTGACCAGTCCCATATCGAGTACCTTTTCGAGTCAACGTGGTACCCTTCAGGTCCAACACCGTACTACAAGCAACTTTCCAACGAATCTTATATATCCTTGACGACGAGCAGCATGGTGGCTCTGTCACGGGGCAATATTACTTTAAAGGGCACGTCGATGGCTATGGCTCCTAATATTAACCCAAATGTACGTGTTTTAATCTATCTTCTTCCCTCGAAGGCTTCACTAATCGCGATTTACAGTACTATACTCATGACGCGGACCGTGCCATTGCCATTCGAGGTTTCCACTACCTCCGCAAAATTCTCGCTCATCCCGCCTTGTCAAAATACACATACGGTGAGAATAATGGTGAAGTGAGCCCCGGTGCAGCCGTAGACGATGACGACGAAGACGCCATATTCGAGTACGTCAAGGCCAACAGTATCCCCAATTGGCACGCTGCTGGCACGAACCAAATGCTTCCTGAGGCCGACGGAGGCGTTGTGGATGCACGTCTCAGGGTCTATGGGGTAGACGGTCTTCGTGTTGTGGATTGCAGTATCATTCCTGTTTTGCCGGATGTTAACATTGTTGGGCCTGTTTTCATGATTGGAGAGAAGGGTGCGGAGTTGATTCGCGAAGATTGGAATGACACTGGAACCTGAGTCATGAACGGTTTGGGATATTTAGGCGACTCCATTAAATTACACTGACGACTGGATTTTTGAATACCATTTTTTTATTGCCAATTTCGGGGTGAATTAATATTTGTCTACACATTATGACTGCTGCTGCGAGCTGTGCAGTTATCGCTGTGAATCGACCCAATTCTTTCTCCACGGTCTTTTATGGAGCACAAAATTATGTACCAATACGTATAGCTTTTTGCTCAAGCTGAATTAATATTTTAATAAATATTGCCCAGTGACTAGTTTAGTCCATCTGGACAACTTCAACATTCGTCGCCACATTGCCCTTCGTGGCCTTTGAATAAGGACAAATCTCCTTAGCCTTCTCCACAACCTTCTCCAAATCATCCTTCTTCAAGCCCTTAACCTTGACTTTCATGTCCACACGCAGACTCATATCAAGCTTCTTCATATCTCCCACGAGGTGCACAGTCGTCTCAACAATACTGTCCTCGGTATTTGTCGGCATCGTGATGCCCATCTGAGAAGCGCACGCGTTCATAGCAGACTGGAAGCACGCGCCATAACCCGCAGCGAAAAGTTCCTCGGGATTTGTCTTTCCCTTGTCGCCGGGGCCGCCGAGGGCTTTGGCCATGGTGAGTTCGACATTGAGGTTCTCGCCCTCGACGCGGCCTTTTCGGGCGCCGATTACTTTGGCGTGGGCTGAGTAGAGCGTTGGGGCGGTTTCGGTGTTGACAAATCTTCTGGCTGTGGTGTTGAGGGTGGGTGCTGTGCGCAGAGCTGCGCGGCGGAATAGAGGTTGGCAGACACGGATAGAAGACATTTTGAATTAATTGGAGATTTTTGTTACTCGGAATCAGAACTGAGTAAGTAAATAATATTTTGTGGTGTTTTGCGTGCAGTATATAAGGCTCCGTTTCTCGAGTCGAGTACGTCACCATGAGCCACAGACTTAGTGTTGCTCTACCAACAAATAAACCACATCCGTTCCTGTGACGTGATGGACATAGAAATTGTGGAGGTTAGTCTGTTTCTGTCTAGAACAGTCAATTACCATTTCTAGCACCAGGATGAGGTTACGATAAGGTAATCTCGCCGGCAACTAGCCCTCCATTATGGCCATATGATTCCCTAGCACGACCCTAGTTCGGATCAAAAGCTAGCATTGTAGCTGGGACAGTTGAGACTCCAGACCTAATTCCCGTTCACTTGATAGGGCATTGCCTTCTGGCATATCAGAATTTTACCAGACATGGCCCAATAGCAGTTGCAATGCCTGATTGATCTCATTAACTCTTCCTCATACATCCGTAATGTTTGCTTAACGACCCCCGTTGTCGCATGTATATCCAGCTTCTACAAGCACGTAAAGGTGTAAATCAAATTGATAAGACTCGAGATTTTTGCGCCTCCCACCTCCAAGTGAAAAGAGAAATAATCGTTCATTGAATATATGGCTACAAAACAAGGTCGGATAAACTCAACTTTTCTGTTTTTCGCTGCTTTAACCTTCAACTTTTTCAATTCCAGACTTTGCAAATCTCTGAATGACATCAAACGTAAAATTACCTCGTTCGTTGGATAAAATACGCGAGTTGACGACCTTTTTATAACGTGAGATTCATTCCTATTCCGAATAACAGGATGGCCTAGACGAATCTAGATTAACATATATTGACACCCATGTGCTCAAGAGCGGATTGTTTCTTTCTCACGACGCTCCAGTATCAAGCATGTAGAAGGCGAGATTTTCAATTTTCATATAGGGTAGTCATAATTCTCTTTCTTTGAGGAAGTATCCTATCTTATCCTTATCGATAAGATTAGATCTGTAACCAATGCAAGTTAAATCTTTCTAATCAATTCAATCAAATCCGTGGGTCGCCAAATCAATTCCGGAAAGATTAATTTAAGATTTGAATTATTAAGAGCACCGCCTGGCATAGGATTCAACCATAAAACGCATCAAAAACCACCCAGAGCTTCTCGCAGAAGCACGTGACGGCACGCCTGGGATAAGACACAATCCTGGTCTGCGGGGTCGGTGCTTGGTTTTTTGTCCCTATACACACAGGATTTCCCTTGTGTGTCCGATATATGTTACTTCTTTGGGCAGGTCGCATTCATAGATGTAAGTGAATTACCACATGAGATAAATACAGCACCTAAATTTTACGACAGCTTACGGTTCTCGGAGCCTTGCGCGGACGGGCTCACTGGTATTTGATGGGGCAGCAGCGCATCGGAGGCTTTGTGCCCCTATGTTCCTCTCCACCACCAATAATCTGAGAAAGAAGTCCAAGCGCGGACATAAAATGGCACCAAAACATCATCTTGAATCGGCTGGAACGGCCGACAGTAATGAGAACCGGGCAACACTTTCATACTCGGACGAAACAAGACTAAGCGAAGAGCAACAGACTGTCTTCAACCTCGTGGTAAATCGGGGGGAAAGTGTCTTTTTTACGGGCGCTGCAGGTACTGGTAAGTCAGTACTTCTGAGGAAGATCGTCCAAAGCTTGGTGGCAAAGTACCTCGGAGACAGGGATTGCATTGGTGTAACAGCTTCAACGGGCCTTGCAGCACAAAACATTGGCGGTACAACCCTCCATCGGTTTACAGGAATTGGCCTTGGCGAAGCACCGACCAAAAAGCTCATCAAGGACATCGTGGAAAGCAAGATCAAACTAAAGCGCTGGATGGACGTTCGTGTTTTGATTATTGATGAAATTTCCATGATTGACTGCGTCCTCTTCGATAAGCTGGATGCAATCGCGCGCGCGGTACGAGAAACAGACGAACCCTTTGGAGGTATACAGCTCGTCCTTTCTGGCGATTTCTTCCAGCTTCCGCCAGTAAGAAAGGGAGCAGATGACGGCAGCCCAAAGTTCTGTTTCGAGTCCAAGTCATGGAATCGTGCCATACGACATACCATCAACCTCACACAAATTTACAGGCAGAGAGATCCTGAATTCACCACAATGCTGAACCAGGTCCGAGAAGGCAGTCTCTCACCTGCCACGGTTGAGAAGTTCGGAAAATTACACAGGCCTGTGCAACATAAAGGTGTAGAAGCCACTGAGCTTTTCCCGCTACGTCGCGAAGCGGACAGGGCGAACTTAAGACGACTGCAAGACATCGATCGCGACGCCCACAAATACATTGCAGAAGATGGTGGGACGATTAAAAACCCAGATATCCGCAAAATGCTCCTAAGCGACTGCATAGCTCCCAAGTATCTGACATTGAAGGTTGGGGCACAAGTCATGCTCACCCAAAACATCGACCAGACCCTCGTGAACGGGTCACAGGGCTGCGTTATTGACTTCTGCAACACTCTTTCGTTCTTGCACACTTCATGGGAAGACGGTAATACTCATCATAATAGCGATGAGGTGACGGACAAACTCTTACCCCTTTATCCTGTGGTCCTTTTTACAATGCGCGATGGTAAACCGCGGATTCACCATTGCGAGCCTGTGGAATGGGCTGTTGAACGATGGTTACCTAAACCATGGGAGACAGACGGCTGGGTCGTCAACAAACTGGCAACGCGCGTTCAAGTCCCTCTCATCCTCGCATGGGCGCTTAGCATACATAAAGCACAAGGTCAGACATTGGACCGTGTCAAGGTAGACCTTGAACGTGTATTCGAGACAGGCCAAGCTTATGTCGCACTTTCACGAACGAGGAGCATAGAAGGATTGCAAGTGTTGAACTTTGATCCAAGCAAGGTTGCCGTACATCCCAAGGCCAAAGCTTTTTACGAAAGCTTATCAAAGAAAACGGGAAAATAAATAACTTGAATTCATAGCGATCCGGAATGGAGAACTAGAAAGTGAATAAAGTACCTTAGGCCGGGCATAATATAAGCATTTTCTCTTAACCTTGAGAACCTTTTGTGTGTGCTTTGCCATGGCGGTTAGATAGGGATAAAGAGCCAAATGTGAACAACAGCGTTTACTCCCGTTACCTAAGAGCTTCTCTGCCCATTCACAGGATTAGAGGCTCAACCTCTTATAGCCTTTCTACCTGTGATATAGAAAAACAAGTCCGGTGAAAGAGAAGGGGGAGCGCGAAGAACCAGTCATCAATCTTTCCATCCCCGTATAGAAATATGAAGTATCAAAATGATACTTGTAATTAAAACGAGGTCCTTGCGTGCTTGTTTGCTCGATCATCAAAGGCACTCGGGAAGAACAAAAACTAGATGATAGCTAGGTAGTCTTGCATGCATGTCTTAAACCATATGGGGAACATTGTGATAATTACTACAGCACATCTAAAACCATAGATGTGCGAGGTAAAGTTAAGCCCAGAATAAAGTGATTGATAACCTGATAACGTAGGAGGAAATTTTCTTCAACCTTTTACGATGCCAGACTGCAAGGTCTAAAGTCCATCTGCTACAAGCGCTATGTACCTTACTCTCAATTCTCACTTACTATTTCTTTACTTCTTCTACTATCAGTAATTTGCTACAACAAGACGTTTCTTACTTATAGAATTCTGAAATAAAGCGATAAAGAGAAAGTGGTCTATAGGCAGAGGTAATTAGCCAGGTTACCACGTATTTGTTAAGTAACGGGCAAACTGACAAGGCAGGTGTTGCTGCCTAATTACCGCCTGGTTGCTGCCTTGTTGCCTTATTACCACATCACTTCCCCTTTCCCCTCAGCTGTCCTCTTCAGTCCTGGAAGAAACAACAATTTTAAAAGCCTCACAATGTCAAGATAAACTCTTCTTTTTAACTCTTCATAGGATCAAATTTTCTGCCTTATATATCTGGCATACAGTCTGAGAACAGTTCGGCCAAGATGAACTCCACTACCTTGTTTACAAGCAATAATGAAGACCATCCGCCGTTGAAGCGGCAGAAATTCGCATATAGAAGCGTTGACGATAACCGCCAGTATAGTCGCTATACTATAGCTTGGATTTGTGCATTGCATTTCGAGATGAGTGCTACACTAGCTATGCTAGACGAGATCCACGGCGAACTACCCAGGCGTTCAAACGACAGCAATACCTATACGCTTGGGAATATTAAAGATCACAATATCGTTATCGCATGCTTGCCTCAAGGCCAATATGGGAATAATAATGCTACAAACGTATTAACAAACTTGACCCGTACTTTTCCATTAATTCGCCATGGATTAATGGTCGGTATCGGCGGTGGAGTGCCTGGTAAGCTGGATGTTCGCTTGGGTGATATTGTCGTTGGAAGTAGAGTCATGCAATACGACTTTGGGAAGGTTATGGCTGGTGGCCGAATTCAAACGACAGCGGTTCCCAGAGTTCCTAGTCATTTCTTTCTCACAGCCATAACGACTCTAAGGGCCAGGCACGAATTGAATTCAAGCCGCATCTCGGGCATTCTTTGCGAAAAGATGGAGGGCTATCCGACGTATGATCGTCCAGAAACTGCCGATGACCTATTTGAGCCGTCGTATATGCACGATCTTTCACAAAAGACCTGCCGGGAGTGCGATAGGTCACAACTGACACAGAGAGAGCCACGACAATCGTCCCAGCCGGTAATCCATTACGGCGGTATTGCTTCTAGTAATCAGGTTATGAGAGACGCTATGACCCGCGATAGGCTAGCACGAGAGCTGGATATTATCTGTTTTGAGATGGAAGCTGCAGGTTTAATGGATGTTCTTCCTTGCCTCCCGATTCGAGGCATATACGACTATTCAGACTCGCATAAGGCAAAAGAGTGGCAAAGATATGCTGCAGCAGTCGCTGCCGCGTATGCAAGAGAGCTCCTAGAGACCCTACCAGCAGTCAGTGACACACGGCAAGAACTAAATCTTCAACCCTGTTCTTGTAAGTATCTAACATGAAATCACGAAAGTAAAAAAGCTAATTTGCATTTGTTACCATAGCTAGCCAAGCTGATCCTAGTCGCCGACAACAGCTACTCGACTCTCTCAAATTCGAGCAAATTGATTCACGCAGGACTACGATCAAGTCTGCTTATTCCAAGACCTGCACCTGGTTTCTAAAACACCCTGGCTACCTTGAATGGATCGACCGAGAGAAGCAATCCCAACATCACGGATTTCTCTGGATTCGAGGTAAGCCAGGTGCTGGTAAATCGATTATCATGAAATTCATCTATATGAAGACCAAGAAAACGGATATCATGAAACAAGCCCTCACCATCTCGTTCTTCTTCAATGCTAGAGGAGGACTACTAGAAAAGTCATTGTCGGGCATGTACCAATCCCTACTTCTCCAGCTTTTTGAAGGCTTCCCCGATCTTCAGCATGTTCTCGACGACCCCGACTTAGTCCCGCGCAACCAGGTCTCCTGTCCACCCTTGGCCATCCTCAAAGATCTATTCCGTTCTGCAGTCGAGTCCCTCGAAAGTCGAGAACTTAGATGTTTTGTCGATGCATTAGATAAATGTGACGAGCAGCAGGTCCAGGATATGGTCATATTTTTTGAAGAAGTCGCAGAGCATTGTTTGGAAAATAATGTCAGGTTCAGGGTGTGCTTCTCGAGCCGACATTACCCATACATCGATATCAAGACAGGAATTCGACTGACCTTAGAAGGTCAAGACGGTCATGACGAAGACTTGAAACACTATATCCTCAAAAACTTACGAATTCAGGATGCTGTCTTGGTTGACGAGCTGAAACAGATGATGCTTGAGAAGGCGGCTGGCGTTTTTCTCTGGGTTGCTCTGGTGGTGGATATTCTGAACAAAGAAAATCGCCGTGGACGCCTAGCACTTCGAAGAAGATTACAAGAGGTGCCAAATGAGTTAAGCGAGCTTTTCAGAGATCTCTTAACCCGAGACCAAGAGCATATGGAAGATCTTTTGCTCTCTCTTCTCTGGATTCTTCTTTCAACACGACCACTAACGCCTGGAGAGTACTACCACGCACTATGGTGTGGGTTACTACTGGAAGACTTGGCAGATACGGAAATGCCGGCTATCAATAGCTCGGATGCTAAGGACTGCTTCAACAAATGTATCATTAGTTCTTCTAAAGGACTTGCTGAGACCACGAAAGGCAGCAAGCCTACCGTGCAGTTCATTCATGAGTCTGTTCGTGACTTTCTTATCAAGGATAAAGGTCTTTCCAGACTATGGCCAGAATTTGGGACAGACTGGGAAATTCAGGGTCACGAGAGGCTGAAATCATGCTGTAGCGCCTACATATCTCGCAAGGCTATCGGTAACGCCATCGACAACCCACAAATTCCGGAATCACTGGGTATGGAGAACAGCCTGGTAAAGGAGTTCCCATTCTTGGAGTACGCCTGCAAGTCTATTCTTGTTCACGCCGATACTGCTGCCTATAAAATCCCACAGCAACAGTTTCTCAGCGAATTCCCGGTATCCGACTGGGTGCGTGTCTTCAATGCGTTTGAGAAGCATAAGATCCGGATGTATGATGAAGAAGCAGATATCCTCTATATTCTCGCCGATAGAGGGCACCCTGAACTCATTCGAACGAGGCTCAAGACACATCCTGACATTGCGAAAGGAGGAGGAAGATATGGTCACCCCGTTTTGGCTGCAATGGCAAAGGGTAATAAAGAAAGTGTCGTTGCTCTTCTGAGTCTATCGTCAAGCGTTCGTCATGACTTTGATGTCACAACCGATCTTACGTGTAAAATCAACTCGGTTGAGCTGGGTAACACTCCTTTTTATTGGGCCGCCCGAAACGGCCATCCTGATATCTGCGCAGCGCTACTGCTCCAAAGTCCGCAGGACAGAGTGGCTGAAGTTGGGGAATTGCTCAGATGGCGTGACCGAAAGTTCGTGGAATTGGTACTCGAGAGAGTAGAGCATATTGCAAGTGAACCTCGTGATGTGAGCATATTTTTGCAAATAGCATCAGCGAGAGATTACCTAGAGGTCATGAGATTGCTCCTTGACATGGGGGAAGATGTTTCAGCTGTTGCTAAAAACTTCCTCGACACCCCGTCATGGAATGAAGTATCGGAAAATGATCACATATTAACTGTAAAGATGCTTCTTGATAAAGGGGCAGATATTAAAGTCACAGATCGGCGTGGGAATACTCTCCTACATGAGGCATCAGGAAGAGGTTATGCAGAGACTGTAAAGTTACTTCTTGACAGAGGCTCAGATGTTATGGCTACAAATATTGACGAAGAGACATGCCTACACTTCGCATCAAGGTACGGTTCCATAGAGACTGTGAAGCTACTTCTTAGTAGAGGCTCAGACGTTATGGCTAGACAGTGTTGGGGACTTACATGCCTACATTTAGCATCAAAAAACGGCCATACAGAGACCGTGAAGCTGCTTCTTAGTAGAGGCTCAGATGTCATGGCTAGAAGTAATGAGGGAAGAACGCCATTACATTCAGCATCACAGAGGGGCCAGATCGAGACCGTAAAGCTACTTCTTAGTAGAGGCTCAGATGTCGTGGCTAGAGATGATGAGGGAAGAACGGCATTGCATTTAGCATCAGAGAGGGGTCATACCGAGGCCGCAAAGCTGCTTCTTAGTAGAGGCTCAGATGTCATGGCTAGAGGTTTTCGGGGAAGAATGCCTTTACATTTAGCAGCAGAGAACGGCCATACTGAGACCGTAAAGCTACTTCTTAGTAGAGGCTCAGATGTAATGGCTAGAGATGATGAGGGAAGAACGGCATTAGAGTCTGCGCTACTATATCATAGCGATGAAGTCGTACAAATACTTGAAAATTATTAACCACCTTAGTACAAGATTATTAATACATTTGTTTATTACCTGGCTGTTCTGACACTTTACCAGCTTAATTGTAGTCTGTATTATATTTATTAAGGCGATTTGAGACTGAATCGGTATGTTCACTGCTCTAGAAACGCTCCAAAAGATTACTATGTCCCAGTTTATATGCGTTCAATATCCACATTTGTGACTTGGTATAACGCGCCTTAGTGAGACCTTCATGGGTCACTTCTGGAATTTTACAGCATCATGATTGATAACATATCTACCTGTTGGTTTCAGAGTTGTTTTGACTGACTTTACTAGGCATCTTACCTACCTTCATCAGTCAGGAACTGGGAGTGTGGCGGCCAGTATTAGTCTCTCTTCTAAAACAAGCGGCTTGGTTAAGTGACAGGCGATTGACCGAGTGTTATCCTTCTTATTGTGTCATTACAAAACTCGCTGTGCTGTACACGTCCCCCGTTGGCATTAGGTGCCAGTCACTTCTGTCCTCTAGGTCCCGGTTCTGGGTTCGAGGCGATGGCGGCGTTTGTGGGTGCCTTTTTTTAGGGAGCTTACACTGATAGGCGCAGTAGCCGACACCCCACAGTCAATTATATATCTCTTGTTGGCATGGATTTACACTGGCTTGATGCTAAGCGATTACGAGTGACATTTGTGAGCTGGCGCAGCCGAGATTGAGCTGGTGAAGTGGAAAAATAGGAATTGGTCCATTTCCGGGTTAACGTGTTTAACCATAAGTTGCAAAAGGTAAAACCTTCTGTGTTCTTAGATATTTAAACTCAACGCATGAAAATTGGCAGTGAGATTATAAGAGTCTGCAAATATCAATGGCCTCACTGCTCATAGTGACTGTCGTGGTGTAAAAAACAAATCCTCGCTAAACTACATGGAATTAATTAAACTTCACGGACAGTTCCATGCCGGCATTGCCGATCATCGGCCTTGGCTCTGCCGCAAGTGCAATTTTTCAGTGGAGGCTAACGTGGAGAATAGTCCAAGCTCTGTTCCAAGATCCTTCATTTAAAACTTGTGAGAGGCGCGTCGACGCTGAAGAGTGGGCCCTGGTCCACGGGTGACGGCGACGGCAATCTAGTCACCCTTGGCTTGCGTCACAAGGCTAAGAAATAGGAAAATGATGAAATCAAGGAAAGACATCTTTTTAGGTTCAGGTACATATTAAGTCTTGATGATGGTGGTTCTTTCTTCACTTCCGGTCGACCTTGAACGGAACTGAGATAAGTTGTGTAAAATAATGCAATTATGTCTCGAAACGATCATGACGCTGTAAACGACCAATCCTACGACAGCCAAGATGGCTCCGCGCAGAACATGAACCACCATCCCGTCGACCTAGAAGCTGGATCGCCAGCACGCGAAAAGGCCTTTCCCAAAAATGAGCCACGACCTCTTCGTCTTAAAGATCGCGTTGTACGAATCACATGGGGCTGGTTCCCCTGCACAATGGCAACGGGCGGTCTCGCCAACTTACTAGGAGAGCAGCCCTACACCTTTACCGGACTGCAGACAATCGGGAAGATCTTCTATATCCTCAATCTGGTCCTGTTCCTCACCTTTACTATGCTCATCGCCGCGCGATTTGTCATGAAGCCTCGGGCGTTCTCAACCAGTTTACATCATCCGTCGGAATCATTCTTCTTCGGCGCATTCTGGGTCTCCCTCGCGTTGATCCTGACGGGCGCGCAGTCCTACGGTGGACCTGCGACGGGGCCTTGGTTCACCACGGCGATACGGGTGGTTTTCTGGATTTACTATGCCTGCGAGATGATTGTTGCAGTAACGCAGTACCATATCATCTTCGAGACAGAAAAGCTCGATTTATCGGAGGCGCTGCCAGCGTGGATTCTACCAGCGTATCCATTCCTTGTCACTGGTATCCTCGCTGCCAAGGTAGCGGGCAGTCAGCCCCAATGGAGTGCAGTGCAGATTATTATTGCCGGTCTGATGGGACAAGGGCTTGGGTGGATGCTTGCTCTCTTCATCTATGCTGTTTATTTATCGCGTCTGATCCAGCATCAATTGCCGGCTGCGTCTAAGAGGCCTGGTATGTTCATCGCCGTCGGTCCAACTGGTATGTATTCTCTAATCCCAAGCTTTCTGCCTTGCACTAACCTTTGTAGCATTTACATGCGCCGGCCTCATATCACTGGGAACACAGGCCAAGTCTATTTTACCAGACGACTTCCTCGGCAGCCTCAGCTTCCCTATCGGTGAACTGTGGTATGGAGTTTCCATCGCCGCGGGTCTCTTCATTTGGCTTGTCGCAATTTGGTTCTCGGCTCTCTCCGCGTTATCCGTTCTTCGCGCGTCTCGAAAGATGGAGTTCAGTCTGTCCTGGTGGGCGCTGGTTTTCCCCAACGTTGGTCTCGCGCTCGCTACCATTAATGTTGGCAAAAACCTTTCTTCGAGAGGGATCCAGGCTTTTGGTTCTGCGCTGACTATCGTATTGGTCATTGTGTGGTTTATCTGCGCAGCTGCCCATATTCGGGCTATAATCAACAGGGACTTACTTGCTGTGGGTAAAGATCTTGAGGTGGAGCATGTGAACAAACAGCACGATAGGAAGGCCGCGAAGAGGGCAAGTTAGTGTCAAGGGCGATCGAGTGTATGCCATTCCATGCGTTAGATGATAAAGGGCTACAATTTTTAGATTAATTGACCCCTTCAAATTAAATTTTCTGGTTTTTGTGTCAATGTTTCGCCCGCAAGAGCACAAACTACTACGTCTCTGATACACAAATGTTCTTGAGGAAAGCTCATAACGGCTCATTATTAAATACATCATCTTATTAACTAAAATCGCATGTTCTAGCAAGGGAGATAGTGTCTCCATTGCAGCACTGACACCACGCGAGAGTTTAGATCATTTAATAGCAGTAGCATATAAACACCGTTTCTTCTGAATAGCACCCTATGAAACTGTCCACTAAGCCCCTTCCACTCTGGCCCTGCGGGCTATCGCCCTACAAGAGACATTTTGGTAGCACCGCAATCTTAATTGGCCTGCTACACCTTTCTGTTCTTCAGAAGAATCTCAAAGTCGGGCTCTGGAGAACACTTGAGTGTGTTAGACAATTCCGATAGAAAAAGATGAGGTTAAAACTTACAAGAACCTCAAACTCGATATTCGGGGGTCGGGTCACCCCATCGCCTAACTTGATATCGTAGTTGGTCAAAAGCTCAGCCATGATTAGCTTAATGTTAATGGCACTCAGATACCTTCCAGGGCAGGCATTCCTCCCAAAGCCCCAGGACAAATCACTCTTTGTGACACTTGAGTACTTGTATTTGTTGTCTTGTCCGGACGCCTGCCGCATTCTATAGAATCGCAGGCCATCAAATTCTTTGGGGTTCTCGTAAAGATCTTTGTCCATGTGGATAGAGCAGGTATTGATCTCGAGCTTCGTCCCCTTGGGAACGAATGTGCCATCTGGAAGTGTCAGATCTGCGATTGCTGCTCGTTGGAAGGTTGCTGTAATTTGTTAGGCCATGGTTGTTAAGTTCGGCTAGTTCACTTACTCAGATCGGGAGAGTTCAGACGTTGACTCTCCTTGAGGAAGCTGTCGAGTTTCTCCATCTTCATGACCGAGTCCTTGTCGAAATCACCATCTTGGTCTCTGGGAACAGACTCAACCTCTTGGCGAAGTATGGGGATGTATTCAGTATGGGCAGCGAGGTCGTAAATAGCCTGCGTTGTCGATGAAAACGTCGTAACGGTTCCTACAGCAATCAAAGTCATCTGATGCAGGAGCTGCGTCTCAACATCGTCAACAAGTGACTCATTCTTTCCAGAGCTGAGATGATCTAACATGGTCGGTGGATCCTCCAAATTTCCTCCTTTCTTCTTTCTTTCATTCATCGACGCCATGACTCGTTTGCGACCTTTGGCCCATTGGTCTTTGATAGCAGCGCGCTCGGGGATGAACCTGTAGACTAGAGGTCTGAGCCAAGGGTGCCACTGCTTCAGAGCACGGATACAGTCAAAGCATGCCAAGACGTAGCCAGTGGAAGCTGCTTGCCATTCTTCGTCGAGGCTGGCGGCGGTGCCTTGGAATACCCGGGCGTTGTTTGTGGCGACGAGACGTAGTACTCGATCATGCACTTTCACGGGAGTCCATTCTGGTCACTTTTAGCAACTGTGGTATATTTTGGATAGTACTGACATACCTTTGTACCGACCAAGGATCTTGGGCATGTTTCTCTTGACCATACCGTGAAGCAAAGGAGTGAAACTCGCTGGGATAATCAGTCTTACTATCGTTGAGATCTTGGAACCAGGATACTAACGGAGTGACCCAGTCAGATTGGCTTTTATAGCATGGATGACATACTCTGCGGGACCACCAAAGTACGTATACTCAATTTGCATGTCCTGGGCAGTCAGTAGAGCGAACTAATGGAAGAGCCGATTACGTACATTGTCGATGGATGCTTTAAAGCTGAGAGCAGGGTGGCTCTTCAGCGCATCGAGAAAACTTGGGGGGATTACGACCTTGACACCTAGGAATGTGTTAATCTCAAAACTTTAACGTCATCTGAAGGTCGTACCATCTTGTGTATCAATGCCGAAAACCTCATTTTTGAACTACTTCGTCAGTGTGGCGCTGTCTGCAATCGCTCACTGACTTACTTTTGCATAGCCCTTTGCCATCACAGCACGAGGGTTAAAGCAGTATTCAAGCGCTCGCTGTCTTGCATTTCCGATTTCATCCTTGAGTAGGATTTTTACTTTTGGCGCTGGGTTCGAGTTCAAGAATGCCACGGTGAAAAGCAATATTGCGCACAGAGCAAGCGCTCCAAAGACTACGAAGTACGAGTGCTGAGACCGGTCATATACTGTACTGACGCATCTTGGGAGACCGCGCTTGAGACTAGAAAGGAGTGATTTTGCCATACTGGTAAAGTGGAAGAACAGTGGAAGCAGGGTGATAATGCTGTCTACCAGCCGTTATTTAGATTCGAGTGAATTCACGCGATCAATTCACGGGTAACAATGTTTATAACTTATCACAGCTCACTCTACGGTAATTTTCACGTGAAATACGCAATGACACTAGATATTGTTCTTTTGGTGTTGAATCAAATGTTTGTGCCTCTAATAAAGACAATGGACACTCGGACGTGGACTTGATCCTCTCAAATTCGAGGATGGCCGCCTCGACCCACATTACAATGCCACTGCTATCATATTGTTCAACAACGAAATCGCTTCCCCAAAGGATAAGGCCTTCTGTCCCGTTAACCATCGGCGAAAAGAAACGTTTACCTCCAATTACTTTCCTTACATTGTATGAAAGACTTTCCACGTCCTGCTAGGTAACTTGGTAAGGCGGAAAATTGGGGGAATAAGATTATGCTGTATTACGTAGCTTCATCGAGATGTCACGTGGTGGTCTTTATCTCCGATCACATGTGATACATTCTATATTTATAGATGTCCTCGAAATGAGATCTCCGGGTATCTCAGAACTCTAGTGATTATTACCGAGAATACTAAAAGTTCCGAGACAGTAACTGGTATACGTCTAGTTGTTATCAATCCAGAACACATGACTATGGTGATTAGTATCTCGTACATCCAGCCATGGACAACAGTTGAATAATACTGTAAATACTGTGTAGCAAGTCGCAATAAAAACACTACTCTCGATTCGGAAAGGAAAATGGCTTCGCACACATACAACCAACACATTCGCTTTTGCCCAGAACAGCAAGCTTTTTTACCCCAGCTACTTCAGCTGTTGCGGGGTACGTTGGAGATTCCAGCTTACCTCAACGTTGATATTCGTACTCTTGGAACTAACATCTCGTATGGTCATGGGTGGCCAAATTATGCCCAAGTCCATCTTAGCGCCGAAGTATTCTAGACTTAAGCTTCAATACGTGGTGCAATTCACGTCTCGGACTCTCGGTCATAATCTTGGACAAGCTGGTAGCTAAGCTCAAATACTGGGCTGAACTATTGACACAGACTATTAGCGGGCTTACAGTAGCGCAAACTCTACTTCACTTACCCCACCACGATGATCGTCACGTTAGTTAACAACTAACAAAGGCACGGCAGATCCCACTTGTCGCAATTGTCTTGATAGACTTGATTAGTTCCGAATCGGATAAGTTTCAGGTGACACTTAACGACAACGGTGGTCCCATCACTACCAGGGATTAACATGGCCGGAGGTTAACAGAAGGAGTCTTACTTCTTAAATCTTACAGACTCCGATAATTGCTTGGTATTGTCGAATTTCCACTTTGCTTGGGCACTAGCAGCAATGAAGCAAAGCCACATCATCAACACAAGAACGGGGCCGGGATCGCGGATTGTCTAGCCGTCAATGCAACACTATATCCTTAAAAGCATGCTCCAGAGATGTTTGCTATTCATAGGTAGTCAGCAGTAACTCGTGGCTCCATATGGCATAAACGGGAGCTTACCGCCGTTTTTCAGCTGTGAGGCTTCAACCTTCCGTCATGCCCGCCACCAGGTCTCGTATCCAATCTAGCACCGATATTCCCGCCACATATAGGGCCAGACCCAGGTACCAAACCTAACGGTCCTCCGAGGAGCCGAGTTCCGCCTGTCTGACTTTTTGCGAGGTTCCGCGGCCGCCGTTTCGATAATAAAGTATGGATCCCCACGGGTAGGCTCCTCGCCTGCATCAATAGATACAAATAGTTTAGCCACTCTCAAAGTGTCTTCTAAACACGGTGAAAACTGGAGAATTTGCGGGTGGAACAAGCCAGCATTGGCGACTCCCGGTGGAAAAGGCTCTATCTCTTGCTATTTTGTCTCTCACAAGGCCAATGCCTCCGTGTAGCGACACCAAGACCCGGAGACTTTTGGTCCTTGTGCTGCAATGGCGCTAAAGGCTTCCTCCTCGCTTGTTTCCAGTTGGTACTTGGCTATTCAGTTCATGGATCTGTCAAGCTAGGCTTCACTTTCAAGACCGAAAAGAGTATTAACTCGCTTTAATTTAATTGATAGATTGGACAAAATACTGAATTAAGCCCACTTGTTGGGTCTTGACTAAGGTTAACTTCATCGGTAAAGGCATTCTCAAAGGAGTGTAAAGATCGAAAGTAGTGACGGTCGAAATCCTACACCTCACCACACCAGGCCAGATATAATATACTAGGTCAATCCAAATTCTCCCTGTTTATTCGCCTAGTAGTGACCACCCTTGCCGCCCTTTCCTCCTTTACCACCCTTGCCTCCTTTGCCGTTGTAGATGTTGATGTTGATAGTGACGGGGGCATTGAAGTCCACTTCGCCAATGCACATTTGGAACTTGGCAAACAATAAGTAGAGTATCAGCAAGGTTCGTTCAGATTACTTACACCGTTGTTGTTGTTGCAGCAAATGATCTTTGCGTTGCAAACTTCCGAGTTTGAGCACGACTGAGCTGTAGAGGGTCAGATTTTGCAGCCTGGTCAGGTAGCTTTGCGATACTTACAGCCGTCACTGGCGGTAGTGCAGCAGTACTGAGTTCCTGAAGAACAGGCGTTTCCCTGCTGAGTATCTGGTGGCGTCGAAGGGCAGTCTTTACCAGTACCCTTCGCTGCACTGCTCTTCGCTGCGCCTTTGAGGCAAGGTGATTAGAAACGTTCACAACATCCTGTGGACAAACTCACGACGCAGAGCTGGGAGTCTAGGCCAAGGAATATCTCCGAGACCTGGGCCTCTGGGCTCAATGTCAGCTCTAGGCTGAATGTCTCGGGCCTCAACCTCCGCTGAATCGCTGATTGGAGACGCAATGACGCCCTGCAGCAAAACGAAGCCGGAGACAATAGTAGCGAAACGCATGATTTAGAGTATCTAGCTTAAGCTCAAGGCGGGCAGCTAAAAAGAATGTATTGCAGTAGGTTGAGAGAGTGTGCTTTGCTTTAGTGGCGAGATGTAGAATGACTCGGATGGATGCACAAGTGCGTGAGACAGACGAGGCAAAGGCTGGTATTTGTGCGAGAGTCTTTTCAGTGTACCTTGAGGACCTCGTCTACCCTGTTAATACATCTAACCCTCAGCCTCACGATCTCGAGGCTCGGGACCGTTGAATCAAGACCCGTTAAGGCGTTATGCATTTCAACAGTCAATTTATGACTTTGTATGACGGAAGTGTCTGTGCCCGATCCTCAAAACCCCTGGTCTAGCTTCAAGACCCCTGCTCGATCGGCCGCGGCTCGTATTGAGGTCAATGCGCATGCATGGAGGTCCGATAGTGCTAGAGGCGTAAGAATCTGGGGAAGCTGTGCTAGCCTGTCTTGGGGGTATTATGTTGGGAGGCCATCAACATGCTCTGAATTTGCCGTCTTATTGGTTCATGATATAGCAAAGGGGGTGCTAGATGCGCAGCCACGGACAATCAACCCACTCACAAGAGCATACCCTGTCAGGGCCGTTACCGATCTCCTGGATCTTGCTATCATTGCCGGGGTGAGACACTTCACTCGATTGATCCGCTAAGAAGATTGTCGAGTGACTCTCTCACAGGTGTTACTCTGGCTAGGAAGATGAGCAAGGTGATTTCCCTCTCGCTGGCCATGGACTCCTGCGCTGGTATACCTTAACGCAACGGTACGGTGGTTGTCCAAAAGTCAGCGTCCAATGCGCACTAAGGTTAGATACGCTGGCCTCTAGAGGTCATACATGCTTACCGTTACATGCGTCAAGCCTTCTCTGACTCTTTTTGCTTGTTGGCTCTTAGTTCTTACTCAACCTTTGGTCTCGAACCCGTCAGCTCACGAAACGTGTTCAACAGGACTGCCACGCCGTCCAATCCGATGCGTGGTCTTGCTGTTGACTGTTGCTTTTTACTTCGGACCATCGGCGCCGTGTTCTCGCCTCCTCGCCGTCTCCGTAAGCCATTCGACTCAGCTCTCCAGGACTATCACATTTGGCTGACCCTGGATCGGGCCTCGATTCAGCCTCATATTGTCTCCCTCCAACTATCTCACGACCTTTTCTCAGTTGTGGGGTTATTTGGCTTCACTTCACGCTTCATCTTGCATGTTATTGACTTTTACGATGATGCCTGGCCAGCAAAAAGAGTTCGATAGCTTCACTTTCAGCTGAGGGATTGGACTTGGGCGTCGAGAGAATGGCGAGAATTGTCTCTCTGAATGGGACAATACCAGAGATCATGCGAATGTATGGGGGCATAATGAGTATATAAGTCAGGTTAGAATCCCTCATCAATCACTTTCCTCATCACTCACTCACTCATCACATCTCAGACTCAATTCTACATTCTCATACTCTCTTTTCCGAGACCAACACTTTCCAAACCAACAACATGAAGTTCTCCGTCCTCGCCATCCTCGCCATTGCCACTGGTGCTCTCGCCAGCCCAGCTCCTGGCATCAAGCCCCCCAAGGCTCCCAAGCCTCCTAAGACTGTCAAGCAGAGCAACAGCTGTGGCAATGACCAGGCTCTTTACTGCTGTTCCACCAACGACAAGGACAGCAGTGTGAACTGTGTCTCCTTCACCAACGGTGGCATTGGGGGCGTCTGCAACGGTATCCAGATGTGCTGCAACAACAACGTAAGTGACTGTCTCTTGCGCCATCGGGAGTATTTTACTGATTCAAAACAGGGATCTGGAAGCCAGAGCTGCGGCCTCAACACCGGTGGCGGTACTATTACCTTCTCACTTAGCTCTGGAGGAGGCCGCATTCCCATCGAGTAAACGGTCTCACCAACCATCACAGTCGATCAATGTGACCTCCCGAGACTTTGGAGCACCACAGACTTACTACCAGTCGACATTCCACGATATTCACGCTCATTACGATACGACAAGACATTTACGATCATTACTATGCAGCATGTAGGAAGGGGTTTGAGATTGATGTGGGGCTAGGAATTGAATTCGCTTCTGTTGGACTAGATCGAGAATGGTTCTGGCCAGGCTGTTACCGATCTAGCCCTACTCTGCTTCTTGAAATTTACTTTGTTGTTAGTCAGTTTAACAATAAAAAATACATGGGTCGCTGAGACTACTTTGCTTTCACTCGTGACTGGAATACGTGAGGCTCCCTCGTCACTTGCATAAAACAGGTGCTTGTCATAGCATCCTCACTTCAATTTTCAAGTTGGTAGTCGGAGCTAATACAAAGCATTTGTTTCTCTTCCCCTTTATCTCCATAAAACTTAGCCAATCAACCTGGTGATAACCAGTCACGTACCTGATCATAAGTCAAGCCTCAGTCTACTAACCGGACCTCCAAGCCTTCTTCAAAAGGTCTTCAACCTTTGTAAACTGGTACCCCGGCAACAGCTTGTTCCACTCATCCGATACAGTCCAGACTCCCCGGTGAAAGGCAATCAAAACCCCAATTGTGGCCATCTTCGAGAAAGCTTCGATTTGCTCCTGAGGAATGGATGGCAATTCAAGGCGAGGGTAATTATCCGTCTTCAACTCCCCGGCCTCGAGGTCTTCCATCTTGAGCCATTCAATCGTGAAAGGTTTTCCTTACCCGGTTTTAGTAATTTGCTCTCATAGTTTTCGGTAATTCTTACCCCGTATCTCTTCACCGAGCTTCAATAGCTGGCGAATGGTGATTTTCTCACCACAGATACCTCCAACCTCTGGCCATTCGCCCTCGTAGTCAACAGCTTGTGTGACCACATTTGCAATATCCTCCACAGACGTGTAAACGATGTCGTCATCGAGTGTGCCTTCAACAACGATTGCTCGTCGCTTTTCGAAATCCACATTGACGACGGTGGTGGTTACATATTTGGTGGTCTTGTGTGGATGACAGAAATAATCCATAAAGCCACCGGGTTGAAATCGTGTATACTCGAGGACCTAATAAATATTCAGCGATTAGATTAGATGATTTTCTTATTCTCGGTCGGTTTTCTTGTTACTACCTTTTTCTCCGAGTTGAGATTCTCAAGATACTTAACAATCTCAATCTTACCACTGTACCACGACATGACGTCAAGTGAATCGGCCAATTTGACGCCTCTGAGAACCAGTCAACTTGGGTCCGCAACAGAGTAGTTATCAAGGGATAACTCACGTAGCCCATTCAGACGGGGCATATCTTCTAACGCCAGCTTTGACAGCAGCGTCGATAAGCCGCTTCTGGGTTTCACAGCCCGGGTCCAAGTGGACTGCAAAAAAGCATAGAACGGTATGGACTCCGCGGAGTAGCTCGACTAGTTCTGACTCGTCTTTGTAATCAGTCTGAATCCACTTGACACCAGTCAGCTCAGGAAATTGGGAAGTTTCCTGTATAAGATGTGTTAGTTACAATAAGTCAGAATTTCAGAAAGGGTCGTAAAATTTACCTTGCGGACAAGCGCGATGATCTCATGTTTTCCGGTTGCGACGAGCCTGTCCAGGATTTCTCGAGCCAGCTCTAGTTATTGCCGTTAGAGGTGAAAATAGTGATTTGGTTTTCTTTCGGGACATACCACTTGAGGCACCGGCGATAGCAATCCTCACCATGTTGACTGAGTAGAAATTGGAGTATAAGTTGAAGATTGATCGGTGTTGAGATTCAATGACAAGTGAGTTTCTTGGGCAAGACAAACTTCATCCAAAGTGAAGTGCCTCCTATTTTATATGTCATAAACTCCGCATCTTCTTTTTATCGTCCACTCAGTATTCTTACGCGGAGCGAAATATACCTCCGAGTCACGTAACCTCCATTGACAAGTCCAAGGTTGGACGGGTTAATTGGTTCCCCGGCGGTTACGTGATCGGGGTAATTGAAAGAGGCTATACCCAATGCGGAGCTACACCATCTGACAAATCAAGCCTGCGCTTTCACCTGTCAACACGTAACGATCGTCACCAATATATAGACTTTTGGACGTCATTACAACAGATATGGGTGCGGTTAATGCCCAAGATGATTTGACTGTAAGTGCCCAACTGAACTACAAAGATCAGGCTCTAATCTTGTAGCGTCGGCGTGAGCGAGGCCGGCGCTCGCAGGCAGCTTTCCGTAAGCGACAGGCCAAGTCTGTTCAAACTTTATCAGTTCAGAATGACCTTCTTAAGAAAAGCATTCAAGCTGCAATTAACACGGCTCATGAAGACGATCGACCTGAGATGCTTTGTGCTCTGCGTGATTTAGCAGAGGTTGCAGAGCTAGATGTTCCATCAACTCTCGCAGTAGAAACGATAGCACATCAGAAAGACAGACTCCCAGAAGAGCCTATCACGAATATAAACTCCAGTAGGGTGGTTGACACATGGGATGTTTCCCTTTCACTCGGTCCTTCACCCGCTACGCAGTATCGTCTGGATTGTGGCGTATGGCTCGACCCGCTGCATTACTTGCGCGTCTCCCTGCCTCCTCAAGATATCCTTCCATACTTGGGCCCTGGGGCTGAGTCATTCGCTGGGATTCTATTCTGGTCAGTGATGGAGCATAGCCAGAGCGGATGCGCTCGACACGGCCCTGAGACACTCATCAAGACAGGTCTCGGCCACTCCGGCCCGACAAAAAGCATCGCGCCGTCGTTTGTCCAAACTATGGCCAAAGCAAGAATCGAGTACAAACAAACCGGTTCCATCAGTCAAGCGCATGCAGTGGCCGCAGAAGATGATCTAGGGCTGGTGTTATGTAAGCTTGTCGAAGCCGACTACCGTTCTCAAGGCAAAGATCCCGACCAGTGGCTGTCATGCGTCGCTATCGAGCAGCGAGTAAAAAGCAAAATCGGTCATTCTGCTTTTAGCACTCTTACTGAAGTTGCTCTGGGTCACACAGATGGACTCTTGCAGTATCTGTTAGACGAGGTTCAGTGCAAGCTCTATGATACATCAGTTTGCTTTGGGGATGGGCCGCGCTGGGACATCAAGATAGTAGATGATTTATTTGCCACGCTGATCGGACATGCATTGGGGATGAGTAAAAATGTGTGTGATTAGGCCAACCGCCTAGTCGTTGTCACAGGCTTTATTTATATGTCCGTTTATGCGAACCACATATCTATAGCACAGAAAGACTAATATTAAGAACTAGTAAGAGCCTAGTTACGAAGATGGATGTATCGAAGTGGTACATCCCTTCTTGTGTAGAATACAATAATGATAAGCTACCTCCACTCAGCCCAGGGAAGCTACTAAAGTCTCCTTAGTACAGTGAACACACTCTAACAGAGGCTGATGATAGTCCAAGCAACTAGACCGATAAAGGTTGGGAAACCGTATTGACGAGACGCACTGTTGGTAGCGACGGCGGAAGGCGTAGGAGTAGGGGTGGTCTAGGAATTGTTAGGATTTTCATTATTTTAAGAGCATCCGTGATAACCTACCACCTCGGTTTGCTTAGAGGTGTCTTCAGCAGAAGTCACCACCACGGGAGCTACTTCAGAAGGAGTCACTGCCGTGGTAGCTGTCTCAGATACCTCTGGGGCATTAGTCGAGGTGTCAACAGCTGTGCTCTCGGGCTCTTCAGCTGTAGACGTGGGGGTCTTGACGGCAGTCGAGACAGCAGCCGAGACGGCAGTCGAGACAGCTCCAGCACCGGAAGGACTGGGAGAGGGAGACAGATCACACTGCTCAGCTGCCTTCTCCACTCCTTCGCCGTAGTACTTCCAGATGCCATAAGTGTTTGCGCATTCCATGCATCGGCCGTAGCGCTCATTCCACTCATCACTATCGCAGAAGCCTGTTTCACGGGCGAGTGTGATTAAAAGACCTAGCAGGAATTTATTAGTGATCACACAAGTTGATAAAACCATGGCGTACTTACCACAATCTTCGTGGCATGCGTATTGAGGGGTGCCAGGCTGCTGGCGTTTTACCAGCGGCACTGTGTCTGGGAACTCAAAGCGAGGGTCGAGAGCGACGGAAAGAGTGGCACATGCCAAAAGACTGTAGACGGCGAACGAATGCATGCTGAGCGAGCGAGGGGTTGTCTGGAGGCTGGATGGATGGATAGTAGGACTGTGGAAAGAGACAAGTTTGGCTTGGGCACGATAAGGGTGCTTTTATACTAAGATCTATCAAGCACATGCTACTTTGCTGGACTACTGTCCTGGATCATGACAAGGATATTCACAAGGCAATCAATCGCCTCTTCGGCCTATTTCAACATCCTTTTCCGTCGCAACCCGATAATGCCGGTGATGTAGTAACTGCCCAGCCAGCGGTGATTGGTACCGGATCATTTCCATGACCTGATGCCAAGTGAAAGCGACCGTTCTGGGCAGATAAATCCGTCAATAAGAACTCCGCAGACCTGCGTATCCGATATCGCTGCAGGACTTGGCCAAATAACCAGGCCTAAACGAGACTGGTGGGTGTCGTTTAGACTTTAGTAACCAACATGGGGCCAGTTAAACGGTGGGTGGCAGGCCAATGGGAGCGTCGGGATGCATCTAAATCTTATCTGATCATCTGATAAGGAGGGGTTGTCACACACACGAGCTAAGGAGTCAAATCAGATGTTTGCTGCATGTCAAGTTGCACTTTTGCTGAGCTTATCGGTGTCACAAGCTTCAGTGGGCTCTTGGCAGGACAAAAGTCCCGCATACCAACCGAGCAGCCAGCCACTGAGTCTGAGTACGGAACGCACCATGCAGCGATATAACACAATGAGATTTCCCAAAGGTGTCTGCGAACACCAGCATCCTCCTTCTTGCCATCGCTGTTCTCCCTGTTAAAATCACACTGAAGTCGCCATGCTGAGATCTCTGCTTCTCCTGGCCTTGGTGCCATTTGTCTCGACTCAAGATGAGATTCCTACAGATGCCAGTGTTACAGATGAGGACATGGGCCCAGCAGCTTTCATGTGGCCTCCGGACAGAGTGTGGTCGGGGGATATGGATAATAAAGCCCCCTGTGGTTCCCGTGCTTCTGCAGGCAACAGGACCGATTTTCCACTAAGTATGTGCTTCAAATATCAGACGAAATGAGATTTATTAAGATGTCCTCTCCTAACTGCTAATCCAGGTGGCGGTGCTATTTCACTCGTCGCTCAAGACGATTACTACAACACGAAGATCAGCATCTCCTACTCTAACGGTAAGCAGCTAACTGCCCCAAGCTCTTTAGCATTGTTACTAACACGCTTTTTTTCTAAAAGATCCTGCCTCGAACAATGACTTCGACACATTGATTCAAGAGAGCAGCATTGCAGATCTCAATCCAGGCCACAGCTGCGTTGAGGTTCCCGACGCACCATCCAAGGTCTCGGCTGGCGACAACGCAACTCTACAGATCATCTATCGTGCTGACTGGGATGCACCACACAACCAGACCTTCTACGCCTGCGCCGACATTACCTTCGTCGAAAAGTCCGACTTCAAATTCGCGATTCCGTGCTTCAATGCCACCGAGCCAGGCGACGATGACAAAGAAGCTGGCGCAACCGCTGAACCAAACCCTACCGCAACCCACCGCTCAACCTCGACCGCTGACTCTGAAGCTTCCGACTCAGACGAGAAGTCCAGCGGCTCTAAGAAGCTGAGTGGTGGAGCTATTGCCGGGATCGTAATCGGCGCTGTTGCTGGACTGGTACTTATTGCTGGTGCTGCATTTTTCTTCTGGCGGAGGAAGCAGCAAGCAAAGAGGAACTCAAGGATTGCTCGAATGGAGGAAAATGCTCGAAAGCATCAATTGGCGAGCGACGGTGGATCGCCTAGTATTTGAAGCGCGACAGCTCCAACAGCATTCAAAATGGGACTGGTCAACTGTTGGATGTAAATACTGTCAGTTCGGCGGATTAGCTTTTAGGTCTCAATGCGCTGGAGTTTATGCTATGTTGTTGTATCTGTAGACACCAGACTCGTAGTAGTATTTGATCGTGACTGCATACTGAACACATCGTACACAAGGATCAGCGGAAATGTTGCGCTCCGACCCTGACACATCATCACACTCACGGCGTCTGCCAAGGCGTGAAAAGGTTTGCCGACGGTCTAGACAAGGAACAGGACAGCCTGTCATGTCAAAGCGTCTAGCCCGGGCGTTTAAATTATGGGCGGGAAAAGAGGAGAGAAAAGAGGAGGTTGGCAGGTGGGTCAGAAAATAATTGGGATTTTTGATGAAGATGACTAAAATATTCAAAATTCAGACTAGTCTCAGGCTTGTAGATTTGATCGTGCTTTTATGTCGCCTGCTTCAATAAGAGCTTGGATTCCCTATTAACTTCTGACCTGCCTGGTTGGGCAGCGAGGCATGTGATCCCGCGGCAGGAATGGCGGGCCGGATAATCTATACTCCGCGAGTTCACCAGGTCCTTACTTCGTTCACAAATGTGAAAACAGCATTTATCAGTACAGCTTTCCTTAGGGGAGGAAATTAACCATTCACACAACTACAAACATTGACCTACTCAAAGGAGGCGACTCGCAAAGATAATTTATTTCCCCGGTATAAAGTCAGCATAATAGACTATAAAACTTCGGTAACATATTATATGCTTTGTGTATCCGTAAAATTAATTATTATGAGCTTACCCTACTCTCAAAGCTTGGTCCACCCTAGATATGAAGCGATTCCGGATTCAGATGCATAAAAACACACACACATTCGGATGGCTCAGGCACACCAATACTTTCTACAGTAGTTATTTGCCACGCAAGCCACCATGACTTTCTCCTTGTCTAATCATTAGCGCCGCATTTAGTCGCCGCTTACAATCTGACGACTGAAAACAGGGTCATTGCAAAGTCGCCGTGAGATCCAAACCCACAAGGTTACATCTGGAAGAGATAACCGGTTCTATGGAGCCGTCAGTCAGCTGGTAACCTATTAGATGCTCTGCATTTAATCTGACTCAGCGGACTCAACCTGGCTGCCTAATAATACGTTGATGTATTTGACTGTTTAGATTAGTATCTAGAAAGTATATACCAGTACTTCAGTTATGAAGACAAAATATTACCTCTTAAACTTAATTGAAGCTTCCATGTTGGACCATGAGAGGGTATAAAGAAAGAGGGAAAATGCGTGAATAGATCCGAGAATACGAGACTAAACGATAGATAGCCCTACGAACGGGGACAGGCCATGCTTGAAGAATATAACGTCAGCGCTAGTTGTACTGCGCCTTTTCAAAATCTGACAGGGCGAGCATTTAAATACCAAACGCATACCTCATATCTCTTGTAATCACTTTCATTCACCTTTTCAGCAGTGAGCCTTTACCTACATCTGACCAACGACATGAGCACAGCACAGAAACCATGGGTTGACGGCCCTTTTACTCTGATTAGTGCTTCGAAAGCCGGCGACTCGGTATGACTTCATCCTTTTTTAATGCGTCGTGAAGAATACATATCACTGACTGCAGATGCCTTTTAGCTTGATAAACCAGCCACAGGCGCCAGGCAATGTGCAGCAGGCATGGCTGTCGTTCACAATCTTTTCCTACGCGGCATCAACGCTATCTATCTACAAGCAGTCAATGTCTCTCAACGTGGATCGCAGAAAGACAAGTTGGATTTCGCCAGTTTTGCGTGGTCGTGGAGCGAAGAAGTTCTAACGCATCATGATGCCGAAGAAACAGACATCTTCCCTGAGATCAACAGGATCACTGGTGTTCCAGGGTTGATGGATGCGAATATCGAGGAACACCACCTGTTCCATACTGGGCTGGACCGTTTCAGGGAATATCTCACCAAAGTACGAAAAGAAGAGGAGGAGTTTAGTGGTGAGAAGCTGATAGAGATTGTGGACTCGTTCATGCCAATTCTGAGAACGCACTTGGAGAACGAGATTGAGACTCTCGTTGATCTGGAGAAATACGCCGACAAATGCGATTGGGGCGTGTGGTTTGAGAAAAAGGGCGCTGAGCTAGGGAAGAAGGCTATGGGTAATGCATCCCATCGCAAGGAACTTCTGCCGTTGGCTATGGTCCTCCACGACAAGACATATGAGGGAGGGATCTGGCAGGACTTTCCTCCTCTCCCATGGATTGCTCTGACTGCGATTCGGTGGTTTTTTGTTAGCGCGCACCAGGACTGGTGGAGGTTTTCAGGGTGTGACTCGTACGGAGTGCCAAAAGAATTACCATTTGTTTGAGTAACTCTAGGGCTTATCAGACAAGAGATGATAAATAGTCGAGTTACACTGATTCTTTTCTTTTATTGAACTGTTTATTAACAGCCTACCTGCTATTCAGATGGTCACTATATGAGCAATATAGGTCGTGATACAATTTGAAACATTTACTAATAGGTAAACTCTTTCTGGGCCACTTTTCCTATTCAACGTGTATGGCTGGGATACCGGACTGGGCTAGATATTAGGTGACCACACTTGCTTTGATGGGTTAATTCTCTTCCAGGTTAGTAAAATAATTCGATAAAATTTCTCCTTGCTTATTTATGTACGGACAAGTCTAAATTTATCGTAGAATGGCCTCCGTACCAAAGGTGTTTTGTTCACCCTTTTCATTTAGGCAAGCCTGTGTCTTAATTCTGAAAGTAGATGACCTGAAGATACCGTGTGATTTTTCCACATTCTCATTAGCATATTTCTGAGGACAACGTTGCACGGATAACAACACTCATGTGAGAAGATTAGGCGAACAGGGTACCCGCCACAGCACCACCTCCTTGGGTCTCGCGAGGAATAGATCCCGGACCCGAATATTCGGAGATCATGACATTTACGAGACGTTAGCTTTCACGGGGAATAGCGGTATGCACCCTCTACCGGGTTTGTTGTAGGAGCAATACTACGTTATTTCACCTGAACCACCTGCACATCTCTTCTAGAACAGGAATGCAGGCAGGGGATTCAATGTAACCTTGGTATGAAAGCGAATTTTACGTAGAGTTTCCGGGTAGGAAATTAATGGGTTTCTAACTTGGCAATACTGAATCCCGTCGGAGAATATATCTATGATGTTAAAAGAACCTCAGAGCCTTATATCTAGCTCATTACAGGGCGGCAGAGAAAAATTAATTTCTGTTTCCAGTAAAACGTGCTCGTAAATAAGCGACCACTGTATTTTAGCGAATGGAGCGCCTGGCCCCTATATTGTGGGGTTCCGCGTACAGATGACTTTATCCGCACATCGCTCGCTCGGTTGTTGTCTATTGTGGACCCATTTTGTGAGTAACATAAGGAAATGATATGATCCGGGTAGGGGAAAGAAAAAAGAATAGGAATGGTTTGGCCGGGAAGTGGGGTTTTTATCTTGAACGAAGGCTGTTGGTTCCAGCTAGACATGATTTATGACGCCTCGCATGAGCTATTGACGTTGGTGATGATTTTGGTGTTGGTGTTGGTGATAGTGAGGCGACTCGAGAATGTGATTTGTGAGTTTGCATGTCGCTTTGACATCAGTTGATCAATCTGCACCAAGCCATCAGACCATTGGCGGCCCGTGTGACACGGCACATCTACCGGGCCAGCGGACTAACGCGGGTATGTATCCGTAACGCCCCAGTGTCAGAAAAGAGCAAGGTAGCGACCAACAGCACTGTATACCTGGTATTTGTTTAGGCAGTTTGTAGTAAAGATAAGCAGCACAGAACAAATGCAACCAACAGCTGCTACGCTGCGACTATACGAACTACCAAATAGACCTTCGCTAACAAAACACGCCAGTACGTGTCAGGGGGCCCAAGTCGTGCGTTAGCGTTGTTTTCTCGCCTTGCATCAGTCTAAACAGCACTCTTGGGGTTAGTCTCGGCAGTCTTTGCCTTGGAAGGCTCGCAGTGGTTTCAGGAGAACAGACGGGAAATGGTCTGTCTCACTGTGCAAGCGCGGAGGGATTCATTACCTGGAGGGATCCTAGTGGGCCAAGGTTGTATTCCGTTATTTGGAACAGCTACGCCAGTCCACAACGAGACGTCAAGACCCTAGCTACAGGAACTGTCTGCGTAGCTTGGTTGCCAAACACGCAACCCCCTGTGCCAAACCCTGCCATATCCAACGGTTTTTCGCGTTTCCTTGCCCTGTCGAAATGCGAGAACAACAGACCGCTCATTTCTGCCGTTTGCTATGTAACCCTGCCTCGCCAACCAATCTATATCATTCGAGACAGTCCTGCAAAACTGTCATTTCGTCTTCTGCCACTGTTCTCGACTTTCTGCCCTAAACTCAGTCCCTCAAACTTAGTTCCTCCATAAACCCAATTCCGCAGTTACACCACTCGCACTATGGAAACAATGGCACCTCTGCAGCAGGCCCTGCCCTCCCTTCAACTCTTTGTTAATGCCGAGGATTTCCGAGACCTCGGCATGACGCCATGGTTCAGTTATTCCGTTACCTTGCCCGAGCGTCCAATCCCCAGCGCGTCTGACCGACCTCCGATGGAGACTGAGCACCTGTTGATTCGCCCTCTTACGATGAAAGACCTTGACGCCTTTCACGAGCTCCGCCACAACCCCGAGGTTCAGAATCTTTCCACAGCTCGTGGCCGCGCCAGCAAAGACAAGGACGAGACAAATCGACAGCTTCATTCTTTGGTCCAAGACGACCAGAGCCACTGGTTGTTTGGCGCTTTTCTCAAGTCGACCGGCGAACTCATTGGTGAGGGAGGTCTACCAGACGTTCTCACTATGTCTTCTTCCTCCTCTGGTTGGCCCGACGCCGAGTTTTTAATCAAGCCTGAACATCGTCGCCAGGGATATGGAACCGAGCTCTACAATGCTGTCATGGACTCTTGGTGGGATCTTCCCCGCGAGAGGAGACGTCACCAGCTGATCCCCTTGATTGCGCCTGGCAAAGAAGCAGGCGACAAGATGCACGAGTGCGTTGTGTTCCAGTGGGAGGAAGGTAATGAGGCAGCCAAGCACTTCTTCGCCAAGGTCCTAGCACAAGCACCGGTTGCTGTTGAAGGCGGCTGCGAAAGTATTGACACCCGAGATGGTAGAGAAGGGAATATAGTTATGTGGTCTGGTACTGCCATTGCCAACCCTAGGCCCATGGTTGAAGACGAAGATTCTGATTAGAGCGGGAAATATGCACTGTAAAAACGTTGGACCAGCGGAGTCTGCCGACGAGGGGGACTGATTTTGGGCGTGTTTAACATTATAAGCGACAGCTCGTTATAAGCGACAGCTCGTTATAAACGACAGCATCTAGTTATAATAGACTATCTTTGAATACAATGATACCCAAAAGATCATACACCGCCGAGGCCATGTCTAAAAGAACCTGAGCCGGGCCGCTCGTTAACAACCACACAGATATCGTGTAACGCCATTCTGAGTTTTTAGAGAATAACTGCAGATAAAATCCACTCAACATTGCAAAGTTTTCACCTTGCACTAGCGTCGTGGTGCGTGATATTTAGACGAATTCGCTTAAGAGGAATACCTGGAACTGGGGCCTAAGACATGGATACGTCCTCAGTACAGATACCGGGGACCCCATACCATGATCCATTTTTCGGCGTGGAGTTGGGTGATTGACAACGCGATCCTTTCGAACAACAGTAAAGGGGAGTATAAACATCACTTGTATCTGTGGTCAGATGAATGGCTCTTGGATCATCAGAAGGAGTGGCTACTGCTGTCTTTTGCTATTCTGTAATTCTACTTGAACAACTTCTCTACCATTCAACTGAAAACCTCTGAACTATTTGTCTTAAAGTCCTCAATTCTTCTATTGATATTATATCGACACAGCCTATATGCAGCCAAGCATGTGACACCAAGTCAGATCTCTGACCCTAGACCTCCTCTAATTTCTTACCAGCAAGGGTTTGAAGGATAGTCCCTAATAGAAAGATGCCTTGCAGCTTGACCATGTGCGAGCTATGTACTCAATTATTTAACAGCTTCATCTCATCCATTATCTATACTAGCTTCATAGTGTACGTTTTACTATTTCCTAAAAGATTTCGTAAAATGGCATATGGCTGAAAAGTTATTATAGAGTTTAATTTTTCACATGATTCTTAGATATAATTGTATTATAAAGCTCTTAACCTTACTTACTACTTATTTAGTACAGGCCCTGTATTAGATACAGGAGACTTCCAGTAAAATATACGGGCTTACTAAAGATGTTGAAAATCTCCTTGTTATTTTGGCTGGATATCATATCTTCTTTTATTTTAAGGCATATTGGTCTGGGAAATAAGATTCAAATGCTTGTGATCATGGAAGTTTTATATAAGATTGAGTTTGAAATAGTACCATTGTAGCAAGATTACGGACTTGGTTCCTGCGATTCAAGACACACTACATCGTAAATATCAAGAAGACGAATACCCTACAATCAGCGTGTTTTTGAGTAGTGCTGAACTCTGGAAAAGGATAATTGATAACAATATGGCATAAAGTTCTCGTTCCTCATTGTAAGCATTTCTTAGAGACACATCCAAAAGCAGGGAGGGCAAGTCAGACAGCAAGTCATTTTAAGTGACGTGATTGCCATGCATGTTCTAGATAAAGAAACAAGATCTAAAAATAGCAGGGCACAGCACTGATAAGATAAGAGTCACGAACTTGCTAGCGCAATGGCGTCATGCACAGACGGTTCAGCTCATGCAAACTCTCAAGTTTGCTCATCACAAGGTCGCATTCAACTTGACCGCTGAAAACAAAGGCTTGAAACATTCTTGTATTTGCGGACGAACTGTTTCACAATGGCAGCCAAGCGAAGTTCCACGACCCTTGTGGATCTGGGGTTATACAAGCTCGAAATGACCATCCGCGGGCCGCCCCGACGAGCCCACAACCCCATCGTGGTGATCATCCCCGACATTGGCAGCAGCGTAAAAGAATGGACCGCGGTCACTCAAGGCCTTGCAGATTCTACGAGTGTTTTGAACTATGAGCGCGCTGGATATGGCCAGAGTGAAATAGCTCCACAGAGCGACTCCAGATCTGTCGAGGAGATTGCTGTGGAGTTACACACACTGCTCAAGACTGCCAAAGTTGCGCCTCCGTATATAGTGATCTGTCACTCGTACGGCGGCGTTATCCTGCAGGAGTTTATCAAGTTGAGAAATTTGGCTCAGTTTAAGGGCTTTGTTTTCGTTAATGCGAATACGGGGGACACTCCGATGAGCTTTTTGAGCCCTCACGTCCAGGCTCTCCAACAGGGAATTGATACTCTGGATTTATGCTACGGGGATTGCCATCGTCTGAGTACATCAGAATGGGACGTTATATCAAAAGAGGAAGCACGCCCGGAGCATCAAGCTGCGGCAGCAAGAGAAATAGTCGGTTACCATGCTCAGCAAGACGACCATTGCGTCAAGAAACAGTCGGGTTTCGAAAAGCACGAGTTGGGCCGTGTGCCTCTCGTGGTTGTACATGCAGATTCTGTAGTCGATCTTGGCAAGATATGTACTAAAGGACTTCGGCTCGGGAATGGTACAGATGCTGATAGAGCTGCAATGCATGAGTCTATCCAAGAGCTCAAGGCAAATGAAGGGAAAGCGCAGAGCATGTTGTTGGATTTATCTGAACGGTCAAAGTTACAGCACGTTGGCGGTTCTGGATCAAAGGCACATCTGACAGCTCCAGAGAGTGTTGTGGATGCTGTGATTTGGATTCTCATGCAGTACAGATGCTGATCAATAAATATTCCACATCTCCAGTCGTGTACTTGGGTGCCTTTCTCGTCTTTTTATGAGTCTCAACTACCAGTGGAAAATTGTTCCCTTTTGTGTCATTACGTTTGTCCCGCTTTCAACAAAAGCTTTGTACTCGATAATGGACGATCTTCTTATTTTAAAGTATGGTAAGATAATTAGAATTGAGGTTGATAGAATCGGACTCAATCCCTCAAGCCACAGAGAATCATTGTGTGAGAGTTCAGCTTGTAGGCCCAGTTTCAGGTTGTTATTTGCCATTTCCTTGTTATCTCCAGGGTAGCCCAACCCCTAACGCCACTGCGTTTCTAACGATCTGGTGGCGCCCATCAAACTAGCATTTTCCCCACGAACCGCGCGCTAACAGAACCGGTTCGTAAGCGCCGATGCCACGCCATTTGTTTCAGGTTACAGAAGCCTCATTCTCAAATATCAATGACGATCTTTATTTCTTTGTTCTACTGCAGCGCTTCGAGCGATACTTGCTTTTTTCTGCTCAAGTCTTTGTTCTCATAATGATGATGCACCCTGCAGACACGAGAATTGCTTTTGGGCTCAAGATAGAGCAATGCTTCTAAGAAAAGATCACGGCCCGCTCCAATGCAGAGAAAAACTTCACAACATGCTATTCTCAGTCTCCATCTCGTATATACTAATGCAGACAACAGAAGGAATTGACGTGGTGAGTTGGTTCTCTGCGTCTGGGCCTTCTTGGCTCTCCAACCCACGGTATTGGACGGTGGGATTTGAGGGCTTGCAGGGATCATGGGCCAATTACGTGCACAGGACGATCTGTTTATAGCCGCTTGGTGGCCAAAATGTCCAATAATAGCACACAATCACATCAGGGAAGCGGAGTCCAACGGCCAAACACGAGGCCTTGTGCATGTTTCGTGTGGGTAGAACCTGGGCCGTTTTTTCGATTGTCCACCTTCCAAGACATTTCTTTCATTATTAGAACCGTTTTCTGCAGACTAGGTTAGAGCAGAGCAACAGGCCCTGTTATTCAGCGGCCTATCCAGGTGCCAGGCTTTGTTTTCTACGGCCCTTGTCCGCCTGAGGTCCGAGGGTTTGAGCATGGACCTCATCACCAAAAGTACCGCGCGTCCACAACGGACCACTTTTCGCTTGCCCATCATGATCGACACGCGTGGAAACGTATTTTTGGAACCTGCGGCTCTTAAGCTAACAAAGCGCGGATATGGATATACACGCAGATCCACTCATCATATGTAGGCGCTTTCAGCCCAAACCAGCTCATCCAACCACCCATCGACTGACCGCCCTGTCAGTCCCATTTGGGCAGCCCGGGATGACCTCACCCTGCTCTGTCTTTGTATGCAAGCGCCCGTATTCGAGCTGAGCCTATGGAGTCTTTCCAATTTTGGATCAATGTCTTTGGACAATGGATGTTTTTGCGCGTATATGCAGGCCCAAAGTGGAAAGTTTAGATATATTGCCGGGGACAACATTATCATGACAATCTGGTATAAAGATTCCTGCTATACCTGCCCATTACAGTCTTTCTTCCTCTCCAGCAACTACTTCACTTTCGTTTCATCACAACCTTTCATTCGCTTCAAACATTCGTTGATACTTGACAAGGAAGATGAGAAGCTTTATTCTCTTCAGCGTCGCTGCCTTTGGCGCGGCCAATGCTGGTGTTCTGCCAAGGGGTAACTACGACTTGCCTCCTAGCTGCAGCACCTCAACCCTCTACGAGACTCAGACACTCACTGTTCCCGGTTGCGCTTCTGATGTTGCATACTGCCCCAACCCATCCCAAGTAACAACAAAGACTGTTGCTGTCCCGACAACCATCTGCCCCAACTCTCCGGTTGAGACTCCCGTCGAGCCCGAGAACACTGAGCCTGCTGGTCAGGATACTACTCAGTACACTCCTCCTCAGCCTACCAGCGATGTTCCCGCTCCTGAGGAGACCACTTCAAAGGATGCCCCCAAGGACACCACTCAGTATGCTCCTCCTCCGGTTCCCACTGTCGCCACAGAGGCCGAGGATACTACCGACTTTGCTCCTCCTGCATCCACTTCTGACGTAGTCAGCAAGCCTGTTGAAGATACTACCGAGGTCGGAGTTTCCACTAATGCTTATCCTCCTCCTGCCGGAACCCCGACAACTGAGGCTGAACAAAAGCCTACTTCCGAGGCACCTACTGTTGAGGCTCCTACTTCCGAGGTTCCCACTGCTGAGGCACCCACTTCCGAGGCTCCCACTGTTGAGGCTCCTACTTCTGAGGCTCCTACTTCCCAAGGCTCCTCAGCAACTGGCCTGTACCCTCCTCCTGCGAACACCTTCACAACAGAGGCTGGACAAGATGCTACCACCCAGACCTCTATTGCCGACGTTACCTCTGCCGAGACTTCCGCTGCTCAAGCCACCTCTGCGACTGACTTGTACCCTCCTCCCGAAGAGATCCCTTCGACCAAGCCTGTGCAAGACTCGACTGCTGAGGCTTCTACCGATGTCTCTACTGCTGGAGCTACCGGTGCTACAGGCGCTTACCCTCCTCCTGCTCAGACTGACACCACCCAGTCTGCTCAAGAATCCACTGAAGCTCTGACCCAAACTTCCGAGTCCGCTCCTCCCGCGAGCACCGATGTGACACAGCAGGGATCTACCGTTGTCGGTAGCTCGACTGACGCGTACCCTCCTCCCAAGGGCACTGAGACTACACAGCCCGCAAAGGGAACTACTGAGCTCTCTACCGAGACTACCAAGCCCACTCTTCCTGAGACCACTGATGTCGAGAGCGCCTCTACAACTGAGTGGACCACATCAACTGTCTACACCACCAACGTCTACACTGTGACCTCGTGTCCTCCTGAGGTTCCCGACTGTCCTGGAGGCTCTCATGTCACTACCAAGACTGTCGCTGTTTCCACTACTGTCTGCCCTGTCACCGAACACGGCGAGACTGCCGGACCTACTCAAGAGCGCCCTGTTCCCGAGTCCACCGAGACGGAGCAGCAAGGCACCGAGACTGCTCCTGTCTCTAAGCCTTCAGAGACCGAGACCGAGACTGAAAAGGTCCCTGAGCAGACCGAGACTGTTACCCCGTCTGGTGCTTATCCTCCTCCTGCCAACCCTACTACTCTGACCACCAAGGGAGGCGTCAAGACCGAGACTGAGAGTATTCCTGCTGAGACTGAGAGTGTTCCTGCTGAGACCGAGACTGTTCCCGCTGAGACTGAGACTGTTCCCGCTGAGACTGAGACTGCTCCCGCTGAGACCGAGACTGTTCCCGCTGAGACCGAGAGTGCTTCCACCGATACTGAGGGCATCCCCACAGAGACCAAGACTAGTCCTGCCGAGACCGAGTCTACCCAGCCCGCCGTTGATTCCACTACTGGTGCCTACCCTCCTCCCAAGACTGAGACCGAGACCGAGGCCACTGGAACCGAGACAGGAACCATTCCTGCTCAGACTGTCCCTGCCACTGGATCTTCAACTGGTGTCTACCCTCCTCCCAAGCCCGTTACTACCGAAGGCGCCGAGACCGAACCCGTCTCCGAGCAGCCCAGCCACACCGAGGTGACTAGCCAGTTCACTACTTCAACTGTCTTCACGACCACCGTCCGCACTATCACTTCTTGCCCTCCTGAGATCCCTGACTGCCCTGGAAACAAGCACGTGACAACGGAGACCATTGCCATCTCCACCACCATCTGTCCCGTCACTGAAGCTCAGCCTACCAAGCCTGCCACTATCACTGAGGAGCAGCCTACCAAGCCCGCTACTGAGACCGGGGTTCAGTCAACTGCACCTGCTACTGAGTCTGAGGGAGAGTCTACCAAGCCTGTGACTGGCCACGAGGGATCAACTAAGCCCGCAACTGCCACCGAGGAGCAGCCCACTCAGCCTGCCACTGAGACAGAGACCAACGAGCAACCCACCAAGCCTGCGACTACTGGCGGTTCCGAGAAGCCTACCCAGTACAAGCCTCCCAAGCCTGTCACCGAGAGCCAAGACCAGTCTACTCACCCTGTCACTGGTACTGAGGATCAGGCCAAGCCTACAAACCCTGCCAGCACCACCGAGTTCACTACCTCAACCGTCTACACCACCAATGTCTACACAGTCACTTCTTGTGCTCCCGATGTGCCCAACTGTCCCGGAACCCCTCATGTCACAACCGAGACTGTTGCTATCTCTACCACAGTCTGCCCCGTCACTGAGGTCATCCCCAGCAAGCCTGTTACCAAGGTGCAGCCTACCAAGCCCGCCACCGAGGAGCACTCTACCAAGCCTGCTACTCAAGAGCTTCCCTCCAAGCCTGTGACCGGTGGCCAGTCTGGAGCTGGATCTACTCACGCTGCTTCTACTACCGAGTACACCACCTCGACTGTTTACACCACAAACGTCCGCACTGTAACTTCATGTGGCCCAGAGGTTCCTGACTGCCCTCTTACCCCTCATGTCACCACTGAGACTATCGCTGTTTCTACCACCATCTGCCCTGTGACTGAGCAGCAACAGACTGAGCCCAAGCCCACTGGACCTCATCCTACTGAACCTAAGCCTACCGGTCCTCACCCTACTGAGCCTAAGCCTACTGAGCCCAAGCCTACTGGACCTCAGCCTACAAAGCCAGCCAAGACCACTGGATACACCACCTCAACTGTGTATACCACCAGTGTCCGTACCGTCACTACCTGTGGCCCTGAGGTCCCTGACTGCCCCCAGACTCCCCACGTGACCACCGAGACCATCGCCATCTCGACAACTGTCTGCCCCGTCACTGAGGAACAGTCCGTTCCCACCAACCCCGGCTCCCCCGACTACCCTTCCAACCCTGGAAAGCCCACTGAGCCTGAGAAGCCTACCCAGCCCGCTGGTGGAGAGCACCAGACTCAGCCTGCCCCTACCCAGCTCATCGTCACAACCGGCTGGTCTACCTCCACAGTCTACACAACCAACATCCGAACTGTCACTGCTTGCGGTCCTAACGTTGCCAACTGCCCTGGTACTCCCCACGTCACCACTGAGACAATCGCTCTCTCTACCACTATCTGCCCTGTTACCAAGACTCAGGTTGTCCCCGGCCCTGGTGCCACCTACGTCCCTGGACCCCACAGACCTAGCAACATGACTTCCACTCTTTACACCACCAAGTACTTCACTGTCACTGCTTGCCCTCCTGCGGTCACCAACTGCCCCATCGGCGCCGTCTCCTCTTCTGTCTACGCCACTGCCACCACCCAGATCCAGCAGTGGAACCCTTCCAACACCAAGGCCTACCAGCCTCCTGTCCCTACCAAGGTTGTTCCTCCGGTCATCGCCACCACCTTCCTCCGATCTACCACCAAGGTCTACGAGACTCCCGTCAACACTCCCATCAACACACCCAAGCCGGTTGAGTCTTCTACCAATACCCCCAAGCCCACTGAGGCACCCGTTACCACATCCAAGCCCGCCGAGGCAGCTGTTACCACATCCAAGGCTGCTTACGAGAAGCCCCCTGTTCCTGCCTATCCTGTTTATTAAGCATCATGTATTTACACAAGCATCTCCATGAGTCCGGGACCATGCGAGCAACATCTGCATACAACTTAGACTGAGTTACTTATGACGACCTATATGACCTGTTTTGATTTTAGATATTTTGCATACGAGGAGAAATAGTTTAGAAACCGATCCTGTCAATACAATAGTACAACTTTTATTTTTGTTAAAATGACTCCCTTGAGCATCCAGTGAACCGTATCAGTTATACATGAGCCCTCCAGTTTTCTAGTTAGTCAAAGTAATTCGTACAACAGCATATTTGAAGTTTGGTCTGGAATCTCACTCAACTCTTGTTACTCACATACTCGATGCTTACTGTAATGCATGTACTCAGAGTTGAAGTGATATCAATGCCGCAGCGAGCATCCTCAGTATTGTACACCTAAATGCCAAGCCTTGTGGCGCAATGTTTGATGTGTTACAAAGGGCATCATGTGCGAAATATTTAACCCGAGACCTGTTTTTGTGTAACACACTCCTCATATCAAGCGTCAGCTGTGTCCACCGTTTGATCTGGTGATGTTCTTTGTAATTATCACACTACCCTTAAAACTTCCTGTACTATGTTGCACAAATGGGAAAGTAACCACGCTTCGTCCAATAATCACCAAGGTGTCTGGAGAAAGTTAGAATTCGGGTGTTTGTCTGCTTACTTTCGACTCCTAGTAATCAATCTTGAAGCTAAATTCATCCTCCCAGTGCATAGCCCAGTAGCGATCCCAAACCTTCTTGGTGATAGGACCGACCTTTCCATCTCCCACTGGCTTATCATCAAGAGTGGTGATGGGCATTATCCCTCCAGCAGTCGTGCACATAAAAATCTCATCAGCTTCGTAAGTCGCCTCAATCAGGACATTTTCAACCCGAGTTTCATAGCCGCATGATTTAGCAGCATCAATCACACTCTTTCTGGTGATTCCCTCCAGCACTCCTCGGTCGGGTGTGTAGAGTACACCATCCTTGATTAGAACGATATTGAAACCCGAACCTTCGGTCAGGTTGGTATCTCCATCTGTCAAGAAGGGATATGTGGCACCACGATCATTCGCCTCAAAGAGGCCTCTGGTAAGATCACCCCACTGTAGGTTTTTGATTGTGGGATCGAATGAGCCAGGAGGGGTTCGTCGAACTGTTCGTGCAACAATGGCACGACCGCCTTGGTACTGGTCATCAGGTTTCATGACCCATACGAAGGGTTGCACAAACATGTACAGGTTGTTGTTGAGGATCTCATCAGGCCGATGGCCACGGACTCCCTTCAGACCACGAGTGACAATCAGTTCGACAAACGCATCCCTGATCTCACTCTTGGCTACCATTTCGACCAAGGTTTTCTTAATCTTTTCGCGTGGAATCGGGAACTGAAGTCGCATCTTCTTGCAGCTGGCTTCAATGCGGTCGAGATGGTCGTCAAGGCGGAAGAAGCGTCCATCCCAGACAGAAGGGACATCGTAGGTCAAATCGCCGTGCATGAAACCCTCATCGAGTAGAGGGATTCGGGCTTCGTGGAGGGGAACAAGCTCTCCCTCGACCCATGCAATTCCGTGAGCAAACTTGTTGTCGCTGTCTTCAAGAGTGGCCTGCCGTTTGTCATAACCAGCAAAAACCTTGTCCATAGTCGCCATTTTGTTACGTTGTATAGGGCTATAATTGGAATTGAAGTGGGAAAGTTCGTGAAGCTAATGTTTTCAATGAGAGAGGGTTCTTTATTTAGTGTTTAGGAATGTTGCATTCCTTATAGTGTTGTGAGTTTCACGTTTCGGCATGTGATCGACGACGTAATTGTTTGGGGTGGTACTGCAGTCCTGAGCCATCAGGCTGACAATTGACTGTTAGCTGAACACTTAAAACAGGGAAACCGGCAACGGGCAGCTGTTACATCATATCTTCCCGAGTTGGCCTGTCACAAGGACGCATCCTGAGACACCTGATCCCCAATTTGAATCAGGCGCGTCATCGGGCCAAGCCTCCTCAAGAGAGTTCGCTAGGAGAAGCCTCTCATATCTCCTCCTCTTGTGTCCCCAATTCAAATACGTCCTAGCTACTTATAGAAAGTACGTATATGATGTCCCCTAGCCAGCGAGAAATGTTGCAGAAAAAACGGTAGAGGATTTAATGTATATTCATGCGATAACTAAGTCCCCATGTGTATTTGGACTATGAAAGAAGTGGAAATTTGGGTTTGGCCACAGGTGTAAGACAGACGTGAACCCCATGGCTGAGCACTAGCGGCTGTCCATTCCCCTTGGTATCCAGTAGCATCCTGCTCACTAGCCCTGGGCACCCGTGAGGATGATGTTAGTATCCTAGTGCAGTATGTCAGCTTTTGTTTAACACATGTATCAGATTTCAATGACTTACGCATCCGCCTCCCTGTGGAGCACACTGGCTTCCTCCAACAGTCGGGGCCTTGCAGTTGCTGAATGAGTAACGGTCGTACTTCTTGTCCGACTTGTGGTAGATGTCAATGGCGGGGTTGCCACTGTCATCCTTCAAGAAAGTCACTTGAACGTCGCCGCAGCCATCGTTGCCAATATCTTGGGTTCCCTTGGGATTGTCATAGTTCCACTGACAGGTGCCCGAGAATGCCACATTTCCATTGCAGCCGTAAAAGTCGGACACGTTTACCAAGCAACTTGGGATGCAGCATCCTGTTGAGCCTGTGCAACCCGATGCAGTGCCAGTGTCCTCGAGACTGAGACCGCTGGCGAAAGCCTTACAAACGATGTCAACTCAGAGCACAGGAAGTATGAATGGTTCTTACTTACAGTTGCCCAAAGTGCGGCAGAGCTGAGGAAGAGCTTTCCAATCTGGGAAGGAATCATTGTATAAGCTTGATGGTGATGGTTGTGATAAAGTGTTGTGTGCGGTGGCTGATGCTGTAATAACTCTCACTTTATGGCGACGTCCTGGGTATTTATACCTGGAATTTGGTTATCTGTACTAATGACATCAGAAGGAATCCAGATACTACTTGGAAACCGGTGCAGTATCATTGAGTTGTAATGATTCATATCTCGTGTTTAATCAGGTCACTGGTATACCATCACCGCTTTGATACTGAGGTATAATATGTGACCAAGCCTTCAGCTATAATCCTGCAGGATCGTGCAGCGGTGATCTGTCTGTGTTTTATCTTAGCGTTATGGGGGCTGGAACTACTCTGACCTACCAATGTCTGAGACGGCTGCACATATCTTCGTTCACCATTGTATGTTATATCCAGCAAGAAAGAAAACACAAAAGGCAGTCTGAAATAGTCTCTAATAGCACTCTTATATGATATCCATTCTATATGAAGTACTCGTGTATTAATATTAAATAATATAATTGGTTTACCATCATTATGGTTTCTTATCTGCTATTCGTGAACGGAAATTTTCTCCGGACACATGGAGTATGCACGGACACTTTCTGACAACTGTTTTCTTCGATCCGGCCGATCGCTCGATCTCGTTCCGAGAAGCTCGAAGCAATCTCCTCTTTCTCCTTTCACCGGCCCATTCAAATCCTCCCCGAGGTCCGGCTTACTATTCTATTCACTTAGGGAAGACTAAGGTTCTTTTGCGTTGGATCCTTCAGAAACCAATATAAGACCCTATAGTAGACTTTGACCAAATGCTACTAACTGTCTTTACAATTAGTGGGTGATCATAGCTGTCTAAGCTCTTTGCATGTAATATTAGGGAACCATTAAAGAAAAGGAGCTCCAGCAAGTGGTACTAGTCTCTCTAAGCTTACACAATGGTTAGAGATTTATTATGAATTTGTTATTTACTGCGCACAGCGTCTTTATCGACGGTGTTCTTTTGCTTCGCTCTCTCGGCTCCTCCCGTAGTGGTTGGGTTCCCCAGTGTCTTGGCAGAAATATGGGTGTAAGCCTGGCAGGGAAATAACCCGATTCATGGGCACCGCTCTGCCGCTCTGCTTTTTACAGGGATTAATTATTAGGGCTGGCTAGCTGCCCAAGTACTTTCAAGACTCCACTTACACAGCACCGATTGAATCCTCCTCTTCCACAGCCACCTCTATCGAATCATTTTTTTCTCTTATTGAATTACTTAGTCTTGTAGCATTATGACCTTCATTAAATCTTTCGCAAACTAAACCAACTGCAGAATTTTCTCATCTCCTCATATAGATAGATAGTAATAAGTCATAGAACCATCGAGATCGAGGACTAGTGTGATACCACCAAACAAATCATACCCATGCTAAGCACTATGCAACGTTGTGCTGATGCCCCGCACTATTCTGCCAGTCAGGATCACATGTGCTGTCCTTATTCTTTTGCGTCGGCCGCTCAGATCCGGGTATTGATACCCAGGTTCCGCAGCTACTTGTGACTGTGTACATGATCCACATCCACCTGTCGCACTATCATACGGCTCGGGTATTTATGGCTGAATGAAGCTGTTCTCTGGCGAGTTTTCGGTTAACAGGAAACCAATAGTTGGGACAGAGGCATCGGCTGTGAGATAAATCGTGGAATGGTTATAGATTTGGCTAAAATAGGCCATGAATATCAGTTGCCACCGTATAAACGGTACAGGATGTTAGAATAAGTCCAGTCACCAACACTCTCACTACTTTAAGTTCCACTGGTGATAAGACCATAAGATAACAAAATTGAGAGTCTTCTTCCTAATTACTAGAATTTTCCACAGCAAGTCTTTGTGCATCTGGTTTTGTACTGCCGACGGAATTGTGTTGCCCATGACACTATTCGAGTTGTATTATCTATCTCTTTCGACACTGAGCTTGATAAAGGTGACGGCACTAGTCAAGCCCCCAACTGCCCGTTCTGTAGTTTGGTGTTTGTGCTTTTATTTGCTGCGGCTGAGTCACGGGCCTGAGGAACTCGATTGATCGGTGATTGTGCTACTACGATGACGTCTTGTATAACTGAAGCAGGCAGGAAGAATGCTAATTTCTTAGAGAAGTTAGTTTAATATGATAATTAATAGCTGTATTATGTATTATAATCGACCGATTGATCAACCTGTAATTCTCCAACAGCCCACCTGGTTGACTCTCTGTCATGTTAGGCACTGGTGGTCTATGCCCATTCGCGAGACAGTTTCAAGATGCTTTCTGACTTGGTTACTCCGACTCTCAATAAGCGACCTGATCGACATTTGTTATGCTTTTGGGAAATAGAACTGTCGAGATCCCTTATACTTTCGGCGTCTGAGCTTTACTTAACATCTGTAACAATGACCCACACGCGTCTCTTCGGCCCCTGAACCTTGGATCCAGCCTCGCAGCCTTAGTCTCGTGCTTAGAACAAGGTCACTGCCGTGAGTGATAATATGCTTGAAATGATAGGTATGGCTAATGCTAAAACGGCTGTCCTGTTTGACAAAGGCCCTGTACAACAGTTGACAATTAAATGTGGTATAAGTGAGTCGCGGTTGAGTTTTGAAGGCACCTAAATAGGACATCCACTAAGCTCGAAAAATTTCTTAAAAATGCTATTAGATTCAGAAGCCAGTCGGAGACAGTCTGTGGTTTCGGCCAGATATAGAGGAAGGCCGCAGCCATAGAATGTTGTTTGAAACGGTAGCGCAACATGTTTCCACCCATGCGTATGTGTCAGCTTGGAGCATCGTTCTTACATATGGCGTCTTAATATCTTTGCTTGCTTTGCTCTACCCTCGAGAACATGTCGGCAATGGCTGAAGAAGCTCTTAGCGTGCGCCAAGGTCGACTGCAGTGGTTAACAAGTGGGCAGTCGGAGCGAGCACAGTTTGCGTGTGATAGTAAGAAAGAGTGTTGATCCCATAAGTATTGGGTAGCTGTGGGCGATCGAGGTCCCCTGATTTTGCGCCTTGGGCGTAGGGAACCTGCTGGTCGCGAGCAGGATCGGTTTGCCACGTGCTGGCTGTGTTGTGTTGACCATGCTAGATGTTCTTAGTGGTGCCGGTAAGGCACATAAGACAACGTAAACAAAATGCCTTGCTGACCAGTCACTGGATCAAACCCCACGCCGTTTATATTTTTTCGTTCTCACGCAGCGATCAACCATTATGCAGGCAAGCGTGTAAGGCTTCCAATTGGACCACGTATACCACAATTTGCAGTTCTGAAATTACAATACAGCCTGATTATGCCGCCATATCACACAGCCACTAGTGCCAATCATATTGTTTATTGGTGGGAGCCCAACATGGGCAGCCTGAAATCAGGCTTTAAGGAAGCGTTTATTGCCTTTTCGCCAAAGTTCGAAATTTCTATCATCGTTACTCATAAAACCCGTCTCCGAATTTGTCTTGCATCCCAGTCCCGACATGGCCGAAGCTTTCGGTATTGCTGGCAGCACTTTTGGAACAGTCTCCCTGGGACTCCAGCTATTCAGGGAGATATCCCAATATATCGACGACGTTGAAGGGCGGGATGAAGATCTTGAGCGTGGAAGAAGTTACGCACAAACTTTTCAATCTTGCTTAACCGCGCTGGATGCCCAGGCTTCTAATTCAGGTATCAGCAATACCGAAGTTGAGAGACTGATCAACGAAGGCCAAGCCAACTGTAAATTCGCCATCAGCAATTTGTTGAACATAGTTACAGAATTGAAAGGCCCAGACCTTATACCGAATAGCCATACTTCAAAGATCAAAACACTTTGTGTCAGACTCAAATATCCATTCAAAAAACAGAACTTGGAAAAGTTAGAGAAACAATTATTTGAAACAAACAACATTTTACAGTTGGCCCTGGACGTTCTACGAGTGTGAGAGAATTACTACCAGCCCTCCTTGACGATAGATGCTAAATGCAGCGATTAGATACAGCGACTATGCCAGTCGACGGATTCTTGACAAAATACTTGCCCGACTCACCGAGCTTGACCGGTCGAATTGCAAAAGTCTGCCCGTTGATACGGGTAGGGACATCGTCAAAACGATTTCCGATGGTGACGTGAGCCTGAGAGATTCAACGTCTAGTACGCCGACTTCGAGCATTAAATCAACCAGATACCAAAATGGCAACGTGTGGACGATGGATTCATTCTGCCTCTGCAAATAGACCTGCAGTCGGCGCAGTCGGCAGCATTGGGGTCCATTCATTATTGAAAATGAAGTAACCTTCATAGACCATCATTCACCTGGGTGCCCGCTTTCAACGCAGCAACCCCTAAAACAACAAACAAAGCGGACGTTAAAGTTTCCTATCCCTTTCATTAATAATCACTGGAGAACTACTAGCCAATTCTCGCTATTCTTTACAGCAGGTACTGGTGGAATGGGTTTCGGCCAAAGCCTTGCCTGGCCTGAAACAGTTAACAGATACCAATCCCCTGCATTCAAGATTGTAAGAAAGGCGATGGAACGTGATTTTTCCCCCAAGGGAGAAGACAGGGAGGAACTCTTCTTGTCATGCTACAGGCGACTCAGATGGTGTTTTGCCAAAAAAAGGGCGTCAATCACCGATGTGGACCAACATGGTCAATCGATCGTGGATGTTATAACATCGAGTTTCTATGTATGGTTTCACACTCTTTCAAAGGAATTCGCACTGATTTCACCTTCACTAGATCTTCGATTCGGGTGAATGCTATTTTCATCATGGTGCTCTACAGGTCTTTTGTATGCTGGCCCCTTTTATTAATCCTGCCACGCATCTAGACACAAGGACAAGGTATGTCTTTATCCGATCACTAAGGATATGTATTTAGTGGAATGAAAGTTGGATAAATAGGATTATTAACCGTGAACACTATATAGGTCACCCCTTTTAGCCCAACTTTGCCAAAACATAATGCTCCAAGATTCAACAAGGCCTGGAGAAGCGATCAGTTCTCTTTTGTCAAGGTGTGATGATTCTGCAGGCGACGATTGCGTGTCTCCAATCTTCCACAATGGCATTCAAGAACGGTTTCATCTGGTTAAAGAATTCCCAGCGATATCAAATTGTGAGTCGTTTACTCCGACATTTACCTGGCTCACATAGGTTCTTGTGTATTTCTAACATTTTCAGATCTCGAATATGGTCAGCTTAGTAGGCTCGTCCTCATCGAAGATCACAACATGGTCCATGACTTTCTAGAGAAACATCCATTATCTATTAATGAGATCAATCACCTTGGTCAGACGCCTGTACACATCGCAGTTCAGACTCAGAATGCAACGGTTTTGAGCATAATTGTGAATCAGGCAGGTCCTACCGTACTAAACACTAAAGACAATAATGGGCTATACCCAATCGATCATGCGACCGACGCAGTATGCCATGCTCGTAAGTCTGGAAAAGTATCGGGATCGAAAGTCTGTAATGGATGCGAGGTCCTCGACGTACTGCTCCACTCTGAATCGGCGATTTTCACGCGTTCTGTCCAACGAGCCATGCGGCTACCATGGAGCCACGACATACCCAGCTGTATAGAAGGTCAAAAGAATATCATCCGCTGTCTAGCCTCCCGAAGGAAGGATCTGGGAATACTAGCACAGCGTGAGCTCACTCCGTTACAGAGACAGGATCTGAAAATCTGCCAAGCTAGTAACCTAGATCAGAACGCGGCCAAGACCCAGTGGTACCTCGAGACAAATAATTGCCATGTTCCGATATATCTGAAAGTGTACGACGACGCTGAAAGTCCTGAGGATTCCAAATCAATCTATACGCTGATCTTCTATGGCGAGGTTGCCGAATGTGCCCTGCAAAACGGTTTCCTTATGCCGACGACGGTGTTTGACGACGTTTTCCACATAATAGCGGAATCGTCGAACTCTGGTTGGTTTGGTTCTCGACGTCAAGGCTTTCTGTTTTCGTCATATATCTGTTGGCTAGTTGATCATGGGGGAGATCTTCGGTCTATTATTCCGATTGTAACGAGCCATACAACAGCAGCACACTACTTCATGGCCTACCTTGGTCAGACTCAACATTCTTTCAGGCGAAGGCATAGCGTAACTCTCTCATCAACCGTCTCAAGCATCATATTTGGCGAGGACGATATTGACGACTGTCGATGCCAGTGTTCCCCCACAGGATGCACGCCTTTAACTAAATTCCTAGCTGTTATAAATTGGAAACAGACCTGGGTTTTAGACTTAGGTATTGACAGAGCTATTGGTTGTGTCCTTGAACACCTTGAATATCTATATGGTCTACTGGGCCATGTTGGCTATGACCTGCGCAAGGAACATTGGATTGATAGCGCGGTTGTGCGTCACTTTACCTTTTTGATCCTCGATCTTCGTCACACTTGTTGCCGCTTAGGGCATGGCCATGGCATGGAGCCATCTGGTCCATTATCGAATGAAGATCGTCAAGAGATTGAAGAAGAGGACTGCTCCCGACTAGAGTTGTTTGAACAACTGGTTATGGAGTTTGAAAGAGAGCGTGGCAATTATACTGATCTATTCTCTTTTGGAGAAGAGTATTGGGCTCCCAAGATGAAGATTGTTGATCAAGAAATCGGGTCTTGTGTCCTCACAGAGAGTCAAAAGCAAGCAGCCAAGGCAGTTGGGGCTGTATTTGAATCCTATGGCCCACAGCTTCCGCCCAATGGCGAAGGCCTAGAAGTAGTTTCAGAGAAAGAAGAGGTGGTAAGTGATCTGGAGAAAGCCTTAAGGGAGCTGGATGAAATTGCGACGGATCCTTTGAGACCAGGTATTGTTTAGAAAAGCCGTGATGAAGTCAGATAGCAGTAAGGATTTTCAATGGCACATAAAGATGAATCACATTGTTTTCATAAGGTTATAAAGGGCCAGTGTGAGTTAAGAGCCAAGCAATTTGTGCCAAGTTATGATGACTCCACAATGCGGTCATCAAAGTCGGAGACTCCGCAAAATGCTGGAGTTCGTGCGGAGTGCTCATTCATACCTAATTCGGAAGTACAAAACACTATAACCCCACAACTTCGCATTTGACGATTATCAGGGCTTTGTATCAGAGCTATCCTAGAAGGTCTGAGAGGTAGGCCAGCTAAGAAGACATACGGTTGATCAGGGTCAATAGTTAGCTGAGTGGTTATTATTGATTGATTTGTTACTATTCACTGTACTCCGTACGGAATAACCTATTCAGTTATGCTATTTGTACTCGATTAACACTGTGTGGAGTAAGCCTTCATTCCGGTGCCACGTTCTAATTCCGCTTTAGTAATAAACCCTCATTATCTTCAACTTCCCCACGCTTCTCAACATATAACACTCTTCTTTAAACTGAGATTTGTCTGATCATCCTGTCTCCTTGACTAAGATTATTTCTGACAGTGAGAGATTGACACAATCGTCTATATTCATAAGATAACACCCACCAATCTTTTACACCGCGATCACAACGCTACAGCATCATGGCTAAGCAGCAAAAAGACGCAGAGGTGATCGAGTTTGCCAGAGGTCTCAAGGGTACGCCCTGGTGCGATGAGTACGAGAAGATGATCTCAGGGATGCTGTGAGTATTATATGAACCAAAGAAGCCTCGAACTATTCTCTGATTATCGTGTCAAGTTACAACCCGTCACTTCCCAAACTTCTTGAGGGCCGCCACAAAGCTCGGGGCCTGTCTTACAAGTTTAACAATCTCGATCCAAACTCCGGAAACTATGAGGAGATTGAAAACAAGCGATTCGAAATTCTATCCGAATTACTAGGAAAGGTCGGCAGCGGCACTTTCATCGAGGCACCATTCTTGCCTGACTACGGCAGTAATGTCTCCATCGGAGAGAACTGCTTTATGAACTTTGGGTCAGTCCAAATATCTTGAGACCTCCAACACTACAATGGAAATGGCTAACATGATTCTTATAGTCTCACAATCCTGGATACCAGTCTTGTTATCATTGGCGACCGTGTGCAAATGGGCCCAAACGTGCACATCTACACTGCAGGCCATGAGACAAGCGTGCTCTCCAGGATCAAGTTCGTGGAGTTTGGACATGTCATCCGCATCGAGGACGATTGCTGGATTGGAGGCAATGTCGTGATTCTCCCAGGGGTTACTATCGGCCGTGGCTGCACTGTCGGGGCGGGAGCTGTGGTGACCAAGAGTATACCCGCTTACTCGATTGCCCTCGGTGCCCCCGCCAAGGTGGTAAAGAAAATACAGTCTGTGGAGGAGGAGATGGAGGATCCTAATAATCCATACCGTAACATGCCTGACAGACAATGAACAGCATCGCTGGGAAGCTACTAACCTATCGAGATGGACAGTATAGCTAACCCGTTCGTGGCATTAGAAGAGGAAACAGTATTATAAAAGTAAAGATAAATGGATGAGACACTGGACTGGAGCCTCTGGTCTTTATGATGAGCTTCAGAGCCAATGCAATTAGCGTTTCTTCCGCTGACAGTATAACCATTGTTTGGAAGACCCAATATAACATCGGCCAGAACGTCGGTATCAGAAACTACGCGCTGGAATTTGGCATTGCCTACTGTTATTGCAGACCGGGAGTTACCTAAGCCGTATTAACGTCTTGCACTTCAACAAGCTCGGCCTGTATCTCTTAGCTGGTACTGCAATGGAATCGTCGAGTACCCATCGGGAGCCTGCAGACGCGCCAAGTTTAGGTGTACCGTTCGCTCGCTAATCAGAATTCTTTTACAATTCTTTTTCGATTTAACCTTCAACTTTATCAAGCCCAGGCTTTCCAAATCTCTTAATGATATTAATAATAGAATTAGAATTATGGTAACCAGTGAGCACTTTGAGGTGGGATCACTCCAGGTGAAGGGTGCCACTGAAGCCGACGCTCTGTCTATATTAAGATTTCAAATTTCATAGACGGCGAAGAGAGTTATTGAAGGTTTTGACTACGTGACTGGTGGGGGTGCAGTAGGCAGCGCCGAGCTAAACCTTGACCACTCGTGAGATTGGGGAAGGGCAAGAGGCTCTAGTGTAGGAAGCCATTGACTTTTTACATGGCATTGAAACTGCCAGTGACACCCTCAGGAGATTCGAACGGGCTTAAAAGACTCTGATGACGTGTGAGGCTATTTCCAACGAGGTGGTATCCGGAGCGCAAAAGACGGTCGACCCCTCTCCAGTTGCGCTGAGTTTATGGTTTTTGACTTGAGTGAAAAATCACTCGAAATTACCATGAATGATATTTCCAAACTCAGCCTTGCTTGTCATGCTGTCGAGCTCGCTGAAGACGCGGCGAATTTGGGCTTGGCTGTCGGCGAGTGGATTGCCAGCCACAGCGTTAAGCTAATTCAACTGACAAGGCTTGTGTTCTCGGGCTCTTTTTTGAGCCTGGTAAGCAACGGTCTACCTCTTATTGTGAATAATGAAGATATTGTCTTCGGGGAGAAGGTAGGTGGATATTTCTTTTTTGCCTCAGCCTTGAAAACTTCATCAAGCCCAAATTCCCCAAATCTCTTAATATTTACAACAATTTAGAAGGTGAGTATACGTATTGACTGGCAGCCACATCTTGATCTGGTGGCATTTATCAAGGCATGATTCATGGAGTTATGGGAAATGATTAAGAAGAAGGGTTGGAAGCTTTTTGAAGATGTATTGGCGGCTTTGAAGTAAGGGGTAGAACATGACGAGGCATATATAGTATTCAGACTCTACAATGTATTAAATCAATGATGTACTTACCACACAATCTGACCCATTGGTGGACAGAGTAACGAGTGTTTTGGTTGTAGCAAGCTGAATATTGTGTTAATGTAGTCTATAAATACCTCCATGTTTTGGTGCACTGACTTTCACAGGATGTATTAGTGGCAAATGCGCTAATTTTAAACACCCATGTAGTACTCCGTAATACCTTATCAAGAATCCCTGTGACAGTAGTGGATTGGTCAATCGCCTTCATGGAGCATACCTAGCTATTTTAGTCAGAAGACTGTAGCGGGTCTACGTTGAAACGTAGTGGTGGTGGAATATACGAGTAAGCAACAATTCATTCTACTATGAGCTTGACTCTTCGGGCTTTAGAGAAATTGGAAAGAAATAGTCAGCTGATCGATTACCTCCTACGGAATTCTGTTGGCGAAACAAAACGTCTGGGCTTATAATTATCCGATTCCGGCGGAGAAAGAGGCTTTTAACATCAAGCCTCGTGACGCAATGTTGTCCCTTACGCAACCCAACACAAACACCGAGGAAGCAATCTCTTCTGATATCTCACTTATGGAAAGACTAATTTTTGAATCGACATCATGAATCGAATCACGGGCTTTTGGAAACCCAAAGTCGTCCATCCGACCAACCAAGAAGAACGATCCAAGGAACTCGGCTTTCATACTTTCAAATCTCAGAGCGCTGATGCCATCAACACAATTGACATCGTGGCCATCCACGGGCTTAATGGACATTATTCCAAGACCTGGACTGATAAAAGAACAGGAGTGAATTGGCTCCAGGACCTCATGCCCTGTAAATCTGCCCGCGTGCTCTCGTTCTCATATAACTCGACAGTGAAATACAGCAAGTCTGAAGCGAATATTTATGATTTTGCCGATCAGCTATTGGAGGGTCTTTACGCTTCGAGACAAAGTGAGGAAGAACAAGGGCGTCCTGTTGTTTTCATCTGTCACAGCCTAGGAGGCATTGTATTCAAACAGGCTTTCATTCGGGCCCATGAGGTCGAAAGATACCACAGTCTTCAAAGACTCATTTTTGGGGTTATATTTCTCGGCACGCCTCATCGTGGCTCAGATCTGGCTAGCTGGGGGAATATGTTAAGTTCCGTGCTGAAGATGGGAACTCTCGGGACTTCCACAAACACCCAGCTTTTAAAGGACCTTGAAACGAATTCACGAGATTTGGACAGAATCTCTAAATCATTTATCGCAAGGAGTAAGGGACTGAAGATTTACAGTTTCTACGAGACTGAAAAATTGGACATGATGAAGAACCTGGTAAGTATCTCGCTGTCAAGCGAGGACTATCTGACAAACTCCCAATCAGGTAGTGAGCCGAGACTCCGCCGTGCTGGGTATTCCAAATGAGTCGGTAATACCAATGGATGCCAACCATCGTACCATCTGTCGTTTCACGCGGCATGATGAACCACGATTCAATCCAGTGCGCTCTATCCTCACGGAACTAGAAAGACTGACCAGTAAGACACCGAAGAAAGAAGAGCAAAATATGTTTATCGCCCAACTATCCTCAACCGACCCTAACCAGCACAAAGCGCGAAATCCATCTCCAGTTCCAGGTACATGTCGGTGGATCCTGGCACACCCTGTATACCGTGACTGGCTGGGTGGCAATGAATCGTTGCTTTTGTGGGTCTCAGCAGATCCAGGTTGTGGAAAGTCTGTACTGGCCTCGTACCTTATAGATGAGAGGATGGGCAGAGATGACGATATCACCACTATTATCTGTTACTTTTTCTTCAAGTCAGACAACCACGAGCAGCGAAGCGGTGTTATTGCTTTGCAGAGCTTACTTCGACAGCTCTGCCACCAACGACGAGAGTTGGTACCCACTGTTATGCGTCACATCGAAGAGAAGCACTTGCAAAGCCTCGAAGCTTTGTGGTCGGCTTTTATAGCAACAAGCCACGAGATTGAGACCAAAGACGAAAATAGAGCTTTGCGGGTATTGTGCATTCTCGATGGACTAGATGAGTGCGATAATGCCCGAAAACTCGTGAAACTAATATCGACAACCTTTTCCACGGGTGGCTCAAACGGAGGAACTCTGAAGGTGCTTGTACTGAGCCGTCCAAACAACTTTATCAAGAATGCGTTCGACAAGCAAGTTTGCAGCTCTGATGGCATATCAAGCATAACACCTACACGAAGCGCAATGATCAGACTCAGAGGGGAGGATCAAGTCAATTCTATCAGTGACGATATCTCACAGGTCATAGGATTCACAGTCTCTGAGCTTGTTCGAGATGGTTTGCCTGCCGACTTTCTAGAAAGCGTGAAGAAAGAGCTTATTCAAAGAGCAGATCGAACATTCTTATGGGTTACACTAATAACCCAGTTGCTTGCTGCAAAGGTGGAAACTGGTGCTTCGCGTCGCGAACTTGATGAGATTCTCAAGAGTCGGGATATTGATGCTGTATACTCGGAGATGTTGGCAACACAGGCCAATGAGTCGAAAGCCCGGAAGATGTTGAGTATCATCTTAGCTGCTGCTAAGCCCCTCACGGTGGCAGAGATGAGTATAGCATTGGCTATAACTCCGGATCACAATCCTTTACAAAGTGGAAAGTTTTCCGGGTACCCAGATTCCAAGACGTTCTCAGATTTGGACTATGACTTAGTGCGACCTTTTGAAACGCATATCAAATCTATCTGTGGTAACTTTGTGAGAGTGATCCGGACCAAGATTTATCTCGTTCACGAGACTGCACGGGAATTTCTACTGAAACAAGATCATTCAGATGAAGATTCTGAGGGAATGGACTATCCCGAGCACTATTATCGAGGTTCAGAACAATCTCACCTGGAAAGAACCAAGTCTGTTTCCGGACCTTGGCAACAATCCTTTTTGCTACCTGAATGCGACGCGATTCTTCTGCATATCTGCACAACCTATATTTATATGATGGCTAAGAAATGCAGCACTGCCAATTTTGGATACCCCAGCCAGAGTACCTATCATCTTCTCAAATACGCCGGCAAATTCTGGCCTGAGCACTTCGGCATCCTCAAGGAGAAAATAGACCCACGAAATCTCTATTATTATGGAAATTTATGCCATCCCAAGTTCCCTGGATTTCCATGCTGGACTGCTGCGTTCTATGGTGACGTCCGTGCAAAAGAGATTGCAGCACGTCTCTCGGTTCATGAACTTCAAGATTACTATCTTAATCTTCTGGGCATTCTTAGCACTCCTCCATCTGATATGTATTTTACCACGACATATGATGAGTCTGATACCGTTGAGGGAGAGGGGTCAGAAAGAAAGGACATGAAGAATCGGTATACTGCATGGCGGGAAAGTCAGTTCCAGGCAGGTACTTTAGATCGACTTTCTTCTAATCCGGGTTCAATAAGAAATCATTACTTCCCTACTAAAGCGGATGAGAATGGTTTTGTCTCATTGGACTTTTCCCGGAAGCTATAGCTTAGATTGTAAATATCTTGAGGTAATGCATAATAGCCTCTATCTCCAAATACCAGGCTGCTATTCCTCCGCTCGCAATAAAGATTAAGGAATTGCCGAGAGAATCAACTCTGAATTTTATAATATCCACATAACACTCTGGTCAGGACCTCACCTCTTAAATCATCACGCATTCGAGTATTGACATCATGAATGTCAAGTGTTGGGTATCAACGGGCGAAGCAACTACTGAAAGAAGGCTGAGTCTCTTCGGTCGACCGTTTAGGAAGGAGACATAGCACATCACCATTTGATATACCACGTAATATGGCGGTTCTAACAATTTACAGTGAGTGATTTAAGTCCAGAGACGAAGGGTGCTTTTTTGAACCTTATTCGCAGATACACCGCCCCCCTCTGTTTAAGCTAATTGGCTGACGCGTACTTTTAAAATTTCTCAGAGTCTAGGCGCCTCTAAACTACATCTCATAGCCCCTGATTAGTCGGATCTTGCCGTTCCTGTCGGTAGTCAAATTGCCAAAGGGGCAGTGCAGCAGTGCCTGATTGCCGGGATAGCAAGAACAATTTGAAAAAGTGTTTGATGTGATCAGTGGGTTCTGTCAAGAAAAGAGAAAATACAGGAGCCTCAGTCATGAGGATCAGGCCATTTGACATCAAGATATCGCCAAGTCGACCATAATGCACATCAGTAACCGCATCAGTATAATTCTTCTTGTCGTTCGGGAGTCGGCCTGATCTACAGGTACCTGGATGGCTGCTAAGCTAGCTTGGCGCTTGGCTTTGGGATATTTCCTGGGAATACGACGATTCTCAGGCTTATCGCCAAGGGAGCTCGGCACAAGTGAAATCAGCCTAGGGAAAAACACGAAAGGCTATTCGGCATGACTCACCCCCACAAACACATGCAAATTACAATTGTAAGTTCACTGCCTCTTGGCTGGTCTGGGCTTGTATTAGTTCGGAAAAGATTTTCATACATGTTTCTCTTGGGTGCTGTTAAATGGGCTAAACTGTATGATTTGGCTTGGACCTTGTATATTACCTCTTCAACCCCCCGTTAGCAATTATCCTCATCACAACTTCACACTTCGACATATCGAAAATATTCGCTTTCAATTCTCAACTCTTTCGATGAACAACTTTTTGCCTGCCGGCCAAATTCTCGCAAATCTGGAGAACTCACTAGAACACGTTCTCCTCCTCAGAGGAACTGCCAAGTCTGGAGCGGCAGACTTTGATCCACCATAATAAGGCGTGTGCAAAACGGTATGTATCTAGCTTCTCACAGATGCAGTAATCAAACTGACCGTGAGGAGTCTTGCTCTGGAGGTAGTGAACGAGAGACCGTCTCAATCGATGTCAAAGACTAGTCGGCACCATGATCCGCCAAGACTTCAAGTTCTGGTCTTCTTGGGGCACCGGAGGTTCCCGCGAACGTGTGGCGCCTTGGCAACTTGGTCCAGACAGAACTTCCAAGGATATGCCTGAGGATATCCTGCGATGGGTAGCTTCTATGGATACGGACTTGGCTCTTGCTCAGCTCTTGTCCAGCAACGATGGTATTTCTGACGCTGAAGCTACAGCTCGACGAGGTATTCATGGCGAGAATGTTGTCTCGTCTAGCAAGCCTCAGTCGTGGTTCATGCTTCTTCTGTCTGTCCTTCCGAACCCGTTCAATATCTTACTGGTCTTCCTGGCGATTCTTAATGTTGCGTTGCCGGATCCAAGCTGGGTGAGTGCTATCTATATTCTTTTTTGAGTTTGTGTGAGCTAATCGCAATCATCTTAGAAAGGATTTGCTGTTCTCATAGTCATGATTGTCATCTCGGTTGCTGTACGCTTCTGGCAAGAGTACCAAAGTGGAATAGCTGTCTTTCGCCTCCAATCGTCAATCGTCCCCAAGGTCCGAGTCCGTCGACCTGCGACCGAAAAAGACGGACTGCAGACTTCCTGGACTGAGGAGACTGTTACTGACAGCAATCTGGTCCCTGGAGATGTGGTGATTCTGGTGCCAGGGGCGATTGTTCCTGCTGATTGTCTTATCCTCGAGTCATCTTATCTCAGGATCAGCCAGTCGGCTTGGACAGGTGAAAGCGAGCCTGTGCTCAAAGAAACTGGCCCACCTGATGCGAAAGAGGCTTTTTCGATCTTTGACTACGGCAATGTGGCACTTATGGGTACCAACATCGTGTCTGGTCACGGGGTTGGTCTTGTACTTCGAACTGGTGACGGTGAGTACCAACTTCACCAACAGTTGAGCAGGCTTGGCTGACGTTTTAAGACGCAATGATAGCGACCATGGTCAAAGAGGTAGAGAAGAAGCGACAGCCAAACGCCTTCCAAAAGGGCATTCTCAACGTTACGTGGATGCTCATTGGGTTCATGGTTGTCATGGTTCCTATCGTAAGTATTCCTCCTGTGCACTCCTGTATCTAGCCACTCACCATTCTCAGGTCCTGGTCATCTCTGGTAAAACCACAGGAGACTGGAAAAGTGCTGCACTTTTCAGCATCAGCGTTGCCGTTGGTCTTGTTCCCGAAATGCTTCCCGCCATCGTCAATGCGAACCTCGCTCGAGCCGCCCACCAGCTTTCCAAGAAACAAGCAATTGTCAAGCGCCTTGACTCGGTTCAAAATCTCGGAGCTATGACAGTTCTCTGCAGCGATAAGGTACCGCAATCTTTACCGACAGGTCTGTCAACAGCTGCTAACGGAATAACAGACAGGAACTTTGACCAAAGACGAGCTTTCCGTACATCGATACACGAACCCCGACGAAGAAGAAAATCTGAACATCATCGAGCTGGCGAAAGTCGATTCCCAAATTCAGGGCAACAGTGGAAACAACATGGACAGAACCATTCTCAATTATCGCCTGCCGCACGAAGAGGATGTCCCTGTAGCTCATTACGACAAGGTTCGCGTCATCCCATTCGATTTCGAGCGTCGTCGATCAGGATGCGTTGTTCGCGGAATCACCGGACAGAATCTTCTCATCGTAAAAGGCGCTTTTGAGGAAGTGCTTGCTCGTTGTTCATCTATGAGATGTCATGGCAAGAGTGAGAACCTGAGCGATGAGCAACAGCAGCGCTGGAGAAAGATGGCTCTTCAGATGAACATGGCAGGGTACCGTGTTCTTCTCTTGGCGACCAGAACTCTTGGAAAGTCTTTTGTCGATGATGTTAATATGCTCGAGACAAACATGACCCTCGAGGGCATCATCAGCTTCTCCGATCCACCCAAGGACGATGCGAAAGAGGCTATTGCCAGTCTCACTGAACTTGGAGTTTGTGTCAAGGTTCTTACAGGCGATACACTACCCGTTGCTCTCAACATCTGCCGATCTCTCGAACTGCTTCAGCAACGTGATACAACAGACGATGACACTGAAGCCATCTCCGGTCCGGAACTCGCGCTCCTTGAAGATTCCCCCGAGTTCGACCTGGCCGTGGAGAGATGCAGCGTCTTTGCCAAAGTGACGCCCAAGCAAAAAGGATTGATTGTCACAAGTCTTCAAAAGGCAGGCCACTGTGTGGGTATGCTCGGCGATGGGATCAACGACTGTGGTGCTCTCCGAGATGCTGACGTCGGTATCTCGGTTGACTCGGGAGCTGGTGTTGCCAAGGACTGCGCCGATTTGATCTTGACGGAGAAGGGACTTTCCATCATTGTGCAGAGTGTTATTCTGGGAAGGATTACGCATGGGAATACGATCAAGTACATCAAGATGGTGGCATCCTCGAATTTCGGCAACGTTTTTAGTATCTTGGCGGCCAGTGCGTGGCTACCTTTTACGCCGGTAAGTACTTGTTTATCTCCCCATCGGTGTTTCGCGCGCTGACTTGAGATACAGATGACCAGCATTCAACTTCTCGCTCAGAATCTTTTGTACGACATCAGCCAGATCGCCATTCCCTGGGATCGCGTAGATGAAGAGTACCTCCGAGTACCACGAAGATGGCACGCGATGGGTAGGTTCCCTTACTTCCTGCGACTAAGGCGTTGACTGACAAATTCCAGATATCCTCAAGTTTGTCATTGTCCTCGGTCCAACCAGTTCAGTCATCGATATCTGCACCTTTCTCCTAGGCTGGTTCTACTACGGTATACGATCCGCCGACGACACGCAGGGTGTCAAGATGTTTCAGACACATTGGTTCCTCCAAGGGTGAGTGATTAATGCCCCAGCACAGTAATATCGCATTAGGTGGCTCGACTGACACTGGGCAACAGACTCCTCACTCAGACTCTCATCGTGCACTTGCTTCGCACAGCAAAGTTACCCATCATTCAGAGTCGTGCGGCGCCGATACTTGTCTTCTCCACTGTGGCCATCATGATCATCGGCTTTGTTTTTCCATGGATCCCAGCTCTGAGGCCTGCCTTTCAATTTGCCCAGCCGGCGGTGACCTTTGTCGGGTTCTTGGCGGCTGAGCTGCTGGCTTATGCTGTAGAAGTTCAGTTGGTCAAGATGGTCTATATCCGAGTATTTGGTACATGGCTGTAAATTGAGGTCGCATCTTCTAGGTGGCATGCTTTTGCTCTGCCAGAGATGATATCGTTGGACTTGGTTGAGGGTTGGGGTTTTTCATCGGTTCGCCCGGTTTTTACCCAACGTTTAACCATCTACTATCTTATGGCTGTCTATAAATACACACGAATACTTTTCTTTATAATACTGTCAATTCATTCACTTGTGTCGTGACGCTGTTGGATTTTGTGGGCAAAAAGACTTCAAGTCATAAACCAATCAATCAACCTCTTGTTGGACTGAGTTACCCTAGAGTTAATTGACGTACCTCATTAACGGGTTCTGCTGCTGGTGGGTTCACGCTAAAATGTCAGACATACCTCCCTGCCAATCGCTTAGCCAGCCTTGCTCGATTAATTGGTTGGCTAACTGTCCCACTGAGACCCACCAGCAATACGGAGTAGAGCCTTCTAAGATGTGTCCAGGACCCGCTTGTACAACCAATCGGATGCGCTTAATATCACCTGGGGCAAGTCGACCGACGAAGGTGAAAAACTGTAAGCTGAGGTACCTAGTTATCAATATCGGAAGACCCTCGCATCCAATTTGGGTGGCTAGCTGTTAAAACCTTGCTACATATGGAGTCACTGGTCTTTTATCGTAGGTAAAACATAGAAGTACTAAATAAGACCGAACAAGCACTTCTATTTCAATTGAACGTAGGTGTTACAACGATGAAGATTATTGGGACTAGGTGTCCTAAGTTAGAACTAAATCGTAATATTTTTAAAGCTTAGACTGCACAATTTTTAAATTCATAACAGTCTCTCATTACTCATGGCCGTAGGAATGTTGCATTTTTGCCACTTATAATCCAATCAATCTTTTACACAACGCTGGTGTGATCCTTTTTGTTTCCCGGGCTATATAGGGTATCTCTCACTGGTTTACCTCCCAAGATAGGTCGAGCGCATCTTCTATCAGTAGTAAAACCTTATCTTTAACCTTATCGATATTGCAAGTCCATCGCAAGCAGTATTATGGTTAATTTGGAACATTAATTTGTTTCGCTTCCCAGTATTTCTCAGCGGTAAAGACCGTTTCCTCCGTGACACAGACCTGACTACGTCCCGATAAAAGACCACTACATGAGCAATAGCCAGCAGGTTACAACAACCCAATGATACAGCTTGAGGGAAATCTAATACCTTGGCTGTCTTAATATATGCAGAACGGCTGCCGGAAGTGAATATCACGACACAACTCGCTACACAAATAAATCTCCCCAACTAAGCCAAGACGGCAATTCCTTTTCCTTCGACCAACCCTCCAATGTGGACAATACGTGATTGCTGAATATACCTCAGTAACACCTGCGCCTCACTAGTATGTAGTATTAGAGATTTTCTTAAACCCCGATTATCAGCCGTTTTGTCATTTTCTTGGCGTTGTGCTCAGTCCTCTCCGCCCCAAACCCCCTGAAACGTCACCTGCGACGGGGTTCTCAACCCCCAAAACACGATTTGCAACATTCGATTGGCTCCTCGAGGTATAAACGAAAACCCTCTAAAACACAGAAGATCTCGGAACTTGACGACGGATTGATACGATTGGCTCCCCAGAATGCGGACACTGGGCGTCGGTTATATGTGCCGATGTGATACACCCGCCATGGCCTGCTGTCGATTATCATCTATAGCAGAACCTCTCTTTCTGTTTCAAATGATTGTTTATGAGTGGTTTATAGTTTAAAGACCAATCACAGTATGAAGATAACTGTCTTGGTGTTTCGTTTCGTTAAGTGGCTGTGCTCATGAGTTCTTCGGAAGACGAGAATTCCGGGTCTTGGCAATAGCGGTCAAAGCTGCCATCGTGAACTTGTTGGATGTGTCCGAGGTTGTGTAACTCTGTTTCGTTAATCTTTGGTGGTGATATGCGGATGTTGAAGCTTGTGAAAAGGGAAAAGAGGTTGTTGGACCTTTCTATATAAGGCTACTGATTCACCCTCATTTCCAATTCTAATCATCAGCATCAACATCTCAAGCATAGCAGTCCAATCATCTTCCTTCTTCATTACTTCTTCTCCTGCCGGCCAGGTTCAATTAAATCTTTTGATACCCCGTTTCATCTTTATTACTTCTCAATTCACTTTCTCAACCCAAACCTCCACCACATCGACATTCAGATCAATAAAAATGGCTCCCATCAAGAACCTCATCTGGGCATTCCTCCTCGCTGCCGACCTCGCGGCTGCCCACAGCGTTATTACCAATGCTGTTGGCGACGCTGGCGGTTCTGGCATGGCCCTCGGTGTTGACACCGCCACTCCTCGAGATGGCACCAGGCGCCGCCCCTTCCAACAGGACGCAACTCGCTTCCGCGGTAACTCTGCTGATACCGTTGGCGAGACTCTCGGTGGTGGCGACAACGATATCGAGCAGGGCACTCTCGACATCATGGAGGAGACTGGCGACGTGCTTCCTCAGGTCAACCCTGGTGGCAGCGTTGAGATGACCGTCCACCAGGTCAACTCGGACGGTGCTGGTCCTTACACTTGTATGATCAACGCTGATGGCACTGGCTCCTCTTGGGAGGATATTCCCGTGACTACCAACGTTGAAGGTAACGAGCGTGGCCGCAACCGCGACGGTGAACAGACTGACCACCCTCTCGTTGCCTCTATTCCTGCAGGACAGAACTGTACTGGCTCTATTGCTGGTGAAGACAATGTCTGTCTTGTCCGCTGCCAGAATCCTGCTCGCGCTGGTCCCTTCGGCGGTGTCATCCCAGTTCAGATGGCTCAGCCTGCCGATAATGCTAACGGCACTGCCAACGCCGCTGACACCACTGACAACGACCAAAACAATCGAAGCAGCCGAATCAAGATGATTTAGGATGCCTCCATCTATCAATCGGATGACTTCAGCATTACAATCAGGAACAGGCAGGGGGAATTGGCAGGATGAGCTCTGAGGTGTTAGTACGAGTTTGGGCTGATATTATTCCATGACGTGGCATGAGAATAATAGCATAATGGAAATGAGGCGAGGGTGTTTAAGATGTAGATCTCTATTCTAATTGTGCTAATTTAGAATATCGATTTGCTTTGAATGGAAGGTGTTAGTTATAGAGTCGTCAGAGGTTTTGACCCCTTATCTGTTTGGCCATTGTGTAGAAGTATGCAATGGGCTTGCCTGATTCCTATAGCTATTATGAGTCAATCGTTATGTGTACAAGTTAGGCTCTCCAATAGTAAACTGCGTTTGAATATTTAATTGTAGAGGCGTTCTGATGATGTTATGTAGAGCTGAGCATGGAACACTCAATAGTATTAGACTACCTTTACAAGCCAAACTCCTGTCGCCTGCTTAGGACTCTCTTCTTTACCCCCTCGGGATATCCGCTTTCAAAATCACATGTTACCCAACCCTGGTTACCTTTATATTCTTCCGGCAATAGACAGTTAGCCACGACCTTTCCACCTGTCAGTTTCGTCCCAGGCCCGTGCGACATGTACGGCACGAGTGGGTAGGCCGGGACATCTTCAAAATGAAACTCGTCCATCGACGGCCTACACCTCGTCGCAAATGCCCATGTCACGTCGTTCATATCAAAGGGGTTAATGTCCTCGCCTACCACTAGTAAACGGTGGATCTGCATACCACACTTGTTGCGGAACACCAAGTCACCCAGTTTGCTACAGAAGTCTTTGGCGTTGGTATTTAGTTCTGCCAGTTTCTTGCGGTCAACTTGCACAGCTGCCCAAATGACCTGCGTTTCAAAAAGAGCGAACACTTGAGTCACAGGGAAGCCGTGATCTTGCAGTAACTGGCGCATCTCGGCGGAAGCCAGCGTTCCTATCATTGTGTGTGTCTCGTCTGGGCCAAGGTTCGCACGCCCAGGCACACACACGGGGAGAATTGGGTTTTCACGGTGAGTGATTGCATTGACAGTATAGAGAGGCTGCATGGAACCCTCGTCCAGGAAGCTGTAGCCGTGCATCTCGCCGAATGGGCCCTCCTTGGCAGTGTCCGTGATAGAAATCGTACCTTCCAGCACGATCTCGCTGTTTGCAGGGACATAAATATTGTTGGTTTCGCACTTGACGAGTTCTAAAGGAGAACCGCAGAGCGCGCCAACATACTCAGCCTCGGATACACCAGCCGGCAGTGGCATGCTCGCTGCCATGGTAGCAATGGGCGGCGCACCTAGGGCAATGGCATAGGGTACGTCTTGACCAGTCTTTTTCCATTCCCCGAAAATTCGGGCAATATGCTGTGGTTTCATGATGAGACCGACCATCCGTGTCTTGTCATACACCATAGCTCGTGCGATGGACCAGTTTGTCCATGGCTCCGTTGGGTGGGGCAAGATGTTGATTCCCAGCGTCTGTATGTAATTCCCCCCATCTGCCTGGTTAAGGAGAGGGGCTGGTAATTTAGTGAGATCGACATCTTCACCCGTAATGATCCTCTCCTTGCAGGGTCCGGTTGATACGTGCACAGGAGGGAGGGGCTTTTCGCCCTTGGCCGAGAGCATCTTGTCGATTACATCTTTCACACCGGCTTCGCCTGGAAGGGCGAGGTGACGTGCAAGTCGTCGATATGGGAGCTTTGGATCGCTCGATAGCCCTGCTGGTGCGCCAAGGATGCGAAATAAACCATTTTGTGCCCCTTTCACATTGTGGAATAATGGGGCTTTGGTGCGCTGTTCGTATGCCAGACGGATGGCAGCTGCAACCTCCAGCTTTGGGTCGACTTCAGCTCTTATGTCGGCTAAGTCGTTGTCTTCGCGCAGTGTGTCCACAAACACACGGAAATCAAGATGAGCCGGAACCGATCTTGCACTGGATAGGGAGCGCTGCAGCAGACTTCTGGCTGAGAGCCTGGTGGTTGATACGGGTCGAAGTAATTTCATCATGGCTTAGTCTAGAGACTTTTACATCTCTCTCTCTCGCTGGGCTCGGACGAGGCTTATGAGTCCTGAAGTTACTTACTGTCTTGGATTCAACAGGGTCGAAGCTTTGGCGGCCGACTCGAGTTATCTTCTTAGGAATCAGGTATAGTTAACCTTACCAAGCATGTTGATAAGCACGTTAATAAGCACTACTGCAACATCTCGTTGAAATGTAGCACCAGGCAAGCCACATCGATCCAACTTTGTTTACAGATGATTTCATTCGACGTGTTTATTAATTTAGATTCAATTGTTAGCGAGTAACCTAAAGTCATCGGAACTTGATACGAACTCCTCTATTCTTCTTCAGTTGGTACTGGATGACGTTTAGTTGATCTTGTTTGTGGGCGATTCTTCTCAATCGTTACGATATTGCGTTTTCAATTGAAGTATATTATAGGATTCACTACGAAGGTATAAGTACTACATAAGTAAACTGATTAGCATTCGTATAACCTAGCTTTGAATGGTGGTAATTAACGTGGTAGAATCGCTGAAAGTAAATATTAGACTATAGTTAGAATCAACACTAAATATACAAGGAGAGATCCGTGGACTTATAATAATTCAAACTCGTAAGCATAGTACCGCGTTACGAATATTAAAGAGTAATTAATGCACTCTGTAAGCAGTATGTAACCCCTTATGCAATGCTTTATAATTATGTGATACATAATATAAGGGCTCATCTACTTAAGCGTGGGTGGTAAAGGACCAATTGAATGGGACATAGTGGGGCACAATTAGGATGGTCCTGATTAGGTACCCATAGATTTCAATAACTCGAGAACGTGGTCAACAACATATTATATCGACTGCTTGACAAATATAAACTGTAATCCTATTTCAAAGATGGCTTGAAGAAACGAAGCACACTTTATAACCACTTGAGATTCTCAATCCAAGCCTCGCTGCATAGAAATGCAAAGCCTATCTCGTCTTTCGCGACAGCTGTTTCTGCGAAACTCCGCCAGAATCCCATTACCCTTCAACCAAACTATTCAAACTCGTCCACAGTCCGCCTTGCATTATCGCAATGGTCGCCCGCAACGTATCATCGTTGCCGTTACAGGTGCAACTGGTGCACCCTTAGCAGTGACTCTGTTACACCGGCTACGCGAGCTAGGAGTAGAAACACATCTTATCATGTCCAAATGGGGTAGCGCAACACTCAAGTACGAACTCCATGCTCCAGATAACACGCCTCAGTATCTGGAATCGCTTGCATCTATGATATATTCTCCGCTAGATGTGTCGGCTTCTCTTTCATCTGGTTCTTTCCGTACAGACGGCATGATCGTAGTGCCTTGCAGCATGAAGACGCTGGCAGGGATACGGATGGGCTACGATAACGATTTGATTGTCCGAGCGGCCAGTGTGACGCTCAAGGAGAGAAGAAGACTTGTACTTGTCGCCAGAGAGACGCCTCTGAGCAGCATCCATTTGGAAAACATGCTGGAGCTGACAAAGGCAAGCGCGGTGGTGTTTCCGCCAGTGATGGCGTTTTACACACAGCCAAAGTCAATCCAAGATATGGTTGATCAAAGTGTTATGAGAATGATCGATCTACTGGGCTTGGACCTGGTCAGTGAGGAGGATGAAGAGGGTGGACGCTGGGCAGGGTTCGATTGGGGAGTTAAAGCGAAGCCAAAGTCATAGTAATGATACTCAATATAAAACGGTAGGAGTTACCGTGTGCGACTTCTACTACCTTGATTGTATTGAGTTTTGACCTTAGAAGAGGTTATTTTTATTATTAATATCATTAAGAAATTTAGAAATCCCGGGCTTGATAGAGTTAAAGGTCAGAGCAAAAAAGAAAATAGAACGTCATGAGGAGTGATCTTGACGAAACAAACCATTGAGTTCTCCTAGGGGTAATGGCTTCGCCGACTATGACCTAGTAGCCTGAAAAGTAACAATTTGATCATTGTCGCCCTTGACAGTGAAAACGACAACCTTTCTTTTTCTCATCTGTTCGGTTGAAATCGGCCTCCAGAAAGTCCGTGATGTGGTGATGTGTTGTTTCGAAATTAGAGTTTATACCATCTCGCAACCGAATCCGGATCAAACCCTTGCTTGTATACGAAGAAAAATACTATGAAGACAGAAGAGGGTCTCACGTGTAAGAATAGTAAGAAGCTGAATCCTTGACAAACTACAACAGTTTAGTTTCCTTACAAGCAGGGTCATATAAGCTTTGCCACCTGCAAGAGTGCACAAACTTTTGGCCCCGAGAAAGAGGCACATTCACTCGAAGAAATATAATTTGTAAAGAGCTCTCGGGACTTTAGTACACAGACTGGAGTCTGGCCGCGAATGCTAACAGGGGTTAACCAAGTTGAGCACATTCCCTGTTATCCGGAGTACGTCACATCGCGCCGGAAGACATGCTTGATAGGTCAATTCGCGGGCGTCAACTGGCTTCTAGACCGCGAAGTGCCGAGACTTGTCCAAGTCGGGAACATCAACCCACATGATAGAGTTTATCACCTCATCGCGCGCGCTTGCTTATAAACTCCAAATTGAAACTCGTATCGCCTTTGTTGTAGTTGCTGAACAATTAACTGGTCTGGCCACAGTCCTCGGAACAACCATCATACCGATGTTATGAAACTTCGGCAAGATGGGCAAGTCAAAGCTTCTTATGCCGATTGGCACGATGCGAAAGACTATACCTATCATTATAAATATCTGCACGTTGGGAGCAAGTTTCCAGGCACCACACCCTTCATTCGCACCATAACACACTCTTTAAGGCTCAATCATGCATCTCCAGCTACTTTACCCTGCTCTCCTTGCTACTCACGTAGTAGCATACGACACCCTACTCGACTTCCATTCCGCTCCAGAGGTCGAAACGCGATCTATAAACGAAATATACAAGGCTGCTCTCAAAGAGGGCGGCGTGGTAGCATCTTGGTTTGGTGGCGACGAAAAGAACCAGCAAGATGCCGTCAAAAAGGCGTTCGAGGCAGCATTTCCCGGAATAACGCTGAACCTCACTGTTGACTTGTCTAAATATCATGATGGCAAAATCGATGAGCAGCTCGCTGGTAACAATGTTTATGTCGACACCGTTGCTCTGCAGACGACGCATGACTTTCCGCGTTGGAAGGAGGAGGGTGCACTGCTTCACTATGCACCTCTTGGGTTCGATAAGATCTATCCCGATTTCCGGGATATTGATGCCGCTTTCTATGGTTTCATAGGTATTGCATGGCAGATTATCTGGAATAAGGACAAGTTGAAAGGCAAAAAGACGCCTACGGAGTTCCCGGATTTCCTTGCCCCAGAATACAAGGGCAAGCTTGCCCTGACCTATCCTAACGACGATGATGCAATCCTCTTTCAGTTTGACCTCATGTAAGTTCTGTTGCCTAAAGCGAGAGACCACCAATTCACATTTATAGCCTCAACAAGTACGGCACTGCTTGGTTCAACAAGCTCCTCGAGCAAAAGCCTCGCTGGGTTCGAGGCTCAGCCACAGGCCCAAGTCTTGTCGCCGACCCAAAGTCACCTTATGTTGCAACCTTCACCTCTGCCCTGGGTCTCACGACTGGTGGTACAGGCCCTCTAAACGCCACGTTTCCAAAGCAGGGCAAATTCGTCTCATGGCCGCAGCACACTGCCATCTTGAAAGATGCACCGCATCCTGAAGGCGCCAAGCTGCTGCAGAACTTCTTACTTAGTAAAGACTTCCAGAAGGCAAGTGGTTTTTGGCCGGTGAGGAGTGATGTTAGTGCCCCTGCAGGATTTCCTAAGCTCATCGACCAGCCCAATACGAACACAAATGCTTTTGCTAAGTTTATGGGCGATCGAGTGAGGGTTGAGAGGCTGAGGTTTTGGTTTGAGAAGAGACTTGGTACCGCTCAGGGTCTTAGCCCTCTGGATGATGATCTCTAAGTCGCCGGGTTGTTAGGTCTATCATTCACTCTGTTCCTTCCATTCTTTGTATATATTACTTAGCAAAACTATTCAAACCTTCCATTCAACACATGTCCACCAACGTGGAAGAAAGCAGATGTGGACTTAACATTCGTCTTTATTTTTGGTGAATGGTTTTGTTTTTGCTTTAGCCTTGTGGACTCATTACCAAAGACGGAGAGTTCCTCGGCGGGTTATATCGGGGGCCCTGAATGTCGAATGGGAAGTATCTGACATGTTATTGCTAGTCTGATTTTGAAACGTGGCGTAGCTGAGCTAAGTTGGTGCAAGATAAAATACTCCATAATGAACGAGTTATTTACATAGGCGCCTAAATTAGTCTCTCCGTCTAGATTTAGTATTCGACTAAACACAAATAGTTTTAATAGGCGGACATTCGTTTAATTAAGAACCCCTATTTGTTGTCTTTAAGAACATGATATTTCTCGCATTGCGCACCCTTGACGTTTGCCCAACTTTTCTCGCAAAACCCACACTCATTACTTCGCTGGTTACTTAACCACGTCCATTCGTTTTAAATATGCGATTCTCACTCCAGTCCCTCGCCATTTGCCTCCTCTCGGCACAAGCACGCTTCGCTCTTGCGGGGCCATGCAGACCCTTGACAACCACGTCGGTGGGTGCGACTACCACCACCGCTACCAGCAAGGAAGTTTCAACAACCGCTACTCTCAGTGAAGAGCCCACTACCACTATTGAAGGAGAAACCAGCACCGTCGTAGTCAGCGATGAATCCACTACCACTACTGCACTCTCTGAAGAGTTGGCTACAACAACTGCCGCTGGCACCACAACTGCCGCTGGCACTACAACTGTCGCTGAGACTACAACTGCTGCTGGCACTACAACTATCGCTGAGACTACAACCGCCGCTGCGTCTACAACTACCACATCGCCTCCTGAGCCCTCTTTCTATGCCCAATATAATGATGGCAGCGAAGTTGGTGTCTACCTGCAGAGTAGCCACTTTGTTGGTACCAACGAAGACGAGTCGGTCCAAGCAGAATTTGCTCTCGACACGGACACTTCTCGACTTTACGTTTCGCTCTCCGACGGGTCCAAACTGTACGCCTACACTGTTATCCCAACTGGTCAAAACTACGGTTTCCTTTTCGATACGTACGAAAACATAGACGCGTACCCCAGCACCTACCACTTCATTACATGCACGGCAGATTCCGAACTTCTGCTCACCTGCTACTCTGAGGTTGGCCCGACTCAAATCTATTTTTACAAGCCATCTAGCACCACCAACTTCTATTCAAACATGAACTCGGCCGTTGCATCATACCCTGGGAACACGGCTGCAAGCTTCAGACTGCCTCGCAGTTTGTAATCTTCACACAGGCGTCATGAATCAGTCACATGATGATTGTGTCTAGGCATACGATTCAGTCACATATGAGTGATCAAGGGAGACAATGGACGTGGACAGACCTACAGGGAGACTTGAATCACTCAATACTGGTAATGTTCTTCAAAGGTTAAGACTTTATTTTCTACGTATATAATTGTCTACTTTATAAACTATTTTCACCTCCTCTTTATACACCACGTCTTCTTCGCACGCCGCACAAGATTTGAGTCTCTAGTCGGAGAACCATGACGAGGTTGATCCTATATCGGGTGTTCGACCTGATTATAAACTAGATATTTCAAAGATGACATGCCGCGGCTAGGATGTCAGACAGTCATGGATGAGAAAGTGAACCAAGAACGGCTTGACGTCTCCAAGCGTAAATGTCTCTGATGCTAGCACCCGATACCCTTGTTTCAAGTAGAACGAAAGCTGTATTGCTTCAATTAGCCATCGTGATCACTGGTCTGTGTGCCAATGGCTCTTACGATGTGTTCATGGATACGAACGAAGAGTTTCGTGTCGTGGCTGTGTACCTTTGAATGTGTCAGCAATAAATAACTCATTTAGATCTTGGATTTACACTCACGATTTCGCGTGCTGCCTCGTCGAGCAATCGGCCGATACCTTGGTGTTGATTGCTTGGGCTTCCAAAGTTAGAATTATATCCAGCATATATGCTTGGTTTCTTGCTTACTTAACAACGATCATTGAGGTTGTAAAGAATTGGTCAACGGTCAAGTCTAGCTCTCTGTGAGTCTTGCCGGTCAAGCGACCCCATTCTTGTACTCTGTTCATGTACGCCTCTTTGCCCGTAAGCTCAAGAAAGCGCTCCCAGTTATCATCGACCCCAGTATCCTAAGTACAGTTGGTAAAGATCTCATAGACACCAGGTGTTGGATTCTGCACTTACATATTCGACACTATATGGCTGCCAACCTTGGCCTGGAGGGAAAAGACATCGGAAGCCCTGCCAGCCCTCGGAATTCAGAGCTCCCAGCAATACGCCAGACTTTGCTACTCGCCCGAGATGGGATGCCCAAAACGCTTCGTGCATTTCTCTGTTTTCTTCGTATGACGCTGGACCGAAGAAGATTGCCAATGCTGGTTCCGCAGCTAAGAGCGATAGAGTAAGTGTCTGTTGAGATTATGTAGCTGGGCTGTGCTTACGTGCTTGTGCAAAAGCCTTCGCAATCCATTCTGAAGCAACTTTTGCCTCATCAAGTGGTATGCCAACCCTGGATAGATTGACAACGTGAATGTTTCCTTCGTCACGTATGACTTGTGCAGTCATATTCTGGCCAAACCTATCCATGTCTGCTAAGGACTTGAAGGAACCAAGATATTGAGAGAACGCAACGACACCGACACTATCCGTGGCGCACTAGAGATGCTGATGTTCAGGCTTGTTGCGCAGAAAAGTCTTTTGATAGAATCTGTGACAGAACCGCACTACTTGTTTGAGAAATCGGCTGCTGAAGCCGATTGATCATCAATACGAGACAAAATTTCCTCAAACAGTATATGAAATGAACGAAAGGGATTAGACGACACAGTAGTATCAGGAATCTGGGAGAAGACAAGATCCAGTGCCTGCTTACGTGAGATGGAACTGATGGAGATCACGCCACTCGGCGACATGAGCATTTATCCAGAGCAGGGCTGCTGATGAATTAAATCTCGAAATAATTTTTCAGTATTTAATTTAGAAGCCTTCTAGTTTCATTTAGAGAGGTTATATTTGATTTGATTTGATTTGAATGATTTCATCCGATTGACTGTAAGACTCATCTTATCGATAAGGCTATTCGGAAGATAAGAGATAAGATAGGAAATGCCTTCCTCATTCTAGGAGGAAAATAATTACCCTATTCCAACATCTAACAGAATAGAATAAAACCCCAAATCAAATTAAACTAAATGAATAGAGGTGTTGATTTAATTTCATTTGATTTGGATGGATTTGATTTACTACGAGTACTGATCTTGAGTTCATGTAAAATCGACGGGTTGAATATGCTCAAGCTTACGTTTTCTATTGCTCCATTTTAGAACTTTACCAAGCCCAGGCTTTCAAAATCTCTTTATGATTTAAACAACAATCAAGCTTATTCACACCGCAACTTCTGGTACCGAGTCCCCATAATGACTACAAAATGAAAAGAAAAGTGGTAAAGTTACAGGATCAAGGCGCTATAGGGGTATGAGACTGATGAGGCAGACGTGGGCTCTGTGTGGCGCACGTAATACAGCACCCTCTTTGTCCAAGAATGAACACATACTACTCCGAAAGGAGTGGCAGAAGAGCCAATTGCTTGCCATCTAGGTAGTGAGGATGCGCCAACGGCTAGGTTTTCACCAGTAAAGAGGCTCTGCGGAATGCTCTTGAATACCAGGTTAAACCGTTTCTATAATGGATCTCGAGGATATACAATTGTAGTTGTACATATTGATTTGCGGAGTGATTTGGGGGTAAATAATACCCCCAAATCTTAAATAACACTGACGTAATACCTAGCGGTACCGGACCTTATTTTTACCCCGCATCCTTTACATGAATGCTTCATTGCTTCCTCACCCTGCAAATAATTGCTCACTCAATTGAAATCAATAGAACATTCCATTAGGCTAAAAAAATGGCAAATGAACAGATTCCAACATGTCGCTGGGGCATCCTCAGTAAGTCCTGACTTAATATATCATGTACTTTCACACTGACAAGAATGGCAAAGCCGCTGGCCTTATTTCCTCCTGGTTTGTCTCAGATCTCGTCTCTCCAAGGGAAGATGCGAAAGCCAACCATATCATCCATGCTATCGGCGCTTCATCTGTCAAAAAGGGTCAAGACTTTGTCGATAAATTCGTGACCAACGTCGAAAATAAGCCTTTTGTGTACGGTACCTACGAAGAGCTTTTCAACGACCCCAAGATCGACTGTATCTACGTCGGCAGCCCTCACGGCTTCCACTACCGTGATTGCATGGCAGCCATCAATGCTGGAAAGAACGTTCTATGCGAGAAAGCTTTTACAATCAATGCTCGTGAAGCCCGCAGCGTTTTCGAGGCGGCAAAGGAGAAGGGAGTCTACGTTGCTGAAGCCATGTGGCTCCGTCACCGACCCATGATTGCCGAGATCAGAAAGCAACTTTACGAAGATAAGGTGATCGGGGACGTTACTCGCACCAACTGCAATTTCCATGCACACTGGGACTTGGATGCTTTGCCCGAGACCTCGCGACTTAAGAACTTAGAATTAGGAGCTGGAACTCTGCTTGACATCGGTATTTACTCACTCACCTGGGCTATTTTAACGTTGGACCCTTCAACCACTGCTGCTGGTGGTACAAAGGCTGCGGCACAGAGTGAAATTGGTAGCGAAAAGCCCAAAATCATCGCGACACAGTCATTCAACGGCGACGTCGAAGTTGCGACAAGCGCCATCTTACATTACCCCAGCAGCGGACGCCAAGGAGTCATCACGTCAACTGGAAGCTCTCCACGCGGTGGCTCGCATATCTTTGGGACAATTGAGGGCACTAATGGATTCATTGAGCTGGAAGGCAACGCGCCATCTCATCCAACTGCCTTTGTGGTTTACCCTCAATGGTCTGAGGGTACCAAACCAGAGGGCAAACGTTATGAATGGAGCCTGAAACCTCGACAAGGGTTTCAATTCGAGGCGGACAACACGGTATTGGATCTACAGGCTGGCCGAAAGGAGAGTCCTATCATGCCCTGGTCTGAGACTGTCCGCGTTATGGAGATTATGGATGAGATCCGACAACAGGGCGGCACAAAGTATCCTCAGGATAAATAGAGGTAATTCGAAGGTCATATTGGATAATGTCCAACCCAATTGTTACCAAAGACACTGTTAAAAACGATAATCTCAGGTCACCCTGATTTATCAACCCTCTATCATTTTCCTATATAAAATCTCGTCTATGAACCTCAACTCTTAGTCCTCCCCTTTATCTCTACTCGTGGAGATATTTAACCTCCTTTCCAGCATTCGGCTGCTGAACCAAGCCCAGCTGCTGAAGAGCTGTCAAAGCGCCCTCTTCACCCGTCTCATCCACAATGAGACCATCCTTCAGGGTGTTGGTAAGCGTGGAAAGAAATGTCGGGAAAAGCCTGAATATGTGTTAGTTGTTATGCAGCCAAGTTGACAAAGGTATGTTCTTACCTCTTTAAACTCCAAAAGCATCTTCTTGGCATTCTCCTTTCCGTATCGTGGTCCATGCATAGGGTAGTTGATGACGAAGTTATCTGCACAAAGCTTGTCGACAATTGCGGCATTGCCCTTTCCCCAGTACTCGGTGAAGTACTCCCCGATAGCCTCGAGGTTCTTCTGCTCTTCGTTGGTAGGCATGGTGGTATAGACTGTGTGCTGATGTGAATGGAATGGTTCTACAGTTACTACTAAGAGTCTTACGCTGGTCTTTAAGTAGTTACCGGTAATCATGAAAGAGCAGGAAGCTCATATATACCTACGTAATAAATATCCATTCTACTGGTCAAACAGGTTACAAAGAAAAAAAGCCTAGCCAACTGCCGGCGGTGTTACTAACTGAGGTTTCGACAGAGAGCTCGGTTGAGGGTCTGCCGCGCTGTAATTGGTCACTTTTAAAGCAACACGAACACAAAAATATCCACTTTTTAGCTGTTAAACTTTTTATCCGCAGAAAGCACTGGGGTCCTCAATTGTGGTTTCATATCGCTATTGGTCACTTCAAGAGCAACATTTTAACTCGAGACCGCACAAGACAAATGTTACACTAAGCCTTACTCGCTCATTTGTCAATTTGAAAGCAACACAATAGGAATGACACGGTTGTAGAACCGTAAGGAGAACTAGCATAATGGAACTCACTCTGTGATTGGTCACTTTGAGAGCAATAATCCGCATATTCCATTTTTGCATACCGCTCGCACGGGCAGCCAGAAGGCCACTAGCAGAGGAGAACCAGAATTAGAAGGGAGTTTGAATCTCCGAAAGTGTTTTTCTAGTACTATAAAGAACCAGGACATAAGTGGGATAGTCTCTTATAAATAGCCATCAAGCACGCTGGGGCAACGTTAACAACTTTCTGAAGCAATATCCCATAACTTCCCAGCAACAACAGTCATGCCTTCAATTACTACATATCGTGGGACTTCAAGTGGGAAGGTACAGGAGAGCACAGCTACATGGCCTGGCCCTCCTGATGCCCACAAAGTGACAGTTCGCATCACTCACTCCGGTATTTGTGGTACAGACGAACATTACAAGTCACAGGATATGGTTCTTGGTCATGAGGGAGTCGGCATAGTGGAAGCAATTGGCGATTCCGTGGTAAGCGTCAACATGTGAGTAACATAAACGCAATCTATTTAAAGTCTTGTTTGTTCGCTAACGGTTCTGTTTCATTTAGCGGAGATCGAGTTGGCTGGGGGTACTGCCATGGTAGCTGCCTCAACTGCGACTCTTGCGATAAGGGTGAAGAGCTGTACTGCGAAAAGCGAGAGCTCTATGGCTTCTGCGACTTGGATCAGGGCTCATTCGCGACTCATGCAACCTGGCACGAGCACTTCCTCTTCCGCATTCCAGAAACTATTCCCTCCGCCGAGGCGGCTCCTTTGATGTGTGCGGGTGCGGCCGTTTATTCCGCTCTACGCAGCGCAGGCGTGCAGTGGCACCATCGCGTAGGTGTTCTTGGCCTCGGAGGACTGGGGCATCTCGCTGTCCAATACGCTGCTAAGATGGGGTGCCATGTTACTGTTTACTCACACTCTTCCGGCAAAGAAGCAGCAGCACGAAGTCTAGGAGCGTCAGATTTCCAAGTCATGGGAGACAATTCTCTCCCAGGTCGTGCCGTCGACTGTATGCTTCTCACCGGCGCTCAACAGCCAGATTGGTCAGCAGTTCTGCCACTCGTCCGTCGAGGTGGAGTAATTAGCGCTGTTACGGTTGATTCGTCCGAGCTGAGATGCTCATATGGAGAGATTCTAATGAACGCTCTCCGGATTCAAGGAAGCCTGCCTGCTGCGCCACATGTCCAACGCGAGATGCTTAACTTTTCGGCGCTCCATAAAATAAAACCTATTATTGAGACTTTCCCATTCAACAAGGAGGGCATCGATGAGGCGATGGAGAAGCTTCGTCAGGGCAAGATGCGATATCGAGGCGTTCTAGTGAGGGAATCTTAGGTAGATCTGGTGGCTTACTTATACTGGTCAGGGTAAGAAATACTACCTTTGGTGCGGTTAAGATGCTTGAAGTAAACCAGTCGCCTACTCATCATTGTTAAGAAAGATTTCCAAGTTATTAGGCTATTGGTATTGCAAGACGCACTGTTCCATATATCGGTTTTGTAGTAGAAGGGCTTTGGCTCATTACTTTCCTAAAGACAAAAATTATTTATTACCTACCATGAAAAGCTTAAATCTTTATCATCTTGTCTAGACTTACAGTTTATAAGCGATAGTATGTACCCTAAATCCGGGGAAAATCAAGCTAAACTACCTAACTAGTAGTCTTCCAGACTTCTGATGAATCAAGAGCTAGTGAACATTACCCATGAATGCGGCGGTTAGTGGCTTGACTATGGGTTATCGCCTAGTTTCCCGTATTATCACTACCTCTGTTCGCATGTTTTAGGGATCAAACTTTTACAGCTTGCAAATAATAATTCAAGAATCTACTCGCGGTAAATCCATACACATGCCGCCTCCGAAAATGTCCGTAGAGGTGGTTCCTGCTCTGCAGCGATGTACTGATTGTTAAAAAATCTCTTTGGTACATGCGCGATAACCTGCTTGCAGCGTCGCTAATGTAGACCTCGGTTTGGCCACCCAATGTGGTGTCTACTATTATCGGATCTTTGTTCTCAATATAAACAAACAGGGTTCTCAGTGGAGTCAACTGGAACCACATTGTTCAGCCGCACTTATGATCCTAGCACGAACCAACCAACGGTATCGTCAACCGAGAGAGATGTGGACATTGGGTAGCATTATTTACGAAGCGGGAAGATCCTTTGTTTCAAGACGCGGAGTCTCCACAGTCTGCCAGTCCGGCAGGTCCGGAAAGCAGGTAGAGCCTGGGGTGATTCCCACTTGTAGGAATATACATGGACATTTGATTTGATACTAAAGATTATCATGGCGGAATTGTTGCGGAAGACTCCCGGGCACATCGTACGATGCACATAGCTCTATATAGTAGCATGCCGTTCTCGTCAGTTCGAGGTTGATTCCATACGACACAGATCTCGAGCGACTCTACATCTCTCTTCCTAGCTCTACCGAGCGCTTGATTTAGGAAGAATCTCAGTAATCCGCTACGTCACCCTCGCTACCACAACCATGCTTTTCAATTCTTTGTTTTGTTTGTTCCTCGGCGCAGCAAGTGCCTGGACTCCTCAATCCAGAGGTAAATAATACTGCCCGACTAAGAAGTTCCATGCTGATGGTGAGCAGTGGTTGCGAGGGCCAACGGAGAAAAGATTACCGAACGACGGCTATTGGACGATAAGAAGATCCGTGGAGTCAACCTAGGCTCGCAGTTCATCATTGAACGATGGATGGCCGAAGAATCATGGAAGACGATGGGCTGCAGTGCTTACAATGACGAGTGGCAATGCGTCAAGGGTATCGGTCAAGCCAAAGCCAACGCCGCTTTCAAAAAGCACTGGGAGACTTGGATCACAGAGGACGATGTCAAACAGATTGCCAGTCTTGGTCTCAATGCCGTACGTATTCCTGTTGGATACTGGATGTACGAGGACATTATCCAGGCTGGCGAATACTGGCCCCGAGGCGGTATCTGGCACCTTGACCGTATTGTAGGCTGGTGCAAGAAGCATGGTATCTACGTGCTCATTGGTCTTCACTCTGGTCCTGGTATCAGCTCCCCGAACGAGCAATTCACAGGCCATGTATGTATAACCCATCCAGTCTTATCGGACTTTGTTTACTAATAAGCTTTAAGTCTGTGCCAGATCCTCAATTCTATACTCCAGAGAACTATGAGCGAGCATACAAATTCCTCGAGTGGATGACGAAGCGCATTCATACCAACGGCAACTACACTACTGTTGGTATGCTTGAAGTTTTGAACGAGCCGGTGCATGTGGCAAAGTGGCAGGCCGAGGCAGCAGATATGATCAAGAATTATTATCCCAACGCATTTAAGCGCATCCAAGCTATGGAGGGCTATTTGAAGGTTGCTAAAGCCGACAGCTTACACGTTCAATTCATGGTAAGTGTCCTTCTATGTCTCTAGTGAAGACTTAAAAGAATGACGGCACTAATTCCATGTTTCATAGGGCAAATCCTGGGGATCAGGAGACCCAAGGACCTATCTCCCAGATGATGAGCACATCTTCTTCGACGCACACCGATACCTGAGTTTCGATAACAGAATTGCCGGCAACAAGAAAGCCTACATCCAGACCGCATGCAATGATGACATGGGAAGGCATGTCTTCGTTGGCGAATGGTCGCTGTCAGTGAACAGTACCTTGAAAAACACAGATGAGTTCAAGGTTGATGGGCAAGAAACATGGTACAAAGCCTACTGGGCTGCTCAAGCGGAGTCCTTTGAGAAGTCTGATGGATGGTTCTTCTGGTCTTGGAAATGTGACGGTAAACTGGGTAAGCAAGACTGGCGGTGGTGCTACCAGTCTGCTGTTGCCGCAGGGGTTATTCCTAAAGATGCCAGCAGCGCCGCGAGTTTGAGCCCTTGCGACAGATATACTCAGTAAGCATATACATCTAGTTAATGGCTATCCTTGCTGGGTGTGGAAAGATTGCTCAACAGCCGATAATGCCGCACTACCTAACTTGTAAAATCTTGTTCTAGAGTTCAATATAAACCCACTGATTAAATATCTTCATGAACCCTGTCGGTCCTCTGCGGCTTCGGGACGTTGACCGTTGATGATTTCTCAACTCCTGTCAGTTTCTAACACCAAGCTTCAGCAGGTCAGCGGGTGTTCTTAATGACATGAACACGCCATGATGTTAGAGCTTAGGAAAAGAAAGGTCTTCTTATGAATAATACTCGACAAAATATACCATTTGCCTCTTATAATTATGATATTTCCACAAGCTAATCTCGTACGCTCTTTAGCATCAAGCTGCGAAAAGTAGTTTCATTCCTTTACTGACGGTCTTCAAGACAGCCTGAATACATGGTCAAACACTACCGGGTTCGGATTTCAGCTCAGGTCCCTACATGGGCATAGTATCATATTAGACCGCTTGTGGTATAGTAGTGCACCTTTGACCTTGCATGTAATTTCTATTTAGTAACTCAGTAGAAGTTGGGAGAGTGGATGGGGAAGACTAGACTGGCTCATATATTTTGATGAAATCCTTTGAAGAGGGTTAGCTGGTTTGCAGCCATTTATATATTACTAAATAATTATATCCACTTGACTAGATACGTCTACATACATCAGAAAGCTCTAGTTATCTGAAAAGGAGTGACGCCTCTTAGACACCAACGCACTGATTCACGCCAGACCACATTTTACTGCAGTCAGCACCAACGCCGGTATTCCACTTTACGAAGTCGGCTAATGTGATCTTTTGATAGCTAATAACATCGGCACACTTGACGTTGCTATTGGCGATCCAGTGGAACTTCTTACAGTTGCTGACCATGCCGGGCTGGATAGGCTGGGGTGTCTGAATGCCATTGCCCGCAGTGGTAGTAGTAGTGGGAGCAGGAGCAAGAGAACCGCCAATGACACCAACGCAGACATTAACTTCTGCCCACATGCCACGACAATCATCCAAGACAGTAGGGTTCCATTTAACAAACTCGGCGCGGGTGATCTTCTGGTAGCTGATAACTTGGTCGCAGTTGACTCCCTTAGCGATCCAGTGGAACTTGTTGCAGTTGCTCACCATACCAGGCTGTGTAGGCTGGGGTGTCTGAACGCCGTTACCTGCAGTGGTAGTTGTGGTAGTGCTGGTAGTGCTAGTAGGAGCAGGAGAACCGCCAATAACGCCAACACAGACATTAACTTCTGCCCACATACCACGGCAATCATCCAAAGCAGTAGGGTTCCATTTGACAAATTCGGCACGGGTAATCTTCTGGTAGCTGATAACTTGGTCACAGTCGACACCCTTAGCGATCCAGTGGAACTTGTTGCAGTTGCTCACCATACCAGGCTGTGTAGGCTGGGGCGTCTGAACGCCGTTACCTGCAGTAGTGGTAGTGGTAGTGGCGGGAGCAGGAGCAGGAGAGCCACCAATAACGCCGACGCAGACGTTAACTTTTGTCCACATACCGCGGCAGTCATCTCCAACAGTAGGGTTCCACTTGACAAAGTCGGCGAGCGTAATTTTCTGGTAGCTGATAACGTCGGCACACTTAACGTCGCTGTTGGCAATATAGTGAAATTTGGCGCAGTTGCTGACCATGCCGGGCTGGATTGCATCTGGAGTCTGGATACCTACAAGAGATGGTTCAGTTTCCGCTTGAGAAGAAAGGTGCATTTGGAGGGGAGTAGCTTACCGTTGGATGGTTTGGTTGGAGAGGGCTTTGGTTCGCTTGATGGCTCAGGCTCTGGCTGCGTTGGTTCGAATGCGGCCTCAACGCAATAGGATTGACCAATAGTCATGTCCTTGCAGTCGTTCTTGACAGAAGGATTCTAAAGGGAAAGTAGTATTAGCTCTGGCACAAGTAATGGAAGTTAGCATGAGACTTACCCATCGCTTGAACTGGGTGATAGTGATCTGATTGTTCTGCAAGATTGTATCGCAAGCCAAGGTCTCGGTGTAGTCAATCCACCAAGTGCAGTAGCCGGTGGCCTTGTCATCGTGAGGCAGGGTTGGGGAAGCGCCATCTCTTTTAGCCAGGCGAGGGCCAGCAACAGCAGCCTGGGCTAACTGAGAGCCGCCCAGGAGCAATGTCAAGAGTTTTGCGTGCATGTTCTTGGAGGTGACAGCGGTGAGATAGTAGGGAAGAACTGGTGAGTGTGACCTGTGATGTTGTCAAGAGAAAGGGTTTTCTTGGGATATATACTCTGTTGGGTGATAATGGAAGTATCATGGTCTTTCAGTTGTAGTGGAGCATCAGGAATTTACACTTGTGAAGTAAGCATCAAAAGGACAGGTCCACGCCTTACCCAGAGGGTTGATCTCAAGGCAGTGGAGCACCACGGACTTGTAACGGAAAAAGGCAAGTTGATAGTTCAACATAAACGGAAGAGTCTCGGCCCTTGCCGAGGGACGTTTGCCCCACAATCTCATATCGAAGTGGTCTCATACCAAACATGGATCAACAAAATTGAACCCACCACCTCCGTAGTCTAAGCTGGCAAATCCTACGTCTGACTTATCTCCTAGATCTTACTATACACCTCAACCCACCGTTTCTGGGATTTCTGCCCCTTGCATAAAGGGTCCAGATGCCAAGTAAAATGTTTTCCGCCAATCGCCGTGCAACCGTGGGATTAAGGCTAGAAAAAGCCCTAGCCTTGAATTGGTTTCCGGCCCGAGCCGCCCCGCAATGTAGCGTTGTTATTAGAGCCGCAGTAGCACGCGCCGCCCCAAAGGATCTCAAACCTTGATCGGTATATTCCGACCCTGATCCACCATACAGATTACCTCAAAGTTTGTAGGTAAGCATAACAAGGGGAGACATACGTGCTGCTGCGGAACATAATGTTTGTGGCTGCTATGACCTGTATTATCTTTAGCCGACAAGCTTTTCCCATCCTGCTGGGTAAAGAACTGATGGGATTTTGTGCCGACTCCCAGAGTTAAAGCAGCAAAATAACTTCGCGCAAAATGCACACAGTAATTCTTTCGCAGGGATCGTAAATTAAAGTAAAAGTCTGATTGTCACTGTGACCTGTTGATCTCACGATGAAATGACAACTCTGCCTGGAAAGTATTAGTTCTGTGGGTTTCAAACGTTGCCTCGGCCTCTACACGTTCCACAGGGCTGAGTCTGTCGAGATTGCCCAGTCTTGTGCGGATAGCCGAGGCTAGGCAAACCACACGGCCCGGTCGTAGTACCTCCATACCTAGCTAGCCCGAGCTAAAAGAATCCTTATATGTAAGCACCGAGCTTGTTCCCGCACACCGGCCCATTCCGTGCAGGTGTCAGGCTACCCCTTGCAGCGTAGTATCCGAATTGGGCGATCCTTCCCTCTCCGGTCATTCGGAATGTCGGTCCAACGTTACTCTCGTTAAAGCATGTCATTGTGACAGCAAGGATTGATTTGCCCTGGTTCTTAACAATGACACCCCCTCGCCGTGGATCCGCTTGTGCCTAGGTTATTCTCCTAATCCTTCGGATTCTCGTCAAAGAATAAGAAGGAATCCGGAACTTTTGTTTGAAGAATTAGCTCAGCCATGACAGGCAATTTGGTTGCAATTTCAGCCCGGGTAATCGGCACGACACAGGATTGCTGGCTTGGTCAAGGAATTCGCAAGGTTGAAAAAGTTTCGACGTTTTGCTAGTGGCAAAAAGGAGGATCGGGAAGCTGGAAGGAACAGAACTGGCGCCCTGGCTGGTTCCGTGGTTTCACAGAGATCTCGAAACATATTCTGTGCAGAAGTAAAAGAATTGGTGGTAAAAGAAGATAAAAAAATGCAAACTCAAGTCCGTTAAATCACCGCTTGGCAAATTATGACTTGCTGTACTAATAGTACGAACTTATACAATAGAGGCCCAACAGACTGTGTAACTGAGCAGAGCCGCGATTATTAAGATTTGGCTACCCTGTAGTGAATCCGTCGCCCAGCTTTCCCCACTACCGTGAGTTCTTGAAAAATGCTTCGCCTCCCGCTCAAGCTATAATAGAAATCCATTGAGAGTTTCTCCAGTTTATTTGCTTACCAAGTAAGTTTATTTAACCCATGGCGTTCGAGGTGTGAGTAAGGTGTGAAACACTTCATGAGAGAACACCGCGCTGCAACTAATTTTACGACAATGGATGGTTGTTGCGACGAAAATGAAATTATTTAAAAAGAAATATAAAAAAGAACAGTCTATTTGGGCGACACCTTTCCAACGCCTTCCCAAACCTTGAGCTGAACGAAGCTCGTACTAAATATTTCCACCGTTTCATACATGTTGCTTCGTGGCTCTCGTTTCTCGACACTGTCTGGAATTCTTTCTGCACCCTCTTCAAATACCGTAGTCTCCCTCGTCTGCCTTAATTCACCGTATTCAAACGCCATAGTATTATCATGCTCCACTTGGACATCCTGCTCTTTCGCTCGCCTCTCCTGATCCTCACGGTAGAATGGGTTGGGAGAGAACTCGGCGGCGACTATCCATAGGTGCCAGCTCGGTTCTGGGTTAAGCCATTTATAAAGGCTCTTATAGTCGCAGGCAATCGCTGCTGCCGCGACCTGTGGCTTCATCTCAGGGACGCTCTCGGCGAGATGGCGCAGATACTCATCATGTGGCTTCAAGGGCCACCAGATAATATAGGGCATCCGGGTTCCGGATGGCCAGCTGCCCTCAGGTTCAAATAGAGACAAGTCGTTGAGCATAATGCGGCGTGCCAATATCGCTCGCTGCATTTCCCACACATGTTGGGCAGACGTAGCATAGATGGTGTTGTTCTTGATCTGGTCCGCCCACCAGCGAGCATACATAGTGTGATGTAGGATACCACGGACGACACAGTCCTGGTCCAGTTGCGTCAAGGTTCTTCCAGAGTTGGCTAGCTGGGCATAGCGTTCAATGTTGCCGTCGTGGGCGGCCATCTGGGTCAATAAAGTCTTTTTCACCGTCGGTAGGTCTCGAGGGAGAGGACTATAGAGCAGCTTCGCCTCGTCATCGGTCAGTGTGCGGTGCCGTTCATCTACCTCCTGGTTCTTGACATCAAGATGCATGTCCTCTTCGATGCAAGGAAGGAGATCGGGGAGCCAGCTGCCTGTGACACCTTGCCGAGCTGCCAAGCGCCATCGTACTTCGGTATTGCCGTTCAGATATGCCGGGCATTCATAATTCCATAATTCAATAGTGCGTTTGCAGTCGTCCATAATGGAATAGCGAGATTTGAAACCCATGATCTCGTCATAGATGAGTTTCCCACCATCGGTCTCGCTTTCTCGCGCCTCTTCAGCGATGGATACTTCAGGCAGGAGGTCAAGCTCCTGGAAAAGGACGTGGTAACCTGCTGCAGCACAGGCACGGCCGACCTGATAGCGCATGTCGGGGTATTTGGAGGCGAGTGAGCGGTAGGTGTCCTCGGTGGCGATGTCGGGATACCATATGCAATATGGCTGCTCCTTATCCGTCATTCCTTCTGGTATCTCGTTGCTCATGATGCGGCGAGCGTTGCGGGCTCGAGCGATCTGATGCATTGAGGAACTGAGACGCCTGACAGGTTCACTCATGGCGAAGTGGTAGTGCAGGCGAATGCCACGGATAAGTGCTGCGCGACTATTACGGTCTTCAAGCAGCCTTGGCACTGCATCGCCGCGGATGGCCTTTTCCTGGTCCTTTTGAAGATCTGAGGGGTACAACATTTTTGATTTCTCATGTAATTTGCTGGACGATGAATGATGATGCAGAAGTTTAGAAGTTGGGTCGTTGATTTGTTTATTAAGGGAATGACATTGGAGGGGTTAAATACTTTTGCCAGCTGGCGCTAACTGGCCTGACAGGGTATAAATTAGGTAGGCACCGGTTGGTTGCCTTCACTGCCCATATTGTGACTCACCACCCCACCAGCACCAGCACCAACCAACAGTTACAGGGATGTCCGCTGTAGCACACCACTAGATTTAAAATACGTAGTAATGAATGGACCACAAACAACAATTGATGGTAAATTATCATGATAATCAACTATACAGGCCCCTCCACCCATGTTCAATCTCCCATAGAACAAAACTCGCCACATACTTGACTACATATGCTGCCAACCAACCAACAATATGCACATATATCTTCTCTCCCCAACACGACACCCAGACTGACTACACAACCACTATCTATCTCGAACAAGATGCAGACAAACCGCCCAGTCTCTTCACAGCACTGTTATACGTACTCTTCCAGGTCTCATGGACTTGAAAATGAGACTCGTTCTGATCGGAGTACCCAGGGCCAAAATTTGCAAAGTTCTGGTTCCCCAGATTGTCGGCCCATTTGACAAGGCCAGTCACGCCGCCCTTGACGCCAGCCTTGGCCAACTGTGCCTCGAACGCTTTTGACTGCGCCTCTGTCATGCCCATGAAAGACTCTCCGAAGTTGACCCTTTCCCAGGAAGTCGCTCCGTCTACAGAAGATGTGGGATTGTCAATGACCAGATCGTTGCGATTCAAGCCAAGTCCGTAAGCCTTCTTGTTTTCCGCAGTATCGGCTGGGTCAACATCTCGAGTCATCTGCTTCAGCACCCACTCGTCAGCCTCCTGCTGGCGGAGAGAGACGATGTCCTCGGATAGCTTAGTTGTACGCTGGTTGGTCTCGATAAGCTTTCTTTTCCACTTGTCGTCATTGCCTAGCGTGTTATAATAGGCTTGAAACTTCTTGTTTACACGGCCTATGAGCTCGTTGTAGTCGTTGGATGCGCCGCTCGTGACTTGAGAAACATCCATAGGCATGGCCCAGCCCTTGTTCTTCAGCTTGTCGACGGCCTCGGCAACGGTAGGCTGCTTGAAGCCATCGCCGCCGGGAGCCACAAGAGTTTTGTCAATGCCGAGAGGAGTCAACTTCTTCTCCAGATCGGCTTGGAATTCGGCATATGTCAATCTACCGTCTGCCGTGTTTTCGAACGACATGTGCTTTTTGCTATCCCATTTGGCTTTCTTGTTTTGGGCCAAGATCATTTTCTGGTTGTCGGCCCCCTCGATGTCGCTGAAAGGAAAAAGGTATTTTAATACATGTTATATCGACGGTATACTGCGACGGGAGTTACTCACCAGAAGATATTGTACATCTCCCACAACCAGATTCTCTCGCGTGCGTGCGATAGAACGTTGTCAACTTTGGCCGAGTGAGCAACTTGGGTCAGACTGAGGAGCAGCCATGCTAGACAAGCCCAGGCAGCATGGTAACGCATGCTGACAGCAAGACAAGGGCTTGGTTGTTAAGAAAGGAAACAAAATGAGTGTATAGGAGTTAATAAATGAATGTGATAGGAACAAAATGATTGACTGAAGAGTAAGACAAGAACAGGACAGCTTGGTCCAGACGCTCCCAGCTAAAGGGTTTTAATATAACGACAGGCAGAATAGTATGTCTCCGATTTCATAACAAAGCCAAGATATTGTAGTCAACGGCATAGCTGTCTTACACATAGTACATGTCGACTCTCGAGTCCTCAATTACACATGTTTTTGCTCAGGCTAAAATGTGAGTAATCTCGGTCAGAAACAGCCATACCGTACAAGGAAACCGCCGATGCAACCTTCCAGCAGAGGAAATAACAGGGTATTTTGAGATGTCTGTGGTGTGGATTACAAGGGCAGTAGTGTGATCTTTTGGCCTCTCTCGGCCCTGCGCCTGTCTGTTGGTATCCATTTATATCCATGTCCTTGCCCCTGACCGCCCCCGCCTCTATTCACACGCCACTTCCAACACTCCACATGCAAGGTCCCGGCTGCACGGGGAGGACGGCTACTTTTAATTCTTATTTTCCGATAGCCAGAAATGGTAATGCTTCCCATGACCCAACATTAGATGGAATCGCCGTGATAGAACCGCTGTGCAGTCAAGGTAAGCACTAACATCCTTTTGACAATGCTCAGCCTCGGCAGAAACCTCGACTTGCTTCTCCACTGTGGTCTAGATGAGAAGGAGAAAACTCTTCGACTAGTGGATATCCTGTGAGAGGTCTTTTACTGCCTGATACTTGCCTTGCCTTTGGTAGAGCTCATTTCTGGTAGTGAGACATCGGTTGCATATTAATTACAGCAATCTCGCACCCATCTACTACTGCCCATCCAACACTACACTCTCTTTCCTCTCGCTCACTCACTCACTCAGTCTTTCTTTTAATTCTTTCTTTAATCATCCAATATTTCATGGTGTTCACTCTCCCTTCCCTACCATGAGGGCTCACACCTTCATTCCTTTCGCTGGCTTGCTGGCCGGCCTGAGTTCCGCCGTATCTAGTAGGACCAACAGCACTCTCTTAGGCCCATTTGATGCATCCAAAGCACAGAACTCGACAGAACACGAGTTTGAACTCGGTATTACTCCCATTGCTCCCTACGGCGAGAAGCAGATCAGTGAGGAGTGGGCGACCCCTTTGATTGAGGGCTGCCCGCGAAGCTGCGCTGCTGCCGGATCAAACGCCGCCAACTGGACTCATGTTCATGACCTTGGAGAGTTGAACGGCTGCGAAGCTCCTCTGGTTTTCGATCTGAACGTGCACTCACAGGCTGTCGAGACCGTTCGTGTCTGTGCCCTCGAAGGCCTATCCTCTTCGTCCAAGGCCGCAGCGCATCTGGGAGCTCACCTGCACCAGGGAGCGGCACGAAGACACACCAAGCGGGATGCCGACAAACCCTCTGCTGGGTCTTGTAGTCCTGCTCCTCTTTCACCTGTGTCACTTCACCTTACCGCTGGTTTGGCTGGAGTGCTGAATGCAACCAGCCATGTCACAACAGCGGTGCAGGGACTCAAGCAACAGCTAGCCAAGAAAACCTCATGTGGTAGCACAGTCCTTTTCTCAAAGGCAGGTTCTGCCATCGTCGGTCTCTACATCAGTGCAGACATGGGGTCTGTCGCCGGCGCTGCCCTACTCGAGCGGTTTGAGAAGGCGGCCAGTCTGGGCACGCAAATGATGCAGACCTGCGACATCAACCCGATGAATCCCTACACTTTTGGAGTCTTTGCTGTCGACAAGATCAGTGACTTTGAGCTTGTACGAAAGAAGGTCCAGGTATGGGCTGATGGTTACTGCGCGACGATGCCTCTTATCAGACCCCGGGATGCCAAGGTCACGGTCAACATCCCAGGCGGTGATCTATTTATGGGCTCATCCAATGGTACATCCTCTGTGTCTTCAGCGGAGTTGTCGTCGGATCTTGAAGCTCGTGCCGAGTGTAAGACCGCAAAGGTCATAGCAGATGATACCTGCACCACCCTCAGTGTCAAGTGCAACATTCGAGGCGCCGACTTTGTCAAGTACAACCCCAAGTCGAACCTTTGCAGCTCCCTTTTATCAGGGCAGCTTGTCTGCTGCAGCGCTGGCACGTTGCCTGAGATAACTGTCAACACCCCAGTGCCCGATGCGGATGGCACCTGTGCCACGCAAACGATCGGCACCAAAGACCTTTGTGACACTGTTGCAAGGGCCAAGGGCATCACGGTCGAGGACATCCAGAAGTACAACAATGCCTCATGGGGCTGGGCTGGCTGCGAGAGACTGCAGATAGGCCAGGTTATTTGTGTCAGCAAGGGCAACACTCCCATGCCAGCTACTGCTCCAGGCGCGGCTTGTGGGCCGCAGAAGCCCGACACCAAGAAGCCATCCGGCTCGTTTGACGGATGGGATCTTGCCAAGCTCAACCCGTGTCCTCTCAAAGCTTGCTGTAGTGGCTGGGGCTTCTGTGGTACCACTGCCGAGTTCTGTACCGACACCCCGGCCGACACCAAGGCGCCAGGTGCCTTCAAGGTCAACACCAACGGGTGTATCCAGAACTGCGGCACTGATATCGTGAATAACGCTTCACCTCCCGACGAGTTCAAGCGCATCGGCTACTTCCAGGCTTACAATCCCGCCCGCCCATGTATGCACATGGACGCCTCGGAGATTGCAGACAACTTCAAGGATCTGACTCATGTCCACTTTGCTTTTGCTGGCATCACTGCGGATTACGACGTCAATATTCCAGATTCTGTCAAGGCACAGTTCGATGTCTTCGACAAAATGGACGCCCCGTTCAAGAAGATCCTGTCCTTTGGCGGCTGGGCCGAGTCGACTGAGGCCGGGACATTCCAGCGCTACCGTGACATAGTCAAGCCTGAATACCGCTCCGTCTTCGCCGGAAATGTTGTCAAGTTCATGGAGAAGCATAACTTTGACGGCGTTGATCTCGACTGGGAGTACCCTGGTGCCACTGATCAGGGTATCCCCGCTGGTGATAGGACCGACGGTCTCTACTACGTTCGCTTCCTCAACACCTTCAGAAACCTGCTGCCAAAGGGCAAGTCTCTTTCCATTGCCTTGCCCGGCTCCTACTGGTACCTCAAGCCATTCCCCGTCGAGGACATGGCCAAATTACTCGACTACTTTGTCTTTATGACCTACGATCTGCATGGACAGTGGGACTACGGTAACAAATTCGCCAACCCCAGCTGCGCCAATGGCAATTGCCTCCGCTCCCACATCAACCGTACCGAGACCCGCAACTCCATGAGCATGATCACCAAGGCGGGTGTACCGGCCTCAAAGGTCATCATTGGCATTGCGAGCTACGGTCGAAGCTTCCGCATGGCCGACAAGAGCTGCACGGGACCCCAATGTCTTTTCACCGGCTCGTACTCAGTATCTGAGGCAGAGCCCGGCCCGTGTACCGATACCTCTGGCTACAGTATGTGGTTTTCTTCTTCTTTCCCTTCACTACTAATATGAATCTATAGTTTCCAACGCGGAACTCGAAGAGATTTGGCAAGGCGCTGCCGACGGCGTTGAAGGCGTCGAGGCCAAGCAGTGGCATGACGCCAGCACACATTCTGACATCATGACCTATGGCACCCAGGGCAACGGTATGACAGACTGGGTGGCCTTCATGAGCCCCACGACTAAGCAGGAGCGTGTGGAATGGGTCAAGAAACTCAACTTTGGCGGCACCTCGGACTGGGATGTTGATCTGGGAGGCTACTTCGAGGGACCCAGCACAAAGAACGGGACTAACAACGGCGGATGGTCCGACTTCAAGGCTGACGATCTCTCGTGCGACTCGACGAACTGGCCCACCACCCTCGATAAGCTGTCGGAGAGTATAGAGAGCGTCAACGCCAACTGTCGTGCCGTAGCCACCATGAGCATCCTCGTCAATGCCCTCGTTGCCGCCGTCGCCGAGTACAAGGACGTATCCAAGAACTACGACGGCGCGTTTGGCTGGTATGCCGACTGGATCAAGGATAGCATCGACGACCGTATCGAGGAGTTTCTTACCCCCTACACTGGCAAGGGCCTCAAGTACCTCGACTGTGAGTGGACGGATCCCAAGCACAAGGGCAAGGGTCGCTGCGACGAGTCGTGGCCCGCCACCGCCCCAGGACCTAATCCCGGAATTCGAAGCATCGTGTTCACCATGCGCGACGAAGACGGCTTTTACAAGGCTCTTCTCGACGAGACGGGTATCCAAAAGGACTGGGTCGAATGGGTCAAGCAAGACGCCAAGATTGACCCTTGCTCCTGTGTCATGATAGGAGCTATTGAGCAATGTTCGCCCGCGGGTTGTCAGAACCATCTGAACTACGAGATGCGCAGCAACTATCTCAAGCGTATCAGCGACAAGAGCAAGATCGACGTCGTCAACCCCAAGGAGCTTCTCGACAAGGCCATTCCCTCCACCGACGACCTGGTCATGCTTGCCATCGGCACCTTTGCCGAGATGCGGCTGGGACAGTCTGACGCCAACTCAAGTGACATCATCACGTCCTTCAGTATGCCCATCTTCATGATGGAGGATGCCTCCGACAGCATCAGGGAGATCAAGAAGATTGGCGAGAAAGAGAAGAAGACCAAGACGCGGAATCTAGTCCTGAACATCTTGACCATCATCTTTTCCGTTATTCCTTTTGTTGGTGAGGCCGCCGCAGCGCTTGGAGGAGTTGCGCGCCTCGCTACTGCTGCGCTGATCATCGGTGAGGCCGGTAACGCAGCCCTCAGCATAGTCGACATTGTCGATAACCCAGCGTCTGCGCCCTTTGCCATTCTGGGCATGTTGGTCGCCGCGGCTGGTCTTAGGGGAGGCAAGATTTCGTCTCGGGATGCATTCAAGCTGGCAGCCGGGGCTAGGACTGCCTTGACCGACGATGCCATGAAGGCCTTTTCGGCTGAATTCCGTACCAAGGACGCCATGATACAGAAGATTATCAAGTCGTGTGGCTTTGCGTAGAGAAACATCTGTCCTGGCAGAGCAAAGGGGGGGGGATTCGTTTATTTGACGAGGGCTCGACGAAACGATATGGTGGCTGTTGCTGGACGTAACGAGAAGATTTGATTGTATATAGGAATAGCTGTGCTGGCTGTACGAAGTGTAGCAAAGGCCTACAAGGCTTAGATTTGTTATTTATTTTGTTAAAGCATATGTAATTGTCATGATTAACACTTTCACACAAAAGCTAAGGTAATGTTTAATCGTCTGCCTCCCCGAACTTAAATCCACTAATGACTCACCATGACTGCCAAAGCCATAATTAAAGCCTTTCTCGTCTACTGTATGTTTACACTTCAACTGACCATCAACAGAAAATTCCCAATCATGTCTGGAATCACCAACCGCTATCGCCCACGGCGAACAGTCGTATCCGTGAATCTTAGCGATATCAGAGATCATTTCCCTTATCCTTCAGGATACATTCCTACGCCAGCTTACCTCCCAATTCCCGACACCCTCACCCATAATTACAACGCCAGATTTATTGAAATTCCATCCCGGAAATGGGAGGCACTCTCTGAACTTGAGCAGAGGCTCATCCGTGACGAGCTAGAAGCTACCTTTTTTCAATCAGCAGCTGCTGGTCTACGCGAAATGGAAGTATACAGACGGCACTGGCACCCGTACAAAGTTCCATTTGTCGGAAAGGTTGTTAAGAGCCATTCGACGATCGACTTCTTCAACAAGGAGGTCATGATTTACATCGATACGACCGCGATGGGCCATGGTGACCTCGCTTCCCTTGGACGCTACTTCCATCGTGCATGGCTTCACTTACACAACGGACGCCCTCCCTTCCAGAGGGGTGGGTTCATCGCCAAAGTGATGCAGATGACTGATCGCGATGAGGGTGCCCTGCCCCGACTAAAGGACCTCCATCAAAAGCTGTCAGTGAAGCTGAACAACCAGCAGCATGATCGGGTGCGATTTCATAATCTGGGTCCTTGGGAGCTGAAACACCTACGTCCACCCCCGAGTCCAGAGGTTCAATCGTTTCGCAACCGCGGGTACCGACTACGCCCTTTGTTCCAGGCGCTATATTTAGTATTTGACCACCACTCTCCCAATGGAAGTCTTGATCCCTGGCCACCAGTAACAGACGGGCGATACCCTTTTCACTTTCAGCAGATCTTCAGCCACAGGATCTCGAGCCAAACAGTCTTGCTGGTAAGGACTGGGGATGAGACCTCTCTCTCCTCTTCGATTAGCTTTCTTCCTCTCTACGAGGCCGGGTTAGCTTTCGATGTCGATCGGGAAGGATACAGCGAGGATCATGTTGTGCGAGTCAAATTGGATGTTGCGATTCAATTTATCTGGGACTTGTTACAAAGGGAGGAGAAATATAATGCCGATATTTCACGGGTGGCTGATGAACTGAGAGATGAGCAGGAACAGTTTTGTCAGATGTGGGTTGACGACGTGATATCTTGTTGTCAGAAGGATGGGCTTGATGAGTATGATGAACCTTGGCGGGCAACTCGAAGGGCATTGGCCAGAAGGGAGAACGAAGCTTTTGATATGGACCAAATTACTCCTTGGGATGAGTTGTTAGATCGATGGGAGTAGGCAGGGTTCTCTGCTCCGCAAATTAGTCAAACTAATCTTGATTTCATAATATTACGACCGTTTACACTTTACCCTAATCATTTCTACCATGTCCGGTGGCGGGTTTATGAAGAACCTAATCCCTCAACTACTCAAATTGAGATCCACTGTAGCTGTATTATAATGCCGTTTGGAGTATATACCTGCGGGTACAGTAACGAGGGTTAAACTGGGTAGGGTGGACCAGATCGCTTTCGCACGAATATTTCTTTGCCTGCAGACTAAGAACAGTGAGATATAAATAGTATGGTCATGTCATTCAGTTCCTATTATCTATAGCCCCTCTGTTTTGCTAGTTCATCAAGAAATTGACTTCCCAAAATGTAGACTGCTCAGGAATAAACTCCAAAAAAGGCTTTGCAAAGCAATCATGATCGACAATGGGACAGCCGCGCTCTGCAGGTCAGTGGTGCGTCTCAGAGGAACAATCCATACCACAAAGAAAATACCCATCGGCAGAAGACAGATAAAATTATATAGCAACACCCAGCGGAGGCTGATTTTCCCCCGAGCATAAATACCCCAGAACCGCTCTCTCTTATCTCCTCCCTCCTCAAAGTCACTCTTTTTCTTAGGAAGTAAATTCAACAAATCATAAGAGTGACCTTTCGCTCCTCTACTTTTTTTTTGGCTTTAACCTTCAACTTTATCAAACTCAGGCTTTCCAAATCTCTCAATAATATCAACAATAAAAATAACCCTTCTAAGGTCAAAACTCAATATAATCAAGGCAGCAGAAGTCATATCGGGCAACTAAACTCTATCTAAGTAAACACGTAGATAACTCACACAGCCGTACGCATAAAAGCTAGCTTCCCCCCCCCCACACCCTCAACCTGATCCACACCACAAGCCTAGTCAATCGACCCTTGCAGCTGCACTAAACAGCCTTCAAGGCAGACCACGAACTTACAGTCAGTCAATCGACCCCTACCCTTCGGTCCGTATCGCTAACTTCTTCGCAGCTACCACGATGAGTGCTACTATCCAAATATCAAGTATCCGCTCAAGAACGAGGCTAGAGATCTTCTCGCTAGCCGCCCTGTCCTATACCTTTTAATACCGGACGGGATAACCGTAGCTTGGTTAAATTAGTTACCTTTAGCTATAAGCTTTTAATGCTTTATAGTCTAGGGCTTATTACTAACTATAGTAATTAAAAGTATATATTAGGCAGGAGGTAGGAGGTAAAGAGGTAGCTTAAACCCCTAAAAAGCCTAAAAAATAGGCTTATAAAAAGGCTAGTCCTTAATATTAAGACCTCTTTTATTAAGGTATTAAAGTTAAAGCCTTATTATAAGGCTTAGTATAAAAGCTTAGAAAAGTAGGTTAATTATATAGTTAAGGTCTTCCGGATTAATTAGTAAAAAGACTATCCTAGTCTTAACCTAAGACTAAGAGTATATAACTATTAAGGATAGTAATAGAAGTTATATATAAGGCGCTAAGGGGGGCAGAAATATAAAAGGTTAAAATTAGTTACTAGGAGGAATATGTATTCTATTAGTTAAAGTTAAAGTTAAAGTTAAGGCAGCCCTAAAGTTAAAGGTAACTTCAGGCCGAGGAATTAAATCAGATTATATAACCCTTATTAAAATCCCACTGTACCTTCGTAATATAACGTATAATGGTATTAATAATATTATTAACTGGGTTCGCTCCTCTATATCTATGATACCAGTGCAATAAAGGGCTAGGTTAGTAACATGCGTAGAATCGCTTCTCAAACTCATGTTCGCAGATTGTTGGAATACTCTCCATTGGTTTTGGCAGGTACTCATAGTCAGGGTTAGTCACCTCTGGGAAGACGTCTTTTCTTGTTAGAGCAAATTCATGATCATCGAACTTTTCAGACTAGATTCGCAAGGCTTAGTAGGTCTTGAAAAGATAAAAGATTCAAATAGCGCTTACCATGTAGAAATCGCAGTGAGAATACCTCCAAATGCTGAACCAGCTACCGAGAACGCCTCGGAGACGAAAATACTCGTTCCTTAATGTGTTGAAGAAGCTTTGGCTGTCGAGACCACCAGTATCTATCTGAGTGAGCCTGTGGCTTCCTCTCTGATTCACAAGGAATAAGACTCGGTTGTTGACTATGTGATAGGACTTCTGAGTTTGTGGATAAGAAGATCCAAGTTGGGTGTTCAAAGTTGAGCGTGAGCTGGTTGGATAACCACTCACTTGCCCACCTGCTGTTGTCTGTTTAGGAACTGCCTTGGATTCATTGACAACAGGGATAGTGTAACCAGGTAGGGGCGAAGAGATGTTTGGCTGTTCTTCGGCCGTGAAAGAATTATTCAGGGTTCGGATGATCGATTTGAGATGTCTAGTAAAGGGCAGTGGAACTTCCGCCCACCTATTTTCCCCGCAGGTCTTGAACAATTAGTACCGAGATTCACAGTCTTGAATTAACATTTAGTATTCGGGAAGACCTACACATTTCCAATGAATCAATGCCTCGCATCCTTGTAGACGCCGTGGACATGAGGGCAGAGGCCACCAGTCCCACCTCTCACCTGACCAACGCTCTACCACATTCTGCAACATACCAATCCCTTGATACGAGAAAAGATGATACTGTTCAGTTCGACTGATATGGATGGCTTGAGGTTCAACATGCCGTAGCTCAGCCGCCAGATTACGAAGCTTGTACCGAGTCACGTAGGCGTGATGCTTGTGGCCAGGGTCCGACCATGATGTCAGTAGATCTCGTAGCCTGGACCACAGAGAGGGGTGGACGAAATCATAGAGACGACGGTGAAGGCTCTGATAGTCAACGCTTTTAAGAACGAAATTCTCCATGAGATTCAAGTTCTCTAAGGAGCCATCATACCGAGCATTTTCTTCATCCTCTGCATCCATGCAGTCTTCATCACTGCTGTTGTCAGTATCCATTTCAGGGTCTGTACTCTTGTCCTTATCGACGCTGGAAAGATAGTCTTCCACCTTCCTTAGACGCTCTTTGCTCGAGTTTGAATCACCATTGAACTCTGTGAGTTTAGCGAAAACCCTGTTTTGATTTACTAATGGAGACATCGAGAAGAGCTCTCGGGTAATATGGGCCGAGTATGCGCTCACAAAGCCGACTAGGTCTTGATGTTGATCAGTGGTCACTTCTGCTTTGAGGTCCTTGGCGTAGTGCTTGAGAAGCTTGCGAAAGTTATTTCGCATTCTTTCGTAGCCGATTCTCTCCTCCGACACTGCTGTCCCAATGAGGGATATTAAAGCATGATCTCGATAAAGTAGACTCGATAGTTGTTGAACAAACAGCAGGTTGATTTCACCTGCATTAGTCCCTAGTGTTGTAATACTAGAAAGTGAGTGTGGGATAGAAAACACGGAGTCGTTATCTGAGTGTTCGGAATCATAGTCGTCTGGACTGCATGAGGCCTTCGCCGAGCACTCGGTTTCTAAGCAGTTGTTAGTACAGCCACAACCTTAATTTCGAAAGAGCACATAGTAGTCTCACCGTTATCAGCCTCCAGATTAGCCACCACATCTAGCAACAGTCTCATATCGTGTTCCCATCCCTTCGCTGTAGCCCATGACAATACAATCTGGACACAGCGGTCTATGGACTCGATGTTAAGTCCATTTTCAAAGAAGATCTTGGTGATTGCATAAGCTTCCTCATGCTTCTTCTGCTGGCGAAGATCAAGTACAAGATTGTTGAGACTGGCAGCTATGTAAGGGTGTTCCTTGTCGAATAGCTGAATTTGTGACGAAAGTAGTTGCCAATGGAGGGTCTCAGCCTCTTCCCATCCCCCTTGGTCTTGTAAAGCCCACGCGACAGGACTGATACTTTGAGACACATCTGGACTCTCTGGGCCGAATTGTTCCTCTCTTAGCTCAAAAGCTTGTCGGTTATACTCCTCGGCCTGTTGAAGTCTACCTTGTCTTCGTAAGACAAACGCAAAATTGTCCATATTTCTGAGCGTCTCTGTATGGCCTGACCCCAGCTTCCTCACATCAGCACCAACCACCCTTTCGGCTATCCACGATGCTCGGGAGTGGTTTCCCAGCAGGATATGGAAGATAGCGAGGTTGCTCTGAGCTTTGCTCCAAGTCAAGAAATCGCTTGTATTAGGAGGTTCATCTTCCTCAAGTATTTCAAGTTTCGACGCAATAGTTGATAAATGATCATGAGCCTCTGGAGCTGCCGCAAATAATCCCCAAATCCAACACTGCGTTTCGGAAGACGATAACAACCACTTCTGAGTATAAATCTGCAGATATGGGTACGTTTTGAACATCTCTGGCTCCCTTATCTTGGACGGTGCCAGATATTCATGGAGTATATGAGGACTTAACTGTGCACTTCGCGTCTTCCCAAAGACGTCATGTGCGTAGCTTTGGAGAGCGGACGTAGGAATATCTTGAGGATCAAAGAAACGCATGAAGAGTAGAGCATCGGCGACAGTGTTTCGTTTGAGACAATTCTGCCTTGATGTTATGTGTGAGGCTGTTTTGATTGGGTTGTCAATACAGATACTGGGATCACGATGTTCGAGATCAAGAGATTCAACAGTATTTGTGAACTGAGAAAGGTAGGCTGATACAGAGGTTCTGGGGTTTTGACGAGTCATATTGGCAGCCGCCTGACAAATTGCAAGTGGCGAATATGCAAGAGCTTCTACGAGGGCCAACATTGCCGCCTTTTCTTCTTTGACGTTATTTCCAAGCTTTTTCTGTAGCAGTGCGAAGGCTTCATCTTTACCCGGTATTTTCATGGTGTAGATAGCATCTGTAGGCGCCAGCTGTGTTGCCACCCGCCGATCCCGAGACGTAAAGATAACGGATCCTTGGCCACGCTCTGGCAGGAAGGATTTCAGCGGCTCGCACCCTGTTTGGTCAATTTCGTTGTTTGGACATAACACGTCCCAATGGATGTCGTCGACGAACATCAGCCAGGGCCCATTCTTGTCATCACATAACCAGTCGTGAACCACTTTGTATGCACTGTGATCCACACTACTATATCCGACGAGGTGGAGTCTCGCAGCAAAGTCCTGATACGACTGTTCAAGTGTGGTTCTAGATCTTGCATCTACCCAAAAACTATAGATTTCTGGGAATCGTTGCTGCACATGATGTGCATACTGGAGAGCAACATGTGTTTTCCTTTCTTTGTTAGTGAATGTTCAAAATCGTAGAAGGGTCATGTACCCAATACCACTGTCCCCCAAGAGCCCAACATAACGGTCTTCTCGCTCTTCCAGCCATTGTAGAACCTCTTTCCGACCGGTGGAGTCCGGGTCTTCCTCAAATGGGATGATAGAAAAGTCGCGAATTATCTGGTCACCGGGCACCACGGTGTCAGTAACTGGGCGGTCTTGTGATACCTGTCGGCTCATTGGCACAGCGCACAGTTCTGTGTAGACTTTGGGTTTGAGCTTAAGAGCGTATACAAAGATAAAATGAGTGAAGGATTACAAACTCACAGAATGTGGCTGATAAGGCGGGGAACAACCTGGAATACGTAGTACGACATGAAGGAGCTTGTAAGCATGACGTATCGATTGACGATGATTAATTAATCTGAGACTTTTGTTTCGCTACGATTGTCGCACATTTTCAACCCCCGCTACGTGGCACACTCTGAGTCCAATATGATCACTGCACTTTCGTAATGTGCACTGTTACCAAGTTTGAGGTTTGTCAAAATAGCATAGTCATACAAACGTCATCGGGTCACTACCGTAAGACTTCAAACAATACAAATTACAGAATCATTGACAACGACGACAACACAGCGGGGAGTCTTTACATCATGGTGGAAGGTCTCGGTGCGCTTGCAGGTATAGTAGTGTGTTGGTGTGCCAGGGAAATCGCACACAAAGGTCATATCGGGCATTAAAACAATCATTGGTTCGGGTATATCTGCGACAATTCTCACATTACGTCCGTTTTAAGTTCTCAGATTCACTGCGAGGCTAGATAACAGCATGTTGTACGAAGTTCTTGAACGCAGAGCCGTTTAAAGGAGATGTATACTAATCAATATCTGAGACATAGGGGCATTGTAGTCCGCGTCCGACATGTGACAGGTTCCGCCTCTGTATCTAGTTCATTTTCCAATTCGACAATTAGACCATCACCTGATCTCACTGTCCAATGATCATCCGACGCAATCCCTCACTTAGTCCCCGCAACTCACATTTTCGGCCAACGGGTGGATGACTTCTCCCTCTACTCTGTGATCCAGTGATCTTGTTCAAGCCTCGAGGTCTCCCTGCATAGATTTGAGTAGGGGATCTCAAGGAGCTCCATACTCATCATAATCTTCTGAAACATCCTCTACCTGTGGTGGAAAGTACTGGCTGCGGCGTGGTGGTGATCGAAATGAAGTTGGTGAATTTGACTCCACGACAAAAGGATCCGAAGCAAAAGCCATTTGGCGTCTTGGAATATGAGAGCTCTGTCTATCGTTATAAGTCTCTGGATATTGTTGCGGAGAAGGTGAATTTCCGTTTTCGAGTTGATCCATTACAAGATCAACCCTCGATTGAAGACTTTGCAAATCGCGCAGATTCATGGATGATATTTCTCCATCATGCGTTTCGGTTCCACTATGACTAGAATTCTCAAATTGGTTCATTGACGTTCCTGTGTGTGAGTCTTGGTGTCCTTGACCCCGTATATCATCTAGAAGACCACGGATAATATCACTGATCTGACGAGCCTCTTGTCTATCGATGTCAAGAGATCTAATATCGCCAAGTAAGAACTCACTTCCAGACGGTGAGCTTCGGCTTCGGCGGGAATGTCGTCTTCCTGGGTCTGATCGGCTCCTGGTGTTTTCTCTAATGTTTTGCTCAATCCTTTTTAGCACCTTCATAATTTCAGCGTTAGTATAGTTGTTCTTAGGCAGAATCTCTTCGTCCTTTGGTATTGGTGGCCTCTTCCTCCGCGACCTTCGTTCTGCTCTGTCTCCATTATGTCTTGTATCCCGTTGGGACTGGACATTTGGGGTTTGAGGTTCTCTTGGACGGACTGGGGTCCTAAAGGGATCTTGTGTTGGGTATTCAGGAGGCGGCGGGATATCTCGAACATAGCTGTATTCATCGAAACCATGCCTAGACTCGTCATATCCTCTGTACGGATGGCCGTATCCGGATGGGCCAGATGGCTGCTCAAAGGGATTTCCGGTTCGCGGGACAGAGAGATAGCCACCCTGTACTGGGTACGTATATGAGTCATGATAACCTGCGGGTGTTTGCGAGGCAGGTTGTGGTAGATGATATGGCATGGGAGCGCTTTGATGTGATTGATAAGAGGGAGAGTAGCTAGAATTGTAGTCGTTACCATAAGGCACAGTCGCGTTGCGAGCTTGCCTCGGGTATGGATCGTTGAAGAATGGAGAAGGGCTCTCGGTTGTACCTTGTCGATAGTATCCAGAGGGCTTATATCTAAGGTTAGGTTGGCTCTTGACAGAGACGGTTTGATTCGACTGCAAGTCACTCACAGGGTCACTCCGATTCTCATATTGGGATTGTTGTGGGCCTGATCGATAATAACCATACGTAGATGGCCACGCTGGAGACGCCATACTGAGTGCAGGAGTTAGGGATCAGTGAGTGGAATTGGGAATGTTCGTGATTTGCAAGTTTACCTTGGCCTCAGTAGAACATACCACAAGATAAATCCAATGAGGCTCTGCTCGAGCTGCCTCTTTCTTGCCAGTTCGCAAAAGCCTGAAGTCGATAAAACTGCCTTACCAACCTGATGCATTTGCCTTCGGACTTTCCGAGTCGGCTTAGTTGAGGATGCAACATCTTCATTGCCCAAAGTCTCATGTACTTGCAGATTTTGCACTTTCGGCTGCTGCAGTCATTAGCAGCCCCTTTCAAAGGCTTTCGGCGGCTTATCGACTTGGTGGCTGCCACTGAGGTACAAACATGATTATATGCATTAGTAGACGGTCCAGCCTGACATCGCGAGTGATGAATAAATGTTGTGTTCTATATCTACCACCACTTTATGAATGTAAATTGCCTAATCATGGTTCTTTCAGGTTTCCTGATACATCATTATGTCAAATGGAACCATCCCGATCATTATGAGGCCTTGGTGTGAGATATCGTGACATTCCCCCGAAAACCAGGCTCTCGGTGCGAGCCTGAAAATGAAGCCACCCACCAAAAGCTCAAAAGGGGTAGATGTCTGACCACCATGTATGCATGGCTTGCACTCACCGGCCACTGCAAAGCCCGGAAGCCGAATGTACATGCATTTCATTGTGGCCGGGCGACGGCAGTTCATCCATCGATATGATGTTGCAACAATTAGTAAGCAGATAGAGAAAGGGAGGAGTATCGGCCATACCATAACAATTGTGCAAATGCGCCTTTTTGCACCGATGGCACCATGCACAACATCGTGGGGCAGTGTTTGGAAGGCGGACCAAAATATGAATTTCGGTATGATTGTGCCAAAAGCCTTGAGCTAGCAAAACGATAATCGGTGTACCTCGACAACTTCGTTAATAGCCGTCAGGTAATGGGATCTATTGTTAACGAGGGCCAGTTTTGCAAATCTGTATCCATGAACACCTTCTCGACAGTATTATCAGTGGATCAGGATGGCTGTGAGCTTCTCGCAGCTCAAGGAACTATGCATACTGACATGTCAGGTTCCTTCTTGCTCAACTCTACACAACAAACTCGGCATCCACACACACATTCGAAAAATTAAAGTGTGCATTAGAGAACGTTTTGTACGATTTAAGCCAAAGAGGTAGGGTTGAATTGGGATGAATGGCAATGCAGGAGTAAGAACAACATAACACGGCTAGTATGTTGCTCTCAAAGATTACTCTTCCAAAACGGTCACTCGCCATAGCGTAGGCGGCATAGGCACTATATATTCAGAACGCGTTATCGGTATGTGCGTCAACTAAGGTTACATCGAGTTGCTATGAAAATGGAGTCTGACACCACTCTGTACAGGTTTGGTCGTTGGAGTCGCCGAGAAGCAGACGACTTTCCTCCGCTTTCCTTGCCTCATATATATACACGAACTATTGTTGATATAATTGATACATTTGGAAAGCCTGGTCTTGATAAAGTTGAAATTTGAAGCAAAAAGAAAAATATGTACATGGACAATGGCTATATCTACTGCATGGTGGGAGCACTACTACTCCAACTCATAGGTATATACTGAGGATGTTGACCCTTGGGAGGATGAGGGTACTTGCCTTCCGCTTGCCTGTTGACTTCCTTAAATCGTTCTGGGAACGAGGGCCTCTTCCATGTCAACTCCCCAGGACTACTCGTATTCTTCGCAGCCATTAAACTCAGCTCATCCCAGGACGAATGACCGTCGCACTGTAGCTCAGGGCCGCCCGCTGAGACGATAGCACGCTCGACGCACCCTGCTTTCATAAAGAGAGGCAAGGTGAATGCCACTGATGAAGTATGCCCATCTTTCCAGTCCCATCTGGCTATAGCACCGCACCCTCTCTCTTCCTTTTCAAGACTCTTACCACCATCTTCAGCCCAATCCTGGATATTGTTAATCTCAAAGTACCAGTGGAAAGGTTCGTCCCAGTAGTGGCAATCAGCAGTAGGGGTAGGCTCGGGCTCAGGCTCGGGCTCTGGGTTGGCAGTTGTGATGGCAGCCTCACTTGTCGTTAGGGCCTCCGTTGTAGTCGTTGGATCCGCCGAAGTCTTCGATGCCTCTGACGTCGTTGTTATCTTGGGTTGACATATGCAATTGCCGAAAATCGCTCCAGGTACAAATGAAGGATGCCAACATGTGGGCTGATCACCGTCATCACAATCAAGATCGCACTCAGCGTCTGTCAAGCATGGTTTCAGTCCCGTCGTTGTGGCAGCGCTCTGAGAAGAGGTTCTTGAAATAACAGACGTGGAGAGGGTTGTCAAAGACGCTGTTGGACGGCGACAAATGCCTCCCGCTCGGGGAGCAATTCCCGTCTCACCCACTGTCCAGTCCCAGGAAAACTCCACCGTATAGGCCGCTGACATAGCCTTCTGCAACCGTTGTGTCCATGCTGCGACCTTTCTTCGCTGCTCATCAGCCTCAGTCTCGTCATCGTCATATGCCGGTAGATTGTCCAAGTAGCCTTGAATGATGGGGGTAAGATTGTCCTTTGCATAAGCAGCCCAACGGTTGATTGAATGATCTTCTTGACCGGCAAAGCGACTTTCCATATAACTTTTGAACCTTTCGGCAAAAGACCACTTACCCATGCCCTCGTAGCAGCTTATGGTATTGTCAAGATCCAGACTATATCAGAAGTTAGGAATGTGAATTTGAATGTGAGACAGAGGAGAACACTGAGAGCATGCCAAAACTCCAACAGCGGCGCATTTATCAAGCTATAACGTGCAGCTGATGAGGTTATGACACGAAACTGTAATACGTACAATGCGCTATAGACTCGTTTGTTCTGGCGGATCATCGCGGCAACAAGTACAGGGTCATTGAAGAGCTGGATACCCACATAGACCTTTTCCATGAATGGAAAGAGAAATTCATTCAATGACTGCTCGACAACCACCCAGGTGGAGTAGTCTGGTTTCTTCATCTTCTTGTCGGTCAAGGCCTTAACCGACTGGTCTCCGAACGTTGTTACAACACCGCCCTGTTTTATGGTTAGCGCATCTCGAAATCGTCTACAATCAACCATGGATTGCAATACTGATATTAAAATGAATGGATCGTACCTTTGGCCCACCATTGAGGGCTTGTTGCATGCCAATAAGATCTTCGAGCCACTTCTTATCGGAGGGGTAGGTATCGAATGCAGCCTGGAGACGGTTGATGCTGTTCGCTTCGTCCCAAACGTAGTAATCCAGATCCTCACAGGTGATTTGCTCGCGATCAATATCTGGGCTGTCCTTGACGCTTGGCACCTCCTTGTTCAAGATAACCGTAAAGAAGTCTTTCAGAAAGCTTTTCTCGTAGACATGATCGGTGCTGGCTGCATTGGCTTTTTCCATACTCCCAAACATGTTGCTGTATGCAGCTGCATCGACTTTCTTGTAAGAATTATGGCAATCGTTGTCATATACGTACCATCGCGAGATTTCATTCTCTTTCGCGGATAGCTTACCTCCAATGTCTCGTTTGAATAGGCCGGGTCCTTTCGGATAGCCTGGATACTTGAGCACCCCTTTAATCAAGCAAAGCCCTTTCCCATCTGGGCCTAAGCCTAACATGTCATTTGGCTTGGCCTTGGCTCTTTTCACCAGTCCTTCCTTATCCGAGGCCCACAAGTCAGATTCTTCCTCATTCACCACATCAGGATCGACTGGTGGTAGAGTGCAGGCACAACTGCCACCTGTAGGGCACGACTCAGCCGATGTGGTTGATGTAGTAGAAGCGATCGATGCCGTCGATGTATGTGACTCGGTCAAAGATTCTCTATCATTGTCCTCTTCACCTTGGCCATCGTCGCCACTACCACCTTTATGGGTAACCGGAGGCGTTGCGCAGCGAGGGTCCAGAGAAGGGATACAAGGGAATGATATTCCCGGACGTCCTGGAAGCTTGAAAACCACGCCTGCAATTGGAGGAAGACCAAATATGATGTCATCACAATCGTCACCAACAATCACAGGAACTACTGTCGCCTGGCTAGCGCCTTTCGAAGTGGTTGTAATCCATGTATTTTGAGTCCACTCTGGGTGATCAGAGACACAGGTTGAGTCGGCAGGCGGGTTCGTTACAGTCGCGGTCAAGGTTGGGTTTTGAGCGGAGTCTGAAGGACTAGAGGGAGCAACAGGTTCTAGGTTCAATGAGGACGTAAGTTGCCTCGAGAAGCTAGGATTGGTGTCGGAAACTGTGATCGGCTCTGAAGTGGCAGGCGGGAGCGAGGTAGGAATGCCTGATGGGGCAGAAGGTTTAGAATCTGATGGTTCTAGCGTAGCAGAAGGCACAAGTGTTTCAGTTTCTTCCAAGGCCGAGGAGAAAGAGGGTCTAGGTTCAGAGAGCTCAGGGGCTCGTGAAGTCGTGAACGATCCAGTGGTCCCCGACACCAAAGTGACCGATAGTCCTAAGGAATCGGAGAGAATGGAGGACGCGACGGGTCCAGAAGTGGTCGAAGGGTCAAGGGGGGTAGTGAGATCTGATGTACTAGATACGTCAGAGGTGATAGAGGACGGAGTTGCAGGTGGAGCTGGCAACTCGAGAGGGCTTGTGAAATCAAATCCAGAGGTTACGGAAAGAGTAAAAGGTTCAGAAGTAGAAAGAGACGGAGATAGCTTAGTTTCCAAGGGTGTTGATATGTCGGAAGAGATAGAGGGTGGAGGCTCTGAAGGTACGATGGATGTAGGTGATTCAGGAAAGCTATCGGTATCAGATCCTACAGCAGGGTCGGAAACAAAGGAAGCCATGGATGATTCCGAGTTTGGAGTGGCTGTAGTAATAGGGGATTCTGCGGTGTCTGAAGGTCCAGAGGCTGATGATTCTCGGACATTTGACCAATGTTCCCGAGTATTGATCGATGTTGGCTCATCCAGCTGAGAGGTTCCAGGAACCCCTGTGATAGTTGGGGTGGCCATTGCAAGATGGGTGCCCTGTATTTGGCTACTGTCAGATGCAAGGGTAGTAGTCTCTAGTAACTCTTCTGAAGTTCGACTTCCAGATTGTTTGTCTGCTCCACTGTCAGGGACTTCTGAGGAGACCGAGCTAAGAACACTAGCTGTCGATTTACTAGCATCGATGTCCAAGGATGTGTGGGTAGGTAGGAGGGGATCCCCAATAGACAAATGACCAGAAACTGTCAAAGTTGAGGTTCCAGAAATAGGATCAAGCCTTTGACTCTCCATATACGTGGATGTGTCGGTATGGGACTGCCCTGACGAGCTGTGTCCATCACTGTCCTTCCACGTAGGATGGTTCCCAACAGCATGGTCAGAAGGTATTCCAATCGTTGTTGAGACATGAGGGATAGGAATAGTTAATGAATATTGGCTGTTTGTTTGTAGGGAGGAGACTGGACGATGAGGCTTGCAGGGTCCTGCAAGAGCTCTTGAAGAAAGGCAGTAGAAAAAGAGTTGAAGCTTCATATTGATGAAATGGGAGTGGTACACTGAAACAAGAATTCTTCAAATCAAAGAAGTCCAGTACTTGACACGAGGAAAGCTATTTAAGAAATTCGAGAAGAATATGCCCTGTATTAAAAGCACAAGACTTTACGAACGAGTTACCATTCGTGATGTCGAGATGAAGCAAAGGACTCATCTAAGCGCATTATCCTAGTTGCTTTAGGATTTACAATCTCTGCAAGGGGTTATTCTCCTCGTGGAAGATCATATCACTGGATAATTACGAGACGGCGGATGCAGCTTTTCGTAATACGAGGTTTGAGGTATAGAGCAACCGGAGTCGAATTACAAGGAGTAGTTGTCTCGACTGGCAAAAATAAGGCCACTTGCAGGACAAAGCGCAGAACTGTTGGCTTAGCCATCGCTCATTACAGCCACTCAAGTGGTTGTTGGTTGGTATTACAGTCAGGAAAGAGGTTGTTGGTTGGTAGTGGTGTTTGAGCATCCTGGGAAATTACATGAACGGATGAGCTAGGGGTGTTTCAGTAGAAGCTGACAGAACAGTTAAACACAATTAAAGAATACACATTCGGGTTCTACTATTAGCAAAGCTTGGTTAGTATTCTCCTTCTTGAATTCTATCTTGAACCTTAAATTTTCGCATCGAGGTTGCAAACTATGAGCCTGTTGAAAGTGCATAGCACTCACTGGAGACTTAATACCGGATCGTAGAACTACAGGCTAAATTTAGTAGCTGTTAGTCAGCTTTTTAAGGCTGCTTAGCGTGTTTGATCGTCCTGTGCTGGATGACCGGAAATATCTCCATAAAGTGTGGCGTCCACAATTGTTTCAAGTATGACGTGTTATGATCATTTTAGAGTGTTTAGGTAAAACAGTGTTGGTTAGTTCTGGATCCGTGCTTTCAATTTCAAAAGATCTTCAGGCTCTTGTGTAACCCTAATCAGGCTCGTACCGTAGCACCGTAGCATTGTTGTTTTTGACCGACTGATATCAGTAATAGAAAGGACTACACCTAGCCACCTATCCACTAAATGCTAACATTCCGCCAAAAGCCAGTGTTTAGTCTACATCCCTAATTTGAGATCGTGTTGCAGTGTTATGGCTGAGATTGTGGTGGCTGGGTGCAGGGTAGGATGCATATATGACTCACCGCTAACAGACTAGTCGTGTGTCAGGTATGCTACCTACCCCGTGCTTTAATGGACTGTTACTGGACTTCCAACAACCAACAGACTCAAATTTGCGTTCCGATTACGATCACCCGATATTAAACAGCACATCTATTACATTCACATTCCCATTCCACCTAGACATCCTCTTATCTTTCCTCAGCACTCAAAACTTCCGCAACTTTTCCATTTATTCTAAACTTTTCTTTTTTCTCCTGGCTGCACCTGCCGTCACTATGGGGAGGCTTTTTACCCATTCAATATTTTGTTGTGACTGCACACTATGTGGTATCAAGCTTGACAACTTGAACCCCCACGACCTTGACGATGAAATCTATGCTGAGGTACGATTTTGTATGTTACCCCGTATGGCCATGCATACCTGACGTATTGCAAGCAGTCACCCCCTCGTTGGTATCCAGAGTTATGGAAACAGGACAATGTCGTGCTGTCGGGCACGTGCTACTGGAAGCGTCTAGATCCTTTCAAGATCTTATCTGTTGATACGATCGGTTGCGATCCGGTCGATGATCAGACTGACGAGAAAGGATCGTACAGGACAGTTGTGTTGAAGCATGTAAGCCCATATGCTGGTTTCATTATACCACAACTTCCAAACTGGTATTGTTCGGCTCGTGACCGCGACCTCTACTTTATCGCACTGCATGCTCCTTGCTTACGTATTGCTAAACTCGTTATGACACTATCTCGAGATGCACATCTCGGCACAGTGGGCGACCTATGGCTCACGCTTGAGCGGCGTTCTGAAAATGTATTCAACCTTCAGAACAAGAAAGGAGAATGCAGAATTGAACCGCCGTTCATCCCCGGCATTCCCGAGGATCCTCCCGAACGCCGCCCGAAGACAGGACCGGTCAGAATCGGGCTCAGTCGGTATTTTGTTGATGCGGATCGTGTTCTTGGAGCAGTAGATGATGAGGATTGGGAGGAAGAATGCCATGGTCCACGCCTTACAGATCGCTGGGTAAGTAGAGATAGTCCTTGCACCATTTGCCTCTAAACTGATTGAATATGCAGTGGAATGATGATCCAGAATACATCCCTGGCCTAACAAATTCCCTTCTCTCAAATCTTGACGAATACCTACCAAGTCGACACCCCCTGCCCAGTTTCAGAGATCGCTTCGAAGTCTTACCTCAAGAGATCAAAGATCGAATACTATACTTCCTGCCAAGTAAACTTCCTTTGGCATCCACATACCTGCTGGATCAATCCTACTGGTACACTGTGTTCTTGCAGGTTCCATTCCTTTGGGACCTCGATCTCGCTATGGTACAGGCGAAACTCGGTGGGAATACGACCGATGGCCAAAACATTGCCAAACAGTATAATTGGGAGAAGCTCACGCGGCAGGTTCTTACACCAATGGATGTAGTCGATCCAGATGTACAGCCACCGTTACCTGGCTCATATGCCCGGGTTGGGTTGATGGTTCCGCATGGCTTTCAGAATCGACGGCGTATCTGGCAGATTGTTGAAGAGATGTATCCAAATGACGTCCGCATGGATGAAAATTAGTGGTCTGGGCTGCACATAGACTTTGTTGATGGGTGTATCAGCGATGAGTTCAAGATGTGTTCTCCGTAGGATGAGCTGACACGTAAACTATAAAACCAAGATGAATACAATATTTTGGAGAATACACCACGATAAACAAGTTTCGCTGAATATTATATAGCCTCTAGCTGTATATTGAGATGAATTGAATTGCTATAGGAATGTGATTGTGAGTGTGTGCGTGATAGTGCGTGATAGTGATTGTAAGGTGTTGGTGAGTGGAACAGTAAAGATATCCCAGACACGGGCCTGGGTCGTCGCAACGTAGATAGAAGGCCAAGGCAACACAGTTCTCAACCCATAGAGCGCAACGGCAAAGTAAAGAAGATCTCAAGGCTCTTTTAAATCTCAAATAATCACAGTGGCTTGTACCATCCCTTTAGCTGCCATGGCCTCCACTACCGGCTCGTATTCACTCGTTGTTTAAACACATGTGATGCCACCGAACTGGTTCTTAGTTGCCTCCCACCACGCCGACTCGACGTGGCCGCTGTTGCAGCCTGAAGGCGATCTGAAGTTGATGACCATATCTCCGTTGCCGTCTTTGCCGCAATTGGTCTCGGAGAGCGAAGCACAGGCTCCGTGGAAGTTCTTGTTGTTCATGTTGTCCCAGAAGCCGCCACACCTGGCAGGGATATCATCAACTCCGGAGCCGATAACGAGCCACGTCCTAACGTAGAGCCCATCTTGGAATTTCCAGCTGCAATGGTTGGCAGTGGTGGTAGAGGCGAAGCCGGGGATAGCAGCGGCGGTGGATGTAAAAATGGTGGTATTCATGGTAGTGGTAGTGGTGAGAAAAGATGGATTAAAAGGTATGAGTAAAGAGAAGAGGGTAGGCTTGTTGGTTGTAGAATGGAGATTGAGAGACAAGCTGTGGTGAGTTGCTATATGGTTATGGGAGTTATCAAGCTTCTTATATACTTTTGCGATTACCATCTAAGTGGTATAGATATCTATGTTTTTCCGTCCGAGAACGGACCAGCTGTTGAATCATGTGGGGCAACTGCGAATGCCATGTTACTACAAAGCATAGAAATTTTAGTAGCCATGGCGAGGGCCCATTTCGCCAAGTATAAAGAGCGATAGCACGGGCAGTCGGTGTGATCCTTCAATCCCGTCTACTCCACTTAGGTATATTATTTGTAGATCTTGTCATTATAAGGTTTATCGCATCCGCGGCTTTGTACGAGAAATGCACTTGCCGAGAGGCTTACAGCTAGATTCCATTACGATAAACCCTTGTTCAAGTTTTTCATAGGAGCAATACATGACTATTACCCTTACCACAGTGGGCATTTTATCTTACTTCGGATTACTCCGTACTAACTAAATATGGTCAAAGAAACGTACGTTCAGCTCCTTTGCCGTGTTATGGGATAAGACCAAACGTTCTTTCTCTCCTTAAAGGCTACTGTACGTACCTCGACCCAGCTTTTGCTTCAAGGATGGACACGTAGTTTTTCGATGTTGATGATATGTGCCCTTGGTCATAGAAAATTAAGTTTAAATTTCGGCCATGTCAGAGATGCGGTTCTATTAACTGATCCATACATAAACTAAATCCGACCAATCGCCCTTCCCATGGGCTCTGTTACATTCTGCTGGAAGTATCTCTGCGCCTCGTATTCACTCATTGCCTTGGTTCGCTCCCCGAATTCCAAGCAAGTTATGATGCACTGTACGAATACTCTTCCGACTTGATGCGCAAGGGATTTGCCACATTTCTTTATTAGTGCTTTCGGTGCATCTGAAGCGACAAGGGGTTTAGACTCTAAGAATGACTGCAAAATAGAGCTGGCCTCTTTCCAGATCGCAATCTCGAGTAGCATAACGCCAAGCGAGTAAACATCATGTCTTTTCTCGAACCGTGCTGCTGGGCGACCCCATCGCTCGGGATGCCGATAGAGGTTGTTGATAAGAGAATGGTCCTCATCTAAGTATGTCGCTTCGTCATCGGCGCGAGAATATTCGAACCCAAATAGCAGAGGGTTACTAAGTGCGTAACCATCTACTACAGAGGAAGTTGAGTCCATATCGTCAGCTTGTGTTTGTGAATCCGCACCGACTGAAGTGAAGGCTATGTTGTCGCTTCGAATACTCTTATGCACCCACCCGACGCGATGGAAATTCTCGACTGCCGTTGTCAAAGACCATGCGAGGTGTATACGGTGTCCGAGTGGAATTACTCGGTGCAGCTTGTACAACTGGAGCAGGGTAAGTACTTTGGACTCCTCTATAAATGACAGCGGAGCTCTGAAGACTATTCCCAGCTCTTTGCGAAGACGGTCACGAAAGTAGCCTGCGCATGGAAGGATATGGAATTCCTTTGTCTTTGGATGACATAAAAGTCCCGTGATCCTCTGAATCTGCTGCAGCGTTTGGAGTTGAGGTTCGTCATTGCTGTCGGCAAGGGGGCTGTACTTGTATGTTTCCATGATGACAGGTTGGCCGTCCATAGTCCCCAATTTGAAGCGGTTTGAAGTGTTACTGCGTTTGAGATTGTTGTAGACCTTATCCTTGTCGAGTTCACGGCTATAACTGGAGGGATCGTGGTTCAAAATTGCTTCACGTAACTGAATGGCGGCGTCAACATCGGAGGCATCAAGTAGTCTGGCCGCGTTGTCTTGTAGGTTTGAGGACCTGCCCGCAACGGTGGCATCGAGCAACAACGGCGTTTCCACCGCTGTGCTGACCGTGGAGACTAGGCCTTGGATCTCGAATATGGACTTTTGAATAGCCCTTTCATCCTCGTCAGCAACGCCGTCTCTTGCATATTCGGCCGTGGTCGCCATGACGGTGTTCAGTCCACGAATGCCTCGGATGATCTCATCTCGAGCAGGCTTTGAAAGTTGCTCAAACACAGAGCCTGAGGGGAACGCGCCATCCTTGAGAATGCCCTGCATGCTGCGCGCACGACTGACAATAGCTTCGATGCTCACAGCGGTGACATTTTTTGGTGGTGCTGTCTTTAGCCAATTGGCAATCTGAAGGCCAGTAACGTCGTCCGAAAGCGCTGCTCTGAAAAGAAGATAACCAGAAGGCTTCTGAGTGAATCTCCCCTTTGATTCTGTCGGGAAAAGACGCTGGAGAGTAATTTTAGTAGGCGACTTGCGTGCGAAATCGTGAAAGACGGGAGTCTCTATATCTGAGCATTAATACCTGCCAGAAGAACAAAGCCTACGCCGGATTTACCTGTTATCTTGGGGTCTTCTCTTAAATACGACGCCAGGCTCTCCGATGAAACTCCTGCGGTAGCATGTTCTTGTAATAACCTGATAAGGCCCCTTGTGAATGACCTGCGCCCTGGAGCTGGCGTTTTTGCTCCCTTGGCAGAGGCCGCGATCAGCTCAAACCGACCCTCGCCGTCCTTAATTCCATGTGCGATAAGCGATGCTTGGCAGCAATCGAGAATTAGTAGCACATCACCTGGAGCGGAGAACAGTAACTGCTGGGTGATATACCATGAAATAGTCGGCCCTCCCTGCTCGAAGGCTGCCCACTCAGGTTTGCCCTGTGCATCCGCACTGCAGTGGCCTGCGTAGTATATGATGGCAAGGGAATCAAAGGGTGTAGACTTCTCTTCAATAAAACTTGAGACTTCGACATTTAGGCGCGCCGACGGGGAACCATGAGTAGGGATGGGAAAGAATGTGACGCTGTTGTAATTGTACTCTTTTTCAAAAACGGTGCGAAGATCCTCAATCTCCTTGTCAACACCATCAAGATCATTATCTGCCCAGGCAATCATCAGCACGTGAACATGAGTATATGGAGCCCGAAGATCCGCTCCGATGGTTGTTTTGAAAGCCTCTGCGATGTCATGGTTGGCCATTTTAGTCTGATCGATACAGGCAGGATGGTAGAGCCGCAGTTGTAGATAGTGCGGGGGAAGAACAAGCAGCTCAAAATAAAACGCACGTTTTTCCACGGGTTAGCGCCCACATATACCCTAACGTTAGTGCTGCCAGAATCAGGCTCTGACTACTACCCTCGCATCATAGAGGTATTGTAAGTATAGCTGAGCTTCCCCTTTAAAGCCCTCGGCCCACGCGATAGCATCCCCAATCCATTTGGTCAGCGGCAGATCGACACCATGACAGATATCGAAAACACCCGTGGACGAACGAACCCAGAGGCTGACTCTTCTGATGAAGAAGAGGTAGCTAACCCTTTTACCCTTTCTCAATCCTCTCAAATTTGACGGACTAACCAATCCCCCAGCCCGTTCGCTTCCGTCCACGTATCAATCCCTACGCCAACAAAGCCGACGTGAGTATCTTCAGCGAGTCAATTGCGATCAACCATTGCTAAATAATTTTCAGTGGCCCCAGGAGCCTCTATACATTGTTGGCGAGGTGGTATATGTGCTCTTCCCAGGCCAAGCGCAGCCTGTAGGCCCTTATGTCATTATATCGAGCAACTTTGAGAGTGCCACATATGAGATAAAGAGGCAAGACACGGGACAGAAGCACCCGACAGCGGTATCTGAGGGGCAACTACGAGTCACGGCGTGATTCGTTGAAGATGAGACATCCTGGAGGCGCAGTTATGCATCACCGCCCGAGTGCGGAGGTGTCCTTGGTTGTGCATCTTTCAATGGAATAAGCAGTCTGATTGAAAGTTGCAGGGTTTATCGAGCTAGGCAGCCTTAACGTCAAGACAAGAAAATGGTATCAAAAAACAATTACCTTCACTATATATACGTCACACTTGAAAGTCTCTGGTCCTTAGATTGCGGTCAACTGTGACAGGCTTTTCGCGAACCATGTCGCCAACTACTACAATCACAGCAAGCGGCGGCGCACCTCGGATGCCGCAGTTTGTGAACAAACAGCGAAGTCAGTAGAGAAGAGAAACATTGATCGATTATGGAAGGGGCTAATATCAATCAAACAGATCCTGTGCCATACACTTCAGGCCACCATTTATTAAGAAGTACTCCACACAAAAGTAAGGGCTCTATTTCCATAGCCTTGTTAAGGATGCTAATCCAAGACCGTGTCAGTTGAATCATTCCCTCGCGGATACTCGTCACTGGCTGCCTTTCTTAGCAGCGACAAGGAATTTACTGTCTTCCGTTGCTTCTCTAGGCTCCATACTCGTGTGCTCCTGCACAAACAAGACGAGCTGACACAGCTAGAGCAGCGACTTGATGAACTCGATGAGGAAGATAGCCGGAACGATCCATACCGACTGATGACCAACAGACACCGTGGTGGGGACCAGGACCGTCGAGCGCTGCTTGGAGATATTGAGCAAAAGCTAAACGAATACAGTGGGTCGAAGCCGGCCATTGCGTAAAGTTTGAATGCTAAAGATAAAAAGATGCCCTGCTTGAGTCGTTACTGGTCCACCTGGAAGGCCCCGAACTGGAAGAGCCCCAAATTAAAAACATCAGGAACTGGATGGATGGGAAGAAACCGATCGTCTGTGCAGAAACGTCCTTTCTAGATGACTTTGGTGACCTCAGACGACCAAAGTACTCGACAGACAGAGGAGGTCTCGAGGACGTCATTGACAGTTATTCAGCAGTACCCCACATGCAAGGCATCTATAAGGTATCCTTATTCCTATCCTTCAATTAGACGTGCAATCACTGAAGGCTTATTAGTTTCTCTCCCTTTTTGTTAGTACCCGGAGGCTGTCGTCTTTACACTTGAAATTAACAGTTTTAGGACCCTTCTCCCAGATCAGACGATCCAGAGATGAAGCTGCTAAAAGCTTCTAGATTGATCGCAGTTTCACGCGCATTGGCAACATTACTGGCTGTTGCGACGTTAGTTATACCAATTGGGGTGCTGTACTGTGTTCAGGCTGTTCCAATTAGGCTATGTATTATTGCTGGCTTTACTGCAATATTTTCTTCCGCACTTTGCTGCTTGACGTCATCGAGAACATATGAGTTGTTTTCCGCTACGGCGGCGTATTGCGCTGTGATGGTGGTGTTTGTTGGAAGTTTACCTGGTCCATAGCTTGAGGGTTCTGCGATGAGTGACGATGCCACATGTCGTCTTATTGATGACAAAAGGAAATAAGAATCCATACAGCTACAGATGTGATGCTCAAACTATGCCCTTGAGTGAGGATTCTTGACAGCTTCACTCTTGAGCGCAGTATCCACCTCGCGCTCCAACCGTGCCTCTGCAGAGGTCAAGACCCGCTGATGATTTTTTGATTTCCTTCCGACTCAAATATACCCCAGTTTGAGCCTTTCACAGACCTCGACTGACATCTTGCACGAGCTTCCCGGGGTATCGTTCTCTTTCAACCTGTTGCAGCAATCGTATGATTTCAAACAGCAGATCTGAAAAGTCTTTTGATATACGTCTTTCCATATACCGGTAGTTCGGACCATTTACATCGAGCCTGCTAATGTCTCCCTGAATGCGTAAATGGCTCCTGAACTGTAGCACGCCATTGGAATAATCTGTAAACATCTTATAGGTCCTAATGGCTAGTTCCAGCGGCGTAAGATGTACACCGTTCCTTTTGTCCACACTTGCGCCAAAATCTATGAGTGCTTGAACACCCTCTAGATCTCCAGAGTATACAGCGTGGTGCAGAGCTGTCCAGCTGCTATCATCTTCTTGATCGATGACTTTCTGAGACTGGAGCCGCTTGCACTTGGACAAACACGCTCTCACGTAAGAAGGCCTTTGAGACCGTGTTCTTACAGCGTAATCCAAACAGGTGTAAGTCCTGTTTTCTTTGCTCTTCCACTGCGTGTCAGCTCCGGCACCGAGTAGCATATCAAGAGCATCAATCTGTCCGTGAGAGATAGATGTTTCGAGTAGCTCTCTTCCCTGGATATTTGCGCCATGTTTGATCAGTTGGCCCAGAACGTTTAGTGAACCTCGTTGCACAGCCATGACTACAGCTGTAATGCCCTGGCTACATCGAGCTTCTACATCAATGCCAGAGGCCCCTAGTAATATCTCAGCAGCAGGTGCAGCGTCGAGAAAAGCACAGTATTGTAGAGCATTGGAGCCTGTACCATCAAGTGCGAGGCCGTTGATGTCCGATACAAGCGGTAGAAGAAGTGGTATCTTAGACCATGACAGCTTGCGGGTCGCACAGTTCCTCACAGCCATGCTTACGACATTGCCATGCTCTCTCTCGCATTCGACCACGGTTGTCGCCCCAGCCGCAACAAGCTCTTCGATTACGTACGACTCCAGGTCCATATTTGTGACAGCGAGAGATAATGGCGTATGATTCTGGTTGTCGAGGACATTGATGTCTAACCCATTTTGTAGAAGAACTTTAATCGTTTCCTGGAGTGCAGTACGGTAGTTCGCAGCATGGGCAACATATTTTCCAAAAGGAAAGATGTTATAACCAATCATATGGAACGCTGAGAATGACCAATGACAATCGTCACCATAGGTCTCGCTGCCATTATTAAGAAGTAGTCGCACGATCTTTGGGTGGTGGCCCGATACGGCAAGATCAAGAGGACTGAGACTGGGAACGTGCTGTGTTAACCCATCTCGATGGTATATCCTCCGCCATTGAGTTCTAAGGTTGACATCAGCCCCTAGACGAAGAAACTCTGCGACAAGGTCGCAGTAGCCAGCTGTTACGGCCCAATGAAGGGGTGTGCCTTGCAATTCGATACAACGATGTGGTAGCATAATTGTAAGGCCCTCATGTCGAGCAACAAGCAAGCGCCGGATTCCAACCAGTTTGATTGCATCATTTCCAGCGTTGCAGGTTGTCGAAACAAACTTGAGAAGCTCGCAGGCTTCCTTCTCGTTGAACATGATTAACCAATGTAAAAAGTTCGGCATGTCCTTGTCCACCATTGAGAGGTCTACGCAATGCTTCGCGAGAACCATTGCAGCTTCTAGATGACCATCTCGACACGCTACTGTGAAAGCCTGGGCCAATTCATCAGAATCGTAACGGCCTTTCCTAACCAGAATCTCGAATTTTCGAAACGAATCGACACAGATGGGGCCTAATGTCAGAAAGCCGCGCCCTCCTTCATTGCTACGTCTCCAGATATGGCTGTCAAACAAAATGATCGGGCTTTTGTAGGTGGCACAATTGTCCTTGAGCAGCCCTCTCTGCCTTTCGGGCTGTAACGCGGCGCAGATGGGATTAAAAATGGCACGAGCTACTTCATTTTCCTTGGAAGCAGCCTCGAGATGGTCCAGCGCTTTTAGGCTGCTTGGGGCGACACCGCAGCCAAGATGATACATAATAGCCATTTGCAAGTGTGCCTGAGCTTTACTCTTTGGGTCAGTCTCAGTATTAATTGCGTCTTGAATCGCTCTGGCTGCTTCATATAGGTTATACCACGGAGGTTGAGTTTGAAGAACAGACTAAGAAGACTTGGTCAGTAACATATTCATTTTCTGATAACATGCTATTACCTTGAACATATCTTCTGACTTGTATCGATACATCTCTGGCGTCAATATCAAGGTCCCGTATCTTTTGGGCACTGGGATCCTAGCGACTTGGCGACCGGGATCAGCGGGCCTATCTCTAGGTGGAAGTTCGAAGTGCCTTGGGCTACTGTACCGGGCACTGGTTTCGAAACTACATTGTGCGCTTCTATGGTAAGTCGGAGTTGGCCGCCTCCTATATCTCGACGCTGGATATTTGTCTTCTCCCTCTATCCTTGTCTCCGCCGGATAGATCCTTTCTGTTGAGCTTGCATACTGCGGAACAGTATCGCTGTTTCTGTAAGTGCTGGCTTCACTGGGAGGAACGGGGAATGTTACTGACTCGATTCCTTCAGAGAGTGCCTTAATTATTTGGTGAATATTGCCACGACGCCAGGTTCTCTCCCGAAGGCAAAGGGAGACGGTAGTCTCGAAGATTTCGAAATATTGTGAGTCTGGTGGTACCTCAATAGCTAAACCGATCCGCGACTTAGATTCCCTCTCTTCAAGTTGGATTAAACCATCCTCCCTTGAACGAAAAAAGGTGGTAGCAAATTCCAAAAGCCCATCTTCCTTGCTGTGAAAGGTTCGTTCAAGCCAGCTCATAACCTTCTCATCGGCAGTGAGCCACTCGGGCTCGACGAAAGACTTGCCCTGCTTGATAGTTTCCCAGAGCAAAAGCCCGAAAGAGTAGCAATCAGCTGACTTGTATTTGGAAAAGATGGGAACCGCCTCAATACTCTTGCCCTCATGCTCACTGTCTTTCGCCCATCCACAAATTTCCGGAGCATTGTACTTGGGCGTGCCAAGGTAGTTTTGGTGGTGGCTTTCGACGTCTTCTTTGAACAAAGAACACCCGAAATCAGCTAGCTTGGCAAGATAGTGGCGATCTCCTTCCTTGTCTCCGGAGTAGTGATAAACAAGCACATTTTCTGGCTTGACATCCCCATGGACAATGTCACAGTCATGTAATGCTCGAATTCCCAGAGCCACATCAAGAGCTAAAAACCTCCTGTCCATAGGGCTTAGACTTTTGTCCTTGGCGAAGATTGAAAGTGTTCCATGCTGTGAGTAGGGCATAATAAGGAACAGCTTGTTCCCAATCTGAAGATCTGGCTCCCATCCCCAGGCGATAGCAGAGAGCAAACAGCTATGCGAACGCACTGTAGGGTGAGTTAGGACTCGAACCTCACGCTTGATGCCAGCTAGGCGCTTAGAATACTGGCCAAGCTGTGTGTCTAGCCAGGTGGCGTTGTTCAACTCAGTTCTCTTGACCAGGCGCTTAACGGCCACGAAATAAGGTCTTTCCCCGTTTGCGCCAAAAATCTCTTTGCTTACGTCGAAAGTGCTTCCATGGCCGATGTGGCTATCAAAATCGAGATCTTCGGGTCCGGCGTAGGGTATCTCGTAGCGCACTAGTACAAGCACATCTTGCAAGGTGTTCTCTGCATTGGTTCGTTCTGTCGATTGAGACGGTGTCAGATTTGACTCCACGCTGGATGTACCGGTAAAGCGAGAATCCCAGATTTCAGATTCCGTGTTGGACTCCATCTTTGGAACTTCGAAAGCGGCTTTTTCGTTTCGAGTATAACCATTCAGTCTCGGTACGGGTTTGTTCATGTAGGGAATGTGTTTCTAGAATGATTAGTTCAATGAGATAAGCTAGGGTAGGCTGGGTAAACTTCCAGTCAGAGGGAGGCGGTGAGTCATGGAGTTAGACAAGGGCGAGATCGGCAGGAAAGGCATAGAACTTAATTGATGATAAATTTGAGTTAAAAGATGGGAAAAGGTCCTAAAGCTATGGGCAATTCCTTTTAATTTTCCAGTTACCTGCTACAAGGTTTAATTAGGCAGCTTCCTGCTTGTCCTTGTACCTCTGCAGCATGACAATCCGGTGGTGTTTCCACAGGCGCCAGTTAACATAAACACTGGTGCTAATAATAGACACAACATTGCCTCACTAGTGTTATCCTTCTTAAGATAAGCAAAATTAGCTCACCTGACCAGCCCCGAAAAAATAAGCAGTAAGCAACTATCACCGCAACTCGCTACCTATCTCAATAAAAGATGCGATGCCGACCAGAGTAGCCAAGCCTTCGCCGCTTGAGCAGTGGGTAACAAATGCTGCGCCTGGACAATTGCACGCTGTGTCTGGTGCCGCCGGGGGTTTCGCGTCTGGTGTGGTCACTTGTCCACTCGATGTAATCAAAGTCCGGCTGCAGTCTCAGGGAAGCCTGGTTCCAGTACGCGTTGGCCCGCTCCGTCTGAATTTACTACGCGCCGTTAATAGATCCCGTTCGCAACGTGGGCTATACCGAGGTTTTATCCATACAGCACGCCTCATATGGAGAGAAGAAGGTGTGCGTGGAATGTATCGGGGTATGGGCCCACTACTGCTGGGGTATCTTCCTACGTGGGGGATATACTTCACTGTGTATCAACAGTCTAAGACGAGATTGCCTGAACACAATTGTATGTACTGATACTACCACAAGTCCAAAAGAGTTTGCTGACGCCAAATACAGTACAGCTCAAAACAAGGCCCAACCTGGTTAATATTCTCTCATCCCTTGCAGCGGGATCTGTATCGACTTTGATAACAACTCCTATCTGGGCTATCAAAGTCCGCCTCATGTCCCAAGCACACCGCCCCAACAGGCCGCGGCTCTTTCGCAGAAATCGGATCCATAGGCCCCACTGGCATTATCACTCAACATTGGACGCCGCATACAAGATGTTCACAACCGAGGGTGTGGGAGCATTTTACTCCGGGCTCGGGGCCGGTATGTTAGGTCTAACACACGTGGCAATCCAATTTCCCACCTATGAGTTTCTAAAGAAGAGATTTAACGGCAGCGAATTGGGGACAGCTGTGGACAGAGAAATTGAGTGGCTTGGCATTCTCTCTGCCTCTGTTTTATCAAAAGTCATCGCTGGCAGTTTGACATATCCGCACGAGGTTATCAGAACAAGACTTCATACCCAGAGACGCCCAATCCCGGGAGCAGAATTTCTCGAAGGGCTAGGAGGGTTTAGAGGTCAACGGGGTTTTGTCCCAGGTAGCATGCTATTGCATCCAAAGTACCAAGGGGTCTTTGACACATACAGGGTGATCCTACGCGAAGAAGGTTGGAGGGCCTTTTATAAGGGAATGGGGGTTAATGTGGCGAGGAGTGTCCCTGCAGCAATAGTGACTATGATGAGCTATGAATGGGCTATGAGCTTTCTGTTAAGGATGAAGGAAAATACTATGGAAGACCCCAATGGCCTTTCTTCATTGTAATTTATACACTGTACACTAAGAATGTCTATTAAGTATTGAGTCACCTCTTTACCTCATTTCATATTAGCGTAAATATTTCTGATTGAGGTTTTACATCCTCGATGGTATTGTGTTCGTGGTACCACGCCTCGCCGTGACTGATGCCTGCAACATAGGCGACTCCGAGGAAGTGACCTTTGCCGGGCTGATTTGCCGATGGCCTGAGAATTACCGGAAAAGAGCAGCCCGCAAGAAGAACAACTCGATCCCCAAGTTGCAGGTCAAAATTCGACACGCCTACGTGGCCCGACGCAGTAAGAAACATCATACTTCCACCCAAAAAGGGATCAAAGCGGAATACTCCATCAACAAACTCTTGTAAACCAGATTCAACACTGTGATATGCCCAGTCAATCTCGCCCTTCTGGACAGATCTACCGATGTGTCTAATCCAGTCAAAAAACCATTGTTTTAGCTCATACGGGCCTTCGGCATCCATTGGACCTGGCGTAGAAAGCTTTGTGATTTGCGAGATGCCGAGGCCTCTAAGAGATAGCTCGTGAGGCCGGGAACTCTTTAGTAAATCAAGATCGACTTTACTGCTACCAGTTGCTTTGGCGTGAAGTTGGCTTTCCGCCCATCTCCGCATGGGAAACTTGGCAGGTATCTGAACATCCATGACCCAGGAAGGCAGCGAACTCCGTCCTTTTAGTGGTGGAAGACTTTCCAAATATTTGAGTGAGGAAGAAAGCCTGATTGTATATCGAGCAAAGTCTTCAAAGACTCGCCCTGGAGAGTGGAAGTAATTGATAGGTAGCGGAGTGATGCCAGCCTGAAGCTTGTACATCAGTGGTAAGAAGGCGAAAACCTTATCACGGGGGTCTCTCGAGCGGTGAGTGCGCGCGCATTCTATAAACCCAGAAAAAATATTGAAAGGCGTAGAAGTTATAGTCTGGCCTCTCCTGGCAGCTGCAGCATTTTTGAAAGCGATCCAGATGGCAATACGCAGCGAGGCAGGTAATGATGTATCCTGGAGGGATTGGATTCTTCGAATACTCCACATCCAGTACGACGAGAATGCTGTCCAAGAACAGGAAGCGTGCCCAGCAATCAGCACAGAGTGCTTAGCGAGGAGGTGTTCCTGAATGGTCCACATGCGCGAGAACCATTCGTTCCGACTGATGAGGCTCATGACCTTAGCATCGTGCCGGCTATTGGGAGCTGCGACTATTAGTTCAAAACCTTTGTCATCATCTTATGCCGACTCACCAAACAGATGCCAGAGCCAATTAGAGACAGAGTAAAGCAGATTCCACTTTCTAACTTGATCCCCAACCTTTGGACCAAAGGATCGGAGTGCGTATAAAGGTGATGATATGAAGGGACGGAGCAAAGTGGCCCTTTGAAAAACAGCGGGGATATCTTTATTTCCCGGTCCAAGCCACAGCAAAACTCGCGCAGCAGACTCATAGATATCCCCCATCATGGGAACCTGTCTGATCTTCTCTGCATTGGACTCTTGGTTGATGCATACTGCATCGATCCATAGGACCCTAGTTCTGTGCTTTAGACGAAGATATCGTAGCGCCGATTCGCAGTTTGAGGTGACGTAGAGAAGTTTCCCATCACAGTATACCCGGCAATCGCCCTTGATTGAACCCCAGACGTAAGACAGAGCCTCATATTGTGTGCGCTTCAGGCCAGTAAGCGATACACGCTTCAGCGAAAGGTGAATTGGGTCATTGAACTGATTGGCCGGTTCGAGAACAGCGACTCGAGTGTCTCGTGCGTGTGGCAAGGGTCGATAAGAGTATCGAGAGGCACTGCGGGATTTTTTAGTACCATATTCTGGTGGACCTTTAGCTAATGGTCTGTAGCAGTGAAATGGCGCAGCGAAGCACCATTGACGATGTTGAGTTGAAAATCTCACGTTTAGAACTCTTCTTCCGGAAGACAGGAAGAGTTGCATACCTCCCTGTCGTTTTCTTGATTTCTGACACTACAAGACCAATCTCCAATCACAGGCCTCTGTTGTTAAGAAGAAGGCTCAACATAATTCCGTTGGGTGTTTGAACCTTGCTAGGGATGTGCTGAGACAATCATCTCGTCCGAAGACCGATAAAGCGGGGTTTTATATCTCGGGTGAAAGAGTCTCCGGGTAGCCAGTTTCTTGGTGTGGAATAGCAGGGCTCCGAGCAGACCAGATCTTAAAACACTTGTCCAGGAACGAATTTAATACCCTTTGGAAATGTTTTGAGGAGGTCAGAACTAACTCAATTCTAGTGAGATTTAGATAAAATTACAAGGAAAGACTGATAGAACAAGAAGATATAAGATGTCTCTTTCCTCCTTGATGTAGAGATAAAGAAATATTTCTTTGTAAAAACCTATTATTTATTTAAGATAAATAAATTAAGACGAAAGTTTATTTAAATTATTGAAATGTCTTCTCAAGATTGACTCAAATTGATTCAATTTAGAGTACTTTATTTGAAGAGAGAGCCACGCCAAAGGAACTGTCTCACACCGACGATACATTCACAAAACGCAATTGTAAACAACATAGACCATTTCTTATCGTGTACAGTTATGAATAATACAAGGGTATGTCTATAAAAATCGTTCAAGTCTGAGAAAACATCAAATTAAAGATGTGTAGCTGTTTTTGTTTTTCTAACTATCTCTATCCTGCTGTATTACAATTACCCCAAGACAAATCAAATCTATAGAATGATAATATTACACACACTCATAGCTTCGCAGACTAAGAATTAATCCGGTAGCCCCATTCTCTGTGAACCAAGTCCCTGCGTACATGAGTCGTGGACACATGTTCCAGTTTCTCACCCTTAAACGCTGGCCTTGCTCCATTCTCCCTTAGCTCTGATCCTTCTTCCCCAGGCAAAGAATAGAAAGGGGACTGGCACCAACACCGCGGCAATAATCCCAAAAACAGTCGTGCCCCAGTCCACTCCAAGCCTGTGGTACATGGGCATGATGAAAAGAGGAAATGCGCCGGAAAACATGGATCGCATAAATGTGTTAGCCGCCACTGCGCTGGCGCTGTAGCGAGTGAAGGTATCGATGAGGTAGCCCAGTGCAGCCTGGAAGATGGTTGTGAAGCCAAGGCCGGTCAAACCGATGCCGATGATGGAAGGCCAGTAGTTCATGTCGGGAGATGAGGTCCCTGATATTTGTCAGTCATCTTGAAGTTCTGGAGTAGTCGATGTTGAAATTGAGATGGTGACTCACATGCAAACAAGAACTGGCCGGCTGTAAAGACAATGCCGCCGAGCATCATTGGGGGTAGTCTGGCTTCTGGGACAGCTCTGTAACCATTCTCTACAAGCTTTTTGCCGTAATACTTGTTGTTGTAGATGTTAATGGCCGCTGCGCACAGGATTCCAATCAACAGTGCTATGAATGGCAGGCTACCAACCACAGGGCCCCATTGGCGAACCTCCTGGTACTCGATGGAAAAGCTCTCGAGATTGGCGTATAGAATTCCTGTATTTGATGAGTTGGAGTTGCGAGTATTGTGGGTAGACACTTACCGTAGACAAATGAGGCGTAGGTTGACATGAGAAAGCAGATGGGGTTTACCATGAGTTGGAAAGGACGGATGAAATACTTCTGATATAGTTCTTTGAACGAAATATCCGATTCTTCATGCTACTGCAGAGTAAGTTTCTGAATTGCTGACGCAAGCACCTGCTCGCACTCACCTTGGCATGCAATGCCCAATCCTGAGTTTCAATTCTCATCTTGTGAGCCTTACGAACCAACAAAGTCGGCGCATAGCTCTCGTCAATGACCAAAAGATTGACCGCAAGCTGAGCCATCATGACAATACCCGTTAGGTACTCGGTCCATCGCCAGCCGAGATGGCTGGAGCACAAGGCGCTGCCAATGATGGGGCCCAGGGTCGGTCCGCCGACAATAGTGACTCCGTAGGCGACGATGGCGTTGCCGAGCTGGTGAGGGGCCCATATGTCTGCCATTACGCCGCCGGTGATTACAACAGGCGCGCTGCCGAAAAGACCGGAGAAGAATCGGGTGATGAGGATGGTCTGGATGTCTTTGGCGGTGGCTGTGCCGAAGGAGAAGACGGCGGCGATGAAGTAGGGCTGTTTTTGCTGTTAGTACTACATAGATAAGGAGAATATTAAACTTACAATGAGAATGGTCCACTTGCGACCGTAAAGTTCACTCAACGGTGCCCAAATTAAGGGCCCCAGACCAAAGCCAAACACAAGTAAACTCGTCGCTGAAGCCGATGTCTCGGTGTTGACATTGAACTCGGCAGAGACAGGTTCAATAGCAGATGCAAAAATGGCAGATGCCAAGGTGATCCAGCATGTTGTCAGGCCGTAGGATATCGTGGTGATGAATTTCTTGCGAAACGTCCAATTGATTGGGTTGTAGGGATCGTTTGCGCCGTCAAAAGTGACCAGACAGCTTGAAGAGTCTCCATCAATGTCGTTCTTCTGGTTCTCTCTGTCTGAGCTCATGTCAGGCGCTATCGTGTCGCGGTCGCTCATTGTGACTGTCGGTCCTCTGGGGGGATGTGATGTGTTGAAGAGCGATGATAGAAATTGAGCAGAAGATGTGCTGTATTGTGTCCCTGTGATCTTTTATCATGGCTGCTTAGTGTTGCGGCCGGGCGAGGAATCCATGATTTCGGTGTCGCTGTGTGCTTATGCGATGGCGGCGAACGGCACGGCAGTGGCGGGATCCGACGCCGAGATGAAAGATGTCTCGGGGCTCCGATAAAAGTGCCACGGCGTCATTTGGTCAGGCGTGTTTACTTGTCTACATGCCCGGAAGGGATTAATCGGAATTTTAACCCTGCTGTTGTGTTACCAGTTGATAACGTTAAAACTGGACCTGGATCGCCTCCATTATTAGACGCAGTGTCAGCGATCACTAAACTTAACTGAGTTAGTGGTCGGAGACGCATAAGCTTACCCGTCTCCGTCTTGGTCCGTGCCATGTCTGTCCTTTTTCTTATTTCCCGGGCGCCAAGGTGATGATCGATTTAGTGCCCCTCAGGCAGAGCCAGGGTCAAAGAGTGGCACGTAAACTCCCCATCAGCCTCGGCCACTTCCACTCTTACTGCTCTGTTTTGCTTTGCGTGCTCTGCTTTGTCAACAGCCAAGAATTCCAGGTCCATTGAATCAATCATCCATGGATCCTACGATCCCAAAACTGTCAGATCCTTTGCTGACTGCTACTGAGGAATTGGCAAACATATCAACCCCAGATCCCCATTCCCCCGATTGCATCTCTCCATCTGCATCTGGCCCCTCCAACACTCTCCGCAGTTGTATCTTCTGTCGCCAGCGCAAAGTCAAATGTGATCGCCGGCAGCCCTGCTCCAACTGTCTCCGCTTCGAGCTGGATTGCTCGTACCCAGCCGGCCGGGGCAGAGCCAAACGGCGGCCCCCGCTTGTTGATCGCTTGCAGAGACTGGAAGACACCATTAGGAAACTGGCCAGTCAGGTCGATGCTGCAAATACCACAGATGGGACGTCTCCTGCGACTGAGGTTGGGGGTCATCATGGCCTCAGACGAGGGCATCCCTCTTCTTCTACCTCCAACGACTCCAGCCCAGATGCCTCCATCGATCAGCAACTCGGCCGTCTGATGATTGATGACAGCAAGAGTTACTATGTCAGCAACATCATGTGGGCCAACTTGGGCAATGAGGTATGTGTCGCCATCATCTCGACTTCAATAACAACACAAATACTAACCTTGTCCTTCTCAGATTGAAGAATTGCGCGACATGCTACACGACCCTGTCTCGGAAGATGAAGACTACGTCGCCACTGACGGATACATGTCCGAGGCGGCTTCACCCCTTGGAACAAGCGCTGCTGTACTGGGCTTTCGCTCCCTGGGCCGTTCTCTTCGGCCGTACCATCCGCCCATGCACATGTCGGTGGCTCTCTTGACAATCTTTAGCGAGAATGTCCTTCCTCTGGTGCACATCTTCCACATGCCCACCACCGGGCAGTGGTACTGGGATACAATTGTGTCGCTGGACTCGCTCAATAAGAACACCGAGACACTTCTGTTTTCCATCTACTACTCTGCCGTCATCAGCATGGACGAGGCTCAGTGTCTCAGCGTCCTCGGTTCAACACGCGCTGACGCTCTCGACAAGTACCGCTTTGCAGTTGAGCAAGCTCTCGCCCGTGCCAACCTGCTCAATACGCAGAGTTTTGTCCTCCTTCAAGCAGCTGTGCTATTCTTATCAGGCTTACGCAACGAGGATGACTCGAGAACAACGTGGTCCCTTACGTCGCTCATCTTCCACATTGCTCAGGCGATGGGTCTCCACCGCGACGGAACCACGTTTGGACTTAAGCCACTCGACACGGAACTACGCCGGCGTCTATGGTGGCACATATGTCTTCTCGACATGCGCTCTTCTGAATTCCACGGCTACGAGCCTATAGTTCACGAGGGCATGTTTGACACAAAACTTCCCTTGAACATCAATGACAGCGACATCAGCCCCCTCATGACACAAGCTCCCCCAGAGCATCAAGGGACTACAGAAATGACATTTTGTCTGATCCGTTGCGAGGGCATGAGAGCTGGCTGGAAGGTCGGCTACGCGTCGCCAACACCAAATGCTACAGCAGATGGCGCACTGCAAGATCGTGAAGCAGTGGTCCAAGATCTCAAGAGCCGATTGGAGGAGCGATACCTACAGCACTGCAATGACTCAGTGCCGTTTATGCTCTTCACATCTACTGTCGCACGTCTCATTATTGCACGCACTTGGCTGGTAGTTCACTACCCCAGCAGGCAGAAGCCAGACTACAGTTCGACTTTGAGCAAAGCCACACGGGACTTGCTATTTACCACGTCGACTGAAGTGATTGAACTTTCTAGCTTTCTCTTGGACAACAGCAGCATCTCCAAGTGGACGTGGCACTCCAAAACCCACATCCAGTGGCACGCAGTCATATTCGTCCTCTCAGAGATCTGCTCCCGCCCCTCCTCTCCCGAATGTGACCGGGCCTGGGAGTGCGTAAACACAGTGCACAACCGGTGGAACATAAAGGAGAGTGGGAAAAGAGGCAATCTCTGGAGACCCATAAAGCGTCTAATGGTAAAGGCACGTTATGTGCGTGAGATGCAGCAGATCGACCCGACTTTCTGCCACTTGGGGCCGGCTGCACCAATACCATCCAATACTACGTCAACGCCCAATGTAGCTACAGGCCTGCAGCCAGGTGCATTTCCAAGTAATTTGCACAGCATTGCCGGTACCGTGGCTTCGGATGAGTACATGGATTGGATGCTGGGAGATCTGGGAATAGACATGTACGGGAGGATGGCGGGGTGGGATGAGAATTTACAATAGACCAAGATGTAGTTAAATTAACTCTCCACCAATCTTGATAATCTACACTAGCTGAATCATTATCAATTCTTCTTGCTCTAGGGCTATTGAAACGACCAAGTGTCGTCTATTCTAATGTCACAAGCCAGAAACAATTCGCGCCGCAATGACATGCGGCTATGTCTACTTCCAACATGAGCTGAGCCATAAACGATTATCTACCGTATTCTAGACCCGTATACGAGAGCATGCAATGCGAAAACCCCGCGATAGGCGGGGTTCCGGGTAAAAGCCAATTGAGCTCGGACGATATCGTCCAGGAAATAATGCCAGACTGCATCTGAATTTGGGGGTAATATGTCATGGCAGACAGTTTGGTTATCAACTCCAAGATTTGTACGAATCTCCTATTTGGGATTGTTGATATGTGTGTGTACAATATTGATATGACAGGTATTGCGTAGCTTATCAACCAGAAGCAGAGCAATGATACGGCCTGTGACGTACTCTTATGTCGAGTTTTCCCATTGAGCAATTCCTCCTATGGCGTCATTTTTTAATGCACTCATGATTATGAATTGGATTCCTAACACCGAAGAAATCACGCTATATGACCTATTTCCCAAGTCCTCTGCAGGGCCAGCTGTTTGCTGACACCTGTAGTGCAACTCAAGAATCATGGCAGATTTGTAAGAAGCCCTGTGGCCCTGAAACTCTGTTCCAATGTTGGCACTCCGCAACGCTCCATTTCCCCTATCTTGCTCTCACGCAACACCAGACTCGGCCGGATCTTTCGCACCATGTTTCTACTTAAGTCATGCAAAATGCTACCCTATTCGCACGCAGGTAAGATGAGGATGGATGATAACAGAAAGTCCCTGTCGCTGCCTGCGCCTACGCCTCTCGCTTCCTTCATGCATGTGCCGGCCCACCACCGTGCAGCGCGGGATCTGCTAAGCTAACGCCCTATGGGGGGTGCCAATCGACACCTCTTCCCGGATTACTACGGTTCATGGCCAAATGGCTGGATGAGAAATGCGAATATGTTGCCTTCTGTCCTGTTCTGGGAGGTGATAAACCTTCTCCAGGCTTCTCGGATTTCGAAGTTGACACAGTCAGAGATTACTGCCCCACGGAAATGCCTTATCTACACGCCCAGCACAGTTGCCAGTTGCGCAAGATAAATCCTACATTTCCTAAGCGTGGAACCAGCTAAATACCGCTGCCGTTCACATAAATGCCCCCATATATATAACATCATTCTCCCCATCAAAGTACCAGAGCCAAGATCAACCGTGCACTGAGATATTGCTGTCAGTCCCAGAAAACAAGAATCCCACCCTTTCTTGCCACCCCCTCCTGGTTAAATCCGATTTTTTACAATGGACACCGCCAATAACAACTGCATACGCTCTGCTCCCCGCCAAGCAGTGCCCCGGAAACCCCAGAAACCCCAGAAGCTCAAGGCAAGCTGTGACTTTTGTGCCATGTCAAAGGTCAAGTGTGACCGCGGCCAACCGCAGTGTCTCAGATGCGTCCGAAACGAGGTTGCCTGTCACTACAGCGAGTCCCGCCGCATCGGTAAAGCTCGTCGGATTTTTGGTGCAACTGGATCTGGCTCAAAGCAATCCAACTTCCCCACGCAGGAAGCATGGGGCCAGCAGGGCGTTCAAGAGGGTTGTACGAGGACGCATGATTCATCTGAGTCTCCTGACTACTCAATATCTGTGGATGAGTTTGATGAAGACACCATGATGTTTATTCATGAGGCTGATTTGACTTCGAATATCTCGGCAATGCCATCACACCTAGATGTCATGAAGCATCGCGAGCGGGGTGATAATCGTCAAAGCACCTCCCTGGATGACATGAATTTCCTAACCTCACAATTCCCAGATTTCATGCAAGATATCTGCGATGGCCAAGCGCCTCAAACAATGCAAATTGAAGAAAACAATCAGATCAATTCAAACTCCCAGCTGCACCTCTCGCCAAGCTTCTCGACAGGGGACCTCAGAGTGTGTAATGGCGTTGGTTCGACATACAAGGCCAAGACAGACTGCATGGAATTAGCCTGTATGACGATCAAGAGTTTGCATATGCCAGCTGAGCCCTGTGCCTTGTCTAACGACGATGCCAAGAACGCGGACATTATCCGTAGCATTGACAGCACGCTAAAAACAAGCCGTTCGGCCCGGGAGACTGTAGGGCAGATCTTGGCATGCCCCTGTGCCTGCAGCTGGAATCTGCTGTACTTGTTGGTTCTTATCACACGCCAATTAATCGGCACTTACTCTGCGTTGTTGGAACAACAGCTCTCGACACCTACGCCATCCTTGTCTTCTTCCTCATCTGCCCAGGAGTCGACTGCAAGCAGCGCCGAAACGAGGTCAACTGTATTTGACATCACAATGACAATTGGAGGCTACGTGTTGGACGGTGAATCAAAGATGAAAGTCATTGCACAAGTGATAAGGTCACAGATCGATGACACGGCGGAACTCATTGAGTCTCTTGCATCTCGATCCGCGGAGATTGAGAGGACAGCGGCGGAACCAGCTGCCTTGTGCTGGGCGGGCCTTATCGAGTCGCTGCAACTCTGCCGAGAGAGGGCACTGCAGTCATGTGCATAAGAAATGACAAACCAATAGATGTCTTTACACCATTAGATTAGACAGAATAGCTCAATAGATACTAGGTAGCTTTATCAGACGGCCTTTTGTGTTGCTCCCCTGGACTAGCTCGACTCTGCGAGACAGTCTAGACTCTAGTCTGCACCACCACACGTAGGTATGCCATTCTCGTGGTGGCGGATATTGGGCCGAGGCTCGGGCCGCTACTTAGGCTGAGCTAAGCGGTGGTGGTGGCGAATGGGAATGTGCCAGGAAAACATGTGCCTCTTTTTCAACATGTGCCTCTCCAACAGAAGCATGCATTTTGTTGAGGCGTAAACACGCTTACTACGGCATGTTTCCGGTTGGTGAGACGGCCGAGAAGATCATTGGTATATTGTGGGTGGTCAGACGTGCAGGAAATCGGCGCTGGAGATATGGCAAAGCATCGAGGGTCAAGGTTATTATAGACTCAAGAGGCTGTTCAAGCCAGGGCCATGTGGATCGGACTAGGGCTGTCGCCAGGGGTGAGTAGTGTCGCGCGTCGGCTAAGCGTTGTGCGATCGGGCTTCGGCACAACGTACTACTCCTGCTCCGTCGTAGTACGCCAAGAGCCAAGGAAACGGCCTGCATAGCCGTTTTATCCTTGCTGGGGTATCAAAGGTAAGGTAAGCTCACGTCACCACTATTGTTAGTGTACGTAGCCTGCATGATTTTCCACGGCTCGGCACTTGGAAGAGTTGATGGAGGAGTAGGACATTTTGTGAGAGGGGATTAGTTACTATTTCGAATCCTTTTAAGATTCATCATTCAAATAAAGACTGGGTCAGACTGAGTTTGACCCAAACGCTACCCTATACCTATACGAAGCCATTGTGAATTTTATTAATATTGAGTCGGGTAGCGGCTTTGAAAAAGAGACTCGGCTGTTTTGATAAAACCCACAGAGAAATATCAACAATGATTGTAAGTTTTGTAAGAAGATTTATGTCACCTAAAAGTTGATATACGGGCTTGTTACAGTTGTACTTCGACAGTTGGAAAAACCAACACGTTACAAATGTTTAAAATGGTGAGTACACTAAATTAAATTGGTAGCAAAAATGAATTAACTTGCAGCACATTTCTAGCTTGTAGAAACACTGAGAGTAATTTGTTCTAATAAATCCCACTCGCGAGACCAAACAAAGCCAAATTTGTTGCCTTCAATTCCCCCTTCTGACGAGCAATTGCTTTGTTCCGCAGTGATTCCACTGCTTTTTGGTACATCAGTCCCCGACTTGAGAGCGGCATATCATCCAGTACAGGCGCATCAGCAAGGCCCATAAATCCCCTGAAAAGCCAATCCCCGTCAGTCAAGGTGGGCAACTCCTTCAGAATGGCTTCGGCAGGCCCGTTGTGGCATAGCTGCGCCCGGCAAACCATGGCGGCCTTTTGCTGAACTTGGGTGGTGCGGCCTTTTCTCTGCTCTGTGTATCGGGCTAGAGCTGCACGTAAGATATCGTGATGGAAAGAATTGTCCGATGATGACGCCAGAACTCCTCGGAGCTCATTCACCAAAACAACAGCCGACTCCATGGCCTGGTTGGCACCCATAGCGGCGTTCGGGACCATCTGTAAGCACGGGTTAATTTGCAAACGTAGTAGTAGTAGATGTGACTGCGGCTATTACACACCTTGTGAGCCGCATCGCCGACGAGCACGGCACGAGCCGAGTGCCAAGTCTTGGCCATGCCCTCTTCCAGAACAACCTTTCTTGAAACAGTCCGATTGGCGTAGATGTCGGCAAACCTGAGGCCGTTGTCGAGTTTCAGATGCGCGACAGACTGACAGACGGGGTCGGCATCGGCCTCGCTGTACCTCGGCACTTCGGACAGAGGCCAGGGTCGGCCGAGATCCTCAAAGACAAACCAGAAGACGACTCCGCCTTTGCCTGTAAAGCCGAGGATGCTGGCGCCTTTTCTGTACACCGAAAAGCAATCCCCTTCGACGATGCCCGGGGTAGGCTTCGAGATGCCATATACGCAAGCAAAGTTCGCTGTCATGCCTTCTCGGTAGTCAGTGGCTGAAACCAAACCTCTTATGTTGGCGCTGGCTTTGACTTACAGTCATCTGGCCCCCAAGAACCGATGTGCTTCCGAACTACACTGCGCACTCCGTCGGCGCCAATGACAAGATCCGCCGTGACAGTGAACCCTTCATCTGTAACGACAGTGATCTTGTCTTTAGCTTCGACCAACGAAACAATTCGCGCAGAAGTCTTGATGGCATCCTTGTTTTTCAAGTGACCAGCCATCATTTCAAGAAGCTTTTGGCGCTCGAGAAACAAGCCTCCGTACCCAATCCTGCAAAATCACGAGATAAGTTAGCAGGACCATCATAACATCTTTCTGCCTTAGAGCTTTGCAGTTCATGACACTCACTTGGAAGGATAGTGTCCTAGGGCACTAGTGCAAGAGATGAGATTTCCATCCCCATCAATATGACGCCATGTCTGTAGAGCCACGCTCTGCTGCTCGATCTCACCTAGAACACCGAGTTGCTCAAGGATGCGAAGCCCATTAGGCAAAAGCCCAATACTTGCCCCTTCGCTTGGTGCAAGGCTGGAATGCGCTTCAAAAAGAATATAATCGATATTCATACGCTCGAAGGCCAATGCAAGAGTGATGCCAGCTACGCCTCCGCCGGCAATAACGACCTGGCAGTGTTTTGGTTCAAGAGTCGCGGTGGGTGACATGGTGGGCACAAGATGAGCCTTCAAATGCGTACGTCCCAAACACAAGAGTATCAGGCCACCAAAGAAATCTTATATCTCTTCATTGAAAATGCAGATTACAAACTGGTTCTTTTCACCTTCGCCACTGAGAACTCCGTCGGAGTCCGAGTTGAAGTGCACAGTTGCTGGACCGCCGGCATCAGCGTCCCATATGAAATCCGAAATAACGAACTCCGAAACGTCCGGCTGATTGTTGACGCTTACGGAATTGATATCTAGAAACTCCCTGCTGGAAGGAGTGAGAGAAAAACCAAAAAGCAGATGATACGTCCCTACTGGCAGCTCTATCCTTATATGCCTCTTTCTTTCAACGCGTAGCTGCACATCCATAGTATTATTTCCTTTCACACTTGAACTACTTAGTCTTCATATCACTACCAATCCCTCTCTAACACCATGAAATCCCTCGAGAATGAAGAAGCATCTGTCTTGGTCGTTGGAGGAGGGTTGTCTGGCCTTACCACAGCCGTCGCCCTGGGCACATTTGGAGTCCCTACCATTCTCATTGAGCGCCGACCAGGACACATGCAACATCCGCGGGCTGATGGTTTCAATCCTACAACTGTCGAGATATTCCGCTCACTCGGTTTCATCAAAGACTTGATTCCCGAGAAACCTTTAGGGTTCAAGCTTCAGCGGGTGCGTGTGCACAGTTTGGCTGGAGAGTGGTACGAGGAGCTAGCTTGGAACCCACAGAAGCAAGCTGAGGCAGAAGATCAAAAGCCTCCCGAAAAGGAGTTCTCTCCGTACCGGGGCGCCTCCACGCCGCAAGACTTGTTAGAGCCCATACTCGTTCAAAGGGCTATCGATCTTGGGGTTGACGTCCGGTTCTCCCATGAGTTTGTCAGCTTGAAGCAGGATGACGAGAACATCACATGTACTGTCAACATCCGCAACGGCTCATCCTATGATATTGTCGCCAAGTATCTCGTGGCAGCCGATGGACATCGGAGTCCTGTACGAGAGGCCCTCGGTATCTCGCGCAGCGGCCACGGACATGTCAGCTCTGTCAAGAGCGTGCTCTTCAGATCTCCAGCCCTTGCTCCGTATCTGTCACGTGGCCCGACACAGTTCACTATCGACCAGCCGGACCTGAAAGCTTTCATGATCGCATATCAGGACGGCCGTTTGGTCCTGCACTTGCCCAATGATCGAGAGTATAACGACTTAACTCTTGAGTCTCTGACACGTCAAGCTATCGGCGCCCCTGACATCGACTTGGAGATCATTGAAAGCCGGCAGTGGGACTTGTCTGCAATGATCGCTGAACAATTTGCGGTCGGTCGGGCCTTTCTTATTGGAGATGCCGCTCACAGTCTACCCCCTAATCGAGGTGGTTATGGCGCCAATACTGGAGTTGCAGATGCGTACAATCTAGCATGGAAGCTCTCACACGTCGTGAAAGGCTCTAGCACGCCCGAACTCCTCACCACCTACGAAGACGAGAGACTTCCTGTTGCGTGGTTGCGTCATGACCAGATCTTTGCGAGGTCGGATTTCAAAACGCTCCAGAAAGATACCAAGGTCAACGATTCAGATGCCGTTGAAGCACTCCCAGACGCTGCAGTTGAGTTTGGCCAGATCTATCGATCTCAAGGTATTATTGGAGCCGATATCTCGTTACCTTCCGCTCAGACACCTGATAAATGGGCTGGCCAACCTGGCACTCGAGCTCCTCATGTAAAGATTCAGCATAAAGGTCAAATAATATCGACGCTGCAATTGTTCGGGAAGAGCTGGGTTTTGCTGTCGAAAAGTGATTCATGGCAGCCTGCTGTGGATGAGCTTAAGGCGCGATTGCCAATCGACATTTCATTCCAGCATGTTCAAAATGGACCTCTGGATAATTTTTCGGAGTTTCTCGAAGCATATGGTCTATCCGAGGATGGGTGTTCCCTTGTGCGGCCCGATGGCTATGTAGCCTGGAGGTCAGTCAACCTTTCTGAGAACTCACTGGGATCCCTCGAATGCGCTTTACAGACGGTTGGTTTTATAGCAAAGTAGAGAATGATACTAGTAACTCTGGAATATTCCATATAGCAGACACTCTGTAGAAATGGGGACAGGAAATTGTTTAACTATCAATCGTCTGGCAGAGAGCTGTAGAATAAACATTCACAAATTGGCATTATAAAATCTGACGTAATAACAACCTGTTTGGCACAAAAGAAAAAGCTCTACCGCTTTAGTTATTATCAGTAAAACACCAAAAGACTATCCAAAGTATACACTCCCGCACCCCGAATATGCATAGTAGTGTACACAAGTTATCTTCTCTGAATCGATGCATATCTTATTTCCAGTAAGACACGTTCATTACAGTACGACACCATTGTTATTGACCGACATAACCATCGTGCTTCCTATGAGATAATCGCCGCGCATCAACGGAAAAATATTTCGTCGGTGCCTATTAGGAAGCTCGGTGTCCGTCGGAATCTTTCAATCATCCCCGGCTTGTTCTCCCGACACTTACCGGAGCCGGGTCCGGAGCTCGGAATAGGCCAAGATAGGTTATCGGAGCGCATCGGTGTACATATGATTGCGTTTTCTATCTGTAATCCGGCTTAAACTGCACGTCAAGTCCCCAGATGTGACCTGTGTCATTCAACGAGACTCTTTCGGTTATTAATCATCCATAGCCTTCTAAGAGAACCTCTTCCACGCCCTTATTATTTCTTCTCAGCAACCTCTATTTCCCTGCCATAAACAGAAAATGGCCATCAAGGAGCATAGCGAACCATCTGAAATGGAGGGATTGACCAAGAAACTGGCAAGTGAAGTCCAGGCCCTGGAGAAGCTCCTTCGTCTCGGTGGGCATCAGGTGCCCTCTTTCAACAGAGACACCCCTCCCACTGTTGTTCCCAACGATGCGCCAGAATCTGCCCATTTCGCAAGAGAAAAGGTCATGGACTACGCCTTGCAGTTATTTCAACTTGCTGCTGGGCCTAGTGATTATCTTGCTAATCTTCAGACTGGTGTGAGTCTTTTCCATACTTGCATTTAGAGATGACCCTCGACTTTACTGACAATATTCAGTACCATTATATTGCCTGCCTTCAGTGGCTCTCCTCCTTCAAAATATTCGATCTTGTCCCATTGAAGGGCGAAGTCTCCTATGGCCAGCTGGCACTGGATGCCCAGGTGTCTGAGTCGCGCCTGAAGAGCGTAGCTCGAATGGCAATGACAAGTGGCCTCTTTGCAGAGCCTACTCCCGAGCGCATCGCTCACTCTCCAACTTCAGCTCTTCTACGTACAAGTGAGAACTTTGGCGACTGGGCTGTATTTATGTGCGACATCTCAGCCCCAACCGCTGCTGCCATGGTTGAAGCTCATAAGATATGGCCCGATGATGTGGAAAAAACTCACACGGCATATAATATTGCGTTCGATACAGACGCCTCCTTCTTTCAGCACCTCAAGCAGCTTCCGGAACGCCAGAAGCAGTTTGCTGGGTATATGAAGAGTGCTGCGTCTAACCGTGGAACGCACCTTAGGCACATGGTCAATGGCTACGACTGGGCCAAGCTAGGAAAAGCAGTTGTTGTTGACGTAAGTGATCAGTCTTTATTCTTTCTAACAGACGAAACACGGACTTTGTCGCTAATTTGGTGGTTAGGTCGGTGGCTCCGTTGGCCATGGTAGTATAGCCCTTGCACAAGAGTTCCCACAGCTGAGCTTCATTGTGCAAGATTTACCTTCAGTCGTCAGCGGAGCTGAGCAGCAGCTGGCTCCCTTCGCGGATAGTGATTTGGCTGGGCGCATCAAATTCCAGGGACACAGCTTTTTCGAGTCACAACCCGTTGTTGGTGCAGATGTGTACCTCTTGCGTATGATTCTCCACGACTGGGCTTTTGAGGACTCAGTCAAGATTCTAAGGAACCTAATTCCAGCTCTGACGAGCAGATCAAGGGTTCTAATCATGGACACGGTTCTGCCCAACCCTGGATCGATACCTGCTTCCAAAGAGCGACTTCTTAGAGTGCGCGACTTGACCATGATGCAGGTGTTCAACAGTCTTGAACGTGGTATTGAGGATTGGAAATTGATATTTTCTGAAGTAGATGTGGGGCTAGTGGTGGAAAGCGTTTCTACTCCTCCCGGCTCTAATCTGTCGCTGATTGAGCTGTCGCTGGGTAATGAATGATGGCTTTTTGTTTAGTTGTTGGGTATACGAGTCTGTCAACCTCTTGGTGTTGTGTTTGGTAGATATACTGCACCTGGTAGTATGAAATAAATGTCGTTAGTGACCAGGCCTCATCGAGCATCAAGTACAATAGTTATTTAAATTGTGAATTACACCTGCTTTCTGTCTATTATGCCGGACTGCTCTATTCACACACAATTGGTCTGGGTCCAATACGGAACGAAACTATGGTGTAGGCTTTTGTACCAGTTCTAAAGAATTGTATCTTCCCTCCATTCAGAACGATCTACTCTCGGGACACAAAATGGGTGGAACGATTTAAATCATGATGTGAATGTGTGTTTACATTGATACTACAGCTGTCACTGAATTCCTATTACAGCGCCATTCGCTATGATATCCTGAACTAAGCCAATAGTCATACTAAGTTATCATTAGTTTTCTTTCATAGTTATCTTTATGGTTGGAATAATATACCGGCTCCGTTTGGTATCAGCAAACTGTTCGTGATCAGGCGTCGCCCGCTCTTGGAAATATGGATCGGCCTTCATCCTCACAAAGTCATCTACATCATTGAACATAATCTGGATAATGGCATCATAGTCGGCAGTGTTGGCAAACTGTGGTCCAGCAACTAGCGCCATCTTACTCCGTGTTGATGAAGAGTTGTGCGTCTGTCCTGTTACTAATTGCTGTGGCCGGGCGCAGCAGTCCTACTCACCATCGTCCAACGTTTGATACCATACTGGACCATAAGATCCTGGACAAGAGGTGCATGAGTATGGATCATGTAATCCCGGTATGCCTCATCGGAGAGACCGGGCTTTTTGTAGCCGCAAATCGTAAGGCAAAGAAGCTGCTGTGAGGGAACGGAGGTCATACTTGGCATTGGTGGATTTTAGTGTAAATAGCGTCTACAGGTTGAACGGGAGTTCCGAACCAGCTTTTAAATGTCACACAGGATGATTCGAAATCCGCGTCTAGATAAGGCGAGTACAAGGACTCTCTCATAAATCACATCTCGGAAAATAGCCCGGAGCTCGGTCTGCATGCTGACTTTCTACCCGTTCGGACCCCAGCGGGAGATTCGGACTTCATCGGTGCCCTCGGTTTGTACTCCATCCGATAGTCAGCGAGATGCAGCACTACCCAAAGCGAGTAAGAGCGCAAGATGATATCTCGAGCACACCATTTTGCCGTTACGTATGCATGCCTGAAGCGATTACCCACGCTCATATATAGTACAACCCAAAGCAAGCAGCATCCTTTCATGTAACCAGCAAACAGTAAATCAAGACGTTTTGCAGCACGACAAATGAAGCAAGATTGTCCGAATATGCAACCGCAAAAGGTCTTCATTTTCGGGGACCAATCGGTGCCCATTTTGGATGCCTTGCAGACAACGCTCCTCATTCGTGATAACGCTATCCTGAAGCAATACCTGGACGAGGCTTTCCTAGCTTTAAGGCGTGAGATTTCAACTCTTCCTGCTCAAGAACGCAGCAGCTTTTCACAGGCAGAAACCCTAGGCCTTGTGTTGGAAGATGTGCGCAAGGGGCAGCACGGTGCAGCCCTCGACAGCGCGCTATTATGTCTCTACGAGATCGCTTATTATATCGAGTAAGTTTGGCCACGGATAATCAAGTACGTCTCAATGACTTAATGATGCAGATTAATCTCCAAGCGAGGACTCCAACATCCCCCAGAATCCACATCGTTCCTTGGTATTTGTACCGGATCCTTTGCTGCTGCCGCTATAAGCTGCTCGAAAACGCTCTTCGATCTCATTAGTGTAGGGTGCCAAGCGGTCGCTGTTGCCTTTCGAGTTGGTGTTCATGTGCAACAAAGAGCAGCAATCATCACATCTCAGAGACATAGCAGCTGGTCAGTAGTGTTGGCTGCTACTCAGGAAGATGAGGCGCAGCATGCGATAGCGGACTTTTGTAAAGAGAAGGCAAGTATCTTCTGGCGTTGAAGAATCTAGTGGTGGTTTGGTGGCATAGGCTAACTTTAACCCGCAGTCTTTTCCATTGCTATCGCGGCCATACATTGGAGCCGTCGGGCCCAACACAGTCACAATCAGCGGGCCGCCTGATGTTCTCCAACAGTTCCTCACGTCTGAATTTCCTTCCACAAAAAAGGCCTTCCCTATTCCTATCCATGGCCCCTATCACTATTCTCAGGGATATAAAGAGTCGGATCTCGAGAGTATTTTTGACACTGTCCTGGAAGGAGTTCAGAACCTTGATCGAGATGTTAAGATCTCCAACATCTCATGTTCCTCTGGATCCGTCATGGAAAAGTCTACCTACGAAGAATTGCTGAAGGAATGCATTTCTGGTGTTCTCACTCAACAAATTCGACTTGACAAGGTCACCGCAGGGTTGAGTAACCTCCTATCTGATAGTGGGGACAACATATTCATACCCATCAACACACAAATTGCACAGAGTTTATCAGCTTCAGTGGAAAGAAGCGGAAAGATTGTGCGGGTGGATAACACTCCATTACTGAGTATCTCACCAAACCCCCCAGGCAGTGTGTCAGATACCGACCGCGACTCTTCTCAAATCGCCATTATTGGCTTCAGCGGGCGATTCCCTGAAGCGGATACTCTTGGTGAATTCTGGGACTTGCTAGAACAAGGGCTGGACGTCAGCAAGCCAGTCCCGGCAGATCGGTTCGACGGGGAGAAACATTATGATCCTACAGGTCAAAGGAAGAACACAAATCGAGTCACTAGTGGCTGCTGGCTTAAAGGGCCTGGTCTTTTCGATGCAAGATTCTTCCGCATGTCCCCTCGAGAAGCTTGTCAGGCCGACCCGGCCCAGCGACTGGCCTTGTTGACTGCCTACGAGGCCCTGGAGATGGCCGGTATTGTGCCAGACCGCACTGCCTCCACTCAGAGGCACCGTGTTGGGGTGTTTTACGGGACAACGAGTGATGACTGGAGAGAAGTCAACAGTGGTCAGGATATCGACACATATTTCATCCCTGGTGGCAACAGAGCTTTCATCCCTGGCAGGATCAACTACTTCTTCAAGTTCAGTGGACCGAGTATCTCGGTCGATACCGCCTGTTCATCAAGTCTTGCTGCTATCAATCTGGCAATCACATCCTTGTTGGAGCGGAATTGTGACACAGCTATTGCGGGAGGCACCAATGTCATGACAAATCCAGATAACTTTGCAGGTCTTGATCGCGGCCACTTTCTCTGCAAGGAAGGAAATTGTAAGACCTTCGATGACCTGGCTGATGGCTACTGCCGAGCAGAGGGAGTCGGAACAGTGATTCTCAAGCGACTTCCCGACGCCATCGCTGATGGAGATCCGGTATTTGGAGTAATACGGGGGGCACACACCAACCACTCCGCCGAGGCAGTTTCCATCACAAGACCATTAGCTGATGCTCAGGAATATCTCTTCAAGAAGCTTCTCAACGAGTCAGGTGTGAAGCCGCATGATGTGAGTTACATTGAGATGCACGGAACGGGCACTCAAGCTGGTGATGCTGTGGAGATGAAATCAGTCATCAACACCTTCGCAAGCGACTATTCTCGGAGACCAGACCAAACCCTTCATCTTGGATCAGTCAAATCCAACACTGGCCACGGCGAGTCTGCCTCTGGCGTGACAGCGCTAATCAAGGTATTGTTGATGATGCAAAAGAGCAGAATTCCACCACATTGCGGTATCAAAGGGACCATCAACCATGGATTTCCCCTCGACCTCGACCGTCGCGGTATACGAATTGCGATGGATGAGGCTGAGTGGCTTCGTCCAGCAAACAGCAAACGCCGCACCTTTGTCAACAATTTCTCCGCCGCGGGTGGAAACACAGCATTGCTGCTGGAAGATGCTCCCATCTCGTCCCAGGTGCAAGGGGTAGATGCTCGAAAAACCCATGTGGTGACTATATCTGCACGCTCGGTTCAGTCTTTCAAGCGTAACCTGCTTGCTATGGCGGACTTTGTTGGCGATTCTACATCCTTTGAGACCCTTACTCAACTCTCGTACACAACCACAGCTCGACGCATGCATCACAATTACCGGGCTGCCTTTGCGACGACGGGCATGCAGGATTTGAAGCGCTCACTTCTCGCCATGGCAACTGAAGAAGTCACGAAGCCTGTCCCCTCCAAGCTACCCGGGATAGGCTTTCTCTTTACTGGACAAGGAGCTCAGTGCAGTGCTATGGGCCGTGAGCTCTACTTGCATATTTCCTCATTTCGGTCCGACATTGACAGTTTTGACTGCATTGCAAGGACTCACTCTCTACCTTCTATCTTGCCACTGGTAGATGGGAGTGTCGAAATTGAAGAGCTCTCTCCTGCAGTCATTCAAGTAGGCACTTGCATCATCCAGATTGCACTGAGTCGCTTGTGGGCGAATCTAGGGATGAAGCCTGCATATGTCCTAGGCCATAGCCTCGGCGAGTATGCAGCCCTCTGCATCGCCGGTGTACTCAGCATTAGTGATACCATATATCTCTGTGGCTGGCGTGCAACCTTGATTGAAAGCGGCTGCACGGCTGACACACACGGCATGTTAGCTGTCAAAGCATCCAAAGACCACATACGACAAGTCCTCGCAACCAACCCGCTCGTCGAGATTGCCTGTGTCAATGGGCCTGAGGACATAGTGTTGAGTGGACCTAATGCTGACATTGATGCAATCTGTTTGGAACTCGGCAGTCTTGGTTTGAAGTTTACGCGACTCCCTGTTCCTTTCGCCTTTCACTCCTCACAAGTCGATCCTGTACTCTATGAACTTCAAGCCATCGCCCAACATGTCAGTTTCAAACCCGCGACTTTGCCAATCATTTCCACACTTTCGGCTACTGTGATCCAGCCCGGTGAGACCATCGGCCCTGAGTATATCAGAAAGCACTGTCGCGAGCCTGTCGAGTTCTTGGCCGCTGTTCAGATGGCCCAGCAAGACAACATTATCAATTCTAGCAGCATATTCGTTGAAATAGGAGCACATCCTATCCTTTCAAGAATGGTAAAGAGCATATCGGGATCGGAGACACGATGTTTCCCTTCACTCCGCCGCAACGAGGAGCCGCTCAAGACACTCGCCGAATCTTTGAGGACGCTGTACTTGGCAGGGGTGGCTATAAACTGGGATAGTTGGCACCGAGACTTCCCGTCCTGCCAAAGGGTACTCGACCTACCCAACTACTCTTGGGATCTGGAGAAATACTGGATCCAGTACGAAGGTGACTGGTGTCTCACGAAGGGATCTCCAGTGGTGGCTATCCCTCCTACACCGGCAATGAAGTCAACAAGGCTGAGTGACTCTGTTCATGAGATTGTGGAACAAGACGTGTCTGCTCAGCGATGTAGGTTGGTCATTCAGTCAGACCTTCGTGAGTCTGCTTTACTACAAGTAGCGCAAGATCACCAGGTTAACGGACTGATTCTTTGCCCATCTGTGAGTCCGCTTGCTATCCTGACCATATTCTCTGTTATTAACCTCGTCATAGTCTTTATACGCAGATATTGCCTACACTTTGGGTAAATATGCGATTGAGCTGAGAGGCTCAGAAGGGAATGGCTATGTCCCTGATGTTTGCAACATGTTGGTGGAGAAAGCTCTCATTGTTCAGACTGCCAATGCCCAGTTTATTCGAGCGAGCCTTTCGGTGGATTGGAAGTTGCTCCAAGGTGACATGGAGCTCTACAGCGTTGACTCGCAGGGGAAACAGACAACTCGTCATGCGACATGCAACATCCGATTTCAACTCCCCGAAGTCTGGCAACAGGATTGGCGCCGCAACAAGTATCTCATTCAGCGAAGCATCAAGAATCTCCTTCAAGGTCTAGAGGAGGAAACCACGCACAGAGTCCGCCGTGGCATGGCGTATAAGATGTTCTCATCCGTGGTCAAGTATGGTCCAGGCTACCAGGGCATGCAAGAGGTTGTGTTCGACAGTGAAGGCCTCGAAGCCACAGCCAAGGTACGCCTGCAGCCAGTCGAAGGAGGATTCGTACTCAACCCGTTTTGGTGTGACAGCTTTGGACACCTCACGGGCTTTGTCATGCACTCGAATGATGTATTAGACTTGTCTGAGCACGCCTACATCAACCAGGGCTGGCAGTTCATGCGATGTGCAGAGACCTTCTCAGCCGATGCCGAGTACCGAACTTATGTCAAGATGCAGCGTGTCGGGAAGGATGACTCGTCCTACTCGGGGGACGTCTACGTGTTCAGAGAAGGCGACATCATTGCCATGTATGGAGGCGTCACTTTCAACAGGGTCTCCAAACGAGTCCTGGATATGCTTCTACCCTCACCAAACAAGTTGGCTACGACGAGATCAAAGCCAACGCCTCCGCCTGTCAAACAATCAAGCCGCCCAAGTGTCCCAGAAGTGCCAGCCAGGAGCACGCAAGGCCCCCACTCTGTTTCCATCTTCGAACAGGCTCTTGAAATCATCTGTAGAGAGATTGGCGTCGACAGGTCTAAGCTGAGCGAAGACTCAGAGTTTGCCAACTATGGAGTGGATTCTCTCATGTCGCTAACCATCCTGGGCAACTTCCGTGAGTCTCTCAACATGGATGTGCAATCTTTATTCGACGATTATCCATCGGTAAAGCCTCTCAGGCAATTCCTTTCCGATTCTCCAATGAGCAGAGACGAGACCGTGGATGATAGCCCGTCCTCGAACGAGAGTGGAACGACAGAGGCCACTACACCAACTGTCAGTGAAGAGAATGCAGAAAGTCTGAAGGTGGATAGCGTCGATGGTTCCATCCACCTTCTGCTTACAATCATCGCGGACGAGATTGGCATTAGTATCAAAGAACTGGCACGCGCTGACGACTTGGCTGAACTTGGTGTGGACTCTCTTGTCTCCCTTACCATCCTCGGCCGAGCGCGGGAAGAGCTCGATATCGATCTCCCGCAAGACCTTTTCTTGAACTACTCCAGTTTATCAGGCCTCACCACTGCCATTGGTGAAATCCTTGGACCAAGATTTGCAAAGACAAGCATCCCACTGTCACACCCCCAAGCTACCTCCGTCATGTTGCAAGGCAGAGCCGGTAGCCCGCATAGTCTCTTCCTCTTCCCAGACGGGTCTGGCTCATCAACATCATACGTGGGCCTGCCACCTGTATCGCCAGATCTGTGCGTGTACGGACTAGACTGTCCCTACGTACGAAACCCCAAAGACTTGAAATGCGACCTTACTGCTTCCTACATTGCCGAGATCCGCCGCCGTCAGCCAAATGGCCCGTATAGCCTTGCTGGTTGGTCTGCTGGCGGAATAGCTGCATACGATGCCGCTCAGCATCTCGTGAACCAGGGCGAAACAGTGCAGCATCTCATCTTGATCGATTCTCCAAACCCCATCGGCCTGGAAAAGCTGCCACCTCGCTTCTACAAGTTCCTCGAAAAGTCTGGCGTTTTTGGAGCCGGAGATGGAAAGGCTCAGAGTGCTCCGGAATGGCTGATCCAGCATTTCTTAGCTTTCATCGACGCCTTGGATAAATACAAGCCAGTCCCATTTAAAGGCCCTGTACCCAAGACCACTCTCATATGGGCTACAGACGGCGTCTGTAAGAACCCGACCGATGTCAGGCCCGAGCCACAGGATGACGATCCCAAAGAAATGACTTGGTTGTTGGAGAATCGAGCAAACTTGGGGCCTAATGGCTGGAATCAGCTTCTGGGTGAAGATAAACTTGCCATTTTCTGCATCGAGGAAGCCAATCATTTTACAATGGTGAGGAAACCGAATGCGAGAAAGTTGGTGGATATTATTCGCACGTCTCTTGATCTTTGAGGGTTGTTACGCAAGGCATTTCTGGTCTATGTTTTCTTAGTTAGTGTGTAGCAATCTTTCATTTCAAATATTTCTCAAGCATACTTTAAAACCTGAAGGATCTGCTACTTAGCTGATGGTCCTAAGTTGGGTAGATAAGTAACACGTCGATGGAAGTATGCGAGAACATAACCAGGAATTCAATGTTGAGAAATAGGTCTCGACAGCCGCTAGGAAATTATCCCTTTTTGTACTTCGACATTCAATACACAGTATACTCATCACAAAACCGCGAAATTACGACCCAGGCCCTGAAATGTAACTTTTAGAAACGGAAGAGGGTAATAGATAAACATGATAAAACATACACAATGCATCAATGGGAGGAGGGTCTAGGGTAAGCAGGATCCTCATTGAGGGATAGGGGCTTAAATTTGATTGAGCATTGGAAATTAATGCGCTTGATCGTAAAAACGAACAACGAGTTCTCATACTTGAACATTCTTGAACAGCGGTCGCAAAAGATGAAATCCTTTCAATCCTTTCAGATCGAGTTAAGTTAAGTCAGAGCTTCCGCTATTCAAATCAAATGGATTTCATACTCTTATCTATTTAATTAGACTTGATTGTAAGACTATTTACAGAGATTTTTCTCTTCTCTCTACAGGGTAGGTATAATCTTCAAGAATCAAAAGAGTTCTTCCCCTACCCTATCTTATCTTATCTTATCTAGTGCGGAGCCGGTCACATACCTATAACCAATCATATCATATCTTGTTAAATCAAGTTAATTCTAACATCTTTAAATTAATTCTAAATATTATCAATTCAAATTCTGAAAACTCGATTTGAGATTTAATTTTTTAAGATCCTACCCTGAAGAAGAATTTGCCTCAGTATTTTTATCTCCCTAGATGTTACCCCAGCCCTTAACTCACGAAGCTTTCAACGTCAGCCCAATCTATAACTAGTAGAAATCTGTTTTCTAATAGCGGAGTCAAGCTGCGTCTAGTTAAATATCTTTCTATTTGCTTTCGGACCAAACGGAACTACTCCTGTATAGAGTCAGCGATATAACTCCGAGGCCTTTGTCTTTGGTCAAAATATGCGGGGATCTTCGGGAACCGGGCGGGATACATTACCAGGACCGAGAGGGCCGAAGACCGACCAATTGATTCCGAATCTTCGGCCTTCAAAGGAAGACAATCTAATTCCGGCATTCGGATTTTGATGAAAGATAGATAAAGCTTTGCCAACCATGATTTGCTTTCTAATGATAAGACACACTTTGACACACGTATTGGATTGCTTCATACATTTCTGCAAGACTCTCACCTATACAAGATGATAAGCTCGACGATGAGCAACGGTATTTCAGCCTCGCTTAACGCCACTAGCCTTGGACTTCAGAATTCGATGAAAATCCTCATCATTGGCGCCGGTAAATCTTACACCCAAGGTGCTAGTGACAATAGTGCTAATTATTGACTGTTTATTTCTCGTAGGCTCCACTGGCTTGGCTCTCGCGCAAGGTCTGAAGAAAGTAAGTATCTCTTTAATTCGTGCAATAATCTTTGCATTAACTCGAGGCCCTGTAGGCAGGAATACCTTTCGATGTATACGAGAAGGAAGAAAGGCCCCGCAAGAAAACATGGACTATGGGTGCTCACTGGGGCCTCGAGCCATTGCGGCATCTGGTTCCAGAGAAGGTCCTGGAGCAACTGGAGAGTACCCAGGTCGATCCCCACGTGCCCACGAAAGACACGGACAGACTTCCGTTTATCAACGGGAAAACAGGCGAGCTTCTAACCGAGATACAATCCTCCAAGTTCTACCGTGTTCGTCGCGACAAGTTTCGCCGTATGCTTATGGACGGTCTTGGCGATCACCTGCACTGGGGAAAAGCCATTAATGATCTCGTCTACTCTGACGACAAATTGAGTGTGACGGCAAAATTCGCCAATGGCACGCAGGATACGGGCTGTCTCCTTGTTGCTACGGATGGTCCCCATTCCACTGTTCGAACCCTGCTTCTTGGTGAGGACAAAGCCAAGGTAACACCCGTTCCTTATGCAACCACCATGTGTTACACACAACACACTAGGGAGCATGCTCTGTTTCTTCGATCGAAGCCTCATAGCCCACTTTACCAGGTCGGTCCTCACCCAAATGGCACCTGCGCCTGGCTCAGTCTTCACGATGGTGATGACAAGGATCACCCTGAAAACTGGACCTTTTTCCATTACATTTCCTTCCCAGAGCCTGTCGACTATATCAACAACAGCACCAACCGTGAACTTATCGCCCATCAAAAGAAACTCGCCAAAGAATTTGCCAACCCTTGGAAGAGCGTTTTCGCCTGGATGCCTGATGACACAGAAGTGTGGTACTCGAAGCTCCGCAACTGGGATCCAAGCCTGCCAGAGCACCAGTGGGACAACAACTGGGGCCGGGTGACGCTGGCTGGTGATGCAGCGCATCCCATGACTTTCCAGAGAGGACAAGGACTCAATCATGCACTCAAAGACGCTTTCACTGCATTCAAAGCTGTAGAGACGTTCTGGAACCCTAAGGAGATTGTTCCTGAAAAGAGAAAACAAGCCATTGTGAACTACGAGACTGAAATGATTGACCGCACGGGGGAGGAAGTTAGGTTGAGCGAGAAGAACAGCGTTGCGGTGCATGATTGGGAACAGATCATGCAGAGCCCCTCTATGAAGCAGGGGATGCAAGTAAAGGTCGAAAAGATCGCGACATCTGATAGTTGATTGCTTATCTCTTATACCAGTTGTCTTAATCTATATATTCTGTATCTTCTAGTCCTACCACATAAGCTTGCAACTCTCTTGAGGTCTAGAAATATTACGCTCTCGGCTGATGGATAGCGTGCCTGCTGATCGAGCTGGAGTGTTAGGAACTGTTTTCCTTTCGGACTAAGAGAATCAAAATCAATGTATCAACTGAACAATATCATTGAGTGCTAGTACAACTCGTGGGCTAGCTGAACCAGAGGGAAGGAAGCAAGCTTAGAGAAAAGCCATACTGATAATGCTAAAGTGCCCAAAGCTAATAATCTTAGCAGATAAAATGTACGTACGAGCCTGCTCAGACCACACCCCAGCACGGATCAAGTACCGGAGAAAAGGCATACACTTTTAGTTATATAGTTTAGGTATTTTAAACAACATTGCACCCAGTTCCGCGGCTGAGAATCCCAGCTGCTATATTATGCTAGTTCTTGTATTGCGTGATAATCAAAAGTTTAGATATCCATGAAAGTAGTGAATATTTAATATTAGTACTTACACGTGACCGGCAGGACCTTGTACTTCAGTAACATCCATGACAGACAATGTTATCTGTCCAGGAGCATTGCACATTCTCCTTATTGATAGGATTGATCTTGAACTAGTTGCAGTGTAAGCCACCTCACGATGCCATTGTGGTTCACTTGGAAGACGTCAATATTTTGAGTAGACCCCACTACGCTGGAGTATGTTACTGTGAACAGCACAGTTCATGATGTCCTTATCATCTCGAATACTATAAGATATAGAACAACGTGGGGGGTTTCAATTGTGCTACTAGAAGCATTGGCTAACCTATTATACAGTATATCATGATCACCTTTTATCGTCCTGCTCGAGGTATACAGTCCAATGAGTGGTCAGCAAAGGACTGATCAGAGACACAGAGAAGCCCCCAAAAGAAAATTCAACATTTCTAATGTTTGAAAAAGAAACCGTTGATTTCGGTCAAGTCGAGACCTCTGAAGACGAGCGACATTGCTTTTCCCGATATAATAAACACTCGGACACCGCGATCCGCTCACACGACAGCCAACCGATAGTCAGGGCTTGTGGCGATGTAGTCAAAACTCCATTCAAAATGGTAAGCGTCGACCTGCCTAATGCACCGCGTAGTGCACGCAATGACATTCCACGCATTCACAGGTAGGACCACATTCACATCCCCTTGGTCCAGGTTGTGGATCGAGGTCTCGAGGTGTGAAAACAAGCTCACACTTATCATACCGAGAGCGAAACCCGTTAGCCTCGAACGGGGCCATGGATAAAGGTGTAGTCATAGGGGCCACAGACAGACGAAAACCACGTATGACAGCAGCAAGGAGCATGCGCATCTGGAAAATAGCCATGTTGCTTCCTGGACAGCGACGAGCGCCAATGCCAAAAGGCGCGAGGCAGCGTCGTCGCTCGGTATTGACCGCAGAGTCCTCCTCCAACCAGCGTGAGGGATCGAATTCGTCAAAGTTAGGGAACAAGTCAGGCCGCTGGCGGCTGATGGAGAGAGACTGCGTTGTTATGACTGTGCCCTCTGGGATATAATAACCCAGGATATTAACGCCACCCTTTGGTGACACGCGGCTACCAGTGAGCGCGACTGGTGGGCGGAAACGTAGACCCTCTGTGATGCATGCGTTTAGCATCTTGAGGGTGTCCAGCTTTTCATAGCCATCTACTGTCTGGAGCTCCCGGTAGATAGTCTCGATAGTGAAGGGGTCCTGGGCGAGATAGTAAAAGATGAATGCGAGTGCTGACGATGTTGTCTCGGTGGCGGCAAGCACTTGGCCCGCCATCTCAGCACTGAGCTCAGTCTTGTTCTTTCCGAAAGGACCCTTGGTCATACTCTCGACGAGAAGGTCATAAATAGTTGGTATTTCGTCGCTGCCTTTGCCATTCTCAGCCGCCTCGATGACTTCGCGGCCAAGATCGAACAAGGCATCACTCGACTTGACACGCAAAGAGGCCTCACGGAATGGACTGTACTTGAGCCATCCAAAGAGCCACTCCGGAAGACAGAGACGCCATACTACTAGAAAGTTGTACTCGCCAACGGTGTGAGGAAAGTCTCCTGGCTCCAAGACGACCTGAGAGCCGCCCATGACAATCAGCGAATTGAGAAGAGTTGCGATGCGGAGATGATAGACAATATCCTCAGGGTCCTTTCCCCGAGACTTGCTCAACTGCTCAATCATTTTGGAAATATTTGTCTCAAATATGGGCTGCCAATGCCGCATAGACTTAGTAGTCGATGCCATCATAACAGGACGACGGCGTTCTTTAGCCAATCGATTGTTTGGGTAAGTTACGGTCCAATCATGGCCTCCAATACGCAAGGCGCGGATGGCTGTTGGCGCTGTATCGAGATCCTGTCGGATGAATAGAGATTGCACTGTCTCAACATGGTTGACAAGCACAATGTTGGGCGAGATGCGAATGATGGGGCCGTATGTTGTGAGGAGCGAATCGACCTTGAAGGAGAGGCGACCATGCCACCTTTGCCAGCGGAATCATAGAGAGGAAGTGGCCGGGAGCCAAGGACCGGGGACGTTTCTCAAGGGATGAAATAAAAGCCGGTAGAGAACTCCAAAGGCTTTAATAGTCACTAGGAAGGCCAGAAGCCCCAAGGAGACTGTCCAAGGAGACTGTACTGGGTGGATAATAGTTTCCAACATATTCCAGCAGAGTTAATTTCAAGTAGCCAAGAAAGTTATAGGAAATTATTCAGGGAGAGCCCAAGGAGTCTTGAGTTATTTATCCTTCACGGGTTGGTTATGTGGCTCGTATCACTCCTTCCTATCTGGTCTAATTAACTAAGACATGGTTAACTTGTCTAAATAAACTTTGGTCTAGTTAGGCCGGCTCTTCCGTGCCTATCCTGATTGTCAATATATAGCCCATTCTTGGACCAGACCCATAGGCTAACATAGTTAGTTTCGAATTTGAAATTTGCTTCAACCCTTGCTCTTGACTAACCGTACCAATTAACAAACCGGCAAATAACTGCCGTCCATTCGCCGAGGCCCAAGCGCCTACTTTACGCTAGTCAGCCTTGAATTTAATAACTAGTGTATCTAGGCATTAACACTAAAAGTCGCAGTACTACAAGCTCGCCTGGTAGTTTAACATTGTCTGGTACTATAAGGCTATGTTATATACTGAGCTCCTTGCTTTATTAGTAGACCTCGGTCTACCTGATAGTAATATACATCAAAGGTTTGCAAACAACAAAAGGAACCTCACTACTGGCGAGAATAACAACATGATCGCCTTCTCGCGCAGCTCAAGGTGCTAATGCTACATATCCCTTGAATTTTATCCCTAGAGGCATTAAATAGACACATATGTCATTAAAAGGTTTAATTTAAACAAAGGCTATTAGCTTTAGCTACAATGACTTATAATACTCTATATCCTCTTTAGCTAACTATACACCTAGCTATGTAAAGAATCCTTTACTATTTTCTAGTCTTTAATTAAGATTATTATTTTAGTATAATCCTACTAAGGTTTAGGCAACTTTATATTAAAGTTTACTAAGATCAAGAACTCATTTTCCTTTATTTATCCCAGATTACATTCTTTAAGTTTCAGTCAATATATATATATATACACCTCACCAGTAGTACTTGCGATAACCTACCTACAACCTCCTTCTAATTTTTTTTTTTGGCTTTAACCTTCACCTTTATCAAGCCTAGGCTTTCCAAATCTCTTAATAATATTAATAATAAAAATAAAACTTAATATGATTAAGGCAGTAGAAGTTGCATAAGGTAACTAAACTCTATCTAAGTGAATATGTAGATTACATAGCCGTATGTATAAAAGCTGGCTTCCCCCCCCCCCCCCTACACCCTTAACCTGATCTACACCACAAGCACACTACCTAGTCAATCGACCCTTGCAGCTACAGTCAGTTAATCGACCCCCTTCGGTCCGTATCGCTAACTTCTTCGTAGCTACTACGATGAGTGTCTAAATATTAAGTATCTGCCGTAACGTAAGCCTCGGCCTGGACTATGATGACGTCTACAAAGCTATTAATAGCTATTATGACAGGTAGAAGCTTGACCCGCTTGAGAACAAGGCTAGAGATCTTCTCGCTAGCCGCCCTGTGCCACCTTCTAACACCGGACGGGATGACCGTAGAACCTCCTTCTATACATACACTATATTTAAATAATCGCGATTAACAGGGATCTAGGAATCGCACTACCGGATAACCTATCCAAGGAATACAACTAAGCCACAATAAAACCTATAATATGGACTCATTTAGTTAGTGCGAGACTGGCATTGTCTGTCTGGCCGAGAACGCTATATGTAAAACCAGACGCAAAACGCGATACGTGGAGCTAAAAACATCAAGCTTTTACCTGTCTGCCTGGTAGTAATGGACAAATAATTGTTTCCCAGAATTCAAATAGAGTTTCACTCACATAGCCCTCGATTTTAAATTCAACTCAATCAACTCCAACATGTGCGATAAGGGGCTCCCCTAGTTGCAGATAGCTTGGATGTTATTGTTGTAAATGATGTGCTCATATACCATTGAATGAGCAGTGCAATATCGAGCGGCCCCTTCTTGGGTAAATTATGCGTTGCCTATGCTGATACCGATCAGTCATGATCGTAACTTTGACTGCCAAACTTTACCATGGGAGGCTGGGCGGTTTAAACTTTTCCACAAGATAAGCTCGAGATAGCAAGCACGAAACATGATCTTAATGCTCTCAAACAAGTGTGGCTTGGTATTATATGGAACATGTTGGAAGTTGGTCACAATACACACACAGCTCTTTTTTCCTCAATGCCCCACCCCAATCATCTTCCAGTAGAACACACGCTTTTCTAGCCATACCTGAGTGTGGCCACTGGTTTGCCGCCAGTAAGTACTACTGACGGGCAAGTCATACGCTTTTTATCTCTTATACGAGTTATCTTAGTCCACATACTCTGGCTCTTCCAGTTCCACCACTAAGCCTGCACATCTATCGGGTCCCAGGATGGTTAAGCTCTTGACTGATTGATATACATGATAATCGGACTGGAGAATTAAGAACTGTTTGCCTATTACATTTAGAGGATAAACATCAATTCATCGACTGAACAAGAGTTTTGAGTGCTAGTGAAGAGTAATACAGGTGTTACTAGAAGCATAACAGAGCTAAGAGTCCTAGCGGAAGGATTCTATGTGCGAGCCTACGTAGACTTCGCTCCAGTACTGTATCAGTATCGGAGAAGAAGCATGACCTCCTGGGCTTGCAGTTTAAGTGTTTTGAATAACATCGCAGCCAGTTCCGCGGTTAAAAATTCCAGCTGCGATATTGTGCTGGTTCTTGTATTGGCTAATAACCGAGGTCAGGTATCGATAGCAGCATTAAAGGTATAATGTACTTACGCGTGGCTAGCTGGGCCTTGTACTTCAGTAACGTCGAGAACAAACATGTTATCTGTCCAGAAGCATTGTACATTCTCAATCTCAACAGCATTGATTTTGAATTGGCTGCAGTATAGACCGAGATGGCCGTCATTTCGAGGGCCCGTAATAAGCTGCACTCGGTACCTTCTCATAGCATTCTCATACACACTAAAACGCTACTCCTTAGACATACCGCTTTTCGAATTTCTTCCCCGATCCTGACTGAGAGGTTGGCTACTGTTGGGTCACTAGGATCCGCAAGCATGATACCTGTTGAGACAAAAATATGACAAAACACTCTGTCGCATATTAGAAATCAAAGGATCAGGGCATCAGGCGACCTTCGGTGTCTTGGCTGGATCCATAACTGTGTTGATCTCAATCCTTGAATTGCCTTGCCTCAACACTATAATGGAAATTACAATCAGCTTGAATACGCCGTTGAAACAACCTCATTTTCAGATTCCCCAAGTATCGTTTAGATTAGATAGCCTTTTTTCGATATTTATGGGTAAAAGAGCACGGTCAGTGGAGGTTATTATGGACATCATCCACTTCGACGGGTTTGCTACACTGCGCATTTACAGAAATTGTGGTTCTGCGATTCCTTCGAATTGATCTGCTACCTGACTAGACTTGAATGCTTAAGAAGTGGCGAGAGTTTGCATTACGTCCTCAACGCTATTTGTCAAATCACATATCACGAGGCCAACCGGGGCTGAATCTCACTACAATAGTTCTCATTAGTTCACTTGGCGTGTGAATGGCACCGCCGTTTACAAGTCATAAAAAAGTAGAACACAGTATCATATGGTAGATTCTCCTGGTTATATTGTAGAAGGTAATGCGCATACTGTTGGCACTACTAATATCCTCATATGGACTCAAAGCCCTCTTGGGCAAGCTACCAGAGGAGTTCACTGACCCCATATCCCCCGCACCCCTCAATAGTGGCTCTCAGGCTGTGTTGGAGAAATATGGAGCACTCCAATACGTTATTTGTTGGCTTCCAAAAATGTATGAAATTGCCCCAGTTGCCTCCTCATTACCCATGCTGTGATGATCATCGGTCCACAGAATGTGGGCCGAATCTACAGAGTCCACTATCAATGATGCCTGTTGAAGGCCGTGACGATGAGTTCTTCTCGCACCTGTTTCCGTATATGGCATTGCATTTACATCAGAGAAATCCAACATCTTGGCAGGCCCACAGGAAAGGGTCCTGGGCCACTTACGAAGAAGTAGATTTGGCGACAACATCGTAAAGCGATCTCTTACAGCCACGTTACCCTTGTGGTGCCAAGCCCATAGTAACCGATACTCGAGTCATATATCACTTAGCCCCGTAAGAGTAATTGTCATGAGGAATAGGACTTTGAAATGAAGTTGGAGGAAATTTACTCAACATGGAGACGGGCAAACAGAGGCTCCATTATAATTTTACCAAAGGATTCCATCATGATGGAGAGATACATATTTTCGACTATAAAGTAGAGGTCTACTTCCGCGTTATTTGCTTTGATATTCAATCTATTCTCATCCTTTTCCCATCTAGCACCTTCAATCAACCTCAATCAAAATGAAATTCACTCTATTCACTCAGGCTGCTTTAGCCATCCCCTTTATCACTGGAGCTTTTGCTATTCCTACTCCAGATGGCAAGTCTTCAAGTCTTAAAAACTGTTCGTTACTAACACATATTAGGCTCTGAGGTCAAACGGGCAGATTGTTCCCTGACAGTCCGATATCAACAGGACTGGGTTGAGAGTGGTCTGGACAGATATCGAATGCATCTTATCACAAGCTCTCGTAGTGACCGACATCTCGATGTCTACTGCGAAGATTTCAAGAAACTAGTTGGTCTCGCCATCAATCCGCAGTGCTTCTGGGGCGATGCATTCTATGCTGATGCAAGCGCTGCTCGAGGCCCTGCAGGGCAAAAGTAAGTAATATCAATTTGAATGAGAATCCCCTAACCTTTTATTTATAGAGTAATTCAAGACCGCCATAACAAAGCTTGTGATGATTTTGAAAAGATTACCGGTTGCCGAACAATTAGAGAGTTCTAGGAAGTGCTAGCAGGGGAAGCCTATTTTAGGACTGGGTATTCGGGTTTGAGTTACGAACATTGGAGGGGGCAGTGTTGATCTGCAGAGAAAATAAGACAATAGTAGCTTTCTAATCTTGTGTTACTATTAGTAGTTTTTAACCCAGTATTTGTTAGTTAATCTATTATTCCTTGCCTAAAATCACTATGAATGACTGGTTGCTTCTCTTTAAACCTTTTATGTCGTCCTTCTTATTCCTAATCTCCATTACTTATTCACATTATCTTCCCCTTTAAGCTGCTAACTACTTCCTTACTAGACAGTGTATTTTACCTAATTATTGCTTAAAGGGGGGAGAAATACTTAGTCGCAACATATCTTCTGATCTTCGTTTCGTATTGAACGTTTGTGTGTTTTACTGTCTACAAAAGAATGTTATCTTAGCTCTGATAAGAGGATGTTTTCCAACCCTGTTTAAGGTATTTATTCAGAAACAAGGGTGAGAAAAAGCTGAGCCTCGGACGGTTGTTCATATCTCGCTCTCTAGATAAGCTGGTCAGTGATAATTATCCGCGGGGACCGAGGTTGGTAGCAGTCCAATTACCTGAAAGACTCCTTGGGTTTCAGGATACCCTCAATAATACTACCAGCCAATATAGACTCAGTGGAACTAGTACCTCTATGTCAGCCTGATCCGTCACTAGAGTGTGCAATAATGTAATTAACTGAAAATCACGAGGCGGACATTTCAAACCTTTATGGAAAGGCATAAGTAGCATTATCTGACTCTTAATTTGAGATTGTCGTAAAATCATGTTAGCCTATGTATTTACAATATTTATGACTTGGTAGCTTTCGCATCTTTAAAAAACTTCATAATATTTAAACAAATAAATTTGAGGTCTTGGAGTATGACCTTTCTCAGGAGAATTGCAGATGGCGAGGGTGTTATTTATCTCTGTGTCGACCTTTCATACATATGAACAGTGGCATATCTCCTTGGCTCTCCATTGACGATTAGTTAAACGATGTTACAGCTGATGATGAGAGTTCCTTATCTTGATCTACGGGATGGGGACGAGGCCAGGAGAGGTTTGCTGACAAAGTTCTTGAGCTATGGTCTCGTACTATTACCGTATTGCCGATCTTTCCAAAGTCAATTATCGAGATGGTGACCGATTAGTCTAATATTAGTATGTTATTACTAAAATTACATTATTTTAGGATACTAAAACTAAATTTAGATTAATTTAGTACGTTAGTACTAGTTTTCTATAGTTTTAGTATACTTAGACTAATACTAAATACTAATTTAATTTATTTGTATCAATATTCCTAATACAAAGTACTTCTAGTAGATACTGATTAGTAGAAAATACTACCCTAATATATATCTTAATATCAGTATAAAAAAGACACTAGAGTATTCTTACCACCCTGGTTAGATATCTTAGGTGACTCTGTCGATTATTATGAGAAGCTGTGCCATTTCTTATAAATCACTCGTTGTATAATTACCTTGGTCAGTAGGGTGCATGAGACAATGATAATAATCCGGAGGCAATCAAAATGTAGAAAACGGCTTCAGTTATATATTAATAGCCAATACCTACTTGACAAGCTAGTTCTGTGTATAGTTATGATCCCACACCGTAAACTCCGATAAAAAAGCGGCTTAAAATCTAATGTAGTTGTTATACCTCGTATCGGCAGCATTGATTCAATTTCCTATGTTACTCCTCATCTTTCTTCTCGATTGACCATAGCTTGTTAAACCAGCTGCCCTCATTCCTAACTAACTCCACTGGAGAGCCAGTCTCCACAACTCGGCCTCGATCTAGGATTACCACAGAGTCGAAGTATTCTACAACTATATTCAGCCTGTGAGATACCATGACAATGGTATAGTCAGAGAACTCGTCTGTGATGATGCTTTGCACAAGGTTGTCTGTTGCACTGTCCACGCTAGAGCTGACTTCATCCAGCAGGAGGACACCTCCAGCGTTGGGACTAAGACGTTGCTTAACTCTACGGCGTAGAAGAGCGCGACCGAGACTGAAGAGCTGTTTCTGCCCAGCGCTCAGCTCGTCAGACCTCATGCCGGCGTGGATTGTGCCTCGATCGTTGGCGAACTTTTCCAGTCGAACATCTTCGAGTACTGCGATGCATTCCATATCTGAAGCCAGATTGAAAGGATCCAGGTTCTCCTTAATAGTGCTGCCATCAGGTAGAAAGACAGGGTCTTGAGGTACGGCGATAATGCGGCGGCGAAGAATTGAGCGATCTACGCGGTTGTAAGGCACCCCATCTATCTCGATGTTCTCAGACTGGTTGGAGAGTGGATCAAGAAGACGGAGCAAAAGCAGAATCATAGAGGATTTGCCGCTGGAATGTTTTAGTAGTTGATCTCTCTACTTCAGAAGATAAGTAACAAACATACCTGCCAGTTCGGCCACATAGAGCCACCTTCTGCCCGGGCTTGATTGAGATGGTGACGTCTTCCAATGCGAGATTCGGCGATTCGGTCTCGTTTTCTGAGGAATCAGCGACATCCTCGCTCCTTGATGAAATTAGCCAATGATTACTACCGAACGGTACTGATTAGCACTCACTTGTATGAAGCCGAGATGTGCTTGATCTCGATGTTGCCCTGGGTAGGCCACTCCTCCGGTGGCTCGAGGTCCTCGCCATCCAGATTCTCAGAAGCCACATTCTCTGCAAATGCTTTCAGACGCGAGACTGCGCCGATAGAGATTTCTACCTGTGTGTAGTACTGTATAAGGCTGGAGATGGACTCACCCCAGGTCATCAATGTGACCAGTGAGGAGCCAGCAAAGCCCGAGTTAGTTCTAAGCTGTGTCGACAAGGTAACAACTCCCACGGCCATAACCATGACCAACAGATTCAATGATGAGGCTAGAAAGCGTTGGGACATGGCCAGCAGATAAGCAGGTCTCTGTGAAGTATCCAGCAGATTCTGGTTGTGGAAGATTTCCTTGTCACCCAATTTGAGGGCGCGAATAGTGGCGATGCCCCTGATGGTATCAAGAAAATGGTCACTTGTTGGAGTTAGCTAAAGATGACTGTCGCACTGATTAGAAATCACTTACTATAAGGGACTCTTTGCTTCAAGATCTAGTAGACGTAGTTGTCTAGAGGTCCGAAGATAGAACATCTGCAACATATAGATGACGGCGAAGACGAATGGGTAACTGATTGCCAGCCAAGGCGTGCCGACAGCGACAACAATTGCCATAGTCAAAACGTCGAAGATTTGAATAACGGTATTGAGCAGAGATATCGGGAGCTCTCCATCTATCAGCGTCATGTCTTGAGAAAACAAGTTTGTCACGGCCCCAAAGTCGGTAGTTGTAAAGAAGCTGAGAGGTGCGTTGACAAGGGTGTCAAGTATAGCTCGGTGCAGTTGGCTACCAGATTGCGTGGTCATATAAATGATAACGGCAATGGCACACACGAATAGAGCGACAACCTGAAGACCTCGGAACAAGCCCATGATGCCGACGTAGAAAGAAGTTGTCATGTGGAATGCATCAGTTCCCCACCAGCCCATCCAGATGGAGGGAAAGTTACGACCGACTGCGTAGAGAACACCGGTAAGGAAACACGTCAAGCTAGCCCAGCCACTGACGCTGCGATAGTAGTGAAGATAGACCTTGCTGTCGCCCGTCGCCCGCGATTCAGCCTCGAGGTTGGTAGTTGTGGCCATGGGTCGAGTCACGAGAGGGACAGGCATCGTGGCTGCAACAGGCTCCTCAACAGGAGTCGTCGCGCCGCTCTCAATGGCGTCGTCGGCAACAGAAACACCAAGGCTTTGGACATATTTGCCAGTCTCGACAAGTTTGTCGAATGAACCCTGTTCGTTGACCGTACCATCAGCATCAAGGGCAATGATGTGGTCCGCTAGCGGTAGATAACGGACGGCGTGTGTGCACAAAATCGCTGTTGCACCACGACGACGCAGAAGTCCATCGGGGCCGAAGACACGTTGAAAGACATCGTTTCCAGTAGAGTTGTCCAAGCCGCTCAGTATGTCGTCAATGAGGAGGAAACCGGTTTCAAGGTACAAGGCCCTGGCTAGCGATATGCGTTGCTTCTGGCCACCACTAAGCATGATTCCGTTGCTGCCAATGATTGTTGCGTCTCCCTCCGGAAGGATGGCAAGATCGGTTCGGAGCAAGCAGGCGTCCAAGACCTCTTCATATCTCTTTTGGTTGTATACAGAATGCCAGATGATACCGTCTCGTATAGAGCCATTTTTCAAGAAGGGCGTTTGCTCGCAGTAGCCTATAGGGGCTTGGGTCCAAGGCAAAGTGACTTCTCCACTGCTGAATGGGACCTCGCCTAGAAGAGCCTTGCAGAACGTGGACTTGCCAGATGCTACTGGACCAACGATGAGCGTCAGCTTCTCGACTGGGATGTCGACAGAGATGTTGTTGAGTGTCATCTTCTCCGATGTCCACCCAAAGCTACCATTAATAATAGAAATCTGGGACTTTGAAGCAGTTTGGCTTGGGTCTATCGGCATCTTCTCATCATGTTGTCCCTGTGGACCACCATCTGTGGGAGGGAGAGACAGAGAAGACTGTCGGTAGTCGACACTGGGCTCCTTTTCAAGAAACTTCTGAATCCGCTCCAGGCACACAAAAGCAGCAATCACTGCTGGTACGGACTGAAACATTTGTGACAGCGGGTTAGTGAGCAGCAGAATGAACGAGAAGGATACAAAAATCTTGAGAGTATCCAGCTGCTCGTTGGTAAAGGCAAACGCGACAACGGGAGACACGGTAGTTGGGACAAAAGCAGTAGTGGCAGTCAGAATCAGCAGCCAGCGAAACTTGTTTCCGATTTTCAGCTCTTGCTCTCGCATCTTTTGAACAAGGTCACGGACAGGGGTCGTGATACCTGAAATACGGAGGCTTTTGATGTTGGAGATGATGCTGGACGTGAGTCCTACACGGCTTTCAATCCGGGCCATCCAACGAGATTGTCTTTCTCCGACCAGCCAAGCGATGACGGAGGTGACTAAAACACAGAGGAGGATGACCACAATGGGGGAGATAAATGCTAGGCCTAGTTCTCGTTCGAGAAGAAAGCAGCCGAGTCCAATCTCGATGACATTGGCCCAAAAGTCATGGAGGCCATGGAAGCCGTACAGAACTCGCTCAACGTCAGTACTCATGACTGTCAAGGCGGCTGCGTCGCTGATATCTGTCATCTTGCCCTGAGTAGTCGTTCTGTAGACATAGGCGGCCAAACAGCCACGAGCCATGTATAGAGCTCGTTGGTGGAAGTACCAGAATAGGGCATCTGAAATGGCAATGCCTGCGTAAATGATTGCAGCAGCACCAATGAGACCATATCCGTGGTTCTTGGGCACATCCTCGTGTAAGAGATATTCGAGGAGGGCATGGATGAAGAAAGGCTGACTATACTGGAAAGCAATCATGGCGAGGCGCGGTACCACTGGCATGAGAAGAGGTACAACAAGGGCTTTGGCCAGTGCTTTTGCCAGTCGGAATCGTTTTCCAACATCAGCCGAGGACTTGGCAAACTGGGTGGTCAGTTTGTCTAGGAGGAGCTTTGACTGCATCTCGTGGTCAAGAACGTACAGATCCTCTTTGATTGACAGCATGTTCTTGAAACCGTTGCGGAAGATCCGGATCAGCCAGAAGTAAACACCGAGATTGAAGAGACTGCTTGTCTCCTCGGGGCTATGATCTTCCTTTGTCCATTTCATATATCGTGCTTTGCTTCGCAGCTCAAGTACTAGGATGATGACCTTGAGAGGGAGCGTAGCTGTCATGATGCCGGCATGTCTCGTAAGCCGAAAAGAACTAGCCATGAGCCAGTAGGAACGGCATTGAGCTGCACCAAACAGGATCTGTAGCAGCAAGTACGTGGTCAGGATGGAGGACGGCCTTGCTGCTTTCGAGTGTTCGACAAAAGAAAGAGCCAGTATGACTAACGATTCGACGAATCCCAAGGCAGAAGCCGCCACGGCAAATACATCCGCGCTTTCAACATTAGATGTTGCGGATAGGATGAGGAGTACAAGCTGGAGACCAGCAGTTATCGCAATAGCAGACTAATATTCCGCCAGTCAGAACAGGGATAAATTACAGAAGGACATGGTTTCATACCAATTTAATAAACTGCTGGGTCTTTCCATCCACAATGCGAGGTCTGAAGGCGAGGGATGCCACGCGAATGAGTGCTATTGGAATAAAGATAGCCGCTGGGACGATGCCAAGGATGATTCTCTGGAAGCGGAAGGTGAAGTCAAAGTCACCACGACAACCCTCTACAATTGGGCCAAAAGAGTTGTCGTTAATGCAGCCCGACATGGCCATTGTCTAGGTATAGCCTGACCTCAGGCTTAGCTGTGGAGTTGTACTGTAGTTGATAGAATGATCTGAGTATGGCGAAGCTACTGTTCTATCTTGTAGGGAGATGTTGATGTGTCTTTAAATAGAACCTGCCGGATGTGACGGTTTGGGTGAGTCAAGGCCCCATGAGAGGCAGACTGGTCGACCCATAAAGTATAAAGTACTATTTCCCCACTCAAGTCGGTCAGCAAGAGACAGCTCGTATCAGACGCGCGTCTACTGCCCCCACCCCCCCTTGCCCTGGACCCTTGAGCCTTGGCTTGAGGCTTGAGCCTGAGTCAGGGATACAAGGGCAAGACTAGGTTATAGCTTATTTCGCCCAAACGGCACTTGTGAGCGGGTGAACCGACCACCACGCGGCATTCCCGAGCTAGCTTAGCATGTATTACCATCAGATTCATAATCCCACGCTGAAATGGTATAAGGGGATAGCAAATCAGGATTCCGTACTACCCGAGATGGGAGGATGGCGACACGTTTTTATAGACTACTCTGATTACAGAGAGTGCTTGGGCCCCTCCCCTCCCTCGCGCGATCTTATCTTAACTCAATCCAATGCAGTCTATCAACCAACAAATCTTCTTAATAATATTCGCAACCCTTTATTAATCAATGTATGTAACCCAAACGATAATGGACTCGTTTCATTCCATCCCAATCGATCCTGCTGAACGGAGAAAGACACAAAACCGCCTCGCCAAACGAAAGTCACGGATTCATGCAGGTAAACCAATCCGCTGTCAAGACTCCATTCTTATCACCAAGAAAATAATCTTTTTGCAACACTGACACGTTGCTATCAAGGGGCCAAAGAGGCGGCAAATACAGCTGTTGGTCACCAACCCACATCAGTTTTCACATCTTCCACCCAACAGACAATGAGAGTGCGCCCTACCTCTGTAAGTGGTACCCTCACAGCCCAGCGATCTGCACCATAACAGGAACATGTTGCATCTAACGTCACTTCACATGTGTTTTACAGGATATTTCATCTCTTAATGGCTCTGCTGAGCCGCTCTATGGGGCTGTACGGTTAATGCAGACTGCTACGCCACTGGAGAATGCGGCTGAGGATTATAGCCATACAACGTCTGCGCCTTCATCAACATTGGAGACACCTCCACAGCTATGGCACAGCCCGATGTCATCAGATGAAACTGTTGTCTATGCTGGACAAGATGTGAATTTATACCCATCAAGTCTCTTTCCAAATTTGCGGCCTGGCAGTTCAAGCAGCTTAAGTTTGCCAGATTCAAACGCAATCCTATATTCCACAATGACACAACATGTCGTACCAGCATCTCCCAAAGACAACTTCAGAATGGTGAGTTACTCACTGAGTTTCCTCCTTCGCTTTGCTTCTTTTTCATTTTGCTTTATCTCTTGGTCTGAAAGCTCAAACCTTCGGTGTGTGAACGAGACAACTAATTGACGAGTCTTAGCAAGGTGCAAAGCCTGGATCACCATTACATATAGCATCAGCTATGGGCCATTTAAAAGTCGTAAAGACGCTCATTGCCTACGGTGCCAATGTCGACGAGGTGGATGCAGCAGGATATACTCCCATACACTACGCGACACACAACAACCATGCAGCGATAGTGGTTTTGCTTCTGGAAAACGGGGCCGATATCCATTCCCGTGATCCGGAGGGATGTACTCCTCTTTTCAGCGCATCGCAGAGGGGGAATAATGAAATTGTGGAGCGGTTACTCAAAAACGGTGCTCAGGTTTGTTGACTTGGCATCCAAGGGAGGGGGACTTTTAGGTACATCACCTCTGTTTATCTGTGTTCATAAACTTGAGACAACGCATTCATAGCAGGCATGATATTCTATAAATATAAACAAATACTTTTATCACTTCTGCTACCGTATGCTGAGTTATGAGTACTGTCCCCCTTATGTGAGTTCTATATAGATTACATATGTGAGGATACGGCAAGAGGCCTGTGAGACTTGCCGTGCCACTGAGTGTATATGTGACTTGGACTCCTTATACACTGATGTGGGAGGCAGTTCAGACATTTGTGTGTGAACTGGTTGACTTTTGGTCTCTTGGCCGGATGAGCACCTTCCCTTATCCTTAGCACATATTACCTAGTACATCTCCACAAGATATTGGCTAAACTCATCCACATAGAATCGGAAACACTGTACTAAACAGTCTTATAGTATTTCCTTTCTCTTCTTCTGTTGAATTTACCCTAAGGCCTGTAAGACCGTATGGATAGGGAAAATAATAACTACTGATTCTTTATCGATTTTGATATATTATTTAATTGAAAATACATTAGCTGATATGTAGATATGGTGCTGCTGTAGCCCTGCTTTACCCTACATCCATTTCGTCTTAGTGGAAAGTCCGCGGGCGGGGGGGTCGTGCCGTATCGGACTACGGGATTTAAGAAAGACCCGGCTGGCTCGGCTCACACCTGCCCCCTGCTAGCCCCAGCATTTGCCGTGTTCCGATTTGCAATTACGTATACTGGTAGCCTAATGAATATTCTCTTGGCTTCCAGCCCTCCAATCGTGATAGGGTAGAGAAGTATTATGTCCCCAGCAGCTAGACATATGCCGAACCGAGCCCGCTTATTCTCAATATCGCAGGTCGAATTTATTGCATTAGGTCGAAGTTTATTTGCAAACAAAAGAACATAATTTGAGGTAATTTATCTTCCGCGGCAGTTGTTTCAAAATAAAACGTGCAGTGTTGTAAGTGGCTTGGCCTTTTCTAATTCCCTGCCATGACGGTACTTTTTTGTCGTTCCGTTCATCCGGAACTAAGGCACGGCCTTCTAAAGGACCGAAGCTAATTCCACAATGGCCCACCCATCTCACATCTCCGGAAATAGTCAAACTTTTCTTACCGATTTACTTTTCTGAGCAATCGGTTCATCAAGGTAGATTTTAGTCTGGTGGTGTGGAAGGCGGTGACGTAGAAGGGACCAGTGGCCTCCCGATCCGATGAATGGCCTAGCTGACCGTTACGCTACTGTTCATGAGTTGACCGAACGTGTGGTTTGCGGAGGTGAGATCGGGCTAAAAGTTTAAATCATTACAATTATTTCCTACGCGTCACTGCTTGCTTCTGGTAACAGGCCGACGCCGGCTGCGTTTTTACCTCGTAAGTAAGTCAATAATAGCCAATGAGATAATATTAAGTTCAATGCACTGTAGAAAAGAAATCTTGGACTGTGTGTATTAGGATTCCTAAACTTTTGTTATGAAACTACTCGAAATTGTTCACTAATCCACAAGTAATTAGCCCGATGTAACAGTACGCCTCACATTTCTTAATGCATTTCTCCAACCTATGAAAATTGCCAGCCTTTCGCTATTATGGCTTTAATCCAGTATAGCTAGGCACCGGCAACTACAAACCATAGTTCTATATTTCATACAGAGAAACATTGGCGGAATGCTTTCTTCTAGTGGACAGGCAAAAGTTGAATGAGGGGTGTCAATTAATATATGTACAGTTTCTGGATTTGACGAAATACAACAGTTCTAGAAGACTTTGTGAGAAAATGTGAGCTACAGGTGACATATAAGTGTATTCACCTACAATGTTGTCACTAAGATCATACGAAGGAGGAGTAAAGTGGCATGATATTGACGAAAAAAATGAACAGCCTGATGGCTAGACATATGCTTTGGATAGCGTTAAAGACTTCAATTGCATCCAAATATTGAAAGTATTTAATTTTGTTTTTTCATTCCCACAACGCCCTAGCCTCGTATGTTTCAATATCCAAGCTTGCCCACATCAGAGAGAAAACAGCTGAACCCCATCTTCAAAGATTGATTTATATTTTAATTGTCTCTCATCACGGTATGATGGATAAGCTGAGCACTGGCATAAGAGTTCCTATTGGCGTTCTGATGGCTGCAACGCAATCTTAAGCGCATTTCGCCCGTCTCCTGTGCTCGCTTGCGAAGCCACTTTCAGATTACGACTAATATTTTTAGATCGGAGGTATTAATGCAAATCAATTCTCCAAATGTAAAATCTAGGATATAAGGACGAAAGCTACCCATAAGCGAGATGTCTCTCATAGACTGAAAGAGCCCTCATTCCCTTGATTTCCACCCAGAACCAATGATCATACCATAACTCAATTAGATCCCAGGACCTTTTCCAAAGCAGCAATAATCTGATGAACTTCGTCCACTGTGGCATTTATTAGATCGACGGGAACATTATCAGCTCAAGTGTTAGGTGAATACATACCTGTGTTATAATGAACCAAGCTCACGCGTATAACGCCATCATCACTGAGACCAAGGATCTTCTCTGCCAATCTCTTTGAAAAGAAGTGACCCCATCGAATGCCAACATGCGATACTGCCTCGACAGCCTCCACGACACTCTGCGAAGACCTACCACTAACAGTGAAACTTACCGTGGGCACACGAACCGAGTTCTTAGTCGACTTCTCCCCATACACCGTAATTTCAGGCCGTGATACAAGGAACTCGATCAGTGGTGTCTGGAGCTTCTCTTCATGCTCTGCAATTGCAGCCCACATTTGCTTGGGATTTTCACCAAAATAGGCTGTGAGGGGTATCACAGCCTGTAGCAGCTCATAGCTAGCTGCGGCCAGCTCCAGCTTGTCCATCAGGCTTCCGGAAGGGTTGAAGTAGTGTCCAAGTGATTTGAGCTGAGCCTGAGCCGCCGCTGATCCGTAGAGCAATGAGATATGGGGGCCGTAAACCTAAAACATTCCCACCAGTGGTTAGCCATGCAACTGAACTGTCCGTGTCCTGCCTGAGCAACTTACTTTGTACCATGAAAAGGCATAAAAGTCGGCTCCGAGTTCCTTTACGTCAACAGCTCGATGAGGCGCATAGGCAACGCCGTCCACTGCCAGCAAGGCTCCTGGAATTTCATGCACAACATCCGCAATGGCTTTGATGTCATTTATCGTACCGAGGATATTGCTGCAATGTGTGCAGGCGACCAGGCGCGTCTTGTTGGTCAAGAGGCCTCGTAACGTGGTGGGATCTAATTTGGGGTTTCGGCGATCAGAAGGTGTCCACCATTTGACTGTCGCACCGGCAAGGGCGGCATAATGAAGCCAAGGGTCAATATTGGACTCGTGGTCAATCTGGGAGAGAATCACTTCGTCTCCAGGCTGTAGGCTGAGAGCTGCGGCGAGGTTGCGAAAGACTTGCGTTGTCGAGGCCCCAATCACTGAACGGTTAGTCAGAATTGATACGTGCAACAGGATTGTAGAGTAGACCAACCTATTTCATCAACGCCGGCATTGACGTACTTAGCAGCAGCCTTGTATGCATTGTCGAAGATGGCGGTTGATTGCGTTGACGTCTTGTAACTCGCGCCAAGCTGGACGTTGGTGTCGATAAGATAATCAGCGATGCTATCTTCTTGTTAGCTAAGGCATGATGGCAGTGGGACGGAAATCATCTATTTGCCTCTTAGCGACGGTCCCGAGAACCTGGCTACCACCAGCGTTGTCCCCGAAAATCTGGGGTTTCGCCAGTGCTGGGAACTGCTCCCTAACGCTTTCGATCGAGAAGCTGTAAGACATGCTGGTGCTGTATAGCTAGACTTGGCGATACGCGTTTAGTGGATAAGGCCTGGGGATCGGGTTACACAAAAGTGCCGATATAGGGAGGAGAGAATGGATGATATTGAGAAGCTCAGACAGAACATGAGACCCCCCTTTTACAGTTTTCCGAGTCAGGCTTCGGCATAGGAAGCGGGAGCATGACGTGGGTCCACGCTACTGAACCCCAGCATATGCAAGGTCAGCAATCATTTACAAGGTTTAGTTACTCGCTAGACTACCCATTAATCCGGTTAGTGGTACGTTGAGATGGCTCGATCAACCCCTGCCCAAGTTTGCGGAGCCGAAAGCTTATTTTCTTCCATCCTAACTTGGCTAGTACGCCTTCATCTTGACATATCTGATTGCATATGGGACGAGTCAAACAGCCCCGTGATCAATCTGACAGTTACATTGGTCCCTGGAAGGGCGTCAACATATTCTCTGACTTGGGTGCCCCGCATGTCATCCCACACGCCCTTTCTACATCCTTGATGCATGCAGACAGGGGGGGCTAGGTATTTGTCAGCTCTGGTTTCGGCCGATTTCCGGAGGAACCTCTACTGCAGGGACCACGCTGCAACATAATCCAGCCTTGGTCAGTGTGTGCACAAAGTCGGTTATCTCGTTGCGTAGTCAATCTGCTCGGATAACGAAGAGGCTTAGAATTTGGTGCAAACTGCGTCCCAATTGATAAGTATATAAAGGAAGAACAATTTTCAGTTAAGTGATGTAGTTGCTTTATCATTGTCTTAGTATCAACATTTCTCTCTTAGTCTCTATCAAATCTGACCTGGATCGTAATATCTCGAAATTATCACACCACCATGGGAAGAGGTAAGTATCCTGCAACTAGCACTACACAACGTCCGAACTTTGTTCAACTGACTCGGTTAGAAATCGAATTCGGAGGTATCCGAGTACAGATTGCCCCAGTCGAGGACAGTTCCCGGGGTTTTCAGGCCCTAGATGTCAGACTGCACCACTCCCAGACCCTCGGAGACATCCCACGGGGAGTACCGGACGTTCCGCGGCGTGTCAAAGTGCTCGTATCTGTCGATTTCGACGCTGTATCAAGCTGGATGGGCACCGGACAACACTCTCGAAACTGCCTGTCCGACTACTCGGCAGGCATCTTTGCAGGACGGGTTGGAGTCGGCCGCCTTCTCAGGGTTCTCGACCGCGTTGGAATATCTGACAGGGTGACGTGGTTCATCCCCGGACACTCCATGGAGACTTTTCCCACTGAAACAAAGGCTATCGTCGACTCTGGCGCCGAAATTGCTCTTCATGGATATTGTCATGAAGACTGTACACAACTAAACTCGCAACAGGAGGAAGACATCCTGGATAAGTGTATTTCTCTTGCCGAGTCCCTGACAGGCAAGCGGCCTGTTGGGTTTCGAGCTCCGCTTTACCGGATCGGCCATGAAACCATCAATCTCCTGGAGCGCAAGGGGTTTCTATATGACACCTCCTTAAGCGGACATGATGCCCAACTCTACCACCTCGACACTGGCTTTCCCCTGGACGTGGTAGACTACTCCAAGCCAGCCTCCACGTGGATGAAACCTTCACCCCAACCACGGCAGATCCCTGTAGTTGAGATACCAGCTAACTGGTACATGGAAGACATGACACCCATGCAGTTTCTCCCCAACGTGACAAACTCTCATGGATTCGTCACCGCTGAAGCTATCGAGAAGATGTGGAAAGACCGCTTTAATTGGCTCTGGAGTTGGGGGCCCGATGGCAGTGGACCTGGCGACTTTGTCTTTCCCCTTGTTTTGCACCCTGATACCTCAGGAATGGCCCATGTTGCTGGAACCATTGAGGGAATGCTTCAGTGGTTGAAGGCATGGGGACCGCAGGTAGAGTTTGTAACGTACGAGAATGCCGCGCGGGAGTTTCTACTGGAGGAAAATGTCGTTGCAGCCTAGACATGCAATGCATTCTAGATGTAGGAGAGACGGAAAAGCCGACAATAGCTTGAACCATGTTACATTCTAGGCCAATAGCTGATTCTAGATTCCCCATGGGATGATAGGGTTGAATGCACTTTCTTCCAGGACAAGCCACCACGCGATTCTGTAACGGCGTCTAAGTGATTCGAGAAGTAATTGATTTCAAGTTAAGGTTAAGGTTAGAAATGAATGCATTGTCATCAGCCAAGATCTGTGCAATGTCAGCGATCGAGACCTTTACATCGTTACCCTTGCGCTTCAAGCGTTGAGATTTGAACCATCCGGATTAGGATGGCTCGCGCGTGGAATGAAGTTTTATCAGTCAACAAAAAGAAAAAGGGATGTAGAATGAGAACTATATTATATGCTGTGTTCTTCGGCCATTATCAACTTCAATATCTCGCAAAGACAATCTTCACCCTCTCAAGAGCTCCCAATCATCAACATGCCCGTTCTTCTATCAGTGACCTCTTCTGTCAGAGGCTCTGTGCTTCTTACCCTATTCACGCTTGCCACAGCGCTCATATTCTCCTTGTACCGTGTGATCAAGAACCGACATATTCCTGGTCCTTGGCCATGCCGGATCTCTCATCACTATGTTTCGCTGTTTGACCTATTTCGACAGCGTCCTCAGACTGTGGCCAAATGGCACCGACAATATGGTCCCTTTGTTCAGATAGCACCTGGCCAGGTCTCCGTTTCTGATGTCGTCGCCATGCGAGAATTGTATGGTACATCTGCACGGAACCCAAAGAGTGACTACTTTGATAACTTCATCTACCACAATGCACGAGCAATCTTTGCCGAGAAGGAACATCTCGGACATCGGCAAAAGAGAGGTCTCATCTCATCCTTCTTCCAGGCTACTTCCGTGTATATGCCGGATATCCAACAGCCTCTACGTGACAGGGTGTTGACCGCAACCATGTGCATCCAGGAAGAGATCAACGTCAGTGGCAATGGGATTGTAAACATCTTTCCCATCACCAACCACTACGCCTGGGACAACACCACATCCTTGATCTTTGGGCCACGCCACTGCTCTCATGCACTCCAAGGAGACGAAAATGATCGTGACCTACTAGCAAGGCTGAAGAATAGTGAACTATGGGGAGCCCTCAAGTACAACCTCCCTCTCATCTTCAATCTTCTCAAGCTGGTCATGGCCGTCTACACCAAGTCGACGAAGTACTTCTCAGCTGAGAACGACCTCGATACATGGGCGATGCAACGCCTTCGCCAGACAACTTCGGATCCTAAAGTCTCACAAGATGAACGTTGTGTTGTGCAAACTATCCAGGATCTTCGTCGCAGTGGCCGCTCCCTGTCTGACAATTACCTGGAAAGTGAGGTTATTGACAACTTATACGCCGGGCAAGCCACAGTCACTGTGGCTCTCACCTATGCTATCTACCATCTAAGCCGAAACCCACACTGGCAGTCGATGGTCCAGAAAGAGCTCGATGATCTCCCACGAAACTCGGATGGTCTGCCCGACTGGACTCTTTTGAGCAAGACTCCTATCCTCGAAGCTTGCATCCGTGAGTCATATCGTCTCAACCCAGTGGCCAGCGGACGAGCTGAGCGAGTCCTCGCCAAGGACTCTCGTTACGGCGACATCTTTATCCCGCAGAACGTGAGTTGATGAATCTCTTCACCCTCTTTATACCCTCCGAAAGAATACCCTGTCTCTATATAACGTCACTGACTTTTATTCATTTCTATCCTAGACCGTTGTATCTGCATCCACCATAGCCTTACATCATGATCCCGAGGTCTGGCTCAACCCACATGAATTTAACCCACGACGCTGGCTAGATGCGCCGGCCGACGAGCTTCTGAGGTTGGAACGGTCATTTGTTCCTTTCGGTTACGGCGCGAGACTGTGTCTAGGTAAAGCCTTTGCGAACCTCCAGATTAAGATGTTTGTGGCCGGTATTTATTCTAGGTACAACACGCAACTGGAGGTACCGGGTCAAGTCATGGACCAGTGGGGGACGCAGGACGCCCTACCCAAGGGACTTAAGTGCGGGGTTCGTTTTGAGGACAGGAAATAAATGCCAATTGTTAGGTACTAAACAGTATATTTGACTAATTTTAAATTGAGCCGGGTTGTTCTACAGTAACAAAATCTGTCCATTGTGATTGTGCTAGGGCTAAATTTTCCCTTTAAGTCCAAAGACTTATCCCATGAGACTCATCTACTGACAGTTTTAGGTGACTGAGCCCTACAAAATCCAAGATATTAGTGCTGTAGTGCCAGAATGCTAAGAGTTATGCAATAGCAATTAACAGTTATAAGGAGGAAAATCAAATATTGAAGATCAATGTAATCCAATGTAAGTTATCGCGATATGAATGTATCTGCTTGAAGTAGCATAATGCAGCTCTAGTCTAGCTAAAACAAAACGACGTATTAAATCATATTTACAAAATTTACTATAAAACATATCCAAACAAACCCTTCCTTATAAACATGTAACTGTTACCTGAACATCTCTATTAATCATTCCATTTGTTCCCTTTGTGACAAGACTAGTGCTTGTTCCCTTTGTGGCAAGGCTGATGGTTGTGCCCTTCGTTCCCTTGGTCGCAAGACTGATGGTTGAAGACGAATTGAGACGCTTTGCTAGCGAGGCAATGGTTGGGTTTCCCAGGATGTCTGCAACGGTGATTGTCATCTGGAGGCTTCGCGCGGCAGTCACAGCCTTCATGGCAGATAACGAGTCACCACCAATCTTAAAGAAATGGTCATGGATACCAATTGTAGAAGTCTTCTTCTGCAAAACGGCTGCCCAAGCTGCCTGTAGCAATCGCTCGCGTTCGTGGCGAGGCTGCTCCTTCTCCGTCTCCACGCCGTTGATCATCTCCATCTGGGCTTTTGTGATGGTTTGAGCCAGCTCTCTAAGTCTCCGCCTGTCAGTCTTACCTGACATGGTAAGAGGGATACTGCTGATGGGAATGTACACCTCGGGAACCATATAAGCGGGTAACACTGCTGACAGTGAGGGGGTGGCAGCCACGCGTGCGGCTTGAGCTGAGCTGATGGACTTGGAGTCAACACAGACAGATGTGTCCACGCCTTCGGTGCTTGAGGACTCAATAAACGCAGCCAGCATAGTGTGACTATCAATCGTCACAACTTCAGCCACTACGCGGGAAGAGGGCAGAACCGCTTTATACTGGTGTTCGATCTCACCAAGCTCGATCCTCTGGCCCCGAATCTTGGCTTGAGTGTCCTTTCGACCGTGGATCATGATGCTGCCATCGGGGTTGTACGAACCCAGGTCTCCCGTCAGATAGAATCGACCGAGATCCAGCTCGGGGAAAAGCTGATGCCTCCAGCCTGGGGTGGAGACAAATCCTGATTTGGTTGGCTTCTCGCCGATGTAACCACGTGCTAAACAGTGGCTCTCAATCATTATCTCACCAACGGTGCCGAAGGGGAGAAGGTTACCAGGGTTACTAGGGTGCACGATCCATATGCGTGGCCCCGTAGACTGCCCAATATTACTGGGGCTACTGTGGAGAGTCAGTCTCTCCGACGCAGTATCCCAAAGACCCGACTCCGTACAGCCATACACATTGATGAGATGAACGTCGTTGCAGAGGCTCTCAAGAGTAGCTCTACCCAGGGGCTCGCCGCCAAGCATGATATATTGTAGCGTGGGAACTTCGCTGGGCTTCACTTGGCACGCAACCGAAGGGGTGAGGAACGCATGTGTCACTCCGAGAGCCCTCATCTCCCCGTTCAGGTCGTTGAGCTTGCCCTGTTCAGAAGGAACACAAATGCAGCCGCCGGCATACAGAGTTGCAAAGATCTCGGTAACACTGACATCGAAACTGGGTGACACGAAGTGCATGCAGTTCGTGCGGTTGTCCATGTGAAACGGGCCCAGAAGATCAACAACGCCAGTGGAAATGGCAGCATGATCATGTATGGCGCCCTTTGGCTTTCCTGTGCTGCCAGAGGTGAAGAAGCAAGTTGCAATTGCGTCAGGACGAGACGGTGGCAGTGGAGCCGGCTCCTGCTGCTGAACAATCTCCTCAAAGTTGTCAAGGCAGGCGACAGAGGGGTTGAGCTTGCGTCGCATCTGAGATCCAAGGTTTGAGAAGTACACCTTGGGCCAGACCTGGAGGAAGATGGCGTTGATCCTCGAAGCGGGACACTTGGGGTCGATTGGCACAAAGACTGCGCCGGCCTTGAGCGTTGCAAGCCACACAACAATGGTCCAGTATGACTTTTCCATGATGGATGGAATAAAGTCGCCTTCAACGATGCCATTAGCACGGAGCATGGTGGCGATCCGATTAGCGTGATCATTGAGCTGACTGTAGGTCAAGCTGCCATCCCAAGCACGCACAGCACATTGCGTGGGTGATCGGAGAGCATGATGCTGAACAACATCCTGGATACACTCCTTCTGATCAAGAAGTCTGCCACTGTTGGCCAGTTCCAGGATTCGAATATCATCATAGCTCAGGCTGCTGACCTCACACACGGGGAATTCATCCCTCAAGAGAGACGGGCCATGGTTTTCCCAAAGACTGTAGAAGGCCTTGAGAAGGACCCGAGCGTGCCCGGTATTCTTCTTTCCTGAGAACAACACCTGAGCAGTGGGCCTGCCAGCAAACTCCGAGAGCCGCAAGACGAATGGTGACTGAAAATTGTTAGACTGCACTCGGGAAGATCTGTCAGATCACTTACTCGGCCTTCGATTCTAGGAGTTGGATTAACGGACTGTGTAACAGCAATACCAAAAGTACCCTCTCGATCCTGAACTTCTTTTGATGGTGGCTCGATGAGTCTCTCCCCACCAAGAAGTTGACCGATGGTAGTTGAGTTCTGGATGCTAACACGTTGATAGCTGCTCTCCCAGCGACCATGCTCTTCCGCCAAGCACGTCAAAGTCCATTCATCACGGTGATGATAGAGATCGACTGTGATAGACCAAAGAACGCGGCCGAGTTCATAAATGTCGTTGCATGCAACGTCAAGTAAGAGAACCTCGGTGGACATGTAATTGCTTAGAGGAGCCATGTTTGACCGTAAACGAAAGGTAGTAGATACGAAGGAAGGAATCTACTGCATAAGGACAAAGTGTACAACAAAGATAATCTTTTGAAGCTGAGGACAAGGAGCGTTTATATAACTATCTGGATCATTTTCTACCAAACCACAGACGATAAAGACCGTTTGTATGACTGTCTAGATCATTCTCTACCAAAACACAAACGAGAGAACATAGTATGATTCCATGATTCCAAAAGCACTCGCCGTATCCGTCTTCCGTTTCAAACGAAGTATCGCAGCCTGTCAAACCCGGATGTAACGCCGTTAAAGACAAGGACCGGGGCTTTATGCAATGTCAAAACTCTATTCGCAGCCCTGCAATGTAACGGCGTTGGAACTTTTGGGGGTCGAAGTCCCGCAGTACCACTTACTACGGTACCACTTATTAAGGTTGGCACCATTATGGTCTGCCGGCGGGACCGTCCTGTCATACGAGCATATGTTTCATCTTAGTGAGATTGTTCAAGACAACCACCCATTCACTATGCGAGACACTTACTCGTGGTGTATTTTAGCTGCATGATTAGGTCCCGCCTACCTTGTAGGGCCCGATTGTCCGTGGGCATGATTCGTCACGGATCGAATCTCTAAGCGAATCTTGCTTGGAACCCATGCAAAAACCAACCGGGCCATTGGACTACCGGGTGCCCCGAGCCGGAGGTTTCGATCCATTGCACCTATTTCTGTAGTTCATACACTATAATGGCTCATTCGGCACTTGCTCGCTAAGATACCTCCGAGGAAAGACACTTACTCGCTAAGATATCTCCGAACAGAGACGCGATTGGCTAAATAAATCACCAAATAAATTCCCTTGTCTGCTTCATGGTGCTTACTAACCCCTTCAAACCTTTGTTCGCGGCCTCTACCCGGGATCGGTCTAAGAAGTCTCTATCGATGACCACATATGAACACCCATCTATCGAGTTACGACGGCATATATCCCAAAGGCGGCAATTCATGTCGGCTGGTGCAAGGACGAGAATGTTACCTTACGATGTCACTTTCCCTATTGAGGGCAGCGCCAAGAAATCAAATATGAAATTGACTTTTCCGGAATTGATTTGACGACTTTCAGATTTGATTCAGAGAGGTGGGAATTAGATTTGACACGATTGGTATCTTATCGATAGGAGATAAGGCTTTTATTTTTCCTCCATTCAAAAGGAAAACAACTACCCTATAAAGAGACAGAAGATAGCCCCGTAATCAAATCAAATTGAATAAATAATGGTATGAAACTGAGTGGGTTTAAGTCGTCAAAATCCTGATTGCAATGGACTTGATTCAAAGGGTTTTAATTTACTAGAAGCACTGGTTCAGGGTAGGATAAACCGTTTTTGCTTCACCGCAAGTTCTCGAAATGTCACGTCATTATTGCACGAACGCTCCACGGGCACGGCAAAAAGAAAGCCTCCTCCTAGTTAAGCCACAGGAGTTGAACAGCGACTATGATATTGTCCAAGTCGTGAGCTTCACTTACTAACTGCTGTTAAATCTTTTACTGAATTCTTATCTGCGCATGAAACAATCCAATAAATACGTTTACACGCTTTCTAAACTTCTGATGGTTATTCCCCAAGAGGTGTTCTCATGGCTTACTCCCTTAAACGACTTAAATATCATCCTGCGTTGCATATGTATCAAAACTTCAGTCATAATGTTGTAAACACTTCCAAACAAATGCCTATCAAACCTTGTGGCTCGCCTCTTCATCAATATTCATTGATAGACCTGAAATCATTATCTGCTTATCCACCGAGTAAAGCAGCGACTTGAGTTGTGAAAAGACACGCTCCTTCAGTTTGACACCCTCAGGTTCGGTAACTGCAGCCGGAGGACTTTCATACCAAACGTTAATTAAATCCATGCACTTCAGGGTAATTGGCTGCTCACCTTTCAACAATTCCATCCTTGACGTAACCGCCGTGACAATCTCCCTCGACACCCAAGGCGATGCAGCGTCCACCAACCTCAGCCGTCCTTGCCAGCAGCAACTTCATGATTCTATGAATAATGCGTACAATCAGTGGCATTTCTCTAGTGAGATCGGTGTCACACAACCCTGGATCGACAGCCGTAAAGGTGATGCTGTCTGGCCAGGACTGGTCGACAAAATCTCCGAGAGCGTAGAAAGCCAGTAGCTGGATCAGCTTAGAGGTGTCATACCGATCCCCCATGTCAGCCTTGCTGGCGTCGTTGAGGGCGGCAAAAATGTCATCCGCTGTCCTCTCTGGAAAAGCGGCAGATTCGTGACCTTGGCTCGAGACCAATATCATTTTGGGGCGAATGTTTTGTCGGAGCCCTGATAGACGCAGTGTGGGGAGCAGGCCAATGGCGAGGAGAAAGGTGCCAGTGACATTTGTCGCAAGAGTCCTTTCCATTCCATCAACAGTTTGAAATGATAGGGTAGCCATACCAGCGTTGAGGATAACAGCATCTATCCGTGCAAGCTTCTCAGCCCTGGCCACGAATTGCCTAATGGTTTCGACATTGGTGAGGTCCAGGTCCCAAATCTCTACGACGCCTTTCGAAGATGGATTGGCCTTTTCCACGAATGCTTTGCAATGTTGGGCTTTGCTGGCATCCCGCACTGTCAAGATGATCTTGGAAGCGTTGAGGCGACGAAAGTGACACGCTGCTTCCAAGCCAAGTCCGCGGCTTGCTCCAGTGATGATGATGGTTTGGTTGGTGCAGTCATGACTTGGGAGAGGAATTGGAGTGTACTGAGATCGAACAAATGACTTGAATGAGATTCCCATATTTGCGCGTCAAGATGTCAATATGTCAAGATTTAGAATATTCTCCCTGCTTAAGTTCGGCGTGGTTCTACAATGTTGCAAGTGGAAATATTGCAGTTTATATACTATAGGTTAAGTTCTTGCTTCTATCATTTAAACTTTGAACCTCTAAGATTTACTACTCTGCATTCATCATAATTTGTTGCATAAAAATTACCTTTGCTTTTAATAAGCTATTTTGAGCTTTGTGAATGCGACGATGAGATAAGCGGGAAAGGTGGGAAAGATTGACCATTCCAAATCGAAACCGAGCCGGAACTTCCGGTAAACCGGAACAAAACTTCAGGGATAGAACGAAACGCAACTCCACATAATGGAGCTGATTGAGATATATTATGGTGACATTCTCAGCTGCGCAGTCAGCAACCTCTGACGCATGCGTATACCTGGAACCCTGAGAAATCCATCCTGTCATCTCCAGTTCAATGGAATATTCAGGGGTTCAGGCACATGCAAGGAAACTACCCCATTCTTCGTCAGCTAACAGCCTAACACGTTGCCGGTTGTGCGGAGAGCCCGGATGTACCGGTAGCGCCATCTCTCTGAGGTTGTTTTTTACCCGCACCTCCATTACACTGTCCAATCGCATTTGGCGACATGACGTGAGATACTTCTATCCCGTCTTGATTAGTATTGAAGCCGATGTATCTCGTGTGGGAGGTGCGGGAGCTACGGGAAGAAAGCAGCCGAGGAGGGATTCACTAGCCGGTTAACGAACGTGCACTCCTCGAACGACCCTGACTAGCGGACGTTACAGGCGGGGTGGGGTCTTAACGAGGTGCCGAGTCAAGGGGTGTTATTGTAAAATTCATAGTCACATTCGTTTTCGTTCTACCCCAGCTGAAGCTAAACTCGGGACGAACTCATAGGATCCTAGGGTAAGTACATTAGCTACCCCGGTAAAAGTCAGCTTCACTCTCTATCAGATAGTTTGACGCGTGAAGACTGCGAATAGGCAAGAATTACCTGCCGGAAAATTTAATGTTTGTTAGACAATTCGTAATTACTAGCAATTCCCCTATATCATGCTGTGTGCCCTTGCATTTAGTTAGTTCATGTACCTCTAACGTAATTCTGAGGGAAAGCCTATCATTCACAGCTCACTTTTACCTTGTCCTTCATTGAATCTCATCATTATACCAAATCATCAAATCAAACCACACCAAATCATATCACATCAAACATAACACATCAAATCTAATCACATCATTATCATCACCTCCATAATGTCGTTACAGGACGATCCCTCTGTGGCCCGGGGCAGCATGTCCCAGACGCTCACCATCAGCGTCGACCGTGGCCTGTTCCTGTTCCAAACCTCCCACTCAGCAAACGTGCCTACCCCGCATCTTGACATGCACAGGCAGCTTGAGTTGAGCGATGAGGAGTCGGACAACCCTGAGACATCAGCCTCCTTGGTTCCAGCCAAGCTGCTTCTTGCCTGGGCAATTGTTGCCAAGGCCTTCGCTGGTACCGACAGTGTCGTCATTCTTGGCCCCAAGGTCCAATTGGAGGCTCAGGCCTCGATCGTTCTGGATGGAGATAGGTTGGTTGTTGATCAAATCAAGGCGATTGGTTCCCATCTGGATGGTTCTGTTAGTTCCAACCAGGCGATAACCCCCGTCCTTGACCAGCCCCAACTTCATCCCCTCGCTCTGCGCTATGCCTACAGCGAGGGTGATGTACCTGCCATGGATGGTTGTCTTTCCATTCAATTCTCTAGCCACTCAGGCCGTTGGTCGGCGAAGTTGAGCGCCGACTCGAGAGTCATCGACCAAAGCCTTTTGCCACTGTTGTCCAGCACCTTCCAACGCACTATTAAGCAGCTGCACTCTGTATCATCCCAGATCACCCAGCGTGACATTCCGCTTAGTGACAGCAAAGATGTAGGAATGTTACAAATGCTCGCAGGCCGTGCTGCGCCGCCAGTATCCTCGTTGGTGCATGACCTGATTGTCAAGAGTGCTCGCAGCCAGCCTGATGCTGAGGCCAGTGTTTCGTGGGACGTCAACTTGACATATGCTGAGTTGGATGGGGTTTCAGATATTCTGGCATCTCATCTAGTCTCACTTGGCCTCCAGGTTGGCTCGACAGTGGCAACTTGCCTTGAAAAGTCTGGCTGGGTGCCAGCTATCTATCTTGCCGTCCTCAAGGCGGGTGGTGCCTTTGCTCCCCTGAGCCCTGCTCTATCCGCTGATCAGATCTCCTCGGCTGTGGGGAGATTATCTCCGAGCATCGTTATCTCATCTTCCCCTAACCTCAGCAAGTTTACCGGACTGGTAGAGCACGTGCTCGATATCTCTGACGTTGTTAAGAACCATCAAGGCACCAACGTCCAACTACTGCCAGAAGTGACAGTCACACCGCGTGATCCCGCATGCGTCCTTTTCACATCCGACAGTGTAGAGGGGCCTCTACTCGTCTTGGATCACGCTGCTGTTTGTGCTTCAATTGCCACCAACAGCAACATCCACGACTTCTCTCCTGCCACAAGGACCCTCCAGTTTGCTCCCTATGATTCCAGCACTGGTGTCGCAGACGTCATCTTTACGTTAGCAGCGGGTGGTTGTGTCTGCACTCCGTCAGGCCATGAGCAACTTATCAATATCGCCGACGCATGCACGAGGATGAAACCCTCATTAGCCTGTCTCACACCATCTGTAGCGTCTGCTCTCAACCAAGACGATCTCCCGGGCATAGATACCATTATCCTCGCTGGCGAGCCCTCGGAAACCAATAGCGTCGAAAAATGGGTATCAGCAACCAGCCTCATCAACGCGTATGCTTCGGCTGCCGCGCTCGGCTACGCCTGTTCTACTGCACCTCTTATCACCATCTCTTCTCCCCGCAACATCGGATGGCCTCGGGGCTGTGCCGTCTGGGTCATGGACCCTCAAGACCCTACTCGCCTCGCTCCACCAGGTGCCGTTGGCCAATTACTTATTGAAAGTCCATTCCTTGGGCCAAAGTACGAAAGTGGCAATGAGGCCTCAGCTTCTGCATTGGTTTCCCGCCCAGCATGTCTGTCTCCCTCATTCTTCGCGCCGAAGCCAACGGAGCCTGCACGCTGCTTCTTGACTGAGCATCTTGTACGCTTTGACATTCGTGATGGTACGCTGCAGCTCCTTGGAAACAAGAACTCACAAGGTCAGCTATTACGTCTTGAATCACGCCATAGCGAATCACCAGCCTCGACAGTGGGCGAGACCATGACCATCACAGGGCCAATCACCCCCATGGCTATCAGTGCTTCTCAGACCAGCTTGGATACCGGTGCCATCAATACTGCCTTACAGACTTCTGATGTGCGCTTCGAGCTACTGAATCTTTCCCCCGAGAAGCTGTCTCGTCTGGAAGCTCTTCTGAAACCCTTGGGTTCTGTGCAAGACTGCTACCCATGCTGCCCGGTCCAGGAGGGTATTCTTGTCAGCCAGGTGAAAGCCCCGGGGACCTACAACATTTTGGTCATCTGGGAACTTGTCAACGGTGCCAATACTTCCTTGGCTAGTCTCCGAGCTGCATGGGAGCGAGTGGTACAGCGCCATGCTCCTCTACGTTTGACATTTGTTGAAAGTCTGCGCGATGGCAGCGTCTTTGACCAAGTCGTCCTGGCGTCGCCATCTGTCGACGTGGTGGAAATGCCATGGATGGAAGACCTGACAGAAGACGATGATATGCTGCAACTGACAGCTGCCACGTGGAGCAAAGACAAGCCACATCATCGCCTAGCGTTGTCCAGAGCGGCCGATGGCAGATTGCGCTGCCAGCTTCTCATCAGCCATGCCGTTATCGACGGTCTGTCTGTGCAGACTCTTGGCCAAGATCTTGAGAGGTCACTCAATGGAGTTCTACCTGCCAGCCAGAATACAGATCTTCAACGCCTGTATATCCAGCAGCTACAGCAAGCCCCAGAGGAGGATGCTCGTGAGTTCTGGAAGAGTTATCTGGACGGACTCTCTGGATGCCTCCTACCCAAGCTGACCGACTGGGCCGACCAGAAGCCAGCCCGAGTATCAACTAAAAGGCGCATGCTTCCCGATGTCAAGCGGCTCAGGCGTTTCTGCCAGGAACAAGGCACTACCCTGTTTTCCTTGACTCAGGCAGCGTGGGCTATGGTACTCAGGGCCTATACTCTGTCTGACGACGTCTGCTTCGCCTTCATGGCTACCGATAGACACCTTCTCGGTGATGAAGCTGACAACGCGGTCGGCTTCTTCATCAACCTGATGCTCTGTCGCATTGGCTTTGAGGGCTCGACTCCTATCGCCGAGATACTCAACGCGCTGCGGGGAGATTTCCTTTCCAGCTTTCCGTATCAGCATCATCCGTTGGCCGAGATCGCTCATGATCAAGGTGTTCCTGCTAGCCAGCTGTTCAACACCACCATGACGTTCATGACCGATGATGAGGACGACACTGAGTCTCACGGCGATGGAATCAAGCTTCAGAGAGTTGCTGACCAAGACGTTGCCGAGGTATGCCACCTTTCATTGTTGGTTAATAAGTTAGTACTAACCCGGCTCTAGTATGATGTCGTCGTCAGGATATTTGACAAGGCTGAAGACAATGTTGCTGTCGAATTCTCGTACTGGAGTTCAGCGCTTTCCAGCGAGCAGGCAGAAAATGTCTTTGGAGCGTTCCTAGCCGCGATTGCCTCAATTCCTGAATCGACAACCGTCGACGATGTCGACCTCATGGATGAGAGGATGAAGGACCAGATTCTTCAGTGGAATGAGCAGCCGCCCACTCTCGTTGACTCTTGCACCCACGAGCTCATTCTCGATGCCGCCAAGGAGTATCCCGATGCACCTGCTATTGAGAGCCACGACGGCAGCTTATCCTATGGCGAGCTTGAGCTTCTGACAAGAAAGCTTGCCGCACAACTCATCAACCTCGGGGTTAGTCGAGAAGTGCCAGTCGTCTTCCGTGTAGAAAAGTCACTTTGGGCTATCGTCGCCATGATCAGCATCATGAGAGCCGGGGGTGTTTTTGTGCCCCTTGATCCTGCCTGGCCTGTCGATCGTGCTCAGTATATCATCGACAATACTGAAGCCAGCATCTTGCTTACCACGGATGCTACAGCGTCACTGCCATTGCGACGTATTGATGATACATTTGTGCTATCTCACGAGTCTCTCAGCAAGTTGTCGACACCGGAGTTCTTGCCATTCCAAGCTACTCCCAGCAACGCTGCCTACATCCTGTACACTTCGGGCAGCACAGGCCAACCGAAGGGTGTAGTAGTAGAGCATCGAACGCTTAGCTCCAGCACCAAAGCTCACGGTGAGGCCATGCAGATGGACCGACAGACGCGTGCATTCCAATTTTCTTCGTATACGTTCGACGTCTCCCTGGGCGAGATCTTCACAACCCTGGTCTATGGCGGTTGCATCTGCATTCCCTCTCCTAGTGACCGACTTAGCAACATAAGCGGTGCTATCTCGAAGCTACGCGCAAACCAGCTCTTCATGACTACCACGACGCTAGGCACCTTTTTGCCGCAAGACTGTCCCAGCGTGAACAAGATAGTTTGCGCAGGCGAGTTGTTGTCGCAGGGTATCAAGGATATCTGGGCTCCTCACGTCAACCTCATCCACGCTTATGGACCAACCGAGGCATGCATCTACGCCGTCGCAATCGATTCCAATTCCCCATCTCTTCCACCGTCAGTCATTGGCCATGGAATGGACGGTAATCGAGTCTGGGTCTCGCAGCCAGACGACCCTAAAGTCCTAGCTCCCATTGGAGCATTGGGTGAACTCCTCATCGAGGGATCTATCGTTGCACGTGAGTACTTCAATGACCCCCTCCGCACTAATCAATCCTTCCTAGATAAAGTCCCCTCTTCCTGGGGCGTGCAGTCCCGTCACCGTGTATATCGCACCGGTGATCTTGTGCGATACAACATGGACGGAAGTCTTACCTTCTTCGGCCGTCGTGATGGACAGCTCAAGGTACGTGGCCAGCGATGCGAGGCAGGCGATATTGAAAATCACTTGACCACCATCGAACCTGGTATCGCCCACTGCGCCGTCCTTGTGCCAAAAGAAGGCGCCTGTGCTTCTCGATTGGTAGCTGTGCTATCCTTCAAAGCCTCTCACCCGGTTATGAGCACGCGCACAGGTGACCTTCAACTCCTTGATGCGCAAAAGATCTCGGATATCATGGTCAAGCTCCAAGAAAACCTTGCTCAACAAGTCCCCAACTACATGGTGCCTCAAATCTGGCTGCCAGTAGTAGAGCTTCCTTCAACAACGGCCTGCAAGACTGATCGCCGTCGTGTTTCTCGATGGGTTGACAAGCTCAGCTCAACTACCTTGGATAGCGTTCTCAACCTTTCAGCCACGCAAACTTCCTCTTCTGCAGAGAGAGGTCCAGTTCATATGATCCTTGCAACAGCCTGGGGCGAGACTCTCGGTGTTGCGGCGGACAATGTTCCTGGTGACCGGTCTTTCTTCAGTCTTGGTGGTGATTCGATCCTTGCTATCCTGGTTGTTAACCGGTGTCGGGCCCAAGGCATTGAGCTCTCAGTCAGCGACATTCTTCGTGGTCGTACAATCGACGAGATGGCAAGTGTTGTATCTATCTCGGATCAGCATTCCAACTCAGCTTCGACCTCGATGGTCCCTCTCACTCCCGCTGAGAACCTTGCCCTCGGCGCCGGCCTGGTTGAAGAATCTTGCCCACCTAGCCAGTCTCGAACTGTTCAGCTGGATCTTGCCAGCCCCATCCCTCCACAAGACCTTCAGGATGCTCTGAACAAGTTGATTGATCTCCACCCAGCCCTCCGGCTTACATTCGTCAAGGAAGAAGATTCCTGGTTCCGACGTGAAGCTGCCGACGTGAGCAGGGTACTCTCATTCAATGCTCACGACGGTAGTGTTAGCACAGAATCTGTACTAGACAAGTCCCGGTCTCTACTTGATGCGACTAGTGGTCCACTTCTAGTCGTCGACTACTTCCAAAGCGAGAAGAAGCTGGCTCTATCCTCCCTTCATATATCCCTCGATTTACCATCGTGGGAGGTTCTGTTGCGAGATCTTGACTGTCTCCTGTCAGGCTCACCTGTGGCCCAGCAATCTTCACTTCCCCGAAACCAAAGCCACCAACCTTCTGTCACTTCGGTTCCAGTTGGAGAGACCAACCTCGACTACTGGGAACTGGATCCCGAGGAAACATACTTACCTCATGAGATGAAGTACGAGCTACGAATTGACGCTGAAGCTGCTGAGGTTCTCCACAAGACTTGCGTTCAAGCTTCCTTGAGCCCAGTGGACGTTCTGGTCGCCGCAGCTGCGAAGTCATTTTCACAAGGCTTCACGGATCGAACTCTGCCCATCATCCATGCCGTCGACAATGCACATGGCCAAGTCGGATATGGCGACTCCGTCTTCCCTACCCAAGTTCCCAGTAACTCGACAGTTGACGCTGCGGAAGTAGTAGCAATGGCTAAGAACGCTCGCCTCAGCACCGGATCATCATACATGGCTGAGTCGTATACGCCACAGGTTCTCGCTACTCGAATTCCAGAAGTCCTTGTCACGTACTCCAACACCCAAGCATTCCAGGGCAAGATACTGAAGCCTTCGGGTGAAATTTCTGACCCTGTTTCTCTGATTCCCTCCTGTGTCAGCATCTCTGCCAATGTCCACGCCGACAAGTCTCTCGGTGTCGTGGTGGCTCACAGCTGGGATCTGGGCCAACAGAAGAAGATCCGTAAATGGGTCCGACTGCTACAAACAGCACTGTTGGATACCATTCGACAAGTCGCCAAGGCGAACTTTATGTCCCCTGCTGATTTCCCTCACGTCCGTGTTTCAGACGACAAGGCATGGGAGCGACTTCGCGGCACAATCCAAGAAGCATTAGGCCCTGATTCAACTCAGATTGTTGAGGATCTATACCCTTGCTCTCCTGTACAGCAGGGTATGCTTCTCAGCCAAGCCAAGTCCACTTCATCGTACACAGTCGACGTTGTATGGAAGATGCAGATGTTGTCTGACTCCAACGTCTCTGTGGCACGGCTGGAGACCGCCTGGTCGAGGGTCGTGCAGCGACACGCTGCCTTGAGAACTATCTTTGTCGATGGAAGTGCCGCCAAAGAGGCATTCCTCGCGACCATCTTGAGGAACCCACCTGCCCGTGTTCTGCATCAGACACTCGCGGATGGAGATGGTGTCGAGGGTCTTTTAGCGTTTGATCCAAAGCTTCCCGGCTTTTCGCAAGAGCCACCTCATGTCTTGACTATTGGACTGTCACAGGACCACGCACTGGTCCATCTACGCATCAACCATGCTGTGGTCGACGGCGTCTCACTTGATGTGCTGCAGCGTGATCTAGAGCGTACCTACGTCGCCGAGAACAGCTCTGAGTGGCTCACTTCGGATCCGTCGTTCCGCGATTACGTAGCCTACATCCAATCTCAAGACACAGACTCGTCCCTGGACTTTTGGAAGAACCGTCTCAGCACCGTATCGGCCTGTCGTTTCCCCCAGCTACAAGTTCCCGATGTTCCTATCAAGAACGAGAAGCGCGTCTTCAAAACGAAGATCGACGACATTTCGTCACTTCTGGCGCTATGCCAGGCCAACAGTCTTTCCATCTCGAACGTGGCTCAGCTAGCATGGGCCTTGGTCCTGCGTGCCTACACCAACAACCACCACGTATGCTTTGGCTACATGACCTCCGGGCGAGACGCACCTGTCCGGGGCATTGAGAGCGGCGCGGGCGTCTTCATCAATCTCCTCATCAGTGACCTTGCGCTGGAGGATGGCATGACCATCAGGGAGGCTTTGGAGTCGTCTCGCGCCGGTCTCGCCGATAGTATTGATCACCAGTACTGCCCTCTTGGTAAGATCCAGAGTGCTTTACATATGGGCGGCGAGCCTTTGTTCAATACTGTCCTCTCATGTTACCGCGAAGACGACCCTGTCCAGTCCAAGAGCGATGTTGCTGTTGACTTGGTTCACTTGGATGACACAAGCGAATTTGCCATTGCAGCCAAGATTGCTTATACTCGGTTAGAGATGGAACTCAGTTTGACATACAGGACCGAGGTCATCAGCCCCGAAGCCGCTGATATAGTAGGAGACGTCTGGCTTCGAACGCTGCAGTCCCTGCCATCTCTATTTGACCAGAAGATCAGCGATGTCAACTTGATGGACTCCCAGAGTAGCCATCTCGTCAAGACCTGGAACAAATATGTTCCCGAACCTGTCAACGCCTGTTTGCACGACATCATTACCGATGTTGCGGCTCTACAGCCTGATAAGATGGCTCTTTATTCTACTGCAGGAAGCCTCACATATGCAGAGCTCGACAACTACTCCACTCGTCTCGGACATCACCTGGTTTCCCTTGGTGTCGGCCCCGAATGTATCGTTCCACTACTCTTTGAGAAGTCCATCTGGGCTGTTGTAGCTATGCTCGGTGTTCTCAAAGCTGGTGGTGCGTTCGTCGCCCTGGACCCAGCACACCCGGCTGACCGCTTGTCATTGATCATCTCCGATACTGGCAGCCCGGTACTCCTCGATTCTCATATGCAGGAAGTCGGACCCCTCGTCACCGGAGACTTGGCCAGCTTGGACGTGGTGCGGTTTACTGTGACGGAAGCTTCTATTCTGGAACTACCAGAACGAGACAACAAGCCGTGTACTACCGTTACGGCCGACAATGCAGCCTATGTGATCTTTACTTCCGGCAGCACTGGTAGACCAAAAGGTGTTGTCATCGAGCACCGGGCTGTAAGCACCGGTACCAAGGAGCATGGGTCTAAGATGAGCTACAGGGAAACTTCACGAGTACTTCAGTTTGCTTCATATGCCTTTGACGCCACCATCGGAGAGGTATTCACAACGCTCACCTATCGTGGCTGCGTATGCATCGCTTCTGAAACAGAGCGTATCGAAGATCTGGCCGGTTTCATGAACCGAGCGGGTGTTACTTGGGCCTTCTTGACACCTGCGGTGGCCAGAATGATGACTCCCAGCGACGTCCCAGCGCTGGAGACTCTGATCTGCGGTGGTGAACCAATTGGCGATCTGACTCCTCGCATTTGGAGTGAAAAAGTCCAGTTTATACAGGCATACGGTCCCACAGAGACGTGCGTCTTTGCATCCGTCAGTGATCGCCAACACCGCGAGGTTCGACCAGCTATCATCGGCCACATGATGGGTAGCGCCGTTTGGATCGTCAGTCCCAGCAACGCCGATCTGCTCGTTCCCGTGGGTGCAATCGGTGAGATGTTGATCGAGGGCCCTATCCTAGGCCGTGGATACCGCAACGACCCCGAAAAGACAAACGCGAGCTTTATATGGGATCCCGAGTGGTCGGTGAATTATCCACAGCATGCCAATGGGCGCCGTCTTTACAAGACAGGCGATCTAGTTAGGTACAACCTCGACGGTTCCATGGACTTTGTCCAGCGCAAGGATACACAGATCAAGATCCGAGGTCAGCGAGTCGAGACTGGCGAGATCGAAAGCCATATCACTAGTGCCCAGAAGGACGTGCAGCATGTCTTTGTGACCTTCACCAAGAACGGCCGACTGAGCAATCGGCTGGTTGCTGTCGTCTCTTTACGAGGTCTCGGCTCGGAAACGGCAACAGGCTCGCTGCGTCTCTTGCAGGGTGCTGACCACGAAAAGGCACAAGAGCTGTTGCGTACGGTCACGGAGTACCTTTCGTCCAAGTTACCCAGACACATGGTTCCCGCCGTCTGGACAGCTGTCCAAGGATCTTCAGTTCCCCTGACGACATCTGGCAAGATAGATCGCCGTCAGATGACAGCCTGGTTGGAGAAAGCTGACGAGGATCTTGTTCGGGATATTCTGGCACTTGGTCAAGAGGAACCCGTCTCGGATGACTCCCTGACTCCAGCTGAGGCTGCTATACGCTCCGTCTGGGCTCAAGTTCTTAACTTGGATCCTCGCAAGATCAGCAGGGAGCATCGCTTCTTCAGCTTAGGTGGCGACTCGATTACTGCCATGCAGGTCGTGTCCCACTGCAGGAGTCAGGGCATTGAGCTCGCCGTCAAGGATATTTTCAAACATCAGACTATCGCAGCCCTCGCGGCATTTGTCGACTACAATCCCTCAGGTGAAATCTCCTCATCCTCCTTGAACCAGAATCTAGACCTCTCGGATCAAGTTGACGAGGATTTTGCCCTATCGCCGATCCAGAAGGTGTACTTTGACCAGTATCCCGATGGAGTCAACCACTTCAACCAGAGTTTCTTTGTGCAGATCCCGTCGAAGAGAAAGGTGGCTTCCTCAACCCTACATAAGGCACTTGAACAGCTTGTCAGTCGTCACTCAATGCTGCGTGCTAGGTATACCAACTCTCAAGGCCGTTGGGCCCAGCGCGTCACAGCTGATGTGACTGGCTCGTTGCAGTACCAGGAGCACACAGACATTGCGCTCAACCAAGTCAACGACCTTATCGACTCTGCTCAGCAGGCGCTGGACATCCAACATGGTCCAATTGTCTCAGCAAAGCTCATTAACCTGCCTGACCGTCAGGTTATCGCCATCGTGGCTCACCACCTGGTTGTAGATATGGTCTCCTGGCGCGTCTTGGTCGAGGAACTTGAAGCTATCTTGACTGGCAAACCTCTCCCTGCAGCAGCCTTAACTCCCGTGCCATTCCAGGCATGGGTTCGGATCCAATCATCTCATGTTAAGGAACTTTCTGCACAGACAGTCCTTCCCTATACCATTCCAAAGCCTCATTTGGACTACTGGGGGCTGGACCTCGCCAAGTCTAACAGTTGGGGCTCGGTGCGCGAGACAAGCTTTGAGCTTGATGAGACCATGACCAAATTGCTCCTGGGTCCTTGCAATGAGCCTCTCCAGACAGACCCTCAAGATCTTATGCTCACTGCAGCGTTCCGATCTTTCGCCCAAGCCTTCCCCGACCGGCCTGTTCCAGCCATCTTTACAGAAGGCCACGGCCGTGAAGCTGAAGTTGAAGTTGATCTCTCCCGCACAGTCGGATGGTTCACCTCCATCGTCCCAGTTGCACTCGCCGATGACGTGCCAGCTGACTTGATCGAGACTGTCATGAGGACCAAGGATGCTCGCAGATCTGTCCCCGGCCACGGTGTTCCTTACTTCTCCTATCGCCACCTGTCTGAAGATGAGGCGACTAAGACTGAGTTTGGACACCACGACCAAATCGAGATCTTGTTCAACTACCATGGTCAGTATCAGAGTCTGGAGAGAGACGATACTCTCCTCAAGCCGATCCCCGAGGGAGAGTTTGCCCAACGTGATGTTCAACCTACATCACGCCGTTGGGCTGTCTTTGACATTGCAATTTCTGTCGCTGCGGGGCGAGCCACAGTATCCCTACTGATGCCTCAAGCCTTGACACCCAACATCTCACAGCAAGTGTCAGTCTGGACCGAGTCCTTCCAAAAGGAACTTACAAGCCTGATCGACATAACGAGTACCATGCAGCCCGGGTTTACCTTGAGCGACATGCCGCTGATCAATGATAAATCCTACGCCAATCTTGCCGAGATGAAAGCTGTTTGTCTTGAACACATCCACAAATGGGGTCCCGGGAGCATTGAGGAGATTTTCCCTTGCTCTGTTATGCAGCAAGGTATCCTACTCAGCCAGTCCCGGACTCCAGATCTGTACGACGTCCGTTTTGCTTTCGAAGTCACATCCGGCAACGATGTACCTCAAGTCCACCGTATTCACGAAGCCTGGAAACAAGTTGTGAAGCGTCAACCGATGCTTCGCACCGTGTTTCTGCCAAATCTTCGTGGCAGTGGGTCGTACGACCAGGCTATTCTACGAAACCATCTTCCTACAGTGCATCATACGCAACTGGAGGAGTTCCCAGCTTCGTCTGGCGATCTCATCGAGAGAGTCCGAAAGACGATGGCTGAGGTACCAGCTACTGGCTTTGAGTATGGCAAGGTCCCTCACGATCTCACCATCTACACAGTGAGCGGTAGGATGTTTTTGCTTCTTCGACTCAGCCATGCGTTGGTAGATGGAGCATCTCTCCCATACATCATTCAGGACCTTCAAAAGGCATACAGTCAGAGCCTCCCAAGCGCCCCTGCCCTTGGATACAGGGAGTTGGTCTCATTCATCCAGAAACAACCCACCGAACAGGCCCTCGAATACTGGATGGGGTACCTCAATGATTCCAGCCCTTGCCGCCTACCCCTTCTTCTCGATGACGCCGTGGTTCCATCTCCTGGTGCATTAGAAGCACGAGACATACCCGTGCCTGATGCAGATGCAGAACGCTTGAGACGTCTCTGCGCCGATCACGGTGTTACAATGGCTAGTATCTTCCACGCAGCCTGGGCTCTTATCCTACGTGCCTACACAGGCGATGATGAGGTGCATTTTGGCTACCTCGCTTCTGGCCGCGACGCCCCTATCCAGCGGATTGCCAGCCTCGTTGGGCCTCTGATCAATATGCTCATCTGCCGCGTCAACTTTGACCCTTCCATGTCTGTTATTCAACTTCTTGAGGATATCTGTGCCGACTTCGCCTCTGGAATTTCAAACCAGTACGTATCGCTCGCCGAAGTGCAGCACAGCCTTAGTCTGGGATCTGAACAACTCTTTACTACCGTTGTATCATTCCAACGACATGACCCCACCATGGCCGGTGCGGACGACAGTAGCGATAATCTCAAGCTGACGGCGATTGACTCTCATGATCCTACCGAGTACGACATATCTCTGAACGTTGTCGATTCAGATCATGAGCTTTCTTTCATGTTGACCTACTGGAACTCCAAGATCTCGCCTTCTCACGCAGAACACATCATTAGAGCCCTACTATCAGCTCTAGCCAGCATCGCTGAAAAGGTTGACCAGCCGATAGTTAACGTCAACCTCGTCAGCACCGAGACCCGTCGCGAGATGGACACTTGGAATGCCATTGGTATGCAGGAACTTCACACAGAATGTGTACACACCCTGTTCGAGCAGCAGGTCCAGGAGATTCCTGATCGTCCAGCCGTTTGCGCCTGGGATCGCGATTTTACCTATCGTGAACTTGACGAAGCGGCCAATGCCTTTGCCCATCATCTTCATTCTCTCGGCTCAGCTAAACCCAAGCTTGACACATTTGTTGTCACTTGCTTTGACAAGTCGGCTTGGGTTACTGTTTCTCAGATGAGTATCCTCAAGGCTGGTGCTGCGTTTGCTGCCATTGATCCAGCCCATCCCATCGATCGCATCAAGGGCATTGTACACGACCTAGGAGCTTCTATCCTGCTCACAGAGACAAAGTACAAAGACCGTTTCGAGGGTATTTTCTCACGTGTTATCGTTGTGGACCAGGAGGCGCTTGATTCTCTCGGACCTCGACCTGACCCCCCTGTAACTGGGGTGAGCGGTAACAACTTGTCATACTCTATCTTCACCTCTGGTAGCACAGGCCAACCCAAGGGCATCTTGATTGAGCACCAGTCCTTATCTACGGTAGCAAAACATTTTGCTAAGCCTTATCAGATCGATCGCAACACCCGATCACTGCAGTTTGCCGCCAATACATTCGATTTATCTGTCGGCGAGACGTTCATGGCCCTTCTCAATGGAGGTTGTCTCTGTATACCAACAGAGCGTCGTCGACTGGAAGATCTGACTGGTGCTATCAATGATCTCGACGTCAACTGGGCCTTCTTGACGCCAACCATGGCAGACATCTTGGAGCCAGACCTCGTTCCCAGTCTGAAAACACTCGTTTTAGCCGGAGAGGCCGCCACGTCGGAAAACATCCGTCGCTGGCATGAAAAGGTCGTTTTCATCATTGGATACGGTCCTGCTGAAACAACCATTGTTTGTAACTGCACCGACCGCGTCACAGCAACTAGTGACCCCGCAAACTTCGGTCCTGCTCGGGGCGCTGGTATTTGGGTGACCGATATGAATGACCCCTCTATACTGCTGCCAGTCGGTGCAGTAGGAGAACTCCTCGTCGAGGGCCCAATTGTCGGCCGTGGCTATATCGACCCCGTTAAGACGGCAGAGGTCTTTATTGGCCCTCCTGCGTGGCTTAAGACAGAGTATCCCAGACTCTACCGCTCTGGAGATATCGTACGATACAACCCTGACGGCACTTTATCCTTCGTTCGTCGAAGGGACAATCAGGTCAAGGTACGGGGTCAGCGTATCGAACTCAATGAGGTCGAGGTCCATGTATCCCAAGCTGATCCAGAGCTTCGTCACGCTGTTGTCCTGTACCCCAAGACAGGTGCTTGCCAAGGACGTCTCACTACAGTAATCTCGCGTCGCCAACATCAAGACGCATCACGTATCCTGGTCGCCGTTAACAACAAGGAGACCATGGCTCGCAACCTGGCTCTTCGGAACAAATTGTCATCGACCCTGCCTGGTTACATGATCCCCAAGATTTGGATAGCTGTCGAGGATATGCCGCTTACAACCAACGGCAAGATGGATCGTCGACAGATCCTCAACTGGGTGCAGAAGATGACCGATCAAGATCTCGCCAGCATCGTTTCCTCACCGGAAAATAATGTGGTAGGCTCACAAGGTGCAAGGAAACTGACACCTATGGAGGAGACACTCGCCAAGGTCTGGAGCCAAGTCCTCAACCTCCCCGTTGATTCTCTCCCGCTGGACCAATCTTTTACCAGCCTTGGTGGCGACTCTATTTCGGCGATGCAAGTCGTTTCTAGGGCCCGGGAATCTGGTGTCACTGTTTCGGTTGACAACGTTCTTCGCAGCCAGTCTTTGTCTGACCTGGCTACTCGGGCTCGATTCAAGGCCCTTGTTCCCAGTACCAACGAGACTCAATCCATGGCCGTGGTGAAGAATGACCCGTTCCCTCTACTGCCCATACAGCGCATGTTCTTCGAGATGAATCCTTCTGGCAATAGCCATTTCAACCAGACATTTACGGTCCGACTTTCCAAGACTCTGGCTGCTGAGCGAGTAAAGACTGCCATCGCCACCGTGGTGAAGCAACATCCTATGCTCCGCGCTCGCTTCTTCAAGGATGGTAACAACGATTGGACCCAGCAAATTCTCCCTGATGTTGAGGGTAGCTTCGAATTCCAACAGGGAAGCTTCCCATCTCTGTCCGATGCAGTACCTGTTCTCGATGCTTTGCAGACTAGCCTCGACATCCAAAAGGGACCCCTCGTCACCTCCTATCTCATCAACCTACCTGACGGCCAGGCCCTATCTCTCGCCGCTCACCATCTAGTCGTCGATCTTGTGTCCTGGCGCGTCATACTCTCTGACCTCGAGCTTCTGCTCTCGTCTGAATCTGCATCTTCTTCGTTAGCACCTGAAGCTGTGTCGATGCCCGTTTGGGCCGAAGCACTCCTTCAACGCGCTGGCGACTACAATGTCGACTCAGTTCTCCCCTTTAAGGTGCCGTCTGCGGATTTTGCCTTCTGGGATATGGATAATGGCCGGGACAATGTCATGTCGGACACGAACGTTATTCAGACACGCCTAGACGCTAAGAGCACTGCAGCTCTCCTTGGCCGCGCCAATACTGCCTATGGAACGGACCCAGATGACTTGATGCTGGCAGCTCTCGCCTATTCTTTCCACCGCATCTTCTCCGAGCGCTCGCTCCCGGCCATCTACAGTGAGGGCCACGGTCGAAACGCATGGGATGATAGCATTGATTTATCTCGCACCGTGGGCTGGTTTACAACCATTTATCCCTTGGCTGTCTCTAACGCCACCCTCGATCTCATTGAGACTGTTCGTCACGTCAAGGACATAAGGCGTCGTATTCGCGACAAGGGCTTTCCTTACTTTGCCAGCCGCTATCTCACTGATCAAGGTCGTGCTACCTTCAAGGATCACACCTCAATGGAGGTCCTCTTCAATTATCTAGGCCAGTATCAGCAGCTACAGCAGTCTGATGCTGTTATCCAGGAGCTTGGGGCTCCACTTGAAATTCAGGACGCTGCACCAAGTGCACCTCGAATGGCTCTTGTAGACATTGTCGCAGCTGTCGAGGGGTCTGAGTTAGTCCTGTCACTCAACTACAACACAAAGATGGCCTATCGCAATCGTTTACGACTTTGGCTGGATGAGTACAGCCTTGCTCTGAAATCCCTATCAACGGAGCTCCCTGATATTGCCCCCTCCTTCACACCAGGAGACTTCCCCCTCCTCAGCCTTGATGACGCTAGTCTTGTATCCCTCGCGGCGGCGTGCAAAGCCAAGGTAGGATCTTGGGGCCCAGCAGTCGTTGAGTCAGTCTACCCATGCTCGCCGTTACAGCAGGGTATCCTTGTCAGTCAATCCAAGGACCCTAAGGCCTACATCGTCTACGCAGTATGGAAGATTCGCTCTGCAAAGGATATGCCCTTCAGTCTCCAAACTCTCAAGACTGCGTGGGAACGAGTTGTGCGCTACCACTCAGTGCTCCGTACTATCTGTTGCGAGAGCGGTACAACCGATTCTGCTTTCGCTCAGATCTTACTGAGGGCCGATACCCCTGCTGCCGCACCCACCATGAATGTGATGGATTGTCAAGGAAAAGACCCTATCGAGTTCCTGCGATCCTCAGCCTCGGCATTGCCTCTAGACAAGCCTCCCCACATTCTGTCTATCTGCAACAGTGGTGATGATACTTACATGTCTCTGCAAGTCAGCCACGCGTTGATTGACGGTACTTCTATGAATCTGGTGGTGGATGATCTCCTACGTGCTTACAATGGCACTCTGGAAGGATCAGGCCCATCCTATGGCGACTACATCTCCCATGTTTACAGAGAACCTCTTTCTCGATCGCTCGTCTACTGGACCGACAATCTTGCTGACACTCAGCCTTGCCTCTTCCCAGTCTTATCTGATGGAAGCAGTGGCAGAGTGTTGAACAAAATAGTGCTTCCCATCTCCAGTGCTACCGCTGATGCAATGCGCCAGCTCGGCCGTACAAATGCCATCTCCATCTCCAACGTCTTCCAGTTGGCATGGTCCCTGGTCCTAAGGGCTTTTACTGGCTCGGATAATGTTTGTTTTGGTTATCTAACATCCGGCCGTGATGTGCCAATTGACCGAATCGAGGCCATGGTCGGTCCCTTGATCAGCATGCTCATAGCCAGCACCACCTTTAAGGTTGGTGATGACGAGGCTCAGTCCGCCCTGGAGATACTTGAGGCGATGAATCGTACCTATCTTGACAGTCTACCTCATCAACACTGCTCACTTGGTAGTATTCAACACGCCCTAGGTGTTGGCAACACAGGCCTCTTCAACACAGCTATGTCTCTCCAGAGAATTACTGAAGAGGAAGAGACAACAGATCAGCTTGGTTTCGACATCGTAGACTCTCACGACCCCAGCGAGGTATGCTATGCTTATCTCTCTTGCTTTGGAATAAATCACTGACAAAAACTAGTACAACATGACTGTGAACATCCTCGACTTCAACAAGACTATCGAGTTACATTTCACATACTGGACAGACAAGCTCTCAGACAGCTATGCTTCAGAGGTTGTTCAGGCTTTACTGCGCGCAGTAGACGCTATCGCCGAGAACCCAAGCCGTAAAATGCCTGTCATCGACCTCTTGAGCAACTCCAGCCGCCAACGTATCATGGACTGGAACAGCCAAGACCACCCACCAATGCAGTCGACCGTTCATGCTCTCATTGAAGAACAGATTCAAGCAATCCCGAACAACTGTGCCGTGGCCTCGTGGGAGGGTGAGCTATCGTACAGCGAGCTCGATCGTCATGCCACTCGTCTTTCCCTGTTCTTACGCAGTCTCGGCGTCGGACCTGAGGTTACAGTTCCACTATGCTTCAAGAAGAGCATCTGGACAGTAGTAGCTATGCTGGCCGTCATGAAAGCTGGAGGTGTCTTTGTGCCTCTGGATCATGCTCATCCACCCGATCGTGTTCAAATGATCATCGAGCAGCTTCCATCGCGTGTTGTTGCGCTCACATCGCCCGAATGCGTCCAGACTGTTGCACATCTCGTCGATAACACCATCTCCGTCGATGGAGCCTCTCTTGCCCAGCTAGAGAACCACGAGAGTGTCAACTCACCCGTCACTGCTGCTACACCATCTAATGGTGTTTACATCATCTTTACTTCCGGATCGACCGGTCAGCCTAAGGGAGTTCTTCTTGAACATTCTGCTGTTGCTACAGGTACAACAGCTCACGGTCACCACATGTCTTACAGCCGAGAGTCACGAGTCCTTCAATTCTCCTCATACGCTTTTGATGCATGTGTAATGGAGATTATCACAACACTTGTATACGGCGGTTGTATCTGTGTCCTGTCAGAGGAAGAGCGCATGAATGACCTCGTTGGGGCTATCAACCGACTTCGCATCAACTGGGCATTCCTCACCCCGGCTGTTGCCAGCATGCTTGATCCATCTGCAGTCCCTACTATTCGTCTAATTGCCATTGGAGGCGAGCTTCTAGGGCATGCTGTCGTGAAGAAATGGCAAACAGATACCTGCCAGGTCGTCCAGGTGTACGGACCTACGGAGTGTTGTGCAATCTGCACGCATGATTATAGGAAGGGATTTGAACCGAGACCTGAAATCATCGGCACGGCTATGGGCTGTAACACTTGGGTTGTTGATCCCCGAGATCCCAACATCCTTATGCCTGTCGGTGCCGTGGGTGAGCTGCTTATTGAAGGCAATATCCTTGCACGTGGCTATCTGAATGATCCTGTCAAAACGGAGGGGGCCTTCTTGACTGGTCTCTCATGGCTTCCCAATGGCCGCCTATACCGAACCGGCGATATGGTTTCCTACGCTCCCGAGGGGCAAGGAAACAAGCTCGCTTTCATTCGCCGCAAGGACACGCAGGTCAAGGTTCGCGGTCAACGCATTGAGCTGGGAGAGATCAGCTACCAGATCGGTGCCGCACACGCTAAGATCGCTACACGACTTGTTGTTCTCGGAGCCCGCGGTAAATTTGCTGGAAAGATTGTTGCCGTCTTGGCCTTCCACGGCTTGCCTGCGGAGCAAGGCGATAACAACGAGCCAATGCAGCTGCTGGATAACCCCAAAGACCAGACTCAGGCCAGGGCCATCATCTCCGAAATTGAAGACTTCATCAGCGATAAGTTGCCCTCTTACATGCAACCATTCGCCATGATTGCAGTCAACCGCATGCCAGTCAACTCGTCTGGAAAGCTTGAAACACGTCGTGTGGCCGCCTGGGTAGATGGCCTCAACGACGAGGCATACAACCGCATCATCAACTTTGTTGACGAGCCCGAGACTGAGCCCGAGGCCGGCTTCCTTCAGAAGAGTCAAGCCGAGGAGATCATTCGTGGAGTAGTCGCCCAAGTGGTGAACATGCCCCTGGAACAGGTCCCCCTACGCCGATCCTTCTTCAGTCTTGGTGGTGACTCTATCTCCGCCATGGCCGTCGTATCCCGCTGCCGTAACCAGGGCATCGAGATCACTGTCCAGAATATCTTCAATCTGAAGACTATCTCAGCCCTCGCAGAGTTTGCCAGCCGGGCCGCCAAACCCACCACCGTGAAAGCTGAGGATGGAGTGGACAGATCTGACGAGACCGACGTGGACTTCGCCCTATCTCCTATCCAGCAAATGTTCTTCGACATGTATCCTGATGGCATCAATTACTTCAACCAAAGCTTCTTGATCCAGATTCCTGCCACTGAGGACCTGACCCCGTCGCTCGTCCATGATGCGCTTCGGCAGCTCGTAGATCGACATTCGATGCTGCGTGCTAGATTCAGCGACGAGGAAGGCGATTGGGTGCAACGGGTAACGGCTCCCGGTAATGCCAAATTACTCAACTTCCAAGACCATGATGGTGTAGCGGTTAACAAGGTGGCCAAACTCATCGAGACCGTCCAAAGGTCGCTAGATATCCGCAGCGGTCCTGTTATGGCAGCCTGTCTCATGCACCTGACCGACAACCGAAGAATCTTGGCCTTGGTCGCACACCATCTCATTATCGACATGGTGTCATGGCGAGTACTTCTGGAGGAGCTCGAGATCATTCTGTCTGGCAAGGCCCAAACCCTGCAGGATAAACTTTCGCTTGTTCCATTCCAAGCCTGGGTTCGCACACAGCCCCGTCGTGTACAGAGATGGAGCCCATCCCGCGTGCTCCCTTACGACATTCCCAAGCCCCGACTGGACTACTGGGGTTGGAATGTAGAGGCCAACCCTTGTGGTTCTACCCGCGAGGTCAGCTTCACCCTGAACACCGACATCACAAAGGCGCTCCTAGGTCCTTGCAATGAAGCTTTCCAGACAGATCCCCAGGACCTGTTCCTCGCAGCTGCCTTCCAGTCCTTTGCTGAAGCCTTCCCTGACCGTGGTCTCCCAGCCATCTTTGTCGAGGGCCATGGACGTGGCGACGGCGCTGCTGACAGTCTAGACCTCTCTCGCACCGTCGGATGGTTCACTTCTATCGTCCCCGTTGCCTTGGCAGACGACTCTGTCCCTGCTGGCGTCATCGACAGCCTAATGAGGATCAAGGATACCCGTCGGTCTGTCCCTGGCCAAGGTGTGCCATACTTCTCCTACCGTTACCTCTCCGCCGCCGGTGTGCGAAAGTTCAGAGACCATGACAAGATGGAGATCTTGTTCAACTACTTTGGCCAGTACCAGCAACTCGAGCGCGATGATGCACTCCTGCAACCTGTATCCGACGTCGAGTTCCCTCGATACGATGCTGATACGTCTGTTCGCCGCCTTGCCATCTTCGATATAGCCGTCGCCGTAGCCGCAGGCGAGGCGACAGTAACCATCACGATGCCGGGCGCCCTAAGCCAAGAGCGTGTTGACGGCGTTTCGGTCTGGATCGATCGTCTTCAGCACCATATCAAGAACCTTACTGATGCTACAAGCAACATGTCAACTGGCTTCACACTGGAAGATATGCCTTTAATGAAGGATATGACGTATTCTGACCTCACCGACATGCGGGATGTATGCCTCGAACATATCGGTGCATGGGGGCCGGCTTCCATTGAGGAAGTATTCCCCTGCTCGCCAATTCAACAGGGCATCTTGCTGAGCCAGGCTCACAAGCCCGACCTCTACGATGTGCGTGTCGCTCTGAAGGTCAGCTCGGCCAAAGGTTCTCTACAGGTAGAGGATCTTGCAAAGGCCTGGAGTCAGGTCGTTCAACGGCAACCGATGCTGCGTACTGTCTTCCTCCCTAACCTCCGCGGTAACGGCTCGTTTGACCAGGCCGTCCTACGAGATCCCACACCACCCGTTCGACATATCAATCTAGAGTTGGACGCTAGCGACGCCACAGACGACGAAGCAGTGTTGAAGAGGGTCAAAGCGGCTATGGCACAAGTGAATGGCGACATATTCGCCTACGGAAAGCTCCCTCACCAATTTATCACTTACGCCATCCAGGATCAGACTTTCGTGTTCATTCGCCTTAGCCACGCCTTGGTCGACGGCGCCTCACTGCCTATAGTGCTACACGATCTACAGCAGGCCTATGCCCACCGCCTAAGCTCCCAGCCGGGTCTTGGCTACAGAGAGCTGGTCTCATTCATCAACCAGCAGCCCGCTGATCAAGCTATTGGGTACTGGGCCGACTTCCTCAAAGGTGCCACTCCCTGTCGATTCCCGCCCCTTCTCGATAGCATGAAGGTCCCTTCACCACCAGAACTGGAAGCAATAGAAGTAGTAGTACCTCGCTCCGAGTCTCTAAGAGCTCTTTGTGCCTCTCAGGGCGTCACCATGGCCAGCATATTCCATGCCGCCTGGGCACTGGTCCTGCGTGCCTACTCTGGCGAAGACGATGTCATGTTTGGCTACCTGACATCCGGTCGCGATGCCCCTATCGACGGCGTAGCCACACTCGTTGGACCCCTTATCAACATGCTTACCTGCCGCGTCAATTTCAATGACCGCAGCAAGTCTGTCCTGCAAGAACTCCGGCAATTGCAGGACGATCTTATCGAGGGTATCTCCAACCAGCACGTATCCTTGGCTGAGATCCAACATCGTCTTGGGATTGGATCTGAGGGTCTCTTCTCATCCATTGTTTCATTTCAGAAGCATGATGCTGCTGCAGCCGCTGACAACAATGACGGTGGCCTCCTCAAGATGACGCCAATTGATGGCCGCGACCCTACCGAGTACGATCTGTCTGTCAACGTGCTTGATGAGGCTGGCAAGGATATTGAGATTCACTTCACCCACTGGACGTCCAAAGTCTCTCCTTCCCACGGGAAGCAGATGATGCGTGCGCTTTTGGCCGCCGTGGCCGGCATTGCTGGAAACCCTGATCAATCTTTGGTCAGAGTCTCCTTAGTTGGTGATGAAATGCGACGCGACATGGATACCTGGAACGCCGCTGGAATTCCCCTCACATCTGACGAGTGTTTACATGACATTATTGAGCGAAAGACCCAAGCTACGCCAGAGCGTCAGGCCGTCTGTGGTTGGGACCGAACATTTACCTACCGCGAGCTTGATGAAGCTGCCAACGCCTTCGCCAACCATATGCACTCTCTAATTGACTTCAAGCCAGACACCTTTGTCGTTACCTGCTTCGACAAATCTGCCTGGACTGTCGTCTCGCAGTTAGCTATTTTGAAGGCCGGCGGCGCCTTTGTAGCTATTGATAGTAAGTTTCCCGCTGACCGTGTGGAGGTTATTCTGTCCGAGTTAGGATCACCGCCGATCCTACTCACCGAAGCCAAATACAAAGACCGCTTTGAGGGCCTGTTCCCACACATCGCCATCGTCAATGAGGACAACCTTGGCTCTTTGGGTCCTGCCACAAATCCTCCTTCGATTTCTGTACGCAGCAATCATGCGGCCTATATCATCTTTACTTCTGGCAGTACAGGTCGTCCTAAGGGAATTGTTATTGAGCACGGATCCCTGTCCACGGCTGCACTGGTACACGCTGGCCCCCATCAGATCACCTCTGATACGCGGTCTTTACAGTTCGCCGCCTACACATTCGATCTCTCCGTTGCCGAGACATTCTACCCTCTGGCCCAGGGAGGCTGTGTTTGCGTTCCTTCTGAGAGCAGTCGTCTTGAGGACTTGCCCGGTGCCATTAACTCTCTTGATGTGAATTGGGCCATTTTGACCCCCACAGTCGCTGATCTTCTCGACCCCGTCAGTGTCCCTGGCCTCAAGACACTTATCATGGGTGGCGAAGCACCAACAGCTGATAATATTCGTCGATGGTCTGACAAGGTCTTCCTTGTTAACAGTTATGGTCCGGCCGAGACAACCATGTGGAGTAACGCCGCAGGCCCTCTGAATGCTGATAGTGACCCTGCCAACTTTGGCCAAGCCATGGGTTCTCACATCTGGGTAACAGATGCCAATGACCCATCTATGCTGCTCCCCGTTGGAGCCGTAGGAGAGTTACTCATCGAGGGGCCTCTCGTCAGTCGTGGCTACCTCGACGCTGAGAAGACCTCGGCGGCTTTTATCAGCCCACCCGAATGGATGAAGACGCCATACCCAGGAAAATGCTTCTACAGAAGTGGAGATATTGGTCGAAGTCGCCCTGATGGTTCCTTCTCATTCGTACGCCGAAGGGATAACCAGGTCAAGGTTCGCGGTCAGCGTGTTGAGCTTAACGAGGTCGAGGTGCATATATCCAACGTTGAATCAAGCATTCGCCACGCCATCGTGCTCTACCCAAAGAAGGGCGCCTGTCAGGGTCGTCTTACTGCCGTTCTCTCCCAAGATCATCCAGTAGGAGAAGGACAAAAGTCGACAAACTCTGGCTCAGGTGGTATCACTGCCATTCGTGGCGAGCAGGCCGCCACCGCCAACGATATTATTCAGGAGAGGCTTTTGTCAACTCTGCCACCCTATATGGTCCCCAAGATCTGGATGACGGTTGAACAGCTCCCATACACAACCAACGGCAAGACAGATCGCCGCCAGATCTTGGCCTGGGTCGAGTCACTAACCGAGTCCGACTTGGCCAGCATTGTCAAACGCGAGTCCAGCACAGATGGGACTGCAGAATCGATGAAAAGAGCCAAGACCCCGATGGAGGAGCATCTCTTCGCCATCTGGGCCAGTGTTCTCAACTTGCCTGTCGATTCAATTCCTCATGGCCAGTCCTTCACCAGCCTCGGTGGAGACTCCATCACTGCCATGCAAGTCCTCTCTAAGGCTAGAGAACGTGGAATCACCACCACCGTCCATGACATCCTTCGCAGCCGATCTATCCCTGATCTAGCCAGCCGTTCCCGTTTCAAAGGTATCGCAGCGAACAGTGAAGATGATTCGAAGGCTTTGGCTACAGTGACAGACGAGCCGTTTTCCTTGTTACCCATCCAACGATTTTTCTTCAACACACAGCCGTCAGCCAATCAGCACTTTAATCAGTCGTTCATCGTCCGTCTGACAAGAACCTTCACAGCCCAACAGGTCCAGACGGCCCTTACAACCACCGTGAAGCATCATCCAATGCTCCGTGCCCGTTTCCTTCATTCCGATGATGGATGGAAACAGAAGATCTGTTTGGATATCACCGGAAGCTTCAAGTTTGAACATCGCAAGTTTTCCAACCTAGCAGACTCCATGGACAGTCTCGATAAGCTCCAGGCTAGTCTGGATATTACACAAGGGCCTGTGTTTACATCCAGCCTCCTAGACCTCTCAGATGGTCAAGCGCTCTTCCTTGCCGCCCACCATCTTGTTGTCGACCTTGTTTCTTGGCGTGTCACACTGGCAGATCTCGAGCAGCTTCTGGCAGCCTCTACCGCAGGATCATCTCCTCCATCACTCCAGGGCGAGACTCTACCGATGCCAGTATGGACAGAGGCACTTATTCAAAAGGCCACTGAGTATCATGTCGACTCTGTGTTGCCCTTTACCGTTCCTGCTGCCGACATCTCATTTTGGGAAATGCCTTCTGGAAATGAAACAAACATCATGGCCGATGCTGTCGCTATCCACACGAGGATTGATAAAGCCAGTACTGCGGCACTTCTTGGTCCTGCCAACACAGCCTTCGGCACAGACCCAGACGATCTAATGATTGCTGCCCTTATCTTCTCTTTCAGAAGTGTCTTCCCTGAGCGCCCATCCATCCCAACTGTTTATACAGAGTCCCACGGCCGTAGTGCATGGGATGATGGTATCGACCTGTCCGGCACCGTCGGCTGGTTTACTACTATCTCCCCCATTGTTGTTCCTGAACAGAACACTGCAGATCGCGAGCTTCTATGGACAGTCCGCCAGGTTAAGGATGTCCGACGTAGGATTCCCGGCAAGGGACTGCCTTACTTTGCGTGTCGATACCTAACCGAAGAGGGCCAAGCCGCATTTGCGCACCATGAGGAGATGGAGATTCTGTTCAATTACCTGGGACAATACCAGCAACTCCAGAAATCCGACACTATTATCCAGCAAATCACGAAAACGACATCAAGAACACAGGACGTTGCAGATTCCTCAAATCGGATGGCTCTCATTGATGTAATGGCAGCAGTTGAAGACTCTGAACTGGTTCTCTCGCTTGGTTACAACACCAAAATGGGGATCCAGAGTCGCCTCCAAGTCTGGCTGGACGAGTTTAAGAATGTGATGGAAACCCTCGCATCCCAACTTCCCGCCATTTCTGCCACGTTTACACCTAGCGATTTCCCGCTGCTGGGTCTAGGAGAAGACGGTCTCGTTACATTCGCCAATGCCACTAAGGATAAGGTGGGTAGCTGGAACCCCGAGGTCGTCGAGGCTGCCTATCCCTGCTCCCCTCTCCAACAAGGTATCCTTCTCAGCCAAGCCAAAGACGACGCTTCGTATGCGGTATCTGGCATTTGGAAGATCTCTCCACCAAAAGGAGGCGCATCAATCGACCTGGCACGGATCCAAGACGCTTGGCGCCGACTCGTCCAATACCACCCAATGCTGCGCACAGTCTTCTGTGAGAGCGGCAGAAATGACGGTGTCTACGCCCAGGTTGTCCTCAGAGAGACTGCAACAGCAGCCCAGCCTACAATTGATGTTCAAAAGTACAACGGCGATGACCCCGTTGCCTTCCTCCGGTCGTCGAACCCAGTACTGCCATCAGATAAGCCCCCATATGCCCTGATCGTCTGTGATGCAGGCCACGATGTCTACCTTTCAATCACTATCAGCCACGCATTGATCGACGGAACCTCTATGGGCCTCTTGATGAACGATCTGATTCGCGCGTATCATGACACTTTGGAAGGAGTTGGACCTGACTATGAAGCCTATATTGCTCACGTCTATGAGAAACCTGTGTCCCAGTCCCTTTCTTACTGGTCTGACACACTTGCATCTGCACGCCCGTGCCATTTCCCAGTTCTTCTGGATGGAGACGAAGCGGCAGATACTAGGTCGCTGAACAAGATCACGAAGCTCGTGCCTGGCGTCGAAGCCATGCGCCTGCTCGGCCGCACCCACGGCGTGTCCGTTGCCAACTTCTTCCAGGTCGCTTGGGCATTGGTCTTACGTGCCTTCACCGGCTCCGACGACATCTGCTTCGGTTACCTCACTTCAGGTCGCGATGTCCCCGTAGACCGCATCGACGAGATCGTCGGTCCTCTTATCAGCATGCTTGTCTCAAGTACCAACTTTGGCATGGGAGATGATGCCCTCTCTGCCCTGGAGCTGCTGCAGACCATGAACCGCACCTACATCGACAGCCTGCCCCATCAACACTCCGCGCTGGCCGACATACAGCGCGCGTTGAGGATCGGCAAAAAGGGTCTTTTCAATACCGTTATGTCGCTACAAAAGGTGACATTGGAAGACGAGATTCCAGGACAACTCGAGCTCGATGTTGTTGAAGGACATGACCCCAGCGAGGTAAGTAACCAGATCTGCCGGATCTCGTATCTCGGAGTGACCTACAAAGAGAAATCCACATACTGACACCAAGAATAGTATAATATCACACTCAACATAGTCGATCTTGGTGACACTATTGAGCTGCATTTAACATATTGGACCGATAAGCTGTCCGATAACCACGCATCGGATGTTGTCGAGGCCACACTGCGTGCCCTAGATGCACTCATCCAGGATCCAAACCGCACTCTGCCAGTGGTTGATTTGCTAGGCGACAGTGGTCGCCGGCAGATCATGGAATGGAACAGCGAGGGACAACCACAACCTGCCATCGAGTCTACTGTTCATGCCATCATCGAAGGTCACGTAGAGGACTCGCCTCAACATTGTGCGGTCACCTCTTCATGGGAAGGCGAACTGTCATATGCCGAGCTTAACGACCACGCCGCCCAACTCGCCGTCTACCTGCGCAGCCTTGGTGTTGGACCCGAGGTCACAGTGCCGCTTATCTTCACAAAGAGTATCTGGATGGTCGTTGCTATGCTTGCCGTTATGAAAGCAGGCGGCGTGTTCGTTCCTCTAGACCCAGCCCACCCTCCTGAGCGCATCACCATGATTGTCGAGCAACTTCCGCACCGGATTGTAGCTCTTGCGTCACCTGACCGCACCGACCGCATCTCGGCTCTTGTTGACACCACCGTGGCTTTGGATGTGAATGCATTTGCCAGTTTCGCGAAGCAAAGCACCGCAGATGACAAACTATCATTGGATCTCGCTACGCCAGATAACGCCGTCTACATCATTTTCACATCGGGCTCAACCGGCCAACCCAAGGGTGTAATGATAGAGCACCGCGCCGCTGTAACTGGCACCACAGCCCATGGACGTGCTCTCTACTTCAACAAAGATGTCAGGACACTACAATTTTCCTCCTACGCCTTTGACGCCTGCATCACTGAGATCATTACCACCCTTGTTCATGGAGGCTGCGTGTGCGTTCTATCTGAGGACGAGCGAATCAACGACCTTGCAGCGGCCATCAACCGGCTGTCTGCTACCTGGATGCTTCTGACGCCTGCAGTAGCTAGTACACTCGACCCTTCTGAGGTGCCCTGTATCCGTTACATAGCTCTGGGAGGCGAGTCCGCAAGCCATGCTACCGCCAAGAAATGGAGCGAGGGTGGCTGCAGGGTTCTTCATGCCTATGGGCCAACAGAATGCACCGTCATGTGCACTTATGACGACAGAACTGGACATCCCACACGTCCTGAGGTCATCGGTGGCTCTGTAGGTTGCAACACGTGGGTAGTAGATCCCCGCGACCCAACCGTGCTGATGCCCATCGGCGCCGTAGGCGAGCTCCTTGTCCAGGGCCCTATCCTGGCCCGCGGCTATCTCAACAGCCCTGAAAAGACGCAAGATGCCTTCGTCAGTACCGGTCTCCACTATCTACCTGGAGTCCAGCGTGCATACAAGACTGGAGATCTTGTCTCCTACTGCTCTGAGGGCAAGGGTAACAAGCTCATATTTGTACGACGAAAGGACACCCAGGTCAAGGTGCGAGGCCAACGTATCGAATTGGGCGAGATCAGCTACCAGATCAGTGCCTCTCACGACAGGATCGCAACTCAAATGGTGATGCTTGGGTCCAGTGGAACCTTGGCCGGAAAGATCGTTGCAGTGTTATCCCTCCGTGGTTTACAAGCGACAGAGGATAGCAGAGATATCGAGCCTTTACAGTTGCTCGATAACCCTGAAGACCTGCTAGTCGCCAAGGCCACTGTATCGGAGGTCCAGAACTACATTGCTGACAAGCTCCCCGCCTACATGCATCCTTCCGTCTTCGTTATTGTTAACCAGATGCCCATCAACTCATCCGGCAAACTCGAAAACCGACGTGTGGCTCAGTGGATTGACGGGATCTCAGCCGAGATGTACGACCGCATCGTGAGCAGCCTAGCTGATAACGAGCCAGAGGCCGCAATTGAGAGCGTCCAAGGCCCTGCACAGATTATTAGCGAGGCAGTGGCCGAGATTATCAATCTGGCAGCAGGACAAGTACCCCTTCGCCGCTCCTTTATCAGCATGGGAGGTGACTCTATCACCGCTATGCAGGTCATGGCCCTCTGCCGCCGACGAGGCGTCTCCCTCCCTGTGCGAGATATCCTCAAGAGCGCCAATATCATCGAAATGGCAGCCAAGGCCCAGCAGCTCAGCGGTTCTACCGTCGACGCTGATGCAGCAAAGTCCAACGACGTTGACGATCTTAACCCCTTCCCCCTTACACCCATCCAGAAACTTCATCTCGCGCAATTTCCCCAAGGAGAGAACCACTACAACCAGAGCATGCTCCTCAAGCTACGACGCCCTACATCGGATAGTGTGCTTCAGTCGGCTCTCTTGGAGTTGGTTCGTCGTCATCCGATGCTCCGCGCCCGTTTTGAAAAGGTGCTCCCTGCAGGCCACTGGACCCAGAGGGTGACTATGGATGTCGAGGGCTCGCTTTCTTTCTCTACATCCAAGAACGAGACTTGGGAAGAGGCCCAGGACATTATGGTCGAAGCCGAACGATGCCTGGATATTACCACCGGCCCCTTGATGGCGGCCAGACTGGTCCATACCCAAGACTCTACGTCTCTCTTCATGGTTGCACACCATCTTGTCATTGATCTCGTGTCCTGGAGAGTACTCTTACAAGATCTGGAGCAACTCATTGCTGGAACATTACTGCCTAAGACACAGATGTCCTGGTCATACCAGCGATGGGCCCGCAGTCTAGAGAACTACGCCGCAACCAACGCATCGACTGCTCTAGCCCTGCCGTTTACACCTTCAGAGCCAGATCTCGATTTCTGGGGAATAGACGCAGCGTCGAACAACTTTACCAACTTGGAGCATGGTGAATTCACTCTGGACCCTGCTCTAACCTCAGCGCTTCTCGAGGCCGCCGACACGACCCTCAAGGCTGAAGTCATCGATGTTTTACTGGCTGTAGCCGCGCACACATTTTCCGCCGTCTTCTCTGAGCGGTCTGCGCCTACATTCCACACTGAGACTCACGGTCGAGATCACCCGCTGGACATGTCGGCATCAGTCCATGAAACAGTCGGTTGGTTCACGGCCATTGTGCCGCTTGTTCTCAACTCTCATGGAGACGACTATGTTGATTCTGTCATCCGGGTCAAGGATATGCGTAGGGCTATCCCAGGTCTGGGAGTGCCCTACTTTACAGCCAAGACGCTCACAGGATCACAATCGTTACCTGTTGAGATCCTCTTCAATTATCTCGGCCGATTCCAACAGCTCGAGCGCGATGAGGGTCTTTTCGAGTCCCTTCCGAAGTCTATGGGCCCCGTCGACGTCAACCTTTCCGCTGCCCGTATATCGGTCCTTGATATCTCTGCTGTGGTGGAGAAAGATGCCTTGAACGTCTCCTGGAACTATCCTGCAGGAATCCAGCACCTGGACAAGCTGGAAAAGTGGTTCACCCTTTATAACCAGGCGCTTGTTGATGTCGTATCTGCACTACAGAAGACTTCCTACCAGCTCACAAAGAGCGACCTGCCCCTCCTTCCCATATCCCACGAACAGCTCAAGCCACTCAACGAGACATTAGCAACAGTCTCGCGTCATGGAACAGAGGGAGTAGAGGACGTATACCCCACGTCGCCCATGCAGCGCGGCATTCTTCTCAGTCAGTCCAAGGATGCCTCACAGTATGAAGTCCATGCCGTCTGGGAGATCACACCCTCCAAGGGCAACAACTCACAAGTTGATGTCCCTCGACTTCAGCGAGCCTGGCAACGTGTCATCCAGCGACACCCGATGCTCCGTACAGTGTTCATTAGCAGTCTCCTTGATAGTGCAGCATTCGATCAAGTCGTCCTGAAGAAGTTCCGTCCGTCCATCAAGAGCTTGACCTACGATGACGAGGAGGATCACGAGGTTGCAATGGAAGAGCTCTGGGACTCGGCGCATGGAAGCTTCGATGCTGATGCTCCTGCGCACCGCCTTGCTATCTGTGCTGGGCCTGAAGGCAATGTTTACGCTCACTTCCAAGTCAGCCATGCCTTGATCGATGCAACTTCATTGCAGACTATCATCCGAGACTGGGCTCTCGCTTACGCCAACCCTAATGTCCCCGCTGTCCCTGGCCCCTCGTACTCGAGCTACATCGCTCACACTCAAAAGACGTCCCTCGATGCATCCCTACGCTTCTGGGCAGATCAGCTCGATGGAGCAGCGGCGTGTCGTCTTCCCCGGCTGACTGATGGTTCTGTACCCACAGAGAAACGCGAAATCCGCCACTTACATACCGACGTTACCTTCGGAGCCCGCCTCAGGGCACTAGCGAAGAAGCTCAACGTTTCCATGCCTAGCATCTTCCAGCTTGCATGGGCTATGGTGCTCCGCTCCTACACTAACCTCCAGGACATCTGTTTTGGCTACATTGCATCCGGCAGAGATGTCGAGCTCGACGGTATCTTGGACGCCGTAGGACCATTCATCAACATCCTTGTCTCCCGCGTTGTTTTTGCCAACGGAGACACAGCTACAGAGTTGCTGGAAGAGCTCTTTGGCACGTACTTGGACAGCCTCCCGCACCAGCATGCATCCCTGGCCGATATCAAGCACGCCCTCAAGATGCCTAGCGGACAGCTATTCAACACCGTGTTGTCGTTCCAGAAGGTTTCCCAGTCCAAGGGTCCTTCGAAAGCTCAGGACCTCCCAATCTCGTTCCGTTCCATTGGAGGAGCGGATCCGACAGAGGTAAGTAGACCCCGTCCTGACAAGAAGCACAGCTTGAGGGGGAGCAAAATACTGACATCTGAACTAGTTTGATATTACACTCAGTGTGTTTGAGTCTGACTCCGACATTAACTTCACGTTCCAATATTGGAACTCATTCCTTTCCGAAGCCCAAGCAAACAACCTTGCCCAGAGTCTCCTCCAGGCTCTAGGTGCCATTGAAGCTACTCCAGCAGTTGCCGTCGATACTCTCCATCTTGTGCCCATAGAGCACATGAACCAGCTCAAGTCATGGGGCGATCGTCTTCCCGCAGCTGTTGATAGACGTGTCCATGACCTTTTCAACGACATGTGCATCAGCAGACCAACAGCACCTGCTATCCATGCGTGGGACGGGGACTTCACTTACGCCGAGCTTGACCAGGCTTCGTCACGCCTGGCCGGTCTTCTTCTTGAGGAGGGTGTCAAGCCCGATACTTTCGTTGCTGTCTGTTATGAGAAATCAGCCTGGGTTGCCGTCGCCTTCCTCGCCATCCTCAAGGCGGGTGCCGCCTTCATGCTCCTAGACCCAGAAGCGCCGATAGAGCGTATGCAAAACATGATGGAGCAGACTGAGACGTCCGTAGTCCTGTGCTCACCCACGTACGAGGACACGGTTGAAGACTGGGATGCCAGCGCGATCGTCGTCAGCAAAGATGTCATCTCCGCCTTGCCCGATTTCGCTGGTCCGTTCCCAGACGTTCCAAGTTCCAGCGCCGCCTATATCATCTTCACATCCGGAACGACTGGCAAGCCCAAGGGTGCCATTATTGAGCACCGTGCCTACTGCAGCAGTGCCGTAGCGCAGATGAAGGCCTTTTGTGTCGGGCCAGAGTCTCGCTTCTTGCAATTCGCCTCCTTCATGTTCGATGCTACCATGATCGAGATGGTCACGCCTCTTCTCGCCGGTGGATGCGTCTGTATCCCTCGACGACAAGATATCATCAGCGACATGCCTCGTGTTGTACGAGAGATGAACATCAACATGGCCATCCTCACGTCCTCTTTCATCAGGACTGTCACCCCGGAGGATGTCCCCTCTCTCAAGAGACTTCTTCAGGGTGGAGAGCCTCTGTCTCAGAAGGACGTCGATATTTGGGCCAACAAAGTCCAACTGGGCAACGCCTATGGCCCCAGTGAATGTTCGGTCGTGGCGTCTTGCCTGTCAACTGTGACAGGAACCTCAGAGCCGTCTAACATCGGTTACCCGACTGCATGCGCCCATTGGGTGACTGAGCCAGCCAACATGGACCGTCTTGTTCCTATCGGAGCCATAGGCGAGCTGCTGCTGGAGGGCCCCACACTCTCGCGAGGCTACATCAACAATCCTGCCAAGACCTCTGAGGCTTTTGTCACAGGTCTCCCTTGGGCGTCTCAAATGGGGCGTTCCCCGGATACACGCTTCTACGCCACTGGCGACTTGGTGCGCCTTAACTCTAATGGTTCGGTCACATTCGTCGGCCGCAAAGATACGCAGATCAAGATCCATGGCCAACGCATGGAGCTGGGCGAGATTCAACATCACTTGACAACAATCAATGAAATCCGACACTCCATCGTCTTGAGCCCATCTGAGGGTCTCCTCAGCAAGCGTCTTGTGGCTGTTCTAGAGCTCAAGGACGTCTCCTCCCCAGCTGCCTCCCCTCAAGACATCAGCCTCATCGCACCATCCCTCCGTTCCAAGGCCACCGAGAGCATTCACCGTATCCGTGATCTTCTCACCCAACGACTTCCTTCCTACATGATCCCATCTACCTGGATTGTAGTACAGAGCATGCCAACCATGATTTCTGGGAAACTCAATCTCCCAGCGGTGCAGTCTTGGGTGCAGAATATTAATGAGGAGACATATCAGGAGATTCATGCAGCAGAGGCAGTCGATGAACTAGACCGAAGTGACCAGATCGCTATGCAGGTCAGTCGCAAACTAAGCTCGCTCCTCAGCGATGCTCCCGGCGCCACAAGTCGTCCAGAAGACCTTGTGGGCAAGGATATCGTACCCATGCAGTGCGGCCTGGACTCTATCACAGCAATTGCCCTCTCGGCATGGTTGCGCAAGACCTTTAGCGTAACTATCTCGCTCGCCACCTTGCTCTCTCTTGATACAAGCATCCGGACACTTGCTGCTTCCATCAGGCAAGAGACAGGAGTAACTGAAGTCTCTGGTCCCTCCACGGCCGTGTCTGCCATAGCAGCATCCACGACGAAGGGTTCTATCGACATGCGCGCAGAATTCCAGCATTTTGACCAGAGCTTATCCAAGCTACCTATAACGCAAATCAGCAATCATGACCCGGCTCAACGCCCATCGACGTTCCTTGTGACGGGCGCCACCGGGTTCCTCGGCAGCCAGATTGTCAGACAACTCCTTCTCCGGCCTACAGTCAAGAGGGTGATCTGTCTAGTCCGCGCAGATGACGACGCCCTGGCCCAAGAGCGACTGGTAGACGTCGCCCGCAAGGGACAGTGGTGGGTACCCAACCTGTCAAGCCGCGTCCAGGCGTGGAGTGGCGACCTTGGAAAACCACACCTGGGACTCAACGCCAAACGCTGGTCATCTGTGGTCGGTGGTGAAATTGAAGCCATTATCCACAATGGCGCTATGGTCCACTGGCATCTGAGCTACCGCGATCTCAAGGAAGCCAATGTCAACAGTACCTTTGACCTCCTCTCCGCCATGTCGACAGCGCCTTTACCTCTGCGCTTCGCCTTTGTCACTGGCGGACATTTCGCCGATGAAAATCCAGATGATGACGAAATCCTTGGCCTCCTCAAAGATAGCGATGGATACTCGCAGTCAAAGTTCCTCTCCGAGGCGCTCGTCCGCTCTCACGGGCAACGACTGCGTAGCCATCACTCGGCAAAATTCCCGGCCCCCGTTGTCATCCAGCCCGGCCTTGTCATCGGTGACGGAGAACATGGCATCGCCAACCTTGATGATTTCTTGTGGCGAGTTGTAGCCTCAGCTGTTCGCATCGGTGCCTACAATGCAGACGAGTCCAACGACCCCAACAGCTGGCTGCTCGTCGCTGGCAGTGATCAGATTGCCTCGGCCGCCGTGGATGCCTGCATCCTCCCAGTCTCTGCCTCAGCAAAAAGCCCGACATCTGTCCGTTTCGTTGATGGTGTCCCCGTAAATGAACTCTGGGACCTACTCATCGAAGACTTCGGCTTCAACATGCGCCCCATGTCCAGCCAAGAATGGCTTCAGGCTCTTGAGGCCGACATGGAGAGTGAAGGTGCTAGCCATCCCCTCTTCCCCGTCTTCGCTTTTCTGCAGTCGAAGCAAGGAGCTGTTGGGGCAGTAAAGGTCGAGAATGGGCTCCCCGTGTGCGCCCAAGATGAGGTTTTGCACCGGCTTAGGCGCAGTCTCCAGTACTTGGTTGAAATCGGCTTCTTTGCCTCATCAGGTCCTGGCCAGGTAAACGGAGCCTTGACCAAGAAAAACACTTTCCGTCGCACTGGCTTAAGACCGGCCAAGACATCTTTCTTTTAATTGCTTAGTTTAGGGTTGGAGTTATTTAGTTTAGTTTAGTTGAATTAAAATTGGATTATTATTCACCAATACTTCCCCCTAGCAATTGGTCATACGACCACAAAGTAGACCAAGTTCTCCGGCCAGCTTTTTAGAGAACTATACGAACACAGGGCAGAGACGTTTGAACCTGTGAATCGGGAGGTAGACTCTACGAATTGTCAGTGCCTCCCCTGAAAGGATTGTGGTTTCAACTAGATCTCGCGGTTAAGAATCTCTGTATTGATGGGTATTTATCGCGCATTCCATAAGCCCCAAAGTTAGGACGGAATACCGCCACAAGACCGCATTGAGGCTATTTATTAGTCGGTACTTTTTACTATAAGAGTGCGGATGATCCAGAGGATTCTCTCATTGCCTCCTTATCATGACTCTGGAAATATATTATCAGGACTTGGCCATAGGAGGCCGGCAAAGGCAGGCCGCACTAAGCACCAAGAAGAACATTATTAATGCCCATGCCTTCTGTTTCCAGGAGTTTGAATTCATAAAAGAGGTGGAGTTGTCAACCCGTCTCGTTAATAGTAACCGTGTCTTTCCAGTGAAACTAAGGAGGCGTGATCAGCTTATTAGATGGCTTAACCCCTCTTTGTCTTTCAGTCTCTTATGCAAGAGAACAGGTTGAGTCATTCAGCCAGTTACATTCATTCCAGTCTATACAAATGAAATTTAAATCCCGACCTGCATACCACTCGCTGGCTGAGATTGAAAGTATACGCTATTATTGATATTGCAGCGTGTCAAGCCTGTTTCGAGGGTAAGACTCAAGTTGGTGGAGTGTCTATTGCGCTTCGTTCTTTATTTTGCATTCTTGCACACCCGCCACCTCGTCAATATGCAACATGGCCAATAGGTCCAAGATGTACACTGATAAAAACTAACTCTATTATACCAAGTGAATCAAATACTATATATATACTAGTAACTGCTAAAGCAATTATAGCTAATTATCCTACAGACTATATACATAATTTCTGATTCTCTGCACTGACTTTATCAAGCTCTTTGACACTTTTGTGTGCAAGGCTTCTTTGCCTTAGTATAACAGCCTGTTGACCACCTTTAAAAGTTGCAACCTTGTCCAGTAATAAACTCGGGGCAAGTATCCGAATAGCCGGTCAGAAAGGTCATCTTGCATCTGGCATAGACTCTGCCGTTCTGGTTGTTGTACAGCGTGAATTGGGCGTTCATGTCGCCGTGCAGCATAAGAGTACCAGCCAGGCGGTCAATGATGGTAGCCATATCATTTCCGTTCCAATTGCCATTCCCACAGCCGTTCTTGCACTGAATTTTCATGCCGTTAGAGCCTCCAAACATCCACCTGTGACCGGGCTGGTAAAGATTGCCGTTGTTCTCACTGCATGCTTGCCTCAGCTTAGGGTCAGCCTTGACCTCCTTCTGCTGCTTTGCCACGGCGACGGCGTGATTCATCGCGTCGATCATGCTGTCGGAGATATTGCTCACTCCATACTGGAAAGGAGGAGGTTCTATCGCGGCTCTCTTTGTACTAGGTCCCTGTCCTTGGTTGCCGGCGAGCGTGTTGGCGAGGCCAAGGATACCTGTAAGAAGACCTACAGCCGCCGTAGGGCCCGTGTAGGCGGCCACACCAACCATGGAGTACGTAGATAGGATAATAGCTGCACTTTTGATACAGTCACCCCCATAGCGCACCTCACCGCCTTGCCATTCGGAGCAGGAATTCCATACTTGTTTCAACTCTTCGGCACCACGAACATAGGTGTATCCTGCTACAGTCATGATGCCGGACGCCCTAATAAAGCCTACTCGGTTCTCCTGTCTTGCAACAAGGCCAGAGTCCTTATATTCGGCCAAAGTGAGGTTGTGTAATTCGTCGTGAAATGGATCGTTGTTTATGTCGTAGTTGAGGGGGTCAATGATGGTGTGTGCAGTGCCGAGACCGGCAATAAGAGAAGTGAGGATGATTGGAGCACGCATGTTGAGTAGCTGCGAGAGAGGGCTAGTGTCTGGTAAAGAGGTAATGTGATGATTTTGATAGGAATGATTGTGTAGAGAACATTAGAATTAGAAGGAGATGCCGCTCTTTTATATCTGTCTCGACTTGTGAGTCGTAGTTAAAAGCTGTCAGCAAGAAACTTTTTATTCTCCACTTACATAGATCACTCCATCGCTTAGATTTTACTTCATCGTTTAGATAATAGATGAAGTAGTTAATAGGCTGTTCTAGATGTCCCTGTTATGTTTTTAATGACTATATCTGTTATAGACTCTGGCTTTGCCAAATACTCACATGTAGGGCTATCTCAAATAGGAAGGTATACTTTTCAACCCTAGTCGTATTTCTCTACATCCTTGTCAAACTCAAAATATACAGCTCACCTTCCCTATTTAAGAAGGGAGGAATATAAAATACAAAGGTCCCTAGATGTATACACAGACCAACCTTAAAGCTTATTTTTACAATTGAGACATCATTCTAATTCCATTATTTAAAACTTTTCTATTAAATTATTTACCCTCCAGGCTCTTTTCATACTCCAAACTCTGGTTTTACCAGCCTTACTTAACTCAACCCCTCTTATTACGGCATATACAGCTCATCATGGCACCGCAGCTGCTAGGCCGATGTCTCGGCCGATGTCTCGGCCGAGATACTCTTCTTATTACCTTCGCCACCACCTTCTATACTATCGTTCATGGCGTGGGGTTGATGAATGTAACATATGAATCCTACCATAGCTACAAGCAAGGGCAATCTGACCCTGGAACATGCGTTGCAAATGTGGCTCGACTCGTATCCGCCTATGCTATGGTGGTATCAGGGGCTTACCTCTCTTTTCATTCGTTCTTATATTTCTACATCCGAAGAAGCTCAACACTCTCGCCTGTGGACAAGTCCATTAAGGAGACTGCACCCTAATTAATACTGTTCACGGTACCTCGCTATTGACAGGGATAGTTTGGGACAGTGTACCTACCAGAGCTCCTCCGCAATTGAAGGGATAGTTTATTCTTACAACTTATCCAATTTATTTTACTTTCACCTTGGTACTACGCATGACAAAGGATAGAATAAATAGAAAAGAGTGGATATTAATTATCTCCTGTATGATATGTTAAATACCTTACTTTAGGAGTAGATAGTAATAGGAAGCCTAGTCTCTAGAAATACTATCCTTTGGCGAATAAATAAAAGCTTCACTTGTGTGTTTACTAGTAGCGGGCTGCTCCAAGAAAAACAAGATCGAACTTAGCTCTAACATCCATATGGATTACAATAAGAATAGTACTCTAAGTAACTAAGACTATATTTCTAGTGAGTATTTTACAAAAGTAAAACCGTAAAGTAGTCCTTGATTATAAAAACTATAACTAAGCTACCCTAGAGTAAAACACATGTTATATTAGCGGCTATATAAAAGTTCTAACATAGTATTACTTATAGCTCTTTAACTTACTTAGCTTCTTACTTAATTAGTATAAATTTAATAGAATTGCAAGTCATTATGTTTACACTTAAGTCTCTTGGTAGCCGAAACAGATTAGACGCCAATAAAATGATCAATTAGTTGGATAAGAGTTAAGATTACATTCTAGCCCCAGTAAAGAATTGTAACCATAGCGCCGACTTGAGGATCTTGTCTTACAGTGTTGGAATTTCAACTCCCCATTCTTTACTCTTAGCGCCTGCTTCACCGCCCTGAAGCAAGGGCATAAGTAAGGTCTCCTTCTTGGCATGCCTTTCCTAAGACTCTTCCCGAATCTTACTCAGGTAGAGAAAATCTTTGAAGGACTCTGGAATGATAATAGACCACCGAATGTGACATCCTTGCATCATTCTATATCAGCTGGTGACGTAGTGAGACACAGCACAGAAGGAGGATTGGATCATATTCGCCCTCAGCCCCTCTCCCATTAGAGTGTCCCTAATTTTCATGCCAGGGAGTGTAGAGTTATTCGTTATACCTGAATATGTCTTTTGTCATCTAAAACAAACGTGTGGTGGGGGATTACTAATATGAGGCCCACCTCCTGTTCTTAGTAGAACATACTGCATTGCCCAAGTTCAACATTTGATAGATCCCTCAATGGAGAGATTTACGACATAAATAAGAAGGCTTCTATACTAACATAATGACAGCGTCAAGTTATACTGTTACTTAATTTTAGATAGAATTACTCTCTAACCTATACCATAAGCACCTTGATAGTCTAAAGAGCCATACCCTACTAGGCACTGTGTATAACTACGTTTCACAAATAAGCAATCCGCTATAGTAATAATGTTATAACTAGAACTAACACTTACAGAAATATATTATTCTAGAAACAGTCGTCATAGTTAACACCTGCCAGCAGCGATTCCCATGTAATGCCAGCCAATAGGTCAGGCATTCCACTATCCCAATTACCCAGTCCACTCGGATTATCTGTCGTGAAAGCGGAACCTCCAAAATCATCCAACCCGCTATAACTTCGTGATCCAGAGGGAAGTGTTTCCGGGTGTTGGATAGCAGCTTGTTCTGGCCCATTGGTGTTTTCCGTCGATCTTGGTCCCAAGTCAGGGTAGTTAGTGGTACCTGAATCAAGCCTTGTTCGTTTTCGTGGCCCCTGTTGAGAGTTATCAGTAGATAATCGGCCTCCTACAATGTCTTGCTCGACAAAGCCTTGGGACACAGGATTCGATAGGGAACCCGATATATTCAACGGATGTTTCGCTACAAGGCGCGTTGTTTCGTTAAAAGCCCTTTTAAGATCAGAAAGAACTGCGTGACAATTCTTTGCAACCTTCCATTGTTTTGACATAGCCAGAAGGACATCCAAGCACATGCCGATTTCCCTAAAGTTGTCAATAAATGGTTCTAATCATGGAAGAAAGAAAGACAAGGCATGTATCCATGAGGTCTTGTATGGCGAGATAAAATACGTGCAGTTGCTAGCCAGCATACTTCGCGATTTTCTCACCTCTTGCCTTTGTCCAGTGGATAGAACCGTAGGTGGCATGCAAAGGCTAGCACAATACCAGCCATCCACGTAGCAGAGAGATGACCGGGCCAAAACAATGCATATCCACCAATGCGTTGCTTGTTTATGATATTGATAATCTCACGCGCTTCACTGATACATATTTGCAGTGCAGCCTGGAACTCTGGGGAGACCGGCTCGAGAGATAGCCATGGACGATAGCTGAGAAGTACTAATTGGCTGTGGAGCAAAATGAAATACGCCGATTCGTTGAACTCTTGACTTTGATTTCCGATGGTGTCGGTCTGTGAAGTATGTTGATACTCTTGGAAGGATGATGGAAGGGCATTCCACCATGCGTTAATGTCGGTACGAAGTGAGAGTATTGAGCTAGGATTTATAGATCGAATGTGGAGTGACTTGTGAAAGAGTTCAAGAGCTCGCCCAAGAAGGCGTGAGTACTCGACTTGGAAGGATAAGATTAAATGACGGTCGTGCTTCGGGTCACTGTCCGAGCTCGAAGAGTCTGCAAGAGTGCCAGAAAAAGGTGATACACTCAAGCCGGCTTCAACAAGCTTGAAAGGAGTTGTTGGTTGGAGTTGAGGGTGATGAAGCTCAGGTCCCATTAGAGGGCAAACATCCACATCGGAGTCCTGGATTCCTAATGGGTGCCCCAAGGCCTGTGAAAGGTAGCGGTCAAGGACGTAGATACTCCAGAACAATCGTTTTCTGATATCACATTCATCAGTCGAAAGCTGTGCATAACGGCACGGACAGCGGTGAAGGCCAGCTAGAAAGATGGCGCGGGACAAGAGGCCACCGACAGCCGCAGCTGTACGAAGTGACATGCGAGCGACTAAGAGCAACTCAGAAGCAAATAGGGCTTGGATTGAAACAAGATCTCCTTTGACTGCAAGACCGGGAAGACAAGCAAGCACATCGGCGGGCTTCTTGATACGGGAAACGGCGGGTAATAAATCATTACCATGCAGGCTTGCCAGATTAAAGATGGACTGCAGGATGATGACTTTGGGGAGACTCAATGAAGGTCTTGATGGGCTGTAGAGATCTTCCATATCTTTGAGAACAGTTGGGCCGTGCAAAAAAGGGAAAAAGCGGTGCCATGTCTGGAAATATATCATGAAAAGGCCCTTTGCAACGTCTGACTGGGGTGGATGACCAAGTTCAGTAGGAATTTCAGGGCCATAGGAGCGAGAGAGAGATGGAGAAGACGGTGCAGAGGTTGTCGTAGAAGCCCTATTGTCATCCTCCTCATCAACAATGATGCAATCCTCGGGAGTTGGATGCGTTGTGTCGAATAAGAGACTATTATTATTGGAAGCTGAGAAAGCCTTCCGGACGGTATTCACAAAGTAAATGCCGCTCGAGCTACCAATGAATTGACTTTTCCCTTTCTCAAGCGTACGTAACGAGCCCCTCTCCTGAACTGCCTGCGGAGAGGGCCATGCATCGCTACCGGCGTTGCGCGACATGCTGAGATGGCTGATTTGGTACTGGTTGTGAAGACATCACTGATAAACTTGGGTTTTTGCCTCGATGAACGCGATCGAGTTAGTCTAAGGATTTAGCCCGATCTGTCACTGGGTGAGAAATTACATAATCAGCCATTGCCTCTCTAACGAATTGGGGGCTCCATTCCAAGATCGTCACAATAAGTGCAAGAGTTAGCCTGAATACTCTTAGAGTAATTACAAGAACGAGCCTTGTCGTTTATTAACCAAAGTTATTTATATCGAATGGACATGTCATGCGCCTGGAAATTTTAACATTATATCGATAGGATTAATGATTGTCCGAGGAAAGATAGGACGGGATATGTCGGTAGAAATATTAGCCGACAGACTGATCTTTGCTGAATTGTACTTGTTAAAAAATGTTAATCGGTACAAAGTTCTATCGGTGGAGCTTCCTGCATCATTTGTCAGTCAATCTGCAACAACTACTGGAATATAGTGAAGAATCACTATCGCGAAGATGCCTAAAGCTAGGGGTCGTGCAGCGTGCAACACTTGCCGAGCGCGAAAGCAAAAGGTGTGATGACGTCCTCCATTGAACAGATTGTTTGTGAGCTAATGACATGGTTTTACACAAGTGCGATGGTATCAGGTAGATTAAAAAACTAGACAATGAAATTTTAGTGCCTATATTAATGTCATAAGGCCAGAATGCTCTAGATGTCGCCAAATTGATCATCAGTGTACTTGGCCCAAGTCGCTGAAGCGGTTAGTATATCCTATTATTATACCTCATTGGCCAGTAAACACTAATCCACAACATGTAGGGGCCCTGCTAAAGGGTACACTAAGGCCTTGGAATGTAGATTGCGGGAGACCGAATTGGCTTTGCTGCAGCTGCTAATGTCATCCAAAGACGCGACTATTACCAAAGCCTTTCATCCTGATTCTCAGTCAATAGCTCGTGTATATCATGAGCAACTTTACAGTCAACTCGCTGAACACGACTTACCAGGCGGTAGCGAGGAAAAACAGCGGGCCCTCAGGGATCAATGGGAGCAGTTTCCCCTGCAGACAGCTAGCGATATAAAGCATTGGGCCGAAAGGTCGAAGCAAAATGGTGGATATCAGCCAGAAAATGACACTCAAGAACCTTCAGAGGTACAGCATACTTTTGGCAACTTCTTCAATAACACCGATCAATCGATGGCTACTTTCCAGAGCCCATCTAGTGTTGTTGAAGACCAGCCATTCGAGAGCGAACATCATATCGATCCGATGGTTCAGGCTCCAAATTTCCAGTCCCCCATTGAGAGTATCCCATCAGCAGACGACATACAAACTAGTGGAGAGATAGAAAAGGACCGTGAGGTTTCAAATAGCACCTCCTGTGAGATAGAGTTACCTCCCAATTTTAAAGATAGCTTTCTGTGGTAGTTCCAGGTTAAACTATCCAAGGAGTCTTGACAAGTAATATTTCCCGTTTTTATTATGCTGATATAGTAAGCTTTCACAGTAAATCAAAGCCTATACAGTTTAATTCAATCCAAATCAAATCAGAGGTTTCGATATTCGAATCAAATCAATTTCATACTTTTTTTTCATTTGATTTGACTTGATTCTGAGGGAATATTCTATTTGTACAGTGGGTTGCCAAAAGTTACGACACATGGCTAATTTCGCCCTGTTATTTTAAGACCTTATAGAACAAGCTATATAAAAAGTAAAAAGCTATATTATAATAGTATATCTTATTTAAAGGCTATATAGTTATATAATATCTTATTTTATTATATAAATACTTTTTTTAATATTAATAATATAGATTTAAAATAGTAAAAATAATCTAGATTTTTATACTTTTTAAAAGTCTGCCTATTTTAATAATATAAAGTTTTTTAAGTTTTAAATATATAAATATTATATTTTAGCTTTTAAGGTATACTATAAAGCTTAAAATATTAGATGAGTATTTTTATTAAGTATTAAAAAAAGGTTTAAAAATAGAGTAATAAGCTATAATTCCTTAGTTTTTCCTAAATTATAGCTTTTTACTAAGTTTTATAAGTTTTATTATAAATTAATTAAAATTATAATAAATATAAAACGTAACATATTATATACCTAAAAGCTTAAACTTTAATATAATAAAGACTAAAAATTAAAAAATATTAATATAAGTCTCTTTATAGTAGTTTATAATTTAATATTAACTTAAGATATTTCTTAATATTTAAATAATTAAAAAGTAAATAAACTTATAAATAAACCTAAAATAAAATAGTATTATATATAAATATAACTGTTAAATTACTATTTTATATAGTTATAGATGATATAGCTAAATTATATAGTATTCTATTAAGACTTAAATTAATAGGGTGCATTTAGGCCATGTGTCGTAACTTTTGCCCGCCCACTGTACCTAGGGTAGTTATTTTTCTCTTGGAGAGGGAAAACATATTCTGTCTTATCCTTATCTTATCGATAGAGTATCGATAGGCTTATCAACAAGATAAGATTCAATACCAATTCAAGTCAAATCTCATTAACAATTCTAAAGTTCCTTAAATTAATTCCCCGAAAATCGATTTGAGATTTGATTTGCTGGGAGCGCTCGCTGTAGTTCATTACGTTTATAGCGTTGTCGATATTAATTATTCTAACGACATTTAGGGTCTGTCTTATTTTCCAGCGGCCGAATATCCTAAACCTGTCTGAATATTTACTTGCAGTTCACTGACAGCCTTTTGAAGAAGGGCCTGCTCATCATCAGATATATCTCCGATGGGGAGTACCTTCTGGGAACCTTGCTGACCAAACTCCACCTTGACAGCAAAATAATCGACCTGGAGCTGTGTAGCAATTTCCTTTCCCCCAGGAATTCCTGGTAGGTAAACGTATGCCTCCTCGATAGTCGTTGTTCCTGCTCTCGCCGTAAGCAAAGCCTTCACGAATCGGAAACCGGCATAGGCCATGCAAGTGGTGGCGCTTCCGGCTCCTTGCTTGCTCTTTACAATTTCATCGCCACCAAACTGAACTCCTGTTGAGAATGGTTAATTCTAGCCTAATGATTTTTAAGCTAAGAATGTAGGGCAACGTACGGTTAATAACCTTTGGCAAGTCGGCGCCCAGGTCAATCGGCGGCTGAGCCTGGCTATAAAGAGGAAGAATTGTAGCACCACTATGACCACCGATGACCGGAACTTTAATACTGGTTGGATCGGCGTCACTACCGAGGGCGTCCGCGGCGAACTTTGACGCGCGCACCACATCCAGAGTAGTTACACCGAAGAGGCGCGTGGGGTCAAAAACACCTGCTGAGCGCAAAGCTTCGGCAGCAACGGGAACTGTCGAGTTGACTGGATTGGTCACAATGCATGAAATCGCCTTGGGACAGGTCTTTGCCACTTGGGAAAAGATATCCCAAATGATCGAAGCATTGGTCTGCGGACTTGGGTAAGCTACCTCGTTAAAAGTTCACGGTTGTTGGAAGAGAGGTGTACCTTGAACAAATCTGTAACTTGTCAATACTAAGTGGCAACACAACCATCGATGTTGCTTACCATCTCGTGTCATTCCAGGTTTCCTAGCAATTCCAGCAGTGACAATAACGACGTCGGCGCCGCTCAACGCGTTGACTAAGCCATCATCAGCAGGCAAAAAGCCCGACACCTTTGCCTTTGTATCAATGTGGTTAAGATCGGTAGCAATTCCAGGTGCATGAACAATGTCATAGAGGGCGATTTCGGTGAAAAGGTCGCTCTAATTGATGTCATTATCTGATGCTTTGAAATGTTCAAGAATTACTCACGGCTTTGCAAAGAAGACTTAGTGGAGTGCCGATCTGGCCAGCGGCGCCGAGGAGGGCAATCTTGGTCATGGTGTAGGATTCGGCTTTGGGAGTCTTGAGAAGAGTTTATATTCGAAAGTATATAGACATGGGATAAGATAATTAATTAATTTCTTTGCTTGAACCAGGTGTCCCAGCTTTATAAACACATGACATGCAAAAGTTGATTCAGATGAGGTCGGCAAAGCTATAAACCGATTGATTGAGGACCAAGCGGCCGATATATTAGCCGACGTGGGTAGCTCCGAAGTCGCGGCCGTCCATACTAGTATAGTTGCTGTTATTGGAAATGGAACATTGTAACCCACTTTCGCCTTGGTGATGACGAGAGCAGTAGTGAACAATATTAAGCGCTTCAGTGGCTTGGAGTATCTATTACACGTTCGCTATTCATCGGTTTCTCACATCTTCACTATTTATCAAGTAGAGCAAAAGGTTTGCCAACCATTGTATAACCAAGGACGAATGTTTTTGATTTGTGACTTATAATCTATGTATTTTCTCTTCCATATCAAGACCTAGCAGACTGAATCTCAGCGTGCTCTGGTACAGGCGTCAATAGCGGCAGTCCCAGCGCAGCTCGACGTGCATTTTCCATGGCACATGATTCCATCTTGGTCAAAGTCTCAATTGTGTGCGTTCCCAGGTGCGGCACGAGCAGTGCCCGTTCGTTCTTGATGAGACGCTCATTAATTTGAGGCTCATGCTCGTAAACATCTAGGCCGGCAGATGCGACTTTACCTGAATCCAGGGCATCAGCCAGTGCACTCTCGTCAATGATGGCACCTCGAGCTGTATTGATGATGATGACGCCATCCTTCATCTTGCTGATCTCTTCCGCGTTGATCAGATGCCTTGTCTCAGCATTTAGAGGGACATTGATACTGATGATGTCGCTTTCGGCAATCAGCTTATCAAAAGAAACGTATTTGGCCCCAGCCGCCTCGGCAGGACTCAATTCGGAGCGGTTGTGATATTGCGTGACAATGCCAAAGGGTTCACACCGCGATTTGATGGCGCGGCCAATCCTCCCCATACCTAAGATACCAAGAGTCTTTCCCTCGGGATCGCGACCAAAGTCAATGCCCGTTTTGAAGTTGCCTTGGCGCAAAGAGTTGAGGGCCGGGTTCAATTGTCTCAATGAACCCAACAATAGCCATACAGCCAAGTCAGCTGTTGCGTTGGTGACGGGGTCAGGTGCATATGTTAGGGTAATTCCACGGTCGGCACAAGCTTTGGGGTCAATCTGATCGTAACCTGGAGAAGAGAGATAAGGATGATATCAGTTGTTTTGCATTGCACAGCACTTACCAGCTCCATTATGACAAATGAACTTACAGCTTGGGGGAAGCCGTTTAATAAACTCGGAATCAAAGTTTCCAGCAACCTAAAAGAAGTCAGAATCTTATGCAAACCGCAACGTATCGGAAACTGAAAGAGGAGTAACTCACAGCACCACTTGCTGAAGTCCTGTAGATTACACGGATGTCCTTGTACTTATCCTGAACATCCTTGAAAAATTGCTCTCTGCTGGTGCTTGTTACCACCTCGACTCGAGCGACTTCCTCCAGCTTCTTGTACACTGCTTTGGCATGCCTGACTGGATTGAAGAAGAGAATGAAGGGTTTAGCAGCCTGCATGTTTTTTGTGTGACTGCCGCTAATGTTAAAGACCAATTAGCTTGTGGATAATTTGCGTCGGATTTATGTTTAAATATGGTGTTCGTCAAGGTCCTCCTGCTTTCTGTTTCTGTCGGGATAGCTTTATAGTTACCGATAAAATAAGCTAGGTAATGGTCTTCGGCTAAATTATCAACCGATTGTGTTGGCTCTGAGAATTTCTCCCCATTTTTCACCTTGCTACAATACGACTGGAACTCTAAAAGGATAAGGTGATGTTCGTGCAAACAACTAGTAGGCAAAGAAGGGCTTCTCATACCACTTGACCAAGATGTGAGAAACTCACCATTAATTTAAGGCGAGGCATAAGAATGAGTTAGCGCTCTTTGTTTGTGTCGGCACGTTCCCCATGGCTCGCTCGGCCGCTGCACATTAACCACCAGAGCTAATGACGTAGTAAGGGTACAATTTGTATCTGGTCACATTGTGCCGTGCCCCAACATGAGCACTTGAGGAACCTCGGACGAAGCTCATGAAACGACTAGATGATAATAAATGGTAGCCAAAGACTATTGTCCTTGCCAGCCAACCCTCTTGGACATCCTGACATCATAACAGCTGCCGAAACTTTCCCTCGACTGAAATCTTTGTTCAAGTGGTCCGCAACACCAGTGTCCAGGTACTGCACCGCAATGCTCACTTAGTGTCCGCGTATTTATCAATTGAAGTAAAATACTTTATTATAAAAGTCTGTCTGCAGGAGATAAAAGCTCGAATCTGGACTAAAACTATAGAAATCAAGAAGTGAAGTCACGAATCCACCCAAGCATATAAGACTGTTTAGGCAATTCGGCTTTGATAACAGCCGATGATACCTGCACCCTATTCAATCCATAGGCTTAATGAGTTAGAGTATTGTTGACTCCCTTAGACATAAGGGCGTGACTCTTGCCACCAGTCTCATCAATCAGAGTTGGTGTGTTCTTGAACCTCCAGGCAGGAATGTTACGCGCATAAAGCTCATCAAGCTCCCAGTAGGTACGAGCGTAGGTCTGATAGAGTTAGTTAATTGCTGTTGCAGTAGGAATCTTGCATCACTGACCTCAGGGTAAAATAGCCAAAGGAGAATAGTGGTTGGCAACAAGAGACCAGCCCAGACAAAGACAGCTTTGACTCCCAAGTTACCAGCATCCGGGCTGATCATGTATGAAACGGTCCACTGGAAAACAACACTGAGAAGTTAGTAAAGCCCTGATGTTGCATACATGAGTGACTTACAAGCCGAGACCGTAGCAGCCAAGGTTGAAAGATGTGGTTTGAGCTCTGAGGCGAGGTGTCGAGGTTTCACCAGCTGCGACAAATCCAATTGGACCAGCAGAGCAGCCGTAGGCGATAACCCAGAGGAGGAGGAATCCCAATGCTGCCTTGTCGGCGGATGCGTTCTTGAAGAATCCGGATGTTCCAAGGCCAATGTTGAAGATCATCATGCAAAAGCATCCACTTAACACCAAGATTAGCGCATGACGCGAATAGATGGGCTGGGTGTCTTACCCAACAAGAAGTGGCCTGCGGCCTATAAACTCGCATGCGATGAGTGAGGAGACAATGGCGACGATGAGTAGAACAAAGCTACAAGATGTTAGAGTGGGCACTGAATAAATACAGCTCTCGGCCACTTACGTGATGATTGTCACAAGGAAGGGGTCTTTCAGACCAGCAACGGCGAAGAAATACTAAGAACAGAATAAGTGACAGTGCCTCAGACAGGGTAAGGGTAATGTTTTACCGTAGAGTATGAAAAGACGATAGGTGCTCCTGCCGCCCATTGACTGCAAATACCCAAGCATCCGGCCAAGGTTCTACGCCAGTTATGCTTGTCGAAGATCTCGAAGAAGGATGCGGTCTCGGATGACTGGCTCAGTTGTCTTTCTGCTTCAATACCATGTTGAATGACGCGGTACTCGTATTCCTAGCAAAATAATTAGTTCTCTGTTTGCTTAAGAATAGTACATTCCTCCTTACCACATCGTACTCGGGGACGTTTCCGTAGAGCTTTGACATTGATGCCTTGGCCTTCTCGTGCTGACTCTTGCGAGCGTAGTAGATGTGGGACTCTGGAACAAACCAAACCATGAGGATGAGGAGCTAAGAGTACAGGTCAGCATCTACAATTGTGAGTGGGACTTTAGCAGTGCTTACGCCAGTGAAAATGAACTCAGTAGCAATCAAGGGTCTCCATTTTGTTGGCTGATGGACAGTGATGAGTTGGGTAGCAACTGCACTGATGAGCTGTCCAAAGGCCAGGCAGAGCTGGTATGCTCCAATCATTATTCCTCGAATTTGGAAAGGTGTGAGCTCGGAGACGTAGGTGACGAGGATCGACTGCGCAAGTCCAACCCCAAGACGGACAAGGACAGCAGCGCCGAGCCAACTCTTCCAGTCCGAGGCCGTAATCTCTGCAATCGAGCCGCCGAGGAGAATAACGATCGCGCCGCATAGAGCTTTCCTAGAAGAGTCGGGTTAGTCAGAATGTTCAAGCGGTAGGGCGTGTGTGTAGAAGGGACACTAGGTAAAGCTTATGGATTGAGATAACCTACTTTCTACCGATGCGATCGGCAAAGAAGCCACCGGTGAACATTCCAAGAGTCTTTGACATCTCTGCGAAACCCTGCCAGAATGAGACGACTCGAGCGCTGATGGCTGGCTCGCCGTTGATGGTGGTATCGGCCATGTCGTTGATGAAGGCCTGCATGGGGATGACGTTACCCGGAATCTGTTGCTGGAACTGCACAAGTAAGTTAGCGGAGACAACAAATGTGTCCAGACGTACTCACTCCATCATTCAAAGCTGCCCAGTTCAGGATCATGCAGAAGAGCATTGTCTTCCAAAAGGTCTTTGCGACGGCCCATCGTCCAAGAGCTAGCAGGTTGGTGTTTAGCGGAGTACGAGGCTTGGGATCACTTCAGATACATACCGGCAAACTTGGTTTCATAAACCTGATTATCAGTAGCCTCTAAACGTTTGTCCATGGTATCATGAGGACTTGGGTCGTGCACAAAGGCTGGCTTTTCAGAGTCTTGATGGATCATCGCGCAGGGGTCAAAACCAAGAGTGTGGTGGAAAGATACTGAAGGTTGAGTTTGCTTGCTGCTTGTACAAAACCTGACGGGGTGTTTAAAGAAGATATATAATCTCCCCAAGACCTTGGTAGGGTAGTCATATGGCCCCTTGCTAGATCTGCGGCCAACAGTGCTCCGGGGGATTCCTCGACTCCAGGTTTTCCCCATGGGGAATGCCCTCTTTAAGATTAGTGTTGATACTAGCCAGTTCTTTGATAAATATGCTGCGGGGAAATCCGTTCAGAATGCAACTTGTGAGTGCTCCAACGAACATTCTGCGCCAACAAAGATGATTTACAATAACAATAAGATTGGGATCAGGATCATCACAGAGAACAAAAGAAATTACACTCATCAATACCATGGATTCACAACATGGGACAGGAGGATATCCCATATAACTGATGGTGATGCCCCCAACAGTTACCAAGATACCGGGATTCTAAGGAGAGCTAGACTCCGCAAACTCAAAAGTCAATGCCACGTGAGCAGATCATAAAAGGCTGCCTGATTGCGTATCCGATTGGGCATTCGACACCTCTGAAGGAGACGAGTCAATGCACAGATCCCATTCTTGAGGAATCTAGAAGCCAGGTTAGCGAGTCAAGGTCCTCAGGAAACTACGTAGTATCGCCTTTTCAAGGTTCCGGAACTAAGACGACCAATTGTAACCCCTCTTGCGGAGATGCCTAAGTTGGACTAGACTCGTTCCCTTGTCGGTCACAGTGAACCGACACCACAAGACCAAGCTTTCAAGCCACCAACCAGCTTGGCGTCGGGGCACAGAGAGCCGAAACAATTCATGGGTTATTGGGCATATAAATTCCTTCCCAATCAATAGTGTCAGCATAATTAAAACCTAGTTCCCCAAGTCAATATCCTCATCACCACTAGCATGTCTATGAACGAGACCAACTGTACTGTCCTGCGGGATGGCTTTCCAAGGCCATTTCCGGATACCCCGAGCAACGTCATGGAGCAGTTCAAGATGACCGGCAAGGTGGTGGTGGTGACTGGTGGCGCCGACGGTATTGGCTACGCTGTTGCGGAGGGCATGGCCGAGGCCAATGCTCATGTGGTATTGTGGTATAATTCGTAAGTCGGATGCCCGCTAAAGGATGGACGGGTATTAATGGGTGTGTAGCAATGATGCAGCCGTTCAGAGGGCGAATGATCTTGGGAAGAATCACAATGTCAAGACAGCGGCTTACAAAGTTGATGGTACGTTTTCTTTTTCTTACATCTACCATTCAACCGTTCTAATATTGTCGCAGTTTCAAACCCTGAAGAGATCCAAGCTACCATAAAATCGGTGATCGACGACTTTGGTAGAATTGACGTCTTTGTTGCCAATGCAGGAATGGCCATCAGCAAGCCAATTCTGGAACAGACTCTTCCCGAGTTCGAGAAGCAAATGTCTGTGAATGGTATGTTGATCCCATCCATCACTTCTTTTTCTCACAAGTCCCACCACTAATACATCTTAGTCAACGGCGTCGTATACTGCTCCAAGTATGTCGGCGAAGTCTTCAAGCGCCAAGGCAACGGTGTTCTCATCATAACCTCGAGTATGAGCGCACACATTGTCAATGTCCCGGTCGATCAGCCTATCTACAATGGCACTAAAGCTTTTGTTACACATTTCGGCAAGTCCTTGGCTCGAGAGTGGCGCGAGTTTGCCAGAGTCAATATCGTCTCGCCAGGCTTCTTCGATACCAAGATGGGAGCCGGCCCACTGGCGCTCAATGAGGCGTATCGGATGTCTGTTCTCGGCAGACAAGGCCACGTTAAGGAGATTAAAGGCTTATATCTGTACTTGGCGAGCGATGCCTCCACGTATACCACCGGATCCGATATCCTTATTGACGGTGGCTATGTACTGCCATAATCTCATAGCTGAATACCGCATAATGATATCACTACGCGTCGAAGGTGTCTGGGTGAAACCAATCGTTGAATAAAGCGTCCATGGGTGCATTGTCCAAATATCCCCATGGCGTATTGTCCAAAATCATTCTCATGGTGGGGTCAGATCCATCATCGTTCAGGATCCACGTATCCATAGAATGATCAACAGCGTCGACGGCTTGTGGGCCAATTGATGGTTCTGTTCTATCAGAATTCTCTTGTGGGAGGTGAAGTGTGCTTGCTCCCTCATGACCAACGATTTGTGGTACCGTAAGCCCAGAGAAATGATTGCTTGTTTCTGTGCGTTTGTTGATAAGATCCAGAACCTCCAGGCACCGTCGTGATGATTTACTTTTATCTGCGAAACTTGACAAACAGCTTTGTGCTTTCAAAACCATCATTCGCCAAACCGACGTCTCATCAGCAAGTGTGTGTTGCGTTTTGCGATGTAAGTAGCTCGCTTCAAGCACCAGCACCGCTTGAAACAAGAAATAGGTGGCATACCATATGATACCAAGGTGTAATATGCCCTCGTTTGTGGCACAGAAGGTTGTTATCTCATGAATAGTTTGCATCGCAACCTCAAGACAGCGTGTTTCGGCATCAATCTTGTCTGAAAGATAGCTGTGGTTACGCTTACTGCCTCTCCAAAGTAAAATTCGCAGATTCTGTTCTTTCCACAAAACTACAGCCCGGGGACCTGTGAACCACACTGGCACATCCTCGGAGGTGAAGTACGTTGGTAGGTGCTGTCGCCAATTTTTGAGACTACGCTCAAGGGCCTCAGCAACCTGATACTCCACTTTTGTGTTCGCTGTTTTCGCTGTGAGATACTCGATATACAGAGAATTCGCAAGCTTGGCAAGTTCTGCTTGTGCAATAATAGCGGACAGTACTGTAGGTGAGTCGACCGCTGGTGGTATAAGCATTGATGGTTCGAGATCCTGCGAGCAGTCAGGGGAGGGTTTCGCTTTTTGCAAGTTTGATAGTAATCACCTTGTCATCAATGTTTCGAGGGAGCCGAGTGTCGATAATGCCCTCCTGAGCATATGGGGGTCTTCCAGTTGTGATGTTGAAGCCACTGTCAAAGCAATAGATAACCCAAAACAGCTGTCTTCGTCTTTCGTGACCAACACTTTCCTCCACATCAGGCGACTCTCGGTGCATCCCAAGACCAAGCGCCATCTTATATGCGATGCCTATGAAGTGGTATCCAGTGTTTGGTTTGTCCATCTTCTGAAGATAATTGCCCATCAATAAAAGCGCTTGCACAGTCTCCAGCGTCCCAGACTCCAACATATGAATCGACAAAGCGTTTCTAGCAGCAGTGTAAAACGTAGATCGTGCGTGATGGGCGTCGGATGTCGATATCCAATGTCCTATAGCTAAGACGAGGTAGTATATCACATTCCAAGATGATTTACCTCGCTTCAACCCCCGTGAGGCAGCCTTCTCACGAAAAGACCGTTGGTGAAGAATAGGATACGAAACATTGTAGAAGAGGAAGTATGCATCGACAAGATAGCTCGTCATTGCCGCATTGGCCAGAGTCGGGGGATCGAGGGATGTGCTCGGCTTCTGAACTTTGCCAGGGGATTTTCCATGGCTATTGCTGGGGGAGTTCATCGCCGCGAGCTCTGGCAACATGGAGGCGATCTCTTGTAGTAAGTTGGCACCAGAGCTGCTTCCTAAGAGATATGAACATTAGGTTGCACTAAAGTCGGAACAACATACCCAGGTAACCAGCGTCATAACTGTTCAGTGTCGCCATACCATCCATGCCTCCAGTCTCTTCACCTTGGTCCTCCAGATCAGGTGGCACAGAGGCCTCATTCCACTCAAACTCATGAGCAGGTTCTTGATGCTCAGGGGAGTCATCGTCCGACTCAGCATCTGCCGGCAAGGTAATGCCTTGTCCACCCTCGAGATTGGAGATGGCAAGATCAATATCAAGGTCTGGATGCAGAGACCTGATTAGAGCCTGGAGCTTGCTGCAACGTAGCTCCACAGCATCGAGATTCTTCCTCGTAAGTCGGGTTCTATTGGGTGGATTGACAAAACTGCAGTCTTTGCCAGCGCGTGCGCAGTAGGAACAAGGTCCGGGGCCATTGGAGCTGGGCTGGCATCGGCTTTTTCGTCTCTGGCAATTGAGACAAGCCCTTGATTGATTCATGGAGTGGTTCATCGCAGGACGAACCAGTTTAAAATTAAATTCCGCGTCAACATTAGACACCCACTGGAGTGTCAAGGTTCAGTGTGTGTCGCTGTCAAGTGACTAGGCTATCGTCATTCAATCTGCCGAGTCATCGGAGCACGGTCAGCCGATACTCAAACCCCGCCCCTTGCTTTTTGCTTGGTGCGGAGAAGGGGATCTCGGCTGTCACAAATCCGACGGATTTCGGTTCTTGTGTAGAGCCTAGTCTAGATCTCAGCAAACCACCCAAAACATAACAGGCTTTATCACACAGATGAATGTGGTTTAACTTGATGAATTGAAACGAGAATTATTATACTCGAGGCTTTGACTGATTCCTATGATTCCTCTATGCTTTGAATAGTAATATTCGGTCGAACCAGATATTTCCGCACCTCGTTTCCATTTCGCATATCATTACTCCTAGCTCGAGCCATTGCAGCTTCGAAAGTGCCTTCAATGCCTGAAGCGAGGTGCCTTATCGCGACTCGTCTTAACGCCAGCGACGAGTCAACGTCGACAAACCAAGTATCGTCGGCGCATTTGGCAATCTGAGCCCACGGATCCTGATTGTACAAAAGCCAGTTTCCCTCAACAATTACAATCTTAATTTCTGGGGATATTTCTATAGCGTCGGGCACTGGGTCCTTGATCTCGTGGTCGAAGCTAGGCGCGCTTATAATGTCTGAAGACCTGGTGCGCGATGCATGCAGCACCTTGATCAGCTCAACAACAGACTTCGCATCAAACGTCCAATGAGCTCCTCTTCTCTCGTGAGCTTCTTCCCGGTTGGGAAACGTGTCGAGGAATGCCCGCGAGTAGTGGTAGCCATCCATTGGCAGTACTGCGGCGATGGGATTGCGGTGTTGGTCATTGATGTTGCGGACAACTTGAGACGCAATAGTAGACTTCCCGGAGCCAGGCGGGCCAGCTAGGATAATCACAACCCGTGACTGTGAGGAGTGGTGTTGTGCTTGTTCCAGGACGTCTAGCGCTCGCTGCGTGAGCTTGTTGTAGACAATCTCCATGGCATAACAAAAGACGAATTCGTTCCAAGAGAGTTTCTCGGTACGATGTTTAAATTCCTGCAGCTATTACGAGAACGAGCATTGATTTTGTAGTTTTCTTCGGCATTCATTTGCCCACTGATCGGGCTGTCCAGGTAGACTTCGGCTGACAGTGCTCCGAAGGATGACTGGATCTAGAGCATTCCTAGATAGGTTATAAATATTTCTGCGAAAGTTCTACCCAACGTTGCATCATTAAACTACTTTACTCAATATTACAATTTCTCACTCCTTTTTTCCTCGAGCATAATGGCTGCCTCCGTCACAGACCTCCCCAGCCGAGATGAACTCGCAGCAAGAGCAGTCCCTTCAATGGTCCTCAGTACTGGCTCGCCGTCGTCAATGACAGCACCACCAAAGAACGACACAGCTCAAGATCCTGCTTTAGGAGCGAAAGAGCGATTTACAGTCCGAGGCAACTTTATCGTCACGGGAGGCGCCGGTACCCTTGGTCTTGCATCTTGCAATGCTCTGCTAGAGCACGGGCTGGAAGGTCTCATGATTTTCGACGTCAACCCTTCACAATCTCTGAGGGAGATTGATGCTCTTAGAAGCAGGTTCCCCGATGCAAAGATCCAGACAAGGCAGGTGGACGTCACAAACGAGGAGGCGGTGCAAGGAGCTGTAGAAGAAACAGTGGCAACTCTGGGCTCAGTGGGTGGCCTAATTTGTTTTGTTGGGGTTGTCGGATGCGTTCCAACACTAGAGATGCCTGTATCGCAGTGGCGCAGAATTATCGACATCAACACCACTGGATCTTTTATCTGTGCGCAGGCTGTTGCTCGACAGATGGTGAAGCAGGGTACTGGAGGCTCCATCACTTTCACTTCTTCTATTTCGGCACACCGAGTCAACTATCCTCAGCCACAGGCAGCCTACAACGTAAGTAAAGCTGCATTGTTGACCCTCAAGAACTGTCTTGCAGCTGAGTGGGCTCGCTACGGAATTCGCACAAACACTATCAGCCCTGGTTATATGGATACTATCCTGAATGAGGGGGATGGTATTGCTGAGCACCGCCGAATATGGGCGGAACGTAACCCAAGTGGTCGAATGGGAGTTCCGTCTGAGCTGACGGGTGCAGTTGTGCTACTGGCTAGCTCTGCAGGCACATATATGAATGGAACGGATATCGTGGTCGACGGCGGCGCAATTGTATTCTAACTTCCATGGCAATAGTTATAACTATCTTGAAAAAGAATACCTTTGAGACTCTTTTATTAATGGGAGGTGTAATGAGATTCATACTTTTAAGCTAAGCAGGTATTTACTAACTGACAGATAAGAACTTGCATGGTATGATAAGTGTTTAATGCGGAATATTTTTCAGTGCCTCTGTATTAATTTGTCTTATGAAACATTAGTACGTACCCAAATATTAGCTTGTATATTTAACTTCAGAGATTATTTAGAGGCTGGGTTAGAGCAGTGCTCTTAATAAATCTAATTTTGTAAATGAGATTTGAGTTATCTAATCTTATCTGATCGGGATAAGATATGATAAGATAGAGATAAGATAAGATGAAATGGTCTTATATACCTCCTTAAAAGATATACCTACACTAGATGAATACTCTATAATTGAGTTAAATTAAATAAACAAGGGGGGAATTTCACTTATTCAACGTAGTCAAAGTGTTGATTTGGACCTAATTCACTCGACGTGATCGAATAAAATGCAATTTATTAGAAGCGCTGGGTAAGAGTGCTCTGATTGTTGGAAATCTTCACCTGAGTCTCTCAGACATTTCGACGTCAAGAGGTGACACTTTACTAGATTATTCACGAAAGGTAGGAAAGGATGAGCCTGGCGGGAATCACGTAAGGAAGCTATATACAGTTGCAATGAAATGAAACACCACTTTCAGGTTAATTATTAGCTAAAAGCCAGGAACCTTCGAGGGTCGGTCAATGCATAGGCAGGATTTTAAGACATTCTCGAAAGGTTCGCTCTCCCCACGGATTCCTATTGGGTGTCCAGCAAGATATTTGTGCATGGGGCTGCGGTACTGGGTTCAATTAGTGGAGAGATTAAAACTAAGCATGGATTCTTGATAAGCTGTGCACCAATCAGAGTAGCTAAGTTCGGATACTCGGCAACGAGCGGTAGGAACACATGCACATCACTACATTAACGGCTAAAAAGTGCCGGGCTTCGAGATCTCGTGGCTCAGAGATCGCTGCTTAATCCGGAAGGTCAAGATTTAACTGTTCATCAAATGAGCTTTTTTTCTATCGCTTGCATTACAAAAGATGTACTCCCGTGCTGGATCGCTAATCCTAAGCCAGGCATCTCCGGAACCTTTGGAGCTGCAAAAGGTCTCACCCTTTGATCAGGAAGGTAGCATTATTGTGTCAGAGAGATAAGACAGTTTTACTAACTTGACTGGTCCAGTATACCGGTATAGGAAGAGACTATCTAACACACCGGGCGGACTATGTTGGGATTCAGAGGAGTCCGTGTGTTCATAACGCAAAAATATATAATATCTAGTTTTATCCTCCCATCTTATTATTATTTCTCCTGTCGTGACAGCCACTGTTCTTTCCATTCGCCATCTCGATATCTGAAGGCAATATGAAGACAACCTTTCTGAATATCCTCACGGCGCTTGCCTTTGTCGGGTATAGCAGCTCTTCACCTGCAACTGGCTTAGACAAGAGGTATTCGCTTGAAGATAACGGGATCAAGTACAAGGTGTTTGAGCACGCCGCCACCGGTTCTCAAACAAAGATTGTGTCAAACTCTGGAATATGTGAGACAACACCTGGTGTCAACCAGCACTCTGGTTATTTCTCCGTCGGTACGTACCCCTTCGAATTTTCCATTCCTCTACAGGCAATTTCTAAAAGGCACCCTCGTACTCAGGATCTAGCATGAACATGTTCTTTTGGTTCTTTGAGTCTCGCAAAGATGCCAAAACAGCCCCCCTCGCCCTGTGGCTTAATGGTGGGCCAGGCTGTAGTTCCATGATCGGGCTGTTTCAGGAAAATGGCCCCTGCACCTTCAATAATGGAGGCTCCAAACCAACTTTGAACCCTTACTCATGGAACAGCTTTGCCAATATGGTATGCTATGCCCCACCCAGTCTCTCGAGATCAAAACACACTGACCTTTGAAGTTATATGTTGATCAACCCATTGGTACCGGTTTCAGCTATGGTACTGACGATGCTGTATCAACTATTGCAGCTGCTCCTAGAGTTTGGAATCTTCTTCAAGCTTTCTACGCTCAGTTCCCTGAGTATGAGAACCGTGATTTTGGCCTCTTCACTGAATCCTACGGTGGCCATTATGGTCCAGAGTTTGCTTTCTACTTTGAGCAACAGAACGCCGCTATTGATGCCGGAACGATCAAAGGCGAAAAGATCAACCTTGTGGCCCTTGGCATTAACAATGGCTGGATTGATCCTGGTAAACCACCCTGCGCGTATTGGTACTTTCGAATTGAAACTGACCCGGTATTTAGCAAACCAGTACAAGGATTACATCGACTATGCCGCCAACAACACTTACCGGCAACTCATCACGCCCGCGCAGTACAGCAAATATCTGACCACCTACGAGCAAAAGTGTGTGCCTGCATTCGCCAAATGTCCAGGGCTTACAGGCAACGATGCCGCCTGTGGTAACGCGGATGACGTCTGTAACTCGGCTATTGAAAGCCCCTTGGAGCAGACAGCAGACTTCGATGTTTACGATATTCGGGCTTCCAGCGATGACTCCTTCCCCCCCGCAACCTACTCCACTTATCTTCAGTCATCAGCTGTGATGAAGGCTATTGGTGCCCAGTCAACCTATGGGGAATGTCCATCTGGGCCATACAACAAGTTTATCTCCAGTGGCGATAGTATGTTCCCGAATCAGTCCCTTGTAGAAGTGCGAATGACTAATTGATATCAGGGGGCCGGTCGTTCTTGCACACATTATCTCAGGTCATTGATTCCAAGATTACAGTTTTGATCTGGGCTGGTGATGCTGGTAAGTTGATTCAGCCCCGTCTTTAACTCGTTGTCGCAGCTAATATCATATAGACTGGATTTGCAACTGGATGGGCAATTACAGGGCGTTAAACTCAATTGCCCCACAGTCCTTTGTCTCTGCCCCCCTCAAGTCATTCACTGTTGGTGGAAAGAAATACGGAGAATTCAAGACTTCCGGAAACTTGAGTTGGCTGCGGGTCTATGGAGCTGGTCACGAGGTTCCAGCATACCAGCCACAGGCTGCACTAGCGGCGTTCATCTCAACTATGTCAAAAAAGCCTATCTCATCTTCATGATAGTTAGGTGGATTGGTAGCACGTTTTCATGTCAGATATCATTATAAAGATACGGGACGGACAGTATTTACACTATCGACAAGACACATATCACGCCTTGATAACACCCTATTTGATCCAAGTTTTGAATACTATTTGCCGCACCTCTTGCTATTGCTTGTTAGTCATAGTAACTTGCTTCACTCCTCGTCCTTATCTAGACTCGCCGGTTTCATATAAAACTGGCCCTTCACTACCGTACACAACAGTATAAGAGCGAGCTTCTATTTTCGCCCAGTCCGTCATATTTAGATCACTGCTTAGACAGCTAAGTAAGAAGAGCAAGAATAGACCCTTGAAGTTGATAGAGTTCATCTAGTTATTGGTAAGAAAATATAGAAAACACCCATGAGAAATCACCACAATTTCGCCTTCGGGTCTTTTTCTAACGGTCCGGTAGGAGACCTGGGTTGGTCAAGTACCACGTTCATGTCACGCATACTTGGATGAACTTCAGAAAACGCGCTCAGTTTACACAATGTTGGATCGAAGACGACATATAAACCCAACAGTCGCCTAGTTTCACTACCGCAACATCAACTATCATCTCTATGTACGTGACCGGCTGCATACCTTTTAAAAGTCAGCATCGATACCACTAACCCATCTTCTCCGTGATATTGTCGTATTTTGTCCTACTTCTCATACAATTCAATGGCCTAATTTCCAGGCACTGGTTCTGAATATCCAGGAAACGTTCTTCACGTTACGAATAATGGTCATTATTCGATTTGTGATGAGTAATGAACATCTGCTAGATGCGATTTTGGCTGTGTGTTCTCTCTGAACTGGCAAAAAAGTCAAAATCCTAGTCATTGAGCCTAGAGTCTGTGACGAATCAATCTTGGGTCATTGCCCACAGATGACAAAAACAGAAATGGTGCTCGAAATCATTTCCACAACGACACGATCTTAGTGGGGTAAGGCTAGGTCTTTTCTGTATCCCCCGAGACGAGGGCACGGGTTTGTAGTGTGGAGTGGCTGCATGATAGAGCGGAGAACACCACCCAACTGATCAACGTGCGACCTACTACGTAGTTTTTGTTCTCTTGTATGTCTTTTATCTTTATAAATGTCTCCTAAAACAGCGCTTTATGGTAATATCTCCAACATACTTTCCCCTTCATCACCATTCCAACCTAGCACTAAAATGACTGTCACAAACAACATCCTCATTACTGGAGGTGCTGGATTTCTGGGGCCCATGTTGGCCGCCAAGCTTTCACAGGATCCCTCAAACAGGATCTTTTTGACAGATCTGCACGAACCTCCTACACCAAAAAACCTCGCTGATATTGCGAGATGCACTTGTATTGCCGCCGATATGACAAAATCATCTCATATCGACCGTTTACTTGCTAGTGCCCCAGAATGGCGAGCCATCTTTATCTTCCATGGCATCATGTCCGTGGGATGTGAAGAGAACCCAGCACTGTCCCAACTAGTCAATATCAGTGCCACACAGTCGTTGCTTGCAGCGGTTTCTAAGCTGAACAACGGTCCTCGCAAGCCTAGAGTTGTATACGCCTCGACACAGGCTGTGTATGGACCTCCCTATACGACTAGTGGAACTATCACCGATGACACCCCTGCCACGCCTATTGGTGTTTACGGTACACACAAGCTCATCACTGAGTGCACTGTCAACGATATGAACCGCCGTGGCCTAATCGATGCTTTCAGCGTTCGTCTACCTACTGTCACTGTTCGCCCAGGAGCACCAAGTCGTTCAGCTGCAGCGTTTCTCAGCGGTCTTATTCGCGAGCCTATGGCAGGGTTGGAATGTGTTATTCCTCTATCTGATAGAAATGCCAGGCAAATTATTTGCAGCCCAAGGGTTATGATTGATAATCTAGTTACCCTTATCTCGGTACCATCTGACTGCATGCCGTCTCATATCCGCGCTATCTATATGCCTGGCATCTCTGTCACCCTTCGCGAAATGTATGAAGCTTTTGAGGCGGTTTGCGGTGCTGATAAGCTCAAACTTCTCCGCGAGGAAAAAGATATCGAAGCAGAGAGGTTATTGAATAGTTGGCCACAGACTTCGGACTTTGGTAATGCGCATAGAATTGGGTTGGCTTTTGACAAGAATTGTCAGCAGATTTTCCAAGAGTATGTTGACTCTTTATGAGTGGATAGTTAATATATAAATACTATCTATTGTTGATATTATTGAGAGATTTGGGGAGCCTGGGCTTAATAGAGTCGAAGGTAAAAAAGTAAAAAGGAAATATGACTACTATGTATATGGACTCTTGAAAATTTCCCTGGCAATATTATAATTACAATACTAATTACTGTCTTTAATTGACAGTTTTGCACTCGAATAAATAAATTAGTATCTATTGTATTTATATCTAGGCTATCTCTTTTTCAGGCTCTAATTGTTATAAGCATGTTCTTTTAAAGCTAAGAGTACTCGGTATCTTAGAATTGTTCTTGGGGTATAATACCTTAGAAATTGCAAGAGGTGAAACACTGTTTAAAGGTCTTCGCGCTGAATCATAATCTTAGTGTGAGGTGGATAGTGCGGTTCAACCCTTATCCCTCGACACGAGGGCATCGCTAGACTAACCCGTCTGCGGTAACACATTCGGCGTCTCCATAACACCAACCTCGCATCGAGTCTTTGCGCGGGGTTCAAAGCGAAGGCCTTGTGAGCCCTGTCTAGCTGTACGTATCGAGGCAACTTTGGCATTGATCACGAACAGATACTTGGCTTTGTTCTGGCTCTTAAAACGCTTGTCCCAGTCGTGGACTTTTCGACCGTCATTCGACTTGCAGCGCCACTGCTCTCCACAACACAACACACACCTGCACAATGAATGCCCTCAGGAACCAAGTTAATCTGTTTGCGACACTCAACTCGCGGGCAATTAGCGCTGGTGCCGTTCGGACTCGAAAACCCTTCCAGACAAGAGGCGTTGCCACTGCCCTAACGCGCTTCAAACTCAACACAGGCGCCAGCATTCCCGCAATTGGCTTCGGAACATTTCAGGACCCCGCCGCTCAAGAAGACGCTGTCTCTCGAGCTTTGAAGGCTGGATTGCGTCTCATTGATACGGCACGAGTGTACAACGTCGAAAAGGAAGTGGGAAGGGGCATCAAGCGCAGCGGTATCCCCAGAGAAGACATCTTCCTCGGCACAAAGCTATGGTGCAATAACTTCCATCCTGATGACGTCGAAAGGGCTTTAGACGAGTCTCTGACAGACCTTGACACTCCTTATGTGGATCTTCTCATGATGCATTACCCCTGTACCTTCCAAAGAGGTGAAGATCGCTTCCCCAGAGACAAAGATGGCAAAATGATCCACGGTGAGACAAACTATGTGGATACTTGGAAGGCCATGGAGAAGTTGGTCAAGACTGGCAAGGTCAAAGCTCTTGGCGTCTCCAATTTCAGCAAGCACGAGCTGGAGAGATTGATGAACGAGTCCTCGACGGCAAGTCCAGAATATCATTAGACACATCCAAGACAGATGCTAATAACGCTCAGGTCCCTGCCGTTCATCAAATGGAGGTTCACCCGTACCTTCAGCAGAGGGGTTTCAACGAGTGGCTCCGCTCCCAGGGAATCCACGTTGTTCAGTTCAGCCCCCTCGGAAACATGAACGAGTTCTACCGCGCGACAGGCTGGAGTAAGGAGGTTGCACACATGATGCGCGTCATTGATCAGCCCCTCCTAAAGCAGCTTGGTGAGAAGTATGGCAAGAGTGCCGTGCAGATTGTTCTGTCTTGGGGTATCAACAGCGGTCGTTCTGTCATCCCGAAAAGTACCATCGATTGGCAAATCAAGGAGAACGCCGAGGCTGGCTTCAAGATGGAGCCTGAGGATATGAAGGCCATTGAGGTGTTGGATAGCAAGGCTAGATTTAACGATCCCAGCTTCGACTATCGGTGGAGGCTCTATAGTGATCTTGAGGGTATCGAGGGCACAAAAGATGGTCGAACTCATTAGTCTCATTAAACAAAGAATATTTCTAGGCTTCAAAAACTCACGCAAACGGTTCAATCTACGGCGACGTGTTGATACAATATCGCGTGCCATTCTTTTTGGAAGAATCTACGAAAGCCCTTAGAGAAGAAGAAAAGAGTCCTCTCACCATGGAAATCACTTGAATACGTGACAGTGGCAACTTCTTAACGACAACAAGGTCCAAATAAAATTTGTGTTCCATTTTGAAACATGGAATTGCACTATGATTTTAGTTTCATTGATATATTATATAGTTAAAAACCACTTGATTAATAAGTATTATATAGAGTATATAGTTAAAGGATTTCTTACTATACTATTATTATCCTTACTTATAACTATCTATCTTATAGACGTGTCTAGAGCTGGATTGGTTACATATAATGCCTAGTAGTTAACAAGCTAGCTGATGTACTGTAAAATAGCGCTCCTAACAAATTAAATCTCAAATCCATTTTTCAGAAATGAATTTTATTAACTGTTAGACTTAATTTAGAAAAAGTATTTAACTTAAGTTAGTTATAGATTTTAGCTTATTAAGAAGATAAAATAGGGTTAGATAGAAAGGGATAAAATACTATTTCCCTCTCTTCCTCTTTACTTTATAAAGAAATAGATTATAACTCTATAATCAGGTTATATTAAGTTAATTTATAAAAGCGACTTCGATATGAACATTCTTATACCCTTATTCATTTAATTTAACTTGATTTAAGGCAATCTAAACTTATAGGAGCGCTGCTTTAGATACGAGTTAGCAATCGGCTAACATATAGATCCACAAGAGTTTTAATCAGTATATTTAAGCAGCTTGCCTTAACGATTGACTGGGGGCTTAATCAATATCATTATCAATTGACTAGGGTTTCTAGTTAATCGATCGATATCCTTTGACCAGGCCACGTGGATCGATCTCTAACCTTGCTTCATGGGCACAATCCATATTATTGTTTTGTTAGATGTGGATGTTCTCGTGGTGGGGTTCAGAAGTTTGTATAACGTGCAATGAGGCTTCGAACCACTCATTGATTCGATCGAACTCAAGCTCAAAATCGCTATTCTTAACCAGCTGATATCGTCTGTTGAGCCGGATAGAGGAGGGCACATGTCATGTAATGAACAGCAAGATGTATTTGACTTTGTGGATTCACTAAAGAAATTAAAATAGTACGATAATTCAGAGATATTTCTTTTCAAAAATCCAGCAACCTAGAATAACTACTCCAGGAAAAACGCACTCAAATCGTTATTCCATGCAGCCAATAGGGCGCCTCGAACACTGGGATCAAGCCGAACACGCCATAAGCGATGTTCATTCAAAGCAAGAATCTGTCCACTAACACCAAAGCAAAAGTTGGCAACTCCTCCAGGAATGACAACCTTGCCCAAGAGTATTCCGCTTGAGGACCATACATTTATTCCGTCTGGACAGCCGCTGTAGACATTTCCTATGGTATCGCATTTAATGCCGTCCGGTATTCCGCTGTCGCAATATGCAAACAGTCTTCGATTCGCCAGGAATGGTTGTCCGTGGTGATGGATCACGTCGAAAGCATAGCTGAAGGGTCAGACAAAAACCTTGTAAAACACACGTGTTGATTTCCGAAAGATTGACACTTACATTGAAGCAGCTCGAGAATGGTCGATCCAGGGACCGCGCACTTGGTCTGTATCGGTGATGTACACGGTCTTCTGATCAGGCGAGAAGCAGATACCATTTGGTCTTCCAAAACCGTCCGCTACAGCCCTAATACTCTCGGTTGAAGGGCCATAGCGATACACTTGGTTTGGTAGACTGGGTCGAGGTCGATAGCCTTGGTCGTGCCCATACGAAGGGTCTGTGAACCATATGCTGCCATCGTCATGCACGACGACATCATTGACTGAGTTGAATGGTTTCCCCAGGTAACTTGTCAAAACTGGTTTGGTGATATACGGTGGTGAAGCTTGCATATGGAAGAGGCCGCTGGGGCTGGTTTCAGAGCCTTGGGCGCAAAACAAGATCCCATCCTTGTAGTTGACACCGCCGTTGGCAAAGTGAATAAGGTCGCAATCGATGTTCTCGAGCTTGACAGGTTCGGTGCCATCTCCCAAAGAGACCTTGGAAATTTGCACCCTTTTCTCATCAGTCTGGCATCTGAACTGGTTGCTCGTTATGAATAGTTCGTTTGCGTGGGGGAAGAAAACTCCGGCTTCATGAGCAAATGGATACTCGTCAACTTGTAGGAGCAGTTCTATCCCCGGGGAAGATCCGAGTATCGAATTGAAATCTTGGTGATGGACCTGCCATGTCTGGCTTGCATCACCAAGGTCTTCCATGGTCACGATGGTTGGTAAAGGTCGTTTGTGGTTACGTTTTCAATACCAGACAATGATCCAACGCGTCTGAACGGTGTTGCGAGGGCTTCTCTTTAATCTTACTAATCGGGTTAGTGAACGGTTGCCCTCGAGACGAGGTCCTGGCTCGATATGTCACTCCACCCTCAATCTCCACAACAATGTATGCATCCCACACGTCGCAAGAAATGGTTCGCGTAGTCTAATACCGAGCCGTTGTATATAATCTTTCACAAACATTCCGTCGGAATGATAGAAATCAGCACCCATCGAGCCTTCGTTAACACTATTGCCGAAAATACTACAAAACATTAACCAACATGAGCTCAAACAAGTGGAAGGCAACAAATCGCCATCTTCAGATTCTCCAGGCCGCTGAAGAAGGCGAATACGGTGTGTTGGCTGCCATCGCTTATAACATTGAGCAAATCTTGGGTCTTGTTCGTGCCGCGGAAAAGGCCCGATCCCCTCTGATCCTTCAGTTCTTCCCCTGGGCCATTAAGTTCTCCGATGGCCTCCTCATTCGAACCGCTGCCGACGCCGCTCACCGGGCCAGCGTGCCAATCTCCATTCATCTTGACCACGCGCAAGAAGAAGACATTATCAAAATAGCAGCCGATGAACTCCCCTTCGACAGTATCATGGTCGACATGTCACACTACGAAAAAGAGGAGAACTTGGCCAAGACAGCGAAATGGGTCAAGTACTGCAATGACCGAAAGATTGCAACTGAGGCAGAACCAGGACGTATCGAAGGTGGTGAAGACGGCGTCATGGATACAGAGGGATTAGAAGCGAGCAAGACCACACCAGAAGAGGTCGACCAGTTCATTGCGACCGGCGTAGATGCTTTAGCTCCTGCCTTTGGTAACGTCCACGGCGAATACGGACCGCAAGGGCCTCAACTAGACCTCGAGAGGTCAGTCGGGTAATTTCAAGAACTAGCAAACACCATCTAACACGGATATAGACTCGCTTTGATTAAAACGCAAGTCAACAAGCGAGCCAGAATCGCCCTTCACGGCACGAACGGATTCCCGCCAGATTTGATGCGCCAGTGCATCAAAGCTGGCACTACAAAAATCAACGTCAACCGAATCGTTCTCGACGACTACTACACACATTTACGAGCCGATGGAACAATCAAGCAATCGCACACGGCCATCATGGAGCAGGGAGTGGAGAAGGTGATAAACCAGACGGTTGAGTGGATGGAAATTCTTGGGTCCGCTGGCAAAGCGACTTGAAATAGTCCCGAACTTTGCATATAGGCTATATGGTAAATGCTAGTCGCGCCAAATCTCCTTCAGCTCTCGCCCTAGTGAGTAGCCAGGCCACCCTGCTCGACGGCTGCATGTATCGAGAATCTCTAGAATTGCAGAGCGCTGTTCAGGGTCTTCTACGACCGTTCCGGCTGTTGAAGTTGCGTTAGCTAGTTCTCTTGGGTCAAGTCGAGAAGGTAAACCTAGAGGAAAGGTACTTACCAATAAAGACACATTGAGAAGACAAGACACTTGACGCATGGTCGTTTAGAGCTTTTGCGATACGACATACCATGCCAACCCATCGCTTGAGAATTCGCTGCTTTCCCAAATACTCTTGGTACCCACCAAAGCAAGGTTGGTGCAGGTCGAGTAGAATCCGAGAGCAGTAGTATACTTGCATCGCCACAGCTGGTCATGTTAGCCAACTTGAAAGGTGACCGACCACGTCAAGACAAGACAGACTGACCAAAAGATGGTGGTTGTATCCAAATTGGTGGGAAAGGACTCTTTTCAGCAGCCGAAGCAACAATGGGAAGAGGCTGAAACTCAGAGGTTAGGTACGAAGCCCAGTAGTCTAATTGTTGAGAGAGAAGATCAGCCTCTTGGGTCTTGACGGCGACATAATCCGGAGTATTGGATGCATCGTCTCGAGCGCAAAAGTGGACAACGTGAGCAAAGTTATAAACAGCCCGGGCTGCTAGTTCGCTTGGATTCAAGTCCGCCAGAGGACGATTTGGTTTCCAGAAGGTGAAGGGTCTTCTCTTCTCGCGAAAAGCTGCCCAAACATCTTGGCACAACCAAGCCCACCAAACGGCCTGTCGCAAGCCGCCAGAGTGTCCATGGATGGTCTGAGAGCGTTGAATCCAGAAGACTCCTTTCAGATGTTTTTCCCAATCCGTATTAGAGCCATCAAGCATCTCGTAAGCTGAAATGATGAATGCACTGGCCAGAAGCTCTAGACTCGTTTTGTACCCGTCATATTGCATCGCCTCTTGGCAGTAGTGGAGGGTTTTGTAGTAATAACCGATCGTATCGTCTTGGGTCGGCCGGAAGCCTGCGGCGTAGGTAGGCGTGTCACGATTCATGATGTCGAGATGGCGAGCTGAGAGAGCGAGGATAGCGTTCATCAGACCAACGTTGTGTAACTACGGTCACATTAGCAAAGGTTTCTCTTGCGTGAATGCAAAATATACTGACAGCGAGATGTGGAACCAGACTTCCAAATGGCTTTTGCGGCTCGAATAGATCCATCTGAAGAGGGGGCATGTGAGTCAGTATTGCTCTGTTCATCGTGGCGATAAACTTACCCACTGGCTGATGTGATCGGTGAAATGTCGAAATAGTATAAGTTCTTGCGTTTGAAGATTAATAGGTTCCAATGCTTGCCAAGCCTGATCTTTTTCGCGAACCTGGTCCTCCCCAGATGGAATTCGTTCTCGTAGGTATGCGTTTCGCGTTTCGACTCTTGGCTCGCTTGTATGTGGCCCACACAACCTAGCTATGTCGTCAACCGTATGGGATACACTGTTGTCTCCCAAAGTCGTTGGCGATTGTATAGCGGAGTTACCAAATATGTTGGTGCCGCCTGGGTCGGGAAATGGTTCTGGTAAGGGTCCGTAGTTGATAGCCACGTCGCCAAGCAGAAGGTCAAGCCATTTCAACGTGAGAGATGCATCTGATGGACTTCCATATGTCATAGACATAGGGTGGTATGGAAGTTGGGCTGGTGATGGTAGGCCGTAGGCTATGGAATCGAGATAAGGGTAGGTCCTGTTTCCGTAGTCGCCATGCGACCCGAGGCTAGTTTGTGGCGACTGATAGATTTGCATATCCGCATGCCGTGCTTCATCTCCATTGCCGACATTAACGGTCTCTTCAGGTTGTGGACTCTCAATGGGCAACACATGTTCGCCTGACGGCATGTATATGTCATTGGCGCTAAGTTCGCGAGATTGATCATCTTGCTTCTCAAATGTTTGAGATTTTGGCGCAGTGGCATCGCTGGTTGGAGAAGCCGGTTGATCATCCAAACATATCTCTATGTTTTCAGACTCATCAAGCAAGTTTTCTTGGCTTGTTTGCCGACGAGTACGTCTGATCCCTGCTTGTGTTTTCGCGTACTCGCAACGAGTTTTCTTGCGGGTGCAGCCACCGCACCGCGGCTTGACCTCATCGCATTTGACGTGTCTTCTGCGACACGTCAAACTGAAAGGCTCTCTTGTGAGTATCGGGATGAGTATGGGTGCTTCGGTCCGAGCTTACTCACCATCCTGTTGTTCTGCGCAAACCCTTGCCACGCGAAAGTCGACCTCGAGTAAAGGAACGGGGCTCGTTGGTTGTGCTGCTCGAATTAGAATCCATTTTTTGATCACGAATAGGCCCAGATAAGAAAACGATCTTGTCGGTTGCATTCGTTCCAATGTGCTACAGCATGTCGGGGTGTCCATGTAATTGATCGTTAGACAAACGTGAGCAATCAGGTCTGGTCAAAGTACGGATACGGAGTAAAGCCATCACATTTGGCAAAGACAATCGTGCGGAATCTGGGTCGGAAGCCTATTACCCCGCACGATTTTGTCACTTGCAAGGACCCATAGCCATCATTAGCCCACCCTGGACATTACACTAAATTGGTCAGCTTTGGGGACTGGACTACGCTATCAGACCCACGTTGAAATGTAGATGATGGTTTACGTTTATTACCCATGTCAGATAGCTTTCATTAACTTTTCGGGCTACCTTTGAAGAGAAACAGGATGCTCGTGCTTCAAGACAGCTTTTCCCTGCCCCGACAGAAACCTACAGGCAATAAGGACATTGCAAAACCTTTAAACTATTGAAGATGGACATACATGCCACCGTCGACTAGCAGCTGGGCTCCCGTTACAAAACCACTCATCTTATCTGTCGCCAGGAACACAGCCGGTCCGGCCAGGTCCTCAGGCTTACCCACTCGACCCCAAGGAATGCGATGCTCCAGGTATTTGCGCTTCTCCTCGTTTGCCATATCATTATCCGCCAATTGAGTATGTATCGTTCCCGGCAAGAGAGCATTGACCCTGATCTTATCCTTAGCTAGCGCAATGGCCATGGACTGCATCATGGAGAGCAGCGCTGCCTTGGTAGGAGTGTAATGGACTTGCTGGCCGCCACCGAGCAGCGCACTGATGGAGGAAATGCCGATGATCGAACCACCCTTGCGCTGTGCCACCATTTGTCGAGCTGCAGCTTGGCAGGCGTAGAAGGCTCCGTTCACGTTGACTCGAAAGGATGTGTCGAACGTTTCCCTTTCGATGCTACCCTGCGTCAGTCATTGCTAATCCTGCCAAAGGTAGCCACCAGCACTTACTCGAGGAAATTGGACGCTTTGAAGATACCGGCATTGGCCACAAATATGTCCAATTGACCCCATCTTTCGACTGCCTGTGCAACAAGCTGTTCTCCCGTCTTGGGATCTGTGACATCCCCCGCCAATTCAAGGAGTTGGCCAGTTGGTGCACCAGCCGGTGCTTCCTTGCTTAATCGCGCGGCCTCGTCGATCAAGCTCTTCCGAAGAGGTTCGTCTTTGGAGAGGCCAAGATGATTGACGGCGACATTTGCGCCTTGACGAAGGTACTCAAGTGTAATGGCGCGGCCGATACCAGTTGTGCCACCAGTGATGGCAGCCGTTTTGCCGGCCAACAACCTAATTGCAGCGCTCATCTTGGTCGCAAAGAGCTCGTGGATGGATCGAGACTTGGATACTATAGCGGACGAAAGCCGGACTGCTTCTTTATCGATACGATTCAAGAAACTTTTGAGGTTTGAACAAACGCTGGCATGTGTCATGTCCAATTCACAAAGGAATCCTCTCTCTCCGCAAAAGAGGCCCGCTAACTAATTTGGACGCTAGTTGGATGGATATGCCGCTCCCTCGTCTCGAGGGCATTCACTCGGTGGGGCCAAGTTAGTGATTGTCTACTCATGGATGTGAATCCTTTCGAGGCGAGGGCAAAAGCACGGACCATCGCTTCTTAAATCACTCAGAGGTTCCATTATTCTTCTCCAAAAACACGGATTGACCTGGCGTGGGGAAATAATCAGGCACGAGCTGAGACCACTGACAGATCTTGGACGCTCAATCTTGTTCTATGCTGGGGTGTTAGTACTGTCTAATTGAACTGCCAGTCTTTATTACTTTATGATCACTGGTGCCTGTACGCGTCAGCGTTGATAAGAGTCGACCGGGATGCAGTTTTCGATGGAAAAGTGAAAATAAATCATAGGAATCTCAAGGAACATATTTTTTCAACCAGCAACTACAGAGATTCAATTCCAGTAGTCGCAGCATTATTGCCTCTTACTAGCAAATGTCAAGTCCACTGAAATGAATCAAATCAACATCAACGAGGCGAAATAGTCATTTCGAGTTGAAACATCTGACCAGGTTCTTCTCATAAAAGAAAACAATGATAAATACATGTTTCCCCCCTTCTACTATACTTGTACTCTACGGGAAAGTCTTGTCCAATTCTCCGTCGACATGGCTGTCCTAGGGTAGCGTGAAGCCTCCGTCAATGATCACGTTGGATCCAGTCATATACGTCGATGCGTCGCTAGCGAGAAAAGTGTACAACTGTGTGGCATATTGTTAGTGAAGTAACACTCCCCAACATCGAAAACGAGTTACCCACGCCTTTCAGCTCCTGAGGTTGGCATGTTCGACCACCTGGTACCTGACTCAACCATTTAGACATTAACTCTTTGGGTTGTTTGGTAATCACTGCCCTGAATTTAGCCCTTGTAAACCATATGAGTTGGGACGATTAATGGGCTCTCGACTTACTTTCTGTGTGAACATAGCCTGGTGAGACACAGTTGACGCGAGCAAAGTCTGCCCACTCGACAGCTAGAGACTTGGCGAGCATCAAAGCTCCAGCCTTGGAAGCGTTGTAGGCAGCCTGGGTCTGTGGTATATTGACCAGGCCTGCACTGACGGATGCTGTGATGATGAGACTTCCTCTTCCCTGCTTCTCGAATATCTTGCCGGCTGGAATTGAAGTCCACATTACCCCGTCGTAGTTGACTTTGTTAATGTAGTCCCATGTCTCTTCAGTATACTCGAGTGAGTTGACATTCTGGCACACACCAGCGTTCGCGACCATAATGTCCAAGCGCCCGTTGCCAAAGGTTGAGACGATCTCTTCAATGATGCTGGAAATTGCCACTCTGTCGGTTACATCTGACTTGAAGGCCTGGACTCTACGACCTGTCTTGTCCGCGATCTCAGCAGCCAAGGCGTCGGCAGTAGTGCTGGTGTGATAGATAAAGGCAACATCTGCTCCAGCTTCGGCGAGAGCGGTAACAACGTGCTGGCCGATACCTCTAGATCCTCCAGTCACGATGGCAGTCTTGCCAACCAGAGAGAATTGCGACAACACAGGGGCGTCGATGTTTTCTGGGAGATTGAGAGGCATGCTGGTGTTTTTCTTTTTCGAATGTTTTGTCGCGTGTGATGTTCATTTCACGCAAGGATACTTCAGCCCTTAAATGATTGCTCTGGGGACATACAGAAGTTCTCTAGACGAGTGGAGTGAAGATGTCTCCCGTCTTGATCATGAAGAGAGTCTTGCCCTCGTCACTATCTTTGTGACCAATGTGGTAACACAGAAGCGTTAGTTCTGTGTACATCGTATCTCGACCGCCTTGTTCCGGCGAGTGGTATTGGGAGAATCAATAGAGACATCGCCAGGCGGATCTTGTCGCAAACACCAGCGAAAGTCGTTTGCGGGGATGCAAGCTAGCTCGTGTTTTCCCTCGTCTCGAGGGCCGATGAAGCCGGGCAACGGGCAGTGTCCAATCGTTCATCGTTAGAGATCGGGGAATGCTAGCCGAGCTAGACCCCTGTGATACTTCCACGAGAAAGCCTGCTTTCTTCACGGCTTCTGAACCCCAGGTTATGGTCATTGAGGAGAAACTGGGGCCCCAGACATCGCACCACACCATCAGGACTGACCTGGCTGTATCGAGTCATAGCCTGTAATTCCAGATTTCTGTCTACCGGGTTGTCCGTGCTGGGATCGACCGGTATATATTTTCTCTAGGACGGCCCCTTTGTGATCAAAAACGTTCCTTCCTCCCTCGTCCCTCCTACCCTCCATTTCTTGTATATCTGCAATCATGGGATTCCTCACATTTAATCAGTCTAGGTCTTGGATGGTCGCCTCGAAGCTGCAAAAGCGTTCGCTCCTCATTGCAGTCAATGGCTTGGCCGGCATGTCCATATTCTTCTTCGGGTATGACTCCGCCACAAAACGAGGGAATAACGCTCAAGCTAATCTAACATTAAAAGTTACGATCAAGGGCTTATGGGCGGTGTGAATCAGAGTACTGATTACATCTATCGCATGGGCTTGGGTCATATTGGCCCGGACGGAAGCCCTGTTATCACCGAAACACTCCTCCAGGGAGGAATCATGGCCATATTCTACCTCGGTACGCTAGTCGGCTGTCTTGCAGGTGGTGCTTTTGGCGATAAATACGGACGCATTGGTACTGTTGGTCTAGGAGCCGCGTGGGCCATCTTTGGCGCTGCTCTTCAATCATCTGCTATGAACCCATCTTGGATGCTTGGTTCTCGTTTCGTTAACGGTATTGGAACTGGCATACTCAATGGTATCGTGCCAGCTTGGGCGTCTGAACTTGCCGACCATACGAGCCGAGGAACCTTTATTGCTATGGAGTTCACGCTGAACATCTTTGGCGTTGTGGTGGCATACTGGCTAGCGTATGGCGTCAGCTTCATCGATAACGGCGAGTCCGAAATCCGCTGGCGCTTCCCCATCGCTTTCCAAATTCTTCCCCTTCTGTTCCTTCTTGTCGTTTGCTGGGCGTTCCCAGAATCCCCTCGGTGGCTGGTTAAGGCTGGCCGAAACCAAGAGGCTCTATTTATTTTGGAACGCCTCCGAGGTACGGAAGGTGACGATGCTGGAATTGCTGAAGCTGAGTACAACGACATTCGCAATGTCATTGAACTAGAAAGGAGCTCCGAGAACACATCATATATCCACATGTTGTTTGGTATCAAGTCTGGAAAGCTTCACACAGGCCGAAGAGTGCAGTTGGTTATGTGGTTGCAAATAATCCAATGCTGGACTGGTATTGCTGGGGTAACCATGTATGGACCAAGTGAGTTTTGATCATTTCCTATCTTACGACTTATGCGGTATCTAACAACCCGACAGCCATCTTCCATATCGCAGGTTTCGGACCTGAGAAAACACAGTGGGTTGCTGGACTGAACAACATCTTCTACATGTTCTCAACCTTGATTTGCGTCTTTACTATCGATCGCATTGGTCGTCGATGGACTCTATACTGGGGTTCGGTCGGGCAAGCCATCTCCATGGCCCTCGTCGGCGGGCTTTCTCGTGGAGGCCTAGATGCTCGAGCAGACGGTAATATTAACGTTGCCAACCAGTGGGGAGCTGCTGCTGCGTCGATGGTGTATCTATATACCTTTGTATTTGGTGCTACTTGGCTCACTGTTCCTTGGCTCTACCCGGCTGAGATTTTCCCTATCCACATCCGAGCTAAGGGAAACTCTTGGGGTGTTGTTGGATGGAGCATTGGAAATGGGTGGGTATTCTTTCACCACACCAGAGAAGACTTTGTTACTGACTATTGATAGCACTCTTACTCTTCTGCTTCCCTACATTGTTAACGCCATTAACGAAAAGATGATGTACATCTTTGCTGCAGTCAACGTCATCAGCATCCCAATCGGTAAGTCAACTTCGATATCTGTGTAGACGCAACAACTGACAAAGCAACCCACTAGTCTATGCTTTGTACCCCGAATCCAACCAACGAACCCTCGAGGAGATGGATCTCCTATTTGCAGCTCCTACCCCCTGGGCCTGGGATGCGGAGAAGACCTTTGCAGCTCTCAAGGAAGAGATGGGTGGAGTGGGAGGGCTAAAGGGACAGGGTTATGATATCGAAGCCAAGGGAGAGCCCTTGCCCACCCAACATGTCGAGAGCAAGTAGCTGCTTACTAGCCAGGCTCCCAGGTCTTCTGACAGGGACTCTTGTTCGGTGATGAAACTGGATGGAAACAGTTTCAAGAACTTCATAGCAACTATGAACGTAGAGTTTCTGTCAACAGCAGACCGTATATCATATATACACGAGATTTATTGATCAGTTTCAGCAATTATTGAAAGAAAGTTTCTATTCATTCCGGCCTTGTCGCCACAGAGCATCTCAAATTTTAAGAATCTAGTAAAATCGGGTTTAATGATTGTATTGCTAAGAAATCGTGCATGACCACGCATGACCTATAATATACGACATCAGAACAACTGTGCGTAAAGGTTGGATAATATCAGGCCTGGGGTTTATTCCGCCCTGTGCGGAAAAGTCACTGGGCCAAATATTTCAAACTCAGTGCTTATTTGTTGAACATCATCCAACCAAACTTTGACCCAGCCTGGTGGATAGAAGTGACGTGTGTAGATCCCCTGTGAGATCAGCACCGGGGTGTCTAAGAGACAAACTAAGCTCCATCAGGATAGTCTATCTGCTAATACTTTAGCTAAGTCCAAATTGGCACTTATTCTCAAGGACGCGACAGGAGGTAAGTCTCCGCACCTCACGGAAATAAGATGAGGCTTTCGGTCGAGTTTCCGTGCACGGCTTAGCTCTTGAATTGATCATCTACTGGATCTTCACCATGAGGGGCCGCTCGGCCTTTAAACTCCACAGGATAGTCAGGAAACGCGACCTGCCAAGGTCAACTGCACCTTTTACATGACTAGCTACCGAGGTCTTTATGGAAAAGATCCAGTCACCTAGACACTTAAGGGGCCACGTAAAAAATCTCGAAATCCCTCTTTTAATGTTCTTTCTTCTTTCTTTTTTCTTTGCATTGTGAAACTTGGTTGCAATCCTCGTCATTCCTTTTACCTAGCCGATTCAACATGAGCTCTATTTCTGATTACAAGGTTGCCTCTATGGCGCTGGGGTTTTCCCTTGGTTTCGGGTTCTTGACTGTCTGGCAGGCTATCAAACAGACCAAGCGTAATCGGAATCCCCTGCGAAGTGCGTATATCTACATGATCTGGGGAGAAATTGCAGCGAACCTTGGACTCGGGATACTTGGCTACTTGTTCCTCAATGGAGTAATCCAGCCTGGGTATGTATTCATTCCTGCTGAACTAAGGGCTTGACAATCTAACCACAACAGTATCCCCATCTTCTTCTTCATTCTCTTCTTCTGGGTATTTGAGATCCAGCTGTTGATGCAAATTATCATCAACCGAATCAGCATTATCGCTGAGTCACAACGGACAATCCAAAAGTTGAAATGGGGCACCGCATTTGCCGTAACGTGCATCAACATTGCTGTCTTTTGCATCTTCATCCCGTCGCACATAGACCCTCCTGTTAGCCAAGGGTGAGTGATTCAAGTCTGGCGGTGCTCTGTTTCTTATGCTCACCATCGACAGTTTTGTTACCGTCAACAAGTACTGGGATAGAACCTCAAAGATTCTTATTTGTATAATTGATGCTGGTCTTAACTGGTACTTCCTTCGCATCGTTCAACAAAGACTTGTAAAGGAGAGTCGCCTTACAAAGTATCAACCGCTAGTCTCTTTCAATGCAAAATTGATGATTGTGTCGATTGCTATGGACGTAAGTTTGCATCTAATTCCCCTTTGGATCAATACTCACTCCATTACTAGATCCTTCTTATAGGCCTTATGTCGCTGCCCAACCAGACTGTCTTCATTCAGTTCCACCCCGTCGTTTACCTGGTCAAGCTCAATATTGAGATGTCAATGGCTGATCTAATTACACAACTTGCCCGGCAAAAGATGACCGACGAATTATACCCCTCCATGTCACATTCTGCGACCCCTAAAGCCCATACCCATCACGATATCGAAGATGGCCCAGACGAGAACACTCCAGGCTTTGGTGGATCAATACAGATGACACACAGGTCCAAAGCTGCGTCTACCTCGGAAGAGTCGTTGGACGGTATATCTGAAGTTTCAGAACCTTCTTACAAGGGCATCCATCGACGAATTGAAGTCAAGATCGAGTCAGGCCCAGGTGACCAGAATCAGGGGGTAATTAAGGGAGCCGTATTCGGCCCAGTAGAGGTTGATTTACAGAACGAGAGCCGCCCAAAGAGGAGTCACTACAAGCAGATAGAGCGTGGACAAGGTAAAGCTTAAAGAGTAAATTGCTTATAAACACTAAATAATATGTGTACTTTAGTTTAAACATTTATTTACTTTTCATATAAGTTAGAGTTTTTACTTGTAAGTTATCGAGAAGGATTGAGTAGAGCTCTATATGACTAATGTTTAATATAGTAAACCTACATAGTACGATTATTTTAAAATCTCCTAAAAGTAGAAGATTCTTCTGTCGAACTAGAAACATTATATGTCTGGTGACTAATAATAAAATGCTTAAGGATATAAAGAAATTACTGTAGTTGTTTTTCTAGGTATTTAAAAAGCATATAAACTTGGCTTGAATGCATTTTTCATAGTCCTATGTTAAATAAATGGACGTGCGAAGCTACCTAGCCTTATCCTAAAATAATTTCACACTAAGGATACCCTTCAAACGCTGCTTTGAAAAAGAACCTAAGAGCTACCCGCTCTGAGGCATTAATTAGTCTATAGAATATTTAATTAGCGAGATGAAATAGATCCCACTCCGACTCATCCTTCTTCTTAGGTAGATAGTAGGTTCATACAGTGCACTCAAGTTCTATGAATCCTTCGGCTTCAGATACGACGACAAAGTCTCTTAAAGGCTGATTGTCCGCCGCCGCCCTCTAAGCCGTTAACTATTTCAGCCTCAGTGACATATGTAACCATAAGATCTCCGGACTAAGATGTTTGGATGGCTGGTAAATTCAGGCGATTCCCTGAGCTTACTTAGGCAACCTACAATCTTCAAGATTCCGAGGGGAGATATCAGGAAGTGCTCAAGCCAAGGTGGTAAAGATAAAGAATTACACAGGCAAGGCAAGCTGTACGGTTGAGTGGCCGATGGGAGACAAGACGGGAAGTAATAATGTTTTTATCAATAGTTTAATTTCAAGGATTAAGATATGTAGCTTACTTATTTATGTAGCTTGCTTATCTATACAGCTCACTTGCTTATTAAGTGAATTAATACTGACTAATAATTAATAACTATTACGTAATATTAAGAGAACTTATCAATTGTACTGGTAATGTTTTGGTAAGTAAATTACTTAAAGAACTTTTAATACATAATAAATTAAAAAATTTAAATACTGGTAATTATCTACTGACTATACTAAACTTTTAGCTCTATATAGAATACAGAGCAGGATAAGTTAGATCATAGTAAGATTAGTTAGCTACTTATACTCCAGTAAGATTGAAATACCTCTCTCTATAGTATACCATTAGGGCAGAAGGTTAGGACTTATATCTCTAGGAAACAACAGGGATCCCTAACACAGTACGTTATTTCATAGAAAGGAATTACTAACATTAATAGCATGCTTACTCTAGATGACTAAGTGAACATTGTATAACCCCAGTCTTAATTCTCTCTCTCTTTTACCCCCGTACTTAGTCTGTATTCGTACGCAAGACAAGTTAGAAATCTATTCTTATTGGCTTGCCTTCGCAGAAAAGATCACATCATGTTAAACACCTGAGTCTTTTCTCTACGCTTGCGCATATCTAGCGTAAAGTTATAGTTCTCGTCACCCAGCGACTCGTATAGCCTCGTATAGACACTGACTCTACCACCACGTAGAGTGGAGCTGGCAATCACTTGTATGAATCAGCATAGTTTATGAAGGGCTGACAAGCGGTCTAGAGAAGAAAGCAAAGGACATGAGAGCCACAGGGGGTTGAGCGACAAAGAGACCTGAAAAGAGACCGGGTACACAAGGATGAGCAAAGGTCTATAAAGTCTACACCAGCTCTCCTCAAAACTACAATCTTCTCTCCCTCTATCAACCTTCCTGAGCATCCTTATTCTACCACTTATAGCTCACCCAACAAGGAGCAACTGTCTCAGCATGCTTTTCGCCCAGCTTGCCATTGCGGCTCTCTCCTTGCCTGCCACCTTGGCTAGTGCTATTCCCACCTCCCTTTCTCTTCCTCGACACATGATTACTGCCAAGGATGAGGTCATACCAGCCACTGAAGCTGATCCTGAATGGGTTGAGAAGCTGCGCAACCATCCCACGGTTGATGTGCCGAAACTAAATCTCATCGAGGGTAACGAGCCCAACATTATACCTACCTCCCCTGAGGAAGACCTCTTCGCCACAACTTCGAGAAACGAGCCGGGTTTGGTCTTGGAAAAACTGGAGAAGCGCATCCCAGTCCGATTCTGGTCTGATGTCCCAGTCAACACGTGCTGGAACATTGATTACCTCTCCCAAGCTGAGAAAGAAGCGTATTGGACAGACGTCCGTGCATTGATCAACCTTCTGCGCGCCAATGGACGGTCCAATTGGGATTTAGCTCCACAGACGTATCGTGAATACCCGATGACCAACCTTTTGTTGACCGTCCGCAACCAGAGCAGGTGCTGGCAACGTGGAGCCTTTTCGGATGACATGGCCATGATTGTTGAGGCAATCTACAGACATTGTACTGGAATGGGTGCTGGCTGGACTGCCTACACGTACAGAAACTCATTGAACGACCGAACTACCACTGTTGATGACTTCATTCTAATAATTCGCCCTCGACGGACTACAGTTCCTGGATATACTGCAAGTTGCATCTAGGTTCCTGCGCTGCGTACCTACAACGGTGGGCAATATAAGGGAATTTCGGGAAATGTGTCATTCCTGGAAGAATCGGCAATTTAATTTTTTGAGCCAACTAGATTTACTAGGCCTACCAATTCATGGGCAGAATCAAACTCTTACCTAGATTTGGCCCGCTTCAGTTTGACTCCACCTTGCACATTAGTACATAGGGTATTGTTTTGGTCTTTTCATTGGAGGTTTCTTTTTTTTCTCCTACAATTAGCTCCAGGTTATCCTGCGGGATGAGAAAGGTATACCTATATATCGTTTGGGACGACATGGCAATTACTTAGAAATATAACTTTGAGTGGGGTCTTACAAGCTTAATTGTTCGTGTTCTTTGCCAGAGTGATTCTTGGTGATGGCTCTGTACGGCATGTTTATGCTTGATAGAGCTCCAATGGATTTGAAGAGGTAGCAAGATTGGTACATAATACAGAGGAAGAATAAATAATAACATAAATTAAAGGCTAAGCAGGTTAAGATAACTCGCTTATACTTTTTGGGCGTATCTAGCACTTCTGCGAATGAGGAATTTACTCCAGAGCCAAACGGGAATAGCCAAAAAATACCCAAACCAAAGAAGAGCAGCCATAATGGCAAACTGCTTTACCGGGCCCATTGCCTGCATCCAAGGAAGCGAAGCGTACGAAACACTAAAAGCCAAGCAATTCTTCATGACATTTACCAATACTCCAATGTCTCCAGTCCGTGATGGCATGCTGTTGGCAGAATACGTAAGGAGAACGTTAGCTGAACCGGTCAGCCCAAAGGCAAGAAGACCCCATCCAACGCAGACCATAACCCAAGAATCGGGATGTCTCAGTCCGTATCCAAGGATCAAGCACCCAGAGGGACTGGCAAGTGCACCTAGAGCCATTACAGGTAATCTGCTTCTTGGATCCGGCTCTCTGGTGCCTCCACGTGTGGATCGAATAAACAAGAGATCGGCAAAGTAGCCACCAACGGGAAGACCAACAAGGAGACCAATAAGAGCTGAGACGTTGATCAGGCCGATCGAACGCGAATTCCACAACAATGGAGGAGATGCATAGACAAAGGAAATGATTATAGAAATGATGACTGTCCAGCCAATGGTCAGGCCAAAAACATAGACTGTAACCAGGACTTGTGGTGCAGATAACAGCTGGAGGGGCTGAACGAGACGAAGCGGCATTTCTTTCCAACGTAATGGAATATAGTCAGCGCTGAAAGATCTTGACATCCACTCCTTCCCATGGTTGATGGAGGGGGTCGTCTCGGTTGTAGTCTCGGCAAGTGAAGGAGTTCGAATATCCTCGATCGATGTGGCGCTTGGCTTTTGTCCCGTATTATCGTCATCCGAGACAGTATTTGCAGACACATTGAGTTCACCTAAATCGTGAGTCGTCTCGGGCAACATCAGAATAGACGCAATGAGGTTTGCGCCTGTCAGAATAGAAAGTATCCTGAGGTACCACCTCCAACTTCCCAAGCCGACTCCCACTGCCCCCGCAACAAGGGGTCCGATTGCAGAGCCCGCTGCAAGAAAACCCACGTATACAACCATGGCTCTGGCAAGCTGATGGGTGGGGAATGTCTCTGCGACGATTATGGGACCGAGGGCCTCGACCAGGCCACCAGCTAGGCCACCGAGAATGCGTGAATTGCGCAAGGAATCGTAACTGGCGGCTTCAGCGGACCAGATGTTGCAAGCGATAAACAGGACGAGCGACCCAAGGACGGTGAATCTCTTCCCAATAAGTGATGTCATGGGGAGGGCAAAGAGATTCTGTTATAATCAGTCTCTTGGCCCGGAGTGGAAGTAGAGCAGATGGGAAGGATAAATTGTGAACTTACAGAAAGACCAAGAGATAACAAAGCGTATGTAACCAGAGCTGAAGCCTGAGATTGGGAGCAGTGCAAGTCTTGAATGATCAACCCAAAGATTGGAGAGAGGCCAGAGCACCATGCGTTTCCAAGAAGATTGTATACACTGACGTTAATCAACACCGAGACACGCCACCACAGCGGCCATTTCTAGACAGAGATCATTAGCGTTTGCGAAGAAAACCAGCTGTGATTAAGGGGAGACAGAGTCTTACAAATGGAGAAATAGACATGATGAAAGAGAACTCAGGACTATCACGATTGAAAGTCTTGGAGAGTAGATGGAAGATACAAAGCCATCTAGCAGAGTAACCCATGCAGTGGAATACTTTATGTATTTGTCATTTGCTACTCCTTCTACTCCCTGTTACATTACATGAGCTATTAAGAGGCCCTGGACCAGGGTTTCGGTAGTGAGCCGTTCCTCCCCGCTGTTGTCCCGAATCCTTCGGCATCGATTCAGATGTTTCCCCAGACTTGACCCCGCACAATCTCATTCGGGTTAATTAATGATCTCGTAGGAGCGTCCGCGCGTCGCTTCCGACGGTCTAGGGACTTCCCATAGAAACTGCCATCTATACTATTACCTCATTTATTAATTTACGCAGCATTTACTTATTTCCCCATCAAGTTCAATGCTTCGTCTCAGGGCTACTGACTCTATTAAGTATACGCAAACAGGGAGCCCAAAATAGCTAGTGAATGAATAGTGATTGTTGTAGCAGCAGGGTTGAGAATACACAGGTTTGAAACTTGACTTTTGTTCAATTCAAAGATAACATATCCCGAAGATAAAAGTGGCTAAATAATTACTTGACAAAGTGACTATAGTGCAATCGACTAACTAGGGAAAGTAATACGCTTACTCCGACACGTAGGTCTCTACATCAACTCCTTCGGCTCGATAGAACCCCAACGCCTTAAGCATTGGCTTATCATCAAACCTATAGAGGTAGACAGTATTATCTGCGTCTGCAAAATGTTGATACTGGTGCCACGATGGAATGCAAAACGTGTCACCTTGCTTCCAGTGTAGAACAGCGTCCCCAACCTTGGTCAAGCCGGAACCTTCGACAACATGATAGACAGCAGAGCTGGTCTCCTGAGTTACTGATGAATCGGCTCCCGGTAGCAATCTCTCAGCTGATGCGCCGATAATTCTGCCAACTGTTGATTTCACATTAGTTATCAAAGTTTATAGCGATCGATCTTGGTACTCACTTTCGGCCCCACTCGGCTTGAGATAAGGCTGTGAGACCCAACTCTCAGGACTGGCGTCTAGCTTGGTTTGCATCTTGACCCAAGGGTAGACGATGTCAGACTCTTCAAAGTCTTCAGCAGGATACCTTGCCGCAGTATGATGTTCCACAAAGTGCACCGGAAAGTGGACAAAACTGGGAAGGTCAAGTCAATCGAGCCAGATGGCAGGTTGGTCATCTCCACCCTCCTCGTCAGCGCCTTTCTTGCCATGGTCGTGCCAGTTCCATGTGGGAGTAACTATGAGATCCCGAGCCTTCATGGGGACTCTCTTGCCATGGACTGCCGTGAACCCTCCATGACCCTCGATGATAAATCGACAAGCAAAAGCTGTGTGCCTGTGTGCGGGTGCAGTTTCCTTGGGTTGCACCAACTGGAGACCGGCATACAAGGTATCGGTTGTGTAAGGTGCCGCTGGGTTTCAGTCATTAGTAGATGCCCGGTCGCAGACGATGAGCTGCTCACCTCGACCTGGGTTCTCAAGCATCAAGACGCGACGCTCAGCTTGCTTTTCTGTAACCAGCTGTCCTGCCTTGAGAAGAAATGGCCTGATACGATCATAAGACCAAACGTGAGGGACGGTCTGGGGATTGGGCGCTGGTGGGTTCAGACGTTGCATCTGGGCCCAGAGTGGCGCAGTGTGGGTGGCCTGAAGAGCGTTAACCAACTCCTCCGAGGTCTGGAGTGACTTGGCCGCGGTGACACTGTCAACAGCACGAGTGTCATCGGGTACAGTGGTATTTGCAGAAGGCATGTTCAAAATGGACTGGTTGAAGTTTCTATGTGTTTGTTTGCTGGGCTGGGTAATGGCAAAATTGGTTCTATTAAAACTCAAATATTTAATCCTTGATGGATCTAGTCTAGTCTTGTAGCTGGCAGGTTATGGTCATCGTCTGGGCCAACCCTTCCGAGATTCGGTGGGGCCATGGGTGAGCAACCGACTCCGGGGCACCATCGGGAGACCTTCCCATTAACTCCGGCATGTCGCTGCCGGGGTTCATACAAAAACGAATAAGTTATTCACCCGTCAGCCATTGACTACCAATCACTCACTGGCAGTTTGATAACTTGCAGTTACATCCCCTGGAAATACTAGCTCTCAGGCCTTGACAACCTGAAGATCGTTACAATGGTGGTGTCAAAGAGAGATAAGGTTCCCCAGCTGGTCTGTCCCTTACCTCCCTTTGATTCTAGAGGCTCATTTCATTGACACCTAATGCAGACCACCGCATATCCATCGCAATCCACAACCATGCTTGAAAGGCTTCATCGGTCGACTCAGCATGTTAATGGAGATACTTCGCGCCTCAAGGCCCAAGTTGAGCTACGTATCCTCGTTGTTGGTGCTGGTCTCGGAGGTCTAGCTACTGCGGTTGCCCTCGCACGTCGAGGTCACAAGGTGGTGGTTTTGGAGCAGGCAGCCGCATTGGGTGAGGTACGTATCGAACAGATGTTAAAAGAGGAACAGCACAGTAACCAATCCTTGTCATCCAGGTCGGTGCTGGCATTCAGATCCCTTCGAATTCTTCCCGATTACTCCTGAGATGGGGCATAGGCCCTTACCTCGAACAGTACGCCGTCAAGCCAGAAAGCATGATGTTTCGCAGGTGGAAGAACGGAGACCCCATCGGCTACACGAGACTCTCACCAGAATTTGAGACAACCTACGGTGCACCTTACTTTGTTATCCATCGTGCTGACTTCCACCGTGCTCTTTGTCGCCTAGCAGAGGACCTTGGTGTAGAGATTGTGACTGGCAGCAAGGTTGTCGAATATGATGAGGTGGCACCATCGGCCTCAACATCCGACGGCCGTGAGTACAGTGCCGATCTTATTATCGCTGCTGACGGTGTGAAGTCCTCTGCTCGATCGGTTGTCCTTGGAGGTCCCGATTTACCAGCTCAAAGGACTGGTTTCGCTGCATACCGAGCTACTGTGAATACTGAGGACATGAAAAGCGACCAAGACACTTCTTGGCTCTTGGAAAAGCCAGGTATTAATATCTGGTACGGACGCTGAGAATTAAACTTTGGCCAGACGGGATGACTAATGTTCTATCACAATAGGATTGGAGAGGATCGCCACGTTATGACCTACTGCATCGCGGGTGGTAACTCATTCAATCTTGTTTTGTCCCATGTGGACCACTCATCACCAAATACCTGGAACGCTGAGACCGCACTTCAAGACATGCAAGACTCATTTCGTGACTGGGACCCTAAGTAAGTTATCGTCGCCCAATTTACCATCATAATCTAATTATAATCTATAGATTACAGAAAGTGATCAAAATGATCAAACAAACTATAAAGTGGCCTTTGATGAACGGTAGTCGATTACAGACTTGGATCTCGAGGAGCCAAAAGCTGGTCATTCTTGGTGATGCAGCCCATGCCATGGTGCCATACATGTCCCAGGGCGCTGCAATGGCTGTGGAAGACGGGGCTGCTCTCGCTGCAGCAATATCGGAGGCCACCTGCAAGGAGGAAGTGCCAATGGCTTTGCGGGTGTTTGAGAAAGAGAGAATGCAGCGAAGCTATGGGATGCAGTCTGCCAGTCTGGTCAATGGTAGACTGTGGCATTTCCCAGATGGCCCCCTTCAGCAGGCTAGAGACTTGGGAATGAGGGCAGAGGTTGAAGGGAGGCCATTCGTCGAGAGTACGAACCAATGGAGTGACCCGGTAACACAGCTTTGGGCCTATGGATACGACGCAGAGCAGGCTATTGAGAGTCTTTGGAGGAGTGAGAGGAGTGGCGTGGATAGTAGACTATAGCTAGGTCTAGTTTCTCTACATCGGTAATTCTATGCTTTTCCAATATATGGGAATGAAGTTACCCAATATTGAGCAGGATTGTTAAGTTCCTTTGACTATTCACGTGTTGGAAGTGGCGGTATAAGTGAGTATCTACAACCATATCCTGGTAATTCCATTCGTCTTTCAACTCAGATGTGTGTCAACAAGCCTCCAAGAGGTCATTTCTCTATCACCATCAGCGGTTCATCTCGTATCGTTAGCTCTCTTAAGCTCAAGTACAATAACTTCATCGTACGAGACTTAGGGAGGAGAGCTATACAGACTTGACTGGCAGTATTCCAAATTTACGTCATGATTAAACCAGGACATGTTGAATGTTCAATGTCATATCTATCTTTCTACTATAATCCGACCAAGATCACCCCCAATGCTCCTCATAGCTACGAGGTCCAAGTCTACTCAAACTCTACGCCATTTCTCAAAGTTCCAATGTCGGTGATTTTGACTTCCATGTGTGTTCCTGGCACAAGATACTTGGGTGGCTTCAACCCAGCACCAACTCCTTCACATTGATTCGATTAGCTTCTCGCTGGGTAATCGAATGAAGTTATAGACTTACCACCAGGAGTACCAGTCATGATAACACTACCCTTTTGCAGCGTGGTCCCGGAAGATAGGTGGGCTATCAGATATGGGATAGAAAAGACAAGGTCGTCCAGTTTGGCGTCCTGTCGTACCTGCCTGTCAACAATTGTCTGCAGGTGAAGGTTCTCGGGCGATGGGATCAGGTCGGCCGCAACTAGCACAGGACCTAATGGGGCAAAGGTATCAAACCCTTTCGAAAATCCCCATTGCGGTACGCCACCTGCGAGATTTGGATCTCTCTGCCATTTACGAGACGAAATATCGTTTCCAGCTGTGTAAGCAGCGACATATTCAAGAGCTTCACCCTCCTGGACATTCTTGGCGTCTTTGCCAATTACTACCACCTAGACAAATTAGCAATTAAGAAGCGTATTGGCCGGGGTGTCCCATTACCAGTTCCCCTTCGTAGTCTGCCTGTTCATCCTGGGCTACCTTTGGGATCACCACATTCACGTCATGACCATGTACTGTTGTTGGTGGCTTGAAGAAAATAGATGGAAATGGCGGGGTTTTTCGGCCAGCTTCGCGAACTGTTCAATAAATGTCAGTCCATTTCTTGAAAGGTCTCGGCGTGCTATAAGGCTTTGACGCACTGTGAGTGGCATAGTTTAACCCAACACATCTTAGGACGGGTACATCGCCAGGCGTCAGGGGTCCGAGGAGGGTTTTGACAGTGACAACCTCTTCTGTGACCCGCGTCGCACCAGTTGTGTCGTAAATGTCGTCTCCATCAATCACACGAGCCTGAAGGCGCGTCTGCTCCACCGTGTCTCCGATGTCGAATTCGGGTGTAGGAAGTATGGGCTCTCCTCTCAAGGTGCGCCCGTCTGTTGAGACAAATCGAATCAGTCGCTGCCAAGCTACCTTCATTTTGAGTTCGTGGTGTATTACGGCGAGATTCTTCTTACTCATGATCTTAGCAAAGACGTATTGATATGATATGTTAGACTATTACACTCATCGGATTTTCCGGCACTCACTTCCCGATGCTTCCCCGTAGCGGAGCAATGTGAGCAAACACTTAAATTTTGATTGGTTGATGGTGAGACAAGTCGTCATGTTGAACCAGGGCTAAGGTCGAGACCTTGCGTGGGCTTTCATAGAGTTCGCAAGGGTAGGATCGGTAATTAAAATATGGGGTAAAGCGGAGTAGGCGTCGTACAAGCCTGACTACAAGAACCGGCCCATCCCAATGTTGCCCCGGCCTCTCCTTCATCGTCCCATTTCCCCAGACCATGACACCTGAGGAAGAATCCCAATCCGAATCGGTAAAGAACGGGAGTCAATCCCAGCACCGAAAAGCCAACAATGTGGAGCCAGCACCCAAGAGACGCAGGGTTGCGTTAGCCTGTTCAGCATGTAGGATCCGCAAGTCAAGGGTGAGACAAGCAAACATGTAGTGATCAGTCTTGACTAACCGGTCTTAGTGTAATGGAGTGCGCCCAAGATGCGATGCATGCGAGAAGCTAGGTTTTGAATGTCTGTATGAGCAGCAAGAAACGTCGGCCAATCTTCTCGTCCCAAAGGAGTAAGACCCTATTGTGGCCTTTGTCTTGTCTTACCCTACACTTGTGTGCAAGGCTGACTCCGTTTGCTTACTCAGTCTGTTCGCCGCCCTAGAGGCAAAGGTTAATCTTTTAGAAGCCAATGTTCACAAACAAGATGGAAGGCTCACTCTGGTCGAGAACTCCATTTCCAAAAGTGGTGGCATAAGGCAAAATGACCTAGATACGCATCAGCCAAAGTCGGGCGATGTGGTTGTGAATATTGATAGAATGGAGGAGAATAGCGCTGATCAAAGCAACACGGATGGCATGGCCGTCTCGTTTGTTGATGAGCAGGACTGTGGATTCTTTGGTAAGCGAAGCGATTTCGGGAGAAGTCAATATTGCTATTGATTGAAAAGGTGACTAATATTATACGACTTTGCAGGACCGTCGTCGAACATCGCGTTGATGAGGCACATCCGAAAAGTCATAGACCTTCATAGGCCACAGAACTGTCAGCCCTCATCTCGAACCCCAGGTTCAGAGTTTAGTGTCTATGAGGGTGGCCTGATAAGCAGCTCAAGCACATTGCCCCAGATCTCACAACACTCATCGAAGGATATACACACATTGGGGGTCAATCTCTTACCCCCGGATGAGGTGATGAAACGTCTAATCAATGCATACTTTGCCAATACAGGACTTTTATTCCCATTTATTCATCAGCAGGAGTTTCTAGACACATATGAACGTTTCCAAGCAAGTGGCTTTAGGACTGACGTTCGTCGGACCTGGCTAGGCTTACTAAACATGATACTTGCTATGGCCACTTGCACATCTTGCTGGGAAGACTCTGGAAGCGAGACACACTTTGAGGAATCTGACATATTCTACCGCCGAGCTCAAGAGCTTTGCCAAACACAAATGTTCCGAGGTACCACGCTCGAGATAGGTCAGTGCTCACCTTCCGGGAAAAACAACAGAAGAAGGCCCCATAGAGATCTTAAAGCTGACTTGTAGGAGTGCAATTTCTTTTGCTTACGAGCCAGTATCTTCAAGGTACTCATAAGTCAGTTCATACTTGGACAATACACGGCCTTGCCGTAAAAGGCGCTATGTCTATTGGACTACATTCAAGAGATATTGCCTCGAAATTCACTCCACTTGAGCAGGAGATCAGGAAACGCACATGGTTTGGGTGTATCTTGCTTGATAGGTTGGCCTCTCTTCTAAATAGCTTCGTCATCACGTGTTTTAATAGTGATGGAAGCAACACCCTATGGTTGACAGGCTGACAATACCGCACAGAAGCCTCAGCATGACGTTTGGGCGTCCATGTTCAATTCCAGAAGAATACATTCGGCTCGACCTTCCCAAGCCATTACCACCATACGCCTCAGCTTCTGACGAGACGCAGCAGCTGAGCACCGCATTTTACAATGCATCAATGTTTGAATACCTTTTAATCCGATAATTTTAAATACTAGCCACTAACTCAGCTTAGACAATTGTACAGAATTATGGGCAAGATAATCGTATCTCTCTACGGCAGCAACCTCGGATGTGAAGATAAATCGTCAGATACTTCAACCATGACATCCATCATTCAGTTTGGACAAGAACTCACAGACTGGCAGAACAGCTTGCCCCATCACCTGAGCCTACATAGCGCGGATGAACTTCCACAATTCTCAGAAGCAGATATGCAAAATTCGACAATTGAACGCTTTCGAATCATCTTAACACTTAGACATCTCAACGTTCAGCTTCTCCTTCACCGTCCAATGTTTATCAGATCGCTGGGTGCCTTACTTAAAGATCCTAAGATGCCACACAGAAATGCTGGGTCAGTCAATAGCATGCAGGCCAGTTTCGACAGGGTATTTGTCCAAGTGGCAGAGAGTACGATAGATATCATATACTCGGTACTTACAAGACCTGATCATGGTCGCCATTTGATTGGCGCCTGGTGGTTCACACTTTATTATGGTCAGTTCATTTTCCCTCCATTGACATTAGGGAGAGTCTGACATATTCTAGCCTTTAGTGCAGCACTGGCTGTTTTTGGAGGCCTATTGATCTCACTTGACTTGGAAGACGAATTCAATAGGGCCAATCGCCTTGACAAGGTAAAGAAGTATCTGAACAAAGTTTCCGAGACTCTTTTGAGACTCAGTAGCCAAAACGTTATTGTGTTACGCTGCTTCAACTTCTTACAACAGCTCACCAGGATAGTCAATGCCTGGGGTATGTCTTGAAGCCATTCCCACATAATGATTAATCTTAACAGTGTCGCGCAGATTCAAACCCTCGTCAAGAACAAAATTCCGAAAGTTAATATCTAGAGTCACACTCATTTGCAGCAGGTTCCTTTGACCTTGAGGCAGATTTGCTCTCCACTATGCCCACATGGGAAGGCGCTGCACTCGGTCTTGGTGATGAGCTTGAGCTGGGACATTTCTTTGCCAGCGATTCACAGAGGTGGTTCGAGCGAGCTCAGTGGTAACAAGGTGGATAATTGTAATAATATTATGTCCAGATATAAAACTGGCACGACAGGATAATTCCTTTCCGGTCCCTGGCACGTGCATTTAGTGTAGATCCATGAAGGTGAGTTGCTCAAATAGGAACATTGTAACCGCCCCCGCCCCAAGACTCGGAGATTTAACCTGCTTTAATGCCGTTGGATGATTAAGCGGAGGTTGCAGTCGCCGTGGGGCTCCAAGCTTTATACTCTTGTCCCCGCATTCGTACATCGACGCGCCAGCAATTAGACAGCGACGGGGCATCATCGGCAGCACACTTCTCATTCCATAAACCACAGACACTGGCCCTTAATAAAAAAGCCATAATTCCTTGCCTTCCACAAATAAATTCCAGAAACTGTCAGAACACGGTCAACTCCATTCAGAGCTGGTTAATTTTCTCTATTATATCTTTATTCTAACCTTGTCATCGACAATGTCTCAAGAAGTCACACCAGGAGGCTACCATTGGATCTCAGATGCCATCAACAGCCTCGATCCTGAAAAAGACTATGAGCTCATGTGGCGTCTGATGTCTTGCTATCGATCGTCGGACTTTATGAACAACATGATATACGCCCTTACATTCCCCAATTTCATTATTACAACCCACGGTGCCCAGACTGTTTGGCGTTCAGATGGCGGCAAAGTTATCAAACGAGGTGCCCAACGCGTCGAAGATACAGAGAATTACAACATGACTTGGTGGCATTATGGCCCCAGCGATAACCGATGCCGTGAAGCCGTGGAACAAATCAATAATCTCCATGCCTCTCTCGCCCGGCGATTTCCAGGCAACTTCTCGTACAATGAAGATTTCCTATACGTCACAACATTTAGTGCGATTCTAATGCACCGCCTTCGGCTTCGACTCGGTTTATCTGGTTTCACAGAGAAAGAGAAGGTCGCCGCTCATCACTTTTGGCGTGACATGACGCCTCTCTTTGTCAAAGAGGATGGTAGCTCTATCCACGGTTATCCGGATGACTTCGAAGGCTGTATAGACTTCTGCGAAGCCTATGAGAGTACCCCACGCGAGTTTGATGAAAGAATGCAGCACATCGGTCTTGCAATCATGAATCAATTTGCGTTTCGCTACTTCCCCCCTGGACTCCGCTGGCTAGCGATTTCCACTGTGCAATCTCTCTCGCTTGAGACAACACTCGAAGCAATGCGAATCAAACCAGTGAATCCAGTTCTTAAGTATATTCTTGTCTTCATTGTTGGAACTTTAATGAGTTTTGCTGAGACGTTTCTGCCTGATCCCAGGGAATCGTTCTGGAAGAAGATTGAGACCTTAGACGCACAAAAAGCCAAGTCACGGAAAGCGGATATCAGAGAAAGTGACAAGGCATATTGTGAATACATCCGAGACAAATGGAGTGCTCAAGGGTGTCCATTCCAGATGAAGGCTGAGTGACAGAACGTATCAAAAGAAATGGGAATGGGAAGTTTTAGCAATCTGAGTCAATTCTCTAGTGACACATAGCCTGCCATGGAATGCCGCTTCTGTGGCCTCTTGATTAGCCTTTCTTAGCTTTACTCACCCTTTTGGCTAAGCTGTTAACCACGGTCGCTCTTGTATTCATATCTGCTCTAATAGTAATTGTATATTAGAACTCTACTTCCACATGTTCACATCCACCTCAGTGATACCAACCTCTCCTGTAGTAAGGCATAGACTTACAGGGTGGCAAATAGGAATAAAATGAATGTAACACAATCAATTAATAATATACCACCTTGGAATATATCGATATGTACTTCTGCAAGTAACGGCCTTGATGCTATAACTATATTGAAGGTCTTTGTTTTAACAAGTATTTTCGTTCATTCTCCTTAGATGATATGAAAGGCGAAAGGTTAATAAGAATTAAGTCTCTTTCGAGAGCATGATATATTCATCAAGTCCTAGTTTAGATAAAACTCTGGATCGTAGTCTTGAAGTCTTCAGGTTCCCTTCCCAATAGTTCCTTCAGCAGTGGAGAGACATACGCTCCTTCGCCTCGCCTGAAAGCCTCAAAAGCCGTTGCCCAAGGCTTAGAAAGATCAACGCCGTGATAGGTAAAGTTAGGAGAAACATCGGGCTGCGTCGCGAATTCTTCGTCAGAAACCTGCTTGATTTGAACATTCACCTTTGCGATCTCCCCAAGGATCTTGACCGTTTCTGCCAAGGTCAACGTATTCTGTCCGGACAGAAGAACAGTCTTGTTTTGCCACTGGAACTCTGCTGGGTCCTTGACAAATCGCGAGATGAGCTCGGCTGTGCCTTCTCCGAGTTCCTCCCTCTTAACCCACGCAATACCAGGCCCCGATCCATCGTGGGGAATCTTGACCTCCTTTCGAGGCTGCGCAGGGTCAAAGAAGGAAGTGTACAGGGGGTATGATTCGGAATACAGGCCCTCGCGCACGATGGTATAGGCAAAATCAGCGTGGTTTTGTCGACATTCCTCCAAATACTTCTCAGTATCGAGATGTGCTTGCATGACGTGCGCCACGCTTTCTTTGCTGTCTGGTGACCCAGCGAAGCCTAGAGATCCGTAGAAGATGTACTTGACCCCACTCTGAATAGCAGCATCTATTGCAGCTTTATGGCGCTTGTGGTTCTTTGAGTCAGCTATGAAACAGTAAACGGGAGCAGCGGTGAGTGTTTAACTCCTTACCTGAGATCTGTATTCATGCTCAACAGAGGCATAGGAGATCAGAAAAAGTACACTTATGCCATTGAATACGCTCTGCAGTGCAGAATCATCGTCGTAATCTGCTTGACGGACCTGGGCTCCGAGGGCTTTGGCAGAATCAAGCTTATCGGGCTGGCGGGCAATAAGGACAAGACTTGCTGGAGGAACACGTTCCAAAACATGCTTGACAGTACCGCCCCCAATGCCACCAGAGGCGGGAAAGATTCCAACTGTGTGAGAAGAAGACATTTTCAATGATGATCAATTGTTTTGATTTGGATAGACAATATTTAGTTGGATGGGGGACATAGGTAACTGTTTTATACGCACTATATTACGAAACTTTTATAATGGGTTGTAATTACTCAGCTACAGGATCGATTTCAAGTCCTTCCCTATACTACTATTAGTTGCCCTGCTTATAAAGATTCAATCTACTACAATATGACGAATCCACTAATAACGAGCTGTATGATGACAAATTAATGATGCTATAACGGCGACCGCTAAACGCACGGGTCCCGTTGCGGATAAGATTTTATAACACGGCACGGGTCCCGGTGCGGATAAGATATTTTACAACACGGCACCGATCCCGATGTTAAAAAGATAAATTATTAACATAAAGGTAGTAGACCAATCAATTCAATCAGTAGGTAGGTTCAATACTATATTATAGAATCTTTAGGGCACCTACATACTATAAGGGCCCTATAATAATTCTACACCGGCTTATTAATTCAGCATTACATAAGTAATTTACCTTATTTAGACCGGGATCAGTGCCGCGTTATATGGCCAGCTATGACAACATTGTGGAGATGTATTAGAAACTTGAAAAATTTCTGCACCCGACTAGACTAAAATCAATCAACTGCGATATGATTTGTTAGTTTTAAAATATGTAAATCCAGTTCAGTATATCCCAAGAATAGAGGCGTCCTGTATAGAGTTGGCATTGGGGATGTTCGTTTTCCCTCAGACTACTTGTAGAACAAATAGGTATTGGTCTCCCCTACAGCTGGCAAAATCGCATTGAAACTGATTTTAGCTGTTGCAAATTCAGCGGCGAGGTTTTTAGCAGCCTACTTAGCACGTTATTTATTGTCTTAATACTAGATGTGACATACCGAATTGACAGCACCCTTGTTTGCCGCGTTTGGCATGGACTACGTTCCTACTCCAGACAAGTTCCTTGATGTTAATATTCAAGCCTCGCGCATACGGCCGTAAATTACCAATCCATCGCAACCTGTAAGCATAATATGCTGTGAGGGGGATCCCTAAAACACAAACATAGGAAAGTGGCAAACAAGGGTCTGCTATCTGCTTCCGGTGCAGTAACGGAGTAGACTTACTCCGTACATAATTAAGGATACCCTCGCTGGCTCGGTGGGCAGCCCATATTAATTGTAGCACAATCGAATCGGATCAAGGCACTCATCTTGGTGGATATTCGGGTAGGAATAGCAGGGTTCTATCCGGTGGATACGGGTACGGAGTGGATAAGCCATCTAAAGTATCCGGTGGCATATTCGGATGCATCCGGCGGGATGATCTATTGCGGACCATAGCCTCTCAACTAACTCCTAAATATCACGTGCAGAATCCTCCAGAACGGTATCACACATAACAATTGCAAATATAATAGAACTCCTCCTATAGGCGATTCGGATGGTAGGAATTCTTTAAATCACCTGGAATTACTCTCTTGTAAAGTTCTTATACCCCAGCCAAGCACACAATTATACACCAATAATCACCAAACAATTGAAAAACAAGACAAAAGAAGCATTGTGGCTTTCCCTATGTCATCCCGACCAGCCCCTGAAAAGATTGCCTATCAAGGTCCTCCACTGCCAAACGTTGCAGACGACCTCGTTGTGCATAACGTGGTGCAGCTCGACTTCGAAGAAAAGCTTTGGGTTCCCCAAACCAAAGATGTATGGTTTCGTCCCTTGCTTTTTAATGTCAGCCAGGGCTACTTCATCAATCTCTTACGAGTTCGAAAGAGCGGTATCTTGTCGCGCCATAGGCATGCCGGCCCCGTTCACGCAACCGTATTGAAGGGTCGATGGCACTACCTGGAGCATGAATGGTGGGCTGAGGAGGGTAGTTATGCTTTCGAGCCTCCTGGAGACATCCATACTTTGGAAGTACCCGAAGGGGTCGAAGAGATGATTACTCTCTTTCATGTAACTGGAGCATATATCTATGTTGACCAGCATGGCAACCCGGAGGCAGTCGAAGATGTTTTCAGCAAGTTGGAGCTTGCTAAAGAACATTATAAGAACGTCGGGCTTGGTGAGGATTTTGTCCAGCAGTTTATACGCTAAGAGTATACATGCGTATTTTGTTCTGTTATTTCTTGCCTGTTTTAATATTATATTTATGTTATTTGTAGTATGTTCTCTTATCGGTGTTTGGAGACTTTCATACTCAGCTATTAACATTTTATTATAATATATTTTTTTGTCGTGGCTGGTGTGGGATAAGCGGGAAAACTATTATTCCTTTGCTTGGTAATCCCCAACTTTTGTAGAACTCACTTTAGTTACCCCCTTAAAAAATTCTAATGCACTTCTGTCTGGTTGATAATCAGTATGCCTTAGTAGTTTGTTTTTACCTGTCCCGGAACCATTTGATATCAAACATGCAACATGGTCCCGGTCGCATCTGAGTCATGGTCGAACGATACCAACGAACAGCGCCCTAGGAAACGAGTTCGCATGGCCTGCAATAGATGTCGACGTCAGAAACTGAAGGTATGCTTTATCTATTATACCCTTGTATTGCTTCCGACGAGCACCTCTGCTTGCTGGTGTCATGCCAACATGAAAACCTACTGGGTTAACAAGCCTGCCATCCCAGTGCGATACCAAGCGACCTTGTGCCCTTTGCAGTCGCTCGGCCGTTGAGTGCATCACAGACTCCCGGGATCTCCCCTGGTACGTTCAAGGATAAGTCATTTATCTTCCATACTCTTATTGTAACACACAGTGAGTATAGGCACAAAGATCAAGATAGAGACTCTGCTGTTGATAGCAGTGGATCACCGGCAAAGCTTTCCTCAAGAACTGATCGAAGATCACCTGAAGCTCTTCTGCCCAATCCGGGATTGTTGAAAAGACCGTGTCAACAGACTTCTTTTCATGAAACCAGCCAACTAGATGAGAATACAGCGGTTCCTTGGAGCTATTCCCGAGATACCTCAGCCGTGAAGTTGACACAGGAGGTATGATCCTAATTGATATTCAAGATGAAACAAGTTGATTCTGAACGGCCAGATCTTACAGCAATTGAGCCCTGATACGTCACTGGATACCGACACTTCAGCATTACCGGGTGGCTCACGCAACAATACAACTCCGTGTCCAAACACCGTTCCGATCAATCAAATACTGGGATTGAATTTGCCCTCCAAAGTCGTTTCAGATGACTTGTTCAACGCCTACTTTGATTCCGTACACTGGTTCATGGTCTTGTTCCACGAGCCTTCATTTCGCGAACGATACAATGCCATTATGTTGACAGGTCAAGCTACATCGGAGGATCTTCCGTTTCTGGCTTGCTTGATGCTGGTTTTTGCTATCGGAGCTAGGTACATAAATCCGAAATCAAATCTCTCTCCGGAGGTGGCAGATACAAACCTGGACGCCCTGCAAATCAATCTCTTGAAAAGCACGCGTTTGCACTTGTTGGATATTGTAGAGCTTGGGGGAATTGAAGGTGTCCAGATATGTGTCCTTCTAAGCACGTTTTATCTTTACCACGATCGGCCGAATCTGGCCTTTGCCGTCCATGGCATGGGAGTTAAATGTGCTCACACTATGTTTCTTCACCAAGAAGCTGCTTGGAAAGAGCCTACAGCCCTGACCCGTGAAGTCAAACGACGAGTATGGTGGGCGTTGTACGTTGTTGACTGGTAAGAGGCGTTTATACCGTCACCCAAATGCACACCTGGCAGGCAACTTGGCTAAGTGTGAGCAGTTTCTATTCAATCATCTTTGGCCGCCCGCGCTCTATTCGAGATGAGGAGTCACATGTGGCCATGGTTCAAAATCTTGAGGATACAGCTGCCCGTCATCCAGCTTTCAATTCCACCGAACGTGTTGGCGAATCAAGCTATCCAGTCACCACCTTTTCTTACCAGCGTTACAAGTTCATTCTCTACATGATAGCGGCTCGTGTCATGCGTGACATTTACTTTGAAAACTCATCGAAGTCGCTGGCATCGGTCTCGCACACCATTCGGTCGATCTCTCGGGACCTTGAGTCGTGGTTTCAGAGCCTCCCGCCCGAACTGAAGCACCCAGGCGACAACATTTCTGAGTTCGTAATACAACAAGATCAAGATCCCGTTAAAAGCATTACTGTGAGGATTTTCAGACTACAGGCCATGGCTTTACAACTCGCCTACGATAACATACAAATTCTACTTCATCGGCCATTATTGCAACTTCCCCTTGGGCTGTGTTCCCCACCGCATGCTGTTCACGGTATGCGCAGCACGGATGCATCAAATACCAAGGGCAAAACAGCGAACAAGTCAAATCCATGCGCCGTAGACAGTGCAACATTGGCAGTAAGCAAAGCTCAGTGTTATAAGTCTGCAGTTCGGACAGCGTGCCTAAACGCTTCAATTATTGAGGAGGCGAGGCACACTCACGCCGCATCCTATATCGGTATACAGTTATTCACAGCCGGCATGGTTCTCAGCATTGTGGCTCTTTCAGCACCGCTCTCATCAGAGGCTCAGCAGGCAAAACGGGCTATTGGCCGGATTGTCTCAACAACAGCCTCAGTCGGGAATAAATCACTCCTGTCGACCCAGAGCCAGCAAATCCTAAGGAGGTTAGTTCGCCTCGTTCTAGAGAAGGAAATGAATTCCATCTTCGTGGAACCGGTAGCCCAGCCTGATACTGTGAGTATTGATAAGGCGACTTTGCCGAATCCGAGTCGGCCAGTTCCAAGCAAAAGTGTCCCCGTTCCAACTCAAGGCGAAGGCTATAACTTTGGATCTACTTCTCAAACAGGGATGGATACTTACGACCCAGATGGTAACAGCCATATAGCCAAACCATCTGAAGTTGGTACAGGAATACAGCAGGATGAGTTTGTGCAAGGTACTTGGGACGATCTTTTACCCGCGGAGGACTTCAACTACAACCAGGCCATGTCCTCCGTCCAGCAAGGTACGTGCAACAACGTCTTTAGCGTTCCAGCGCAGTGGTCATTGACGTTTAGGAAACTGACTCGCAAATTAGAATTCTCCCAACTTAGTCCCCCACAAGGTGTTGGTTCAGATTGGTCTAGCTTTCCTGCCACTTCGTCTATACTGACTGAATCTTTGGAGTTCAGCGACGAGTCAGCCCGGCCGTTTCTCGTTGCAGCTCCTGAAAACGGCTTCCAAGGGGCTGGCCAAGCCTGGCTTTGGGAGGATGGATTATTGCAGTCTATTAACCCGGATAGCTAAAGTATTTAAAAGACAAGGCAATTACAGTATAACTATAGAGCTGGACCTAGATATTCTCCATCGTCATAGACAAATCAGAACCATTGGCATAATGTGCAAAGTTGGTAGCATTCGATTTATCACGTTCTATATTATGAAGGCTAGCAAGCCGCATACACTATGTAATTTATTGAGACATAAATGGTAGGCGACTGGGAACTTTACAATGCTAATGAAGGCTGCTTCGTAATAGCTAATACGCAAATAACTTCTTCACTTTCGCAAGCTGAATATACATAGCTTTCTCGAAGAAAGTGGTGTCTTCTAAAGGATACCGACTAAAGTTCGAAAAAACGGATGCTTCTTCGATGCTAGAAGGGGTGGATATCAAACCTACTTAGGTGTCCACAGGCGCGCCGTCAGGATACCTTCCACCAGCCACCTCGAACTTAGCCAACGTCACATCAAGGGCGTCCATCTCCTCATCGGTGAGATCAATCTGCTTGGCATTCTCGTACACCTTGGCGGCGGTCGTGCCGCCCGGGATAGCGATGATGGTTGGCATGCCCGGGCGGCGCTGTAGAGACGTGACCCATCCGAGGGCGAGCTGAGCGGGCGTACAACTCCTCTTGGTGGCCATTTCCTCAACCTGCTTGACCAGCTGAAGGTTGATCTCAAAGTTTCCCGGCTGGAACCGTGGCAAATGGCGGCGGGAGTCCGATTCGGGGAGGTCGTCAATGCTCTTGATCTGACCCGTGAGTAGGCCCCTGCCGAGGGGTGAGTAGGCGATCAAGGGGATTCCATACTTGACACAGGCCTCGGCCACGCCATTAGTGAGGACGTCGGTGGAGAAAAGGCTCAGTTCGACCTCGACACCGACAATCTTTGTAATCTTCACAGCTTCGTGAATAGTGGCGGCCGAGACCTCGGAGAGGCAGATACCACCGAGTTTCCCGGTCTGGATGTACTCCTTTTCAAGGACCCCAAAAGTCGTCTCGAGGGGTACCTTGGGGTCACGGCGGGCGCACTCGAAAATGTCGAGCTTCTTCCTGCCCTTGAGCTGGGCGAGCGTAGAGTCGAGGGACTTGCGGATATACTCGGGCGAGCCGTCCAGCTGCATGTCGGGCCTGAGGCCGCCCTTGATACTCAGGACGACCTTGTCGGCGTCCTCAGGGTACTTATCGAAGTAGGCCGCCAGGAAGGTGATGCTGTTAACCTCGGGTGTGCCGTAGAAGTCGCCTCCGTTCCAAAAGTTCATGTTGCTGTTGATGGCGGCGCGCAGGGCCTCAAAAGCCTGCTGATGGGGGATGGGATCCTTACGCCATGTGAAGTTCATCAGGCCGTAGCCTCGAGAGCCTACTTGGCGTCCGACAAGATCAGGCATGATGTAATATAACGAACAGCGTGATAGCTAGGAATTCTGGGTATTGGTGAAGCTTGATTGGCTCCAATGTCGACTTCCCGTATTGGTGAGAGTTTGTTGGTCAAGAAGTCTGATGAAAGAGGAACTACATCTGCTGCATGCTTCTTGACCATTTATACTCGACTTCCATGACGATTGTTGACCCCACAGTGACCACATTGCAGAACAGGGTTCGCAGGAAGGCGCAACGCCTCCAGTGACGTCTAAACTCCATCCAACGTCCCCTGAGTGCCCTCCACATGTTACACAGCGTGTCTATTCGTAGCAATTAGAGCGCAAGAACATGTAGTATGTGTGCAATGGATTGGTAATGGTGCTAGACCCTCAAGAGATACGTACTAAATACACACTAGTGGCCTGGAAACGGGTACTTCACGCACTTACCACTTCAGAAGTGGATAGTATAAGGTCTTCTCCTCTATTCTGCAGCTAAGGATTGAGCCAGGGATCGGATTTATTGAGCACAGAAATAGCCTAACTCCGTTACCAAGCACCAGCAAACCATACCGGAGATAAATTACTAGAAATAGCCTATGTCGAGTTTCCACATTTTAAGCTTCCATGATGACCAACCGCAGCGCCATTTTCCCCTCGGAAATCACTTAAATTGACAACAGCATTAACAAGCAATGGATCATACGGGTAGGTCCTGGTCCTCAGAGACCAACCAATATCATCGGTATCTAGGTTCTAGCGGTATTTATGAATGAGAAGAGAGAAAGCCTCTAACTTGATGAACATGTCGTGCGGAGGCCTCTTCGGCACAAACCTTGAAATCACTCGACTTCCACTAAGGAGTCCGTGGTACATCTGAGCTTCTAAGAAGCTACTCCGTAGCCACGCTGGTGATCTGGGCCGAGCGTGGACAAGGAATCCCTTATTTTCCCAGATTCCTTGGCCTTAATCCTGGGTCTTACTCGTTTATGCCGAAACATCTCCGTATTTGGACTTTACTTGCACCGATGCCTTTCCCCGCAGCATCCTTGTAGTTATGATGCGCCAAAGTAGCTCCTGAATTGAACTTCAAGGTGGCTTCTGACGGTCGAATTCATTCCAAATGCCGAGTCTGTATTATTAAGCCAAGTTGCAACTGAACTGGGAATTGAGCCAAACCATCTGCTGTATATAAGCTGGCATCAACACGGTGATATAATATGCCCAATGAGGCCACCGTTATCATAACTCTACACACCCCATTCGCGATTCAGGACAACGCAACTGTTCTCCGCCCCAGCGCTTCAAAGGCCAGAACCAGTAATCATGTCTCCATCTTCCCAACGCTCCGTTCTCATTACAGGGTACGTGATGGTGTAGTCTGATCTGTTCCAGATTTTAATGGTGTCTCGCATGCGGATGGGTCCCCTTGCTAACGCACGTTTTCTGGGTCAGATGTTCTCAAGGCGGAGCAGGCAATGCTCTTGCTCTGGAGTTCGCAAGCAGGGGCTTGAGGGTCTTCGCGACTGCTCGCTCCCTCACTTCATTGACCAATCTCACTGAAAAGGGTATTGAAATATTCACCCTTGACGTCACCGTCCCAAAGAGCATCGCTGCCCTCAAGGAAGAGATTACCAAACGAACAGCCGGCAAGCTTGACATTCTCTATAATAATGCCGGCGTCAGTAAGCAGCCCCCCTAGTCGCCCCCCCATTCTTACACTCCTGGTAGCCTACTTCTATCATATAGAGACAGAGTGTCATATACACACGTCATTTGTATGGAACGGTAAAGATTAACAAGAGGCACAGTGTATGAGGCTCCAGCCATCGAGGCCGATCCTGCCCGCGTCAGGAAGATGTTCGATTCCAACGTCTTTGGCCTCTTTGAGGTCGTGGCAGCCTTCGCCCCCCTCATTGTCGCTGCGGTTTCCGGTGCTAGTGCCACTCCAACCATCGTCAACGTGTCCTCCGTCATCGCCAACGTTCCTATCCCCTTCTCGTCTGCCTACAACGCGTCAAAGGCAGCCGTGTGTTCATACTCGGACACCCTCAGGCTGGAGATGAGCCCGCTAGGTGTTCGAGTTATGACTCTCTTTATGGGCGAGGTTTCCACGGCCCTCATGTCTACCGAAGCCATCAACTTTGGGCCTGAGAGTATTTATGCAGACGTCGAACACAAGGTCAAGGAGAGAACTACGCGCCATTTCAAGGTTTCCATGACCGCCGATGCCTTCGCCAAGCAAGTTATTCCGAAAGTCTTAGACAACAACGGCCGCAGCTCCATCTGGAAAGGTACCAATGCTTTCGTTATCTGGCTTCTCCATACCATTGGAGCTCAGAGCGCCTTCGACTTAATTGTCAAGGGCGGTGTAGGATTTGACGATAAGAGCCTCGTCAAGAAGATCTATGAACGAGGCCAGCAACTCGCCAAGCAAAGCTTAGAGGTTAAGGTAGAACATGGAACTTGATTCTTGGATTTGTGTGGTTTTGTCATCCGGTCATAGGATGTTACCTAATGAGATCTTTTGCGGTCTATAGTTATTTCTTTGCCTTCAATCGAGTAGTAATACATCTAACTTGAGATCGTTATGTCCTAGAATCCGGCACTCCTCCGTGATATTGAAAACGATCTGGCGGAACCGTTCGGCTTTAATTATATGCGATCAGAACACTGATAGGTTTGTGAAAGTCTCCCGCAGTCAGTTCATGTAGGTCAGCGCAATTTAAGTCCCTGCCCCCGAGGCCAGCATGTCCTCCGTCAACGCCAGCACCTGGCTTACCTGATACCTCACAGGCCATAGAGCGGTATTCTTGCTTCAGGAGTACTAAAATTGCATTCAAAATAATCCAGCTGACTCTTCAACTCGTTCAGGACATCAGTACAGCCGACAAAGTCTGGGTTGCTAGTGTATGGGACGATAACTAACACCATCAGCCTTGACAGTGAGTCCAACTATCACATCTTGCCCTACCGGCCGATAAGGCGTATCCTTTTAGGCGGAATAAATTCATCCATAGATCTTGTTCTGCCTATCAAGGCCAAAGGTGTCACTTGATGTAGATGAACATTGTTACTTGAAGGAGGGATATAGTGACCCTCCTTTCACCCCGTCATAGGGGTGTGCCTACTGACTGGGGTATCTCCGAGACCGTATCTACATACATAAGGGGGCTAGTTTGATATTCCTTCAGGGGTGCCTCTAGTCTCTTGTTGTCGCAAAGCTTCCACTAGGCCCCAGGCCCAAAAGTGAAGGCACCTTCCCTATGGATGCAGACTAGCAGGCTTTATCACACTTGTCTACGCCCTTGTCCAATATGCAGTCGCCCTCTAAAGTCCGAAGGTTGCGTTACTTCCACTTTGACACTACCTCGCTGACTAGGATGAATCCCCATAACTTTAACCTGAATATAAGTGTCAAACCTTAAGTGAAAGCACTAAATACGATCGCCTGCAGTTACGCATACTAACGTTAAGTGGGAGCATTTGTCATAATGTTGTATCAGGCATGTCCGTTCCCTGCTTACAAACCTTGGACGAATGCCACCACCTGTACTAATACAATTCAAAGCAATGTCGAACCCCCTGGTGAACTTGTTTCAGCCACTGATAGATAAATTGAGTAAATGTACTCTTCTCTCCATTCTGAAAAACCATTCATCTTATCCTTCTAGATCTCATACTCCGTTTATTAGTAAATCCAAAATGTCACTTCCAGACCGTAAGGTTCAGCAATACATCACAGAGCGCCAACAAAGCTTCACCGATGGCTTCAACAATGCCTCTGTCCCAGCACTCATGGCCATGTTCGCCGAAGACGTTGAATTCAACGACTATGGTATTTCGCTCCTTTCACTTTCCCTTCAAGTCCACACTGACATCCCCAGCTATGGGCGTGCTCAACCTAAACCGCACTTCCCTTGAAGAATACTACTCCGAGATGGTGGCAACATTCCGAAACATTAACATCCGTACCAAGTCCATCAGCGGAAGCGAGCACTTTACTGCCTGGGAGTGGGATCTCACAATGTACGCGTTGCCTTCTGAGGCGGCTGCGGAGCTGGACAACAAGACTAAGAATACTACTGGCAAGGAGGTTAATATGGTAGGCGTTAGTTTAATGTGGTGGAACTCAGAGGGAAAGATTATAAAAAATCATGACTATGGGAAGGAGGTGCCTAATGCGGAGTAAATTAAAGGAGGAGATTGAAAAGACGGTGAGTACTATGAAGAGTTTTTCAAATCAGGCGAGCTCTGCATTCTTACCGTTCTATTCCTCCTCCTACTCACTCCCGTAGAAGCTCCTATAGGATTTCATAACAGCCTGGAAGTATAGGGGAAGATAGTCAATTTATGTCTTCTCGGTTCTTCATATTAACCTGTCCTTTTATACTTTACTATTACTCCTATATACCTATTATTTAAATAGTATTAACAAGTATTAATATTTGTTATTGTATATTATTAGTACGTCAGTGTATATTTCACACTTACATAAGATGCAATAATGAGGTCTCATATAAGAAATCTTAATTCAGGGCCCGTTAAGGACCTAAAAGCGGCTTCATACCTATTAGCTCAAGCCAGGGGCTAACCAAGTAAGCTTAATAGAGGTTAATTAGTGATTATTTCTTCCGCAATCTTTAGGGGCCTTTGGGCCGCCTAGAACATTTAATAATCCCTACCGTTAGGGATACTAGTTACGTTTCCCGCGCGCGAGTAAATATGTAGTTAGCAAGCCCGTGGGGCTCAAGGATAACTGGGCGTCCAGGTGCCTACTAACTAGTTGCTAGTTCACATTATCCACTTTATAAACTTGATTATCAATATTTTGCGGAGTAGAACGCGCACGGTTAGTTGGTCGCGCGCGCTTCGGCACTTTTGTTTTTCGTTTCCGCGTATTTGCTTGGTAAAGTGTGGCCTAAACAATGTCCGTCGTATTTTAAGCAAAGTCCGGGATTTAAGGGTCCCAGGGTGAAGGAGACGTGTATAAAGAATACACATGATGTCTTCTCCGAATCTTGAACCCTCATCATCACTTTCTCATTACTGTAGACATCTCTGAACCTACACCTTATACTCCCACGCACGCTCTCACGTCACTTCAAAAATAACAACAACAAAAAGAAAGACCAGTCGACACAATGGCCGGAAAGAAGATTATCACCGTATTTGGAGCCACCGGACAACAGGGTGGTTCAGTGGTTGACATCTTTCTCAATGACGAGAAGCTCAAGAATGAGTGGTCTGTACGAGCTGTCACCCGAGACATTTCCAAAGAGTCTGCCAAAAAGCTTGCGGCAAAGGGCGCCGAGATTGTGCAGGTATGTCGGCTGCGGCGGTCAAGTCCCTCAAGGAGCAGAAGACACATGAACCTAACCTCAGGGATATATAGGCCGATCTTTCTGACAACAAGACATTGGACAACGCTGTCTCCGGCGCTGAAGCCGTATTTGCCGTCACCAACTACTGGGAGGCGATGGACGCGGCACTGGAAGTAAAGCAGGGAAAGGCCATCGTTGATGCCGTAAAGAGGGCAGATACCAAGCTCTTGATTTGGAGTTCGCTCTACGATGTTAACAAACGTACGTCAAACTGACCCTAGCGCGGCATGACCAGTTGAAACAAAGCTGACAGAGAACAGTGACAAATGGCAAGCTCCCCCATGTCTACCACTTCGACGGCAAGGCCGCAGTTGAAGAGTATGCCCGTTCTCAGGGGATCCCAGCAGCCTTCTTCATGCCTGGCTTCTACATGTCCAACCTTCCAGGTCAGATGTTGACTCCCAGCGGCGCTGGTAATGCCTGGACGTTGGCACTCCCCATGCCCGAGAACGCGCCTATCCCCATGTTCGACATTTCCGACACGGGCAAAGTTGTCAAATCTATCGTGCTCAACAAGGCGAAGGTTTTGGGGAAGCGTGTCCTTGGTGCCTACAAATACATGACGCCTAAAGAGATCATCGAGGAATTCAAGGCGGCTTATCCCGAGGCTGCGAAGACCGCTACATTCTTCTCGACTCCCCACGATGAGTATGTTGATGCACTCAAAGGTTTGGGTATGCCTGAGTTCGCGGCCATCGAGTTACTGGAGAACATGCGTGTCATGGATGAGGGCGGATACTATGGTGGTGCGTCACTGGACGAGAGTCATGCTCTGCTCAGTGATCCTCTGACAAGCTGGGAAGAGTTTCTCAAGAAGTCTCCTGTGCTTAAGGAACTCAAGTAGGAATAGGGAGAGAGAAATCCTTGTAATAGTATACACTTATCTCTTCAGCTATATTGTTGCCAAAATAATGCTATTACCTCCCTCTAACCGTAACTTACCGATTCTTTACACTCCTACTGCATTCACTCAGCAATCTCATACAACTGAGTGGACCATTTCACTTGTGGTGGTCTCTAATGAGTGGAGTAGTTAGAATGCGTAACTATCACTACACTCAGCCTTCTGTTGGCAGGTTCATAGACTTTATTTGTTGTACTAATAATAAACCACTTTACCCGTTGGCTTTAGGGGCCTAATAGGCTGAGTCTACAATTGTAACGGGCCTTAGGAATAAGATGATGAGAAATTAGCTCTAATATAAGGCATAGTTAGGTTCGGAGAATAGTATACAATGCTCCAATCCGGTATAACATTAGGTAATGCTACAGTAGTAACCCGGCGGTGAAATTCAAGGGCTCAACTGTAATCACGGTAACCTAGTGCTTAACCTACTGGGTATTAGAGTAGCAAACCTACTTGGAGTGGTATTCTAGTAAATTCTTACAAACTTGGGTATAGGCAACTCCAGGAGAGCGTTCACGGTAGAAGCTCCCATCTCGCTAAATCCGCCAACAATAGCTACCTCCATGTTGAATAACTGTTGTAAACACGGGGCAGACATCAATCTCAGTAAATCCACAGAGGGCTGTTAGCCCCTGTCTATTTATTATACGTATGAGAAGAAAAGGTTTACACAAAGAAAGCAGCTAAATGAATGGATTAGCTTACCAATCGTGGTATATTTTTGGAGCCAGACGGATAATACAGTTAGTTCATATTAATGTCGGGGCATAGCTTCTAGAACTACGGTACTAACACATCTGATATGTAAAGATTTAATGTTTTAGAAAAAGAAGAATCCGATAGTATCTAGAGATTAAAGCTGATTTTGCGCGGTGAGTCCTAGTACCTAGTCGCGTGGCGCTGCATCTCGACGTATAACTAAGGCCCCAATCAGAAATTCGTAGTCTATCACTTACTTAAATCAATTCTCCCTGCTGTAAGGTAAGGCAAAATAGACCGATCCTCAAGCAATTGATTTCGGTATTTAGTACTAGGCAACTGCAGGTATAGGAGGACAGGCACCGAAGAAGCTGCGCCCTGTTCAGAGGCGTTTGCCCACTAGAGGTGTATCGCGCGCGGGTCTGCGCCCGCGCGCAGCTTATTAGCAGATTAGTAATTGAATTCACTACTAAGCAGACCACACGGAAACATCGGTTGGTATTGTTGAAAACTGCCATATCAGCCTGCTTTCATTGGCATATGGACGAAGATACGACGAGGCCAACATGTTAGCTTTCTAGTTCTGGCAATATATAGAAGGCCGTTCCCTCGGAGGAACGAAAACGGAACCAAGCCACTTTACCAACTTTTACAACTCTGAATCCCGACCCCTATTATTTACCTCTTTCTACCTCATCCCATACATACTCTACGCAAGCACGCACAATGGCCCCTAACATCAAGAATGTCGCCATCGCAGGAGTAAATCGCTCCCCTCCTGGAGCTAATTCCCTCATCACTAACTCCATCCACAGGCCACCAGCACTACCGGCGTGCCCATCTTAGCCGCCCTCCTCGCCAGCAACCTGTTCCACGTCACTGTCCTTACCCGTAAGGGCTCCAAACACATCTTTCCAGAAGAGGTCATTGTCAAGCACGTCGACTACACCTCCATCCAGGACCTTACCGCCGCCCTCCGTGGCCAAGACGCGCTTATCAACACGACTAATATCATCGAGCCCGTTCCTCAATTCAACCTTATTGATGCGGCCGTAGCGGCAGGCGTGTATCGCTACCTCCCCTCCGAATACGGCCTCAACAACAACAAGCCCGCCATCGGCGAGCTTCCCGTCTTCAAGGCCGCGTATGATGCGCTGCAGCATGTGAAAGAAGTGTGCGCTGCCTCGGGCGGGGCGACGACGTATACGGACGTTCACATTGGCGGTCTGCTCGACTGGGGGATTAAGACGGGGTTTACGGGAATTGCACTGCAGGAGCGGGTTGTCACGCTGTATGACGGGGGGGTAAATGAGATTGCGTATACGACGAGGGAGTGGCTTGGCAAGACAGTTGTGCAGGTACTTTCAAGCCCGGGGGAGACAGCCAATCAGGCGGTATATGTTGCGAATACGTATGCAAGCCAAAACAGGCTGGTTAGGTTGGTACAGGAGGTGGTGGGTGATGAGGGGTGGACTGTGGAGCGGAAGGATACGGAGGAGATGTTTGCGGCGTCGATGGGAAAGGTTGAGTCAGGCGAGGCTGATATGCATACTCTGCTGAACTTTATCCATGTGGCGGATAATAATCCCAAGTACGAGACTAGATGGGAGAAGGATGATAACGAGCTGCTTGGAGTCCCTAGGTTTCTGGATAAGGATATTAAGGATGTCATTAAGCGCTTAATTACCAATAACTAAATTAGCTCTACTAGAGTTAATTCTACAGGCCTATTTTCAGCCTGGCAGGGTTGATTTTATATAATTCTATATAATGGAATTCTAAACGGTATACTGCTATACATGCTCACTAAAGGGAGCTTTCTTCACCCAGAAGTATCGGACACAAGTATGTATTCATTTATCTAAAATAAATTACTATTCGATGTATCATATCATGTCGACATGGTGACCAAGGAAGGGGCTTAATTCTTCTATGGTTCTGTCCGACAATAAAGCAAGCTCAATTCTTTAATGTATGCCAGAGATAAGTCATTCACATATGCCTTCTACCTAACTTCAGCCCAAGTTTCAGTGGAAATGATCTTCTCCGGCTTTCAGATTTTAATTATGTATCAAGTCTAGTATTAGAAACGTTCGTAACATTTTCATCCCGGCCGTTGTGAGGGCTGGGAGAAGTTGGCTGAATGTGGAAATGGGGCAAAAGGCATGATTAATTAAGTGCGTTTACACACAGGCTATGTAGTTTCGGTGGCCTCAACTGAAAAGTTCAGGGCAGGTAGTCTGTCTTATATACTCATTCTGCGCCTCATATTCTCACTCTGCCATCCCTTCGCTCTCTCAAATCCGTTTTTGTTCTCGTAAAAGTCTTCAACAGCTTGCCGGATTCCTTCAGAGGTAGTTGATACAAAAGGTCCATGTTGAACAATTGGCTGGTCTAGAATCTGGCCTGCGATAATAAGGACACGAGCGCTGCGAGGTGCATTCTCGGCAACCTGGATATCAACCGCATCTCCTTCGGGTTTGTATATGACCGTGCCGTACTGATTAACCTTTGTCGAGACGCCAGGTTCAGATTTAAAGTTGGCAGAGCCCTCAAAGACGTAAGAGAAAGCATTCCAAGCTTGGGGCAGAGACTGAACCAGTTCTCCGCCCGGTTGAATCTCGACATCTAGATACCACACAGGTGTGTATGCTAAGTCTTTGACGCCATCAATGTTGCCGGATTGGCCTGAGATGACCTTAACAAGGACCTTGCCGTTATCGATATGCGCGTGTGGGATTTCCTTGGCCCTGAGATCTCGATATCGGGGCTCACACATCTTCAGATGCTTTGGGAGATCGACCCACAGCTGAAAACCAGCCCCGGGCTTTCCGTCAGGATCAGGCAGCGGCTGCTCAGAATGCATAATGCCTCGCCCCGCCGTCATGAATTGAAGGTCACCAGCATGGAGGATGCCTTTATTCCCAACAAAGTCTTCATGCTCAACGGACCCTGCGAGGATGTAGGATACTGTTTCTTGACCTCGGTGGGGGTGGTCTGGGAAGCCTGCGCCATTGCTACCGTTCATATGATCAAACATGAGGAATGGCGAGAAGTTGCGCTGGAATCTGCTGCCAATGGCGCGCCGAACTCTAGCGCCAGCCCCCTCGGCTTGCTCGAGGGCAGTGAAGATCTTGCTGATTGCTCTTAGTTCAGGCATTTGATAGAGATTGCAAACTTTTGATTGTCTAAGCCTGTTGTATAACAAAAATGGTTTAATTTCTTGACTTGGTGATATTGCGAGTTGTTAATAGTGTTATGGTGAGAAGGAATTGTATTTACTCGTCGCATGCTATAATCTAGTATTTAATCTGGCATGTGGGGCGACTAGGAATAGAAGCCAGGCTGATTAATGCTGACGGAATCGTGGATGAGGTAATGGAAGGTAGCTAGGATAAAATGGAAATCAAACCACCTTTGGCCAGAAACTTTTAAACACAATTGAGTTAGACCACGCTAATAACGTTACTGTAGTTTGTTCTCGGCCAACTTAGATTCAGTTTACCGCGCGGGAGCCCACAAGCCGCGCGCGCTACAAGCTTATTCAGGGCCCCTGCAGTAACTGCAACCCAGTGACAGGTGGTTGAAAACCCCCTCGGCATTTTGGCATTCCCCGCTGCCCGGTTCCCAAAGGACCTGGGATGCGCATTCCCGGAAATTGTACACCCAGATGTCTGGAACAACGAGGCAATCGGTCTAGTCAGCGACGAGTTGACAGTCTTTCAACTTTATAATCCTTTTATCAAAGCTACAGGGAAGCTAGCGCTAACAACATCTGGTCTACAAGGCAAGGCCGTGAAGGCGGGAGTTAAACAATACGAGGTAATGATTAACTGGTTTAGAGATACGGCTTACAAGGCGAGATGGGCAGACTTCTAAAAAGTCCCATCAGGGTCATTGAACATTAGAATCTTTACTAAATGAAAGTTCGTTCGTCAATTGACAGTTTAAATTTCGTCCCTACCCTATTGGCGATTATAAGCGCATGTAAAATATCTCACTGTGGGAGTGTATACCCCTCGTATTCTATTCATTTTATTGAATGCTTTAACTAGTATTGATCGTAAGTTTACAAGTTACAAGCTCGGCTACTCTATTGGCTTTGTGTTCAGCAAGCTAACCAGCTCATCCGAACCCCTCGTGATATCTCCCCTCTTATCCGCTCACAGGATTCCGTCTTCAGTTGCAAACAAGCCCAAGTCCTGCCCTGTCACAGCCCTCAGGACTATTCTATTCTCAGCTGGACCAAAAACAAGGCTCACTCCGCTCTCCACGACACGAGCTTTAGTAGCAAGGTTTAACGATTGCTTCAAGTTCTCACGGAAACATATTTCGCCCATTCTGCCGTAACTGACGATTAGGAATGGCTTGTTTGTGCATTCGAAGTAAAGCAGATCACTTGCATTTCTCAAACCGGCCGGAATATTAGCATTATTCGGATTCAATAAACGAATCCGTCGAGGGGAGTAACGATCTTCGATCATGCTTTGGTTGTGTCTTTATATACTGGTCAGTGCTAGTGGTCTGGGCTGCTGGACAAGGCTTATTATAGACTAGAAGACTAAGGTCATTAATATTGATTGTTATAGGTTGATTATGATGTTATTCCCCGTGTGACTTTGAATGATTTCTTGTACTCAGTCTGTGATTTGGATGCCTGAATTCGATATTAACTACCGGCAATGATACTATGTGGAAGATTCTATCTGCTATGACGAGTGAATCAAAGTAGACTGAATTGATATATGTAGTAAAGTGAAAGAAATGTGGTCAATAGTCTCTTGAATCTCGCCTCTACTCTACGGTTTGTAACACAAAGGTTTACAGGCTGATTTATCATACTGTCTTTATTTCGTTGAATACGTAGAAAGGACCTGTTAAAAACAAATTCTGAGTAATAAGTAGAAAAGGATAAACAATTTAGCGGGAAAGAGTATTGCTAAACGCTTCTATAAAATATACTAATCGTATCTCTTTCTCTTTTCAACCTTGTTCTGTCTCGTCGCCAAACGTTGTATATAGAATAAACCAGGGAAGTATGTTATTAGCACACATGCATATTGAAGGCTAAAGCTTTAAGATTAACACATACGCATCACGTGAAGGTGTTACTTAGCCACTCAGGCTTGTATCTTTGCTTTTAAGTCTGTCTTGTAATTCTGCCTAGCCAATCACATCTGTTTCAACACATCCTTCATACAAGCACTGAGGCAGCCACTGCGTGGAAAACATGGAAAGGAAATGGAAGGAAAAAACAAGGCCGTTAGAGTAACAAAAGCCAAACCGGTGGTCAGAAACACGATAAGAACCTATGTCAAAAGGTTCTATTCAGTTTTAAGAAACTTTTTAGGGTCTGGTGTTAGTCTGAAGTATTTAAACAATTAACAAAATTGATAATATTACTGAAGGGCTTGAATGACTACTCTTTTAGGAAGGTAGAAAGGGTCCACAGTCACAAGCCAGTGACGAGTAAGATTCACAAGACAGCATAAACAGACTCTTCACTTCTACACAATCAGGTAATAAGTGCTCCAACAGTAGATGTGCCTAAGAACTCTACTTCAATATGCTAGATACCCACCTCATGCGATCCTATGGTTCCCCGCAGCAAGGGAATCACTCGTTCGTAGTCTAATAAATACGATCAAGAGGCGGATAATACCTTGACTAATGCAGATCGCAAGCTCTAGTTCTCGGCAATGAATTAAACGGGCATGATATGCGGAATTTGTAGACTGATCAACGGTCAAGATAGTAATCCCACCAGTGAAACAACAGTAAACATCTGCCTCCCCTGTTCAACCCCGCAACGGTTAATACTTCCGGCGGACCGGGAGCCCGACAATGACTTACAAGCCCACTAATCTAAATAACAGCGGATGTAACGTCTCCGCGTCCTGATTGGGGACATCGCATGACGCTGGTAACAGCGGTTCAAGATATCCAAATGATATAAATACGGCCATCGTCTGGCCACAGTTGGTGCATGTAATTAGACTCTATCGAGTAGACTTTGCTTCACAACTACGAAAATGAGACTGAACATCTCTCTGCTTTTCTCACTCTCAGCATCCCTGCTCGGTGCTGAAGGACTCCCCAACACAAACAAGGGCTTCGTCACTGTCAAAGGTGACAAGTTCCAGCTAAACGGAAAAGACTTTTACTTTGCGGGCTCCAATGCCTATTATCTTCCATTTCAGCCAGTTAGTTAACCAAGGTATTCACAATCATACACGTAGGCTGACAATCTCATAGAGTCAAAAGGATGTTGAGCGTGGACTAGGGGCAGCTAAAAAAGCAGGCTTAAATGTTATGCGTACCTGGGGTTTCAACGACAGGAACGCAACCACCGACCCGAAAGGCTTCCCCAAATATGGAGGCGAAGGTGCCGGCGAGACTAACGTTGTTTTGCAGACATGGAAGAAGGGAAAGGCGAGCATTGACCTGAAGGGCTTTGACAAGGTCGTCAAGGGTGCTGAAAAGACTGACATGAAGCTCATTGTTGCCCTTACTAACAACTGGGCTGACTATGGAGGCATGGATGTGTATACTGTGAACCTTGGTGGAAAATATCACGATGATGTGAGTAACCCTTGACAACCATAGTTACTATTGCTGATGTCCCTTCTAGTTCTACAGAGATCCCAAGATCAAGAAGACCTTCAAGAAATACATCAAGGCCATGGTCCAGCGCTACAAGCACTCTTCCGCGATTATGGCATGGGAGCTCGCCAATGAGCCCCGCTGCGGCGCCGATGGAAACCGAAACCTCCCACGAAGCGACCACTGCACCGTTGAGACTATATCTGAGTGGATCGATGAGATGACTGCCTATATTAAGAAGCTTGATCCCTACCACCTTGTCACATGGGGAGGGGAGGGCGGTTTTAACCGCGACTCCGAGGACTGGGCTTACAACGGCGCTGACGGAGGCGACTTTGACCACGAACTTGCACTCCCCAACGTCGACTTTGGAACCTTCCATTCTTACCCCGAGGCATGGAGCAAGACTATTCCCTGGGTCAGCCAATGGATCCGGGATCACGCCAAGGCAGCACGCAAAGTCGGCAAGCCTGTGATCCACGAAGAGTACGGCTGGCTCACTCCCGAGGAGCGACTGAAGCAGTACAACACAACCAGACCTGAGACGAGAGTGCAGGTTCTTGGATTGTGGCAGCGCATCCAGGTGCAGGAGAAGATGCCTGATATGTACTGGCAGTTTGGGTATTCGGGATTCTCGTATGGAAGGAACCATGATGATGGAAATACAATCTACCTGGATGAACCTGAGGCCAAGATCTTGGTTTATAAGCATGCCAAGGAGATGAACGCCCTCAACAAACGAAAGGGCTAGATACCAGTCTAGTTCAAATTCATAATAGGGTACTTCATGTATGCTTAGCATAAAACGAGACAACACCAGTGAATTCAACTGCAATGACAAAAGAACGTGGTTGTTCTCGGCTTGGGCAAGCTATCGTACAACACGAATCCAGATGGACGACGCATGCAAGGTGTTAATATTCTCACTTAGATCAGATAGGAGAAGCCCAGTTTAGGCTCTAGTAGTTAGTATTAACAGGGAACAAATATAATAAATAAGATTAACCAGGAGCCAACACCATCTCGTAGTTCTAGTAAGACTTACTTACGTGCTATTTCAATCTCCTGGTAAGATGACTTCTAAAAAGTCAAGGCAAGTCAGCACATTTATAACATTTGAACAAGTATAAATTTGTTCATTAGAGCATGTTCTTATACAGCCCTTGAACAGAAACTTGGGTCGAACCCTTTTCACTCTGGTGCTTATCATGCTTTTCGGTTGGGTGAAGCTGTGTATCCTACTCTGTTGTGAGGCTATCTTCTAGGATGCACTGTCCATAATTAGAGTTTATTAGCACAAGCCTCCCTAGTGCCGGGCACCTTGGAAGTACCCGTTCTCTCGGGGGTATTTTAATACCGAGCTGGTTTAGTTAATCATTCAGCACTTTACAAATCGCCCAGTCGCGGCTGTATTATAATACCGAAATGTCGTGACTGTCTTGGCCTTCGGGTTGTATAAGTAGGCATATGCCCTTCATCTTTCTTACCAGAATCATCCTCCTCATCATTCAGACTTTAAACCACCCACTTCTTTCTCATCAAGAACAATTTTGAAACCATGCCTATCATTGCTGTAGCTGGAGGCGCGGGTAAGTTGGGCCGTGCCATTGTTGAAGCAATCGTTGAAAATGGCCAGCACGAAGTTGTGATCCTGGCTCGAGAAGTGAGTACATATGTGATATAGAACTTTGAACTGCATAATCTCATACATATCCTAGGCTAAAGATGTCGGAGCAATCAGGGCCATCGCCGTCGACTACACTGATGTTGGCGGACTTACTACTGCGCTTGAGTCTAACAAGATCGAGATTGTCATATCTACCATCAATGCTTTGCACGACGTCTCGGCTGAGCTGAATTTGATCCAAGCCGCTGAAAAGTCGGCATCTACAAAAAGATACATCCCTAGTATCTGGGGCATCAAATACACCCCCGAGTATGTACCTCCCTGATGCTGGATTTAGTGCGAGAACACTGAAATTGACTGGTTAGGGTTGCCTCGTATTTTCCTATTGCTCAGGCTAAACTCAACCTCATTGCCGCGTTGGAAGCTACCTCGACCCTCGAGTACACCACTGTGATTAACGGCTACTTTGCTGACGGCTGGGTCGCCCCCAAGGTCAAGTCCTACCAAGACCCCCTGCCTCTGGTGGTCGATATTCAGAACCAGGTCGCCGCTATCCCTGGATCTGGCAGCGAGCTCGTGGTTTTCACTCACACCTTTGACATCGCACGCTTTGTCGCTCTACTTGTCGGTGCGCCGAAGTGGGACAAGGAATCTTATATTATTGGAGACAAGGTATCATGGAACCAATTCGTGCAGTACGCCGAGGAAGCAAGGGGCGTCAAGTTTACCATTAAGAACGACTCGATCGAAGACCTCAAGCAGGGAAAAATCACGGAACTGCCTTCTCACCCTCATTTGTATCCATTCTTCCCCAAGGAGATGCTTCAGGGTCTGTTTGCTGCCTTTGGGCGCATGTTTGTTGAAGGGGTGTTTGACCTCAAGCCTGAGCACACGCTCAATGAGGCGTTCCCTGAGGTGAAGGCGCGAAAGATTAAGGATCTTTTGTTCGAAGCTTGGGGCCAGTAATTGTTCGATCAGGTTAGCCTATGGTGGAGACGGAATTGAGTAGAGGCTTGGAAAGGACCAATAGATGCTGCTTCTCTACTCATGAATACTGATTTGTGGTACATGTGGGCTCGGGTGTATTTTAATTCCGACGCTAATTACGAATCAACAGTGGTAAAGTCGGCATAAATAGTGGAGAGCCTGCATCCGTAGAAGTTCATCAAACCCTTCAGCCACCAAGTACTGACCTATACTTTTTATGTTGCTCAGTCGTGAATTCGTCTTGGGCACCCTTGTAGCCTTGATCATACGACTCGCAATGGATGCGCATGGGCATTTTAGCACCAGCGCCGGTGCTATGCCGAGACGGACCGCCAATGTAAGTTGATTCAATCCCTGCGAGTATCCGCCCCGCCTGGCAGGTCTGAACCCGATAGGCCTGCGTACAATGCAGATGCAGAAAGCTTCGATGCGACGGCAGACTACCAAGCTGTGAGAGATGCCTGAGCTCAAAGGCGACTTGCCGCTATGACAAGCGCAAAGGCAGAGGCTTAGGGAAAAGGTGAGTTATGACGTTGACGTGCGAGTTGCTGAGACTAAAAGTGGATAGCAAACAATACATTTCATCCCTCGAACAGCGCCTGAAGGAGGCTGAGATAACAACACGATCAACCCCTGTATTAGGTCAAGGCTCAAGTCACATTTCAGATGAGACTGACAAGAGTGATGATCAGCCTCACATCAACGTGGCAACAGCACCCAGCCGAAGCCAGACTCCTCCATCAAGATGGCCCAGAGAGATCGTCGAAAGCATAGCTCATGCCCAGAACAACCAAATCAATATAGACCGAACAGTTTATATCCCTTTACCACCCAAGGAATACACAATTCACTTTGTATTCAACGCCATCGAGGAAATGTATCAAGTACAACCGCTCTTCAGTATTGACGAAGTTTCGAAGCTGGTGGGAGACCAGTATTTAGCGGGGTTGACCAACTGCATTGACAACCCTATCCGTTGGGCCACGCTGAATGCCCTCATTGCCATGGGCGTACACTGGAAGGCCGACAACAGGGCCATAAAGGAGCTATTTCCTGTCTCGTGGTCGCATTTCAAGAACGCATATGCCATCTTTCCGGAGCTGGTGATGAAGGTCCCCAGTATCGAGTCCTGTCAAGCGATGCTGGTCATGGCCCTGTTTATGCAGGGAACTGCTGATGCAGTGGCGTTCACCAGTTTGCTGTCTTCCGCTGCGCACGCTGCTCAGTGCATTGGACTACACCTGGAGGATGAAAGTAGTCCAGGTGCAGGTCTCAATGCGGAAAAGCGCAGGCGGACTTTTTGGTTGATACACGTGCTCCAGTGCAATGCGTCGTTGAAGTTCGACCTCCCAGCACCATCTAGCGAGATTGACGTTAACTTTCCTAGTCAAGAGTCATTGGCTGAGGACTCAACTAGTACCGATCTTTTGAGACACATGTCGAGCCTATCATTGATCCAGTCCAGAATTATTCGACAGTTACGCTCTGGATCAGGACTCTGGAAGGACCATAATAAAATGCGCCAAGTTATTGCAGAGATAGATCAGGACCTGGCATCTTGGTTGGCGGGACTGCCCTCCGAATTCCGACCTACATTCTCGTCTCCGGTGATTAATCGAGGAGTAGCAGAGCTGCAATTTGCCTACTACGCTTCTACCTGGAGGATCCACGGCGCAAATAACAAACTAGGGAGCATTCAGACACTCTCAGCTCCCACGTCGAGTCTCCGGGTTCTCTCGCCAACTCCCCCAGACAGCGCCCGAGCAGCGATTTCCTTGATCAAAAGATTGTCATCACAGCCTTTAGTTGTTATGTGGTAAGATCTACACCTAGCTCTATCTAGCCCATACTGACATGTCAGGCGATTTATGTGCTACCCCATCTGTGCCATCCTGATACTCTTGGTAGCTGTGCTTGATAACCCGGGAAGCTCGGAAACTGATTCAAATCCGGCTTGGATCGATGAATTTTTGAGATTCTTGCAAAACTTCCAGGATAGAGAGGGCTGTGATTTGAAACGTTTCATTGATGGTTGTTCTAAGTTATACGAAGTTGCACTCACCACACAACGCAACTCAGTTAGCCAAACCGCCGAATGTGAGAACACCACAACTGAATTATCCCAGGGACATATTGTAGGTGCTTTCCGTACTGGACGCAACAGTCTCTAATACAACTATAGGATATACATACGTGCTTGCGGGGCTCTATAGACCCGATGCAACTAGCGCAAGGCCTTCTCACCAACATGCCATTATTGTCTACTAAGGCAAGTAATGTATTTCCTAGCATGTTAGGAGAAATGATAGACGATGAGTTTGGGTTACTAGTCCTAGACTTACTTAAGCCGGGTACATTTAACTTTTGTGCTTCCTAATGACTAGCAATGACCAAGCCTGAGACGAGGCTTACAGTCTCATGCAAATATATAACATTTCCAGGAGCTGTGTGTATACCAGCGTGACGTAATTTAAGTTTGGATAAGTAAAGCCACATTACTAAACTACACAAATAGAAATATGCGTTAAGAATTGCGTTCTGTATTATACAGTCAGTAATTAAAAGAAAACAGACAGAACATCACCGGTATTTTTATATTATAATAAAGTTTGTTGTCTTTAAATCAAAGGAAACCTCTTCAGAGTTGAAGTACCTCAAGGACGGAGTAATGCTTCAATGTATTTGCTATCTCGCCGGCCACCAGATTTGATTGCGAGAACTTGGCCAGCAGCCTGCCTGGTTACGACGAACTCCGCTGCTACGTCAACGATGTGGGATTGTAGTTGATATCGAAAAGTTTGGGGATAGTCGTCGCGAATTTCTGTCTCATGCTAATATATGTAACTCTTATTATTCATGTTATTTTACATCTGTTAATCTCTTCCTTTGCTTATCCATTGTTTCTAGGTGACCCTTCGTCACGGGATTGCAAATCTCAACCAAGACCCTCTCGATCTCGTTCAGTAAAAACTGCCCGGGGTTGCAAGGCGTGTGGTCTACACCCTCAGACCTTCCAATATCATGGATTACCAATCCTGTCATCTTGCGTCGCAGTCCAACAATGCTATCCATTACATTTTCTGCCTTGGGCAAAGGCCACAAGCCCGCTCGAAGAAGGCAAAACGTTAATGAGCCTAGAATCATAGATTCACAGCGATGCGGACCCATCCATTCAGCGTGTCGGCACCAACGCGGCTTCTCATCAACGACACACAAGTCCTGTACAAGTCTGTTGATGACGTCGAGGAGAGCCTGTATGGTATTGATGCGGATTGCGGATACTCGTTCTGTAAGTCCTGGTTAGAAAGGTATCAATCAAGGCAGAGTAGAGATACATACCGACAATATCGGGGACCATTTCAAGGTCTGGGTCCTCAGATCCGTCGCTCTCCATAAGCATCCTTCTTGTCGTCCCTGCAAAAGAATCATGGAAGCCAAACTCCCATGCTATTCCAAGGCATTTAGCCATAGATTCCTTTGTTCTCTTTTCGCTATCCTCCATAGAAGACATCCATCTTCCTACCCAGGGTTCCAACATCCGTGTGGCATCGTAATAGTTTGACAATACTGTGAGGTCGTAAAGGTCGTCAATCGATATTGTTCTCGGGATGTGATCGAATTGTCCGTGTGATATGCGTAGAAAGAGGGACATCGCCGTTGCCTTGTCTTCGGGGAGGTTCACAGTCCACTCCCCATCATCAGGCCTCTTCGCCTCTATGAAGTTTCCGTAGAGCATGCGCTCGAAGACTGGCGAGGTTCTCGCCAATGCCCTTGAACAGACTGTGAATGTGACAGGGTCTGTTTCGCCGACACAAAGTTTGATATCACCACGTGGGTCAATCTCCATATCTTCAGAATACATTAGAAGGTATAATATAGTAGTATGACTTTAATTCATACGTGTTGAGAAAGGGGATTAGATGTTCTTCTTATAATGGCTTCTCACTGTTAGTTATCGTCTTAAGGTGGAAAAGTTTTCACGGGCTATCTAAAAATAGAACTTCGCCAAGAGCCTTACGGGTACGAAGTAAAGCTCGAGCCTGTTAGCTCAGCCACGAAATAACTTATGTTAAATGTAAGAACTAACTATTATTAGAAATAAGCTAAGGTAGTGTATAATTTATGCGTAAATGTTAAAACAAGCCCCCTAAATGTTTATCTAACGTAGCTATTATTTTCTTTTGCTTTAACCTGCAACTTTATCAACCCGGGCTTTCTGAATTTCTCAATAGTATTGACAATAAATAACATTTTATCCTACCAATTATAATATTCCTCTTATAGTAGATCTTCCCAAAAGTAGCTATCTTCCAGTGCTTTTGTTATCTGGTTATTCATATGCAGCCAATTTCCAAGCTGTGCGCCATACTGATCAACCTCGACCTCATTGGGCATCTCGAATGAGTCAAGCGTCCATTGAGCAGCCTCATCTAGTGAAATCCTGGTGTTCATCTGTGAGCTCTGCAAGTTAGAGAGTGGCGTGAGGGTAACAGGTTGCTGGTGAGCTGGAGAAAGAATGGCTGAGGACGAAGAGGCGTTTGCTACTGAGGGAATTCGGAAATCGACCGTGCTCAATCTAGCTTCGATATAACTGCAAGTGGCATCATAAAGAGCTTTGAAGAGGCGATACTCTTTCCTTACGCCAGAAGAAGGAATGCTATGCGTGGCAGACTCTAGAGTCTCAATAACGCTTGCGAGGAGATCCAAGTCTTTTCTGTTACCTGTCTCGATGATATGGCAGAATACTACAATAAAAGGAATAAACGGCGATTGCAATAGGGCCCTGCAAAAGCGGAAGAGGATTAGATAGGTGTTTCCTAGCCAGAAGGGAGCAGGGGAACATGCATGTTTACATAGCTTTCGAGAAAGTCATCGTCAAGTTCAGTGACAAGAGACATCCATTGTCTGTGTGCCTTTAGAGCTTTGTGAGCACTTTTGATGCATTCCTTGCTAAAAACGGTGCCCTGGTTTGCTTCGGGTGGTATGGCTCGATAAACCAAGCAAATCAGTGATGAGCAGGCCACTTCGCTGGTGCATAAGAAGGCCTCTAGAAACCTATTGCTAGTCGCCTAGCGCAAAGCTTCTATGTACAGCTTCTATAGCCTTGTCAATAGGTGATCTCCAAGATTATCGGCGTACACCTTGGTGAAGCGAGCGGTAGCTGATATTTGGGCTGCCATACCTCATTCGTCCCCTCCCTACTCTTGTGCACTTCGAGCTCTGCCGCAAGACTTCTTGCCCTGGTGGTTCTGATATCCTGCGGTTGCGCCAAAGCTTCAGAGCTGTAGAGTTGGTCGTAAATTTTGCCTTGTAAATGTGCCAGGTCTTTCATCTTGTCTAGCTGCGAGGAGTAAGTTATCTCTGATAGGGAGTCGATGCATGGGACCGGAATGGTAATGTCGCTGTCGCAAATAGTCGATGACCGGCCAAGACGCAGAGAAAGCGCTTTTTATTGCACGTAAAGTAGCCAGAATAGTTTGATCTTGACCGCCTTGATTCCCGGGGGAGCTTGAGTCATTTCCACCTTGCTGTGCATACCTAGCGTCTGGCTCATATGTGACGCAGTTGCGACAAAACACCAGGCCGCGGATGGTTTGCATGTTCCGAGGCAGTACAAGCTCTGGAATGGTATTAGTGCTACATTCAGATAGATTATCAGGATCACGTACAGCCATTATCATTGAACTAACTGTCTCAAGTTTCGAAGGTTGATGAAATGGCAGGTTGGCGAGAATAGTCTCAAGATTGTCCCGGCAGATCATAGCTTATGCATCGAAGTCGGCCTTTCTCTTAGAGTCTGTGACGGCGTGTTTGCATTGCTGGAACATCTAATAGAGCCCCCCATTCACGATGATGAGGTCGGCATGAGTCGCCTCACTTGGCGAATATACGCTGAGCAAGTAGTTACTGAAATAGGTTTCTTCATGGGTCCAAAAGAACCGAACTCGAGCGTTCTCTGGAACACAATGGTAAGAGGTAAGTAGAGAAGAGGTAAGCATCGTTGTGGTCATTACCTTTAGCCATTCTGAGGGAGTTGAAGACTTTGTCAACAGGTGGCATGGGAAGGTTGCGCAGATTCAGTCCCGACCCAAGGGCTCTAGCGTGAGGATACAGGTAGTCATGATCTTGCTGCTGGTTTGAGTTCCTTCCCAATGCCATTCTCAGAGACTCCAAGACAGAAGACATCTCAGCAGCGATGTCGATTCCATTCGGTTTGTTGATGATGGCATCTTCAAGATATTTATTTGCAAAAGTGGCTTGGGCTGAGAGGGAAGACTCTCCTTGATGGTCTAAGGTTGGAGTGAGAAGCTCGCTGCCGAGGCGATCGATCGATGATGTAGATGTCGGTTCACATCTTGGCGCGGCGGACGCAGTTAATGTCGGGTGTGATGGAACCTGTGATGGAGTAGTCGCGGGTATAGTAATCTGAGTATGGTTTTGGATGGCCCCCAAGACATTTCCAAACTCTTCAAGCTTCTGTGCGATGTGATCAATTTTCCGCTCACTAGAAGGGTGAGCTTTAACGAATAAAACGAGCGGGCTTGTGTATATGCTTACTATGTCTCTGATATGAAGACGCGCTGTCGCTTTTCTTTTGGCTTATGCCGTTGTGGGTAGGTACAAGTATGACTTGTACGGAGGCAGTAAGTACATGGATGTTTCCGGTCGCAACGTATCTGGGATTTGAGACTGCGCGTTCCTGGCGAGCTTTCAACGAATCAATGAATGGTCACGTACTTTTCGCACGCGGCACCTATCACACTAGAAACAGTGTTTAAGGCCAATGGTTACTTGCTGCAATGGTGGATAAAGGGACGCCACTCCGAGATGGTGGATATCTCGCTGACGGCCTCTAGGCATACCGCACCGCAGCAAAACCACAGTTAAGTTAAAGGGAATACGTGTATTATACTCTCTGACAGCTAAAATAGAGCATGCTTCCACCTTCTTTAGATATTTATACCATTTAAGGTTGACATTGTTAATTGTTAATTGTTTCTTACACTCCTTTCACTTCACCATTGTGTTCCACACAGCGATATTTGCCCGTCACTTGTCTTCTTTTCTTGTTTTCTTCTTACGAATACTTCTTCACACTAACACAATCCTTCCCAAACTTTCTTGCCTTATTGTTGCAATGAAGAAAATCGATCAAGCCGCCGATGCGACAGGGGGCAACCAGCCTGACAAGAAGCCAACTTCTGGCTTCGCTGCTTTTCTGGTAAGGGAAGATCTTTCTTGACACAACTTTACACGATAAACATGCTGACAGCTCCTTATACAGCGAATGTTTACCTACTGTCAACCCCTCGACTGCGCCCTCGAAATTATTGCCATCCTGGCTGCAATCGGCTCCGGTGTAGCGATGGCAATGATGAACCTCGTAATAGGAGAATTAATGAATGTCATGAGTGACCCCACACGTATTGCCGCAGATCCAGATGGGTTCATGGCTGCCGTCAGCAAGACTTCGTAAATATTTAATCACCCATTTTCGCTCTGGCCCCAGCTAATACTCTTTCGGACTTTACTTTGTCTACATTGGCATTGCTAGATTAGGCTGTACCTACATATACTCGACGCTCTTTACCTATGTTTCCTTCCGAGTCACAAATAACATCCGAAAATCCTACCTTCGAGCAGCACTCAGCCAAGAGGTCAGCTATTTCGATCACGGAACTTCTAGGTCTATATCCATGCAGGGCACATCCAATGGAAAGTTGATCCAGGCCGGCATCGCAGATAAACTGGGACTCTTCTTCGCGTCGTTTGCTACCTTTATTGCCGCTTTCATCATTGCGTTTATTAGCTACTGGAAGCTTACCCTTATCCTCATTTGCATCATGCCAGCAATTATGTTGGTCATCGGTTCCATGGCTACAATCGACGCCGGTATGGATGGGAAGAACTTGAAGGTCATCTTTCAAGCTGCTCAATACGCCGAAACATCCCTCGCAAGCATCCGCACGATTAAAGCCTTCAACCTCGAGTCGAGAATCATGCACAATTACACATCTTTTATCGAAACCTCACGTCAACTGTGTCGTAAGAAGTCTGGTGTTTATGGTGTTATGTTTGCCTGGCAGTACTTTATCATGTATGCCGGTATGGGTTTGGCTTTCTGGCAAGGCATCAGAATGATCGCTCGCGGGGAAGTATAGGGCATCGGCGCCGTCTTCACGTAAGTACCCCTGTTTCACCTCGATCAATAGCATTGCTCCAAACATTTCCTCTTTTGTTCGCGCTGGTGCTGGTGCCACAGAGCTTTTTGCTTTGGTCGACAGGACCTCAGATATCAACCCTCTCGATGAGTCGGGCCAGAAGCCTAGTATGTCATATCCTCCTCCCTCGCGTGTCGTGTAAGGGTACCTAACACTTCAATAGGGTGCTAGTGGCTCAGGGAAAAGTACTATCATTGGTCTTCTGGAAAGGTGGTATAATCCAGCTACTGGTGACATCAAACTTGATGGAGTCAGCCTGAAGAACCTGAGTGTCACCTGGCTTCGTACAACAATACGACTTGTCCAACAGGTGTGTTCCAAGTCCACCCTGGACACATTACCTTGCCATAGATACTTATACTCCATAGGAACCTGTTTTATTCAAGGGAACTATCTTTGAGAACATCGCGACTGGTCTCGTTGGGACTCCTTGGGAGAAGGTTGCCAGAGAAAACCAAGAAGAACGTGTCAAACAGGCAGCCAAGCTTGCCTTTGCAGATGAGTTCATCCAGAACCTACAGGAAGGATATGACACACGCATAGGTGAGAGAGGTGGATTTCTTTCAGGAGGACAAAAGCAGAGGATTGCCATCGCTCGAAGTATTGTTTCCGACCCTTCCATTCTCTTGTTAGATGAAGCCACCTCAGCACTCGACCCACACTCCGAAGGTATAGTCTAGAAGGCACTCGACAGTGTCTCCAAAAATAGGACCACGCTGGTCATTGCTCACAAACTAGCCACCATTCGAGATGCTGATAATATTGTGGTCATGTCTAAGGGCAAGATTGTTGAGCAGGGAAGACATGACGATCTGGTGGCCCTCAATGGCACTTACTCCAAGCTAGTCCAGCCACAAGATTTCTCTACGAGCAAGGGAAACCTGGATATCCAGACATCTGACGAAGAATCGACAGCATTTGTTGAAGCGATAGAACCTGTTCAATCTCTTGCAAAATACAATTCTGCGATCAACGAGGACCTTACCTCTCAAATGACGAGGGAAGACTTTGACCTTTACAAGTCTACAGGGCTTCTTCATATTATCTGGAAGATGATCATGTCGGCTCCTGAGCTTCGGGCTTACTTTATTGTAATGTCCATTGCCTGTGCTATTGGAGGTGAGCCTGTCCCTGCACAACCACTATCAGCTAGAGACTCTAACCAAATGACACAGCTGCTGTTTACCCTGGACAGAATCTGCTACTTTCAGAGGTCATGAAGGTCTTCACATCTTCTAATCTAGTCAAAGGTGATGACTTTGTATCTCTGATGTACTTCGTCATTGGTCTTGGAGCCTTGGTGGTGTTTTTTGTTATGGGATGGATTTCAAACATTATTGTCCAGGTGAGTTCGGGAAAAGAGATCGAAGTACAGTTTTGCCAACTTGAACCACAGACTCTGAGCCAGAATGTCCGAGAAGGACTTTTCAGAAGTATGCTGAAACAAGACCTTCGTTTCTTTGATAGACCAGAGAACTCCGTTGGTGCTCTTGTCAGTCGCATTGACACCCAGTCCCAAGCTATTCTAGAGCTTATGGGCTTCAACATGGCGTTGGTCTTTGAATCCATCATCAATATCAGTGCCAGTAGCATCCTTGCTCTTGCATATACTTGGAAGCTCGGCCTTGTTGGTGTTTTTGCTGGCATGCCTCCTCTTCTACTGGCAGGATATGCTCGCATTCGACTGGATACAAAGCTGAACGCAGACATTGACAAGAGATTTTCAACAAGTGCTTCCATAGCGTCCGAGAGTGTCAATACCATCCGGACTGTTTCATCGCTTGCGATTAAGAAGAATATTTTAGAGAAGTATACCGCGGAATTAGACAGTGCTGTTTCAGGCTCCACTTTGCGACTTTTCACCATGATGATTTGGTTCTCTCTGACCCAGTCGATTAAGTTTTTCATTCTTGCTCTGGGATTCTGGTGAGTAATTGATCCCATTCATGGATGATATCTTTATGTTTTCCGAGTTTGATACTTTGATCAAATCCAGCCTTGTTTAAGTCGATAGCTAGAATATGGTTGTCCGTATTGACGGCGGATTGAAGGATTGATCAAGTCGTCTGCAAGACATATCGGTGACTTCTTAACACAAGGCGTATCCTCATTCAGCTCTCCTTTGTCCTCACTAGAGCTCTTCTCAAAAAGCCACCTTTGGCAACGCCCTAAAATTATCCTTCCGCAGAAGGTCAGTAGGCAGTCACATTGACTACCGAGCAGCTTCAACCTGGTAGCGATAGTAATACAAACGGCTTTAAAATATAGGAAGCCAAAGGAAGCAGTCACTTCCCCATCGCAAATAAATTCTACCTCTTGCGACGCCATCTCATAATGCTCAACCGGGATGTTTTTCGAAGACAGTATGAACCGTTAGGCGAGACAGATATTTGAGCTTCATGGGAAATGTTAAACTCATTTAATGATGCTACCAAAGAGTCTGTCGTCTTCTAAAATTGTGGAAAGGATGGCGGCTGCAGTAGACTGCATGAACACCTCCAGCCGCTGCCTCTGCCAGCCAGTGGATCTGCCGTTGACGTTCTCAATCTTCATGTCGCAGAGGAGCCAAGGTCACCTTTCAAGTGGCTTTGTCATCGATTCAATAGCACCAAGTCACCTATTCCGCTGACCGAGATTTACGTGGGCCTCTTGCAAAGTGCTACAAAGGTCTGGAAGGAAATTACTGAGAAGAATGTTCCAGGCTGACATGCTTGCTCACAGAATGACATGTCAATGCGTGTAAGACATATAGCATACCCACCTGCCTTCTAAGGCTTATAGCTGCAGACAATGGTGCATCTACCTTAATTGTCTTGATCTCAGGTTTAGGCAAGTAATATTGAAACCAAGGAAGCTTATGTAGTCCTAGCTTATTGAGCCCTCTCACTCATACATGCCAGCTCTGCATTAGACCTTAAAACTTAGCGACCTTGACCGTGACATTTCCAAGAGCGCCGCTGTCCAGGTTGGCCCCAGTCTGCTGAACGATATAGTTGTCATCAACATCGTTCACGGTGAAAGTGTTGGTCTTGCTACCCCAGGGGCAGCTCCAATAGATATGGCAGATCTTCACATCGCCATCATAAAGATCCAAGCTACCCTCCGTTCCAGAAGAGGCGTCAGACCTTCCACACGATGCGATGCCGGCCGATTTGTTAGTAGCAATGACAATCTTCTTGATCTCGTCGGTCGAGATCTCGTCATCCTTGTTGTTGTACTTGAAGAACTTTCCCCTGTACATAGATAAAGAGATTAGCTTGGTTCTAATGTTGGTCATACAGACCACTTATGGACGCACCAGTTGAGATTGACGTTCTTGACAGAGATTTCACCAGAAGCCAACTTGGCTTGGATGAGAATGTAAACCCACTGTGCGTACGCCATTGTAGATAAGCAGTTGGGTGAAGAATTTGTGACTGAGTGTAGCGAGGACTTGGGCAACTGAATAGCGGTGATGAGCTTGGTGATTTGAAGTTGAGAGAAAGAACTTAAGGATGATGTGTCCCTTTATATATCCGTTCGAGTAGCCATCTCGGTCATGGTACAAAGTACAGTCGACACAAGGTCTGACCGTCACGCTGTTGATTGTTTCTTCCATCAGCTGGAGGAAGCAAGCCACCAAGACGCAAGTTTGATCTTTGAGGAGGGCTGTGCGATAGAGGGAGAACAAGATCGATCGGCATGGCCTACAATAGAATACGTAAGTCAATGTTGTTTCTGGCCTTTCAGCCAGCCACATTTGAACTCGACTGCACTCAGTTTGCTCATATGCAACATATGTGATATTAGCAATATCGCAGCTTAGTATGCATGATGTAGCAATGTAGTAACAATCCTGATTAACTTCTCTATAGATTTCCTCGCTTTCACTGTAAGTGCACGTTATGCATCGTCAATAACCGATCATAACTACAGTGACCTCCCATTGTTCTATATGAGGAAGAACGTTCTCAATAAATGATATGTATTCTTCAAGCAAAGTCCAAGCCAAGGCTTTGGTCTCGCTATCTGATAAATTGACTTTGCTTATCCCGTTGACCAGTTACGAATTTGAACTTAACTTTGAGGAGGAGAACGATTTCAGGGTGGCGAAACCGTTGAGTGGACAGAGTCCTAAGATGTCAAGTCTAGACCCCCTCCTCTCACGCCGTAACGATCAGTTCGTTGGTTTATCACATTCTTTAGCTTCAGGCCTTAGGCTCGTCGGTTGGACTATGTGAGGAAGGTGATCTCGACTAAAGTTACAAAGTATAGCTCACACAGAGAACATAGCCGCTCAGAGTGTGTGATAGATATTTGTGGCTGCAGATGATGATCGAATCGATCGATTGATACCTTATGCTGTCGAAAGGCTATACCCCGCCTTGGGAGAGAATGATAAAACAACCACTATACTATCTCGAGCTTTACGCCCAAATCCACTATTGGGTTCACCGAGAATAAACGCTATTGCATCTCTTTGCATCCAAAGGAAAGTCTAGACTGATGAACTATTGATGTATATAGCAAGACATGCAGCAGACTATCTACATTTATGCTCACTGGCTGAGTCAAATGACATCGGTAATGTTCATGAAGTGCGGGGCAGTAGCCAGTGAGAAGGATAGCAGCTAACTAGAAATATGATCATTCCTCAAGAATAAGGCTTTTAACGCCGACCAAGATTATCGTGGAGTATATACAAGCTAGCAGTGGCAAAGATGTGGCTGGCTGAGAAGCAAAAGAGTTAAATTAAGCAGCCCCCTTTACCATCCGCAATGCAGCCTTCCCAACAAGTCAGGCAATTATCGGATAGGTAGGCAGGTGGGTAGCAAAATAACCGGCACAGCAAAGCTCTTTTGCCATATAAAGTTAAGCGTGTGAACAAAATAAAGTCGTCATACTCCCAGAAGAATTAGACGAGACTTTTCTGTCAACTTGACAAGGTGTGCCGGTTTTATTGTGACCCACCTGGTAGGTTCTTCATCACTGACCATATAAACGGTCTGTCTCTTCCGGAGCAGGATGAGTGTTAGTGGCAGAATGTTAGGTCTGATTGGATTTAAAGTACAATCCTCAATGGATCCATTGGTTTCCAGAAAGGATGGCTGGTTCGAGGCCACAGGATAACTGGCTGCTCTGTATAGGCATTCCGAAGTGAGGTTAGTGCGCTGCCTCTTAATAACCCCTAGGACTTGTCTCAGCCCGTGCTCGACCCGCATCCAAAGCCACATTGAACTTCGACCGGTAGCCGTGATAAGTTTATTTATTCTTTTATCCAGAATAGTAGGCTCAGCCATTTGGGCCAGATCAAGAGGTTTATAACCGTATCATTTGCGGAGCCAAGAGTGGATCTATTCTCGAATTTAAGCCAAACGGAGTTGACTTCACCAAAGTGGTAAAACACGCCACCGGATGACATATTCCACTTCGTCTTCCGGTGGAACAAATATCTAAAAAGAGTTAGAACAAATTACCATCTTGGGAGCTTCCGGACTCCTAGTGCCGCTCTTATACGACCAAGACCGAAGAAGTATCTTTACGTGAAGTCTGCAAAGGGTTGTGAAGGAGACTATATAATAATTGCCTTCTACCTTTCATCTGATTTTGTTTCTCAAATAATCTACTGTTGCAATATTTACACACTATTAAACCCCAACGTCTACAACTATGTCTTCCAATATCAACCAAATCACCGTCACTCTGCGAGAAGTCGCCAAGATGATCGATCACTCTCTACTGCACCCCACCATGACTGATGACGATGTCGTCGAAGGTCTTAAAATCTCCAAGAAGTATAACGTCGCCACGGCATGCATCAAGCCATATCTTATTCCTCTGGCAAAGAAAGAGCTAGAAGGATCTGATGTCCTCATTTGCCCTGTCATTGGTTTCCCCCATGGAAATAGCAGCACTGCCGTCAAGGTGTTCGAAGCTGATGCTGCTGCCGCCGCTGGTGGGCAGGAGATTGACATGGTCATCAACATCGGCAAAGCCCTTGGCGGTGACTGGGACTATGTTGCCCATGAAATACGCCAAATCAACGATACCGTTGTCAAACAAGGGGCAATTTTAAAGATCATCTTCGAAAACGACTACCTAGAGGAGAAGCATATCATCCGCCTTTGCAAGATTTGCTCTGAAATCGGAGTGGCATTCGTCAAGACTTCAACCGGCTATGGCTTTGTAAAGCAGGCCAATGGAATGTACTCTTACCAGGGAACTACCATTCCTCATCTGAAGCTTATGCGATCAGAGTCCAACATGAAAGTGCAGGTCAAGGCCGCTGGAGGCGTTCGTACCCTCGATGACTTGTTGCACGTCATGTCGCTTGGCATAAGCCGTATTGGTGCTACGGCCACCATTGCAATCATGGAGGAGGCAGTGAAGAGAGGAATCACAGAGCAGCCTACTGTTGTTCAGTTTACACCTATGGGCGATAGCTCTGCCGGAGGATATTAGAAGTAGGCGATATGGGTACTTGGCATTATTTATGCTGTGTATTATATCTGTTAAACACAACTAAAATTCGAAATTCGTTTCAAATAGCAAGGCTAATATGGTATTGATATATCTAGTAGCTTGTTTCCAATGTTATAATTCATAATTAACTAAATCCCTTCACCAAAACTCCAACCCCATATCCAACCTTGATTCTGTCCAAAGCCTATGCCAGCAGTATCTTGATCACTCATAGTGTCTTCGGTAAATGGAAAATTTGTTACTGTTTGAGGAAATTAGTACCTTGTTGTGCTACCTAATCTTCCTATTGCCACTGGTGGAATCGACATACCTTGCTCATATTCCAAGAGAGCGTCATTCAAGAGGCTGTTCTCACAAAAGTCGACACTTTGACCTTCATAGGTCATATTGTTTGCCTCTGCTGTAATACTGTTCGCAATACCCAGTGTTTGGGGATCCAAATTAATGTTTGTAAGCATGCCTGTGTGAGTGCCGGCTGGACTTTGTTCAGGATCTTCTTCTCTAGAATCAATTATCCGCTCCTCGTCCCGAATCACACTGCCGGGTATACTTGTTCTTGTTGGCTCAATTCTCATGGTTGGCGGCTCGGTCTCAAACATGGCATCGGTTTCTTTAGCCATCACCAGAGACATTAGCTTTCTCATGATGTCAAGACCCTGAGAGGCAACAATAGACTTGTCCTTGAGCATGGCCTGTACCTGCATTAGTTGCCTCATGCCAAGCTTGGACTCAAACGACTGGAGGCTCAGAGCATCAAGGCTTATCGAGATACAAAGAGTTACACCTGCGGTTAAGAGGTGCAAAGACACAAATGCTATGGCATATGTCTCTGATGCTTCTCGAAGGTAAGGAGTTGAAGCGACTTGTGAGATCTGCAGTGCAGCATCTCGGCACTCATGCATCGCCAGACGAAAAGGGTCAGTCCTTCCTGAAGTGTCCCTTTGTGATGTGGAAGATGAACAGACCATCTTGAAGGAAAGAAGAGGCCTATGAATCAAGATCCTTGCGTTTTCGTATGCAAGTTTGAGGGCAAGTGCTTGTAGGCGGAAAAGATGGTCTTCAAATGCTCGATCAGAAACTTTAGAGCTGCCTGTATGAGAATCTGGAACAGCTCTAGAGCTGTCGAATCTGAGTTCCGGAGTGAGAGTTCGGCTCCAGTCCAAGAGTCGTTGATTTAGAGTCGCCACTCTATTGATAAGGCTCTTCGGCCCACATGAGTTTTGCTGGCCACCGCTACGCCGAGCTCCGTACAGGTCGATTAATATGGATTTCACGATCGCTGACAACTCCGACATAGAGCACTTGTAGAACAGCAGCGTCGGCTGTCTCATCAGTCGGGCCTCTGACGTAGATCTCGAATACTCGTCGAACGGATCTAGCGCGTCAACATCGCAATCGCTGTCAGAAAACCCCAAGGGAAAGCCGTAGAGCATGGAGCAGAACGTTTCTATCTCATACACTGCCCACCATGCCCGTTTTCTGTCTTCAATGGGTTGGGCGAGAGCGCGATCTCGAGAGCCATTGGGCGGTGCTTTTCGGTGAAGGTTGAGTGCTTGGGCGATACGTAGCCCAGAGCCACACATGGGCCAGGCAATTTCTGGTTCCCCATGGTAGAGATAGTAACTTCCCAATAAGACGCAGAACTGTACCGCCTCTAGAGAGCCTAGTGACACGACGTCTAAGAACATTAGCTTAAGGTTTGCTAGTAATCTTTCTTTCAGGGTCTGCGGTTCAATATTGTGAGACTGTAACTGTTGTTTCTGTGCCTCACTAATATGATGCAAGCTAGTTGCCAGGACAGCCAGGAGCACAAAGACGAACCCAACACGGCCATTTGTCTCCGTACTCTGACCACTAGGATGAAGACTGGGAATATAGAGCTCTTGAAGTTTCTTTCTGAAACTGTCCTGGTAAAACAGTAACATGAACCAATGGATCCGGTCAAAGTAGTTGTCAACCAAGATAGTCGTAGGCTCTACGTCGGGTAACAAGGACAAGAGTTCTTGCTCAATAGTAGATGATCCGACCCTACAGTGACTCTGTGGCTTGTGTGTGCTTCGAGTATGCTTAGACAGGAGCCTTCCTAGAGAGCCGTAAGCTGCGTCTTCATGAGAATCGCCGGATGTCTTAGGGTAAGTTTGAGCCCATGTTACTGATGAAAACGCGGAGGTTTCTGGACGCTCAGGCGAGACGGCTTCATGGTGTTGGAATGCCTTTGCGTCGAACGTTAGCAACACATTAAACAGCGCTTCAAAGTCACACTTGGTATTACCTCTTCAACAAGCCTGATTGTAGAGCTTGAGTTCCAGGACCCTTCTGCGGCTGAGTCAACAATATCGTCAGCTGAAATTAGGTCGGCTATGGTAGGGACAGTTGGATTCTCCGGTCGGTGGTCCAGCCTCCGACGTTTGGTCACTGGCCCATCCTTCTTGGGTCCGGCTCGCTTCATTGAAGTCTCATGATGCCTCCATCGGTCATCCGGTCGTGTAACACACTCAACGTTTGCTCGTGCACATAAAGTACACGGATGCTCGACATCGCACTAGTCGGATCAGGCAGGTTCAGGAGCGTTTGGAGTGCAATAATACATAAGGAGTGGACTGGAAGACGTACCTTGAGTTTCTGTCTGCGACATCGGTCACATGCACTGGCGACTTTACGACGACTGCCTTTTTCCATGGTGAGTGTTTCATACCACATATGTGTAAATGAAAGAGCTAGTACGAGAGGTAAATTATAATGTCTAACTCAATCAATCCCGGAATAACCTTTACCCTTTTGCTAGACTGTTTATAGAAATTCCGCATTGTGATAGACTTGACTTTTTAATTGGTCCCTTGTGGCTAATTTAATTCTCCCTCGTTAAGCCAGGTCTCAACTATCCTTCATCGGACTTCCCTCATGTTCTATATTGACTGCTCTTAACTCTTGAGTAAGCTCCCGAGGAAGTCAATACCCTGTCTCTGTAGATCCCATGTTAATGACCCCACTTTCATCTGAGCTGCAAAAGTATGTTCTTCGTCGGGGATCTCCAACAGTTGACATGGTACGTTATGTTTCTTCATTTCTTGAAGTAAAGCCCGGCTCAGCATAATAGGCACCATCGTATCAGCTAGACCATGAACGATAAATGTTGGTGGAAACTGCGAGTTGATGTTGAGAATTGGATCAACCTTCTGCCAGTCTTGGGACGGAAAGACAGTCTCCAAAACTTTACCATTAGCGATTTGTGTTAAGGCAAAGGCCTGCCTTGGGTCGTTCAAATTAGGACCAGCCGGACTAGCCTGACCTTCAAGTGAGACTCCACCACGAATTGGAACCGGATCTTCTGCAAAAACACGGTTGAGGAATTCTGGGCTCAGGTTCGGAGGCAATTTTGCAGCCACATGCGGGAGTCGTGAGGTCCAAAACGGGTCATCAAAGGAGCAAGGCCCGTAAAAGTCTAAGATTCCAGCAACTGGACGGGGCACTCCGAAACCCTAATGAAAGAGACCCTAATGTCAGTATCTAAGTTTTCTCTTCATTGACTTGGCGAACTTACGAGAGATAAAGCCAGATGGCCTCCAGATGATGTTCCGAAAGCAAATACATGCTCGAGGTCACACGTATGTGGATGGGAGTGTCCGTGGATGGTCCTTTCTAGCCCATGGTCATATATCCATTCAAGAAGGTCTCTACAATCTTGCATTGGGCCCTCGAGTAGGTTAACCTGTGGACAGAGGCGATGGTTGGGAACGACTACAATCCAGCCTCGGTTTAGGCAGTCCTTGATTTGGTCTCGGTTAACCATTTCTGATGCACCCAGCATGAAAGCTCCGCCATGGATGTTGATTACTACATGTTGTATTAGATCACTAAAGAAAACCCTCAAAAAAGCCATAGGTAATAAGAAGGAATACTCACGGACTGGGCATGGTGCTTGTGAGTGTGGAGGTAGGAATATGGTCGCATCAATTTCGCTACCTCGTGCAACTTTGTAAACGACCTTGAATGGAATTGGATTAGCCATGCTGTGTGATTTATCACCTCTGGAGGTACTGCTTTTTGCCAATAGTTACGGTACCCAAAAACAAGCTATTCATATTTTTCAACACCGTCGGAGTGACGCTCAGTGTCTTCCGAGCTACCCCGCACTCTCGGAATTCCCGGATGTCCATCTCCATCATCCGGACCTTGGCACGGCAAGTGCCGAGACCATCTTCTGTTAAAGTCTGTGACCTCATAGAAAGTCTACAGGATATAACTGCAATCACATCAACATTCTAGACTGGGCTGCATCGTATCATCATTCTTGAATCAACAATTGACATATACACAACCTCCAATATGCCTATCCCTATCCACACAACGCCGCCACCGTCGCGCGTCAGCTATATCATTCAGCAGCTCGAAGGAGAACGCCTTTCTATACCTGGAAGCAAAGGCACATTCCGCATTCTTGCCTCGGCCAAGCAAACCGATGGTCGAATGTCAGTTTTCCAAAGTGGTGCTGTACTCTCCGATGCGCCGGGATTCCACTACCACAAAGAAGCCCACGATGTTTTCATGGTGACGAAGGGCTTCTTAAAACTCTGGAATGGCGACAAATGTCGTGTAATGGGCCCAGGAGACTTCGCCTATGTACCTCCCGTAAGTTGATTTACTCCATGGCTCGGCAATTCTTCGCCGTCCATAGATGAGCTGACAATGGGCTAGAATATTGTTCACAACCCCGAATTACTTGGCCCTCATACGGAAACACTAGGTCTAGTCGTACCTGGAGACTGGATTGACTTTTTCCGCTATATCGGCCAACCATTTGAAGGCATCCTGGTCCCAGAACATGATGACCGCGATCTGAAGTCCCACGTGATACCGAAAGTGATGGCGGCTCCTAAGGATTTTGACGTGCATTTCGTCAGAGACTATAATCCTCCCGCCTTGAGCGAATGGGAAGAGACTGAAAACGTTCTTCCATCTGGAGAGCTACAGCCGTATTTCCTTCGTGCCAACACCGGACCTCGTTGGATGGCTGGAGGTGTTATGTCGCGTCCTTTTATTACGACCAAAGAAAGCGCAGGCAAATTCGCCATCTCCAGCATCGAGTCATCCAGTTCATATAGCTCCTCCCTGTTTTCAGACTACGTGGCTTTCCCAACAGTGGACCATTGCCTCTGTGTACAAGAAGGTGCCCTTCGCGTGAGTCTTAAGAGCGATCCCGAATGGGTAACTCTGCACGAGGGCGAGACCGTCATGATTGCAGCAGGAGAATCCTTCAAGCTTGAGTTTGCGTCGAGATATGTCCGTGTGGTGTCTTTTACTGATGGGCAAGGTATCGAGGAGTTAGTCCACCAGGCGGGCACATCTTGCCAAAGTTTCGTGCTTCCTGATGAGGCTCCTACTCTGGATGAGTCAAAACTTGAAACTGTGATCAAGAAGCTGGGTGTTACACGGGGATGAGTACATGCGGTTGATTGTACTTAAGCCTGGCAGGGTGCCGGAGACGCACGTTTTCTAGAAGTTACATCTTCACTGTAGACATAACAAATATAGCGCCAAAAAGGCTCGTTATGTAATCCAACGTGGTACACTATTGTCGTTCTTGATGTTTCAATAAGTACAGCAGATGAAGGATTCTGCTTTTGGGGTGTCTTGCGTCCAAGCACCTCTAAATTTCCCCGCACTCCAGGGTCTGGGTCGCCACTGTCCGGATGCTAGTCTACTAGCGTGTGCTTTCATTGCCGCCCTGATCAGCTGGGGTAATTCTTCTTGATTCACTTCCCAAGTCTCCGGCCAGTAACCTCATCAACAACTCTTCCGCCATTTGGCCCTGAGTGCTGCTTCACGTCGCACGGACCGTATTCTATTCAATCGGTGGCGACCACCTTCAACTTCTACCACTGCAGACATGGAGACGCGGCCTGAAAATAACGCGTCTGCACCAGCGGTCAAAAGGCGGCGCAATCCACGCGCAGTCCTCGCGTGTGAGAGATGTCGCTTGAAGAAGTACAAGTGCTCAGAGGCACAACCATGCATCCATTGCAAGCGTACGTTATCCTTCATTTCAGAATACCACTTATCTAATACGGGAATATATCGCAGGCAGCGGGGCTGAATGCAAGTATGCCAGAGGCTATCGAGTAGCGAATGATGCAGCGTCACTTATCAGGTATGCGATTGACCCCATAGTTGACTGTGAACCATATGCTAAGGATAGGTTAAAGTACTGTCAGTAATGAGTCTGGAAGTCTCAACCCCCAGGTTCAACAACCGAGTCCTCGAGTTCAACCAACCGAACAATCTCTTACCCCCGTCTCCCAAAGTCCTCTACCAGGTCTAGCTATGCATCCATCTCCAATCTCTGCCAGGACTAGGCTGCAGCCCGTCTCGTCCACTAACGAAGCACAAGCTCTGGCAGTATCGCCTAGCGAGGAGAGTGAGATTGCCGAAGTCAACCAGCATACCAACGGCATCGAGTACCACGGCAATACGTCTTCAATGTCCTTCTTGGGCAGCCTGCAAAGACTTCGGGAGCAACGAGCGACTCCAACTGATGCAGCGGAGCGCAAGGCATTCTCACTTGTGTCAGTGCTACATAACTCGAGTTTTGTTTCGAGACGGAATTTTACTTCCGACCTCACCGCTGCCCTTGCTGCAAACGGATTCTATTCCAAGCGGGCAAATACCTTCATCGAAGGGTACTTTGGGGGTATTCATTATGTACACCCAATAATCGACAAGGAAGAGTTTTTGTCCCGTGCAGATGAGCTATGGCGTGGCACCAACTGCAGCGACGTACACTTCATCGCGCTTTACTTGAGTGTTCTGTCGTTGGGTGCTTTGACTCGTACATGGAACGAGACTTCCTTGGATGGCCTTAATCGCTTCCAATGGAGCCGAAAGCTCTTTGCCGAAGCCCAGACAGTTCTGGATGAAATCCAATTCAGCAGTAAGCTAGAGACAATACAATGCTTTTACGTCATGGTAAGTTGATGTGTGTACATTACTGATAGGAAAACTAAAAGCTTATGTTCTATTCCTAGGCGAAAGTATGCCAGAACGAGCTTAACCCAAATCGTGAGTGAATATAGCTCGTTATGATACAGCATAAATAATAAACTGGTCAACCGCTGACGAGAAACGCAGTTGCTTACATGTATCTGGGCTCCGCAATACGTTCTTGTCTAGCTGCGGGGATGAATCGCGAAACACCCAGTCCGAATGCGAAGAGCTGCATAAACATGTCAAGAATATGGTGGTTAGTCAAGATATTATTGTTACTGAAAAGCTCTACTTACTCTAACACAATACTTGATATAGGGGTATATACTCGTTGGAAATGTCGGTCATCTCCTTTTCCCGGGAGGTTTGTTGATCTATGGGCTGGGCTAATCGAGTATTAGTGAGATGAGCTTTCTCCTCGGTCGACCTGATACATTGGGGCAAGATGAGTATCACAACCGCGCAATGCCCCAAGTTGACGATTCTGAGTACGCTATTATCTCAGCCATGGTGCAATTCGGTCGTATTATGCGCAGAGTATCCATCGGGATCTACCACTCTCAACTACCGACTCCGGAGACTATTGGCCTGGCATGTGAGATAGAGCGCCAAATGGATAATTGGGTTGACGCTCTACCTCAACGACGAGGTACTTCTTTGAGAGACCCTGATTGGCGACGAAAACAAAGACTCGTTCTAGAGCTAAGTGAGTATCAGCCTTGTACTTTATTTTCATCGTGACTAAACGATCATAGGATATCACAACGTGAGGATGCTGCTCTTCCGGCCGTTCGTAACCCAGTGTGCGCGAGAGCCCTGCCAACCATCAGATGAATTGATGAGAGCGGTCGAGAAGTGTATCTCTTCGGCCCAAAAAACCATCGAAATCGTATATGAAGCTTATAAGGTTCACACTTACTTTCGCACATGGTAAGATTCCTTTTCATCACATATGACAAATGCTTAAACAAGAGTGCTAGGTGGTATAACACGACATACATCACTATTGCAGCTTCAGTGCTCCTCCTGTACGAGTCGCGGACAAAGGAGCGCTCGCCCACAAACACTCTCGCCCTGATAGAAACCGCTATCGAGATCCTAGATGTTATGGACGAATCTGTAGTGGCACGGAATGCTGCAGAGGTTATCCGACACTTTGTGCGAGAGCTCAACGCCGTGCCTATTGTAACCTCTGATTACTCCGCGCAAGACGCTACATCAATGTCAAATGTACAGAATGCTCCTACACCCGGCCCATGGAGTTCCTTAGATGTGAGTCACTGCAAAGATCACTTGAGACATATTACTAATACTTATTTAGCTTGGGTTGAGTGGCTTCGAGTTCTTGGACTTTCCACTTGGTGAGATGACAGCTGTTTTTGACGAACTGTATAAGAACCTTGACCACAATATTCAACCCGAGGAAGGAGTTCCATGAGACTCCTTTGTATACCAGCTCTATTCTATGTATCAATCAATTCTCAAGAGTTCTCTTCCCACATAAATCCTGGAATCAATGCCCGCAGCGCCATGTCGTAATCACCCACATTTAGCGTGCGCAGGAGAGTATGAACAAGAAACTTGACTGGTTCACTGTTGGTCAGGAACATACCAGAATGGTAATCCAACTGAACTATGACTACCGGGCTTTGCATTCGATAGTAAAATGGGTCTTGGTCAGCGAAGCCTCCAATTCAGCAGAAATTTGTTTCGTGGAACCAATGACGAATATTGTCAAGACGGATCTCGAGGGCCTTTTCCGGAAGATAGAGGAGGTATTGCTCGAATGTGTGTTCCACAATGGATTCCTGTGCATCTTCCATGTTAGAAACTAGGATTCCTTCGTAGGGGACAACACTATTATCCCGATATGCTCCGCAAAGATGTCTTTGGTCGGGGTGGTTCCATGGACCATTAGGCATGGCTTTAGGGTTAGGCTGATCACACTTTCACTGGAAGGCTCCCATCGACTTTAGACGTAACTTGTATTGATGCTTAATATATTACGGCGAACCTCAAATCTTTTAGTTGCTAACTCCATCCATCCAACTATTCTCCGCATATGTTGAACCTCAGCCTTCTAGCAGAGTTGGAACCTGATCAGTGAGATATTCAACAATAGCATCGGGTCCCCTTGCCACCTGAAGACCATAAGGAATTGCGTGGAACTTGATGTCTGGAACGATCGTTCTTGCGATTGCCTCGATTTCTTTGCTCTGCTCTGCCGTCCACATAGATGCTGTGAACTTAAGAATGTAAATATGCTGAGTTGTGTTCTCATGAGGACTTTATAACTTACCAACACGTCAGGATGATACTCTTCGACCAAGGAGCGAATATCTTCGATTCCTGACCCAACAACGATTAGTCTTTCCCCATGACACAAGTGCAAAGAATTATTGAATCACTTCCAAAGAAAAATAATACAGAAAACTTACTTTCGGAGTTGACTACATAGTCAATAGTGTAACTCTCTTTGAGGTTCTCTACCATAGCGCCAATGACGCGCTTTGCACGCTCTGGGGCTGTGTTGACTGTCATAAGTCGAAAAGGGCCTTTGGGATTCATTGTTGAACTGGTGGCTAGTATGCTGTGATAGAAAGTGTAGTACGAATAAAGACTGAGTAAATTGCGATGTGAAGCTCTTGTTATTTTTCCTTCTTAGCTTTCCTCAAAAGTTGTTTGTGCATATCGTGACAAATATTACTTAACCTTATTGAGTCCGAACCAAAAAGCCGAGTAGGGTAGCCGAGATGTGGGATTTTCCACTCGTTTCCGGGCCACATTGGTGGGGCCGTCTATCTTGGGCTCGGAATTCCCGAGCCAGGCCAGCGATTTGAGCCGAGTTTAGGAGATCGGAACCCGGATCAGATTCCCCGCTATGAGCGCGACGATCCGTTGGACTATCCGGATAGCAGGACCAAGTTCGACTGTGCCCATCCGAGCAATAGCCAGGAATGCCGATCAAACCACCTGCTTTGTCCAGAAGAAACATGGCAACCTCTTCGCAATATACATTTACCAAGTCGCCAGCTGTGGCTCTGCGCATCTTGTCCGATAAACGCTAACACAGTTATTACACATCGCTTTCTTTTACACGATTTCCCATCATGAACGACCAAGGAACAGCTGGTCTCCACCACCTGAAGAGCCCCATATCTCTCGACATCATTGTGGTAGGGGCCGGGTTGAGCGGTCTCGCTGCGGCTGTTTCATGCTTACTGTCAGGGCACAAGGTCACCATCCTCGAGTCTGCGTCTGCACTTCAAGAGGTAAGCCGTGAAAACCGAGCCAACATATAGCAGACCTTTTCTAATATTTCTTCAGGTTGGAGCTGGATTGCAGGTTACTCCCAATTCATCTCGTCTGCTGCGCCGATGGAAGCTACCCCAAAAATTCTGGGATTCAGTTGCCGAGCCTACTCAGCTGGCTGTTCATCGTTATTCGGGCCAAGTACTCGCTTTAGAGAACGACTTCAACAAAAACATCCGGGAAAAATATGGAGCTCCTTTTGTTGATGTCCACCGAGTGGATCTTCAACTGTCATTATTGGAGAGAGCACAGCAACTCGGTGCCAAGGTCGAGTTATCCCAGAAAGTCATAAAAATCGACTTTGACACTCCAGAAATTACTACACAAAGTGGATACAAAGCAAAAGCTGATCTAATCATTGCTGCCGACGGTTTGTGGTCACGTTGTCGCGATGCATTCCTTGGTACTAAAGATACACCTAAGCCCACGGGTGATCTTGCATACCGAGTCGTCCTCAAGTTAGAGGATATCAAGGATCCCGAGTTGATTGACTGGGTCCGTAACAGCACGTGCCATTTCTGGATCGGGCCTGGTGCACACGCTGTTGGATATTCCCTCCGCGGCGGAAACATGTATAATATTGTTCTGCTTGTCCCTGATGACCTACCACAAGGTGCCAGTAGGCTTCCTGGATCCGTTGACCAGATGAGGGCGCTATTCCATGGCTGGGATCCTATCTTAGTTCGATTTCTCGATCTTGTCACTGAAGTCGACAAATGGAAGTTGATGCATCGTAAGTTTCAAATCCTGCCATGCCATATTATTGTTCATATCTAACTGACTTTGGAAGATGACGAGATGGAACATTGGGTTAACCCACAGTCGAACCTTGTCTTCGTGTAAGTTATAAGCTCAAGCGTGTATGAACTCGACCCCTGACAAGCTTTAGTGGAGATGCGTGCCATCCTATGCTTCCATATCTAGCCCAAGGCGCAAACTCAGCAATCGAGGACGGCGCCGTGTTAGGACTTTTGCTTGGCGCCGTTGAGTCGCCCAGCCATCTACCAAAAGCGTTAAAACTCTATGAGCAGTTGCGCAAGAGTCGTGGAGAAGCAATTGTCCGAGAAACATTCAAACAGGTAAGCCAAAGGATCTCCCTTATCTTAGCATTCATCCACAGACAGTAGCATGCTAACAGGTTGGTTTCCAAAGAGGGCATCATTCCATATGCTCGATGGACCAGAGCAAGAGAAGCGAGACGAAGTCTTCTTATCACAACTCGGAAAAAAAGAACTCAAGGCGCCCTTCCCAAGTCGATGGACGTGTCCTGAGGTGCAGCCCTGGCTGTACGGCTATGATGCATATCAGGAAGTATACGAGGCGCTCGCCAGAGAGCCTTTCAGTACTCCTTCCCCTAAAGCAAGTCGTGAAATCATCGCGTCCTCTACAAGCTGGATTTCGCGTCTCTTTTCGAACATCCATCGTTGGGTGTGGACAATATTGAAGGGGAGGTGATGTTGAGGGGAGCTTGCTAAAATGAGTGAATACTATGGTTTGAACTGGAATTGGAATTAAATCGCGTTGTTTATAAATATTTTCTACGTAGCAACAGGCTGAATTTATTTGAGAAGCTCTAAATTGCGGACTGGTTCCTTTCGCAGTTGTTTAATCCCGCTACCAGTAGATCTCAAGATCAGTACTTGCTTGGACTAGGTAAATCGCTATTTCTATAGCTAAGAGATTACCACTTTTCACAAAGATCTACAACGCCATATCGCGTTCCCTCCACTTTAGTAAGGAAATAGGAAAAATCAAATACTATGCATAACACGTTTTAATATCCCTGCTGATTTGATTTCTTTGTTTGAAGGCCGTCGTTGATTTTTGCTAGAGTGTTTCTGTAAACAAGACTGGCAACGCCCAAGAGGGATGCTTTATTCTATCTAGGTAGGTCATGGGAAAATATTAAAAGCCGTGTTCAATAGGGTGAGAAAGCATTGTCGAGATTAAACATATACAGAAAGGTATTCCATTTAATGTAAGCCTAAATAACATATCCTGAAAGTCTAAGTAATGCATTCACACATCCCTAGAGTGTATTCCATGTCGAGCTCTTGGCAACCGTGAACTCTGACATCTGACCCGCCACAACGACACTGTAGGTACCAGCGTCAAGTCTCCAAGTCTTCACTTGATCATCCCAGTAGCTACAGGCTACTTTCAGGTCAATATCCACACCAATATGTCGGCTCTCACCTGGTTCAAGAAACACCTTGCTGAAACCCTTGAGTTCTTGTTCCGGTCTCCATGCTTTCGTTTCTTCAGATGGTCTGACAAAAACATGGATAACTTCTTTTCCAGAAATGGTTCCTGTGTTCTGGACATCCACAAAGCATTTGAGTGTCTTTGGCTCAGAGGTCTCATCCACAACAACATGCAAGTTGCTGTGACTAAATGACGTATAGGACAGGCCATAGCCGAATGACCATCTGGCTCGGTCTTCGGAGCCTGGAGCGCGGTAGCCAATTCCAACGCCCTCAGCATATCGAAGACACGGGTCGCCATCCTCTGACTCCTTGGCAGGAAAGTTTTCATAGCTCGGCCAGTCTTGCAAAGTCTTGAACCACGTTGTCGCAAGGCGTCCGCTGGGGCAAACATCACCCAGTAGAAGCTCTACAGTTGCAGCTGCACCCTCTTGACCAGGGAAGTGAGCAAGAAGAATAGCGTCTACACTGTCGACGAAAGCACTGACATCGATCGGGTTTCCGCAGTGCATGACCAGGATCGTCTTCTTTGCAACTGCAGCAACTGCCTTGATCAGCTTCGTCTGGTTTTCTGGCATGCGAATATCTTCCAGATCAAAGCCCTCGGACTCATACTGATCATTCCTACCGGCGTATATGATAGTCGCTTCCGCATGTCGCGCTATCTCAACAGCCTCCGCGATCGCGGAATCTTCCGAACAATATTCTTCGAAGCACAAGGTGGCGGCGTATGGAGTAGGCTCGCCAATTTGAAGTTTCTGAGGTCCAGCCATGCTCAACTTGATATCGTACGCGACCCCAGCATCCATGGAAACTTGGACCCGAGACTCCAGCAAGATGTGGTTGAAGATGAATTGCTCGGTTGTGATCTTTGCTTCTTCGCCTGAGAGCACTTGACGGTCATTGACTGATAATGAGAATGCGCCTGTACATCTGACAGCTAGAGTATGACTACCAGATGTTTCTGGCGTCAACTTGGTCACCATCTCTAGACGCGAATCAATAGGCTTCAGTCCTTTCTTGTTAAAGTCTCCGAGCATCCAAACAATGGGTTCTTTCTGGAACTCTTCGAGCACTGGCTTGGAGTCATCTGCATTGTAATATTTGATGACAACACCCGGCTTTGCTTCAGGTGATGTAAGCTTCTCGGATGGTACAGCTGGAATTATCCTTCGAGTTCGCACACCCGAAGAGTATTGCACTACACCGGGTAGTTTCTTCTCCAGGATATCCAAGGCGGAGTGTTTGTACTGAGGAATAGATGATGCACTGCCACCTCCGGTAATCACTGGGTCGACAGCATACTCGCCTATGACGGCTATGCGGGAAGTTTGCTCTGGTTTTATCGGCAAGGCATTGTTCTCATTCTTGAGAAGAACCATTCCACTCGTTGCAACTTCCCGAGCGAGCTTATTTGTTTCCTCGCTCACCTCAGATCGTTCATCTGTGAACTTAAGAGCAGCTCGGGTTCGATTACGAAGTTCCAGAGCTCTCAAGGTCAAAACGTCAATCTCACTTTCTGTGACCAGCCCCGAATTCACTGCTTCGAGAAGCTTGTCTCCTCTGAAAACAGGAAAGGGCATCTCGATGTCAAGTCCGGCCTTGACTGGCTCAGTTGTCGCATGGGTGCCGAACCAATCCGACATGGTAAGGCCTTGGAAGTTCCATTCATCTCGCAGAACTCGTTGCGTCAAGGATGAGTTTTCGCTACAAAACTCGCCGTCAACCTTGTTATATCTGCTCCATGTCAACCCCAGGTCAATTTCGATGGATATTGATTTACTCACGCAGTCATGACACCCTCGGGATTAGATGAACGTAGTAGATGCTGCCATGCCGAAAGATAGATCTCTCGAAGCGTACGGCTATCCACGGATTCTTGCACATTGTAGTATCGTCGCAAGGTCTCTGAGTCGTTACACACGAAATGCTTTGGACAACTTCCAACACCCATAGATTGGACGCCGTTAACAAGCGCCGCAGCCAGTTGCCCAGAAAGCAGCGGATCCTCGCTGAAACACTCGAAGTTTCTGCCAGCTCGGGGATCCCTGTGGATGTTGATGGTTGGCCCCAAGACAACTTGGGCACCTTTCATCCGTGCTTGTTTCGCAAGATGAGTGCCAACGCGGTATAATAGTTCAGAATCCCATGTAGATCCATAACAGGTCGTATTTGGGAATGAAGCAGTTGTGAGATTCGCTTCAATACCTGAAGGTCGAATTCCAGAAGTTGAGTCAGCGACCTGAGTTTGTTAATAGTGATCAGTAGTTATTTAGGAGAGACTACGCACTCTGATTGGAGGGATATCCAGCCTTGGGACACCAGCAATAGTAGAGAAGTCTCTACCAGATAAGAGCGTAATCTTTTCTCGAAGCGTTAGTTGAGGGAGTAAGGAGCAAAAGTCCACATCGGTTGATGGTAGAGAATCCATGTTGAATTAAAAATTGATGACTTTTGATGTTGAAGAAAATTGTAGGAAATTGTGTCACTCAAACGGAATGAAACCAGTTAAAACTGCTTGTTCTTATTGAAGCTTATAGTCAAGCGTGTATTCTTGACCACCCATGCAAGATGAGATGTTTCACGCAAGCCCAGGTACCGGGATACAATCGGAACATCCGAGACTGTGCCGGTATAGACTTCCCGAGCATAACTCGACGCATCTCGGCCCGAGATCCCAACCCCGGATCACTCAACGCTAGATACATGAAAATTCAAGAGAACTTGGGCTATTTACTGTTTTGATGCATTTCTCATCTCGATCCATGCTGTATTTGGGATGCTTCATTCATATCCGATCGGACCTTAAGAGGACCACAAGATGGGGCCTAGGATCTTACATGCATATGTAGCCGAAGCAATCGATCATCAAGACAAGAATATTAGCTTATCCTACCAGTGGATCGGGCCAGAATGTACCATTTCGTTCCCATTAGTACAACTAAGGTTCTATTATTTTAGGTTATTGAATCTGGGCACTACTGCAAAGCCCCATGGGGAGGTTAGAGATGCGGGGAATCTGGGGTCGGAATTGCCGAGCGCACAGCTCGAGTGGTTCGAGGAGTCTTCACCAAACCATAAAATAACATTTAAGCTTCTATAAAGTAGAAATGAGTATCCGAAAATTCCAGCTTTAATAGTTCAAACCAATACGAATTGGAACTCTAGCTCCTCGCTTGCCTCAAAGCAAAATCCAGTACCTATCTTACTTACGCTGGAACCTTCGATATGGCCCGCGACAGTGATCACATTGTTAATGGGAAATCTGCCGCAACTCATGACGAGCATATCGTAATCGAACAAGACTCAGAGACGACATGGGAATGTCTGAAGGCTAACCCAAAAATTGTTCTATGGACATTATGGGCTAACAGTTCGTAAATATTATCCTTGCTTTAAGAGTTGGAATGCTAATTGTCTTTACAGTTGGCCCATTAATGGTGGGATATGAGAACCTGGCCATGTCGGTCTGTTTGGCTATGCCTGCCTTCCAGTGAGTTATACACACTGATACGATTATCTGCCGTCTGTTATAGTACTTACAAGTTTCTTGGTAGAATGAGGTTTTCTGTCAATGTCAACGGCGAGCTCATCATCCCCGCCTACTGGCAGTCTCTTTGGAGTTCCTTGTATAACGTCACAACTATGCTTGGGTCTGTTTCCGCAGGTTTTCTTCAAGACCGATTTGGCCGGCGATCTGTCTTTCTCGCTTCCTCTATCATTGCGGCAGCTGGTATTGCGCTGACGTTTGTCTCAAAGACTCCGGCGGAGTTCCTTGGTGGCAAAATGACATCCGGTTTCGCGATGGGTTTGATTCTAGCCGGGACTCAGACTTGGGTCTCGGAGATTGCGCCATTACCTATGCGAGGTATTGCTCTTTCAACATATGCAATCATGTTGGTGAGTGCTATTACTCCAATCGTACCCATTTTCTGCCCAGCTGACCACATCCTATAGAACCTTGGACTCTTGCTTGCTATTTCAGCAACCTTTAGTCGAATCTCCATTATGAATGACTCGGCTTTCCGTGTTGTATTTGCTGCGGCTTGGACTTTCCCCGCCTTACTAGCACTTGGACTGCCTTTTATGCCCGAGTCACCCTACTGGTTGACTTTGAAGGACAAACATGACGAAGCACGACGCGCGCTTATTCGTCTTTCAGCAAATTGCGACGGTATTGATGCCCGACTGGTCCAGATACAACACTCCATTGAGACCGAACGTCGGCTTGCGGCTCAGAAGACGTCATATGCTGAGCTATTCCGAGGTACCAATCTGCGCCGCACACGCATACTGCTGGTATGCATGTATATGCCCCAGATTGTTGGAACCGTTCTCTCCTCCAATGCGCCTTACTTCCTCAACCAGACTGGCATGGACAATCATACCACTGTTATGCTTTTGCAAATAGCTGTCAGCTGTGGTGTTGTCTCCGCGGTCCTGAATGTGTTTGCCATGTTCAGGATCAACTACCGGACACTGATGTTCTTCGGAGTCAGTGTCTGCCTCGCTATGTATTTGGCTATGGGTATTGCTGGTACCATGGCACGTACATCAGTACCACTCACAGTGATCGGTGTTGCAGTTGCATTTCCCAGTATATCTTATGGGCCTGCCGTCGGGGCATCTATGAGTGTCGCTGGAGAAGTGTCCTCTATTAAGCTTCGTGCCAAGTCTTTGGCACTAGGTCAAGCCTTTTCATCACTCATGTCAACCATCTGGCAAATCATTTTGCCATACCTATTCAATCGAGACCAGGCTAATATGGGTGGAAATATTGGCTGGATATTTTTCGGCATGGCAGCCATCTATTTTGTGGTCCTTTATTTTGACGTTCCGGAAACGAAAGGCCGGACATATGGGGAGTTAGATCTTATGTTTGAGAAGAAGGTTCCTGCAAGGCATTTTGCTTCCTATGAGTCAGAGGGAATGAACGAACTTGAGGTCTCTACCTCCCTGGCTTAGTGCCTACTTAGCTAGATCTATCCTTAGTAGGAAAATCAACTTGGCATTTCATTTCTTTTTGGAAGGCTTTTACTTGGTTCACCTAAAACATAATTTCCCTGGCTGAAGAACTTAGTTAAAATCTCATGTACAAACTCAAGCTAAATCTAGCCACTATTCTGCCTACTTCCACTACTTAACCATACTGCTATACCCATCTTATTGCGGCATAAAGAAAGACCGATCAAACCTTAACTTGGGCGCTCTCACGGACCATTAAGTAAAGATCTCATTTAGTAGAAGTATACCCTGTTGAAATAAACTTCCAGCTACCGCCATTTCAATAAGGAAATGACTGGTACTTGCGACGTGCGACCTCGTATGACGGGAGAAAGTATTATCCGCCATGCCAGAATTAATTTAAAAGATCACGACTGACTTTAAAGAAGCTTGACCTTTCATCATCTTTCAAGAAACAGTAAGGCATCGCGACCAATATTCATACAGTACTTAACCTCTCAAAAGAGAATGATGCATTTATCACCCGTTACCTTCCTCCTCTTTTCCATCGCAAGTCTTGGAAGTTGTTCGCAATGCTGCTATAAGCCCTCGTCCAATGCCACCAGCTCTAATTTCCCCAGAGCAGACCCTTCAAAGCAGCATCTCTACGACCTAAACAAACTCTCTGAGGTTCCAGTCGCCACCACTTGCAGATCTGGCAACGCAACCAGCGACCTACTCTGCGCCCGAAGCTATATCGACATGATTGATGAACAAATCGCCTTTTTGTATGCTCGACGGCTTGGATACGCTGCTGTGGCTGGGATGGCAAAGTATAAGCAGGGAGTATCGCTCAATGATCCTACCAGGAACCAGGCCATCGCTGAGGGAATGGCGGCGCGGGTTCGGAAGTATGGTGGCGGTGATGGTGAGGCTGGGAGGGTGATGGGTGGCGAGGGGTGCCAAATCTTTGCAAGCTTGGAATTTGAAAAGGAGCAGATTCGTGAGACATGTGATTCGGGCTTTGATGAGAAGTTTCAAAGGGTCTGTGAATAGGCAACTAGCGTGAGGGCCTCTGGAGTGCGAAATTACTCGCATGTTTATGCCGAGCGCCGAGTCAACTGCCGGTAGAGTTCGCAGCTATAACTGAATGGGAAACTTTCAATCTCGCTTATGAGACAAGGATGTACCGTGTCAAGGTCCCCACACAAGATGTAGTAATTGATGTTGCCTCTGCATTTGCAAACCGTGGACATTAATTAGTCGCAGCCTACAAAGAGGATTAGGAACATCTTACAGTGTTTTTAGGAAACTGGAATGTATCTTTTGTAATCAGCAGTCCAGAGCCAGACTAAGACTTGTTATTATGAGCTGCTTTGGTAGGTTGTATAAGTAGGGGTTATTTAATCACGAGGTTGGACCCAAACTCATGTACATGTACTGTGTGAGTGCTTTATAGATTGAGGGCTTTTAGTACCTCCCTCCTTATGATTCCCTTATCTTAGTTGCTTTTGCTTTTTTATAGCCAATTAGAAGAGAGATTTTATCGAAATACCGTTCATTTAGCGCTTTCCACACTGTAAGAGTACAGGTGCACGGACTAATCTGCCCAATTAAAGAGCAACTATGCAATCCAACCTTTCAGCAAGCAGTACAGAACCATGCGGAAACGTATCCGGCGCTCCAATTCCTGATAAGATATTCAAATCAAGTCAAGTCAGTTCAAGTTAAATAAATTCAAATTGAAAATTTCACTGTTTAGATGAAGTTATTTTGACCCCTTAATCTATTTTATTTAACTCAATTATAAAGCATATTATAGAATGTTGTTCCTTCCATATAGGGTAGCTTTCCCCTGCTTTTTTATCCTGGACATGCTTATCTTATCTTGTGTGGTCTTATCTTATCTTTTCCTATCTTATCCCATCCTTCCTGGGACACGTACCTCGAGCTACTGTCGGACCGACATAGCTTAGCTCGATTAATCCTTACATACATATTTAACAATCTTATCTTATCCTATCTTATCAATTCAATGAAATACATAACCAATTCAAATTAAAAAAGGGTTTTAATAAATCAATTATTTAAAAATTGACTTGGAATTTAATTTCTTAAAAGCGCTGTCCTTTACTAGGTATAAAGGCCATTACAGGTACCTTGCAACCTGCACAGGAGTGTTTTCGAAGATTCAATTATGGCGGCTTATTATACACGCTTCATTACGGGACAGCTTCTGTTCGTCAAATAGGTAGCCCTTTAGCCTTTTCCTGTACGAGCTTTTAGCCTTAGAAAAAGCGGACAAGGCTGAGTGAGCCACTTTCGCTGGAAGGAGTAGACATCGTGGACTGGCGTGCATGTAGCCACGCATACGGCGAAGCTACCAATACCCCATGTGTTCTTATTACACTATCTTATAATGACTAGCGCTGGGCAGAGGTAAACTCTTAACTTGTTTCTTCTGATCTCCGCCAGAGGACTATTGAAGTTCTACTGCGACTATAATACGAAGTGCAAGCAGACTCCTGTAAAGAAGAAAGCCGGGATTTGAAGAGCTGGGAGTTCAGTTCGCACGAATCTCAGTAAGTATATTCTCAGATCGTTAGGTACTAACGTCTTTCCAACCTCCTCAAGCGTATAACACACAATCTCGAACGGAAGACAGCTCGAATAACAACCTCAGTTCTACAGAGATATCAGTACTGACTATATAGGTCTTGGTCAAACACTCTATTTGATTGCATCAAGAGCATGTGATATATAGGAAGAGGATAGCGAATATAAGGAATCAAGACTTTATTATAACCCACCGTGTCGGGCAAACACGAGAAGTAACTACGGTCCGGGTCCTCCTTTAAAATTACTTTAACGAGATGAGACCCAACAATAAACCAGCAGTATAATGATATTCAGCTAACAGGATCATAAGAAAATCATAGAAATAAGGCCACGATATAGGTAGTGAATCATTATGTCTGAAGATTAGCCCAATACGGGCTTTATCTCAATCCGATTGGCTATTTCGGGCATACGGGGTTCTCGGAAGCCGCAGAATCGTAAAAGACTATGAGTTACACATCATGTCACCCGGAAGCGCGCCATCCGACAGACTCTAATGCAAATGTTTGACTAACGGAATTCATTACTTACTTTTATTTAAACTGTAACTTTCTTGCTAGGCCATTTATCAATATAATGCCCTCTTTCAACTGTTTCTATTTCAGATCAAATATCGCCCGAAGCGAAAGACACACCCATAACACACTTTTTAATAAGTCTGCCTCGAATCTCCAAGTCATGTATCATTTCTTTATTGGAACTATTGTGGCTCTTTGTATATGGGTCTCTCTTCAGGTTCGAATACTCATTAGAAACTACCGCGCAGCATGCGCCACTGGTCTTCCCATCATTATATGTCCATATGACCCCGATAGTGTAAGTTTCTATTGACCCGCCGACATAGCAGTACTCCTCCTTGCCTTTTGAATTGCTGTTGCCTAACTCGCTCAATTCAGGTCGTTTTTGCCGTCGTGTCCGAGCCCCTTCGACGCTTACTGAGAACTTTCTTCCCTACCTCTATGCCAGCATCGTTGGATGTGACGTGCTGGGGCTGGGAGTTCCATAATAAAGGTGCCGCACATGAGCGCCTCGGACAGGCCTTCATTATCGTTACCACAGGTCATAACCGCCTCATTTGTGCTGATGCCACCATGGCGCATTCTATCTTAGTTCGGCGCAAAGACTTCCTCCACCCGGACATCTCGCTGAAGACTATGGGCCTGCTCGGTCCAAATTTGGTAACAGTAAGACCACACATTATTTCAACACTAGTAGAGCTCGTCATCATCGATTACTAACAAGAGACTGCTATTCTATAGAGCAAGAATGAGTCATGGTCTCGCCAGCGCCGCATTATCGCTCCTTGTTTCAACGAACGTATCAGTCTTACCGTCTGGAAAGAAGGTGTTCAACAAGCGTCTTCTCTTATAGAACACATGATGTACTCTCTTTCCGCTCCTCATCCCCAATCTTCTACCACCAGTCCACTTTCGGATTCGATTCCCGGTCTCCGCGCAGTTGCGATCAACGTTCTCACCCGAGTTGCTTATGGCCGACATACACCTTTCTCCATATCTTCCTCATATCGTGACTCCGCCAAGAGCCTTTCCTACGTGGATGCCGTCACTTTAGTCACCGACCTCCTACTGGCGGCGGCCTTTATTCCCTCCAGCATCCTAGAGCTGCCGTTTATGCCTCGGCTTTCTAGAAAGCTTGGTCAGGCGCTAGTACAGTTACCGAAACTAACGGCTGATATGCTCGATCAAGAACGTACGAGGAGCTCTGTTGCTTCACCGAACGATGTGAAGAATACAATCATGACGACGCTCGTCCGGCTGTCAGACCAGGCCAAGGTGAAGGATCAAAATCACGGTAAGATCTCTGCTTCGTCCGAGCACACCTTTGCGAACGGCAGTAATGAGAAGTACCTCACGGAGGACGAGATCTCCGGCAATCTTTTCATCTTTACCACAGCTGGCTTTGACACAACATCAAACACAATGTCATATGCGATCGTCCTCTTGGCCGCCTTTCCGCAATGGCAGGCTTGGATTCAAGCCGAAATTGATGCTGTTCTGGGGGACCACGACGGGCACTTACCAGAGGAAGATTATGCAGCCATTTTCCCGAAACTAGTGCGGTGCCTAGCTATCATGGTAAGCTTATCTCGATACTTTTTAAATTGCCTTAGCAATTGAAACGACTGGAATGGCTAATGCTGTGCTTAAGTTTGAGACTCTCCGACTCTATCCCGCGGTCAGTATGCTGATTCGCACTATCGAAACAAACCAGACCATCCTCCCGTCAAACTCTTCTTCATCCTTCATACTTCAAGCCCCGTGCGCGGTCCACGTCAACACAATGGCCTTACATACATGCCGTTCGGTGTGGGGTTCAGACAACCTGGAGTTTAATCCCGCACGCTGGCTTCAATCTGGTCTCGACGGAGGAAATGTTCATATTCCAAGTCGAGGTACCTATATCCCCTGGTCCAGTGGTCCACGCGCCTGCCCAGGTCAAAAGATGTCACAAGTAGAGTTCGTGTCTGTCATTATGACGATCTTTAGAACTTGCAGTGTAGAACCTGCTCTTGAGGGTGAAGAAACTATAGAGCAGGGAAGAGAAAGACTCCTTGATCTTTTACAGGACAGTCAGCCTGTGATAACGCTGCAGATGAATAGACCCAGGGAGGTTCGACTAAGGTGGAATAGGCGATAAGGGGGTAATAGCAGTAGCTACTGAAGAGTATTAATTAAATTGTCTTCAGGTGGTAGATCTCTCGTTGTCGAATTATTAGCTAGTGAGGTTCGAGTCCTGAGAAACAAACTAACCTTACATCTCAATGAAAATGCCGTCCAGTATGTAAACCTGTCATTCCCTTGCAATCTCATCCAGAGAGGTGCCGAGTCCTTCAACCCAATGTTGCTTTTTTATTTTATTTTATTTATTTTACAAAGCCAACCTCTGAACCGATAAGAGATAAGAACAAGAATGACAGAAAAGATAGAGAAATAAGAGAGTGTCTGGGAATGATCAAAGTTCATAGTTAGTAATATTGCAGTTTAGCTCTTATTAGAGCTTTTGCGACGATTTTCATGGGAATAAATAACGCAGGAGGTATATAATAGTCTGCAGAGCAAGGCTGCGTGCTGACGATACCGCAGCTCTACAAGCGCCAGGAGTAAGTGATCATTATGGCGCCAATCAGCCAACATAGTGAATAAAACTGTTAGAAGTTTAGAGTGTGATAGTAAGACACAAAGTCCCTAGACGGCTAGTCAGGGTATTAGTGTTGCATGACTACTCCGAGACTTCTCATGTGATTTAAAATACCAATACAACAATGCCTACAAGATAGTTGGGTGGACTAAGTACCGTATTTAATGAAAGAGTTGTACAAATATACGATTTGATATTTAGTATATAAGCTCTCAGGTTAAAATTCCTACATTTATTCAAAGGAACATACTGTCTTGCCATTTATATAACCCACTTATAATACCCAAGGCTTATAGCCCCTCTTATCTACTAGGATGCAACGTTACGCTCTGTGGAAAAGTACCCATATCCGATCAGGGGTAGGATCTTTGTTATCCAATTATGCGCGGATCACAGCGAGTCATTTCCAAATTTCATGCCGCATAAATAAAGGATGGAATGAGTGGTGTTTGGGTATCTAAACCAGGCGACATGAAACAAATGCTAAACGGCAAAGCGCTGTCGATCATTTCCGCAACTCATCTTCCCTACTGATGGGAAATTACCTGCGGCCAATAGCCACGTGATGGGGCACATCAGTCAGGATCTGTCCCAGCATCACAAGACCCAGGGGCATTTACCCGTTATTTCCGTTTTCCATTAGGACTCATGATATGAGGTGGTAGACAAGTGAGTCGGAGTACAAATGATGTATCCTCATGGTCATAACCCCTGCTACTTTTATACCATGCTTAGCCAAGAGGTTTCGCATTAAGTGGCAGCACCTCATCAATCGAAATTAAATGCACTTGTCACGGAGTAAATTGAAGGCAGGTAATAATCCCCTGACTAGAGTTCTTCTTGCAGGAACTTCTGTCGCAACGTCGGGTGACAGACCCTTATTGGCTCATGTGGGATGAACAGCAGGTGGTTTTGCTTTTACTATAGGACTGGTATTAGGAGAGAAGGACATGAAGCGCGAATTGCATTCTCAGTCCAACCAACAGGACATCTGAATATAAATATTCAATGTCCGTATCAATCCTCAAACATAGTTCAGATCACTTGTGCTTTACCGCAGTAGCAGATCAACCTTATTGAGATTCCTCATCTTATTTATCAGACCAGACAAAACAGTCAGTCTATCCTTCACAATCTTTAGAGCCAACATGAAGCTCTCTAGTGGAGTACATATTTGTCTCTTTGGCGTTCTTACCCAGTTTGCTACGCTGTCATGGGCGCTATCCGGAGAGGCGAAAGCCATGGTGGAAGACTCAATGGAGTGGATGGACAAATTCTACGACCCAAAGATTGCACAGTTGTATGATCTCAATTCTAATGCGGCAATGAACCACGAGACGTTAGCCTCTACATGGTATGCGGTCGGACTTCTTGCACGGAACGGCGATGGTGATGTCTCGAGGGCGGAGGAAGTTATAAAATACATTATCAAGGACCAGCATGACAATCCCAAAGACTTGTGGTATGGTGACTATACACGAGAGCCGGAGGAGCCAACTGTGGGAAGTCCATGGTACCCAGCCCGCGCGTATGGATCGTGGGACCCGAACTGGCGAGGATTCGTCGGTCTCAGCTTCATCACGATGTACGAAGAGTTCGGAGACCTGTTGTCTGAGGATTTGAAGGGGTCCATGCTTGACAGTCTATATAACTGCAGCATTGGCGACTCATACCGCGAGGGTGGTGTCAACGGAGATAACCTCTATCCATCGTACAGCAACCCTGCAATCATGCGTGCAATTGGGACAAGCTGGACAGGTCACCAAACAGGCGACGACAACATGACACAGGCTGGGGAGGATTATGCGAAGAAGATCATCGACCTCTTTGACATGCATGACACGCTTTCTGAGTTCAACTCGGCGACATACACCGGCATTTCGCTCTTTGGCCTTACGCTATGGTGTAAGTATGGCCACGAAGATAGTATTCTCTCCCAAAGAGGTCCGGACCTTCTTCGAGGTGTTTGGAATTACACATCACAACTCTGGAATCCATCCATGCGAAACCTCGCTGGACCATGGGACCGTTCCTACTCGTTCGACATGACCAGATCTCTTGGCATCTTGTCTCACTTTCTTGCACCCATTATCGGTAGAAAAGAGGCGGGTATATGGCAGTACCCGGAAGCAATGAGTCATGCCCGTGACTGGGCTTGGGCACCACTCATTGCTGTACACTCGGAATTCCACAACTCATTGCTTTCTGATGACCTTAAAGAGTCACTGAAGACATTTGACGGGGAGAGAACATACACAGGGAAGGCCTACTATCCGCCTTACGACCTTGATACTCGCAATATCACGACGTGGCTTAGCGAGTCCCTGATGATTGGAGCTCAATCGTATCGGACAAAGAGCGCAAACGGACCGTCGAATAACAAGGCTCAGTTCCATCCCGCTGTTGCACACTGGTCTTATGGAGATGATACCATCGGATGGCTTAGCGTAAGTTGATCCGACTTCAGGCTTTACTTCTGCACCTTTACTGACATAAAACCCAGCTCCGTCCTTCTGAAGCCCATGTCCTGATGGAGGTCTCACCGAAGAGGCTTAAGGTGACTTACCCAGAGGGGAGCAGCAGTTCCGTATTCACTTTTGCAGCATCTCCATCACTTGAAAAGAGGGATGTCCAGTCATGGGCTGACATTCAGGGTATTTCAATTTCTGTCTCTGGAACTGCAAATCCTGAGCCGGCGGTCACATTCGCTGGCCGTTATGGGGGTTCGGGCAGTCCAATTTACGATTTTAATCATTGGACTATGGTACATACTATGCCTGCTGGATTTGAGGGCGTTCCTGAGATTATTATTGAGTTTGAATAAGGGATTCTTGCGGGAGGACGAGGAGTGACGTATTACTTGTATTTTCGTTAGGCATATATACCATGACAACAGTCAGAATTACATAGACGATTAGAATTACTACAATGAATTTAAAGATCCTTTGGATTTGGATAATCTATAAAAACTTTACATCTACTCAAGTAAAACCCTTTTCTTTATACCATTTATTAAAAAGGAAAAGGACTTTTATTTCTAATACAAATAAATCCAGTTTATATAATTACAATTCCCGTTCAATATTTCATACTGGAAAGATATACCCAGGACGAAAAATGCTAAAGTTTCTAACATAACTATATGTCGATAGTTTATTTGCTTATTGCTATTAATTATGTTAATGGCTAGTAAAAGACTCTACAGCCTATAAAATCACCTGTGGTATGAAGTCTCTATATCGGATTCGGGTGCTCTGGTGCCTTGACCGTCCATCTCAGATGGTTCCGAGTTGACCTGAACCGGTCTCCAGTACCGAACTCCATTTGAGTCCTCCCACTGATAATCCTGAACTCTGGGACTTCTGCGCCCCCATCTATCAGGGGACTGAGCGTAATTAGCTGAGCTTGAGGTTTGTGGCACATGCTGATCTGAATAAAATGATTCTGTCGTAGGGGCTGACTGGATATTGAGCTGTGCTTTTCGCTTTCTGCGCATTACCCAGAGACCAACCAAAACTGCGAGCAGAAATCCGGCACCAACAGCAATTCCAACAATGGCTCCTGTAGAAAGTCCTGATTTTGGGCTTGATGCTGTGTCTGATTCAACGATCCCAGGCTCAGTACGTCCATCATCCAACCTCGTGCGAGTTGAAAAGACCGCTTTCATACTGAGCAATGTGCCAAGGTCATGGTTAATGAATCCGTAGTCAGGCTTGAGTTTTGTTGCACCTCCATCTTCTGTTCCCCCAATAGCGCTCGTAACAAAGCTAGGGACCTTGTAACCGAAGAGAGTCGGGTCATATCCTGCCCAAACTTTCTTGAAGTTTGACTTGATCTGGTCACCCAAATCGATATTGTGAACCCCCCAGACCTCGTCAACGTCGCATGTGCTTCCACCTTGTGGAAAGGCGCCTCCGATAGTTAGCATTTGCGATCCTTGGTTGACAATGTCACACGATAGGCTGTGTGACGGGTAGTCGCCTGTTCCATTTCGGTCGAGAGGATAGCTCTTGATCCATGTGAAAGATGGTAAAGAAAGGATATAGACGTCGTCAAATCCAGGTCCATTCAGGCCGTGGCCTCCATTCAAATATCTATACATGAGTTAGAGTTCTGACTGAAACAGTATAAAACAGCCAATAGCAGGGGTGTGTCATACATATTGTAACTGCTGCGATCCTCAGCCCATACGGCCCCAGCACAGAACCTTCCTCGGTTCTCAGGAATTGTACCATTTGCCTTTTGAACGTGCCAGTTGTTGGATATTATGTCGTAAAGGAATATCTCATCCAATGACTGTGACACCATGGTACCATTATCGTCAGGATCCTGTAAACCCCCAAAGTAGACCAGCATACCACGGTCACTCGCGGGGATAAATGTCATGACACCCTCAGCACGATTTACATCGTCTGGTCCTGAAAGCCTTGCCCACGTATTGCTGTCCATATTGTATCGAATTAAATCTGATGTTACACGTCGCTCGCCGCTCCAGTCCGTCACTGAAGCTCTCGAAAGGTAGCCTCCATAGTAATAGCTGAGAACATCAAACTCTGTTAGTACTTGAAGTTCCAAATAGACTGTGCAAGCTATGGGAAACCTCAACTTACCCTTCTCCTCGCTCCTTTACGGTTATAGCAGACCCGTAACTGACGCGCTTGATATCTGCGGAGGGTGGGCCAAAATCATCCCATTGGTCATACCATATATCATAGGACATGAGATTCGAACCGGTGGGGCTTCCGCCGAAGAATTCACCACCAAACAGGAATAAACGATAGTTAACATCATCTGCCCAGAGGGTACCACCATGTACCGAAGGAATTGAGGCATTTTTGCTGAGGTTTGCATGAATGTATGGCATTTCATCCTTACTGTTATGATCAAGGTCGTGCCACAGTAACCATGAGTCTAAGGAAATAATTAGTGCACTTCACACATGAGAGAGGTGGATAGCATACTTGTATAATTCTTTGGGTTGCTCTCTAGTGGTTTCCAGTTAACGAGTCCTCCGTCGACGTACAGCTTTCGATCTATGACTGCCGTCTGGTGTCCAAACCGTCGACAAAAGTCCTTGACAGGATCATGTTGCTGAACTGAAAGATGAAGCCTGGTAGCCAAGACCGCGATAGATAACAACCATAACTTGACGGCCATTTCAAGAATCCGGCGACCTGGGAGTGCTCAACGATCGGTGGATTATTCCCTCGTTGTAGTAGTGTCTATTTGCATTCAAGATTGTGTAAAATGCATCTAGAGATGGTGGGTTAAGGACAAAGATGCGAGGAGCAGATAAGCTTTTGTAATTTAGGTATAATTTGATATGATGGTGCTGCCTGAATCATGCGAGGAAGAGGCTGACAGCTCGGCCTGGTGACTGGAAATCCAGAAGCTTATCCTTATACATTGAGTGAGTAAGGTATGCTATGTCATTGCGCATAATCGGGTTGCACCAATTTCGTTTAGCTGTAACAATGTAAATATCTAGCGTAATGGTTCTGGCCAGTTATCTTCAAGAGCCGCGAAGGCCATGATACAGATGGTCACATTTTCTCGCAGCAGGGCATCCACTAGTTCAATAGCAGCCACTACCTAGGTGGTTTTGTCAAGCCCTCCGTCATGACTCGGACCTTGAATTGCCTCGACTTTCTGTGTGTCGTATACATTGACAGTGCGCGACTTTGTACGGAGTGTCATATCGCCTCTAGAAAGCACACTTATCCAAAGCATAAATGTTAATAGGCGTTTTCAAATCAACTGTCAATATGAACATCAAGATTTACTTATTTTTCGGCCCAGTAAGCCAAAGATGGCATACTGAAAAACTGTTTTATCAAGTGGTGCCGCACTAACCCTCTTTATAAAGAACGTGTCGTAGAACTCCGTTGAAACGCGGAGGAGCGACATGAGAAGTGACACAGCATAAATACGTGGCCATTTTAAAAAGAACCAATAATAGATGAGTTTTAAAATCACCCTCGTTATCTACCCGTTAACCGCTGATATCTATAATAGAAGCTATCATGGGAATTTGTCCTGAGAAGACGCAAGCAAGAAGCGCCCTTCGGTGGGCTCACACGCAAATCATATTCCGATGTAGACATGAGCCAGCCTATAGAACATTGCTACCTCTCTTAAATTACTCTAAAGGTAGGGTCGTCCTACCCGACTGGACGATAAACACATGCCAATACTTTGATTAACTAACGGTGTGCGTCGCGCTTTCTGAAAAGCTTCATCACCAGACACTGTACCTTGACAACATGACTTCATCTTTATATACTATATTGTTCAAAGTCACCGGATGCGTGAGTTCGCTTGTGAATGACTCATGGATCGACAATCTCGTTCAAGATTGCTGTGTAGGTACAAACTGGCCATCCCTTGAGGCTCCTATGAGGAAGCAATAAACGATGGTTAATATGGATAGGAGTGCAGGACAGGGAGTAAGTAGAAAGCACATTATAGCGAGCTGTTGAGAGTTATCCATAATCTTGCTCTGCGACAGAAGATTATCTAACTGCTATGTGGATTCTTATCCTTCGCTTCAGACTACTGAACTATAGTCTTATCCTCTGTCACATATTTCTGCCTCCAGTAACAGAGATCACCTGGCCTGTAACATAGGAGAAAAGAGGACTGCACACAGCTAGGATCACTTTAGCGGCGTCTTGTGCCGAGCCTGGCCTGCGAAGTGGAATGTCCTCGAATGACGATTTGGCGTCGCGGCCAGGAACGCCGAGCTGGATCTTTTCCCCGTCCGGCCCCGCGATAAAAGCCCCTACCTCTTTCGCCTGCGTTAGACGCGTTTCAATGTACCCAAACGCCACTGTGTTGGCTCGGACGTTAAACGCCGGTCCCCATTCCTTTGCAATCGTCTTCATCAGTCCAGAAACACCGGCTTTAAAGAAGGCGTAGTTAGACTGGCCGGCGTTTCCGTGGACACCTGAAGTTGAAGAGATGCCAATGATGTTTCGCTGCTTTCCATCCTTGACGCGGAAGAAAGGGGCGACGGCGCGGATTAACTGGAAAGGAGCAGTGCCATGGATGTTCGCCATTGCAGCCCATTGTTTGTCAGTCATCTTGTGCAACACACCATCCCATGTATAGCCGGCATTGTTAACAATGATATGGATCTCTCCTCCTCCGAATTCGGCTGCTTGCTTCACGAGCTGGTCAATATAGTCTTTATCTGTGATATCACCAGGAACTGCTAGTGCCTGGCCCCCAGAGCTGATGATCCCATTCACCACGCTTTGTGCTTTGGCTTTGATGTGGTAAAAGGAAGTGTTAGCATGATTTTGCTCAAGCTAAAGTTGTGCCCTCTCACATAGACGACATGGTAACCGATACTTACCTGAATCAACGTCACAAACAACCACTTTGGCACCCTCTTTGGCAAATAGGCGCGCTGATTCAGCACCAATGCCCTGTCCACTTCCTGTGATTATCGCAGTTTGTCCAGCAAGAAGACCGCTCGGGTACGTAATGTGGGATGCGATTTGAGCGACACGTTCAGCCATAATTACTCAATTTGGGCGTATAAAGCTGAAATAATGGTCCTTCTATTGCTATAAGCCAAAAGAAAAACTAGTGCTCGCTATATGATCGACTCTTTAAAACCTCCCTCATGTGTTTTAGTACCGTGATTCAATTGACTTCCGTCTCACTGACTAATTGCCAAGCATTAGTCGGCGTTATAAAGCTCTGTTCGGCGTTTTAGACCCACATTCGGCGTTACCGCATATGCAGCAGAAGGAAGCCTGCATAGCACGCATAGCCACTCATTACAGCCGTTGCTCATTCTATATGGAGGTCGAAACGACAACAGTTTGGCTTTCAGTATACTAATAATGGAATTCAAGTAAGATTGGTTAGCTATTATTGAAGTAAAGCTCTCTTTCTCCTCCCCTTCTTGATTCAACCTGAGTTCCAAGCCTTGAAGATGGCGACAATAATTGAGGAACACCAATGCGCTTTCGCCAGGCCGAAGCCGAAGCGGCAAGAGACTCGAAAGAGATCACCCAAGTAAGTATTCTAGTACGCAGAAAAAGAATATCGACCTGTCGTATTCCCTGGGACGTTTTATCAAGGCTCAGCTGACAAGCTGGCTGTGTTTCCGATGAACCACAGGGCATGCCTATCCTGCAGAGCACGAAAGGTCCGCTGTGATGTGGCATTTTCACGTGACGCTTGCACAAACTGTGTGCTTGATAGTAAGAAATGCGTTGTCCATTGGCGCCGCCGGCATGACTACAGGTATGAGCAACTGATGGAGTTTCGATATGGGAGTTTTGTATCATGTGTGCCGCTCCCAAACTAACATCTGCCAATTAGAAATCGTATTGACAAGCCCGACGCGCCAGAGGCAGAGACAAAGGCTGTAAGGGAACCTCTGCCATCTCCTAAACAAGACGAAGACACAGCTACCGTCTTGACAGAAGAGTGCTTGGGGACGCCAAAACTGGCAGAAGTAAGATCTCGTCAAAATCCAAGTTATGACCACACCCAAGCTCGGCCTGAGATCACATTCGCATATTATCCTTTCCTCTGTATCAACAATCTCAGCTCTTTGCGTACGGATGACATTAATTATCTGGAGTCTCAAGGGTGCCTTAGAGTACCAGAAAGTAGCTGCTTGGACGATTTGGTCCGGGCGTTCTTTCGTTATGCTCACCCTATCTTGCCTGTTGTTAACGAAGCCGAGTTCTGGTCTATTTACGACCCATTAACCTCTGGGAGCAGGGCCAGTCGAATTCCTGTTATACTGCTTTCAGCCATGCTGTTCGTCGCGTGCAAGGTAAGTCCTACAATCTATACTGGCAAGGGCCTTGACTAATTACGCCTTACAGTACGTGGATGATTGTGTCATTCAAAACATGCAGCTTAATACCGCACATGAGGCGCGGGACAGGTTGCTCCGGAAGACTCAGGTGAGTTCAACCTTCGGCCCCGCCTAGGTTTCATTCTTTATGCTAAATTCCTCTTGTAGATTCTCTACGATCAAGAGACCGAGTCATCACCAGCTGTTCTTGCCCAAGTCTCTCTTCTGCTTACACACTGGAGCCCACAAATAAGTTTAAGGACTAGTAAGCAGAGTACTGAATGGCTTGGTCGGGCGATTCATCACTGTCAGGATGCTATTTCCCAGGCGAAGCTTTGGACAGCGCTCAAAGCTCGCTCGAACGAGGGCAACCTTATAAGATTGCTTAGATGTTGTATTCTCAGCGACTGTATACACAGTTTGTACAACCGTCGACCGCTAATGATGCCTCCCGGTATGGTCGAAGCTGAGAAACTCTCCCCTATGCTCTCTCGTGGCCATTTATCTTATGAGATTGGCCGTTCTCGAGTCTACGGCGTCGAAGAAAAGCAGCAATTTATCGAAGTCCAGGAACAGATTTCGGCTCTCGTCACCATTTTGAGCAGGGTCATGGCTATGGTTTACCCACAAGAGGGTACAACTATTTGCAGAAATACGCCGTCGCTGAGTGGGGTTGAACACGAATTACATGACTGTAAGAACCGCCTGAAAACATGGTATAATGAGAGTTTAATGCTCTCGGTTTGTGATCGAGATTCCGCGTTGGGCTCACCCACCAGCATGGACGATGGACGAGAACATGAAGGCTTACAGTATGACCCTGTTGGGCTTTTAGTGAGTATGATGTACCTCCATTATGAGTAAGTAACCATTCGGATGAGGTCAATCAGGCCTTTGTAGGGCTTACGGTAACTAAAGTGTGGCAATAGGACTGCCATGTTGGCGCTTTGTCACAGCGAACTCATGCGTCTCATGGCAAATCCTCCCGTGACATACCCAGCCTACAGGCTACACGAGAGGTTTTCTATTCAGAAACAGAAACAAGATCTTCTAAATTGCATCCTAGGTATGACTGATCAACTTTCAGATTCCTTACGGCACCAGCACCTATCCAAGGTTCCAGAATGCATGTGAGTGGACTTCGACGAGTTCCAAACATTAATTATTGCGGGAAGCTAACATAAACATAATAGGATATTTTGCACGGCACTTCCTCTGATATTACATCTCCTGAACACCGAAGCCCATAAGAAGAATGATTCATCCTTATCTCACGACTTTTCACCACCGTCTCGCCAACAAGCCGTTACGGTACAATGTTCTCGTTATCCAGATTGGGTGCGGAAGGTTACACAATGCCTGAGGCTCCACTTTAGGGAGGAACTGGAGTACATATTACAAGCAGCCAAAGCTGTAAACAAATACCTGGCTCAAGTTTTCCAGGAAAGCTACGAAGTACAACTTCTCTCTACTCAAGAGGAAGAAGTCTCCCAGCCCAACGAAGAACAACTCCACATGTGTAACTGGCGCGAACTATTGGATACCAGACCGAGAATTTATGCTGGTCTCATCAAAACACTGGACACTGTCATCACATGGGGGGGACCATTGAATGAAGCAGACATGGGTGCCTCATTCAACGAATACCAAGCACCGCCTGTCTCTGGTCTGATTCGACAATGTCGAGGGAGGAAGGCCTCGGTGGCATTGAACTCGACGATGTCTGCAGCTTCATCTCGAAGAAGCATTCAAAAGAGACCACAGTCTACGTCATGTAGCGATGAGCTAGCAGCACAGCCGGAAGCTGTCGATACTGATTCGGGCCTCCTGCCCCCAGAAGTTCTGCGTCAAAGCTCCAGCGACATTGTGATGCAGAAACTCGATTTTCTCCAGTCCTGCCAGCTTGAGGTACCTAGAGAGACACACCATCCAACATCATTGGATCCCTTGCGGGGGTGGGCAGAAGAAATCGCGGATGGCGTCAAACCTGTCCTGGGCAAGGTTGCTTCTCACGAAAACATCCAGCTCATAGACTTCACCGATGCTGAAGACATAGTTTTGGAAGATAAGATAAGTGATGACTGGATAGATGCATTGTTGGAGAAGGATATATTATCGTAGAGCGCCGGCCAAAAGTGCTGAAGATGAGGAAATTGGTGCTGATGTCTCTGCGTAAATGATTAAATACGATTACATTAGGTAGATCTATCAGATTCAGCCTATTGCTTTGTTGACCCAATAAAGCATTGCTGCGCCGCTCGATGAATCCATGGCTGATGCAATGCAAATGTTCCGTGAGCAAGGCATACATAAAGGATTGATGCATACAATGATGCTACGTAAAATTTGATGGGAACGAAGGATATTCGGAGATCTTAGTACGTATCTATGCTCTTATGCTGACATAGAAATGCCGAGACCCTCATCTATAGCCTGCCCACCCGGTATGCCCTTGCGTTCTTGGATTTAGTGTTCGAGGAAAATCGAATAGTTGATCCAATTTACTTTTCTATTTATAGCTTGACCTTTGCCTGACGGGAATTGAGGCGAGAATGAACGTAACTAATCTGCTGGAACGCCCTTAGCGCCTCTCCATACAGCTCCCCCCTCAACAATCCATAGACACCCATCTTTGCCTTGGACTTCACCTTGTTGGCGAGCTGCAAGGCACAGTCCAGCATGTCTTCCGGCGGAGCAATCTCATCCACAATACCATCCGCCAATGCCTCACTTGAAGTAAACTTGTGACCCTGCAGGATGACCTTCCTGGCTGTCTGTGGCGGCAGCTTGGCTCTCAAAAGGGCACCCATTCCATCGAAGTGCAGGCCAAGTTCTGCTACCGGCATACACCAGTTCCCACGGGTAGCATTCATGATGCGATAGTCGTGGGCCAGTGTCATCACTGAGGCGCCTCCAAAAGTATGTCCAGTGATGAGACAGATTGTGGGAAACGGAAAATCCAGAAGAGTTGCAACAAGCTGTTACAACAAGAGTATGCATATCAGTAAACGACTCAACAAGTTCAACAAGTTCAACGTGGATAATCAGATTATGTTCTTACCGGATAGAATCCCTCGGAGCTAGCGAATGGGTTTGTGTCCCGTTCGTGAAGATCCAACCCCTGTGCACATTGTAGTCAGCAGCTGTTCAAGTCGCCATGGATATGTTATTTGAGGGAGAGCGCAGAAGAACGTACCGTGCAGAAGAACTTGGCATCGTTGCCCTGAATGATGACAGCGCCAGGGGCGTCGGGGCCTAGTTCTTTCCGAACATTGTTCAAAGCCACAATGATCTCTTGACAGAATTGCGATGTGAGGCGGTTCTCTGGTGGTTTCTGCAGAGTGAGGATGAAAACATCTCCGCGACACTCAAGCTTAAGGTTTTGGTTCATGCTTCCTGACACACGTAGAAACGAATGATACTAAAGCGTGATGATGCTGATGATTCGGAGCCTAGTATTACCGACGATGATAGTTTTACATGTGGTCGTGGTTCTAAATGACCTTTAATTGATCACTCGACCATTTGACAATTATTTGACGACGCATTGTGGAACTCCTCCACAGGATCACAGGTTTTGGCGAGTCTCGGCGTTCTGTAAAACGCCGTATAAATTTACCGAAGCTCCGTAACAATCTAAACACTGTCACGCCTTGACCCCACTTGTGCCACTAATACAAACCTGCTGTACATAATGATATTAGCCTACCCTGGACAGCCTGGAATAAGGCAGGCTATTTCAGAGAGTGTAAACCCTCATAATAATGAAAAAGTTAAGTGCTAAGTTTAGGCAGTATCTTCACATTTGGAAATGCTAAGTTCGGCTGAACTGTAGTATTATTCCATACTATTCTTTTTTTAATTTGAACTATACTTATTACTCTTCAGTTTTACCCATTATTACAAATTAATAATTACAGCAGGCCGACTCACAGTCACAGCACACTCAAGTCTAATTATTACCTTTGTTAGTAATTATACGGTTATGCTTTTAAATTTTGCTTTTACGTTGAATTATACAAGAGGGTATCTATGCAGTCCCTAGTATTCTTAATTCTCCTTCTAGTATTTCGACTTGAATTAGCTAACCCATACCGTTTTGAATTAGATGGGCTCTAGATGACCCATTAAAGAAACCGGCCCTTTTTCAACAAGGTAGAAACTAAGTACCACATCTTAATTATTTGGGTAGTATATCTAATTTATAACCCTAAATATTGTCTTCTGGGCTCACTGAGGTTCAGCTGGAGCCGGTAGGAAGGCGCCTATGGTAAAGGACAACACCGTGCAGTCCTCTCTACATCAGGCAATGAATAGCCCCACAGACCGTAGCACCCCTCTAGACAACCATTTAATCATTGGGTTCTTTTCATAGCTATGGAAGCCATATATTTATAGTCTACTCCATTTCAGAGCCCGTATAACCTTCACTCTCAAAAACCCTCAGAGAATTGTAAAGACAGCAATACAAACAGAGTCCTGAAAATACATCTCAAATTCTTTTAACGAAATTAATAATGGCATTAGCCATAGCCTCGGGCTGCTCCGGCGCCATAGCATGCCCAGCACCCTTGATAACCTGCACCTCAACACGATCGCTCAGATACGACTTCATTACACCCTTCACAACAACAGCGTCGTGCTCAGCCTGAAGATCCAGGATCGGAACAGTCTCTCCTGCAGAGAAGTACTCATCGATGGGCGTGTACATGCGTGCATGCGCCTGAGCATTGTGCGCGGCTTTGCTCCACCCGTCCAGCCACAGACGTGGATTGCCCTCGGGTCCGAAGAAGGCCACTTGCAGGTACTTAAGGCGCTTGGACTCGGGGAGTGACATATCGCCGGAGCCGTCAATCTCCGTGCGCAGCCGGCCGAACGGCTTCTCGGTCGAGCCGGGTGGGAGCTTGCCCGCCGAGGCAGCTGCCATAACGACGCCGCGGACAAGGTCTGGACGGTCAGCGGCCAGCATGCGCGCTGGCTGGCTTCCCCAGGCGTGGCCGACAATGACGGACGGACCGCAATTGATGTGGTCGAGAACCATAGCCACGTCGGCGGCGAAGTCGTGCAGTGTCAGCTTGTCCATGGGCCCATGACTCCTGCCGATACCGCGAGGCTGGGGACGGACGACACGGTAGCCGGCCTCAACAAGGATTGGGGCGACAATATCGTAGTCGTTTGCACCACGGGCCAGCGAGGGAAGGATGACGATGACAGGACCAGTGCCTTGGTCGAGTGTTTCAATAGTAATGGAACCCTTAGTGACCGTGAACGAAGTTGCAAAGGTCATACTGGTAGCTGCGTTGGAAGACCTGTAATATTTCTGGTGATGATTGCGATTATATATGGATTTATAATAAAGAAGTGTTTTGAAAATTTTGCAGATGCTAAGAGGCCCTTTTAAAATTTAGTTTCGCTGAACATGCATTTATTCGGCGTTCGGCGTTTACGGAAAAAGACACGGTTGTCATTGTCAAGAAGGTGGAATATAGTAATTCTGGCCACGAGTATGAGTCTCCTATTTCAAGCGTTACCAGCAACAATACAGCTGGCTAATATAACTAACAGACAGCCGTCAGCACCACTGAAAATATTATTGTGGAGTTACTTCTAGCTCTTCTTATGTAATAACTATACCCTGCCTCATCTTCCTAGCTAATACTGACTTGTCCAATTGCGGTGCTTGCATACCTCATATACATACACCGGATAGTCTGATAAGGTGAGAAAATACTAATGGGAGCTGACTGCAAGACCTCGTCAGATTCAATTATTTTACAGCCTTGCCTGCACCAACGCAGCCTGCTTCGAATTCTTCCACACTTGCACCTGGGGCATCTCCTCATATCCGGGACTTGGAATCAGGTGCGGTCCCAGGATCTTCTTCTGTATCTTTCCCGTGGCACCCTTTGGGATCTCCCCCTCCACCACCCTCAACACAGTCGGCAGCTTGTAACCGGCCAGCTGGTGCCTAAGGTTACTCCGGACCTTTGCGAGGGTAACACCTGACGTATTCTTAACAGCCAACACTGCACCAACACGCTGTCCAAACTCCTCATCCTCTACACCCACTACCATGGCCTCGTTCACATAGGGCAGTGTCAGGCATGCCCGCTCGACGTCCAGCGCCGATATCTTATAACCACCAGACTTGATAATATCGACTGATGCACGACCCACAATGAAGTAAAAGTTCGCTTCCCGCCGTGCGATATCACCGGTCTTGTACCAGCCATCTGAATCGTGAGCATTCTTTGTTGTCTCCGGTTCCATGAGATACCTTTGTTATTAGCCAGCCATGAGTACGTTGAAAATATAGAATACTTACTTGGCAAACATGTTCGGCGTCTTTACCAACAGCTCACCTTCAGGCGAGATCTTAAGCTCTACACCTGGTAGAGGCTGGCCCACGCTTCCCTTGGGAATGTCCCGAAGCTCAGGAGACACACGAATACAGCCAGGAATTTCGGTGGCGCCGTAGCGGGCGAGGATGGGCTGGCCCATACTAGAAGTCCAGAAGTCCTGCACGTGCTCTTGCAGAGCGCTAGATCCGCACAGAAATGCACGGAACTGGCAAGCTGCCTTCCTATAAGGGATTTGCTCCTGCGTCGGAAGCTGCTCGATAAACCACTTTAGGCGCATGTAGATAGTGGGCACGGCCGAGAAGATAGTCAAACCACCCTGTAGCCAGCGCTGGAGCACGGTGGCCGCGTCGAACTTGCCGTGAAACTCAATGCAGGCGCCCGCGTTAAGAAAGGGAAAGAATGAAGTACCCAGACCGGTAGTATGGTGAACGGGCAGAGTATGTAGGAGTACGTCTGTGTGTGTGATCCCATAGCTGTCGCCGACAACGATAGCGCCCTCATGTGTGTAGGTCCGTCGTAGGACTACGCCCTTAGGCTTTCCGGTTGTGCCAGAAGTGAAGATGACCACGCCGGGTGCGCTAGAGTCCTGTGGCGAGTTGGACGACAATGAGATGTCGAGTGGCTCTAAGCGGGTCGTGCGAGGTAGGTTAGGTAAAATGCTGAGCTGTATAATTCCACAGCGATGTGCCGAGTCCTGCGCAAGTTGCGTCGTCGCTGAACTGGATAAGATAGCCACCTGCTGTGACTTGGTGGCATAGTAGACAATCTCGTCTGAAGGCGCCGTGGGAACTATATAGATAGCATCAGTCAGCCAGGCCTCGAGGTGATATACCAGTCAATAATGACATGACGGAATGTACATACACATGGGCACTACCGCTGCCCCTAGCGCCAGCACCGTCAGCACGGCGACCGTGAACTCATAGCCCCCTGCAGCCAGAACTCCCACATAAACTTCATCGCCGTTGCTCAGCCGGCGCTGCACATTTGAAGGCAAAGCTCCTCGTACTACCTCCCTGAAAAACAGTACCGTATCGAGCAGCTCCCCATATGTCTTGGAGGCGCCCAGCACCTGGTCTTTAATCGCAACGTGGTTTCGATGGGCGTGCCGAAGTAGCCGTGCGAACAATGGGTTATTGGGCAATACATGTGGACCGTCGTGCAATGGCACTATTTGCGTGCGGTCGATATTCATATTGGCAGACGTGCTGGCGATGGTGTTGGAACTCATAGCCGTGTTTGTATGATTGATTTATGATGCGTGGCCACGTTGGTTCTCTTGGGCAGGAGAAGACAAGGACATTTGGTTCTTTACATTGAAGATTATCAGGACATGTTTTGTTTTCCGTATAATAGCATTGATCTACATCACCCACATTCCCCCGGACTCGGTGTTGGTACTTGCCGATAATGCGTGGCTGTGGCCGAAACCGAAACCCCGAGTGGGGTCTTCATATATGGCTCGGTGTTATGAGATGTCGGCGAAACGGGTTGATCATCGGACTTATCCTTTGTGGACGGTTGGCGAATCAATCCAGAACTTGGGCAAATAAATAGACTAGCCCGAGCTATTCTTCTTGGCTTTCCATTCAATAGCTTGCCACGAATTCCCCGCATCCGATTTACCCGCAAGAATGACAGTGATCGAGGTTGGGTACGATGGTCCTATTGCGGTCATAGTGCTTAACAAACCCGACAAGCTGAACGCGTTGACCAAAGACGAGTTCTACCAGCTCGCACGCACACTTCGGGAGGTTGCCGACCATGATGAAGTGGTAGCGACTGTGTTGACAGGCAACGGGAGATTCTTTTCAGCGTGAGCAGCTTTCCACCTTTACACCAGCCTGGCTGAGACTGACATATGTGTGCAGCGGCGCGGATGTGTCGGTCCCTAGGCAGGTTCCCGAGGGCACAGACTTATATCGGCATAACTTGACCGTCACTGTGGCCAGCAACATGAATCTGGCGCGAGCCTTTTACACACATCCCAAGATCCTGGTAGTAGCCCTCAACGGCCCTGTGGTGGGCATGTCTGCTGCACTGATTGCTTTCGCCGATTTTATTTATTCTACACAGGAGACATTTCTCTTGACACCGTTCGCTAGCTTGGGCCTAATCAGCGAAGGGGTCTCGTCCATAGCTTTCGCAGAGCGCATGGGAATCTCTAAAGCAAATGAAGCCTTGATCCTGGCGAAGCGCATATCGAGCAAGGAATTACTTGATGTGGGTTTCGTGAACCAAATATTCGATTGCCCCGCGCAGTCATTCCGGAGTGAGGTGCTCAAGGAGGTCAAGGAAAGGTTCCATGAGGGTCTGAATGCCTCCAGCATGTTGCAGATCAAGAAAATGATTAGACATAGATCAAGGCGAGAACTGGACGCTCAGAATGTTGATGAAGTGTTTGGTGCTCTCGAGAGAAATGTCCAGGGAATTCCGCAGAAGGAGTTCGAGAAATTAAGGACAGGGAAGAAAAAACACAAGCTTTGACGGGACGATAGCTTAATGCAGAGCAATTTAGGGGTCGAATAGAAACCCATCGTTAAGAATCCAATTCTCCACGTGCTCGAATTGAATTGTTCCCATATCCCACGCTTCGCCTGGATCCATGAAAGGATTGGTATCTAACGCATCGTTGAGGGGTTGTATTGGCTCCGAAATTTGCTCTTGAATAGCCAGCGGGCTTGAGGACAGTTGCTGGCTTAAAGTGCTCCATATACGGCAGTAGCCAAGGTCTATCATCTTGAAGTATTCTAGAGAATTCTTATTGTCCATCCGTAGTTCGGCCGTCGAGCTGCAGGTACGTTGCCTCCTCTTATTGATAGCATTTTGGAGAGCTCTAGAAGCTCCAATTGCTGACCGCCAGCGCTTGGAAAGCTCCGTGAGTGCGTGCTGAAGTATGTCCAGATCCGGCTGCACAGCATCCCACAATCGCTTATTAGGCATAACCGAGACCAGCGCCATGCTTGAAATAAGGCAATATCGCGTACTGATCGGTGCTAAGACTTTGACCTCGTCTCTGGCCAGAAAATCCTCAAAAATACGGGCGACAAAGGATGCCGCCAATGTCGCCGTCACCGATAGCGATCCTGCAGAGTGCTGCATTCGGGAAAGGACTATCAAGCTAGTAAAGTATGGTAGATATAGCTGGCGTGCCGCCAGGTTGTGACTGTTTGCGAAGTAGCTGTGCGGCGGCTGGTTGCTGGCCGCAACCCGGAGCTCCTGTGGCAGACTCGTTGTCCAGCGGCACAAAGCGTTGACGATGTAGAGTCTTTTGGTTCGTGACATGTGTCTTCGCATGCAGCAGGATGATATATCTCCAAGTATCAGGCAAATGTCCACCCACGCTGAGAATAGTTGAAACGCGGACGGTGAGTCTGGGAAGTCGCTCGCTATGGGTGGTTGGACATCGCTGTCGTCGAGGTTAATGACTCGTGGCCTACCATGCGCGACAGAGATCAAGGAGTCTCGAACCTGTGTAGGTGTTAGACGCCATTGATTAGAAATAGATTCATGTATTCTGCTTACCACCAAACTCCACCACAGCCTCCGCCGAATAGCCCTGGTCGGTCCTGGAAGTGATTCCTTGTGCAGGCCAATCTGATGGGCAATTCCAACCCCAATCTTGAGCCAGAAACCACTGTTGTCAAATGAAATATGCTCAGGGGCCTGTGGGTTGTACCATTGGAGCATTAATGATGCTTTAATGGCAGACAGCCCATCCGCCTCTAGTCCAGACCAGAAGACTGCTTTGGCCCTGTGATAGAAATCGTCCGACGATGCAAAGGCAACCACAGAAGGTGCATTCGTGACTCGGCTGCCAGCCAGCCATAACGATTGTGCCAGCAGCATTGAAGTCTTCTTTTGGTCGAAACACGAAAGCTCTTGTATATCCTTTGGTTCCAGAACAGGCGTCCATAGGTTGCAATAGTCTAGGAAAGCACTGAGTAGGCTTTGACGCGCTGCAAGAGGAGGTATGTCGAAGACTTTCCACAAGACCAATGTTTCCTTTTGGGTGCTTGCATGAGGGCCTACTTTTATTTTTGCCGGTTCGAATGCACGAGCACTCGTCTCGTCTATCTCATCATCGTCTGCGACGTAGTGGCCTCTGCCTATGTAGGTGGTTGCTTGACTCTTCCACTTGCATGTCAATACTATTCATACCAGGAATATTTGGGAAATTAAGACACAAACATGCGTGACTTACCGTAGATGGGGTCTGAAGCTGATATGTGGCATGTTCTATCGGTATTTCCATGCCTGGCCTAGATGGCTGCGAAATAACCTGAGTGTTCTGAAAGCTGTGACTTTGATTGTCATTGTGATCCAGTACTTGGGCTGTGGGAGCAGATCCTACACGACGGCGCTTTCTGGTGCGCGGGCTGGAGTATCATGTCAGTCTATGCTACGTGAAGATTGACATGGGATGCGCACATGCACTCGACTTCAGCAGCCTTGCATGTCACGCAAGTGTTTGATTCGCTGTTAACTTCACAGCGGACCTGGAGGGAGTTAGCCCGGCTGACCTCAAGACTGGACAGGATCCAGCTCTTTGGATACGTGCACTGACCTTACGGTTGTGACAGAGCGTACACGCCAATGCTTGCATTGTCGATGGGCCACCGCTGTCGAAGTGAGGATTGTGCCGGTCGGAAAGAGTCACGGCGGGGAAGATCGAAATTTGAATGTATGGTCTTGGCGATGTGGTCCCGAAACGCCGAAACGCCGGTCAGCTTATCCTAGAAGGAAAAGGTATGACACGAGTCAGCGAAAGCGCGGCGCGCAGGCCTACTCACATCTAGGCTGTTGTAGTTGCTAGCTGCGATCGAACATACCGTCCTACCAGTTTTCATATGGGGATCTCTGGGTTTTACCATTTTTTTGGTTGCCACGTATCTGCCCAAAATGTCTCTTTAAGTGACGGGCAAATAACATTGCAAATGCTAGTGTGAATGGTTATATTGAGGTTTTGCTAATTGTATTACCGACGTGACCAAAACATTCAGTATTTGACAGAACATACCCTGCGACGTGTCCCAGTTAATCGTAATTGATAGACGCGTCCATGCTGACCCAGGCTCTTGTGTGAGAGAAAGAAGGGGTGTTAAATCAGACGCAAGGTAAATGGTTACCTTATGTGGCCCCATAGTGTGTTCAACCCGTTGATACGCTAGTGTACTAACCTCATCACCGGATCTGCTCACACTCTTATCCTTCATGATATTCTACTTGTCATTGGCGTGCTCGCGAATGCCCCGCGTATGGGTCTGCAAGTCATGCAGATCCAGCTACGAAAGGAAGCCTGCGAGAGGCAATAGTTTGATTGACTGCACAGGCAAGACGATGGAACTGATTGATCAATATTCTTCTTTCATCAAGTACGCAACAGTCTTGAAACCCTATCAGCAGCATCATTCATTGAAATCATCCAGTCATACATCACACTGCCTCGTTAATGACAGCCAGCTCCACCAATGTCATTTCTCAAAAGGAATACCAAAGATAACAACAGCCCAATCATTCTCACATCGAAGCCAACAGCTTACTCAACATACCGCCACCTCTTTGGCAGGTTGTTTGTTGCTTCGTGCACGTCCATTTTCTTGTTCAGTTTCTTAACATACCATTTGCAAACCAGGCAACCGACAATGCCCATGACACAGCCTGCAATAATCAAAATGCCGCCATTTTGATAACGAGGTTCTTGGGAGCGAAGCTTGACTTGTCAATAGGAGATTGGAGCGCCGCGAGTGAGTGACTTACGAAAAAGTATGGTGTGAACCAGTGGGAAACTGATGCGATGCAGTTAGTGATAGCAACAAGAGCACCACGCTTTGTGCGGGGGCGAGCGACGTTGGTTGTCTCCCAGGGAATGTGGACCTGCTCTCATCAGCATGAAACTTCACCAAAGTTGAAATACTATATACATACATTCAGGCCGACAAAAGGTCCGGCACACAACAGGAACATGCCGAAGTATCGGGCACCTGCGTTCAGGGTGAATATCATGATGACGACGCCAATGATGCATGCGACTGTGCTGCCAACTATATGCCAACAATGCTCCTGGTATCTGCCTGACGACCAGGAGATGACACAGGTGGCGATGTAAGCGAAGACATATGGTGGAGCTTGGATGAGATAGGTCATGAGGTTCGAGTATCCTAGAGTTTTCACAATCTGGACTTGTTAGATACTTTGAAAAGAATCGTAATCCCTTGTTTGCATGACTCACCGATGGGAAGAAATCTTTGAATGAAAGGGCGACAATGAGACCAAAGTGAAGCACCGTGTATATCCAGGTGAATGGGTCTTGGCATGCAAGCTTGACACCTTCCCAGGCACCTCCTTCGTCATCCTCGGATCGCCCGCCTGCTGAGACGATCATTCGATATTGGGCCATCTCCGACATCTCGGGGGTCATGAAGTATGTACCGGTATTATGGGGAAAGTTGGGGATGCACCAAAACCCCATGACAGCGACAAACAGACCAACAATACCTGAAAAGGTTAGAGGAGTTTCATGTCTTCATGGTGAATAAGCGAGTTTGCTTACCCTCAATAATAACGAACCACTGCCATGCACGCATACCAGCAAGACCGTTCATGTTCTCCAAAATGCCGGCCGCGAGTAACCCGGAGAAGATGTTAGAACATATATTACCAGCATGCCAGATAGCCATCCTTAAGGGTGCCTCCTCTTTAGTATTCCATGAGGAAGTCATCAAGCTAACCATAGGAAGGAAAGGGCCCTCAGCCACTCCGACCATGAAGCGGCATACTAAGAAAGACCAGCCGCTAGTCATAGCTGCCATACAGGCTGTGATGACAGACCAAGCAATAACATAGGCTGGCATCTGCCATCGTGGGAGGCCTTTGGCGAGGTAGACAGTGGCAGGGAGTTGAGTGACGATATAACCAACGTAGAACAACGAGATTCCGGCAGACCATGTTGTATCAGACATGTGCAGGTCATCCTGCATACCTGCCAGCCGAGCATTTGCGACGTTAATGCGGTCGAGGTAGCCCATCAGTAACATTAGCGTAACAACTGGCAAGAAAACCCAATCCAGTTTGCGCTTCAGCTTTCTTTCAATTTGCTGACGTTCCTCGAGACTTTTATTGGCCAAAAGGGGAAAGAGAGACAGATACTCATCCACTACCGCCTCTCCTTCGAGGTGGATTGCATGTTGCTTCTCAGTAGAGCTGTGATGAGACATTGTGCGTTGTACTGCCATTGCTGCTAGCTGTGCTTATCGATAGCCTTCGGATTTTATCTGCTTGTCGAGAAAGGCTGAGCAAGAAGACTGCATATTTGTTATTCGGGTCGCGAGGACAGACAGTTTTATACATGAACAAAGATGGCTGAACACATGTGTACATGCTCTGAGGATGTTAGTGTGGACGCCGAGACTCCAATCGGTGCGTGGAGGATACCACAAGGACTCAAAAGAACGATATTTCCTACATTTCAACCCCGCGTTCCCCGCGTATACCCCAGATTATATGGTCTTGGCGTAATTTAGTGCGAAGAGGCATGAAACCTTAATTCGATAGTCTCGGCGTTTCGGTACTTCGGTCATTCCAAGCCAATGCCAACACAGATCACAGACATAAGCCACTGGTAATACAAAATACAGTATGGTTGGGCCAGGACAATATACATGGAACAAACTATACACCATAATGAGAACTGCATCGAGTGAGATACCGTTAGTTTGTACTCATTTATTGGTAACTTATCCGTAGTAGGGAATATTTATAGAGTTATGGTGTCTAATATGGCTGGGTAACCTTATTGGATTAAAGCTATATAGAGACCTGTTAGCAATTGGGTTTCCTAAGGGTTGGATAAGTCTATGTTCGGACTAGATCAGTGGATACTATGGGGTGTTGGTATGAAAAAACAAAGACTATTATACTCTTTAGCCTCTAATAGATTTAGTTAGACATGCCATAGTACAGAACTTCTCCTAATAAGTAGTTACCTGTGTTTAATCTACTGCAGGGTAAGTGCGTACATATTCAGGTACGGATAAGATAAACAGAGTTCGTTTAATGTTGTTTATTATACAAGCTGGATAAGTGCTATTTAACTAATGTAGGGTAGGCCAATAGTAATTTGGTAAGACTTGTAAAGTATATATAATGAGCTAGAGGGCTTTCTATTAGGTCGTAATACTGAAGCGTGACCTTGAAATAGAATTTATTTATGACTATTAAGTTAGAATGTTTATTGGACAAAGCATCTCTGCTTATTGGGACTGGTGGTGCTGGGTCTTGGTTTGGGAGAATTCATAGCGTATATTAGGAATGTTACACGGTCGCTGTGTCTTATAACCTAGCTTCCCACTACCCTAAGCTGAGTTGGCGCTAAACAGGGTGTGCTTAGATTCAGGTATCCTAGCTACTGGTACGCCGCAGTAATAATCTTCTGCGCTGCTGTCTCCGCAATGCCATATACCGCCGTCTGAATATGACCTGATAACTGGACAGGAATAATACTAGCATCAACCACACGAAGGTTCTTAGTGCCATATACCTTGAGGTCCTTGTCGACAACACCACCATCCTTCTTAGGAAGCATCGCGCAGGTGCCGATGGGATGGTAGAAGCTGTTAACTGTCTTGACGGCAAAATCACGGAACTGTTTGTCGGTTTTCACCTCCGGGCTGGGCTCTGTCTCCTCTTCCCATAAGGATCTCAGAGGCTCTGTCTCGGCAACTTTACGGGCAAACTTGGCACCCTCAATGAGCGCTTGAACGTCGTACTCGTTGGTGAGGTAGTGTAGGTCAATGACTGGCTTGCCTCTAGGAGTTTTCGGATCGATGTGAACACTACCACGGCTCATGGGATGCATGATACTAGAAAAGATAGTGATAAAGTTGCCGCCAGGATAGCCTGCGGCGCCGACGTAGTTGGCTTCTAGAAGGAGCTCTAGCTGGGGAATAGAAGGATCGGTCAGGTATTCGAGCTTTTTCTTATCCACGACCGTACCATTGCTGGCAAAGCCGTCATTGGCAACCTGAGTGAGATGCTTTCCTGTCTTCTTGCTGACCTGGGCCCAGTTGAGGAAAGCATACGCGCTGCTAGTATAGTCATACCACGACACCTTATTTTGAAGCCATAGGTTAAATTGCTCCTTGGCCAAAGCGCTCTCACTGTCGAAAAGCATGGGATCGAAGGATTCGTACCCTTTCTTCAGCCTATACGTGTTGGAGGTACGAATATGGTCCTGGTAGTTCTCGCCCACACCGGGAAGATTGAGCAATTGTTTGACACCCGCCTTGGCGAGAATAGGGGCTTGTCCGATACCAGACAGCTCAAGTAGCCCTGGACTCTGAATGGAACCAGCTGAGAGAATAACCTCCTTGCGGGCCCGAATTGTAGAGCCATCTTGGAGTGCAACACCGGTAGCAACCAAGCCCTTGGCCTTAGAAAATAAAACTCTGGCGACATGGGCGTTTGTCTTGACTGAGAGGTTTGGCCCAGCCTTTGGTAGATAGCTGTTGGCGCTGTATGATCGGGTGTAGTTGGTCACGTCAATGTTGGTTGGCTGAAACATGACTCCGACAGGGTCTCCTCCTAGTGACCCTCCATCATTGACGGGAACGCCATGCTTGTTAACAACAGACTGCCATGGCTTCAAAACATCAGGGACGATGCGATTGTAAGTGGACCTGATGGGGCCGGTGCGACCGTGGACGTCGCCATCTTTGCCTGTGAAATTCTCTGACTTGGTCATACCATTGATCATGGTTCTCCAATTCCACCCGGGACTGCCGAGCTCGGCCCATGCGTCGTACTCAGCAGATGCGGCGCGGTCATAGCATAGGAAATTCATCGCTGATGATCCGCCAAGGACCTTACCACGGTTGACGCTGATGGAACGTCCATCGAGGCCAGGTTGTGCAATGGAAGAGAAGTTCCAATCGTTCGAAGTTCCCATGAGCGCACCGCGCATGCCTGGTACATTTATACGCAAGTCGTCAAGAGCTGCTGGGCCTGCTTCCAAAAGAAGGATCTTGTGCTTAGGAAGGCCGAGGCTCAGTCGAGTGGCGAGGGCTCCTCCGGCGGTGCCACCTCCGACGATGACCTGTTTGCCGATAAGACTTAGCAGCGTTCAGAGGAATGTATTGAAGTGTCTTAAACCCTGTGCCGAGGGAGAAAATACTTACATAGTCATAGGTCTCGGTCGTAGCGGCCGATGTACTGGCCACCAAGCCTGTTATGATCAAGGAGTAGAGCTGCATAACGTGGGTGCACGGGAGTTCGACAGCAGACCGTATCTGAAGATGGATGTGGAAGTAAACATACAGCCAGGCTCACTACTATGACAAGCCGATAAACAGGAGGGTCGGAAGCCGTTTTGTACCTGCAGACCATTGCTGCATGATAGCACTCCATGACTCCATGCAGAACCCCGAATCGCCTAACCCACTGGAGATTGTGTACGGATCACTGCCGTGTCAAATGGAATGTCGGCGCAAATGTGCCCTGGGGGCCTCTCCTGCAGCCAATGGGGCAGGACTCGGGCCAACAAGACCCGAAGGAAATTGTCGGTCACAAACCTTGTCACTGTCTTATCCATGCTCAGTATCCTTGCATGTAGACAGCTTCAGTGGATCTGTCCGGGAGCGACGGGTGGCATTGTTAGTTATCCGTCGTATGACACTTGGCCAGTGCTTACGAGATTTGCGAGAATCGCACGGATGTTATAAAAAGGATATTGATTACCCGTTTAGAGACCAACTTTGGAATGCCATCCTTACCTGCCATACATCCCATAGTTCTGGCCAAAGCAGGAGCTCATCACCGACGACGGCATAGTTGATGGGTGATATTATTACTACTATAAACTGTTGGTTGGTTCTACTAACCTCCATGCCTAATATTTATCATACCAAAGCGGAAGGAGGTTTCAGAATATGACAACCAACACTCACTGACAAGGATAAATCCTTGTCTTGGCATATGAAAACCCTTGGATGTGATTTGTTACCTGTGTTTGCAATAAGAAAAGAAAATGAGTACGAAATAAAACGCCGAGCGTCTTAACAGGATGGAGGTCTAGAACAGCCTGTTTTTTATGGTCTAGGTCCAGATCTACGTATAGGTGTTTGTGTCTGGCAACCCAATTGTGGGTTGTCTTGTGTAGTACAAAATACCGCTGTTTAGTCGCGGCTGACTGACATCAGGCCCTAGCGAGGTGCCTTTAACCAGAGCGAATACTTCGGAACGGCCTAGTTATTAAGCATTTCACATACACATATGGCGGAGTTCATTGCCATGAGAGTGTACTCATTTAGAAAGCTGGTTCAGACAGTCTACATTAGTCTCCAACAGTTATTTCTAGGCGGTCCCAACCACTAGGTACACATACCGAATGCTGAGCTCGAACTATACGAGAGAAACCCAGAAGCCGATGCATAAGCAAGCCTGCGGCACATGTCTTGATCCTGGTCTCCTTCTTTAGGCACTTCGCGACACTCACTCACGTCTCTTGCAAAAACATAAGCTTTAATTGCTCTTCAAGCTGACCATCGTCTCCATTGAGTAAGCTATCTACTATTGTCAAACTTAATTAAGATATGGATGCCTTGTACAGCTTTTTAAGTTATGGTTTCTATTGTAAAGAGCAAATATTGAAGTATTTTTTAAGTCCCATAGTTATTTGCCTTTCGGATGCTTAGCAATAATGCAGGGGAAAGGCGGGGGAACAGAACCCACCCACTGTTGGTGGTTAGTAGTCAATCATTGAGTTAACCCCTGCATCGGAACCAGGGTAGCACTCCGCGATCCTGGATGATCCCATTTTGTCATTACCATACAGACCAGCTGCTTTGCATATAACCAAGCGAGACTGCGACGCTACGCGGACAAGTTACCACAATGAGTATTTATTAGTTCTGGCACATCACAGATCCATACTCACTTACCACCAACGAATTTACATCTAGAACAAGTCCTGCATTATTTGTCTGAAGAATGTACAGGTACTTTTGCTGAAATGTAAGTAATTAAAGACAACAAAGGAAATCGTTAGGGTTACTATTGAGGTTCACTAGTGTGGGGTACGTTAGAACTTTACGACACTACTGTAAACTCTATCTTATTCAGGAATGGAATGGTAGCAAAGATTATTATTGACATGGCGTTCTCATTCCACACTCTGAGAGGGCAATCAGACCTGCTTGCCTCAGGGTTGTAGCTTTGGCTGCAGGTGTTGGTTGTCCTGTACTGGGGTGGGATAGAAAATCACAACTAACAATTTGTAAGATTTGCTCTGCCACCTCCTTAGTAATGCTGGTTGTTTATCCTAGCCTACCTTCCTGGCACAGTGGCTCCTCGTAAGGGGTTGCTCTTTTGTACCGCGTTCTTGCATGCCTGATATTTTAATCTTCTCCAATATGCCTGAACAGTGGGATAAGATAACGGATCCACCTAAGACCGGTCGTTACGTCTCTATCGATTGATGCTGTCCCTGACTCTTCAATACCACGACATTCCCCTACACATTCTATCAGTAATCGCACGAGCCTCACCGAAAGACGGCCATCTCACCTACTGGCCAGCTGCGGACTGAGTTGATCAGCTATGGCGGATTCTATCATCCGGACTGAGTCACAAGCCTCTCATATCATTGGCATCGCGGTCGGTTTTGTTGTTGCCTCGGGTATCATTGTATTGCTACGGGTCTACGCAAGACTCGTGCTTCTCGGATTGGCGGGCCCAGATGACTGGACCATTCTGGCAGCAACGGTACGACGAGTCCTTTTGTTTGAAGTCTCCGACGAATCCGGTAATTATAGACGCTGACAAGACTTGAAGGGCATTGCCATCGTCGACTCGGTATCGACTGTAATGGGTAGGTTACCCCAGTGTCTAGAGATACGACACCTTCTCAAAGCTAATGATATTTCTCATCTCCAGAGGCAAAACATGGCATGGGCAGACATAAGGAAAATGTTTCAGTGGAGGACAGTATTGAGCAGCTGAAGGTATACTCTGCCTGTCTCTTAGTCGCGAAAACCACTCACTACCTGATCAGGACTAACATGCGTGTAGTACTTGTACGTCGCTATTCTTCTCTACAATGTGGGCATGAACATTGTTAAAGTTTCGTTTCTATTTCAATACCGCCGTATCTTCCAATCGTCGCGAGTTCAGAATATCTGCTTCTGGGTAATCATTGGTGTTATACTTTGGGCTTGTGTCCAGACCACTCTTTTAGGCACCTCATGTTTGCCAGTCTCTATTCTCGTACCCAGCACCGCAGGTTGGTGTCTAGACACGCTACCGGTATGGTACATCTCATCGGCCATAAGCATCGCTACAGACGTTATTATCTTTTGCATCCCGCTGCCGTCGGTCTGGAAGCTCCAATTGCCTATTAAGCAGAAGATTATGGTTATACTCATCTTCTGCTTGGGTTTCTTGTCAGTATATACACTTGCGCCTTACCCCCCTTTCCATTTCATAGCTGACGAGATAATCTTTTCGATTATAGTGTTTGTATCATCTCCGTCTATCGCATGTGCACTCTCCGTGAGGCTGTTTATAGCAATGATCCTCCGTGGAATGGCGCCGGTGCTGCTATCTGGTCCGTCATCGAACTCAATTGCGCTATCATCTGTGCCTCGCTGCCCACTCTGCGGCCTTTGATAGCGAAGGTCGTCCCTGGCATGTCATCCAGCAACAGTAATTATGCTAGCTACGAGCGCTACGGGTCCCAGTATGCTCCCGGCTCTAACCTGCGACTCGGCGCCCACGCCTCGGTCAAGGCCTCTAGAAGGAGCCCACGAAGCATCAGCACTGAAGAATTGGCTTTGAACGATATGAACTCGGCTATGCAGAGTGGTATGCCCAGTACTTATGCAGAGAGCAGGAGCTTGCGTCTGGAGCACGGCAATCTCAAGCGGATTATGGTAACGACAGAGACATCAGTGAGTAACCAGAGCAAGTATTAAAGGAACGACATATTATATACTGTCCACCCAGCCCTGTAAGGTTTCGTCTATAGGGCGTTAGTAGTACTTCTGTATTTAATTCCTGTATTTATTAATACATTTTACCATGATAAATTGGACTCTTATGTTTTGATCAAGTAGGCAAAATGGTTTCAAACCCCCATTATAAATTTGATATGTTACAGCTTTATTACGATATATAATGCCTCGGATAAGAGAGGTCAGCTTTTTGCTTATATAGGTCTTTGTTCTTTATATCTATTTCTTCATCTGTGGTTGCAGAAGATCCGCGTTCCCGAGTTCTTGCCATTATCCAGCTTGTAAAAGGGGGATCAAGATGGTCCTAGCCTATCTTCTTAGCATCTCTTTCCAGATCAAGGTACAGTCGATAATACCGCGTAAGGTGTTCGGAAAGTCTCTTATTACTAGCCAGCTTTTCAACCACAGCCAACCGCTCAGACCAAGTTTTCGCTTTGCGTGGGCTGCGCGACAGATAGGGCTGGTATTCGAGTTCAATGACTTTGTCACGTCGTAGGATTCTGTGACTGTAGCACGGCTCGTCAAAGAGCACATGAGACGATAAATTCGGTCCGAGGGCAGGGTACTGAAGACAATGGGTGTGATGAAGACGTGGCCAGCGCTTCGAAGGTGGTCTGAACCTTGATAGAGCGTCTTACGAGTATGCATTTCATCAATCTCATATGTTTGTAATGACTGGGCGCCAGCAGCTTGCTCAAGAGTTACATGACCCTTTGATTCACAGGTGTTGACTGTTCCTGATGGTCGGGCGGCTGGTATCGTCGTTGGTCTTTCGACGCGACTTCTCTTGTCTGTCTGGACCTGCTTCTCAACATGCTTGCGCTTGCTCGGAACCGGTGGCCCCAGCGCTCTCTAGGACAGGTGTGAGCGGTCAAAACCATCCAGGTTGCAGTTGTCAAAGTCGGCACTGCACATGCTATCGCCTGTCGATGGGAAATTGACAGGCTCAGCCATGCACGGTCCCACATTGATGACCATGTGGGTTTGGGCCTTTTTCTGTAAGGATAAGATTGACCGGGTTTCCAATCTTGATCGTTTAAGCAATACCCTCAGTGAAGCATTATCCTGAACCAGCGCTGTCCTGCTTCTATTTAATCGCGGTTTGTTAGCACTCATCGCTCTTTATGTTAATGGCCTCTCTGAAGGGTTCGCAATCGATGTTGTCAGGGCGAGGAATAGAAACTTCATTTCTGATGAATAAATGTTTAGGATGAGTTCTTCTAAAGCGGGAGAGGGAACAAGGTTTTCTCTCCATGGATTCATGGAGGAGATAAGGAAGCTCAGCTGGATCTGTCAAACCGATTTCATTTGTGGCTGCAGTATACGATGTGACGTCGTCGGGGCCAGAAACAGTTGAAGCAGCAGCATTGGATCTCAGCTGGGGGCCAGTTATGAGCGGTAGCTTGTGTCGTATACGAACTCCAAAAAATAATCGGGTGCCGACGGGTTCGAAAATTAGTAAGATACATGGGTTTAAAGCAATCTGATCTGTTTAATAACTAATCTAACGAGCGATTTCAGGATCCTTATGCAGCGAAAATAATCATTAATATTCTATTAATCCCTCCAAAGGCTATTGCATATTAGGAAGAGCGTTTCTCTCTGCTAATAGTATATTATCTCCTCATCGAGCTCATTTGAAGCATCTATCTATAACTACATGTAGACCATCTAGATTCTGTTTCATGACTAATAATCTATATCTGTTTGCCCTTAGGTGTTGGTAGACTTTAGGTAGATTTCCCGCCCTGCAGGTTAGATAATATATTCCATCTATCGTTTTGCTTTAGACCCGTAAGCTTTAACACAAGTAAATACATCGGAGAATAACCTCTTAAACGTCAAAGCGAAGAAAGATAAAAGTATTTTAATAGCTATGAGTGCAGGGCGCTCTCCGCACTGGTAGTCTGTCATACATATTTTGCTACACTGGAGAACATGTCATCCTCCACGCGCTTGAAACAGTGCAAAGTACACGATCCTTCGCCAGTTGTGTCATAGCCTGAGGATTGCTGCGCGCATGGTTGTAGGTGAACTTGACTGCATATTGCTGAATCTTACGTCCATCGTTACTGACGCAAGTGAGTTCTTGTTTATTCCACCATCCGGCCTTGAGATCTAGCTCATCTCTTCTATTCGAAAGAGCCCAATTGATATCGCCAATCGATAATGGACTGCCTGTGTTAAACCCTGCACAGGTGATGCTGTACGGGGACACAGTTCCTCCAACTGAAGCTGGTTCGGGGGCTGGCACCGCAACAGTGCCGAGCACCAGGCTGCTTGCCGCAAAGGTGAGAGCTGAGAAGACTATGCCACTGGTGAGTTAAGCCTTATGAAAATGATTTCCTCGACCTACATTTCATTGCTGTGACACAAAAGCGAAAGGTTTTGAGTTGATAGGGGGAAAGAATCAACCAGCTGATGGAATAGGGGAGCAATCAGACAATGTCTAAGCTCTACTGTACTAAGGTGACCGAGGTGTTGTTGGGCTTGGTTAAAGCGGACAGCCTCTCAGTATTTATATCTAGCCTCGGTCCTATAACTTCAATGACACGCCGTAATTTTCTATACCCAGGTCCACAATGTGGAGAAAACTGTAGACATGCAAGGTGCCTCTCAGTCTGGATACTAGCTACACTTGGTTTAAAGTTTACTTAAGGAGGCGAAATCCGGCTGGCTTGAAATGAGCAGTTAATATACCGCAGTTACTTGTGGTATCCACACTTCTCCAGGCACTAATGAACTTTATAAGCTATGGCGGTATTTTCCTTACAAACTGACTTTGCATCAAAGGTAAATAAAGTGCAATTCGAGCTTGTTTCTTGTCTACCTTATGCACGTGTCAAACTCAGTAATTTTCCATTCAGCAGCTTTTCACCGCCACTTAACAAGTGGCTAGATTGCATCTAATTTATTTTATTCGCCGCTCTGATCACGAGCAGTATGTACCCTGACTGTGGACACGGCAAATGAAATCTACATATTGAACAAAAGCTTTCCCTAAATTAGGGTTAGCCCGACTTTTCCCAGTGTTTCAAATGAAAATCCGATTTTTCCTTAATGTCATGTCATAGCGGTTAAGTTTACAGGTTATCCGATAACACTTCGCATCTTGTCCGAAACCCAATCCGCGACAATTATAACCAGTAACGGTTTTAATAACAAGTACCCATTACTTGTTAGACAAGACGGTATGGGTGCTTTTAAATAAATACTAACTACTCTATAGAGTTTAAAGAAGTGAAAGTTGCTCATCTACCGAGCTACACAACTACCCAGATAGGATCCAAGCTTTACTATCCTTCCCCTTTCCTAGCGAACTAAACAACCAGCTAGGTGCAGCAGCTCGCAATACCGTTCCATCTAACTGTCGTTTATGCGAAGTCGTTTTTCCTTCCACGACGCCAGCCTTTTAGAACCTTAACAGGCTCTTGGGAGCGCGCCGGAAGATCACTTGAGCTCTTGGTCCAAGCGCCAATAAATCGTGATTGTCAAACCAGCTTGATATGGGATCATGGCAAAGTCTCCAGTAGATGTCGAGGTAGAGATATCGTTGGTGGATTGTTGGCCAGCTGAATTATAGCGAGTGACGACGCGTCCACCTTGATAAAGTTGCCAGACTACCTCCTGGTGAGATCCAGCGGTAGCTTCCATGTGAATGTGAATCACACGTTGATTCTGGTTAGCGTCTAGGTTGGCGGCAAAAACCTGGATATCAACTCCGTTCTGGAGACGCCTGGTGGTGGAAAATGGGCCCTCAGGAACAGCGCTGGTATCAAAGGACCAATGGTAGTCGAAGTTTGACGGACGACCGAAGGTTGTCCTCCAAGGAAGAGTCAGTGGTATGGCTCCGTTATGCGCCGCCATGACCATGGAATGGAACCATGCCAGGCACAAGAATATGGCAGTTGAAGGACGGAGGAGCTTCCGCAGGTTAGCCATTACCCTAACGTGTGAAAGAGAGCACTTACCATAATTGATGTTGTTATAATGGAATAAAAGTTTGGTTTGTTAATGCATCTCCATCTCGAAAGGTGGCATGCTCCTATAAGTATATACTATACTTATAGGAGCCTTCCTCGGTTGCAGTCTATCTGGGCTTCGGCATGTGGGTGGAATTCGGTCTTTCCCGACAAATTAATTTTCCAGAACAATCCGGCACTTGATTTAAGCTTTAGACATATTACACTTTCTGTTCAAACTATGTTATCTATACCATAACTCTCAGACATATCTACCTACTCAATGCAGTTAGGGAAACACTTCTACCTCTTCTAGAACTTTCAGACTCACTAATTCCATTAAGGAGCGGCCGCAAGTAAAGAGCCCCAGTTGTCCTAGCCGCTTGCTCCTGAGTCTGTGCTTTGGAGTTTATCAACACTCTCGTTACCTCTGTTAGTTATCGTATGAGATGTAGATAGGCATATCAAGTAGATACAGACGCTCAAGAGATTGACAAGACTCCTTTCTCATAGGCTATCAGATCGATCGCACGGTCAGCATCCGGTAATGAAAGACTGACCTGCTGCAAGAGGAATCTTAATTGACAGTCAAAGCTGATGGTATCTTAACGAGACATCTCAAGCCAATACACTAAAAGGTCCCACTTGACAAGGATACAATGCCGAGATCCGGAGCTGTCACTGCCGTACCACCAATAGCAGCCAATCCCAGTGACTGCTCCGAACACAATTATACCTTTTCAAACCATGTAGTAGAGTCATATATTCTGACAGCAATGCGTCTAGACCGCCTACACAAAAAACTCAAGTGAGGCGTCTAGTCCACGTCTAATCCTGGCAACAATCATCTCTAGACAACAAAATTCGAGATATAAATTTTGGGCAGTACTCTAATAACCTTTACATTTTATTGGCAAAAGTTATTCAGAAGTTCAATAACTGGAAAACGAGGCCGATTATATAAAACTATACTGTAAAGAGTAAAATCAATAGAAGTTTAACTTTTCGATTAATCATAGTGGAGAAAGACAAAGTCTAAATTAAACGATAAGAAAGCAAGGAGATAATGTAGAGGATTGTAAACCTTGAACAGAGGATGAAGTTAAAACAAGTTCAAGGAGAAAGTGAAGGTGAGGCAGGGAGGCGGTGAAGAGAGAAAAATAGTTGTGAAAGGCTGGAACATGGCTAGAACCCCTTGAAGATAAAAATACAAGAGGTCTGACTACAGATATAAAAAGCCAAAGAATTCCGTCACTTGGCTCAAAACATCATCTCTACAGTCCACTTCTGACATCCAGTATCACCTTTACCCTCTATCTTCAGCTCTAACTCTAACCAACACGATGCTCATCAACACTTTCTTCAAAGTCCTTGCCTTCAGCCCTGCTGTACTCGCCGCCATGTATGTATCCCGCATAGGGATGTTAAGATCAGCAGCTAATATGGTCTAGCGAGCCTCGTGACAGTCACGGACGGTGCTTCTGCTATCGAAAGAATTCTGGTGTTCAGAACCTCGACATCGGCCTGACCAGCACTGTCTGTAGCAACTTCATCACTGTATGTTCAATTTTATCTTGCCTAGTCTGACTGAATTGCTAACGTCTTAATAGTCGGTTGGATTCGACCAGTCCGATCATAAGGTGAGATATCAGTAGTATCTTGCAAGGCTTATTTACTAATAGTATCAGTGTTATACCACTTCAGGACACAGCGACATTGATGGAGACACCTGGGAGGCCCATTGCAAGAACTACGCACAGGCGGGATATCAGTATGAAGGTATCCACTACAGGTGGGATCCTAAGGATGTGAAGGGCGTCTGCTCTTAGATCAGTTGATCCACAAAGGCCGAATCAGGATATGCTGAGACGGCGCTGTCTGTTCCGGGGTAGCCGAGACTCCTTCCATGTAGTTTTAGGCCAGCAGGTCTAGCTTTCAAATATAACCAAGGAGTTGAAATAGTTTTAGGCTTTAATGACCGCTTTAATGTCTTGGGATAGTACATTGTAGTTGTCAAGTATATACTTAAAGGCTATTATTTCTTTACAAGTATAATATAAACCCTACTAGACCAAGCGCCACTTGTAATGGTGGCTATAGCTTATCAGTTCGTTTTAGCAGGAGCTACTAAGGGAAAGTTGAAAATCTACTTACCAGTAAATAACTGAAGTCTTATTACTGTTCTTACGCCAGTGATATAAGCCAGGCCGAGCTACTAATACATGGGTATCTATTTTTCCTACCACTAGTATATTAGGGTCGACTTCGTGAGCTTAGATACCTCAATAAAACGATAGGAAAGTTTGTACGGAGTACCTTGGTCCCAGTTTTTAAATACACCCGTATGGTGTGTTCACATGCGTTAACATTACCTCGGCAGTTAGCTCAATATTGCCTAATGTTATACGCTAACAGCTTGGGCTGCTGATCCAGTCTCGGGGAGTAAGAACACGTATAAAATTACTGTTGCGCTTAACTACTCTTAGCTAATAGTACTGACTTAGATTCAACGTCGCAAGCTAGACCTAATTAAGATCCCATTTAAAAACGAGTATTTAATCGTTTACGGAAAGATATTAATCGAATACAAGGGTCTATAGTAGGTCTGACTGTGAGGGATAAGAAACGACTGCTGAAGGTCCTTTAAAGATAGTGCAGTAGGTATTGAGAAGCAGGAAATGAATAGGCATAATCAAGACGTAGGGAAGTCTTCGTAAGGCTCTCGGTGCATTAAAGAGGGGTTGCAAGATTTAGTCCATCAATCTTCAGCAAGAGACAAATAAGCTGGAACATCTGGGTTGTTTAGATCGAAATCTTTAGGGTCCGCGTCGTGCTCATCGAAGGCAGGCTGGAGATTGAGCTCGCCTCTATACAGATGATTCAGTATATGGTTGACGTCATCTGGGTACCGGCCGACCCGAGGTTTGTTAGCTGTCATACTTAGATTACAAGTGTTTGACTTTCGAGTTCGGGAACTTACAACATATGCAACGGCCGTTGTTCTCTCTGTTGTGCGATGTTACTGTTGAACGTTGTAGTGGGAAAGAAAAGAGATTATCCTAAGACGTGGGTTTATATGCTATTAAGATAAGAAAGGCCGAAATTATGTAATATATAGTACTATATCGTGTATGGCCTTTGCTTATGATGTTCTTTGTTCTAAGGTGTTGTAGAAGTTGGTGACGACGCGGAGGGAGTGAATATAGCCGCTGTAGACTTCTCTTTATCTTAATAACGATGACTTATCTATACTAGAAGTTTTAATACAATTAAACTATATTTCTCTTTATTTAACTAGCCGAAGCAATGCAGTCATAGCGTAAATTAACATGTTAACTCAGAGTTACTAGATTTAGAAAGATGGTTAATATTTCTGCTTATTCGAGTCTTTCAGTGCTTTTTTAAAGTTTTATATTCGATTTAAATGTTGATATCCCTTTGTCTCTTTTTCAATCCGGCCTATCAAACAAGTTATCTGTCCAGACAGTCCATATGCCCTGTACTAAAGTCAGTTAACATCACAACTCACAACTCACGACAAAGCAATTATCCTATTCTTAGCTTGAGGTGTCGCTTCCACTGATCTCTTTCGGTCAGTTTACTGACCTGGTACCGGCCCCTTGTCCAACCAAAGAGACTGGTAAAGCAGAAGAAGTTGGAGCAATAAGCGAGGCGCAATGTAAGCCTCTTTTGCGTTATTCCGTATTAACGACGAGTGTGGTCTTTGAATGCAGCTTGCAGCCAAGGTCAAAAAAAGACAAAACCTACAACCCACTGGCTTACAACCACATACAAAATGGAACAAAGGTTAAATCACCGCATTACTCCACAAGAGGTGAATGTCGTCGTTTATGGGCGAATTGTCAAGATATGCAATCGGGCAATCAGATCTTACGTGACATTGGAGATAAGTGACGCTTGATCCGAAGATCCGTTTTGTCGCCTGGTTACCCTGGAGTGACAGTCCCAGGCCCGACTGAGCCGGGGATTTTTGCATTGACCATGATCCACCGGGTTTTGCCAAAACGGTACGTACCGCGCATTCATCCCTAGCAACACCCGATTTTACCGAAACAGTTTAATAGGAGCATAAACTGCAAAAAAAAAAAAAAAAGAATAGTCTTCGACCCTGGGAAATTCAATAAGATTATACAGACTTCTTACGGTCTTTCTGCTTCAATAAAATACCAGTATTCAAACAGATGAGCTTTAGACAGCGGTGCAAGATGACCGAATTCAGTTATCAGCCGGACATTAACTGGCTTCTACTAGCGCAGCTACATTAGGCTAAGCGCATCCCATATCTACTCTTTATTAGCCAAGACTTTATGATAAACTGGTCCTACTAATATCCCAATAACCTCAGTGGACTGTCCAGGCGCACGCATTCCCAGCAGTTACATCGACCAGTCATTGTGATTCTATGTCTAGTCTGAGGCTGTTGGCCAGTGATCTCTGGCCTGATACTTGGTGTTAGGCATCGGTTTTTGATAATTAGATTCTGAATGTGATGCCTTGGTGTGATTCTGGCGCGAAACATTTATCGTGGTTGGACGGGGAATCGTCCTTGTCGACGACCGCTTAGCGACATTTGGCTAAGTATTGGTAACGAGTGTGTTTCGGCTCTGCATAAAAAAGAACGAGAGGGTCAAGCTGAGAGCAGGGATATTTGCATTGCCTTTGCATCAATTGATAAGACTCAACACTAATACCAGAACGGATATACTCAGCAATACTGCCGCAACGCGAGAACAGCATTATACTCGTGTTTAGGAAATTCAAGAACCTAGAATCGCTTCACCTACTGGAGGAGCTCGAGGTTGTCTAACATGCTGTATTGCGTGATGTTATGGGTAATATGGCAAAACACGGTGGGGGGCGTCGAAGAAATTCGATGTGTATACCAACCTAGATTCTAGGCTGGTTCATTGAAGAGCCAGCCCATTCAGTGCACTGGTCCATCTATTGTACTGGCCTTCCATGTGGTAGTTTATTGCGGTTGCTGGCTCATTACGGTAGAATGGGAGGGAGCCGGACCTGTAGGGGTAGTAGAGATAACGGGGACCGTCCCCTGAAGTTCTACCAGTCTGGTAAAGTATATTCTGTTAAATTGACTAACAGGAATAACTATGTTAAGTAAATCATGACTTGCTCAGACTCCGAAATAGAGCTGCCTGAATTGAACTGGTACTTAACGAGTTAAAGCTCTTAGACTCCCCATCGTCCAGAAACTGGCTGTAGATATGCGGAAGATCGTTACTGAAAATATCTCAAGGATCATTGGCACTCGAGGCAGCCGGTTGCTCAGACCACTCGTTCTGTCTCCAAAGCCATTCAACGAACATCGGCTCATCAATCTCTTGAGGAGGAGTGATGTCTGGTGGGAAATGCTTGTTGGTTTGGTAGAGCGGACGCTGAGAAGGTCGCTCGGCCAAAGATTTTGGTTTCGCTGTCTCTGGGCTATCGTCACCCTCAATAACCACCCTGGCAGCATATGCTCTCTCAGCAAAGATCTTTGCTCTTACCTCATCCCCGTTCGCGATCGCGATTTGAAATGCATCGTAGTAAACTCTTGGAACACCTGCATCGCAGATACCTTTCTCTTCCATTAAATGAAGTAAGGCACGCACGAGATGAAGTCCTGGGTCGTAATCGGAGGTGAACTAGCCAAGCGAATCCTCGATATATTGGATCATCCTTAGTCTGAGGTCGCTTTTTTCACGTTGGACCAGCGACAGCGTGAAGAGATCGCAGCTACAATTGAAAAAGTACTTTGCCTTTAAGCAAATCTGACGCTCTGCAAATTCCATCCTGCGACCTAAGTAAGAGATGGTAATTTCCTGTCCTTCTTCGATATCACGGAGTGCGTGGATAGTGAGGCATCCAATGCCTGCATTCCAGGTATTTTGGGCATTAGGTTGACACGAGTGATTACAACGAGATGCGTCAAGGAAAATGCTAACTTCACGGGCTTTCGAGCCGAGGGGTAGAGCGTTGGTCCTAGTAATTCTAAGGAACGGACTATGGGACTTTCTATAGGCGTTATGGAGACTAATGCTCGTTGATAATCCCGATCTAGAATCTTCAACGCCCTGATAATAGCGTGATCTATAACCTCAATGTCAGGCTCGTCGCGGGGGACTTTAAAAATGGGTGCCTCTGAAAGTATACGCGTGCCTTTGTGGATTTTGGAAGTGGCGAACAAGCCTTGTCCCTTACCCTGAACTGGTCTGATGACATATGCATTCTTTGTTGTATCTGTTCCGAGAGGAGAGGACGGTGAAAAGTAATTGCTCCCTGCAGGTTGCGAGGAACTACTATCCTGCTTTGAGCCTAGGGATGGAATTCGAGGCATGCTCAAGGTGTATTGTGATGACGGTGAGTGATGCAGGGTCGTCTCTCTTCCCTCATGCATGGGATCTAATAGATCCCGCTGCTCTTTAAGCTTCTTAATCGCATTGTTTATTGTTTGCCAATTATAATAGCCATATTGGTTCTCATCACCAATTTCATTTATCTCGTGTTAGAAATAGACCCTATCATTAGAGTACTTCTTTGTAATTTTGTATATGCCTCTGATGTACGGTTCGGCAGGTGATGTTAAATGTCTACTGATCTTTGAGCTGAAGCGGAGGAAGTAATTATATCTATTGGGATTGCCAAGTAAATATAGATACTCGCTGATTATGAACTAAATATATAATTTATTAGAGAGATTAGACTCTATCGATATAGCTAGTACTTTACTATTTAATTATCTTCTTTCCTTATTATTAAGCTTTTTATATTCTTTTATAATTTTATTTTAGAATCTCTAATAGATAATTTAGTTTATAGATATTATTTTTAGCTGTAGATATATATTAAAGTTATGCTGGCTTCTTTCTGTAGGTCCTTGATGCCCTCGGAGGTAGTATACTCGTCTAGCATGTCGAGTATAGCCGTATTACTAGGCTATAGCTTATTATAGGTATCTAGCCCCGTCTATAGGCTTCGGCGGGCAGTTGTGGTGGTTGCGATCGATATCTTAACTGTGATTGAGGTTAGCTTGGTTAATCTACTTATAAGAGAAGCTAGTAAGTCTACTTCCAGGTAAGTAGGAGGTCTTAGCAGGTTACTTATTATAACGGTTAGGTTTCCCAAGGGATAAACTAGTCTATACTAGGTTTATATTGGCAGATACTATAGGGGGTTACACTAAGTGATTATGAAGTATTATATCTCTTAATAGTAAATAGAGCGGGTTAGGTATATTTAGGTAAAGAAGTTATATTAATAGCTAGTAAGTTAATATCTATAAAAGTGCTAATAAATATATTCTATATACTAAAGGTAGTTACCGTAATAACTATTGTAGTCATTAGTAATTATATTAGTTATTAAGTAATTCTAGTGTTAAGGGGTAACCATATCGTAATGGTTACTACGTATATTATATAATATAGTAATAACCATATATAATAGGTAAGAAAATATAGGGTATATATAATGTAGACGCTAAGGTCGTAATACAATCTCTCCCCCCTCTAAGGTCTTATCCTCGAGACCTATATAACTCTATTTTCTTATGCTATTAGTTCTAGGTAAGGAACCTAGACTTATAATCCTTTTTACGCTAATAATATCATCTATAGAAACTACTTATTGTAAAGCCAGAGCTGCTTTAATTTTTTTAGAAGGTTACGTTATTATACCATGCTCTTTTTATTTTACAAAGAGTTTACAGTATGTAATAAAAGAAGGTCATAAGAATTATTCTAAATATACCCGTCGGGGTCGTTTTTACAATGGTAAAGGAGTGTCTATATCTAAAGGTTTATATACCTTCTTTTCGCTATATATATATACTGATTTCTTTTAGCGGATTGTTTAGTTTAGGCTAAGGCTCGTTTAGAGGCTAATAAAGAGGCTACTAAGGAAGAATTAATGGATTTATAGCGTTAACTAAATAAGTGTCTTTCTAAGTTAATATGTCTTCGTAGGTAAAAATGCCTTCTTTAGTCTAAGGGTATAAAAATGTTAGAGCGGGATCTTAAGTCTATAGAGGAACTGGAGTCTATAGAGGCGGCTAAATTGTATACTACTAAAGAGTTTTCTTTAGTAGTTAATTTAATTACTGTCGGTGCCGCTAATCTAATTAATTGGTCGACTATTTTCATAGATCCTATTTCTTTTAGTAGAAGTTCTTTAGGAGTCGTTAGGTATTAGTAAGGTGTTTTAGTAGTTCCTATATATTTTCGCTTTCTAGGTAGTTCTTCTACTTGATTAAGTATTCTATTTTGCCTTCGTATTTATATATTTCCCTAATTACTTTTACTTTATAAACTTCTAGTCCTTTAATTTCTTCTGGTTTATTGCCGATTCTGACTTAGATTATATTAACTACTAATTCTAACAGTACGATATAAAAGATCAGGTAAAGTCTAATTTTCGATGGTAAGTCTAATTTATAGTTATTTTCTAAGATTTTCTATAAAACCTTATAGGGTTTAATATATTTATAGTTAAGTTTTTTTATAGGTCGTTTTATTAAAATGTTTTTTATAGCGAGGTAAATCATTTCTCCCTCCGAGAAGGATAGTCCCTTTATCCGTTTTAGGTCGTAGTAATTTTTCATTCTATTTCTAACGAATTCTAATTCTATTTTTATTTCTTTATATAGGTTTTTCAAGTCTTTACTTTTAAGGATTACGGCTAGGTTAACGTTCTTGGCTTCCCTAGCGCTATAAAAGACATCGGGATTAAATCCAAAGTTAGCATAAGCAGGTATAAGCTTCATTATCTCGTTATAGGCAGTATTATAGGCAAGCTAGGCGGCTAGAAGTTTTTTGACCTAATCGTTTTATTTATAGTTAATATAATACCGTAAGTATTATTTAAGTACCTAATTCATATATTCGGTTTACCTATCTACTTAGGGTCTAAATGCCATTATAAGTTGGTAATTCAGTCCTAAATATGCCATAAATAATTGCTAAAATTTTAATATAAATATAATTCCTCTATCCATTAGGATTTCTAAGGGTAACCTATATACATTAATAATATTTCTATAAAAAATATAGGAAAGTTCTTCTATATCTATGGATTCTCTATACGGTAAGTAATATGAGAATTTTATAAATCGGTCTATAATAACCATAATACTATCGTAAAAAATACCAATTAAGGGTTCTTCTAACAAAGGTAGCTTGGTTATATAGTCCATTATAATTAAGTCCCATAGTTATTATATAACTAATAGTACTTATAGGTTCCCATAGGGTTTATGTCGTTAAGACTTTATTTTCTTATATAGGTTACATTACCTAATAACTTTTTCTACTGTCTTCTTAAGGTTCTCTCCCTAATAGTTTTTTTATATTCTTTTTAATATTTTTATAATACCTTAGTGGCCATATAGGGGATATTTATATATTTCCTATATTAATATTTCTTAATATTTTTACAGTATAAATCGTTTAGTAGTAATACCGTTTAGTTTAAAAGTTATTTCTTGGATATTATAAGGAGCGTTTCGTAACCATACTTAGTATTCTTTTTAAAGTTATTTATTAGCTTTTATAGTAAACTGTAATTCAAATTCCCTTATTTAAGTGCATGTAATCGTTCTGGTTTATTAGGTGAACTTATATTCTCCCTTATCGTTATATTTTAAAACTTACTTATTATATTTAGTTATACCGGTATTATAATCCGGTCTTTAATTAATAGCGTCTACTCATCCATTATTAGATCCTTTACGGTAGATAATTATAAAATTAAACTTATATAGGTATTCTATATAATATAATTATCGTCGGTTCAGTTCTTAAGTAATAATGAAATATAAAATATTTTAATAATCGGTATAAACTTTAACTTAATAAAGGCTTTCCATAAGGTAATATCTAAACTCCTTAAAATAGTTAATAATAGCTAAGAATTCTTTATTATAAATAGGGTAATTAAGTTCTGCTTTATATAGTTTATACAAATAAAAGGCTATCAGGTATAGCTTTCCTTATTCATTATGTTAACTAATCTATCCTCCTAAAGTGAAATTTAATAAGTCTATCTCGAGCTTGATTTCCTTAGTTAGATTAAATATAATAAGTACTGGTTCGCTAAGAATCGCGTCTTAGAGTTTTATAAAAGCTTTCTTTACTTAACTTCTAAATATAAACTTTTTATTTTTTTTAGTTAGTTCGGTAAGTAGGTTTGTGATTTTATTAAAGTCTTTGATAAATTGTTAGTAATAATTAGTAAAACCTAAGAAGCTCTGTACTTCTTTAACTATTAATAGTTATGGCCAATCTTATACTGTCAATATTTTCTTTCGATCTATTCGGATTTCACCTAGTAAGATAGTATATCTAAGATAGTCTACTTCTCTTATATAAAAGTGACTTTTCTTAAGTTCGACCAGTAAATTGGCGTCTTATAATACTTTAAGTACCTTATAGACGTGTTCTAAATATTCTTCTTCCGTATCGGAGAAGATAAGGATGTCATCTAGGTAGTAAACTATAAAGACGTTAAGGTACTATCGTAAAATATTATTAATTATCTATTAGAAGGTTATAGGTATATTAATAAGTCTAAAGGGCATAACTAAATATTTAAAAAG